TAACTAACTTTAAATATTAATATTAATATTAAAATAAACGATTTTTTATTAAAATTTTATAAAATAAAGACTTTTAAAAACTATTAAATATTACTTATATTATAGTAAAAGGCTTTATTTTTAAGTGTAAAACTTTATTAATAATATATACTACTGCTAAAAGAATATATATTATTGTTAAAAAAGTAGAAAAAAATAGTTTAAAGCTTTAAGCCTTTAGAAAGATAGTAAAGTAATTTATAGTTATTTAAAGTAATAGGATAATACTATTTTACTTAAAAGTAAACTATATAGTAGTTTCTTTTATTCTTTTAGCTTCTTTATCCGCTTTTTTTTTTAATATATATATACTTATTTCTTATTTTATATAAAGGGTTTTAATTAGCTAGTTTCTATTATTTATTATAATTGTAATATTAGTAGTTATCTTACTATTAAGCTCCTTTTTAATATATAGGTATTTAAGTATAAATAAGTCTTTAGTAGTTTTATTTAATTTTAAAATATTATTATTAGTTATAGTTGCTAATAAAATTTATATATTTTCTATTAATTTTAAAAGTCTTTTTTTATTATTAATTAATATATAATAATAGAATAGTAAAGTATTTAAAAATAGTAAAGAAAGCTTTAATAAAAAACTATAATAATTTAATAAATTTAAAGCAATTATTAATATTAACTTTTTATTAATAATAATATTATAATAAATAACTATTTTATTTTTAATTTTATAATTATTAAATATTATTAAATATTATAAGGATTAGTTATAATATATAAATAATAAATAATTACTTATATATTACTATACTAGTAAACTATTAATAGAAATTTTTAGTAAATTTCTATTTATACTAAAAATAAACTTTAAGTTTTTTAAGAAAAAAGATAGTATTAGCCCTTGCTAGCTAAAAAGTAAAAGTTAAGCTATTGCTATCCCTACTTCTTAAGATAATATTACTTAAGCCAATTGCCTATTTATTAAAATAAAAGAAGATAATAAAAAGTAAAAGAAAATCTATAAAATAAAAAAAACTAAGACTAGTAAAGAAAATAGTAATAAGTATTTAGCTTTTATTATTGCTATACTTTTTATAATAAAAAACGTTATTTAATATTTATATCTAGTATTCTATTTAACTGCTATAACTATATTAAATATAATATAATATATTTTAAGCTAAATTATATAAATAAGCTTTTTAGCCTAATTATTATTATCTATTTACTATTTTATAAAATAAAATATTTTTATATACTAAATATAATATTACTAATAATTATTAAAAAAAATAAAAATAGCTATTTTATAACTTTAAATATTAGAAACTTAAATTTAAAACTAATCTTAAAAAGTAGAAGTATAAGCTTAAAGCTTTAAAATAATTAATAATTATAGAAATAATTAGGAAAAAGATTAGGGAGTATTATATAAAACAATTCTTAATAAAATATTTTAATATTTTTAAGCTTTCTATTATAGCTTTAATTTTGTTTTTTCCTTATAAATAATTTATAATTTTATAAAAGAAAAAATAACTTTATATAAAAGATAAAATATTATTAAATAATACTAAAAGAGATAAAAGTAGGCTTATAGCTTTAAAAGCTAGGAAGCTAGGTTTAAAATAATAGTTTTATACTTAATAAACTTAATAATAGCTAGAGGATATTATAATCTCCTTTTTGTTTATAGCTTTAAATATACTATATAATTTTTATATTATAAAGTATAGATTATAATATAGATTAGTAACTTAATAGCTTTATTTATATTAGTAATTTAATTTAAATTATAGGCTTAGCTGCTATTAACTTTAGTATTAATAATTATTTATTATAAAATTAAAATTCTAAAAAGTTTTTCTTATAAAGGCTTTACTTTAAATATAAAATTTTCTTAATTAATTTATAGAAGCTAGTAGTTTTTCTAGACTATATAATTGTTTTTTAGCTTTTTAAAAATTATATTTATTACTAATTATTTCTATTTTTATTTTTTATTAATTTTAGTTTATAAATTCTACTTATTTATCTTTTTATTATTAAGCTTTTAAAGCTTATAGAAAATATTCTAAAGATCTTTACTATTTATATTATATAAAGTTTACCCTTAATAATATTCTTTAATATCTATTATAGTTATAGGCTAAAAAGCTTCCTAGCTAATCTAATCTTTAATTTTATTAAATATAGTTAAATAGCTATTAATTAGTATTCCTTTTATTTTAATTAATATTTAAGCTTTTTTATTATATTAATAAAAAAACTAATTTTAAAAATATTTATAAAAAATATATTTAACTTTTGTTTTTATTATTAATAAATAAAATTTAAGTATTAAGCCTAGATTATAAAAAGAATAATATTTCTTAGGCTAAGCTATATTTTTACTTTTATATATTTTATTTCTTTAAAGCTTATATAAAAAAGAATATTTATATTTATTATTATCAAAAATTTTAATAAAGTTTAAGTTTTTTTAATTTTTTAATTTTATATTTTTAGCTAATTAAATACTATTGCTATTTTTTAAAAGGGTTTACAACTATATTAAAATATTTAAATCGCTTTTTTAATTTTTAATTTTAAGTTATTTTATAGCTTAACGCTTACTATTTAATGTAAGTTAGCTTAAAATAATTGCTTATTTATATTAATATTTATAAAATTGTTTATAATTTAAAAAAAGTTTTTTCTAGTATTAATACTATTTTTTTATATTGCTTTATTTATATATTAGTAAAATTTTTTAAAATTTTTTAATATATTATAATTAATAATATATTATAATATTTAGATTATTAGCTTTTAGCTTATATTTTTCTATAGCAATAAAGATTTAAATATTAAATAACTTAGTTAAATTATTATAATTATTAAATTTTTTAAACTTAAATAAAATTCTTATTTTATTAAAATCTACTATAAGTATAAAATATAATTAGATTTAGTCCTTTATTATAAATAAATAATAAAATTTTAGAAGCTATTTTAAATATATTAATAAAATAAATTATTTAACTTTTAAGATAATTTAAAAATAGAATATAATTTTAAGATATTAAATTAACTTAAAAATAGGATTTATATTAATAAAAAAATATTATAAGTTTTTAAAGCTATTTTTTTTTTAGGTAAATATTATATAAATTGCGATTTTTAAATAGTTATTTAGTATTTAAATAATTAAATTTAAAAAATTAAAACCTACTATTTTTTTATTAATACTTTTATTATAAGTTAAAAAGTAATAATTATAGCTAAATATAGTACTTAAAGTAAATAAGTTTATAGAATATTTAATTTAAAGTATTTTAAACAAAAATCTGCCTAATTTTTAATATAATAAATTTTATTAATTATAAATAAATAAAGTTAACTATAGAAAAACTAAAACTTAATTATATTTTTATAGAATTTTTTATAAAAATCAACTTTAGTTTAATAAATATTAATTTAAGTTAATTTATATTTTAGTTATAATATTAATAAATATAGTTTTTATTTAAAAATTAAGTAGATTTTATATAACTATTATAATATTAATTAAGTTTATAATTATTAAAAATCCAAATAAAATCTATATAAAATTTATATAAAATTATAATTAAACTTTATTAAAATTTTATATAAATTTTTATTTACTATTTAAACTTTTATTAAAATTTTAAGTAAATAATATTATTATATTAATTAAAATTTTAAGTAATTTTTTATTAAATATTAAGTAAAAATTAGAAGTTATTAAAGTTTTAATATATAAAAAATAATTATAAACTATATATAAAATACTTAATAGTAATTATATATTATAATATTTATATATAATTATTATTATTATATATTATAGTTTAAGTATTTAGAATTTTATTTATAATTATTATTACTTAATATTATATAATTTTTAATAATATAATAATTAATATTATATAAAAATAATTAAAATAAAATAAAAAAATAGTTTAAAAAATCAAGCTTTTACTAATACCTATTTTTATAATTAATATTATTAACTTTTTTTAATATATTATTTATTAAATTATATTAATTTAAATAAGTTTTTTTTATATAAAAAGCTATATTAGATTTAATTATATTTTATATTATAAATAGCTATAAATTCGTAAAAGCTAGAAGTTTATAAATAATTCCTACTTATATACTTTTTATAATTTATACTTTTATTTTAATTAACCTTTTTATTAATTAAAATATTATAAAAAAAAGCTTAATATTTGCTTTTAAGTATTTTATATTATTTTATTATTAGGAGCTATTTATATTATTATTTAAAAAACTAAAATAAGTATTTATTTTTATAATTATATTTAATATATTATTATTAATATTTAAGCTTTTATTCCTTTTTATATAAAAATAAAATAATATATTTAATATTTTTCCTCTATATATAAATACTATTTAGTTAAAGTTTATAAAGGAGGAAAAGAAGCTTTAAAGCTATATATATTATTAATATTATTTATAAATATAAAGGAAGATATAAAAGTTTAAATAAGTTAAAAAAAAAGGCTAAAATTAGTTAGTTATATATATTAAAATAAAATATAAAAATATATTATTAAAAATTTAATATTCTAAAAATTTAATATAAACTATATGTCTAAGCACTTATTTTATAGTTTTTTAAGCTTTTTTTAATTTTATTATTATATACTAAAAAAGTTGTTTAATATAAAGCTAAAAATTTAAAAATACTAACTTTCCGGAGTAGGCGTATTATTATAAAAAGCCGCGAAGCGAACTAAGCTTTTTATAGCCTGGTCCCCGCGCTAGCTTGCCTAGCCTGGGGACTAGCACGCCTTAGGAGGCAAGCCGCCATCGCGCCCTGCCTGTTCAGGCCAAAATGTGAAACAATATCGTGTTGGCTACGTGTTTTGCTGCCTGTGCGTTGGTCAGCGATGGCCGATCATATACTCGTGGGCTGTGTAATGGGTGGTTGACCAGAGCCAAAGGCTCCCAAGAGTCCCAAGATGATAGCACACTCTCAGCTTGCACCACTCCCAAATGAATTGCCCTTCCGAATAGTTTCGAAAACCATCGGGCAAGGAGCATACGCATGGTCGGTTGGGCCTCCCAATCCGCACAATTGATTGTTTCCTCTCTACTGACCATACTTGCAGCGTCAAGAAAGCCGCACCGCTTGACTCCCCTGGACCTGTCTTTGCTGTCAAATTCATCCACAAAGACTATGCCACTCGTCATGGTCGTCTCAATAAGAAGCAGCTGGACCTTGAGACCAGCCTGCACGAGTATCTTGGTGCACATGCAAACCTCGTACAATTCTTCAGTAGCGGGGAGGATTACACCTGGCGATGGATAGCGATGGAGCTTGCGGAAGGCGGCGATCTCTTCGACAAAATCGAGTCAGACGTTGGTGTGGGTGAAGACATTGCACATCTCTACTTCACGCAATTAATCAGTGCTGTGGCATACATGCACTCGAAAGGCGTTGGTCATAGAGACATAAAGCCGGAAAACATCCTATTGTCCACCGGAGGCAGCCTCAAAATTGCCGACTTTGGATTGGCGGTGCTTTTTGAGTATAAGGGCCAGAAAAAGCTATGTTCCTCAAGTTGCGGAAGTCCTCCGTATACAGCCCCAGAAGTGGTCACTTGTGATCATAGGGTCAAAAAACGATTGGACCAAGGTTATTTTGGACCTCTTGTCGATATCTGGTCTTGCGCTGTTGTGCTCTTCGTGCTGCTTGTTGGAAACACTCCATGGGATGAACCGCTGGAGCGAAGCTATGAATTTAGCGAGTACCTCAAGGCAAGTGGGCGACCGGATGACGAGCTTTGGGATAAGTTGTCAGACGAGATTGTGCAACTGTTGAGAGCTATGATGCGGATCGAACCGACCGAAAGAATGACATTGGAGGATATACAAAGGCACCCTTGGTTTCGAAGACAGAACCCGTACCTTGACAGCAACGGAAGACTTGAACATCCGGTGCAACTTGCCACGCAGATGTTTGAGAGTATGAGGATTGACTTCTCCAAAGATCCTGTCCTTTCTCAAAGAAGCCAGCGATCCGGGGATGCAATGGACATCGATGAAATACAGAGCAGCCGCCAAAATGACTCTACTGACTCACGCACACCTAATAACGAGATTATGTTTGACTGGGAGACCCGAGGACACTTAAGCAATGGTGACTTACCTGCGGCCGCCAATAGTGCTGCAATTAGTCAACTCAGCTGGGATGAGCAGCTGGCAGAGGAGCCGCTTTGCTCTCAATTTTCGAGTACTCCGCGCGTCCCTCTCACCAGGACACAATTCGCAAGGCAATTTCATGATATAATTCCCTCACAATCTCTCACTCGCTTCTTTTCCTTTTGGTCCACAGAGCAGCTTCGTAACGCTCTTCAGGATGCCCTGCAAAAAATCTTCCTTCTCAAGTCGGATGGCTCGTCTCAGGTCGGCAGTGATGAAGTGGCTTCAATTAGGATTAGAGCGATGGATGGTAGAAACTGTCCGATTAGTGGAGATATTTTCATCGAAAGACTGTTTGGTGTAGAGGGCCAGGCGCATGAGGTCAACTTCGTCAAAATTAAGGGCGATCCGGTGGAATGGAGAAGACTGTTCAAGAAAGTCGTTGTGCTTTGCAAAGATGCTGTCTTTAAACCTGACCAGAGCATTGCATTGCTATCCCAAAGTAGTGTGCTGTGACGGAAGAGAAACATTCAACGGTCTCAATGTCTTAACCGAAGTCTTGCCAAAGCCCCCTAGGTATGTTCTCTGAAGTGTTCGTTCTTGTCTCGTATGAGGCAAAGCGTTTAAAAAAGTTTCCCATTTAGCATCTGAGGCGGCATGAGTCACAAGAGGGTCGACGAGGGGCTTTGAATACCTTCTTTGGTATTGAGAGCCTATGGTTGAGTATCAGACTTGTTACCTCCTCCATAGAATACTGAGCAGGAGATTTTAGCATCTTCAGAGTCCTGTTCAAGCCTGTGTTCGACTATCGAATCAATCCAACCTTTCAACGAAAATGAAGACTCCCTGCGGCCTACCTTTTCTTGCCTAAGCTGGGGATATGGAAAAGCATCATTCCCCCATTCAATCCTGTGAGGGTTCTATCAGCTTCAATACTCATCTTTCCTTGTTTTACATCATAAGAGATCTTTATAGTACACAGGTTCGCGATTCAAATTTCGAGGTGGCGGGCTAAGAACCATCATCACGGCTTCGTGACGGCAATTTAAAAAAGAATTACGTGCACACCATACCCCTCAACACTTTTCACCTTTCCTTTCATCCTAGTCTGGACGCGTTCTTCAACTCTCATTCACCCTCACTTGGCTGCAGTCATTTCAAATTCTGCTATTAGGATGACAAAGCAGCAATTCGCTGATTGAACCTCTTATGGAACGCGGTTGCCTTTAATTGGCAATAATAAGTGCCGTTCAGAATGTCTCTTATGTCTGAGAAGCTGGGAAGGCTCCTCAGAAGGCAAGATGGCGCCGAGAAAACTCCGCCAAAAGCGCTCTATTCAGACCTTGAGAGCGCATATGAGAGTATAACAAGCAAGTCAAGCAGCACATTCTCCAAATCCCAAATAAGTCTACCTTTGGATCAGTCCGCTACACGTACAAACAGCCCACCTGTACCATTCTTTGTGGCCAATGCATACACGAAATTCCAATCCAGCGATGAAAATTTGTCTCAATGGCAGACGGTAGCTAGTACTTCCGTAGCAGGAGACAACACGTCGCATGTTCAAGGAGGAAGGAAGCTGGCGCTGGACATCAGGAGCGATACTGTTGACGACATACTTGAAAGATACACCGAAAGCGTGCCAGAGGGATTGAGTTACCATTTTGACAAGCCATGCCGGACAGCTACGCCCTGTACGAGGGATTCTCGAGTTCAATCGCGCTTCGAATGTGAAGAAATGGGCAATTTGGAAAGATTTGATTTGGCGCTCGCGCAGAATGTGGAACAGAGCATCAATACAGGCGCTCAGTCTCCGTCACGTATTGTAGGCAGGAAACGGACTAAGACATCGTCCAGCCTTGATCAATTTGCGTGGAGCCCATGTCCCAGTGAGGCCGATGCGAATGAGCTACACCAAGCTGATGATGATCTACATGATCACGTGGTTATCGATCTCAACACCAGTGATGTGCTCTCGTCTCATGCTGGGGCATCTTCCTCATCTCCTGAGTCTTACGGCAATACCAGAGAACTTCTCCAGCTTTCGTCGTCACGTCCATCGGGCAAGACCTCTTCATATCGTGTTACGCCTCATGAGCTCTTACGCGTCCGCAATTCAAGACTTGCTGGGGATCTTCATGTTTCTTGGCCGTGCCAACAACGAGCACCTTCTTTGCAGAGAGCGGCTCGTATTTCTGGGGTGGTATCTGATGGCTCCAGCTCTCGCCCAATGTCGGGATCAGAAGTTTTGGGCTCTTTAAGTGATATTGTCCGTTCAGTCCTTCGCAGCAGAAGCTTGAGCGCCACCAGCTCCAGTGTCGGCAAACACGGTTGTGCCGCCGAGAAGCCTAAGATCAATCGCGAGACTACAATGACTCTACTTGGGCAATACGTGGGCGACGTTGCAGATTTGACACCCAGTACTAGCGAAGTCGTATCCGACTACCGTAATCTCCAACTGTCCAACCGATCTAGTCAGAATCTAGGCTCGCATGTCCAAGTGAAGACACGGTCCGGCAGTTTTGAACGACACGCTGGCAAGTTCCTCGGAATCAAGCCAGCGATGCAATCGCCCTTAACTAGGAAGAACAGTAGGCTAGCACAAGCGGCGGCGGCAGCAGGTGTCAAAGAAAGTGGGCGTCTGGGTAGGGCTTTGGCATCGCCCTCTGAGCAAGACTGGGTCACAGAGACAGACGTGACGACAAGTGGAGAGACTCGAAAAAGTCCTTACTTTGAGACTATTACTGGCAGTAGCCTTGCGGACAACTCAGAAATGGCAGGATTTTTAACATCGGAAAGACATTCGAGCCACAAGATGCAGCACAGCACCGAAGGAGCGTCCGGATACCCGAACCACGCACGATACAACCTGTCGTGGTCTGTAATGAGAAATGTGCGGAACGGTTCATTGATGTTGGGCGCAGATCATGTTACTAAGGAGGGAAAGCTTCTCCCAGATTCTCTGACGATGGCACAGGTAAACTTCCTTTACCACGATCAAGTAGCTCGCTCTCTCGAGATTCTACTAAACGCATCTGGCGGTCCAGAACTGACTTTAAAACCTCCATAGGCCAACAAGACTACCGCCCTAGGAGGAAATCTACACTATCATCACCCGACACCATTACCCGATTGTCACCCCCATCCTTTAAGATCATCCCCTCGCATGACACGCTCAAGAATTCTGTTACCAGAGAAAGGCGATGATGTCACCTTAACAACCCACCAGAAGCGGCTGAAGATAGGATTAAGGTCGGAATTGTCAGCCAAATCTAGTCACGGAGGCGGCGAGACGGTGGATGAGGACTCTTCTGAAGTACGAGGAACTGGATCATCTATGGTAAAGCTGGATGAACCACAAGCCCTGGAGATGACTCATCGTCACGCCTCGTCGACTTGGCCAAGTGCAGTCTCCGAAGCCCGCTACGATGAGCCCATTTCATCCGTACGCATTAGCAGCTTCGCCAAAATGACTGTGTTAGGTGAGAGGGACAATTTGACGGGAACAGCTGATGGGAGTGGCGCTAGGGAAGTTCAGGGGAGCAGTCTTGCTGGCGATAGCTCTCCTAGAGAGTCCTTTCCGGCTACTCCACCGAACTTTTCAACTCCTTCTCGAAGGCAGCTTTCTCCAGGTGCTAGGAAGGGAACACCTATCGCAGGGCCGAAAAGCGCGGTGACAGCCTTTCATCGGCTGCTGGAACTTGAGAACGCATCATCTATTGAGAAGCCTAGAAAAGAGCGCCTTAATCGTGATTCGTTTGCATGGTTCCAGAAGTCGCAGTGCCATCCTTCACCGCATGACACTACGCCTTTGAGTCCGCCGAAGATCCTTCGCCACCAACTACGGTTACAAGATTTCACTAGAGTACGCCCATCTCGATCAGGCTTTGAGAAACGTGTCTCTGTGTTGCAAAGCGATGTTGCATCGAATGGCGACCTTGCTTCCGTCAACTGGTCCAAATGCTTGCCCCCTATCGGACCCGAGCGTGATCGGTCGGGAGCCAAGCACTCTGCAGGGCTTCGAAGGATTTATATCTTACATCCGGAAAAAGCAACCCCTTCCGGGCAAATGATCGAGCCAACACTTAGCGAATCGCTCGAGACTTACCAGAAACATTTGTCTCAATATGTTGGGTACGCTTGCCTTCTACTTCCTATACTTGGCCCGGTGTTCGGCCATGGAGGGTTAGATGTACTCATTAATTGGCATTCGAAGGGCCAAGTGACACAGTTTCGCAGGCAAGAGAAGGGGCTTATTCTTGCCTATAGCTATGGTATGCTCGTCATAGCGGTAATCGCGCTTACGCTGGCCATGGTTCTTTTTACATAACGGCGAAGAAGTGGGCATGGACTTGTAGCTCGAAGTCAGGTTATCGTGTCTCTAGATGGCTCCTGCCCTGTAAGAAATTGTGGAAATGTAGTGTGCGGAAGCCCAACCATAGTGGTTCGTCAAAAGTTGTGCATGAATGAGGTAGCTGTGATTTTCAAAGCAACAAAGCTTGCCGTCTGCTTCAACAAGTAGCAAGCACAAGACATACGATTGCTACATTTTGCATGGACCAAACTCACAAGTCCAATACAAGGGTAGATTAAAGGCGTCGTTCACATTGCACAATTTCCCATTTTTGACTATGCTTGGCAGGTAATGTGAGTTGACCACCCCAAAAATGAGCCAAGTGTCATCGATGCCACTTACATAGGCGAGAACAATTGATTACTGCATTGCGGCCGTCGTTCCTCATTTCATATAAATTCAGACCTTCGCCCGAGGGGCCCTTACCTACAAGGTAGGTTACGATCATGGAACCTTCCTCGAAAAGCTTGGCGCCAATCTTATTCTGCTCACCGCACTCCCGTCGCACCTCCTATTACGGACCGTGAACAGCTAGTGTTGAATTTTGTTAGAGGCAAAGGCTGACTGCAGCCGTAACCTACGTTACGCCATGGCTTTCTGTATTACTTTCGGAACCCACGGTAAGACTAGATGCCAGGTGGACGTTCCCATGCGCTGACGAAACGCTTGTAGATTTCACGAACCAGCTGAAAGAGTATGAAGGTGTGACAGCGCAATGCCATAACTGTACGCGACCCGTCGCCATGATACCTGCTGTGATGTAAGAGAGGGTAACTGAGGGTTTGATATCTAGGTGGCAATTGGAGTGCTCATGTCATGACAAGATGGAGCTGGTTTACAGTCTGTTTTCTGGTAGGCTGTTTGCCCGAGATGTCGTTGGAAACATGGTGAAACTGACCATCGGATGTCGCAACAGCCTGTCATACCTCTTTCGACACACAAATATAAAGAAGTGGCATGCCCGATTTGTCACTTTATGCAAGATATCAGTATGCGACCAGATGTACAATCGCAAGCCCACAGCGGATCTGGAGGAGGCCCAATGCAAGGTGGACTGCCGCCTGGTCAGGGAGCGCCCCCGCCCCGGGGAAATGGTGGCATGCACTACAAATAATGGCAGCACAAAAGCATAGAGGGACTGGCGTTGTACACATAGCTGCGATACATATCAGCGCTGGAGTTGGGGAAATGCTGGTGGGAGAAAGAGGCGAGTCTAAAGAGTATTTGGTACATGTTGAACGGCATCTTCTGGTGTCATCCGCAATTGCTATACATTGAATCTTTTGGCTACAGTGGTTGAAAATGCTGCTTGTGTCTTTCAGCAGGATATGATACATTCGGCCAATTTGCGTCGCCTTTCATATAAGAGCTGACCTGGTGACCGGTCAGGAGTACCTACAAGCGACCGCTGTAGGGCTCTAAGGGTACGCAGACTACATACTGATGTCGCATATATCTAATACTGACCGGTCACTAGGTCAACTCTTCTACAGCTAGATCCCTTCATGAGACCGACTTTTCCAGTGAAGCCTTGATTTGAAGGGCAATGCTTGGGCTGCATGAAGTAGCGGAGCTGACCGAAGCAAGCAATCTTTACGCCGATGAATTGTCAAGTCCGTCTAGTACTACTGTTGTCTTTCACTTTACCATACCATACCTTAGCCACCGGTCGTGCCCTGCCCCTCGTGCGCTAAGGTAGCAATGCCAAGCCCGCCCATTCACCTTACGCGAATAAATGTTGATAACACTGATAAGAATCTCCAAACGAGCTGCTCCTTGCCCTTTCCTTCAGTGACCAAAACGTCAACATGCTTTTCTCATGCATGGGCCACGACACTAGAAGCCTAGAACAAAGCCCGACTGGGCGGGACCAGATCTGGGCTCTCTCGGAGTCGTCAATGTAGGGTTCGATCATGCAAGCCAACCTGCGTACTCCCTTATCTGCCGTGGAGAAAATCCCGAGCTCGTGCTCTGGTGCGGCGATGAGTACGCGAGCGTGGGGTCGATTGCGATATCGCCTGGAGTTTCGCTCAAAGGTGTAGACCCTATACAGTCCGAGTCCTCGTTGCTTTCCAATCGTGAAGAATCTCTCAGTGCTGTTGCTATTTCTTTCTGACTGGAATCTGCCTTCCCTTTCAAGAAGAGTCTGAGGCCGAAGCTTGCTTCAGCAAGAGAGAAAAATTTGTTGTACTTATTTGTCTGTCTTCGTTTACTCTCGTGCGACTTCATCAGCTCGGGGTTGATCCAAAATGGCAAACCCTCCGCCCCTGTCTCAAGCCGTGGGCTATGGCGTTGTGCTTGGCCTTGGATTCCTCTTTGCCTTTGGTATGATATTGACGACCTATGTCCTGAAAAGGTGTGGCACGGCCCGGCTGCTCATTTCTCAAACCATTCATTGCGATATAGGTACAATTATGAAGTACAAACCTCGGAAATGTTCTCTACTGCTGGACGTACTGTCAAGTCAGGGCTCGTAGCCAGCGCGGTCGTCTCCAGCTGGACGTAAGCACTCTCTTCTCATCGAATTGCCATATCTTCAATAACGGCTATCATGCTTACTTTCGGCTTTCCACCGTAAATGAGCGTGGCAGCTGACGGTCCTAAAACAATCCAGATGGGCGGCTACTCTCCTTCAGTCTTCCGGTGTGGCATACAGATATGGCGTATCTGGACCTTTTTGGTATGCTTCGGGAGCAACAGTCCAAATATTGCTGTTCGCAACCCTTGCGATTGAGATGAAAAGACGAGCACCGAATGCTCACACTTTCCTGGAAGTCGTAAGCGGACTTCTGAGAATTTTTTTCTTTAATGGTCATGCTGATTTCAGAACTGTCTAGATTCGTGCCAGGTATGGCGTCTACGGCCATTTGGTATTCACTGTCTTTGGATTAATGACCAACATTCTCGTCACCGCTATGCTGCTAACAGGCGGCTCAGCCGTTGTGACTTCGCTGACTGGGATGCCCACGGCCGCTGCTTGCTTCTTATTACCTGTCGGTGTCGTTATGTATACGATCGCTGGTGGCATAAAAGCTACATTTCTGACGGATTACGTGCATACACTCATGATCTTGATCATCATCTTCATATTTGCTTTCACGGCGTACGCGAACAACGCAGATCTCGGCAGCCCTGGAAAAGTCTATGATATATTGGTGCAAGTAGCGAAAGACCACCCAGTCGCAGGCAACGCACAGGGCAGCTACTTGACCATGAGGTCCAAAGAGGGCGCTATCTTCTTCGTCATCAACATTGTAGGAAATTTTGGCACCGTCTTCCTTGACAATGGCTACTGGAATAAGGCAATCTCGGCCAGTCCTGTCCATGCCCTGCCAGGCTACGTCATGGGAGGACTTAGCTGGTTTGCCATTCCCTGGCTTGCTGCAACCACTATGGGTTTATCCTGTCTAGCTCTCGAGACCAGCCCTGTCTTTCCTACCTACCCATCAAGGATGGCTGACGCAGACGTCTCCGCCGGGCTCGTCCTACCAAACGCAGCAGTCGCACTACTGGGAAAGGGCGGTGCTGCGGCGACGCTTTTGCTGATATTCATGGCTGTCACTTCCGCCAGCTCTGCTGAATACATTGCTGTGAGCTCTATCTTCACGTACGATATTTATCAAGCGTATTACAATCCCAAGGCAAGCGGCAAGATGTTGATAAACATGGCCCACTCATTTGTTGTGATCTATGCTGTCCTGCTCGCTGGGTTCTCGACTGGACTTTATTGTAAGTACACTGGCTACACTTCTCAATTAAAGGGGCTAATGACTCTAGACATCGGTATATCTCTTGGTTACTTGTATTTGCTGATGGGCGTGATCATCTCCTCAGCGGTCCTACCAGCCACCCTTAGCCTCATGTGGAAACAACAGAATCTGGCTGCTGCCGCACTCTCACCGATCCTCGGTCTGATCTGTTCACTCATTGCCTGGTTAGTGACAGCCAAAAGGGAGTCGGGTGACCTCAGTGTCAAAAGCACCGGCGCTAAGTATGTCTTCCGTGCTTCTCGTAATCATAGGGGTCCAATACTGATGTTTGGTGCGTAGTAATCCCATGCTTGCGGGTAACGTTGTCGCCCTTCTTTCTCCAATGGTGTTCGTTCCAATTCTCACCTATACCTTCGGCCCCCAGAACTACGACTACAAATCAATGGCTGCCATTCGCTTGGGTAACGACGAGGACATCGCATCCGCTGCTCACACTGATCTTGAGCTGATACCGGGTGGAGGGAACGCTTCAACCGAGCAGGCTGAGGCTGAAAGGCGACATCTCGACCGTTCAGCAGTCATCGCAAAGTCGCTTACCGCTTTTATGACCGTCTCTTTGCTCGTATTATGGCCGATGCCAATGTATGGATCTAGCTACGTCTTTAGTAAAAAGTTCTTCACTGGGTGGGTCGTTGTAGGCATCCTTTGGCTCTTCTGCTCGTTGTTCATGGTCGGATTGTTTCCCCTATGGGAAGGCAGGCACAGCATGGCGAATACATTCAAAGGTATTGCAAAGGATCTAAGTGGCAAAGGAGGCGGAGCGAAACTAAGAGGGCGAGTGCTGGAGGGTCGGGAGGGGAGCGCAAGTGGTTCTGATGCAGGTGTTGAAAAACAGGCCGAGACAATGGGAGAAAAGGTAGGATGAACACGATCTTCAAAGAAGACCGATGGTAACACTGACGAACTGTAACGGCTATGAGGACGCTGTGTGCTTGATTCGTGACTGAAGATACCTCTATGTACCCACACTGAACAAATAAGCTTTTCATTGGTAATATTCATGCAACCTGCGGATGCTGAACGACCTCGATATCATCTGAGCTGTACGCCGAATATGTTCTCCAAGTAAATGACCAATTGCGCTCTCCAGCAAAATGGAGCCAGGTATCAGTATACACAAGTGTCACAATCATTGTGTTTTGAAAAGCAGAATGGCACAGTGACCAAGGTAGAAGTAAATGAAGTGTCTCGTCTCTGCCATAGATCGCCTCTGCATTAGTATGATGTCAAGCTCAAATACTGCATTCGTTGAGGCCCGACTTTGCGGAGAAGGCAGGAATAGCACTCACCGTGGGTAACGAAGCTCCCAAAGTTCCTCCCCACAATGCAATGCCAAGTTGCGCCAAAACGAGAGTCGAACTCTTTCTTGATAGCCTGAGCAATATCCTTCTCAATGCTGTACTTTTCCATGGCGTCCCGCGAGACCGTCAAAGCCTGGGTCTGCATCTCTTCGGTCTAGTAAGTCCAGTGCGTCAGTATTGCGATAGCACGAGTATCTTGGAGAACATAGAACGAGGCGTCTCCACGCTCTTCTAGGGTAGTAGGGAGCCACACACCATGTCCACCGACTTCACCTGCGCTACAATTACGTTAATATGTTGTGTTCGTAATTTAACGGGGGGGAGTCAATATTACCTTCGAGATCCTTCTTTTCAGTCGCCATAATAGTCAGTCGATGCAAGAAAGAGGCTCTCTCAAAGGTTGGCCGCAGACAATGGTGCAGATATCAAAGGCGTGCTCAAATCGTATTAATGTGGCAGTCTGGTCACAAACCGTTCGCGTAAAACTGCCTTGCCAAGCTTGCCTCGACACTTAAACTAGACAGAAAACATGGGCTATGTGTTTACTCTCTCTCTCTTCGTCACACCAGAGAGTTTCTTCCTCCGTCAGTCCTCCAGTGACATGGGTGACAAATTGCTTTCCCAACAATCTTCTCGTATTTTCATCAAAAACCTCCCCTCATCTTTATCGCTCGACAAATTTCAACAACATTTCTCGCAAGAAGCTCCACTCACGGATGCTAGGCTGATCGCTGATAGAAGGATTGGCTATGTCGGATACAAAACCAAGGAAGATGCCGCAAAGGCTGTTGAACACTTCAACCGATCCTTCATTGGCATGGCGAGATTGACGGTCGAGCTTGCCAGACCTGTCGAGTCATATGAGGGAAGGCCAGCCAAAAGATGTAAAGTGGAACCCTCTGAAAATCGAAGGTGGAAATCAGGGAGGAAAGTGGACTACGAGTCCAATGATTTGGAGTCAGATATTACAAAGAGGTCTGTAGGGCAAGAATCACTGGCTATCAATACCAAATGGGGGGAATTCTTAGAGGTTATGCAACCACCCTCGAAATCAAAGCTATGGCGAAATCAGGAGTCGAGTGAGAAAGCTGAAGGAGATCCCTCTATGCGGAAAACCGCATTCTTTGAGGCGCCATGTGAGGAAGAGTACGAGGCTTTGCCACATACAAAGGTGGAAAATCGAGAGGGGGACCGCACCACAATCAAGAAACTACCCTGTCTAATCCAATTACCACACCACGACCTTGATGTGTCTCGCGATAACAGTCATTCATTAGAGAAAGCTGAAGAGGACGTAGTGGACCTTCTACCTGCCTCTTCCGATGCCGATTGGCTGCGGTCAAGAACAAGCAGACTACTTGGGCTTGTAGATGACGATGATGCAATGCCCGAGATTTTGAGTGAAGATGTTGAATATTTGGACAAAGGGAAAGTACGTCAATCAACAAGAACTAAACCCCATCTAAAGAGTGAAACAACTTCGGTAGAGATTGGAGAGTCCCAAATCCAAAGGGAGATCCATCCGCCAGAGCAGGTCGCATCTCTCATACCCGAGAGCCTGGCCGAGGGCAGACTTTTTGTACGGAATCTTACCTACTCGGTCACTCAGGATGAGCTCCAGACACATTTTGAAAGGCTTGGCTATGGATCCCCCAGAGAGGTATGTGATCCCACTTTTGTTTTGAGGCGCCCTGCCCCTGTGATGAACACCCTGATAGGGACAACTTATGCTCTGCATGTGATGTCAACAGGACGAAGTTCGTAGTAGATGCTTCCATGTTCTGAGCGGGCTATTATACGCCTACATTGGTTTGGTTTGTAACAAGCTTGGCTGAAAGCTAACGTGAAATGCTAGGTTCATATACCAAAAGATTTAGACTCTGGTAACAATAAGGGTTTTGCGTATGTACAATTCTCAAGCCCGGAAGCAGCGTTTCGTGCGCTACAGGTTCTTGACCAGCAGCCATTCCAGGGCCGGTTACTCCACTTACTGCCAAGCGAGGCAAAGAGGCAAAGCGGGCTGGACGAATTCGAAATCTCAAAGCTACCGCTCAAGAAGCAGCATCAGATTAAGCGCAGAAGAGAAGCCGCTTCCTCCACATTCAATTGGAACTTCCTGTTCATGAACCCTGACGCGGTCATCTCTTCCGTCTCCGACAGACTTCAAACCCCGAAGTCTGAGGTGCTAGATCCGACCTCATCCAACGCTGCGGTGAAACAAGCACTCGCAGAGACGCATGTCATACAGGAAACCAAATTATACTTTACATCACAGGGTATCAATCTGGACGCTTTCAAGAACACCCAACGAGGCAACAACGCAATTCTAGTGAAAAATTTTGCTTACGGCACAAAACCCGAGGAACTCACCAAGCTTTTCGAGACTTACGGGACTGTGACAAAAATGCTGATGCCCCCTTCTGGAACAATTGCCATTGTTGAATTTGATCACCCTGTTCACGCAAATGAAGCTTTCAGCAACCTTGCTTACCGGAGATTTAAGGATTCTCTCCTTTTTTTGGAGAAAGCCCCAAAGGATCTGTTCCGTGCCGTTGCACAATCTTCCTCAACGATAGATGATGTCAAAAAGGCAACAACATCCGCAAATGACCTCTTACAGTCGAACACACAGGAAGCTCTGGAGTCTTCAACTCTATTTGTCAAAAATCTCAGCTTCACAACTACTAACGAACGTCTACATGAGGCCTTCGCCCCCCTCGAGGGCTTCAGATCTGCCAAAGTCAAGACCAGAACAGACCCTAAAAAACCTGGGCAGTCTCTCAGTATGGGCTTTGGTTTCCTAGAGTTTAGCTCTGTTCAAGAAGCGGAAGCAGCGATGGCTGCAATGAACGGCTATAAGCTCGATCATCACGAATTGTTTCTCCGGGGTTCACATCGAGGAGTGGACGCTGGTCAAGAACGTCGAAAATTGGACCAGGCCAAAAGATTGGCCAATCGCAAGACCAAAATCATCATCAAAAACCTGCCTTTTGAAGCTTCAAAAGACGATGTCCGCTCGCTATTTGGAGCATATGGTCAACTTCGGTCAGTCCGCATGCCAAAAAGACATGACAACTCGACTCGAGGCTTTGCATTTGCAGATTACATAACGGCCACAGAGGCCGAAGGTGCCATGGAAGCTCTCCAGAACACCCATATACTAGGCAGAAGACTTGTACTCGAGTTTGTGGCGGAAGACTCTAGTGATCCTGAAGCTGAGCTCCAAAGGATGCAGCAGAAAGTCAGCAGAAAGAGCAATCAAGTTGCGGTGCAGAAACTCATTGCGGGATCGGCCCGAAGAAGCAAGAAGATGGTTTTGGAAGGGGTTGAAGGAGTCTCTGATCCCTTGGTCAGTGCGTAGGAACTACTGGTCGCAGCTCCTTGCACACAATCAGGCTACCTTTTCTTGTCCACCTTGTTGTGAATATGGTGGCATTCTTCGAATGGTAAGCAATCTCAGGGAAATGACTCAGTGAGCACACCTGATCCACCTTCCCCTTCTCTGTTACTCCCAGGCTGGCCAATCAGTCTCGTCTCCTAAAATCAAGGCGATTCCTCGTTGCTCCTTGTCTGTACTTCGCCCCACAAGCCTTTCATTCTTTGCCGTTCCTTGGGCAACAGGTTTAGATCAATGACTTGTCCTTCGCGAATCCTTGCTGCTGCTTGTTTTGGTCTATGGAAGTAAGACAAATCTTACCGAAATAGCCGTGACCCCTTTCTCGCGACATTGGTGGACAAGCTTTGTGTCTTATTTCTCATTGTTTTGTTACTAGCGAATGATGAGGTACTCTCTTGAAGTATGATTACAGGATAGACATATTCTGATTATCTATTTGGAGGGTTCTCCTCCCTTCCTTGTATCAGCATTTCCCATTTTTAAAGCTTTGCATACCTCCGGCTTTACCACAACTTCATTCCTGTGCTTTATGGATGCACGTCAACACCAACGCGTACTCCCGTCAAATGCCCCAACTTTTCACGAATTGACGACGGAGCAAATTCACGCCCAACTACCAGATTTGATATGTGGAGAATACAATGAAGGTCGTGACTGTAGGGTGTGTAAAAGTCGTGACCACATTTGTTCACTCTGTCACAAGTCCGATCATGGCGCATTTGAATGTCCAAATTTCCTCAATTCAACAGAGCCGCGAGGCGAAGCGACGACACAGGTCGAGGGCAATCATTGCGAGATTAGCTATCCTCACTATAGATTTGGGCCCGTGCCGATGTTTGATCATCCACCTCTCCACAGCGCTCAAGCGGCAATCAAAAGGGAGCAAACTAAGCGAACTACCCTCCCCGGGGTAGGAGCTGGAGCGAAGCTCGATCGACTTGCCATTGAGCGATTCTCATTCGAGCGGACCGAGTTCAGGTCATCTAAGTATGTAACGTACAGAGAGAAGCAAAAGAATAACAAAAAAAAAGACAATTGTGGTATATGGAACGATAGGGTAGAGTATGCATTCCAGAAAGGTAAGACTTGGAGGAACAGATTCCGAGTCTGTGTTAATCAGTATTTTCTAGCACTTCGCCTTTATGGTGGCAGAGGCCGCGCAAAAAACTCCGTTTTCTTGACGGGTTCTAATGAGAACAAGCTCAGCGGAGGCAACGAGTGGATTGCAGAATGTATCTTTGTCCAGACAGGCGTGAAGGTTAAAAGAAAGCAGGTTTCGAGCCACATACAGGTTCTAAAAGGCAAAATGTCGCATAATCCAGAATGTAAGTCCACCATTGCTCTGCCATTTTCAGTGTTCACTCACTACCGAAGGGCTCGAGCTTGTCAAGCACATACCGCCCGAAAAGAGAGGGAAAAAGAGGGATATATGTGGCCTAAGTCATGTGCAAGAACGATCCTTCTCGGAAGACGACTTTGTCGAACTGTCCTCACCTCTCGATAAAGAGTGGCCATCAATTGACGAGTTTACCTTGGATTGCCCGCAGAGTTTCACAATTCACTCTGCTCGCTTTGGTATGTATCTTATGGATAAATCTGGTAGCTGCGCGGAGGAAGCGTCAGACGACGGCTCACAATTTCCGACACGACGTTCACTGCATCACACCTACACAGTGCTTCAAAGGGAGATGGGCCCCGCGCCGAGAAGCTCGGATAATCTGGCAGGGTGGAAATCGGCTTTCCCTGCACTCGAAACATACGACAGTTACGGAAATGCTTTGCCAATATTTCTATTTGAGGCTGGCCTTAACCTTAAAGACGAATACATCCCTGGCTCATTAGTCGAGATCCGTCTCTCTTTGGACATTGAAGGCGGCTCTCAATTTCGAGACTGGCATACTCGGACTCAATATATTAGCCCATATGGTTGTTCTGATAGGCGTATTGACGACACAGGAGGTGTCACCGAGACTGGTGGCATCCTCCGGCTTCACTGCTTGAAAATGTACGCTCTCTATTGGGTCGAAGTTCTCTCGCTTCTCATGATGCAAAGGCGGCGATTGACACAAGCTGGTCACACGGAGGATGAGAGACACGCTGAAGACTATTCATCAAGATTTCTTCGGAGTATGCTATGCATGCAACAGCTTTGGGCCACACCAAAGGCTGGGAATGACCAGCCGAAGTATGTGAGTACTGTCCTATGGAGATTCCATCAAGTGGGGAGGACGGAAAGGGGTATCACAAAGTGGTGCCAACTCTTTGCCCCAAGATCTGCCCTCCAAGATGAGTCGTCGTCTTTCACCAGTACGCAAGAACCTCTGGCATCACAAATACCCTTGCCAATGGCGGCCATCGATCAACAACTCAAGTCCCAGCAATACGACTATGGCTTGGAGGAGTACGCATTCGATTACTTGCCGCTAAAGCAAGAAAACACCGAGCTTCTGCCTCCGCCACCGGAGTTGTCTCGAGGAAATTCTCCTGATTCAGCATCTCAAGCCGATTTTTATTCCTCATTGCCTAATCACACCTCACATCCTTACCCGTGTTCCACAGGATCCCCGTCCCAGCCGCAGCTTACCAGACAGGAATCTTTTCATCTACAGCACTCTGCCGGTTTGCATCATTCATTTGATACCGTGTCATCTCAAACCAGTGCATGGAGTTTTGACTCTCAAGAAGACGATTTCTTATTGCACGCAACGGCGCTCACACAGGCGGACGATCAAGCATTTGATGCCAACCACCCCAGCTACCATATACAAAGGCAACACCAGCAGATGCATGAGGGGTTTTCTGGCTATTCTAGCTTAGAAAATCCCAGTCCAAGCCGATATGTTGGCACCCAGCAAGATTTTAATGGTGGAGAAGTTCGACTCTCGTTCGAGGAACTACCACACGAATTAGCCTACCAAGGCGATTCAGGCGCCTTTACACTCCCTGGCGCTGATCACAAAACGCCAAGCGCTATGGAGCATATTGATACTATTCCTATCATTCAACCTGAACTCCCACGACCTGACCCCCAGACCATGATCAGAGAGCGGCTCTATATACTCCAAAGTCAGCATTTTGAGGACTTGCAAGAGGGTCGTATAACTGAGCTGTCGAATTACGACAGTTTCAATGAGCTGCAAGATGATCATATAAACGAGCTTCGCGAGCACGAAGAGGAAGCCGAGCAAGGTCATTCAAGACAGTTCACAGCCGACGGCTTAGAGACTCAAAAATACGCATCTTCACCAGTGTACAATTCACTTCCTCGAATAGATGATCACCCATTACTTCCCGTCATCAATCAGTCACCCCTGCCTCTCATGACACCCAATGATGACTTCGACCAACAGTCGGTCACTGATGAAGGCGAGGCGCACGTAAAATTAGAGGAGATTTCAGCTAACGGACAAGATGCGTATTGCACTTCGCCACTCCCAAAGCTGGCCCAACAAGAGATACCTATTCACAATATGCCATCCGACCTCCAGCAAAACGACTCTCAAATGAAAGATGCGCAGGTCATGAAGTTTCCATCTTTAGGATACGAAGCACCAGATGTCTCCCACTCCATTGGTCAAGAAGCAACCGAATATGCTTCTCTTTACATAGACGTTAGTTGTGGGCAGAGTCCCCTTGTGGATGACATTGATATACAGGGTTGGGAACATGTTGAGGAGTTCATGAAGGAGAAGGATGGTAGCGAGAGTGGGATTCAGGGGTGATTTCGGCACCGAAGAGTCTGGATTTTTGAAAAACTTTAATTTTGTCGGGGGAAATTTTGGAGATTGGAGCGTTTTTCTTTGGAAATTTTCAGGATTTGCATGTGCAGATACTACGGTGGGCTTGATATTGAAGCACGAATATTGGCAAGAACAAAGGCCATGACTTAATAGAGGATTGAATCCAAGCTAGTCAGCATCCTCGAATCGACTGTTTGTGTGTGGCAACGGGGAGCCGACCATGCTCTGTAGCATCTCTAGAGCTGAGGATTTTATGTAGGATGCTCAACACTCAATGCTGAATACCTAGGACTACATGAAATGCTATGACGTGCTGAGATTTCCCAATATGCTACGCTCAAAGCTATTTTCCACGTTCCAATATTTGTTGATTAATGGGTCCATTAGCTCCCACATCCCCGAGCCATTTCAGCTGACCTCTTCCCCGCTCATGATCAATGTGTCTCCCTAGCTAAGGCCCCCGTAACCCCTGGGGTAATCGGCGTTTTGTTCTCTAGCGCTGCACCACCGCTTTGGTTCTCCCCCTCTGCGGCAAATTTTTTCAAATCTGCCATTGTAATCCCATTGTCCAACGCCGACTGATCCGTGGCGTGCAGAAAAACCTTAGGTACGACTGGGTCTTTCTCGTCTTTGGCGGCTTGCATTGCTTCTCGCCAGCGTGCGGTGCAGAGACACCACTTGCAACCTGGTTCAAGACCGATGGAGCGGAGATTGTTTCCCTGAGAAGCGGAGTAGTCAAGGAATTCTTTTGTCAGAACGCCTGATGATGGGGTAAGTTAGGGGGATACTGAAGCGTAGGAGGAAAAAGGAGAGGTTGATATACCCGCTACCGCGTGATTTCCGCCGTCTTCAGGGCCGACTCTGCAGTAACCGTCACGATAAAATCCGGTGACGGGAGATTTAGAGAAAAGAGCGAGTGGCTTTCTGAACACTGAAGGGCTATTTCAGTCAACATTGTCTCAAAAGATTGGTCATTTTCACCATTCATATTGTTAGAGCTCGGCTTAGTGGCCATTGTTTGGTTGATGTTTGCGGCTTGCGGAGTTACTTGAGATTGGAGGTGCTGGAAGATGATTGCAAGAACAAGAACGAGTAGTGGTAATAGAAGGAGAATGCTCCCAATTGAGGTTCGTTGCTGCTGTGGGTGGTCTGGCATTGCATGGGGTGAAGTTCGAGCTCAATTGGAGACGGCAGCTGTCGATGACGTCTGGATGACCTTAATCGATAAAGCATATGTCTGATCAAGGAAGCTATGCCGAGCCCCTTTTCTGGACAAGCTCCCCCTATTTGCGGATCAAATCACCAGAGGATGCAGGGTACGGTACAAGATGGATGACTGCACCTTCGATATACGCAAGAACAGATGTGTAACTTTTGCGCAGCTTGTCATGCATACATAGATCTTGATCTGAAGGGTGTCATTATCTATCTCCTTGGTCGAATACCTCCGATAATCGCTTCCGATATCCAAAGTGCACCTTCGTTTCTTCGTCAGAGCTCATCCATGCCTCACGTTTGAGCAATCATCGACTCTATTGCGAGTGAACGAAGTCGTTGCTTCCTAGTCGCAATGACCTTCTTGAGATAAGGCGCAATCTGCGTTAGTGATCAGATAACAACTAGCGTCACAACACTGTACCAATGCAAACACGCTTCTGAATGCATTCAGTCTCGTCTTGTTGGTGGATTTAGTTTGCATGCCGGACCTCAGCTAACCATTCAGCCTTGATTTCTACCTTTATCGCTGCTAAACGATCGTGCATCTTCCAAAGCTCAGCGACTTTGTCCGGATCGGGAGAGTCCGCCGTTTCCAACTGGTGATACAGCTTGGTGTACTTGGGATAATACCGGTCTTTGAAATCTTGGGCCTTTGTGAGAACAGAAGCTCTAGATGATATTGCCGGGGGAGGACTTGGACTATTAGACGAGGGCGGAGTGAGCTCACTCGTTCTTGGCCGCTTCGACGGCTTAACACGGCCATTAGGCAGGTCGGCAGAATGACCGTTGAGTAAACCGCTGTTGCGACCCTGAGAGCTGATTTCCAACTGAGAGATCTTGCGCTTTACTACCCGCTCTGGCGCATTAAATGCAGCACTAGACTTTTCAGCTTTATCTTGGCTATCACGATCTTTCATGTCCATAAGAGGCGTTGATGACGCGGAGGACTCGCCGTTTTCGTCCATATCAGAAGCATTTGCGGGTGGCGATGATGCCAGTGGTGACGGTTTGTGAGGCGAGCTTGTGTTTCGTGATCGAGATACCTTTGCCTCCAATGGCGCACTACCTTGACTATCATCCGAAGGTTTGGGCTTGGAGGTAGGGGCTGATCTCTTGGAAACCTCAGGCTTCTTAGTAGGTGCTTTCTGTGCGGTCATTTGGGCTATTCTGTGTTGATCGACGGCTGACTTATTAGGACTGCTTCGCTCTGAAACTGCTTCGCGAGGCTTGGGCTTCGTAGTTCCATTTGAGGGGCCTGATGTGGAGGCCCTCGACGATTTCTTGGTCTGGGTATTGCCAGCTTCCTCCAGTTTAATAGTCGTGTCGGATCTCGAAGGGACTGGTCTTTTAAGTTTCGATTTAGCGTGGGACCTGCGATCCTCTTCAGGCTTCACTTCAAGGCCGTCCGAATTTGGCGCTTCACTCTGCATAACTATTGACTCTTCAAGGCCATCCTCTTCGTCTGAATCATGCACAAACTCACTAGAGAGAGGAGTATTTACTTTCTTCACTCCTTTCTTCCCGGCTGGATGGCCCTCCTTGTCCTTTTCTAATGGGGCAATCTTTTTAGGACCCTTGGACAATAGGCGCTTGGACTGTGCTTCTTTCTCACTAGCCTTCGTCTTCTTGGTTGCTTCATGAGATTTTGAGCGGCCTGATGGTTCCTTCCCCTGTGTAGGAGGCCGAGACTTACGATCCTCCTCACCTTCTGATGATCGCTTACCGGGCTCGTCAGAATTGTGAACATGGATTCTGGGTGTGCTGCTATGTTGGATCGGGCCCTTGTTCAGATGATTCAATCTTGAAAGTGATTTTCCTTTTCCACGTTCTTCTTTAGCGAGTAACTTCTGAAAAAGGATGTCTTGAGAGGATAGACGCATTCGGTCGAAAGCGGAGACTGCACGATCAATAGCCGACTCGCGCTCTTCGTTCGACGTGTATGGAAACTTCCAAACATCTAGCTCTTTGAATATTGAGTCTTTCAAATCCCACTGGTCTTCACCAATGCCTTTACCAACTTTTGAGAGACCAAGGAGTATGTCTTCCTCCTTACAACATAGCTGCTGAGCCAGCTTCTTGGTCGTATGACTACAAGACGCGAGGAGATGAATCAGAGACTTGCGTATTGCTTGAGCCCTTGGTGCACGACCGGTTGAAAGAGGGATGGTGGATTTCGGGATCGGGTTTGAAGAAACAGGTGGGCGAAAGGGCCCAATTGCTGGGCTTGAAGGCATTGAGCGAGTGATAGATTCCTTATTTTTCTTGAGAAATGATAGAGAGCCTCCCTTGCTGTGGCCTTGCCTCAGGCTGGCCACGGTTTGCTTCTTTGCTGGAGGTAGGTTAGAGGAATCCGGGACAAATTTGATTCTGGCATTGTTAGCGTTGAGTACGCTTGATGAAACATTGATTTTGAGGCTTACTGATGCGATTGTTTTGCTTCCTTCTCGGATGCAAGGGAGCTTTGAAGTTTGGCTAGGGCGTCGTCAGCACCAGCAATTTCCTTCTTCGCTTTCTGTAGTTCCAACTGATGACTGAGTTGACCAGCGTAATTGATTGTTTGCGTATGTTCGCCTGAACTGGTGTACAGGTAAGAGGGAAATGAGGTCAGACTCGAAGAAAGAGCTCGAGTCTTGCTACCGTAGTGAAGTGACTATGATGACACTTAGCTTTGGTCAATGTGAATAGAATCCCCATGTGTTAGGCTTACTATGGACTTTCCAAATGACAGCTGTGGACCTCGGACTCCATGGCGAGCTGCTTTCATCAGATCGTAGAGCATGCCATTTTCCAAGTCTAATTGTATGACCTGAGAGAGGTTCATCTCATCGTCCTCGGATGAAGTGGTAGGATCGGGAGGTAGGATGAGCCCCTCTACGGGGACAACGAGTGGTACCATTGTGAGTATCGAAGCTGCTTCTACCTTTCAAAAGGTATCATAAAAGATGTTCGCTGTTCTACGAGACGATCAATCGGCTATTGTGCCACGGCGGACAGAATGGCAGGCGAAGCCAGGATGGTGGTGAAACATCAGGACGGCCGCAGGGACTGGCAAGCACTTGGCAGGACTGGGTTAATTGTCGAGGTCGAGTGTTATGGAAGACGTCGAGACACGGTCCCGACAGTCGGCCAGAACGTGTGCAGCATTTGGATTGAGGTGTAAGATGGCAAGTGGTGGTTGGGTGGAAACAATGAAAAGCTAAAGCGGGCATCCACAATTCCACATGCGTGGGGCGGCGGGCAAGGAAGGCTTGGAAGGGCAAGGGCTCGAGACTCCACCTCAGGCCTTACCAATACGATTACTTTTCCTACCAGGATGCATCGTACCACCCTTCATCGCCTAAAAGTGTCTACCGAAGAATTGAAATAACCCTAAGAAGATGCATTCGCCCAAGGTGGCTAAAGACACCGCCGATATCCTGTTCCACCGGACACGTGAAAGGTGCTTGATAGGCACAGGTTGCGTCAAAGCAGCCAAGTCTCTGCACCTAGAGAGTCAGGAACAGTGGTGGGGTCCGCGTCCTTCCCATTCTCATCCGTGACTGACGACAGGACAAAGAAGATTTCAACTCATACACATTATTATTGTCTTGCCATACCTGTCGCTATGCTCAGACTGATCTTTGTAGTCCCTCTGGTTTGCAGACTCTGGAATAGTGGGGCGTTTCAAGGCACGAGGCCTTCGGGTCATCATCTCAAGGTGAAGTTGATCGACGCGTCTCAAACAGCAGCGAGACTCCAACGGGCAGGCAAAGGCGAGTTGGAGGGGACGTTGCCTTTTTCTGCTTTGTTGCACTAAGTGCGGCCCATGCCCCTTCGGAACAGGCACCGTCTATTGGCCGCCGTCGACAATGATCCGCAGTAGCTGCGGGACTACACCAGACCGGGCTCTTTGTCAGCTCTGGAAGCCCCTAGCTTCATGGACTTTGTCGGTGAAAGGTATCATATACTCCTTCAGCGTGGCAAAAGCCGGATGCTCACTGGCTTACATAATTTGCAAAGTGAACCGTACCTAGTGAGAGTAGACGGGACCAATGCCTCGCCGGTAAAGGATTATCGTGTTCCAAAGGCTCCAGCCGAAAATTCCTACTGGTCTCCCGGCTGAGACTTTGAGGTTGCCGCACCATGGAACGTAAAGTCTCCTGAATTGTTGCCTTTGTTCAGGTTATGTAAATAGCACGATTCTGTCCCTGGCCTATGGAGGCCCGGACGATGCATTTGTCTTACGTAGATACAGTTTCCGGGAGTATTTCTGGAGGGAGACGCTATTACTGACATCGATAGAGTCTACAGCTCACTATCGTTGAGGGTTTGCTGACTAGTCCCATTCTCTTCTTCCTCATCAAGATATGGGACGAACCTGAAATCCACAAAAATGATTCCACTTGATTTACCCTCATGATCCGTCTCAATCATGAACTGCAAACTCAACACACCTTGCTCATCGCTTCGCAAACTAACCTTCGTGGCTGCTGCCATTGCCTTGCTTGCAGATCTGATCAGGCTGTAATTGTAGGTGTTCACTGACCGGCTTGAGACTTGGAATGTCTCAAGTAGCTGAGGATCTTTGCTGAATTCAACTGCTGCAGAGCCGAAAGGACCAGTGGAAGACAACGTGAAGTATGGAGCCTGCGGGGATGATGCAATCGTAAGGCGCGTCGGTGATGACGAGGCCAACTCCATAATCGCATCGTGCAGCCAGCTTGATCTCATGATAATCTTCTGCATCAATGCGTCTTTCTGCAAAGGAATTTCGTCGTCAAAAGACGACTCGTATGTAGTCAGTTCACAGGTCGTTGTCACACCGGCCTCCTCCAGGACAATGCAGAGAGGGTCTCCTTCGGCTTGGTACGACAGACGACAAAGACCGGTCATACCAACCGTGGCGTGAGAGTCAAAGGCGGAGGTGCTGGTTCCGTTACGTGTCGACCAGGAACCTTTGGGGGGTTTGTCACTGATCCCTAGTACCTGCAGCGTTTCAAGCAGAGAGGAGAGAGAAATTTCGAAGGGCGGTATGTCATTCTCGTCTTCCTCGTCATATTGCAAGTTAGGGTCTTTATTAGACCGTCGGACTTTATAGGTTATGAAGAGCGCTACATCAAGGAAGATAACGGCTGGTAAGATATCAGAAAATGATACAGTCGTCAGAAAGCTACATGCCCTGCATCACTCGTGATTCTTCCACTGTAAAGCGTAGTCCCTCACTGGTAATTTTCACTTGCACCTTGTTGTTGAAACCAACACACCTTAAAAGGTGAAATAGCTGCCTTGCGGTCGTCGACACGGCGACAAACACAGGCTCCATTGGATGATTGTTGTAGCTGATCAGACATAAACCCCGACAGCACAGATCATATAAACCGCGCCGAAGCTAGCACGACATTAGCTGAACGCTTCATCCCTCCTACAGGGGACCAAGACCGACCCAAAAGCTACCGATGCCGGAACACCAAGAACAGGTATGTTCTTCAGTGACCGATCTAGGGATGTCAGTACCAAGTCACCCTGTCTGCGAAGCTATGCCAACTCACTCAGCCCAAAGAATCCGGTCAAGACGAGAGCTTGAATTTGTTAGCGGACACTCGCTGAGATGATGATATCATAGGGCAAGGCACACCTAGAAGAAGAAGTGTCGCGCCGACGAGGAATTGCGATTCCTTAGATATTACTGGGTTGAAGGGACTGGTCGCTGCTGCCTCCCAAACCTCGTTGAGCGACATTGGTGGTATCTTAGTCTTGCGGAAAAGTAAGTGAGCTATGGTATAGTGTACGATGTGAAGTAAAGGACAAGTAACGTAGAGAAGTCCGAATACCTCGCCAAGGCATATGTGGTTCCTCTTCGGTCGAAACGTGTCGCTAAGCTGCGGGCTTGGCAAGCCGCCGAAAACAAAGCGTTTAAAACAGCGCTACCCTAGAACTACTCAAGACGAGCTGCAAACGGTAAAGTAAAAATGTCTCATTCGGTGACCCGCGTCCGGTGGGACAGATATATGCCATCCGACCACATACTCCAGTCACCATCCTCAAAGAACGTCTCTAATCAATATGGCGCCAATGATACTGGAGCGTAAGCAGCCCAAGGTCCTTCAGGTCGTAAGCTAACGCTTGAAAGACCACAAACGCAAAGCCGTTGACCAGCCAGATGGTGCCAGCCCAGTGAAGCGCATCAAAGATTCCGTCTCGAGCACAGCGAGTCCTGTTTCGGAAGGCAAACCCAGTGTCATACAATTTCCAGAGAAGGTGATCTCACCGAGCTACGATTCACACAAGTAAGGGTGCAACTGAGCTAACGGGACTGCAGCCCGCCGTATCAGAAGAACGCAATGGAGATATTGAATTTCGCGTCGTCAACAATGATAATAGCCGGGAAAGCTTGATCATCCTAACTGGGCTTAAATGCATATTTCAAAAGCAGCTTCCGAAAATGCCAAAAGACTACATAGCCAGGCTCGTCTACGATCGCACACATCTGTCAATGGCAATTGTGAAGAAGCCGCTCGAGGTCGTCGGAGGAATAACGTACAGGCCGTTCAATGCTCGCGAGTTCGCAGAGATTGTGTTCTGTGCTATATCCTCTGACCAGCAAGTTAAAGGTTATGGTGCACACCTGATGTCACACCTGAAGGACTATGTCAAGGCTACCTCACCAATACAACATTTTCTTACCTACGCCGATAACTATGCCATTGGATACTTCAAAAAACAAGGGTTCACGAAGGAGATCACCCTCGAGAGGCCTAGGTGGATGGGTTACATCAAAGACTATGAAGGCGGGACTATTATGCAGTGCACAATGGTACCTCGCATACGATACCTGGAAGTTGGACGCATGCTACTCAAGCAGAAAGAGGCGGTACAAGCTAAGATCCGCGCATTTTCAAAAAGTCATGTTGTTCACCATCCACCCAAAGAGTGGAAAAGCGGCCTAAAGCCGATAGATCCAATGGCAATACCGGCTATCAAAGCCTCTGGATGGTCCCCTGAGATGGACGAGATGGCGAGGCAGCCGCGTCATGGCCCCAATTACAACCAATTAATGCACCTACTGAATGATATGCAGAACCACGGCTCCTCGTGGCCTTTCACGCAACCGGTCAATAAGGACGAAGTAGCAGATTACTACGACGTTATCAAGGAACCCATGGATTTAAATACCATGGAAGATAAGCTCGACAGAGATATGTATCCAATTCCGGAAGACTTCATCAAAGATGCAAAACTCATCTTCGATAATTGCCGGAAATACAACAACGAGAACACGCCGTACACAAAGAGTGCTAATAAATTGGAGAAATTCATGCTTGCACAGATAAAGACAATACCCGAATGGTCGCACCTCACGGAATGAGCTACATCATGATTGATGCGGCGTCAGGGGGCGTTTATGTATTTAGTGATACCCATCTCGCCAATTGTCTGCCACTCATCCCTTCTCGTTAAAGAACGATCTTTCGTCCTATTGGGATATGACCCTAGATCTGGGCCGGTCTTGCAAAGTACACATTAGATGTGGTCTGCAAGGCCATCTGCGTCTTGCTTGATTGACCAATGCAATCTTTTTTGGCGTCTGTTGAACCTTTGGCAACGCTTGCTGTCAGACCCTCTTTCAGCTTCACTCACATACCACTTCCTTCACCCGCCGCCTGGTTTTCTCGAAGGCCGACCAAACAATCCTCCTCCCCTTTTCGCGTTCCTAGTCCTCAACCCACTTGTACCTACATTATTCTCATCAATTTCCATCTCCTCGTTGTCCTCCCCTACGCTTCTTTTCCCCGCAACCTTCCCTTTGCCGTTGTCTTTGTCCTCCACTAACTTCGCTATAGCCTTCTCATTTGCGTCTTGCCCCCTCTTTTCCCGTAGCGCTCTCTGCCTCACTTCCCTCACCCGCCCCTCTAATTCCTCTAATATCCTCACACAGCGTGTATCCCAATCCTCGAGTATGGAAACAATTTGGGGTACGCTTCCGGGTTCCAAGTCCCGCAGAGGAGCGACAGAGCTCACATCTATGCGTTGGCTGATGGTGTTGAGTTTTGCGGAGAGAAGACCGGCGTAAATTGTGCTAATTACAAGGTCTTCGAGAGCACGTGCTGAGTTAAGAGAGAGGTAGTCTCGTAGGTAGTGGTAGGTAAGCAAGTGAGGGGTTGTTGCGAGGCTGAGAAGGGATAATTGGCGAAGTTTGAGTTGCTGAGGTTCTGATAATTTTGGGAGACCAGGCGTCGCTGTCACAAGCGACAATCAGCTGAGTCCCAGAGAACGCAGTAGACCAGTAAGACCAGTATGATCAGAGTCTGAGAGGGATGCTCACATTCATAGTCTTGCCAGGTACCCCACGAGAAGATCTGTAATAATGTGAAGTAGGCTGCGTTTTCTGGTGAAGCATTCTGAAGGGCCTTAATGTTTGGACTTTGGAGGAGCTCGGCAAAGACATAGGCGTTCGGAGCTGAGGTAGCTTGAACCACGACTTGGGATGCTGCTAGTGGCGCGTTTGCAGATTTCGCCAGGAGGATGTGGGCTTCGAGGGCATTTAGAGCCTTTTGTTGTGCCTGATCCATGGCGCTTGAAGAAGTAGTGAAGGGTTGAAGAAGAAGATGGCTGGTGGCAGTGCTGAATCTTATATTAGTATAGTGTCGATGGCCATCATATCCACATGTGATAGCTAACGGTGATGTATGGCGCACAAGTGAAGGTGTCAGGAAGCGGGACGCGCTAGATACGAAACCGTTTAGAGCGTTTTAAAACGCCTGACAGGCAAGCCCAACGGCTCGAAACAGTAAGGTACGATTTGTTCTTGGCGTTGTGCATCCCACCTAGGTGGGCCTGCCGATCAAGGCCGAGCCCGGTGAGCCAATGGCTTTCTGACAAAAGCAGCAAACGCATGCCGAAAGGTAATCACCTCATTCACGCTGACTTCGTTTCTTTGTATATCTTGAGCTTCGTCCATGTGTCTTCTTTGTCCCTCAGCCTGCTCCAGACTGACAAACATGATTGTATGTTATTGTTTCCAACAAATGCTGGAAACTAGAATTGTAAAGCGCTTCGCAGCAGCGTGAATCTGGTCCCCGAGATCTTGGGCCGCTCGCTCTGCCACAGGTCATGGCGAACTCAAAACACATGGCGACGACGATACTACGTGTGCAGGGTATGACATGCGGAGCATGTACTTCAGCTGTGGAGAATGCCTTCAAGGGTGTACCAGGTGCGGGCGCTGTCTCGGTGAGCTTAACTATGGAGCGGGCAGTGGTGCAGCATGATACTGGCGAGCTTCAGGCGGAAGATGTCAAGGACTTGATTGAGGACCGAGGATTCGATGCAACAGTCCTGTCGACGGACATGCCTCTTCTCCGCGATAGCGCAGACACCGCAGCGGCTGGGGACACTGGTGCGAGATTCTCCGCAAGTGAATTTCACACAACTACCGTCGGCGTTGACGGGATGACTTGCGGAGCCTGTACCTCGGCGGTCGAAGCTGGCTTCAAAGGTGTCGATGGTCTGGTGCAGTTCAACATCAGCCTTCTCGCTGAGCGAGCGGTCATTCTCCACGAACCTGACAAGCTCTCCGCTGATCAGATCTTGGAGATCATTGAAGATCGTGGCTTCGATGCGAAGCTCATGTCTTCCCAACAAAACATGCTAAATCAACAAACGCCAAGCCGAACAATTCATTTGAAGATATTCGGACTCCCAGACTCTGCTTCTGCGACAGCTCTTGAAGACAATCTTCGATTGTTGCCAGGTATCACATCAGCGGTGGTGACCCTATCTACATCTCGCCTCAGTGTAGATCACGTGCCCTCTACAACAGGGCTACGAACCATCGTAGAAACCATCGAGAACTACGGATATAATGCACTCCTTGCCGACAACGATGATAACAACGCTCAGCTAGAGTCTCTCGCAAAAACACGAGAAATCCAGGAATGGCGGCACGCTTTCTGGTATTCATTCGCTTTCGCCGTGCCTGTCTTCTTGATCAGTATGATCATTCCAATGACCCTCCCACAATATGATTTTGGAGCCTTGAAATTGATTCCTGGTTTCTACGTCGGGGACTTTTTATGCCTGCTCCTCACGCTGCCCGTGCAATTTGGTATTGGGAAGAGGTTTTATGTCTCATCTTACAAGTCACTCAAGCACGGCTCACCTACAATGGACGTCCTGGTCACGCTAGGTACATCAGCTGCATTCTTCTTCAGCGTTGCGGCCATGGCTGTCTCAATGCTCATACCGCCACACAATCGCCCGCAGGTAGTTTTTGAGACGAGTACGATGCTTATCACTTTCATTACCCTAGGCCGCTATCTTGAAAACAGAGCAAAGGGACAAACATCAAAAGCCTTGTCTCGCCTTATGTCTTTAGCACCGTCCATGGCAACAATCTACGCGGATCCAATCGCCGCCCAGAAGATGGCCGAGGATTGGGACATACCTTTTGCATCCGATTCCGAGAAATTTGATGCCCTACCTGAAAACAAGACAAACTCTGCTGTCGAAGAAAGAGTCATACCTACAGAGCTGATCGAGGTCGGGGATGTTGTGGTTCTTCGCCCTGGTGGTCAAGTACCTGCCGACGGAGTAGTCACACGTGGCCAAAGCTACTTCGAAGAGAGCATGGTAACCGGAGAGGCCGCGCAAATCATTAAGAGACCTGGCAATGAACTCATGGCCGGTACTGTCAATGGAACAGGACGTATTGATTTCAGGGTGACCCGAGCTGGTCGCGATACCCAACTCAGCCAAATCGTCAAGCTTGTGCAGGAAGCTCAAACCACTCGAGCACCTATACAGCGTATGGCCGACGTCGTTGCTGGTTACTTTGTGCCTATCATAATGGGTCTTGGACTTTTCACGTTCGTCGCGTGGATGGTCTTAAGCCACATCTTGCCAGAGGACAAAACGCCAGAGATCTTTCGTAAACCAGAAAGTGGCGGCACCTTTATGATCTGCCTCAAGCTTTGCATTTCTGTCATTGTTTTCGCCTGTCCATGTGCTCTAGGCTTGAGTACGCCGACAGCAGTGATGGTTGGCACAGGTGTAGGAGCAGAACAGGGCATCCTGGTCAAGGGCGGTGCTGCTTTAGAGACTGCTACAAGAGTCACACATATCGTTTTTGACAAGACGGGAACACTGACCGTTGGCAAAATGAGCGTCGCAGACGTACACTTGCAGCAAGTATGGGCAACATCTGTTGAGACGGAAAGGCTGTGGTGGTCACTTGTCAGCCTTGCAGAGATGGGTAGCGAGCATCCTGTTGGCAAAGCCATTGTTGATGCTGCAAAGCGCAACATGCAAGTAGGAGATAACTGTATGATTGATGGTAGTGCTGGTGACTTCGAAGCTACTGTAGGTCGTGGTATCTCAGCGAATGTCGAGCCGGCTGTGTCTACGCCGAAGAAACGCTATCATGTCCTCATTGGAAACGCAGCATTCCTTGCCTCGAAGGGCTCCACAATATCATCGGAGGAAGCGCTTCAATCTACACACGCATCCAGCAAATCTTCGAATGAACCGCGATCAGGGACAACTCAAATTTATGTTGCAATTGATGGTGCATATGCTGGGCGCTTGTCGCTGTCTGATAGTATCAAATCAACCGCTTCATCAGCGTTGATTGCACTGAATCGGCTCAACATCGTCGCCTCCCTTGTGACAGGCGACCAGGAGGCAGCAGCAATTGACGTTGCAAGCCAAGTTGGAATACCAAGAACAAATGTCCATTCTGGAGTATCGCCCGACCAAAAGCAGCAGATCATCAAAGATATCCAGGCTGGCGGCGTAGTCGTTGCCATGGTCGGCGATGGCATTAACGACTCACCTGCTCTCGCCACTGCAAACGTCGGCATTGCTCTCAGCTCTGGCACTGACGTTGCAATGGAGGCAGCGGACATTGTTCTGATGCGGCCGGAAGACTTACTCAGCGTTCCCGCCGCCTTACATCTTTCAAGAACAATTTTCAATCGCATCAAGCTCAACCTCATTTGGGCCTGCTTGTACAACCTGACTGGTCTGCCATTCGCGATGGGAGTGGGTTTGATGCTACCAGGTCATTTTATGCTTCCTCCTATGGCTGCAGGGGCAGCTATGGCAGCCAGTAGCGTCAGCGTCGTGGGAAGTAGTCTACTGCTGAAGTTCTGGAGCAGACCTAAATGGATGACGACCGAGAAACTCGAGGCTTCAGGACTTAGAGACGGCAACTTGAAGGACATGAAGATGGCGCGCGACAGGTCATTCACCGATTACTTCGGCCTGAGCACTATCAAACGCATCCTGAGCGAAAAGCTTGGCAAGTCTGTGCACCATGAAGAAGGATATTTGCCTTTGCAAGCAGTGGAAAATGTATAATATGTATTATGATGGTGAAAGCTGGGGACGACTTATGACTGAAGAGCGAAGGCGTTGGAACGGACAGCTGTTTGGTAGAGACGAGAATGAGGATCAATGAGGATCACAGTTGCTTCTGTAATTCTAGGATGATACTGGCTTTGACTCAGATCTTTTTGTTACTGTATAGATGTTTGGAGTAGCCCTTTCCCGAATCCATGTGCGTGACGTATATAGGGCGAGCTAGCCGCACTCGAAGTTTGACTCTCGATCAATCAATCGCACCGACCCTTTTAGATGCAACCCATTTAGCATGTCTGATTCTGAACTACGCTGTTGAAAATATGGTATGGCGCCTATGTCACACACGTCGTCTCATAGGAATCCAGCAGTCCTTGTATGCTCGGAGTGTCTCGTTATCTTTGACATACATTACTGATGTCTTCAATGCTTGCAGGTAACGGATGCCCGCCAACCACGCAACCCGCTCTCGCGACCGACCCAGCTCTTTCAACGCCAATCCTCGCGATTTGTTACCGTTGACAACATCCTCCAACATGCTTATGATATCCCTTCTATGCAGCAGCGCCAACCCAATGCAATTCGACCCAGACATACTCGCACGCCAAGCGGCAGACCTTCGGATCCAAAGCTGGCGGGACGCTTGGTTCCCCAACACCTCCCTCCCCGAAGCACGAAGCTTAGCGAGAAATTGGTGCTCTTGCCCGAGACTGCCCCAGAGGAAGCCGAAATCGAGGAGAAGGCCGATTACGACGAGGATAATGAAGAAGCACCGACAAGGGACAATGAGGAGATTCTCCGCAAAACTGGCGGGAGAAAGGGGAAGAGCTACGCAGAGCGCTTGCCCAAAGCCAGAAGAGCAGAGAAGCTGTCCCGAGTCACTGCGTATTGTACCGCACAAGCCTACAAGTTGAAGTCTACCGCGGCGTTCCTCAAAGATCGGCATGCGGCTAGAATCAAACTCTATGATGATTGTATATACGTCGTATATCATTTACCGCTACTTCTAGGTATAGAAGGATATAGGGTTCGTAGCAGCCCCGTGCTCAAGAGCGCTGGGGGTAAAGCGGTCCTGGACGAGGAAATGGAAAGAAATGAGTTGCGTGATTATGGGGAAGGTTATTTTGAGGAGGACGGTGGAGAGAGCTATGCGGTCACAGGAGCAGATGAGGCTGAGAGTCCCCAGCCAGAACAAGGACAAGGACAAGAAGATACAAATCAAGCGGACGGTAGGGAGACCGGGAACTCGCCCCCACCAAGGTCTTCAAGTCCGACCAAAGTATCGCCTGACGCTCTGGGATTTGCAGAGATGTTCGTCTTCTCTTATGGCGTCGCAGTCTTCTGGAACTTCACGGAACGACAAGAGAAGGACATTCTGGCAGACTTGACGTTCTCGGAGTCAGATATCGGTTTACCACTGCTAATACGTCCTCAAACGGAAGAAGATTTCGAGACGGAGGAATTTCACTTCGAATATTCGCCCGCAATCCCGCGACCGCGAATCTTCAATGACATGATCACACTTCGCAGCGGAGATCACATGATCAAGCTGGCTATGGCTCACGCGATTGCACAAAGTACAAAGTTGTGCTTTTTTGAGCAGCGAATGGCTAATCAAATGTTCGAGGCGCAGCACGTCCCGAAGCGGCTTGCTCTGGAAGGAAAACTGGGCCTCAAACGAGAAGATGTGCTGAAAATTCTCGGTTCCCTTTTCAAGAGCCGCGTCGACGTCAATCTCTCCTCCAACGTTCTGGACGTGCCCAATTTCTTCTGGGAAAGCGAGCCAACCCTCCATCCACTCTACTCGGCGGTCCGCGAATACCTCGAGATCAAGCCGAGGATCCAGGTACTCAACGAGCGATGCCAGGTGTTTCTGGATTTAGCGGAAATCCTGAGTGACTCAATAGCAGATAACAAGATGTCTCGGTTGACGTGGATTATCATCGTACTGATCATTCTTTCCATCTTTGTTACTTGCTCAGAAGTCTTCCTACGGTTCGGCTTGTTGTCGAACCGCACGACTAAGGCGAAGGCTTTGGCCCAGGGCGTTCTGGCGAGACATAGTGAACTTTTGCGATGATACCCCAAGAGAAGAAATGTTATGAAGCTCCTGCCATGTATGAATGAGAGAGAATTTGTCATATCTAGTAGATGATATGATCTCTGTCTTTGTACACAGCTAAGATCCATTCCTTCACCCCTTTGCTGCAGACATCTGATAGTCAGAGCTGGTGGACGTGTGCCATTCAGCATAGAGTACAAACACTAGTACGGTATTGAAACATTGACAGCTTCCTGCATGGCGCTAAGCCTTTTGAGCTAGCGCCCATCTGCGAAATTACGAGGTTGGCGGCAGGTCCTCCACTCCCCCAACCATCTCCGCCGTCACCATCCATCCTCCTAACGTGCCATGGACCACAGCTCAGATTTTGACAAGAACATTATGGCTGCCGATGGAAGGAAGATCTAAGAGCAACGTCGCAGTCATCACCAAGCAGCAAACAATTGCCTGTCCCACTGTCCGAGAGGGTGGAAAGGGATGAGCCGCAGCTGATTGCGACAACTTTCGATTCACAGATACGGAGAGCACCATACTGCCACAACCTGTCAAAATATCGGATTGCGAATCATGGCCTCTCCAGCACACTTTGCGGAAAACCGTGATCGACTCCCCACCCTGTATGAAGTCTTGAGCCGGAGGACCCTTCCTCCTGTTGACCTCTTTTCCTTTTACATTTACATGCGAGATCAACAGCGATCCGTCGACTATCTCGACTTTTGGTAAGCGTGGATGCCTCGAGGTACGAAGCAGGGGAAAGTCGCAATTGCTGACTGTCAGACTTACTAGGCTTGACGTCTCCCAGCACATGTCCCTTTGCCGCCACTATGTTCGAGAGCTCCGAAGATCCGTCCTTGTTGCGACACCAGACTTGGAGAAGCAAGGTTCTAAGCGTTCTTCATACATCCTCGATCATCTTGGTGATATGAACGACCCGTCAGGCCCATCCCAAAATCTGAACTCTGAAGAGAAGGTGAAGGATCAGAACTTATCCGCCTTCTTGCGGCAAGAGAATGATAGCGCAAACGGAGGGGCTCGCCATTCACCCCATAGCAGCTTAGGATCGCAACAGCATGCTACACGGCCATCCGGTGATCGACCCTCTAACGGAACTGATAGAGAACGGCCTCCACGACCAAGCTTCATGACGAATGGCTCGCCTGGTCATACTGACTCCAATTCACCAGCTCATACCGTGGCGAGGGCAGATATCAGGGCAAGTGCTGAGAAGATACTATACACCTACTTGCTTCCAGGTTCAGAGCGCGAGATCATCTTACCACAGACTATTCTAACCGACATCACGACGCAAATTGAAGAAGAGGGGCGTGATGATCCAGAAGTCTTTGATGCGGCCAAAGATTACGTGTTTCAAGCGATGGAGCGCGACGCTTTCCCGGGTTTCCTTCGTGCGAAGGCTTTTGGCAACTTGGTTCCGCCGAGCTCCTTCTTGCGGCTCTGCTTGGGCTTACTCGGCATGTTTGGTGGCTTCTGGGCGGGCTTCGCATGCATATTACTTGATAAACCAAAGCACATACGCTGCTGGGTACGTATGGCTTACGTAGAGCTACCGAATTATGGCTAATCCGTGTCAATCAGTTAATCCTTCCATTCACTATCGGTGTCTATGCTCTTGCGTCCCAACAGTATTCGCTTGACCCGGTCCTTGCCCTAGCAGGCTCAAGTGAATACACGTTCATGAACTGGTCACGGATAAAGGAGCCATATGTGCGAAGGATGTTGACTAGACGCGCAGTCATGGTATTGTCGAGCACCATACTGATAGGTGTCTGTCTTATCATACTTTTCATTTTTGTGCCAGGGCACAGGCTTTGACTGAGCCTCCATCCGACGACTTACGGCTTCCATGTGATTATTTCAGAAGGATACCCCTCGCGCAAGGCGGCGTTCTAGGGAGACTCGGCGAATTAGTACAGGACATACTAATCATTTCACTTCGACACCTACCCTAGCTTATGGACAAAAGACACGTCTATCATTCTGACATTTGGGTATTCAAGAGATGAAGCACTGTTCGCAAGCCCAAGGAAGGTAGCAGACAGAAAGTACTTGCATAGGCATCTACTCATCATCGCTCGTTGTTCAGACACCTTGGATATGGGATTCACAAACCATTCATTTCCTGTAGCTAGGCATTGACTTGACGGATCTTTTGCTAGAGCTTTGATACAAGCTAGCCATTATATAACAGCTAATCCAAAAGTAAGAGCCCTGAACCCCTAAGCCACACGGTGAAATCTCATATGAGCACTCTCCAATGACTGTAGTCCTTGCAATGGCATACTAATATGTTTCGACAACCCATTCCGCCCTTCTGAGGGAGATGAGCCCTGTTTTCAAGCCTTGATAGTCGAGCCCTTCACGCAACAAATCTGTAGCAGTGTTTAGACCACAGAGCTTCAATGCCAATCATTGTGTGAGACCTACGAGAGCGGAGACTCACTAAGCGCAACCATACATCTCTAGATGCATTGTCTCTGTTCACTAGACACGTCGCTGCCATACCTCCACGAATTCGTAGTGTTCCTCCACCCATCTCAATGCAACGCTACCATCTTCGAAAGAAGTAATTGAAACAAACCCAACAGACCTCAAGGTGAAGCACCACCCCCATCAGAATAATCGGAATCAGATTGCGTCTGCCTGTCCCCATCAAAAGACAGAGACAAAGACAGACACGCTGCGTATTGCACTGAAGTACCCCACCGCTTCCCCTTCACACCCTCCCAATACAGAGAAGCAGGAAGACTCTTCCTGCCATGACAGCAGTTCGAAATCAACCTAGCAAGACTGAGATAGGACAGTTGAGAAGGGGGCACGGCGTGCACGATCTTCGCGATGGCTCTCCCATAGGAACTGAGCTCCCCCATCCACCACGAGGGCAGGAGGGGAAGGGTTCCTGCGTTTCTGATGCCTGACGTATCGCGCCCATTTTCATGGGGGGCCCGCAAGGGCAGAACACTGGCCCCAACCCAGAAGGGAAGAGGTGAATGTGTAAGAGGTGAAGATTGCTCCGAATTTCTCATTTGCTTGAACCATGCATCCCCAATATGGTCTCGCGTCTCGCTCGTTAGGGGACGAGGAGATGGGAGCGAGGATGGGTGACGCTGCCTGGTTACAGGCAGGGTCTGTTTGTGAGCAAAGAAACGCAGCTGTGATGGTGGTGGTGCTTGGAGGAAGAACAAAGTACGGGGGGGGGAAGAAGCTTTATATGTTGGTGGGTCGCGCGGGAGCTCGCCGAAGTTTCTCCGACCATATCAGACCTTATTTCTCATGTTTGCTCATCCTGATTCCTGTCAACTATCATGTCCCTGATTGATACATAGTATTCTGGACCATCATTCTGGCGGACCTGTTGATTTCTCCCCGGTAGATCCCTTGTCCGACCACATTACATTACAAGACATACTGAAACGTCCGCGCCGGGACCCATGCCAACTCCTCAACGACCTTCGCTTGTAAACCGACTTTTCCTTCTTCGCCATATCCAACATAGCATGCCCAAGGCTGACGGAATGTGTTGCTCCTTATCCATGTCACCACCCTGAAAACTTGCGACGCCGGTTTCTGTAGACACCTCGTTTGTATGTCCCTGATTAGCGTCATCTCTCATCAAGGCCTGAAGATCAAGCACCGTGCTTTGAAAAGGCTGCCGCCGTGGCAAACCCGCGCCTGTGAGGCATTCACGTGTACCCATTGAAAGTATCCCAACATCCCCCATTGAAGAAAAGTTCACGTGGTTGCCAGAACGAATGCGCTTGTGTAGCAGGGCAAGTGCTCGCCAATTTGCAGGAAATGTATACTCATGAGAGAGGTGAGACGGCGTCATGATCAGCAGACGGATTGGAAAACCCGTTAGTAGATGTATCAACTACGTGGTTCGTGAATGGAGGAGGAGTCCTGGGAGCGATCCCGTGTCCGTCACCATTGTGAATGCCGTTGTTAGCCATGTCCAGACTGCCATTCGTATGAATCGCCTTTTCTGATTTCTCCTTTTCTGGCGTCTTCTCACTCTCCTCGGCTTCTGGTATAGTGGGGCAATAACGCTTCAAGACCTGCTTCAGAGCGGGCCTTCGAATCGGTTTCGGTAGAAAATAGTCCATCCCGGAGTCAATGCACTCCTTCTGATTACTCTCTTCCGAGAACGCCGTGAGAGCGACAATGGGCGCTGAGTAGCCCATTTGTCGTATCAAGCGTGTACTTTGTATTCCATCTAAGTTGGGCATCTGGACGTCCATGAATATGAGATCAAAGAATTCTCTTTTCTCCATGCCGGCTTTGACAAGATCGTATGCTTCTTGGCCGTCCTTAGCGACTTTGATGTCTAATTCCAATTAATATTGATAGATCTCGAGCATTAAAGGATACACGTACCATATATGTCTTCTAATTTCAACATCTTGAGTACGACTTCCTGGTTGACCACATTGTCCTCAGCTACTAGTACGCTGACTCTGCGGCCGCACTGTACCGCTTGAGCAGCTACACGCTCCATGGCAGCCAACTGCTTATCAGGATCTTCCATGGGGGATGTTGAGGCAAAATAGGGCTGGCTCAAGCCTACTAGCCTGGGCTTTGCCGGTGTGTCAAGACTATTGACTGCATTTAGAGCTGGGGGTACGCTTGCGGTGGAGACTGCAGACATGTCTGAAGATGATCGACGCCTTGTAATGGGAGCATTTTCGGCGGAGTCGAGACAGACACTATTTGGACGAGAGTCGGTACCATTTGAGCTTGCAGTGCTGTCGGCTCTTTCCTTCGTAAAGGCAAGGGGCACTCGTACAGTGAACCTGCTGCCTTTCCCAACTTCACTCTCTAGATGAATAGAGCCCCTCATGAGAGTAGCTAATTGAGAGCAAATGCTCAGCCCGAGACCTGTTCCAGCATACTTTTTGCTGAGCCCAAGGTCACCTTGCATGAACGGCTCAAACACTTTTTGTTGCTGCGACAAGGGTATTCCTGGGCCTGTGTCTTGGACTTCGAACTCGAAAAGTAGTTGCCTTGCGTTCAATGGCAAGGGCGAAGAAGAGCGCTCCCCTGCAATGAAAGACGCAGCTGATTTCGGCTCTTTCGCGTTGATGTGCAACGCAGTGTCTGAATACCTTGAATCCTCTCGCTCCCGCGGAATCGCTGACGTTGATGACGCGGAAGAAGAGAGCATCCTTCTGGTGAATCCTCGCTTCGAACCTTTGGAAGACTGCCTCTTTGAAAGCTTCGAGGTCATGGAATCCTTTCGACTCTCAGCAATTTCCGGGGCGTCGCCTAAACATTTTATCCGCACATCGACCGTGCCATTCGGAGGCGTAAATTTCAAGCTGTTGCTCACAAGATTGATTATGATCTGTAGAATGCGGTGCTGGTCACCCCAAATAAACATATCTTTGATGCGACCAGTACCATAGGGACCAAAGCCGCTCTGCATGGATGCGGCAGGGGTGTTCTCACCAATGTCTGACGGGCCCAGATACGCTAGCCGAAGAGTAATTTGGCCTTCTTTAGACTGCTTGTCAAAAATGGAAAGAATTTGGGAAGTGACATCCGCTAGGCGAAATTCCCTTTCATCAAGTGTCAGCTGTTGACCCATCTGGTTTTTAGTAAATGTCAAAAGGTCCGTGAGCAGGTGAAGTAGTAGGTCTCCGGATTTGTATATGATGCCTAATGACCGCTTGATTTTGGCTGGATCGTCTTCCTGCATAGATACAGCGCACATCCCTAGAATACCATTCAGTGGGGTTTTCAGCTCATGGCTAATGTTCGCAATGAAGAGCGTTTTCGACTCGTTAGCTACTTCCGCCGCCTTTTTACTGATCTCCAATTCTTGCGTCCGCTCCTTCACTCTCTCCTCAAGGCGAGCATATTGCATTGTCAATTCTTCGGACATCTCGTTGAAAGTACGAGTGAGATCTGTCAATTCATCGTGAATGATGTGCTCGTGGTCCTCTACTTTGCCTGGTATCCTAAAGATGTTACTTCGTTTGCGTTTCTTGGCCTTGGTGTCACCGTCTTGACGTCGCACTCGCCATGACGCTACCCGTCCAAGAAACCCTTCTTTTTTCGCGACCTCTTGAATTTGCTCGTCTTCGCCGGAGTCTGGCTCTTGAATGCCATGCGAAGAAAAGGACCTGAAGCTACCGCCGTCGGATGAGAACAACTCTGGCTCAACGGTTTTCTTCGTGGCAGCTCGTAGCCTTCGAATTGGGCGCACTGAAAAGTGAGCCACAGGGAAGAGAAGAATTAGGACCCCAGCAAGAGTTCCAAAAACGCAAGCGATCAAGACATTTCTCAAGCGGTTGATGGGAGCAAGCACTTCGCCGTGAGATTGCTCGATGATCAAAGCCCAATCGACCAGTGTGGACATTGACTGCGCATATCCCACCGAGATCTGTTTCTTCTCTTCATTATGGGACTTCAAGAGACTACCGCCCGAATTTGCTAATTCTTTGCCGTTCGAATAGGCCTTCAAGATCGCGGGGTATGCCGCCATCTTAAAAGCCGCATTATTCGAGCCAAAAGCCCGTAGAGGGTGTCGAGTACTTCTGGAAGAATTCTGGGTTGGAGGTGTAACATATTTAACCTGTTGCGTTTGTGCTAGGTCTTTTCTCTCCGCATCGTCATTATTGTCACGTATATTTGAAGGCAATCTCTGGTCAGGTGTATCTGGTGCAACTATGAGTATTTGGCCCGTATCTCCCAGTCCCTTGGTGGAATTATCGATCTGGAGTATGGAACGCGCGCTAACAACAACTGTCAACCATCCTAGAGTATCCTCACTCGAAGTATTGTTGATCATAGGTACTGTGATTGACATCATTCCGAAGGTCTCATTGAGGAGCCGAGGTCCTAAGAAGATTTTCGCGTCGGCGTACAGCCGATTTCCTGCAAAGAAACCGATAGACTCATTGAATGTTGCATTGCGCACCGTCGAGTTGAAGGTCAGTTCTGGGTATAGTTCGGGCGGGTAACCGGTACCGTTGTCGCCCAGGTATGCCATCGGAGCTTGTGGATTCGTGGATGGCAGAGGTATGGTGCCAAGAACGTCCGGATTTGTCACATTCAGGAGCCCGTACGGTCCAGCAGATCCGGTGCCGTTCTTTGAGACAATCCTAGCCTGCAGAAGATTTGCGGTAACACCACCTCCACTCAACGCCGATTGAAGATCTTGCCGTGCCCGAACCCAATTAGCATCTGTATTGTTGTTCTGATCATTGTAGCGTTGTAGAGAATTTTGAAGCACAACTCTGGTAGATGTGCCATGGACATTGGATAGGAGAAGGAACAAATTAGAGTTGAGCTGGTCGGCATAGAGGGATGCCGTAAGTGACAAAGCAGAGGACCTGACGTCTGTCAATTAGGCTTCAACCATCATGTAAGCTGATACATACCGTATATGTAGAACAAAGTTGTGGCTGGTGATCCACTGCAGAAAGCAACGTTAGTAGGAAGGTCTGCAATATGAAGATTGGCGACTGAGAGCTTACTGTCGCAGTGGCTACCACAGCGAGCGCAATCAGCGACGAAAGAAGGACAAGAATTGCCAACTGCTCTCGAATCCCAATGCGCATTTCGACGAAACGACTGGTCACCGTCAATCGCCGGACGTCGTTTCTACCGCTCCTTCAACATATTTTGGATAACCTTGTAAGGAAAGTCCACAAAGCAAGTACGGTTCGCGGCCACGCTGCTTCCTGGGCTTAGGCCGGGAACTACGACGTGAGCGTAGACGAGAAGCGGCGCATTGAACAAATACGGTCCTTGGGGTATAAGGTAGTGGTCGAGGAATGGTTCAGCCTCCTCGACCCTAATGGATGCCCCTTCCTTCGTAAGCTACTGCGTTAAGACTGGGCGTGTCGACTACTAGCGAAGGGCGTGTAAGTCACGATCAAGATATGGTAGCAAATATAAGCCGGCACTCACATCGACGGAGTAGTCGGGCACAGACGACCACCATCAGCTTCCTCCACTACACTCTCTTAAGGAGTTTGGCACCTCGCTAGTGGCGGACTGCGACCAATCGTTCTGCCGCCTGTCAGAGTCTAGAAGCGTCTCAGCCACGCCAAGCACCGAGCCTGGCTTAATCAGCAACATCCGCAAGGAGAGGACCTGATGGCCCGAACCGATGCGGATGCAAACTTAACATTCATATATCTAATGCTGTAGAGTACTCGATGACCGCGTTCCAACCAATGCTTTACAGTCATAAGCATCCAAGAGCACGGCACATCTGCAGACTGATAGTGCGTCTTCCAAGAACCATGCTCGATTGAGCCAACCGCATGACAGGCACATTGTTGATCTGTAGGCCTCCTGAAGCGACGGCGAGTAAAAGATTGAAACCGCGAAGCCAACAGCAACCTAGCCAAGTGCACGGTTCCTCTGGTGGTGTAATCAGATTCTCTAGTCACTAACCCAGCAGAGATTGAACTCTATCAAACGAGGCAGACGTTTGCAGATTGAAATTCAGATTCCAGGAGCCTCAACAGATGTAACTTGCAGGGAGCGCAATTGGCCGAATAGATTGTTCGCTATGACAGCGCCACCTAATGGACGGTGGAGCAGGGAGGTGTTCAGCAGGCTATGAATTTCATAGATGTGTTCGCGGAAACCTTGCCTCCTGACCATCATCTTGTTGAGCACAATTACCTACACTTCTCAACAGGTACAAGACCTTCAAGACGTCCGAAATCTTCTGGCATGAAAACGATGGGTGCATTGAGAACGCATCGGATAAGCGTGAAAGAAACGATGGAACACCCACACGGTACGTAACGCTCTACGAGGTAAAGCACAATCAATGGGCTCTACATGTTTCACGAAGGTTGATGGACAATACTTAGGAGAGCGAAGGCCCAGAGGACCAAAGAAATGCACCGACCAAGCGGGCCTCAGCTACGAACAGAGGCTCTTTATGTCGAAACAATAATAACGTTCTGATTGAATTTGTGCATCCTGCTGGCGCGGCCGGAAATCGCGCTAATTCGCTAGTGGCAGAAGATGCAGGCTGGGACGCGGTTCGTGAAGTCTTGCCCGCTTTCCACTCACCGCGAATCCCTTCCCTCAACCTGAGGCGCGCGACCACATGGTATGGAAACCGCTGGACAAGGCGTCACGTTCGCGCGAGTTGAATGCATTTGCTCGCCATTTCCCTTCTCCCCCGTGAATGTTTTTGTGTTTTTTCGTGCATAAGTCACGTTCGCGTCTTACTTTGGTCAATTGCGATGGCGGGGAACTACCCTTTCTAGGACTTGGGGAGGCATGCCTCACATCCCCAGCTTTTTCCTTAGGTATCCAAATTTGTATGCTAGCACTCATCTGAGCATTACTTCTCATATTCACTGCCTGAGATATCTGCCTTACACTGAACCCATATCTTTTATTCTCAAAATACATTGACCTAATCTGGACATTTAGAGCGATCAGTCCTCTGCTCCTCTGTCCATTTGCTGCATTTCTTTAGAGCCTATGCTTAGTCTTCGTGATCGAGCGTAATGCCATCCGCTTCAGCATTTCTCAAGTTCTGGCGCACGGATCGAACGCGCGATGCTTTCTTGAGGAGTCTGTCCAGCAAAGATCTGGCTTCGATGCGTGTGGTCTGCCATGACTTTGCGGACGCCGCCGCTCCTTTTCTGTTCCATGACGTTAGCATAACTTTTCGGTCCACAACATTCACCAAGCATTCACGCCTAGCAGCCTTAGAGCGGATCGGGCACCACATCAAAACTTTCCAATTCAACATACCACATTCCGCCGAGACCCTTCTGCCACCAATCATAGATTCGACCACAGGTGAAGAGGTCGCGTTCATCTACGAACCGTACACACAGCTTACTAGGGACCCCAACTCTCGCTTGAGCATTCCGAGTTATGGAAGTTGGGAGATGACTGATCTGCTCGTCAGACAGTATCCACCGCTCTTCCATGCCGCAGCCAACGTACCTTCATTCATCAAGGCTTTCTCGATGATGCAGGGCATCAATCACTTGACAATAAGGTGCCCTAGCCAGGAAAAAGGCCAGAGATACCGGCGCAGTATCGTAGATTATGCGCTCATATCAGTTCGCATGGCCGTTGAGCGCAATAAACTCCTGTCACTGGACACACTCTCATTGTTGGACGTTCACCCAGCAGTCGCACTTTATTTGAACCCTCGTGTGGGGTTTGGAGCGACTCCAAATTCTAGCCGACGCTGGCGGCAGATACGCAGCTTGAATATCCACATGAACTCTGTGTCATCTCACGACGCCTCAGCCACTGATCACTACAAACATCTACAGTGTTATTTGGACATATTCACGCCAACGTTACGCCAGCTTGACTTCCGTTGGCTTGGCGACAGATGTCATTTGCCGATAACATTCAAGGCTGGGTCCCTTCTGCAAAAATCACACGCCCCTGGGCCTCCCAGCTCGGCAATCCGCTCTCAAGGCGCGAGACCGCTACGATTTGCACGGCTACGCCATCTGAGTGTGGAGAACACCATTGCAGATGCACGACAGATCGCTCGCTTCATCGCTCGACATCACCGAGCCGTACGACATACTAGACGACTGAACTTGAATTTTCATGATACAATACTCAGCAGCGGCACATGGGACGAAGCCCTCGAGCCTCTCACACGTATGAGCGGAAGCGATAGCTGGAAGTCCTCGTCCGAGGAGTCATCCGACGATTCCCTTCAAGAGTCAATCGGGCAAGAAAGTGCAGAAGAGTTCATGGATGTGCCAATCATGTTTAGCAGCCCTGTTCACGAAAAGGAGGATCTATTTCACAAAGTGTGGGATGATCATGTGCGGAGTCGAACGTCCAAACAGCATATAAGTGGAATAGCCGCGAAAACGAAGGAGCTCCTATTCGGGACTGAAGAGCACATGAGAAAGCTGTTCAGTTCTACGGTCCTTGGATGGCGATAACATCGGTGATGGCAGCAGCGACTTTAGACGTTCAGCAAGTACTTGTATACCACCTTTATTGCATAGAATGCAACATTTCATATATGTAGATACGAATGTTTTCCTCAATTTTGGAAACTTTCCCCATGCTTCTCCACCAGATATTGCCGCCATGAAGGTTCTTGCATCAATACGGATTCAAGAGGGCATGCTGTATCAAGGAGATGTGTCTTTGGTTCAGCGGCACGGAAATGGCCTAGACTGTCCTTGGTGGGCTTGCGACCTCGGCATCTACATCGACCACCGTGAATGAGATCCACAATCAGGTCATGTGTTAGAAGGCTATCAAAGATATGATATCCTCTTTTCTTGATATTCGTAGATTGCTTGTAATCCACAACAACCACCAACACCCATCTTGAGACCTTTATATTTCACCACTCAAAGACTGTCAACTTCATATCACTTCCCCTCGGCGGCCGACATGTCTCTTAAATCCGGTACGGGGTCGTGGAGTATTTGAACGATACCCAATGTCTGACTTTCCACTTCAGATTCATTCCCCTCTTCGGCAGCCTTTGATCAAATCAACAGCTCCCTCCAATCCAACCCTTCAGAGCAGAAGGATGCGGTGAAAAAGGGCAATGCAGTCTTCTCATTCAATTTGAAGAATGCTGCGGGCGATACAGATAGCTGGCATATTGATTTGAAGAAGGAAGGGAAAGTGGGAAAGGGCGAAGCTCCGGATGGTGAAAAGGCTGATGGTGGGTACAAGTCATTTGGTTCACGCGATCACAATTTGTTTGGGGACACGGGGAACGACCATTCAATTTCAAGAGGCGACGGCAGATGACATATAGGCCATTGCTGACTGGAATACGCATGGCTTACTTCGCACGATAGTGATCATGACACTGTCGGACGAAGACTTTGGGAAACTTGCGACAGGCAAGACGCAGGCTCAAAGACTCTTCATGTCAGGGAAACTCAAGATCAAGGGTGATGTGATGAAGGTACGGCTCGCTTCTTTTGTCTTCATCGTGGTTCTATTGACCGGCAGTGCAGGCTACGAAGATGGAGCCAGTGCTGAAGAAGGCGCAAACGAAGGCAAGGCTCTAAGAGATGGAGAGTCAAAGAGAGTATGTCGGCTAAAGTGTAGATATCTTGAAGTCATCCATCTTATACTGAGCAAACTCAAACCTTGCGAGATCTCTAACGCACTGTGGCAGTCTGCAGATGTAAGGGCCGTCAGATTTTAAGGTGCTACATCTGACTCGAGCGTTGAACATGCTGCTTGGGGGTCTTGGGGGAATAGTTTTGAGTGTGGGTCCCACAGAAGAGTACATGGCATATCAACACTTCCGCTCAAAGTCCTTCGATTGGGACAACAGACCACGTCTTGCGTAAATGGCATGCAGTGGCGAAGTATGCTGCGAGACCGGTGGTAATATTCTCTATCGGTTAGTAGAGAAAATATGTAGACTACAGTATTCCAGAGCGTGTCAACGCCACAGCCCTTCACAAGATGTCGCGTGGTCGTAAGACTGAAATACCTTATAAGAAGCCCTCCTTGCTTCGAGCGTCGTTCGCGGCGCAGGGAATCGCGCTTCGGGTCCTAGAGCGCATTCGTTTAGCTTGCTTTATATCTTGGCGTAGCCTTTGAGAAACATCACGGGCCTGCGACATTCGGTGCACAACACCGCAACCATGGCAAAACGCATTGCGGATCAACAGCTGACGCAGCTAAATGTGCATGAACTGCATAACCCAGGCGCAAATGATGCGGACCAGTGGACGAACCAGAGGGCAAATGCGTCTATGATGGCGAGGAGAAAGTGAGTCTCAATTTCCTATCGTGACACCAACACTCGGTGGTGGTCAAAACAACACACAACCAAACCGAAACAAAAACAAAAACAAAGCCTGTTTGTGTTGATTCCCTTGACACCATACAACCCGCGACTGCGCACCAAAGCATGGCATACAACCGTTTCGCAAGATCTAGCTTTGAGGCGTTTCGTCGACAACAAGAGGAAGAGCGCGATTTTGCAGAACGCCCGGCGACTAACAAGTACCTTAGGGTAATTCAGCCTCGTGGACGTCGCCCAGCACAACGACCTGGAGCGACATCTGCATCACTATCTCAACCGCAACAGCAGCAGTCGTTTCAACCACAACAAGCGCAACAGCAGTCATTGCCCGGTTTCCAACAGCCATCGCAGCCTTCGCTTAATTTTGCACAACCGCAACAAGATAACAACGGTCAGCCGCAGCAAAATATTTTTGGCGGATCTCAACAAAATAGCTTCGTCTTTGGGCAGCAAATGCCAAAAAATGTACAGACTCAAGCGAGTCAATCTTTCCCACCTTTCCAAGGCTTCGGCACTCAAAGCAACTCAACGACCAATGATCAATTCACTCCGCCGAGCAGCTCCTTTAGCTTTAACACCGCTCCAGTGTTCAATCCGTTCGCCCAAGCCAGTGCGATCACCCAGGAGCCGCCTCAACCTACACCGAGCACCTTTAGCTGGCCATCTACTTCTCGACCCCAGAGTCAAGGCAGCAGCATCTTCTCTTTGCCACCGTCAGCAGAGCAACCTTCGACCACCCAGCAACAGGAGTCTCAATCACCGATAGCACAAGCCCTCAATCAAGTGAAACAAGTTGATTATAACAACTTATTCGCGAATATGGATAAGTCGAAGACTAATCCATTCGCTGACATGAGACATCCTCAGCCTGCTCTTTCGGTTGAAAATGATCTCGACAATAGTCGAAGCATGTTTATCGGCATACAGAGGGAACGAGAAGCACAAGCTCGTGGTACAATTACTAGTACTCGAAAAGCAGATTTGACAACCAGTCAGCCATTAATCGAGAAAGCAGAATCACAGACCGATCAAGATGTCCCAAAATCTACAAATAACCTCTTTACATCGAAAGCTGTCGCAAAACCCCCGACTCCAGCAAAAGAAAACCCCTTTGCCGCAAGCATTGCACAATTTAGAGCCAGCCAGCAAAACACATCGGACTCAAGCAGTCCGTTTTCTGAATCAACGCAGCCTGCAGCCAAACCCGATGAGGTAGGAGCGGCAAATCCTCACTCTCAACCAAACTTGTTCTCATCTGATACAATCCCTGCTTCGTCCAATATCGCGACACAAGAAGCTCCTCAACCACAGTCAACTCCTTTCCAAATTTTCGGCTCGTCAACGAGCCAGTCGTCAGCAAAACCATCGGCCGCTACAGGATCGCCACAAGCAGGTAACAGTCTGTTTGATAGAGTGTCTTTCCCATCTGGTAGCACAAATGAAAGGCCAAAGGTTTCTTTTAGTCCACCAGAAGGTCAGCCCACTGGCGGAAGTCTTTTTGCCAATGTCTCAAAACTGTCACCCCCCACGCTCGAGTCCCCACCAAGGAGTCATGTGGACTTGGCGCAGACTGCTGGCTCAAGCCTCTTTCAGGGGTTTAATCAACCCTCTGAGATAGCAGAAGATCTGCAAGGTACCAATCAAGGGATTACAGAACAGCCTACGCGGCCGAATCTCTTCCAGACAGTAACCCGGCCTTCAAATATAGCCGGTGCTCCGCAAAGCCAAGTCCAATCGAGTACGGAACAACCTGCCCGCCCAAGTCTCTTCCAAAAAGTTACTCGACCAACCGACGATTTCAGCGTCACAAAGTCACCAAATGACCAAGCAAAAGAGACAGTCCAAACTCCAGCATCTACCGTACCAAAGCAGGCAGATCGCGGCTTGAGTGCATTGCAATACAACACAAAAGCAATTACTCATACGCCCCCTGATACAAGGCCAAAGCCACACAGTTGGTTCACTGACGAAGAAAAAATGCAAACGAGCATTGGTTGGCGCTTGAAAGAATTAGACGAAGGATATCGCATGTACTTGAAGCAAGACAATTCCGAGGAGTTCAAGGTCCTCAAAGAATTCTATGACGAGAGAAAGAAAATGATCCTGAACGCTGGCGATGGACCTCTTAAAAGCTTTACAGGTCAAAAGAGACAGTCGAATGCTCTGGATGAGTCTGATGCAAGTCAACCGAAGTTGAAACGAGTCACTGTTCCTGGCTCCCAATCATCTGCTGAGGCTTCTTTTGTCAATGATAGCAAAACACAGCACGTTGACTCGACACCGACTCCCCATAACCCATTATCAAAACTGAAAGGTAAAAGAAAGGCCGACGAGGACGCGGTAGACGACCAAAATGAACGTGGCAATGAGATGGCCAAGCGCGCCCGTGGTCCAGAAGCCCCTGCATCACAAACGTCGAACCTTTTTAGTTCGATCTTGGGTTCTAATAACGCATCAATACCTTCAAAGGCGCAAAACGCAGTAGATACTACACCAGCTGCAAATGCTTCGCAATCTAATCCCTTCCATCCCCAGGCATCTCCAACAAAGAATGCTTTCGGCTCTGGCATCGGCAATTCCAGTAGCTCCTCTTTGTTCTCGCCTCAGAGCCCATCTACCACCGATATCAATGTGACGCCCTTCGCTTCACATGACAAAACACAGTCGTCCATATTCTCCAGCAAAACGTTAGGATCTGTAAGATCGTTTCAGGATCCCAAATCATTATCAACTAACCCGTTTACCTTCGCACCTGCGTCAGCTCAACCAGCTGACGTTGATGCCTTGGCGACGGCGTCATCTCCAATGACAAAGCCACCGGTCTTTCCAATGGCCGCTACACCTACTTTCATGTCACAATTCGGTAATGCTGCGAAGCAGGAATCCGAGAAAGCGCGGGAAAAACGCAAAGCCGATGAATACGATTCAGAAGACGAAGATGAAGCATCATGGGAAGAAAAGGATGCAGAGAGGGAGCATCAGAAGAAGCAAAAGGTCGAGCAGGCGGCCAAGATCGCTCAAAAATTTGTTCCTGATCTCACTACAAATTCAGCCACTCAGAGTAAGGCTGGCCCTACCTCTACAGCACAATCGACCGTGCCAGCCGCACCAAAATCAATTTTCGACATGCAAAGTCCAATTTTCACGCAGCAATCGAACATTTTCGGCCATCTTGCTAAGCCTAACAGTGAATCCGATGTCGAAAAAAGCATTGGAGGGAGCGATGAGGATGATGACGAGAGTGACTTAGCCGAAAAGCAATCTTCAAGCTCCGTGCAGCCTGCCGCAAAGGGCTTGTTTGACCGAGTCTCGATACCAGCGGCGAAGGCAAACGCGTCTGGGTCGGATGAATCACAAGTGAACGATCACACATGGAAGGCTGATAGTCCCATCAAATTTGGCGCGACTGCTTTCAACACAAGTGCACCTTCGCTCAAAGTGTCATCAGACACGTTATCAAAGCCGCCCGCCGCGGGCCTATTTGGTGCACCATCGTTCAACGCTACCTCAGATGTGCCAGCAACAAAGCCTAATGCAAACATTTTTAGCAGTTTCGGATCTCCCGGTGGCGCAGTCGGCTTTGGCTTCGCTCCAGCCAAGACAGCGGTAAGCACACTGGCTCCACCCTCAAACGATACTTCCCGAGCGACTTCTCCTGGTATTGCGACTGGTGAAAGCGCAACAGAATCAGCAGCTGAAGGTACTGAAGACTCTACCGAGAAGCACGAACAATTGGACTTGATGTCAAATCGTGCGGGTGAGGAGGATGAGGACGTTCAATTCGAAGTCAGAGCTAAGGGTGTATGCTGGGATAGAGAGACGAGCAAGATGATCCCAAGGGGCGTAGGCCCACTCCGCATTCTGAACAACGGGAAAACAGGCAAGAGGCGGATTGTACTCAGAGCTGATCCTAGTGGTCGAGTTATCATCAACAGCCCTATCGTTCCTGAAGCCAATATTCAGTACGATCGTTTCGCTGTCGCTATGCGAGGCCTTTTCATGGATGGTAATGGTGAACAATCGCCTTGGCAAATCAGAGTAAAGCAGGATGCGGATTTACACAAGATGATGGACGTCCTTGGGGTGAAGAAGGGCCTCAAAGGCAGTGAAGAATGATGAGCGAGCGCGCTTCCTAATCACGAGGAACAGGTATTGATGATACTGTCCTGGTTTTGGATTCACTATGGATGGCTTTCGCGCTACCTCTCCTTCGGGATTGACGGTTGCCGAGCTGCCTCCTATTGAATCTTTGGCTATGTTCAGACCGTCTTCGCTTGGTGGAGTTATTGGTGATGTTCGACGCGTTGTGACTTAGTGTTACGGCTTTGTGCTACTTCTCCTTCGGGATCGACGGTGGGTGCTACCTCTCCTCCGGGATTGACGGTGGGTGCTACCTCTCCCAATGGATCGAAGGTGGTCGAATCGGATCCGCTGATGTTATAACGTTGTCCCACATACCTTCGCGACCATCCTCATGTGCAGGAAGTGTGACTCGGCTCTCTTGGTTTTATAGTGTACATGCTGCGAGGTGACGAATCTTTATGGTGTTTGTACGTTTGGCATATGGCAGGGACAGCAAGATACCCTCGTCGGCGTGCGTGGAAAGGGTTTGTCATCAAATATTGAATTAAAAGAAGGCATAGCGTGCATGGACATGCCATTGTGCATGAGGTCATAGTCTGCTAGAAAGCATAGCGTGCGAGAATTCGATCATGCAATTCAGAATTATACTGCTCATCAATTGTGTCCTTTAGTTCACGTCTTTACTCCTTTTACTCACTCCGTAAAGCTGTCAAAATGACAATGAGAACTTAAAATTCTCGAATCTAGTTCACATTCGGCGACACGATGCCATGTAGCGCAGCGTCCGCACCGGGGCCGAATGTCTCCAAAGTCACACACATCGAAGGGACATCACAATCTTTGGATACCCCTCCCAATGCTAAATTTGTATAGTCATATCTTCAACGCTCTTGATTACGTCAAGCGTCCTTCGTTACTCATCTAACTTAATATCGGCCCTACTAACGTCGGGATAGATGTCAAACCTCCTCTGTCCCTCCAACGGTATTCCCTTCCTCACCTCCTCAAGCCTCTCCGGTCTCAACTCCGCATATACAATATTCTCTTCCTCCCCTGCCTCCTCCAATACCTCCGCGTTTGGATCGACGACCATACTATGACCCCACGCATTGTAGCTAGCCTCCATATCCCTTGCTGGACTACAGGAGGCTACATAGACCTGATTGTCCATCGCTCTTGCTCTAGCCTGTAGGCTCCAATGCAAAGCCCCAGTTGTCAAGTTGAATGCACCTGGATAAAGGAGGAGGAAGGCACCTCGCCGGGCAGCAACGGTAGCGAGCTCGGGAAAGCGAATGTCGTAGCATATAGCGAGCGAAACCAAGCCATACGGTGGTATGTTGACAAGTGTGAGCTTGTTTCCAGGACTCAGCACCTCCGACTCTTTGAATGTGATTTTCCCTGGGATGTCAATGTCGAAGAGGTGCACCTTCCGGTGCGTAGCTAGAAGGTTGCCGTCCGGCGAGAAGAGTAGGGAGGTGTTATGGTATTTATTCGTCGAAGGAACTGATTCTGGTATGCTTCCCCCGAGGAGATATGTGGATGTTTCCAAGGCGAGGGCGGAGAGCGCGTGGAATGTGGGGGATTGTTCGGCGGTGGGTGGGGAGGGGAGTAGCGTTTCAGCGTATTTAGGGAAGTATTGTGTGCCATAGGGGGAGTTGAAGCACTCAGGAAGTACGATGAAATTTGCACCAGCTTTATGAGCTTCGAGGACTCGTGAGCGGGCGTGAGCGAGGTTGGCTGTCTTGTCAGGGCCTGGAGATTGGTTAGATTTGAGGATTCAACTTAGGTGTGGTGATTGATGTGGCACCTGTCGCAAGCTGGATGAGGGCAAGTTTGAAAGGCTTTTTGAGCACATTTGCCATTGCGGCGCTACTTCTTGATGTATTCAATGTCTCATTTTGGGTTTGGTACTGTCAAATTGGGTGTGGATTCCATAGAACTATTCTGGATGACGTCCAAATTACCCGAAGTGGAGCATCAGATCGCCCAAAATCTTATACAATAGAATCCACGTTCATGCGAACAATTGTGTTGACGCATTTGTTAGGATAGTGAGCCCTCGTCTTTCGGAAGCGTATGAGACTATCATTGCCAAAATAATACGAAAAGAGAGCGTTATGTTGGCCTCATACCATCCGTGGGCACTGTTGGCCAACTTCACACGGTAGTGGATTGCTAGAAGCATCGGCAACCAGGAATACACGTCGTTGGAGCCAACTGGCAGATAACCAAGACGAGAGAAAAGCAGACTGCTTTAGAAAACGAACTCGATGACTTTGGCCAAAGCAAGCAGACCAAGAGGTGAACGGTGCGAGGAAGCGGGAGAGAATGTGGCACATTGGGCCACCAAGGGCTTCTAATGCACCGGAGTGATGCAGGTAAGCCAAGAAAGACGATGCTACAGGGATCAAGAAAGCAAAAGTAGCAGCAGACTTAGCAAGAGGAAAGGCTTGAATGACGAGGATGGAATGTGAGAAAGGAAGACTTCAGACAATAGCCAGGTCAGCAGCCCGCTTCTTTGACTCAATTGAAGAATACTATCAGCATTGAAGCTCAATACTTGAGACAACCATCCAGATAGTGACGACCGTGGCTACACATATGCACACCCATGGCCATGACCGAGTGATCTCAGTCTGAGGTTCACCAGCCTGACCCTCCTAGCTTCTACATCATGATAGAGCGAGAAGCGCTCAGGATGCCTACATCACAGGTTTCACGTATTGTTATGTCGAATGGCCGTGAATATGAGCATCCACCACTACCAAAGCTCCCTTGAAAAACAGCGTTTTACCAATTTTTTGGCACAAAAAGCCCTTCGGACTAAGACTCCTTCTCGTTCTTTTCACATTTATCGTTGGACTGCGCTGTTCTGTAGACAAGGGCTAGGCGTCTTAAACGGGGTGCTCCTTCCTCACTAAGGCATTGTTGTACGTCTTGGCCTGCGGCTTCCTCATACAGTACATTTGTTTCTGAGACATCAATTGTTTACTGACCTCTAATCCTAATTACCCTCTTATCCTCATGTCCTTCTCATAACACAAGATATTCTTATATCCTTTCCTCAATGTACACAAGTATCAATATACCCGCTTGCTCAGCTTATGGAAGGCAAAGGGATCACTTATAAAGATCCTCCGGAATGGAATCGTAACTTTGTCACTATTGCACGGACGATCGACGACGATCTCCAGCGTCGGATTCGTTTCCTCTTTCATTCTCGCAACGCCAATCGTCCACCCACAGCTCCATGTCCTTCGCCGAATTTTACACTTCTTGCTGAACGCAGAAAGAAGGGTGTCTTGGCCAGTAGGGAGGGTGAGATAGCAGCTTTGAGGTCCGACTACTCGGCTAGCCACCATCAGACTTAAATTGCTGAAGCAATTTAGTCAATCAAGCATGGAAACCCAATCACGCAATTCTGGTCATGGACCGGTGGGTTCTCCAGAGGACGGTCGTCGACAATACAGCAGAGACCCTGATGTAGCTCGTGACTTGCCAGACAGGGTAGATGCGAAGCAAAGCAAGTTCGTTGGAACTCTGGCCCCCTCTAACATTCGGTCACCACATTATCCCTTTCGTGTTCTTCCTCCTCGGAGGACTTCATCTGTGGATCTGCACGCTCTTCACATACCAGGGAGCTACAAATCTGAACTCAATACTGGCGCACCAAACACGCCGAGGCCTGATCCACGACACCTTGGTAGCCATCCGAAGGAAGGCATGCATGGAGATGACAGAGCTGAATATTTGCATGGTATACCTGTGGAACTAGTGAAATCCGCTGCTGCTGCTGCTGCTGCTCTTGAGAAACATGGCAAGAATGAAGAAGTCTCAGGAATATCAGAGGATAGCAAGGTAGCGGATGCGACAGATCCTCCTGGTGAGGGCCGGAAACAATTGGAGACTGAATCTCTCTTCCGAAGCTCGTCTGCTTTACCTTCGAGATCCAGTAGTCTTCGTGCAGCCACTTCCAAAGAAGCAGATGATAGACAGGCACTCGTTCCAGCACCTTTGAGGTCGTCAACAATGGAATCGCATTCAAAGGATATAGTACGAACTTCACCCGAAGGCAAAGCTATGTCTATACTATCTAATATCAGTGGTCGTCGCCACTCGGTCACAAGTTCCTCAATCTCGATGTCTACGAATCCACAGCGTGGGTCTGCTGTCAAACCTTCCGAGATCAATTACCGTGGTACATCGGCGTCCTCTGCATCAGTTACCCATTCCGAGAATCACGAGAACGAGCAACGCTCGAATTGGTTACATCAGCTTGTGGGCAAAAGTAGAGCTGCGACAAATCCTACCTCGAACTTGACAGCGAGACCAAGCCAGAGGCGTATTGCAGAGTCGGATAAGTTGCGATCAAGGACCAAAGCTGTTGTTGGCAGCGGCAAAGCTCACGTCCGAACAGAAAGTACCGACACAGCTTCAGTCTTGCAGCATCAGCAAGAGAGAAGCCAGGCATTCGACCAAGTTGTGCTTGACCTCGAGAATCTTCTGAAAGAAGCACTCTCAATAGCTGGAAAGGTGGGAAGCAAAGGACCAAGTGAGGATGCAACTACAAAGGTCAAAGAAACCGAGTTCGAGCCACCTGTGTCTGTCGACCCGGTCACCGGGAGCTCATCAGTCTCATCTGCCTCGAGCGTTATCGAAGAGGATGTTGCTACAGATATGATACCCGCTCGAGAACGAGCACCTATTGGTGTATCAAAAGGAGGTAAGCATGAAAACGAGGACTCTAGGAAGGAGGAAGATGCAATATCTTTACCCTGCCCTGCGGGTTCAACTGTAGCGACTAGAAATCAATCGAGCCTGCCCGTGAGTAGACCAAATACTCCCCCAGCAAGAAGAAAGCTTGATGAGAAGAACCCCAAACCCAGGCACAACATGACTGAGGAGCTGCCTAAGCTTCCAACAAATTCAGTACCGGAAGAACCAGCAGTGCGAGCCAATGATTGGGCGTACAAGATCAAGCCAAGTACAAAACCTCCTGAAACTCCTCAGACTCCATTCTCTGTGAGACTCCCAACTAAAGAAGAGCATCGCCTCCTGGCTCGTAACGAGGGTCTACATGGCCAACAGCGTCCGCCCCTTGTTCAGCCTCGGTCGGCTTCTGTACAACTCCTGGGTCGCAAGCCTACTGTAAGAGATCTCAATCTACCGGAGCATAGGTCCGCAAGTGATTCCGACTCTGATCAAGCGACCTATGTGGCTGACTTCAAGGATGATGGTCGCCAGTATCACCCTGTTGCTCGTGAAGCCATGGCCGGAAGCGACAGGCATGGTGCAGAGACTGGATTGAACCGTCCTTTACGGCGCGAAGATACTATTATGTCGCCAGAGGATAAGGAAATCTTGGTGGACTCGATGCCAAAACGTGGCACAAGTCAGACCGAGGCGAATGATATCAGTCTCAAAGATCGAAGCCACTTCAGTATTCGAGAGCCTCGTGGCTTCAGCCTTCGGCGGTCTCATGCCCGTAGGCCTATTGCTCGAGATTGGAGTGCCGGTCGAAAGCGCTTTGTAGCTACCGTGACTTGCATCACAACCACTCTCCTGGGCCTTATTCTTGGGATATATGCTGGCGAGGTGCCCGCGCTTCAGTATGCACTGGCAGATGAGCATCACTATACCATCCTGGGAAACGTTGTCTTCTTCCTCGGTATGGCGCTCACGACGATCCTCGCTTGGCCGCTACCCGTCATTCACGGTCGCAAGACGTATACGATGGCAGCTCTCATTCTGCTGATGCCTCTTCAGTTTCCGCAGGCATTGTCCGTGACGGGTCAACGAACACCTTACGTGGCCACTTACAGAGTCGGCGTGCTTGTCCCTCGAGCAATTTCAGGTTTAGTCATGGGCTTTGCCAACGTCAATTTCATGACTACTCTCCTTGACTTGTTTGGTGCGTCACTGCAAAGTAGGAATCCTCATCAAGAGGCCCTCAACGAAAATGATGTTCGTCGTCATGGTGGTGGTATGGGTATTTGGCTTGGAATATCAACTTGGTGTTCAACCATGTCCATTGGGGTAGGCTTCCTTATTGGGGCGTGCATCATTAGCGGACTCAACGTGTCATGGGGGTTCTGGATCACAATCATCCTGACTGCTGCTGTGCTCTTACTGAACGTGATCACGCCAGAGACGCGTAGGTCTCCGTATCGTCGGTCAATGGCAGAAGTTCGCACGGGAACAGAAATCTCCAGACGTGTTGCTCGTGGTGAAATCAAAATGCATCTTGACTTGACCGGCCCCCGGTATTGGTATGAGGAGCCATTGGCGGGATACCGACTGTGTCTCCTGATGTTGAAGCAGCCTGGATTTTTGATCCTTGCGCTCTACGAGGGGTGGATCTATGGGCAGATTGTGTTAATCATTTCGGTATGTGACTTGAAATGTTTGGTGATTCTAGCTAATCTATTCGAAGCTACTGGGTGCTTTACTGTCCAAGTACTATCGCTTCCATCCGCAGTACGTCGGATTGGGGGTAGTCAGTATCCCGATCGGTGCTTTACTTGCTGTACCCTTTCAAAAGGCAAGCCTGTTCAGTCGTTCACGACAACGCAAGCAGAGGACCGACAGTATGACGTTCGAGAAGCGTGTGACGTGGACCTCGCATCTGGTCAGGAGGTCAGTCTTTAGTATCCTGCTACCATTTGCGGGTCTGGCCTACACCTTGTCCTCGAATGGATCAGTGCACTACATGGCACCCATCATCTTCGCGGGCTTGATCGGATTCTTGTCGAATCTCGCCATAGCGGAGTGCAACGGATTGATCATGGAAACTTTCGATACCTCGGACCTTCAGCCTGGTATGACTGGCCGACCCCGTCGAGTGCTGCCTGAGGAAACGCGGCGGAAACGAACCAACTTTTCCAGCTTTCCAAGGGTCGCTGCAGGCTTCACTATTGCTCAAGCATTCTCCTTCATAATCGCGGCAGGAGGTACAGGACTCGGAGGTGCCATCGAGAGACATTTGGGGGCGCAACAAGCGACTGGTGTTGTGGCCGGCATCTTGCTCATCCTGACGCTACTACTGTTTGCGGTGTTGTGGCGCTCTAAAACAGTCCAAATCATCCCTAGTGAGAGGTTTGGAACCAACATCCTCTCTGGGCCAGAGGATGAATGGAAGCCAATCATCATAGGCAATCCCAGCGGAACTACGAGAAGGATGAGTATTCTGGAATTGGGCAAGATGAGTAGGTGGACGGAGATCAGGAGGCGGAATAGATTGGGATCGATATAGCGAGACACGAGATTCGCGCGAATGAGTGGTGACGATCGTGTTAGCGGTGGTGGTTTGGTCCTTTCCTGTAATACCGTGATTAACGCTATACCTATGATAGACTCGTCATGTATCCAAGTAACGCCCCTTCAAACCCCTATGTTGCCTTATTTCAATGTATACTTCGCTCTTCCCTTAACATGGCTGCTTCATAGCCCACTATTCCTCGTTCTCACCACCAGACTTGCCTTTCCGTTTCTCTCCTCTCCGTCTCCTCATCTTGATGGGTTTCATCACTCTCTCCGCCCTTCTCCCCACAGCAGAGCTGATCACCCCGACGCCATCCCTTGCTCTGCTCATGGGACTCTGCTGATTCCGCGAACACATGTCTTCCGTGTCTGGTATCACAGGCATGCCACCTCCTCTTCGTCTTCCACCGCGGCCGCCACCTCCCCCTCCATCCAATGACGACGAAGACGAGGACGGCCTGTAATCGAGATCGAAATATGATGTCGCTATGGCTGACGAGTCATCGGGTGAGAGCGAGGGCGAGGGGGATGTGGCGGCGCTGGTGGATGAAAAGTGGTATGCGTCGGAGTCCGAGGAGGTAGAGGAGGAGGAGACAAGGGTATCGACAAGGGAGGCAACGCGGGAAATTTGGCGACTTGATCGAGCGCTACTGCTGCTGTAGGAGCGGCAGGAGGGCGTGCGGCCTCTCCGTGAGACATGGTGGTGAGAGTGATGATGACGGGGATGATGGCGGCTGGTCAGTGCCGGCACCGGGACCGGGACCGGGTCGGAAAGCTGGGCGTCGATGGACGAGTAGCTGGTGCGGCGTCTGCTGGTGGAGAGGGAGGATCGGATCAGGAACTGGGTGAGGTCGTTGACGCTGGTCTGGGGGCGGGAGCAGGCGCTGTTTGTCAGCTGGGGAGTGGGAAGCGCGGATGTGGGCGGGAGGGGATGGTTCATGGTAGAGCGATCACTGCTGATGTTCTCGATATGGACAATACGTCTTCTGCCAAAAGGAAAGAGGGCAATTGAAGGGAAGCATGATAGCAATGACAATGGCAGCGATGGCGAGTCACACAGCAATCAGGAAACGGCACGGTGACCTCCTCTGGGAGCCTCTGGGAGGGTACACAATGGCTGTAGACAGTGTACGGCGCTTCAAGGGTGCATGGGGATGGTGAGCCATACTGTCGGTATCGAAGATGGACGGGCTAAGCAGGTCTGGCCTCGAGGGACAGTCCGTAGCGGATGGAGCGGAGGCAGAAGCGTTGGGCTCTGGGCTCGCTGGGAGAGCAGCATGAGGGGCGCGGAGCAACCTTCTCTGAGTTGTTGACTCGGTCTGTCACGTCGGGAGTACGCTACTTGCTTCGCACTCGCTCGCTCTCGCTCTCGCTCTCTAAGGCCTGGACCGTCCGGAACCAGGTCCTGTCCTGGTGCGCTCCGTAGCCGCCATTCGAGAGACGGTTGAGTACCTCACATCTGCGACTGAGGAGCTTGTGACCTTCTGCCCTTTCTGGCGGATTCCTTTCGATGTTGCACCAAAGAGGCCAAATGGTTCTAGAACGTGGGCGAAGGGCGAGATGCAGAAGTAGCTCGCAATAGCTCCAACTAGCTCACCATCTGCTGCATTAGCCCAAGCGCGCACCGTTAGCTTGCTTCTACTACTGTGCTCTGCTTCTCCCGGTGGGCGCCTGCAAGATCATGCAGGTCTCTCATCGGCCTTCAATAATCCTCGGCCATATCCAGTGCATGACTCGCGTCGTCGCGGTTTCATCTGACATGTATGCGTATTAAGATGGGGTGTAGATAGAGGTGTTCCCGGAGCGCTGCGCAGGTCTTCCTACGAACTGATGGCATATCTACCATAGACGCTCTTATGGCGCACGCCGACTATGTATACCCTGACATACGGGACCAGAAGCCGAGTGAACAGTCTTGACAGCTCTGCTGGACATCTAAGGTAGTTCTAGGTAGACGCTCGCCAAGTCTTTTCACGTGACCGTGCCCTACGGCGGTCGCTTTCTCAACATTTGTTTAATTGCTTGATATCGAACAAAGCTTCATAGCCATAACCCAAATGGCTTCAGACCCACTCTGTCAATGTCACCTCCCCGCATCAATCTCCTCTCTCAAGTATCTCTGCCGCCCTATGCCCGCACTGTAGGTCGCGGCGTCCACCTCAGGATTTATCCCCGCCCCGCAAACATCCGTGAAAGCCGGAACATTCTCGACGTGCTACGAAACTATGGCGACGTGGTCATGTATCAGCATCTGAAACATGATCCAGCTATCAAAGCCGCGAACTCAGCTCTGGCGCTGTATAGAGAGAAAGCTGAGGCGGCTAGCTTGATCAGCGCTAGTCCGATACGCCTGGAGATGGGATCCTGGGGCGTCCAGCAGCTCAAAAGAGAAGAGTCAGATGCGGCGGATGCGAAGGAAGATGAAGGATCAGCTGTCTCTGCGACTTCGAAGAGAGGCTTTCATATTACGGTCGAGCCCACCAAGATGAACTTCCAGACCCTCATCCAACGACAGCAGTACTACAGCTCCTTTGAACTCGATAAGACTGATATTGTGTTCCAGGATCTGTGTAAGCGGGTACCTGTGGTGGGAATGGCCGACTGCCAACTTGACAGGGGAGAGGTACCCCTGAGATTGAGGGTGAAGAAGCTTGAAAAGGAAAGGCTGGATAACAAAGGGCCATGGAGAGAGCCATTGCGGACTATGATGGGAGAGTGATATGTCCCATGAGCTGCAGGTTCACAATCCGTCTAGATCGATCGACCCAACAGCAGCATTCTTTCCACATAAGGAAGGTGGAAGTCAATCGGGTGGCGCATAGAGAAGGTAGCAAAATCGCTACAGTACGTGCAGTGTTGTTGAGCAATGAAGCCAGGCAACCCTAACGACGCTTTGAACGAAGAAAAGAAGTCCGTGTTATTGACAAGGATCTGCTTTAGATTCGTCGAGGAGTTCAGATCCTAAGGATTTTTACAAGCTTCGAGGAATAATGCGTCCGACATGTGCTCCAGCCGTATCCTACATGTTTCCAACAAATGAAGACGCTTGTTCCGCGGCCTTTTTTGTTGTCGGAGGCCTGTAATCGCCTTGTGCTATTCATATCAGTCAATGACCTCGTCGATTAATCTACTTTGATTGCCCTGATACCATTAGTCTTTCGTCCAGCAGTGTCGCAAGAGCAGTCCACTCACGCATATATTCTCCTCACAAATGTATAGGCCGTTATGAATCCCACCGTCCCCATTAATAGCCCATATACCGCACACCCCAACCCGCAATAAGAGAAGAATAACAGCCCGCTTATGAGCCCCTGTATGTTCAACTTGGTCCAATAAAACCATACACAATAAATGTAAATCCACACTGCAGAACCAGCTCCAGTGAATATGCTCTGCCACCACCAGTGATAATTTTCCGCACAGAGCTGAACGTAAGTTGAAACAATAGTCACCTCAATCACGGTGACAATGTTGACAAAGGAGACTACGGAAAGGAAGCCGAAGACATAATAATACCCAGACTTGTCCTGCCAGATACTTCGAAAGACAAATAGGAGCTCGATGAAGATGACTGCGAAGGGCACAAGTCCAGCAAGCAGAACACTGTAAGCTGGCGTCGTGTACCAAGGCTGTCCTGGTATCTGCCTTGGTATTTTGCTAGTTTTGGTCGGGTGATCATATGGCTTGGAATAATGTTCGCCATACCAGCTTCCAACATAGACCAGAGGTAATTGTACGAGCAACCAAAGGGCGACAATGCCAACAAGAGTGCCGAATGGTAATGCGGTGCTCGAGGCTTGCGCCCAAACGAACAGATTCAGCACGAAGAGAGTGGTGAAGAGAGCGCCAGGGAAGAGCAGAGCCGTTTGAAGTGTGTTGCGACGCCAGTCAGAGCCATTGAAGGTTTTGTAGAGACGAGCAGAGAAGTAACCCGAGACGAGGCCAGCGAAGATAAAGAGGCCCACGCCTACGCTGACGAAGCCGCCGCGAAAACTTGGGTTGAGAACGCCCAGCTAAAGGACATTAGTGTTAGCTGCAGTATCCAAGAGAAAATTGTTTCGATTCCACTCACTGTACTCAAAATCAATAGACCGAAGGCCATAAAGACTAGCTGAGACCCTGAGCCTATCAATGGCGGCAGAAGGCCAGCGTAATGAGGAGAGCGAAAAGCATCTCCATGCAGCTGTTTCCAGCCACTGACATCTTCAACAAATTCATCGTCAGAGGAGTTATCGCCTTCCTCGTTTTCGCTCTTTTGCTCCAGCAAGCCTGCACTCTTTTCGTGCAAGGGTTTTGACCGAAGTTTTGGTGGTCTTGACTTCAATTTGACCCTGCCTTCTTCGGCGCTGCCGTCTTTTGACCGTCCGCGCACGTCTCCGATGATAGTCTTTGCAAATATCATCACCACGACTGCCGTCAAGAGAGAGCTTATGACAAGGGAATTGATTATTGCGAGCCAATGGATGCTGTTGCCTTCTTCTTGATTGTTGAAATAAGGGTCCCACCTTCGCGACCACTCAATCTTGTTGTCTTCCCTGTAGTACACGGAATAAGAGTAAGGGATGTTCAGCGTCATCCCATCACTCACTTCCTCTTCTGGCAATTGATCTGAGGAATGGGGGAAGTCCCTTGCGGCGATTGTAGAGTTCTGGGTAAGATAAAGCTCCATGCCTTCATTATCGCCGTGAACATCCTGTGGACATCCATCTCTATCCCTGTGACCTGCCTCAATACTCTTGGGGAAAACTTCGAAACCAACAATGACCCTCCCCCCTTTTCGCCGGCTTTACCTGGTGCCTTACGCCATCGTAGTACTAACATCAAATGATTATTGATGAAGTAGCGCGGCCTCCCGTTCGTCGGGGAGAAATCTTTAAAGCCGAGCTTGAAGCCAGCAGCGTAGTATTTCTGACTCTTGTCCGGGGTCACAAAGGAAGTAGCTCCGGGCAAATTGTCTACAATGTACTCGGTAACGTAGCCATCCTCAATCAGCTGTCTTGCTCTTTGTACCCCCTTGCGATCTGTTTTGTGGCTCCCTAGATATCGGCACTCATTGTCTTGGCCCATCGCAAGATCATAATCCGACGCCATTATTCTGTCGCCTCTCAACACCTCGCCCAGGTTGAGACTGACCCTTCGGCCGCTAGCATATCCTGCATGCTTCTCACCAGTCGGAGGACAGACGAAGGGCAAGTCGTAAAATGCATATTGCAGTTGTGTATTATCTGAGTAGACTTTGTTGACGTGGAGTGGGATAGCCTCATTCTCCACATAACTTCTTATCGACCAGCCTACAAGGGTTTTGTTAGTGCCGCTTTCTGATTAGGGCTGTGGAAACTTGCCAGGTATGTAGAATGGGCTCGTCTGACCTATGCTGAAGCATAATACGAGCAATCGCAAAGCACGCCATCGAGAGTCGGCGTGCATTCTCTATCGGGCCCTTGAGAAACGGAAGGAGCAGTTATACCATCCGTCGCTATTAGAACGACTGTTGTTGACAGTGCCTAGCCTTGCTGAATGGAAGAGAGCCTCCTGGCGGTGAAAATCGTATATATCAATGTTCTGTTCAGGCCACCAGACTTTGCCTGAGCGATGAGTGAGATCAAAGAGGAAGGGCCATTGGAAGAAGTTGCTGTATAAGAACGAATGTGCATTGAAATACTGAAGATTGAAATAGGTATCAATTGAGGACAGCAGGTTTGCAGTTCACATGAAGATCAAAAGCAGCGCAAAACGGTTCTCCGATAATGGACAACGACTAGCAATACGAAAGCATCTTGGCGTTCCGGAAAAGGCCAACAAGAGCCAAGACCGCTCCTGGAACTTCATCAACCTCTTCCGTCCTCGTACGTGAAGAAAGATCGGGGGACTGCTAGTATTGCTTTGGATCTGCGGAATATGCATCCGGTTTCTAACGTGGCTCGTTACAGCGGGGTATACTTGTCTTCATCCCAATATATTTAATTTGAGAATTCCTAACGGTACAAAATGCCGCGGACTGTGCTTAGCAGAATGCCATTGTAAATGGCAAAGGGTCAGCAAGTGCCTGATATCGCAGTCATTACATCTACGTGCATATCAGCGGCTGTCTGTGCGTGGGAATGTGGTGGAAGTTTTCCGTTGCCAATGAACCTCGTGATCCCCAAAACTCTTGGACTAGAGTCTATCAAACGCTTCTCAGAGAAGGCCATTCCCTCGTACTACATTAGGGGCTGTCCCATTGTTTTGCTTACACTCCACGCATATTTGACAAAATTCTTTGTTCCTCCATGCAATGTTGGTCCTTGTCATCAATGGCATTGTATCTCTTTGGGCCAAAGAAATTTGGTATTTGCGATATTCTGCCTATATATTCGATGCCGTTGTTTGAAGAATCTTCGGCAGCTCATCAGAATCATTCAAGTTAGCAATGCCAATATCTGTTAATCGGAATCTTGGAACACTGGCTCGACAGCGACAGACACCGCGATTTACCGAGGATATAAGATATCATCATCCTAAGCTAAATGCTCATGAAGTGCGAGTGGAGGACATTGATCTTATTCCTAACGACCTCTGTCCGGTAGGAGGCTTGACATGGACTATACCACAGGGGGCGGGCTTATTCAACCGTGGTAAGCTTGGGTCCCCTTCTTGTACGGCTGACGATTCCCCGGAGCACATCAGGTCTTGTGTCGCTAGTATATATCTTGATATAGCACAGCTTGTCGAGGAGTACCCAGAATGGGCACATCCATCAACCCAGAGACATGTCTCTCAAGGGGATCAAATAATCCCGCTTGAAGCTATCAACGCTTGTCCTGCAGTGAAGAGATGTCAAGTGCGAGCGTACTCCAATGTCGAAAACATGCCAAAAGCTTCTGTCGAGGCTCTCCCAATAGAATAGGGTGTATGTATCTCGACAAACATAGCAGAATCTAGCGTTGTGGGAGACGCTCAAGGACACGAGGAACATGGGAAGGGACTCAAGCTTTCGAGAGGAAGATCTTGGATTACTTACTGCGGAGAAAATGTTCAATGGGGCCCTACGAGAAATTGTGGCGCGCTCACGACACGAGGGACGGGCGGCGAGTTTTCAGCGTCTGAATAGAAGACCAGTCTATTGTCGAGACAGCAGCAGCGACATGATCTTGTTCTCCAGGTGTTGGCTCAACACATGGTCTTGGTGCTCCAAATCTTGAGCTCTTCAATTTATGATTTCGATCAAATAGATGAATATGATTCAAAGTGCATATTATTCAAAGTCTCCGGCTATTGACGCACATCTTTGAAGGGAGCCCTCGGAAGGTGAGATCGACATTTCCTTCTTTTTGCTGCTGGCTGTTCAGAACAGGTTCATCGCTGGTCTCGAAGCAGGCACATAAGGCGACAGAGGAGCTGGCGCCTTTCTTAAGCTTGCCATCATGCAATTGTGGCTTATGCTATATGCTACCAGAAGTTCAGAACTGTGGGCGGTGCATTGCTAATATGCCTCGGTACGGTGGCGATGGTCCCTGGTCGGGAGATGCCGCACCAAAATAGAAAACCCCCTTCGAAATATCACGGTAGCATCATGAGCCACCACGAGGGATCATGCGTTCGTGAGGTTAATGGCACTTCTCCAGCCTCAACTACGTACTTTTATGGCGTCAGCCTACTGTACTGTACCATCTATTGGCTGAATGATTCTCGAACTACGGCGACCCAAGGGCCGTGTCATCCTGCGTACCGGCCACTTCGGGAGCTGATAAAGAAATGTGACTGTTCTTGTCTGATGATTACTCCGTGGCTATGGCACTCTCTCGTGTACCTCGCGAAAGTGGTAGAGTCTTCCAGCATCAGTCTTTGGTGCCGGCCATCTGGCGGAAGACACCTCGTGTAATATTATTCATCTTGTGATAGGGTTCGTATTGCTTTGATATAAGAATGCGTGCCTTGGATCTATTTCTGCTTCTCCATTCATCAAAAATTCAGCATATCATCTTTCCTTCAGTATTTCCTTACCACATTCGCTTTGAAGCTTCTGTGCGTTGCATATTCAAACTTCAATAATACACTCATCCTCATCGGACCTGGAATCCTCAAGTATTCCTATAATCTAGCACACATGCAGTACACAAGTTTTTTTGCATTAGCCTTTGCGGCAACAGCAACAGCATGGCCGCACGTGAACAATTCTACCTTCAGCTCGAATCCTTCAGCATCTAACCCTGTACCGACAACCTACCTTCCCTCCGGATCAGCTTCGAATCCAACCTCCAGAACTACTCTCTCAGGCACATCAGGTCGACCATCTGGGTCTGCATCTGGGACTGGCTCTTCGTTGACCGTTTCTAGGCCTTCGGGTACTGGCAGTCGCAGTGGCCGTCCAAGTGGACCTGCAGGTACGGGGAACAGTGGCAGCCATCCAAATGGGCCCACTGGTACCGGTCACGGAGGTGTTCCTCCCATTACCTCCCAAAGCCCTCCTTCAATCACGACTGTGACGGTCCCTGGTAATGGCCAATCGTTTACAACGAAGACGAATTTCATTACCACAACCTCAACCGTCACCATCACGAAGTTTGTTCCCTGTAGTACGATTGTTACGGTTGACCATGGCAACACAATCTATTCTTCGTCGTTGACTACTTCATTGGCTACGAGCACGTCAACTGGTGTGATCACGGAATACACTGTCCTCGTCCCCACCCCTGCACCTGGAAAGGGTAAATCAGAAGGAAACGACAATGGCAAGGGGTCGAACGGCTCTAATGGCGCCAATGGTCAAGCAGATAATTGCCCTCCGGCTTCGACTGTCTACGTGACTGTCACTGTTGCAGCTGGGCCACAGTCAACACCAGCGCCCGGCTCGCAAGGATCATCGAGTCAAAATGGTCAGAACGGTCAGAACGGCAACGTCCCGCAACCTCCGAATGGGTCTCAGCCAAATAAGCCACCCTTCCCGTTGCCGAGCGACTCCAACTCAGCACCGCTCCCAAGCGGCAGCGGTAGTGGTTCCCCAAAGCCTTCGGGCACGGGCCTAAAGCCTTCGGGCACGGGTACAAAGGTTCAGCCGACTGGAAAGTAAAGGGATTCAGTCAAGAGGGATGAAAAGTGACGATTTTCACGCATAGCGACGACCACACGGATAGAGATGCATTTAGCGAAGGCGAATTCTGGGTGGCGGCTTAGTTAATTCTAAAGACTCTTATTCATCCATAGACATTGATAAATACGAAAAAGTTAATGAGGAAAACAGAATGTCTATTTGTCCAACCCAAAGACTGCAGGTGTTGGCATTTGAGTACTTCTTTCCACCGTCTTCGCCAGAAGTCCGCCCGTCTTGACGCTTCCATGTCCCAGAACAGTCCTCTGGAGCCGCAAGAAGGGCCCATCACCAACATGCGCAGCTGCTGTGAGCCTGGGGCTGGCGTGAGAGACGATTGAGATGAGGAATCCGTCATGAAGTAGCGGAGGGGCATCCTCCTAGGCGTTTGGCCGCCTTCAGGAAGAAGGAGAAGTTTCTCTGAAGTGGAACCTGATGGAGGCGGTGCTTCACAGATCAGGTCTAATTAGTCCGCTTCCCGCCTTGGCGGCTGATCTGCTCAGCCTTGCGAACTACGGATACGGCGGCGTGGCGATGGCACTTGAACGAGTGACAAACACAACATTCTCTACAGCGTCATCTTTCTTTCCCATATTTCATGCAGTGGCCATCATAAATATCAGCGCTCTGCACCGTCCTGTCGACCGACAAGAATTGCCACCTTCCATTGCCACCCGGATCTCGTGAAAAACCCCAACCATTCTATCTTTGGACCGCACTCTGCATACGTCATTCCAAATCGCATTCCAGACAATCAACCACCAGAGATCGAAAGGTTACCATGAGGCTCACGAGTTCTCTTGCCTGCTGCCTTGTCATCCCCCTCGCTATCAGCCTTACCTTCTCCTCTAGACGGAGCGTTCAAATCAGATCTCTCGACGAGCGGGACGCGCAGTCAGAGCCCAGAGAACTCGCCGAAGTGCTTACCGGGCCTCTGAGTGAAAGAGATGACGTTGGATTATTCAGCTATCTAGCGAAGAGGAGAGGGGGAGGTGGTTCTGGTGGAGGGGGGGACGAGGTAGTGGATCATCCTCCTCGGGTTCCTCTTCATCCGGCTCCTCATCCTCTGGTTCTTCATCTTCTGGCTCTTCTGGCTCTTCCTCGGGTGGGAGTTCAAGCTCGGGTGGGAGCAGTGGAGCGGCTGGTGGATCGAGGAACACAGGCACTGCTAGGTATAGATTCATCATGCCCACCGCTTGTAACATTTTGCGAGGCTAATCCTACCTTACTAGTTCTTCATCCTCAGTCTCACCCTCGTATGGTGGAGGCCGCTACTTTGGCGGTGGCTCGACAACGCCCTACCGCTCTGGTGCACGTACTCCAGGTGGACTCGTCCCCTTCGTCCTTGTAGGTGGCGCTATTGGTGCCGCAGCAATTTTCCCCGGTCTATGGCTCTATGGCGCCTACTCATACAATTGGAACCATCCATACAGTTTCCGCAACCGGACGAACACCACCTCGAACAGGAACGAATCTTTGCCCGTGACTTGCCTCTGTCAGCAGTATAGTGCTTGCGGGTGTGATGACAACAATGATAATAGCTATCTGGACTCAGTGATTGGAAATGGGAGTTTCAACGGTCTGAACAAGACCCTGGTGAATGTTGCAAATGTGAATGGGACGAAGACCGTGGTCTTGAACGGTACTTTACCGAACGGGACAGATACGACCGCTTCCAGCTCGAGTTCGAGTTCCAGCAGCACCAGTGGCGCAAGCAGCTTGGTTGTTGGGGAGAGTGCTGGATTATGGGCTCTTGGAGCTTTTGTGGGAGGCATGCTCTGGATGCTGTAGTGTGAATATTTTGAAGAAGATTGTGGACGGGATGAACATAAGATACCCTGGGTGGCAAGTTTTGGGATATTAGATGGTATTGGCCATGCGGAGTCACTGGCGCTCTGGCTCGATGCCTGAATTCCATGGAAGTCAGACGGTCAGGTTTGCAGGATGCTAATGGCCAACAGCATGCCGAGAAAGACGTGATATGGAGACTTGAGGCAGGACAAAACTTCGCTGGAAACGCATGAGGCCTGCTGGGGGAATGTCTATGGATGCGTGAGAAACAATGCATGTGTGCTACAAAACTAGTGTAATAGTCTTTGGATAGCCAAAATGCTGCTATGTACGCATGCTCTTATCCAGTGACACTTCCACGTTATTCTGTTCTTACTATCTCTTGAGGGGAAAGCAAAGTAACCGGCCAGATTGCTCGACCACAAACCTCTTATAGCCATTTTCTCCAATGCAGCCACTGGCATTAGCCAATTCAAAGTCATAATTTGCTCGTCGCGTGGTGTAGCGGCTGGGATCGTTGTCAGCTCTCTGCAGCGTATGGCTTGATGATTCGACTGTGATTCCAGCTCTCTGTGACATCTGTATCTGTACTGTCGGATTGTCTTCGTTATTTGCCTCCACCTTTTATAATATTTGACGCGGAAGGCGTTGCATTTTGAGCTTCACGGGTTTCCATTTGATGGAACTTAGAACCGTTGACTGTTTGACTTATCAGTAACACGATTAATATTGCATTGCCCAAGGGATAACCAGAAGCAACTGAATCGAGTGAATGACGGAGGGGACCATTCAAGTGGCACAAGGCAATAAGTTTCGCCTTATCGCAGAACAATCGCATGCTGAATCGACCAGGCTTTCAATGCCGTGTGCTGCACGGAACGGATGCACTCAAAATGCAATGAGTGGCAAGACGATCCTTTTTCCACGTTGATAAAACTTCTCGTGCCTCGAAGTGAAGTTTAATAGATTTACAGCTCGACTGCGTTTGTGGTATTCTGACTGAAGCGAAGACCCGCACGAGCACCTCTCATGAACAGAGAAAATGGATTGCTTCCTGAGTACATGTACCGTCTTGAAAAGCGACAGCCAATACCAAGGCGGAGAGTAAAATCTGAGATGATCAGACGTTCCGCAATGATGAGGCTCAATGGTTGATAACCTGGGGAAGATGACTACATCATCACTCAGATAGACTGTTTCAACGAAGTCAATCTGGGGAAATGAGATGGAAGCTAGCGGATTGCGAGATAAGGGGCAAAATTGAAGAAGAAGTGCGCCCTCTAAGTTTCCTGCCGGAAACTTCACCACGATTTGCCAACTCTGCAGGCATATTTGAATCTGGCCGTCGAGGCTGGTGAGCCAGGCTTGAGACCGCCTGGCCGCATGTCTATTTCGGGCCCAATTAGACATGGGGGCCCTCGGGGCTTTTTCGAGGGTGGCCAGAATTTCGTCTCGATAGAATTGTCCGACAGCAGTGGCTTGGCCTTCCTCACTGTTTCGCTGTCAAACACCCTAGCAATCTGTTCGCGTATATGCAAACCGTGCAACTGACAGACTTGCAGCTTTTCCTTGCCTCAGACTGATCTCTCTATGCCGCATCATGTTGTCTGAGATGCTTGGTCTTGCCGCAAGAAGCCCCCTCCCTGCAGCGGAAGCTGGTGTCGTAGAGTTTCATCCACCCGCACCTCGTATTTTGAAATGACGATATCGCCCATGTTCCGATGACCAGGAGATTGCAGAAAAGCACAGACTGCACGATAGACTTGCCGAATCTTTCCGCCCCTTCAGTTCCCAACAGACATATCATTATTGGGGGAAGGATCTCAGCGTAGCGTCCAAAGCAGCTTCGATTTCATCGCAGCCCTCGATTTGGACGGCCAGCGGGCCAGGGTTCCCAGGAGGGAAAAGAGCTTCCAGCTCTTAGCGCCCCCCAATTTGAAAAATTTCCTGCCACCAGCGACTGGTTGACGGCGGACCGCTGTGCTAAGCAAGGTTGCGGCCAATCGTGGATTTCATGGTCCCAACCTCTTTTTTCCCCAGCCTAAGCTGCGGGCTTCCCTCGAACGCTTTGAATGATGAGGCAGATCGTATCCCTCGAGGACGAAGTGGAGCCGCTGAGACAAGCAAGAGAAACGGTGGTGCACCCTTCGCGCAGGACAGACTGTGGGGAGTCTGGCTGGGTTGCATCTCTGCCTCGGGTGGGGAAGATGGTACGTATCTGCCGTCGCTGCGAGCTCTCTCGCTTGGGGTTGATCGAACCGATTGAATAATGATGAATGATTACCATTTCCCAAGCGGTAAAAAGTCATCTTCTTCCAGCCTGCGAGCCTGCTTGTGTTCTTGCTTTGAGTTCGGCGGAGAGCAGTGTAGATCCTCTTGAAGCCGAGCCCCGGTCGCCAACGATAGTCCCGCCCACATGCAGCGAGTGAGCGAGTCGAGACCGTTGCTGTGCCAATCATACGCTCGTATCGAGCAGAAGGTGGAGCTACACTAGGACGCCGGTGGGCTAGCGGTTCACATTTAGCATCTGGGAGAGAAGGCCCTTGCCCTGTTTGAGCGTTAGTCCTGCCAATGGCGCCTGTTGCTAGGCAGGTTGCCCGCGTAATCAGCATCCCAGCCTGGCAATTACTTGGCAGCCACCGACCACCCTAAATTGCCCTAGCCCCCCGTTCCCCCTGAAGGCGCGCCCCCCATAGATAAACACCATTTCGCCCACATTCCTCCACTCTCTCTCATCTCACTCACATCCACATACAATATCACAATCATCCCGCGTGTTCATCCATCCGTTTCAATCGCTTTCGATCTTCATCAAGATCACTTCCACTCGCTGACCAGTACTATAATATCAACGACTTAATAATAATACCCTCCTCCCCCCAATACTACCTCACCTTACACTACCAATCATCAACAACAGCACACGACACTAAAAATGCAATTCTCACTGGAATTCCTCCTCACCTTGGCCTTTGCTGCCACCGCCATTGCTGTCCCCCAGCAGGCCGCTTCCGTTATTGGAGACGGTCAACCTCAAGTCGCCACCTCGGCCGCCGCTGTCTCGCAGATCACTGACGGCCAGGTCCAGGCTGCAACAACCGCAGCTGCTGTCTCGCAGATCACTGACGGCCAGATCCAGGCTGCCACAACTGCCGCTGCCGTTTCCCAGATCACTGACGGTCAAGTCCAAGCACCTGTGTCTACTGCCGCTGCTGTCTCGCAAATCACCGATGGCCAGGTACAAGTGCCAACCTCCACCGCAGCAGGTGTCTCCCAAATCACCGACGGACAGATCCAAGCCGGTACATCAGGCGTCCCAGCACCATCTGCCAACGGCACTTTCACCACCTCCAGCCCATCCGCCTCACCATTCGTTGGTGCTGCTGCTTTGGCCAGCTGGAACAAGGAACTCGTGGTGGCTGCCATTGGTGCCGCTGCCGGGTTCGCTCTCTTGTAAAATGCTCTCCTCATGAACGGATTACGGTTGACGCCAGTTTCGACACGGCACTTCTGGGGTGGAGCATTTGGAGTGAGGAATGGAAAATCTGGAGCGACCTTGCAATCTTGTTACAAATGCGTGTACACTCGAAATAGCATCGGTTACGCTTTAGGCACGATTAATCACGGGGATGAACGTGGAAGGATTGGCGCTTGAATAGCATTATCATTCATGTATTTAGCATCAAAAGGCATTCCGTCGGTACTGAGCAGAATCTGAACATGCAAAAAAAACTTTCTCTAGTATCTTACACTACAGGTCGTACATCCCAAGTAACTTAGATTGTTGAAGCGGTCCACCTTGCTCGTTGTCCTCGCTCGTGCTTGTCTCTAAATACAAATGCTGATAACACTGTTGCTGCGTCCAGTGACGCTTAGTTCCACCTTCACTGATCACAAGGCGACCTACTCTACTGCCTCTTCGAAAACACATAGCTCGGTCATATTTTCATGTCAATCGTCCACTCTCGTCGGCCCGTGATGACTCGATGCTCCCACTGGTCCACTCCACGTGAACACAGACCTCGAGGTGAAACGGTCGCCTCCGAGCGGCTTTCGGCACACACCTAAGTGATTGAATTGAATTTACCCTACGAAGGAGCGACTGTTATTAGGCCATGTCACACATAAAAGTCTCAAACACCCCTCACATTCCTTTTGTGAATCTCAATATTCGATGCCCGACTTCGGGTGACACCTTCGTCTTTTTTGGGGAAAACCTTGAGTGGAAATCTTCAGCAATTACATGAGCAGTGAGCAACATGCAGAAAGCATTCTGGATGAAACGGTTCCTTCAGCGTATCTCCGTCATGGTGATGCAGCTAAGGAGCAGCCAGAGCCTGCTTTCCCCGAGTTAATACACCATGCGGAAAAGAGGGACCAGCCCTCAGCGCAAACCACATCCTCTGGAAGCGGGACAGTTGTATCTCCTGCTGCCAGGGCCGGACCTAAAGAGTCGGACAATGAGAAAAGCAATCAACGTGCTTCGAGTGAGAGTTCTGGTGGTTCCTCTCCGTCATCACCCCCTCCCCTTCAACTAGCTCGCTCGGATACACTGAATCGCCAAACCTCCGTTGATTCATACGGCAACACATATCCTGAAGGAGGCCTTCGTGCCTGGCTCGTTGTATATGGCTCCTTCAGCGGTATGACGGCGTCGTTTGGTCTTATGAACACAATTGGCACCTACCAAGCGTATCTCAGTACGCACCAATTGTCTCACCTGGATGAGAGTACGATCGGGTGGATCTTCAGCATATACACATTCATGGCATTCTTTTGTGGGGTACAGATAGGGCCAGTCTTTGATGCAAAAGGACCCCGACTTTTGGTCTTGGCTGGAACTTTGTGCATGGTGGGAGGCACCCTTGGCATAGCTGAAAGCACAGGTAAGACGAGTCTTCTCCACCTTCGCAACGAGTCCCTCGCTAAGCTTGACTTCAATCACTAGAGCTATGGCACTTCATCCTCTCCTTCTCGCTTGCCGCTGGCTTGGGCACGTCCTTGATATTTACCCCTGCCATCGGCTCCATCGCACATTTCTTCCTCATCAGACGTGCTTCAGCTACTGGTCTCGCTACAACTGGAGGCAGTATTGGTGGGATAATCTTCCCACTCATGTTGCAGCGCCTGTTCCCTCATGTGGGCTTCCGTTGGGCGACGCGGATCCTTGCATTCATTTTTCTATTCCAACTTATCGTGGCCAACATCCTCATCCGTTCGCGGCTACCTCCACCACCAAAGGGAAGTCCAGCCACAAGTATGTGGCCTGACTGGAGGATATTCAAGAATCTTACTTTCTGCCTGACTACCGCGGGGACCTTCTTCGTGGAGTGGGCGCTTTTCGTACCTCTCACTTATATCACCTCATACTCTATCGCTCACGGAATATCCCCCAGCTTTTCGTATCAACTACTCGCTGTTCTGTAAGTAATATTCTCCGAGTGAAGAGAAACATTGCTAACTGCAATTTGATGAAGAAACGCCGGTTCCTTCTTCGGTCGCTGGGCGCCAGGATACGTGGCTGACAAGTTTGGAAGGTTCAATACTATGATCGTCACCGTTGGCATATGCATGATCTCCGTCTTGCTTCTCTGGTTGACCTGCTCCGTTTCTGTCAATATCGTTCCACAGATCATCGTCTTTGCATTGATATTCGGCTTTGCTAGCGGATCGAATATCAGTCTTGTCCCTGTCTGTGTGGGGCAGCTCTGCGAAACCGAGGTTTTTGGACGTTGGTACGCGAGCCTTTATACTATTGTCAGCTTTGGTTGCTTGACGGGCATTCCGCTTGCAGGAGGCATATTATCTCAGGAGGATGGGGGATATGAAGGATTGATTGTGTTTGTGGGTGTAGCATATGCGGCTGGACTAGTCTCCTTCACGGCTGCTAGGGTTCGGGAAGTCGGCTGGGGATTGAAGCAGATTTACTGACGAGGGTGAGAAGCTTGGTCGCAGTATAGGTACAAAATTTGCAGGATATAATCTTAGACAAGCGTTTAGACAAAGAGAGGAACTACGCATGCATAAAATGTAGCGCAAGAATAACAAGCCCTCCAAATAAAACATCCTGCAAAAAGCGTTAGCATGTTCTCGTCCATGGTTTACTGAGTACGGTTTCTTACAACGACCTGTTAGTTGCAAAGGCAAATTCAAGGCTTGCTTCCTGAATTAAATAGCTTGCTGCAATGCCCCGTAGCAAGATAAGATGATACAATAGTAATATTAGTTTACTCTACGTCACCTTTCGCTGCTGGGTGATGGGAGTGCTGCTTGGAAAGATCCCACGAGTTCCGCAATGAGACCGACCAGATACGCACGAGCAAGAGAAAGGATGCTCAGCAGACACCGACCTCCTGCAGGCGCTCAGTAGGGCAGAAGGGTCATTTTCCTTATGCCTAGGCCCACCAAGGTAAGGAGATATCGCTGCGGCATTATGCATATGTAAAACTCGACGTGCATTGCAGTGGATGGCTAGAATTATGTTGGTCCAACATGTCAAGATCAGGCACCGTGGGGGTCCACGAATTCAATTGAGGAACATAGACCCTGTAGGAATGAGAGAGTGGTCTACTTGAGAACTGAAGGCTCCTGATGAGGCATAGGTCTCATCAATTGAAGACAATCTAAGCCAGGCTTCTCGCAAGCCTTCTGCAGGCTCACCAATTGAGCATTGCATTCAACGAAGCATGTTTGCCCATCTTTGATCACAGTGTGAGCTCGCTTATGGCTTTCTCGAATTCGAATCTGGCTCTCATTTGGATGGCGGCAAGGCTTCGCTCACTCCGAGGTCGGTATGAGTGTTGAGCGTCGAAGGGTGAATGGAATTCGGTCAGCGTGGCCATACTCCGTCTTGGCCCTCAAAGACACGATGGTCATTAGTTCACTTTCTGGCGAATCAGACAGGCCCTTACCCCAGGCCAAGCGGTTGCAACGTTACGTTCTACGCGTCATTACGAAGAAAATGTGAGCGCTAAGATGCTTGGAGAAATCTTGCACATGACTGCGACAACCTCATCAGCACTAATCACAATGCTACAAGACCTGATATTGATAGCAAGGCTAGGCAGAGATCGTCCATCTCCATCTGGAGTGACCAGACCACCCGTTGGATTGTGTGGGTATACGTACTCTACCACCAACGCACAGCTGGAGATCTCTGACATTGCATCGCCAGCCCGGGGTTTCACAACATCCTGGACGCATTATCTGGTAACTAGCTGCAGGCGTCTACTCTACAATCAAAAAAATATGTCATTAGCCTCCTCGCCGACTCTCTGGCCGACATGTCCCTCTCCCTCATTGGACCTCCGCACGGCTGACTTCTTCCCCCACTCAGAGCGCTCTTGGCGCGCTCAAAGCAGCTTAGCCCTGCCAATTCTGATGCTCCAACTCCCCGTCGTTTTCGCGGAGACCCCAGCCCACTATTGAGCCCACCGCACCACAAGAAGCCCAACTCTCCGTCTTTGCCCTAGCATGTAGCATACAGCCTATGCCAAACAAAGCTATTGACTTCCCCCGGGTAAAGCGTAAGAACCACCACCAAGCATCCTGTACTTAAAAGTCTGCCAAAGTCGCCCCATCTTTTCAATTCCTCCTGCATTTCTGCCCTCCTGCAACCTCTCTCTCGCCACACCTGAAGCTGGGACGAATCTCCTCTCTCTTTCCGCGGAGCTGGAAATCCGTCGACTCTCTCACTGCGTCCTTATCTATAGAGCACGCCTCGGTCGATAGGGCCTTGAAAGCTCGACATCTTCAGTCCACCAAGTCGTAGCATCACATGTTGGAAGAAAAACGCAGGTTCAAGTGTGCTCTTCTGTTTTCCTGATTCAATCCGCGCAAAAATCAGTCGAATCATCGCCGTCCTTCAGCTTGCTCAAGCCCCAAATCGAGCGCAAGCAAATACCATCAATCCAAATCGGGGATTAAACACTATCGATCGAATCGTAGCCACTCTCTCGGGTCCTGGTAAAGTATCCGAAAATGCCTACGTTTCTGAACCCCTTCCAGAAACATGATGTTTCGGACTTTCCGGACACCTATGTCCCCCTCTCTCAAGCTCAGCGGCACCCTTCGGTCGTCGACGCCTACGGTAACAACTTGGCGGGACTTGCACCTGGCACAGATGGCGACAAGGATTACGGAAAGGACATCAAAGGCGATGACAGCCCAACTAAGTCAGGCAGCTTCAAGAATGCTGCCGAGGGTGGTGTCGACGAGCTCACTCTAGATGCGCTGCGGGCTGAGATCGATGCTGATGTTTCGGCCTACGGCCATGACTCCGCGTACGACCGCAAAGCAAAAGTAATTAACAAGGCCTTGATGGACATCGGTATGGGTTCCTACCAGTGGCAGCTTTTCGTTCTTTGCGGTTTTGGCTGGCTGGCAGACAATCTCTGGCTCCAGACTGTGGCCTTAACTCTGCCATCCTTGACCTCGGAGTTTGGTCCCAGTGAGACCCATGTCAGATACACCACCTGTGCCACCTTCATCGGCCTGTGCATCGGAGCGTCTTTCTGGGGGGTGGCTTCGGACGTCATTGGGCGACGTCTCGCTTTCAATGCGACCCTCTTCATTGCTGGTATCTTTGGTCTATCAATTGGAGGTGGACCCAATTGGATTGGAACATGTGGTCTGTATGCTGCTTTGGGCGTTGGAATCGGCGGCAACCTTCCCGTTGATGGCGCCCTTTTCTTGGAATTCATCCCAGCCGCATCGCAAGGTCTCTTGACCCTTCTCTCAGTCTGGTGGCCTGTCGGACAATTGCTGACATCGCTTTTCGCTTGGGGCTTTCTTGTCAAGTATAAATGCGATTCGGAGCTAAAGGCTTGCAGTCTGGTTGGTCCCGGTGAAGCATGTTGCCACAAGAATATGAATTGGGGCTGGCGTTACCTCAACATTACCTGCGGCGCCCTCACCTTTCTGATGTTTTCTGCCCGCTTCTTCTTCTTCCATTTGTTTGAATCGCCAAAATTCTTGCTTTCCCGTGGACGCCAGTCAGAAGCAGTCGCTACCGTGCATGGCATCGCCTGGAAGAATGGGAAGAAGACATGGATATCTGAGGAAGTATTAAACGCCATTGGAGGTGATCCAGAAGTTGTGAGCGGCCAAAAGCTTTCTTTCACCGAGACTATCAGTCGATTCTTCAGCAAATTCTCCACCCAAAGGATCGGTCCACTTTTCGCCAACAAGAAGCTCGGCATCACTACGGGGCTTATTTGGTTCTGTTGGACAACAATCGGCATGGGCTATCCATTGTTCAATGCCTTCTTGCCACAGTACTTGGCACAATCAGGCAATAATGGGCCACAGTCGAACGATATTGTCTACCGCAACTACGCTATTACGTCGATTGTAGGTGTACCAGGGAGTATTATCGCCTATTTCACCGTGGACATCAAGTATATCGGGCGCAAAGGCACAATTGCTAGCTCAACGCTGATTACCGGAATTTTCGTATTTCTTTTCACGGCAAGCACTGATTCGAATTTTCAGCTTGCTTTTACCTGCCTCGAGGCCTTTTTCCAGAGTAAGTTGTCTGTCATCTCCAGATCATCCTTTTCCCGTTCCTCCAACAGCCTCTGCTATTGATCTGCGTTGCCGACCATTGATTCAATCGCCATGCTTACATAGCTTCCAGATATCATGTACGGCGTGCTCTACGCGTACACTCCTGAAGTCTTCCCTGCTCCCAACCGTGGGACAGGTACAGGTATTGCATCTTGTTTGAACCGTATCGCAGGCCTTTGTGCGCCGATTGTAGCTGTCAATGCTGGTGAGGCGAATCCAAAGGCGCCTATCTATGCTTCTGGAGGCTTGTTCATAGCTGCATTCATTGCTATGTGCTGCTTTCCTATCGAAACACGGGGTAAGCAGAGTCTGTAATTGGACGTCTACGTTCTTGGCATCACTCGGAGCTTTTGGACATCAATGTATACAAGCCTGGCACACGAAGAACATTCTTTTGTATACCCATCTTTCAATACGAATATACCCATGTTAGATGAATTTAGGTGCAGCGAAATCCGCTACATTACTCGTTTCCCTTGACACGATTAGCGGTAGCCCTGAACACTAAAATGTCCTGTTGCTAGCACCGTCTCTTCGTAGATGTATTTGCCTAAATACGCGCATTAGAGGGCGCAGAACACCGTCACATGTTATCCATAAGCCAAGGGCGCTTAAAGGGGCTTTACGAGGCTCGCGGCTATCTTCGCCTTGGATGTCCTATGAGTATTGGCAGTCGCGAGCGAGGCTGATCGAGGTAATCCATTGTGACCCGTTGACGTGCCGAGCCGATTGGGTAGTTGAGGGCCTACATGCCTTACCTTATTCAGGCTTACCAACTGAGTGCCTCTCAAATCGACCTACAGAAATATGGATCATCTACCAGAAGAACTCGTCATACACATCACTAACTGTGAACCTGCCCCCACCCTCCTATGATCAGATCTCATATGAGTTAGAGCTGTACTGATCATCCTGCAGTTCTCTCAGCGCGATCCATCATAGCATTGAACGCGGTCTCAAAGCGGTTCTACGATATAACCTCCGACAACGAGCTTTGGAGGCATCGCTGCTTCAACGAGTCGCCCTCCCAGTATGCTCGACCATACGGTCTTTCTCGCTCTCGATCCGTTCGAAAACAGCTACAGGAACGGACAGCACTGAATTTGGAAAGAGCGTTGACAGGATCCAGTGGCCGTACCCTCGTACAAGGCAATGCCAGAAGTCGCAGTCTGGGAAGATCTGCCGGAGGCGCTGAAGAATCCATTTCGCCTGAAAACAGACGTTTCGCAAGCCAAATAAATGGCGATCGTAACATTGCCAGCTGGGATCCTACGGTGCCGGGGGAGAAAGTAGACTGGTATCAGGAGTACATTGCAAGACACGCTCCTTTGGCTCTAGACTGGTTACCCCCTCCCCAGCCAAGACAGGGATTAGAGACTAGAGGCCTTGAAGCCAAAGGTGTTGGCATTCTCAACAATGAGAAAGTCCTAGCGCCCCTAGAGGACGGCAGCATATGTATCTGGGATATCGGAGACTCTTTCACAAGCATCACGGCGCGTAGTTCACCGGGTATACTGACAAAACCATCACTTGGGTCTCTGAGAAGGCCCCAGCTGTCATCCTCCCCTGCATCGAATTCAGCAGTGACCGAGATTGGGAGCGTTGAATGCGTCTCCGTCGACTCTTCCCTCGGTAGGGCTTACATGGCTATAGAAGATCAACTCCATGAAGTCGATCTCAATACCCTTCAGATGGTCACGAGTCATCACTATCCCCAACATATCACTGCTCTTTCCGAGGGGTCACACCCTGCACCTTTGACTGTGGGTACAACGCAATCTTTGCATATTCATGATCCTCGTATGGGGCGGAGTAATGATATGCCAGCTACAAATATCAGGGAGTACTTAGAAGATGGCAAGGCGCAGGACTTTCATCGAATATATACTGGAGACTCTATCCACGCCAGCCTTGAACCATTACCGTTGTCGATCCTCCATAATGGTACCAACATGATCCATGTTGCTGGTCGCTTTCCTAGTATACTGAATTATGACCGTCGACACTTTCCTCAGATATCATCGACCGTGCACACAGGTGCAAGACTCAGCTGCATAGCTCACGTTCCATCTGACACTCCCAGCACGAGTACTCTGGCAGCAGCAGGCGAATACGGTACTAAGGGCTCCTTAGAACTTTACCACTTATCAGAAACAGGGTCCCTAGCTGGGGAACCAACCAGAAATCGTGCCACCACCTCAAGTAGTAAATGCCTTTCTCTGGTCGCGCAAGGCACACGGTTGCTCTTTTCAGACTCCGATGGATTACTGAAATGGGTGGAACGAGATTGCTCAACGCTCGTACGGCGGTGGAATGTCAATACCACCTATTCCAGTACTCTAAATGAACCTGGCAGACCATCAACGACAAGTGGCATATTCAATGCCGAAATTAACGCGGGCGACGTTGCACGCAAATTGATCTCAGTCGACGGCCATGATGCAAAGGGCGATATAGTGATATGGACTGGTGAGAGGATTGGAGTTATGAGTTACGGGCAGCAGCGAAAAGATTTAAGTGGTAAGGGGAAGGGCAGGGGCAAGGCGTCACCTGACATAAGAAAAGAGCCAGCTTCCGATACTCCCAGCGACGAAGAACGAGACTACTCGACGATGATGAGGAGAGCGCTGGAGAAGCAGGCCGACGAGGTAAGATTTGTCAGAGGTCTAGGACTTGGTAGGTCATCATAAGCCCAGCCCACTGGCTAGAATACGATGACATGATCTTGGATGTCATTTGCCATTGTCTTTTCTTTTCACCTACTTCAGACATTGGAATTGCTACTTGCCAAACTCAGGAAACCGAGCTATGCAGACGCTGTGCCCCAAGGATAACGAGCGAAATGGAGCCAGGCAGAAGGGGCGAGTCGAACCGCAACGTTTATTCCGCCGACGGCATCTCAAGGGTTATAGCCCTTGTCGTTTCGCCTCCCCAGAGTCCTAGGGTGAGGTCTAGCAACAGCCTAAGGCACGCCTCCGAAGCGTTAACCTACTTCTTGTATTCTCTTGAACATTCATCTTCTCAAACAAGACTGTCCCGATTAGACATACAATTTTCACATTACCCGTGGCAGGATTTTGTGTCTTTCCCTGGCTATCTACGTCAGAAACTCATTGTGCTGGACGAAGGCACTTGCGTTTTGGAGGAGACCGATAGCAAAATTGAGCTATCTGGAGCAACGTCGAGCCGAAAGCCAAGAAGGTGGCTTCCAGCCTGCTTTTCTAGCACCTTTAGGTCACGGTAGTTCTACACCAAGTGCTACTAGCACAGCATGTTTTACTCTTCGATAGAGCCTTGGTGCAACTATTCTCATTCGTGACAATCGTTTCTCTGTAGATCGCTGCAGCGTCAGTCTATTTCCCGTACCCTCCACCTCATCGCGTCGTTGCCTGTATATCTTTTCTACATAGCAAGAAGCTCCTTTAACAACAAACATCATGTTCGTTATTACCGTCCTTCTTCTTTTGATTCAAGACCTTTCTCAGCCCCGAGCGCAGCGTCTCCGAGCCCAAGAGATCCTCCCAACCATCGCACCCCTTTACATCCGCCAAATTGCCACGTGCACAGCAGGTCAAACGTCCTGTACCGACGGTAGCGGTGGATGCTGCGACATCGGCGCCCTTTGCACCAAACCAAGGGGGGACATCCCCATATGCCAGCAAGATTGCTTCGCCGGCCCCCGCTGCACAGGAGTGTTGACCGGTTTATGCTGTGATCTTGGTGAGCAATGTGACTATCAATCAACCGGCTGCGTGTCAACGAATTTTGGCTTCCAAAATCCTACGTTCACCCAGGAAAGTGAAGTACCTTTTACGCCTACGATTGTCGAGCCAACAACGGCCCTGCCAATCGTACCTGTGCCGGTCAGCATACCTAGCATAAGCATCCACAGTGTAAGCCTACATACCATTAGCTTATACAGCCTTCCGACGCCTATATCTTTCCTGCCGCCCATCTCTGTCCCGCCGCCTATCAGCATTCCTAGACCGGTACCTTTACCTACGGAGATAATACCACCTGTGACTATACCAACTGATGTGCAAGCGACAACCTCACTCCTTTCATCGTCAAGTTTGGACGCATCTACAAGTCAGGAGACTTCAACCTCAATAGTCAGGTCCCCTCCGTCTCAGAGTAGCACCACCACCTCCCTCGCAGAGACAGCGGAGACAACAGCCACGAGTCAGATTGCTTTGACGACGTCTGGAGAGGGAGTCGCCTCGGCTTCAGTCTCCCCAACTGAATCGCCATCAGGTAGTCAGACAAGACTGTCGGTGAGGTTGGAATGGGTGCTTTTTGGCTGCAGCTTGGTGATCCTGCTGTTGTATATCTGAATGACAGTCAATGTTATCGTCGAATCAAGTATAAGATGTTCGAACATTCTGTAGAGGCTCTTTTTCGGGCGGAGAGTCTATGACTTTCTAGGCATGTCATGAGCCGGCTCCTCCTTACTCCCTCCTGCATCCAGAATCCCCCTCTCCCTTCTCCTCTGTCCTACCCACTCCCCCAAGCCCCTCCATACCTCCTCTTTCTCATGCGGTCTCATTCCCGCAGCTAAACCACTTGTAGTCGTCGCCACAAATACCGGGGCTCCCGCCCATTCCTCCGCCCTGTCTCCAGCCTCAATGACACCCATGTTCTCTCTCTCGTCCTGCCATCCATACCTAAACTCCTCCTTCCTGATCTTCCTCCCCCTCCTCACCCGCCAGATCGTCTCCCATATACTCTTCCCAACCAGACAGACACTCTCCGGCCTATGCTCCCTTACTTTCCTCTCCAAAACCTCGACTCCGGCAGCCATCTCATCCCTACTAAGCTCACTCGCATCTTTCGTAGCTCGGCTGACTATGTTGGTATGCCCCAATGCAAACAAATGTGGCAAATCCCCATCTTCTTCGGGTTTGCAGCGGCGGGGTGTGCAGCTGGAGGAGTGGGCGAGTTTCCAGAACAGGTTCGAAGGATGCGCGTATGCGTGGCCTGAGGTCGCGGTGAGGAGTCCGGGGTTCACGCCAATGAAGACGCAAATCAGATTAAGGGCGAGAGAGTCGGTGAGGAGATTGGGAAGGTGCGCGTAGCGGGAGGGGGGGCATAGGTGGACGAAGCGCGAGGTATCTTGGATTTTCGCAAGGCAGGGAGGGCTGGAGCCTTTCGTTTGAAGGGGGAGAAAACGTTGGAGGTGCGTTCTGGAGACACTCGTGGTGAGACTGTGGATTGTTTGTGGGTAGCTTGAGTCCTACGTTTTTCTAGGTTGGGGCTTAAGGGGTTATGGTAGGTGAACTGTTGGACTGTGGATGAGAATGATTGAGGGCAGACGCTGTCGACGATTGTGGAGTCTGACATTTCAGGTGTAGAGGCCTCCTCACGGCTAAGTAATGGTGAAGACCAATTTTAGATTTTTTGCTTGAGCTTGGAGTCCCGTGATTTTGTGTGGAGGATTGCTGCCGATACTCGATTCACACCGAGCTCGAAGAAGACACGCTCAAAGGAAGAGGCAGCTCACGATCTGTGCAAATTGGTATTGTATCAAGTAATTCCGAAGATGAGAAAAGCAAGTATAGCCTATATGTATGTTCACCGATAATACCCCTTGAACACCAACCAGAAATTCATCACCCTATGGGAGAGCTATACCATCTAGAAATACATATTGAGGCTGTGATCTTCAGAGAGTCTTTTGACCCCTCATAATCGACATTCAACGCTAAACCTTGACCTTCCTTTTCTGATATGCTGCCATTGTCTGGAAACCCGACGTAGCTGTGCTCCAAATAGTAGTCGTCGATACAGGCTCATAGCCTGTGCCGGGGCTATAGCCTGTGACAGGTCCATACCCTGTTGGCAGGTATACTCCAGTGCCGGATGGCAAAGCTGTTCCACTTCCACTTCCAAAAGGGTTGGATGAGTTACCGGGAACAGGGTAGGGAGCTGTGTTTGAAGGGAAAGATCCAGGAATCGAGTCTGACGGCGAGCCACCCAAGTCATAACTTGATTGGTAACCGCCAGACACAGAATCAGGTGGTAGCTCACCAGAGCCACTTTGCTCCTGCATCGAAGCCGTGATCGTGATCGTTGTAGTCACTGTGCTTGCTTCAGTCACAGTGGAGGTCTCAGCAACTGGACATCCTCCTGTTGGACCGCCCAGACCACCGTTGCCGGACATTCCAGGCATGCCATCACTAGGCATGGCCCCAAGCCCACTCGAACCCCCTCCATTATTGTTGGACCCGCCTGATGGACTTGCGAATCCGCCTCCGCTGGCACTCGGCGATCCGTAGCCGCTGTTGTTGTCATTCGAAGAGCCTCCGCTGGAGGATGAGTCACCATTCCCAGATGTCGAGTTGCCATTGGAAGATGAAAAGCCATTGCCAGATGTCGAATTACCGGTGGAAGACGATTCACCACCTGAAGAACCATTCGTTGAGTCACTACTTGGCGATCCACTCTCCAATGAACCACCGCTTGAAGGAATAGTCATTGACGATTCAACATTCGAGGAGTCAGAGTTTGAAGGAGTGTTGTCGTTGTTGCTCGAAGAAGATCCGTTGCTCGAAGAAGAAGAGCCGTTGTTCGAAGAAGAGCCGTTGCTCGAAGAAGAGCCGTTGCTCGAAGACGACTGGCTATTTGATGAAGAACTACTGTCTGAAGATGAGTCAGATTGGCTATTTGAAGACGAGTCACTGTTTGATAAAGTGCTGTTGCTATTCGATGATAATCCGCTGTTCAATGAAGAACCACTGCTCGAGGAGCCATTGTTTGAAGAGCCGCTGCCTGAAGAGCCACTGTTTGAAGAGCCGCTGATATCAGAAGGGGAGCTGTTTCCACCACTATCGCTGACGGGAGAGCTGTTCTCTGGCGAAGTGTTGAGGCCTGTGGGTGAATTTTGATAGCCATTGCCTGACTCTGGCCCATTTGATGAGTCTCCGGGAAAGCTAGAAACATCACCGGTTTCACCCGGTATGCTAGGGTTCGTAATCGATGGAGGAATGATGGGGCCGGTGGTCGGAGGTGTATATGGTAGGCTCGAGTTTTGGTATGGACCTGGTATTCCACTAGAGGGCTTGCAGCCGTATGCCGTACCTAGCGGACAGCTGCCAAGAGGATTGGTTCTGCAAAGCAATTAGTCTTTAGGGAACGACACCTGCGTCTCTCGGCGTGACCAAGTTTAGGAGAGGAGAGAATCAGCATACCCTGTAGGATTGCTACCAAACGGATTCGTTCCCTGGGGATTATTGCCAAGCTAGCTACACATCAGCCAAGAAAAAATGGTACGTCGCTTTGTATCCGTACTGGGTTTGTTCCAATCTCTGCTTGATATACCAAAGATGCTTGTCCGGTCGGCTGAGGGCTTTCCGTCAACGAGGAGGCTTTAGTATCGTGCTTGTGGTGTTGCTCGGGACGATTGTGTCGTCGAAGCGCCGGGCCTGGATCGCTGCGGTCTTTGAGCCAGTGGTCAGGTATATAAGATCGCAGTAACTTACGCTGATACTGTGGAGGACAGGGCAGCTAGACTGCCCAACAAAACCCCGAAATGCATACTGGAATGGCATTGACTGAACGAATGAATAAACGATGAAGATTATGACAAGCAGCGAAAGTAACTTCCTTAAAGGCTACGCAACAAAAGAATGTGATAGATGATATTGAAACATATCATCTATTTAATGAGTGGCTTCAAAGCTCAAAGGAACAGCAGGTCGCAGCAGTAGGAATCGGGGGCTATAAAGAGAGCTGCAGTGGTGGACACCAACAATGGACGGTCGTTAATAGACATTGAAGCAACAACAGCTTGGTTTGGCCACGTGCAAGCCAGTACCAAGGCGTGCAACATTCTGTGCCATGCAAGAACGATTCTGGCCGTTGGATGTTTGCAGAGAATCGCCCGGACCGCATCAGCAGTCCTGCTAGCGCGAGCGATTCCGGGAGGCGTGTGAGCGGGATCAAACGAAACGAGCAGGATAGATGATCGAGACGTTTGCACCACTTTGAATAGTATGGCACCAACTACCTTGGAAACAGGTACAAGCTTTGAGGAAGGTCAGATCCCGGTGAGAGCGCCGAAGGCTGGTGGTGGTGGTTTCATGTGCCACTGGATGTTATATGTTGCTAAGCCGTCCCGAATCTGGCTTCGCAGCTGCGCGCTAACATGCCCTCGCTCGCAAGCAATAAGATCTTATCAAATACGGCAACATCGCAACATAGACGACTGCGGCGAGCTGGGTATGTTTCGTGTATGCTTTATTATCGGGCTGGGTGATCACTGCGTTTGTTTGCGCGTTGCTAGGGACTGGACATGGAGAAAACGTGATCCTCTAAACACAAGGCGATGAAGCCTTTGATCGCGGCTGCTTTGTTCTCTGGAGACGAAGAAGTTTTCTGTCGCTCAATGATCTGGTTTGATCGTGACAATACCTTCACTCTAAAGTCAGTATCATAGCCTGTGACGCTGGAGACTCAGCAAAGCAACCGGTTACTCAGAGTGCAATTTGACATTCAGAGGTTGAGAAGATATTGAAAGTTGCTGGGATTGAAGTCAAATCGTCAATGTTTATCTAACTTGGCAAGTCCTATGGCCCCAGCGTGCTCATCACCGCATTGCAAAGTGTTATCATGAAAAGGGAAGGGCTGGGCTTACTCCATGTCAAATTGTTGTGCAGAAACCTCGAAGGATCGGTCCGATGAATTATATGTCGTCGATTGGCCCATGGTGAGGTCTTCGTGCGATATGTAAGACGATGGTAAGTCAACTAGCCCTGAGGCATTCCCACACTCGCACATCCAGATCCTCGAGGCTACCTTACTGGACAGCGCCATTTTGCCTCAATAGACTTGAACGCGGGCGCATCTGCTCTCACTTGATTTCAAAGCAACAGGCCCCACCGGGAGATTGGTAGCGGTTCACTTTACCGAATGCCATCAAACACTTCGCTCAGACTGTGCGCGTAAGAGCACGGCTACAGCATGGAGCTGGCAGACTTACTCTCGGGTTAGCTTTCTCATGCCTCATCCTACTGATTCTTGCTCGGTCCTGCTCAAACTTCTTCACCAGCTCATTGGCGCGCGCTTTCTTCTTTTCCCGTTCTTGAAATCTATAGAAATCTTGCAAGCCTTGGCGCTTCCCCTTGTGCTTCTCCGCAGCCGCTTGTGCAGCTTTTTGCGTGGCTGCATTAGATCTACCGCCTCTGGTCACTGTAATGAAGCCCTCCTCGTCAGGTTCCTGTCTTTGTTGGATTTTGGATGTTTCTTCAGCAGCCTCTTTTGTGTGATAGGCCGTCATGTACTTATTCACCGAGTCAAGTAGTAGAGCTTTGTCAGGGTAGGTGTTCTGGTGGAAGTGTAGATATCCTTTGGATGGATGAGCTGATCGTCACTATGCTTAGTAAAGTAGCAACTTACGAGCATAGCCTAAAGATGGCAGCTTCCCCTCCAATCCCTCCCCCCACACTGGATGATTTTCTTGCTTGCTAGTCGCCTTTATAGTCTTGAAGGCACCCTCCATGGACACACGATCCACGAAGGTAATGACACAGGTTCGGCCATTGGTCTGAAGATCTCGGTCCCATGTTGGGGGATACTCTGCTTCCTCTAAATTTAATAGCGGGTGGCTTTCACTTTTCCTTTTCCTCTTGCGCTTGCTGCTGGTACCTGTATTCCAATTCCGAAGCTCGTCTGATGCTATTGATTTCCTCCTCTGGCCCTCAAACTGCACCTCTTCGATTCGTCCAGCAGGGAGTCCAATTTGTGAAGAGAACAGATATCGCAGATGTAGCTCGGTAGCATCGAAAGGAAGGTTGACAAGAAACAAAGACCTAGAAGCAGTCGAGCTAGGCAATTTTGGTTGGTGCAGTCCTATATAGAGATAATGAGTCGCCTTCAGGGCGAGGGCAGGAAGCGGAGGTAAAGAGAGCGGAAAGACAATATAGCCTGCTATTTGAGAGGGAACTGTTGGAGAGGGACTCATTGATATTGTCCACCGCTTAGGTCGGAGCTTTGACGAATGTATCAAAGCTCTATCCCATAGTCCAATGGAATCTATCGTTCCGGGTCGTTTGAGCACCCGGCTTTACCGGACATAACAAACACCTCCCTAGGGACGCCAGTGGATGCTTGATAGGCCCGCATTCGCCAACATGAGAATTGCGCCCGGGGTTTCACCGGCTTCAGCAGCCTTGATCTCGACCAGTCCTCGACTATTCTCATCTCGACTAACGATATGCTTCAAACTCCATTCTCGTGTCAGATCCATTCGACTGAGGCTAAGCGGTGCGCGAGCGTGTGCAGTCCCCAACCTATCTTTCTTTGTGCTGGCCCTACTGCCATTCCTGTCGAGCCAAAATGTTCATGCTCTCTAGCCTTACGTCTCATAGTAACACTTTTGGAATGTTTGATGTTCACCTTTGGCTATGCTTGTACCCTTCAGGCGATCGTCGCTCTGCAAGATCCTCCAAGCAAGCCTTTGTGTCCGAGGACCGATGATTCTGCTCTCCATTATTGGTAGGGTGACAATGGGTTCTCCATGTCAGTCAATCAAAGTCAAAAAATCAGAGGGTCGAGTCGTTACACGCGGTGTGAGACGCGTTTAGGTAGGACATTTATTTATCAACACAAACGAGGTTACAGTGTACATATATGACGTGCATCAACAACACCAAGTGACGCTCCTCCTCCTTCCTTCGACATCTCTCCGAGCACCTTCAACTTATTCAAAATTTCCTTATGCCTCACCACCAAGAGCCTCTAAGTTGGGCAGTGGCGTTCTTCGAGCGACAACGAATTCCTCCAGGTTCCAGACTTTCCGCGTGGTTACATGGCGAGTCAGTTATGACAGGTCATCGTGAGGAGATTTCGGCCCAGCATATCCACCATTTTTCTCCGGAAAAGAGCCCAATGCCCATCGCGACGGCGAGATCTCGACACGAGGACTACTCACCTAGCCTCCAGTCACCCCTTCGCTTCCTTCGATCACCAATTAACTTCTCGCGGCCCCTCAGCCCAGATGCTCAAGATCTAGGTGGCGAAACCTATATTCATCCAGCCTTTGCCTCCCCAACTTCTCTTGACCCACCACCGAAGAGGCGCGTAAACCCGGGCGCTCATCGCACAAGGACAAAACGCGACGGCAAAGCACGACGTGCTGCATTCTTCCATTCCAAAGATCCGCGCGTGCAGTGCAAGAGCATTGGGACACTGGTATCGGGAACGTTGCTAACGATCGTCCTTACCGTGTGTGAGTCTCCTCCCATATCGATACGCTAATGATTAGTACTGAAATGATCTTCAGATCTAGCCCTTGCGACCGCCAATGTTGTACCGACAACAGCCTTCCACGCGACGTTCATATTCATGATCATACTTCTCACAATGATCTTTGCACATTTCCTCATCCGACTGTGTATGCTGACAATGCGCCAACAAGCGCCTCACACTATTCATAAAGCGAATGACCGCTGTCAGCATCCCACTCGAGATCTTGAATACAGCCACTCAACCCCTTCGCTACCTCCTATCCGTTTGTTAGACGACTCGGAAGAAGTGCAATCGCGTAGCAGAGGAAGCAACGATACGGACCAAAATCTTCCAGCCCCCCGCCTGCTTATGGCTGGTGGAGGGGTAGTGTACGCATTGATCCTGACGACGTCAGATATCTTGATCCTGATCGAAGTGAGCTTCAACAACAGACCAGAAGCCTTGTCTTCGCAGGAAGTGGACACAGGCCACCAAGCTACTCGAGCGATCCCCTAGATGTAGCGCCTGCAAGACCACGATCTTTGTTTCATGCCGAGGGAAACGTTTCGAGGGGAGATGGGATACGAGAGGTATGAAGCTCAGGAACGAAAAAAGGTACCTGCATGATCTCCTACGCACTGGGACCCGAGAAAGGTGGAATAAAGCATGCACTCTGTTGACATCCAGACGAGTTGATCGGATGCGAATAGTATATGATTCATACGTTCGTCATGATGAACGATCATTTTGAAGGGTCAAATCTTTTACGCTCAAAGCTCTCCTATAATCATGTTTCGATCCGAGGACGCACTTAGCACTGAAGAATGTTAGCACCTTCTTGGAAACCCAGATGTTCATGACTGATCTGCATACCTATGGGATCTTGTCCTGGCCCAAATCGCACGTCATTCACGGTCCCTTTGTGGCCTGGTAATTTGTACAGCAAGTTCCCACCTCTATTCTCCCAAATGCAAACACTCCCGTCTCCACTCCCTACACCCAGCTTTTCTCCTCGGGTGTCCCAGCTCGCCCGGACGAGATTTCTCTCAATGCCGACCGGAGCTCCTGCGAAAGACTTAAGGCTTCTGTTATCAGGCGCAAACGGTCTGATATCCCATGTTCTTGCAAGTCCATCATGGGAGTAAGATAGCAGTGATTGCGAGTCTGGTGAGAGAGACAACGAAGTAATAGTATCCGTGTGTCCGGGCATACGGTATGCAACGTCTTTCTTGCGTATATCCCACACTTTTACATCGCAGTCTATACCACCGGTGTATATTTCGTTACCTGCTTCTGCCATGGCTATAGCTGTAATAGGAAAATTGGTCTCGATGAAGTCGACAGCCCGCTTGATCCTCGGGTCCCAAACGCCAATACATCCGTCATCAGATGCGGATAGAAGGATTTCTTCACCTCGAGGAGAGGCGGTAATATCGTTGACTATTTCTGTATGTCCCTCATGTTTCCGTATCCGTTGACCTGATTCTAAGTCCCACGAAGCAAGAGTCATGTCCGCGGAGGCCGAGAAGATGCATGAAGAGTCACGGGACCAATGCAGAGAAAGAACGGCGGACTTATGGCCTGTCAATTGGCCAAAATTTTCACAAGAGCCGTATGTACGCCAGATGAGTATAGAGCGATCCATAGAGCCGGAAGCGATGTGTTGGCCGGTGGGATCGAATCTGGCAGCGAATATCTCGCCAGAGTGGCCTGACTAAGTCAGACATAGAATTTTCAAACAGGTGATGCTTACTTGCCAGTCAACTCGATGATGGGAGCTTGCAACCCACTAGTTCGTGGCACCTAATTGGGCCAATTCCATCAGCCGGCCTTTTTCCAAGAACTAATTCAGCACGATTGAAAACAGACTTCGCTGAATGAAATTACTCACACCTTGCGTGAGTGAACCTCCCGCTGAGCGACTATTCGGTTTGGCCGCATCGTTTCCATCACTAAGGTTTGCACCAGACTTTTGTCTCTTTACGACCAATTGTGAGCTCCCAAAGGAGCCAGAAGGAGGCCGTTTTGTTGTTGACATGACTGTCAAGATACGTCCGAAGTAACAACGCTATCGGTATTCGATATACGCACTAGCCTTCGTTCTAGAAACATACCCGTGCTTTCAGTGCATTGCTTAGATTTGAGGATCTAAAATCAAAAGCTTTTCTGATATTTCGCGGCAATCGCAAGCGCCATCAAGGTCCCGACCGTCTGGGTCGCGCTAAACTCAAAATGTATTAGTCCATTTCCGTACCCTTCCTTGCAGACCGCGCTCGTCCACGTCGGCAAGTAGAGGTCAAGATTGGCCATGGCATCAAGCAAAGCAGCGAGAATTGGCGAGGAGTGGGGAGTTCTGTTTGTCATGGGAGAAAGTAAGGCTGACGCAAATCAGGGCGTGGAAGTTCGTCCACTATCCTCCGTCTCGCAGATTGGGGCTGAATACGTCCGTAGAACTCGTGTGGACAAAGTCAACGCAGAGCTCGTAACTCTGACATATGGCACAATGGTCGCGCAGCTGTGCTCCGATTTCGAAAGCAACTATACGGAAGTCAACAAGCAGTTGGACCGGATGGGCTACAACATTGGCATGAGGCTAGTCGAAGACTTCTTTGCCAAATCGGGCACGCAGCGTTGTGCCAATTTGAAAGACACAGCCGAGACGATATCGAAGGTCCAGTCCCCGCAAGGGGCACCAGCATCTAGGCTGACCAGAAAGTAGATAGGCTTCAAGATGTTCCTTAACGTGACACCAACAGTGACAAACTGGACTGCAGACAACAAACAGTTTTCGCTTGTCTTTGAAGACAATCCTCTGGCAGACTTCGTCGAGTTACCAGACGATGGCCGCGCTCAGGATGAGTTGTGGTATTCAAATATCTTTTGTGGGGTAATTAAGGGCGCGCTAGAGATGGTAAGCCGGATTGGACGAGTACCGTGAACTCGTCATTTTCGAGAATGGTTGATCTTACCATTCTTAGGTTCAAATGCAGGTCGACGCGATCTTTGTCAGTGATGTTTTGAGGGGCAACGACACAACCGAGATGCGGATTACATTATTACGATATCTGGATGACGAAATGCCTCCCAACGATGAGTGAAACCGTTGCTGCATTTGATTCTAAAGAAAAGCACGGCTGAGCGACATCAGGCTCCATAGTCCACCGGGAAAATTCGACACGATCCGAATTACTGACATTAAACGAGTATCTTGGTTACATCGGCTGGAATCTTCATCCGTAGTGGACAGTCTATCCTGCTGTTGCCATGAAGGCCAATCAGACCATCCGGTACTTTGGTCTGTCCGGAATATTACCGCGCTTCGTAACTGGGTTGGGTTCCCCTCGTTGGACGAGCTACCAGAAAGATCTCGCAAGGTGGTCCATCTAGGCCATAGTGAAACCCTCGTGAGCTCTGCTATCGGTTGTAAGCAATTGTTGTGGGCATTCGGCATCGCTAAAATTACAGTCCCGGCTCTTGCACGATCTGGGGAAGACTCTTGGCTCAAATTACGCGATTGGGATCGCAAGGGTGACCCAAGAACCTACGCATCGACCATAGTGAATTCTCAGCAACTACATAGGCTCACTAGAATTGCTGAAAGTAGATAGATGCCTTTAACATTGCGTTGTGACCGTTGCAATCAGGCGATAATTACAGTGAAACAGGGTGACAGGATATTCGATACAGCCATCGCGGCTAACTACGCCGCACATTAGACCCAATCTAGCACTACCCGTGCTTCCATCCTGAACCTCATCCTGCTGTCTCTTATTCCCCTCCAAGCAGCCACCATTCATCCTAGACATTGCCTTCTCCTCAGCAGCAAGGCGTTCATTGCATCCAGCCTCGCAATATTCATACTGCGCTTCTTGGCTCAAAACCCGTGGCCCACCGTTGCAAGTGTCAGCATCGCCTCGGCGCCGGTCGCAATCGCCGGTAGGATTCATCATCATCAGTAGTCTGTCACCGCCACTACAAAGCACGCCAAACTTAGCAACGCCCGCACGTGCATTCTGTACGACATCAAAAATCTTTGCGACGATCCCTAGAGATTGCGTCGGCCATATCCAACGTCTCTATCAACAGAACCTCCGTGTCTCCAGCCCCCCGCCGAGTCGACTTCAAAAGTCACGCTGTGATCTCTGATGATCTTTCTCAGCTTGGATCGCTCTTGAGCGTCCCTTCTATCTCGCCTCCGAATTCACTTATTCACTGAGGTGACTCGCAGTTCTCGCGCATTGCCATGAATCATATTAACATGCCGGGCATGAATGCCGGAAACCCTGCTATGGGCGGTATGCAAATGGCAAACAACATGCCTAACGGCGCAATAATTAATAAGGGCCCGGAGCAAGACGTAATCCCAGACATGGACTCCAAGCTGAACCAATGGATCTATGGTTATTTCTTGGAAAAGGAACAGTGGGATCTGGCGCGTGCGCTCAAAGAAAGCGGCCTCCCCTTCGACCCCCTCTTCTAAACTCAGAAGACGAGATGAATGGGGTGAGCGAGGACTCAAAGAGCGGGTTAGGCGACAAGAGACCTCACGACCTCCCAGCTGCGAAGGGAGCTTTAGACGCTCAGGGCGGGTCCATGTTGTCGTGTTGGTTTGCACTGTTTTGGGATATGTTCTCAGCTTCCCGGAGAGCGGGTAGCAAAAGCGCGAACCACTTACTCGAGCAGAATAAGGTGAGTCTGACGTCGTTCATTCACTGCACCAACTAATTGTCTCATCAAGCTGCAACGGCAAGGCCGAGAACAAATGTATCGCAATATGGCAGGCATGATGCCAAATCAGATGGACCAGAACAGTTTCCAGCAAATGATGCGAATGAATCCTGACCTCAGGCAGAAGGCGTTGCAGAATCAGCAGCAGAATGGGATGCGAGGGTATGGAGCACTACTTCTGATCTCAAGCGCAGATTTTCTGTCACGCATAACAAACGTGCATTCTGACTGACGAATTATAGGATAACCCCCAAATGCAGATGGCCATGCAGCAGCAGAGACAGGCCATGATGCAACAGCAGACCATGAGGCGAGATCCATCCGGGATGGACATGAATGGCCAAAGACCTCGTACACCATCAAGTGGCGATCATGCACCCTCTCCAAAGCGACCTCGTATGGACAGCGCAGGTTTGAATGCGCAGCAAATGATGCAGAATGGACGCCCACCGCCGGGCATGCCGCCGCAGATGATGTCGAGTAACACTGACCAAGCGAATGCCCTCTTGATGAGTAGTGGCATCAATCCGGCAAACCTTTCTGACACGCAATTTGCTTCTTTCCAGCAGCAGCAGCCGCAAGTTCAACAGAAGTCTATCCAGGTCTATGCGCAGAATATGTCAAGGAATCAACGAGAGGGTATGTTTAAAGTTAGTGGTATGTCCGATGGTGGCTCACCTATGATGCCAGATCCTATGACCATGACGACTGGTGGCCCAGAATATTATGGCGCCGCCAACGGCCAAATGATGCGTCCGGGTGGTATGGGTGCGAATCCAGGAGCACCCAACGGCGCGGGTGGCAATCATGCACTCCAAGACTACCAGATGCAGTTGATGCTACTTGAACAGCAGAACAAGAAACGGCTATTGATGGCCCGCCAAGAACAAGGCGAACCTGGTCAACCTGGGATGGCCGGTCCGATGGGACCAACAGCTGGCCTATCACCTCAAGGCAGCCGAAGTGGAACTTCTCCTGGCCCGAACGGCGAGAGGCGAGGGACGCCAAAGATGGGCCAACAGATGGATGGCTCACCCATGCCGGACGGAAGCATGAGGGGATCGCCAGGAATGAATACTTTCTCAATGCAGCCAGACATGTACGGACCACTGAACACTGGCGTAAGACCACCGCCAAGCTCGAATCCTGCCTTCAATGGACAATACAACCCTCAACAGATGGAACAAATGCGTCCTAATGGCCAGGTAAGAATGCCTAGTGGTGCCTGGCAATCCGGTGCTCCCGGGCAGATGCCCATGACCCAACAACCTCCGAATCAGCCGCAGCCACCACAGATGGGGACGCCGCAGCAGCGAAACGATATGCCACCACCCCAGGGACCACCTCCTGGGGCGGCAAATGGGCGCACTGGTCCTGACGATGCTCCTCCAACCCCATCAGCTACAAACAAGTCCAACCCTAAGAAGAAAGAACCTAAAAAGGCACGTTCTACCCCTTTGTCCCCTATCACCAATGTCCGGTTACCCCATCATTGTATTGATACCGATATAATAGAAAGCGGAGAGTAAGTCGAAGAAGGGCTCCACGAGCGTTGCTGCAACTCCGGCCTCAGAAGCTGAAAATCCTCCCCCAACACCCACACCATCTACCCCGATCACACCATCGCACCCTCAATCGTTCTCTTCAAAGACGGAAGCACCACAAGCAGGTGCAGCCCAAAACACAAACAATACCACCGCCCCTCCTGTCCCTGTACCCCAACCTGACGGCAACGCCTCCGCACAATTCACTACAGGTAACATAGAGGCAATGGACGTAAGTGATCGCTCCGTACCACATCTCTGGGAAGCTGAAGTGCTAAACACGTAGCAGGGCACCGAGGGCATCTATCCGAACGACAGCATGGGCGATTCAAACCTCCTGGACAATTTCGATTTCGAGCAATTCTTAGACCAGACGGCGTTCCAGTATGATCCGAACTCAATGGATCTGGGTGATATCATGGATCCAACTGTAATACAAGACGCCGCCTGAGATTAGTGGTCCCATCTCCAACCGATCTCGTCGACTCTCGCTTCATTAGACGTTCATTTCTTCCCTTACATGATTGATACCATATGCAGGTTATACTTATGTTTTCAAGGCGTTACACACACAGTCTCCTATCGACATTGCGGGATTGCGTCCGCTTGCCTTCTGCACGGTAAGAGTCGGGGCTACGGGGGAGCGGGGTGGGGGGGGGGGGCGGCGATTGGCGTAAAGAGGATGGATTTACTCGAGCAAATTCTGATGTAGCTATGATGGCGCTCAAATAATTGTTCAAGATGATAATTGCTTTCGAGATTGGATGATAATTTGCTAGCAATTGAAGACGAGCATCACAACATACCCCTAGACATACTTATTACGCTTTCAAGCAGCCTGCATTCCTTGCTAATGCACTGATGCTGGTATTTCGGGTAGCTGCTTGAGGTTCCCATTAATACTTGACAGCTGGGTCGATAAATTGCTCACTCTCATCTCTTATCATGACCATCTTCCCTGGACCAAGGCAACAGAAATTTAACACAATATGGCTGACTTAATAAATTCGCTCGTTATTCCCTCAGATTTGTCACATACGTTGGAGCACAAGAGCTCTAACGAATCGTTCCACTCAACGCGTTCACAAGGCTCTCACTCTTCACCGTCGCAAGCTCCTGTAGAAAGTCACGAGAGTCTGCCCCTTTTCAACATTAGCGATTATCTGAATGAGCCAGCGAGCGCGGCTCTACTTGCTTCGACAGGATCGAAACGAAAATCTTCGCATTCCAATACTCCCCACAAAGCGTCGTTTACATCTCCAGATTCGTTGGAACCTATTCCGTTAGGTAACAAGACATCGCACCATGTCCCTGCGCTGAACCATCTTTGTCAAGGCAAAGGGCTTCCAGCACCATTGTTTGACATTGATCAGGACGGAGAAGGCGATGACGCAAGATTTGGCGGTGCAATTAGGGTCGGAAGCACGAAACTTGGCTGCCAGAAAACATGGAGAAGCAAAAAGGAAGCCCGCGAAGGACTTTCAGAAGAGGCTATGCCCACCGTCATGAACATGACAGCTATACCTCACGAGCAAGCTCACCAGTATCAGCAGCGCGTCTCGGTATTGGTTGAATTATGTCAGGCTAAAGGGCTACCCACGCCTGTCTTCGATGTTAGCCAATACGGGCAGGGCAACGACGCTAGATTCGGAGGCTCGATCACTGTTGGAGATTACAAGGTGAACGGTGATGGCTTATGGAAGAATAAAAAGGAAGCCCGCTCTGGCCTGGCAGAGGAGGCTTTGCGAGCGGTCGAAGCGATGCCCTCCAGAGGTCGCAGCTCACCTGAGCAGGTCACGAAGAATCACATTGGCCTGCTGCACCAGTATTATCAAGCTGAAGGCACAGGCCTGTCCCCCACTTATGAATACTACTCTATCGGTCCACAATCCTTCTCCGTCACCTGTACACTCCCAGGTCTTAGCAGCCAGACCTTTGGCTCTTCCACCAACCCATTTCCGAGCAAGAAATCAGCCCAAGCAGCCGTGGCTCAAGAAGCAGTGGAGCACCTCATCTCAACAGGCAAACTCAAAGCCGATGGTTCAACACTCAAGAAATCAAAGAACTCATCCAAAAGCTCCCCGGTCTCCCCCAACACCTCGAATCCGAGCGGAGCTTCAGGGGAAGTCCTCCGTGTTCTCGCCGGCGACAAAGACGGCAAAGGAATGGGGATCGAAATCATAGACCCGCATGCTTCGTTTGCTCAACTTGTCGCTTCTCTTGCACCGCTACTAGGACTGCCACAGACGCAATACCATCTCTCGCCCGCGTCAGCCCAAGCGCCGAATTTGCTTTCGGGACACGCAAGTTTCGTAGGTGGAGGAGCAGGGGTGGCCAAGGGGTTGTCGGAGACCTTGGGCGAGGTGAGACATGTATTTGGGAAGAAGAATGCGAAGGAGGAGCTTGCTAGGGAGGTATGGGAAAAGTTGAAAGACATTGCTGATGCGAGGGGCTTCAAGGTGAAAGAGAGATAGACATGAATGGTGCGAGGGGAGAAGGTGAGGGGATGTAAGAGGAGGGCGGATCGATTTGCGTCCGAGTAGCACGAGGGTCTGGCTCTGACAGCGTCTTCTCGTCGAGAAGGGCAACGTAAAGATTTTCGGATTATGAATGTTAGCATGAGATGATGAGCTGTGGATCCATCTGGGATAGAACAGGATGATTTCGGTATGTCAATTGCATATCACATGTGGCACGATTTATGAGAAAGAGAACACCAAGGGAAGATACTTGCGACGTCTCCATCATGGTAGTTGTAGCATGATAAACGGCATTGATTCATTATATACAATCTGAGGTTCTCCTTCTCAAATATATACAGCGTCGAGCCCCAATTGAGTTTTCTAATGCATAATCGTAAACGTAAATCATTTTCATCAGAGGCATCAAGTCGTGCTTAGATAACAGTCGGGGTTCGTAATAAACTTTGTAGATGTCGACATCAAGCTTTTGATATCTCTAAAAGTCTGTGGACCGGCTTCCTCGGCCCGTGGGTCTTGCTTACTACCATAGATATTGGCCTTGTCTATTTGGTGCTGGTGGTGAACCTTCATATCAACTTTTTAATCCATTACGAAGTCCCAATGTAGATTGGCGATCCAAAACATTGTGATCATCGCTAGACCAGTCAGAAATGCGGTATGAATTCCGACCATTCCACCGAATTGAATGCTCTCACTGGTAAAGATCTCAAGCTGACGAAAACCTCGACGACGATGTATGCTCTTGCAACAGCATAGACGAAGGTGACAGGACTCATCGAAATGAACTCCCACATCGGAATAAATTCCCTCTCTCGCATGCGCTGTTCCATTGTATTCATTCTTTTGATGGAGCCCTGCTTATTAGGAAAGAGTTTGATGTACCATCGGTCCCATCGCCCCAAACGATGGCCATCCTGGTATGCCTCACAAGCAAGGAACACGAATGTGGATGCGACGATAGCAATGCAGCCGGCGCGCCACAAGGTGCGCTCGGTCTTGGTTGGAAAGCTGAAATTCCAGGCTATGAAGTGCAAACAGCAGTAGGCGAGCATAATGATGAACAAGAGGACAGCATCCGGTGACGCACCTATGACGGGGATACGGTCGTTGGTAAATCGGGGCAACGGCCTCTCGCGTGGTCCTGTACGGAAATATAGGTGTGGTTGAATCTCGGTCAGCCAGGACGGCGACAGGTTGTCCACAAAGTCCAACGGGGTCTGGCGGTAGGGTTTGTGGGCATCAGGCATTGATCCAGCCTCTCTCAGGATTGTTTCCGTCGAGGCCTCGCAATCAAGTTCGGTAGGTGCCTCAACATCCAAGGGCTTGTTCGACCACTGGTAGTAAGATGCAAAGGTGCAAAAGACGAAAGAAAACGTGGTCAGCTCGAGCGTGGTGACCGGTAGGTGTTGGATTGCGCGGCCCAGACACTGAATCACGAACCAGCCAGTCTGGAGCAGCGTGAGTGTCTTCTGAAAGCCATCCTGTTTACTCTTGTCCCAAACCTGCTTTTCCGTGATGTCTGGATACGGTATGTAATTGCGGGTGACCAAGTAATGCAATTGCCGCGCATTCACCGGGAATGGTTTGCTATCGCGCGGCCTGATGATGAAGCCACCCATGTTGGCGTAGAAGCCGTGGCGTAGTGTCCACTTTGTATAACCATGCCCGTGCCAGAGCTCCACGGACCGTCGAGCCTCCGCTTTCTGACCAGTGGCGAAGGCAACGACAAACTCGGGACCCATGATGGCTTGTAGCATCCACCTGAATTTGCGCCTGCATTGCTGCCAATACTTCTCCTTGGGGGCTGGAACATTGAGGTGCAGCGAGGTCCATGTGCAGAGGAAGATGGTGAAGAGTGACGACCACAGGATGTCGAAGGTGCCTCGGCCATCAGGCTGACTGACCCAGCCCTGACGGCGGCCTGAGGCGGTCGCATTAGACACGTTGGTTGGGTTGGTTCCATTTGTGGCGGCTGCGACTACAAGGTGGAGGACAAACAATATCAAGGAGCGGCGCATTGCTGCCGCCGTTCATTGCGGAGCAGGATTGGTAGCAAGACCGTCTATCGGCTCCTCAAATTATCTGGAAATGGAATTAGAATCCTTCGACATCTGATGAACATGGATCCATGATCAGAAGAGAACGCAATTAGCTCTCGCTGGCTATCAAAAAGCTGGACAAGAGGGACAAGATTCGCGATCGGGGGAGCATTGAGGCTGAGAGGTGAGCTAATCATACGAAAGGGTACTAGCATCATCAATATTAATAATATGATAGTAGCCTGATCGAGATAGACGGATAGTCAGTAAGCACCGCACCGTCTGACGTTGGATGGAAGGATGAAAAGAAGGTAAGCGTGCCAACAAATAGAGCAGCGTTCCCTGACCTTCTCCCAGGAGCATAGACGGTCCCGTTTGGAGGCTTGGACGTTTGGTTCAGCCCAGCCCAGCCCAGCCCACCCTATTTTTTCCCTCGCCATGTACTTGGACCTGCCATCGGCATCCGTGGTGTGTGCGTTGCTTGTTTTGGGAGACACACGTGGCTGTGGTGCTACCTGATTCTGCCAGTAAGTTGCAGCAGGCAGACGTTTAACAGCACGTATTATTGGAAGTGGTCCTGTTGAACTGAAGCTCTGTCCATCTTACTGCTTCTTCTCATAAAGTAGCTTGTACCTATGCCAGCCCCTTCTTTATATTTCTGGATCATTGCGGTGTTTCAGCCTTGGTTATGAGAGGTTTCTATAACAGGTTGATCATAGTGCTCCTCTCGTGTTGAGGCCTACACCATGAGCACAGAAAGTCTTCTCCAAGACAATTCTCCTGCCGAGTGGGATAGCCTTGAATATCACAAGTCGACGGGCACCGATTCCCAAGCTTCTCAAGACTATCTCATATTTTTTATCTCTGGAAATCCGGGCTTGATATACTATTATGAACCCTTTTTATCCAAGCTGCAGTCACTCTTGAGCCTGTCAAGCTTTTCTCCAGCCCATTTTCAAATCTACGGTCATTCCTATAAGGGATTTGAGATATCACCACACGTAGACAGCATATCAGAGCCTGCCGGCCTCAAACAACAGATCAAGCATCACGAGGAATGCCTCCGCGGGCAAGTCAGAAAGCACCAGGGAGAGTTCCCAGGGAAATCATTGAAGGTCATACTTGTTGGCCACTCGGTTGGATCCTATGTTCTGCTTGAATTGATTCAAAGGCACAAACAAATGGTTCAAAATGATGACGAGGTGGATGATTTCGACTTAATCGGTGGGATTTTGCTCTTTCCCACAATCGCCGAAATAAGCCAGTCGAATCTGGGCCGTATCGCACGACTAATACTTCCGCTTCCTGGTTTTGTTGGAGCTGTTGGTGTGATTGCCCGCTTCGTAACGTCGGTATTGTCGGAGAGCGCACTCAACCGGGTAGTCCAACTGGCAACGCGTTTCCCAGAATATGCCGCAAAAACAACTACAGCCTTTCTAAAAAGCTCGATGGGCGTAAAACAAGCTTTGTAAGTTTAGACTGCACACTGCCAACAAGTGTCGGAATGAAGCTGACATAACATACAGACATCTAGCCCGCGACGAGATGAGAATGATCAAAAACGAATGGGACAGCGAGGTATGGGGAGCAGCTACCAGCCCAGGCACCAACCGACGTGATACTGCCAGCTGGAACTTGGTACTATTTTGGGGAAAGAAGGCGAGTTTGTGCACGGTAATGTCGTGATTCGTGATGCTAACAAAGGTCTGCAGGATAGATGGGTCGCTGATCATACACGGGACAATATCATTAGGGCTCAAAAAGAACAAGGGCAAGTGCGGAAAGAAGAATATACTACCCAAAGCGTGATAGACGATCGAGGAACACGCCATGATTTTTGTACCACTCTGGGTTAGTATACAAACACCAGCAACCTGTACAAGACACTGACACAATGGTTGGTCTAGACAGCAGTGATTACGTGGCAGGTGAGGTGAAGAATTGGATCGACGATATTATTATGAGGCATGGTCAGATGATGCGGCGTTCATCAACATTTGGAAAGCCGCCGGTAGGCCAACCTACATAACGAGATGATACTGGGTCACAATATTGCACGGCAAGAGGTCGAGATATGAGCCTAGAACAGCATTGCGGTCTTCTCTCCCGTCTCCGGAATCAGCCATCCTTACCATCCCATGAGTCACGGTGGCGGAAAGACATTTCCGCATGTTGTTCAGGGGAGAACGCTCCGTGCTGAGCGGAAGGCTGCCATATGAGGATGGCGACCTGCAGCCAGACTTACGGTCCTCACCGCTGATTCAGCGTACCCGGGGCAACGCATGTGGTGTCTCATGATTATTGCTCAGTGAGCGCATTGACTCGAAAGGACTAAAGCCTTATACAGGGTCGAGCTTGCATGAACTCAGATTACAGGCTAATCCGTGATTGGTGTACGGATAAGCTGCTTCGTAATTGAGATGATCCTGTTGCAGGCAGGGTACGGTCAAGACTGCAATGAATCTGTCGTTCTAGAATTCCCTCGTCTTCACACATTGATGTCCTTAGGGGGCTTGATGGGCTAAGCTGAAAGCGACATCGGCGCCAAGCTGCAAGGCATGCGGTGGCGTGGCACGAGGGGCAGTCTTGGCAGACTTCCAGACGGCGGGGCTGGCGGTCCCGCACTTGGATTGTTCATCAAATTCACTAGAGGTAGTAGTCCAGTATCAGCTGTGCATATCAATTGACGTTTGCTGCCGATGACTCAATTGAGCTAGGCACCAAACATAATATAATACTTCTCATGTCTGCCCCCAAGATGACCTGGGAAACACCTTCTTTCAGCACACAATCGTTCCACACTTATTCCTAGCTCTCTTTGTCCTCCTGACCCAGACTCTGAAGCCCCACCGATTTTACATTTCCACCGTTACGCCATTGCGTCCTTGGTTCCTTATTTGAACATTCACCTTCTATGCGATACTAGTGCGTGGCTTCGACTTGTTGCTATTGCGTCGCTTGTAATCTTTGACCAATCTCAAGAACTCATACCCACTCTTCTGCAGATCAATGAGCGCGGCAATCTCCTACGCAAAGAAGAATTTAGGGCCGAGAGCGAAGCCTCAGATTGAGGTCAAGCTCAAGGACAACCAGAAAGATGAGTTCGCACCATCATATACTTCTCTCGACGAGATCAAGGGGGAGGTGTTGATCACTTGTTCGGGTGATCTAGCCTTCGAGGATATATGGATCACATTCGAGGGAGCAGCCAAAACCTACGTCGAGAAAATAGCCACCACTTCCCCTACCAATGGCAAGAGCGAAGCCTTCCAGAACTTCCTGCGACTCGTTCAGCCCATGGAGCCGGCCGCATTTCCAGAGTCGCGCGTCCTCGAAGCACACAAAACCTACAAGTTTCCCTTCAACTTCGTCGTCCCTCCCCGCCTACTGCCACAGTCGTGTACTCACCCGAAACCTGAATCCTTCCCTGAGGACGCTCATCTGAATCTCCCACCAAGTCTAGGCGATCCACTCGTGGCCTCATGGGGCAAGTCGCTGATGGATGATATGTGCCCAGATATGTCTACTATTATATATTCAATCAAATGTCGAATGACCAGTGGGAGGAGTTCTAGCGGTAGACACATGACAATGGCGGAGGCCTCGAAGAAATTACGTATCCTCCCAGCTGTGGATGAGGCTCCTCCACTCAATGTCGAAGGTGGTGACAAGGATGACTTTCGGCTGAGAAAAGAAAAGTCGATCAAGCGGGGAGTCTTTCGGAAGAAGCTTGGAAGACTGGCTGCAGAGGCGCAGCAGCCCAAGAGCCTTCGCCTACATTCGATCAATTCAACAGAAGCCTGCCCAGTGACGACGATGGCCACGGTGAACGTTCGTTTCGACCCAGCAGATGAGGGATCACCTCCACCGCGACTCAACTCTCTTGCAGCGAAGCTCAAAGTCGCTACCTTCTACTCTAGCGTGCCGATGAAAGAACTGCCAACTAAATCTAGCGACTTCCACTACAGCAGCGTCAAAGGCCTTTTCGTTGACTCTGTTCCGCTCTCCTCACGTTGTTTGGCAGCCATTAAATGGGAAGGACATAATATCGGAGACCCTGACTCGAAGGCTTTACCACCCTCGTATGGCTATAAAGGCAAGAAGTTTTACACCGCTAAGGTCGTCGTACCTATTGAGCTGCCAAAGGGGAGCAAGGTGTTTGTGCCATCCTTCAACAGCTGCCTCATTTCTCGTCTTTACGCCTTGGACCTCAGTCTATCGATCGAACCCCCCAAAGCGAGTGTAATGGACCCGATTCTCCATTTGAAACTTCCGATTCAGATATCTTGTGAACCAAGCCCTAATATTGGGGCAGGAATGCCGTCGTTAAGAGACGTTCACGCAAGCGATGATTTCTTTGTGCCACGAAGTGTTGCTCCCCCAAGGGAGGAATTTCTTGGTCGATCTAACCTGCCTCAAATTTCGCCCGCGCTCTCCACGAGCCCAGTATCTACAACACCAATGCTGTCTTCAACGGCTGCTGAAGAAGCGCCAGCTACGAATGGTGTCAACACGGCCGCAAATCCGACAAACCAGCGTATATCTTTCAGCGTTCCTCAACGATCTTCATGGGCGCCCGGGGTCATTCCTCAGCGCGCCCCACAGAGCGTCCGTCTTATGGGGGCACAACAGCGGTTTCAATCGCTAAGCTTTGACGATGATGAAGCTCTACAGCTGGCCGAGGGCCAAGACATACAACCGAACGAGGAGCAACCACCTGAATATTCTAGTCTAGGTGGAAGATGGCGGGAAAGGATCTCGACCAATGTCCGGCAAGGGCAGATGTCTGATGCACCAGCGATGAACGGGCGCGACATAATCCGACATGGGTCCACCTGAGATTAGGCAGCGTTTGGCGTCCTCATTTGCTGATCGGCTTGTGATGTGTTGCATGGTATACCGAGCTTTACGATTATCATTTCTTTTCGAAGCTTGGCTGAGGCTAACGACTCAATGTATTGGAATACTACTGATCGATGAAAAGGTTCGAGGCATTGATGTTATTTAATATACGATGTACATATAGGACCGTCTTCTGGCTTCCTCAGCTTTATACCGTCTATCAAGATTCGAATTCGATTGTCGAGAACATCCGCAGAAACGCTTTCCCGTCATTGGTTTGATCAATCGTTCATTGTGCTTACATCGATAGAAAGAAGGCAGTAATAGGCGAGCGCTGATTGGCTGCGGGCTTTGGCCTCTTAAAGCCATGTTTGGTGACGAAATGATTGCGGTGTGAAGTGCATTAGTAAAGGCTGGACACGGGCATACACACTTCTCCAGCCTTGAAGAGCAGTCATTCTTTACATGCCACTCCTTTCTTCCTTTCTTACTCAATTGGCCCTCCAGAGCTACAGGTCCACATTCATCACCATCCGAAAGCTTCCGCTCAGCACAACAGCACGGGCAATGGCGACTGAGTATAAGATCAAAGGTCTTTCCGGTCTAGACTTGAAAAGCGGGGAAAAGCGTGAGGTAGAACTTGAAGGCATTGAAAATGGCAAGGTCCTACTGGCAAAAGTCGGCGAGAAAACAACTGCTCTGAGTCCCAATTGCACTCATTACGGGGCGCCACTGAAATTCGGCGTGCTTACACCGGACGGGAGATTGACCTGCGCCTGGCATGGAGGTACATCTACGAGCAAACATTGTCCATCTTTCAGGCTCTGACAGACTTCATCACAGCTTGTTTCAATACTAGCACCGGCGATGTCGAAGACGCTCCTGCACTCGATCCACTGGCCACCTTTGACATTGTGGAGAAGAATGACGGAGTGTATATAAAAGGCGATGAGCAGACCATCAAGGTGAGCAGGAGACAGCCAAACACGAGATGCTCGCCTCAAGGTCAGGAGAAGATCGTCGTGGTGGGAGGGTATGTCGATACAATCTATTGACCGCCCTACACATCACGCTGACATTGGCCACGCAGTGGTAGCGGCGCGGTTGGAGCCATCCAGGCTCTCCGAGAGCAATCATATAAAGGCAGCATAACTTTGATTTCCAGCGAACCAAATCTCCCAATCGATCGTACAAAGCTATCGAAAGCCCTAATTGCAGACGCCTCGAAAGTGGAACTCCATACACGAGAGTGGTACGATGACGCTGCTATTAAAACCGTCTCAGATAAAGTCTCAAGTGTGGATTTCAAGGCCAAGACCGTCTCGACTTCGTCCGGCAAGTCTTATCCATATACCAAACTCATTCTGTCAACGGGTGGTGTGCCCAAAGCGCTCCCACTCCCAGGTTTCAAAGACCTCAACAACATCTTTCTACTCCGAAGCATCCCTGACGTTCAAGAAATTCTGAAGGCCGTAGGCGAGCAGAAGCAGAAGAAGATCGTCGTCATTGGCTCCTCTTTCATCGGCATGGAGGTCAGTAGTGCCCTGGCCAAGGAGAATGACGTCTCCGTAGTTGGCATGGAATCCACTCCACTCGAACGAGTCATGGGCGCCAAAGTCGGGAAGATATTTCAGTCCAACATAACTAAAGCTGGTGTCAAATTTCTTATGAGTGCTTCGGTCGACTCGGCCGTGCCATCGTCGTCCGATTCCAAATCCGTCGGATCTGTCAAATTGAAGGACGGCACCAATCTGGAGGCTGATCTTGTTGTTCTTGGGGTTGGAGTTGCTCCAGCCACACAGTATCTTCAAAATAACGCTGCGGTGCAATTAGAGAAGGATGGGTCCCTCCAAACCGACGAATCGTTCGCCGTAAAAGGCATCCCGGACGTTTACGCCATTGGCGACATTGCCACATTCCCGTATCACGGCCCCGGTTCCGACGGCACACTCACTCGAATCGAGCACTGGAATGTGGCACAAAACGCCGGCCGATCTGTAGCGGGCTCGATTGCCTCAGGTGGAAAAGCGAAACCAAAGAATTTTATTCCCATCTTTTGGTCTGCGTTGGGCGGTCAGCTCAGGTACTGCGGAAACACTCCCAATGGGTGGGATGACCTAGTATTGCAAGGTGAGCCAGAGAATGGAAAGTTTGCGGCTTTTTACGGGAAAGGCGATACGACTGTCGCGGTGGCAAGTATGATGATGGACCCGGTCATGTCGCAGAGTGCGGAACTGATGAAGAGGGGCAAAATGCCAGGGTTGAAGGAGTTAAGAGGGGGCCTAGACGTGAGGGATGTTGATCTGTCGAAATTGTGATGCGGAGATGGTGATATTGAGCAAGGTAACAAAAGGGCTTGCTAATGAGCCATGTAACATGATTTGAATTTGAATGCCCGTCAAGAACCGACAAGAGCAAAGAATAATGATTTGCTTACCTTTTATGTTTCACGGAAAGACACTTGATGTGTATAGTCTCCATTGTTGCTACTCGTACCTCGAAGTTTTCGCTCGATATTTAATTCTCGAGGCCAACAAAACTTGTCAACCAGGATTACGAAAGGAAGCTTGAACACGAGCTCTGCATCATGACCCACATCGTTTGTGTTCACTCTATGCTTACTCGCTTGCACCGACACCAGTCTGGGGCTCGTCCTCCCCAAGCTAGTGCGCTCGTGGCATCCTAATGACTGGTCTATGCCTTCAAATGTTCCATATTGCGCGTGAAGAATCGAAGCCTTGGTACGTAAATCTTGAAAAAGAGACTCGCCCGATGAATTCGCGGTTTCTTGCACAATGAGTGTACGAGAAACAAAGCATCAAGTAATAAAGGGAACATGGCCAGCAAAATCAGCGTCAACGTTAAGTGAAACACATGTATATTCCAGCTTCGTGTCTCACTCGCTGGATTTGATGGGAAGAGCCGATGGGAAACATATTAAACGCCAAAGAGACCAAAGGGAAGGAAATTTGAAGCAGTGAGTGCTCGGTTGAGGGAAGCGATTACACGAAGGTCGTAAGGGCATGATCATTCACACATCGAGGCCAGCGCTCTCCGCACTTCACTGCTTTTGCTTTCTTGAGGGAGGCAGAAAGTCATTGAGCGTCTACTTCACGATGACTAATGCGTGTCCTCGTCAAAGAGCCGTCGGCTTTTCTCATTTCCCCCTGCCGATGGCGGATTCTGCTGATAATCTCGCCTTGGGCCATCGACGGGTGCCATATCTTCCGCAATCGCATCCTCGTAACTTGGTGGAGCATCGGGTGGTATGTCCTCTGGTGAGGGCTCAATATGATCTGTGGTCTGGGTCGGTCCTGAGCCAGTGACACCCCCGGTCTGGGTCGGCGGACGTGCCGGCATTGGTGGAGGTGGCTCCTCTGGACGGTGAGACATTGCTTCCAGCAGAGCTTCTGGGGGAGCAACTCCAGAGTAGACCTGACACGGCATACGTAACATTTGGACGTTCAACTCGGGCTGAAAATGAGTGTCAGCAGAATTTAAAGCAATCATAGGTTGTTGAGATCTAACATTTTTCTTGTTCCCAACACCCCAGGACAGTCCAACTTTGATGTGTAAGCCATAGCTGCGGGAGATGTTACAGGTGTGAAAGGTCGGTGAGACGTTATTTGGAAGGGTACGCTGGTTCCATAAACTTGGCGGAACTTCTAGAACGTTAGTACCACCTTTCTCATTGCCGCTTGTTTCATCGAGCGATTTATGCATATTGCTCGTGCTCAAAATTGTCCAGCTTGAGATCTCGTTCCTCCGCAGAGTATGAGCTCGGATGGTCGAAAAAGCCAATAGTTCGACATGCAACATCTCTAGGAATAGGGAAGCGGGAGAATCATTCAGCCTGTTGATAAGAATCCTCAGTGGTAATGCATCATTACACGTTATGATGGCAGGGTCTGGGAGGCGACCCTCAATAGACACACTTGGCGGCGTGATGTTGGGAGTTTGACCGGATGTAGATTGTTTGCGAAACAGACTCGGCTTCTCGAGGGTATCGATGGGTGGTGCAAATTGATGTTGCACACGAGCGAAAGATTCCCTTCTATTCGGAGCCGGCCTTGGAGGCTCAATTGGAAAGAATAAGAAATTTGTGTTGTATCTCCAATTCTCTTTGTAGAAAGCAGGCCTTTGGACAGTAGCTTTAACATAGTATTGTATTTCTGCCTCTCCCGGCATGCCCCCTAAAGTCGGTGGGAGCGTCTTCTTCACATGTCCGTTTGAGCCTTGATACATGTCAATACGCATGGAGCTGAGATTGGCAAGGACGGAATTGTTATTGATGCAATCATTATTGAATGGGATCTGTACACAAGTAAGCCTTGAGAGGAGCAAGAATCGTCATGATAGACCGACCTTGAATTTGAATGGATAGGAGTACTGGCCGGGCGGTAAAGTGTATTGATTCTTGGAGCCTGCGGCCGCAACATCTCGCGAAGGAAACACCGTTTGTATCTTATACAACAACTGACGCATGTCAGTCTGTTCGATTATGGATGTTGCGGGATTGGCTACCCACATACCTTGTGGACCTCTAACTGGGTCTGGTTCCGAGCGTACGGATCATACGTTCCAGGAACGCCATATGCTCCAGCAAGCCGAGTGCGACTTTCACCTTCCAATTTCACAGTGATCGCTGCAATAGTCTCTTGAGCCGTTAGGGACAGCAAGACCTGCCCGGACACCTCATCAAGATTGGTATAGTAGCTGTGAGCTTGAGATAGTTGGACTCTTAGAGGGTAGGAATAGGACATTTTCGCACTTTGCCTGGCTCTTGCTCTTGCTCTTGTTCTTGCTCTTGTGGCCAACGGTCATGGGTGTTAGACCTTTGATTAAGCTCTATAGATGTTGGAGTGGCGTTGATGTAGGACATTATGTTTTTCGTCTGCCTAGAAATTCACTGCTTCTGATATCCGGAATATGACAGAGGCTGAGCTCCGCCAAATTAGGTTGCATTGGTGCTCGCCCGCAGCGAAGCTTTTACGCTAAAATTGTTTAGAAAATAAGTATGTTAGGAACTCATTTATTTCACAGAGACAATTTGTGAGGGCGCTTGCAACGTCAGGCTTTAAAATGCTCTATGCTGGATGCATTGTAATTGAGATCCTCATAAATTGCTACGTCGCAACAATGTGTGGGGTATCATCCGTAAAGAAAGTCCTTGAACGCCCCGTCCCTATGACCGAATTCTTGCTCGCTGTCGTTCGCATGTCTCAAAGACGCTTGAATAACACATAGCTAACCTAGAAAGCTTCTTTACAGGGTCCCCTTACAGGATCGTGGGTCAACCCTCGCATAGTGCCTCGTTGAGTAAAGTATTGTTGATTTTCAGAGCTTCGACCTGCGTTGGTGACTCACTAGCAAGGCCACTCGCCTTGCCGTTGTCTTTCTCCGATGGGACTGCCTTCTTCTGTGCTGTCTTCGAGATAGCGACTTTAGCCGGAGAAGCGGGCGTGGCACCCCATTTGCCCACCATCCACCCCCCAAACGCTTTTGAAAGGCCTTTCTTGGATGTTGCAGCTTCGGACGGATTTACCGTCGTCCCTAGCGTGGCATGCCCAAGTAAAAGCCGGTTGTAGTTGCTAGAATCATAATACCTTGTGGATTTAGAGGTCCTTCCAATCGCCGACGTTGAACTTGTGATAGGGTCGACTGATAGGGATGAAGCACCTAGAGATGCTCGAGGACTGTTGATTAGTTGAGATCGCTTCCGTCGTAGTTTGGGAATGTCGACACCCCGACTCGATAGAACACTTTCGGCTGAACATGCTCGATGCAGTCGGGGCTTCATCGATAGTTTTTCTCCGTGCCCAAGATTTATTTTAGCATTGGGGTCATCTTCGATCCCAGTGAGAGCCTCTTCGTCTTCTGGCTCTTCTAGAATCGTACTTTGGTCTCGTGTAGTTTTGGGGTGACTATCGTATGTGTTCTCCCTTCCTTGTGGAGATTCAAGTATAGCGGAGATGTTCTGCGGAAACTGCGAAGTGGACGGCGAGGCTTGAGCCGGAAAGCTTTTTAGTGACGTATCAGATACATGTTTTTGATGCCTTGGGAGAAAGTCGGCGGAGTCAATGGTAGTTGACGCAGGGCTCATTGGCCTAGAATGGTCAAAGACGTCTTCTGTAGTGTCGAAGATGGACTGCTCGCGGAAAGAAGATGGCGGAGAGCTGTACGTCGATGATTGGCCAATCGTGAACGAGTTCAGTGAGGTCTGAGAGAATCTTTTATTAGACGGATCATAGGGTGGGACTGTAGCTGACGTATGTGAAAGTATTGTGGCGGCATTGGGCGCTGAACACATCTGTAGATGAGGTGATCCTGGTGTACGAGGGGTGTGAAAACCAGCGGTCGGTGTTCGAAATCCAGGAGATGTGACGTATCTCTTTTTCCTAGGTCGTCGAATGGCCGGTGCCTTCTCTTTTCTTATGTCTGCTTTCGGAGCTGCATGGTAGTGGTGGTGAACGTGGACAGGTATCTCTGGTGATGGTATCTTTGCAAGCTCCGAATCTAGGAAGCCTTCGTTGGCCGATTCAGATTGCAACGGCTGGTGCTGTAGGATCTGTTCTCGCAGGCTCTCCACCTCTTCATTGGATCCGGTCAGCATATCTCGCAGCTCAACGATCCCCATCTGTAGATTTGCATTGTCTTGGAGAATTTCCCGAACAAAACTTGAGACAACAGACTTGTCTCCATCATCAGGCCCAGTCGCAGATACTGCAGCCCCACTCAGCCTGCCGGCCGCACGATCCAGTTCTTGCTCTACCGCTCTTCGTCTCTCCAATCTTGCCACAAGTTCCGTATGTTGACCTCTTTCTTGACTTGTTTCTTTTTCAATGCGATCAATCTGCTCCGACAACCTAGCAATGGTTCGTTCCGCACTTTTCCACCTTTGTATTGCTGTGTGTTTTTCTTCATCTTTCGTCACAGCTTCGATTTGTAGACTCGCTTGTTCCAGCTCCATATTGAGCAGCTCGGCCTCGAGATCAGCGGCTCGCGCGGCGAGAATCGTGAGCTTCTCCATCTCTTTGCGAGTCGAGTCGAGGTCGGAACTAAGCGCAAGTATTTGAGCGTCTGCATTCGACACGCTATTGTTCATCGTCTCCAACTGATCTAGCAGATATCGATTTTCCTCTATCGTTTGCGCATTTGAAGCTTCTAGATCCTTTTTGTCCTTTTCCAAGCCGTTGACTGCGATCGTGCTGCTACGACGCTCTTCTTCCACTTCACGCATGTAAGCTTCATGGCGCGAAAGTAAGGCCTATGCACACTTGTCAGACTGAGCTCTTTTCATCCAGTTCATCGCATCTCCGACTCTACGCAGCTTGACCTACCTGGCCTATTTGAGCTGCACTTTGGAGGTCTTTCTCGAGCCCTTCAAGCGCCGTATTGTTATGTTCGAGGTACGCACACCGCGAGCGTCCACAGCAACAAGTTGCCCGATGTGCCAAAGATCGCATTTCGCTCCCTGACTGCAACAGGAGACTATCCAGCACAGCGGACGGCGAGTGTGAATTTGATGCTGAGCACCCAGTACATGACATGACAAGGGCACACGAGTCTTCCAAGATGGCCACAATGGCAACCCTAGAGATTCCTAGGAATGAGCGGAAGAATAAAAGGAAAAGGTCAGGTTTCTGAAAGCCATTGTTGCGACCTGCCCCTCATACGTCAGTATAGCTTCTGATTGGCTCCAGTCGCTTCCCAGCCACCTCTTTCCCCAGCCGAATGCTCGATTGCTCCTACCACTTTCACATCCGCGTAGGACACCGATGCCCAGCCGAGATGTCTTCCATGTGTAATCTCAGTTCCTTTCGCTCGAGGAGTGAGATGTTGATTCGTTAAACAGCTGCACCAATAGTATCTACTATGAAGACAACAGAAGTCAGTGCCTCTTTGCTGGAGACAGAACTTGACCAGAAGGAACATACACACGTTTCAATTGTCAATGAATGATAGTATATTATTGTTTCGCATCCATTTGATCGCATTGCAACAGTCGGATTCAATGAATGTAATGTATTATGCCTTTGACTTGCTGTTGTTGCAATTACTTAGTACAGATTACTTGAAAAAATTCTTTTTTCCTTCAAGCACCCTTCGAATCTTTGATGTCTTTAACATCGATAAACTAATGGTCCTCAACCTATACTATCGGTCCATTCAACGATACCTTGTACAAAGGTACAGAGCGCGTGTTGCTCTACCCTACTGCAACGATAGAAAAATTATATCCGCAAAATTTTCATGTTCAAGAAGTAGTATTGGGCAAAGAATGCGATTAGGTCTACGGTGTTTGAGCGAGTAAGAGTTGTTGAGTACGGTGGTAGCTTTGTCTAATATAGCCGTCGATTTCTCCAATAAATCAGCAGCGAGATTAACGAAGCGCACCGTCCCGTCGGCGTATTCTTCTTGATCCCTACTCCTCGTTCAGTGAAATATGTCTTTCAATTGTTTCCAGTGGAACAGTTTCGCCTATATTTGGTTGAGAACTGATTCATCCTGCGTGAGGAATCAGTGAGACAAGAAATCAATTTCAAGCCAGGTGTTGGTGAGTTCGAGCGTTCGCTTGTTTTCGCTATCTTTGAATTAGATTTATTCGTTCAAATTCTTCCCTGCTGTCGGATGGAGGCATAGTAATATCTTTCTCAAATCGCTACGTCAAGGCCATCACAAGGCGTGATCATTGGATAGGTGAAATGTTGTGGTAAGGGCAAGCGATATCGAGTGGCAAGTATTGTACCCCTTCGAACAACCCGGGAGCTTGAAGTGGAAGAAGTTAGTAAAAGTTAAGCCGTTCTCAACATTACGACCAAGCGTTGTGGACGCTTTCGAGACCGATGAAGAGATGATAAAGTGGAGAGGCTTTCAGTAATAGAAAAGATAAAGGTGAGGAGATCACACTGCCATCCTGGTTTGATTTCTGATGCATCCTAGACTCTAGGTGAGTCCTCGAATTAGGATTCGAAGCAAAGAAAGATCTTTGGACAAATGCTTCATTGTTAGCGTCTCAAGATACTCCGAAAGACATTCACTCCGAGGAGAGTAGTAGCAAAAGGAAATCGCTCACTACTCATGGGATCGCTTCTAATATCTGAAGAGCTCGAAGGAGGTCTGGTCTCGTAGAGGAGATGCTAATGTCAGGGTTCACAGAGGTGGTGAGCTCAGTGCACCCCGTCTTGTATTTGATGCTAAACAGCAAAATGCTGAAAATTGCAACGATTTACACAAAGTTCTCACGGTCTATATTTCCAGAATTTAGACTAGGACTCGTATTACTGCTGCAGCGGGGTTGAGTCAAGCACAACACGTAGTAAGTTGCATCTGTGTTTGCTTGATCCCCCGGATTTGATGTATCTATCCGATAATTTATCATCCTCAGTAATGATGCAGCTTTCTAGTCCGGAGGTTGTGGTCAAGCTGACGAAAGTTGAAGAGCACGACTGCCACAAATGCAAGGAGACAAAGAGACATCGTATGCAACGATTGAGCGCATCATTTGATTTGAGAAAAGCTACCATCACCGTCTATTTCTATTTGCTGAGACGCAGTGATGTAGAAAGTAACCCGAGAGGTAGTGTAGCGTAGTCTGCTCAATGAGGAGCACATCCGCTGCCGACAGCAACACGAGATATTGGCCTCGTATTCTAATCTATAGATCAAAATCTAGGCCACAGACTCCCATTGGAATGTTGAAGAGTGCTGTATGCCAACATCTAAGGGGGTCTCCGATGACAGACAATGTCAACAGTAGAAGCAAATCTTGTGTCTACACTATCCCCGGAGTGCAACATACCTTACTGCTTCTTTGTGGCCCGATTTACTCTCATGGCCTTGAGCAATGCATACCTTATTGCCACAAGGCGTTGGGATTATTTGTACTTGATCTCAGAAGGCCACTAAATGACCTGGTGCAGCCTGACACAAGGGAGAGCATTACAAGACAAGTGCAAGACCCGTGAGCCATAGTGGTCTTCCCTCGCCTTCTACCGTATCTCAGCCTAGCTTTTACTGCATCCAAGAACAAGGGAGTTCCTCCGCCGCGTTTCTCCCTTCTCGATTTCGATCAAAGGATCAACAACTTTATAGCCCCAATTGGATATCGCACTTGCGACTGATCCAGCAGATTAAGCGAATATACTCTTGACTTGCTATAGAATGCCTTAACCCTTTAAACATAATTTATCCGATACCAACAAGGCTAGTTGGAGTGGGGAGCATTTAGGATTTCATCTCATTAACATTTCCTAGGAAGAAAAGGCTGCATAACAAAGAATAGAGACTTTGAGTTAGCAACTGAACGTAATTCTTCCCTAGCTTCAAGGCGTTGTCATAGATCTCTAGAGTAAAGTATATTCAAGATGAAGGTAATTCTTCTGAAGGACTATGAAACATATTTCTTTACTAAGAAAATCGCGGTAAATGTTAGCTTGCGATGACAGAGTATGAAGAACAAGTTAAGGATGGAATTGCATTGAGAAAATAGCACACCATCCTTCCAAAATCTCAACTTAGTTGTCTGTATACGTAGCCCATGTAGCAGTCTGTTCAAATACTGATATACACGAGATGCCATTCGGACGAGGGAGTCTGGCTTTGCTTAGGCTCTGACATCTTCACCTTCACCTTCGCCTTCATCTTTGTCTTCGTCATCGTCATCATCTTCGCCTTCGCCTTCGCCTTCTTCAGTCGGCTCTTGTGGATATCGCGCAAGAAAATCTGTCACATATGCTGGTTGGTGATCTTTGATTCAATGCATCCACGAGAGGCGGCCACTTCGATTGGGTCGATATAATCAGGTGAATAATGGATGCTTGCAGACGTCTCCGAGCCTGAAAGCTTCCTCTCAGTATCATTCGAGTCTATCATACTCACGCTTCCGATTTCTGTATGAGATAAATAGTCTAAACGTGAGCAACGCTTTCTTAAAGTTGAGGTGCGTATGGTTAGACGTCGTGTTCTTCGCACGTTATGGTCGCACCAAGCTATAGACTCACCTCTCATTGCATTTAAAGTTGCTTTGTCTACACCCTACCTATGACCAATCATTAAATTTTTATTAACAATGCGTCAGGTTCAAGACAACGATTAATGCCTTTTGCTGTCAGACTTAAATAGCAAGAATACATTGCTCAGCACCCTGTTACCTTTACTCTATTCTAGAGCTGCATACTGCATCTGCTTTTCTTATCTTGGATAGAAAAAACTCTGCTCCGAGGAACGAGACGCCTAATGATGTAGACTTTCAAGAGAAGCATTCTCCTGGCCAGCCCCTCTTTGACGCTGGATATTTCGGGTCGGGAATGCGTGGTCGATATGCCAGGGCAAGGAATCGAAGCCTGTTAAGCTTGGGCATAGATTGCGTTGGCGGATCAAAAGGGCACTGCGATGATGCACTGCACTTAGATAGCAAAAGCTTCTTTATGGCATATGTGACAAGGATGAACCATTGGGCCGGAGTTTCAGATAAGGCAACTTTGATGGTGGAAATTGCATGAGGGCGAGGTGCAACCTCTTTGTTGTTGCGATGGATGCTATTATAGTAGTTGAGTCTGGAGACCAAGAAGCTCTGGTGGTGGGACTTGCGTATCTGGGACGTGGATGCCAACTGCCGTTGTCACGAGTGCGAATTTGGTAGTCTAAGTATTTCTTAGGATGAGCTTTGACAGAAATGTGTTGGAAGGGGGTGAGTATATTTTTAGCTATTGTTAACTTATTAGGTTAAGACCTTTGTTGTTGAGGGCTATTGGGTTTAGATATCCTTGAGCAAGAGATACTTATCTGTTGTTGTGTGTAATAGATGAAAGCAGATTCGCTCCTTCTTGATATCGTTGCTGAAAGCTGAGTGAATGGAGATACCTAGGTTGACGACAGAACATCCCCCACTCTGCGAAACATTTGGCTCTTTCCCTTGCGAAGCAGGATTGATATCGTGCGATGGAGGTGGTTCTCGATAACAAGGTAAATTACTGGTATCGTTCGACAAAGGTGGCCCTGAATGACGAGTTGTAATAACGCATTACGAATAAAACAGGAGGGTCTCGGAATTTTACGGAAGCTGCCTGCCCCTTAATAGGGGCGAAAAACGGGCAGCTGCACGCTCAGAGGCTCGGCTTATCGGGTACTTTCTAAGGTCTACCTCCCTAAAGGTGGTCGGACTTGGCGTAGACCTACCCCCATTTCGAACGAGTCGAATGCTTCGAGAATGGAGGATAATCTCCCAGTAATCAAGTGGAAATCATCAGGCAATGCGCTGTAAAGACATTGGACTACTGTTGATCTGACGCCTTGATTTGAAGTACCTGCTGCCATTGCTGCCTGCGCAATGACTGCCTGGCAGTACTATTCCCTAGAGCATACAGCAAAGAAATGACTCAGTCCACCAACAAACATACTTCATTGCTTCCCATACCTATCCTATAGATTTCGCTCCGTGCTTGCGCATCTCATGTCCAGCATGACTCTTCTGCGTAAATCATGTCATCATAATTAGAACCCCCAAGGACGCAGTCCATTGTTCCACCCCGGACGTACACGTTGACTTGAAGTTGTTTCATCACCCTTTGTGTTGATGGTCAAGGCAGCCTTCGTCGATTGTACTCGAACACGACTTGACGCGAGACCATATTGGCAAAACCAGGTGAGGTATGTAGATCAGATGTCGTAAGAGGAAATATGAGTCCGCCGTAGTATACACTTGATGCCGGTGCTTTGCCGTACATCAGTCGAAAAGCATTAGTCAAGATGTCTTTTTCTGTGCCCTTGTGAACTTGTCCTAGCAGCACCGCTGTAAGCTGTCCTCCAGAACCTCCACGCTGACCAGAAGCTTGCATGACCGTTTTCAACGAAAACTACCGTCTTGGTAGCGATCACTGCCATATTTGCTGGTACTCCCGCTGGCGTAACCTGAGTCGGAGTAAGTGCTATCGGATGCCGGCTTCGAGCGCTTCTTCGAATGTCGTTCACATTTGTAGCCGACGTCGATGATACGTACGCTCACTTCATGCCCTCGTCGACCGTATTTGGAGCACGGGTCAACAGCATGGGTATAGTACGGGCAACCGCAGCCTGCGTAGCGCTCGACCAATTTGTAGCACATTCTTTTCTGAGGGAGCTGGACTGAAGGCGGTGGCAAATGGCTAATTATTTGTTGTTCTTGGGGGCCTGAGGGTGTCTTGTGAATTGGGTTTGTGGTGCTTTACTGAAGTGGCAAGGAGATAACGAATGTAGGTTTAATTGTGATTCAAAAGGAAAGTACTCGAAGAATAGCAGCCTGCAATGACACACACAGTATGACACAGCAGGCAATGACTGAATGGAAGGCACGTGCCACGAAGGACGAAGGTATCTTTTAAGGGAAAGGAGCAAATACATTTCGAAGGGGTCGTAACCCTAGGCATCATCACGGGTTAGGCATCCTTTGTGCAAAACATCGCCATGCTCCGACGGAAACATAGAAAGAGCTTCGACATGTGCTGCTTAGCCATGCGTCAACATTTACGATCATGGTCTAATACGTACAGCCTCCGGAGCCGAAACGTCAGTCAAGGTTTGAGATGAGTCTAATGCGGATCACAATGGACCAGTCACAGCTTTCAGAGTACATCAGCCTTAAGCAGACGAACAATCCGGCTCTCGGTGAACCAGGGTCCTGGGCAACGGTCTCGACCAGAGGATTGCGCAATATGCTTATGCTGAAAGGGCGGAATGGTTGAAGAAAGCAACGGAACGAGGTGATTGGTTTGTACTAAGCATGCTGGATGGAGAAGCGTCTGTAGGGTCGGGGATTTCTTCAAGCCCACCGCCGTGGCTGCATGCTAGCCTCCGTCAGATCAGGGGCAGGAATATGAGTAGACTCTCGCTGAGAATAGTAGCAGAAGGTAGCAAGGGTAGGCATCACAGGTACATATGCTAACCATGAGGAGCATGGTCCAAGGCCGCAGGGCTGTGTATATGATGGTAGTCAGCTTATAGACTGTAGTAGTTCGACGCCAAGCGATAGAAGGACTCACGGTACTGTGGGCCATACCGTCCTGTAGGCCAAAACTACGTTTACGCGGGCGGTATTGAAAATATGCGATGGTCGCCCGTGCGGACAATACATTACAGTTACGCATGTTTGAGATTTGGCCCTTAGGACCGTATGAACGACAGGACGGTGGGTCCTTCTATGATAAGACACTAATACGGTTACCTTAGCTTGACATGCGAGGGCGGTTGCATCCGGAAGAGTGGCTGAGGGCCCGTTTCGTAGGGAATGCGCCCCAAGACTGAAGAGTTTTTGCGCAAAGTAAATGCCTCGCAAAGGGTTGGGTGGTCAGTAAGCTTAGTAGGGGCTCTTGTGCAAGCATGATTTCATGTGTTCGTGTATTGACCGAGGTGGATCTTGTGGCCGAATCACGAACCGCTAGTTTGCGGCTCTAGGGTGTAGGAACGAGCAAGGCATACCGCGAGAAGCCTGAGCTGATATTGAGCCTTGAGCCATGTTCTATCGTCTGCCCTACGTCCTCGCATATCTCGAGTTCATACGCTATTTTCAGCACACTTCCTCCGGACGAATGAGATCGTGCAATCTTTGGTGAGCCACGGGAATGGGGGAGATTCATCGCTCTAGATCGACACGATGAAGCTAGTGCAGGGACAGCAGCCATTCTGAAGTCCTGATAGTCATGCTGTCACATCATTTCTCAAGAGTCGATCATTGTTGGCGTGCTTTGCGAGACCCCATGCCTATTCTGCTTCCGAGTCCTGAGGGCAGTAAGGGTCACTCCACGTTCTCTTCCTGGAGTAACGTCTTGCCTGGTCACCTTTGTCAAAGGCGACTCCCTGTGTAGAGTTGCCAGCTGTGCAAGTGGCCCCATAAGTTTATAGAACGTATCAGAATCGGGGCCGGGTGGCAGGAACAACAATAAGCCGCCGTGTTAAGCCAGGAACAACCGCGCAGCCCTAGCGCGATCCCTCTGTCTTATTTTTATTTTGTAAATTCTAGCCATAGCGTTCATGTAGCTTCACTACTCAACTCCTGGAGTCCTCGGGCGAGAAAGCCGAGTAACCCTGGATAGCAGGTGTCCGTAAATCTCATTGGGAAGGGACAGTTGCAACATGCCTACCTTTCAAGTGCCCCTCGCGTTTAGCTCCTCGACGCCCTCGACGCCCGATACCTCCGCGAAACGGCATAATAGCTTTCAACATTCGTCGTTCTTAGCCTCGAATCCTTCAACGACGCCGGCTGGACCTCCTCCCTCGTCCATTGCTTCCTTCACACCATCAGATCCTCCCCCTTCATCTATCTTGGGGAGCTCCCATATTGGAAGAAGTTCTCCACTCTATCAATCGCAAGATGGCCACCGCTCCACATCTCGCTCACAGAGAAGAGGATCGCCCAGGTCAAGCATAAACAAAGCATCTCTGCGCTTTGACAACAGTAATAGATTCAACATCAGTAGCATCAACGGCAGTATAGCTGGAGGAAGTGACTTGGATTTTTCTCTAAACGGCTCTCAGAATGATTATCGAGGCGCCGTCGGGTCGGCTCAAAAGCGACAAGTCATGAACGAGTCAGCAATGATGGCAGAGAATGAGAGTAGCCTTAGAGACTCGATGGCCAGCGATCAGGGATCATTGAGCTTTGGCCGTAATAGCATTTCAAAAATTACGCCATCGCCTTTGCGTAACTCAATCCTTAAACTCAAGACTGGGAACGCACGCTCATCAAATATGACAATGCTTCAGTCACCAGAAAAGGGCGTGAAGCGATCCCTCCAAGGCGTTCTCAGGAACGCAAGTCCTCCTTCAATCAAAAAACGTCTTCCCGACAAGAGACAAAATTCAGCGTTACCGAGCATCACAAGAGACGTAGCCCGACGGCAGGGGACGGCCCCACTTGAAGAAACCAATGATTTCATTATCGGCACTGAGGAAATTGTAGCTACTCTCTATTCAGATGTAAGGGATTGTGATGGACTTTCTAGCGACCAACGATTGGCCTTTGCAAGAGCCTCAGAGAGGCTTTCTAGATTGTGGACTAGACAAATTAGGGTCAAGCACAAGCTGAAGGAAGCCTCGTCACAGGGGAAGCTAAAATGAAAATTGGACCATCAGACCAAGAACCGAAGCTTTCAAGAGCAGTATTCATTAGCGATCTTCTACTACGCCTGCACCACCCCCCACAAGCAAGAGGCAAAAATGCGCTTGCCTTCGCAAATTCTCGAGGTCCGGTCGGATCGTCGACACATCCTGGTGAGATGTCTAGCCTTCCAAATGAAACTGCTGTACCCAAGGTCCTGATCTCTTGGCTGGACGAGAATCACAATGAATGGGAGCAAACTCTCCAGACGGTGGAAAACACACGTCCTAATCCGGCAGTCAACACCAACTTTTGGGATGTTGTATTCAATCTTGTATTGCGTGGCAAGATTCAGCGCGCCATCTCATTGCTGAGATCGTCTGACTTTCTTACGCCTAGTGGCGCTTCTGAGGATGGACAAACGGAGTCTTACACGAAGACTCAAGTTGCCAACATATATGCTGCAATTAGGGAAGCCACTGAAATAATGAGACAGTGCCCTGCAATTAGAGATGACGACTGGCACGTTACCGGGATTGACTGGTCAAGATTTCGCGGGCTGGTCAATCAAGCTCTCCACGACCTAAATTATCCTGTAGAAGGTCGGAAACAAGATGCCGGTGCTCTTCATCAAGCTGGCAGCGTCGAGATTCGCAGTGCTATGAGCAGTAGCCAGAACAATCGTGAAGCCACCAGCTATGTACCATGGTCTATCTATCAAAATTTACGGGCACTGTATGGCGTTTTGCTCGGCAGCGAGGCCGAGGTTCTCTCCTCTGCGCAAGATTGGATAGAAGCGACTGTAGGGCTGACTGTCTGGTGGAATGGACATGAAGAGGAGCGATTGGCGGTCGGAGATCTCTCCAAGACGAAACGCTCCCTCAGAAAATATCAATCGGAGGGACAAAGATTGGTCGATATGGATCCAGAAGCCGCCTATGTAGATCGTTTAAGGACAGCCTTTCATCATGCCATCGATGACAACGATGATTTCAGTTTCCAGGTTAACTCAAATTCCTTGACACAGGTAGCTCTTGCTTCAGTCTTCGAGGGAGATTTTCAGGGGATCCTGAGCCTTCTCCGTTCATGGTCTCTCCCAGTCGCAGTTACAGTGGCAGAAATTGCGACCCTTGGAGGATGGTCTACAACTACAATATCTCCCAACACTTTCAGCGATGAATTGGACGAGAGTGACCTCATGGTTCTAGACAGCTACCACGAATCAGACGTGGGACTACGCCGCGATACCTTGATGAAGGAATACTCGAATGCGGTCTCTTCGCACGGTCCTGTCGAATATGACGAAAAGGGCAAATTGAAACGAGAAGGCTGGCAGCTGGCCGTTGACATACTTGCACGATTGGGGGACGAAAAGCTTTCTAAGACCGAAATCCGTAAAGTCTTGTATCAGCAGGATCTCGTAGACGATCAGCACGTCGATATGGCTCTCTCAATATGCACAAGATGTGACATGGCTCAAGAAGCTCGAACCATTGCAACGGTCTGTTTTCCATGTCTTTCATGCTGACGCATAAGCTAACCATTATTCTCAACATGCAGAATTACGCGGATCACGTCTCAAAAAACACCGAATCCTATGGTACGATGCTTCTATATTATGCCAGGGCAGGACTTGAGACGAGGGTGAGGGATGTGCTTGATTTGTTAATATCTGTATCGTTGGTCAGATCGACAAGTTTTCCGTCTACATCATCTCTTGATGCAACTTTAGGCGTCTTTCTCAACATACCGTGTGGGATATTCGTCAACATTGCAGAGAACGACCCAGCGGCTGCAGCTCTGCTGCACAGCCTCTTCACAGGCTACGCAGCTCTGCGCGAGTTTTATGACATCCGTGACAATGAGATCCAGCGCAAGGCTACAGAGGATTCTACAATGGAAATCGCCCGCAAAGAAGCTGCTTTCAGACGTCTGATCACGATTACTAACAGTGCAGCCGACAACATCCATGGCGGTCTCTATGACGACCATGCGGGCGCCGTCATAAATGTTGATGGCCTATTGGTACTCCTCGGAGAGGTTTCAGTTTTCGTGGATGGTAAGAAAATCCCATTTCATTGATCAACACACGCATCGTCTCCGTCGGGAGTCTGGATCTGCAGTGCGTTCGAGATCTTCTTGGATTAATCATACTGACTTGAGTCCAGAATCAACAGGTCTCCTCCCCTTGGCGCAGTGTTTGCATCTTCTCAAGATCGTTGAAGATTTGGAAGCTGTCGATCAAAGCACCTTCGACCGATGCGACAATTTCTATCGATCGACGATAGCCTCATACCATGACCAAGCGAAACGGCTGTCACCGCCACAATTGCTCAAGTCTATGAGTAGTAAATCGGACACCAGCAGCTTTTCGTTGGTGGGGGATTCGATGCTCAATTCGCTCGATTCAGAAGATATGGATGGTAACAGCAGCGCTGGAAAGTCGCAACAGGCAATCAAGCGGGGGTGGGATTGGAGGGAGGGCACCTCTAAGAGTGATACGGGAGTAGAGCTGCTCCGAAGGCTCAGGGGCGGACTGGCCCGAGACATTGCGAAGCACTGGAATGATGACGATGATGATGGAGAAAAGGTATGATACCCAGCTCGCACGCAGCACGACAGATATTTTGTGTACAGAAAAGCGGCCAAGCGCCTGCTTCGTTTTCCCCGAGAAATGGTCAAGCCTGCATGTGTCGCACCGTCCTTAACGAAGGCCCTGGCCCCCACCCAAGAACCTGAGCCGATGCGAGTCCAAATTAGAATGGAGGCTCCGGGGTCCAGATGATGGTGTAATATTATTAAGGGTGGCGGAGTTTCAACATTTGCGGCGTTCGGGCTGGGTGATTGCTCCCGCGCGCAAAAGACTGCAATTCGCGCGGGATTGTCAATTATTAGTATAATTACACGGATTAGTTTCATCGACAGGCTAGACAAGCGGAACAAGCGGAACAAGCTAGGCTCTCTCTCACCTCTAGCACTCGCAGCGCTGCTCTTTCTCCGAGCTCCTTCGCCTTCCACCATTCATCATTATTCATTATTGCGAAGAGCGTTCTTTGGCCGCCCGTCTACATGAAACCACCCAGGATCCTGGTGTGCCTGGGTTGCACAAGGCTCACGAAGAGAATGAAACGATTCAATCCGCAAACTCAATCTCATATATCCTACATTATACCAGCGTCCCCTGCTATGTCTAGGTGCGTCCTGTTGTCAGTCGTTCGTTTGAGTGCAAGGTGCCATCTTTGACTTGCGTTTTGCCATTCTTTCACACCATGAAGCTGTCTTTCCTTTCTGTTCTCCTACTCTTAGCTGCAGGCAGCGACGCAAGGCGCTTTAAGAAATATAGGCGTGATTGCAATCCACAAGTTGGAGGGGCCGGCAATGGTACTGCTCAGAGTGGCCAGAAAGCAGCCCAGTTTCTCGCACTTTCCAGTTCCTCGGCCTCCTCTGCTGTACCGCTCGGCAGTGGAGATACCACCAATGGGACTACAGAAGGCTCCGGAGAAAATTCTACGACTAGTGATACCACTGGTATAACATCAGTGGGAAATGGCAGTACTGTTTCGTTGCAACCCGGTACGAAGTCTGCCAGCGTTCTTATTGCACTGAAGCTGATGATTGTACGTCGAAGGTGGCACAACAAATCCACCAGCTTCAGGTTCCAACGGCTGCCCAGGATTCCGCAACGTTGTGTTCAATACAGTGGCCGGAAAAGCCCCTGGCTTTCCAGATACAACTTGGAGCACACTGGCAGGACTAGGTGTTGATGGTTGGAGTATGCTAGTATCTCTCTCCTTTCTGATGCGCCGCCGCTTACCAACTACAGTTGGCTTTTCTCTCAGTACACTTGACAAGAAACAAAGCTACGCTCCGATAAAGTCTAATGATGCGCTTAACGCCGCGCAAGTCCACATGGTCATGGACAGGAATGATATAGCAGCTGGCATTGACATGCTGAAGACCAGCCCGCCAGATTACTTGGCTCTATACAATGAGGTACGTGTATGTAGCGCGCACCAGCGGCGGCGTGAAGACCCTTTGCAGGAACTTCGATCTCTTCCCCTCTTTGCCATGATCATTCTCGGATGCGTCTCCAAAGCCCACGAGCAGCTCCGTAACTGACTATCTACTTGTATCATGTAGCCCGATTCTTCCTATTTGGGGTACACGCTTACAGCCACGCCTGGAGAAGCAGCAACTCAACTGAAGGATTTCTTTTCAACTCCGCACCCAAAAACCAAGTATCTGTCCCCGGGATGTGCCCAGGATCTACCATGGCTCACGCAATTCCGTGATGCGTGCGCAGCGCAGGGCATAAATTGCATGGGTCAAATCGACGTCATCTCTTACCACATCTACTCACACACAGCTCAAGGTGTCATTGACGGCTGCCGAGAACTTCACACAACTTTCCCCGACCAGAAGATTTGGCTTACAGAGCTGTCTCCTTCGAGCACCCATGACTGTACTATGGACGAAACAGCAATGATTCAATGGATGAAAGACGTGTACAAGGGAATACAGGGATTGAACGCGGAGTGAGCTCAGCCTGGCCAAGGATCGCCTGATCGTGGTCCAGTCATTGAGAAGATCTTTTGGAATAGTGGAGAGGCTGGTGCAGGTGCTAACGGATTGCCGGGTGGTACTTGTGACCCGAGCTTGACGAAGTCCGATGGAAGTGCAACAGCCCTCGGAGAAGCGTTTGGGGGGCTCTGCAGCGATGCACAGCCGAACTCAGTGGCGACTTCATGACGTTGGGCAAATAACAGACAGAATTGTAATTCCATGATATGCTTCAGACTCTCCTCAGGCTTCGCTTCCATACACCTTTCTCTCGATCCTAGATGTTATCTGACTTTGTTTCGCTGATACCCTCTGCTTGAATTCAGCAAGATCCTATGACTTGGCAGATCCTGGTAGTCATTTGCTCACGCATGCTTTTGCTCGAGGATCAAGAAAAAACAGAACATTATCACTCCTCGTGTCATACCTCAACGTCAGCCTCTCGTTTTTGTGAAGCAGGAAAGATTCGCCAGAGCAGGTACGTGGGAATCTGGACATCTTGTGTGGGCTAGTTGAATGAGCCCGAAGCTGGCACTTAATTTGGTGTTGGATGATATTCTGGCAAATTTATTTGCCAGGTCGCTGACGCTGCTTCATCATGAGTGTCCAGAGCGATCAGCAAAATTGAACAAGAGCTCATGCACGTACTTCTTTTGTCGGGGCTGAGATATGCTTTGCGATTGCGAAATATTATAACAAAAGAATTGCTTGACCTGCCAAGGAGAAAAGGAAGCAAACTACCTCACGCCGTTCCTATGATAATGTATCTCCTATACCTCGACTAGCGCTTGAAGCGGATAGTATTCAAATGAATTATTCGTACAGTCTGCCTCGGTCAAAGAGCTACGTCGCGGTACTTTGGGAGAAAGGATAACGCACTTCTGGCCAAGAGAAAGTCTTCAAAATACGTGGATGTGATTCAAGCATTTGAAGCATGCCTATTCATCTTCAAGCAGTGATGCGAAAGTACTCGTGTCATGATTGTTATACCCAGTTATTGAAGCAAAGAGCTTCAAGTATATATGTACAAGTCAAGCCTACAATTATAGAAGCACCAGAATTGCCAACTGCCACAGACTTCTCAAACAGCATGAAGCTCTTGCTCCACTAGTAGATAGAACATTTTCCACATTAGCTAACATCGACGCAACGAAATAAGTTGAAGCAAATTCTCCGAGTATAGACCTCATACTTATGCAGCAAGATAAGTTGAAGCAAAATCTTCAATTATAGTGCCATTCCAAGTAAGAGACCAGGGGGAAGCAACATTCCTGAGTAAGCAGTTTTTCGCATCGATCAAGAACACCGAAGCAGATTCAGCGAACGCCCTCCTCATACTTGTGTCTCTCTTCCAAAGTCAGGCCATGTGTCTTGAGGAGATGTTGTTGATATGAAGGACGGTCAGGATAGATATGATCTGATGTGCAACCAGCATATGTGCACTTCTTGGGCTCGTATTTGCCCCGATGGATCGGCTTTTGATCCGCAACATCATAGTATGGAAATTTTGATTCCTCCGTATGGAGGCCGTGCCCCGTGAGGTGCTTCTGGTATTGGCGTCGGGTCGTGTAGACCTTGTCAGACGAGCAAGATGGGACTTTGCATTTGATTGCAGTAAAGGTATCTTCGCTGTCCCAGTGAACAGTCCTTTTGTGCTTTTCGAGAGCCTTGTGATCTTGCCAAATTGTATCATCCGCACAGCCTTTGCTTTGACATCGCCGAGGTGTGAACTTATGCATTTTTTTAACGTGATCTTTCAAAGATCTCTCAGTCTTGTAAACTGCTTCACAATCATCAAATGTGCAGGGATGCACTCTTGCTTCATCTTTACGCTTTTTTTCTTCGAAAGCCTCGTCGGATGTTAAGATACACTTGGGCTCGTGGCCTGCCATGCTGGTCGAGCTCTGATGAGTATACTCACATCCGAAACGTTTGTTCCGGCAAGCATGTATGAACCGTACAGGCGGACTTTTGCCGTTCCCTTTCAAGCTTTCCATGAAAGCGGCAGGATCTCCCACTCTTTGTGAGTGGGCGAAGGTGTTGATCGTTGACAGCTTTCTTATGAAAGCTATGGGTTCCATTCCATCGAATGCTAGTGCTTTATCTTCTTCGGTCGCTTGTGTGATATCCCAAGCAGCTGCTTCCATAGCATCGGCAAGTTCAGTGCTCGTGTTTCCGGCAACTAGATCTGCAAGATTGATACTTATGTTTTCATCAGCTGGGTCTGCAACATCGGTGTTTTCTTCAAGCAAGCGCGGATCAATTGGAATGTCCTTTGAAAGCTCAATCCCCGCTTCAAGGAGGTCTTCGTCCACAGGATACTCGTCCACATCAGGATCTTTTGCTTCGATGTTAGACATAGGTAGCGTGTTGGGACTTTTGTTTGGATTATTGACTAGTCCGGCGGAAAGCTCCATTCCTGCTTCGAGCAGATCTTCGTCTATGGGGAATTCATCGACTTCAGGATCATCTTGCCTTGACATAGTCATCATGCTACGGCTTCCAGTGGGGCCTGCTCCTCTGGTGGCAAGCTCACTCCCTGCTTCGAGCACATCTGCTGGGTTTGCTTCAACAGGTGAAGGACGCTCCACCAACGACAGGGCGTGAGGGAATCCTTCCTCCGTGTCTTCAACAGAAGCATTGAGGTGCTGCTTGATAAGTTGCTCATGTTCTGCTTTCTTTAATCTCTTTCTCACCCTGTCACGCTGATTAGTGTCATCCGGGTCGAATCCATTTGCTTCACAATATTCGCGTATCTGCCTAGCTCCTATCGTGCGCTTTCTATTTGATGTCCTTCCTGCTGAAGCATCAATCATAGGTTCCATTGCCAACGGATGTTGCGGACCCAGGTTGACTCGGTCTGTCCAGACGTCATGGGTCATTCCGCCAACGTAATGTTGTGTTACCCCCGTTTGCAAGGACATGTGACTATGCCCAAGTACAGAAGCAACACCGGGAGTTGCTATACCATTAATTTGAGGCAACAGGGCTGCTTCACGCGCTCCCCCTCGACGAAGATCATGGGAACGTATTTTAGCTAATACTCCCGCCACTTGGCCTGCCCTCCCAACAATTCGATTAAACTGATTTTTGTAAGCAGGTTTGTCGACCGCAAGCAACGAAGCATTCGTCATTTGGCAGAAAACAGGTCGCTCAGGGTGATGCCACAGACTGGTTTTGTCCCTACGCTTACGGGCAAGTCGAAGCACTTCGTCGATGTTGGTACCAAAGACATTACCTTGCCTCAGAGCGGTGATAAGGATCATGTTGATAGGACATAGGACATTGTTATTAGTATCGTCTAGCGCTTTGCAAACAACAGTTCTGTTGGCATGCTCGTTGGTCCTAGAGGAAGCAAAGATTGATTAGCTTCGAGTTTCCACAGCTATCACTTGTGCATACTGCTTCAAAAAGACATTCTTACTTTGATCCTTTTTGACCCCGCATTGTGATTTGACAGAATAGATCCTTGAGCTCAGATCCGCCGGGGATGAATCTCATAGCAATATCTTGATACATTAGATACGTCAAGATGCCTGCATTAGCATTCGCAGTATCGGTCGAAAGATCTCCAGCGCGCGCCGCAGTGGCGCTGTAAACCACCAAGCTCATAACTCTGTACAAAGTAATGTCCCAGTTCATAGTTCCGTAGTCAAACGCATCCTGAAGTAAGCTGTTGATCATAGTGCGAATCATCCTAGAGCCAACCCAATGTGATTCTCGTTTTACCTTCCTAGTTAAAAACCCCTCTTGGACTAGACGAAGTAGATTTTCTGCTATCCTACATTCTTCATGGTTTGATAGCTGAAATGTAGGGAAATAGAAAAGGAAAGCCCTTTTCAGATCTACAATGCCATTCTTCAAGGATCCTAACGAAGGCACGCCCCCTGCCTGTGGTTGCATGTGCTTGACGATCGTGTTGCTGAAGCGTTCAATCTGCTCACCAGTTGGTGTTTCCTTGGGGCTGCAATTGGCTTCTACATCAGCTTGGTCTTTTGAGTCAGAGAAGCGTCACGGTGACGTACCCGATTCCTAATATTTGCTTCCGAAATAGATGGAAGCGGTTCAGCCACATGTGCATCCTTTGTGCTCCCTGTGGAGTGTCGGTAACGAGAGTTGTTTCCTTGAAAGCTCGCTTGCCCGCGATCCTTTCTTGCATCGGATCCTCAATAGCCAGCATCGAAGCAAGGCTCGCTGCTCCGAGGTGGGCCCAAGGATTTGGGGGGGCCATTGGTTCATCGTCAGACGAATTGTAGCTAGGATCCATGTTGCTTCAGGGGCGGAGCAGAAAAAAACGAAAGTTGGTGAAAAACCGACACTTCGTTTCCCGGCATGCCTGCTTCTAGGGCGTGCTTGCCCTAATCGTAAAAACGTGACATCATCCTCACCGCTCACAGCTCACAGGTAGCACCGAGATTGCAAGAACATCTTCTTCAATTATCATAAGAATTATCAATCATGATCATAATGCTAGAACTTCACCCATTTCGAGGATTATTGCCGGTCCCCTCGTCCCTATGTTTCCTGTCGTTAGCCTCGCCCTTTGAGCTCACCCACAATAGATCGTCTATCGCGTATCGAATGGTTGACATGACCACCCATTCTCCCTCCGTCAGGTTGTAGAGTCATATCAGGACCGAAATGACTTGTTCTTGATTCAGCGCCTCGGCTAGGTGCCCTGCTGACCCGTCTGCCATTGTTGGCCTTATTCTCATTCTGATGATGTCGCAATTGCTCCCATTGCCTTGGACTTGCTCCACCCATCCATACTTTTTCGCAGAAAATCAATGTCTTGGGCCCACCAGGCCACCGGCCCTTCCTCACTTTCTTACGGCGGTGAAAATAGGTGCAGGTGAGGTAGAAGCCGTGGATATGGGCGGGTATGACGCCACATATGAAGAGGATACATGACAGCGAGAAATCTGCATATGGACCTGCAAGTAGAAGGATCGTCGCAGGAGGAAAGAATATGTTGAGGAGAATGTAGAAGAGACGAGTCAGCATTGGAAGTGTAGTAAAGGACCTTCAATTTCGCATGCAAAGCACGCAGAGAAGTCTCTTCTGAATGCAGCGTTGAGTGCAACACCAGCATCAAAGCCTGTTTTCTATCCGTCTTCGCAAGCTGCAAAATCGGTTCGAGTCCTTGGCACCATTGCCGTCATCATGCAGGATGACTCAGCAATCTCGAAATCTGATCCCTGGGAAACAAGATAGAGAGGACCTGGAGGGTCCTTGCTGGCAACTCATGATATATTATTGTCATCTTATACACGGACATCTTCCCTCGGTTATCAGTCCTCGTGGCTTTTCAGCCAAGTCTATGCGGGGAAACGCTACTCTTCTTCAGGCGTAGCAGTGGCAGCTACTACAACTCAAATTATATCACTCGCAGCGGTCTCACACGGCAGTCGACATGGTTTCTGGCAAGAGACATCGGCAGTCGTGGTGCCATTATCATTGAGGGCAGACCCCTGATCAATGATTGACCACGTTCGAGTTGACGGTCCGTTGTTGATGCCTCATCATGGAGCGACAAAGAATACGATTGAGGGATTAGGCTTTCATATTATTTAGACCTTTGTGAATTCTGCTACCAATGTAGGTTCAATCCGTCCTTGGAACCAACCTCGGGGAATTGCGCCTGCAGGTACACTCGTGCAGGCAGTGTGCACGGACGAGAATGCCGTGGGCGTCCACTTCAACATGCTTTCTGATTATTAGGGAGATCTCCCTCCCTGCGTATCCTCACTTTCATCCGACCTGCAACACCACGACGATCGGTCAGGGCATGTTAGCGATTCGCAACCATGGCCGATGCGATCCACGAGATTCCTGTCTCCGTCTTCCTACCGGGCAAGATGGTGTTGACGCAGGCGAACATGGATTACCAGATCGCGCATGCCGGTGACTTCAATTGTGAAGGATTGAATACCTTTACCATCACCTTGATGAGCATTGTTACAGCCGCTGTTGGCATGAGGCTGTGGGCACGGAGGATTGCAAAGATCGACTTGAAAATTGATGACTATATACTTCTTGTCGGATGGGTGAGGGTCCAATCATCGAAATTTACTCAAGTCCATACGGGTAAGCTGACCTTTCGGTCCAGTTTCTGTCAATGGGAGCGCAAACTTGTTCCTTGAATGTCACATACAATGGTGGCTTCTGCCGCCATACCTACTCCAATACCCTCAACAAGCCCAGATTCGAACAGTTCGGAAAGGCGAGTCCACTGCTCAATCATTCGAATCTCGCACTCTTACACAAATCTCTAACTCATTCATAGACTGCATATGCTTGGAACGTTCTATATACTACCTCATATCCGATCTCACGCATTTCCCTCGTCCTCTTGTATCGCCGAGTTTTTATCCAGCGATGGGTTAAGAATGTCTGTTGGTTCCTAATCTTCTGCTATGCTGGATATGCGATCGGGTCAATGGTAGCAGATTTCTGCGCGGCTTTCCCTGTCAACTCCAATTGGAATCGTAAGTACAAGTCCAAGACGTTGCTTCTGTTGAGTTTACAGCTAAATCTGAAATTTCCTCCAGCTGGATTCAAAGCAACGCGCCAGATTGACGGCAAGCAGCTTTTCCTAGCAAACTGTGGTTTCAATATTGCAACAGATACTATACTGCTGTTTCTTCCTATGGTAGTAATTTGGGGCCTGAACAAAGATCGCCGATACAAGCTTGCATTGAGTGCCATCTTCTGTCTAGGCGTTTTGACCGTCGTAGCCAGCGTTGCGCGGCTGGTCTATTACTACAAGTTCGACGCGAACGATCCCATGTGTGAGTTCAGGTGTCTTGCTCCCACTGCTCTTCTTTCTCTATTGGGTCGAACAGCACACAATTCGGTCACTCCTCTAAATTTTCCTTCAACTAATGATACCGCTCACACAATAGGGGGCTTACCGACGTCTCAATTCTGGACAATAACCGAAATGAATCTTGGCCTTCTCTGTCCTTGCCTCGTCACCTTTGGTCCGCTGATCCGACAAGGGTACGTAGCTTTCCCTTATGTGCTCGAAAAGCGCAAGGATAGAAAGCTATTGGATAAATACCTCCACACCATGGAAGAGTAGCAACAGCTTGTGCAAAGTATACGACGCTAACATTGGATGTCGAGCTTAGTTATCGGATGTGCTATCCTCACCTATCGCCCAGCGCCCGCGAGCGAATTGAACGCATCACTGGCACAACCACAACCTACGTGAACGACTCACAGGCACTAAAACCGGAGTTCAGCGCTAAAAGATCCTCATTTGCAAAAATCAATGACGATGGTTTTCAGCCACCTTTGCGCTCAAAGCCTTCACAGCTTGAGGCGGGAACATATGCGGCTCATGAGGTGGTCCCTCCCATACCAAGAGATCAGAATGGTATGGCCATACATCAGGATATCGCACTCGCGAACCTTGATCCGAGGACTAAGGCCCTGGAACATGAACGTGGACAGAGGCATAAGAGAATGGGAACTAGTACAAATGCCGTCGCGGACCAGCCTTCCAATGACGTGCCCACACGAGGAATTGGGATAAGTCGTGACTGGAGACTTGACAGTGAATAGATTTCATCATCAAGCGAAGTGTTGTTATTCTTTCAAGTTTCAAAAGCACCTGTATATATGGGCCGGCAACCTCGATTGGGATGGAAGAAGGCGCTCGATTGATGTACAAGGATGTAGGAAATATATGTAGTATATATGAGAACTGTCTTAATGAATATAAAAGGACATGCCTGAGTAACATAGTCCACTAGCTGCAGTCTGACTTGATTTCTTACGACTAAGGCCAGCACTCACTCTAGTGCAGAGGGACGGATATCGTCGCTCTCGAGTGATATCGACGACCCCAAGACAGATTAATGAGGTGCAATGCCCTCAAACACCCATCTTCGCCACACTGCCCTGACTTCACGTCATCTTTAAGCGCCATGCCGTTGCTCTACTTACTATTGCAAAGCTAGGCTTTGTCATGACGCTTACGCTGCACGATATGGTGGAATGCTGCGTGTGTTGTCAGGAGCGGCTGCTTTAGATTTGCGACCAACACCAAATACCGCTCATGCCCTAATACTTGTTGTTGGCTAAAGCCGAGATATTTGGCAGAGTTGACAACATGAATGAGCAAGACGTAATAGCTAATTGGCGATCGCCCGAAGCAAGTCGCGCACTTAGTTATAAGAATGTAGCGCAGAGTATTAAATCGTAGCATCTAACAATGGAACTCTAATGTTTTGAGGGACAGGCGATTGCAGCGCACAGGCGTGAAAGAAACAATAGCAAGGAGCGTCCCTTTAATTCGTAATGTCTAGATTTGCGTTAGGAATATTAGAGTCTTGAGGAGGATCTCTGAATCGACAAATGTTGTTTCTATTTGCTGTTGGTCGTAAGTCGTAGAATACTAAAGAAATGCTCTCTTCAAGGCAGCGACACTGGAGGTACAACCAACTAATCTTGACCCTCGAGCAATGGTTTCATTCCTTATTCTCTGACTAGCAAGGTGATGACAAGTGCAAATGATATGCACAGAAACAAACGCTGAAGGCAACAAAAGACAAAGAGCACCTTCATAGCTGTGCCGAAGAAAACTCTGACAGCCTTGAACGACGCTACAGATATAGACAGATTGAAGAAATGATCTGATTTAGTTCAGGATTTCTTCTCGGTGCATACTTCTTCAAGAGTTAGAAGAAGCTTAGCCTTCACAAGTCTCATCGAAATTCAGAAAGCAGAGGAAGGTCCAGGTCCTAGTCTCTTAGACGAGACACAATGCATGGTCAAGGTCGATTGGTGTGCCCAAATGCCTTCCACGATTGTAACAAATCACTTTGAACGCTAGGCTTAAAAGATGTTGACAGACGACGGTATTGAGCTAATTTTCTTGAAAGATGGAGGACTAAGGTACATACACAAAGCGAGAAGGCAACCCAGTCTGTACAAATAGCGATGAGATGCAGAGAGCCTCGATGGCTTGCTGCTTGCACTTACGACAATGTATATTTGGGGATAGACTAGGGGTATATCGAAGTCGGGAGAGGCTACATTTACTCACTGGCAAATCAAGAATTGGTCTGTTTTGTCCACCTCCAAAGAGCGAGGTTAGAGCACGCCTTATAAGCCAGTCTTTTCCCGCCATACCATCGCTCGTACCGTCAGCTATTTTAGCTCCATTTGCCCTTGACTTCAATCCTACTAGGCGCTCACGTGTTTCTTTCACTAAATGCCGCAGTTATGGCTGGGCGGTATGTACCACCAGCTCTGCGCAACAGGAATCTGGCATCAGCACCAGCTAGCCAGTCAGGTAAAGCGGTGGAATCGACCGCAGCTCGCCGCCCATTGTCGGAGCTTAAGTTAAGCCCAGACAGGAATGACCGCCCACTGCATACATTGCAGGAAATCGCTCCTCATTATGGAGATAACATGACCCATTCTACACTTCATGACTCTGCTAAGACCCCTGGAATGCTCTCCTATGTCGTACTTTTTCATGGCGCCAACCCCAGGTGGTACAGTGATCACATTATCTTTGCAAGAACTAATATATCTTTTGTCAAACCTTTCACCACGGTACAACATGACCACTTGGAAGCAAAACCCGGGGGACTAGAAGCCAGTTCTCGGCATATAGCACTACGATCTTCACACTCAGGCGGTGAGGTTTTGAACGACCCTGACAAAGATACTTCTGCAGAGTCTCCGTCAGATGTGAAGACTTCGATACTGTCCAATAGTGAGGAATCGCCAAAACCGCACCTCATTCCAGTGTTCCTAGAAGCCAAAGGGAGGCCTTCACAGGGTCGTAGTGCAGTATTCTATGGTTACTTCAGTATTCTTCATGTGGACTTTCTGGAGCCCCAAAGTCCGGAGCTAGTGCGTATGCTAGAGCAGAAATGGTCGCCTTCCAAATTTGGGTCTGGACAAACGAGACGGCGGAGTCCTGAGCGCTGGGCAGATAGTCTGAGACAGGAATGGGTCGTTATACAGATGACAGAAGTTCTTTCGGACCATACGCCAGGCGATCCTGTGATCCAGGCAATGAAGGAAGAACACGGCAAAGAGAATGCGGCGATGTGGCAAGGCGGACAAGGAGGGAGAAACGAGGAAGCGACAGAAGAGGGAGAAAACCGCAGCCATGAGGACAATACTTAAATTGAACGCGCTCTCGAAAGCGGCGAGACAATAAGTATCCTCTGGGGCTGTCCACAAATTAGCTCATAGCAGTACTGACATGGATACGTGCGTGGACGAAACATTGACACCAAATATACTAGGAAGCTGGCTGACTGGTGCAAAGATGAGGTGTAAGTGAAAATAACCTGCGAAACAAGGATTTGCTAATTGTGGGCATTACAGGGTGCCGCAGCTGCTCTCAGAGTTAAGTGAGCTGGCAAGGGATCAAGGACGTCAAGGAAGTGACAGAGATGAGGACTAGAACAGCATGCATAGCGATCTTTTCGTAACAGATCCAAGCTGAATCATTGAGAGCGTATTATCAACCCTGAATGTTTCAAATGCATCATCATTGCGGCTGAATATATCACCTGATCTAGCCTTCCACGTATTCACATTTCTTTGCGATGAAGATGTAACTAACATCAAGCTCAGGATGTCAGACACAAAGATCGTTAGAGATACTGCAGGGCCCACATAACATTCACAGCATGACCTTTGCAGCTGGCTCTGGCCTTGAAAGTCAAAACCAAATGCCATGTCATCAACGTTGGCAGTTGTCAGATCCAAGTCAGGAGGCTTCCTCCACCAAGGTCGTCACTCACCAGTACTGAACGTGGGTGTCGTTGAATAGCTGCGCGAAAATGGATGTGTGCGCAAGGAAGGCATAAGCACATGCGTGAATAGCACTATTGTACGAGCGCGGTATTGCTTAGGCGCTATACAATCTGTATACTGGCCCTCAAATATCTCAGCTCAAGATTGCAATAAAGGTCAAAATTCAAATCCGATGCTAAGGGCTACTAACAATTCAATGCTAACAGAACTTGTGACGGCCACGTGTGGCGATAATCTCTCGGGGCTTGAGCAGATGGCATAGAGGATGCAGATTTCGTAGCCTACATAGATACGAAGATGAGAGAGTGATGCCCGCACCATTGAATTCGGAAAAGTCGGAGAAAGGCCTGCAGGCCACAACTATAATGTTGACGGTCAGGGATAGCAGCTATGAATGATGCATGGTGGCTTTGAAATTGTCTGGGGCGCTGCCCGGCGAGACGCAGCGAGTCATGTGCAGCCAGAGCACTGGCCATTCTTTGTGGCCGTACAGGGTAGTTAGTCCGGACCATGGATGCTTTAGCAGCTTCACTCTGCCTGAGTGTGGAGCTCTTTTCCAAGACACGTCGATCGAGATCTAGACGGAGAACAAATCTGTCGTTAGCCATGCAGCGGCCACGTCGTGTCGTCGGGCGGTGGAAGTCTGGGTGGAAGTCTGGAACGTGGATGGATGCCTCAACGACGATGTGATTTGTGTGCCTGTGCCGCAAGAGTGCAGCTACCCGTCTCGTGACCTGGTAGCTGGGACGAAGGAAGCGGGACGAAATCGGAAAATCTGAACAATCTCGGTAAGTCGCTTGTTATTGGTCATGTGCGAGATCTGTGGAGACCATCTCGTTTACTGCCACGAGGATGAGGATGAGCATCCCCTTGCCCCAAAGTCTTCATCTTCTCTGCTGAGAGCCTGAGTCTGCTTGCTTTTCGTGAGTGGGTCGCCTGGACCTACCTCCCCTACATTCGACCGTCTCGACTGGGAAGGCTGTCGTTCCGGGCCTATTCCGGCACCTAAGGTCGATCCCTATCCCTTCCCTGGACAATTTGCAATTTCGAACTTGCACCATTTCCATGTGTGATAATAATGTTGACAGAATCTAGCCAGGAGATGTTATGGAAACATCAATTAGCGCTGCCAATCAGAGGGCCCCGGGATACTAATCAGGGAAACGCTTGAAATAGCTATAAGGCGCTGAGGATCGTGAGGAGATTCATGAGACAGTGTGGAGGTCTGTTGCTAGTCCACGCAAGTTGAGTGGGGCAAGCCTTGCTTTTGTTGGATCATTCCTCTCGATGATAGACAGACGTTAATGAGTCAATTCTGGTTTGTACGCTTGGCCACGTCAATCAACAGAGATCGCCACACCATCCTTTCGACCACGATGCTTGTGGGCACGAGGATGCGGACTGAATGATGGTGACGAGACCTGAAGGCACCCTGCATGACCGTTATGCACACTGATCTTGCGCATCTGAAGTCTAAGGGCAGAAGCGGGGCAAGCAAGCGACCTGTTGCTCGAGTGCAATCAAATGGCGCTTCGTGGCCCGCAGAATGCATCCTGCTGCGATGCGCGATAGCGTGGACGACTCTACAAGCTTCGATACATGTATGACAACGGTCATACATGACACATGAAGCCCCTCATCATGAGCGTGGTTTCAACTTGTTTTCAGGGAGGCCTGCGAATTCTGCCTATGACTTGCACCATGCGCCATCATTTGCCAGGCTATGGCTCGAGGTGAAGAACTGCCAGCTGCAGCCTTTTTGATCCGATGAAGCCGGCGGTAAAGTTGGGGAACGGCAAAGACGGAAAGTTACCATTTACTACTGGACCAGACTGCTCCCAACCTTACCATCTCAAGTCAACGAGCTTCGCATGGCTTGGCGCTCAACGTAATGCCACTGTCGCTCTGTGCAACTGGCGCATCATTTACGGCCGCATGTCGCTGAAGATGGGGCCACTTCACGTTAGTACAGCCATGGCAGCGATGAAGCCATACGCTAGATTTGTTGTGAGAAGATAACTGTCGAGGCACATACGTCAGAGGCACGACTCGGGGCCTCTCTTGGAGCTGCCCATATCCATGAATGGTAAAACCCCCCAAGCCACCCAAACGCCCAATCGTACAAATTAGGCAATCCATCCAGAGCAATGACGCCACCAGGCTTAGGAAGAAAGAAAAGATCCCAGACAGGAATAGGGCAGAATGATACGTGGACCAAGCTTGGGAGGAGTCGGGTCTCACCGTCCTGGCCAGTGGCCAGAACAGACGGCGTGGCTGGAAGCCAGAGAATGACAAATGTTCTCTAGCTGCATGAGCCCTGCTCGCTAGATAAAACTGTAGGCTGAAAGACTAATGAAACTTTAGGCTTTGAGCTCGTCCCGGTAGCATCTGCTTGCCACAGACGCCGTCCCCGCGCCACTCCCAGCTCGTATCGTCGTCGCGCAGTGCGGAGACCGGCGATGGCAGTATGTATGCTGGCCCATGGACAGGAGGACATGAACGCGCAGAGTGCAGAGTACCTCCTATACTTTCACTCCTGCGCATGCCATGGTAGAGTTAGGTGGACAACGGGGACGGAGAAAGCGTCCCGTTGTGTGAGCATCACCTAGCGGGCCGTTCGCTACCGGATTTCGACCCTACAAGTTATTCGATTCTGAGCCAATTGTGACGATTCGTTGATCATATCCTGGTCGTCGATCGCCCTGTCACCAGTCAGAAGATACCTCCCTCTCCCCTTGCGGCTTTTCCACCCTCCAGAGCAGCTGGCGGCCGTTGGAGGCAATATGGCACTAACCGCACTAAGGGCGAAGTGCCAAGTTGTCGAACTCAGTCCACAGCTCCTGCATCGACTAGCTAGCTGGCTTTGGAGCTGGGTCCCACTCTAATCTCTTCACTAAGGTCACTAAGGTCACTAAGCTCCTTAGCTTGCCTCTATGCCTCCCCTCCCGTATCTGTGCTCCATATTATTCACGATCGGCTCGATTCCGAACCCGTCCTCATCGTCCTAATCTTAGGCTCTCTTTGTTCTGACCTTCGTCCTGCTGTTGAGACACCGACAGGGATCATGCCGTACGAACTCAGCAAGTCAGTGGGACGACGCCCTCAAGAATCAAGGGAACAAGAGAGAGAGAGAGACCGGGGTACCAGATCTGCAAGGTGGCAGGTGGCAGGTGGGCAGCCGCAAGTTAAATCTTCCTTTCCAGTTCTTCCACCTAATCAACTCAACTAAAGCACTCGCGAATGGGCGTGACTCTTGCCTCCGGTGGTGTTTCGTTGGCCCTAAAACACGCCCGTGTCGAAGACTCCAGAATGAAGCGATGCATCATGCAACGCTAATCCCTCAAGCCAGCCTATCAAGCCTTCAGCATGCCGACCAGAGAAGCGACTGTGCATGAAAGGCCCTTGTCGAGTCTCCTCGATTCCTCCACCCCATGTCCCCCTCTTCCTAGCATAGATCAGTCATAGCGCGATCTGAATTCTCGTCGTCTCGGGTATCTGATCCATCTTGAATCTTCCCCATAGCGGCCCTAGGGCCGTGGAATAATAATACAAACCTTAGGAGAACAAGGACCTCGACCTGCATTTACTGCTCTAGGAATCGCTGCACGCTCGCATGGCTTCGTCATTCCTGCATCTTGCGTCTGCCCTCCTCCACACATCCAGGAATTCTTCTCCTTCAATCCCACCGCGCATACAGGCCATTTGAGCGTTAAGTGTTTCCCCCCCCGCTAATCTGCGTCCCATCCCCGGATCCCCATCATTCTTTTCTCTCCTTCCGGCCTATATTACCCAGAGCTATGTCACTTTCGCACTATTGTTACATGGACCACTCTTTCCTCCAATCCGCTGCTCCTCCCCGCCCCACTTTCTATGGCCAACATGGAAGGTATCAACAGCAACGACGTGCTTCTTCATGACCTTTCTGCCCCCCAGTCAGCCATTATACCACCGCCGCCACCACGAGAGAAGAACAAACGGCCCCAGCTCTCTTGCAATCCATGTCGAGCACGCAAAGTCAAGGTAAGTAGCCTGAGGATTTGACGAGGACCGCCAAGTAAATCGTTCCCAGTGTGATCGTATACAACCATGCTCTGCTTGTTCGCTGCATCAGATTGCGGACATTTGCCAATACGACTTGTCCGAGTCAGAACGCCAGCCAATCTTGCAAGCGGAAGCCCTGAAGGAAAAGGATAAGACGATCACCGCCCTGCGCGAGGAGATAGCTTCATTGCGAGGCGAGACCATTAGAACCGATTATGACGACCATGGCGCCAAGTCACAGAAGATTCGATTACCACCCCATTCTCCAAGGAAGCACCACTTTCAAGGTCATGAACATGAACGCTATTTCTTTGACGAATCTGGAATGACAAACGTAGCCGATGATGTATGTTTCCCCTCGGTCCTAAAGTCAGGAGGTAACCTTTTGTAGTTCGAACATTTGTCCTTTGATCGCCGCCCATCAACCTTCCATCACCCGGTACAATTCGAGCCGGATATCTTTTCAATACGCTCGTTGAACTCGTATCCCTTCCCAACCCTATGGACGGCCAAAGATGATACATCGAGTTTGATCAGATTGCTTCCTCAGGAGCAAGACCTATTCTTCTACCTGGAAACCTTCCAGCGACGGTCACTGCTGTTCTCATTCCCCCACGTTCCGGACCAAATCGCCGAACCTGATATTAGAAAGTTCTTGGAGAACCTCGAACACAATGCAGCTCTCTACCCAGATCTGCTTGCATTGCTCTTTGCAACACTGGCTCTCGGCCTTCAGGACGGAGTCTACGACAAGTGCGGCCAAAAATGGTCGGCCGGCGCTGTTGAAAACGAGTCCAAGAAGGGGGAGGTGTTCAGTAAGTGCGCCTCGAAAACAAGCCCTTTATGATGATGATGCTCACCATTCTCAGTCGCGGCTGCAATGCAATGCCTCAGGCTCGCAGCATTCACGAATCGTCCCACCCTTCTAGTAGTCCAAACTCTTGTCATGATTGCTCCCTATCTTACCAACAGTGGCAAATTCTTGGATGCATCGGCCCTTTTTGGTCTGACCGTCAGGCTAGCCGAGAGCATTGGCTGTAAGGTGACCATGTTCTGCTGATGAGAATCTCACTGATATACCTAGTGCACCGGGATGCTAGTGGGCTAAACTTACAGATATCCAATAAGCAGCTAGCCGCACGCAAATCGCTCTGGTGGTGGATCATACACATGGACCAGCACTATTCTGTGACTCTTGGAAGGCCTTTGGCAATATCCATGACAGGGGACTGTCCACCTCCTGAGAACCTGTTCCCCGATCAAACTTGGAATAATATCTCGACATATATGGAGCATTTCAGCATGTTAGCGCGCCAGATCATTTCTGCACCCTATCTTCCGAACGATAAGATTGACAAATACACGGATGACGTCTTGATCCTACATCAATCGCTACTACCAAGCATGTTGTTCGACATCACTTGGCTGAATCGCGATAGACCTCTTATTGGTTGGCCATTTGACGTCCAAGCCGCGATGCTTCATGCTAAGGTCCACAATTTGTTGATATCACTCAATCGCCGTCGAGTCGATCCGGTCCGTCGAAATTCCGATGGGTTTGGGATGAATCCTCTACAACTTCCTCCTGTTACTGATATCACAGGTGTTGTTCGAGGACGAACTCGGGTGCTTGAATCATGCCGCGCTCTCCTCAATGCCTTTGAATTCTTTCACACTCGTTTGCGAGCAGGCATGATTTGTTGGACCATGGGACAAATGGCTTTCAATGCCTCAATGCTTCTGACTTTATCGATGCTCGAGACTGGGGAGACACAAGACCTACTGCCAGTACAACATGCATACAGTACCTTCTTGGAGATGAACAAGCTTGGCGTTCATAAGCTCGCCGGCGCTGCGGTTGAGAGATTGGGCCGGTTGATGAAAGAATTTCGCACCGATGACTCTGCGAATGAGACTGTGATGGGCCATGGTAGTATGATGTTATTGGAAGATCCCGGCAACCACAAGCCAGCACCAGATAGCTCGGGCTATGCAACTACTACCAGCAGCAGTCCAGATCTAAAGGCAACAGCAAGCTCTTCTCATTGTGCAAAGCCTTCAAACCGGCGGCGACAGGCAAGGCGATCTACCACTACCCGCGACGTGGGTGTAACAAAAACTCGAAGGAATTCACTCAATAAATCGCAGCGCCCGCTCGCGGATCGCCGCTTCTCAGACTCAGTCGCACCGAGACCAGCCCAGCGCAGACGGATCAACAGAAGCACACCAAATCTTTCCCTTCTCACAACTCTTTCAGATCCACGGCTGTTCTCGGCCACTTCAACGCCAGCTGTGAAATCGGAAACCATATTTACGCCCTCTGTGTCGACATTCGACGATCTCGCTCACTCGGCTTTCTCATCACCGCACCAACAAGCCTCTCAAGACGTCCATTCAGTTTTGGACGATGTCACAAACCCCCAAAATCATAATTATTCGCCTCAGCATCCGCAGCTTCAGAGACAGCAGCAAAGCTTTCACGCGCAGCTCCAGCAACAAATGCAACAGAATCAGCACGCAAGTCCTCAACCCGACCAGACTATGCGCCTTTCAAGCCATCCGACCCAGCAGCTTCCCTCGGCGTCACAATCAGCCTCAGCCGATCAACACCAATTCGACTTTTCAAATAACTCTACTCCATATTCGTCAGACTTCTTTGATGGCAACTTGCATCCGGTCGTTGGTACTCAAGGGTTTGAAGAAAACCATATCGACTTTGAACACCAACCATTCTCGACACAGCCCTTCACCATGCCTCCTGAGCATCAAGGATTCGTTGCAAGCCAGTCATAACGTCCAAATTTGGTCTGTTGTAGTGCTCAAAGTTATCCAGTCAATTTACGTCAACTATGAAAAATGATCACGAACGACTTGTTATTGTAAGGAAGACCACGCTCACGAAATCACCTCACGGTGTTCAAAAGCATTGTGTTATCATCGTACGGTTATTTGCATCAGCGTTACTGGATTCCATTGTGGAGCGTAATCTCGCTCTTTTCGTGACATACTCAAAGACGACGATATCCGAACAGGGTCACCGAAATCTTTACAACCGTCATCATCTTGAGCTATCACGAACGATTAGCTATCGAGTCCACCCTTCGCCATTCCTTGACGTTCTCCACGAATGCATCCTCTAGACGTTACGGGCTTTTATCATTTTGATTTAGACTTCTCAAATGCATGAGCCGAGGCGGTTCGATCTCATCTACCGCGATCAAAGCGTCAATATCGGGCCAAACACTCTCTAGAGGCATGCCAAAAAGCGGCCACATCACTTGTCGAATGTGAAAGAGCACGTTCACTAACAAGGTATCGCTCATAAACTTGCCCTATTTATATACGTTTAGCAAGAGAAAGGGGGTGTTACGATACCTGTTTCAACTTGAAGGTGTAAAGAGTCTTAGACTGTAGTATTACTATTCTTTTGGACGGAGGAAGAGAGTGGATGTTTAATGGTGATCATTCATCCACAATTGCTTGCCAGATCAATGTTTATTCTATTTAGTTTTGCCTTGGTTCTCAAGTAGACCACCATCTCTTAAAGCAGAACGCTGGCGGGTCAAAGGTCCAACAGCCATGAGCAGCAATGCTGTGCACGATGTCATGTCGCGATCACTTATTTCTACAGCTCGATCCTATTTCCTCCAACATTCAAGACCACGTCAAAGGTTCATCAAACATCCCACCTGCCATTTTTTAGCCGAGCAAGTCATCTAAAGCACCTCCACTCTTAGCACTTGAACCTGTCCCCGGCCCCATGGTGCTTGGCAGTGCAACGGTTTTGCCAGAAGCGCTGTGGCCCCATAATCCCTGGCTTGCCTTTTCACGCTGCATGCTCGCCAGATTCGGGCCTTGAGCAGCGATGCCAGTGCTGGACTTTTTGATCCCTGCGGTTGATGATGCCGTTGACCATAACGAGCCAAATGCGTCACCTCCACTTACGCTGGGCTTTGACGCAGTACCTGATGAATTGGTGTTGCTGAAGGAGTTTGCAGACGAAATCGTAGGCCGAGATGTGCCTATTGTAGATGCGTTGGGTGGCTGTGACTGCTGCGGCGCTGGTACGGATGTGAAATAATTAGGCGCTGAGGCTTGGTATGAGGTTTGCCTAGGCTGTTGGGGTTGGGGTTGGGCTTTGACTTGTGGTGAAACGAAAGACCTGGGTTGCATAGGAGGTGGAGAGGACATGCTGATGTTGTAATTTGGAGCCGGAGGAGATGAGATGCTTTGATTTGGTAGAGAGGGTGGATTGGTAGATGCCATGTTGCTGCTGAAGCTGGGAGCAGGAGACAGTGACTTGCCAGGGGCTAAGCTGTTGAGATTGGTCCCTTGCGAGGGTGCCATTGGTACAGGGGCAAGGACGCTAGGCGGAATTGATTGCTTGGAGGACGTTGTTGTCTTAGGCGTTGCGGATTGAAAATCGTCGAAGTCGTCATCGTCATTGTTGTTGGTCTGAAGCGAACTAAGTTCACCCCCAGCTAAAAAGGAGGCTGGCTTGCTGCTGGTGGAGGAGAAATCTTTGGGGGGCGTTTGAGGCGGGACGTCGTCGTCAAATGAGAACAGGTCTTGTTCTGGCTCCTTGGGCTTTGGTCGCTCAGACTTCTCCATCTCCGCCTTGACCTCAACATCTGGTTTCCGCCGGGCCGGCGCTGCAGATCCATCCTCGTCATATTCATCATATTCTTGATATCGATCTCTCCGATTACTCGAATCTTGAAACGAATTTGGCTCTCTGCCACCGAAGCCTCCACCGTCGCCATAGACACCTCCGCTGTAGCCGCCATAGCTAGCTTCTTCACTCCCAAAGCCGCCATATCTGCTACCACCAGCCATGCCTCCTGTCATTGCTCCTCCTTCTACACCACCAAATTTGTTCCTATTCGCTCTTGCTTTCTTCCGCTCAGATCGAATACGATCTACATCACCAAGCAGATCTGCAAGTTCTTTTGATCGATTGCGAACATTAATGCCCTGGTCTTTTCCGTTCTGGTCTATGTAGTGAAATTGACGTAGCATTTTCAGGAGCGAAAGGTGTGAGCGAGCATCATCAATGACTCTTTCTGAGCCGTTCTTGATCAGAAACTCCAACAGTTGAAGGGCCTATCATGTACATTCAGCCTCGGGCCTAACAGATATTGCTAGACTTTCATACCTTGTATATTTGTCTCCACTCCTCAGCAGCTTTCTCCGTGAAACGCTTGTAGATCATGGGCATGATCTCGTTCAGTAATTGGCTGGCTCCAACATCAGGGAGTACTTCAAAACTTTATTCGACACGACGTACTAGCTGTGAGTCCCATTTGCAATATCTTGCATCAACGTAGAAGAGGTACCCCATGGTTCATTATTTGTTGCTTCTCGCACCTTCGGGCATGAGTAAGCCAAGCCATTGAGCCGTTGGATCATGGTCCAATTTCTGGTGCCTTACTTTCGCTTCCATTTCAGTATAATTCATGACAGCTGGTAGAGCCCTTCATTAGCACGTACCGGAGTCAATATTTCACGTGCTTACCATTTTGAACTTTCCGTACCCCTGCCTTCAGATCGTAAAGGGAGAGGTTGCTGACTTGATCCTTAATACTGTTGAGATCCATGGTGTGAAGGGGTGAGGACTGCTTGGAATTGTCACTGATTGCTACGTTGGATACTTAAGTTGCTCTCAGGAGACACGAGTCCAGTGCTGCACTTGCTAACCTTTATCGGTGCCAGAGACTTTCTGCGTGTGAGTCTAGTGCTCTGCCATAATCAGTTCCCGCTTATTAATACTATCAGTCCTCCAAGGGCTGCGTGACGTCCAGGCATGATTGATCCTACGGCGCTTATAGATCTTGCTAGGGGCTTTAAGGATTCCTACATCCACTTGACACATGTACGAGAGTACCCAGGCCAGCGCTCATCGCTATCGCCATCGCCGAGAAAGATATCCGAACACTCCTGACCTGGCGCCATGGTGACTGTGCAACCTGCTTACTCTGTTGAAGCCGACTTTGCGCTGTCCCCAGCCGAAACCGCAAGCTCTCATGGCAGCGTACCACCGAACGGGGATCCCAGGTTGGAAGGCGCATCACCCAAAGAAAATACCGCGTCCTTGCCCAAGCAGGCTTCCCCCGCAGCCTCCACAGGCTTGAATCCCAGATCCTGCGTGACTTGTCGGAAGCGGAAAGTAAGATGCGACAAGAAACATCCATGTTCCAATTGCAGCAAAGCGAACTCGGAATGTATTTTTCCCGGGCCAGGCCGAGCACCCAGGCGAAGCAGAAAGCCCCAGGACACTGAATTACTTGCAAGACTACGTAGACTGGAGGGCGTAGTGCAAGGATTAGGAAAAGGAGTCGATGATGGGGTGGACATACCATCCACTGGTGGACTATCAAGCGAGCTGGATGGGTGTCAGGTTTCAGGCGAAGGAGATGTGAAAAAGACGAATGCCATGTACCCCGAAATACCTGGAGAGTTTGATCCACGAAAAGTAAAGAACGAGGACGAAGGTGCTAATGGTGTGGTCAAAGAGTTCGGTCGTCTCGTTGTAGATGAAGGACGAAGTCGATATGTCAGTAATAAATTTTGGACTAGTCTTAGCGAGGAAGTCACCGAGTTACGTGATATACTGGATGATCCCACAGACGACGAATACGACTTTCCATCTCCAGGCTCTGGTTCATCAGCATCCACAAACCAACACAGCTTTCTATTTGGATACCATTCCACGGCTTTTTCGCTCCGTTCTTGTCACCCTGCACCAGAGCATATCCCTATATACTGGACCATCTTCAAGAACAATGTAGATCCAGTGCTAAAATTGCTTCATACTCCGAGCACAGAAGCTATTGTCTTGAAAGCGGCTGAGCATTTAGATCGCATTAGCAAAGGCTTGGAAGCTTTAATGTTCTCGATCTATTTTGCTTCAGTCACCTCGCTTTCAGCAGAAGATTGCTTGGCTGTCCTGGGAGTTGATAAGCATGCGAGCCTCCAGAGATACCGCTTTGCAGTGGAGCAGGCATTTGCTCGTGCAAATTTCTTGAACACTCAAGACTTCACTGTCTTACAAGCTATGCTTCTGTTTTTGACCTGCGTGCGCCGCGCTGACGATACTCGTTATGTCTGGACAATGACAGGCCTTTTGCTTCGACTCGCCCAGGCACTTGGTATCCATAGAGATGGCAGACAGTTTCAGCTATCACCATTACAGACAGAGTTGCGGCGCCGATTCTGGTGGCATCTTCTATCTCTTGATGTACGCGCCTCGGAGGACCAGGGCTGTGATCCGAGCATGGTAGAACAAGCGTTTGATACCAAATTCCCAATGAACATTAATGATGCGGAAATAGATTCAACGATGAAGGAGCCGCCAGTAGAACATGAAGGAGCCACAGAGATGACCTTTGACCTTATCAGGTTCGAAGTTTCTACCACAGTCCGACGTTTGTCGTACGTTCCATCAGGCCCAGGTCCTTGCAGGCTCAGAAATGCAGTCTTAAGTCTGGAAGACAAAGAAAAGATGATTGAAAATCTGCATCAGCATATTGAAAAGAAGTATCTTGAGCATTGCAACACAGCGGTTGAACCTCTCCACTGGGTTTCCGCTACAGTGGCCCGTCTTATTATGGCAAAGATGTGGCTAGTAGTGCATCATCCATTCCAGCGATCTGATGGGGGTGAAGGTCTGCCACAAGAAACAAAGGACCGCCTCTTCCATACATCAATCGAGGTCATTGAATTTGCACGTTTACTGGAAACGGAAAAGACAACGCTCAAGTGGGGCTGGTTGTTTCGCACTTACGTGCAATGGCATGCACTTGCATACGTACTCTCTTCCCTTTGCAACAGAACATCAGGCCCTGACGTAGATCGGGCATGGCTCGTCATTGAAGGTGCTTTCAATGAGTGGAATCAGCATTTTGGAAGTAGTCAGCGCGGCATGCTTTGGAAGCCTTTGCGAAAGCTGATGGCTAGAGCCAGAGCCGAACGAGCTAAAGTACTTCAAGCACGAGCTGTGTTTCCGCTTGATGGCTCGATAGGGCCAACTGCTATGAATATGAACAAAGAGCCAAGCCAAGAAGTGAATAGCTCCGTCCCTGAATTACTTGCTTTTGATCCTGCATCAGAGGGGACGTTTACTGGCCAGGGAGAAACCATAGGGATGGAGAGCTCTCCTATCACCCTCTCTCCTTTCTCCCCCATCATAGCGGATGATTCTGTGCCAATTGGAGAACAGAATCTGAATGGCTTCGCTAGTGGCACTGAGCATTGGAATTCGGATGCCGAATTGTTCTCGCGGGAAGCACCAATGATGCCGGAGGAAAGTAACATGAATTGGTCAAGCTGGAATGACATGGTGAAGGACTACGAAAATCCCATTGCCGCTGTCGACGTAAATGCATCAATGGGATTCGGTCCGCAAGGATTGACAAATTGGTTCTAGTCTTGGGCAGTGATCTTTGAGTAGATGGCATGATGATGGAATGTTGATGATGATGAATCTGGATTGTTGACGCAGGGGTCCTATCGAGGGAAATGGTTAGGGATGCACAAGTTGATCTCAAAGCCAACTGCCTCTGGTACATGAGCGGATGTCTGAGCGTGTACAAAATCTTGTCTATATCCTCCTTTTGGAGCTTCATTAGGACATCAACATTGTCACAAATTAGTATTGGCATTAGCTGAGGATAATCTGATCTGATCAAAAGTGTTGGTCGACCATACCACAGGCCTTTACTTCTACCCATAGGGTAATCTCAATATCATTATGATCGCTGAAGCTTAAAGTATCAATGTCTTTCGATGTGTCAACTTTCAAAGCTCTAGCCCTAGCCATTTCTGAAAATACGGGCAGTTTCTCGCACTCACAGGTCCACCGTCCTCGCAAATATCGAAGACAGGACACCTCCCACATGGAGCCTCGTTTAATCCAGTTGGCTTGGTCACCTCTCCCATATCGGGGCCATCTTGTTCGGCAAGCGGGCTCCTGACAGCTCGATAAATGTACTTGATCCCACTCTCTTTGCTATGCTTCCTCAATTTTTGTAATCTGCCGTCCCACACAAGTATATCTACCAGCGTTTGAGCATCAGATATTTTCATCGTAGTCTTACTGATCTTGCTCTTATTGACAGCAGTGGTAATATCCGATATAGAGGGGTACTTTTTATAATTTGGAGGAAAGGGTCGCATATGCTTCGTGCGTTGTCTGCCGTGGTCTTCCGTTAATGCTAGCCTCTCTACTTCCATCGCTCCCGACGCCTCGGCGTCTTCTATTGAGACTGGCCCCTCCGACATTTCCCGATCAGCATGCCTCCTCTTTTTCCCATGCCATTTCTCAGATGGAAACCACCAACTTTTTGCGACAATCCAGCGATCAATCCAGAAGCTTATCTGCCTTACAAATTCTTCATCCAGCTCACCATCAGCGAAGAATGGGCCGCCAATGAGGTCTTCAGCCGGCTGCAAGCCTGACAACATGTATGTTTTACGCGCTGGATGTTTGTAGTTTGGGACTGTCTTGATCAAGCGTTTCTGTTCCAATGATTTGAGCACTTTATCCATGACTGTCTTCGGCAGATTTGTGCGCGACTTGAGATGTCCAGTCCACATTCCGTCTCTGCCAGACGAACGTATATAAGCATAGACGACATTGGCATCTGGGTCAAGGCCCTCGAGGGCCACAGTGACGGTCGGGGAGATACAGCGCCAACATGCGGCACCACCGCGTTGCATGAGCTGGAATTTCCCGCTTTTTGTGAGTGCCGATGCAGCGAGCTGTAATGTCATTAATGCATTGTTGGGAATCATTTGAGTCGCCAACAGATCAGCTTGGCTGAAGACAGTATCGGGGGGTTGGGCTACGCAGTGACTGTAGAGGGCGCTCTTGATGTCGTCAATCGAGGGGGTAAGAACGTCGGGTTTGGCCTCATCATGTTCAAGCAAGTTGGACATAGTTGGGTCCTCTACCAGCGAGCCGCCTACAGCATCCTCATCCATTGTCGTTCCTCTGAGAGCTGAGTGAGCTTAAGACGGGAGTATGAGAGATCAAATATGGGGAAACCCTAATCGATAAGAGATTTCGGTATTAGGCGTTTAGGGCTTCGAATTGTTTTTTTCGACTGACTTCTAGAACGAGATGCCTGCGCAACGTGTGGATCAAGCGAAATCCTTCCGATCTGTTTAGCACTCGAAGCTCCAGTACTTTACCTGAATATGGCCGACGCTCTGAAGGCAGATGGCAACAAAGCCTTTGCTGCAAAGAATTTTGCAGAAGCAATGTCGGTCTGAACTATTCCGGCTTGATCTGTCACTACTGACCCTGTTGTTGCAGCGACAAATTCTCGCAAGCTGTCAAAATAGAGCCAGAAAATCACGTGCTCTATTCTAACAGGTCAGGGGCGTATGCTTCCAAGAAAGATTTTCAGAAAGCCTTAGAGGATGCAAACAAAACAACGGAGATCAAGCCAGATTGGGCAAAGGGCTGGGGTCGAAAGGGCGCCGCCCTTCATGGAACCGGAGATCTCGGTATGATATACGAGGATCTTTAATATCAGCAACCGCTTACATGACTTGTTTTAGTGGGCGCAAAAGACGCCTTCGATGAAGCTCTCAAACTAGATCCACCTAATGCTCAGGCCAAGTCTGGCCTGGCTGCTGTCGAACGAGCAATTGAATCAGAGCAGACCGGAGGCTCTGCTGGTGGACTCGGCAATATGTTCAATGACCCTCAAATCTTCCAAAAACTTGCCGCCAATCCTAGAACTAGCGGCTTTCTTGCAGATCCGTCATTCATGCAGAGCCTTCAGCAAATACGGCAGAACCCTAACGACGTAGGCGCTGCTATGCAAGATCCACGGATGTTGCAGGTCATGGGTGTCCTCATGGGTATAGATATGAACTTTGCAGGAGGTGGCCAGGATGGTGGATTTCCAGACTTGGGAAAAGGTAAGGAAGATGAGGAAGACGTCTCGATGCCAGATCATCGTCCACAGTCTCCCAAAGGTGCCGCCCCCAAGAAAGCCCCGGAGCCTAAACCTGAACCAGAGCCCGAAGATGAGGAAGCTTTGGCACAGAAAAAGGCGAAGGACGAGGCTGAAGCTGAGAAGAAGCTTGGTACCGAAAATTACAAGAAGCGGAACTTCGATATTGCGATCCAACATTACAACAAAGCTTGGGAATTGCACAAGGACGTAACCTACTTGACCAACAAGAGCGCTGCTCAATTTGAAAAGGGTGACTATCATGAGGCGATAGAGACTTGCAAAACAGCGATCCTAGAAGGCCGAGAAGTAATGACTGATTTCAAGATCATAGCGAAGTAGGACTCCTGACATCGCCTTTTCGAATGTTTGCTGACCAGATCATTAAGGGCTTTTGGCAGAATAGGCAGCGCATACGAAAAGCTGAATGACTTATCGCAAGCCATAGACAACTATCAGAGATCTTTGACGGAACACCGTACACCGGATATCCTCAACAAATTACGGGCTGCCGAAAAGGCGAAGATCAAAGCGGAGAAGGAATCTTTGATCAGCCCCGAGGAGGCTGAGAAAGCAAGAGAATTGGGTGGCCAGAAGTTCAAAGAAAGCGATTGGCCAGGCGCGGTCGAAGCGTACACTGAGATGACCAAGCGCGCACCAGAAGACCCAAGAGGATACTCAAATCGTGCAGCAGCTTTGATTAAACTAATGACCTTTCCAAGTGCGGTCCAAGACTGTGATATTGCAATTGAGAAGGACCCGAACTTCATCAGAGCTTACCTGCGGAAAGCGCAGGCCTACTTTGGCATGAAAGAATATAGCAAATGCGCTGACGTCTGCACCGAAGCTTTGAAGCACGACCAGACCGGCGCCAACACACGCGAGATCGAGAGTCAGCAACAAAAAGCTTTGGAGGCGCAATTTGCTGGAAGATCTGGCGAAACCGAGGAGCAAACAATGGAACGTATTCAGAAGGATCCAGAGGTGGGCGTTTGAATACAGGTCTCTACCAAGCAATCCTGTGCTAACTTCAGCATCAGATCATGAGCATACTCCAAGATCCGATCATGCAGAGCATCTTACAACAAGCGAAGGGCGATCCTGCCGCTCTTCAGGATCATATGAAGAATCCGGATGTAAGAACAAAGGTGCAGAAGCTGGTGATGGCGGGTGAGAGCTCTTCCACTGCTCGAGTAATTTGCACCTGCTAATCTGTCAACCAGGCGTGATTAAGACTCGTTAAGTTGGAGGCTTGTAGCTAGTGATGGATATGTCGAGCCAAGTGCAAAGCTGTGGAAATGCAAGTCATCCTCTTGAAGCGAAATTAGCGACCTTTTACCAGTTACCAATGGGGACATAGCGGAGACAAATTAAACGCCAAACCACATCACTACTTTCATCCTCTTTCTATGATCGAAGTTCGCAGAATCGAACATCATTTGCCCTTTGATTCTCACAACCCACCGCTTGAAAGCCTACAGAGAGATGCAGAATCCAGTCCACGATCGACCTGCTCTTGTCTTAAGAGAAGAACACTGATTCACGATATCTTGCGACAATATGGTAGCTCTCAAGTACGCTTCGGTTCCTCCGAGGCTTCATACTCCGCTCTGGCAATTTCCTCTTAATGTGACCGAGGGCGACCCATTGTTGGACGTGTTAACATTGCCAGACGAATCCTATGCGTCTTGGGCACGGCTTGCCACGAGTCGACTCTCTTCCAGCGGCTTGGCTGGAAGCGGACGTAATTTCGAGCTATGGACGGGCAAGGACGGTGTGAACATGTTGCTCCGAGTCACACGATGCCCATGAGATTCTCCAGCTCCTCCGGGCTGAGCGTGCTCCTTCTTCTGCTTCCCTTCAATTTCTTCGTCACGGTCCTCTTTGACGCTAGTTGCTGCCTCGTCTTCTTCTCTCCTCTCCTCTTGGCGTTTTCTGCTTCTTTTTGCGCTAACTCTAGCCGCTGGGCTACGCTTGGTGCTGGCGAGGAATGCCGGACTTGTTTCTGCTACCTTATCAGCATAGCATGACGTCGCTAATGCGCGACATTCACTTACTTGTGGAATTCTTGACTTGATCTTCGGCGGGCTAGGCTGTACGTCTCCGGAGGTTGCGAAGTCAGGTAACGAGACATCGTCTTCCCTGACCTCCAGATATCTAGAATTTTCCTCCAGGATCGCTGAGATAGAATGTAGCGGCGTAGGCGGCGCTGGGACTGAGTTGGGATCTCTTTCACTCAAAGGTCTGCCTTTGTTCGGTTGCTCAATGTCTTCGATAACACTGGCGGTCTCCTCCAAGGGATCATTAAAGGGTATCTCGTCAATCTCCTTGCGCATCTCTCCCAAACCATCAGACCCTGTCGAGTTCCTGATACCATTCGTTACCTTGAAAGGCGATTGCCGAGCCTCTTGTGCCGAGGGAATCCCAGAGCCCAACTTAAGTCCGACCTTCAGATCCTCGAGATTGATTGTATCACCGTCATCCGTCATTCGCTTTTTCCAACCACCTAATAGAGACACCGCTTCCCTCCACCTCTCGGCCATCATCTCCCAGCCATCTCTCAACCGATGTATCTCCTCCTCTCTTATTTCCACTTCTTCTAACGGTACAAAAGAGGGATTGGTCAATAGTCCTCTTAGATGCTCGAGCACTTCGTCCGTACTAGTCGCGAGCGCTTCATAGCTCGGAGGCCCCACTATCACACCGTTCTCATCAAATGTTCCTTCACAATTGCCGCCAACTTCTGCATCTCTGCCTTGATCCGCAGGCAAGCCTTGCAGACTCCTCAGCGTAGCCAACGTGCCCCTGACAAGTCCGATCAGCGCGTCATTCTCATCACTCAATCCCTGGCTCAACTGTGTCAAGAATTCCGTCGTCTCCTCTTTGAGGGAGTAGTCCGGGCTATTCAGATCTGTCTCTCCGCCTATAAACCCGTTCTTATTTGCCTGCCCGTTACGACTGAAGCCCGGTGTGACCACCACAACACCGATTTGATTGCTGGTTCCATCCCTTCCTCTGCGACCTTCAAGGTGTTTCTTCATTCTTGTGATCTCACGGTCTCTTCTTCGCAGATCAGTCGCACATTGTGCGCGGATTTGCGCCACGCTCCCTTTCAGTCTTGCCATCTCAGCTCGCAGCGCCCGATTGCGGGTTTCGGCGCTGCGAAGCGTGGCTTGAGCTGAACGCTCCTGTGCGTTCATGAGAGCGAGTTGACGGTCGATATCCGCGTTGCGGATTTCGAGACGGGCGATTGTCTGGCTTTGTTGGGTGTTTGTCGTGCGGAGGGTTTGGATGTTTTGCGAGAGGTTCGAGAGTGTGTCTGATTCGCGCTACCATGGCGGGGTAAGCAGGGACATCATGAGACGGCAGGACTGAGATTGCTCACATCTCTTCGTAGTACCAGGTCATGCACGAGATTCATCACCTGAGTCATTGTAGCATTGATGCCGCCGTCTGCATCCTCAGGCTTCGCAAATTCAACGGGCGCGCCATTGCGCAAGAGTCCGCGAGATAACAGTAGATTGTTGATATAGGCTGATGCAGTCTGGCGACTTTGCGTCTCCATTGCGACTAATCAATGATGCAAGAATCAAGTGCATCTGAACCACGAAATGCGATGCGACACAAAAGAGTAAACAAATAGCCGGCTGCCAAGACATTCACTTTACTCCGCATGTGTCCTAATCTCCGGCGCTAAATTTCTAGACAATGATACTCACATGGGTAAGAACTTCTATCGAATGGTTATCTACAAAGTCATGACAAACCTACCCTCTGCATCAACTCATTTCTCAAGGCCGCTCGACTGCTCTGCGCCCTTGTTACCGCATCCCGATTTTCCTCAGCCCTTCGGACGAGATATTTCAAACAGTCGCCCACAGAGCCCCAGACCATGTATTTGTACGCACTTGGCCCTACGTCTTCTATATGGTGGTCGCTACCATTTGTTTTGTTCTTGTTTGCCAGGATCAGACCACAGCTTACTTCGTCAGCCATGCCCATGAGTTGTCCATAGACAGCGTCGATCTTCTTTTCGTCTCGCTCTGACTGCTGCTTTCGTATTTCCATGGCTTTCTCAACAGAGATCTGATTGTGACTTGCAAGTACCAGCTCAGTCTCTGGAAATGCATGTGGCGCTCCCGAATATCGAAGGACGCTGTTCCACCGTCGCTTCAGGAGACCCTCAGTAATCTTGTCATAAGCTTTATCTGTACCTTCCTTGGACGCCCAGAACAGATTACGGGGATCAGTTGACATGTATGCGCCCCTGACGAGCTTGACACCAAGCACGATTTTCTCCTGTTCAGCGACCTTGAGATGCCTGGCTAGAGTCATCGGTGCGGACCTCAAATACGCCTGATAAGTGCCGTACACGATTGCTCTACCACGGTTGTACCTTCTTTGAAACTCAAGAGTCCATGTGTCGATTCCATCTTGCACAGCACTTTGCTCAGCATCAAACAGCAATCTGACCCTTTTCATCCTCGCGAGCTCGCAAATCTCGATGGCTGCTGCCTCGACTACAGGAGGCAGCGGTGCGTTGGCAGCCAGCTGGCGCATAACATTATGGCCTGCTCCTGAGAATTTGAGAGCAACAAAGTCTCCTGGTACAGCCATCTCGACCGTCTTGATTGTCCCTTCTCTCCATGAGTCCACCTCCTTCATTTCTTCACGAGTCTCTGTCTTCCTAATTTCTGGTTTATCGCCTCGCTCCAGTACAATCTCCTTGCCGTAGGAAAGAATCACGCCTTTGAAGCCAAGTTTCTTTAGGCCTTCAACTGTTCGCTTGACCTCTTGTGTTGTCTCACCAGCACAGAAGTGAGCGTAAAATGTCTTCTTCAAAACGAAATGCAGCAATGGATTGCGGTCTGGACTTAATACTGCCCATGATGAGTTTGCAAGCACTGAGAATGCTCTCAATACTGGGCTCAAGATTCTTGGAGAAGAGGAAAGACTCGTGATGGCATACGAACGAAGCAGATGTGAGAGAGAAAGAAGTGATAACGGTCGTTCTTTGACCAGGTTTCTTTCAGGATCCGCTGCAAGCCTCTTTCTCGTCAGATCAGTGAGCGAGACTTGAGTCGTGATAGCTCTGTTGCTTGCGTACGTCGCTCGATGTGGTAGGCTTTTGATCGCAGAGCTGAAAGCTAGAGCCTTCGATAAGTCTCTCATCGCCGTGATTTCGGTCGCTTTGTTGCAAATTGAAGGAGAATGGGTCTCTCTAGCAGCGACACCGTGAAGGAAGTAGGCAAGCAGGCAAGCGTCGCCATGATACAAGATTGGTGGGGCTTATCGTGGGCACGTATGCATGATTGACAGTGGAGAAAGTCAACCAACCGCGAATAGCCGAGCCCGGGTAGGTCCTCCTTGTTCTCGTCAAGCATGACGATTTTCTGGCGAGCCCCTTTGTCATAGTCCCTTCCACTTACTTTCCGCTTGATAGATGCCTGTTTACGTCAGATTGGGACCGATACCTGTCCAGTCTATCACGTACTTCTATCAGCTTGTCACACATGTGGGTAAATACCAAGAAGCGCTACCTAGAGATGCGATGCTCCAAAAATATCTATATTGCTCGTACCATACAGCAAATGAACGCCTCGCTGACGGTCCAAAATGTCTAATCGTGTTGCTTATATATGTAACGGCGAATGGCGAAGGTTTACAATGCTGCTCATCACTCGACCGCTCTTCTTGTTCACTACTTGTGGAAAACCCCCCCAGAATTGCGAATGCCCAATGTTCATGATGTTGCCAAAGTCGTGATCCAGCTCCGGCAGCTACTAGTGGCTTCCGTAAGGCAGATTTTGGGTGATTACCTCCTCCTCGAGAACTTTGAGCTGTTCCTGCAATCTCGCCTCTTTTTCCAGCAATCCGTCGCGGACATTCTCCATCCTGAGGATCTCTTGAATGAAAGCCTCTGCGCTTTCCTGGTCTCCCTTTTCACATGCTTGATCGTGCAGACCCTCTATTTCGTGGATCTTGCTGAGCGTCAGTCGATAAAGACGCATCACCTCCCGTGAATGTGTATAAAGGTCTGTGAGCCGCTTCTGGGGTGTTTGCGATTGAATGGCTTCGGTAACTTTTCGGTACATCTCTTGCAACTCACCAAGGGATGGGAAGGGTGAGGATGTTCGTTCGGACACCTGCGGCGGTGTCATTAAATGGAGCCTGGATATGAATTGCGGGGCATGTGGATTGAAAGGGCTGCAAAGGCCTGAGTTGCTTGATGACTGTTCGCCTGCTAAAATGGAAGGCCGGAAATACTGATCGTGTTCTTGATCATGATTGCCTAGTGGCACGCCACCGGCTATGGAGTGTTGTGAGTGTTGTATAGCGTGGCGGCTGCTGAAGTCTAGTCGTACGCCGCCTGGAGGAGAGTTGCATTCGGATGTGACACTCTCTTCTGCAAGATCACTCCCTGGCTCTGACATACTGACATGTGTCCACAGACCTCTTGATAAGTCTCTGCAAAGCCTGATGAAGATTGGTTAGAAGAGATAGATGCAAATCAATCGGCTAGCAAAAAAGGAGACGTAATGGCGACGGACTTTCACCTGCAATTTGATGAAAATTGATGCAGGCTTGACAGAGAAAGTACAGTCGATATATCGAGAGTCAAGAAAACAGCCTACGAGATCATGAGTCACGTTTGCTCTGAGGAGATGCTTACACCGTGCAAGTACAAAGATCTCATCGCGTCGGAAGTTGGGATGAAAGGCATAGCCCTAAAAGCCGCGTGCAATTGAGAGAAGTTACAAATCGTACCCTCATTTGTGCCATGAGTTGTTATTATTCAAGATCCCACCAACGCCGTCGCTTTCAAATTAGCAGTTCTATTCGTACAAGTCTCCAAAACCTAGACAGTCGATCGAATGTTATCCAACTCAAATCAGCCTGGAATGTTTGCAGAGCCTCTCATACTTCGTCCTCCGTTTCCAACTCAGTCCCAGGCATGACAACATCAGGAGCATCTTCGGCTTCTTCCTCTAATTCTTCTCGGTGCATGTGCCGGCTCTTGTACCAGACGAAGCAAACCAAAGCAATACCTACAACAAGAGCAACGACGATTAATAGAACGTTGATCGGTATTGGATTCCTGTGGAAACCCTTGTGAGTTGCAGCATCCAAGGCACTTTGTGAAAAGTTGAGTAAGCCAGCCAGACAGATGACCAAGCCATACACTTTTCCAAACGTCTGAAAACCAAACACTTTGGCAGCATAGTCAGACACTGCAGTGTAATACAGCGGGCGGTACAGCACAAAGAGGATGACATTCGCGTACGCTGCCCATAGGAATGGGAGGACACCCAGAATACCAATGACGGTGGCCAGGGCTACAAGAAGCCCCAAGCAAAATGTGGTGCTTGTACTGTCAAGAATGAGTCCGATGAAAGGGATTGAACATATCCCTCCAACTGGAAGAGCTACGTCGAAGAAGTGATTGATAGTCTCAGCCATATTATCGTCGAGTAAATATTCGTACTGCGTGCGGATAGTGGCGACGAAGTAGTTGATTCTCGTCATTTGCACCACAGTGAAGAGCGCTATGAGGACGAACCATGGAGATTTGATCTGTTGAAGGGCTGATCGCCCGTGTTGCGCACCCCAGACGCCGCTGATTTTTCTTTTCTTTTCCTCCTCTTGCTCCTGTTCACTGCCTTGTTTTCCGAGCAAAGAAGTTGTTTCGTCAACGATTCGATCTCGGTGCTCGAAACGCTGCTGTCTGGATCTTAAATCACCATCACTGTCCAGAAATTTGGAGTTGTCCACGATTTCTGCCCCCTTTACAAGCTCACCCACGGTCTTGTAGGAATTTGACGGCATAACGGTAATCTGCACGATGAGGATGAACACGGGAATGAGAAGATAAACCAGAAAGAATTGTTGTGGTGTGAATGTTTGATCGGAAGCCTCATAAATTAGTCTGTAGATGAGAAAGATGGCACTGGATGAGTCAAAAGCTCCGGTAAGTAAAGCTAAGATAAGTCCTGAACGTTGCGGGAAAGTATTCGACAGTTGGAAAGATGATATGAAAACAAATGGCCCCCCCAAAGCAAGAAAGAGGTAGCCTGGTATGTATGCATCGAATGGTGACTGCGCCGCGAATGCAAGCAATAAGGCGCCGATGGCTAGGAGCACGCTGCCAACAATCGCACTGACCCTCGGTCCGTACTTGTCCAGTAGCGTGCCAACTGGAAGAGCACAGACGTTGGTAGCGACCGCCGCAGTTGTGAACATAAGATTCAGTCGTATCTCTTGGCCGTAGCAGGTGCCTAATGCTCCAGCCGTAATTATGTACTCTTTTTCATCGCAAGATTCACGGTAGACACCTTCACTGACGAGAACGGGCTTAATTGCGGCATATCCGAATACGACCCCGGCTGAGAAGAGACAGTAGATTACTGCAAGGACGACTTGGAGGATTCTCTTCAGCTTCGAGACCTCGAACGCGCCCACTGGTGTTTCCTTTGCCTCGGGAGGCATGAGTCTACTCCCTGCAGGGTTGAAGGACATCTTACGATGCTCCGAACGTGCAGGCGACGCATTCCGGACCTGCTCATAGGAAGTCATCGAGGCAACTCTGTGGAGAGACATGGTGAAGAATCGTTGACGTTGAACAGCAGAGGGAGGTCGAGCAAGACAAGCCTTCAGTAGTATAAATTGCGTGTTATCGCGGCATGGTGACTTGTTGGTGCCAGTCGCAAGGAGAGCTGTAATGACAGAAGCGTCGAATCTTTACCACTTCCATTACTGTGAACAGAGATTGAACGGTGCTGGTGAGGGGTAGCGATCTCGGCGCCATGCCGAATGTTAGATTCAATAGAGTTCCGTCAACCTTATTTTAGAATCTTATCGAAGTCGCTAGTTTCTAAGTGCCGACGCATCAAATGGCAGACCAGACCATTTCCCTACAGATGACAGTAGAATACGTGACTTTGTGGTGAAGCAGAGAGTTGGCTACGATGAGCTCCAGCCTGCATTACTAAGATGAGTAGCATGTAGTGACGTCGCTGAAGGAGCTGAGCCTTCCTTTACACCGCACCGACATTAGCAATCTCAAGTTCGCATAAATCATCAGGTCTCACCACAGGCTCTATGTCTCTTGCTGATGTACTGGACAAGCTCCCGGGCCTTTTGTATCCCACCATTGTCTGATGCATTTTCGGTGGAATTTGCATAAACATTCTAGCCTTCCCATTTCATCTCCAACCGCAAACTCTTCGAAGCAGATCACACATTCGGCTTCACCCTCTCCATTCTCTCCTACGCAGTCCTTTTCCGTCGCATTATAGACCACCATTCCCGTGGTACGTCGTCTTGGTTGAATGGATGATGATCCGGCGGTCTCGAAGGCCGAGCTATTGTCATGTGCTGCGGAGCCAAGCGACCGTCTTCCGGACGCTTGCGCTGGCGTAGCTGTACTGGCAGCCACTGCTGCATCCATTGCCGCCGATGGACGTGGCCGTGATACCGCCAGCGTCGATGATGTGGAGAAGTGAGTTTCGATGCATGCTGTCACGTGTTCTTCCCGTGCAATGTCCGACCCGTCTGGGCCTTTTGGTGGCAGTTCACGGTGGCAGATGGGGCATTCGTCTTCCTCCTTCAATGGTGGTGCAGGAGGCTGCCTGGAGAAATGTGGCTGGAATTCGGGCATGTGAAAAGTGCGTGAAGTTGTCGGTGAAGCCCCGCCCATGGAAGCATGATGGCGATGATTCAAATGAGATAAACGATGATGGTGTGATGAGCCTTCAAGGTGACGCTTCAATCTAGTCAGACAGTTCATCTCAAAGCTTTGAAGTACTCACGTGCTCACTCGCCTGACTAGGCGCCGATCCAAAGACTGTTGGCAGAGTTGGAGGTGACATCGCATGGCTCGCGGGACGAAAACTGTGACTATGTCTATGGCGTGATGTATGAGGTAGAGAATGAAGACTGGGAAGAGTTCCGACCTCATGATCACGTATTGGGTCAGTGCTTGGACGAGACGAAAGATGTTGGCTTTTCAATGCGGTTGGCGAGGCATTGGAAGACCCCCATGAGAACGAGCCTCCCTCACTATCCCTTCCATCGGCTGAAGGGATTTGTCGCCTCCTGTCATTTGTCTCGAATGGCAAAGGGCGTGGCGATTGATCAGGCATATGCGGAAGGGGGTTGGGGTCAGGGACACACGGGTTACACAAGCGGACTTCCTGTCCTCCGCCCAACGCAGGGTCAATCTTGTATTCCGAAGTCCGAGGCCTTTCCGTGGTCCCTGACTCTAAGCTACCATCTTCCGTCAAATCCACTATCTCGAGCCGACTACCGGTGGGGCTATTTGGAGAAGCGGGGTTGATGTCAGGTGGGTGCACAATGAACTGTCGAGGAATCGTGATCCGGTGCGGTGAGCAATTGTTGCATACTACCCGTCCACATTTCCTGCAATGGTGTTTACGATACCAGAATGTAAAGCTTGTTCCGCAAATTGGGCAGTTCGAGATGTCTTCGTCAGGCTGCCATCTAGGGAGTTTGATATCGCGACTGCGTCCTTCAGATATACTTTCAACGCTCGGGCGTTTAGGTAGTGGTCTGTTGAGAATTGTAGAAGGTAGCGGAGGATTGCGAGTGCCTGATGGCCCAGTAGACGCACGGTTCCTAAAAGTATGAGGAGAAGCTGTACGCAGCCCTCGATAGCCAAAGAATGGGCCTGATGATGTTCGTCGATCACGCCCGTCTCGTGCCTCAGAGAAGTGCCTCCTCTTATCCTCAACCATCATGACTCTTCGTCTTGCCGCCAATTCTGTCAGATCCAGTTCTGGATATTGCGCTTCTGATGACCGTGCGGCTGAAATCCCCCAAGGAGGCTCTGTACTCGGAGGTCGATGAAATCTCCGAGCTGATATAGAGCTCTGTGTCAAAATATCGCCATCGCTGTGACCTCTCCTCGTCAAGCTTTCAGCTCTTCCATGGCCGAAAGTGTTGCGATGTGAATCGACCGATGTAGGATGGTTTGAAGGTTGAGTGCTCGGGAGGCTGTAATCTAAAGATGTGGAACTGCCCGACCGATGGGTTGAACCCATCGGGCGTCGAGCGCTTAGGCAAGGCTTCTTGAAGGGTCGTTCAGCAGGACAGCCGTTCCGATATGAATCACCCCAACTTCGTTGCCGTGGCTCCAGCTTGAATGGCTTTGAGTGTGAGGAGAGTGCCCAAGAACAACGCCAGGTCGTGTGACTTCAAACGCAGTGGGAGGCGCCGTAGAAGCTTGTATGGGGACAAAAGCAGAGAGTCAGACGCTCAAGATGATCGAGCTTAAGTATCTGAGACTTAGATCGGAAGCTTTTCGCATTGCTTCCCACAAAAGCGGACGTTCATTCACATATATAGAAAGATTGCAGTGGACGGAAAAGCCTGGGGAATCTTGTCTTTACAGTGTTACTCAGCAAAGCGTGATGGAGAGCGTGAAAAGATGAGGCGGCTACACTGGAGCAGTCTACCGGCTCACGAATCCCACGCCTCGAGCGCCCTGCATCAGACCGGTGCAGATCTATTGGTTGGTATTAAATCAAGATATTGAGCACGTGACCCTACAAACTTCTTCCGTTATTTGGACAATGGGGGCGAAATCGATCCATTAGGGATATATCAAATGTACTTAGATTATATGAGTAAGCTTATCGCATCATCTGATCCATCCACCTCTGTGCATTATGGTACATCATGACCCACTCCCAGCCCATCCCATGATCTCCTCGGCTATGCATTGCTCTCAATTGCGACAAGTGGACGCCGGGTTACGCATTGCTATGCTCCGAAGCCAGAATCTCAAAGTGTCCCCTTTGCGAAAACACCGTTGTCATTCGATCGTATTTGTACCAAAAATAATGTGATGTGCATCTGCGTTTCTCGAGCCGACGATCATGTCGGTCTATCATTCGGGCTATTGCTTCTTCTTTGGGAGATGTCGACAAGCTCGGCTGCTGAGCCTATCAAAGAGGAGCTGTTGTCGTTGTTGTGTATGTTGTCACTGGCCCGATGCTGCTGCACGTAGCCTAGGCTTGTGGGCCGGTCATATTGAAGGTCGTGCACTCCAAGAACAGAGGACGAGTGTCTCGCATGTCCAGGCCCCTCACTGATGCCATCATGACGTGTCGAGGGGTACAAACTCGAGCTCACTGAAGTGCCGCGGCCCGATAGGTATGTTCCTTGTGAGGCTGATTTCTTATGGGACTCAAAGGGCAGCCGTGTTATCTTCCTCACATTTGGTTGATAGCTTGGATTGAAGGCATCATCTTCGTCGAAAACCATGGTGGTACGCTGAGGTGTAGCCGAAGGTGATTGCATGACAGTCGATAGTCGACTGTCATATTGAGTGAGATCGGTAGACGAGTCTCGTTTGGAGCTCTTTCGAGGGACTGTCGGTGGTCTACCAATCCTCCTTGTGCTCTCTCGCGTGGGTTTCGAGCTTACTTTTGAGCCGACCCGACTTGGCAATTCGATGGCCCCAGAGCTTTCGATGTTAGGCAGAGTGGGTGGGATTGGAGAGAGCTGGCTCTCGCGATTCGTTGGCCAGTCGTCATCAGAGACTGACTCGTTAGCGCTTCTATCCTCCTCGCTGTCGAGAGGACTGGGCTCGTCTTCCTCTGGTAAGTGCCTGGTACCAGCACCGATAGCGTCTCCCTCGTCACTCAACGCAAGGTCACGACTTCTTTCTGGCTGCTGGGCAGCGGAATCATCAGTGTAGGGAGTATCAGCACCATTTTCGACTGTACCTGATGGAGTTGTGCGACCTAGTGGAGGAACCCTAGAACTTCTCACCACTTCGAAGCCTTTTCCCTTGTCCTTTGTCTTGCCGCCAAAAAGGCTCTTGATCCAACCAGAGGCAGATGATACAGGTCCAGTTGGATCTGCAGGACCTGTCTTTAACCGACGAGTTGGCTGATTTGACAATGCTGGACCACGCACGCCATAGTAGAAATCAACCTCTCTCGTAGCGTAATCTGTCTTAGAGCGTCTTGGGTCTTCTGCGTCCGAATCAGAACGCTCGCGGTTACCACCAAAATGAGCTGGCGTTGGAGTGCCTCGTCTTGATATTGTTGGGCCATCCGGGGCTCTTGGTGAGCTCTCGACGTCTGGGCTGTGGCGACTCCAGCGCTTGTTAGCCCAATCTGCACTGTTCCCAGAGTTTCGATTCTGTATACGAGGCATTGGAGCATCCGCCGTCGTTCTCCTAGGTCTCGGGGGACGGTAGTAAGGATCTGTTGTCTCAGCATTGCGAATGTTCACAATACCACCAGAAGTTGCATGACCAGCGGCCTGTGAACCACCAGGAATGTAGGAGAAGGCACTAGCTCCTCCAGATATTGGAGTATCACCTGCAACTCCTGCGCTAACTGATTCGAAGCCCAGGCTCTGCCTGTTTTCCCCTCCTTGCCTGTTGAGCAATATTGCTGAGCTGCCCGATATACTTCTCGATCGACCGCCGTTCCATTGTAATGACTTTTGATCACCATCATGTGTAAGTATAGCCGCATCAGACGCAACACTTTGCGTAGCTCTACCTGGCCTGCGTGGATGCCTGCGAGAAAGCTGGCGCATACCAAATACTCGGACTAGACCTCCCCTAGTAGCACTTCCTTCTTCACCACCTGCACCTGCTAGTCTCGCTAATACTTCGATGAGAGTCTGGATAGCATTCAGGAAAAACCCGAAGACGAGGACAACAGCATGCAGGAGGAGGATTATGTATCCAATCCAGCCTCTTGGTGCATCTCCCACGTTTAGCGAGGGTAGAAACGCCGTACTTAATAAGACTGCCAATAGCCTGATTACTGCAAAGACTGTGTGAAAGGTATTCATTGAAGTTGGAGAGTGAAAGGGTCGGAATGCATTCAGTGTCAAGACTGTGATGACTTCACATATCGCGAGCAACACGAGCTGCGCAATGCCAGAAGGCTGCACAGCACCAATCGCGATGCCACGAAGGAATGTGAGCATCACAGGTACTAGAGCGAATGTGGCGGCGTTATCAGAGTATGTGTTGTAAAGAGGACCGTAAAGCAATACAGTTGGCAGATCGTCAAAAAGATACGACCTCGGACGAGTAGTCGCAATGAGCCACAGTAAGTAGCCAGCGAAGCAAACCAGGATTATGATCACCACAGCTGCGACACCCACAACAGAGCTAGGAGACTTCGACGCTACTACTAATTGGTAGCATGATAGCGCCACAATCGGTAGCAAGAAGTAATTGAAGACAATTCGGATGGCATTGCCAACGCTGAAGGGCAGATTCTTCTGGCGAAGATCTTCTTGCTGGGTGTTCGATATGAAGCGATACGCCCACCGAGAGACGAATCCAATCTGAATGAGTACGACAGCCGCAGCAATTATGACCAGGAGCCAAGTCATCATCCCTGCCCAGATGTCTCTATCTTCGCTCATGCCGACTAATTGGCTCATCCGATGAAGACCATATGTTCCATTGGCGACGTATATGCCATCCTGCAAGCCCCGGAAACCAAGGCCATGACTAACAAAGCTTTCATTGAACATAAGAGCAGACCAGCTGACCTGACTTACAGCGGGTTGGAAGAAGCCTGGGTAGTCGAGACTCAATGAGCCGGCAAGGACGATAAATTGGATGTACTGAAGGCAGTCCCCAAAGCCTGGCGTGACAAGTCTCAGCAGGTCGTCATCTCTTCCGTAATTGCTTGTGAACCTGAATACATCTGTCGAGCCCCAAGGGCTGAAAATTGCAGCGGATGCTGTAGCTATGGCGACTAGTATGAGGATTACAAGAGGTACATAAGTCAAAGTGTCACTCAAGAGCCGACCCAGATCGGGCGTGACGGTAGCGCGAACACATGCCAATTGCCGTGCCCCTTCCTCGCCTGACTTCAACTGCAATATTGCGTTTACAGACGTAAAAGCGTAACTAGAGAAGAGATCATGCGCTACCGTCATGGCTGGCAGCTGCGTTTGAGCGCTAGCATTGCCACCACTTGGACTGAAAACGGGAGCAACGTTGCTATAATTACCAGTAAAATTGAATACCGGGGCCCAAGGACACGGTGACAGAGCAGAGGTATTGCATAGACGAGTCGCAAGCGGGTTCCATGGAGTATAGTCTAGGACAGCGTATTCTGCGGTGAAGGTTGTGAATTTCTCGTTTCCCGGATCTCCGGCAAGATCTGGGATCTTCCCATCTGTCTCGTTGGGATTTGCCCATTGGGGATCAGTCCGGCTAGTTGGAAGATTAATCTTCCTTGAAACACCGGTGACGTTCCCATAGACGGTTATGTTGAGGTTATGGCTCGGTGCAGTAGAGTTGAACGCTGCCCAGACATAGAGCGGCACGAATTGCAGAGGAAGTGGATGATCCTGATCGACGACAGGTTTGCTGATATCCGAACTCAAGCAGTTTTCGAAGGGAATGAAGTGTGCGGCAGAGTTGCTTGCCAGCAAGGCAAAGGCCCACCAAACCAAACCCCAAATTCTCAACGAACACATCTTAGATCTGGCGAATGAGAGCTGTAAAAGAGCATTCTTCTTTCTCTTGCGACGTAACGATGATTCGGCAATACGAAATATTGATGCGCGAGGACCCTCTGTTCCTTTTCTGAGGATCGACGGGTAAAACACAGCGCCCTCGTCCTGGATTGGCAATGGTTGATTGTGGCCATGCCGGCTGTCAAGTATCATAGCTTCATCTTTCCACCAGCATGTGAGTGCTGTGATTTGCACACTGCTCTAACGTCGACCCAGAGCCCCCTTGCTCGGTGCTTGGAGGATGAAAGGGAGTGCGAAGTCTTGAAGACCGCACTTGAGGCTGTGCTGCGAGATCGAGCGAGAGAAATGCGTAGCGATCAGTGCAGATGTTCAATGGTTAGGAGATCGATGGTGCAGACAGATTGCATGAAGATAACGAGCGTCAAATGAGAAAGCTGAAATCATCGAAGTCGTCGTGGCGGGGGATGTTGAGCGATACGATGCCTGCTGGGAGAAGTCGTTTTGGATTTCAGACGGCAACTAAGAAAAGAAAGTCTTAGAACTAGCCCCGTTCGGAACAGACGCTGCGGCTGTTACGGTATTTATTACTTTCAACTTTTCGCGCCCTTTGGCTCGTCACTCGCGCAGGCCTTCTGCCAATTCCGTTTCGACATCCAATGTTGGGATCATCCGTGGAGGTTGCAAGGAAACAGCGAGACTCGCCGCCGAGAGATGACTTACAGAATACGTAGTTCTAGCCGCGAAAATACCGTGACAGCATCCCACTTGACGTTTGCTGATCTTTCACGACTCAGCAAGTAGCGCCAAACGGGAGAGGAAGGACATGCAGCTGGATGCGGGCGAAGTATTGCGAAGCATTGTGAAGTCAGGAATCGTTCAAATAATATCGAGAGAAAATCAAGCTCCTGATTCGTAGCCCCAATGCCCGTTCATTCTCATCGTCTACAACACCGTTGGCATTCTGAGGGTACATGTGAGACCGTCATGGCCGAGAGTCATGTCCCTTATGGCTGGCTTCACCGCTAGCTTTCTTATCACAGCTTGGGAGTCCAAATGTGACAGCTTAAGCTTGGGACAAGTGCCGGTGGGGAACGCTTGGCAATGATAGAACTATGGACGGCTCCCTCGCCCATCCTGCCCTCACAGCCCCTCCGCTCAGCTGAAGCCACATCGTCCAGATCCTGTGTGGATTAACACAACCCCGGTCATCTTCAAGAGTTCTAGTCGACTGCATTGCACCAGCATAGATCTCTGAAACGGCAATGACTCCAGCTATCCTCGGTACATTGTATTCGAAGCCGCCTCGCAATGCCAGTCATTGCTCCACCACCAACGAAAGAGGACTCTAAGGAAGGCAAACTATTTAGCAAACACAAATGGCGGGGAAAGCTCTTCTCTGGTGAGAACCCTTTCAGCAAGAGCCCGGAGGAGCAAGACAACCCCAACGACGATGTAGCTCAGTTTTTAGGATATGGTGGCAGAAGGAGCGAGGATCTATTCGTAGGGAAAGACGGGCAGCACGACACAGAGTTTCCTTCTCGAAGAACAGCCTCTTCCCCGCCACCACCGAGAAATATCTATCACCGTGCAAAGCCTAGGCAGAACAAGGGTTTACACGTTGACTTTGTAATTGCCGCCCCAGAAATCATTGGCCTAGGCGGTGATGAAGCAGAGACACCTGCAAGCCTTGTGTTCTCGAACAGATCAGACGCATCCGACCTTCTGCACCGAAGGCCTGCACTCCCACGAAAACCAATACCTAGTATTCTTGAGCCAGCATCCGCAAACAATACTCCGGAGCCAGATGATAGTGTCTTTCAGCAAGAACACACAGAGCGACGAAGAAGCTTTCGGGACTCCTTGAGAGATATAGGAGATGTGCATCCATCGGTCTTGCAGCCTCAAACAGCAAATCAAGCCAACGGTTCACCATCAATTAGCCCGATTGGCTCGGAGCTTGAGGAGAATCATTCAACATTTCCCATTCACGGTTACGATCCGTCGGTACTGCCATCGCCTCCTGATGCCGAGCCTTTGAGGCTTTCTTCGTCACCGCGTGCTTCACCCGAACCACACTCATTAACCTATCGATCTTCAAGTCGGAGTCCTGATGGTAGACATGCCTTCCAAAAACCCTCCCCACTTCTAGGCGCCCGAACATCCCCTAGTCACGTAGAACGTCAGCTGTCATTGCATCCAGATCATGTTGATACCAGTGCAAAGCCAAAGTCTCTCCGCAATGCCGTACAAAGCCTGGGAGCTGATGCTTTGGATGAATTCGATACCAAAGTTAGTCGAATTAATCAAATCTTCCGGCTTGGTGTTGCAGTACAACAGGATCCGATGATCCTTTCCCTCCAGCGTTGGATCAGAGTAGCCACGTGGTGGTTTTTGAAAGGACGAGGCGAGCTTGAGGCCGAAGTCCGGAGCAGATCAAAAGACTCCTCAACACAATCTGATCAATCAGAGATTCCCATTGGGCTGAAGCAAGCCTATGTGGATCTTGCCAAGGCTTGGTGGATAGTGAAAGAAATTGCTCCTAGTCATCCTGAGCTGAGACGGTATGGAAACACAAGTGTCAAGTCTTTGGTGCCAATTCTCGAAAACTTTGGAAATCAGGACTTGGCAAAGTTGGCACGGCATCATGTTGATCTCCAAGCAAACATTCGCGCTCTGGCGATGTCCATGAAGAGGAATGGGCGATTGCCCCCTGATCACTTTGAGTTACAGAAGCTGGACGTTCGTGTGCTTCTGGAGGATCCATCTTTACCTTCAGAAGCCATGAGGGTTTTTACTTCCCAGGATCCTTCCTTAAGCGAAGATGCAATGGACCCTACTATGCCGCTGACTGACTCTGCAAATTCGTTCTATTTTAGCAGATTTTTCGGCGCTGCGTCGGTCGTGTCTCGCCGAAAAGCCTGGGAGCCTTTTATTGTGCCGAGTGTGGTCTCACTTTCGAGAAAGAAAGATACCTTAGATCTCACAGCTTCAATTTCGAGTCAAGACGAGAGCGTCAATCTGATGATACAGACGGAGAAAGATCAGTCTAATCGTCTGATCTGGTCTGACGTTAATTGGAGCTCGACAGGTAATTTCATAAGTGTAGCTATTACACCCGAAATAGACTTATCGATCCTGCTTTCTGCACATGATTTCAGAACGCTATGGAGCATTTGTGACTACACCCGAAAAATACAGAAAGACTACCAAGGTCGAAAAGGCGAAGAGGTAGCTTACGAAGTAAAGCTTGTTGACTTTCAATGCCTCCAAACCGAACAACATGCAAGTTCCTTCCCTTCTGATCCCATCAGATACTGCAAAGTCCGCATGTTTTCGAAAGTCAAAACGCATCATGACGGTAGTGGCAGAATTCACGCAGGCTTTCGACTCATGGCCAGAACACCACCATCAATGAAGACACTCAGCACTGTGTCGCAAGACTACGGTGACGATATGCCTACTATCTTCGGATTTGGTCGACGTGATGACAGGGCAAAATTATCTATCAGGGTTCCCTCTTCTTCTGTATTTGTCCTGACATTTCGAAGCTGGGAAGATCTTGATCTCTTTTACAATATCTTCACTCAGAAGCAAGTCCTAAGTAATGAGAAACGATCCCCAGCGCTACTTCTAGAAGGCTTGAATATTGTGACGAATGATTCGAGCAAGGGCAATGTCACCCGCCATCTACGCGATTGCAATTGGCAACAAGTTAAGGTGATTACTCGAGAGCATGCCGGTCACCCAAACTCTTCAATTGGAAAGCGCTCTCAAGCCTCGCGACTGATCGCTCAGTGTGATGATGGTATCCTAACAGAATGTCTTGCTATGTGTAAGGATACCCAGTCGTCCTTCCATAGCCAAACTAATGCGTATAGCAACCGGCGAACTACAGATGTGTTTGAGCACACATGACTGCAACGAAATCCAGCTTCTGAGACCACCTCATCGGGACGTAGCTGCCTCATTGACTGACTACAGTCTCACTGACAATAAGGTTGACTCATGGCGCGAAATGCTGTGGGCTGTTGGTAGATACACGGTCGTGAGATCATACCGTTTCAAGTCTCTCCCAGGTCTGTCTATTCTCGACAAAAGTGCCGACTCGCAGCAGCTGATGCCTCCGTAGATTTGCATACCTTTGAAGCTTTAGTAATGGGGTTCGATGTGCTCTACGAAGGGTAAGGCTCTCCCATAGCAGTACTAAGGCTATGCTAAATCCTTACTTTCTGCAGTGTTGGCTCATATTTCGCGATCTCACGTCGACGGAAAGGAGTCCCGATACACAAGTACTGGGAAGCCGACTTCGTACGGATGCAGGTTCTCAAACAAGACAAGACCGTTCAATTAGCTCTTTTCTTCAAGAATTTCAGCCATGGTTCTTGTATGAACTTCGTCGTCAGAAGCACAGACTTTTTTGAAAAATTGGATAAGAATGATAGAAACTACCTACGCATTGTAGACGCTAAGTTCGCATTGCCAAAATCGCAAGAGGACTCTACTCGCGATTTCGTTTGCCTTGATTTCCCCGAATATCCTGGGGAGCATGATGACATTATGATTGGTTTCGAGGACATGAACGGTGAGCTTGCATTCTACATAAGAAGCAGCATAAATTTGACTGGAAATAGAGCGGGATCAGTTTGCAGCTCAGCTGCCAGCAGCAGCGAGTAGAGCCTCAAAGATGGGGACTTTGAAGAAGGCCTCGAGGTCAGCGGATTGAGCTCAGGTTCCGACATGTGGATGGTTGTTCTTGTTTTTATCTTGTATCAACAAGCGGATACCCAAGTCGAATGATTTGCTGCGTTAATAGGGAGGAAATGAAGCGAAATACTTGATAGCGGTAGCGTAAACCTTCCCTCCTCCGATCCAGGAGCCTAACGCCATGCAAAGCTACCTGTCCCTCTCTCAAAGATGTTATCTTCAATTAATCAGCTGCTTGTGAGCAGCTGCAATATTGTATATCTTTCGGCATGGGCTCGAAAAATGGAGTTGGCACCACTCAATCCGAATATCCGCAGTCTTCATCTGGCTTCGCCCCATCCCACGCTGCGTCGACGCTCGTCGTTCATGGAGATGACAATCTCAACCAAACCACTGATGTAGCTCCACCCCTCCACGTGTCTACGACCTTTCGATATGCATCTAATCCTGATGAACTCATCCCGGCCAAAGATCTCAAAGTATTCACCTCAATCACCATCCCGAGTACAAGTGTTTAATTGACCCCTTCCTTCAGGCGCCGCTCTCCACGGATTCGCACGTCTACTCCCGCCATACAGCCCCGACATCGACGCGCTTGGAGGTGATTCTCACGTCACTCCTTCAGGCCCAGTGCATAACATACACGTCCGGACTTGCTTCGCTCCATGCCGCTTATTGCGCTCTTAATCCCCAAGTCGTTTCCATGGGCAACGGCTATCATGGTAGCACCGGCGTCTTGCAACTCCACACCAAATTGACAGGGGCAAAGGTTCTCCCCCTCGACTGTCCAGCTTCCGAGCTCGGAGAAGGTGACGTAATCCACCTCGAGACACCGATTAACCCCACAGGCGAAGCATTCGAAATAGCAAAGTATGCAGAGAAAGCGCACTCTCGTGGCGCGTTTTTGATAGTGGACAGCACTTTCGCACCGCCACCGCTACAGGATCCATTCCTGTGGGGGGCAGATCTGGTAATATGCATTCAGGGACGAAGTATTTAGGGGGACATAGCGACATGTTGTGTGGGGTGTTGGCGACTAAGAATGAGGAGTGGGTGCGGGTTTTGCGAGTAGAGAGGACGGTCCTTGGAGGTGTTATGGGCAATATGGAGGGCTGGTTAGGAGTGAGAAGTCTGAGAACGTTAGGATTAAGGGTTCAGCGGCAGAGTGAGAACGCAGGGAAGCTGGTGGAATGGCTAGAGCGGTTGCTGGATGAGGGACGGGAGGGCAGTAGAAATGTCCAGAAAGTGGTGGAGAAGGTTCATCATGCAAGTCTGCAACAGGGCGATGTATCTTGGTTGGAAAAGCAGATGCCGAATGGATTTGGGTCTGTGTTTGCGGCTACGATGAAGACGGAAAGGCTTGCGAGGAGGTTACCAAGTAGAAGTCATCTTTTCAACCATGCTACGAGTTTAGGTGGTGTTGAGAGTCTGATTGAGTGGAGGTCCATGAGTGACACGACGGTTGACCCGAGACTGGTGAGATTCTCTGTTGGAATCGAAGCGTGGGAGGATCTTCAGCTGGACTTACTTAATGCATTCAACGCATTGGCGGAAGAAGAATAAAAAATGAAAGAGACTGAGCAGCCTATGGTGCAGTTTCCGTCGTTCAAGCATCGCGTTGGCTAGGCAAAGAGTCGCACTTCAAGGCTACATCTTTCAAGACGAAGATCAGCTTGACCTCATCTGCTTGACTTCACCACTCTATTCATATCAACATCCGACTGTTGTCCAACCATAATAACGAACCCTGATTGCCAAAATGGCTCAGACACAAGCGTGTTGGCCCCCCACTCTGACCACGGATCCTGAGATTCTAGGCTACTTGACAGACATCAATAAGATCAATTACAGCCGTGACATTGGCCGCTCCTTTCACCTCGGTGGCAACATCTACCATCAATATGGAGACACTTTCTGCAAGAACAGCAAAGGCGACTTCGTTGGAGTGGTTTGTTGTACTACTTCGAAAGTGGTCGATCAATCGAAGCCCTTGCAAAGCTCATACCTAGCTATCGATTCAAACGGTCTTGTAATGCCACTTCTCAGTCTGAACGACGAAGAGATAGCGTATCAGAAAAACAATCCCGGGAACAGACCTACGCTTTGGGCGTTTGGCGGAGTAGTCGAAGTCGGAAATGGCATTGGATTGCTTTGGTACGTCTGACCAAGCTACTAAAGATGCGAGAGCCTTGTCAGACAAAAGCTAAACCTTCCAGGTATGAGAAAGGCATCGACCATAACCCTGGAAGCGGTCAACCGCAGACGTATGAATGTCTAGGGATTGGCATTGCCAAGGTGGCAATAGAACGTAGCTCAGGTCAACCAACAACAGAGCGAATACCTGGATTGCTGTTCCAGCAGAATGAACCGCATTTTGGATCTGCATTTCTGGATAACGGGTACATATATCTATATGGGCAAATTTCTGGTGACTGCAAGATCGCACTCACCAGAGTACCACCCGACTCAGCCACTGACCGCTCGAAGTATCAATTCTGGAATGGCTCCGGCTGGTGCACCAATACGTCCGACTGTGCTCCTGCCTATGCAGATCTGCCCCAGGGGCAAGTCCTTCGCTCCAGCTTCTTTGGGACTGCGTATCCCTACCTTTTCGTCGGCGTCAGTAAGTATGGTGACAGCAAGATTCGCGTAGGTCGTGCGAAAGCACCGGAAGGACCCTGGGATATCTATGTTGTAGGTACTGCGAAAGGCATCAATTACCCTAATGACTACATGTACTGCATCTTTCCCCACCCTTGGGCGTTTGCGGACAAAGACGGAAAGTTGATGGTGACGTGGAGTGAGCATTGGCCAGGTGGAGTAGTGGCTGCAAAGTTGAGCTTCAAGCTCGACGCTCAAGCTGCAAAACAGGGATTATAAGCATCTCGCAAGGAACTCGGTTCAGATAACAAGGCGATGCGGCTGGCAGGAGCCTCCCAACGCAATAGTGCTTTTAATGACTTCGTAGTACAAGACAACCTCGACTTGCTGGGTACAACGAATGTGTAGTAATCAATCTCACGGGCAGTGATAAGTATCCTCTATAGCATGAAAGTTTTATGAACAATTCAGACCTTTGCCTTGAGTGTGTCAGGAAGGTGGAATGCTCGATGTTATTCCATGAGGAAGGGGAGATTAGTCACTCAAAAGCGGGCAAATTCCGCACTGGTTTTCCCTATCCTCTAGCTCACAGCTGTCGACGGCTCGATTGTGCGAACTACTCGACAGGTATACTCAAGCTCCGCATCGATTGCTCAAAAATGGCCAAGTAAGCTCTCTCAAATGTCCATCCAAAGGTCCCTAATTTCTGCTGACGGCCTTTTTTCCCACAGCTATCTCGCTTCTATCTTCGGGACGGAGCAAGACAAGGTCAACTGCTCATTCTACTACAAGATCGGTGCATGTCGCCACGGCGACCGCTGTTCGCGCAAACATGTGAAACCTTCATATTCGCAGACGATCCTGCTACCAAATCTCTACCAAAATCCAGCCTACGATCCAAAGAACAAGATGAACCCAAGTCAGCTTCAGAACCACTTCGATGCATTCTACGAGGACTTCTGGTGTGAGATGTGCAAATACGGAGAGATAGAGGAAGTGGTAGTTTGCGACAATAACAATGATCGTATGTCAAGTCATCTCTTTCCCAAGAAAATTGCCTGCTAATACTTCTTGTCGCAGATCTAATTGGTAACGTTTACGCGCGCTTCAAATACGAAGACTCTGCCCAACAAGCTTGCGATGCCCTCAATTCCCGCTGGTATGCTGCGCGCCCAATCTACTGCGAGCTCTCACCCGTTACAGACTTCCGGGAAGCATGCTGTCGGCTGAACAGTGGGGAAGGGTGTGTGAGAGGCGGATTTTGCAATTTCATACATAGGAAAAATCCGAGCGCGGAATTGGAGAGGGACCTGGAATTAGGTACGAAGAAGTGGTTGAAGGTCAGGGGAAGGGATGAAAGGAGTGTGACGAGGAGTCCAAGCCCAGAACCGACCAGGAGAAGGTTTTGAGGATTTGGGTAGGGACCGTCGGTGCTAAAGAGGAGTAAATCAGGTGACTGCCTTCAAATGGCGAGGAGTTTGCAAAAGGCGAAAACTTTCCAAGGAGGGTGTCACGATAGGTGATCTATATCTTTCTGGATCTTGCTGTTGATACCATCTTAGAAGAAGTGGCAAGAGTCAACGGGTGATGAATTACTCCGAATGTTGGCCGTGCTTCGCCATCGTTGCGCAGTTCAGCTTGCTCATATGTCAGGGAACATTGGACATGTTGGTAAGCGTCAGTCCCAGACTCTCGACATGGATCCCTGAAGGACAGCCCTCAAAGTTGACGTAAAAGATTCATCCAATTATTTGAAAGTCCTGATGTATTTAAATAGCAACCTTTATAAGGACCTTGAGGGTTGCCTCCGCAATCTAGTGTATTATGTCATTAGAACGCTCAAGTTGGTATCATATGCTGCTAATCATCGCTTTGCAAATCCACGTCCAACATCTTTTACAATGTTATGTTTCCGTCCCAACAGCTCTTACACTGACATGCGAGTTTAGGTTCCTCGAAACCAATCATGGGTGCCCAGCCAGGCGAACAGAAACACGATAATGAAGGTAACCGTGGCAACGATTACGCCGACAATCCACAGGCGTCTACGCTTCGGTTGCCTCTTGGTCAAAGCCTCAGTATCCCTGGAATGCGTGTCAGCTTCGCTTGTTTTCTGCCGTGGGAAGAGGGAAGGATGGAATGCAATAGATATAGGACTGAGAGGCAGGCAGACAAAAGCACTTACGCTGACTGGCGTAGAACTGGCCTCTCTACCTTTGGCAAACAACTCTGACTAATCGAGCTACTTGGGTAGATCGAGTCTGTAAGGGTTGAATCCTGCCTACCAAACACTTTGGCCTTGTCCTTTCTTGCAAGTGCAGGGTAGAAGACTGCAGGGTCGAAATCTTCCGGTATATTTGGCTCCGCTATGGACTTGTGAGGGAATGTAATGACAGAGTCATCACGAATCTTGAGGTTCTCTCGTGCAGCCAGAGCAGGATAAAATGTTGCGGGATCGAAGTTCTTGAGTTGTACAGGCTCATGAAATTTGGTGTTTGGCTGCGGCATACTTGGGTGGTGAACTAGTTCGGCGAGGGACGATCGGCTGTTGGAGTTATAGACGTTCAATACGTATGACAGAGTCTCTTGGATCGAAGATATGATCTATCGGTAGCTCCGAAGGGGATCCCAAAGCGACAAGATGAGTCAGTAGCCTAGCAGAACACTTCATGTGCTCTTGCTCCCACTGCTAAGCGTCTAAGAGAAACCAGGGTGATCAATACCGAGTATCTCCTCTAATAATGCAACACATATGATCAACTGTGTTTTAGAGAGATGCTCGTACCAAGTCTCAGGCAAGAGCCAGTATTGAGCGGCATGCTGGCTAGGAAGCGTGCAAACAGGATGGAGTCTGATCGAAGGACCGAATTACTCGCATGGAGCATCGACGCTATCTGCTTGTTTGAAACACACAAGTGTGGATGCTGGTTCCAAATCCCTCTCAAAGTGGAGTGGACAGGCTGACACGTCAACTTTAAGAGACCAAATGATCTCTATGAAATCAGAATCAGGATCAGAGAGTCAAGATGACGTCTAACGTTGGTTGTTTAGCGTACTCCATTCATTGGAGATGCTTAGGTCGAGCTACTTGAAGACCAATCAGCCCTGTAGCGCTAGTCGCGTGGATCGCCTGTATCTCAAATCTGTAAGCCGGACTGCTGGACATAGGTGAGTGGGGGCATGCCTCCTTTCATTGGACATTGGGCTACTGGAAATGTGTGGTGAATTAGAGGACGTGTAGAGATGTTTCAACCCTGTTGTACTGTCGAAAGGCAATGTGCGAGGACTTGACCGAACTATTTCTGTCATTAGGCCTTTCTGCCAAGAGAGTGTGCGTTGGTTTCGCGATGCCGCATGTTTGGTGTTCCTTGAGGATGCCTGCTCCGTGACGGACGTCTTGATCTGCCTCAATCCTTGATGCAAGGATCCCGCTGCCATCTTTGCAAGGCTATGAGTTAAGCACAGCCATTGTAAACCTAAGGTTCCAATCTGGACACTAGCCGGATTGGCTCCATACTGATACGTTTATGGTAGACATTGATGTGGTCAATCTTAGCTTCCCATACGTCTGCTGTTCGGTATCCATCATGAGCTTTCACAACGGGGCTGCTGTCTCGTAGGACTACTCGCGCTCCACCAGCCGTAATATTCGCAAAAACAGCCTTTCTAACTGTGCTCAAAGGCTGGACTGCTACCCTGAAGGTCTTTGGTAGCGGAGCCTCCTTGAAATAGAAGGCTCTAAAGAGAGCGAGGGTGTTCCAGTGGAGGAAACTCGAGAATTGAGCATCTCCCGCTTCTCTCTGCCGTTGCCATAGTCGCTTTGTCAAAGTTTCCACTTGATTGTATGAAAATGGAAGAAAAGTGCTGTCATTCTTTTCGTCAACAGCAGTGCCCGTTACCTTTTCCCGACGAAGCGCGGCTTCTATTTGCCAGTGGACAACAAGATCGTTATAGCGGCGTAGCGGTGATGTTGCCATAGCATAAGATGGCAAACCCAGCATAGGATGCTCAAGCGGCGAAGCAGACATATCAGTATAGCCCAAAAGTCGAACATATTGTCGTACGTTGTGATTATAGGCTATTTCATTTCCCTTATATATACTTGGGACCAATACATTTTGACGAAATTCATCTGGCGGCATTTGTGGATCTGGATCGATTCGCATTCCTCGGTAGGGAATTGGAATACGTCGACTCGAGCACCATCGAGCGCAGATCTCACCTGCTAGGACCATGATATTACTGACCAACTTGTCGGCATTGTTGGCCATATTCTGTTCAATCAAAATGGCAGGGTCTCCGTCAAAGTGCCGTACTTGAGAGCTGAGCCCACTTGGAAGGCTTGACCTGGGACCAAAGGAAACCTTGGGCATACTGTTGGACAAGCCCCAGGTATTTTCAAAAGAAAGAGCACCATTCCTCTCTCTTCGACGTTTCACCGCTTCACCAAGTTCGAGTATCCGTCGAAGTTTTGCGACAGTTTCGATTGGAAAAGGATGGGATAGCTGTGATCTGTCCAATTCCGCTTTGCTTGACACATCGTGTGCATTTCCACCAACCGTCCACACTGCTGAGTTACCTTGTTCTGTTTCTTCGCCTAAGCTGAGCTCTGCTCGAACTCTTTCGTGCGTGAAGAATTGAACATTCCTCGCGATGCCGTGTGTCACTAAGGACTCAATTACATCGCCGTTGTCGTTCAGCCGTGCACTGAAAGTTATGCAAGGCCGATCTCTCGCAAGGCTAAAATATTTTTGTGAAATTCCAGGATCTAACATTGCGTGCTTTTCTTCTGGCAGATAAATAGATTGCGATATTTCTGCGGCGTATCGAGCGATACTTGAGTCCGGGGATATGAACGCAGACGGGTTTGCTACGTGTATATGTATCCAAGACTGCGATGGCTTGCCACTGATGCTCTCTATCGAAATACCATCATCGCGTTCTACCGTTTCCTCACCGTCAATGCAAAAGATAGGAATCTCACCCCAATCCTTGCGAAAGCTCTCCATAGAATCTTTGAGATGGAGATTCGGCAGCTGCTGCCGCGCTTCCTCTCTCAAACGACTGATTGTGTGAAGAGGGTTATACCCTGGAAGACCTGAACGAAGCTGGTGAAGTGAGGGATTCTGCCACGGAGCTATGATACCAAGCTCTTGGAGGAAGGTGTAACCGGTACTCTGATCCAGATCCAAGTGCTCGTAGAGTCCGACAGCCCGTAAAATCATAGGACCGAGGGCTTCGAAGCTTCCATACCGACGTATGGACTTGGCTGCTACCCATGCGTCGATGTAATGCAAAATTGTCTTGTCTTCTCTGCTTAGACTAGCGACCTCACTGATGCTACAGCGGGGTTGATCTGACTTTTGGTCTGAACGGTCTGGAGTTGGACCAACGCCTCCAGTGGGAGACACTGGACGCTTCTGTCGGCTCAGCAAGATCCAATTACGGGCTTTTATCACGAAAGATGCTATTGGGTTTCCTGAATGGGATACGTAAGTAGTGGGAGGGCTCGTCTCTTTGGAAGTAGTTGCTGCTTCAACATAGCGCTCTTGGAAATCTCTCATCCATTCTTGGGTCAGTCTCAACTGCTCAAGATTTTGCTTTGGTATGAATGTAAAATGGGGATTTTCGCGATGTCTTTTTGAGCTTTTGAAAACATTTTCAAGTCGTGTCAATGTCCGATGGGTAGTCCAGAGCATGACTTGTGTGAGTCCTGAGACGTTATCAATTTCAAAAAGTTCTTTTGCAATCTCTATCAATGATAGCGTTTTAAACCCTTCAGCGTATGCATCAGGGGCCAGCAAATGATAAGCACGGTTGAGTTTATCTGCATGCTTACGATAGAGAGTATCTGAGAGTCTCTCGAAGCTCTGCATAGCTTCTAAAGCATTTCGGCCTGCTCCGCGGGGTGCGTGTCTACTCATTGAAAGCACCCTTTCACTATCTGTCATTGAATTTGGATCGTCAGGAGCAGAAGCAAGAATGTCTGAAAGTGTACATGGGTTCAAAAATTGGGTTATAACAAAATCGCATTGTCCAACGGAGGCAAAAATCCACGATCCGCGCTGGGTGTAGAACAGCGAGGTGTCCTCCATGGGCTTGATAAAGATTGCTAGAAGTGAGCCACTCGACACTCGAAGTGCTGCTAAATCACCCTGTTTGAGGGATCGAGGGGCATTCATTATCCTGAAGGCAGCATCCTCTTGATCAAGGTTAGCATAAGCCTCATCTTCTTCGATCTCGGTCGGTACAAGAGGTGAAAGTAAGTCTTCTTCGTCAGACTTCCTTGTTCCGTCTAATGCATCCGACAGCGAGATACGGATGCTCTCCCGATGGGTGGGAGCGTGTTCATCAAGGCTGTTCTGGTGGGCTTGCCACAACATTAGGTGTTCCCGAATGTTCACCCCACCTATGCCCTCTTCTAGGGCAGAGTTATCGTACATGAAATCTGGTCGTGGCCCAGAGGGATCGTCACTAACGGATATCACATGAGCTTGAGGATTGGCCCTTTGCGTCTTCACGTGTGTTTAGTCTTCTTCTCTTCAAGATCATTTCCGTCACTCACGGAAATGGATGCTTTTTTGACTTTGCGAAAGGGCTGGTTTTTGGTAGGAAGACTTGCATGAAGCACAGGACGCTTGTTAAGGGCCATATGCTGTCCTCTCTGGGGCTTGAACCCTGCCATATCATTTGAACGTGGAGAAGACGCTGGCGCAGCTATTGGAGACGGGGTAATTGCTACCGAATCAAGGTATAATTGCGTTGCTCTGTACGTATTCACGAGATTATTCAAGTCCTTGTAGATTGCTTCATCTTCGTTGACAGGCACTGGGCTCTGATATGTGCGAAACTTTGACCGCCATCCTATTTTCGTATGTTGACTCACATGATAGTGAATTTTAAGCTCCTCGCACCTCGAAGCCGGTTCGGTAGCTTCGTCAGTGGTTTGCGTAGCAAGATGAGGATATGTCGCTTTGTTAGATTCATCCTGACCCTGAAGCTTTGCAGCGCGAGCACCCTTGCGCCCGACAGTGCCATCCGAACCTTGATGGATCTCAGTGGCACCTACACGTACAGTGGCGGTCTTATGTGAGTCCTTTGTTCTTGCGCTACTCTCTCCGACAAGCCTACTGGAGGCGTCGACAGATGGACTTCCGGGAAGAATGAGGCCCGCATCTTGAGTATTGCCCAGGCGTGTGCCTTGGAGAGAGGCATAAGGTCTCTGAGCTCTCCCATATCTATTGGCAAGTCCTGAGAAACGCCATGGCATGACGGATGTTTGTAAATACACGCCGCGGTAGAAAGAATCTTTGGGTTAAGGGTCGGAGCATCACAAAATTTAAGATCGCGGGCAAATTCCGCCGAGCCCCGGCAGAGGCACTCTCGGCACAATACGCATTGGAATTTGGAAGGGTGCAATCTCTCCCAATCTTGCCCATTTCACCAACGAAGTCACCTCGTGAAGAGCGAGACAACCCGGTGAGTCTCACATTTCAGAAGTTGCAAAGGCTTTGCTTGAATGATGAATGAAAAAATAATTAGCATGTATTGTCCGAAAGAGCGCTCTGTAGTTCTTCATGAGCTAAACATCTTCTGATGAAACGTCTTCATTGTGATCCACCATTTTTGCGTCTTCAAAGCGACAACTGATATGATCGTACTAGGTGCTCGGAGATCGCAGGAAGATGCCCTCAAAAGTTCGAACGGGCCACTTTCGACTCCTGTATTTTGCTTCTGCTGCGACTTTCACAAAAAAGGAGTGGGACGATTTTCCCGCCCCATTCTCTACGGAGGATTTGTTTGCCTTGCTTGAAGCTACATATCCAGGCATAGTACAAGCGGTATTGCAGAGCGCAGCTATGACCATCAATCTTGATTACGTGGATATCGGAGCCAAGGATCTTGCAGCAAGCGGCTCAGGCGATTCACCATCAATCATTCAAGAAGGTGACGAAGTTGCAATCATCCCGCCTGTTAGCTCTGGATAAAGCCTTCTCTGATATCAATGTAACCGATCCACGGGTAAACGACTTTCAGATTATACTTCGATATCCAAAGGGGTATACACGTTTCCAGTCTCCTTCATGACTTGCTCAACCTGTTCCATAATTGTCAAAACTTTCTCTTCCTCTAAGCGTCGTCCGACGATTTGAACTGCAATGGGCAAACCATGCATCTTGTCTGCGTCGTAGTGCTTGTAAGCTCCTCTGGCCACACCGTTCAGTCTGCTCGTTTGAAAATTATCAGGCAGCCGGTCTAGGGTTCTATCGACCTTTGTGATTGGTATCACGCCACAGGTGTAATCAAGCTGTTGGCTTGTAAGATCGAAGATAAAGCATAAGAACTTGATGTAAAAGGCTTACAAGATTGAAGAGGAAAGTGTAGCCACAGCTGCTTACGGCTTCCTTCATCCCTCCATGTGGGACAGCAGGTGTGGCATGTATTGGCGTGAGAAGGAAATCAAAACCTTCACGATTCCACCACTCGTGCCAATCAGCTTTGTACGCCTCCCTTTTTGCAACCAACCTCCACTGCTCGAAGCTACTTTTTTCAGTCCAACCAGCGAGCAGATTAGCCCATATCCTGTCACGACGGACGAATTTCATCCAGAGATAGTACAGGTACTTCAGAGGCCTTGGAAGCCGCATGTACGACAACATCTGTCGAGCACCGGAATCATTGTTTTCTCCCGTACGAAACAGCGACATGAATGTGCGACAGCCGTCAGAATTCAGCAGCATTGAAGCGATTTGCAACCCAAGATAAGGCGAAGGTGGATCAATATTTGTACAATGGTGACCTTCTTGTGCTAAGCTTGACACAACTTGATTCAAAGCGCGCGAGCAAGCAGGGGATGGATCGACGACACCTGTGAGGAACCACATCAGCAAGGCAGCGTGATGCAGCTTGCTGTTGATGCATAAACTTACCGTCCGTTTGTAAAACACCGATCTTGAATTTCTCTACATTCTTCACTTCCTTTACCATCGAATCCCGCCAACCTATTGCATGGACTGAGTGATCCCACTGCCAACAATTCATACCTATCAGACTTCTCGTGAAATACACGAGGTCATCTAGCGTGCGTGCCATGGGACTGGATACACTTGGAATACCTTCCTGCCCTGGCATGCTCGTCTTCATGCCCATTTTCGGCCACCGCCCTGTACTGCATCTCAGTGAGTATATTCCTGCAAAATGCGCTGGAGCGCGAACGCTGCCTGCAACGTCGGAGCCAATCCCAATGCGTCCACCACCATATGCAAGCAGCGCAGATTCTCCTCCAGTGCTCCCCCCAGGAGAGTAGTCGGTATTATGTGGATTGGTACAACGACCCCAAACATCGTTGGTCGACTCGAATGAAAGGAGCGAAATCGGCAAATTTGTCTTCACGTAGGGAATGGCACCTACAGCAACAGACTCAGTAGCCACACGACATGGAATGGCAGGATGGCCCTGGATACACACCAGCAGCCTTCAGGATCTTCACCATCGTTCCATCACTATCAAATGGCTTTCCGCATTCTCGCGAATATCCCACGCTAGCATCGAACCCGCCAACCGCTACAGTGTCCTTCAAGCTTATCGGTATTCCGGCCAAGGGGCCTTTCAGGTTAATACCTTCTCCCGTTGCCCAATTCTCGGCTTCAGGAAGCAAAATCTCTGTAAGACAGTTGGTCTTCTTGTGCGCTTGAAGTGCAACCTTGCCATAGCACCGTAATATATCAATTGGCGCTACCTTATCTGAATGTACGTCTGCCACTAGTGCAGAAATGGGTTTTGAAAGGATTGAGCGGTCTGCGGAGGATAAAGGCGCACGGTAAGGGAAAGGAAGGGTTAGTATGCGTTGGGCGCGTTGGGCTTGTTTTCTTTGACTGCAAAGATAGCCAAGTCAGGTAGGTACGGACGATTCTGGTTACACTCACCATGTTCGGCGATGCTCTAGGTAGTCAAAAGGTGGGAGCATTGCGAATTTCACTTGACGTTAATTTCAGCTCATAAAGACCAAAATCTTCCATTTGGGGTACGAGGGGCTCCAGAAACCAAATGACATCAATGTGCAGAAAGAAATTGATAAGATTAGATCGTACTTAAGTCGATTCGGTACTTTTCAAAGTCAATGAGAATGGAGCCCTACGTATTAATTACGAAGTCAAATCACCTGCCCTTCTCACCTTGCTCATAGCTGCACTACTGCTTGTGCTGTTGCGCATGCCTTGAATGTCTGTTGCAGCAATTGGATTATTGTCAGTCCAACCAAAAACTATGTTCAAGCCGGTCCTGCTGTCGAAGACATCGAAATGGATTTTGTACGTCTCTTTTTCATTAAAAAAGATACCAATCTCCTTTAGACTCAGAAGAAGGGTGCCGTAGTTCAATTGCGCTGAGACATTGTCGAAACTGAGCCATACAGAGTAGTCCAAGAATTCGAGTCGCCTTTCTGGAATGGGCACGTCCAATCTAGGTGCCCTCATACGGGAAAACATCTCTTGTGTTGTCTTCACAGAAGCTGTGAGTAGAGCATTGTAAAAGCTTGCAGCGGGCGGTGATTTGATAGTCTCATAGGCGTAGAATTCTATCCTCTGAGTGTCTGAGAGGGGGCGAACGATCCGCGGAGGCCTGCTATTATGTTCGTTAGCGAGCGAGCCTTACCACGGGCATTTTTAGACCCTGTCCTCTCTCAATAAAGTAAGCAAGGCACATACCCAGTCACAGAGTATGGGTTGTTATCGCTCGCTGATCTGTTCAGCTGTGCACTCGCACTGATGCTGATCGCACTGAGCAGCAATGTAGCAACTGTTAGAATGTATGATAGTCCTTTGAGACTTTCGCATGAAGCATGTAGCAACGTACCCATCGGGCTCAGAATGAAATGCTAGACTGTAAAGATTGGAATGCAATATGCGAGAAGAGATGCATGCAACGAACATTATGTATGCAGGCTCCTGAACCAAGTACTCTTCAGCTTGATGGCAACGACATGTTGTTTAGTTAAACATGCGAACTCGCGATTGGCGCAAGCAAACCCGACGACTCACAGTTGGCTCAGTGAGACCTGATAATTTGAGAACAGGGTTTCAGTGGGCATATGGCGATGTACACTGAGTTGTCCTTGATTTCTTCGAAGCCTGACAGGGGTAATGAATGCCCGAAATGGAAGAGTAAAGCAAGCGAGTCAGGGGCAACACAGCGTGATTATCTCGTATCTCTTGAGAGCGTGGGCTACCAAACAGGGGAGCATATAACTCCTAATTGGGAGAGAGTGCACACTCTATTTGCCCATAAATGAGATAATGGTCATGCTGAGGCAGAATTTGGCGTCCCAATTTGTAGGTCAACGTCTAAATTTAGTTGGTGGCCTCCTCGGCAACCAGGGGCTGGTCTGTAGCTGCTGCAGGGGACAAAAATTTGCAGGAAAAGCCCCTCAACACGAACGATCTATAAAGCTTGCACGGACGGCCGCTTCCACCAGTCTATTACCTTAACTCTTCTTAGTATTCTTGTCGGATACTTCGGAGGGGCGACCGTCGCTTCGCCCTTGACCCCCACTATAAAACTCTCCCCGACAACCCTCGACTCAAACTCATTCCCAAAGCCCCTCCACCTCAACCCCTTGTATTCCTATCAACGCCGTCTTTTGGCAGCTTTAAAAGTACTCAATTGCTACTCCCAGGCCCAGCGAGCCTAGCCAACAGCTCGAGGGTCATCCACGCGTTCGTTGGGTTTGTATGCGGCTTCCAAAATCCAGTATTGGCAATTCCAAGCTGACCACAACGTGCATCAGGCTTGACAGTTTCAAAACCTTGACACAGCGCTTCGTATATTGTATCCAACATGGCGGGAGCGAAAAGTGCGTTGCCTTCGCACCTAAAGGGAAATGCTGCTCCCAATGGAGAGGGTGGTGGTGCCTTCAAGAGGAATCACCACGGAAAATCTCAGTCACATGTGGTGAGTTGTTCCAGAACTCCCCTGGAATGCATAGAGTGTCATGAATGCGTTTGTTCCACAAGAAGAATGGGATTTGAAAGAACCGTACACGAGGATAGAGAAATTGTGCTTGTTATTACAAAACTTTAGCTCCTGGCCCCACCACAAAGAAAGCATTGGCCTGTACCACCTTCCTGCGCGTTACCAACAAAACTGCTTGCAAGTTTGCACTCTTCAGTCTAGTACATACACCAGACTTTTCCATTGTTCGAAAATTTCACAAACAATTAATGGTATCGGGGGTGTTGTCCTTGTACGAACATACTTTCAGTAAAATATTGTCACGACCTCTGCTTTAATCTCTCATTAGCCACGCCTGTAGTACTTCAATCAATCAAGAATATTTCCTTCCACATATGACTGGTCATGGAAAGCAAGGGCTTCATCGAGAACACTCCGCTAATTGACGCTGGTACTGATTTTCAGGCTTTTGAAAACGCATCAACCAATGTAGCAGCTACACAGATGCGCAATGCCCTAAACGCACTCGTCGAGACATGCGAAGACGCCTCTGAAAAAGAGCGATTTGAGACCGAGATGGACAATTTCTTTGGCTTATTCAGAAGATATCTGACAGACAAGGCAAAAGGCAATGTACTCTCGTGGGATCGAATCGCACCACCAGAAACAAACCAAGTCGTCGACTACAGCAACCTCGCCAACTCAGAGTCAGTGGAATTTCTCAACAAACTGGCAGTGGTCAAACTCAACGGAGGGTTGGGGACATCCATGGGATGTGTGGGCCCAAAGTCAGTCATTGAAGTGCGTGACGGCATGTCGTTTCTTGATCTCTCCGTGCGCCAGATAGAATACCTTAACCGGACTTATAACGTTAGCGTCCCTTTCGTACTCATGAACTCTTTCAATACCGATGAGGACACCCAAAATATTATCAAGAAATACGAAGGACACAGCATCGACATTATGACCTTCAACCAGAGTCGATATCCCCGTATACTACGAGACTCGCTACTTCCAGCCCCCAAAAAATTCGATTCTCAGATCTCTGATTGGTATCCACCTGGGCATGGGGACGTCTTCGAATCGCTTTACAATTCTGGTATTCTTGAAAAGCTGATGGACCGCGGGATCGAAATCATCTTCTTGTCAAACGCCGACAACCTGGGTGCCGTCGTAGATCTCCGGATCTTGCAGCATATGGTCCAGTCCAAGGCTGAATATATCATGGAACTCACAGACAAGACGAAAGCCGACGTCAAAGGTGGCACGATCATCAATTACGACAACTCTGTCCGGCTTCTCGAGATTGCTCAAGTCCCCAAAGAGCACACCAATGAGTTCAAATCTATCAAAAAGTTCAAGTATTTCAACACCAACAACCTATGGATGAACCTTGCAGCCATCAAGCGTGTAGTAGAAAATGACGAACTCGCAATGGAGATTATCCCCAATAACAAATCTATCTCTGCCGATAAGAAGGGTGAATCTGACGTCAATATTGTCCAGCTCGAGACCGCGGTCGGCGCTGCAATCCGACACTTCAAGAATGCTCACGGTGTCAATGTCCCTCGTCGACGCTTCTTGCCGGTAAAGACATGCTCCGATCTTATGCTCGTCAAATCCGACCTGTATAGTCTTCAGCATGGTCAATTGGTGCTGCATCCTGACCGCTTTGGCCCTGCCCCGCTGATAAAACTTGGCAACGACTTCAAGAAGGTCAGCGACTTCCAGAAGCGCATCAGCAGCATTCCGACTATCTTAGAACTCGACCACTTGACGATCACTGGGGGAGTCAATCTTGGTAGAGGTGTCAAGCTGAAGGGAACTGTCATTATTGTGGCATCGGAGGGTAGTACTATCGATATACCACCAGGCTCAGAATTGGAGAATGTGGTTGTACAAGGGAGCTTAAGGCTGCTAGAGCATTGATCGATGCTTCATTCATCAAGAAGCTTCTCGTCTCACGCATAGGCGCGGTATCCGAATTATAGAATTATCATTCTCGTGGATAGGGTAGATCTCGACATTGTCAATAGCGTCCATAAAACACTCAGTAGCCTCGTTTAAGTCCACCTGCAGCGTGATTGCAATGATCTCGCATGTATGATACGGCACCTGGTGGCACAAATGTCTTGGCGCAAAGTTGGTTTCAACTAACAGCTTCGATGTTTTGAAAGCTGTGTAAAGTATTTACCAGCTCCCCCTCCTCCCCATCATTTGTTCAAGCCGAGAATAAGACTCCCTAGTATCAACAGCCAGTTCTTATCATGACTCTACAGTCTTTCTAGTCTCCTGATCCAAATCCTCACTTGGAAGAATGCGAGAGGGACTGGTGCTCGCAAGAAGCCCCCTTCGCCTAGGATGAGACGTCAGTGGCGGTAATTGTCGCCGCTCATGCTTCTTCAATACCAGCGATTGCTACTATACTGCGTGCACTGTTTGACTTTGCTTGCACTATGTACGACACCTACGAGGGGCGATGCGGATTTTGAGAGCGTTCGAGTAAGGTATGATTACTATGATAATAGTGGAAGGGATGGAGATCCAGAGGGAAAGTACTGGCGTTGGTGCACACCGAGCAATCTAGAAAACGAGTCTAGCTAACGGCCTGTTTTGCAGATGAATCAACGTGAGCAACCCGAGTCTTACAGCTCCCTCTTGACTGACATTGACACTTAGATTTCACCCACATTATGACGGCCGGTATGGCATCCGGCGGGGTTTCAGGGAGCAGGATGTCTAATGGTCGCAGCTTCACAGACCGTACTCTTGAATACGAAGAGCGGTGTTCGAATCTTTCCCTTCTTGTGCGGTCATATCTTTTCTCAATGGCAGACCTGGGAGCAGAGACATGGATCATACACGGATCCTTGTTAGGCTGGTGGTGGAACAGGCAGGTAGGCTCTCTATTCTTCTATAGAGAGTCATCCGCTCACTTCTTAAGATCATGCCCTGGGATTCCGACATCGATGTGCAGATGAGCGCCTCCACTGTTCGCTTCCTCGCGTCATACTACAATATGTCTATCCACACGTATGAGAATCGAGACTACATGCTTGAAATAAACCCAAAGTACACGGACGGAAGTTTCAAAGACCGACTAAATGTCATCGATGGTCGGTGGATTGACGTATGGACGGGTCTTTTTATAGACATTACTGCTGTGAGACCAAAGCCAAAGGCCTCAACAGTCTTCACAAGTAAAGCCAATTATCAGGGTGTGTTTGCAAGCAAAGACAAGCATGAAGAGAAGGTGGGACCTTCCCAGCTACGCTATCATTTATGGAGAGACACTGACTGTAATATCATAGGTCTGGGATCTTTTCCCACTTCGTGATAGTCTTTTTGAAGGGTTGCCTGTCAAAATTCCTTACAATTATGCAAAGTTGCTTAGGGACGAATACGGCAATTCAGCTTTGACGAAGACGGAATATCTCAAGCATAAATTCAATCATGTTACGCTGCTGTGGGAAAAAGTCAAACTGCCTAAGAATGGGACGTTGGACGACGAAAGCACTGGAGATTAAGATAGAGCTATGTCGTGAATCTTACAAAAAGCGAATCTCACCTGCGTAGCGAAGTTTTGGCTACACAATACCCACGGAAGCGACTTAGGTCTTGAGATGCCTTACATCTGTGCATATGCTCATACTTGGCTTGTATATACGGTCTGAATCGGTATCGTGGCGTTACACATTCCATCAGTGTCGCGTTAATCCAACGGCATCAGGTATAAGTATCAAGGGCCTCCAATACAGGAACTCTGCAGAATGATCTCTCCCAGGTGCGTTAGATTAGCAGCGGAGCGGCTCGGGCTGAAATCAGCGCCAAGCAATACCAAAGTTATGAATTAGAGTTCTGTCATTTTTCATCTCACATTTTCCTCCACTACCATCGATTCGTTTGACTCAGGAACAGTATCGGCAAGCATGCCTGCCCGACGCACTGGTCCTCCCGCTAGCTACTTGAATGAGAAGAAACATGAATCCTCCTCACAGCCGGCACGAGCGGTTCGGACCACATATGATGCTCTGACGGCAAAGGAGAATCGGGGCATCGTCGGCGCAGTGAGCATGTTTGGAGTAAGTCAACATGGCATTATCATCCTTTCGGCAGTTTAATAGAAACCAAGCAAGTTTGAAGTGAATCTGCTAGGAGGCGCGGGCTAGCTTGGAACATGAAAGTCCTGAATCAAAACGTCTACGGACGTCAAGACGTTAGAATTGCCATCAGAATTTTCGGATCCATACAATGTCGCGAAAATGCCTAATGCTTGAATAGCTAGCTAACGGTTCTTTTTACAGGTTGCGGTGGCCTTCCTGGCGGGCAGCTGGTCTGAATACATGATACCTCCGTGAGCCCTCAATCTTTGGTGAGCTTCGGGAACAACATGTTTGCTAAGATATGCGACAAGTTAGATCATGAGACGTCGACTTATCAAAGGAGAAAGCACCACTTCAAATCTCATCTCGCAAATAACAATCTCATACTCGAGCGGCTAGGATGTCGTGGCGCGATCGACCGCCGTAGGAATAAAATGAGGCGGTCTAGAAAGGCTCTGTAGCTCTGGAGGCTTTTCAATACCATGCTCCAAACTATGTCGGACACAACCAGGCGGAGAGGAAATAAGCTTGTTGTATGATACCAGATCGGAAAGCTTTGAGAAGACATTATATATTTGTGTTCGTGAATGCTAACTCTACGTTCTTCATCGTGCAGAACGCTCTGAACTCTTGCTTCTCAAGTCCCACGGCAAGCTTTCGAGGCTCAAGAAAAGCTTCACATCGTCTAAAAAGTAAACTTAGTGCTTCAGGTGGAACAATATCTAGTCGAAAATACGAACAGCGCCCCCAATTGTTATTAGCGTACGGTACCTTACTTCTTCCGTTCCACCCACGATCTGAATTACCTTGAGGTGCCGTAGGTTAGCATAACCAGGCCTACCACACAATCCGGCGTTACGGTGTAAAATTGCTGATCTATGCACGCTGATGCAAGCCTCTGTCCCCGTGCGAGAATGCGCCTCGCAAATCGCAATGTACCGTTTTTGGCTTTACACATGACGGTCGCCTAATGGTCCTACTCACAGAGCAAGCTGAAGCGAAAGTTTTGACGACGGTCTTTCTGTATGATACATTGAGCACATTCAATCCGAGTCACTGATGACGGCCGAGCACTCCGACCTTCGGAGCCAACTCACACCGATCTAGCAGCTCAAGCCCCTAAAGTCTTCGATGCTTCCGGTGTAATTTCAATCCAGGGGCGGGCATTGAGCCCAACGCCGGGTGTGAAAGAGAAGCCTTGGGCTGTGAATGTCTCATCTTCTTGACTGTAGCAGTTTTCTAACTGCTTGAAGCTTCCGAACTCTCCGGAATTTCACCGTAAAAGGAGTGAAGAAGCACCCGAGACCAGAGCAATTGATGGCGATTTTCCATGAAGCCAAAAGCAGGAGGATGTAGATTCAGAGGGATTCAAAGAAAGTGCCCCGAGTTATACAGAATGTGGCGAGGTAGCGGCGGGAGCACACTCGGCCACTACAGGTGTAGTCACGCAAGAGAAAGACGTGGAACCTAAGAAGAAGCGGCGGGGTACGCTTTTCTGGTTGTTGTTAGCCCTGATCGTGTCGTTGATATTAGGCATCGCACTTGGAGTAGGCTTAGGAGTGGAGCTGACAAGAGGAGACAACTTGGAGCCTTCGTAAGTGCTTTCACGGAACGAGACCACATTCCTGCTGAAACAATGAAGATCAAATTCAGCTCCTCTACCACTGGTCCCTGTGTTTCTACCACACGATCTGCAGGATCATACGGCACTAGCGTTTATTCTTTCAAGAGTCTTCAGGGATTATGAGGGAGGCGTTATATACATCTTCCAACGAATAATGGGCCGCGGCAACAGATAATGTAGTGGCCAGCAATGCGAACAATTCTACACCGCTGGTTGCAATAGAGGCTGATGGCACAGGCCATTTTGCAAACACGGTCTGCCGAGCAGGTCCTTCAATATTTACGTCGACTGATTGAGGCCCTAGATATTACTTTTCTACATCACCTCAGATGACCGTCTTGCATCCAAAGCCTTCGTGTCGGCGACCTGGGCAACTAGAGACAGTTTCCCTCCAGGCAGTTCAGACACGAACCTTAGCTTCACTTCTGAACCTCAAAGCCGAGGGCTGGCAATTACGTCGAACAGCAATTCGACCATCCAAGGTGATGCATTCGTATTCTATGTTGCGCAAAATGGTAGTGCCGAATGCATCAATATCATTCCCGATGGAAGTGGAGGTATCGTTGCCAGCAATGGGCCACAAGTGCCATTTGGGGTGGAAGGGGGTCATGTTCTTGCTTTAGCTGCTGGCAACGCTGAAGGAGGAGAGCAGACGGGGCCTCAAGTCGGTGTCTTGACGAGCAAGCGGACCACGTATTGCAACCTATACTTCTCTTTCTTCACAAATGGTTCGTGGTCAGATCTAGGACGTTAGTGATACCTAGGTCTCGCTTGAAGCGTTGTTGATACGAGCATATGAGTAGTGCAAATCGTTCTAGTGCCGCCATTACCAGCTGCATTGCAACCAAATCTGCCCTCGACATTACACTACAAGGCTCGTACCCAGCATCGGAGACATCTGCTCAATTCGCCTATCCTTCTCCAACAGGTAGTTCAGCAGCCTGCAACAAAATCCCTACCGGGCGATGTCACTATAGCCCAAGTCTTCGTTCCTGTGCCCTCGAACAACAACCGAATTAAGGACGGCTATACCCTTTTCGGTTTTTGGGTCAACGGCACTTCGCTGGCCGCGTATACGATCAAGATCATCGGACAATCTGGCCAGCCAGAAAGCCGGTTTCCTTTCTCTAGGTTGACAGGTACCACTGCTGGAGACCAAACGGACGAGGAATTTGTGTACCATCAGATAAATGGGACAAGTGTTGCTGAGGCCGTGTGCAATACACATAGAGGATCCTTTCAGCGACATATTCTACAGTCCAGACATGAGTGAACTTTGTGGACGTAAGAGACGGCTCGACGTGGCATGAGACATGGAGCTATGATAAGATGGCTCTTTCATCAATCTTTGTATACTATCGAGGCTAGGGCCAGATTGTGGCGGAAGGACAGCGAAAGCCTCCTTCAGAAGCGATGCAAATCCGCATCCACCGCTGGTCTATCATGTAGGGAACGGAGAAAAAGTCATGAGATTATCATGTAAAGCTTTCATGTCCCGTGATCGCGTTCCAAGTTTCATGACATTAATGTATCCAATCAGTGTGTTCTTCGATGGCACCTTTTCACAAATGCCCTTTATGAGCGTGCACGCGAGTGACCAACTCCGTACGCAATCCGCCTAACACATCACGCATTCAAGTTGTTTCCAAACGCTCGCTACCTTTAAGCATCCAGAAGCTCTTCTTTGCAGCTCGACCATTCCTACATCAGCCCAGCAAGACTAGCCTTCCTCCTCAATGTGTACGCCGGCCTCTTCTTCCAATCACATTTCGAATCCTTCTCCATCTCTTCCGGCAACTGAACCGCGGAACTCATCCTTCTCCCTGCCTCCAGTTCCTTCTGACCCTCCGAATGCATCTTCTTGGTCCACCTCCAATCATCAATCTCTGCATCTCGGATATTATGACTGGCCTTGAAAACATTCCAATTCCCACCACCATTCTCGAAGAAAGTATCCATTTGCTCGAGGGATCGTCCAGCGGTCTCGGGGTACAAGAAGATTACGAATGGAATACAGAAGATGTTCAATCCGAAGAGCAGGAGTAGGGTACCGTAGGAGATGGCTTGGAAGAGGAAAGGGGTGATCATGGTGATAATGCCGTTACCGATTGACCAGCCGACGACAGACCAGGCTCCTCCCTTTGCACGGACGTTCAAGGGGAATATCTCAGTAGGGTAGAGCCAGGGCGTCGTGAGCCATGTCGCTCCGAATGTGGCGGTGTAGAGGAAAGTGAAGGTTGCAACACCGGCCCCGTATGCACGCTGATTTGGGCCCTTTATCTGAGCGTATTTGTCGAGGATACCAGCCACAAGAAGGATCAGTGCCATGCCAACAGCGCCCCAGACCATGGTTGAGCGGCGCCCGAAGCGGTCTAAGGTATAGACGGCGAAGATGACGGAAAACATGTAGGAGATGTTGTTGAAACCTGCAAGAAGCTTAGAGAGATTGTCACTGAACCCGGCATTGGAGAATAGATCGACGGCGTAGACGGTGATGACACCGATGCCGACGAGTTCTTGCATGATTTGCAGCCATACGGCGAGGAAGACGCGAAATCGAAGCTGACGAGAGTACTTGTCCTTGGGAAAGAGCATAGCCCAGTAATGGTTCGCAGAAGAGGTCTCGATCTCGTATTTGACGACCTTTTTGATGGATATGGCTTCATACTCAATATCACCTGAACGAGTAGCCTTGAGGACGAGACGAGCTTCCTCTTCACGGCCGACTTTCATCAGCCAACGGGGTGATTCTGGGAAGAAGTTGATGCCGATTCCGATGATAATGATGAATATGATTTGGAGAGCGAGGGGTGTTCGCCATGCCATGGCTTTGTTTGGATTTAGATAGGCAAAGTATTCAATCCAGTAAGCGAGGGCTAGACCGCCAATGTTCTGTGAAATATCTTTAGTAGGTGAGAGTAAGCACTTTATCAAGCAGGGTATACCATAAAAAATTCAATGGCCAAAAAGGCACCTCTGGCCGAATGAGTAGAATTTTCTGCACTCCACACTGGTATCACACAATCCAGAGCTCCTACGCCCACACCAGCAATGACTCTCGCACAGCACATCCATGCAATGTTGTATGCCGAAGCTTGGAGTACCGCACCGAGCAATGCCCACATTGAACCAAAGACCACGGCTTTGATTCTGCCACATCGATCCGCAAGTGACCCAGCAATAAGTGCACCGACCAGAGTTCCAGCATAGTAGACCGAGACAATACCGCCTTCAGCAGCGACGTTACGAGATTTGCGGGGTCCTTCCTTTGGAGAGTTGATACCCACTATGGCTTTGTTAGTATACCAGGGAACCGTATTGGACAAGCATGCATACTTATATTCCAGTAGTCCTCATTTAGGTTGACCTGGGACATGACACCTTGATCGTAGCCGTAAAACATGATAGCTACACCAGCGAACAAATTGATGGCTTTGTACATATTGGCAGGATTCTTGAATTTGAGCATCCGCTTTTGGCTGTATCCACCGATGAACCACCTTTCGAACTTCCATGGCTCGGCGTAATTGATGTTATCAACATCATCAAACTCCTTGCCCTTGAGTTCGGAAACGGAGTCGGGGCTCGACTCTTTAGGAACTTCTTTCTCATTTCTAGGAGATACTTGGGCGTCGAATTTGACGGACTCATTCCTGGCCATGGCGCCAGTGAGTGCAGCCTGGTAGGCTGTTCTAGCAGGCAATGGAAGAAGCGAGTGCTAAGAATCTAGGAGAAGGAGCACGTAGAAGTACAGAAGGGAGGCGAATATCAAAGAGCTGGACAAGGCTTCGGATCTGAGACCAAACGAAGCTTAAGGAGAATAAGAATACTCCCAAGAATTGGAGGAGAAGGCTTATTTGAATGGAAAGCATAGACACAGAGCTCACACGCATCGACAGAGATTTTCCAACTCCATGACTTACGGGCCGGCTGTCCAGAGACTGGAGCCCCAGCTTTTGCGAGCGAAAATTACATCATACCCACAATCCTTTGCATCCCAAACCCATGATCCCGTCACTAAATCACGATGGGTTGTGGAGAGGGCGCATGCGCACACGAGGGGCGAGGCAAGTTGGGGCTTCAAGTGAGATGAGTATCCAAACTCGGGATTTGCGACCCAATCATTTTGCCGCTGCCGACAAGCGACGCAAGTCATTTTGCAGCTTTCAACAAAGTTAAGTTTTATTCCGTGCGAATAGAGAGCTTGGGTCTGTGCTGACCATCCTGCTGGGCGCGATGAGGTGCAGCTGTCGAGGTTTTTTTGAGACAAAACAGAATCCTCCGTGCTATAGACTGATGTTGAAGTGAACGTTTATGCATATAAATGATTTTCGTCCGCCATAGTTGATATTGGGCACCCGCGCGCGAATGTTCAGCGATATCAGCAAAGTCTCGGAGGTCAACAGGGTCAGTGCTTGCAGCACTAGTGCTTCAACATATGCGCGCAATCGAGACGTACAAATAACAATAAGGGAGTTTCTTACTTCAGCCACCAACCTCGCTGCTGATACTCCAGTCCCACAAAGCGGGCCAGTACAGGCCGAGCACTTTATCTAGGAATTGATGGACTGTTTCTTGGGTTCAGTAAATTGCACAGAGCCCTTATCGCCGTATAATTGCTTTTCATGGTCGGACTTACACAGTACTGCTCATCACCGTGTCAATTATTTGTTACGTGGAGATAGACGCTGTCACGTAGACTTCATGCAAACCGGCCTGGGTATAAAGCGCCTAAAAATGCATCAATGAACACGCTTCCCCTTCTCGTATGCTCTGTCTCCGTACCTCCTGAGCCTCCAGCCGCCTCCTTGTTCCTTCTAGTCAACGCTTCTGCCTCCATCATCGACACCATTGTTTGTGGACAGATCTGGCGTGCATATACATTCGCAACCTGGCACGGGGCACTGGCTTTCTTTCAGCCCTTCTTGCATAAACCATGACTTCAGGCAATTCAAATGGCCGCTGTGGCCGCAAGCGTTGCACCAGAGCCACAATTGTTCGGTTCCCCTATTACAGATGCTGCATGGACTTGCTGGCGTTTTGCAACGCTCGCAATATCCTAGCTTCCATCCTTTGCTAGTCTTTTTGCATGTCGTGCAACCGGGCACGACGCGGGAGCTGTCCTGATAGCCTAGTATCTCACTAACTTCAGGGAACAGCGAATGACACTGGTTCCGCAGCGTGCACGCTTCTCTGACTAGTCGCAAACGTGTGAGATGTCGATGCGCATTTACTACAATTTCGACCTTGTGGTCATGTTGAAGAAGAGAGCGATGCCCACTCGGTTCGAACCAGGGACAGACATTTAGGATCAGGTAGATAGGCATTAAAGGATTGTGGAAGCGGTAGAGCCAGCTTTCAATTTCCTTTTCGATGATCTTGTGGGCTTCAATGGCCGACCGCTGCAGCTCGTACTCAGAGGGAAGGAAGTCTTGAGGGCCGAGTTCTTGCTGCAGGGGCTGTGCTGTCGATTTGAGATTTTCTAGGCGTTTCTGACGATTGAACTCAGCTCTCTTGCGAAGAGCGGGGGTTGTGAAGAATGCAATGAGAGAGAACGATTGTGCAAGCAAAGGTAAATGTGCCGCTGCGGCCACATCTCGATTGTGGCTTAAAATTCGTTCAAAGTCAACGTGGAAGCGGTTTGACGTGGGCAGAGAAAGAGTGCTCGGAATAGGTTCAAACTTGTTTAACAAAAGCTGATCCAGTGCAGAAGTGTTGGTAGCTCCTGGGACGTTTATAGTCCCGATGCTGGTAGACATTTGTCCTTTCCTGGAAGCGTGCTTTGGGTCTTGCTGCGAGTAGCCGTGATGCCGAGTGCAATTCGCCGCTAGTAGCATTTCTCCATTTGGGGCAAACGTCGCCAAGCAAGATTTATCTTCTTGCTTGGTCCGAGTCGGTAACGAGCTCACGTCGATCTGTATAAATTTACCATGGGAGCCAACGGACCAGAGCAAGCTGTCCGAGACCCAAACGATAGCCGTTGGTGGTGAGTCGTGGTTATTGAAGACACGCTCCGGCACAAACGGCCTCGCAAAATCCCAGAAGAGAGTCCTCGGATCCTTCTCGTCGAATGTCGTGGCTAGGTACAAGGAGTCCCAGCTGGCTGGGTCGTGATTTGTAGCGGGGGATGAGGCAGGACGCCAACGAGCATCGAGCACTGCTTGTGGGCAACGCAACGCTTTCAATGGCTTCGCTCTCCTGTCTGATGTGGCAAAATTCCATACCTTCACGTCCTTGTCAGCGCCAGCGCTAAGGATATACTCGCCGTTTGGATGCCAATCCACCGCGTTGCAGGTCTTCTCGTGTGCACGGATTCTAAGCAATGGAGCATTGGATTTCCGGACATCCCACCTCTGGATCATGCCACCATCTGTGCAAATCGCAAATTCAAACGCATTACTCGGTGACCACTTCACATCTCGCACAGCATCGCTGTTCCCCGGGTACCACGCCCTACTGTCTATACTGGAACGTTCTCTGCCACCAGGACAGTCCCGTAAATCCCAGAGCCTCACGGTAGCATCTTGGCTGCCTGAAAGCAGCAGCGCCCCATCAAACGGGTTGAATCCTAGCTTATGCACCTGCCGATTATGCTGGTGTAGGCGAGCCGTTTCATGACCTGGAGCCTCTAGATCGTATACCACAATCTGCCCATTCGCAACTGCAGTTGCGATTTTTTTACTGAAGAAGCCATGAGACCACTTAACGTCCTTTATTGCTGGTAGCCCTCGATGTCCTGCAAAGTTGCTGTCTTGATTTGGCTCTTGCTTCCCTACTTTTCTTGGGGATCCTGCGAGAAGATCTTGTTTGTCTCTCAACGAATCTTGATCAACTTGTATCACTTTTAAAATCTCCCTGCCTGCGAGTACTGCGTGTGTATGATCTGGAGAAATGTCCAGAGAGCCTATGGGAACGCCTACATCGTACTCGAGTATTTGCGGTCGTAGTCTACTTGGGGGTCTGGCAATGGACACGTCAGCATAGGCGCAAATCTTTGTGGGCTTTGCAAGAGGAAGTCTTGGGGCCTGGGGGACCTTTGGGGGTATCGCGAGGACATGCGGTTCGAAGATCTGAGATAGCAGTGGGGCCTCAAATGTCCTCTGGCGGCTCAGGTATGACCATCTGCCATGGCGTTGTGGGGTAGTCGTCCGGACGGGATGTCCTTGCCCTCGGGGTCGGGAGCCACGGGCCTCTAGAAGGCGTGACTGTGGTAGTTTCAAGATCGAGGAGGCCTCCTTCTCCAGGCCTTTACTTGAGCCGTCTGGCATGGACGAATAATGATGCTTGAAAGAAGGACACGGCACCTTTGAGCTCAGCGTTAGCCGACGCAAACAGGGACCTAGGAGCTGTCGTCGTTGGATCCATACGTACAGTCGCTCCACCGCTCTTGTGGCTGCAGAACCCACGGATCTGACAGGTCAGATTCTGGGGGACGGGTGAGCTTTAAGCAGGAGATGGCGCTGCTTCTTGTGCATAAGCTCCGATGCCAAAACTCCCCTAAGGTTGCCCACTAAGCTTGACTGGTGCGATGGCTGGGGGGAAGGAGCGACCAGGCCCCGGCAATGCACGATGCTCGCGTAACGATGGACCCGACGGAGTGCTGAGAGGCGCTGATTGGCAAGGATTCACGGAACGGGCTTAGAAGCAACCACGCCAAAACAGACGGCATGTGGCCCGGGAGGACGACGCAGTGGAGGCACCTAGATGTCAGTCTCTTGATCCTACTCTAACGTCGAAGCTTCTCCCTATCAAGGACAGTGGTGGACTGGTAGCTAGATCTCTCAGCGGGAGCGATCTCGTGCTTTGCGTAGCATCAAAGCTTCGGTACCGCACTTGGGCGAGGTCGATGTTGGTGCGTGGCGAGCTAAGACAGCAGACCGTAGCTCCAAAGAGAGAATGCTCACACGACTTCTCTCTCTTCGAATCTTCAGGATCACCACCACATTCGTTTGATTTCCTACTTTTATCTATCTCCGCGTTCAGCATCATTAGAGCATGGGTCAAGCCTGCCACCACCCTCATCAGGCTGCTTGATTCCGAGGCGTCCCTTCAAACACCCACCACGCATCTTAGGATATCACATGAGTACATTTCTACGACGTGCATGATGGCCTCCCATTCCACCCGCCCGGAGCTGCCATCAAGCAGCACGAAGACCGTCCTCGTGTTTGCGCATTTTCTTACCCCCATCCTGCTATTCGTCGTTTTCATTACCGCGTACATGATTCGCTCCGTGCTCGAGGGCGAGGCAGAAGAAGCGAGCAAGCCGACATCGCAACTTACGGGGCCAGGAGGAAGGCCCCTTCCACGGACCGACTCACCTTCGCTAAAGCCCAAATTGAGCGAGGAGAGGCTGGATCTCAGCTCTGGCCGAAAATTCTTCTTTGTCATCATGAGCATCATCCTGCAACTCACGTTCCTTGGTAATGCGGTGATTGCCGTCACACACGCCCTGACACACCAGCACGAGAATTGGTGGTGTGGCGAAGCCTACGTTGTAAGTCTTGACCAAGCCCTTGCCAATCTTCTTCGGGGAAGTCTGACCAAAGCCATCTAAGATCTACATTGTGGGAACATTCTTCCTCTATTGCTTAGTCCTCATTTCCATCATCGATACGCGACCCTCACCAGATACATGTCACGCTATCACCTGGACTGTCAGCGTAATCCTAGAGGTTCTCCTGGCAGGATCATCGTTCGTCCTGTTCTCTTCCTCACATCGCGAACCAAACGCCTTTGATCCCAACGGAGGTGAAGCTCACGTAGGATTTACCCAATGGGAAGCTGCCCAAATCTTTTTGGATGTTGTCAGAATCGCTTGTCTTTTTCTCCTTGTGGCATTTTACCTCCTTTTCGTCTTCCTCGGGCATTGGAAAGCTGACCAGTCGCATCATAATGAGAACGGCCAAGTCAATGAAAGGACCAGTCTCCTCAAAAATCACGTAAATGGGAACCACGAGCATTCTGACGCTGAAAATAAGGAGGTTGCCGGCTGGGAGAGGCCCAAAAAACTACCTACTAAGTCATGGTGGCAATATATCAAGGGATACTCCTTATTCTTTCAATACCTTTGGCCTTCTCAGAATCGCCGTCTTCAAATCATCGCTGGTATTTGTTTCTTTCTCCTCCTTGTGAGCAGAATTATCAATCTCTTCGTTCCGTATCAGGTTGGAAAAGTAGTAGATCTTCTGGGTGCTGAGGATTGGCATCATCCTAATATTCCCTGGCTCCAGATCCTTCTTCTGATTGTCTTACGTTTTTCTCAGGGCTCGTCTGGAATTGTTACCAACATTCGCACCGCTCTCTGGATACCAATCAATCAATATTCATACCGAGAGCTTTCTGTTGCCATTTTTGAACACGTCCACAACCTTAGTTTGGATTTTCACCTTGGAAAGAGGACCGGTGAGGTCACGTCCGCAATGAAGAAAGGCAATTCGATAAACACATTCCTGGAATCGGTCACATTCCAGATTGTTCCGATGATCGTCGATCTTGCCATTGCTCTGGTCTACTTCATCCACGAATTTGACATCTATTATGCATTGATTGTGGCGTTGGTATCTGTACTCTACATGTACCTCACGATCCGTATGGCCCAATGGCGTTCAGACGTGAAGCGCGAAGTGACAAATCTAGGAAGAGAGGAGGAAGCCGTTAAGTACGTTTAACGTATATCTACTACCATTCATAAAGACTGACTTTGGATCCTAGGACCGACTCAATGACAGCCTACGAGACAGTCAAATACTTCAATGCAGAGGAATATGAGTTCGCTCGCTATCGTGACGTGGTTGATCGTTTCCAAGTAAAGGAATACATCTTGCTGAAGACCCTAAGTTTGATGAACATCGTCCAGAATCTCTGCTTTACCGTAGGTCTTATGGCGTCCTGCTTCCTTGCAGCTTTCCAAATATCCATGGGATTACTTGGCGTTGGAAAATTTGTTGCGCTCCTCACATACATGGGTCAATTACAACAGCCACTGAACTACTTTGGGACGTTCTATCGATCTATACAAACCGCGATGATAAATTCGGAACGTTTACTGGAATTGTTCAAGGAGCAGCCGACTGTCGTGGATCAACCTTGGGTTGGATCGTTGACATCTTGCAGAGGCAAAGTACGCTTCAACAACGTTGAATTCTCGTACGATCCTCGTCGACCAGCTCTTCAAGGCTTGAGTTTCCTATGTAAGCCGGGCACGCGAACTGCATTAGTCGGAGAATCTGGAGGAGGGAAATCGACCGTTTTTCGACTTCTTTTCCGTTTCTACAACGTTCTAAGTGGCTCTATTGAAATTGACGATCATAATATTGAAGATATCAGCGTAGACTCACTCCGCAGCCACATTGGTGTCGTACCTCAGGAGGTTGTACTCTTCAATGAGTCAGTCATGTATAATCTGAAATATGCGAATCAAAGCGCTACCGAGGCAGAGGTATATGCCGCTTGTAAGGCCGCCTGCATACATGATCAGATTCTCGACTTCCCCGAAGGATATAACGCTATGGTTGGCGAACGGGGAATGAAGCTCTCTGGAGGGGAAAAGCAACGCCTTTCAATTGCTAGGGCTATCCTCAAGAATCCGCCAATCATCCTTCTCGACGAAGCAACTGCCTCCCTAGACTCCGAGACTGAACAGCACATCCAAGAGGCTCTCGTGAAGCTCTCTCAAGGCCGGACTACCTTCGTCATTGCACATCGTCTTTCGACCATCATCAACGCTGATCAAATCCTCGTGCTCCACAAGGGCCGAGTTGCTGAGGCCGGGACACACGATCAGCTTATGGATCTAGGTGAGAAATACGCTAAGATGTGGGAGAGACAAGTGAATTCTCAAGACATTGTGTTCCAAGCGAAAGCGCGCAAGCGGTACCATAAGGTCCTCACTCCGACTTCAAGCGCCCACGTTAGCGACGATGAAGGCCGCGATATCCCTCTCGGATACCGCACTCCGGCTGAAGACGGCCTGCTCTCACGCACTTTGTGAGAATGTTCCCTTTTTTAACGTGATACGAAGCATACCCCCGGCGGCAACCTCTATCTCAAAAGCGAAGCGAGGCGTTACCTAGCTTACGAGTTGTGAATAGCGGCATTATCATGCCCGCCGAATAATGATGCCGGCCACTGGAGCCGAAGAACTTCTATAAACATGCATAGATTAGCTTAATGAATTAATGATACGAGCCAATTACGCCTCCTTTTACTTGAGTTTCGTGCCCCTTTTGCATATACACATAGACTCGAGAAGCTGCGTAAATAGTATTGTATCAACAGATCTGACTGCTTAATACTATTCAGATTATTCAACTAGGCTCTAATATATTACAGCCTTCTTTAATGTACTTGGAAAATGCTATCCGTTTGCTCCTATAGCCAACAAATTTGTATTTACTTATATAAGTATCTTTACCTTAGCCAGGTTATTACTTTACCACTCTAGAAATTGAAATAGATTGTTTAGAGCTGCCCTGAGATAGTTTTTGAAAAACTCTTAAGAGTCTATCAAGGCATAATTAGACTATGGGAAAAAGCTTTAAAACAATAGATAACTACTATCTCAACCACTTGCATTAGAGAATGTATGATAGAAAGGCATAAAAAGATGAATTCCACTACTGTTTCATCCCTGGAAGACTCATTAAATGCACCTTCAGACGCCGTCGATTCACTGTTGCCACCGGCGTGCCTACCCTATTTCTCCCCCTTTTTCCTCCTCTAGCACTGCCTAGTCGCTTTATCCGGATTCTTCACGCCCTCCATCTTCCTGAGCAGACACCAAAGACGTCAGCGGCAAATCTAGGTCTGATTGTAAAAGTTCGGCATCATCATCTTCATCCTTTGCTGAAGGCTGTTCTAGGCCTCTATCATCCGCTTTGGCTGCGGGTGCTTCCTCTACCCTGTCATACTGATGTTGCTCTTCACCCACCAACCTTGATGTCCCGTCCTTTGTCGTCTGCGTGGTCACCTTTTGCTGTCTTATATTTAACCTAATTTTGGTTGGTAGGGCTGGATCAAAACTATTATCTTCCGGAAGCAGTGAGTTTTCCGCTTCCTTCTTCTTTGTAGTAATGGCTTGCTCCCACGGTTTTCATGGCGTCGTACGGTCTTTGGTCTTCGACTTCCCCTGATTGGATTTATTAGGCGGCTTCCGAACTCGCTGTGGCCTCTCATGTTGGGATGGTGATGATGACGAAGTCTTTCGCTTTACAGTCTTCGAGACCTCAATTTTACGTCTACTCTTTAGCACTGTGGTGGTCTCTTCGACGTCGACAGCAGCGTCGTTATTGCCGTGTTCATCACTCGCAGCAGCCTCAGCCTCAGCCTCAGCCTTCTTTGCCACCTCCTTTTGAGCCTTCACGTCCTGCTTTTCTTTTTCCTCTCTCCCAAGTTTGTTAGCCATCTTCCGATTAATGGATTTTATTTTCTTGTCCATCATTGACGATGAAGAGCTCACGCCAGGAGAATAAACAATAGCATAATCCACGGCATCGTCCTCCCATTCGCGCTCATTGTCTCGACGTCGTTGGTTAGGGCTTGGTGTCTGGGCCTTGTCGTGCCCGCTGCGACGGCGTTTTGGCTGAGGGGCCATCAATTCTAAAGGGGTAGGAGCATCAGCTCTTCGCTTTCTGGGATTGATGCTGGAACCTGTGTACGGGCTGGGAAGTCTGACCACTGGGTTAGAAGGATGACGCTGTGTATTTCTCGACGGTGGTGATTCCAGAGGCTCTTGAAAAGAGACACGCCTGCGATATTTTGTAGCTCGTTGTTCATCTGTGTCTATCTCCTCGGCTTTCTTAGCCCAGATGATAGTGCGACAACTTATTGGCTCGAATTTCTTCTCATCTGCTATGGTTACTCCGTACAGTCTGGTTTTCCCCCCTATGAACTTTGGTGATGTACTTCGAGGGCGCAAATTCCTGATATCGCTGCCATTTAGGACTGTGCTGTACTTCTCTTCATCTCGCCTTGTGTCTACTGCTTCTGGATCTCTTGTTTTCTTTTCCGCAGCCTTTTTCTGCGTTGAAGCGGTCTTTTTGTTACGTTTTCGTTTTTTCACTTCGATCCTTTCGATGTTCCTTTCCCTGTGCATCTTCTTGTTCCTCTCATTTGGTGGTCCCAGGTTGTTCCTGTAACTGCCAGGATCCCTGTCATATTTCCAATGTGGTCTGAAGTGCACGTGATCCTTCCTGTCAGCTTGCGGACGACTACTGGCATGTGTCTCTGATTGTGGAGACGGTTCCGACCAGTGGTCGTCATTGTCCACTGAAGTGCTTGGTTGGTACGTCGTATCCTTGATTCGGGCCTTTCCGTTTCGCTTTGAAGAGCTACTATTGTTCGGGCTTGAACTTACCTCCTCAGTCATAGAGTCACTAGGGTCCTCGGTATTTTGAAGTGGACGATGATTTTTCATTGTACCATTCTGCTTCTTCCGAGGCGTCCTTACCTTAGTTCTCTCCTTCACACCTTTCGGCTTTGATTTTGGAATTTGAGAATCCCTTGACGGAAGACTTTGTTTCTTGGGTGGGCTGGGATGCTCCGCTGCGAGGTCTGCCGTATCATTAGCTAGAGACGGTCGTTCTGGAGGCGAGTTTGCTTTGCGCTGATTGCCACTTTTCGAGGTACTGAGTTCGGCAGTCGCCAGATCCCCGAGTCTTTGGCGATCTTTGCCTTTACGTGCATCATAATCTGAAGTATCTTTATGCTTATCATTGTGGTTAGCTGCTGAAGTTGGGGCTTGTTGTGCAGAGTTCTGCTTTTTCGGGGCAGAGTTTTTCTGTTCCGGCTTTGAACCAGTCGTCGAAGTACGCCCGGAAGCAGCAGCTTTAGACCCTCCCCCAGCATCTGCATCTGCCGAACGCTCTGCCTTGGGACTCTTCTTTTTGACGGTCTTTTTTACTGCTTGGGAGTTTGCCAAAGCCTCCCTCGCTTTGAGTGAGGGTTTAGACTCTCTTCCTGACCGAGTTTGAGCCATGCTAGATCAATATCGTGGGTGGTAAGGGCGAGAACAGAAGCTTAAGCTCATCTAATTAAGTGGAAACGAACCCTCCTGATATCTTGCACGGTCCGAGCATAACGCAGCGGATTTGTCATATTGTCCGATATACTTTGACATCCTCTTGTTGTCCACCGCTTCCGGACATATCAGGATGAGATCCCGCGTTGTAGTGTCGTTCGCGGCTCGCAACAAAGGAACTTGAGCACAGTCCATTATACCAAAATCTCTGGAGCCGTTGAATGCAAGACTGATCGACGACAAAATGAGAAGTCGAAAGGGGATGTGAACTGCGATCTAGATTGAGGAAGTGTGTGAAATGGAAGCAAGCACAGAGGAGGCTCCAACACAAATTACGATTTATGCAAGAATTGACGCAATTTTCAACGATCACAAAAGCAACAGACCGAAAGACTATGAGCGAAGTAAGAGAAAACAGAAGACAGTCATCACAGGGTTGGTAGATTGATTGACTGACTACGAGCACTAGATTCGGCTGTGATGGCCACCTTTCAGAATGAATGAAGGCGGGCTAACGGTATCATGAATGGTACAGAGTCCAAACGGCCAGAGACTTGCGAGGCGTTCTGGCCGCCTCCCAGACGAATTTCTCTCTTTCTGCTTGAAAGGCCTGCAAAATAGAATCTTGAGTGGTGGGCAGCTGTGGTTGATTATTCAATGGAGATCTGCAAGGCCAGAACATGCATGGCCTTTGATCGGTGTCTCCAGTTCATCGATCAACGGGTACCCAGATGGATGGCTAAGGAGCTGGTGGTGGTGGTGATTTTTGGATGAAGAGAGAAATAGGAGTAAGGGGAATATAGAGAACGGGTCAACTGCGGGCGCTAAATGCCGAAAATAAGCCCTAGGAGTATAACTGTTATGTTCAAAGGACTGTGTAATCTCCCCCCTCATCCTGTTTCGTACCGCGGATTATTCCTCTTGGGACTTGGGACTTGGGACTGCATGGGCGGTCGAGACCGACAAACAACGAGGCATTGCTCATCACGTAAGCAGGAGCTCGAGTCCAGTGATGCCCGCATTATTTGCCCCTTGCCAACCACAGACATCACCGCTCCCATTTAATTCTTATTGAATTCTTTCCACAGCGCCCCCTCCTTCAGGCTTTGCGCCGCCAACGCCACCTCGTGGCCGTACTCTTACTTCCTTGCTTAGCCATTCCTGTCCCTCAGAGGCTCTGAAAACTTTTGCCGCTTGCCTGGCCTGCTTTCTTCATCATGACGATATCAGAGCAAATGTATTTGGCTGCCGCATCTAGGCCATTACGTGGTACCCTACTGCTGCTGCTATTCTTGGGCAGCTATTACTTCGGCAATCCATTTTCGGCCACTCCTGCTGTTCCAGGGAAGCCTACAAAAGAAGACGGGACTTCTTGGACCTCCTGGGTAGCTGACTCGGAGCAGGCAAAGAGCCCAGCGAGTAACAGCAGTCTGAAACTGAATGAGCTGCACGAGAATGGTCCCAGGATACGGCAGGCTACAATGATATACGAGACCGACAAATTCAACAGCGTGTATGAAAGAGCGGTGGATTCACATTTGAGACACGGAGAACGTTGGAATAACCCGACCCATATCTTGCGCCATGACATCGTGGACGCCGGATTCTTCAACAAGCCTGCCTTCCTCCTCGGTATCGTCATCAATGAGATGGCGAAACCGTACGGAAAGAGGGCGGATTGGCTCGTGTATGTGGCCTGGGCTGTTGCAGGCCTTCCGAGGTAGTTGCCTGTGCTGACTCATGATCCAGGTGGTTCGACGCCGACACAGTCCTTCTGAACAACGAAGTGTCCTGGTCGCTTTTTCTTCCTCCGCCCGAGTTCAACGAAATCAATTTCCTCGCCACCAAGGATCAAAACGGCTTCAATGCAGGCATGTTCTTCATTCGTATTTGTGAATGGAGCGTCAACATGCTTTCTGAGGTTGTATCTCTACGCCAATTCAAGCCAACCCTCGAGCTACCTTTCTATGACCAAAGTGCTATGCTATGGGCGATTGAACGCCCTGGCTATGAGGAACACGCTGTCTATCAGCCTCACAATTGGTGGAACAGTTTTGGTGTCCAAGGTCAACCCATGCCTACGGACAGGTTCCTCTTGCATTTTGCGGGTGTGGACTGCTGCGGTGGACCTGAGTCTAAGGGAACGATCATGACTAGATGGCTAGACAAGATGGACATCAACCCTGACGAGTATTCCACGCCATTGGATGATTTGACACTACCGGCAGAAGTCAAGGAATTCTGGAGCAACCTGATAACAGCCCGGAAGACCATGGAGACTGCAGACCAATGGTCGATGGATAACAAATACGAAGGAAACGATCTGAAGGCTGCGAGAGTAGAATTGAGACAGACAATGATGAGCGAAGCGGATGATTTTGCCAAAATCAATGCTGGCGTCAAACGCATGGAGAACATCATGAGCGACGCCTCAAAACGTGTCGACGGAGATAGGTAACTGTCTACCGGCCATGGGAGACGCAAGTTCGATCTCAAAGGATAATGGCCATCCTAGAGACGGCGACCGAAGCAAGCAGCGCATCAACAGCGCTGACAGCAGCAAAGGGGGAACCGGACGATGCGCCTTTTCTCTACGACAGAAAAAAAGCATGTAGCGCTGAATTGCCAGCAGAAATGCACTGCCCGCCGTATCAAGCCATTCGCAGACGTGCGGCGATTGGCCGGGGTTCGGGAGCGGGTATCAACATGAATGCCTCCAAAATATGGGATGATCTTGCTTTGAGGGGTATGCGGCGAGGAATGTGGCTTCCAGTCGGGTCTCTTGGTTGTATGTTATACGATTGATAGATGTAAGAATACAGTGGGATAGGGGGGTAGGACAAGGCTGGCGTTTCAATAAATTTTCACGGGGTCTTAGTAGTCGGCCTGCTTTTGCTGACTAAATCGTTAATATGAGAATCGAATGGGGTAAGATTTCGATAGCTTCCATTTCTTCGGCCACTGTAGAATAGAAAGCCATGTCAATGGAATAACGCATCTCGCCGATGGAAGCAGCGCTAATACATTTTCGTGGCAGAGGGGAGATGGGACTTAGGGAGTGGTGCCCTGGTGAGAGGGTGAGAGGGGGAGGCGGCCTTGGACAGGACAGGACAGGACAGGGGTTCTGTTTGTGACCGTAATTTCCAGCTCAATGCTTATTGACCACTTCCTCTGCGGAGGATGCCTCCCATCATGCCGTTTTCCACGACAGATGGCTCTCCAGCTTCTGCATTCTCTGCGCCTTGTCAATGGCAAGCCATCATGAGGTTGCCGCCCGTTATTGGGGTCACTTGATTCAGCAGGACAAGAAACCGTCTCCCGTCTTACAACAACTACTGCTCGGGCTTGCAAAGTACATCGTATGCTGGATTGAGCCCTACATGATATCGACAAAGCTAACATGCTTGCAGAAGAAACATGTCGCTCCCTGGGACGTCGACTGCCTCACCCCTCCCAAGCTAGCTACCTTCTACCGACTTGTGGGCGGCGACTACGATCCCCTGTTCCTGGACACCCAAGACTCGTCTCTGTCCTTCATCTACCAGTCACTCGGCTGTTTCCATACTCTCCAGCCCACCAAAGACCCGTACACATCACCCACAGTACCCGCATTGACAGCACGCGGCTTTGTGAAATGGCAGACCATGCAATTGCTGCTTGATCCGGCAGAACATGTGCCATTCCTACAGGAAGCTGTGAAGCGTTTTGACTTGGTCAATTCGCAAGATGGCGAACCATTTCCCAGCTTACTCCCTCGAGAGGCTTTACCGATGAAGCCAGACAAAGCCATGGTGGACTGGCATGACCTGGTATCTGAAAAGCTCATGCTGGATGTTAAAGCATCGCGAGAGCCCACAAAGACCCCCCCAGACCTCCCTTGGCCCTGAGTGATGTTGATGCAGATAGCTCACGTCCAACGTCTGCGGACTCGCATTCGATCGAGTCGCAATCTCTCGTGGATGCTGCAAGCTTTTTCCAGCAACCGCGAAGATCTACTTACATGAACGGCGGGCCAGCACCGGTCATCAATGTTCATCCCCCACCGCGCAGTACGCCAGCCCCAAAATCCAGAGAGCCTGCTCCGTCTATGCCCCGCCGAAGCAGCTTCCCTCCACAATATGCCCGACAAGCCAATCGATCAGCGCCTCCACAGAATCCGTACCATCCACCTACCCCATCCCGTCCGAAAGGGCATGTCCGAGCTCCTAGTACTATCTCTACAAGCTCATGCAGTTCAGATACCTCAAGTGTGAGTACGAGCACGGCGTCTCACAGCCCTGTACAATATCATTCTCAGTTGGCGAATGATCCTCGCCCACCTGCATCCCAGGGGAATCTAGCAGGCATGCCTTTTTTGCAGAGAGCCTACAGTCAGCCAAATGTCCCTTCTCAATCACAAAACGCAAACCGATCGCCAGGAATGGTACCAAATGCCAGAGGTTTGAATGTTCGATGGCAGGACCCCCCGCCCAAAAGCGCTTGGACCCAACCAACGAAGCCAATATTGGGATGGGTACCTCCTCCGACGCAGAATGGAGCTCGTCAGGGCTTTGATCCGGGGTTGAGCAGGGCGAGATCCGTTGGTTCGCGACCTGCTACTGGGTACTATCCCCCTACGGCCCAAGCAGGCATGAGCTCGAGAAAGTACGGAAATGAAACATCAAGAAGATAGGCGAGTTGCATGATTTACATTTTCGGTTTGCAATACTCATATAGACAATGATACCCTTTTCAAAGGCTTGTAGACGAACCTTGTAATTATAGAAATAGCGTCAAATATCAATACTACCTCTTCTCAACCATCCATAGTCATCGTAGCGAAGCGTCTCATAATTTGATTTCATTGACTTGATAGGTTTTGGTGGCCAGTAGACAATGTAGTACAACACAAAAGCTTGTGCTATTCTTCTCAAATAAACAAACACAGAAAGCGGCGCCTCGTAGAACCCTTGGTCATTTTTCTCCCTTCGTCGAATATACATGATCACGATCATCCCCCTATGTCTCGACTTACCCATTATGATCGAAACATGTTTTTTGACCTGTAAGATTGTTATAATTAATTGGTTTATAATGGCTTTGTTGGGGCAAGAGGTGCAAATTATGAAACATAAGAAATACCACAGGTCGCGATGGGAAGCTTCAGTCAGGAGCCGGAACTTTCTTGGAGAAAGAAAATGGGACACAGACTTCTACGAAAGATCATTGATATTCGAAGAGCTGTGGAAGTAAAGTATGTCCCGCCCGTATCTGTGACAAATCCAGTGATCTTGAGGAATCTATCTCTTCAAAGGCGGTTTGACAATCTTGGTCAGCACTTCTTTGTTCAAGTCCCATGGGTAAGTGGAGAGATGAAGCTGTGAGATCAGTAAAGGTGACTGATCAAGCGTGTGGCCGTGTACGAAAACAACTTTCAGGGCTAGGTATCATTGGGACAAATCGTTCTTTCTGGGCACGTTATTTGCAAGATGTATCATTGATTGCTCTTCTGTTTCACACACAGCGTTCATTGGCGGTCAGGTCTTTCATGAGCTGTCTATCCTTGTTATCTTCTCTCGCATATCTCGCTCCCTAAATCGACAGAGTCAGCATTTTCTTCTCTGATCCCGAATGCAGTCAATCTCACGCTCCCTCTCTACCTCTGCCGACTCCCACTCCACACATTCTTCAATAACCCATCCCTTTGCGTGAGCCTATTCAGACTGTCGTCTCCCTCTCCCATCGACCTCACGAACCCGCACAGCGCATACACCTGATTCTCCCCGGTATATCTTCCATTCTCATCGACTTTTCCGACGGATATCTGGACGGAGGCGTGATCTTTGGCTTTTATTATGCGGCCTGTAGCAGAGCATTTGCGGGGGACGTAGCTGTGAGAGGTTTGAGTTAGTTGGTGACTTTGATAGTTCAAGGTGAACATACAGATCTACGAGCTCGCCTTTTTCGTTTTCCATATTGCCAAAGTGGTTATGGTCAGCTCGAAGTGGTAGGTTGGCGATGCTGGAAGAGGATGGTGAGGTGTGGATTCGCTTGCAGCTGCTAGGACAATCATAGGCTAGCGGCTTGGCACATATTCCCTATGGATCAAGGGTTAGAAGAATAAATCTCCACGATTTTGGTTGAGGGTGGCATCTGTCCGTGTACAAGAGACCACTTTTAATGATAAATACGTAAGGCTACCGTAGATTTAATTTGAATCAGATTCGACAGGTCGGGAACGTCCTGGTCTTCGCCAACTCCTCAAACGCTTCCATACCTTCAAACACGCAGTCGTTACCAACTCACCCACTTGTGCCTCACCTTTGTAGCTCTATTCTGTTGGCACGCTCCCAGTGTCACCGAGAGCCCCACGATCTTCGATGGAGGCAGCTGCCGTAATTCTCAAGCGGTCTTTTGCCACCAGAAACCCTTTTGCTCGTGAGTTGAGAAGCCTTGTCGACGGCAGACAACGCCTGGCAAAAGAAAATATTGGCCATTTTCAAACGAGAGTACAATGTTTAGGCACTCACCAATGGTTGTGAAGCATACGCTTCTGCGCCAAATGCGATGGCTTCTAGTCACCACTCCATCATATTCCTCCTACAGTCTTTAAGCTGGCTGGTATTGATCTTATCTCGAATTGTTAGAAATCGTTTCGAGCATTTCCCTCATCTTAATTTGAAGGTCTGATCTCGAATGTTGCTTCTTCGTTCGTTTACTGCATCGACCGTTTTGCCCCACATGATATCATCGTCATGCAGATATGTATCACCGACAAAGATGTGGTGATCAGATACCGGTCTCAGTATACAAGGGACTCGCCCACCATAGAGTACACAAACTTCGTCACCTTCCCGCATCATCTTTGGGCCTAGACCCAAATAGCCGCTGTGGGTGACATAAACCCGCCGATTGTGAGAAAAGCTTCTGGCGCTTGTCGTCCAATTTTCTACACGTTCGGCCTGCGATGAAGCAGATGGCGAGTCCCAGCTGCTGTGGTCAACCCGTTGTGTGGAACTTGTAGGCGTTACCAGCTCAGTTATCGGGCGTCCATCTGGATTGGTAGGAGAACTTTCAATTTCTGTGAGGAGAGCTCGGACGTTACCTTTAGATTGCTTAACGAAATAGCTCGTCATTTGTTCGCTGCCCATGCTGGAGCCGGCCTTCTCGTGAAGTATGCAAACAAATCTCTCAACCTTGCTGTTGCATCTGGATTTTGCGTCATTTCTAGCATTGCTAGGCCCCCTTCAGAGCATCAGTTCTCATCTCATCATTGAATGAAAACACGGTCTGAGTATTATCACTAGGTCCGGAATGGTTTGCGGGCTGAAAGGGGCCTGATGAGACGTTTCCTGCTAAAGGGTAATTGCTCTCCGGCTGGGTTCCTTGACTAGTCAATGGCGGTCTCGAACGGTCTCCCGCACGCCTATATTCGGCAATTTGAATAGCAAGCGTGAAGGCGTCTGCAACGCCCTGTGACTTGAGTTCCAACCATACAATGACACGTGTAGCTCGCTTGTAAATAGCACGCATGTATCGCACCTGCCTTGTACGAACGGATCTTGCTCCGGTGGTAAGGCATAGTAACAGCAAGCTGCCATATCTGTCGTACTGCAGACAATACCCGGCGATTATGGTTGCAACTTCAACCAGGCAAGCAATCCTCCTGGACGACTAGAAGAAGTCACAGCTGATGCATCCATTGCATTCGGATGGTATCCGAGTCCTGCGGGTTTCTGCACACGTTGACGCAGCACGCCGTCGTTCGAATCTGCACCGAGCAAGAGGCATCCGATAGGATACCGAACGACAGGTGTATATGCCAGCTTTTAGCTCCGACGTAGATCGTATTTTGCGTCATGAACGCTGTTTCCCGCCATGTGCTAGTTGAAGACGGTCCAGCTCAGGTCAGGACAATGACAAATAGCCACGAAGGTGTTGGGTGCGACAAGTGGTCTGGGGATGCCCCTCCATGAGTATTTGATAAACCTGCAGATCCCTTCCATGCGATGCTTCCAAGGCTTCTGGTGTCAGACCTACGCGGGCTCTAGAGCCGTCTTAGCTAGTCGGACTAGGGCCGCAGGAACCGTCACGCCCGGAGATCCAAGCCGTACGGAAAAGTGTCATCCAGATAATTCGGGTCAGAGGGACTCGAATAGGAAGTGGGGCACTTGCGCTGAGTGAAGATGACGAAGTGTTGTAGTTGGTGGGGTCGTCAAAGACACTCATGGGTATTTAAACGCCCTTGGTCTTCCTTCACTTCTTCATTCTTCACCCACGCATTCTTATCCCCTCACCAAAAGTCTTAAGCTGCAAGCCTAACTCACTCTAACAACAACATAACACAAAGCTGCCCTTCGATCACTCAAGATGACGACTTACAACGGAAAGTGCCATTGTGGCCAAACCGAGTGGACTGCCAAACTTGACGATCAAGCGCATATTCTTTGGTATGATCTTCACCCGCGCTGAAGCAACCGCTTACCTGTGGAGTAGCCATTGTGATGCTTGCAAGCTCCTCTCTGGTGGCGAGAACACCTTGAACGCTATCGCCAACGAGAGTGACATCAAGATCACCAAGGGAACCACCAAGACCTACACTTATCAAGGTGACTCCGGTAAGTCCTGATTTTCGTCCTCCGATCGCCAGCTTTCTGTTTCAACTTGCGCGCAACAAGGTTTGTTAACAGTATCTCTCAGGCAAGCCCGTCAACTGTTACTATTGCCCCAACTGCACTAGTCACATCTATCATCACCAGACTGTGCTCGGTCCTAAGATCATCATTCGTACCGGTCTCTTGGAGGGTGGCAAGAAGTTCCCGGTTGCTGCCGAGATTTTTGGCAAGGACAAGCTGGACTGGCAACCAGCTATCGCAGCCAAAGTCTTCAGTGGCCCACCGGAGTAGATCCGAGGATGTCACCTGATGCAACAGGGGGTAGTGTGGATTAGCTAGTGGTGACAGTGACATAGAGAAGACATCTGTGCATAGCAGAGCGAGGATACATGAGCATCAGGCGACATGCTTCAGTGGCGAGGGTAGCCAAGGCGGCCAATTTAGTTTCGTAGACGAAACCAAGTAACTCTCAATCCGCCGTCTACTTTTTTTGGCCTTTTCAAGACTGTTCGGCAATCACTTCGTTCCTCGTTTGGATTTAATACCTCTCAGTTTCTCTTCCCAGACTTCCTTCTCTAAGCTCTCTCTTAAGGTCACAATATCAGGCGGGATGTACCTCATTTGCACGCTTGGGGCACCCTTTATGTACCTTAATTGCTCGTGCACACCCATGACGACGCTCTCGAGATACAACTGTGAGTTCTTGTTGTCGTACTTGGTCCCAGCAAGCTTTGGAAACAGTGTTTTCTCCCCCTTAAAGTGCTCTAGCAGGGGCATGTGTCCCGGTAAGGCTGGATGCAGCGACTTATCCGCACCGATGCAGATAGCCGTCTCGTACGCCCACGCCTTGGCCACGTTGCGTGGTGTGTAGCCACCCCCACCGAGAACAAGCAAGGGCACACCAAAACGTTTCACAAAGTCGACACACGAGCCATGCGCTTCCACGTTGAGGTTGAAGCATCCAAGTCGGTCACCTCCCAAGGAATCAGCACCACATTGGATCACGATTGCTGTTGGCCGGTAGACGTCAAAACAAGGCCCAATGATATCTCTGAAAAGTTGCTGGTAAGACGCATCATCTATGCCATCATTTAGAGGCACATTCAACGCGTGATGTGCACCTGGGCTGCTATTATTCAAGGGTCCGGTATCGGCCAGAGCACCAGTGCCAGGAAAGAAATCCGAAGGGGAGTATTTGTGGAATGAAACAGTCATCACGCGATCGGTAGACCAGAACGCCTGCTCTACGCCATCTCCATGATGCACATCGATATCTATGTAGAGGACTCGAGGGTGATGAAAGAGTAATTGAAGGATGGCGAGCACGATGTCATTGATGTAGCAGAAGCCCGACGCTTCAGTTTTCTTCGCATGATGTAACCCGCCTGACCAGTTGATCGCAATGTCAGACTGGTTGTTCGTGAGCTTGCGGGCTGCATCTAAAGACGCGCCAGTGTATAGTGAGCAGTACTCGAAGAGGCCGTCAAAGATCGGGCAATCATCACCTGTACCGTACAAGCATGTGGGTTCCTCGGAATGCAATGGATTTGATTTTGGCGTGACGCTTTGGAGAAAGTCAACATAGTCTTCCTTATGAAACGCTGACAGCTCTTCGCTCGTAGCTTTTCGAGGTCTGTAGACGTCCATAGCCTTGTACATGCCATACGATAGCACAATCTTGTTGGTCAGAGTCAAGCGCCATGGCTTCATGGGATGATTGGCACCGAAGTGCATGGACTCCATTTCTGAGTTGGCATGGTAGGAAACCGTGTAACCTTTCGGCCTCCTTATATTGTTTTTGATAGCCTCGTGTTGTATCTTTTCGTCAACCGACAAGGTAGAAGTGGAGCCCCTTTGAGGATGATTGTAATCATGGACAATAGTATTTCTCCCCATTTTTCAGTTTATTTTTGCAATCTATGTTATGGACGCGTATGTTGCGTTGAAACATCTCGACACAATTCGTCCATTCTGCTTGAGATCCACCATACGGCGTAGAGAACGTCTGATAGCCACGTTGTCTTCCGGCAGGTACAGCTCTAGGATACAGTGCATTCAGGAATGCAGGTGTAGATGCCGGCGCGCATCTTCAACAAACTCCGCCCTTGATGCTGGATCTGATGTGCCAAGCAATTTGTCAGCAGGGGAACCCGTCCTTTAGGTTCATCGAATCAATTTCACGCCCTTCCGAGTTCACTCACAGCCTCGAGACTTTCTTTCGCTTTCATCAATTTGTGTGATACAAATTCTGGGTCCAGGGTCGAAAAATTCCATTTCCTGAAAAGGGGTTGAGAGTCAAGAGTCGTATTCGCATTCCTGCATTCTGCGATTTCATTTTCAAAAGATAGTCACTTTTCTATAATCAACCCTCGTGGTTCCAGAAGGTTCTGGCGTTCTCTGTCCTATCGAACTAAACGATCACTGTCTTGTTATCATTCTGAGGCAAGACAACGTCAATGCCTCGTAAAAGTTGGTCTGTGAACCTTGATTGACACTCACCTTGAACGAACACATGGCTATGGCGGAGGATGCGGCTACTGTACTTGATGATTGGGTTCAGACAGTAGCAAATCTTCCAGCAGAGATCCAGCACGTCCTTGAAGAGATACAGGCGAAAGATCGCATCACGTCGGATCATCGATCGAAGATAGCTGGTCACGATATTAGCCTCCAAAAACACATCAAGACTAACGGTTGTAGTCAAGCCAATCCGAAGGAGGAAGCTTCTTGTAAAAACGTCAGCTCGCTCTATGACAAGACGCAAGCCTTGCAAGACGAAAAGGTCGGCTTGAGTGACCGCGCCGCAACCCTTCTCGATCGTCAAATCAAGCGATTAGATCTCAAGATACGAGACCTGCAGAATGATGGCTCAATCCAGCCAGACCCGCAGCTGCCGTCTTTACTCAACAACCATATTTTGCATGGAAGGCTGCCGCCCCTCTCCAACACTCCGACTGGCGCTAACACTCCACTACATCCTGGCGCCGGCAGCACCGGTGCATCTGCACCCATAACCAACGTCTCTGTCCAACGATTAGCTCAACAGGCACATCAATCATCGACCCGACAACCATCACCCCTCTCGACTTCGGCAGCCATTCAAGCACACAATCTAACCGCTGCCCGGCAAAATGCCCGTTCTCCCTCCGCGGACAACACAAAACGGCGCCGCCTGAACCCTCACCATCTCAATCTCCCAGCCACTTCATCTGGTCTCCGACAACAGTCTCTGGGACCTGGAACGCCCAAATCAGGAGCCGAAGGCAACGTCCGTAGTGGCTCTGCGGGGCCAAGATCAACAACGAAGAAACTAGCCGGTGGCCGCGGCGGCGCCGTACCCCAACGCATCACTCACCTGAAACCGGCGTCCGCTAACAAAAAGCCCGGCCCTGCAGCCCGGCGACGCGCGCGACAAAAATCCGGAACGCCCGCGTCGACACGGGATGATGTATCCAGTGTAGACGGGTCGCAAGACGCAGAGGCTGACGAGGATGTCGAGATGGAGGATCGAGAGCAGGAGAATGAGGGAGATGAAGGGGACGAAGAGGACGATGGGGACGGGGACGATAGGAAGTATTGTACTTGTCGGAGTGTGAGTTATGGGAACATGGTGGCGTGTGATAATGATGATTGCCCGTATGAGTGGTTTCATTGGAGTTGCGTGGGAATTACGAGTGAGCCAAAGGGGAAATGGTACTGCCCGGAGTGTAGGCCGAGGAGATAGGTAGGCAGTCTCGGATGAAAAGAGAGCAAGTCTGCTTCGCGACTAAAGAGAGAGGGAAAGTCTCCTTTCCAACACACTAAGATGAGGATGAAGAGGTGAATGACAGCATATGCTATCGAATCTTAAAGCTTCTGTGGTATCATCCGCTCTGCTTCCAGTCGAAATGTTTTTCGCTCTCATTAAATCATGCAAGGCTCTACCCTCATCTGAGCTTACTTCAAACCACTTGAATTCGCTCAATCAACTGACCAAAAAGAGGAAATTAATGCCCATCACGCCGTCTTTGCGTCAACAAATTCATCTTCCTCAGAAGTCAAAGTGTCCACTCGCTTGATTGGATGCCCGGGCAGAAGTGGCTCTTGGAGACTTGGTGGAGCATGGTTGGATTCTGATATAATATGCTGATCTGGCAGCCGTGACGGAGGTTCTGGTTGTGTCGATGGTGCAGAGTCGCCAAAGTCTATCAAATCACCACTGGGAGCTGGAGGCTGAGATGTGGCAGATTTAGAAGGGGCTGAACCGTTAGGGTGTGCGACTGATACTGGTTTCTGACCTCTCAATATGGGCGCGACTAAGAGAATTTGTTTTGCTTTGATCTCAGGTGTTGCACCGTCGCTGTTCCAGGGTTCAGTTTTCTATTAGGGGTGCTGCCGGTCATGATAGACTTACATGTTGGCATTTAGTATCCAGTCAAGGTCTTCTTCTCCCTCCTCCGAGCCCCCTGGACCACCTCTTACTGGCCTGAAGTATCTTGGTTGCCATTCAATACCCTGCTCGAGTCTGTTCGCTGTCTCGTCTCGTTGTCTGTCCTCTATGCGTGACTTTTCTTCGGTTGCAGCAACGTGATCGGACGCTTTCACAGCTTGCGCTGTCTTATACCATAGCTTTTGGGATTCCCGCTCTTCCTGTTCCTCGAGTGGGCGAACCAAGGGTGATGTGTGCTTTGCGGAAGTAGCATTGAACAGTCCTTGTTTCTGGCCAGTCTAGTACCATTAGCAGAATTCCAGTCTACTCTGCCTTCGAACAACATGCCAAGAGGTTTTTTGCAATCATCTCTCCGTTCCAAATTCCAGACAATTCGAACAATGTTTCGCCAGTCTTCTCGTTCTTGATGACGCCTCCGATGGCATTGTATGTACCTGAAAAGTAGCCCTTGGTCTTGAACTCGATGTCGGCTGTCAGACCAGTTTCCGGACACCGCACATAGCTATGGTCTCCAAGCTCATACTTCATTTTTCCGAACAGGATGCCACGGGCGTACATATTTGGTTGTGTACAGAAGCTGAACGCGCTGTTAGTTCCTTGCGAAAGGTCCTAGCTTTTTCATGCGTACTATCTTTCACCGCCCTTTGACGCCCCTCTATTCAAAAACCGTAAGACACCAACCCCTTCCATAAGACTGGCGGCGGAGTTGCCCAAGAATTTACTTCGAGGCTTCAACGCTCCATCTATCCTGATATTATGCTCAGGTGCCATGAAGAAATAGCTGGACTTTGGCGGATGATGCGAGGTCTGTTCGGATATGTAGTAGCCTTTGGTCTGATCTGGATACTCCCAGTAGCATGTGAAGGTCTCGCCGAGGATAGGATTCAAGGGTTTCTTGACACCACTGTAGAAGGCTCAGTCCACTGGTTAGGCTTAGAGTATTCAAACCAAGCTTACGGCGGCTTGATGTGCCATCCGCTGAGGTAGAATTTGACAACGGAGAGAAAGCGTTGTACAGGATCGTCAACATCCGGCATCGGCAGCAGTGTTTCTGGGTGGGCCATGAAACTAGTCACGGTTCAATGAAGGCTTCTTTAGCATGATAGAGGACAGACATACTTCGTGATCCTTTCCAACATCGAACGAGGCTCAAGTATAAAGGTAGGTAGGGTGACACGGCTGAGGTCAGCGCCCGGCCGCAGCTGTGAAATGATATGTGAGAGGACTGTTATGGCCGGAATCCTTTCAGTGTATATTCGAGATACTTCTGTTCAATATGCACTGACCATTGCCTTGATCGGGCTCCACCACTGGATCAAATCAGCGTCGTTGTAGGTGCCATACTTTCTTGAGGCAGCACTCACCGGTTTCTTCACCGTCGCTCACTGGGTCGGACTTGCTTTCGTCCATGGACGACTTCTCTGGAAATTTGCGGTCAGATCGGACTTGCTGGAGTCATCAGGGCTGACCTACTGCTACTCAGCGAAAGCCTCCGCGGCTCGCCATGGATGTGGTGCCCCAACGGCATTGTAATCCAGCGAATTGCTAGAGTTGTTCGGAGCGAAGCAGGGGGTTGTGAGCTATCTCAAGAAGGGAAAGAGTCCATAAGAAGAGCTATGAAACGAAGCATCTTATAGGCAACGTTTAGGGTAACACATGATCAGGTTCAAAAGGCAATTGAGCAGGTGCTGTTTCGGCCTGGTATTACCATCACAAATGACGCAGGACTTGGCATTGCAATATTAGTTCTATTAAAATCAGCCGCTCCCTCCTTTCTCCGGGCGTCAGCCTACGCAAGATGGGTCTCTTTTACAGTCCGACGTTGTGACCGATGGCCTGGAAGCAGAGCTCAGTATTAATGATCGTCGCCGTAGCAGTCTGAATAGCTCTCTGCACCAAGTCAGCCGATCGCAGTCCGAAAAGCGCGACTCTTGATCTCAAACGTGCGTGCCTAATCGTTTATGGGAGCTGACAGGGCTTCCTTGGATTCATCGAGCACATTCTTGCAGACTCGGCCTTTCCTGGTAATGTTGGGTAAAAGTCATTTGCAAAGAGAGGTCATGTCATTATGCTATCTGAACGTCAAGTTTCTAAAACTTGAAATGCGAAAAACGTCGTTCTCGTCAATGCCGGTGCCCATCACCTTGGCCGATATCTGATTGTCGAGATATTCTCAAGACTTGGTAAGAAAAGAATGTGGTTTTTAAAAACGCAAAGCCTTTTTTCGCCGCCACCAATGCTCCTCACCACGTGACATTCTCAGTTGGCTTTGCCTCAGCACGCCAAAGGCTGGGATCTTGCGAAGATCCGTTCTCGTCCGCCGTGTGCTCTACTTGACCAGCATTTTCGTCTCCTTCCTTCTCTGCTTGACTAGCATCCTCGTCTGCCTTTTTCACGGCTTCGCCATCATTTTCTCCCCAAGCTGCAGGCTGCTGTGGCGGACTTGAGTCGGTGGCCGCAACTCCTAACCAACCTTCTGGCTGACCAGTTTCGGTGTTTTCCTCCTCCAACTCGTCCAGTGGTAGGAATTCCGAGTTGACTTCTTTCTGCTTGCGACCAGGTAACTTTAGGCCGATATTTACTTTGCCTAGTGCATTTTTGAAGTGGCATATTGACGACAAGTGGCCTTGTTTGCCGCATTTTTGGCAGTATCTCATCTCCTTGCCGTGATAGTCCTTGACCATGTGTCCTGTCTCGAGGCATCTGCTGCACTGGATATCAGGGCATTGAGAAGCTATATGACCCGGCTTATTGCAATTGCGACATGTCTTGACCTGTTTTTCTCGCTTAGGCTTGTCACAATCACTCGAATGGTGACCAAGTTCTTGACAATTATAGCACTTCATGTCTTTGTTCTTGGCAGCTCGCTTCTCCGCTATGGATTCCTCTCTACGAGGACAATCTAAGTTCCTATGCGCGAAGAACTCTCCACAATGTTTGCATGCGTAGGTCTTTTGGAATTCCAACATCTCGTCGTTCGATGTGGAGAAATTGATCCATTTCGCTTCGGGCAATTCATGCGGGTCCCGGACATTTACGCGGACGTGCATACCATCATAGTAGGCGTGAAGACGTGACAAGGTTTTCTGATTCTCTTGAACTTCATCACTCGTAATTTCTACCGAGTCTTCGGCAGCCGCTCTGAATCGACGTAATTCCTTGTCTCGTTGTAAGGTATCGATGTCGCCGACAACGCAAAAGAAATTGATTGCTCGTGATATAGCGACGTTCAGTCGTCTTGGATTAGAGATATGTCCGATGGTACATCGGCGATAATAGGATGTCGTCTGATCGAAATAGACCCCGCCATTCTCGTCACCTTGAAAGGTGTCCGTCGTTTTGACTCCGAGCTTAGAGATATCTTGCGCTCTCCAGAAAGCATCGTTGCGCTGTAGTTCGTGCAGTACCACGTGGTACTTACGCAACTGTTCCTTGTATGGAGCTATGATTGTAATATCTTTAAGCGTCATCGTGGTTTTCTGGAGGACTTGCTTGATGTGATTTAAACAGACGGCGATGTTCTCGAGATTATACCGACTCTTTGACTCACTGACAATCGTTACGCCCTTTTCGACATTCAAGAATACATGAGGGGTGTCGGTCTTTATTTTGTGCGTCTCCGTCAAGAACTTGATGATTTCTTTAGAGACTGAACGATTTCGCAAACGAGTCTCTATTGCGTCGACGACATTGCCATCGTATGACAAAATGTTGCATAACTTTGACAGTCCTTCTGTCATGCGGTGTTGCTCCGTAAGCATGAAGCAAGGGAAATTGTTCTGGTAAAGTCGGGTGTAGAAAGAATACTCTTCTTGACGTGCGAATGGATTGGCAGGTGTTTCGTTTTCGGTCTGTGCATATTTTGAAACCACGACTGGCGCTAGCTGCCTCGGATCACCAATGATCACGACCAAGGTAGTCGAGTCGACATTATTGAGAATCGGCATAAGGATTTCGAGATCTTTGGCTAGACTTGCCTCGTCAATTACAATAACTTCAGGTGAAATAGCCTTCCTGAGAGTTGTTGCGTCCGAGTTGGAGAGCGTAGCGTGGACGGTGCTTGCCTTGCCGAGGATATGGCTAAACGCATCTATGGCCAAGGATCGAATACTCGGGAATTCTCGCACAACAGGCGTTTCGATCGAAGGTTCTGTCGTCGACCCAGACTTGCTCTCGTCCTCAGCGCTCTTGAATGACGCGTCTAGATAATCGCCAGTATTAATGGTCCTCGTCGATGACGGTAAATTTTTTTCTAAGGCTTCTTGTTCAGACTTGCTCTCATAATCAGGGTCCCAGAAGGCGTCGAAGAAGACTCTTAGCGGATGCTCGACGTCAAGCTCTGGTTTCGTTTTCACTAGTTTACCATCGACGAGGATCCCAAGACTCTCCAGAAGTCGACGATGAAGCGAGGCTCCCTCCCAGACATTTGCACTATGTTTCTTCCCAGACCACATAGTATCAGTACGTAACAAGTTGTCTTGAATTGTCTTCATATAAGCCTTGTCGGTTGCTACAGGCAACTTCTTGTCAGGAGTTTTGTCTGTATTGACACTTTCTTGACGACTGTCGACATGCCCGTGTAACGAACTGTAGAGCGCCATGACATTCCTTGCCTCGTCGTTGTCATTGGAATATCGGATGACGTCTGACTTTCGGGCTTTTTTCTCGTCAAGGTCCAGATCCTTCAACATGCCGACATTGGGTATTGAAGTTGTATTTATTTTTATTTATATAGGGGTGGTAGGGGGCCTTGTAGTTCATGACCTTGCACATAGCTCCAAATATGCTCGCCATGAAGGTATTACCACTTCCAGGCGGGCCCTGTACCAACGAAAGAAGATGTTGAGAAGACATCATATGCTCGACTGCTTCTGCTTGGCTGCTTATCAAGATTTCTGAACGAGCTCTAAGCTCTTTTTCTTGCTTGTCGGTGATCTTGGGGTCATTGAAGAAGAGCTGACGGTCACCAGATGGTCTGAAATCTCTACCCATGTGTAAAGTCCGAATATCATCGAACTTTGGGTCTGCCTTAGTGAACAAACGGTTTGCTGCTTTGACAAGTCGTCGATGTGCTTGATCACTGATTACTGGGCAAATCGTCGCCTTGGCTTTTTGAAAATCTTCGGGCTGCTGCTCCGGCTTAGGTGCCGAGGAAACTTCTCTCACATCTTCATCTGGTCGATGGACGAATATGAAGAGATCACCGTAGACCTCGTGCCCAGGAAGAGTTGGTCGCGCTACATAGGGCCATGCAGTGGCAGTTTTTGCCTCTTTGCCTTGATCGACGAGTATGACGCCGCTTTCCCCTGGTGCGAAGAATTGTTGCATGAGCGAGCCTTCCGGGAGCCGACCGTACACAGCGTAGGTCTTTGGCAACCCGTTTTTTGTCAGCCTAGTATCTGCAGGGCAGAAGACGAAGTCACGAGGTTCTTTGAGAAGGTCGGCAATAACCTCCCTCACTAAGTCGAACTCTCGCATCTCAGCATATCCTAAAATAATACCAGCGATTTCTGCGTCTTCGAAGCTCTGCTTTGCGGGTAGCTTTCGTGGTCTCGATTACGCCCAAAATTGTCGACATTCCATTGCACAACTGGATTTCTCGTCTTGCTGTAATATTCTTGGAGGTATTGTCGACCTTTGAATTTGCAAAGTTCCTCTTTCAAGAACTCAAATCTGACATTAATATTCGTGTTTGGAGCCCGAAAATAAACGTCGAAATTCTCGGATGATAGAAGGTTAGTCACTGAAGTCGCTGCTTCTTGCTCGCGTCGTCTTTGTAGTCGGCGGTTTCGTGGACATGAAAATCTGGTTTTCCGTGCAGGAGTTTGGATTCGTTGATAGGAAATCGTACGTCAATCAAAGCATTTGCTCGGCGGTCTTCAAAGTGCATGTTAAAAGTGACGCGATACCCCTCGCTAGCTTTAAAGCTGCCCTGAATGATTGTCAGATTTACTTAGTCATGACATGTCAAAATCGAGAGATGGCTTACAAGTTTCACTTGCCCTTCGTCGTTATCGTGAAAAACTACTACAACATTCATCAAAGTGTGACTTTTCTCTCTGGCCGTCCAAGTTTTCTTCAGCACTTCAAGTGAGACTACATAATCCTCAGCGCCTGGTTGCTGCCCGTCAGTCTGCTGGGTGTCAGTAGTCGCTGTTGTGGCTTCTCCACCATTGTCTGGTGGCGCTGTATCTTCCTGAGAGGTGTTGGATGTCACATTGCCGCCATCTCCGTTGCTGTTGTCAGGCTTTGCGGTGTCAGAATCAGACTTGACCTCATTCCAGCCGTCTCCGTTGCTGTTGCCAGGCTTTGCAGTCTCAGAATCAGGCTTCGTTTTGACTGCACTATTAGAGTCGGTCGAGATGACGGCCTGTACATCCATGATGTGTCTTCAGGCCGCAGATACGCGTCAGGTATCAGATAATAGTTTGACAATTTATCAATTCTTGAGCACTATTTACCAGTGCAAGGGCGAAGTTAAAAACACACAATAATCGACAGTAATCTCTACTACTGCGAAGAAGAAAGAAGGAAAAAGTAAAAAAGTGGCGGGAAGAGGTGGGCGACAACACAGTGTCACCAGTGTGAATGTTGACGCTAAGTGAATGTTGACGCTAAGCCAGAAATGGTGCTCGACACACTGTTGAAGACAGCAAAGTAAGTCTAAGTCATTCGCGACATTGATTTAGGAAGCTATTTCTTACACAAAGTAGTATCAAGCCTATCAGGCATTATCTCGCCCCAAACCGGCTTTGTACCTAGCCAATGCTCGGTTCCTACTTGTCTTGTGATCCACGCACATCTTCGGATACGCCAAGATGCCCTTCGCTCCTCTACCGTGCGGATCATGAATCGCTTTACCTTGTACATGTGCCAGCTCGGGAACCCAGCGCCTGATATACTCTCCGTCAGGATCAAACTTCTCGGACTGCAGTATTGGATTGAAAATCCTGAAATACGGTTGAGGATCGACTCCTGTGGATGCTGAGAAGCCCCAGCCTAAGCAAATTTCCAAATTAGTCATATTTTTATGGAGATAGTGGCTCTTTGTACTGTACCTCCATTATTCGAAGCAAAATCGCCATCTATGAGGTGCAGCATAAAGTACTTCTCGCCCATCCGCCAGTCAATCATCAAGTCCTTTGCGAGGAAGGATGCAACACCCATGCGCGCTCTATTGTGCATGTAACCGGAAAAGTTCAGCTGCCGCATAGCAGCGTCGATGAAAGGATAGCCGGTCACACCGTGACTCCATTTTTCGAACATCCGGTTCTCGTATTCCCACTGTATACCAGAGAATTCTGGCTTAAATGGCTTATTCATGCAAACATAAGGCCAGTGCACAAGAACATGTCGATAAAAATCGCGCCATGCGACCTCAGAGATCCAACCTGCGATCCCTGAGATGCCTCCGTCTAACTTCTTTGTCGTGTTGCTTTCCTGTGCCATAGCTATTGCCGTCCGCGCTGACAGAGTGCCCGCAGCAAGGTGGACAGAGACGACAGCGGTAGCGTTCGCGGCTGGGAAGTTGCGGGTTTCTTTATAAGTTTTGATCCTTTCGTTGACAAATTTACATACGCGATCGCGAGCTTCGTGCTCGCCTGCTGGCCACATGCTTTCAAAGCGCTTCCTCTCCTGGTCCGTCAATCGCTTGTTGTCAGGCGCATCGGGTATTGGCCAATTGAAAAGTTCTTTAAACTTTTCTCTGGTAATTGATGGGTTGTTCTTCGGTTCATCGTATAGCTTGAGATGGTATGAATGAGTATGTAGATACGATAGCCATGCCCGGAACCATGGACTGTACACCGAATATTGACTTCCACTACCACTGGACAGTAGTCCTGGTTGAATTACGCATGTATCATGCACAGTATCCACCGCAACAGCTGACTCAACTCCCTTTCTTGTGAGCAATGCTTCTCTCCGTAATTCGTCGACCTCATACTCAATGTTGGTAAACAAATGTGAAGCGCCCCACTGTTGGCAGCGCTCAAGTATTAAGTTGGGAATGTTTTTTCGCTTCTCTTCAATTAGAATGACAAGGGGGATATCGAATTCGTCCAGATCCTCCTTCAGCACCTGCAATGACCGCAACATAAAGTCGACTCGGACAGGACTCCTTGCATGTGCCTTGAAATCCTGAGGGCTCACCACGTATAGGCAGATTAAGGGGACGTTCTTGCTTTTTGCCTTCTCCGAGGCCAAATGCAAGGCCTTGTTGTCTGCAAGTCTGAGGTCGGATTTAAACCAGTGAATTACAGCATCCTTAACAGGCAATTTATCTCGCCAGGCCTTTGTTTCCTTCTGGGCCTTCTCAAGCGTCTCTATCGGCCGCTCGAGCTCGTTGTTCTTGTACATTGCGCAGCGCTCATTCGACATCTGAGGTGGGTAGAATTCGCGATCAACGATGTACTCCTCTTCTTTGCGCGAGTGGTCAAACCTTGAGGGCGCGCTCTTCGGTTTTTTGCTGGGGCCGGGGGAAGTGGTCGCCTTGCGTTTGACAGCAGTAGTAGAACCTCCATTGGTGAGCGACATTGCTCAGTCGAGGCAATAATGCGTGAGAATAGATTCTACGCGTGCTATAGATCAGGCAATCAATTGACTTCGAGGTAGGAAATAGCGCACGTCATTTGAAAGAATTAAAGGAGACGCCAAGAACCAGTAATACCCGAGGGTCGGTTAGTCTGAACGCGGCTAGAAGATAATACAATCTGGCGTGGCAGATTTCTACCACTATCATTGTCTGCCGCACTATCACTTCTACCATCATATTCCCAGCCAAGCTCTCGTGCTGCCTCGTCGGACCATAAGGGGAGGATTGTACCGCCAAACAACCAGAAGGCATCGGCGTACGTACTGTTGATCGCTATTAGAAGCAGGACGACTACTATGAACATGAAAGCGTTTGCGCCAATATGAAATCTAAAGATTCACTACCTACAATCATTTTCATTTGGTGCCCAGCGAGAGTACCAGGATCTGATGGGCACTACACTCTGTGGACTTTTGGGTCCGATGGCCCGATGATGACAAGTGACGACCCTATGATGTCTTTATATCCCCAGATGAAGCATCTACAAAGCCTGAAGAGAATGGCAGCTTCTAGAAAGCCTCATTTACCCAATTATTATGATGGGACAACACTGAACCTGACTATTGGAACGTTCAAACAAGGGTGAAGGAGACGAATAGTTGCAAAATCTATTGCTCGAGTCTATTGGAATATTAATGTAAGAAGTCTTTCTAAAGCCTGTGTTTCTAGATTTTCGAAGCTGGGGGGTTCTTTATATAAAGAATGTGTCAAGTTTGTTCACAACTGCATTCAACCATGCCCAGGGTCCCAGATACTTACCAGGGAATGTTTTCTCCGCCATTTAATAATCATGTTGAGACAGAGCCATGTTTGCGAGCATGTATGTACTTATTACAACAGGAGAAGCTCGTGAAGTTGCTCGCTCATTCCGAGACTTGGTTGCTGTTTCGCTGCTGATTCAGAGGGCTGTTTGGGTGGCCGTTGTGAATGGCAGCCTCGTCTAATGCCGGTCGTATTGGGAAAGGATCTTCTCCATCTTCACCACGCCGATCTTCGAGTGCGTAGTTAGTCTTGTACATATCCTTGATTCTCTTCGTCAGATCTGCCATTTTCTCATTGTAGACGTCGAATTCTGCTAGAACGGTATTTCCGTTGCTGACTAGCACGTTACTCGTCAGTCCTATATCAAATGTGAAAAGTCGAAGGAATACGCGCCTGTAACGGTTTCAACGTCTATCGAATAATCAAGATTCATCAAACCAGTGAGAGTATCCCTTTGAAAGTATGGCTCCAGACGGTTTCTACTTTCTTGATTCTCCTCGTTGAAATGTCTATTCATTCCCTTTCTTTGCAAGGCACAAGTCGCCCTAGTACACTGAGGACATTGCCTAAGAGAATTCTCGCCATTTAGAACCTTGGAAATGCTGTCACCGGGGATAGGGGGTCCACCGCAAGCATATGTACCAATCAGAGCAGGCATCGTAGATGATTGGCGAATTACTTCGGCTGTCAGCTTCAAGTCGAGGCTTCTTTGATCAAAGGTCTTGGTTGCAGCTGCAAGCAATGGATGAAGAAGTGTGAGAACGTTTTGTTTAGAGAAGAAGAGGACAGGACATGGTCTTATACCTTGGGAAATTTGCACTGCTTTGAGATTGAAACGATTATCATGTCGTGCACAGACATAGGTTGAACAGAGGACCCACGGATACTGCACAAGTAGCAAGAGATTTGTGTGGCAAAGCTGTGGTATTGGATTACGCTGCGAGCAAAACGAGCCTCACAGGATTTTGTGATTGTTCCTTCGCCAGCAATCAACAACTTCAAGCTTTTGTTGGGTCTGTATGCATGTACCTGGCCGCAGACCGGCTGCCTAGATACCACAGGGCCAAGGTCAGAGTGCCGCTTTTGCATCTATGGTACATCAAGAGCAAAAGCCGTGGTTGAAATACGAGGTTGTACATGACAACCTCCGCTTGGTAACGCCACCTGGAAGTTGAGACGTGCTCACATGGGCAGGATGCCTCTGAAACACCAATCATCAAATCAGCCGAGCATACCAACGAGTATGCATCACACTCTATGCATCGTACAGAAGTGGAAGTAGATGAAGGCCTACCTCTAGATGCAGTCGTCATGGGCTAGCCTTCAGCTATTCATTGGAGAGGCGACTTATTCAATAAGATCCCATGTGTTAGACACCCTGCTGTCACTCTTTTATTGCAATTTGATGACCTCATGCCAGAAACCTAGTCGAAGCCCATCGGATCAGAGATTCTCATAGGTTGGCGTCCATGTTAGTATTGTCCACTCTCTGTAAGAGACTTCTTCTGTGCAGCCACAATATGTTTCTCGGAGTTTTGAGTGTGTGACTCAGACAGGAGGAGTAGACTACGCGTACGCAAGACGAAGATCATGTGATGCTCACTCGCTCACACTATGCTTGCCAAAGTCTGCATCAAAGCCGCCACTTTTCTTGCCTCTGACTTTCGCAGACTGACCTACCCTTATGAAACGACTTTAAAGTATGGCTGTTATAAGTTACAAGTCTGTCAAACATCTCAATTTCAAGGACATTGGGGTCCAATTAAGCCTAAACCTGTTGAACCAGCCCACATATGCCTTTCATTTGTCATTGCGGTCACACCTTGTAGCCCTCACTAGCCATCTTTATAAGTTCTGCAGAGAATGCGAATACACCTACGTTCATTCCTTTGGTGCTACCACGCTAGAAAGCTGGATTGCAGTATATATATTTTTTCAAGTAGGCTCCAGGTTTGAGATGATTAAGAAATAGCAAGCAAGCAAGCGCTCTCCGTAGTTTTCATTCTTTTGCCACAATCTAGAAATCTGGCAGATCGTAGGATTCATCAACGGAACTGCGGAAATTTCTCCAAAGATCACGGCATTGAGGAAAATACCTTGCTTTTGCGTCAGTCAACATAACCCCTGAAGCTTTATCCAATTAGGTCAGCAGTACATATCGCTCCTAGATTCTGCTCAAGCTCCTAAACTCTGATTGTAGCTCTTAATGAATCATCACTCTGAGTAAGGCGGCTCTTTCTCTCCTCGCCCCTTCCTGCTATTCCTCCTTCCTTCTCCCCTTTTACTTTTTTCTCTCAGTTTGAGATCAGTTTATAGGTATTATCAATTTATGAGTAAATCTATAATACTTGCTAGAAGTTTTGGGATTCACCAGAAATAAGAAAGCAATGAATTATGAACCTTAACAATGAACTTTGAACGCATAACATGAACTTTAATCATGGATATTTTGAACATGATGTATTCAGTATGAAGTCTAACCTGGGGTATCATCTGAAAGTGTAAGTACTAGCCAAACCAGCGGCTGTCTCGAGTCTATGAAATACAAAAACTCTCACGCTATGCACATCTTTACCTCGATCCATTTATGTACGTTCCACTATTGTCCACCAACGTTGAAGATTCTAGATCGTTTGATCTTTCGACAGTCACCCTGACATCGCTTGTAATGAGTCGCTCCACTGACAGCACCAGTAGCAGAAGGGGGAGCGGGTGATGCAGTTCCCGAGAATGCGGGTTGAGCTGGGCTGATGGTAGGATTCATCATTGGTGATGCAAGGATCATCGACTGCGGGACCTGCGATGCAACCGCCTGAGCGTTGTTGGCTGGCGGGGCTTGACTGGATGCTGCAGCAGGAGCTGCAGCTTGGCTATCTGTAACGGTGACTGTTGGGGCAGCTGTCTTCAATTCCGCGACTACTTGACTGACGATCTGAGCTTTCAACGCCGCAACATCGTTCGAACCCACTTGAGCAGACGGTGCCGCAGCAGATGGCTGACTAGGCGGGTTCTGAGCCTGAGCTGAGGTGGGTGCAGGACCATTGGCTGCAGCAGGTGACTGAGGAGCAGGATTGCTTGGTGCCGGCGAGGCAGCCGGGGCTGTTGCAGCGGCTGAGGGTGCCGCCATCGCCGACAGGTATTTCGGTATCGCTTGATTGTTGTAGTTTGCCGGATCGCCCCGAATTTTCAAGCTACGGGGTTTCGACGAAGAGGTGATATCTACATCAAGACATGAAGTGTAGATTTCAGGCTTCCCGCTGGCTGAAGCCGCGCCTGGCTCTGTATGCCAATCCCAGACCCAGTATACCGTTACTGGCTTGCCCGCCGGAAGATCTGAAGGAAGCTTGATGTCGTTTTGACACGCCAAATCGGTGCCTGTAGCGGGATCGGCCGTGTGGGGGAACTGCTTCTGACGATCCTGAGAGATGGGACTCCCATTTACTTGATAACAACGTCCGTCATCGTATGTCTGTTTGGCCACCAATCTGCCACGCTTGTCACCCCCAGTGCCGTCCTCAGTCCATTTTTGGAAAACGTCTAGGAAGTTCTCGTTGGCCTTTGGTTGACTGGTCACATACACGTAGACATCACCACTGCCGGCAGGCTTGCCTGGAGGGACCTGGGGTTGAGTGACGTGGCCGTTCTCCAGATACGTTAAAGCGACCATTGAACCAGCAGGAGCTTGGAGTCGTGGAAAACCTGGTGTCTGGGTTTGAGCTTGTTGCGATTTCCGGCACATTGGGTCTGTTGCTGAGATGCCTTGCGTGATGTAGTTCTTGCTGGCGGCATTGTCGTCGCGTGCCTCGAGGGGATCGGAGGGCGGCAGGATGTGGACAAGGGAAGTGTCCTTGAAACCAGGCGCAGTCCTTGGTGTGAATGCTCGAATATAGCCAGGTTGGCCTGTGAATGATCCACTACCATCAATGATCCTTAGCTGCTCTATCCAACTATGGCCGACAACATTTGCTACAAATGTAGCCAGTACAAGAGTAGAATAATGCATGATGAGGTTGGTCTGTTGAAGAATGAATGAATGATAGTATAGGAGTGGGAGGTGTCTGATGTCTGTTTGTACGACCTGCGTGGAGGTGACTTGAGATGTTGGAAGGGTCGATGAGAGAATGTTAGGTAGAGGCAGGAAAAGAAAGTGAATTAATAATGAATGATTAAAGATACAATAGTGAAAGACCGACGCACAGCGTGGTGAGGACAAAGAAGAGAAGGTGGTATTGTTCAGCAACAATAGTCATGGAACAAGCAACATTATCGGCAGCACTGATGAACAATGGGTATTGGCGGGGGGGGGAAGAACAATAAGGGAATTTCTGCAGCGTGTCGGGTTTGCGACCGAACGTTGCCTGACGGTGATGATACTAGATACAAGAATGGAGAGCCTCCTGTGAAGCAGGTCGTGCAAGCTGCAACTACCAATAGTTGTCAGTACCAGCAGTGGTGTAAAACACGTACGGTGCAAGATGAACGACTGCGCAGGTTGTCAGCAATCGCGCTCGTTGAATGACGAGAGAAGAGCCTCGTTCTCAAACGTCGCGATGGAGGCTCTGCGGGCTCTACGGTCTCTTCAGGCCCACGCATGCAAGAATGTTTCGGCATCATGAAACCCAGCACCAGAAGATGGTCCTGTGAAGTGAAGCCATTGGCGCAGAGCGATCGGAGCCTCAAAGGATGACTGTAGGTTTCAAGTGCAGCGATTCTGGGCCTACTTTCGACCAATAAGACGCCAGAAGCCGGCCTGCGCGAACACTCGTCAGAACGTTTGATGTGCAGAGTGAATTCCATCGTCCAAGCCTGCAAAGCGTTGCGTGGAAGAGCCACGATATTATTGCTGCGTTTGATGCAAGATTCACCGAGTCGCATCTGAAGGTGAACTCAGGGTGCAATCTAGGCAGTCACGGGCATCGTCTAATTAGTGCGGGGCTTACATCTTCGTCTCTCATGAGCTCCTTGAAGCTGGTCGCACTCGTGAACCCTCATCATTTCAACTGACGCAATACAACAATGGATAGTGTAGAGAAGCGGGCCTCCTTCAGACCGGCCCTGCTCGTTGTGGACGTGCAGGAAGATTTTTGTCCCCCAGTGGGCATCATCCCCAATCTCCTCTCCGTGCCCGACAACTTACATCAAGTAGAGTGGAAGTCTTGCAGTGAGTGGTGGCCGAGAGATAGCAACAGTAATCAATGAGCTCCTCGCTTTGCCCTTTGTCTTGAAGGTAGCGACTCGGGACTTCCATCCACAGGACCACATCTCTTTTGCGACATCTCATCCGGCTCCAAATAACAAGCCCTTCGAGTCAACAGTGAAGATCTTGAATCCGTTCGATCAGTCACAGAATCATACCATTCGCCTTTGGCCTCCACATTGCGTGCAAGGAACGCCAGGGGTCGAGATCATACCTGAGATCGATGTCTCGAAGCTGGACGTGATTGTGGACAAGGGGAAAGACTCGAGGCTCGAGGTCTACTCAGGCTTTGCGGACGTCTTCGGTAGAAAGTCGTCAGAAGCAGCGACTGTGGATCTGACTAGCCTTCTGCAAGGCCATCGCATAACCCACGTATATACCGTAGGGCTTGCAGGAGACTTCTGCGTGAAATGCACTGCCGTCGACGCCAAGAAGGAAGGCTTCGAGGTGTATGTCGTGGAGGAAGCCGTCAAAAGCATTGATTCTGGGCCATCAGGCTGGGAGGGGGCAAAGGCATCAATGACCGAGCTAGGAATCCACATCGTGAGCACCAAAGGTGAAGAAGTTGCCCTCCTCAAGCAGCGAGAATAGGCCCCCCACAGCCCCTGCTCGGCGCGATCCATGCGAGAAGTCAATGTCAAAAGTTCCCAAGATGAAGCACCTGTTCTTGTTGCACTAGTGTGAATTAGAGGGCATATCTATCCGGTAACGAGGAGGCTATGTTTCGATATCTTTGATATATGTACTTCGCGGTAAGAGAAAGCGGGCCTGAGAATGAGACACCTCCGCGAAAGGGAATCGGTTGGGGGCCAGCCTCCGTCGCTTAGGGGCACGATTAGGTTTGGGGCATCGCTGATCGCTCCCGCGAGCTCCAAGCTCCAACTTCCATTGACAATCGTCATCACGCATCCGACGCGTATTTTCGTTCATTTCCCCTTGTCAGTTGTCACGAGCGCTGCACTCATCTACTGAGAAACTCCTACCTTAATCCGACTCACTTCGCAAATATGGTATCATCGAAGGGAAAGCCAACCGACCCTAAGCTCAGGGAGGAGGCGAAAGAAGGTTTGTTGTCCCCAGTCGCAGTCGCGCTCGCGCTTTCCTTTCGCGCTCTGGGGAAGTCGGAGCTGATAGTCAAATGATTAGATGTAAAGCAGATGCCGAACAAAGATGGAGGTGGAAAAGGCCAGATGGCCGCATGGAAGGTCTGTCCTTGTCTTCAACACTCATTCCTGTTAATTATTCGCGATTTGCGCCCTCGGGAGTTTTGGACTCATGACTGATCAAGCTCTCGACCTAGGCTGGAAAGATCTCCGAAGAATACGAAAAGCGGGGCGGTGGCTATGAGAATGAGGCAGGATCTGCAAACGAGCCTACGAAGGGTGCGCCCAAGCCAAAGTCAGATGAAAAAAAGGCCAAGGAAGTGAAGGACTCAGGCGCGGGAGATCAAAAAGACGACAAGCCCAAGGCTAACAGCGGCAAGAAGGCGACTGGTAAGAAGACTGATGGCAAGCCTAAGGCGCCTAAGAAGGAGAAAAAAGCGCCCGCTGAAGGTACTCGCAAGAGCGGACGCTTGAGCAACAAACGTAGCGCTCCAGCGGACGAAGGCAAGCCGGCAGCGAAGAAAGCGAAGAATGGCAAATAGTCTCTCGATCCAGCACGGACGGTAATCTCTCGTCATGCACTGGATCATGATTAGGAAAGGCCGGCGTGTATAGTGCAGGCTTCTGAGGTAGGCTTTGGATTTGAATGCTTGAATATTCCAGTGGATAAGGGCGGCGAAACACGATCTGAAGTGGATAGACTAGTCAGAACATGCTAAGTATCTTCAAATCGTGACTCTCGAGTCGGCTCATTGATGCTCCCCAGTGTATACGCTGAAAGCCTTATATGATTGAGCAGCGGCAGCCTTTGGTGTATGATTCTAACTACCTTCTTAACAAGTCTGCCCACCCTTCATCTTGCAGCAATATACAAATTGAAGTAGATATGTTTGCGTCTGAACTTGTGAGGTTGGCTTCTATCACCTAGGGAGAAGGGGAGCGTATTACTCCGCCGACTGCTAGAATAGGGGCCACTAGGGGCACAGTGTTCTTGGCATTGTACTCTGTCGCTCTTGCTGTTTCTGGTAAAGCTTCGGGTACCTAGCCAAAATCCAATGCCGTAGGCGGTAGAAATTCTGGCGGATCAAGAATGTGTGAAGATTTCTATCTGGATTGCTCTTGCATGGAGGGGGCTTTTGGAGGAGGTGGGCCAGACTAAAGTCATGACATTGGCTTTCTGACATAAATTCATTCTGATCTGCTCCGGAAAGCCATGCGCTACTTCTGCTGCCTTCCCAAATCACCGCAATGAACTGGTTTCCAAACCCCTACAGTATCCCGTAGGTCTCGAGGAACAATACAGCACGTCGGTCGTGGCTAATGATTTCGAAGGGACATCGTGTAATGCAAGGACCTCTCGCGCTCTTCCTACACTATCCACCTCGTTATATATTCCGTATCATTGAAAATGCTGGGTGCCTCTTTTCTCCCTGCCAGGCTCCGTCATGAGCACAAGCAGAACGGTCCGGCCACCAACCCGACCTACATCAACAGACATATTACTACACTCCTTCAATGGGTCTCGCGAGGAGCATTTACACACCCTGTCCACACGATCGTTTCTGTAGCCTTAGTTGCGAGCACTTGCTACATTGGGCTCCTTGAGGGGAGACTTCTGGATCATACAAGCTTAGGCAACAATGTGGGCAGTACGGACCTTGCAGCTTTGGCACAAAATGGGCGACTTCTCCGGCTCGGTGAAGAAACATCATGGAAATGGCAAATGCACAACAACGGCTTGGGCTATAGCCACAGCGTATGACAACCTGCCCTCAAGGAACTGGATGATCGTTGACAATACCACAGGATGAACAGAACATCTTACTTATGACACTCGTTTTCCCAGATACCAGATCTAATACTTATCCTCGTACTGCGCCTTCGCCTCAAAAAGTAGCCTCCGCCGAAAACGTCTCGGTTCAGCTTCTTCCGCCAACAGGGAATCCGTTGCACCCGATCTCTCAAGATACGACACTCGCTTTTGCTGTAAATCGTGACGACGCAGCTAAACTCCTCAATAATATTCAAGAGCTGCCAACTCAAGGATACATTAGCAACCACGAAGACACTCTAAGTGAGACTTTCACAGCTCCGGTCAGGTGGATCATGAATGCTGCCAACGGTGACGGAACTTCCAAAGCCTCGTTTGGCTCCACTGCTCGCAATGCATGGATAGGTTTTGTGGATCTGATTAAGGTACCGGCTTGTCTTCAGAGTCATCCCTAATACTAAAGACAAGTAGCAGGCGGAATCTCTAGACATCGTCATCATGATCCTAGGCTACCTGTCGATGCACTTGACGTTTGTGTCTCTCTTCATGTCGATGAGGCACATGGGCTCGAACTTCTGGCTTGCAACCACCGTCCTTATCTCCTCTGTCTTTGCATTCCTTTTTGGTTTGATCGTAACAACAAAGCTTGGTGTCCCGATCAACCTTGTGCTACTTTCCGAAGGTCTCCCATTCCTAGTGGTGACAATTGGATTTGAAAAGCCAATTATACTGACTAAGGCGGTTCTAACGGCTTCATTAAGTCAGAAGCGCCAGGGGTCGACAACGTCTGAGGCACACGTCACTAACGGCCCAAGTTCGTCAAAGACAATACAGTCTTCCTTACATATCGCGGTCAGAGATAAAGGGTTTGACATTGTAAGAGACTATTGTATAGAGATTGCTATCCTCATACTAGGAGCGTGTTCTGGCGTCCAAGGTGGATTGACGCAGTTCTGCTTCCTTGCCGCATGGATTCTGTTTTTCGATGCAGTCCTCTTGTTCACCTTCTATACCGCCATCCTGAGCGTAAAACTAGAAATCAATCGGATCAAACGCCATGTTGCACTGAGCAAAGCACTCCAAGAGGAAGGTATTAGTAAAAGAGTTGCCGAGAATGTTGCGACAAGCGACGAACTTTCGAGGTCGAAGACTGAAGATGGAGTTTTTGAAGGCTCTGATGCACCTAGACGGCCTACCGTGTTTGGGAGGAAAGCCCGCGACAGCAGCATTCCCAAATTCAAGGTTCTAATGGTGACTGGATTCCTATTGATCAACGCACTAAACCTTTGCACGATACCTTTCCGTTCTGGTAAAAGGAGTGCTACGGCTACAACAATGTCAGGGCTGACTAATGTCTTGACGCCTCCTTCAATTGATCCATTTAAAGTTGCTCAAAACGGATTGGACTTCCTGTATGATCAAGCGGTGCAGAACGAGACCCCGATGGCGGTCACGGTTCTCCCTCCTATCAAGTACGGACTGAGTTCCTCAACACCCACAGCTAAAGATGTGAGCGTTGCACAAATAGAAGATGATGCCTCGGACCAATTTCTTGACTATGTGGTCGGAGGTAGAGTCGTGGAAGGCGTGCTCAAGAGTCTTGACGACCCAATCGTCAGCAAGTGGATCATTGTTGCGCTGACAGTAAGCATCATTCTCAACGGATATCTCTTCAACGCCGCTAGATGGAGCATTAAGGAGCCACGTCTTCTTCCAGAACACACCGCCACTGTTGCTCAAGAGTCTCGCACTGCTGCACCTTCTGGCCCGGCACCTTCGTCTGATTCAGAGTTGCTCCAGGCAAACGGTCATGTGCCTGAACGCAAGAGAGATGTTGTCTCTTCGCTGGACTCGGAACATGATATGAGACCTTTCCAAGAGTGCGAGCAGATGCTCAGAGACAAAAGAGCCGCCTTCCTCACAGACACAGAGCTTAGTGAGCTGACCACGCGTGGCAAGATACCTGGTCACGCTCTCGAGAAAACGCTTGAGAATCCAGATGCAATGACAAGGCTTGAGTCGCTGACCCGAGCCGTGAAGATCCGTAGGACTTTGGTTTCGAGGACAAGGGCAACTGCTGCGACTTCAGGTTTGCTTGAGACATCCAAACTTCCCTACCAGAATTATAATTATGAGAACGTTCATGGCGCGTGTTGCGAGAATGTTATTGGTTACATGCCGATACCCGTCGGCGTTGCGGGTCCTATCGTCGTCGATGGACAGCCTTTCTATCTGCCAATGGCAACGACAGAAGGTGTACTGGTCGCAAGTACCAATCGAGGCTGCAAGGCCATCAACGACGCTGGTGGGGCTGTCACGGTCCTAATGGCTGACGGCATGACCCGCGGGCCATGTGTTGGCTTCCAGACAGTAGCTCGCGGAGGTGCAGCGAAAGTATGGCTTGACTCTGAGGACGGACAGAGGATCATGAGACGGGCGTTCAACTCGACGAGTAGCTATGCTCGACTACAAAGCATGAAATCTGCTTTGGCGGGTTGCTATCTCTACATCCGGTTCAAGACGACAACTGGTGACGCTATGGGAATGAACATGATTTCAAAAGGAGTTGAACGCGCTTTGGATGTGATGAAGAACGAAGTTGGATTCGACGACATGTCCATCATCTCGCTCTCGGGCAATTATTGCACGGACAAGAAACCAGCGGCCGTCAATTGGATTGACGGCAGAGGTAAGAATGTCGTTGCTGAGGCTATCATCCCTGCGGACGTGGTTCGGCGTGTACTGAAAAGCGACGTCAATGCATTGGTGGAGCTCAACACAAGTAAGAATCTGATCGGTAGCGCAATGGCTGGAAGCATTGGTGGGTTTAATGCACATGCTGCCAACATAGTTACAGCAATGTTCGTTGCGACCGGTCAAGATCCGGCACAGAACGTGGAAAGCAGTAATTGCATTACGATCATGCGCAAGTAAGGACCCCACCTCTTATTGATAGTGAAGATGGATACTGACGAGTCAAGTTATGATGGTAATCTACAGATATCTGTGTCAATGCCTTGCATCGAAGTGGGCACAATAGGTGGCGGAACCGTTCTCGAACCGCAATCAGCTTGTCTAGATTTGCTCGGAGTGCGAGGCGCACATGCAACGAACCCTGGAGATAATGCTCGTCGCCTTGCTCGCATCATCGCAGCCGGGGTTCTGGCGGGAGAGCTAAGTCTTTGCAGTGCTTTGGCGGCCGGACATCTTGTGAAGGCTCATATGGCCCACAACCGTAGCGGTGCTCCAACAAGGACAGGTACGCCAGTCAGCACAGCAGTGAGTAGTGGTCCTAGCAAGGGCCAAATTGCTGAAGGACTAGCGATGACGACCCTGAGATGACAGCCAGCGGCCGTGAGCAGCTCGTGTGGCTAATGTGGTTCTTCTGAGGCGTTCAAGCGATTTTGCATTTACATGTGTGCTGAATTCGATTATACCCTTCTGTACGCTCGTTGCTGTTGTTGCACATTGGTATTGACAGATGTCTCAAGAGCCTTTGGCTGGTGGTAGCTTGCTGAAGCATGAAGATAGAGTGTGCAGGCTGCATGCGCTGTATCAGTGAGAGTTGTGTCTTGAGGTATAGAGATAGATGCAGTACTCCTATAACACGACACCAAAGTGAGTTATGGTACGCCTACGAGTAAGATCCTTCAAGCTCAAGTTCTTGCACAATGGACGGCTCAGTGCAGGGGGTTGATTGGTTGGAGGTACCGAGCCAATGATGATGAGCTCTAGGCCTCCCGAGTTGCAGACGGACTAGACCTCAAGAGTCAAGAGTCTCGCTCTCCTCATGCCAACAGCAGACTACAAGAAAGGAGAACCCATGCCTCACTCCTTTAACGACTTGAGGTGGGCATGAGTCTGGATCTACTATGATTGCTGCTTGCTCACATTGTATGCGCACATACTCACTCTGCTCTGATAACCGCGCGTAGCGGTGCGCAGCGGCAGCATTCTCTTTTTTGTTTGTAACGTGGAACAGCGGCTGTACAAACCCGCGCTCTCGTCACCGCCTCACTTGCCTTCGCTCTCGACGTCAGATGCGATCATCTGCCTTGTAACCTTCACAGGCAAGAACATCTGGACCATAATATGAATGGCCGCTCCGGGCCTCCTCCGCTGTCCCCTAATCCAAGCGAATGGTCAGGCTTTTCTCACTACCAGAATGGTGGCCCACCGTCTCGATCACCAGGCTATCCCCCAAATGGTCGTAACAACATAGTCACACCTCCAATGTCTGGATCCTCGACTGGTACTGATCCTCGCATGTCTAATGGCATGCCCAACCGCGCCGGTGGACCTTCACCGCCACATTCAATTGCTGCACGCTCGAGCTATGGCACAACAATGTCATCGAGTGATACCAAACGACGACAGACAATAAATCAGGAAGACAGACTGGCGCAACATTATGCCATCCTGAAAAGATTTCTAGGACAATCCTTACGAGATGAAAAGGGGAACATGAAGCCCAACCGGGCACGAGATAAATTACTTCGACTGTCAGGAATACAATTTCAGGAGTTGAGCACGGATGTCTACGATGAACTGCTTCGAAGACAAAGCGCACAAGGGCAGCGGGAGAATGGCCCTGGTGGTGTTCCTCCCTATCTCTTACCCAAAGACAACTTCCATCCGAAGAGGAATCAAGCACGGCAGAAATTGGCCACGCTTCCTCCGCCCCGATTTCGAGATCTAGCGACCGATGTTTTCTATGAATTGGAGCGAAGGATCCCACACCTCGCCGGTCGAGATATACCTCGAGGGGGTAGTCCAGCTCTCGGTCCTCCGAGCCGGGCAGGCACGCCTAATAGCATGCGAGGGCCTGGATATGGACCCAGGAACCAATCGTTATCTGGACAATTGATGGCACCAGATGACCCATATGGTCGACCAACGGCAAAGCAATTCCAAAGCAACACCATCATACCAAACAAGAGTACCATGGTGGAAGATGACGACGACGATGGTCTCAGCGATGTCTACGCAAGTCGAAGGGACACAACATTTACATCAAGAAGTGTGGGTGCTTCAGACAAAGACCGCAAGGCGATAGCAGAACTAGAGACCCAGGTCACAGAATTACAAGACAAAATCAAAGAGTCAGAGGACCGGCTGCGCGATAAAGATCTGAATCTAGCAAGGCTTGATGATCAGTTCAACGTGAGAACCCTAAGTGCACATGTCAATGATAAAGCGAAAGCTAACGTATCCTGTAGACCGCGGAGAGAGAGCGGAAACGATATTCTGATATACAATCGGATATAGAAGACAAATTACAAAATGCGCGTGGTCTCAACCAGAAGCTGCAGGCGGAACTGGACAGAGTTCGAGCCGAGCAGGCCAGCAGCGAGCGCGATTTGCGCTCCCAAATTGATGCGATGACAAACAAAGCCCAAGGTAGTAACGAGTGGAGAAACCGCTTCGAAGGATTAGAAAGAACACATCAAGAGCTGCAGTCGGAGCTTTCACAGCAGGAGACAGTCACAAACGAAGTCAAGCAGGAGGCCACAGGCTTCTTAGGCCAGATGAAAAGCTTATCTGAACGAAGCGCTCAGGCAGTAGAACGCGAAGAGCAATTGGTCATTCAAGTCCAAAGACTAGAACACGAACTCGGAGAATGGAGGGATCGTTACGCTCTTGCCAAAACCCAGGCAGAGGCAACACACGCTCCGCTGATACAGCCTCCAGATACTCGAGAGCTCACTAAGGATGGCAGCCTCATTGCCCAACACGGGGCCATCAAGGACATTTTTGTGACCAAATTTCAGATTGCGATTGAGGAACTTTTGCGTAGTGCAAGAAGCGGAGAACGTCAAAGAGTCTTACAACATGTCAGAACAGTAGTTTTAGCTGTGCGGAACATGACTATGGCAGTACAATCCGATCGCAGTGAGACGACGGCAAGGGTGAAGGCTAAGATTTCAGCGACTGCAAACAACCTCATCACAGCCGCAAAGAATTACGCTATGTCGGAAGGCCTAATGCCCGTTGCACTGCTAGATGCAGCCGCATCCCATCTATCAACCTCCATAATTGAGCTCCTCCGGATTGTTAAGATGCGGCGCTCTGCAGGCGAGGAAGTGGAAGACGACACTAACAGCGATATTGTTGACTCACCAGCCGACTATTATGGGCTTAGCAACGGACGATCCAGTGTTGGGGGAGAATCAGCCTACAGCACAGACAGCAAGCCTCAACTTAATTCGCGGACATACTCGGGGTCAAATGAACGGAAGCCTTTGCCAAATGGCATTCCCAACGGAATGACGCCACGGCAACCTCAGCAGAGTGGCCCTCGAGACGTAAATATCGAAGAGCTCAAGGTTCGTCAAAGACGCATCCCCACCGCATTGTGAACTTGCTATTGACAAAAATGCCCCCAGAATTTCCTCGATAGTCGCACCGACATTCTCCGGTCTACGCTACAAAACCTAGTGTCGTCCATTCGGACCTCTGCGCCGCCACCTGATGTGCTCGACGCGATAGCTTCAATTACGTCGACTACAAGCCAGATCATTCACCAGACGAATCAGTCTGTCCCTCAAGGCTCCAAGCCGAGCAGTGTCGCGAATTCACTGTCTCGACTGGTGGACAAGCTCGAGGAGAAGGGCAGAGAAGGGGAAGAGGTGACGACTGAGGCGGTTTGGAAGGAGTACGTCAATGGCCTACCGCCGATCGGATTTGAAATTGCTCGAGGGGTCAAGGAACTTGGACAGTGGATTGAAGAAGAGGTCCGGGGGGGAGATTTCAGTTGACACGATTTAGCGCGCCGCATCACCTCTGGGGGAGTTGGATAGAGCTGTTTGTGACGAGGTTGGATCGGCGTCCACCGAGCAATGGGCTCGTTGATATGTTTGGATATACAAGAAAGCATGCTTGATGGGAATTTAGACATGGGTAGCACATACCATAGGGGGCATGGGGGAGAGTAGCGCGGTCAATAGTACGATCCCACGACAGGACAAGATGTAATTAGCCTTGTTAGCCTCCCCAAAGAGCATATAAACTCTGAGGTCTCCAAATGTCCCGTGCCGGATCGGACAGCAGACTGATCTCATATGGCCCAATCGAGAGCTTGCCCAGTGTACCTCGCATGATCTATATCTTGTGCCTGAAGTTTCGAAGTTGAAACCGGCCACAAGAGCTGCCCATCGGAGGTCGCCGACGGCCCTAGAGAGGACGTTTTCGCCATACGGCTTACGGAGTATTCAATCACACATTCAAAACTGTCAGACCTTGCACCTGGGGAAAGCACCCTGTGGCGACAGGTATCGCTTTGAAGTTCCATTCATCAGAGTAAGTATCTTTGCGATCTGCATGGTAGCAGGTGGTAGGAGGGCTCCTGAGCTTTCCCAGAGATGTGGCCAACCGCAGCATAAGGGAAGATCCTCGTGGTCCTCCAGTCTCCAGCTCTGCACGATCCTGCAGACTGCAAATCAGCATCATCAATGCTATCTATCCGGCCCTCGCTTATGAAGTTATGTCTCCCATCCCGCTTCGACCGGCCGATCTGTCTGGGAGCTTGTTGCACCTATCAAGAACATTAGCAGCTGGAGGCGGACGTATCACTTGCCTGATCGAGCCTACCGCTGCTCTATATCCTTCCCCACCACGCGGGTTCCCAAAAGTCTTTTTTCTCCGACGCCGCATCTTCTGCATGCAAGCTGCACCCCTACAGTCTGTCGCCGCAGAGGGGGCCACCTTCTCGCCCAGCTAGACTCGATCTACCTCCCAACCACATCGAACCATATCTCGCGCCAGGACGTCTGGAAGGTCACCAGCGTCGATGTTTTCGGCTAGACCAACGGCAATGGCTGCAGTTCCCATGAGCTTGGAGAGAGCTTGGGAGGAGGGGAGTGGGACGAGGAGCTGCTTATCAGTGGCATCCACACCTCAGGACCGCGGTCTGGGGCGTCCGTCAATTCAAATATCCACAGCTCAAAAGCGTCGGTGACCTCCACTCCAGTTCCACTTCTCTTCTTGATATTGTCGGCGCGTGCTTTGCTTCATCCCTGGCATTCTCCGTGCTCTCATTGCTTAAGAACTGCTCCTTTCTCCCCGAACTATCTTGCACTTCTGTTCCCTTTTTCCACTTTTGGTGACCCCGCCACACATTTGAGGTAGCCCCTCACGCGACCCAGTAGCTCATCTTTCAGCGGTGCGCTGCAACCACCTGCGACAATGGGTAAAATGGATTACGACATAAAGTCGTCCTCGCCGACAGGCACAGACACTGAGAAGGGCGGTCTCCCCACCTACACGGACGAAGCTACCGCCGTCCCTGGGGAGGTCTTCGTTCAGGGAGACTCCTTGTTCGCAAAGACACAGCGTTTCGTCACAAAGTTCGGCGTGGAGCCGAGAGGTATAGAACGAGTGCCTGAGGATGAGCGGACGGACACGAACCTCGTGCAAGTGGGCACTGTCGTACGTCTTTCCCTGCCTCGACCACCTACGAAGTTGCACTGACATTGAACAATGACAGTGGTGTTCAGCAAACATGGTTGTCTCCTCCTTCGCAATTGGCGCCCTCGCTATTCCCGTCTTCGAGCTCGGCTTCGTCGATGCTCTCCTCACCATACTCTTCATCAATCTCCTCGGCATTACCCCCGTTTGTTTCTTCAGCACCTTCGGCCCTCGCTTCGGTCTACGGCAGATGGTGCTCTCGAGATACTTTTTCGGTTACTATGGCGTCAAGGTCATTGCCATCTTTAACGTCCTAGCCTGCGTTGGCTGGTCCTCCGTCAACGTGATTGTCGGTGCCCAGCTTTTCAACGCAGTCAACCCCGACGTGCCTGGTTGGGCAGGGATCATCATAATTGCCGCCTGCACCTTCTTCATCACCCTCTTCGGCTACAAAATCGTCCATAAATACGAGTTCTGGTCCTGGATACCCTCTTTCATCATCTTCCTGATCGTGCTCGGTGAATTCGCCCACTCCGGCAAGTTCAAGAACCTGACGCTGCACAAAGGCGGTCCAGAGGCAGGCTCTGTTCTCAGCTTTGCTGCCTCAGTCTTCGGTTTCGCCACGGGATGGACCTCTTACGCAGCCGACTACACCGTCTATCAACCGGTAAATACGTCTCGCAGGAAAGTCTTCCTCTGGACATGGGCCGGTCTGATCTTCCCGCTACTCTTCACGGAGATGCTCGGTCTTGCAGTCGCGACCGCGACAATGAACGGACCAGACGACAACCCCTATATCACCGGATATGGGAAAGCCGGCATCGGCGGGTTGCTCGCTGCAGTGCTCTTCCCACCCCTAGGCCGCTTCGGCGAATTCTGCCTTGTCATCCTCGCCCTCAGCATCATCGCGAACAATTGCCCGAACATCTACAGCTTGACATTCTCGCTGCAGCTGATGACGAGATATGCGCAGAAAGTGCCACGGTTCATCTTCACGTTTATCGGGACAGTCATCTATTGCGCGATAGCTATCCCAGGCTATTCGAGATTCGAGGAAGTGTTGGAGAATTTCATGTTGTTGATCGTACGTCTACTTTCCTTGACACCCCTCACAAAGTAATCCACTGACATACCTGCGTTTCCAGGGCTACTGGCTCGCCATCTACGAAGGCATCGCTCTCTCCGAACACTTCATCTTCAAGAAACGCAAATACGATCTCACGATCTGGAACTCGCCCAACGAACTGCCGCCCGGCATAGCCGCTGTCTTAGCTTTCTGTTTCGGCGTCTTCGGGGCTGTAATGGGAATGGCGCAGAAATGGTGGAAGGGGCCAGTGGGGCGGAAGATTGGCCTTCCGATGTTTGGAGGCGATGTTGGGTTTGAGTTGGCGTTCGCTTTTGCGGCGGTCAGTTATTGGGGGTTGAGATTTGCGGAGAAGAGGTTCTTCAAGAGGTAGAAGTGAGGAACGTTTGAGCGTATCGTAGGTCTGGTCTGGTCTATAGCTTGGGTATTGTAATGAATGTCTCGGTCAATCGATCGTTCGTTGTATATGTTAAGGCATTGAAGAGTCAGATGCTAAATCTTTATTGAAATGTGCACCGCCCCTCGTTTTGACGACTTTATCATATTGTGATTGGAGAAGGTATGGTCAAAGCAAATGAGAAACATGTATATACATACGAGCAGCCAAGAAGGCAGAGTCTCTCACGATTGTATGTGCCGATGTAAGCAAGACATACAATATTCAAGCACGACATTCAACATTTATATCCCATTTTCCAGGCACCCACCAATTCTCAGGGGTATCTCTAATGCCCAATCAGCGCCTCCGCTAAAATCAGATTCCCATGCATCAAACATCACTCATCCATGTCAAAGCTCCCACACCTCTCTCTCGGGCGTCTCAGCCTCCGTCCTATCGCCATTTTTGCCCAATTCCTCCCCACCCTCATCATCTATGACCTTTACAATCTCCTTTTCCCCTTTCGCAACAGCTCTCTCCGTCCCCCACAACTCAGCACCATCACCCTTCTTGATCCCAAACCCCAACTCTTTCCTCCTAAGAGCGTAGTATTTCTCAAGACATTTCCTTCTTTGTGCCTGTGTCCAGCCTTCCACACAGAGTGAAAACTCCACTGGGTCTTTCAAACCGAAGATACGCGCCATCTCGCAGAGCTGCCTTTTCTTTACCTCTTCCGGCGGGTGGTAGCGCCAGTGGATGGAACTCACGTCGTCGTTTTCATCCGTGGTATCATGCCGGCCATTGGGAAGTGGACTCCGGTTGGGGCGCTTTGGGGACTCGCCCTGGGTGTTGCGAGCAAAAACATGCTGATCCCCGAAGGCGATGTCAGCGCCCGCTTCCTGGGCGCGACGAGAGAGATTTGCCTCGATTTTAGAGGAGCCGACGACTTCGTTGTTGAAATGCGTGTACTCGACGCCTGCGCCTGCTAAGATTGCGGAGATCGGGTCTGATTTTTTGGGCAATTTGTTCGGACCTGTGGCGGAACCATTGGTGCTATTGTGTTTGCGTTTCTTCGTTGGTTTTGGGTCGCCAATGGATTCGACTTCTTCTATGATAGAGGCAGCCAGCTGAGACATTGCGCTGTCCTCTCCGGTGTCGCCCGGGTCTGGAATGAAGGGATCATCAGCGGAGGCAGTAACCTGGCTATCAAGGTCTAAATCGACACCCGCAATTGTGACTCCTGCCCGTGATTCGGCTACGTTAGTCTTGTTGACGATGTCCCTAAGCACAACCTTCTCATCCTGAAAGGTAAATAGATTTGTAAGCCCAAAGATCTCGCCTTTCTGATCTTTACTTTCTTGTACGCCTTTGAAATAACGACGCTCGTGGCTAGCGGTGTAGCCAATATTGGCCTGTTGCTGTTTGTAGATTTGCCTCGCGTACACAATTTCTTCGATGGTGCCGGCTGATATCAGGCGAAACACTTCGACATCCCTCACTTGACCGATTCGATATGCACGATCCTGGGCTTGCAGATCGTAAGCGGGATTCCAATTTGGATCTACAATGACTACTTTATTAGCTGACGTGATATTCAGGCCAACGCCGCCGGCTTTCGTGCTTATGAGGAAAACAAATTGGTCAGGATCACTGTTGAAATCGTCTACCGTCTTCGCGCGGTCTTCATATTTCATGGCGCCATCCAGATAACTGACATTGTACGTTGTGTGTTGGAAGAGCATCTGCAGCATCTTGAGTAGGCGGACTGAATGTGAGAAGACGAGGACTTTGTCGCCACTGTTGAACCAAAAGGTCAAGAGCTTTTTGAGTATTTTCCATTTACCGCAGAACTCTGGGTTTGCATAGTTCATGATACTATCTCTTGTCTTGTACAGCCGGCGCCATTGATCAGGAACAGCTACCTGAAGCATTTCAAGATCTTTGTCCTGTTTATCTTTCGGGTCATTTGACTGAGGTATTAAGATGGCAAGGTGATTCGAAACTTTCTGAAGATGTGCAATAGCAGGGAAGACGTAGGATTGCCATTTTCCGCCGTCTGGAAGAGTCTGTTGACAACACCAGCCAGTCTTTTTGCCTGAGCCACAGTAGCAGTCAGTAGCAGATTCTCTAATGTAGCGTACTACATCGCTATCGATCATATTTTCGTAAGCATCGGCCTGCGTATCTGTCAAGGGGCAGAAGACTACTCGATCGCTCTTCTTTGGCAATTGGTGCGCGATCAGTGTCTTCATTCGCCGAAGAAAAAATTGAGGCAGTAAGTTCTTAACAAGCCTCTCAGCTGTCTTCCTTGCTTTGGCCAATTGATACATAGTTGCTTCGTGAGATTGGCCCATTTTCAGGGGTTCGCTAACACTTTGCTTCCATGTCGATATGGGTCCGAACTTGCCTGGGTTTGTCCAATTCAATAGAACCCAAAGTTCATCATAAGAATTCTGTATGGCAGTCCCTGTGAGTCCAATGCGACACAAAGCATTGACTTCATTCATAGCCTGCGTGATTTCTGAATTTCTACCTTTGATCTGATGGCATTCATCTGCGATAATAGTGTCCCATTCAACCATGTTGATTGAGTCCTTGTTTAAGCGATACGTGGAGTACGTCGTTATCATGACTTCCAGCCTACCCTTTATTGCAGCCTCTAGGACTTCGTCTTTCGAAGAGCCGTGATATGTGTCTACGTGCCACCAGCCCCATCTATCGAATTCATTTTTCCAGTTTTCTATCAGACTCCCCGGACACACTACTAGCAGTTTGGGATACCATGGCGCTCCTGCTCTCCTCATTTTTCGCATTCGTTTTGCATCTCGTTCATCTCCTGTTTTTCCGAAAGCTGCGGTCAAGAATGCAATCACTTGAACAGTCTTGCCTAGACCCATGTCGTCACCCAGTATCCCACCAGTCTGGTAGACAAAGAGCGCGTGAAGAAAACCTGTCCCTTCAACTTGGTAGTCTCTTAGCCATTGAGCGATAGAAGCAGGTATAATTCCAAGAGATTTTGGTAGCTGTATATCTTTGTAGGGAGCAGAAGATTTTCCTTTCGAAAAATCCGGCTTTTCCTCCAGGTCTTCTAAGTTTTCATCATCAGAGAAATCGATTTCATCGTAGGTAGGCGGCAACTTCAACCCAGCGGCTTTGAGCTTTTCGTAACGACAGTCAAATTTCTTTCTGCGATTCTGGACGTAGTCGGGTAATGTGTATTCCATCAATTGGTCATCCTCAGATAGGTCATCATCCCACTGCCGTTCCTTCGACTTTCCTTTCGCTTTCGTAGATGGACGCCCTTTTTTCTTTTGGCTTTGACGATTTCCATTCTCGATTGCCTTTGCCTGCCTGGTACTTGCAGCAGCTTTCTTGCGCTTGACTGATTTCCGATTCTTGAATCTCTTGTAAGCTGCCTCACTATCTTCCGAAGAGGACCAGTCGACCCTCTTGCCTCTAGATTGGCCTCCATTCGTCTTCCGAATGCCTTGATGGCGACCTACTTGATCGTTGATGCCACCACCGTGGAGCTCCGTACGGTGACCCACATGCTGCTTGGGAATGATGCGTTCATTCAAATCCTCGTCTTCGGTTTCGGACAAGTCTTCCAGATCGTCGTTCATTGCGCATGCTGGCTTAGGAAATTGATGCAGGACGCGGGGAATGCGGAGCGCGTCAGAACTGCAAAACTGCATTCATGTCTTGGCATGGGGAAAGCGGCTGCAGCTTTTGCACGAATATAGTTCGGCGCTGATGGCAAATTAAGTCACTTTTCAAAGGCATCAGCAAAGTATATGAGGCTTTAAAGGCTGCTTGATAGCCTTTAGAGCTCGGAAGGGTAGCTGTAAAGTATAAAGTAACAGTGAGTACCAAAAATGCTCTGAGTGCCATCAGTATAAACTTCATAGCTCCTTAGACGTAAGTGGCAGCTGTCCAGCTCTTACTTGCTGAAAAGAGTCATACGAAGGAGATGCATCGATAGGCCTCAGTCTCTATATGTTTTATCACTTCAAACATTTCATTTCAAGAACTGCCAGTTGCTACCTCTATGGTCATTACGGGAAGCCAACTCATCTGGACCAGTGCATTGGTGTCAGACCGTACGCGACTTTTCTTTCATGTTTCATAGTCTTAAGTGTCTCGCTTCTACACAGAAGCGCTTATCACGACTTCCGCTCCAGAGGTTGAAAGCCCATTGCAGCAGCTCGGGGCGCAGGCTGACATATTCAAGGCCTCGAACTGAGCCTCAAGAAGGGTTGAAAGCTACGAGAAACGCTTCATTTGGCTTTTTGAGAGTGCCTTGTGAGAGTAAATCGGCTTTTTCAGTTCCTGAAGATATTTACAATAGTCTCGGACTTCTGACCGAAAGCCTGGCTCGAAAGGTGTGAAAGGGATCGCTTCTTGATACTAGATCCTTGAATTGAATATGCTATGGTGATTGGTGTCTGCACGAGGCTGTAAGAGATGTCTCGTCCGTAGAAGGTACCGTCCTTTGTCATCAATCGTGCACATGCTAGCAAAAGCCGTTGTCATGAGAGAATGTTCTGCCCTTTCTCACACTCATTATAAAGACGAAAGTCGGTAATCGGTCAGCTTATTCAGACAAAAGTCTTCTTGGTCAATCCCAACACATTCCTTGGGTAACGGATGTTTCCGAAAGGTAAGCGAGCAGGATGACAGCTGCGTAGCTTTAGGCTGCCAATGACGCGTCATTGTGTTGACGGACGTTTTATAAGACGTCTCTACAGCTTCATAAACCGTGCAAAAGACCGCTGTGTACTTCAGAACAGGGCGAGGACCGTAAAGAAGTGAAGGAACCGGCATCCTAGTCGTAGGCGCCTGCACAAAGGAGAAGCCTCATGCCCGTTTCAAAGGCCGAGCTATCACAATTTTGCTTCGTGCTACCGGAAAGCTTTGAGGCTGATAATCCTCTGGTTAGACTAGCGTTATGAAATATCTGACAAAGACACGTCAGATATGGTACTTCAAAATCAGCATGATAGACAATAAAAGCGGGTTCTAGTACCGAAGGTTCGCAACTTATGTTCATCATCAGCTTTCACCGTCCACGATTATGCCCTCTCTTCGTTCGTCGCTCCAGTCGGCATTCAATCCTTCGTTCACGCCACAGAGCCACACTATTGAAGCGCCTGACATTCAGTCCCTCATCAAGACCCTGCATCTCCAAGTGCATCCTGAAGGTGGCTTCTTCGTAGAAACCGATCGTGATCCCCTGCGAGTATCGAACCCTTTCACTCCCAACAGTGACTCTGACCCGACGCGTAACTCAAGCACGACGATTTTCTATCTTCTCACGCCTGGAAGTCCGCAGGGCCGTTTTCACAGAAACAAGGGTAGGACAGTCCACACGCTTCACCGAGGACGCGGGCGGTGTGTGATGATCCATCCTCCAAACGTAGACGGAGAGGATGGAGGGAAAGGGAGAATCGAGACATTTGTCGTTGGGCAAGATCTTGCCCATGGAGAAAGGTTGCAGTGGATCGTTGAGGGCCAGAAATGGAAAGCCAGTTTTTTATTGCCTGATGTGGACGATAGAGACAGTGGAGGATTGCTGATTAGTGAAGTATGTCCCTTACGCAGAAAGCGTGTCCGAAATGCTACTAGTTGAGATGAGAAAGCCGCTGATTTACTCGATAACAGACGGTGGTGCCAGGCTTCGAGTTCACAGATCATGACTTCTTGTCGACAGAAAAGTTTTTAGAGCTTGTGACTGAAGAGCAAGCGAGAGAGTTGAGCTGGTTGCTGAGAGAAGTCTGAAGATCGGATCGGACGAGTTGTAGCAATACCGCCGAATTCGGTGACGTCTGATAGATTTGAGAACAGAAGCAGCCTTGGCCTTTGATTACTAGCTAGCATTATTGTGAGGTATTTAGGGACCCAAAATGCGCTAGTATATGCTTGAAGCATCGGTGGTTCACATCTATCGACAAGGTTTCGAATTTACTACATGAATGAACGCACCACTGCGGAGCACGAAGTAGAACCCGTGCGCAACTGGTTGATACGAAAGAACGTTGCTGGCGACTTCTTCATAATCTTTCATGTGTTAGCTGAGTGCTTGTCTTGCTGTGGCGCCTCAATTGTCGCACCATTGGCCTCATTTTTGCTAGAGTGGGCTTGATGCGTCCCATGGCCTTACTGTTCGACTCTTTTCAATGACCTTCCTGCGCTGTGGGAGCTAGAATCTACGACTGGAGATGGATTCGCTGCCTCCAGATTGATGGAAAGTTCCTCATCTATGACGCGTCATTGACGTCTTGTCGGGCGTCAAGAGATTGGATGAAGCATTGTGTAATTCCACTTCAAAAAAGAAGGATAGATCCGGGGTTCCACTGGGCATGAGTGTTGAAAGGAAAAAGGCAGCAAAGAAGTTTAAAGACAAGGTTTGGGGCTCGTCAACATTATATAAGTCGTCAGTTCGTTAATGACACATGGTTCCAGCATACACATGACGCTCATTTCGAGGATTAATTGTGAGCTAGACGCAAAATGGCCATTCGAATCCTTTTTGACGATTCTAGATCACCTTTCGCCCTTGTTCACGAGCCCTGAGGGGTAATTCTTCCATCTGTCACGGGTAGAGATATTGCTGAGGAAATCAATCACTCATTCGTGAGGGGTTTCATCCTGACCATACTGACATACGACTAATAGGTTTCTATTTCTCTTGGTCGAAGTTGCAGTGGAACATTAAACGGAGCGCTATGAAAGCCTAGGCTGTCATAGTAGCTTTCTGTTGATTTAGCTGTCGATGCAAATCCCCTATATCTTCCTTGCAAACATTGTCTGATGTCTAGATATCTCAATCATCAGGATGCCTCGCGGCAGCGACTTATAGCTTGGCTGGAAAATTAGCAGTGATGGTGTTGAGGATTTTTTTGCTTCCTTTTCTAGGCTAGCATGAGCTGAAGCACTCGCTAATGTCAATGTCACCACCACAAATTGATATACGCCCAAGGCTAGGGGCATTTGTAGTTAGGTCCAGGGAAAAGGGGCTCGGGTAAATTTCGGATTAGTCAGCTTTTCGCGGCGGGTCCGCATCCGGCCGCCTGAATATGATAATTACGCACTTGTGACATCGTTTTCACATTGGCAGGTCATTGGCGCGAAACAACTTACGTTTCGTTCGCTCTGAGAGTACCCTGAAAAGACCCCAACTCGCGAAAGGATTGTACAAGGGTCTGCGATGGAAAATCAGTCTTAGAATGTCCATTCTACACCATGCCAGAGCTTAGAGTAGAAACGATCCACCAAGATCGAGCAAATCTTTTTCTGTGGATCTCAAACATTACGCATATTCCAGATCCTGACCAGAGCTCTTGACGATGCCTCTTGACACCTCCCTCTACCCTCTCACCCTCCTCCGCCCTGACGGCCGGCGCTGGAACGAGCTCCGCCGCCTGCACGCCCAAATATCCACCCAATCCGCCGCAGATGGCTCCGCCTACCTCGAAATGGGTAACACCAAAATTCTCTGCATAGTGACCGGTCCAAACGAGCCGCGAGGTGGCGGACAGCAGCGCCGCGAAGGCCGTGAGCGTGATGAAGCCCAGATCCATGTCGAAATCAACCAAGCCGGGTTCGCGGGGACGGACAGAAAGAAGAGGGGAAAGGGTGACAGAAGACTCATGGAAATGGGTAGTACGATCGCTTCTGCGATGGCGACGGCGTGCTTTTTGAACCTTTTTCCGCATTCGACTGTCCATGTGACGTTGCATGTGTTGAGTGTGGATGGGCCGGTGCTGGCGCCTTGTATCAATGCTACCACGCTCGCGCTGATTGATGCGGGGATACCGACGAGGGACTATGTATGTGCGTGCACGTGTGGGCTGAGCCCGCTGGCGCCGGGGGTCATGAGAAGGGAGGGGGAGAGTCAGGATCCTTTGCTGGATTTGAATGGCATGGAGGAAATGGAAGTACCATTTCTGACGGTGGCGACTTTAGGGGAGGAAGGGGATAAGGTCGTGGTGTTGAACATGGAGCGGAGGGTGAGGATGGAGGCCGTGGAGGGGATGTTGGCTACGGGGATTGAAGGTTGTAGGAGGGTGAGGGGTTTATTGGATCAGGTTGTGAGGGAGCGAGGGGGTGCCGTAATTGCTGCTGGCAGTGGGACTTGAAAGCGGAGGAAGAGAGGAGGATGCAGTGCAGTGCAGGCAAAATAATTTTCGAGACGCAGAATGATGGGTCATGTGACAACGAAAATAGATGGTTGACAAGTTGTGATAGTGGTGAGACTGCTTTTCTATCTTCCACTTACCTTCGGCTGATCCTCACAAAGGCCAGGTGGCCGTTGTATGGCCGAAAGATCGCTGCCGCCACTCCATGAAGTCTCCATGCTTTTAGCCTCCAATTTCAATTAGGCTTCACCGGAACCGGTGATGGTTGGGGGTGACTTGAACTTGATCGAACCACTACTGCTGCCAGTAGCCTCGATAGACTTCACGACATGCATTGACTCAGCGTCTGCGACTTCGCCGAAGACAACATGCTTGCCATCAAGCCAAGAGGTGACGACAGTAGTGATGAAGAACTGCGAACCATTGCTGGTAAGGAAGAGGTTGTCAGCATATGTCTTAAAAGGAAAGGAGAAGCGATGCTCACGTGTGTGGTCCCGCGTTCGCCATTGATAGCAGACCGGGTTTAACATGCTTCCTAGCGAAATTCTCGTCCTTGAATTTCTCGCCGTAAATGGATTTACCTCCAGTGCCCTTGAAATTGCAGCGTTAGCTACCAATGCTCACATTAAGCGGCTGCACCGATACTTACGTTGCCACGTGTGAAATCACCACCCTGCAACATAAAGTCCGGGATCACACGATGGAACTTCGATCCTGAGTAGCCGAAGCCCTTCTCTCCAGTGCAGAGGGCACGGAAGTTCTCGGCTGTCTTGGGGACAATGTCGTCGTATAGGAGAAAATTGATACGGCCAGTCTGACCTATGTGACATAGAGTCAGCTCGTTCTTGTATGTGACCGATTGTCTCGATGGTTTTGGAAATGGGTTGAGAGTGGAGGCTCACTTTTAACATCACTGGTGGGCTGGCCCTTGGAGTCCAACGTTGGACCTTCCCACGCAAGATCAAAGTATGTTTTGATGGCCATGGCTGGTCGTGATGATGAGAAGTTCCTGATAGATGGGAGTTGCTTGTGGAGTGCGTGATGTGTGAGGAGAGGTCTGGAGATGAGACGCGGGGCAGTCGACAGAAAAGTTGCAGTCTGGATGTGGGGCATGACGGAGCGATGTGGGGTAAGTCTGATTGCGGGACTGGGGCGAATTGACAATTGACAAATTATACGTTGAGAGCCGCCGGTGCGTCAAATGCTGGAGATCTGACGTGTGTCACTGCTGTCTCCAAGACGGTGTGCGGCCACTCGCTGTATGGGATTTGAGGGATGATCGATGCAATGGCGGGTCTCGATGGGGACGCACCTTTCTGGTGGGGAGCAATGGATCGCGGCTGGGAGACGACGGCTTCGGACAGAGGATGCTATTTACGGCAGCAAGCTCGACAAGCAGAAAGCAGATACAGGAAGTACGATCACGCCAACAATGCCTTCAATCCGAAATCATGATGTCAGTTCGCTCTAGGTCACGACGAGAACGCAAAATTTCGATAATTAGGGAGGCTGAGTCATCCCCAGCTCGATTGCTTCTGATTGGTCGTTTGCCTGTCTGAAATTTCTCAGCAGGAAAATCAAAGAGAAACGACTGTCTCGTGGACTCCCATTCAAGAATCTCTCTCAATATATACATGAATGTCGCTGCATTGAACCAATCTGTACCTTCTGTAAACCCGTCTCCAAATAGGGAAACGCCCCGCTAGTCACGTCTAGACATTAATCTTCCATTATATTCAAGAACGAATGTTATCCTATGCCAAATCTAGCCTTGTTATCGCTCCTGCTTTTCAGTTTTCACCTCGGACTTGCTTCTCGACTCTGTGGAAGACCCTTTGACAAAGTCGAAGTTCTTTGCCCCTTGCCCACCACCCGAGGGACTTCTCACCGTCGGCGTATTTGACTGGCTGCTGTAGTGTGCTACTTGCGGTGGCATCTGGCCGGTCTGTTGTCCCAAGAGATGATGTGGATAAGGGTCGAGATCTTTACTGGATGTAGAAAATGAGCTGACAACGGCAGCATTCTTTTCATTGTGACCACCACCGCCGCTACTATGTGGCGAGTGTACTGGGATATGTTCAGGCTTCGTAGGAGAGCGATTCTCAGGCGAGCCTTCTTCGCTTTCCTCAGGACCACCCTCGATGCTGAGGGAACCAAGGCCCCCTTCTATGTCTCGTAACAAACGGACGTACTCCTCTGGTACGAGGCCGGCGTCGCCCGTCTTGGGATCTTCTCCCACCAGCCAGCCCTGGCCGTGACGATAAGAGACCCAGATAATCTGTCCTTCGGCAAGAGGTAGCTCGTTCTCATTTTCTCGTTCAAAATCGAACAAGGCCACGGCTTTGCCATGCATCTCCTCATCTGGAGAGGCGATCGTGAACTGGTAGTCCCGCGAGTACCGCGAATCATTACGTTCTGGTATACCTAAGCTGTCCTCTTCTGAGTCGTCAACTTCACCAAATCCAAAAGCTTGGTTGAGCCTGCCTTGCTGGGGCTGCGATACTTGTTGCCGATATCTATTTGGTGCTAGCGTAGACTCCCGCGGACCATCCGGAGGGTCAGGAATCAATTCACCTCCAGGACCATCTGCGCTTTCATCTTCATCTCGATAGTAGGAAGTTTTAGTGCTATCCTCACTGATGCCGGTTAGGAAGCTTCTCCGCTCGTGGCGATCAGCCTGTTCAGAACCTTCCTTGCCGCCTTTGCTTTTTCGACTCCTTGAACTCTTGACAACAGGGCTATGTAGGTCTTCATCTTCGCTATAGGGAGGTCCATCTCGATACGCCATCTGCGGTAATGGCGGCCCTGCAAAATAACTCTCTCCTCCCCCCCATGCACCACCACCATCCCACGCAGTACCTGCAGGATCCGACAGTCTCCGATGCCGATCACTCGCCGGTGTCGAACTCCCAGATGCAGGCTCGGACGGTGTGGGTGGTGGCCCATAGTGACAAGGGTGGGCGACTGGGTAGGCGAAGTCACGGACGAGAGAGTAAGGTAGACTAGAATGAAAGATTGGAAAAGCCTGCGATATCGGCCGTGAGCCTCGCTCTGACAACTTCGAGTTGACGGAATAGGTCGACATCCGACTTTTGGCGTAGGATGGCGGTCGCTGTAGAGGGGTTCTTCTCATTGATTGGTTCAGATTCAGTGGCGCAAGTGAAGAGGCGTGAGTACTTGATCTTGCTGGCTGTCCCTGGTGAAGTGAAGGTGAATGAGGAGAAGAGGGTGAGTGTGGAGGCGACGCTACGGCTGCCATGGTTTTTATATGTCTTTCTTGTGCGGACTGTGGAATCTGCCTCGAAGCCTCGTTCCCCGCTGCCTTAATAGTTTTATATTATTTGCTTGCCAACATGTGCTGGCCCAAAGCTAATGTATACCGCTCCGAATGATGGAATCTCTTGATGACCGGTTCAACGCAAGTGCGGACTTTATTAACGCCCCAGATGGAAGGGTCAACCTTCGGTGCTGAATAGAAACAGACCCGCTGTAAGGACGAGAAAGCGAAAGGTTCGCTGCTCGAGAATGAGAAGAGGATGCCAGTGCAGTAGCCCTCCCGGAGTTGCAGTGGATACTGTTGTGCCAAATGGCCGACAAGCGCTCGTCGAGGCCTTCAAGTGCGGCGCAGATGGGTCCCAGCCAATTGGTTTGCGGAGTTTGGCGCAGACTGCGGGTTGCGAAGCGCATTCATATGTGGGCCTTTATGCGGGCGAGGTATAGGTCGCTGATGGTTCGAATGGGAGGGAAAGATTTGGCACTCGTGCTGCTTGAGAAGAAGCAGGCAGAGGCAGTTTTGTGGACGAGATAGAACGTTGTTTATTTTTAGAACATTGGGCGATTTGTCGAGGCGGCCAGTCTTGCCCGGTAGAAGACGTCTTTCAGCCTCCACACGCATCCGATTAGTTAAATACTCTTTTTCCAATCTTTTCTTCAGCCCCTTTCTACCAGTTTCATCCACGTTCCGGTGATTTCATTCCACCGAGTCAGCTAAACTTGCCGTCCTCACGCTGGGCCCTAACTGCCCTGAGGTACGACCACCAGATGATCGGCTAGGGCCGTTTCAGAATCCAGTCCGATTGTGCCCCGTTTCAAAGAAATCGCCAATCCTCCAAATTTCGTCGACACGAATTCATCTTCGGCGTGGTACATGGTATATAGAAAGACGGGAGGACACCCGAGCGTGTCATGATGTTCTCGGCAAGGGAGCTGTGAATTACAGGGTATGAAATCACCCTGCCACATATCTGGCTCAGAATGATGAGTTTTCATATTGGAGCTGTCCTATCGACTCACGAAATGAGGACAAACAATTTCACGGAAGCTAAAACTTCTCTCTGACGACTAAGCAAAGCTCTAACAAGCATCATTTCCTTGAAGGACGCTTGAGCTGACTCATGGTTGACGTAGATCGCTGTGGACCATCTGGTGTCGGAGAATTCTTGCAGTATGGCAACCGATCCACGTCGAGCTCACCTTGCGGACCCACGTCGAGCTGCTGCTGCTACGCCTACCCCTCCACCACCTCCAATTCTGCCTTCTCCAATATCCAATTTGGCAGGGAATGATGCCTCGAACGGCATCCCAGCTGTGGTGCCACAAAGCGAGTTCGAAAGCAGACTCAAATTTTGCACCGTCTGCGCCAGCAACCAAAACCGCTCAATGGAAGCCCACCTGCGTCTCGCCACTGCCTCATATCCCTGCATCTCCTTTGGAACAGGCTCCTTAGTCCGCCTTCCAGGCCCTACCATCACCCAGCCCAACGTATATCCCTTCAACACTACATCATATCGCAGCATGTACGACGAGCTCTCTGCCAAAGATCCCAGACTTTACCGGGCGAATGGCCTGTTGAACATGCTTGAACGTAATCTAGGTGTGAAATGGGGCCCCGAGAGATGGCAGGATTGGTCGATCGGTGCGCCAAGGCTATCCCACCTTGAGAAGGGTGACAAAGGGGCCCAAGGAACAGAGGCAGGAGTGGTAGACGTAGTCATTACATGTGAAGAGAGATGTTGGGACGCAGTTGTGGATGATCTACTAGCTCGAGGGGGTGTACTGAATAAGCCGGTCCACGTCATAAATGTGGACATTCGAGACAATCACGAAGAAGCTCTGGTGGGAGGCAGGGCAATTCTAGACCTGGCGGACAGTCTCAACGAAGCCGCCAAATTGGAAGCCGCTTTGGATGGCCAGAGCCGTGGAGATTTCGACGGCAAGGTACCAGATGTCTTGGCGGAGTGGCAGGAAAGATGGCCTCAGTTACCGGCGCTCTGGACTTTATGCTGGTTTTGAAGAAAGTCGCTGATTTAGTAGGGCGTTGGATGATGGTCAAAGATACCCACGAGTGTGAATCCAGATGCAATTTGAATCCATGATAAAGGAATCTTCAGCCACTAGCTGAATAATGCTCCGACGCTCATTTTGATTTCCATCTCACCCTTCCAACCCATTTTGCCCAAGTTTGGATGTCCTCCCGGTCCATCAGCTTCTCGATGCTCCACCACTGCTTTGCCAACTCCTCATTGGTCGCTAGTCTGTGGACGAAGCTATGACATGCCCTACACAGCCATGCTACGCTTTCCAAGCGCCACTCTTCGTGCCAGCCTCGTTTGATGGCTTTTGCTTGCACTTGACGAGGGATCAAGTGGTGGTACGTGAGGGGTATCCAGTCACGCTCGCAGATCTCGCAAGCTGTTGCTCGCTTAGCAGGATCGTTTGGATGTGGAGCTTTCACAGCCCCGCTGATGTATTCCTCTAGCAGTGGGAGGAGAAAGTTCGGTATATCATCCGAGGATGGCAAAAAGGAGTATGCTACAAGCGAATCGACCACTGAGGAGGGAATGACAGTGATCAGGTAGGCGAACGTTTCAGGGAGCAGCGGGACATCATATTGTGAGGCCAGTATGCTATCATTGTTGATAGTGGCATAGGATATGTCTCGGAGTTCGAGTGGAAGGGCAGCAAACACTTCGGTGGCAAGATACTACGACAACGATTCAGCAAAATACTAGGCGAGAGCCGAGATGATTGTACATCAATGAAGTCTGCTAAGTCTGCAGCATCATCATTCGATTCTGTCGGACTATCCAAAGCTGGAGAGTGTTTCTTCTTGCTGCCCTTTTTCCGGCTTTTATTTTCCAACCCAATTGATCTTGCTATGACAGGGTCTGCTATACTGTCTCGCAGAATACAGTAATTGATCTGCTCTTGACTGCTGAGCTGCATAACCGTTACACCGTAGGGCAGCTTCCGAATTCTCGTCGTTAAACGGTGGCAGGTGGGACCGAGCACCTCCGCTGTAATTGGCAACGATTCTTGCTTTTAGATTTGGCTCCGGCCAACGATGCACATGCAGCACGAGTGGGCCGTGGCTAGCAGGAGTGGGGTGGGAATGGAGCTGTAGGTATCAAGTATTTTCACGCTCACACCAGGTACATCTGCCCACCAAGTAGCGTTGAAGATTTGTGAAGCAAGTATTATGTATTGTCCATTATTGCTTAAATTTATTACCTTCTTCAATGCTGGGGCGGACTCGAATTCCTTGATTTGCTCCGCAGTGATCCCGCCAAAGGACCTAGAACTAGAACAACCTTGACAAGCCAGCGGGTATTTCCGAAGCTCCCCCTGCTCGCCGCCTCAACGCCCTCGATTCGTTTCTCTGCATATTTCCCGCGGTACATCTTCAACTCGCGGGCCTTTCGATTCACGAGCTCATGCAGCTTGAGCCGCACGGGTAGGCTGTCCATTGGCCCTTCGGCTGTACGACTGCATCAGAAAACCGAGGAATGGTCAACATGATGTCCCATCTTTCCTCTCGCGCTGGGGAGCAAAAAGCGAAAGACGCGGTTCAGGAAGCCTCCCAAGGAAAAGCATCCTCTCAAGATGCCCAGGACATCATGGCGGCCGAGTCAAAGAAGGCAGGCATCCCAGCAATGCAATTCGATCCAAATGCTTCGCCAGAAGAAAAAGCTGCCCAAGCACGATCCGTGAGTCCTGCACCGAATTCTTGCCCAAACCGTAAGATTAATACGGCCATCACAGCGTGTTCCTGAAGGCTTTCATCATGACCGAAAGCCGAAAGCTGTTGGTATAGTGACAGACGCTGTAAATTCCCCCAGCGCCTTGGCTTAGCTGTCTACTTATTATGAGAACAGGACGACGGCACCCCAGATCAGTATGACTTGCCTCCACCAAGTAAAGAAGGCGCTGTTCCTCCCTCGCCCACAGTTGATGGAAAGCCTGCCCAACTTGATGGTCATCTGAGCCACGACGACGCCGCAAGATACGAGAAGACTGGGTGGGCGCCTAGATTCGGGCAAGGTGATTTGACTGAAGAGGAGGCCGGCGAGAGTCTGCTCGATCATCAAACGTATCTAGAAGGACGCCTCGACGACAAATTCTTCGGGGACTGGTATCACAACGCTGCAGTCATTGCCTTCGCATGTATCAGCTCATGGGTTGTTGCTATCCTAGGAGGTGGTCTGGGCTGGGTGTTTCTGATAATGGCCGCTTGTGGTACCTATTATCGTACCTCAATACGTCGAGTTCGTCGCAACTTTCGCGATGATGTGAACCGGGAAATGGCAAAAACTAAATTGGAAACAGACACTGAAAGTCTTGAGTGGATCAACAGTTTCTTGGTCAAATTCTGGCCCATCTACGCCCCGGTATTGTGTGACACTATCATCAATTCGGTGGATCAGGTCCTCAGTACAACAACGCCAGCCTTTCTTGACAGTATGAGAATGAAATTCTTCACGCTTGGCACGAAACCTCCTCGAATGGATCATGTCAAGACTTACCCAAAAGCAGAGGACGATACGGTCCTAATGGATTGGAAGTTCAGCTTCACCCCAAATGACACAATGGATCTCACTGCTCGGCAGCTTAAGAACAAAATCAATCCCAAAGTTGTACTAGAGATCAGAATTGGTAAAGCCTTTGTCAGTAAAGGCATGGATATCATAGTTGAGGACTTTGCGTTCTCGGGTCTTATGAGAGTCAAAGTCAAGCTGCAAATACCATTCCCGCACATTGAAAAAGTAGAGATCTGCTTCTTGGGTAGGCCTGATATCGACTATGTTTGCAAACCATTAGGCGGCGACACGCTTGGCTTCGACATCAACTTTATACCAGGCCTCGAAGGTTTTATTAAGGAACAAATTCATGGCAATCTTCAGCCTATCATGTACGATCCGAACGTTTTTCCCATTGAGATCGCCAAAATGCTCGCGGGTAACCCTATCGATCAAGCAATTGGTGTCCTGGCGGTCACAATACACGGAGCTCATGGTCTTAAGAACCCCGATAAATTTGCCGGGACGCCTGATCCTTACTCCACCGTCTCTCTCAACGGTCGTGACGCGCTTGCCAAAACAAAGACTATAAAGGAAAATGCAAATCCTCGTTGGAATGAGACACTTTACGTGATCATCACTAATTTGACGGATGCCCTCACACTTCAACTTTTCGATTTCAATGACTACAGGAAAGACAAAGAGCTCGGTACTGCGAGCTTCGCACTAGACCAATTGGAAGCCGTCACAGAGCATGAGAACCTGCAGCTCGAAGTCATGGCGAACGGAAAAGCGCGAGGTGTAGTCCAGGCGGATGTGCGCTACTTCCCAGTTCTGGAAGGGAGAACATTAGAAGACGGCACCCAAGAGCCTGCACCAGAGTCAAATACTGGTATCGCCCGCTTCACCGTCGAGCAGGCTAAGGATCTTGACGGCACGAAGAGTTTGATTGGTCAACTCAATCCGTATGCAGCCTTGATCCTCAATGGCAAAGAGATTCACCAAAGTCGAAAGTTGAAACGAACTAACAATCCCATATGGGACAATGGGTCTAAAGAATTTCTTGTTACTGACCGTAAAAAGGCTAGACTTGGCCTCGTTGTCAAGGATGATCGCGATCTCAGTCAAGATCCAATTCTCGGAACCTACCAGATCAAGATCGACGACATGATGAACCTTATGGAGAAAGGCCAGGAGTGGTACAATCTTGCTGGCGCAAAAACGGGTCGAGCAAAGATGATGCTTCAATGGAAGCCCGTAGCTCTGACAGGAGCAGTTGGCTCGTCAGGCGGCTACATCACCCCTATAGGTGTCATGCGTCTTCACTTCATCAGCGCCAATGATCTTCGCAATGTTGAGACGATGGGCAAGTCTGATCCTTATGTGCGAGTGCTTCTATCTAGCATCGAGAAGGGCCGGACTGTCACGTTCCAAAACAACCTTAATCCAGATTGGGACGAAGTCATATACGTTCCCATCCACACGGAGCGAGAAAGGCTTACCCTTGAGGTCATGGACTCGGAGAATATGGGCAAAGATCGATCTTTAGGTTTGATCGAGCTTGCTGCTTCAGATTACATGCACAAGGCAGATAATGGCGAATATGAAATTCATGACGAAAAGCGAAAGCAATCTCAGCCACTTCGGATGTCAGGCAAGGGTCAGGCAAAAGGAAGGCTCAACTTTACTGCTTCTTTCTTTCCTACTTTGAACGTAGCAGATCCTGAAGACGAAGAAGCCGAGAAAAAGGTCCAAGAAGAAATGGAGGGCAAGCCGTCGCAGGATGGTAGACCATCTACAGACAGCAAGCGTCCAAGTATCGAAAAGACCCCTTCGAGGAATGGTGACGCCGGTAGTTTCAATACGACCTTAGCAAAGCAGATGGCCACCAACGAAAAGGAACAAGATGAGAATCAAGCCGAGATCAAAGAAGTACCCAAGCTCCGACTATCTCCCGAAGAGCTCTTGAAACATGGTAAAGTTTCCCAGTCCAAACCCGCTCGATCATCATACTGACGTTCGTGGTCCCAGAATCGGGCTTAATCGTTTTCCAACTTATTGAGGGTACCTTAGCTCATTCAAACGTTCGAGTGGAAGTCGTCATGGATGACATGGTCTTTCCCTCCTATTCTTCGTCGAAAGCACGCTCCAGGCAGACTCAATTTGGCGAGACTGGTGATGCTATGGTCAGAGAACTTGATGTGTCAAAAATAACGCTTCGTTTGATGGAGAAAGCTGACAAAAAAGGCGAGGGCGGTGATGAAGACATCATCGCCAAGTTGCAAGGGCAGACAATCGATGTTTTGCAGCGATGCCTTGTAAGCATTTCTTCAAAACTGGGCATCCTAATTGCTAATTATCGCTAGTATAAACCCACTGAGTTCGTGCTAAAAGGCCAGGAGGGCGCAATCAGTAAGATCACCGTTAGCGCGAAATACATACCCGTCAAAATGGACCTTGATCCGAGCGAAAGCATGAACAACATGGGTACCCTACGCGTCGACGTTTTAGATGGCGCTGACCTCCCAGCCGCTGATCGAAATGGATACAGCGACCCTTATTGCAAATTCAACCTCAACGGGAAGGATGTGTACAAAACAAAGATTCAAAAGAAGACGTTACATCCGTCATGGAATGAGTTCTTTGAATGCCCGGTCAAATCCAGGACCGCGGCCAACTTCAAGGTCAGTGTCATGGACTGGGACTTTGGTGATAAGGCAGACCTACTTGGTAGTGCAGCTATCAACCTCGAGCTGCTTGAACCTTTCAAGCCGCAGGAAACGGTCCTTACGTTAGACGGCAAATCTGGCGTTTTGCGCCTGAAAATGCTCTTCAAGCCAGACTATGTGACAAGATCTCGGCAAGGCTCATCGACCTTTTCCGGCACCTTCGAAACGCCAGGCAAAATTGTGGGCGCACCAGCCAAAGGTGTAGGTAAGGTCGGCGGTGCCGTAGGTGGAGGTGTCTTGAAGGGAGCTTCATTCGTACGTCGCGGCTTCAAAGGCAAAAAAGACACTAGTAGTGAAAGTAACGGGTTTGCGGAACCACCAAAGGAGGAAATTCTGGTCAATGGTGAAGCAGAAACCTCACAGCAGGACCACTCTTCGCCCAAACCTGATCGCAGTCCCTCGACACCTCAGCACAAGCGCCACTCCAGCTTCGGAGCCGCATCAATCGCCAGCCGTGGCGACGCTACACCTTCAAAAGCTGAGTCCGGCACGGCTCAATTCCTGGTATCGTCCGTCTCCGGATTCTCTGGCGCAGCCAAACTGCAAGTCCACGTCAAGCAGGTACATGGCAAAGGTACGAAGGAAGTTCATAAAACGAAAGGCGTAAAATCTACCGACGGTTCAGCTGAATTCATAAACGAAATGTTCAAAGTCTCATGTACGCCAGATACGCAATTTCAGATCCAGGTCAAAGACGACAAACTTCTCGGTGATCGCGAGCTAGGTGAAGCTTTGTTCTTCGTGTCGGATTCGGCGTCCACGGGACTGGAGAAGACTGTCAAGGTTGGAGAGGGAGAGGTTACTCTTACGACGACGTTCATGCCTGCTGCTGAAGGTAGTCTTCTAGAGAGCCCAAAGAGCCGGCGGAGTTTCTTGAGTAAGAGGGATAGGAACGTTAGTGGGCAGTCTGTACAGTAATGAGGAGACCTGTGGATCTTTGAGGCACTCGAGGTAAAGGGCTGCCGTCTGTGAAGGACACTACGTTTTTTGCTGTTGTTGATCTTTCTGAGCGTGTTTATTGATACCACTTAAGGCGTCTTTCTTGTAATTACTATAAGGAAGAGAAAGGGAGGAGAGGAAAGGAGCTGAGTATAAAAACAAATCGGAGGAAAAGCCTGGTAGATATCTTCAGCGGCACTGTCTTGAATGCAGTCCACGCTTGCCCTTAGTATGAACCACGGGGGATCTTGCTCTCAATATTATCATCATACTCGACTTTATTTAGATATTGTCATTATGACTGTTGCGGTATTCAACACGCACTTTGTATTGTCAAAGTAGTTGGACACTTCGAGATTAAGGTCATCGAGACCTCGAACATTTGTCTCTTGTTTCCACCCTCAGCGACATCATGACCTAGAGCGGCGCAAAGAAGAACTCCAAGCTCATTTGGACAGTAGGTATGTGCCTCTCTGACTTCAATTAGCTAATACGTAACGTGGAGTATATTCACTCTCTGCCGCAGGCTCCTTCCTCTGTAGTTCCTGATGCACTCAATACCGTTTTGCGTGAACTACGTATAGAGAAATCTCACAGCAAGTCCAGTAAAGCCAATAAAATGGACGCTTCAGAAAGAGGCGACTTCGAGGTGAGGTGATCATTCATCAATACATGGGTATATATATATACAGGCGTAGCACTAGCGACAGCCGTTCATTTGAAATATAGACACATAGCCAGCCACCAATGCAAATGCCAGTGCAAACAATCGCTCGCTAGCAGACGTGACACCTCTTCCCCATCCACCTAAAAATGCTCTTTCCAAAACTTAAACCTCACATCCGAATCCGTCACCCCTTTACACGCACTCCGGATCTGCTTCGCAGCCGTGTTCGGCCCGCAGAAATACACGCCCACTTCCGCTTTCTTCCTCGAGGCCTTCTCCTTCCCCGTGGTCTCCTCGAGCGCGCCCCCGAGGTAGGTGCTATCCCTGATGCCGTCCTTCATGGCAGCGAAGAGCTTCTTGAAGTCCGGTCGCCCGAAATTGGTCCGTGCGGAGAGGTTGGTGAGGGGATCTTTGTCCATGCCTACGGTGTTGAGGTGGACATTTGCCTGTTCGTCGGCGTCGAGTTTTTGGGTGAGGTAGGTGTGTATACGAAGGAATTCGGGCCCAGCGCCTGACTCGGATGCGGCTTCTTGGGATTGCTCCTCGAGACTGGAGAGGAGCATTTGGAACCATTCGAAGGATTTGGTGTCCCTACAGATCCAGATGAATTCTACGCGTTTCAGTCGAAGAGGTGCATTAGGACGGCTGCGGTGGTTGAAGATGTTTTTCAGGTTGCTTGCCCAGGGCGTGACGCCGATTCCCGTGCCAATGAGAACGGCGATTTCGTTCTCGAAGACATCTTCGGCAGGCGCACCGTAGGGTCCGTTGACCCGGATGGCGGGCATTTCTTGATTTGGCATGAGGGCTATTTCGTACATGCCATCGGCGTCGAGGCCGCATTCGCTCACTTGGGTTGGTCCGGCACCGACTGCGTCTCCCAGCGCACGAGTCCAGTCGCCGACTTGGCGGACGTGGATAGACGTGTATGAGTCAAAGGGGCAAGATGTGATGGTGAATGGATGCCACTGCGTCGTGCTGACCTCCGGCACATTGACAAGGATCCACTGGCCCGGTTTGTAAGTCATCGACGGCTTCGAGAATTGTATCTCGAGTGCGTCGTAAGGGTGACGGATGACTCTCTCTATCCTGCACGCTCTCCGCGAGTCCCATTCGCGATACAGGCGTTCACAGAGATACAAGCCACCACCAATGAGCTCCCATCGCCAACCTTCGTACCCAATGCAATGCGACCAGAATGGAGAACCGGCAAAGGGCGAGTATGGCTCTGTCGAGTCGCGGACAAAACAGCCAGTGGCATGAGTGTAAAAGGCCAGGAGAAATGGTATGAACAAATGGTGAGTGTACCAGAATGCCTCATAGCATTGCTGCCGTATCCGCACGTGGGCGGTTGTGAACATGAAGAGCATGCAAAGCAGCATGACGTGGCCAGTGATACCGCCGGCTTGCGTGTAATGTATCTGGACCGCAGATTCCGGACGAACTTGGTTGCGTTCGACATTGAAGAAGCTAAGATCATGTCAACCAATAGGCGCAGATGAGGAAGTGCCACGCTTACTTGACATAATGGGCCGAGACGTGGATGGTGGTGAAGAAGAGTATGGAGTATGCCACCTGCCGATGAAACCATTGGGACTCGTCCAATGGCAGCCATCTGACTTTTGGTCTGATAATTCTCAACAGATTTTTGCACATCGGTAAGACAATAATCATTCCATCCACCGATAGCGCCAAGCCTGCGCCTCTTGAGATCCAGACCGAGAATGTGAGTGTATTGAGGCCGGCTAATCGTTGATCTGTAATTTGCTTCCACCTGAGCGCATGTCAGTCTTCCGCCTTGAGATTTCTTCCGATGCAACGTACCATCCTACAGCGAATAATGCTACGTGCATACCATGAAATAAAGCAATGAAAAGCAACATGCGACCCGTCAACTCCTTGCTAAACCATCCTGACTGTTCTACAGCCATGGTGGTGTTTTCCAAATGTCGTTGCCAAATTCAATATATATATGGCGAGAGTCTCGCTCTTTCGCAACCACGAATGCTTTTCTTTTTCCCTTTGGCGCTCAAATGCAATGTCAAGAATGTTGGATATTATTGCCCAAAGGGCTTAGCTGTGGGTGTGTGCTGATAGTGGGGCTGGGGCACTGGAAAAAGTCCCAGTCGATTTGTCCCATTCACTTTGCTCGAAGAATCGGCCATTAGCTTCTCATGGCAATGTATATAGCAGTGTCCTCTCTTCCTGAATGTCGAGCCAAAGTGCCAGCGTCAAAGGTCTGCAGAAGAAAGGAGGTCTCGCTGGGGGACGGTGACACAGGAGACCTTGTACGTAGACGGGACGAATGCGCACTGAGTTATCCTCCTTCTTCTTCTTCAGGAGACTTCGGTCGCAGTCGAGTGGTGAATGGCCTGGGCAAGAATCGGCCCGTGTGAAGAAACAGCGACGCCGAAGGGCTCTGCGTTTAGCGGCTCTCGTCTAGCGGCTGGTGATATGGTGATATCGGGTGGGAGAAGTAGTGGCACCAGGTGGTGCCAGTTAGGTGGAACAATGACGAGGTGCGCTTCCTTGCAGGCTTAGTCTCGATATGGGGCGCGTGCGCGATGCATAGAATAATGATAAGTTGGGGGGAATTGGAACGCCAAAGGGCGGTGGGGATGCAGATCAAGGGAGAGACTTTTCACGTGAATTGTGAAAGGGACGACAGCAAGCAATTCCTCTTGTGGACTAATCAAGCCACGGTACCGGTATCACACGGGTCAATGAAGACGCGGTGAGGGAGCAAGATATGGCAAATGCCACACGGGCAAAACGGCCGCCATTGTGGTGGCTCCAGGGATTGTGGGTATTCTGGGAGAGGAGGGGATGGGGGTCGATACATTTACCGCTGTGCTATTCTGGACTAAAGACGTGATGGGTATTACGTGCATCCATTGGGTGTGAGCAGGGGAGATAGTTCGAAAAGCGACCAATGGGATAGAATGGTGTAGCCGCTGAGCAGGGGACGCTACTGAATTGACTCTAGAGAGTCTAGAGCTTCGCAAGAATAATGACGACGACGTTATAGCTCATCAATGGTGTAGCGTGATGCAGCAATCAACGTAGCGGTAGGTCACAGTACTCTTGCTGCGATCATGACATACGATGTCAAGTAGTAGGGATGAGTATATGGCTACAGGAAGGCTGGTCAGGTACATTAGACGTTGGTCGCTGGAAATAGCAATCGCACATTGGGTTTTGACTTCCTGAACCGTCCCCGCAATCTTGATCTCTTGTCAGCCGTTGGTTGGTCACAATGGGAGCTGCTAGCACACGGCAACTAAAACGGGGCGGCTATTTCCACTCCCAGCATCCCATCCCATCAGCCAGTCAACGATTCCCATCCTTCCCTGCATGCATTAGTCCTGCCCCCGATCTCGCACGCCCATCAACGGAACAGAAACAATGATTGCATGCACACCCTGGTCGCTTACCAAATATTGCTATCGTCGAGTCTGCTGGTTGGGGATGGCGCCAGGATCTGGGCCTCTGCTGAGGCCAAGCTCCTCGAGGCTTGTGTCTTGTTGCACACCACTTCACTCACTCCTTCTCAAAGGATCATACAAAATTATAGAGCGAAATAGAATAATCAGCGTCGCAGACCTATTTGCAGTATACATTGCCACTCAATAATCCAACACCTCAACTCCACCCCCACTATCGTCCACCTACCTACCCCTCGTCACAAGCACCTCCACATTGGGACAATGCTCCAATCCCAACGATAACCACAACTCCGCGCCCTTCGAACCTCCCATCCCATCTCCAACTCCCACCACCTGCCAAAACATACACACAGCCAAAAATGGGCAAACTAATCAAAAACCACTGGGCCCGCCTCCTCATCCTCACCGCCGCCTTCTACCAAACCCTGGCCTCCATCTACGCCTTCTTCTGGCCCAAATTCTTCTTCGACTTCCTGACCACCAACCTCGACGGCTGCGTCAAACCCATCCCCATCCTGCAACTCATCAATCTCTTCCTCGGTCTGTTGGGCCTGGCGTGGGAATGGCCATTACCACTGTTCACAAAGGCCGCGAAGGCGAGCTCGGGTGCGAGCAATAAACGGGGCGGAAGTGTCGCTACAGCGGGCAGGGGTCATCATGGTCGTGTGGGGATCAAGCATGGCTCGCAATCAACGGTGGGGAAGGAGGAGACCCAGAGGGAAGGGGCGAGCGCGTTGCAGGTGGTGCTGGCGGGCATGCATAGGAGTATTGAGGCGAGGCTGATGGTGTATCCGCTGTCTTCGCTGGCGGCCCTGCTGCTGTATCAGGCCACGAATGCAGGGCTGTACTATATCATCGGCATGGTTGTCTATTTCTGGGCCTTCAGCGAGGGCGAGATTGTGATGGGCACACCCTGGACCTTACCAAGACGGGGAAGGGCAACAGTACTCAGAGGCAAGGTTTGAGCGCGTTTCTCATACTAAGCTAATAATGCATCGATTATCTAAAATGATATCTCGATAATCATAACCTGCTCACATACCCTGCGCGCCGGCTCTCATCATGCCGAAAGCGGAATCCCTGTTGCCCTTAGAGAAATGTATATGGGCGGCAGAGCTGCTCCTTGACTTCCTCGCGTCACAAGTACCTTCTATCCGATGTCGTGCGCTCGTATCATCTCAACATTGCCTGGCGTTATTCAATGCGTTAGTAGGTACTCCACCGCTCCCTGTACGCTTCCTCCCGTACGCCTCAATGCTTCCACATTCCGCTCAAATTCGTAGAAGCCCATATCGTTCAGTTGCCTCAGCTGCTCCGCATAGCGCTCCTCCGGCGGTCTATCATCTTGAGGCTGAGGGGGGGCGTTGAAGCCGCCAAGCCCGCCACCGTTGAGGGCACCCATTGCTTGAAGAGCTGCGAAAGGATTATACTGCGCTTGTTGTGGGTTAGCTCCACCAGCATTTGGATTGTTCGGCCCAGGCAAGGCACCAGCCTGGCCAAGGCCCATTGATGCCATCATCTGCTGCATCATCTGTGGATTCTGTGCGAACATTTGAGATGTGGCTGCAAAAGGATTCTGGGCGGCTTGTTGCCCTTGTTGTTGCGGCGGATTTTGACCCGAATTTGTAGCTGTTGCTGGTGTGGGACTTGGAGCTCCTTGTGACTCTGCCTGCCTCGAGTCTCCTCCCATTGGTCCCGAACCTCCGGCAAAAATAGAGGCAAAGGGGTTTGCGGCCGCACCAGCTCCTGCACCTGTTCCAGCAGCTGGATTGCCGAACATTGCGAACGGATTAGGCTGTGGTTGCGGTGGCGCCGAGTCTTGATCTTGCTGTCCCTCTGCCGCATTGCCTCCGCCTTCGGCAGTCCCTGGCATGGGAAATGCTTGATTACCACCACCAGCTCCGCCCATACCTCCCATCCCGCCGAAGAGGCCAGGCATATTCCGTCTCATGTTCATCATACTTCTTAAGGTTTCTGGGTCTGTCATCATTCTCCTAAAAGCTGGGTCCCGTAGCATTTCACGAGCCTGCTGTGCCATGGGCCCTTGAAACATGGGATTCATTCGAACCATCTGCTCTATCACGTCGGGGTTGGACAGAGCTTCGCTAAATTGGGAAGCAAACTGAGGGTTCTCTAGCATAGATGCGAACTGGTCCGGATCAGGCGGAGGGCCCATCTGTGGCACTTTTGTCAGACAAACGTAATCATTAGACCAATTAAAGATCGAGCTGACATACCCCTCCATCAGGACCGAACATGTTCGCATTCGGCATCTGTGCATACCCTGCGTATCGTGCCCCTGTAAGAGCAGCAAGTGGATCCCTGCCTGTGCCAGCCGCTATATTGGTAGGTACACCACCTGCGGGTGGTGAACTTCCGGGGACATTGCTTGTCCCTGAATTGGGCGGGTTCTGCCGTTGGTTACTAGCTGCTCCTTTGACCAGGTGTATTGTGTTCCCCTCTTTGATCTTGTAAGATGCGAGGGTATCCGCATCCTTGAGCACACGGCCACTGTATATCAATCGTTGGCGGTCAGTCGGGATGTCTGCATAGTCCGAGGTAGATAGTTTCTGTTTGAGGTCTGAGACAGTGGTAGACAGTGGAATCGTTATGACATATTTCGCATCGGCAGACGACTTGATATTGAAGGTGACAGGAGTTTCATCAGTATTGGGGGCGTCGTCTGACATGATGGCGGTGGAGGAAGAACGAGCTTTCTGTGACCACAAGAACCGGCGGGAAGGGGTTTGAGACGCCGTACAATATCTTCAGTCTTTCATTCAAGCACCTGTTGCTACAAAATAGCAGATACGTGCTAAATGTTACACTGAAAGGCGGATTTTGTGTCTTGGGTTCCTCTGGAATTAGCTTAAAATCTTTCTAAGGATGACGTAGGAGCTAGTGCCTCCTCTAAGCAGACAACACATTTAAATGCGATCAGTGGAAAGACAAACGGTCAACTGTCCTAGTCAAAAAGGGTCCAGGAAAATTAAAACGTTGTTACATGTGCAGCACAGTTGTTGTCTTCACAAGAAATGGATGACTCTGGATCTGCTTCTAGCGGCGTCCGTTGGGTTCTCGTGAATACTGCGCCTTGGCTATTGTAGCATGGATATTCAGCTATGGTGACCAGAGGAAAATTTATTCATTGCTGTTTACGAATAAAGCTACTCTGTATAGTCTCAATATACCACCTCTTCGGGGCGAGCTCACGTTGCTCCGACACAGCTTGATCTAACAATGTGCATCCAACCCATCCATTTCTGACTTATCTATCCGCCCTTCAAAGGTTACTGTCGAAGGATCCAGCAAAAGCCCGTGTCATCACGCCTTCCGTTGTTAGGTAGTCCACATCATTGTGCTTTACCGGCGAACTTGACTTGCTGCTCTCGAGAGAATCCACTCCAGCTGCTCTGTTACCACTGCTAATACCCATTTTGGAGAAACAGCCTTTCTCTCGCTCGTTTGCCGGAGTAAGCCGCCTTCGTTTTAAGTCCCCAGCCGGCAGAATGGCTGAGTCCTCAACAGTAAGATTCTCTTTGTCGTGACCAAGGGCTAAGGTTTGAGAAAGGCTATGTTGACGTTTTGGGGGAGCGTCCATCTCGATAGTCATAGAATTCATAGCTTTACCCTCTTTCTTGCTTCGAATGCCGTTAGATGGCATCTCACTTGAGTAACTTCTCTGATGGGCGTTCTCTTCTGCGGTCGCTAGCTCCTCGGTATGTTCTAGTACTCCCTGTGCTGATTTCCGTGAGCCTTTACTAAGTTTTTTCGATTCTCGGGGTATGGAATATTTCGACGATGCAAGATCTTCTTTCGTTGTGATAGACGTCACACGCTGCTTGCCGCTATATGAAGCATCTCTGGCTTGCTTGGAAGCCGATGATCGCCTAGCACCGGGTGGAGTGTCAGCCACGCTGCCAGCTCTTGTATTAGCAGGCGCTAGAATTCCTCCTGTGATGATCCTCTCTGGGCTTGATTCATTTGTCGCCACTCCAGGTGGCTGAGTGGCAACCTCACGGCCAATTGGTGCCTTTGAGAGGCTTTCTTTACCCGTCAGTTTTTCAATGATGGTGTTTTGTTCCGCAACTTGACTGATCTTGTGCGAAGCAGAATCCGGCACAGGCCCAAGACCGGCCAGAGCATGCTCCCACTCGGAAAGCGAACGGCTACCAGCTTGACTGTTAATAGATGTAGGATACGAGGTCTGAATCTGGTGATGCAAGGCAGTGCTGGCGTGCGACGGTATGCGAGAAGCCTCGCTCGTTTCATTTGGCGAGTGTGATCGCGAATAATCTGGCATCGACACATCATGTGAACTTGATGAGGCTGCATTACGGTTGATCGCATTGAAGCCCGCATAATTTGCATGGGCGTTCTGAAGAGTACGAATTCCATCAGAGAATGACAACAGCTTTGGTCCATAAGTCTTCGGCTCGTCTATGAAAGGATCCGGCATGTGTGCCCCAGGGCGAGTTAACGAGTCTTTTGGTCGTGTACCTGCAACATTCCTAATAGAAACATCGACGGTAGTGTTTGGTTGCCCTCGCTGTGAAGCACTTGAAAGGGTTGGTAGGGGAACAATTTTCACATTGTCTCGACGAGGAGAATGGGCATGTATGGTAGGATCCGTGACTTGCATCTTTGTTGGCGAGATATAGTCCTCGGGATGTGGCATGCTCTGATACCACATGCCTGGATTTGGCCAGGCAATTCCAACATCCTCAAGAAGTGCTGATCTGATTAAGCCAAGCAAACTTTATAGAAAATAAAAGGTGATAACTGACCTAAAGGGGCATGCTGAAACGAGAACATAGCCACATTTCTCTTCTTCTTGAACTCTAAAGTCCCGAACGACTGCAGCCCTTCTGAAATTATCAGCTTGATCCTTCCCATAGGTTCCGAGGGGTCGATCCAGGTTTGCTGAAGCATTTGCACATGGAATGCTGGGAAACGCAATTGATCAGTCTTGCCGTTTTTGTCGCCTATCAAAGCTTAAGATCAGAGCAGCGTTCTGGCAATGGGAACATCAACATAGGACCTACTTAAGGTGGTATCTATTGAAATTAGCAGTCACTGTTGAGATCGGAGCAAGAGGCCTACCGATGATCTGAGGCCATGTAGAATCTCTTGCGAGAAGACAAGTACTGCATCGAGAATCAGCAAGGTAGCCTCTTGCATTGGACGGATTTCTTGCGGACGAGATGCATGTGCCATCGATAAGTACCCTTGCTTCGAAGACCACCAATTTTTCATCAGGAACGATAGACTTTGTAACCTCTGTTATTATGGGTGGGCTCCATGTATAGATAGAGATACGAAAGGGGCAGCCAATCGATAGACTTGGAATGTAGCATGAGACCATCGGCAAAGGGCGAGTGACAATGTTGAAGAAAGTGAGCTGCGTAGGGGAAGACGGAGGGCCGGCAGCTGTGTGACGTTAGCAGAGGCAAGTAGGTATATCATAACAGTAGACTCTACACACACGCATCCTGAATGGCTTCGCAGACCGTTCGAAATTCCTGGATAGGCGTCTTTGTGTCTCCCGCTTCAGAAAAGAGGAGCACGTCCCAACTTTGGTACCTCATCCCTGAGGCGTAAGATCGTGGTAAGGCAATTGGCGTTGCTTGAAAGTAGCAGGCAAGCCCAAAATGATGAGTGGTTTAGTGTTGGGTGATACATTAAAGGGCATTGAAAATTCCAAGAGTGGAAGGCGCTATGTATGGTGCCTCAGCATCAGTGAAAAGAAGCACCATTGGGGAAACACTATATCGCTGCGGCATATTTCCACCAAAACGATGTCTCGAAATTTTCCACAAAAATTGAGATGAGTCTTGGAACTTCCTCTGGGAACCCCCTTCTTCAATAACCTTGCCTTGTCCACCACCACCTGCTATGCTAGAAAGGAGTAGACTCATTTTACTATCTCCCAACTCGTTTTCGCACTCCGGAAGCCCTGTCACTGACGAGCGTACGGATTCTAGTAGATCACGTACCATGGTAGTATGCTCGGTCAATTTGTTGCAATCGGCCTTTACCTTGTACAGTTCATATTGAATTATCGAAGAAATGGGACGTTACCCGGAAGGTTCATTGAGAGAAAACAGAATCGTATCCTCGACTTTCGGCTTCCAGCCTGTCGTGCATATTCTGCTGCCTGCGCAAATAATCCTCGTTGAGCTGACTGATCGGAAGCGCATCAGCAGGACCTGGAACGTCTGGAGAAAGAGCTCCAGGCGGGCCTTGTGGAACATTGTTGGCATTCTCAGGTGGATGGGTGTGGGCTGCGTAGGGGCTAGATTGCGTGCCATCGTTAGCGAAGACTTCGATATTCAACGACTTGATACGGATCGGAGGAAATGTTCAAAAAGAACACGTGAGGCCACAGTCAAACGCATGGAAAAAGGACTGGAAATCATCTTGAGAAGACCAAGATCATGAGCAGGTTCGGAGATAGATACATGAAAGTGTCAGAAGTCGTTATTTCGTACCCTCTGCCGTCCGATCTTCCTCTGATTGAATAACGACTTCTGACGATCGCAAGCTTCGCATGTAATATAGTAAAGGAAAAGAGTGCTTTTGCAAAAGGCCTCCCGCGTGCGTGCTCTTTGATGTCAACGCTAAGCTCAGAATTTGCCCTCTAAGGACCTTCAGGAAGAAGCGAAGTCGCATGCGAAAGTTTCGAGATGTCACGAGCCTAGGAACCGCCAAAATGCAGAAAACATAGGGTATCTTTTAAGCACTTACTGTTGGGGAATTAGCATTCATTCGACGTCACCAAAAGCAAAGGGCGGCATACCTTCATGGGCGCGAAATTACCATAGGGGTGTTGAGGTGGCATGCCCATGGAAGGGAACACCGGAGGTGGTGGTGCGGGTCGATAGGGAGTGCCTGCTGGTCCGGAATTGTTTTGACTGCGACCCCACGAGAGGCGTACACGAGAATTGCCGATGGGGTAGCCCTGCATCTGGTTGATGGCCATCTCGGCAGCATGTCGTTGTACAAATTGCACGAAACCACAACCCTTTCCAGGCGGAATCTTGACATATGTGATCTCGCCAAAGCCTTGGAAGAATGAGCGAAGCTCGTCTTCTGTGACATACCCTGACAAGCCGCCAACGAAGACAGTAGTGTTGTTGGGATCGGTAAACTGATTCATAGGTTGCGGCTGATTATAGAATCCAAGAGCAGGCTGGCCCATCTGTGGGTATCCGCCCATCCCGCCCATCTGTGGTCCTGGCGGTCCTCCAGGGCCGCCTCCACCTTGTTGCATAGGTCCAAGTGCTCCACCGCCAGGCTTGTTCTTTGGCGTTGCAGTTGAGATGCGCATGGGACGGTTTCCACAATATACGCCTTGCATTTCGGACAGAGCTCGCTGTTGATCGTTTTCATCGGAAAATCGCACAAACCCATAGCCACGGGACATACCGCTGATGGGGTCGGTCATTATTTTCGCAGATTTGCAGGACGGGAATCGATTTTGGAAAAGCGAAACTAGTACATATTCATTCACTTCCGGACCTAGGTCGCCAACGAAGATAGAGTGCTCCGGTCCGCGGTCGTTGCTGTTGGCTAGCTTAGCTTCGAACATCATGTTGTCTATTAGGAGGCTTACCTTCGATCAGCGAGACCTCCTCCAGAAGCCCAATTTAGTTTGAAAGGGCGCTGAGAGTTGGGTATGACAGAACCATTCAAGGTCAGTCCTTTAGCTGCAGCGGCAGGAGTTGCGAAATCGACAAAACAGTAGCCGGCGTTGCTGCTGTAATTAGTACACGTTGGCTGGAGTCCACGAAGACTCGAAATAGGTTCCTTACCCAGAAAATTTGTCTCGAATCATTTTTACGTTTACACTCTCACCCATGTTGTACCAAACTGTGCGAATAAAGTTTTCATCCATCCAAGGCTCAAGTTCACCCATCCAAAGTGTCGTCTTCGCTTCCCCATCTTGTGGTTGGCCACCTGAAGACGAGGGCTGCCCGTTTCCGGAGCTCTCATATTGACCACCAGCGCTTCCAGGTATCTGCTCCTGTTGAGGAGGAGGTCCGCCGGCTGCGACACCAGGATCTGGACCACCCTGCTGGCTCGGAAAATTTTCGTAATTTTGGAAGCTCATTATGATAAATTGGAGTACAGAAAGGTATAGTTGTTAGACAATTGACTGCTAAAGGAGAGGCTTGTTGCACAGGAAAGCACTTTGGCTTGACGTTATAGATAAGATCCAAAAGCTCAAATTATCGTGGCTAAAGTGACTGCGAGCTCGACGGGTGATGGCAGAATCTTTTTGAGATGACTTGACAACGCTGGATCCAGAGGAGGATCTACTGTCAAAGGAAGTGTACAGTGCAACGTAGTGAGGTCTATGGAGATGCGAAAAAGCGCGATCGTGGAGGTCTCGTAGGAGGAGTGCAGAAAATTTCAAGACTCGCTGACTGGACACCGTTTTGTTAGCAAGAGAGCTTACGCAACGTCATAAGTAAAGTGTTGGATTTGGAGGAAACCTCGCGTGAATGAAAAGCCTTCATGCGAATTGGCGATCAATGACGTTAACGCATTAATAGGCAGAACCCCCGTCAATCAGGTCTCTCAACTTGACATCTGGGGCAGGCCAACGCAGCTGAAGGCGGTGACTGCAGTAGAGTAATGCTCTGTGAGGTAGGACAGGTATGACAGGGTAGGATCTGAGCAGTGACATCAAGGCAAAGCTCACTCACCAGATGAAGACGCTTGGACTCAAGGACCAACAAGTGCTGAAGAATGCTGCGATAATTACTCCCAATGGATAACACCGGCAATACAACCAAATGACGACGAAACAAGCAAGGTTGTGGATGGTTTGCAGTGCGTGGTGGAAGCGTGGGAAAAGAGAGTGTAAATGCAAAGAGAAATTTAAGTGGTGGGGAGTGGGCCACTAGCGCCATTCGCCATTAGCTCGAACTCTCTCAACGCTTACATCACCGCAGCCCGCGAATCGAAACAATGGGAGCTGCCTTTCCATTTCATGAAGCAGGGTCCATAGGGGTCTGGAAGCTGGCTCCCTAGTTCATTGGTACCTTTGGACTAAATTCACTGCACGGCAGCATCGGCATTGACACGATTGACAACAATATCGGGGACAGTGAGCTTTGACATGAACTTCATAAGTGACTGCCACAGCTCGACGACGAAGTGATACTTCACGTGAAGATATAGTTATCTCGGCTCTATCGGTGTAGAACTTATCATTACTTGGAGCTAGGAGGCAGCAATAATTTAAAGGATCCGGACTTGAGGCGGCAACATCCGATGGATGTCGTGCATGAATCACCATCCAGGGCATTGGACGCCTGGACAACGGCTACGCAGAAGAAGTGAACGAGTCGCTTGTGACAGTATGAGTAGTAAATCCAAGAGTAAGGGTAGTAACTCTTAATTGTATGTAATAGATTGGCAGTTGCAAATGTTTTTACTTCAACTGCCCGCCATTCTCAGCTCCACCCTCCTTGCCTCTACCTTTCTGTATTCTTTTAGCCCGATACCTGAGCGAGCAGTGAGTCAGCGAAGCTTTTTGGGGCTGCACGAAAGAGCTGAATGTTCACATGGTTGGTATGTCTGCGATGACCAAGTCCGCATCAAGAGCACACTGCTCGTCAGAAAATAGACGCTCTCTTCGACGAATTCTTGGAGCTTTCAGGCCAAACTCATATTGTTGTATACGATTTGGTTGGCCCCGACCCTTTGGATATGTCAGTATCCCAGTTATCACGGTGTCAATACTGCCCAGGTTTGTGATCGCAAGATGATTGGTATTGGAGGCTCCGAAAAGCTGTGACGGCAGCAGCTACCACGATCTGTCCGAGGAATGAGAGATTGATGATAGATGAAATGAGATAGTATTGCCATCTAGCTTCGATCTCTCCATCGAGGACGCGGACGAAAATGCCTATGTTGTCTCCTACGAGATGCTCGACCTTGAAAAACGGAGGAGTATGGATACCAATCACGAGCCGGTATCGGAAGAGCTTTGGTGGTGAGGGGTCAGATGCTATCATCATGTTATGGTCCGTCCAATACCCTGGGACATCAACGGTCGTTCGTGCCCAGGTTCAGCGCATCATACATTTACTGTGACTGTGCACTATCAAGCCAAGTGCGCCAATGAGGGCTGCAGGTATTTAGCGGGCAGACATATGGATGGCAATGAGGTGCGCGAAAGCGGTATCACTCGGGCCAGCAAAGACCAATTCATCTCACAGTTTTTTTGCGGCCAATACTGATCCGGCGGATGCATAGCACATTTGGTAGGATGAAAGCAATGGCTCCGAGCTGGGGATATCTTGTTTAAGGGGTGTAGATGTGAGGGTTCAGGACTGCGTGGCTTTTCCTTTGATAGAGCAGCGCATGGAAAAGATCATGACGTACACAAACTTTCAATACTACAAATCGCATCACCTTTGAAATATCTGCTTTGCATAGGGTTGCCTCTATCATCTCAAAGAAAGGCGGTCCTAGCAGAGGCCAGGGCTGGGTCGGACTTAGCGCGTAGAATAGCCTAAATTGGTCGAGGCCAGGATCCTTGGTGGTGTTTCAGAGCTATGACGATGCATTAGATTATGATAGATCTTCACTGAAAGAGCTTCGATCAATACGGCAACGATCACGGACATATGTCACACTGAGGAAGGAAGGACTCATCAAGACCTGCCTCTGTCGTCTGTCACTACCTTGAAGCTCATGATTGCCTCCTCTTCTCCCAGTGGGCAGCAGGTTCCACAAGGGCCACAGTCAAGCCTTGAGCGCTTGTGATGTCGACATCCTCTACGCAATCTCGAGGTATACGCAGACGAGTAGATAGTCATCAGGGCAATGGACATCTCTCCAGAGAAGATTCTCACGTGCAGAAACCTCCCCTGTCCCACAACGATGCCTACCTCTACACACTTCGAGTCGCATATCTCGCCTATCTTCTTCAGCCTCGAGCAAAGCGCCTTCAGCATGTATCGGCGCCGCCGGCACCCGTACAGCGCTCCTCCACATCCATCAACGATCTAATGAGGGATTTCAGCCTTGTGCGTGACTCCAAAAGCACCCGTTTTCCGCATGGATTCATGGGCGAGCTGGACAAGCGTTTGACAGGGGTTTTGATGGGGAAAGAGAAAAGACCTGAGTACAATGACTCCACAGTTAAGCGCTCCTTCGCGGCCTTTTTCAATGCCTTTTCCGAACCGAATTTTAAGAAGCGCATGGAAAAGGATCGCAGAGTCGAGGACCTGGTTTTGATCTTCTTTTCGAATGCCACAAAAGAGATGTCCAAAGGCAAGGGAGCGGGTGAAGATGGCTGGAAGTCACTAGTTGATAGACATGTGGCCTTGTTCGTACGGCTAGTTAGCTTGGTGCTGAAAGATCATGACTGGGTTCGCGATCGTCCGGAATTAAGCAGTCGCCTGGCGACCCTCGAGAGCAAGCTACTGTCTAATGACCAAGACCTCTCTTCAAACTCTTCACGCAGTGGCATCGGTGCATCATCGACGGTCGAGACCATTGTTCCTCTTAGCTATGAAGTTAAGGACATGGCGCTGGTGCAGGTGGTTGGTCGAGTTTTCGGCAAGAGGGGTATGACCTTGCAATCGGACATTGATAATTACAAGTCTTCCTGGACTGAGCAAGTTGCATTACAAGACTTGAAAACCTACCAGACATGCCTGAACGTGGGCTCACGCTACACTCTCGGGCCAGATGATTTTGACCTTGACGAAGCTTACGATCAATGGAAGAAGGGTGAGGCACAAGACATTTCACAGATGGTCTTAGTGATCCTTCAGTCAAATCCTGAGCTAGCTAAAAGTCCTTCTGGCAATCTTTCTCAGTTCAATTCTCACCTTAGCAATGGTCATGGCCCAGGCCCAGGCCCAGGCTCAGACTACCCAGAGTCTCTACGTAGGACTGATAGTAGAGATGGGTCACCGTACGTAATCGACCAGCCAGTTGACATGAGTGGCTATGGTGCTAGCGTAAAGTCACACAATGCGCAGTCCTTAGAAGGTGACGATGTATTTACTTTCATCCCACCGGACACCCGAGCATTCTACAGATTTGTACTTGCACAGACTTTGACTTGTGACCTTGATGACGAGGCATCTTTGCCGGCAGGGACTGAAAATGTTTCGACTTCTACCAAGCTTCTCTCAAAGCAGTCCACTGACCTCCTCAACGAGATCTGTTTGAGATGGCGTATTCCTCCTATCTCAAGGATGTTACTGTTCCTCGACGTTGTACGTGAGAAATTTGTCGACCAGCAGATCTCACTCGATAAACTTGATGCAGCCTTCAATTTCGTCAAGGCGTCACCAGAAAAGGGTAAAGGTCGATCGCTGTCGGTGTCTATACTTCAAGATCGAGAGAAGTGGCTGCTTGTTGATACTGCTCTTTTCCAGAAGACTCTGGGGACTTTGCATATGGCGTTGCTACGCGATCTTTTCGAACAATTACAGCTGTGTTATGAGAAGAAGGCCCCACCAATAGGTTCGATAGTCCTCGTGCTTGAGGAACATATCTATGGGGATGAAAATTTCTCAGAATCAAGTGAGAAGATGGGTGAATACCGTCATCAGATGTATGAAGGGCTGACCGGGCGAGCATACGAGATCTACCGCGAGTTTCTTCAGAAGGAGGTCCCAAATGATCAGTATGCTTGGGAATTCATTCACGTAATAGATCTTGGCAAGGCAGTAGCTGCTATCATTCAGCGAGTAGAGAAGCGGTTCAAGAAGAATCCTGCAATATTGGGGTAGGTTCTCAAATGGGCCCTTTTCGTTTATGCTGACTGGTTTCTCAGTGTCACACCTTTGACAGCGCTAATAGAGACAATACTACCTCTGTACGCGCAGGATGCCAAAGGTATCGTCGAGCGAATCATGATGTTGAGCAAGCAGGGAGATGAGGAAATAGCAGTAGAGGATGGCTTCATATTATACGGGGAGCTCGTCGAGATAAGGCAGCTTCATAGTAGAATTCTTCCAGAGTGAGTCATGCATAGCAATAAGTTGAGGAGACTGAGCTTATCTAACTGTGATAGCGTACCGTTTGCTTTTCATGTTGAAGGCCTATTGGCAGACTTTGTTTGGCGATGGATCAGTATGACTGAAGAGACCATCACAGACTGGGTAGATCAAGCTGTCAAGCAAGACCATTTCGCAGTACGTGCAGAAAAAGGGCAGATACCTACAGAGGATCAACGTCATAGTGTTTCTGTCATCGACATATTCAGCTCGTTCAACCAGAGCATTGACCGGATTGTACAGTTGAATTGGGATGACGATCTACAATACGCAAAATTTATGACTGCTGCTGCTAAAGTCGTAGGTATAGGTGTGGCACGTTATTGCGAAATTGTGGAGCAAAGATTTAGTAGAGAAATGGACCGACTGTCTCCAGAGCAAGAGGCCGCGAAAAGTCAAAGCACGCAAGACAAATGGATTGCTATGGCTAAGGATGCTTGGAAGAACAAGGAGAAGATTGAGCCATTTCAATTTTATCCGGAGGTGAGTTAAGATGCAACAAAACCCGTAATGGCTGACATTCTTTAGTCCTTCGTCAAGCTCAACAACGTAAATTTCGCAGCCAAACAGCTCGACAAACTGGAACATGAGGTAAACGTTGACGCTTGTGCAGAGGTGATTCGAAAGCACGCACCTCCTATTGCTCAACGTCAGAGAAAGGCCAGCAATTATGTCTTCACAATCAAGATAGTAGAGGCGGAAGATCTGAAAGCTTGCGATGTGAGCGGATACAGTGATCCATATGTAGTTCTCGGGGATGAGTATCAGAAGCGGCTGGCCAAAACTAGGATCATATACCGCAATCTCAATCCTCGCTGGGATGAGACGGTCGATATCACCACGCAAGGGCCTCTCAATGTCGTCGCCACTGTTTGGGATTGGGATGCTATGGGGGATCATGACTGTGTGGGTCGAGCATCATTGAAATTGGATCCTTCTCACTTCGGCGACTTCTTACCCCGTGAATACTGGTTGGATCTTGATACGAAGGGCCGCATTCTCTTGAGGGTCAGCATGGAGGGCGAGAGGGACGATATCCAATTCTACTTTGGGAAAGCCTTCCGGACAATCAAAAGGACTGAGCGAGACATGACTCGAATGATCACCGACAAGCTTTCCGCATACATTACCCATTGTCTTTCACTTCGTACGCTCAAAAGTCTACTCTCCAAGGGCATAAACCTGGCCAATGTTTCTGACAAGCTCTCTTCCGTCTCATCATACTTCAAGAATATCAAAGCAATCCAACCCACACAACAACAGCCACTTTCGGAGGCGGAGACTACTAACGCTCTCAAATTGTTGTTCGCATACTTCGATGACAACTTCGCCATCATGAACCAAACTCTCACAAACTCCTCGATGATCATGGTGATGACTCGCCTTTGGAAAGAAGTCCTTTCCACCATCGAGTCTTTATTGGTCCCTCCCCTTTCAGACAAACCTTCACGTCAGCAGCAGCTAAATCAGCAAGAGATGGATATTGTTTTCAAATGGCTGCAGTACCTCTTTGATTTCTTCCATGCCGTAGACGAAGAGACCGGCGAAGCAAATGGCGTGCCACTAGGAGTTTTACGAAGCCCAAAATATTTTGATGTCACCTCGCTAAATTTTTTCTATTTCGATACCACAGAGAATCTCATTCGCACTTCAGAAAGAATGGCTAGTGCAACTGCTGCTCGTCAACAAGACAAGAGAAACCGTCTGTCGGCCCCACCATCCCTGGCATCGCCAGCATTTGGAGGAGCGGCCGGGTTAATCAGCTTTCCAAGTACAAGTAGAAGGTCTAAAAGTATAATGCTATCAAGGAATCTTGGAACAATGAAGAAAGCTAAAGAGGAGAAATGGAAGGAAGCGCAAGCTGAGCCGAGTGACGATATGATTCTTAGGATCCTGAGAATGAGGTCAGAAGCTGAAAGGTACCTCAAAGATCGGTCCCGGCAAAAAGAGAGGTTGGCAGCCGCGGCTGCTGCAGAGATGATCGTGAAGCAGAGTCTCTTAGCAGGAGGTGGGAGGATGATGGGAAATCTTCCGCGACGGTGATTTGTGCTTTCCCTTGCGCCCAGTCACGAATTAATGCAGCGTTCATTTCTTGTTTGGTAGGTGGTGGTATTTAATATCCTATGGACAGAGCATAGCAAGGGCGCTCAAGCTGTCGGATAGAAACGTTCAGGCAGTCTAGCCTTGCAGACTTGATGGTATGTATGATATAGATCTTTCGATTGCAATAGCCCGCCAATGTACAACAAAATAATAATAATATGCTCATGTCTCATCAACCCCATCCTCTGTTCTCGCCCAAACAGCTCCAGGTCCTCCCAATTCCCTATCCAACCCGCCTTCGTATCCCCGATCTACTGCGACCTTATCTGGGTAAAACCTCTTCACCACCATACAGGCTCCTACAAAAGTTGCCACGAAACATCCAAGGAGCCCGAACGTCTGCGGCGCAGTGTAGAAATTGTAGTCTTCCGGGCTGAACATGCCTAGTATATCGTTGTCTTCGTGCACTGGCTCACCGAAATTGCGTCTTTCCTGCTTGTCCCACCAATCTGCATAGGGGTCACGGTGCTGTCTGATTATGGGAGGTGGGTTCTGGTAGCCGCCATTCTGGAGAGAGAGAATATCAGCCACGGCGCAGGGTGGAGTATTGCATTAGACAAGGTATTGGACTTACCATCCCAGGATCATCGACGTCTTCTTGGCTCAGCCATCGTCGTTGTGACCGGCATGCGACTGGGAGACGTGCAGGTGAGCGTAGGGTTCGAATCAGTGGCCGTCTCGTGATGAGTCTCTGAGGAAGCATCTAGACAGGAGGTATTGTCAGACTCTGTCGGACCACTTGATCACCCATCTGGGCTTGTAGATCCACATTCACTTACACTATTAAGTATGGTCTCTCTCCGAGGTTGTACAGAGAGTAATAACAATGAGGGAGCGTAGTTTGTTGGAGTCGATTGTTCTGCGCGGGCACGGCTTTGGTGGAAGAATGAGGGGAAAGTTTAAGCGGGCAAGAGCGGGCTAGGGAGGCCCTCGGGAGGCGAAAGGTCCGTGTAAGTACGATACCGGTCGCGTATTATTCATACTATCGCCGTTATTCGAGGGGTCAATGCAAATCTCCGCAGCAGAAACCGAGAAATTTGACAAACGTTAGGCGTCATCCTTTTAATTCTTTCTGCGGCTCTACAAGACGCTATGAGACTCTGGGAAGCTTCAGAATCGATTACAGAGCAGACATGATCATGAGCAACATTTTGATATACACTACCTGAGAATCGAGCTTGCGGTCGAAAAGTTCAAGGGGGGGTCCTCTACATGTCGCGTTAAATTGAGATGCAAAACGGGACGGAGGAGGGCTTGACAGAGCGTGACTTCCACGAACGTGAGAATGTAGATGATAATCACTCTGAAAACCATCCTCTGCCAACTGCCCCTATTCATGTTCCCGCACCTCTCGAGAATAATCTGACTGCTACCGATAATGCGAACATTGACTTACAACCAAATGGCACGGAAACCCCACCGGCAAAAAGGCGGAAACTTACTGGATTTGAGAATGGAAAGCTGCACCGGGCAACCTCGCCACCTTGGAGGAAAGTCGCGGTCGAAGGTCCGTCGACATTTGTCGAGGGCGGGGTGCGCAAATCCGCTCGAACGAACTATGTGCCTGTCGACTTACAGACACACTCGGAAAAAAGAAAGACACGCAGAGCAGCACATTCAGGGAAACCACCTGTCATAAAAAGCAAATATGGTGGCGCGTCTGTTACACTCACAGACTCTCCTGCGATGTCTTCTACCACTGAGAACACTAACGATTGCGGCGGCCATCATCGTTCTTCCTCAGCCGGTAAACCTTCAAACAACATACATCCTAAATCCTCCGGTAGATCCAAGTCTACCCACTCTGACGGAGCCAAATCATCGGCAGCCGCTCCTGTGCATGCGAATATGTCAAACCCGAAACAAATGCCACAGACATCATCTTCGACACAGACACAACAGGGTCCACAGCCTCTCGACGCCTACCGCCCACGGAAAGTTGGTCGCCCTCCGCGATCCAGTCTTCCTGGCTTCCAAAAGAACCAGCCGGGCTCTCAAGAGCGCCATGAGAATGATCTCAGATTGCACAAAGAACACCAGAATAATTCAGCCATGAACAGTGGTATGAAGAAGCCTCAACGGCTAAGTTTGAGATTCAACATGCCATCAGCAGGTATACACCATCCTGAAAATATTGTCAGGAGGAACGAGACAGTAGGCAAGGATGGACGAAAGTCCAAATTTTCCTCATTTTCGGACTGGCTTGACAGAGAGGGAAGATTAGGTCTCGAAGGCGATGTTGATCCACGTATTACGGAGCAGACTGCCCAGCGTGAAGCCCATCTTAGACGTCGCATATCGGAAGCTGCCAAACCGGGTGGCGTCCTTAGCCAAGAGAGGTGTCTTTACTGGCGGCCTGAAAGAACGGAAGAACCACCTCGCCCGTTTCGGCAGCCGGACCGCTTACACCAAGACCGCTTGCTAGGACATGTGATAAACTTTCAGACGCTGTTGGGCAGAGAAAGACTGAAGCATCTCAAAGCCGCTAGAGAATGCGCACAAAATGCCGCTACCTTTGTTCAGGAAAAACGAGAGCGAGACTTCCGGACGTGGAAGAAAGGTCAACCAAAGTCTGCAGAAGAAATCGAGGAAGAGAAGCGCGAGCTTTGCAAAAGCGTCTACGAGCAACTACAAGATGATATCAAACAGAAGTGGTTGATGGTCCACGAGATTGTGGAAGATCTTCGCATGCAACGATGGCAAGCCGAACAGGATCGGCTGGGTAAAGAGGCTTTGAACGAAGCAATTGAGAAATCTAGAGGACTATTAAGTAGGAGAGCACGGGTACCGTCGTCCCCTGGCAGCGGAGAAGAAGGCGATAGTCCGGCGACCAGCGCGAATGAGGCCGACTCGGAGTCGCAATCCGAAGAAGATAGTCAAGATGAGGACAATATGTCATCAAGCAACTCTGAGAGCGATGAAGGGCAGGATCCTCTGGAAGACGATGAGGGCCTTACGTTAGAGGAGCTCCGCCAGAAGTACAGCAATCGGACGGGCTCAGACAGCAACATGCCCGAAAAGCCTCCAGATGAAGAGGCCTTCCCACTTACCGGCGTCATTGAGCAGACTGAAAACTTTTCGGAGGACAGGGCCAGAATTCTCGAGCCTACGGTCAATATTCGAGCCGATAATCCGCGTCCGAGTACGTCTCCTCAGCCAACCTTAGCTCTAGAAAACGTTGATGACGCTTTGATGGATGACAGCAACGCCAGTACGGACATGTCGGATGACATGGGTAGCAGTGATGGCGATTCTTCACCCAATGGACCCGGAAGCGAGCACAGCGAGGAAGACAGCGATTTGGGGCTTTTAGGAGGGTTCTTCACCAAGACGCAAAGAAATGTGTTTCGAACAACATCCGACGTCGACCTTGAAATGACGAAGGAACAGTCATCGGATTTTCAAGCATCTGACGATGAGGCGGACAAAGTCTCTTTGGTACCAGACGTTACTCAGGGGCCCACTCCTTCAGCTTCGACAAGCGAGGAACCTCAATTAGGGGCACAGAGAGACCAGTCTCAAGACCCTGCCGTCGAGCCACCACCGCACACACTCGCTTTGGAGCCAAGCACAGGAATTGACCTCTCCGTGACGGAGCCTTCTCCAGAGGATCAAGCGTCAAATATTCTGTCCAATGTCCATATGCAGGATACCGAGATGCCTGCCACCCCTGTTTCCACCCAAGCCTTAAAGACCCCTGTTCCTTCCCTACTGCGTGGCACGTTGCGAGAATATCAACACTATGGACTTGACTGGCTGGCGGGCTTGTATGCTAACGGGACAAACGGTATTCTTGCCGACGAAATGGGTCTCGGCAAGACTATCCAAACGATCGCGCTTCTCGCCCATCTGGCAGTGCATCATGAAGCTTGGGGTCCACATTTGATTGTGGTTCCGACCAGCGTCATGCTAAATTGGGAGATGGAATTCAAAAAGTTCCTGCCCGGCTTCAAGGTCCTGACTTACTATGGCACCCAAGAGGAGCGAAAAAGGAAGCGGGCTGGCTGGATGGATGACAGTAAATGGAATGTCTGGATCACGTCTTACACTCTCATAACCCAGGATCAGCAGATTTTTAAGCGCAAAGCGTGGCACTATATGATACTTGATGAAGCTCACAACATCAAGAACTTTCAATCTCTACGCTGGCAGACCCTGTTGACTTTCAGGACTCGAGCTAGACTCTTACTGACGGGAACGCCCCTGCAGAATAATCTAACAGAACTTTGGTCTTTGCTCTACTTCTTGATGCCTTCAGAAGAGAGCGAGAAGGGTATCGCTGGGTTCAACAATCTCGACGAATTCACCCAATGGTTCAAAAAGCCAAGTGAACAAATACTCGAGCAAGGCAAAGAAACGCTCGATAATGAGGCACGGGAGGCTGTCCGAAAATTGCACGACATTCTTCGGCCATACCTCCTCCGTCGTTTGAAAGCAGATGTTGAGCAGCAAATGCCTGGCAAATATGAGCATGTAATTTATTGTAAACTATCCAAGCGACAGCGGTATCTATATGACGGCTTCATGTCAAGGGCTCAAACGCGCGAAACTTTAGCTTCAGGCAATACTTTCTCGGTAATGAACGCGCTGATGCAACTTCGAAAGGTTTGCAATCATCCAGATCTATTCGAAACGAGACAAATAGTCACCTCCTTCGCTATGCCGAAGTCAGCCGTTGCAGACTTTGAGATTAAAGAGCTTCTAGTACGTCGACGCTTGCTGCAGGAAGAGCCAATGATGCAGGTTGACCTGTCCTTGGTCAATTTGCTGCCTGGATCAAACGGGCCAATGTCTGCTCTTGATACTATCCAGAAACAGCGACTAGGTGCCTTGGGAGCGATTAGACAGCTGACGAGCCAGCAATGCGGCCGTGTCAACTGGGACATGCGATTTGATGGTTCCTCGATTGATAGCACTCTAGCACACTTTGAGAACAACGCTCGCCGACTCAGATACGACAAGCTTCATCAGACCTCCTATCTGACTAGCCTTCGTAGCCAAAAGCGTCCACTATACAGCCACGATCTAATGGATCGCCTGAGATTCGGCATAAAAACTCTACCTCATCAGCCTCGGCCAAGAAAGAGGGCCGAAATGGCAGACTGGTATACAAGCATGTCGCCTACGCTACACGACATAGTCTTGTCCCTCCCTGAAAGGTCCAATTCATTCAAGACTACGATCGAGAAATTTGGTTGCATTACCCCGACAGTTGTGGCAACAGACTTGTCAGGTCTAGCGATGACTTCGCGAGGTACTGCGGTCGTACAAGAAGCGAACAACGTCTGTCAACAGGATCCTTTCCACGATGCGCGCGTTCGACTGTCTATCGCCTTTCCAGATAAGCGTCTCCTGCAATATGATTGTGGTAAACTCCAGCAGCTCGATGGCCTGCTCAGGCGGCTACAATCCGGTGGCCATCGCGCCTTAATCTTTACTCAAATGACTCGAGTTCTTGACATTCTGGAACAATTCATGAACATTCACGGTCACCGCTACCTTCGTCTGGACGGTGCGACAAAGGTTGAACAGCGCCAAATGTTGACCGAGCGCTTCAACAATGACAATCGCATTCTAGCCTTCATTTTGTCCTCTAGATCCGGTGGAATAGGTATAAATTTAACAGGGGCGGACACAGTGATCTTCTACGATCTTGACTGGAATCCAGCTATGGATAAGCAATGCCAAGATCGATGCCACCGAATTGGTCAGACACGAGATGTGCATGTCTACCGCTTGGTTAGCGAGTACACTATAGAAGCCAATATACTACGCAAAGCTAATCAAAAGCGTATGCTTGACGACGTCGTTATCCAAGGAGGCGAGTTTACAACAGACTACTTCAACAACATGAGCGTCAAAGATATTGTTGGCGATCACGTAGACTTTGGTAGTACCGACGACGTCGCCAACAAAGCTATGGATATGGTGTTGGGTAAGAGGGGTGCGCAAGGTAGAGTCCTAGAGGCAGTCGAGGACCAAGACGACGCAAAAGCCGCCAAAGAGGCCGAGAAAGAAGCTGTTGAATATGATGCGGAGGACTTTGATGAAAAAGGGGCCAGCAGTGGTGGCGGAGGTGTTGGGACCCCTAAAACACCTGCTGCTCTTGATACTCCAAGCGAAAACATTCTGCCTCCACAGCGGAACATGCAAGGTGAAGTAGAGGTGACAACGACAATGGAAGCCACCCAGAGCGGGTTGGTCATGCCGAACGTTACCACTACGCACGATACTGAAAAGGATGTCGCAAGTTGCGACGAGTATATGATTCGATTTTTAGATCGGGAGCTGCGTAGCATACCATTTGAGCCTCCAGCGGACAAGAAGAAAAAGAAAAAAGGTGGAAAGGAGAGTTTAGGTCGCAAGAAGTGATGGCCCTCTCCACGAGCGCCTGAAAGGAAAGTGTCAGGTATGGGGAGTAACATGTACATATAGCAATTCTCTGAAGCTCTTATGCATACCCACATAAGCGATACATCATTATCAAATTATTCCTACTCCTTCAAAGACCCGGTACTATGTTTGAAATTCAAAACTATTCTATTCTATATAATGAACCGTGATTTCCCAGCAATATCCACACCTACAGCCAATTCACATGTGTACAGCCTCTCCTCTATATCCTTTAGCCGCTGCTCTCACTTCCCAGCATGCTTCTCGTTGACAAGCACATATCTATATCTAGGCTTTCCATCCTCTAAATCTACAATAGCCTGGTTCGCATCTTTCATCGGTCTCGCCTCGATCCACGGCTTCACGTTCTTCTTCACAGTTAGATCCAACATCTCTTCAATCTCTGCCGGTGAGCCAATAGCACTTCCTCCAATTTTCAATCCCTTAGGGATTAACGAGAATGCATGAATAGGTGGCAGATTTCCCTCTGGCACTCCAACTTGGATGAACACCCCACCCGTGCGCAAAAGTTGGAGGTAGTCATCCAAGGGCATCTTCTCGCTAGAGACGGTGCAGACGATGATATCTACGGTTTTTGCGTTGTGAGATGCCCAATCGGGGTCATCATTGGTGGCGATGTACTGATCTGCCCCGAGCTACGACGTCGAATTAATCAAAGTGAAGACCCTGTACAAGGAAGCCCACGAACCTTCAGCGCATCCTCCCTCTTCTTAGCCCCTCTGCTAATCCCAACAACTTTATCCGCCCCCAGCGCCTTCGCATACAAAATCCCAAAATGTCCCAAACCCCCTATCCCAACAATGGCAACCTTCTTCCCAGGTCCAGCACCATTCTTCTTCAGCGGGCTATACACCGTGATGCCCCCACAGAGCATGGGAGCCGCATCCTCGCTCTTAATCTCATCAGGAATCTTGAACACGAAGTGGGATGGTCCGCGCCAGTAGTCCGCGTAGCCGCCTTTCGAGACGTAACCGTCGGCGTAGGGCGCGTTGTAAGTGTCTACACGCCCGATCGTGCAGTGGTTTTCCTTGCCGGACGAACAGTCCTCGCAGTCCGGGCGAAGGCATGAGGAGGATTGGGCTCCGACGCCTACGCGGTCGCCAATCCTTGGGGTAGGTCAGTTGGTGTTCTTGGGGAGGGAGGGGGGAGACAGACTTGATACCCTTCTCGACTTTGGAACCGACACGGACGGCTTTGCCTACGATCTCATGGCTACACCCTCAGTTAGGAACGAGTGTTCTAGGACTGACTGTAAGTGCTGAGCTCACCCAACACAGCAGGGATACGTCGTTGGCGCCCAGCCAGATCTCAAGGTATGCAGCTCGCTACCGCACATTCCGCAATGCGATATCTCAATGTCGACATTCGTCTCCTCCCATGCTTTGGGTTCGTACTCTTTCCACACCATCTTTCCCTTCACAGACTCGGGGCTCTCGCCCAACCATCCCGCAAATTTATAATCGGTCGTCATGACTGTCGGTGAGTGGATTGGGGAAGGTAATCGCAATGGATAATAAAAACTACAATGAAAAAGCGAGTATCACAGAGTTTTCTTGAAGAATAGGAAATCATAGTGGTCATAGCAAAAATATTCAGCGAACAGGCCATGACGCCATGACTATGAGCAGATGAAGTGCCGAGGCGCGCTAGGGTCGACGGCCTGAATTCTCCAAAGCGACCGGTCGTGCGAAAGGAAGGGAACGGTGGGGCAGTCAGACATTTCTTCGGATTCGTTCGATCCTGCTTGTGTGGAATTGAAGATTTTTGAGAGAAGACCCAGTGCGTGACATTCCGTGCATATATGCAACTAGACAGCAATCCCCCGGTCGAATCAGAAGCACGATGTGGATGGGGGGGGGACAGATGCGGGTCGGGGTCGATTGATTAAAGAAGCTTGAGAGCGTCGAATTAGAGTATTAGACAAGGGAGTATATACCTCAAACCTCAAGACATGCCTTTGAAATATCCAAGTCGGCCTTTTCTTCACGCAGAATTCGAATCCCCAACGCCATGCTTATGTTCTGCTTCCATTGTCGTATATTTGCATCCAGATATTGTATGTCATCAGTAAAGAAGGGTATCTCCAGTCTCAAAGTTCAGTCCCCGTCGCCTCGTGCTCCTCGTGTAAGGAAGCATTGTCTTGGGATTTCTGCAAGCTGTCTAAGCTTCCTGCGCGTTTTTCGCTCATGCTTGGTCTATCATATTCGACGCCTTGGATATTCAGCCCTGTTTCGTCGCTTTTGGGCCCATCTTGTACGCCTTCGCTCTGCTCATCTAGATTCATGAGTGCCGGTGGACGTTGTCTCATAGTCCGGGCTTTTGCGAGACTGATCGTCTTCAATTGGTATGAGGTAGTAATGGGCTTGGATTCATCACGATCAATTGTTGCTTTCATCAAAGCTGCCATCCACAAGCGGCCTTGTCGTATGTTATCAACAGCGAAGTAATGCACCGTAGGTTTCGTGAAATTGACGGCGCGTGAGAGACCAGAGCGGGGTGGAACAAGCTTGAATATGAAGGTTGAATCAAGCATCTCTTTTCGAAGTGTGGACTCTGTCTGTGCAGCAGCTTCGGTCTGAGCCAGAGTCGGAGTATGTGCCGTTGGTGGCGAGATGGGCGAAGACTTGGCGCCCGTGACTGTGGCATGTAGGCCGGTCAAGATATCATTGTCAGCTGGTAGAACACGATGCGAAGATATGTCAATGAGTCCCTTCTCTGAGATATCATCTTCGGAATAATAATACGAAAGGCGGCGACCGCGTAGGACGAACAATCTCTGCTTCCATGTCGTCATCATGTTTGAGGATTTCTTCTTCATCCATCCACTATAGTCGCAGTCGATCATCTGCTCTTGCGGTGGCTTCTGTTCAAGGCCTCTCGTGTAAGCACTAGTCTCCTTTTTAGTCTTCTTACGGGTTCCGCTTGTGGGTGTCAGAGTTGTTTGAGCGCCACTTGTGCCTTTGGATGAGGCATCTGTACTTTCTCTATCTAGGCTTTGAGACGCTCCTGACGGGGTAGTAGAACCGGTCCGCGCAGGGGACTGGTATGGTGGTTCTATTTTCGGCGAAGGCACAGACGGAGGAGAGGCAGCGATGGATTTCTCGTTGCCGGTTACTGCATCTGAGATAGCTCGAAGGCCCATCCGTGGCTTGTTGCCCGCCCGAGGCGGTCCAGTATTGAGTTTTGGTGAGCTTTTAATTCCAACGCCACTATCCCGGTTTGAGGAGGATGTCACTATCTTCATATGCGGTCGTGAACTATATTCCAATTTGGTCACCGCTGGCGAAGACGTGTCGCCAGGTGTTGCTTCCGTCCGCACAATTGGGTCACCTGTTGAAGAGCCGCGAGAATGGCCCCTCATGTGCAACCGATTTCCGGGAAGGGCAATCGCAGCCACGGTATCTTTAATAGAATCGACACTGCCAAATCGAGAGTGACGTTTAGCTGGGCTTAGTCCTGCTTTCTGATCATTCCCTTGATAAGAGCTTTGTCTAGAATGACTAGCCCCAACAGTTTCTCGTTTTCGTAACACATTTCTTGACCGTCTTGCGTCTAATTCATCTCCGGATTTGTAACCACGATCCAGATCGCGAGAAGAGCTTGGCATGTGGCTGGCTCGCCGCGCCTGGCTTTCGGGCGTTCTTCGGTCAATCGCAAAAGAATTGCCAATATGAGCACTCGACATTGGACGGGGGCTCAAGCTACTTAGTGGACCTCCCATTGTCCAATTCCGGTCCAAAGAGGGTGTCTTCTTGTGTTGTGATTGAGGTCGCACAGAGGCGTTTGAGGGAGGTAAGGCTGGGCTGCTTTGTTCTGTAGGTGTACCGGGGCCAAAGGTTGACGCAAAGTCCGCAGCTGAATGGCGACGCGAATGATTGAATTCTCTAATCGATGCTGCAGAAGGCCGGCTTGGGCTGTCGAGAGCTTGCTTGAATGTGAAGGAAGACGGAGTCGAGTTAGAGTCGCGGGCTTGACTCAGGGCCATCTGCATTGAAGGTGAAGGTAGCGGATCAGCAAAATCTTGACGACTTGGAGGTGGATTCGTTGAGGCTCGTTTGTAACGCGTGCGTGAACTTCTCGACTTATCGACTGCTCCCATCCCGGATTCGGAGCTATCATAGGACGGATTGCCATTAAAGATAGGCCTGGTTTTTGGAACAGGAGTGGGCCGGCTGTGGACTTCGTCTTGCAAAGCCTTAATCTTATGCCAAGTCCGCAATCTTTGGCCAACTAGCCCTAGATTGAACTCCTTCATAAATATTGCTGACTGGTCCAACGCTAAGAGCACTTCACCAGATATGTCTTGCTCCTTGAAGATGTCACAGTGCTTTGATTCCACGCCCATGTCTTCTAAATGCTCCGCTACATGTGATGGCGTCCAAGTCATGACCTCTTGTTCAGTTAGCATATTGTGCTCTTCTTCGTCAGTCTCTTGGCCGGCGATGTATGAAATTCGATAATCAGGAAAGCTGCTATACTCGCTTGCAGAGTCCCTCGTATTGAATCCCTCAAGCTCTTGGGCTTCTGGGCGAGGAATCTGCATATCCGTCATGTGTTCATCGATGACGCTTAGGGTCTCATTTATGACTGGACTATCTTCAGCAGCATCATGTTGGACCATGCTAATGCTACGCTGCCCTGGACCAATTCCTGAGAGAGACAGAGCTGGTAAGGAAGGACTCGATACAGATGAAGTCTTTTGCACGGGAGAATTGGTGTTCAAGGGTGGCGGAGTGGCATTCGCTGTTGAGATTCTTTCTGGTCCTGGTTGTGGCGACGAGATGTGAGTGTGAAGATTACTGGCATTGGCTGCTGCGATCTTGGTGACAGATACCGGGCCTTTAGTTGGAGTGACGACCTGCTTCGGTGCGAGGGTGGTATACACTATCAAATCGCTCAGCTCCGGCCAGATCAGCAATTATCCAGGCATACCTTCGGGAAACAAGCCCGTCTTGTTGGTCTTCGTGTGTTTTCCCAAGTACCATCCATCACCGAAGTCATCGTCGCGTTCGATAAGCTCGATTTTGTCGCCTTTGTAGAGGCTCAGCTCATCGCTACTTCGAGCCTCAAAATCATCTGTTACAGCTTGTTAGACTTCATACGAAGCATTTGGAGCAGAGTTCAGAAGAACATAATTCTCATAGTGAAGTGTTTAGGGAATGGAGGCCTACGAATCACGAGTAGAAGGTCGCCCGTCAGTGGGTCTTGCTTGGCCATGGGCCCCAAGATTTTGTGCGCCATAGCGGACTTATTAAGACACAATCCAGTACCGACGCCTCATTGATATGCTATATCATCAACGGGGCTACTGATCCTCGGAGATGATTTGCTGGAAAGCGCATTGGTACGATACGAGGCAATATCTGCATTGATCGTGTCGGGGTTTCTCAGATGCTCGGTCTTCGATTCCAGAGTAGCCCCGCGGCGATCTACTTATGTTGCCATCTTTTCTCGATATCCTTCTGAGCTCTAGGTCCGTATACAATCCGTCGCGGTGAGGAGAGTCGAGCACGGCGTGAAGGACACGTGTGGCGATGCGTTAGATCTGCTTTGCTGGCTGATGACGGGGCAGCCCAAGCCAAATCTCCGGATTCTTGTAGAGCACTTTTCAATCTAGCCCGGGAGACTTTTGACTTGACGCTAAGCAGGATATGTCTTAGCTCAGAACCCTAAATCTCGAATCGTATGCCAAGCCTTGTGATGCTTGATCGTACCTTCCCTTGACCCAAATTGTGTTTCCCAGCGAATATGACTTACGCATTATGATTATACTGAAGGAGTGGTAGACCAGGATCACGGAATACTCGCAAGTTATCCTATCCTTGGGGAATATTTGCGGACCGTGAGAAGCAAGTCAGTATTTGGAATAATCGCAGATGGACTTGAAAAAGCTGCCATTCAACGAAACTCTGCGGTGGATGGTAATTCCAGTCAATCTCACCTACATATTGTGCACGCCCTATAGGTTCTTATCTCAAAGAATATTAGTTTCTGCTGGTGAGGTCTAGAGACACCGCTCAGGCATTGAAACGATAGAGCCAGTTGTTGTGCGCCGTAGACCCTTACGGCATGACTATAGGCTACGCTGGATTGTGTCTAGTCCGTATTCCTGAACTCAGCCAAATGGAGACAACGAAGTCGCGGAAAGAGAAGCTCAAGGGTCGAAAAACCGATGTTGCCGAAAATGAATTGGAACGTTCTAACAACACTATGGCAGCGTTCCTCGGCAACAAACAGAGAAAACCCTGGATGGCTGGAAACTATGCATCATCCGCCAAGCAGCCTTTGAATTCTTTAAAGCAGAAGTCGAAACCAAATGCGACCGGTCATCAGCCCGACGCCCTGAAATCGAACGATACCCATCATGAGGACTTAGAAGAAACACCGGGCGCAGACAAAACCAGTGACAATCTGCAGATGTCAGTCGCTGTTCAAGCAGCTCCAGAGCATTCGACTACAATACATTGCGACGATGCTACCACTCACAAAGCTGGACCGCTGCCGGATCGAAGATCCATGGACCGTCCAAATGATTACAGTGTTGCACCAGAGCCAAGCGCTAATCAATTGCCCTCGCCAAGCCCAAGTGAAGGACGTGGTCAAGCTTACGTTGGCCCCGTCCCAAGCAGAAAACCTTCGCCTCAGCCAGAAAACAGTGCAACGACGAACTCTACCTCTGAAGATATTCGTCAATTTGGCCTGAAAGGCATGGAAATAGTATCTGTCGTTCACCAACCACTATCAGAGCCACCTGATGGCCCAATTTCTAGCAGAAAGTCTTCGTCACAGCCAGAGGATGGTGCCACAACGGAATTCAGCTCTAGAGATATTCGTCAATCAGACCCAAAAGGCGTGGTAACAGCACATGTCGTTCAACAATTACCGATCATGTCAACAGGTCAATCCCCAACACATTTGAGAGTGGATAGCAAGACTCAAGATCACTTGCCGTTATCAGAACAGGACGTCTTCGCCACAGTTATAAATCAGGGCTCTACAACCCCAAGAACATCGATTTTGGCTCCCAATCTAGTCCACAGTCAAGCTCGCTCGACATTCGATCAGGCTATGGCCCAAGTTCAAAGTGCTGGAACCCAAGCAGCAAAGTCTTGGTCATATCTCTCTGCTGCTTTATGGCTCTTCAACAGAGGCGCACCATCCTTTTTTTTAGAGGCTATGAAGATTCTGGCAGCTAAAGCGACAGCGAGGTACAGAACCGTATGTAAGCTTAGTGGGCGCGGTCATGAGTGTCCGCGTCTGGAGCTCCTGCAACAGGCTTGCAACCAACTGGACTACACTTATTTGCTATTGCATCAGCTCTTTTGTTGGTCTCACATTACCATCCCACGCGGTGAAGAAGAGGCAAGGAACCTCCATAAGACCTCCTTCCTAATATTGAATCGTCCACTGGCGCCAAATGAAAGTTTGACCGGTGATGCTCTGGCATGGTTCGCTCAGTTTCCGGGACCTTTGGATTTGCCAGCTTTACAAGCCACCACATTCAATTCTGCTCCAACTTTACGAACCATCGCTTCCGAAACAGTGAGCGCCATGTCACAGAATTGGGATGCTTTGCAACAGCGATGCATTTCTCGAAAATATCCACCCTTGGTAACCGAACTGTTCCAAGATTTGAAGGTTCGGTCAGAAACGTTACAACAAGTGATCTTTCGGGCCATGCTCCGACAGCTGAGCGGCGACAGCAATCAAGCTCTAACGGCTTACGAAGCTATTTTCTACAGGAATCAGGAACATCACGCGAACGTGATCAATAGAGTTTCTACTACCACACTCGGCGAAAATCTATTTGTCAAAGAATACCTTGGACTAGCTTCAAGACGTGCATCGACAGCTCCTGGCGAAACTAGATCAACTGAAGCCCAGAAAGCAGATTTTCAACCTGTCTCGAACCCATCTTTCGGGGTTAGTGAAAGGCAGACACATGAGCCTCAGCACAACATTACGCAGGTCAGGCAATCGCAAGAGCCACGCAACTTACATTGGCCGGGCGGTCAAACTCCAAATCAATTCAATAACCTTCACTGGCCAGGAACACCATTTGTAGCCTCACTACATCCCTTGAACGGCAGCGATGCACTATCTCGCACAACGATAAGTCGTCCCATAACGACTCCGGCAAGTGTTGGATCTGGGTCGCCAAACCTAACAAGCAACAGTCAGAATTATCCGCAATCCATTGCGTATCCAGTTCGACCAGCAACATCAATGTCGCCAGTCGCAGTGCCTAGAAGGCCAAGTATTTCGGGGCCAATTACTCCTCAGTTCGCACCACACCCGCCAATATCAAATGCAGGCAGAAGAATTGCAGCACCAGCCTTTAACCGGACACCATCCAGTCCCTCTCTCAATACCCATACAAATAGTGGACCTCACCAACGCTTCATTGATACTCCAGCACATCATTTTACTTCCCCACAACCTCTAACAACACCGTACCCGTCGCCGACCCAACCTTATCCCCACTTCAGGCTAGAGCCATCTAACACTGCCCCGGCCAACCCGACTTCTGCAGGACCAAGCCACTGGCCGCACGATCAATTTCTTTTTGGCAATCAAAATCCAGCACCACCCGGTCCTTTCAATTCAAATATCCGACCACGGCCAGCAAGTCTGTCGCTGCCAAATAATGGGATATCTGCGGCTGGTTCAGGGACAAAGGCAAGTCCTCCATTATCTAGGGGACCCCTTGAGCAGTGTTTCAGCTACATCAAATACGTTGCAACCTTACCGGAAACAATGAATCCTAGGATGCAATATCAACATCACCGTATCGTGTTATGCCAAGAGGATGTTAGAGCCGTTGCTAAAGACCCTCCAATTCAATGCTACGGTGGTCCACCGACCTACCTCAACATGCCTGGCGCCATCACATATCGCGTCCGATGCATCAAGACTCAATCGAGGAACGCTGTGACTGAGCAGGAGTGGGTCACGTCCGATCATGTTTGGCCAAGTCATGTCACCATCTCATTAAACGGTCATGCTCTGCTACTCCACCGCAAGTCTCAGCAAGACAAAGACTACCCAGTTGACGTCACGTGCCTTGTTGTGGAAGGGCCGAACAACTTCACTGTAGCGGTGATGAGCCTCTCCGAAACCAGAAATGAGCACTATGCTTTTGGACTTGAGACTATTGAGACAATTTCCTACTCTCAAGTCAAAGGATCCATTAGATACGTGGACTTTGAGACCGCGCGCAGACGTATCCTCTCCAAGCTTATTAATAGCGATCCAGACGTGGAAATTATGGATCCACAAGTCACCCTTGACCTTACAGATCCCTTCTCTGCTGTCATGTACAAGATCGCAGCACGTGGCAAAGACTGTGTTCATCACCAGTGCTTTGACCTCGACACATTCCTGACCACAAGGACCTCAGGAAGCAAGAATAAGGTGGAATCTTGTGGACCGGACGAATTCAGGTGTCCAATCTGCAAAGGCGACGTGAGGCCAAAGACAATCGTCATTGACGGCTTTTTCCAAGACATCAGGAGTAAACTAGATGGCTCAGGAAGACTAGACGTGAAGGCCGTGGTGTTACGAGCGGATGGCGAATGGCAGATAAAGGAGGAGGAAGAGGGAATTGGTGCGGAGGAGGGTCATGGGCGAAGGAAGAGGAAGAGCTCTTCCGTGGAGCTACCAGGTCAGCCCAATATTAGAAGAAGCGTCACAGCACCAGCTGAGAGGAAAGCAAGTACGACTGCAATGATCATTGAGTTAGACTGACGAGTAATGCATAATGGCTTTCCTTTCGGTATGTTTGGTCATTGGCTTGAGGAGTTGGGCAACAAATACAATAGACAGATACCCTGATTTTCTTTGATTTAGATTTGAGCCTTAGGTGGGCTCGTCAGGTGATTACTTAGCTATGGCGATTGGCTCAAGCTGTCAACAGTATAGTCCACTCCATTTAGCTGGCGTAAATGGCATGAATATCAGCATGAGGAAGCACCTTCAAGTACTCAAATCTCATGAGCAAAAGATTATCTCGTACACTTGCTTTTCTATCCTTCGCTTTGAAACATCCACCATCAGCCTGCAAAGGAGGTTGAAGATCGGCCTTCGTTCACATCTGCCGAGTGTTGTGGGCAGGATGAAAAGCTGAGACTCTACTGCGTTGAATGATACTCAATAATCTTGGAAATGGCCATACTCGAGAAGTTTTTATTGGACTTTTGCATTCTTGAAATATTCATTACACTCCTGACGTTGACCATTCACTAATCCTCATCACTTCTATGCTCAGGAACAAGCAATATGTGACGCACGACGCATGCGTGGGATAAAATATCACCCACAGCCCGGTGATGATGACAGAGCTCAAATGCTGCAACATACACAATCATATCACTGTCATAGAGACAGGTGGGTAGAAGTGAAGGGATCATTAAACATAATTTGAAAAATTTATCAAGGAGAATAATGATTGATCTTTGAGGGCATGATTTTGTACGACCTAGCTACGCTAGGCTGGGTATCGCAATTACTACATATTACTACATGCGGAAGGCGCTGCTCCAGTTCCACTGGAAATAACGCTCTGGAGCTCCAGGTGCAGGGAAGATTTTTTTACCTTTGATCCAAATAGTTCGTTGTCTCCAGTCCATGCCTTTGCCTTGCTTGGAGTTAGAAAACCCGAACAAAGACAATGAAATCCTCTCACGATGAATCGTATGGTTTTTGGCTTTCTACCTTGAGCTAGTTCTAGTCCTTGAAGAAATCCGAGGAGGATTAAAGCCTGCAAAAGAAAGACACTTGGGGTGCTTCTCGCGCCATTTTTCGCCTCTGTGCAATTTTCTCGCAGATTGAGCGAAGGGAATAGAACTTTCAGGATGGGAAAATTACAGTGACGTGGGAACTATTCAATAGAAAGGCTGGCGAGTAGGGTTAAGTTCTTGTCTAAAAAAGGGTTTCTTATGCTCCTGTTCATTGTAGCTGGTAAGGCTCCACGAGAATCAGAAAAGGGCTCTCCTTGTTAGTAAAGAGGGCAATCGCTGGCAGCATTTCTTAAGTTCCCGAGGCTTGGGGGAAATTCAGTCAAATTTGCGCGTTCAGCAAGTCAAAATGGTTGATGCAGGCGTTGAGAACCCTCTCACACATTGTTTCTCGGAGGCACCCCTGCGACAATGAGAAGCCTCGACATTTGGACACCAGATCCTTGGGCACCTGAACCTCAAAATAACAGATGGCAATAGCAGATTGTGGAGCATGCTAGTATGCAATTTTCGAGTGTGAACAATGGGACATGATGGACAGCATTTGCTCAAAAAATGATTCAATCGCGAGTTTACGTAGTAGGCTGATTCAATAGGCCGTTGGTCGCAACTACCACGTTGCTGGTATTCCCTAAAAAAATAACAAGTACAGCACTATAAGCAGCGGTTGCTTGAAACACTTCCTGTCGTTTCGCTCTGGTAAATATAGATAGCGAACTGGAAAAGACGATTGTGAATAGAAGGATTGTGAGTATTTGAAGATTGCTTTTTCGTCTCACCTCAGAGGTGTGTGATGGTTGGAGCTCGAAAAGGATGAAGACAGGGACAAGTAACAGTGTCGACGCTAAGATGGTGAGGACTAGACGTAGCAGTATATCCAGGCGTCGTGAATCCACGAGCTGTAATTCCTCGTCACCGGTCTGGAGTGCTTGTTCCTTAGAGCGAAAAATGAACTGTGAGATGTAAGTTCAGATGCTTATGACTTGGAGAAAGCTTGACAAAGAGACGATTCTTCAGGTTCGAACATCAGGCAGAAAAAATTTAAAGAATTATTTACTAGTTTTTGCTGGAAAAAATATTGGAGTTGCTTACCTTTGTTGCTCTTCGTGATATCTGGTTGAGCGTGTCCTCAAGGAAATTACTGAACCAGCCACCTTCGGCGCTGGGAATAATTGATGCCAAATCAGGAGAATGACGAATGAACTCTGCCTCATCAGCGACCATCGATTCGGTGCTGCTAATCAAATTGAACAAAGTCGATTGCGCTCTTTTCGAGGGTCTGTGCATGGATTGTATTCGCTGGTGTCTGAGCAAAAGCTCATCTATATCCTGTCAGGAAGGTTCTCGACAGGAAAACTTTGGAAGTCTGTACCGTACTCGGCCATCACGACCCGAATCGTTTGAAGAAGCTGCTGACGGACAGAGTCTGTCTGTTGAGAATCCCGCCGACGAGACAACAATCGCTTGTGGTCGTGCGCAAAGTCGAAGCGGTCAATCCTCTTGAGTTTCGACTCCAACTCGGCCAACTCGTCCTGTTTGATCAGGAGCAAGCGATCATGCAGCCATCCATATTTGCGGAAGATTAATAAGCTTCGGTCACAATCCTGGATGCCAGCTACTTTTGGGTAGCCTTGTTCCCGGTGATTCACTGTCAAAGGACGCTTTTTAGTCATATCTCATAAGGGGATGGAGTGTGTAATACAGGATTCAATTATTGGGTCCACGTCAACTTCGTCTGTATACCCGTCTCTATATCCAGACGGCATGTGAAATGCACGGCGCAAGCGATTTCGCCATGTTGGTGCGTGGATCGCTGATTAATTTAGCACATCAGAGGTCTCCAGCTTGCTTACATGGATTTACCGCCAACGCCAACGCCAAAATCCTCATCATTCACTGAGGAGTCCGAACTGAAGGGCCAGGGCACATCTGACCCCTCACTGTCGCGCTGAGAAGGACTAGAAGAAAGTCTTGGAGATGTAGGAGAGTCCGGCAGTTGATCGGGAACTTCCTGTAGAGCTTCATCATGATCGATAATGGAGGTCAGTATATGCCCATTCTCATGATGTCGTTCGGGCATCACGCGCGGCAGCGGTTACTTGTAGCGCGAGCTTTTCATACTTTACAAGACTTTGACAACCGGGAGGTATAGGGTTTAGAGAGTTGAGCTTTCCGGCGAGCTGAAATGCAGATTGAGATCATGGTCAGTCGGTCAGGGACTGAGCCGGCCTCCTCCCCACTATAGGGGGTGCCCACACAAAGCATGCCACATTCCTTGGGCTGGCCAGCAGCAGCCCTAGGGAAATGATCCCGTAATCTATTTGTCAATTTTGTCGATTTTTAACGAGGTGGTCCCCACTGTTTCGGCGAATACACCAAGCGCATAGTTGCCTTTGGTTGATCGAGCGGCGGTCGACAATCTCTGAAACCAGAGACACCAATTGCCGGCCTCGTCGCAGATCGGCAGGGATAGGGCGATGCGGACCTCCAATGTCCCTGCCGTTCATTGGCCTACTCGTCGGGCGGGGGGCAGTGCAAGCTACGGAGGCTGCGGATGCATATGCAATGAGGCCTAGTGCGGCTCTGCCAGAGCTTTGATTACTTTGATTCGCAGACCGAACAGGCAATCATTCAATTCATCCCTGTCAGCACGTCTATCTCACGTTGACTTCCTGCAGTAGTGCAATACCCTGCACGCCATCCGAGCCCGTACAGGACAAGCTATCCTATATCTGGCCTCGTCTCAGCCTTTTGGTCTTTGCCCGCTTTTTCAAATATCCACACGCTTCCTAATTGAAATTTTCAATTGAAACAAGCGTGAGGTTGTGTCTGTGAAAGTGCACGGCGTGTGATGACAGCGAAAAACATCATGGCTGTTAATCATTGTCCTTGCGATAGGCCGTTACTCTATCTGTAGGCTATACTATCTACACTAGAAGCCTACCTCAGGTACTTCCGGGGGGTACCATGTGATATTCCCTTAGCGTGAATCACAAAACGCCTGAAGGTAGGTAGTACCCGCGACACTCCCCGGCACCTAGCGCCATGTCAATTTGCGATTGCCCCGTTCTCCTTATACAGGTTCAACAGATCTTCAGAGACCCAGAACACTCGATTGCCGTTCGGGGGAGGCCCATCTTTGAGTCGATACCACCAGATCTTCGTCTTGTGAAGCTTGCTGCAACAGATCCAATACTTTCGGTACCGCAGCCGACCCTGACTGTCCAGCTCGTCCTCCCTGTAAACCGCGTCTCCCGCGTTGAATTTTTGCGGATGCTTGGATGTGTAGGTCAGGCTACATGCAGCAGGTAAGTCAGGGTGATTGCAGCGTACATGCGACTTCTTTTTATACGCCGCGTATAGCGTCTCCCTGAAACTGGGGTCGTGCTTTCCGATCGTAATCCGCTCGATGTCCTTCTAAGCAGCATCAGCTTCCTCGCCGTTGAAAGTCACGAGAATCCAAGAGTCCTCGTGCTCACTTTTTTATTGTTATTGGAAGTACTGCAGGGAGAGATCATCCCCGCTCCGGACGGAGCCATACTAAATGGCGCCTAAGGGACCTTTTCAGAGGCCTTGTTCATGCGACGTCGTTCTTGAGAGATGTACTCATAAGGGTGGGACGTGTGTACCCTTATCTATTTTGCCTTACCCATTGTTACTAAAACGAGCCGCGCTATTCCTCTGGCAGTACCGCATTACATGCATGGCATACATGCAGTCAATCAGGCTGTCATGTTCTACAAAATCAACGCCATCTGAGACATGATAGGCTGGGGATGATCGGCAGTGTGATTCGTCAGTCGACCAAAGCCGTTTGCTGCCAGGCAGTAAACCATCCGCTGATCTTCAATAATGAAGCGGCATCCTCTCAGCCTTACAGTGCATGGCTTGCGGCGACCTGTAGCATGTGACAGGTCGCGGTTTCTGCGATTCAAGACCGATGCAACCAAGCAACCAGGCATGTAGCCTGACTGCTACGCCTATCAAACCCAAGAATATATGATTAGGTCAGCAATCCCTGTTCTTGCAAGGTTTCGGACTGGTGCAATATGATGCAACGATTCCTTCAGCGCCTAAAGGCCCGGTATAGCGACGAAAGATGCTTAGGGCAAGGCATGTAAAATAGTACTTGATCAAGGCTTGGCTTCTCAACACTGACCGCCAATATCTACCGCTTTACAAGCGAAGTGATGCCTAGATACTGATTGACACTCCTGAGGACCATTGGTTTCATTGATTGTAGAATGTTAATGCTGTAGCAACCACACTACTGCTCTGAAATGCCTACAACGCTCCACTTGCTTTTCGCATGGCGGCATATGCTCAGGAACACAACACACTCAGAGGTATATCTTGTAGTGGAGGGCAGACCTTCCGCTTGTTAGGTCTAGCGAGTATCTACTAGTCCATAGTCGGCGCTACAATCAAGCCATACTCAGATGTTGTCTTCATGCTGTATTCCTGAACGTGCGATGTATGATGAAATTGCAAAGACGGGGACGCATGGACGCATGAATGTGGAGGGAATGATTCTGAGAGTCTTCGGTGAAGAGGGACCAAGGAGTGTATTTCGTCAAGGGATTTTCGAAGTCTTTGTCTGTGTCTCGACAGCATCATAGACATTCCTTGTGTTCCTCAGGCTACCCTCTGTAGACAAGCTCTTCAAACATACATAACCGTAGAGGACTACATCGACCTCCGGTTGGTGCATCCAAATGCTTGCAGTGTCCCTTGGCCTTTTTACACTATGAGTGAATCGTACTCTTGCAGTCTACCGAAGCGTGGATTGAAGCAAGGTGCAGCACGAGGGAATCCCCGTCTCTTAAGCTAATGGAATAGACTATGATGGAGGCTCCAAAAGGCAAGCCAGAAGTGTCTCTGAAATTCTGATACCCATGAGTCTTCATTCCCCGCGCAACCTGGTCACGGCTCAATTAAGGCGGAGCCAAAGGACGATAGTACATACTCAATGAAGTTCTCATCCATATTGCACGAGAAACGCAGACAGAATGACGATGTATAGGCTCATCTCGAGATCTTCTCACTGCTAGAGATACATACAAGAGACGCGGTTAGTCACATGATCGAACATGACACCGTTTGAATCTAGGAAAAAGGTTGCTTGAGATTTTGACGCCCCCGGGAAATTGCAATCGGATTCGGCCCGTGTTCCTTAAAACCCAATGTCCGCCCTTAAATGAGGCCGCCCGAAGACCAGAAAGCCTTGGTATATCAGAGGCTCTAAGCTGGAAAAAGCTTTCCTCATTGCTGCCACTTCTCAACTGCGCATCATCGTCGTGAAAGGTTGAAATCTCATATTGCAAAATCGGTGTTTGGGCTGAGTACCCATGGCATATACATCCGCTGGTCACAGAGTATCTGATGACATGCTCGATGTTTTCTTTTGCATTTCTTCAGGAATTACCAAGGTCGTTGTGTTGCCCATGAATACAACCAGCACTGCTGCGAAAGCAGCTGTTGCCATGAAAACCTCATGATTTCTCGCTTTGGTGAGGATGGTGCACCAGATAGCCACGGCAAATGTGAAGAGGCAAGTAGCTACAATTTGTAGATTACCCTTGTATTGAACTTCTTCTGAGGTCTGAGGCTGCAAGCGAAAAAGCGTGTAGATTGCTAGGAGGAGTAGAACGAGGTAGGCCGCCCTGAAGACAACCTGGAGGAATCTCGTCAATCGGTACTGGGAGATGATGCGGACGGCATTTGGGTGATCGGTTTTCCGAGTCATTTCGGGAGTGCGAAAGACGTACTAAAAGCGAGTTCAGAGAATGACTCGTCTTCAATACTACGGGCAATGGGCACTGATTGCCCAAACGCGACGAGGAAGACGTACCAGTAATAATCGAGGACAAAGGTAATTGAGTACATCCTCAATGATGTCATTTATTTTTCCGCGCTCAGCATTGCGATTCAAGACTGCTAGGTCTTCTCTACGCTGCGTCCATTCTCTTTCTGATTCCACGATACTGTGACTCCGCTCCACGAAGATTTTCACGCTATTTTGGTCTCGTTTTGTTGGAGTTTCGAGAGCTTGAATTCTTTGCGTTTTGAGGAGAAAGTCATCTGCCCTCGTCAGAGCACAGCTAACGGTGATGAGCCAGGTCAAGATGGACTCACCGTACACCTCAAGTTTTTCTTTGATTCTGTCAATTATATCAGTCCATTCGGAATGCTCACGGTTGCGATCTTCGTCTCGACTTCTGATAAGCATCCGGCCTTCCTCATGCTTACAAGCATTATCGAAGAACTCCTCTAGCTCATCCTCAAGGCTCTGCAACTCTTCTTGTAGAACAAGTAAAACATTGTTGTGCAACCAGCCGAACTTTCGATATTGTAACCAACTGGGGTCGCTGTCTTGGAAGGCAGCCACTCTGGCGTAGCCATAGACATCATCAACTGAGACGAGTTAATCATTGACTCAGGAAAGCGAATTCTACAAGCCCGCACTTTTCTGTACAATTTCATCATCAGGAGAAGATTTCCGAGCTGGGGAGTTCAATACACCTTTTAAACGTTGGCCAAGGGTGATCTGTTTAGCACCTTCCGCATCGGCGATTAGTCGCGGTCCTTATTCCATTACTGGTGGACTTACTCAGGAAACCAAGATTCCTGTCAACGTTTGATTTAGAACGCCCATTGACTGCCCCGTCATTGATTAATGGCGAGCTGGAAGTGGCTGATGGAGAATTAGGCTCTGTCTTTGGTCCTTGAGGTAACCCTGGTTCCTCTATGGCCATCCCGCGATCCTCATTAGCGTCGACCATTTTGAAGGGAATAAAGCAGTGGAGAAAGATGGAAAATAGGCAGTCATATTTAATGCCTTCTAAAGAGAGCTAAATAAGCAAGGAAAGTCGAAAGGCCGAACCAGCACAGGGCTACGAAATCATTCCTTTGAGGACGCCCAGCAGGTAGGGTTGCCGCACCCCTACTGCAGCCCCCTTTTCAGCAGTTAAGCGCTAATTTCGATTCGAAGTGGGCCCCCTCGAATCACGCACGTCGAGGACTCCTCAGAGTTATTGGCCTCGCTAAATCCTATTTCCAAGGTACATGTGAGCCTAAGACTGGTCTTCATTTACCTGCCCTTCGTCACTCCCCATTGTCATTCGTCTCCCCCGTCTCCTCCTGGTATTCAATCTGCTTTTTGAATTTCCGAAGTTCCTTCTGCCTCGCCAATTTTATTGTCTTACCCCCTTTGTTCTTTGGTTTGTCCTTGAGTTTATAGATCAATTTTCCATTGGCGTCTCTCTCTGCGCAACATGTATAGTAACGAGTATGGTCCTCCTCGTTCCGAACCTTTTGGCCATCCTTGCGTTCACGTTTCTCGAACACCTGGTCATCGGGTTTGTAAAGCTGATCTTGCTGGGAAAATAAGCATATGAATCCGTGACTTTATTGTCATTGGACGCACGTCAGTCGAGGGGTTCTCTCCAGGCATGCATCCGCCAAGCTCTGGTGTGTCTTTCACCAATGCCGCACTGTAGGGCTCGATTTCCCATCCGTTTTGAACAGGCTGCAATATTCCGTTAGCTTCTGCTCTCTGTGAACGTACTCGAAAACTAAGTATTACGTTGTGTGGGATCCAGAATTCTTCGTCTTCAATCTGTCTGGGAGACGACATTTTACACTCTGGCTTGAGACTGATTCCAGACGACTTTCGGTTGAAAGACTACCTCAATCAGATTGTCATGATTTACATGCTCTTCTTAGACATATATATACCCGGAAACTCACAAAACCAGGCGTTTACGAGGATACTGCACTAAGAACAAGCTGCTGCATACATACTTGACAGATAGCTCATGCATAGCCCCGTTTGAAGGCATGAATCCTTCTGACTTTGGACGTGCAGCAGGCCATGAGGCTAGGAAGTAGGCGCTCAAGCTCTCTCTAAACCTCATCAAATCGTTCAAGGCTGTGCCTTAACAGCAAGAGCGGTAGACATGAAGGTTGAGCTTGAGACGGATTCTTGACGCCCAATAGCTTCTTCGGTGAGATACGCTTAGCCTTCTCTTTGACCTCTACCCCTATCCATACGCTATGTATCTCTGCCACAATCGCTACATCCGTACACATCTAGCAATCGATAGCCTAGGAAACGCAGAGAAACAATGTGTACACTTAGGAGGAAGGAATGACCAATAAGCATCTACCATTATTAAAAGAGCGTGAAAAAATAATAGATTCTACAGACTGAGCGCCACGGCTGAGTCACCTTCGATCTTCGAAAATGAAATCCAATCACTCAGAAGCGAGCCTTGAGGTAGGTCAAATCAATGGTGCTCATTCAATATCGTGCGCTGAATAGCGAGTCTTGTCTAATATCCTTGTTCTTCAATGCACTGCCTCCAAAATAGCTCCAGAACCACTGTCAGTCAATCTGGTGTCTGCAGGTATTGCAGACAAAACACCACACTTTGGTCGTGACTTCGAAGCCTCTAATGCAGACTTGGCTTTCGGTCTACATATGGTTGATAGCCTCATGATTCTTGTTAGAGGGAAGGTATTCTTTCATGATAAGCCACATTTCCAATGATCAAGCCGTCATTGTTGCACTACCATCAGCAAGGGGGCACATCAACTGTGTGTCTACGCCTAGTCGAGCAGCACAAGATCATGTAACGCAAGCAGAAGTCTCTCCTAGTCGAGGGTACTGTTCATAGAACAATCAAGATGGCAATAGGGGCTGAATATCTGATATCCAAGTCAGATACCATGTTCTAGGCTTAAGAACTAACAAAGAAGACAATGGGGATATTGTTCGCCATTCAGGCAAATGACGGGAGGATTGTGGAGCATCAAAGTCTTGTGAACGCGCTGCATTCAAGAAACATTTGTCTTGTGGGGCAGGGCGAAACATGCCGCCTAGCGCTAGTGAACTCTCCACGTGATCAAGCCTGTGCTATACACCTCTGATGGTGCTGGTGGAGCTGAATGGCTTTGCAGTCTTTATTGCTGGAGAATTTTACCTTTGTACGGAAGGCATCAAAGAAGCTAAAACAAGGCTGGCAAAATATCTGGGGTGAATCTTCAGTCATTCTAAATTTGAATGGACATTCCTTCGAACACCATGGACCTCGTTGACCTCATTGACCACCCCATAGCCAGGTGAAGCCAGAACGCTCACTGTGTTGTCTCGAGTTGATGGTGATGATCCAACTGCCAGAGTCCGTGCACGAAGTGCTCCTCTCAGCGCCTTTCTTATCTCGTCCTGAAAGAATATCCCTCGGCGATCTTTCTGTACCCTGGTACCCATTAGTCCGCTAGCAGCGCACCACACCCTCTTGTTACCCGGCCACTCCCTTGCAGCATCACGTGCAAACGTGCCACGTCACGAAATAAAAGCCTCCAGAACTCGCCCTTACGGTGTCGTCTAAAAGATTTGATGATGCACTTGTGCATATCCAAACCGACCAGGGAGGCTGAGAGGAGCGGTGAGTGAAGCCATCCTTCAGGTATGCAGCGATTTTAGTACGTGGATGCCAAATGCTGACGAGTGCAAGCTTTTCCTCATGGTTAAGGGTCAGGCTATCGACGAAGAATTCACGCTAAGTTCATGCACTGAGCATCGCCGCATCTGAATAAAGCACGCAAACCCAATCGTCTCGATTACTTAGCAAAGGAGATCTTTCGCAAAGCATCAAATCGTCGAGAATATCATTGAAGCGCCGTACTAGCCGTCTCAGCTACGCCCTTGTTTTGTGAAAAGCTTCGCAATACTTGGCGTGGCAGAGACAGCAGCATACATTTGCATGCACGATATGCATAGATGAGTGCTCCAATTAGGGCGAAGGATACCCGGACGCCCACCTCTCGTTCAAGGTCTGTATAGCATTTTTTTCCTACCGCGGTAGCGAAGTCCAATTGACTAGCGCAACAAGAGGACTCAGCTCTTTCACGGGCCTTGAAATCAGGCAACTGAAATTCGAACCGCTCTTTTGCCTACTTCCATAGTGTTTTTCCGAATCGAAAAAAGTGCTTGGGCCTGAATCATTGCCACGGGGCATCAAGACCTCCAGACACCGCGGTCGAACCTTTCTTCCTTTCTTACTATTTTCCAGACTTGCGTCAGCTTGATGTCAATGAGTCGATCTAGCTTGTCAACTTTTTCTCCGCTTTTTTCAACTGAGAAAACTCCACAGGCTGTCGACCAATTTGACCATGCTCAAAGACAAGGCTGAAACGGTGAGGCACAACATGTTTGACTTTCTGACATACGTTGCCTGATGTCGCATCCGAGACCAAGAAACTCCCATCAAGGCAATTTGAAACGAGTAAGGATTCTCTTGTTTCGAGAAAGTGACTTCTTGAGACCTGTGCCGATGGCACCGATTGCTGTTTCTGGCTTCTCAACAAAGGCCTCGCGGGTAAATGCAAGCACGCTCGATATCTTGCAGACGCTGAAACTATGAGAGAATCCTCAAAAATAACGTTAGAGAGAAGATTGAGGTTTGAGGTTGCTACATATGATGCTGATTTCAACTTCAAAGACTGATTGTTCGTGGGCCCCCTTTTTTTTGCCGAACACACTAGACTCCTTCTGGCTGGTGACATTTTTGACTTGCTAGACATGGGACTACGCAGCGACAGGGGGAGACGATCACATGATCTTGTCGCAGGGAAGGCTATGATTACGGGGTCAAAAGCAGAACCGATAGATATCCCACAAAGGCGATGATATGGTGCAAAGCGGTCGAAAAAGTTTTATTCGTGTCATGCTGCCCTGGACCAGAAGAGACAAAATCACATCATTACCCTAGCAAGAGTGGTCTTCTTGCCTTCTTCTCTGCCTGCTTGATCGTGCTTACTCTCGGCAAACCACCAAAACGCCCATTTCGACCTTCGGCAATACGCTTCGCCCATGTGGCTTTCATTGTTTCTGACTGCCTACGTTTGGCGTCTTCTGATTTGGGCGACAGTTGGACGTCTCTAAATGATGGCGTTTTCTTGACGGGCGGTAATGAATTATCTTGAGCTCGTTTCTTTGCTTTACCCTCCTTCATTAGTTCTATATGTCGCTCTCCATCGCCATTAGTCTTCCGCCGTTCCCAAGTTGCACTCATGGCGAGGGACAGTTTGCGCCTTCGCTCTAGCTCCTTGGTTGCAAGATCAGAGTGCTTGTCATATTCCTGAGAAGTGACGCCTGATATGAGTGCCACGTTTTCATGATTCGGTCCGTTCCCAGATATACACGAAGAGAGTGACGTCGGGGTGGATGAGAGCGGAGTTGTCAAAAATTCAGACGCATTTTCATGCTTCGTATTTTTTAACTCGGGATCTGAAGACGTCCTGATATTCATTGCAGAGGTCGCAGGGATCTTTTGAGGCTCAGGCCGTTTATAAGTCGGTATAGACTTACTGGTTGAAGAGAGCTTCAGCCGTACCCACAAAGATTTTGAATTGGCTGACTTTGTTATCGTGACATTCTGACATTCTGACTTGCGACTTTCAGTCTGTGGGTCTCTAGGCTCAAATATCATCTCAATGGATTCTTCACAGACACCATCCAATGAATTGGCGGTTTCAATTTCCGATGGCTGTACTCTATGCTGGGGAACAGATCCTTCCCCAACAGTCTGTTCGATTCTAGAAGAGCGATCAGAAAAAGTCGAGGATGGGCGAGTTTTCTGGACTCGATTTGGTTCCATGTCCGATAAAGAACCAAGTTTGTTCTTGAGTTGTCGGAATCTCCATTCAAGGTAACCTACACTGTCCTCACAATTTGTCATTCCTTTCCAGCGGTCTGCGATGCTACTCCAAGGAACTCCTTCTTGTCTGAGCTCCATTATCATCCGGTCAGCAACATGTGCAGCTTCCCAGGAAGTCGGAAAAGAATTGGGTCTGTCCAGCGCTATTGTCTCACGATAGTGCACATCTCTTTCAGCCATTTGTAGAAGCTTTGAAGAGAAAATCCTCGATGGCCGCCATTCTTGTCTAGACGTTTTAGGCGGGTCTTGTTCAGCAATCTGAACCGATTGATCGGCGTCGTCGCCCTCTGGGATACTTGAAGATGATGCCTGCCGGTTCCGAGCGGCAGGACTGAAGACTGGGTCTACGATACTTCTTGATGATAGAGAATCTTGAGATCCTTCAAAATGGTCATTACTCGTTGCAGAACTCGGGTCTGATTGTGACCCTCTCCCATTGATGGTCGGCCTCCGCCTTGGCTTCTGTGCTGGTTGAGAGGGCTCCTCGATTTCCTTGGAAAAGGGCAAACTCTCCAACTCTAAATCCTGCGTTTCCCCCGCCCATTCGTGACTATTCTCTATGTTTCTCGACTTTTGCAGGTACCATGTATATAGACGACTACCCAAGTCTTCAGGTACGATGTATATGTTTGCATGTTGCACCCCGCTTTCCAAGCCAAGTTCTGTCCGACATCGCGAGACAATATGATCAAGATCGCTTGTTTTGGCGCGTTTGGAATCCCGTTGGAACGCACCCTCCCGTGAGAGTCTCCTTTTTTGACCTGTGAGGTTGAGTGCTGGCGCAGAATCCATGCTCTCGTTCAAATCATGACGCGACGACCGAGAGGGCAAGGGGGATTTAACGTATGTGTCTTGAATGCCATACGATCACTCCTCTTTATAGTGGCTGTTGTACGTGTAGCATTGGTTGAGAGGAGAGAATTTGCAGCAGAAGCAAATATACCCTTCAAGATACTGGATTTGTCGACGGAGATCCAATGCAGAAAGTTGAAAAGGTAATAGCGCGCCGCGACTCCGCGTAGAAGGGGTCACCCCTAGCGCGGACGTACCCCTAGATCGGATTTTTGAGCTTTAGGGGCAGGGTCTAGGGAGGCTCATGCATATTTTTTATCCTTAATGCGCAACTATCAGAACACACTGGTCAAAAATCCAATCTTCGGGTATTTCCGATCCAGGGGTGACCCTTCCACGGCTGGTCAGGCTGAAGCCGCAGAAATGTGATCATAAATACGCATGAATGTAGACCGTAGACAATGCATCAATAGTTCTATAGCGTATTTTTCAGGCTAGCGGGGCCTAAGCCATGTTACTCTGTAAGGCTCTTTTCCCACTCCTGCCATCTCTTCGTCAATATCTTCACCAAACAAGTTGCGAAACACCGTTACGGCGTCAAAGACCACGGCAGCCATAGTTTTCACTGCATTCTATGGACGAAACATTTTTCATCCTAGCCATGCGGATTACGGGAGGGTGATTTCGCAGATATTAGCGACTTGACAATGCCTTGTGAATAACGCCTTCAAGTGATGAGCGATTTCTCGTCAAGGTATAAAGCCAGAAAGTCAATTCAGGAGCTACCTTTGCACCATAGGTGTTGATGACTTGCGATGATGCCATGTGAGATCAGTGTTTCTGTCTAAAGAATGTGCATTCGGATAATAGCTATTTCCAGAACAAGCTACAAGCAGACTCGGACGGGCTGCTTCAGGATCTGTCGCACCTGTGGTATCGTCATCTTACATTTGCCTTGTCAGTGGCCACAAGTTGACGCTGGTCGACCTGGTCTGGCCCCCGGGATGGCTGGGATGGGCGGCTAGAAGGCCGCTCGGCTGCAGCCGGCGAGCCTCACGATGAAACCGGGCATCATTGGATCCCGATCGCCTACACTGACAGATGGCGTGAAACAACCCTATATTCAGGTACGTACATCTTTAGAAACATCCTGAATTCATTTGTTGATCGGTTTGACAACATGTGGGCGACAAGCTATCTACCTGCATACTTAAGGCAACGAAAAGTACAATGGAACCTGTCTTTCTTCATTCAATCACAAGTCAAGTCTCACACTATTTCCTTGAGTCATTCTCTCGTCTCTGTCTAATTTCCAACTCATTTCCTTAAGACACTCTTTTGTCTAAGTCTTTGCCTGATCTATCGCTGTCTTACTTCACTCTCACTCTCTCTTGACTACAGAAGCCCACACAGGCCTACGGTCAATAATCCTAATTATCTGGAATCATCGACCCTCACGACAGCCATCCGCGGATCTCCGTTCTTCACGTTAAAGCCGACATTCTTCAGTCCATCCTTTTCAACCCTAAACAATAATCGAAATGGCCGGACCTGACTATGGCGCTCTTGGTGCGACCTTCAAGATCACCCGAGTGTTGCAAGTAATTTCACTATTGGCCTGCATTGGTATGGCCGCCAACTTCATCTCGCAAATGGTTCAAAACAACGACGAACCTTCAAGAGAGCTCGTCGGCACTCTGAGTGTAGTAAGTGACATTTCCAAGAATCTCATTCCGAGCAATGCTGACTCGACTGATAGACATGCATCGCGATCCTTTACTGCATCATCACCGTCATCTTGCATATCGACAACATGCTTCCATACCTGATCATTACTGCGATGGATGGCATGATGCTCATTGCCCTGACCGTCGTTGCGGTTGTCATTGGCAAACCCCTCTCGTACCTCAACTGCAACGTCATTGGAGACGCAAGTGTTGCCCAATCCGCCTATCAACTCGGCGCAGAGCTGAAGTCAACCATCAGGAATAAAGGTGACGGCCACGTTGGCTATGGCAACTGGATCAGTGGCAGTAAGACGACATGCTATGAGATGAAGGCGATTTGGGGTCTTGGAATTGCACTCTGGTAGGTAGCTTGTATTATCTCCGGTTGCTACCCTGCTGACATCACTAGCATTCTGTTCGCTTTCTCTGCGATGTGCAGTGTCTGCCTCTGGCGACGCAGCAAGACTGCGCCTCCCAAGGATATGGCCTAGGTTGCGTGCTTAAATTTTTTAACGGACGAGACGGTGGCATGTCCCAGGTGGATGGAGAGACAGTAGCAAGGCGATATCACATTCACTCCTTTGAGCATGCATAGCACTGGCGTTTGAGTGCATTTTGGTGGGCTACCTCCAGCATTTAGAGGCGTTCTCCGGCCATTAGAAGATAGATAGAGCCTCATTCCCTAATGATATATTGATGAACACGACTTCTTCCAATTGAATATCCTGCAAAGTCGCCATAAAATTGCAAGTGCGGGATAGTGTGAGGAGCAACTAGCAGTGAAGTTGTGGGGAAATGTATGAGGGGATTCAGAGAGGAAGGGGCAAGCGTGGTCGGTCGTCATTTCCGATGAAATCTTCACGTCAACCCGCCCACTTGGTAGGCTAACGAACCGACCGGATAAGGTACCGTCAGCCCGCCGCGCCCCTAGGGAAGATAGTTCTTAGGGCCCTAGGGGGAGGGACCAATGAGACACCCCGCCGCCCGCAAAGTGCGGGGGCTGGTTACCGGGAGGGTGGATTGGGTCCGGGGGAGGATTTGTTAGGGCGATGATCATCTATAGTGGCGAGAAGAAGTCATTCGTGTTCTGCGGCATCGGTGTGCTCTTAAAGCATGTGTATGGTAAGCCCCTTCTTCCCGTGCTTGATTAATTACCTGTTTCTCATCATCTCGAGGCCTGTTCTTGCTCTCGTCCTTTTCTGTGGCTCCAGAGAATCCCGTTATCTGGAATTGAAATCGTTGCTCCATCTTGACTTCTATCGGAGCTGGTCTTGAAAGAAGTATCACGCTTCGTCTCACATGGATGGGTTCAGGATACGAAGATATCATCATCGTCTAAGTCAACCAGCTGTCGAACAGCACAATCAGTCTGACCCTTAGTAGGATGACGACGTTAATAAGTATGATGAAGAAACATACTATTACGATGCTTCGTAACTGGCTTCTTAATGCTGCGCTACTCATGGTGTCTACTCATAGATGTGATAGTGCCATGTCGTTGGCCTCTTCTGGCGACCATTACAAACTCGAAAACAACAGGAAATACCACACATACCGTTAGTCAAAGACCCGGAGAGGAACGGCTGCGCAGGCTAATGAAGCGGAGGCGACGGCTCCTACTGAATGCCACATGACAAAGAGGCCGTGGGACTGGATACAACAGCGTGAGCAGGCTTAAAAAAAACGCATCGTACTCCCTTGTAAGATGTGAAATTGTTTTTTCGAAACTAGACACCATATCTTCCTTTTGACTTTGAATGATCAACTCTTTCGATCACCCATTAAGAACCCCAAAAAGGTCCTCGATGTCGGTACAGGGAATGGCATTTGGGTGCTGTATGCCGCTTCCAACTTTCCCTTCTGCTCGTGCTATCTAACCACACGTGTATCAGGAATTTTGCAGACAAGTTCCCCGACGCAGATATCCTTGGTATGATATTTCATTCTAAGAGATCGAAACAGAAAGGTGACTCGAAAATCAAGCAACGAATGTCGCTCATGTACAAGAAACAGCTCCATCCCCAACCCTTCGCTTCGAAATCGATGACTGCTGCAGCGCATGGGTGTATCCAATCCTGGGACGCCCTTTACAAGGAATGCTACGAGTATGTGGTTGTTCTTTTTTCCGCTCTTAACCGCTCTCACACATGCTCCTCTTCCACCTGCCCTCTCAAAGTCTTCTTGTACTCTGTCATGACACGACCTACAGCCATTTTGCACCTGGGGGCCACCTCGAGCAAATCGAAATTTGCCCGGGTCTTGACATTGATGACAGCAGCCTCGCCCCTGAGTCAGCTATGGCGCAGAGCAGACAGCTAGCAGCTGAGTGCGGCATACGAGTAGGTTGACGGCTTGATATCCAGCTCTACATCAAGAAGTGGATTGCGAATGCAAGATTTGTGGATTTAGTGAAGGAGAAATTTCAGTGGCCCATAGGTGATTGGGCTGCGGATCCAAAATTTAAGGATATTGGGAAATGGAATGCGACCCAGTGGAATTTGGGTATTGAGAGTTGGAGTATCAGGTTATTAAAGCAGCAACATGGTGTGAGTCGGTCATCTCTTGTATTTTCGTTGCGTTGAATCGTGGTAACCTCGGTTCAAGCAAAGATGTAGAGGAATGGACAGTTGACCAAGTCAAAACATAATGAGAACATACTCGCGGAAATAGCGGCAAGGAAGACTCACGCGTACCAGAAAATGTATGTCGTGTATATTCTGTTGGCTGATGAGGTATGCTATCATGGCAGAAAGGAGTGTCGTCTACGCCCAAAAACCCCCGAAGAAATAACATATATAGACTGTCAGTCGGTACGAATAATAGACTCGGCGCTCCTTTCGTGAAGATACTTGAGCGTCGACTCTAGGATCGACTACTCGTTCTTGCTTCGTGCACTGTTTCCAGCACCTTAATGTCAGCGAATGTTGCTATGCAGAGTTCCAGGCTCCAGACGTAAGAAAACATGAAATGCCGTGTTAATGCCCGAATACGTGCCACATAATGGGTCTCTTCGCTACCTTATACATGTCTCATTAGAAAAGTCTCGCATTTCACTGGGCTCCAATGTGCCCTTGACAAACGCTGCTGTAATTCACCATTGACTTCAGTGCCTTTTACCTTATTCTCTTGCCACCAAACAGCGGTTCGAAAAATGTGTAAGATACCTGAACACCCTGATTTCTAGCCCAATCTACAGCATCCTTACTGACTTTCGGGCAACGATCCAGGCGTAAAAATTCCAATGTCTCCTTCATTTCATTGACCAACAACTTCACGCTGACCCCTGTGACCACAGAGTGTGCTAATTCAAAGCGCTTCAGATGCTCCAATTTGTGAACAAGTGTCTCAACAAACCGGTCGTCGACAGCAAACCTCCCGTAGTCTCTCTCATCTTGAAAGAACTGGACTGCGTTCAAGACAAGCATCTCAAGATTGTCGAAACATCCTGCATCTAGCAACCTCAAGAATATTTCTCTGGGGACTACATTGTTCGATAGGTCTAAATATAGCAGATTATCTGGCTTTGTATCCAAGAGGTTCTGTAATGATTGAAGATTTGCGTGATTTCCAGTCATGACAAGACGCTCTAGCTTAGGCAAGTTCGTGGGTGTGTTGAAAGCCGTGTAATCCCAATCGTTGAGATAGAGTTCACGAATCGAAGTGGGCAGTCCTATAAACGTTCTCATATTACATGAAGTGAGATTAAGAGACTGGAGGGAATCAATCCCAAAACTGAATTTCTCACCGGCGACGCTGTTCCAGAGCTCCCAATTGCGCAGGCTAAGATTTCGGACTGCCTGCAATTTTTTGAAGAACTTAGGTTCGAGCTGCATTCGAACTGGGCCTTTTGAGCTCATGCTCAAGGTTTCCAAGACCGGAAGCTCTTTTAGCCGATCTAAGACCTCTGAGCCACCATACCGAGTATCGATGATGCACACAAAGTGCTCCAAGCAAGGGCATCTTAGAAGAACCTCTGTGAAAATACTCATACTAGTCTCACTGGATGGCGATAAGACAAGTTTTCGAAGATTGGATAAGAGGGGAATTGCCTTTGAAAGGCTCTCACTGACAAGAGGAGTGTTGAACGTAACCTCTTCTAAACTCCTGCAGCGACTTGCTACATAGCATACAGTTTTCTGCATATCGTTGGCGGCTCTGGAAGTTGACAGGCGAGTGGCCTTGAAAGCGGATCTTTTGATGTAGTTCTGGACTGTCTTGAAATTTATTGGTCGCTTAGCACTTGAAAAGTCCAGGTTCATCCAAAGATCGGGATTGCTCCCTACAGCGTGCCTCCAGACTCTACACACTCTTGAAGTGTTGCTATATATTATCAGTATTTATCTGTTGAGAGCTTCAGCGAACGTACATTATGTCCACAAAATCCAAGTATGAAAAGAGTATGAGCATCAGTTCATGCGGCAGAACCTTCAATGGGTCTAGGAGTAGTCCAGGCGTCAGACTTGCATGAAGCTTGTGTTCCGCTGCTTGTAAGGTCTGAAGTTTTGTCAATTGATTGTTGACTTGAGCAGTCACAAGTCAAACCTTGAAAAAGTCTGCTTCAGGAGGCACTTGCTGCAGACCACGTTCGTAGATTTTGAGTGCCTTTTCTGACTTCTTCTGATTTTGCAGAATTTGACCCAACCGTAAATAACCCTTTTCTCGGACTGTTACAAAGAAATACATATGGAAGACGAAGCGCACCTACCATTGCGCTTCTTGGGTCACTTCGAATCATTCTTCCAGCGTCTGCAACTGCGGCTTCATGATCTCCAAGCCGCGCATGAGTCGCCGCTCGCTTGTCAAGAACAGCAAGTGGAGGCTCCACATCTTGTTGAATTGCCTAGATCAAGTCAGCCATACACTGTCCAACAGTCACCTAAAATCAAAATACTTTGTCTAGATATTCAAGGGCTGCCTCGTAATTTCTCTCGCGGAATTGGTCAATCCCTCTGTCAATTAGTCCTTGTAAGTAGATGCCGGTCATGCCGGCAGCCGCATTGCGACGATCTCGTAAGGTCATAGATCCGTCCATCTATAATTGCCCTCAGACATTTAGAATGTTCACCCTTGAAAGAACCACGGTTTCTGTTACCTCATTGACGTGACGCGTTCTTATCTCCGAAGTCCGGGCACCTAGAGTGCTTCTATCAATAATTAAGCACTGACGGTAAACATTATTTCAGAGGACCTTATGCCCTAGCCGTTGAACTTCGTCCTCATACATTCGACGAAGAGAAAGTCGTTAAAGAATGACAGGTATTGACGATCTCTTTAAGGTAGGCTTTCAATGCTCCACCGTCCCCGGCTCTGACTGAGCCTATCCAGAAACCCTCGCTACCCAGCAAACGAAAATTAGAGGTCAACAATGATGCCAGTATGCTACGAGAATACTGCAAGCACACGGTTCAATTTTGGTTGCTAAGAAGAGCTAGATGTGGCATACAAAGCGAGCAAGTTGAGCCCCGATGCAGATGTCAAACATAACGGACATGCAATCGTAGAGGATGGGTTGGATCAAGACGATGTTGAGGCAGGACCAGATTTACCTGCCGAGGAAGATGACCAGGTGGATGAAGAAGACGGCCGGTTTTTTGGAGGAGGAGTCACCAAGAATACAAGCCAAGCTCTGAATTACATCAACGAACAGGATCAAGATGGCGAGGTCATGATGCCTTTTTCTCCGCCAATGCAAAGTTGCTGACATGTCTTCAGCCACTTGAAAAAATCGATATCGCGTGGCTGCGGAAGATGGCTGTCAATTTCGAAAAGAAGATAAATAAGAACGCGGAACTGAGGGCGAAGTTTGAGGATGCACCACAGAAGTATGTCAAAGAATATATATCAGCCTGGTGGGTCATCTGACAGCCGAATGCTAGGTTCATGAGCTCAGAAGCAGATCTAGATGCAGATGTCAAAGCATTGTCAATCTTGTCCGAGCATCCACAGCTCTACAGGGAATTTGTCAAGCTTGGCTGCGTCGCGTCCTTGGTGTCCCTTCTATCGCACGACAATACTGATATTGCCATCGACGCAATTGAGATTATCAATGAACTTACAGACGAAGACGTTAATGCTGAACAACAGCAATGGGACATCCTCGTCGACGCCATGCTCGAAGCCGATCTTCTGAATCTGCTTTACGAGAACATCTCACGCCTGAATGAGGAATTGGAATCGGATAGAGCCGGCACTTATCATGTATTGAGCGTCTTAGAGAATTTGTCATCAAGACCAACGCTGGTGACGAAACTCGGAGAGGAGAATCAGTTCGTCGAATGGCTACTTTCACGTATACAGGCAAGAGAGTCAAACATAACTCAGAACACGCAGTACGCCGCCGAGAACCTTGCCATTCTCCTGCAGTCGTCTTCTACCGTTCGAGCTAAGTTCATTAAATTGAATGGTATCGACGCCTGTTTGCAGCTTCTCAGTCCCTATCGAAAAAAGGATCCTGCCAAAGGCACCGAGGAGGAAGAATTTGTTGAGAATCTTTTCGACTGTCTCACTTGCTGTGTCGATGACACTGATGGGAAGAATAACCTTCTGGAGGCTGAGGGAGTTGAACTCTGTCTGATAATGCTTCGGGAAGGCAAGATAAGCCGACGAAGAGCCTTACAACTGCTGGACCACGCGCTTGGTGGGCCTATGGGTGGCCCCTGCTGCGAACAACTCGTGGAGGCGGCTGGTCTCAAGACTACCTTTGGTCTGTTCTTGAAGGGACAGGAAAATGAATCAACTGAACATCTACTTGGGATCTTCGCCTCCATGCTCAGATCGCTGCCGGCCAACAGTCCGGCTAGAATCAGGCTGTTAGCTAAATTTGAGGAACGGAATTGGAGAATAATTCTGAACCTCGTTCAGAAACGGCGTGAAGCAGCATCATCAATTGCAATGGTTGATAAGGACATTGATAATGAAAAGGCAGAGCTCTCGTTTGAGCAACGAGATGAAAGGGCGGATGAATGGCTGTCGCGACGACTAGATGCTGGCCTAACTACATTGCAGGCCGCGGATACTGTCCTGGCGTGGCTCGCCGCCGAGGCAGAGCGTGCCAGGACGATGGTTGTGGACACGCTGGCGGACAGAGGCGAAGATCTGAAGGAGATTCGCAAGACGCTGCAAGGTAAGCCATCCAAGCTCTGGCACTGTAGTTTGAAGCTTTGCTTATAACCTTCACAGACCAACTTGTTTTGATGAACGCCAACCCCGAAAACGAGGATCCAATGGCTAAAGACATGATCAGTACCTTGATCGATTGTCTATAAATCTGCTCCATTCAGACGGGAGAAATGTACGCCTGTTTATCTTGGGAATTAGTGCAAAGGGGCAAAAAGGGGTCACTAATTTTGGGTCTTGGCATCATATCCCGCTCCTTGCCTCGGCTCTCGACATCGTCATTCACCACCCACCATGGATACAAACGGCTGAAAGTCACGTTTAAGGAGCTTCTATGCTCCTAAGACCTCACAATTTGCGATGCACAGGCCTGCATTCTTCCTCGTTTCATGTCGACATCTGGACTTTGCGCCGTGATATATGGACCACTCCTCGTCCGGCGCACTTTTCTTCTGCAACTCAGCTGTCCATTTGCCTAATGACGCCACGTGCGAGTAAAAGGCGCATCCTCAGAAACACTTTGCGTGGTGTTGATGCTTCAGCGGAACAGGGGAAAAGCAGCCTCTCAACAAGAATGTTCGCCAAAGGCATGGCTAAGATGCAGAAGAAAGACATTGGAGTGGCTCATCCGAGTGCAAGGTACATTTGACCTGCCATGGGCTGGCAAAAGCTGAATACTGATGACCACGTTCAGCATTCTGCTCATCTCGCCCCAAAACCGCATACTTCTCCTTCAGCGCGTGAACACATCTACCTCTTTCGCTTCTGCACATGTCTTTCCTGGAGGGCACGTTGACCCACAAGATGGCGCTTTACCACCCTCCTCCGATTCCCAATGTCACTTAGACAGTCTCCCATATCGCCTCGCTGCGATCCGCGAATGCTTCGAGGAAAGTGGCATCCTCCTAGCCCACCAAAACTCCAATAAGACCTCTCTTATCAACCTTACCGACGAGCAGAGGGAGGAAGGTCGTCAAATTGTCCATGCGCAAGAAATCCCTTTCAAGAACTGGCTGCAACAATACGATGCCATCCCCGATAGCCACAACCTCATTCCGTTCACTCGCTGGCTTACGCCGACCGATATAAGAAAAAGATTCTCAACGCAAATGTACATTTACTTCTTACCTCTCGACTCACCATCCCTAGTGGCCGGCGCTGAGCGAAATAAGCCACAGCATATCCCGACACCTGATGGTGGGGTCGAACACACCGCTGCACGCTTCCTGTACGCCCAAGAATGGCTCGACCTCGCGCTACATAAAGAGATTGTCTTGTTCCCACCTCAATTCGTTCTCTTGAGCCTGATCGCACCTTTTCTATCGCCACCGTCAGGAAGTGCTGAGACGTCAGAGCACGAAGCGCTGTTAGAGCAAAGGGATAAATTGAAGCATTGGGTGGAAACAGATGGCGATCCGCCATGGGGCGAGAAGTGCATTAGCCCTGATGCCATCAAGAAAGTTAGTGGGCGGTATATGATCATCGGGCTCGATGGTCCGGGGTGGGAGTTGCAAGGCACGCAGAGGCGGGGTGACCCGTTGAGGATACTGAAGGTTGAGTTGGATAGAGAGGTTGAGAAGGGGAAGGATAGACCTAGGCCAGTGGAGTTGACGTGGAGGACAGATGGAGTCAGGGAAGAGGTGAAACCGAAGCTTTAGAGCAATTGATACCAAGAACAATGACTAGTATTTAGATTGGATTAAGCAGTCCTATGACTTGTCCTAACTTCTTTTCCAGCTCCCAATCCAAATGGTACCATGATCAGAAGATATTATTTTTACGTTCATTAGTGCTACCCCTTTATGAGTAGAGCTTTTTGTCATAAGAATGCATGGAGTGAATGTTTCCCTCAGCCTGTGCGCTCACAGTCCGCAATTCAAAGCGCACGTTCCCCTCCCTCACGCCTTCCCTCAAATCACTCAAACTCTTCGAGCCAATGTCTTGCAGGCTATGCTGCAAACCCGCCAGCAGGTAGGGCACAAATTTCGTAATACTTCCCCTATCCAACACGGAGCCTGAAACGCCCTGAGCAACCAATAGCCGATCACCCTCGCTGAAATACCGAGCTGTGCCCGCATTGCTCGCTTTAGATCCGGCGGCCTTGCCAGCACCCGCCTTTTTGTCTTCCATGGCATCGATGGAGCCCATGCCCCGGTATGCTTTGACTAATTGGCCTTCTCTGCTAACGAAATAATTTCCCGGTGATTCTGTGGTTCCGGCGAGCAGACCACCCATCATGACTGTTGACGCACCAAGCGCAAGTCCTTTCACGATATGGCCCACGTTCTGAATCCCACCGTCTGCGATGCAAGGAACCCCAAACTTTGCTGCGAAGGCGGAAACGTTGAATACCGATGCAGCCTGTGGCCTTCCCACAGCCATGACTTCTTGCGTTATGCAGGCCGATCCTGAGCCCATACCTATGCGAAGCCCGTCCGCTCCAGCTGCTATGAGGTTCGCGGCTTGAGCGACTGTGACGACATTACCTGCTATGATATCGAGCCTAGGGTGAGTGTTTTTGATGTATTTTATCATATCTGTTTGGAAGATTGAGTTGCCTTGTGAGGAGTCAAGGATCACAATATCAAGATTGGCATCAACAAGCTTTTGAAGCCGTTCCTTGTCCTCTGGTCGGGTGCCTATCGCCGCAGCACAAATCAGCTGTTTCGAGCCTGGCTGTTTGGAGGCAAGAGGGTAATGCAGATTTTTCATAAGATCGGAGCGTGATAGCAGGGAGATGAGGTTTCCTGATGCGTCTACGATGGGCAATTTTCCTTTTTTAGACTTGGACAAGACCTCATTAGCTCGTGTCAGGTCTGTTCCCTCCTTGGCCGTTACTAGATCTGTGGACATGACCTCGGTCACTGGATCGGAAAGGTCAGAGTGGAATTGGATGTCGCGAGAGGTGATGATGCCAACAAGGCGGGATCGAAGAAGGCCGTCGTCTAGTTGAAAGGGTCAGCTTGATTAGACTGAGTCTGGGTGAAGAGAATTGCTTGATGTTCTTCTCATTGGGTTGAAGATAATTTGTCCGCAGAGCACGATGTGCGCATTGGTTGAACGAAAGTTATGTGATCTTTTTAATAATCATTGAAGAGATAGAGGAGCACGTAATGGATACTCTCACAGAGCGAACACTGACCTGTCACAGGAAAGCCTCCGAACCCCCACTTTTCTTTCAATGCTTTGGCTTCACCTACCGTCGTCTTCGGCGAAAGCACGACGGGATCTAAAATGAATCCGTTCTCGAATCTCTTAACTTTTCGCACCATTTCTGCTTGATCTTCTATGGAGCAGTTGTGGTGTATTACACCTAGGCCACCTAGTAGTGCCATGTGAATTGCCATTGAGTGCTCGGTGACTGTGTCCATTGGGGAGGAGATGAAAGGTGTTTTCAAGGTAATATTCCTAGTCACTGGAGTGTCTAGTGCTACAGCCGATGCAGCAAAACCTGAGAACAGTCAATGAGTCACAGTCATATCGAGGCATTCATGTGCTAAGCATACCAATATAGCCAGGCAGAATGAGGAAATCGTTGTAAGTGAGCCCGCCACGAATCTTTGAGTCAAGGAGTGTCTGGGCATCAAGACCGTCAAGATTGGAGTACTCTCTCTCTAGCAGAAGTCTATAGCCGTGTTTGGATCCAAGGTCTTCTGTCCCCGCGCAAGCTGGTGCGAGGCGATGTTGGTGTTTCCATTCGTGAGAGGCATGGTGCGGAGACTCTGATTTAAAAATCCAGTAAGAAAGCCAAAGAGCTTAACACTGAGCTATATAGTCAGTAGATACTCTTGTCTGAGACCTCTACTGACGGGTCGAAAAAGTCTTCTCCCAAGTAAAAAGAAAGCAGTCTCGAGCGTTGTGGGACACAACGCGCGTGGCTTTGCGGAACGTTTCCGCCTTTTTCCTCCGTCATTTGTTTACTTTTTCACCCCTCCATCCGCCAGACTTTTGCGATACAACGATTCAGATGCCGATTACTCTAATGCGTATCTTGCAATCGAGTGTCATCATCAGCAATAGTACGGATTTGACGAGTCAATGACATATAGAAAGTTAGAGTACGACTGACGAGGCTATGCGAGGAAGGCGCGATCGAAGGACGTGCCTTAGACGAAGAAAATTACTGGTTTGAGTGCAGTCCGACCATACAATGTCGTGGTCTTCGCCGCCAGCGCACTCTCAGAAAGCCGACACATACCACCCTGATCGCTCCAGTCCTTTGCGCTACAACTCGAATGCCTCGACAGCCTCAGCATATTCGATGTCTTCGAACCCCTTTGCACCAAGCCGCACGAGCACAATATCTTCTGCAGCTTCTAGCACCTACTCATACTCTGCTGCAGGTCACAAGCGCGGAATCAGCGAAACATCTCCAACTCGGCCAAACGCAAGGCAGGATGTCTCTCGGCTGGACCAATCCGATGCCGCTTCAGGATACAAATCCATCAGACAATCGCTAAGACCACTACCCCAAGCACCAAATGTATCCACACCTCCTGTAGCTCCCAAAAGCTTTTCACACTCCACGAACGAAAACGGCTTTCACAGCCCTGAATACGCACCTGATGGCCCAGCTTACACTTCAGATTCTGACCGACCGTTGCGAAGTCGAGTCAATGCAGCAGTGTTGAGTCGCGCAGGATCTGTCACACCCAGAACGTCTTCTTCCCACAGAGAGAGTGACCAATTTGCCGACAGCATCCAAGAACACCACGGGCCCAATCTCACCTCACCAGACCTAGCCGATCTCAAAAAGTCGTCTACGCCATACTTGAAGACTCTTTCAAGATTCGCTCAGAATGGAGACAACGAAGAATTCACGACGGCTCCATCGACGCCTTCGGTTGCAGGTCTTTCTGGTCGCAAACAATTAAAGCGAGCAGGGTCTGTAAGGCCCAACCAGGGGTTTACTCAAAATGGTGCATCTCGAGCCTCAGCTTGGGCTGAGAGCAATTGGATGGAGAAGCAAAGGCAATTCCTGCAAGCATATGAGTACTTGTGTCATATTGGAGAGGCGAAGGAATGGATTGAGGATATCATACATAAGCCGCTTCCCCCAATCGTCCAATTAGAGGAAGCTCTTAGGAACGGTGTTACGCTTGCTGAGATTGTCCAAGTCTTTTATCCTGATCAACAAATACGAATCTTCAGAAACCCAAAGCTTCAATTTCGCCACTCCGATAACATCGCTCTCTTCTTCCGCTTTCTTGACGACATGGAATTGCCAGACCTCTTTCACTTCGAATTGATTGACCTTTATGAGAAAAAGAACATACCAAAAGTGATATATTGTATACATGCGCTTTCATGGCTTCTTTTCAGGAAGGGTCTTGTAGATTTTAGAATTGGCAATCTCGTTGGTCAGTTAGAGTTTGAACACCATGAGCTTGAGGAAGCGCAAAGAGGATTAGACAAGGCTGGTGTAAGTCTACCCAGTTTTGCAGGAATGGGTGCATCCTTTGGTGCAGAGCCAGAGCCAGCACCACCGCCGCCGCCGCCTCCAGAACCAGTACCAGTCGAATCAGAGGATGATCGAATAGCAAGAGAGCTAGGTGATGTCGAATCAGTGATCCTGGATCTACAGTCCCAAATTCGGGGGTCTGTCATACGTATGCAACTGGGAGACATGATGCAGGGCCTTTGGGATTCGGAGGACTTGCTTATTCAACTTCAGTCAGTCGTTAGAGGCAACTGGGCTCGAGAGATAGCAGAATATCGAGCTACCACCAAACGCTCCGCTATGCTGGTTCAAAGTGCTGCCCGTGGCTTTCTAGCCAGGTCAAGTCGAAAGCACCAAGATGAAATTTGGCACGGTAGACAGGATCAGATTATCTTGTTGCAGAGTATGATACGGGCCAGAAAGGCCCGGCAAGAAACGCAGACTGTCAAAATATCATCGCAAAAAGAAGCTCAAGGGATCCAAAGTCTTCAAGCTGCGATCAGGGGTGCATTACAACGAAAGGCCGTGGATGATCAGTATGAAGAAACGCACAGTGCTGCCGTTGTGCTGGACAGACTTCAAGCTGCAATCCGAGGGCAGCTCGTGCGTCAAGGGATTCACAGAGACATTCGGAATTTGCGTTTGGCTGACAACGTCGTTTGCCAATTACAGGGAGCCATCAGAGCAAATCTGGGAAGATCAAGTTTCAAACACCAGATTCATCAGCTGCAAGGCAAGTCTGCGATTTGGTCAGCACTTCAAGCGGTTTCAAGAGGCTTCCTTTGCCGAAAAAGATTAGAAAACTCGCATGTGCAATTACGCAACCAACAGGCCTCGACCCTACGTGCCCAAGCTGGTATCCGAGCCATGCTGTTACGTAGAGAAGTAGCAAAGACAAAATCATCTCTGAATGACGCAAACTCGGAGATACTTACTTTACAGAGTTCTGCGCGTGGAAGAACTTTTCGAATGAGAATTGTCTTAGATAAGCAGGCATTGAAGAAACAAACTAGTGCCATCGCCCACCTCCAATCAGCCATCCGGGGATCTTGTTCGAGGCAGCGGCAGGCTCTGGTTCTCGCTGAATTAAGTACTCATGTTGAGGAGATCAAGCAGCTACAGGCCTTGGGTCGAGGGATGCTACTTCGTTTAGACGTAGGAGATGAACTTAACCAGCTTGAGGCTGAGGAGTCTGAAGTAGTGGAATTGCAAACCCTAATTCGAGCCAAAATCGTACGTGAGAAGTTTATCGAAAAGCAGCGCTTCTTCAAGGCAAACATGGAGAAGGTCATCAAAGTCCAGAGTTTTGTGCGTGCCAAGCAGCAAGGCGAAGCGTACAAGAGCCTGACGACCGGCAACAATCCACCTGTGGGCACAGTGAAGAATTTCGTGCACCTCCTCAATGACAGCGACTTCGATTTCGATGAGGAGGTCGAGTTCGAAAGGTTACGCAAAACCGTCGTGCAGCACGTTAGACAAAATGAAATGGCAGACCAGTACATTGGACAGCTAGATATCAAGATCGCGCTACTAGTAAAGAATAAGATTACTCTCGATGAAGTTGTCAAGCACCAGAAGCACTTTGGCGGCGTTGCTGGGAATCTGTTGACTAACAAGGAGCTTTCATCCAAAGATCCATTCGACCTCAAAGCTTTGAACAAGAACTCAAGACGAAAGCTAGAGCACTATCAAGAGCTGTTCTTCATCCTGCAAACCCAACCTCAGTACCTAGGTCGAATCTTCAAGCGCATAAGAGAACAGGCCACGGCTGAGAAGGAGTGTGAAAGAATCAAGCATCTGATGATGGGCCTATTTGGCTATGCACAAAAACGCCGAGAAGAATACTATCTCATGAAGCTCATCGCGCGGTCTCTAAAGGAAGAGGTTGACAATTCACCATCTCTCCAAGACTATCTGCGAAGCAATTTCTTCTGGGCTAAGATGTTCGCTGCGTACACAAAATCTCCTCGAGATCGAAAGTATATGCGAGATGTTCTAGGTCCGATAGTCAAGGAAAGCATCATAGACAACTCTGAGCTTGATCTCGAAAGCGACCCTATGCAAATATACCTGTCTGCTATAGAGAATGAGGAATTACGAACAGGCCGACGAAGCCAGAGAAGCCCTGACATACCACGGGAAGCAGCTATCCGGGATCCGGAAACTAAACGAACATTCATCACCCATCTCCAAGATCTTCGTGATATCGCAGACCAGTTTTTTCTTTGTCTCGAAGACCAAATTCATAGGATGCCTTTCGGCGTGAGGTATATTGCGAAGCAGATGTACGAAGCCTTGACGAGGCGATTCAACCATGACGACAGCGGCCACGTACTGCAGGTTGTTGGTCATTGGGTATGGAAGCACTACTTCCAGCCAGCATTAAATGAACCCGAAAAACATGGCGTGGTAGATCGAGGTCTCTCGCAGGAGCATAAGCGGAACATTGGCGAGGTTTCGAAAGTCGTTGGGCAAATCGCAGCTGGTAGGTTATTTGGTGGAGAGAACGTGTTCCTTCAGCCACTCAACAGCTACGTGGAGCAGTCGATCCAGCGTCTTGGAGAGACATGGACAAATTGTAAGTACTGGCTTTGTTCATGTCATGGATGACAATTGCTAACGGCATGGCCCTAGTGCTCGATGTCCCTGACGCTGAGACGCAATTCGACATTGATGAGTTTAACGATCTATACTCCCGAACGAAGCCGACGCTTTACATCAAGATGTCTGATATCTTCTCCATACATCACTTTGTGGCTGCAGAAGTCCCCTTTATTTGCCCGAACCGAGATGACATTCTCCAGGAAGTAATTCATGAGCTTGGTAGTGCAAAGAACAATGAGACTGAGCTTAGAGGCGTTGGTTCGTCAGAGATCACCCTCACTCTCAACCCTAAGTTGCACGAAGCTGAAGGTATGCTACAAAACTGCTATATCACGTTGATGAGTTGCTGATCACTTAATAGATCCGGATGCTGAGTTCAAAGCACTCTTCACAGAGACAAAACGCTGCATTCTTTACATCATCAGGGTTCAATCCGGTGGCGACTTGATGGAGATCATGGTCAAGCCTATTACGCCGGAGGATGAAGATCGATGGGAAGCCTTGATCAATCAGGAGCTTTCCATTGGAAACCGCAGAAAAGGCGCGTACGCAGAGGCAAATACTGTCATGGACCTTGCTTCAATGTCATATACGGAGCTCAAGCGGACAGCGCTCGAGAATATCCTTCGTATCGAGCAAATAGGCCGCATCACACGCCACAATCACTATCAGGACTTGCTGAACGCTATCGCCGTCGATATCCGAACAAAGCACCGTCGAAGAGTGCAGCGCCAGCGTGAGCTCGAGACGGTGCGCCTCACTCTTGCCCGCCTCAATGACCAGGCAGTCTACCTAGAGGGCCAGCTCAAGACTTATAATGATTACATTGAGCAAGCCATGGTGACACTTCAGAATAAGAAGGGTAAGAAGCGATTCGTCATGCCTTTCACTAAACAATGGGACCATGAGCGTGAGTTGGCGCGGTCCGGTCGTGTTCCCAAGTTCGGCTCCTTCAAGTACTCAGCGCAGGATCTAGCGAACCGTGGCATCCTCTTGTCCTGGGCAGGATACACAGATCGGCAATATCAACACATCGACCTAACGCTCTCAAGCAATGAAGTTGGCGTTTTCACCTTGGAGGGCAGCAATGGACCAATAAGTATTCCAGGCGCAAGTGCCCAAGTACCGCTAGACGACTTGCTGCAGGCGCAATTTAACAATACGCAGGTGTTGGAATTCTTTGATGAAGACGGTAGAGGGGGTTTGAGGGTGAATGTGAATCTTTTTGTGCATTTGATCATGAGGAAATTTTATAAAGATAAAGATTGAAAGAAATGCGCCGGTCGATTGGATGATATTGCTTCATGAGCATGGCGTCGCGGGGGAAAAGGATATGCATACATACATCAAGCGCTGGTGTTTAAAGTGGGTCAACGATGGAGCGGCGCTACTGTTTTGCATGCACATTGGTGGTGTTGCATTTGAGATCAAGGTGTCTATGGATATGAAGGCTGAACTGTCAAGCCAACAAATGGGATGGGACGGCTGGACGACTGTATCTGTATATACATTTAGCGCCTTTCGGAATGAACACGCTCAGTTTCGAGGCCTACTTCTTGCCGTCTAGTCTAATGCTCATGCTTTCAGGATGTATGTTTGAATCTCATCAGCGTTCCTACCATTCAGCTACAGACTCTTCCCTCCACCGCACTCATTTCTCGTCATAATTTGTACTTCACTGGACTTGAGCTGATAACGAAGCAAACCGAGCTCCGTTCGTGCTTTTTTCACGTAAACGATTCAATCCTTCCTCTTCTGTGCCGTTTGATGATTGTAGCTGTATGTGGGCAGGACTCTGCGGCTGGTCGACTCTAGTATCGACCATTCTCATTTCGCATGATGCTTCGCCGTACATTTGTAGAGGATGTCGCGACTCAATTCAATCTCTTTTGGTGCGCTCGCTCCACGAAGACTCTACGTCGAGTCTTGTAAACCTTGTAGTAGATCTGACAACTCGTCTCGTGTCATTGTTAACCTTCACCCACCCCCCATTGTCCTGTACCTTCTGCACTTTCCGGTATTCCTCCTCAAGCTGCCGCTGCATATCAAAATCTGCCTGCCGCTCTCTTTTGATCTTTTGCTGCTCCATGTCACGAATCACACCTGCATGCATTGCCTGTTGTATCGCCTCAGCAGGTGATCCTTAGACGAAAGCAATGCTAGACATGGAAGGAAAATCATGGTGGAGAGGAAGAAAAGTTTTAACGGGCGTGACGAACCCTTTTCTCGGCTTTCTGCTGATAGTGCACTATTGTAACAATGGCGATAGCTCCAAGGGTTGTTCCAGCTAGAGTGAGCTTTGATATTGTGGACATAATATTGCTCAAAACGTGTGCTAAGAAGAACTTCCAAGATTCATGATTGAAGGATTTCTTGGCGTCGATGATGCGGACTTCTGAGCGGAGCTTCTTCCTCGACTTGATAAGCCACCATTTGTTTCCCACAGCACTTGTGGAATATCGTGGGAGGAAATCCTGAAGATGGTCAGCAGCTATCCTGATGGAAGGATAACATTGCTCAATCGTTATTAGGCTGCGCAAAACTCCAAGGGCATCCAAACCCTCCTAGACGTTAGATTGTCTAAACTTCCACCGGATTATACTAGCTGACAGCTTCATACAGGCAGAGCGAGAGGCGCAAAAGATAGTACAGAAGGGTAGATACTTCACCACTTTCTCACAAAACTCAATGCTTACATTTTCTAGCCAGAGAATGTAAACAAGTCCTCAGGAAAACGACTGAGTCGCAGAGTCAACGCTAATACACGGTCTCCGCAGACCGCTCAAAGCGTGTAAAAGACGCCAAGAATGAAGCACAGCAAGAGATAGAAGACTATCGGAAGCAGAAGGACGAGGAGTTCAAAAAATTCGAGGAGAAGGTACGGTTTAGGCTGCCACACGCGCCCATTGTTGAATCACTTTCTATACCCGTTCTATATATCGGACTCTGCAACCATTGGTTTGCATTGGCTGATAGTACAACAGTACAACAGTGGCAACAAGCAAGCGGAGGAGGACGCACAGAAGGACGCAGAAGAACAGATGGAGGCTATCAGGAAAGCTGGGGACGAGAAGGGGGACAAGATCGTCAAAGATGTGTATGAGATGGTGACAGAGGTGAGACCAGAGGCTCCTGATCGCATAGGAGGGCAACCGGACTCGTAGTCGTCTTGGAGATGGTGTGCGCGTGTAGTGTACGATTGAATCGGATTCCATGCAATTAGATTCCTTTCGCAATTGAAATGAATTTGTCTCCCCATGATGTGAGGATGTTCATAGATATGACCTGGGTGAGCCAATTATATATTATTAGAAGATTCATGCTGGAGGAATCGATGCTGCCTGAGTCAAATTACACTAACAGATCTAAAGCTAGCCCTCAGTTTTATGACCATGACCTCCCATGCGTCCAAGTATGACAACACCTTAGACCTTTCATATCCCTTCAGTCCTACGACGGTTGGGGTGGCACGAAGTATGCCACAGAACTTTGCCCAGTGACAGAATTTGACGACGTATATGCAGAGACAGGCTGACAATTCGTATCGCTAGGACCTGCAGGGGGTCCGTCTCCAGTGTAGACTACTCCTACGCATCCGAGGTACAAGCTGCAGTAGCTGAAGCAGCCGAAAAGGGAGTCAGCTGCCATCGGTACAAGATTGGTCGTGCCAGTAAGAATGTAGCCGCACCGGATATGGTACGTGTTGCCATAGGAATCAGTGACATCGGTATCGTCTCCATAATCTGGATCAGTGCATACGTTTTGCTGAAATTCGCCTCCGCTGTATGCGTCGCCTTGTATGAAACCGACGTGGATGTTGTCCTGCAGCTCTGTGGAGCTGTAGCCAGTAAGGGTTGAGTAGGGTACACAATTCGCAGCAGAGGTTACGTTGGCACCACTTTTATCGAAACTGACTGCCTTACAAGCGTCGAACATATCACAGCCTTGGAAACAGGCATCAAGATCATCCGCATGTAATGCAGGAATCTTGTTGCCGTTCAGGGTGCGATCACAATTGATATTGTATGTGACGCCTAGGATATCCTGGGATGACTTGCCATCATCACCTGGACAGCTGCCTGGGGTCGAGATGGGGGCGTAAGCTCCCGAGCTGAACGGTAAATTAGGTGATGTTGGCGAAGAATCGGCCCCTGCAGAACTAGCAATAACCGGAGGTTGAGAGCTAGCGGGTGAGGCCACGATAGAAGGTACGACGACAGATGGCAGGCCAGTATCACTCGAAGCAATCACAACACTTGGTGAGCCAGTGTCTGTTGGTGGGACCACTGTTGGCAGGCCAGTATCACTCGAAGCAATCACAACACTTGGTGAGCCAGTGTCTGTTGGTGGGACCACTGTTGGCACACCAGTATCCGTTGCCAGGCTAGTATCCGTCGCCAGACCAGTATCCGTAGGTGGAATGATATCTGTTGGCAATCCTGTATCAATTGGCGAACCAGTGCTTGTGGGCGGAATGGCATATGTCGGCGGACTTGTCTGGACGGGCAATCCAGTCTCACTTGAAGGGATCCCATCAGTCGGAGAACTTGTATCAATTGGCGTGTTAGTGTCCACTGGGGGGTTTCGTCGCTCTGTGCATCAGTGTTTGTTGAGGAGGCTGGCTTTGTTGTCAAATCTGTGTCTGATGGTGTAGGAACACTTGAGGAGACTATCGGGATTGAAACGGATGGTGCATTTGTTGATACGCCACCCCCAACGACCGAGCTTGCTGGACTGCTAGATGGCACTGTCGAAGTTGGAGATTTAGTGCTAGGTGACGGAGTCGGGAGTGCAGAGGGTGTGATTGTGGCTGGAGGAGAAGATGGATCTAATTTGTAGACAATTGCAAGTCTTCCCGAGCCACAAGATTCGTCTTTGTTTCCCGGGCAAGGAATTGAAGTAGATGGGCTGATGATTGGAGCTCCTGTGGGCGGGTTGTTAAAACACGAACAATCATCGCCTAGATTTGTCAGAATAATTTCTAGCACTCGCATCTCAATCTCACCATCTCCGACAGCCCAATATGTATATCCTACGCAGAACGTTGAACAGAATTCGTAAGTCATTGCTGGGTCTGTGGTCGATAGCACATCTACAGCTTTTACTCGGTCTTCTGAGACGCGGTTGCCACTGAGCGAGATTGGTAGAAATCCTACCAGGTCAAATACTTGCCCCGTAGGTGAATTGACTGTGGAGAACGCTCCAGGTCTATCGTTACCGTACTCGTAAGTCATGCGATGTGCAGATGAGGCATTCATTTTTAGACTTACGTGGTACTGATTACCCCGCCAGTTGACCCTCCCCCATTACCTGCCCCGCTTGTTCCATTTCCTGTTTCATTGAGGCCCCCGCTGCCACCAATACCACCTCCTAACCCTCCGCCGAGCGTTCCATTACTGCTGATACCGCTCACCGTTGGAGGGCAAGTTGGGATGGTGATAGTGACGGTGTTCACTGCAAGTATTGATGGGGCAGTGAAGAAGCCAGCTGAGGCAAGAAGCGCCCTTTTCATGACAAAGGGCTGTACAAACGACTGTGTTCTAGATATATCTTTGATATAACTCTTGTGAAAAGTAAGAATCCGAGAGGAAGCAAGAGAACGCAGAGACGCAAAACGTGGGCAAATAGCATCACGACAGGAGACCAAATCACATTATACGATAACGGCAAATCAAATTAGAGGAATGAACGTCCACGTGTCAATCGCCAATAGAAAGGCTTTCCTGCCACTGTCTGCATTCCTGTGAGTCTTGGACAATTTCGCTAGCACGGAAAGATGTTGATGCGGAATGCTCGGAAGCTCATAATTGCGCGAATCTGCCACAACCTCGCAAGACTTATTCGTCGTTTCCTCGAGATTGAGCTTGCAGTCTGCGCTTTTATGACTTTCCATATTAATAAGACGCCGGAGCGAGATGATCTTCGGGAATTGTTCGAGGCGTCGTCATTTTCAACGACAAATGCGGAACGGATCTTGAGCAGACACCTACTGATCATTCGATAGGCTCAAGCTTGCGTGACAGATGCCTCCACTGAATATATATATATATCAATGGTGGCGATTGATTAAAAGAGAGTGGGGACGCAATTTAGTATTCTCACTAGCCGCGCGTTTAATCTCATCCGAAAGCCATGACCTTGAATCTGTATCCCATCCCAACAACTCCAATGACCCCTAAGATGGGTCTGCTTGCTGTATATCGCCTTGAGCTAGTCGCCGCCTTTTCAACATCGCATAGCTGATGCGAGCAAATCTCAGTTATAGACGCGGAGGAACGCCTTTTCTACACAATCTATTACCGTGTCGCAATAGGACACAAGCAGCCAATTTTGCCTACAGCAGCACTCTCCCAGAAACACAGGGCGATCTCGGGCGAGAAATTCGAGATGACTATGCCGTGGTTCGAGAAAGCTATCAAGTACCTAAAGGCCCGATAGTGCTCGCCCACGGTCTGCTCGGGTTCGATGAGTTGCATGTGGCTGGGAAATATTTGCCTGGGGTCCGCTACTGGCGCGGCATTACAGAAGCTTTCAGAAAAAATGGTATTGAAGTCATTACTGCGTCTGTCCCAGCCTCGGCTTCGATTGAGGAACGTGCGGTCAAGCTGGGACGAGATATCGAACAAAAAGCTCATGGGATGAGTGTAAATATCATCGCCCATAGTATGGGTGGTCTTGATGCGAGGTATATGATCAGTCGGCTCAAGCCACCCAATGTGAAGGTTCTCAGTCTAACGACCGTGGCCTCGCCACATCGAGGGTCGTATGTTGCCGATTACATATTTGATCAAATTGGTCCACAGCGCTTGCCTTCGATTTACAAAGTCTTGGATAAGCTCTCTTTGGAGACGGGTGCGTTCCGTCAATTGACTAGCAAGTACATGAAAAATACCTTTAACCCTGCTACCCCTGATCTCGAAGGGGTCAAATACTTTTCATATGGGGCTGCTGCAACCCCTGCACCATTTTCTGCTTTCCGCCAATCTCATCATCTACTCTTTGCACTCGAGGGGCCCAACGATGGACTCGTCAGTGTCAACAGTAGCCGTTGGGGTCAATATCAGGGCACTTTGATGGAGGTCAGCCACCTGGATCTGATCAATTGGACCAACAGGTTCAGGTGGCTTTTTTGGCAGATGATGGGTAACAAGCGTAATTTCAATGCAATAGCACTGTACCTTGACATCGCTGAGATGCTTGCTAGAGAAGGTTTCTAGCACGATATCTTCAGTCAGGCACTGAAACAGAAAGGTGCTGTCAGGAAGTAAACATTTCTGGATACAAAAATCTGTAGATGTGAGTTTTGACTTTATGCCTTGCTTAACAGATTGAAGTCTCATATGCTTGCAATACATCTTTCGTCCTGAACCTTTCTTCTTAAAACCCAAACGGGTCTCTCGGCTTCTCGGGGCTCGTGATTTCAAGAATCTCAATGCGAGTTGATTTAATGATGAAGAAGCCTGTTTGCTCTGCGAAGTGTGGGAGTTGAAACGCCAGAGTCCTATGACGAAACTCATTCGCATCTGGATACCGCTATTAGCTTGCGCAGCGTCAGGTGATTCGCGACGTACTGCAGGCTTGTATAAAACATGCCAAAGTATCTTCATTGCGAACGGTGGCTGATATAATCACCTTCGCTTGGTTGTACATCTCAAAAAGATCTCTAAGGGTAGCGACCAGTGCTGGGACAGACTCAACGTCATAAGTCTACAGAAACCGATCAGCTAAGTTGTGTACAATTTACAGGCCTCTCATTAGGCCAAATGAATTGACACGTACTACGTCGGCACCAATAACGAGGTCAAGCGACGCTTTTGTAGAGGCAACATCGGCAGGCCCGCCGAGCAAAGCATGACCCCACTGCAAAATGGCTATATTGACAAGTTCCTTCTCAGGCGAAGGAAAGTTTAGTTGGACATTTGCTCTCATATCATTTACGACTTCACGGCTTCCATCGGTAGCAAGCATATGCTTGACTCCAAGGTGTTTTGCACAGAGCATCGAGAGGAAACCAGTGCCTGCACCGAGCTCAAGCACTGATTTTCCAGCTACATAATCTTGACCCATTTGGGAGCAAAAGAATGAACCCAGGTGTAAGGCGGCTTCCCAAGTACGAAAGCCGGTAGTGCCTGATGATGCAAGAAGGGATGGAGCCTCCAGAGTGGTAACCTCTACAGACCCTAGGGTCGATAAAGGTGAAGTGTAAGTAACATAACTTTTTTGCTGAGCTGCGACATTTGGTGAGGGTAGAGGCTGCGACATATATTGGGCAAAGCAATTGGTGAGATCGTCTGAAATCTCCTGGATAGCATGATAATGTATCAGCTACGGTAAGACGAAGTAGACGCAGGCTTCGTAATCATTCAGCACATGAAAACAGAGCAGCGTCGCATACATCTTCCTCGGGATCATCAATCGCGTTCTCTAGTGCATTGATAACCTTTTTCAAGACACGAGATTTGTAACGCTCGGACGGTTCATAGTCCAAATTAGTAGAGTTAAACAATGATGTATATATCTGACTTTGAATTTGAGGATCCTTCCAAGATTTTAGCTCAGGTAGTCTCAGTTGGTTAGGATCAATCATTTGCAGGTACTGCCTTCGGAGCAGCTCTACCGAACTGATACCACTCATCGCTGAATACTTCTCGTGGATGGACCTTCGAGGATTTGGTCTCCAAAACAGGCCTTTTTAGTGATGTCGATGAACGATCTAAGCTTTGTTGGGCCTAGCTTGCTAGACTAGCACGCTTTAGGAGGCATAAATATCTTTCGGACACGACGACGGCTGGGCCTTGGCAACACTAGCGTGAAATCGCTTGGTGGGATTCCGCACACCATCAAGGTCATATTTGTTCAGGCGTTGGCTTCCTCTATCGTCCAAAGACTTTCCGCAATGTAAGGGCACGAGAGGTTTCAACACATAGCTATTCTGACAATGTTTGCAGACTTTGAGAATGGCAGATCGAGAGCAGGCTGTCACGCTGCGCACGCGCAAGTTCATCCGCAATCCTCTACTTGGGCGAAAGCAAATGGTCGTGTATGTCCCTTACTCACCAGGCATCAACCCGACCTACTCGCAGTCGAAAGAATAGAAATTGCAATGCTAATACTCATGTTTGCCCGCCAGTGACGTCCTCCACCCTAACCGCGCAAATGTGAGCAAAGACGAATTGCGAGACAAGCTCGCCGCACTTTACAAAGCCCAGAAGGACCAAGTCTCCTGCTTCGGCTTCCGAACGCAGTATGGTGGTGGCAAGACGACAGGTTTTGCTCTGATATATGATAGCAAGGACGCACTGGAAAAGTTCGAGCCGCATTACAGACTCGTGCGATATGGGATGCGGAATAAGATCGAGAAAGCCAGTAGACAGCAGCGTATGTTGACCTCTGCTTGTGATCTTCTGCTTCATCAAGCTTTCTTGCTGGCTTTCGAATATCTATTGACTGTTAGCAGGCAAGCAAAGAAAGAATCGTGCCAAGACTGTGCGAGGCACTGCTAAGAACAAGGCGAAGACTTCAGATAAGAAGAAGTGAGCGGGTCACGGTTAATCGGAATGGCTGTGGTGTTTCCATAAGTACTGGGGCGATCTACAAAGAGTCCAAGATTGGCTCAAATGCATTTTCTGTGGCGTGTGCGAAATGAAAGCAGCTTGTTCCGAAAAACATTCAAGACTGTATCTTTTACATGAAGTACGATGCACTACACAACCGCCCTCGTGCGTCTGTCTATGATCAAACTTAAGCCTCGCAACACCCTTTTCTTGTTCACAAACTTGGTTCCGAGGTAGGTGAGGCGCCTCCAAAATGCAGCAAAATTGCAATGACATCCGTTACATCATGAATACTCAGATAATATTCCGAAACGTTTCATTGAAGATCTCACAGCCACCTTAGTTTTCTCTTGTGTCAAGTACGCTGACCCAAGATTTTTGAGCTTCAATGTTTCCCCACCAATCAAATGTGTGCTCAATAGTCTTCCCTCGGGTTTAGAGATGGAGCTGTGACCAACGGTTGATCTAGCGCTATGGCCTTTCTGGCCCTTCTCTACCAGAGTATTGGCGGTCCATAAGAGAAGCTCTTCCGCTGTACTCGTAGCTAGCATTCAGCATTGGCAGGCGATCCTGATTTCCAGGCTGCTCAGACGGTGCCGCAGGTACAGTAGCGAGGCGTGCTCCACTTGTCGCTGGAATGGTTGGACAGTCCAGCATCTGAAAGTTTGTTGCATCAGAGGAGGGTGCAGCAATCGATTGGAATCCAAATGGTACCTGTGCTCTTGAGTTCCTAGCGGTCATCGACGGGTGAACAGGCTCTTGTGGGAGAAGACCCGACATGCGATCCGAGTTTGAAAACCCCTGGGCTAGCCCAAAGTTTTCGCCAGCATAGCCAAAATGATCAGATTGTCGGTGGCTGTGGCTGCTTGAAAACGAGCTCCGCGAATCAAAACCTCTGTCACCAGCCATATGCTGGAAAGTCCGTGATCTAGGAGACCACCCAGACGTATGCGAGGGGCTTTCTGATATTAAAGCAGAAAATTCGCTTGATGAAGTGTCGTAAGGAGTGCAATTTTCCCTCAAGTAGTTGGGACCGTCGGTTGCAAAGCTAGTATCTCCCATCTCATTCCAGGATGAGCCGTCTACAGGGCTCGAGAGGCTTGGGATTCTTGTGGTGCGCCCGTATGAGTTATTGGAGATAGCTAAAGAATCAAAATTTGACCGACGAGGTGTCAATCGGGCCAGAGACGCCCGTCGAGACGAGTATGGATCTTCCACGGCACTCAAGATATTGTCATCGGCTGATGGCATTGCGCAGGGTATAGGCTCTGAGGGAAGTGAACCGGACATTATAGCGTACTGACTAGGGTCACTGCGTGTTGGTGCTGCGTTGAATCCCACGTTTGCTGTTGAGATTCCTGGGGGCCAGGCAGAGGGAGTGATAGGCGGTTCGGCTTCAATGTTCAGGGTATGAACCTCTCCAGAATTGACCTGTACCCAGTTAGCTTCTGTTCCGAGAAGCAGCTTGTCAAATCTTTGTTTACCCTCAGGTAATTACATCTTGACGAATGCGCGTTTCTACATGCCCGACAACCTTTGCCGTTGTCATCCTCACATTTGATCTTTCGCTGCCGACAGCGTCCGCACTATAACTATGTCATTACCAGCTTGATCTACAATATTGAAAAGCGACGGGAGTTCACTCACGGCGAGGGCATTCCGTTGTCTTCTCCTGCCATCGCCTTCAGGACCAGCCTCGTCGTTAGGCATATCGAAGATTGGATGGTTGTTTGAAGACGTACGAAAAGGATACGTAAGTTTGTTCCCCTCAATGTGGGCGAGACTGCTCTTGTCATGACGTTGACGGATCGAAAGCGGTCTATTTAAAGTACAGAGAGCTGGCATGTTGACCGCTCAAGGGATAGTGATGAAACAAAGAGAGCGTCTGCTGAATCCACATTAGGAGCGGCGCTCAAACGGAAACATGAAGCGGCTCGCTGCCTGGCATAAGGTTGTTGGCAATTCACTTCTATCTTGGAAGGAGCGGTAAGTAAGGTCAAAGGGTTTCAAGACGATCAAATCTGTAGTATCTAGCGTTCGGGTTGAAAGTTGCGGTATACAATGTCAAAGATGCCACGATGGATAGATATTGAAGAAGCAATCGACGAAAGAAGACCTCCAACGCCTCAACATCAGCTGTAATTGGCGAGCAAGGCCCGAACCCTAGACAGGTGGTCCAGCGAACGGTATCGACCGGCATTAGACGGGATAGCGCAGCAGCTCTTCCAGAAATCCAAGCACTCACCGAGGATGGAAGGCCCATCAGCGCCCAAGCTAACGGTGTCATAATACTTTAATTTCATCACGGCCCAGCGGACCGTCAGTAGTCATGCAAAAACACCGTCAGCCGAAGGTAATGACAAGTGTGGCGGCCGCAGCAAGTCTGCACAAGCCTTTAGAAAGCTATTAACGTTGGATGAGTCAATAAGATTGCTATATGTTCCCAACGTATTGGGACCAATAGGGATTTCAGGACATCGAAGTCCCACATTACAAGCCATGCAAGATCTCTCTGAGTCTTGGCAGGCTTCTTCTTCTTCTCAGACTTTCCGGATCACACCCAACCGTAACCCTTGGCCCCGGTATTGAGATATTGATTGCCTGGATGAACCAGGTTAGGTGACTTGGGCTGTGATACTTTTGCAGAAGACCCCATTGCCAAGGGCATGAAGCACTATACCATCTGAAGGGCCGTTAATGATCGCCTTCTCTTTTCCAAATCATCGAAAATGCTGTGAAGTGGACATGACAGATCAGCCCCAAACTTGCCTCGGGATGAGTTTGCTACCCTCGCCGCAGGCCATGCTAAGCGAATATATATGAGTTTCAAGACCCATGCAGTTGAGACCACGAGTGATAACGTCTGTTCGCCCAGCACAAGAGAGCAAGGTTTGCATCCATTCTGGCAGGGCACGGCCAATTGGACAGATACACGTCCCTCGGTCAAGCCATCATTCGCTTCCCAAAGTCCTCATTTACCTTGCAAGGTACATCGTCATGCCGGGAGATCTTCACGTAGGGTTTGTGGATAAAAATAAATCTTAGGAGCGTATGACAAAACATCATTAGTTTGCTCCTTGCAATGTCAGAAGAGCAATGGAAACGAGTCATATTATCTGAGCACACCACGAAAATGCCCAATTGCAAATTGAACAAGTAGCAAGGCTGAAAGTCATAGCCGAGCTAACAAGGACGTATGGACGCTGGTGGCACGGTTGCCCGCATGAGGGTCCTGCAACTGTATTCGTGCGGAAAGCCTCATAGCGGAGCGAGGACTGTCGCGCAGTTCTCTGATATACAGGAAATTGAAATATGTTAGCCGCACTGACAAGACATCTACACCAATGCCGCTCCGATAGGTACGCAACGTTGAAGGTAGAAATTGGACCCTCGGCAAAAGTCTTCCAATTCACCCTTTAGACGCACCCGGACGTGTGTTTGCCTACCCAAAAAGGACTAAACCACCTAGCACATTGGGCACCTGTTCTCCACGCCTCAATATGATGTGACTGATTTGGGGCTGACAGCTGTAAACAAGCAAATCCTGCAATCTGAAATGCTGGATGTGAAGATTTAGTTAGCTCCCCAACGATCTTCAAGCAATCACAGAACACAGACCAAGAAATATTGCATTGAAGCAAAAGCTCGGCAACATGACAATCACGAACAATAGAGAAATCCCTTATCAAACGGAGGTTGTTTACTTCTAAGGAGTTGAGGATGTTTCGACGCCCGTTCGGCGTTTACGCATAATCATTAGTCCGAACCGCCTTTAGTGGAAACCTTCTAGCACTAATGATCTTCCGAGGGTTCAACCTTGCAGTGTCTTTCGGTACATGGTGACTTATCAACAATGCAAACAACCATGCAAGCAGTGGTTGAGAAGGAAGATTCACCTGCCACAACAAATCCGGTTGAGCATTCGAACGTATCGGAAGCCGACGAAGCAAACGAAGCTGCACAGGAGGCAGAGCTGGAAAGGCTGAGACGTGAGAAAGAAGCTCGAGCGCAGGCACTGACCCTTGAGATCGTTGGAGATCTTCCATATGCCGAGGTCAAGCCCCCCGAAAATGTACTTTTTGTATGCAAACTGAATCCAGTCACAGAAGGTCAGCCTTTCCTCACGCTAAGCACGAGACTATGCGGCTAAACTTGTTTGCTATTAGATGAAGATTTACACACCATCTTTAGCCGTTTTGGCCCTATAGTATCCTGTGAAGTGATTCGAGATAAACGAACAGGCGATAGCCTGCAATATGCTTTCATTGAATATGAGAATCAGAAGGAATGCGAGCAAGCTTACTTTAAGATGTCGGGGGTCTTGATCGACGACCACCGTATCCACGTGGATTTTTCGCAGAGTGTATGCGGAGCCAAAAATAGTTACTCATCCGCTGATCGGACATAGGTATCTCGCATAGCTGACGTTTGGAGGACTAAAACAAACGCAAATAGGAAGCAGTATGGTGGAGGTTTTGGTGGGGTTGCCGAATTGGAGAAAAAGCGGCAGTACCGAAAAATGGAGCCTATAGAAAACAGACAGCGAGGTGCCGAAGGCTACGGTATGGTCTTCGGCAAGAATCAAACACATGAGGTCCCACTTGACGACAAGTACTCCAGAAGCAGAAGCAGAAGCCCTAATGCTCGTCATGGACGACGACAAACACCCTCACGAGACCATGAACAGCGGGATGATAGCAGGGGCGTGGGCTCAAATACGTACAAAAGTCGGAAGCTGTCAAAAGACCGAGGAGATGAACGAGGTCGTCGCGATCAGCCGAGAAGACATGATGGAGAACTGGACCGGAGAGCACGAGAGGATAGGTACCGAACGCACGACAGAGAAAGGCGGGGATGGAGGGACTACGATCGAGATGGGAAAGATAGGTACCGTAATAGAACATAGTATTGTTCTAATAGTATTGTTCTACATGTTCTCTCAGTGACATATGATTTGACAGTGATTTCCCCAGTGCCCACGCTATTGAATTCCAATTATCTTGAGAGCATGACAGTGGGCTAGCATGCAGCATGCAGCATACAATCAAATGAATTGGGAGAGTTTGTCAGATCCCTGAGCGGACTTTAACCTCTCGGGCCGGGCAAACTGTCCTCGGAACCCCTCCGCTTCATTGCCCCACGTAAATAGTCACTAGCACTCAGCTCACTGCAAACGGGCCTTCTGGAACAGATTCAGCCAAATTCATCAACAATCTCGTAATCTATTATCTGCAGACTCATACCACGGCGCGACTGTCATCACCAAAATGAACAAAGTTTTCGAGAAGCTCAATCCCTTCTCTAAAGAAGAGGAACAAGCCAAGGAGCCCTCGGCAGAGGAGCTAAAGCCATTACGAGAGAGCTATGCAAAAGCTGGTCAAGACCAGGTCTTTGCTTTCTACGAAGACCTATCTACCGCCGAAAAAGCGGGCCTGTACAATCGACTCTCCTCTATTGACCCTAGTCACATCAACCAGCTTGCTGAGAAGGCCTTACATCCTCCAAAAGAAGCAGGTAAAGAAGAAGCAAAGCTCGAACCTTTACCAGACTCTGCAACAGCCTCAATTCTAGATTCACAACCCGAGGATATTGAACAATGGCACAGCTCTGGGCTTGATCTAGTTTCAGAAGGTCAGGTGGCTGTCGTGCTCATGGCGGGCGGCCAAGGTACAAGGTTAGGAAGCTCTGCACCGAAGGGCTGTTTCAACATCGGCCTTCCGACTCAAAAGTCATTGTTCCAGATACAAGCCGAAAGAATATGGAAGATTCAACAGCTAGCAGAGAAGAAAAGTGGCAAGAAGAACGTCGCCGTGCCATGGTACGTAATGACGAGTGGGCCAACCCGGAGACCCACAGAACAATTTTTTGAAGAGAACAATTACTTTGGGCTTGAGAAGGACAACGTCGTGATCTTCGAACAAGGCATCTTGCCTTGCATATCCAACGAGGGCAAAATTTTAATGGAGACTAAAGCCAAGGTCGCCGTAGCCCCAGATGGAAATGGGGGAATTTACCAGGCACTCTTGACATCAAATGTGAGAACAGACATGCGCAAGCGAGGCATCAAGCACATCCATGCCTATTGTGTCGATAATTGCCTGGTCAAGGTGGCGGATCCCGCTTTCCTTGGCTTTGCAGCATCGAAAGACGTGGATATCGCAACGAAAGTTGTCCGAAAGCGCAATGCGAAGGAGTCTGTTGGTCTCATTCTGCAAAAGAATGGCAAACCTGATGTAGTTGAATACTCGGAAATAGACAGTGCGACAGCAGAAGCCAAAGATAGCAAACAACCAGACCTCTTAAAATTCCGAGCGGCAAACATCGTCAACCATTACTACTCATTCAGGTTCATGGAGTCCATTGAACAATGGGCACATAAGCTTCCACATCACGTAGCCAAAAAGAAAATCCCATGCATCAACACCGAGAATGGGGAGTCCATCAAACCTGACAAGCCAAATGGCATCAAGCTGGAACAGTTCGTCTTCGATGTTTTCCCATTGCTTGACCTCCAAAAGTTTGCTTCGATGGAAGTCAAACGAGAGGACGAATTCTCACCTCTCAAGAATGCTAAAGGTACCGGCGAAGACGACCCTGACACAAGCAAGAAGGACATCATGGACCAGGGCCAGCGATGGATCCAGGCAGCCGGAGGAACGATCGAGAGCGAAACTGGCGATGAAGAAGGCGTCGAGATTTCGCCGCTAATCAGCTACGTGAGTCCCGCTTTGGTCATTGTTTCTTGAGACTTTTGCTGACGACTTGTGAAGGGAGGGGAAGGCCTCGAGTTTCTCAATGGGAGAACTATCAAGGCTCCTGCAGTCATCGAAAAAGAGGATTCAGGGGCGTGATATGAAAGCAAAGAATGAGAAATGCTGCATGGCTACACGAGCAAAATAGAAGCTTCAGGAAGCTGTCGGATACGCATGATGTAGATTACGAGCATCCCTCGCATGGTATTAGAAATGCAAAAGAAGGTCAGGCTTCATGAAAAAGCTTCGAAAGGCTTGTCCAGTTGTCCACTGGTCCTCGCGGTCTCGCCTGAGGTTTGCCTCAAAACCGGGCCGCTTGCCAATTGAGGAAAGGCTCGCCCTGCCGGCAGGGATTGAAGTTCGGCTTCGGAGAGTCTTCTCCCACTTTCTTGACAACATCATCGCAAAGTCGTCGAACGCTTTCTTGTTGCTTGTCGGGCTGTGTGTGGTGTGTATTCGGGAGGAAGGAACGGCTGGATAGTAGGAGGAAGGAGCATAGTTGGGTATGTCACCCTGCGCATTGCTGTGCGACATTGAGCAAGCGCGATCAAAGCGCTGACCTCCAAGACTGCAGGAACATCTAGTTGCTGAGAAAAGAAAAGTGATATGGTGCGTGTATACCCTAGGAATAGGAATATGAGGCTCGTCGCTGCAGCCTGACGGCCTTGCAATATGGGGCGCGGACGCTGGGCTCTTTCGATGTGCATCGAAGCACTTATTCACCTAAGAGCAAGCGCCTGGAAGCTGAGGCTGATGCTTGCGTCTTCATAGTCGGAAATGTCGTCGCTGTCTCGCCGCGCGTGCTATAAATGCGGCAATGTAGGCCATTACGCTGGTCAGCACACTCAGCCGAGCAACAAACAATCGTTACTAATGTACTGCAGAGGTCTGCTCCTCATCTGAACGCCTTTGCTATAATTGTGAGTTCAATCAATACTCGAGCCTGTGACTGGTATCTTGCTAACAAGGACTTTAGGCAAGCAACCTGGTGTGTACCAGTATCGTTGGTCTGGTTTCGAATACTGATCATTGCGAAGGACATGAATCCAACGGCTGCCCGCATCCTCGTACCACTGAAAGTACGTACATGTTGTTCCAACTCTCAAGATACCAATCTAACTCATAATGACAGCGAAGCAATGCTACCACTGCCAAGGTCTTGGACATGTGCAGGCAGACTGTCCGACGCTCCGCATTAGTGGTGCAGGAGCTGGACAGCGCTGCTACTCTTGCGGTCAAATGGGCCATCTAGCGGTATGCCCTCCAACATTGCAGCTCTGACGAAAGTGCTGATAACATGCTCAGCGTGCATGTCCTAATGCTGGCTTTCAAGGTGCCGGCCGTGGGGGGTTTGCTCCTCGTGGCGGCTTTGGCGGTGGCGGTTTCCGAGGAGGGTTCCAAGGCGGTGTGAACGCACCGCGGGCTGCAACATGTTACAAATGTGGCGGACCCAACCATTACGCGCGTGATTGTCAAGCGCAGGCCATGAAGTGCTATGCTTGTGGCAAGCTCGTGAGTGAATCTGCCCCGTTCGAAAGACCTTGAAGCTGACCTTACCAGGGACATATCTCCCGGGATTGCACGGCACCCAACGGCGGCCCACTTAATTCAGCTGGCAAAGTCTGCTACAAGTGCGGTCAAGCCGGACACATCTCCCGGGATTGCACGACAGCGGAGACCAACGGTACGATGGTTCTGGATGGCTCTGTGGATCAAGTGCCACCCACCGCCACTACCGCAGTCGCCTAAAATCCACCCTTATTTTCATTACAGTACATGGCCAATCTTTCCCGTATGTATTATGAGGCCATACTCGCTCATCATTGATGACATTGACGCGCTTGACTTAATTTCTCGAATTTGGTACGCATTTCACGCTTCACGACTTCTCTCGAGCACACCTCAAAGCACCGTACCCGGAGGTTCCATTCCCTCGGAAAAGGCGTTCTTCATTTCCGGCAAATACCCCTGGGACTCACGATCGGAGTTTGCAACTATCCAGCATTTTATTTCTTCTAATCATCGTAATCTGTCGCAAGTAAGGAAGCATGTGGTATGGGGCGATCGCGAGACCTTGTACGAAATCTGAAGCGAAGAAGGGTTGATGGGAAAGCTTGAGTTCAATGTCCCTTTCTGTATGGCCAAGATGTTATGGAGAGAAAGTTGGAGAGCGTGGAATCTGTTGAATCTGGATCGATCGCTATGGTAGATCATGTCTTTCTTTTTGTTGCAAAGCTTCTTTTTGATATGCGACCTCTGGATACATTGTATCGAATGTTGCATAATAAGAAGAACTTTTTGTTCTGTGCTTACAATGTGAAGCTCCTCCCTTGCAAAATCCAGACCGATGCTTGAGAAAGCACTGCCAAGCTTTCTCCACGACCGCATCTCTACGACGAGCATCTTCTTCTCACTCCGATCCCTTGCGTGCATTTTGTCTTTTCGCTCAATCTGCGACGATCTTCTACACTCCGCTTCGTTGAATCGTTCTTTCCGCAAGACACAATATGACCGCTTCACTAACCAATGGTGACGCCTCTGATGACGATGTAAAAGCCCAAAGATTTTTCATGTATCCGGTCGTAGCTCACGATATCCGCGAAGGACTTCATTATCGATATTGATACCATTCAAGCACATGGTAATTTGAAAGCTCCATGGATGGTTGTGCCCGCTGACGCTACCTAGGTGTAGGAGCAGCCGACATCACCAAACTCAAGGCAAACGGCTTCTACACCATTGCTGTAATTCGCACTGCCCTCGAATAACATTCTTTATGGTTGACACCCTCAGTCTGTCCATGGTGCTACTCGCAAGACTCTTCTCAAGATCAAAGGATTCAGTGAAGTCAAGTTTGAGAAGGTCAAGGAGGCTATTGCCAAGTGCCAGGTAAGGCCTGCCTGCTATGTGCATCACCCGATTTCAGATTCCACTCTTTTGACCGCGGGAAATGAAATTGTGTCGTGAAGCCAACAATCTCTGGTTTCATCACCGCAAGCGAGCTGGGCCATCAGCGTAAGCGGGTTTGTAAGATCTCAACCGGCAGCAAGCAGTTAGATTCAATCTTGGGCGGGTACATCGCATCAGGGCCAAAATATTAATGAAGAAACGTGCTGATAGGAGTCAGTGGCTTTCAAAGCATGAGCATAAACGAGGTTCCTACAGCCCACCTTAATATTTGTGAAACCGATGCTAATTTCAGAGAAGGTGTATGGGGAACTCAGTAAGTACCTCGATAACGCGATTCGCCCGCTACATTCTCAGGTTTCTAGGATGTGGCAAGACGCAGCTGTCCTATACGATGTCCGTGATCGCTCAAGTCAGTAGGCCTGAGACATGGCAAACCTATGCTAATCGAGTCGCAGCTCCCAAAAGTAGGATACTCGCAAGCAGGAGTTAGTATCAGGCTGACGATCAAAGGACATGGGAGGTGCTGAAGGCAACGTGGCATACATAGGTACATGCTGAGAATACGCAGAGGGGCATCATGTTACTGATGCTGACTACAAAAGTATGCAGATACCGAAGGTACATTCAGGCCAGAGAGGTACTTCAGTCCTCATTCATCTTTGACACATCACTCATGTATGGCTTCAGGATAGGTCAGATTGCAGAACGCTTCGGCAGTAGGTCCTCCCTCCCTCCTTGTTCTCTCCCAGCCTGACATGAGGAAGTGGATCCCGAACAAGCACAGGAAAATATCGCGTATGCCCGCGCACTCAACAGCGAAGTACATTTATCCCATATATCTCCTGACTCTCTGTCCAAATAAGAATTCCTGTCTAATAGTACACTTGGTAGCATCAACTTGAATTGCTCAACATCCTTTCCGCCACCTTTCACTCAAATCAGTATCGTCTCCTCATCATCGACAGCAAAATGGCCTGCTTTCGCGTCGACTATTGCGGTCGTGGAGAGCTCGCCGATCGCCAACAGAAATTGAATCAATTCTTGAGTCGCTTGACGCATATGGCTGAGGAGTTCAATATCTGTGTTCTCATGGTCGGTACTAGACATTCACTTTCCTTGCAAGCTCTCTCACCAGCAGTGAACAATGTCATCTTAATCCATCCATCGGGGCTAATATGTCAACAATATAGACGAACCAAGTCCAGTCCGACCCAGGAGCAAGTGCTCTCTTCACGGGCGCTGACGGTCGTAAACCCGTCGGAGGACATATCCTCGCTCATGCTTCGACCACGAGAGTGCTGCTGAGGAAAGGACGAGGTGATGAGAGAGTCGCCAAGATACAGGAATCACCAGGTATGGTTGAATATTGTTTGATGACAGTCATGAAGAGTGGAGATTGATGATCGTGACAGATTGCCCGGAGCGAGAGGCCACTTACGTGATTACGAATGGTGGGATCAGTGATCCAGAAAAGATATAATTCTGGGAAGGTGATAAGATTTCCTCCGAGAACTAGCACGGTAAAGAGCTTTGGCTGAGGGTCAGCTATATTTATTATGTTGCCTTCATTGAAGCTATCTATGCTTTGACTATCCTGCAACAGCTCGTCCTGTCTCGGAGTATTCCACTTTTCAGCATAGCTTCTAGCCAGGTAGACAAATCAAACATTTTGTTAGTACCGCGCTCACACAGATTTTTCATAATGGTCCAGCATTCTCACCTCATCAGCAACATATGCTTGAATCCTTCCATAGAGTGTTCTGTTTCCTACCACCATAATACCAGATAAAAATGCACTCACCGAACGGGCTAAAAACATCATCCCTTCACCCTCCAGTGTTGTCATCTACATCATCTGACCACTCAAACAAGTTTACCACAGACAAAACCTCATCCCGACCACAATGCCCCTTTCCTTGAACCACCCTCCACGCCTGGTTGGCACATTCCTTACGACTCCCGCTTCCGCAAAGCCAACCCTGCACCCCTCGTCCAGCTCTCCCGGATCAAAGTCCTGGTCTAGCGGCTTATTCTCTGCATACTTCGTAGCGTTGACATTTGTCTGGCGTCTCTGCTTCTTGTCGTCCTTGCTGAGGTCAGGCCCTTGGATGACGCCTTCTGATTCAGGAGCCAGCGCTGAAGTGAAGTTTTCGATTTCTTCTAGGCTAATTGTCGCCGGAACTGGTTCGCTCAGGGGTTCTTCTGAGGGATGAGACTGCATCGATGGCGAGTTTCCGTGATAGGTAGGGGGCGGTGGTGTCAGGGTCCTTGTCTTCCGTGCACGCTTTGTTGAGGGCTTTGAGGTCCGCGCAAAGCTACGACGGGTGGTGCGAGGTTTTCGCTTTGGTGTGGGAGAGGCCAGTGTAATTTTCACCCATTTCGAGGGTCTTTCCGGACTCAGCTTTGGCACCAAAGAGCATGAAGGAATTTCAGGAGTGGATGGTGGCGGAGTAGTAAGAGCTGAAGATGTTGGTGATGGAATTGCCGTCGTAGCAAAAGGATCCGTGCTCGCTTGAAAAGACGGCGTGCGAGTGAGAGGTGCAGATCCACCTGGGGAGGGATGAGTAAGTTGTAGTATCCCGGGTAAATAAGAAGCGCTGTTCTGAGCAGCCCAAGCCGCTAAAGCTGGGTCGATCGGAGGCGATGTCAAACATGTTTGAGGCATGGAGAGATTGAGTAGGGCGTTAGCTGCTTGTGACGTTGGGCTTTGATGAAAAGAAAGCTGGCCATTGAAGTTGATATTGTTAGATAGCTGTGATGGCGCTTCAAACGAGAGCTTATCTTGGCCGATTGAATATGCAGTCCTGCTGCCTCTGTAGGCATCTGCACTCTTCGTATCCGAATTAGGAGCCTGAACATAGTTCTCTAGGTCGTCCTGACTGGACCACTCGCACATGTCCACGTCCTGAGTTGGCTGATCATGTAGCTCAGCGAACGCTGCCTCCTTGATTGAAGAATTTTCGGCTCCTATGTGATTAAGTAAATGTTGCATGCCATTTTCGTCGTCGTCATTCATAAGTGTATTGTCTTCTCCTACCGATGATTTGGACTGACGTCTGCTTACCTTTCGGCTTGAGCGCGCCGTTGCTCGCGGCGTAAACGTCGGCGTTCCCAATCTTTGCTCGATGTATTTATCAGTGCTCTGCTTCTGATGATCTGTTGCTTGCCAACCAACAGGCAATAACGGTTGTTGAAAGCCAATCAACCGGGGTGCTGTTGGCCCTGCCACATAAGGCGTTTCGGGTCCCAGTCTGGAGCCTTCTCCGTAAACAATCATCACGTCAATGATGGCAAGCCGGTTGCCATCGTGATCATTGAGTGAATTCACTTCATCAGGTACAGGAACTTGGGCAAGGCCGTCTAAATACTCTCCAGAGACTGAGCGCTCGCCATCTTGAGTGATCCCATATTTCCTGATCTCATTGCGAAGCAAGGATGAAATGGTGGTCCAACGGTCGCTGCCCTTTCCGGACTGCATATTAACATTGCCGTGTGTGTCAGACGAGAATGCTCGCAAAACCCATGGCTTTTCGACCATGAGATGGATATTTTGGCCAGTGAATCGGGAAATCTGACCTACACCCCTTGCACCTGCGTTACGAAATCGAGCGCCGACCACAGAGGAATCAAAGAGCTTTCCATTGAAGAATACGTCAATCTGAACGAAGTTAGTACAGAGAAAATGTTTAGTTCCGAAGATTTGATTCATCGTACCCTCAAGTCGGCAAATTTGACACCGCTGGTATCTTCGTTGGTGATTGGGTAGAATGTCTTTCGAGAAAGAAAGACGTTCAGGCAGAGCGCGGCATTTTGAGGAGCTTCGCTCTCAGGGGCAGCGCTATACGAACATTCTTTCTGCAGTTCTATGAACCCTCCCAAGGGTGAGCTTAGGATTTGTTCAGACCGGGAGGACGCTTACGCTTGAATTGTTCGCTTGAAAGGTTCTCAATGGTTTGCGAGTCTTGAAAGCGCTTCCTTGATTGGTCTTCACTCACAGCACTCTCCGTGAGCTGTTTTAGAGTTTCTAGTCTTGCTGGCTTGATAACTCGTCTAGGCTCCTGGAAATAACCCTCACCAGCACGAACGAGCAGGAAGGGCACGTCTCTGTCATTGCCCACCCATCGGAAATGACTGCCCGTGGACTGGTCTTCGATGGCGTCCTCAGCAAGCGTTCCAGCTACTGAGGCTTGAGCGATTACGTCTGCAGTTCTCTTCGTGTTCCGAGTAGTCTCTGGGCATTGATTATGGGCGGGTACTGTAGTCGAGGTTTCGCGCAGATCGGCAGTAGACAGCTGTACAGTAATGCCGCCTGAATAGAACGTTGGCATTTTGAAGGTGCGGTGGGTATTTGGAGAAGCCGCTGTTGAATCATTTTGGGAGTGTTGACGTTCAAACACGCGTGGCACTAGCAATCGACCGTCACCACCCCATGATGAAGTTTTGCACATCAGACAATAGACCACCAAATTGTCAAAACTTCACATATACACACGTAGAATTATCAATTGAGGCCTCGGGCATAATCTTGCCTTCACCCAAAAGGACCTGACTCAGATACATCTAAAATCGATCCAAGCTCCGTGACGGTCCGCTCATAGACTCTTGCAATTTCCATCTCCCACCTATCATCCTCGTCTTCTATGCTCAAGTCTTGCATCGTCATATCATCATCGAAGTCATCATCTGTCATTGCATCGTAGTCTGTACCCGATTCATTACCGCCGTCGGTCACACTCTCGCCTTTCCCTGCAGCTTCAACAATAGCAACACGGGTCCTTTCCACGATGGATTTCAACCTGATGCTTTCGGTAATGCTTGGCCTGCCTCTCTTGCCTCTAATTCCAGGTAGCTGCTCCCCAGTCTCCACATTCACACCACGCAGCAATGAAGAAAATGCAGCGTCAAGTCTTTTCAGCAAGAGAAATGTGGCTCGTGGAGAAAACTGAAATGGAGACAGGGCATTAGTTGTCGTGAGTGCAATGGTCAAGAAGTATGGTATCTGTAGTGAAGCTAGGTACCCTTCATTAGTCTATGGCTTTATTCGTCGACCTATTGGGTTCGGTATGCTTACGAGTGCCTGATACCCAAACAACATCAATCACCGCATTCAAGTCTCTTGCCATCTCCGCGAAACCATTGTAGCCCTTCATCTCCGTGTCACCAATCGGAATTCCTTCCTTGTCTCCATCCTCATTCCCAAGCTTCGCGCTGAATCGCTTCTCGTATCTTCTAGATACGTTGAGCAGTTTGTTGTCTACGTAGTCAATCAAGCCACTCTGCTTGTGACCACCGGGCTTGAGCGGTGAATCTCTAGATCGGGGTAGTAGCGATTGAGGAGCTACATCAGATGCAGCTGACGAAGGGGGTGGAGACGGAAGTGTGGACTGTGAGAAGCCACCAGCAACTGGCACTCCTGCCATTAAAATCACCGACTAACCCAGGAAGTCATGTCTTTCTTCCTGGAGGAGCCGATTATGTTGGCTAACGCCAATTCAAGCACAGACATGACATAAATTGGCATGCCTTACCTTCAATACGTTGTCCGACTATGGGGCTAAACATTAGCGGGTAGCTTTGGTCATATAAGCGCAACCTACAGACTAGGTGGTTGGGCAGTCAACGCTTTTAGCCATCGTTTGCCGACCGCCTAATCAAATAAAGAGGTTGAATCCGATTTAGCTCGAACAACACAATCTTTTATATCACATCTCAACCTCCCTCCCAAGCGCTTGACTACCGTTCAAGCTCCTGATTTGTGTTTGTGTCATCAATACACAGCTCTATCTGCGCTTTCCGATCGTCCAGCAAATTTTACAACCCTCCGATTCACCTGAGATAGCACGCAAGATTTGACATACAGAAGCCCAGAACGTATGGCCGCCGCAGCGACCCCACCCACCTTCAAGCTTGTGCTTGTCGGTGACGGTGGTACAGGGAAGGTATGTTCGTGAATCCTCCCCGCAACGCCGACGCTCTTGCGCTTCAAGCTACTGCTCCCCGCCTCTTAACGCCCCACCACACCCGTCGTCAACTGTACACAGCAGGAGCTAACATTACCCTTGCAGACCACCTTCGTCAAACGACACTTGACAGGAGAGTTCGAGAAGAAGTACATCGCAACCTTGGGTGTCGAAGTCCACCCTCTGGGTTTTACAACAGTACGCCCTCCCCCATCCCCCAACGACCTGATGACTAACAAATGAAAAGAACCTCGGGCCTATCCAATTCGACGTCTGGGACACAGCAGGACAAGAGAAATTCGGTGGTCTACGAGATGGTTACTACATCAACGGGCAGTGCGGGATCATCATGTTTGACGTCACATCGCGCATCACCTACAAGAATGTGCCCAACTGGCACCGCGATCTAGTCCGCGTGTGCGAGAACATCCCCATCGTGCTCACGGGTAACAAGGTGGATGTGAAGGAGCGCAAGGTCAAGGCCAAGACAATCACCTTCCACCGCAAGAAGAATCTGCAGTACTACGATATCTCCGCCAAGTCGAACTACAACTTTGAGAAACCGTTCTTGTGGCTGGCGAGGAAGCTTGTTGGGAACTCGGCTTTGGTGAGTATAATATATAGCAGAATGGGTCCGAGATAGATGTCTGACGAGAGCTGTAGGAATTCGTCGCAAGTCCCGCCCTAGCGCCCCCTGAGATGAAGGTCGATCACGCCCTTCTCGAGCAGTATAACAAGGAGATGGAGGATGCAGCCAACCAGCCACTGCCTGATGAGGAGGATCCAGATCTATAGAGGGATGTTGACATGAAATACGGTATGATGAAGCGAGAGTCTGAGACGGGGAAAGAGGGTCGTCATGGGATTGAACAGGAATATCCTTGCAGTCTTTGGGCTCTTGTTCATGGGCGCTCAAGACTACATGGAATCAGAGTGTCGTTCGATGACGAAGTAGGATGTTGACCCAACGGTGGCTACGACATACGGGTGTAGGTAGATTTCTTAAATTAGAATGTCTGCAAGTATCCATGAACATTCTGTATCCGGGTCCCTTCGTTGCGCATACATTGGATTTCATGACATTGCTGCATGGAATGAGATCGTACAATGACCTGATCGGAGCCATCTCTTTTACAGCAGCTAAAGATTTGTCCGTTGCAAAGTCCTCCCTCTCATGTTGTATGATTTCAACGAAGTCGCAAAAATGATAAGCCAGGAGAAGCCGAGATTCAGCGGCGAATTTGGTGCAAAGAGAGAATATAGTATCTCAATTTGTGCTTTGATATATGTTATTGTACAATGAAGCAATGCATGCTATATTGTCATCCCGCTAAATATATGAACGAGCAAGTATGTAAGCCTCCTGGGGTATCCATCACCTTCCATGTCCGGGTCAACAGCCAATTGTATGTACAGCATTTATAGCTGTGCTTGATACAGTGCGAAAACAAAATCGAGAAAGGAAACTTGAATGGGCGCCAAGGCCGTGTAATTGTGTCATCAGAGCTATTGTCGTCGGTGGAGGAAGGTTTCGTCAAGATATCGGTGCAGATGAGCATTTCCGGGCTCTAGTCTCGAACCAGAGGAACATCCTGAAGACATATTAGTGCGTTCATGGTGGGCCAGAGACAAGCAAACTTACAAAAAGGAAAGCCAAGTCCTGCGTACTCAACCGACTGATCCTTTGCGAGGCATTCTCATCAAGGGCGCTTTCAATGAGATCACGCTTCTTCTCCTGTAGTGTGAGAATTCTGTCTTCTACTGTGCCTTTGACTTGTATGCGATGAACATAGACTGGGTTTTGTTGACCAATGCGGTGAGCACGGTCAATTGCTTGCTCCTCGATATACTAGGAATATGTAAGCGTGATCCAATTGAATCAGCTTCACGGATAGTCTTACCGGGTTCCAAAACGGCTCGAAGATAATGACCTGCGATGCAGCCGCTAGATTCAGGCCAGAATTTCCAGCTTTGAGAGACGTCAGTAAGATTTTGCAATCCTTCTTGTCAGTAAAGTCTTCGACGGCTCGATTGCGCTCATCCGCTTTCATACTTCCATCGTATCGTCGATAGGTCCAACCTTCCCGATTGATTGGGATCTCCAAGAGATCCAGCAACGACGTAAATAGACTAAAGATAATGGTTTTCTCTGGCGGTCTGTTTTCTGAGTCGGCCTCGCTTTGCAGATTGCGCAATATGTCCATGCTCTGCTCGATCTTAGCACTGGTCTCCCATTCCTTCTCTAGCCTTCTGAGGTATCGGCGTTTGGCTTTTGCATTCTTCATGCTATCCTTTTTCAGCGATGCTAAGGTCTTCCTTGGTCGTTTCTCTTTCGCCTTCCCTTTGCCTTTATATTTGGTTGGGTTCTCACGTTTTTGGGCCTTTCTGAACGAAACCCCCTCATGCCCATCTTCGTCGTCTGCTACTATAAAGTCTCTCAAGTTGCCATTCGCATCTACGTCGTCATCTGTGTCGTCTTCACTATCACTGCTGGTATCAGATGAAGCATCCGAATCATTTCGTTCCTCCTTGAGCTCCTCAAGCATGCTTTCATTTTGTGGCATATGGACTTGTTTGAAGGTACGGTGGTCAATGATCTTCGATACCTCAATCTTCCCACGACAATTGGGGCATGCCGCCTCACGATTACCGCGTTCTCCAAAGTCTCCACCAGCGATAGCGTTGGTAGGATCCGTGATTTTAGCGAAGCACTCAGAACAAGCGTTGTGTCCGCAAGGGATGAATATAGTGGTATTCTCGGAAACGTCCATACAGATTGGGCAGAGTCCTACTTCATCGTTCTCAGTCTGTTCTTTGAGCCGAGCGACTACGTCATCTGCGAGGGACTTCGCAAGCTTTGCCATTTGATCGCCAGTAAGCTCGCTGTCAAAGGCTTTCTCTGCAAAGTCCTTGATCAAGTTCGGATGGCAACAAGCTTGGCGCAGCCGTAAAAGCAGGACAAGGATGTTCGAATAGTGGCGGCCAATAGTACCTGCTTTGAGATATTTGTTGAATTGTAGTTGGGTCCGATTTTCGAGGGCCTGGTAGAATGACTGTTCGTCTTCGCTGAACTCAGCCTGTACGGCCTCTGTATGACGTGGCGGTAATCTCAGGATTGGCTTGCCATCAATCATAGACTTCTTCGTCCGGCGCATAAGAATGGCCTTCAGTAAGACCTGGAGCTTCTCCATTGCTTGCTTCTTAGCACGTGGGCTGTTGCTCTTGAGTGGCTTCGAAAAGTTGTCGCTGAAGTACTTCCACTCTTTCCACGGCGCGATCCGAACAAAATGGACTAAGGAGAACAATTCATCTACTGAGTTCATCATGGGGGTGCCTGTCATACAGAATCTTGTCTGTGCCTTCAGCGCAAAGGCAGCCTTGGCAGCTCGTGTACCTTTATTCTTGATGCACTGTGCCTCATCGATGATTACACGATACCACAGGCTCGCATCGCTCAACAAGCTGAGAGAGTCGTCTTTTGAAGTAGGCCGCCAGTTTGGGTTCGCCTTCTTCTTCATTGCAATGCCCTCATACCGCTTGTATTCGCTCGTCAACGTACCAAAAGTAGTCAGAACGACGTCAGATCTTCTTAGCGTATCCCATGACGCCAGGCGGGTATTACCATGGAATATGAACGTCTTTAGACTATGCTCTGGACCGGGTTTGAGCTTCAAACGAATCTCACGTTCCCACTGCTTCAGCAAAGCGACTGGGCAGATGATAAGCGTCGTTTTACACAATGGATTGGAGGATCTACGAGAGACCATCAATGACAAGGCTTGGATGGTTTTACCAAGCCCCATGTCGTCGGCCAGAATGCCTCCCTTTTGCTCACCCTCCTCCATCTTCCGTAGCCATGCGAGGCCAAGCTTTTGATGTTCCATCAAAGGGTACGTCATTGCCTCTGGAGTCCCTTCTCGGTTTTCAGGAGGCAGGTTTTCATCTGGACGGATGTTCTCCAGTAACGCCTTTATTTCAGCTTTCGTCCGAGTTGGATCGGATGCTACATAATTGACACGATCGACAAGGCTTTGATAAGCTTCGGGGTCCGATGGGTTGATGCCATGTCGAGATATCGCATTGTTAGCGATTGCTGTTGGCGAGAATGAGAATTCGCCGATCCCGTTAGAAAGGTCGACGAAAGGAACATTCTGTGCAGCGTTGTTGATTCCGTTACCGTAGACAGAGCCTCCTCCCATGCCGACAACCGCCTGAGCCCTATTGTAAAGGTTTTGAACATCTTCGTAGAAAGTGTGGCCGAAGTGAGTCGCATGTTTAGCAAGTCCATTAAATGCCGCGAAACCAGAAGCACTGTCGTCATCGAGATCGATGACTTCGTTTGTGTGATGTGGCGTGTCATTTCTCAACAAATCTTGGAAGAGCGGATCTGAATCAAGGCTGATGGGATGGTTACTGTCACATCCTATCCCGGTAGCAGAGCCCATCGGCGAACTAGGATCACTCGATAGGTTGATGAATTCTGCGTTTGCCGATCGACTAGGGCCCGCGTCCTCCGTCTTGACTCGCTGAGGAGAAGCTATAGGTAAAGCTCCACGTCGGTAGGAATTAGCATCGGGTGCCTCTGGGCTTAGCTCGGTCTTAACAGGTTGGTGGAAATATGTCGGGTGCTCTCTCTTTACATAATTCGTGTTAGGACTAGAATCGAGAGCGGAGGACGGATCCGACGAAAGCTCCAGGAATTCACTGTTGCCGTTAAACCTTGATTGTTTCGAAGACCCAAATGCATTTCCCATCATATTTCCAGATTCAAGGTGATTATCACCATCGAATTGTCTTTGAATAGCTCTAGCCAGCGCTTCATCTTGACGAACCAGCTCCGCCCGCTTCTCCTGTAAAAGGTGTTCTTCGTGCATCTCAGCCATCATCTCTTTTGGATTTCCGCCCAGAATTTGAAACATGTCTTCGGTATAATCGTAGGAGTCCAAATTAGCGGGACTAGTGTTGGTGGTAGTAGGAGCCGTTGGGTGATGCTCACTGTTGGATTCCTCGTCAAATATATGGCTTGCCTTCTGCCTTTTGCGGGGAAGGGCTTGGTCGATGTCTGGACTGGACATCGACGTTATATTGGTCGACCATCCGTTAGACTCTTGTGGAGACTCAGGAAGAGCCTGACGAGGTTCCGTTGGCTCATCATTCCAGGCACCCGGCATATCTACACCATACCCAGTACCCCTGATCAGACCATCCGAGGCAAAGTGGCCATCTAATCCATTTGTAAAGGCATGAGACGTGGGGTAGCCGGAGTTCGGGAAAGATGCGTCACTCGACTGTGGCCGTCCTGTAGGATGACTATGCACGTTGTTGCCATTCCAAGGTTGACCTGCCAACTGCTGATACTGGGCGATTTCTTGTGGACCCAACATATCATACGTTGATCTCTGTATCTCTCTAATCTCTTTCTCAAGAAAGCCAATATCGAAGTCTGCAATGTCTTTCTGTTGTTGATAGTCGTCACGAGTAGAGTCTAAAGTGTGCAACTTTAATCTCGCAGCGGCAAGACGTCCATGAAGATCAGGTACTGTATCTTCTGGCGAGGAGGCGTACATCGTCGGGGAACAGAGAGTGACAAGGCTGAAGGTGAAGCGACCAATTTATGGTGGCGAAGTACAGCCAATGACCGGCAAGGACTAGAAGTGTTTAGTCAAGGAGAGTGTCGAGCGAAATTACGTTGGAAAGGTGTCGAAGACCAGAGCAGCATTGTGTGAGGGAGGAGAAAAGTGTTCAGACAGCGATGCACTGGTGACAAGGCTGGCGTGGGTTGCTTTTCAACGATTTGCGCCTTCCGACATGCCCACCGGTACCCTTGAGAATGTCTGATATGCTCGGTGAGCCGTCTCACAAGACGACGTGGCAGCGTAGCAAAAGTCGTACAATGCGATGAATCAAGCGAAGAAGCGGACTAAAGAAGTGAAGAAAAGCGCAGACAACAAAGGAGTGTAACTGTCGACAGATCTACGCTGGTAAACACTAACAGACAATAATAATGATGATGATGCTTTCAGCTTCTCTTAGAAGTCCCTAGCCTTGCCGGCAGCTCCCCGCGCCGGTCGTGCCTACCTTAGAGGCTCTAAGATGGCCCGCAATTAGGGCATCGATCTACCCAACAATTCCTCTCGTTGAAATTACCAACTCCAACCCAACAGGAAGCGAGACATCAGCTCCATGCCACGAGCAACAGACACCATCCTGCTACGTCCTCGTCTTGCTCCTCATGCTTGACTTGAGCTTGGAAGCACTTCGGTATTCCGTAACGCTCTGAAGCTTTAGCATCAGGCAATGAATTCGAAAGCCCGAAGCCGCCGTGCTATCCAAGCGACCCTTCACGACGAGTATTACTGATCAATGAACCAATCTCGCAGCAACCGAGCGGGATGCCCGCTTGTTCAACATACTGTGGCATGCCGTAGACAGCGCACCAAATCACTTGATGGAGAGCGGCCCAATCGCCTACCACAACATACAGCGCTTTGACAGACTTTTGTCAAACTCATTGCCGTCCGAAATCCGTGGAACTGCGGTCAGCCGAGCTTTCCGCTGGTGAACGTACTTGCCGTTGCAGGCCAAGCACAGCCATGTGAACCAGTATGACAGCCGAACGAATAAATCGAACACCTGCCCCCGTCTCTTTTTCGAGGAACCGAGCAACGACATTCGCAAGCAACTCTTCCATTTTACCCGCTGTCTATGGCTGTCATGTGAGTCATCTTCGGAGCTTCCTGTCGTTCATCTGTTCCGTTCTGGTAGGACAGCTTCAGCTTCAGCTTGCTCCTTGACCTCGTGTGGCATATGACCGCCCAAGCAGTTATACAGTACGGGATACGCCTGCTTCGAGGTAGGCCCTTCCTTCGTTTGCTTGTCGACCCTCCTAAGCCGCTTCGTCCGTACATTGCCCTTGGCTTTCCAAGCAGTGGATTGTTTTAGTACTAGAGAAGTTGAATGTAATACATGAAAGTCATGGTCTTTAGTAATCTTCCTGTCGGACTCGAAAATGTTCAGAAACGGCGATCTTTGCCTTGATCAGAGCTCAGGGAGTACTTGATCTTGGGTGAAAAGTCAAGGCCACGAATTCGAAGGGGAAAATATATTTCTGTCCAATCAATATAATTTTGCGAGGAAACCCACTTGCTGGAAATTATTCGCTCGAAGTCAGATCGTACTAAAAATCGTTCTTGCAATCACGGGAAATGTCAATTGCAAGTTGACTTTGCATTTCAAGAAGTCACTGCCAGTCCAAGCTTTGGAAAATCAATGCGGAAGATCTGCACCAACCTTTTCAAGCTTCGGACTCCCTTGGGATGGTGAAGTAGGTATGTCCTAACACAGAGAACGGGAGCTTGTACTCCTCCCACGATGGCGGTGCCCATGCCGGCTAATGGACGGTAGGGCTTTGTGATATTGCGATTCTCTGCTCGCAGGTACCAGCGCTTCGTGTTCAAATTGATGATGTTTTCTTCGATTAGATACTGCAGAAGAATGATAAGGCTGCACCAGCTTGCTCCTCGCTTGGTGATGCCTGCTCGATTTGATGAGCCGCAGGTCCTCGGGCTGATAACGTGCTCCTCGACTTGACGGCATTGAGTTGTCGTATGGTCCTTTGTACTTGCTCGATTTCGTCACTGCCGGACCTTGTTGATAGTAAGCCACGTCCTCGTATGTGGACTTCTCTGAAGCATTCCGTCTATCAGTGAATGATGTACGCTCATCAGCTGAGTCGTCTGAGTAACCCTCTCCAGGTTCGTATGACGTTCCGTCATCTACGAAGTCGATCGAAGGTGTCGACCTGAGTTCTGCTTCATTACGCCCGCGCATCCTCCGAGCTCCTCGCTTTGCCTTTTTCCGATAATATCTGTCCTCATGTTCCAAGGAGTCGTCTGGATCAGAGTCGTCGGATGGATGCACCAGATCAGAGTCCTCAGCATCGCTTGCTCTCACGAGGTCGTCCTCGATATTCCGTGCGTTTCTACCCCATAAGACCGTTTCGACGTCGTTCAGCCCATCGTAGCTCTTGTCGTACCTATGTTTCATACATGCTCCGTCACTTTCCGCAAGCAGAGGTCCGTAATTCTTGTGACGGAAAGGGCATTTCGCTTTTGGGTTGTTCTCAACGGTTCGACAAGGCACTGATTTGGACGGCTTGACTTTACAGCCACATTCTTGAAAGTGATGGATATGCGTTCGACACATTTTGTACGCTTTGTGCCTTCTTTAAGATGGGCCAGATTGGTGAAAGTTAAAAATTGAGTAAATGTTAGGCGGCGAAAACTTTGATAGCAGTTGGAAGGAGTAAAGAGAACAGAAGACAAGGGCAGCCCATTTATGAACGAGGTCTTCACTGCTCCTTCCTCCTTCGGTTGACTCAAACAAGGCAGTGAAAGCCCAATTGGAGTCTGAAACGCCATGCCAGGATGAGGCGGACGGGGCGCAGGCAGCGCCCATGATCTTCCACTAGACATTCACCTACCTCTCCTAAATTGCAGCTGCTAAAACGAACGGGCCTTCATTTACAATGCTGGGCTTTGGCTAAGGCATTGTGGCCTAAAGGTTTGATATCAGGCTGACACAAGGCTCACCCTTGCTTCACCGAAGTAGCGCGATTGACTAGACTAGCCACTTCAGATGCAGCCATGATCACGCCAATAGCACAAGAGAAGTGAGCAAGAGGTGATAGCATATGCGGCTGCCAGTTGGCGAGAGAATGGAGGTCGGCGCGGATTAGTCTCGATCATCGACAATCGGAAAATAATTCATCCCAAAAGCCTTGCGTACCAGGCAGCCTTACCACGCCTAGAGCTGCAAGCGTGCGCGCTAAGAGTGCCCAGCATTTTCAATCCTGTAGAACTCACCCCCAGTTCGGATATTCCTCAAGTATGCGCTGCCAAGATGAGCAATGCGCTAATAAATCCGAACTGGGGGTGAATGCTTCTATACGTGGCTTCATAAATGACTCATCAAAGGGTGTGTTCCTGTTGATCTACTCCTTCACCTGATAAAGCTTCACTTTCTGGCATATGGAGCATTGCCGTCTGGTTCCCGCTCACATACGCTTCTCTTTACTATGAAGAACATGGCAAATAAAAGCAGCGAAAGTATACAGTAAGGCATGCGGCTCGATATGGGAAGGCAATCCTAAAAAGTCAGTTGACGTTTAGATATGGGACTAGCTCTTCGGAGTCTTATTACCTTGTTTAGGTAGTTAGATAGAGCATAACTATGTTTCGGGATCATGTCTTAGAAGTCAGCATTGTGTGATTACTCTCAAGACATCTTAAAACAGTAAAAAGAACTCGGAAAAGACAGTCCTGCAGGCCTAAAGATATGTTTTCGTGATATTCTCAACAGAATATTTGCACGTAAATGTGATGCCAATAGTTCCATGTATCTCGACACCAATCTCCTCTTCAAGATATCTCACTATTGAGCCGTATCGTCTTCCACGGAAGCCTGAAGTCCTTTCTTTGAAGCTTTCCCCGAATTGCCCGTCAAAATTGCAGCACTGTCATTGGTCGATCCAAGTTCTCCCTGAGCCTCACAAGAAGATGCCTGCGCTGCCTCGACCATCAACCGAGACTTTTCCAGCACCCATACATTCCACAAGTCATGGAGCCGGTTGGTTAGGAATTCTTCTCGATCAATAAGTTCAGAGGAGACTTTTTCCTTTCGATACCATTGCGGATCCTTGGCCAAACTTTCGATTATTCCCAAACCCTCTCCGATCGTGGCGACAATGTTGGCCTTTGTGCCGGAGGCGCGGGCCACATCAGCAAGTTGCTTCTGCCAGAACATGTCCCGTCCTTTGATATATGAGTAGCCTGAGCCGAAGATATTGCATCGTGGGCATTGACTTCCATTGAGCTCAAGTGATGCCGGAGCTCCCTCGCATCTAGTGGAGCTTCTGAGCTTCGGCTCGCATCCGCAGAAGTCTGCGTTGTAGAAGAATTTACAGGTTTTGCAATAGCCTGTGATATGATAGCACATTTGGGAAATGTAGGTTATAGTGATGAAATTGTGATATCGTTTTGCAGGTGCGTGGTCCTGTTCGTGTTTGTGTGTGTGTGTGTGTGTGTTTTGTGAGATATAGATAAAGATTAGATGTTGAGTTGAGAAGAGCTCTTTAAGGATTTGAAAAGGGAATTGGGGTGTGACAAGACCTGTTATCATGGTTGTACGCATCAAAGAAGATCTCTTGTCAGGCGCTAGTCAAGCCTCGTGTTGGACAATCTGTCTTGAAACTCAACCCGATTTCACCTTTGCATGCTCATCTGACGCAACACAAGCGGATGTATTCTGGCATGGTCGTTATGATCGGCGTCACAAATTCCGTGGCCACATTACTTCTGTTGATGGGGAGAGGAAGGACATTTCGCCCCTCGACTCAGATCTCTGTTTGAAGCTTGTGACTCGTAGTAGCTGCATGTAGAGTTCGAGCACGTTGAAGGCACAGCCAGACTACGACATAGGATGAGAACTGGCGTTAGGAGCATGGACAGCCTTTCCACAAGTGCAAGTATCCTGACTGTCACCGTTGCAGCTTTGAATGAAGACCGTAGTAACGGCCTGGCCCCTGTAGTCTGCGCACAATACTTGGAAATACGAACAATATCGCTCTCCTGCGTTGTACCACATCGCCGTGCTAAGGTCCGCCAATAGCAATGTCGATGCTCGATACTGGTATTATGGCATGTAAAGCTGCCTAGGCCTGTGGAACACAAGATAGACCCGTGAAGAAAGCTTGCTGGGGCTTACTTCTGGGGTTAGATTTCGACTTTTTGAATGGTTACGAAGCTGTAACCTCGCGAAGAATTCCCTATAGTAGTAAAGCCGAATTCCGTAACGAAACAAGAAGTGAGTGACCCAGCGGCGGTAATGCAGTCCTTTGAAGTATCTTCGTATACATGAAGCTTAAATCCATCTGCTCCATACCATCTAGGACAACAGGGTATCACTAGTTGAAAGAGCCTTAATGACTCCATCCTCTTGCTCAACATCAGACCACAACAAGCCTGCAATAGCCAACGATTCTCAAGCAAATCAACGCTCATACCTTTATCACTGCACACTCAAACCTTAGACTTCCTCCTCTCTGTCCCCACCTTTTGCAAAGCCCTGTTCTTTTTCCTCTTTTCCACCCAACCGGAGCCAGTCGGCATGCTACTGCTGGGCTTGTGGCTGACGTCATTCTGCTCCATCATGTCCTCTATTTGCTCCATTGGATCACTTGAGATTGTCAAATCAACAACCTGCGAAGATTCTGGTATCCGAGACTGTCGAAGGCATCCAAAACTGCTGTCAGCGTTTGATTGGGACTCGGACGTCCTTTTAGTCTTCTCAAGTCGCTGGGAGGAGCCAGCTACGCCAGTCTTTCGGCTCTTAGCTTTTGGAATACGTTTCAGGGCGGATGAGGACCGATTGTCCTCAGGCGACTCAGGCTTGAAAAAAGGACCTTGAGACAGGCGATCTTCAAATTTCTGAGAGAACAGGGTTGGCAATTCGTCCGATGATGATTCTGCAGTGCCATCAAACGCTCCGTTGATATGAGATTTCTGAAACAGTGGTTTCTGGGATTGCATCGGGCTTGGACTCGTCTGCTTTGCTCGTCCGCGCAACGAAGGTGGAGAAATCATGGATGGCGATCTTTGGGAATTGGTGTCCACAAATGAAACGGACCTATGCTGTCTGTCACTCGCAAGCAGCTCGCTCTCCTCGTCGGGGTGTGGCAAAGCTGGGTAGCCAACGCTGTCGTCAGTTTTAAGATCTACTGTCGTGTCATTTTCGTTTGCACGCTTCTCAATCGATGAGCTCAGTAAAATACTAGTCTCTACGAGAATGGACTCCTCTGTCGCCGGCGTGACTGAAGAGCGCATATCATTGTCTTGAACACTAGAATGCGAAGATTTTGGAAGATTAGGCGACTGATCGACGTCCATAGATTTTTCATAACCTTGATCTTCAGCAACAATAGACGGGTTTTGCGGTAAGTCAAGTGGCCTTTGAATGTCGGAACCAATGCTTGAACGCCAGTGTGCATCTCTGAACATTTTGGAGATATCATTGCGCGTCTGTGTGCTTGGCACCTCTGTTGGAGAATCTGCATCTGCGACGTGCGCCCTCGAAATTGCCTCGCGAATCAGTTGGGTGGCTCGCAGTGGCTGAGGAGAAATCGAAGACAAAGAGTTGTCAACTGGCTTTGCCAGAAGACTTTGTTCGCTATCTCTGCGTGACGGAGTATTGCCGTTTTCTCCACTCTCGATTAAGTCCAGGTCATGACCGACTGGCTCCTTCAGGATCTCATCAGAGTGACTGGGAAATGGAGAAGATCCTTTTGAGTTTTGGCTCTGTTGTGAACTTGCTGCTTTCGGAGTGTTTTCGTAAGCATCCACTTCATCTACTTCATGCGAGCTGAGTTGGAGACTCTCAGGTACCGTATCCTCTCTGGCTTGGGCACTTTGATCTACCTTAGCAGCTTTAATGAGCAGAGGCTCAATCATTTCAGCAAAATCAATGCAGTCTTTTGAAGGGTCAACATGCTCGTACTCGTCATCATAACCGGGCATTTCAAATCTGCCATAGATTCTCTCACCTGTCTCGTTATTGTAGCGCCTGCTCTGCTTCGATAAATCGCGCGTAGCCCACCGTAATTCGACCATGCCGTCTTCGTGCAATTTTTCGATCTTAGCCACACGGTGGTCCGATATTTTGGGCTGCCAGCCATTCTCAAGGCTCATTTCAAGCTTCTTGAAAGCAATGATGTTACCAAACTTACAGGCTTCTTTTGTCAATGTCTGATAACTCGATAGGTCACTAGGTAGCGAGGGAAGGTCTGACTCATTTGGTTCTCCCGAAGATGTTTCGAAGCTATCCAGAGATTCTCGTAGAAGCTGTTCATTTGCAGCTTGGGCATCTTGACCGTTGTTTGCTAGACTACCCTCTGCGTGGAATTCTTCTTGATCTCCGTCTTCGAATTGTGGTTCAGTCGTCGCTGGTTCGAAATCCTGTCGTCTAGGTGACTTGGTGTCCGCATATTCATTATAGCTATCATCGTAGTGATTCTCGTAATAGTTGTCGTTATTGCGCTTTCGTTTTTTCGCTTTTCTCTTAGAGCTTGCCATTCCATAATTGCGCTGTTGCTGAGGGTCCCAGCGCTGTACGAATGGAAACGGCGGCGTACTAAGCTCAATACCATCGTAGCAGCATTCGACAGCCCGCAGCTCGATTTTATCCCTCCAACTTTCATCTTGGACGTCTGATGTCGTAAGACCTGTTTGTTCAGATTGAGTCCTATTGCCTGCTGGTGCATTGTATTTGACACCACTCATCAATTTAGCCTCTACATCTGATTCTTCTTTCCGGTTTCTCGGAGCTCTGACACCCAGAGAGCCAAAAAGAAAGCGCCTTGAACTTGCTAAGTCGAGCTTCGATCGTCGCGCCTTGGGGCTCTGAGCAGATTGATTCGTCGCATTTGCAGAGTCAACAACACGACTGGCTTCCGGAGGAGACGCCGAGGTACCCACTTGGTCTTCAGGCTTTGGGGGGACATTTTGCTGATCACTATGACTTGATTCTCTTGCGTCCTTAAGCGAATCTGGTACTTGCACGATAGCTGGGTCAGTTGATTGCTTAACCTGATGTGAAGTATTGGACTGTCCAACAGTGGTCTCAAGTTTACCTGCAGATTGCATGTCATCGCCAAGCAGTGTGAATGATTCGTCTTCTGGCAATACCGACGCAGTATGTCCACGTTTCTGGTCGCCATCTGCTTCCCCGTCGTCAGACTCAATTGATTTCAGTAAAGCCTTTCGCTTTGCCTCAATGTCCAAATCGTCTCGCTGTACATCATCCGATCGCTTTTGCGTGGGATTAGCATCCTGCGACCTTTTCCATTGCTCCACCTGCTGAAGGGTTGCGTCTGTAGGGAGAACCCCTTGCGAAATTAGTTTCTTCCTCAACGCTCCCCTTTGACGCCTCCAATTCCTGTTTTGCGTAGTTTTCTTGCCTGTATATGGAAGAACTTCGGGCTGCGGGCTCCTTTCAAGCCTAGTGCTTTGAACTTCGTCAAAAGAAGTATTAGGAGAAATTTCCTCCTCGGTTCTATCTTTGTGCGGGCTACAATTTGAACCGGTATCGCTAGATGATGAGGTCGACGTGGAGTCGGCATCTGACTCATCAATCCGTAGGTCATGCTTAGATGAGTTGTCGCTCTCCGAATCCGAAGCCGGTTCTGATGATGATGGAGAGTCAGAGAACGCTCCCTGACTCTCTGGAATACCATGACACAGCTCATTCTGTTCTGAGTCTGTACTCTCGTCATCAGAGGATGTGCCAGACGAAGAGGTGTAATCACTGTCAGAGGGATGGACATCTGAGGAGCCTGAAGAGCTTATATTTGGCGGGTCGAGAGCTTTGTCTCCCACTTTTTCGCTCTCCAAGTGTGGAGGTGCATTCTCTTTGTCAGATTCGTCTATGGATTTGTTGGATTGGTCAGGACTGAAATCGCTATCATTTTCATCATCCGAGTTTTCATCTAATCGCTCCGTAGCAGGCGTCTCTCCACCGCCGTCGTCGAATCTCACGCTTTTACTGCTGCCTAGCGACTCACGTCTTCGTATAGCTTCTGGTGATACTGATGCCGACGAATCTTGCGAGTTGCCTCTCATAGCCCCCCTGGAGAATTGGGTGTCTTTCGAGTGACCCCGCTTTCGGACTTGTAGATTTGAAGGGCGGTTGCTTGCGCTAGATTTTTCGTACTTGTCTAGTAAGGGATTGTGGTAAAGTCTAGAGAACGATGTGCCATCTGCGTCCGCTAGGGGCAATAGTCCAAGCCCATCTAGTAGGGTGGCTGATCTTGTTCGCCTTCGCGATAGTGACCGACTGTCTACAAGATCTGCAGCCAAACCACATTCTGTACTGTCAGCACGTAGATGCTGCAACTCATCATCTAGACCCTCCTCATCCTGCGATGGGAAGTCCTCCTCGTCTTCATCTGCATCTCCATCTTTGTTATCTCCGTTCTCTAGGCCTGATTGGATGAGGAGTTGCTGACTGCTTGTTTGGCCGTCTGTCGCATCTAGCGTGTTTTCTTCGTGGACTAATCGCCTTCGTTTTCTTGGAGGTATGTGTATAGTGGGTCGATTAGGCCGACGAAGCAGCGGTCGCCCAAAAGGCACGCCGTCAATCAAATGCTTGCCGTCTTCTGTGATTTGATGACGCCCAGAGACTTTCCTCACCCTTAGATCCGTAGTTTGCAGTGGCCGAATGCTATCACAGCGTTAGCCTTGAGGCGTGAGCGGAACTGGGAGGGAGAAAAAATCATCCAAACCACTTACTGTACGTTATCGTCGTCTTTGAGTAGGTGCGAGACGTCAGCATAATGAAGGCATTCAAATCCTTCGACCTCCACTGTATAGTCTTCGAGGCCCCAGTCACCAGCTTCTAAAGGTATTGACTCGTTCACTTGCTCTAGTAGCTGCGATATTGTGTAGCTTGCACCTGTCACAAGAGGAGGCGCTAAGCTCCATAGAATAGAGGCTGGTGGTAGGCCGTGCCTCCAGATAGTCAGCCTGAGCCTCATGCTAATCTTTATTGCAACTCTGCTTGGCACATGCAGTGGGTCAACATCTTTGTTGATCATCTCGAGGAACGCGTTCCACTAGGGAATCGCTCACGGAGGATCCCTAGAACTAGTTTTAAGGCGCTCGCTTAAGCTCCCGACACACCCCCACAGTCCTACTCTAAGCGGCCAAGGCGGCATCCTACTACTCTAGCAACTTGGTGCTGGCAAAGGAGCAAAGATACTGGTTCTAGCGTATGATTGACACATTATGACGGTGAATCAACGTCTATCATATCATCGTGTGCATTTGAGACCCTTCCAGCCGCAGGTTGATTACCAGCATCCATCCCTCTATTTACTCCTCCCAGGGTCTCGATTCTCTCATTGTGTAAAAGTTCCGCTTCGTCTTCATCGCTCAACATCGTTCCTTTTACACTTATCAGACCAACTTCCCTGGATACGCCTGCTGAAGTCTCCACATCGTTCACTCGGAACTGTACAAGTCTTTGGATTTTCTCACCATTGCCATCCGTAAAGTAGCCTTCTATGCTCTCAGGACTTTTAGGTACTTTGTTGTGCGATTGACTTTGTGAGGATTCGTCGATGTCCATTTCCCTGTCAGATGATGGTCGTTTCAACTTTCTTTTTCGCTTTCCAGCAGTCATGCTTCCAGGTACCCATTTCCACTGCTTTGGCAGTCTTTTGCGGTCGATGCTGGCGGAGAAGAAGTTCCAACACAGGAGCCCAATCTGGCTCTCGTTTTGTAGATTGATATAGCCTTCGATAATGTCCCCCTTCGATGGTTTAAAAATAAGAAAATCTGCCGTAAGCCACACGTGAGTCGCTGCATATTCATTGATTGCTTGCGAGTAGACCTTTCTCCCTTCGCCGGAAGACAAAGCTTCTTCTGGCGCGGATGAGATGCGCGCGTTGCTGTAGGAAATGATTGTGCCGTGGAAGGGCGCAAAGTAGGTAAGGATATGCGGCGAGAGATGTTCAGCACACAATCCTTGAATTGGATGACTCTGTGCGATGGGTGCTAACGGAACGTAAAGCGAGGATGTTTCATGATGGAATGGGGAGTGATCGGGCTTGTCGGCGGTCAGTGTCTGATCGTTTTCTGAGGATTCCCTTTTCTGGTGCCGATGTCCATGCTTCTTGACCGGAGACGAATGTTCGATTTGGTCAACCTCCTCGTGCTTGCGCTTCTTCTCGGAGTGTCGCGAAGATTTATCCTTATGCTTTTTATGTTTCTTTTGTTTCGGTAGCTCCGAGTCTGCCTCCTCCGTGTTCATTAACATGAAGATAGATTGTCCGTTGATTATACCAATTAGGAGGGCAAAATAGCCCAATCTATCACAGCGAAGGTGGTTTTCCTTCAGGGAAAATCCACTAGTCCATGCAAATCAACGTCACTAGCTCGAACTACTCGAAATAAGGCTCACAAGGGTGCGATAAGATAAGAATGTGGCTTGTGGTTTCAGGGACAGCCAACCATCCGCATCCCACAGAGGACAGCGAGTTGGGACAGCATCGTACAGCGATCACAATTACATTGCTGGAATATTGAATGAGATGGAAGACGGCGCGACAACATGGCCAGTAATCTGATCTCATACGCAGGCTGGACGTTCCTCCCGGGAGTATGTACCCTTTATCAATCGTGGAACTCTGGAAATTAATTCCTCGAACCAGCTTGTTTCAGGTTGGATACAGTCATTTTACTATGGCATTACCATTCGAGCTGGCGATCCAAAGCCGCAACCGGGTACACCTAGATACCAAAGACATCGACGACGGATACAGATGACCGTCATAGTCATCTACCTTTTGTATACTATATATGAAGCGGACTACGCTTTGAGACAAGAGGGAGACTTCTATCAAGATCTTCGGGTATCACTAGACGCAGACGAGAAGCAAATAAAATCCAAATTTCGCAAATTGTACCGCCTCCCTTCACACGACCCGTCTGTGGTCTGCGCAAGGCATACTAACGGTTGATATGGTAGAGCCGCGGTCTATCATCCTGACAAAGTTGAAGATCCTTCTGCCCGCGCCGCCGCAGAAATTCATTTCGTCACCCTCAAACAAGCCCAAGATACCCTCTCCGACCCAATTAAACGCTTCGCCTACGAACGTTTTGGCGCGGACACCCTACAATGGCAACACTGCTCTAGCATGCGCGATTACATCCTCCGTGGCGTACAAGTCACTCAACTCCCGTTGTATCTAGCCAGCCTTGTCTTCCTCGTCCTCATCAGCTTCACAAGCTATCTCCAAGCTGGGCGTTTCTGGCGCTACTTTTGTCTAATTGCAGTCATCACGTTAGAATTCCACACCATAACTCGACCCTATCGAACTCCTATATTGACGAAGATTTTGAATCCTGTTCTTGAGAATGTGACGACTCACCCGCCCTTGCTTCCTTACCAACTCCTTTCTCTGGCACGGAAAGCAACAGTCACCCTTTTTATTGCTTTCTCCCAGCTGAGCAACCTATACGAACAGCCGAAGACCCAGACCATGAGCAATGGTGCGCCAGTCCTGGACCTGCAGCAATTGGCACGTCTGGAGACTATTGCGAAAGGAGCGGAGGTGGAGACTGGACGACTGCTGGGCATGGATATGGCGCCCTTTGTGGGGGATGAGCAAGGGACGAAGGAGCTGAAAGGGCGCATCAAGGACTGGCTTGTCAACAATACCATTAGAGCGGATCCAGAGGTGAGGGACGCGGTTGGAAAAGCACTTGCCAGAAGGCGAGTTGGTACACCGGTTGGTTCAAGACTGAAATAAACGTCATTCCCAATTTCCTCTATATTTAGATCTAAATCTCGAAGTGAATCTTAGATAGATTGGAGAGTAAAGGGTATGACGCCACGTGATGTATCTGATGGGATCTATAGATTAGATATTATATGAAGGCTTTGGTTCTGAGACGAAAATCTGCACAATGGTAGCGGTTTTCTACGAGGCATGAATGTTTGAGAAAATTCTTTGTAGTCGGGATGCAAGCTGACTTTGAAATGTTTTGTATCGTCTAAGGCCCAGCAATCTTACAGCATGTCGCCTCGGTCAGTCGCTTTATCATCGTATCCCAAAGCATTTATATTGTACATTTTTGAGCATGGTTTGGCCTACGCCGGCTCCGCAGCCGCACTCGAACACTCTTTCACCTTCTACCCATATAGCTCCGCCAAAACCCATCTGCTGCCTCGCTATTCGGCCTCCCTATTCCCGAGCGACTTCCACCATTTACAGAAACTGTCCGCGATGCTCTCTGAGCTTCGTGAACCTTTTGAGTCAGCGCTGAAGCGCCTTGGTCTATTTGTTGTAATTGAGTCAGGTGACCATTAAGGACACGGACCACTTGTGACAACTAAAGCGCAGTGTAAGTCAAAGTCGCATAGTAGGGTGCCCATATGCGGGAGTTGGGACGGGATGGGAGACGTACAGGATCATCCTTCTTGCCTGTTCTGCTCAGACTTGAAGACGCATCATTGATCTCATCGATCATACTCGTCAAATCCTTATTCATTTCATCCAGTCTCTCTGATAGCCGGCCTGCTAGTTGGTATCTGTGGACCAGATTAGTCTAGATCAAACCTACACGCGAAGTATCTCCACTCACGTCCGCTGCCTCTCAGCGTCAGGTCCTGTGGTGGCTTCGCCCTCTCCCTGCTGCTTGATCATCAAATCTACCTCTTTTTCGTAATGATTTAGCCATGACTCGAGCTCTGTCTGGTCGTTTTCTACAGCGCTCAGCTGCCTCTCAACCTCCGTTGTTGCCCTCTCTGCTTCCAACGTTTGCCCATATAACTTTTGGATCTTTTCCGAGTTCTCAACTAGCATACGGTCCCACCTAGCGACCTTTTCGGCTTGTGTCTGAAATTCTTTCTGGTATTTTGAAAGATCCGTAGCCCATTTATTGATGATTTCATCCATCGATTTGTTCTTGAGCCGGGATTGAGCGGGCGGAAGTGGGCCTGATGTCGACGCTGATAGATTTGTTGATGGGAGAGCATCACTGGTGGCTGACTTGGATGCGGTTTGAACTAATGGCTGCGAGGAACCTAGTGGTGGAGCCGATGCTAGGCTTGAAGGCTTGCCGAGGCTTGGAAATGCATTGCCAGCCGTAGTGGCATTGGAGGTGAAGGGTCCAGGGGTAGAGCCAGTGGTATCCTGTGGCTTTGCCGCTGGGAAAGGATTACTTGAAGGGGCGCTACTTGCTGTGGTAGACGAAGTTGAAATTGGAGGGAAAAAGGCAGGAGCACTTGAAGTGAGTCCTGAAGAAGATACTGAAGCAGCAGAAGAGACAGGCACTGAGGGTTTCAAGAAACTGAAACCTGGTGCGGCGGAAGTGCCTCCAATTGACGGCGCATTTGTTTGCGCAGGCGAAAGTTGTGATTGTCCGCCAAGCGGAACAAGAGTAGCTTTCTGATTAGAAGAAGTCTCTTGTGGTTTTTTCGCCCCGCTGAAAAGGTCATTGTTTTGTTGAGGACGCTGTTGGTTACTTGTGTCGAAGGGACTTGGCGCGGCAGTAGTAGAATTGATCCCAGCGTTATTCGCAGGTTTCGATACATTACCGAACAATGTTGGTTTGTTCTGATTCTGAGGAGAGAAAAGGTTGGGCGCTGAGGAACCAAAACCAACATTAGCCGTAGGGGGTAGGCCGGCAGGTGTTGTAGAATTGCCAAAGATTGAGGTAGTTGGTTTACTCGTGGGTGTTGTGGTCGCTACATTAGTTGTTGCTTGATTGGACAGTGAACTACCTATACCTCCAAAGGTCGGCTTCGGAGTCTGATTCTGATCGTTGGATGGTTCTGAGGTCTTGCTAGGCGTGGTCCAGCTGAAGGGAGGCGCTGAAGACGTCGTCGTAGCTCCCGCTGCAGTTGTCTGCGTTGAGACAGCAGGAGTAGTATTGGACGTTCCTGTCGCGTTACGATTGGATAAGTTGTCAGAGCTGAAGCCAGTGAATGATGTCTTGGCAGCGGCATCCAGCACGCTCCCCCCTCCTCCTCCGAACGAGTTCTTGGAGCCGGTTGCAGCACCGAATAACCCAGTTCCAGGAGCACCCGAAGTAGGCGTACTCCCAAACAAACCGGGTCCGCCACCGCTGGTCGTAGGTGTACTACCAAAGAGTCCAGATCCCCCAGTGCTAGTCGTATTTGTGCTCCCAAACGCACCACCCGAACCTGAAGAGTTCGTCGCGGATCCGAAGATACCGCCAGCTGAGGGTTGAGATGTCGTGGATGTTTGGCCGAAAAGGGAGGCTCCAGATGTTCCAGAGGATTGGCCAAAAGGGGTTTTATTTTGGCTCGCCATTGCGAGAGTAGCAGGGCGGAGTCTGTTTCGTGTCTGTCGTTAGATGACCACGAAGTTCTTCTCAATAATTGTTCTATACAGACGCGATGTTGCCAAGCCGCTAGCGTGTAAACCCTGCTGCGTGGATTTGAAGGCTCTTTATGAGTCGCTTTAACGTCCCTCTAAATAAACATCGTCGAGTAGCATGTCGCACTCACCTACGTTAGAGCCCCCTCGCAAGAGTATCGAGCTTGAAGATCCTGGAGCCCATGAGCTAGGTGAATAGCACCTAGTGGGGACATTCAGGAAGCTCATTTTGTCTAGATTCTTCGGAAGCTGAGACTGATGTTTTCGCCGATGCTCAGGAAGATAGAGCCTCTCATTCTACCCCTGGCTCACCAATCCCGGCTACGAGAGTGGAGAAGGTCCAAGCCTACATTGACGAATCCCAGATTTTACAGGCTAACGGCTACACAGGTTGATGACAGAGAAAGCTACGGCGAAGTCCCTGGAACAGCAGCCTATAAGCTCAGAGAACAAGATGCGGTCCCAGATACTGTCGAAGTAGTGCCTGAAGGGCGAAGCAGGTCTAGAGGAACTAGTGAAGTCTCTCAGCCGGCAGGTCCTGCTCGAGGCCAAATACCTAAGACTATAGTTGAGAAAATCGACCCACTATCTCCAAGTCACGGTGATGTTCCTGGAACTGCGGCACATTCTAAGCGTAAGGCAGACGCAGTGCCTGATGTGATAAGGCCGGCTTCACAGGGAGGCGATGACAGAACAAAAGAAGACCTCCCAGGGCCCAAGACTGCTGATGTTCCAATACCCACCACGGTGATTACTAAGGTAGACTCTAAGCCATCGCATGGAGAAGTTCCAGGAACAGAAGCCCACAGCATTAGGCAAGGAGATGCAAAACCGGACATAGTAGAAAAGAAAGGCGATGTCCACAGTGAGTAAGAAATCTCTTGCGAAACGAGCTTTAGGAGAGCCAAACTAAGTAAACAAAGATTCAAAATAGCTAGCGTAAGCCGGGGTAGACACGATGGCACCGAACTTTCGTCTATTGCAGCCGACGGAGGCTTTGGCCCGATGGGCTCCGAATCCGAAACTGAAAGCACTGATGTCGGTGGGTCACATGCAGGTGAAATGACTATGACAAGTGATGAACAAGACAATGAGGAATCAGAAGAAGGGTTTGGTGACGACTTTGACGATTTCGAGGCGGGAGATGAAGACGAAGATTTTGGGGATTTCGATCAGGGGACTCAGCAGTCTTCTATACCTAGCTCCACAACACCTAGAAAAGATGCACAAGCTCATCAGACACAGTCATTACCACTCCCAAACGTCCCATTTGTGAGTGCTGTCTCAGTAGCAGTGCGCTGGATCAAGCCATTCACTGCCAAATCAGATAGTCATTTTTGCTGACATTTCCGCCCAGTCGTTACTCGACTTTAGCGATATCGATACCTTTGACGACATTAAAGGCGCAATCAAACCATATCTTGACGAGATATTCCCAGCAACAAAAGAGCCTTACCCAGACCCCCCAGCGCCGCTCCCTAGCACGAACTCCATTTTCCTTACGGAACGAAGCCACTCGCTTTGGTCCCAACTGGTCGCACCGCCACCTCTTCAACCACCCAATTGGGTGCGCTCCCGAATACGTCGCCTGTTCCTTGTGTCGTTAGGGGTTCCGGTAGACCTAGATGAGATTCTACCAGCCTCCAAGCAGAAAAAGCTCGTCTTGCCATCGATACATGCCCGCAGTGGCTCATCATCACCGGCACGAGGTCAGCGAACAGGATCCCGAGTACGTCTAAAGCAAGATAATGCGTCGTCCACGTCAATCGACAAGGCAGGCACCTCGGGCAAGAGTAAGCGAAGAAAAGGGCCAATTCCCCCACCCGAGCTAGACTTGCAAGCAGCCAAGATGCTCTGCGCTACTACTGAAGCTGCCTTATCCAATATGACTGATGAGGAGCTCCTTACACACAAGAAAAGGCTCGACGAAGTAACAGCTAAAGCAAGTGAAGTACTGGAGTATTGGCTCAAGCGAAGGGACAGCGCCTTGGGGGATAAGGAAGCATTTGAGGGCGTGATAGAAAACCTAGTGAAACATGCCAGACGAGTTCGTAAATAGTAGTAGAAGGTGTGAATTCTTCATGAGCCATGACCATGGATGGTGAGCGGTGTCAATTTCATTAACCGACGCGCTAAGAAGACGGCCCTGCTAGCGGATCTTTAAGAGCCCCTTTCGGCATTTGCTCCTACAGTGGCGACTGACATCCACCACCTTTTTGTCTTCGGGTTCGGCCAAGTTTGGTAGCGCTGCTGGAATTGAAAGTATTCGAGAAGATGCATGGTGTGAGTCGAGTATAGATTGGTTCGCGTATCGGTGTGCTTGTATTATTATAGGAGTAAGATACGCTTAGATTGAATTTCCCAGCACGGTTGCTGCCGCTGATGCCGGAGGCAAGGCGGCAGAGCGTCATAAATCCCTTCTATCGTAGATGAGACCCAGGGGCTTGAACCCCACTGGATTTCCTACTGCAATCCTCACTCCAACCCATAGGTGCGCAGGAAGGCAAAGTAGGGCGCCTTGATGACCAGTCATCCATCTCTTCTGCTGTCACTTCATACCTGTGCCTTTATAGCAGACGACATCTCACAACCAGCGCCTTGTCAATGCCATCCTCCTCACCGAGCTACTATGAATCCGAGTCCCCGATCTCACCCATCACCCGTTTTCTGAGGTCGTCTACCTTGATTACTCTGCTCTCATAGGCTGAATCGTGAATCCTCATATCAGGCCAGCCATTTAGGTGGAGTCATCGCCACTCACTACCTTGAACATTTAACCACCCCGAAGATTGGCGCTACGACCTCAGATTGAGCGCGCAAAACAACAAGCAAGCTGTGTGGCGACAGAACTCGCTCGGACTTTCATGTACACCAAGTATACATGATGGATAAGGACGGAACAATTACTGCGGTCACTGCCATCGTCCGTGATCTTGGGCGCAAAGTCACCCCTCAATTCAACCCCTCAAATCACAACAAAGCGCCTTCGAAGCCGATACTGAATGGTCCGATATCGCTACCAGGACCCAATAATGCCACTAAGCGAAGCCTTGAAGTGGAATTATCGGCTCTGGTTCAGAGAGTGCAATTTCTTGAAGACAAATCAAACACCATAAATCAAGCTCTACCCGACACGCCTAGCGAGCTTCCACCGAGCTCACCTTTTGGTACAAATGCGTTGCAGAAACCTCAGACCAACGGGCAGCTTCGTTCAATGGAGCGGAAGAATTCGACTTCTGTCAGAGAGGCGAGAGTGACCAACATCCTGGCGGGCAAAACATTCTCGGATGAAGAGATGGAGACCATTCGAGATCATTTAGATAAACAGGCCGAAGAGATCAGAAGCCAGAGTGATACAATCGACGATATCAGTAAGCAACTGCAGAAGCAAGAAGATACTTTGAAGGACACGTTTGTCAAAGTCGAGAATGAGGATTTGAGTCGGCTAGAGCGTGAATTGAAGAAACATGCGCAGGCAAACGAAGCATTTCAGAGAGCGTTAAAAGAGATCGGTATTGTCATCTCGAGCATTGCTGCTGGTGATCTCTCCAAGAAAGTGCGCGTTCACGCAAAAGAAATGGACGATGAGATCGTCACTTTCAAGCGAACTATCAACACTATGATTGATCAGCTAGATGCATTCGGAAATGAAGTGTCGAGAGTAGCCAAGGAGGTAGGTACAGAGGGTAAGCTTGGAGGACAGGCCAATCTCCCGCATGTTCAAGGCATATGGAGGGATGTCACCTACAATGGCAAGTTGAACCAAACGGGTATACAAGGATTCGTACGCTAACACCCCCCAGTGAACATGATGGCTACTAATCTCACCGATCAAGTCCGGGAAATCGCAGATGTGACCACTGCTGTAGCTGAAGGTGATCTAACTAAGCAAATCACTAGACCAGCTCGTGGTGAGATTGCCAAGCTTCAACAGACCATCAATACCATGGTTCAACAGCTTGCGGAGTTTGCCCGTCAGGTCACTGAGGTGGCTTATGACGTCGGTACAATGGGAAAACTCGGTGGACAGGCCAGCATTGCAGGTGTCAAAGGCACCTGGAATGACCTAACGTCCAATGTTAATACTATGGCAAATAGACTGACTACCCAAGTTCGCGATATTGCTACTGTGACGAAGGCCGTGGCACGGGGAGATTTGACGAAGAAAGTGCAGGCTGAATGTGACGGAGAGATCCTTGAACTGAAAAACACTATTAATTCTATGGTAAATCAGCTAAATCAGTTCTCGTCAGAAGTCACGAAAATTGCCCGTGAGGTCGGCACAGACGGTATACTCGGTGGTCAAGCTCAGGTACAACATGTCGAGGGGACCTGGAAGGACTTGACTGAAAATGTCAATGTAATGGCATCTAATCTAACCACTCAAGTGCGCGAGATTGCATCGGTCACTACAGCAGTTGCGAACGGCGATCTAAGTCGCGAGGTGACGGCAGATGTTAAAGGTGAAATCTATGACCTGAAGACAACGATCAATTCCATGGTGAAAAAGCTTAATAACTTCGCTTTCGAAGTCAGTCGTGTCGCCCGTGAAGTCGGAACTGACGGCGAACTTGGAGGCCAGGCAACTGTAGAGGGAGCAGAGGGCAAATGGCAGGAGCTTACTGTCAACGTTAATACCATGGCCATGAACCTTACTCAACAGGTGCGCAATATCTCGGATGTTACTGTGGCTATCGCGCAAGGAGATCTCAGCCAAAAGATCGAGGTGCGAGCTGGGGGCGAAGTAGCACTCTTGAAAGATACTATCAACAACATGGTAGACCAGTTAGATACGTTTGCACGAGAGTTGAAAAAGGTGGCCCGAGATGTGGGCGTCGATGGCAAGATGGGTGGTCAGGCTAACGTCTCAAATGCAAAAGGCCGGTGGCGAGAGATTACCGAGGACGTCAACACCATGGCTGAAAACTTGACTTCTCAAGTACGAGCGTTTGGGGAAATCACGGACGCAGCAACAGATGGAGACTTCTCAAAGCTAATCTCAGTTAATGCCTCAGGCGAGATGGACGAGCTAAAAAGAAAAATCAACCGCATGGTATCCAACCTGCGTGATAGTATACAGAGAAATACTGCGGCTCGCGAGACTGCTGAATTGGCGAACAAGACCAAATCGGAGTTTCTTGCAAATATGAGTCACGAGATCAGAACACCAATGAATGGTATCATCGGCATGACTCAATTGACCTTGGACACCGACTTGACCCAATATCAACGAGAAATGATGAACATTGTTCATAATCTCGCCAATAGTCTGTTGACCATCATCGACGATATTCTGGACATCTCGAAAATTGAAGCCAATAGAATGGTGATGGAATCGATCACTTTCTCGATGCGAGGTAGTGTCTTCAGCGCCCTGAAAACACTAGCAGTCCGTGCGAATGATAAGCGGCTGGACCTCAAATATCAAGTTGACAGTTCATTGCCAGACTATGTCATTGGTGATCCATTCAGACTCCGCCAAATCATTCTCAATCTTGTTGGAAACGCTATCAAGTTTACTGAGAAAGGTCACGTGAAATTGACAATTCGCCCTGCTCGTACAATTGTTGTCGAGGAGGATGAGTATGCGTTCGAGTTTGCCGTGTCAGATACAGGCATCGGCATACAATCAGACAAGAAGAACCTCATCTTTGACACCTTCCAACAGGCCGATGGCTCAACCACACGCAAATTTGGAGGTACAGGGCTGGGTTTGTCAATATCAAGAAAGCTTGTCCAACTCATGGGTGGTGACTTATGGGTCGATTCTGAGCTTGGGGAAGGCAGCACGTTCTCCTTCACATGTATTACGAAGCTTGGGCCACAAGACACTGCTTCTGTCCGGTCCCAGCTTAGCGCATATAAGAGCCATGTCGTGCTCTTCGTTGACAAAGGTCGGACTCAGTACTCAAAGGAGATTACTGCTATGCTCCAGCAGCTAGAGCTTGAACCTATGACTGTCCGCTCAGAAGACCAAGTTCCTCTTCCCGAATCAACGACGCCACCATCGAAATCTGAGCCGTCACTACCTTACGATGTTATTCTTGTGGATGGCGTAGATACAGCCGTCAGCCTTCGCGATCATGATGCTCTACGCTTTGTTCCGATCGTGCTTCTTGAGCCCATAGTTCACGTAAGCATGAAGCAGACACTGGATCTTGGTATAGCATCCTATATGACAACGCCTTGCAAACCGATCGACTTAGCTAATGGCATGATTCCGGCATTGGAAGGTCGCCAAACTACTTCTATTGCTGATGCGTCTAAATCATTCGACATACTGCTGGCTGAAGACAATGAAGTCAACCAGCGTCTAGCCGTCAAAATCCTAGAGAAATATAATCATCGCGTTACTGTTGCAAACAATGGTCAGGAAGCTGTCGATCTTATCCAGAAGAAGCGCTATGACGTGATCCTTATGGACGTACAAATGCCCATACTAGGTGGTTTCGATGCCACCAGGCTCATACGGAAGTTTGAAAGGGACGAAGGTCTTGTCCGGACTCCAATCGTTGCGTTGACTGCTCATGCGATGATGGGAGACCGTGAGAAGTGTATATCAAATGGCATGGACGAGTACTTGACCAAACCTCTCAAACAGACGGCAATGATGCAGACCATTCTGAAATGTGGTATGCTTGGGGGCAAACTCTTGCAGAAAGGGAAGGAGACAAGGATATCCGCTAAGGATGAGGTCGGCGACATAGTCTCTGACGTTCAGGATGATGGAACGGAGGATGCTAAGGCCAACAAAAGACCCGAGCTGGCGAAAAGAGCCATCACCGCTGCTGGTCCCGTTGGTGCCCTAGAGAGCCCTGGACTACTGACGGCGGATATCCACGATCCCCTTATTGCGGAGAGGGTAAGTTGAGAATCTACTTTTTGGAGCCCTTAAGTGGAAACTTGCTAAAATCTCATAGATACTCCTTCGATCACACAGCAGCTAACATAAATACGTCATGATAATTTTTCAGCCTGTTCTTGACGTTAAGGTGCTCCTACAATATATTGAAATGAATCAGCAAGGCGTAAGGATATTCGGTCATAATGCCATTATGTGGTCTCCCGACTGGGGGTTCCGCACAGTCTATGACACTCCCAGTGGGCTAGTCTAGATTTGTGTACGGCGTTTAGGAGCATATCCCGACTCGTGTATTTGTACTGCTATGGACTGAGGTCCCAAGGCACTCTTGTAGTTGAGCTTAGTTTGTTGGCGACTGATTGAAGGTACGTTTAGCAGAATGTTGAATTTGAAGGGCAGATGTACATTCGAAAATCTACGTTGATGACCTTGAATTGGTATGCTATGTACGCGTATTACATTGTGACCACCAAAAAGAGGCGAATCACCCTCAGAGGTTCCACTACAATGTCTGCGACCGGTATCCTCACTTCATGCTGATCCGATCAATGAAGTACTGCTCTGCTGTCCCAAATCATTACTTATTGCTCTGGCCACTCTTGATTTGCTCGTCACTGGATTGATCCCAATAAAATCAGTCATTACATCTTCGTCAGAGCGACCATGTTCTTATCCGTCACCAAAAGCGACTCTCGAAAGTCCGATAAAGGAGAAGAGGCAACATACACGCTCTTATCTAGTTCTTCCAAGTGCTTCTGATGGCCGGCAATCTTTTCCTTCAAAGCCTGTAGCTTCTCCAGCTCGCGTCGTTTGATCTCGTAGTCTTCACTTGCTTGTTCACGTTTGGTGAATGCATCACTACAGAGCCAAATTAGCTCTCCTATGAATGGAAGCAAGGCAAGTACGGTAGGAAATTCGCCATGCTGTGTGATAGAGGGACGAAGATCGACACAATCCAAGTCGTAGATGTAGAGCTTACCCTTGAGCGGCACCTCCGCTTCTTGGAGCGCCTGCATCGCCCTCGGCCATCCTGGCTGCTGAGGTGGTGATGCTGCGAGTTGTATTTCGAAGGGTTGGCTTGAGAGCTTGGATGACTGTAGTACGGATCATATTGCTCAAAGTAGGAATGAAAAAGCTAGACAAGACTCTGAGAATAAGCTACTAGAGCGATGTCACGGGTTCTGGAGCGGGGATGGCGAAGAGTTTCTTTGATTCGAGGTCACAACCGCTGCCACGCTAGAGCCGGCACCTCCAAAGCCCCAACAACGAAAGCTTTTTCACACACAATAAAGTTCCTATACTATAGTTCTCAGCATTTGAAAGTATGGGTCTCCGTATGGACGACCTCCACGCTCCGACAGTGGCCTCAGGCCCAACATCAACCCCCTCCAGCACCTTCGACCCCTCCACAGACAAACGCTCCCTCCTCGAACTCATAGACCTCAAGACAAACATGGAAGAAGAGCTCTCAGCACTCGGGAGCGTACTCGACAGCGTAACCCCTCCCTTCCTCCTTTTCCCCCCCGCCCCTATCTTCTCCCTCCCCATCTCCGCCCAAACCTCCACAACCTTCCCACCTCCATCCACAACCCCCACTAACAGACCCCCCAAGCATGGCGTCAATCTCACCACCTCTCTCCTAGACGCCAACGACTTCCCCCGCTCCGACATTGACGTCGCCCAAATCCGCACCACACGCACACGCATAATCCGTCTTCGGAACGATTACAAAGCCGTCATGTCGCGGATAGAAAAGGGCTTACATGAACGGCACGCTGAATACGCATCTTCTCCCAACCCTACTACTCCTTCAACCACTACAGCATCATCACATCAACAACGGCAGGTACGGCAAGCGCCTGTGCAGCAAAGAGAAGATGGCCTAGTAGAGACGCCTTTCGCGAAAGTTAACTTGGTGGCGTCAGGGGGCCCAGCGGAGCAAGCGGGGTTGAAGGTGGGCGATAGGGTGAGGAGGATTGGGGACGTGAGTTGGTTGAATCATGAGAAGCTGGCGAAGGTGGCGGAGGTTGTGCAGAGGAATCAGGGGAGGGAGGTGGATGTTAGGGTGGTGAGAGAGGGTAGTGGGGAGGAGGTGGAGTTGAAGCTGATACCGAGAAGTGGGTGGGGAGGACGGGGGCTGTTGGGCTGCCATTTGTTGCCTTTGTAAGGTAAAGGGGAGGGAGGGTGTGGAGGATGAGAATGGGGGGAGAATGGTGTAGGGCTCTGCAGTGAAGGGGGGCATGTTCGACTTGCATGAGACAAATGAGCAATAAATTCGTCATGGCATTTGCTTCTATGCTATGCATTTCCCTCGTCTCTGTTTCAAGCTAGCTCATGCATACGTTCCTCCTTGTACTACTCAATCAGTCTTGCCCAGCCTCTCAATGAGCCACCATCGGCCCCTTGCTATCATTCTTTCCTCCCTGTCGCTCGTGTGACTGCCCAAGCATTAGCGTCCCGCATCGCCAATAAACGTTGTCACCAAACAGTACTTACCTCCGTCTCCTGAATGTTACCTCCCTCCAGTATCTTAGTTATGACCTCGTCCTCATTAGTGGTCCCGAACTCGTTCTCCAGCGTAGATTTGCTCGCGGTGTCCAGGACACCTTGGGCTCCGTGCCTATTCACATTCCCAGTCATTAGCTCACAATAATATACCACCTAGCGAGTTCCTGGTAGTAAAGTAGCACATTTACGTTGCTCATATCATCTTAAGCACTCTTTCCATGCATCAACCGTCTCAACCCTGTCTAGGTTCCATCACCTTCCCCCTCTCCACCCTGTCGATTCCTTCGCTTATAACCTTCCCGGCATCATCTGGAATCGCCCCACAAAGTGATTGAAAGGCAGAAGAAGATCAAAGCTTGGGGAGAGCATACTTATGTGTCACAAAGATCTTAAACCCAGACACGACCTGAGCAAGCGGGACAGAGCGATCACCCTTCCACTTCTGCACAGCATCGGCGCCGTCAACCATAACGACAAAGTCGTCCTCCTTGCCGGCATAGTGTACTTTGGATTGGGGGGCGTTACCGCGAGGCATTTTCAGCTGCGATGAGTCTGGAGGTTGGGTGCAGGAGGGGTAATTTGTTGAAGAAATGGGGGAAACCCTTCAGAAATCCGGTGAAAGCGTTAGTGGGAGGTAGATGTTGACTCTGAGTGTCAATCTGTAGAAGTTCTGAAGTGTGAAGTGGTGGTGAGTGGAAGAATGAAGCTCTGTTTATAAGCTGTAGTTCCCAAGAGCTCTCATGTGACATCAGCCAAGACATGTCACAGCTCAGGGCAAGGGGCGGGGCTTGCCCGCTTTTTGTGGGGAAGCACGCGAGCAACCAAGGAGCCGTAAGGTGGATAAGATTCACTGCTCTGATTCTACCTTTGACTGATACTACCTGACGATCTATACTACTGACAAATGCCTTGCCCAGCCAGAATCATGCAAACCAAGTCTTGATCCCGTCCGTTGAAAATACTTTTAGCAAAGTCTTGGGCTTGCGAAGCTTATTGGTCCCGTCGCCGTCCTTGATATCCTCATCTTTGGTGGCGATAGTAGTGTCAGACGTGCCACGGCTCCTGCTACCCCTGCATACTACCTTCTTGATTGAATCTTCGTGGGATGCGTCCTCCTCGAAGACCTTGGGCAAGGAGTCCCACTCTAGATGCGGATGGACTGCATACTGTGATGCGGCAGAGCCTGAGGTGCTTGTATTCTTCTTGACTTTTTCTGACTCCGGTTCGATGAAAGGGTCATCAAGGCTCCTACTGCTAACGCTCCGCTTTGAGGAGGATTGTGTTGTGCTGCTTGCCCTGCTGAGCTTCCTGATCACAGTATGCTTTGAAGCTCGTATGAAGTTGCCTCCTCTGTTGGTTGCCATGCCAGGAAACGGGAGTTGGTCCTTTGTCCAGACCGTCTCGAGCACGTGCTCTAGTCGAGCTCGCTCTGATCTCTCAGGTGCTAGGATTGGAATGCGGCACGCTGACTGTAGAGAATTTGAACGACGGAATGTCACGGGGGACGTTTTAGGTGACTCTTGTCCTTCACGAACTGAATGCGTGTTGTGGATGATTACCTGACTTGCACTGCTGCGCCTGTTGACCGTGGTCGCCCTTTGCATGGACATACTCCAGGATAGACTTCCTGGTCTTCCGACAACGAAGGTTATGTCTCTCATGCGGAGACCTAGGAACGTCGGATCAGACGCTGCCTGGACAGCGGTCCCCGTTCTTGAAGGTTGCAAGAGTTCTGCCTTCCACTGCTGTTCCTCCCGGGCAGAGCAAGCGCATATGATGAATTCGTACAGATGCTGGTTGAACCTAAAGACGAGTTTCCAACAGTACAATGCATTGTGACATTGGAGCCCTAATATCCTGCGTCAATTGCCTGACATTCTGGGGAAAGGATGTATCTACCTCGGCCGTCATCAGGCCGCTCGATCTGAAAGTTCGATGCGTCCAACATTGCGACAACCTTCAGTGTTCTGTGACCTGACTCCGGCGTAGCGAGCAGCAAATGAGATTTGAAAAGAGTGCAAAGCATGTAGCCTCCTTGTGGTCCCTCATTAGATTGCCATGCTAAATACAACAGCCCACAAAGCCTTGCATATCCAAGTGTACGCGGAGTGGATAGTGAGATGTTCTGTGATGCATTAGTTGAGGTATTTCCAAGAATTCTTTACGTGCGTACGGCTGGGAAGCGAAGCATGTCTTGCAAAATCCAAGATCGTTGAATGCGAGCTCGAGCGTCAGAATCATTAGTTGCTCTGTTGATTGCATGTGTGGTCTCACGAAATCGATTGAGTACTGTTTCGATCACCATTTCACAATCTTTGTTGTCGTTTGCTGGGGTGTTTCTAAGAAGTTCCGCCAGAAACAAAGGGTAGCGACACACTCGTTGAACAGGCTGTATTTCGTATGAGTATCCCGCAGACACATAGACGTATTACGCACCTTGATGAGAAGATCTTCCAAAGTCAACCCTTTCTTCTGACGTTCTTCTATATGCTGCTTCGGCAGTAACGAATTCATCAATGCTTCGATCCCCCGTTCGAAGGCCCACCAATTTGGAATGGTCTTGGAGGTTGAGGCGACAAGTTGAAGCATGGTCTCATACCTTGCTCCGTACTCTTCGTATATGAAGAAACGTGGCATCTACGAAGGCATGAGTGCGCTCCACTCTCACTTTTGATAATGAGCATACCATGTTACCAAAGACTCTAGCTATATCAGCCGCCTCCTTCGGCTCTGAAGCTAGTGCTTGAGCCTTGTTTTGGCGAAACCATAATGATTCCTTCGACCGGAGAGACTTGTGAGAATCTCTTTTTCCATTCTTGCCGCTCTTTGAATCATTCTCGCTACTGTTGGACCGACGATGTTTCGATGGCGATTGCGCCGCTTTTGAACAGGGCTCTGACAAGAATAATTTCATATGTATGAGTAGCTCCTCGTGAAGAACAAGAATCTCACTCAAATTTCGCTCAACTTCGGCCTGCACAAAGCGTGGAAACTGAGGCAAGGATCCTAGAATTGTAAGGTAGACCTAAACATCTCAGTATGTATTCAGGCGTTAGACTTCATGGCAGAACTTCCTACATGTGCTAAAACTTTCAGGTCGTTGATGTACCCTTCCTCTGAAGCAAGCATTTCTTCAAGTATTCGGCGGCGCTGGACGGCTCTGTTTAGTGCTGCTTCATCGGCAACTCGTGCTATATCGTTTGTGCTGTCAATGGAGGTTCGGTTTCCTGCGTCGGAAGTTCTGCTGCTTCTGTTGCTTCGCCCAAATAACCAGAATTTGCTTGCCCTGTCAGGTTTCTGTACAGCACCTGCCTGGTCCAATGTCACAGTCTCTGGTTTTGCAAGGGTAATGATGCCTCCCGATGTCCAAGAAGATGCTTTCCGGTGCCACACCGGACGATCACCAATGACAGTCCTATCTCGAGCTGGACTCCCGCTACCATAGTCATCAAGTGACCAGCGTTCCTTTCGTTCGCTTAGCTGTCCTCTGGGCTTAGCTTTCTGCCAGCGTAGACCATCCACCAATTTCTTGAAGTAACCCATCTCGGTCTCAGTGCCACTCGTCGGAAGATCAGACGGTGACGTTGTCTGTGATCGAGGAGCAAGTGGCCTGTCAATCCAGGTGGACTTCCTGCGCTCTTCGTTCTGGCGCACTGCGGATATTTCATTGTCTCTAGACTCTCCGTCTTCGAGAAGGAAACTCTTCAAACTCAAAGCTTCATTTGAACTGTTAAGATCAATTTCCTCAAGAGTTCCATCATTGACGATTAAGCTAGCGTCAAACCCTGTCTCAGGGGTAGCACTCTTGTATCCAAGAATCGAATTGTGTTGAGGTACTGCCAGGCGCAGCTTTGGCCGAGCTGTCTTCTCGCCATTTTGCCCTTGCGCGATGCTTGTATGTGAGGTTTTTCGGCTCGGCGCAACATTCTCATTCACCACCCTGAAAGCAGTAGTGCTCCTCGAGCTATGTGATCCAATTGAGTTTGCAGAGACTTTCCTGTCTGGATTATGTTGCACGGTGCCCGTTGAATTGTTCGAATTTTTGGATGTTTTCGATCGCTGATCGCTTGGCAACCGAGGCCATGCTTGCTGCTGGCTTGGAGTAGGGAGTGATCCAACATGCGAGCTATTCAGCGAGAACACTAACATCTTTTAAACTTAGGAAAGAATTTGATAGGCATGCGTCTGTGTATGCAAAAACGCTGTTTGCCAAAACCAATGCAGCTAAAAGGTTTGGGAGATGCCAATTGTTTCCAAAGGAAACAAGCCACAGTCTAAAGAAAACGGATAGGCAGAACGAAGTAGAGAAGAGCATGAGGACAATAAACAAACTAGCAAAGGCAATGCCACGGCAATCCATACGAATTGGGAAGGCGCGGTCTTGAAAGTGAGTTCGACATGACATCTTCCAAGACAATACCAGGCCTTTACGCGTCAGTAGTAATGAAGATAGAAGATACTTGCAGCTGCTCATGACATGAATCCCAAGACAATGCGAATAGATTTGGTCACCTTCTTCCATTTCTGACACTTTTGCTGCTATCGTCACTGAAGTCCAGAGTCTCAGTATTCAGTCTCGAAGGGACCGTCTACCTCACAAAAGTCTGCTTCACACATACACGAGTCGGCATTGTCGTTATGACTCAGGCAGAATAGTGGGCTGATAGCTAACATAAGGCTGAAGCTGAACACTTTTCTCGTTGTTTTGGTGGTGGTGACCCGAAAGGGTATAGCGCATGATGCCAATGCGCAGAGTTAGGTTGACGACACATCCCCCAGCAGATCTTTCACCCTGAAGACGCACCCACCTTGACCCCTCACATTGATTCACAGAGACTTGGATCAAAACCTGAACCGTGCTTTCACCTACATTCAATACTCCTTGATCCTCTCACCAACACTCACACCGGACCTCGATCTCTGGCTTAATCGCGCGTCCTCAAGGTAAGGGTCAACACGCAAACTCCTTGTACCATTCTGCTTGCGTTGGCATCCCTATAGATATATCAAAAGCTTGTCTAGAACACGTCAACAGCATGCTTAGCAACCTTTGCGAAAGGGGTTTGTTATTGTCAGACCTCCCAGGCGGCCGCAAGATGATTTGCCAGGGGTAGCGCTTGATCAAGGCAAGATCGCGCGCCAGATTCGGTCTGCAACGGCCTGGCGAACTGCTGCAAGCGAATTGTTTTGCATTGCTTGAGCCTCAACCTTTGTTTGAATGAGCATTCTACAGCAGCTCGCCATTCTGTTTGCCATTCGCTAATTAACGGTCTCCATAGAATACCGTCGAAATGGGAGTAGAAAACCATGTCTATCTCGCAAAGCTTGCTGAGCAAGCTGAGCGCTATGAGGGTAAGGCGCTACATCTTACTGCCCTTCCCTGAATGCCACTGACACGTCAATAGAGATGGTAGATTGCATGAAGAATGTTGCGGGCGCAGATCAAGAGTTATCGGTGGAGGAGCGAAATCTACTTTCTGTTGCTTATAAGAACGTCATCGGTGCAAGACGTGCTTCGTGGAGAATCGTCACATCAATCGAGCAAAAAGAAGAGTCGAAGGGCAATGAGGCTCAGGTTGGGTTGATCAAGGAATACCGCCAAAAGATCGAGGCAGAGCTTGCCAAGATCTGTGAAGATATTCTCGAAGTCCTCGATGCCCACCTCATTCCTTCTGCTCAGACAGGCGAATCAAAGGTTTTCTATCACAAGATGTTGGTTTGCTCGACCACCTATAAGAGACAGGTACTGATGAGATAACACAGGAAGGGTGACTATCATCGTTACCTCGCTGAGTTCGCCCTTGGCGACAAGCGCAAGATATCTGCCGACAAGTCTCTGGAAGCCTATAAAGCAGCAACTGAGGTCGCAACCACCGAGCTTGCTCCCACGCATCCCATTCGTCTTGGTCTCGCCCTCAACTTCTCTGTCTTTTACTACGAGATCCTCAACTCACCTGATCAAGCTTGCCACTTGGCTAAGCAGGCATTCGACGATGCTATTGCTGAACTTGATACCCTAAGTGAAGAGAGTTATAAGGATTCCACGCTGATCATGCAGCTCCTGAGGGACAACCTTGTACGTCCTCATTCTGATCTTATTGACTAGCCGTGCGTACTGATTTGTTGCAGACTCTGTGGACTTCCTCCGAAGCCGACCAACAAGGTGGTGCCGAGGGTGGTGCTGCGCCTGCGGCAGCCGATGCAAAGGATGAGAAGCCAGCTGATATTGAGACGAAAGACGCTCCCGCTGCTGAGCCAGAGAAGGCTGCAGCATAAGGCTGCCTCCCACGAACGAACCCCGCGCTACAGCAATGACCGGTTGAATGGACAATTTCACGCTATGTGTGGAACAGCCAAATACGTTCATCGACAAGAAGCTGTGATTGGAGACGACGCGGGAATGCCTGTTACTACCCTCTATGATGTCACGCTATCGCCATGATAGTTCATTACCCTAAGCCAGAAACATTCATCAAACAGAAGATTGCAGATAGATTTTAGCATTTCGGAATGCATACGAAATCTCTACCAAAGACAGATTTGAAATTGTGCTTATTGATCCTTCCAATGTTGAGTGTGCTAGCTATTATGCTAACCTTCCAATGCTTTGACAAGTAAACTTTGCAATGGTCACTACCTTAGGCTTTGTTGGCCGGTACCGATGCCTTTTTTGCATCTGCAAAAATTCGCTTTGAACGAGCTGTTAAAGCCACCAAGCTATGATTCCTAGATGGTAGCACCTTGACGCCCTCCATGAATGCACAAACAGATGCATCAATATCGCTATAACTTCAAGTCCATGCCATGCCATCCGACACGCCTTCCCAAAAAACCCCACCCACACAATCCAACCAGCTCCTGATTCATTTCCTCCCCCCTTCGCCAAATCAGTCTTACTCATACTCTTGGTCAACCCCCCAATATACTCCTGCAACGCATTATTGTTGCGCTCCAATTTCTCATTCCCATTCTTCACCGTCTCGATCTTCTCCACCAGAGCCGCAAGCGAAGATTGGTGCTCGATTGTTGAACTATAACCCCCAGCACGCGAATTAGCCACAGATTCCCACAAGCTACTACACAGATATAGAGAAAGAGAGGGGAGGAGGTGAAGGGGAAAACTCACGTCTGGATCTTACTCCTACTCTCATCACACATGACTTCCAGATTGTCGTTGCTCTGTCGGGGACTCATCGCCCTTGCATCGTCGGGGGAAACTCTCGTGGTTTATGGTCTTCGATCTCGGGGTGGTTGGCGGGGACGATCATGGAGGCGGATTGTTGTCTGTTGGTCATGGAGGGGCGGGAAAGATGTTTTTTGGGGGTGATGGGTGAGGGTTGGTGAAGTGGTAGGTTTGGGGAGTCTGTGGAACTTGAGATTGTGGTCGTTTGCGTTTGGGAGGATGGCGAGGCTGTTGCTATGGCTGCCATCTTTGTGTTCATTCTGTGGTGAGAGGAAGGGTTCTTGTGTGTAGAGTTGCGGTGAAAGAGGAGGGCAATTGTATACGTCTCGTTTAGACAATACGGTGTTTCGTCCGTAGATGGCGTATCTTTTTGCCTAATTGGGTCTTCTGCGCTAGAGCAAATTTCGTTCTCGTCGAGAAGTGAATTTGGTAGTCAGCTGAGTGTCAGAATATGATTTACAGATCTTGCAGAAGTGGTAGCTGATTATGAGTATATCTTTTATAAAGAAGTGGCGAGGACGTATTTCAACATCAGAATAGAAGCACGAGAAATGTAGCTACTCCAGCTGAGGTAACGAAGCACAGGTCTCGTGCTCCTCAGCGGGGCTGGTGAAGTACAGAGCCCAGCAAGTCTTTCGCAGCGCCAATAGGAAAGGATGGCGGTGAGAGGCAACGGGTAGTAGAATTCTCCGCCGTCATGATATTGCCGTATAGCTCTTCATTGCTGTAGCACTCGAGGGTAGGACTGTCATATATGGTCCGCTTGTGTTCTAGCGACAATGATAGACTTCCAATAGATGGAGCATTTGGGGCAACAGATGCACAAATGACGTAGATCAGCACAAAATGATCGACTGGCCGGGGCCGCTAGCAAGGGACCCTTTTTGCCTCCATTTCCACTTCAGTCCACTATATACTTCAGTCCATATACTTCAGTCCATCAGCTATTGCCTTATCCACCCTGTTTGCGAAGGAACATGCCATCGTTCTTATTGAGTGGTGTCATTTCCCCTGGACTCATGCGTCCCCAGCTGTGATAATTTGCTTTTACATTTCGCAAATACTGGAGAATGAATGTACAGTAAAATCCTAAGCGTCCATAGCTGGCTCTTGCTTCGAGGCACCACTTGCTCTACAAGCCAGACAGATGAATCACTGCTACTAGCAGTTACCCTGGCACCCTAGCTTTGTCTCAACCGAGACTGATCAACATGATCCAAAATAAAATCGGCAAGTTTGCCGCCTTGCCGCCTTCTCCTCTTGGCCATTTGAAGTCAAGAACAGTCACCCGAGGGTTGGTTCGACGGAACGCGGCCACGCCAACTTTTTGGCCGGGAATGGGGGAAGGCGACGCCCTAATGTGGTTGCCTATAGGGGGCTCTCCAGGGGCTAACCCCCTAAGGTTAGCACTAGCATTGGAATTAACCCTCGACCGCTTTCTGATTTCGTCGAGTATCATGGAGAAGGATCTCACGAGCTTGTCACGAGCTTAGATTCCAGGTCCATTTCCGACAAGCAACGGATAGGACCTCGGGTGATATTTGTTAGGCTTACCAGACTACTCTGTACTCCCGGTAGGTAGGGTCTTCTCATAGAGAACAATTCGAGGGCCCAAAAGAACTTCCAGGAAGAGGATTCCAGAAGTCGAGAGACATGTGACAGAGATGGCTCACAGCTATGATCTTTTGTTAGGGACTGCTCAACCTTGTGTGGACGATTCGACATGCAGACCGTGACAGAAGGTATAAATTATTCAGATATTTAACGAATACATGAAGTCTATTCGAGCAGAGACTACCGTACTAAACATACTGTGTGGGGTCTCCGCTATCCAGCCATCAATTCAAACGCCCAGAGTCATGGTATCATTCTAGGCACCCGTACACTCCTTTCGCTCAATGCTGTACACGCTTCTATAATATTGGCAAGGACTGATCTTGATCCTCGTCACCCTCCTGAATCTATCCTTTCACGATTCATCACCGCAGATGGGACGAGGTCTCCCCGCTCTTGAGCAGATGCCGAACATTGACGAGTGAGCCGGGGCCACCATCCTCACTAATCATGTCCGTTAGAACAACGGTTTGTTTGTACATGCGTTCGAGGGCTGTAGATGAAGATTTGCCCAGTGAAACTAGACAACACGCGTACTGTTAGCAAATGCTCGTGGTGAGTTTGTTGCAAGCTCAAGCATCGAAGCTCGAGATTCGTATCGAAACACACCTAATATTGCACTGTTCAGGCCCTCGGCGACTTTCACCCTCTCGCTCGGTTCTAGTAATTTTCTCGCCGGACTGGTTCGTGGATCTTTGTAAGCCAGCATGCTAAACAATTCCTTCAGTGTCTCATTGACATGCTCTCGGAATTTCGGATCCTGCTCATCCTTGAACTCATTGTTCAGGTCCTGTCCGTAATTTATCGTTTTGCTAAGCATCTCATCATACCCAACTGGATTTGGACTGCGGGTCGTAAGTACAGGCTCTGAGGTAAGATCCATGTGATCATCGACGCCGTCGGCAGCATCATTGGCGGTCCCGTCTTCCCTCTCGTTCTTGGGCCCGGAGTTGCCGTCTTCGGTTTCTAGGCCATCCATATCCATGTCTTGATCAGCGACATCGGTCCCGTTACGATCGCTGCCGTTGATTTCACTGTTGTCTGTTCTGTTGTAGGTAGTAGGACTGGGAGAGGTGTCCCATAATTCAGCGGATTGGCGCATCATCTCAATATATTTCCGACAGCGGACACGAAAATTGACATCACGGTGGGTGAGGAAAACAGTTGGAAAGTATGTATTGGTAAGACGTATGGTCGTGTCGATGTCACCGTCTAAGACGGCCGCTCGTATCTCTTGAGGGTTTTGTTAGTTCCACTATGTCCTTGTGAGATACCATTGGAACTCACGTTGTCGGTTTGCTGCGTCTCGGTCCTCCTCAACGGCTAGGTATTTGTCTACTGGCGTCTCGGGCGATGCCTGTAGTGCTGCAGCTTCTCTTCGTACTTCTTCAGCGAACGTTTGGGCTGTTTCTACATAGCCGTCGTGTGAAAGATATTGAGCGATTAGAGCTTTAGCTAAGTTGTCTCCATCCAACTTAGGGTGCAAAGGTGAAATGTCTACTGAGTCAATCTCTTCGAGAATCTGTCGCTTTCGTTGCTGTATAATCTCAGTATCTGATTAGTAAGGGAGAAGAGCCTCATACCTCAGTATAAGTATCTATATCAAATACAAAAGGCCTCTGGCCAAAATTCGCTATCAAATGTGCATGCGGTCGTTTCATTCCCACTGAGGGGTATAAGGTCGTCTCTTTAATTCCTCTGAACGCCTCACCTTGGAATTATATCAGCAACCATATGCTCTTCGGCAAGTTTGACCTACCAAGAAGTATGCCATTCTTAGTGAAAAATGCAGTACCGTCTACAAAATTGACTCCACAGCCTATCGTGTCAGTTGAGGAGAAAGTGGGCCCAAAAGGCTTCGGAATCTGTTGGCAACAAAAGGTTTTGCCATCATCACCATGGTACGCCCAGCTATCGGGCTCCCAACCGGGAAGCCTCTCCAGTGAAACTTTGCCACCTGAGAAGCCTACTCCAATAAGCCCATCTTTGCCTTTAGACTCTATGTATACTTCGTAATAGTATATACCAGCTGAGGAAGGCATAGGATGATCTGTTCGAGTAGCAGCAGCCTCATGATCTGAGAGTTTCGAAGGCCCAACAAATCGTACTTGCTGCCCATCGCTTGCAATCTCTATAGAATTGTGCTTGTCGACTTCCTGCCATTTCGAGGGTAGGGGCCCTGGTCCAAGTTCCATAGGTTGCGGTTGGTGCTCTATTATCTCGTAGGACATGCCTCTGTGGGACGCCTGCATCTTTGGGAGGCTCACGCTGCTTGAGCTTTTGGAAAGAGAGCTGTGACCAGATCGCGCTGGCACAGGGTCTTCTTCTTCTGCTTTTTCCATACTGGCGTCATAGATAGCCTCTAGCTCCTCCATGTACTTGGACCCCCGTAAGTAGGTAGGCTTGAAGAAGCCATTGACTCCCGTGCTGCCTGGAAAGATACCCCACGGATTGTACGCTTGCTTCGAGAAATTGGTACTATTGAACGTCGATGTACTTTCCCGTGCTCCTGAACCCCAACTCTCCGGTATCCTTGTACTCCCCTCCAGTTGCGAGTCTGCGTCTGTGGAATGTGGCAGATGAAGATGGTCTGAGTACGACTGGGGGTAGGTTGCTGCGAAAGGCGTCGTTGGCAAATGGACTGAAGGACTTTGTTGACCAATTGCTGCCACGCCTGCAGCGACAGATGCATAAGAGGTTCGCCTAGGTGGACCAGGGTTCGCGTGTGGGGCAGTCGGAGGTCCAGGAGAGCCATGTGATGAGATGTTTGACATTGTGCTGGAGTGAATCAGCAGTATGATCGCACATGCAACTGAAGAGCCTGGGCGGGTTGGTACCGAGTAAGTAGGAAGCTATCGAGCTGTGAAGAACGGGGCAGGGGTTCGTCTCGAGCTTTTAGTTTGCTGTACCTGCAGATTCGGCGACCTCATGCCAACGGGCCGCTTTGCTATGGCACCAGCATCTTAACGATTGGAGTATTCATTAAGTCGCTATGGTTCGTGAGAAAAGCCAACATGAGATGCAGATAAAAATTGCGGCCCCATGGGGATTGTATAGTTGAGTAACTTGATAAGAGCATGCGTGACAAGTCCGCTCCCCGCACGCCAGGTGACACGCTACGTCTTTGATGTCATTGTATTCAAGATTAACCACCACACCTGTGCTACAATACGGGCAGAATTTCTGATATGCACCACGGATAGCGTAGAGCCAGAGTTGTAGGTCAGCAGAATCAATAATTGCATTTTGTAACCTTTGTGGACGAGCACCATCCATTGCCGTTGGCTAGCTAGCTAAATATACATAGTGCCTCTGCGACAATCTACAACGAAATAGTCCAGACTTTCCTTTGCCTCAACAGAATCTTCAGACTCGTAGTGGGTGGGCCCTTGGAATGTCAATCACTAGAGACACTTAAACACATTTCCTCCATACAATCCTTATTAGACCAAATGTTATGGACAAGCCAACCATTTGCTCGCTTTCGCTTTTGATTGAGTCGACGCGAGAACTCCGCGCTATGCCGATAAGTGGTACACATAAATGTTGATCTTGAGTTCGTACTGCTATCTGGGATGTCACCGGTGAGTCTCATGGTTTCACCGGTGCAGGAGCGATGCGAATCGGTGAACTGCCATTCACAAGATTGTCACCGCCTGGACTTTGATCACTGCCGATGTTGCTGCTGCTGTTTGCCTTACTCAGGTCGTTCGAAGAGCTCTCTTGGGATTCGGCAGCTTCTCCAAAGGCCCTTGACTGACCCGTTCGCCAGGTGGGAACCTGCCATGCCCTACCAGTGAATGATTTGACTTTAAAGCCTGTTTTCTGCCACTTCCTGCAGGGCTTGCCAGTCCGATCTAATGCCCGTAGTTTCTCATTGATGACGCCTTGGTTAGATTTGGGCCCAAGCTTGTGCGCGGCGGCATTGTAGCCCATGGCTTTGGCAGCAGCGGTTCGACCGTCCAATCGCCCATTCTCGCCACTGTATATTCAGTCAGCCAGGGAGTCAACGTGAATGATACACTTCAATTGCTTACACTTTCGGTCTTTTTCGCTGGAGTGCCTTTGCCTTTGCCTGGTCATCAATAGTCACGCCTGCATCCAATTCGCGTTTCACTCCCGCCTTGACCGCGTCATCATCCTGCTTGAGTTTCTTGTCGGACGACTGAGCGTCGTCTGTACCTTGCACGGAAGGAGTCGCATTGCTGTCGGACTTGATGGGGCCTAGGGATGGTGAATCGGCTGAGATTGCGAGCCGTGGGGTCGCCTTCGAGCCTGAAGATTCGCTGGATGATTGATCATGTGGGAATCCTGACAGGTGTGCTGGAGATATTTTTAGGGAGACGACTAGGCTTGGCTTGGTTGATTTTCGCGATTTCACTGTAGACGTAGTTGGCGGGGTGGACACCTGTGATAAAGAGCTAGGTCCGCGACCTCGTGCCGTGCCAGGCTGTTTTGCAGTGGCAGGCATGATCTGAACAAAATCAGCAGCAGTCTTCGAGGATTGTTGAATTATGATGTACCTAGACGACTTTCTTCACGTGAAGAAGGAGCGTGTGGGTGGGATGAGGATGATGAGTCTGGTGGTTGTGAGGTTGAGGGTGTTCGGAGGGGATGATGTGGTCTTTGCGACCGTGCAGCAAGGTTCGTGTTAGGATTCTGTTGGGCAGTGGTGGACACCTTTTCCCCTTGTACCGAGGATTCATTAAATTTATGCGATGATTTTGAGTGACATTTTCGGGGAGGATAGGTGAGGTCGTCGGTGAGGGAGGGTGGTAGAGGAAGTGGTGGTGATGGGTGGGATGATGGAAGGAAGGCGTTGGGGGTTCGCCTTGCTGGTCATCCGTTTGATGATCCATGATTAGAGTCTTATCCTCTTTGTGGCCCAGGCAGGACATCCCGAGAACGCGCTGGATTGGCTTGGAACTTTGGCGCAACGCAACCGGCAACATAATAATAATTTGGGAAGGGGAAAAAAGGAGGACATTCCACTTTCGCTCTAGCGTTCTCAGGCCTACTCCTTACCCTCTGTACCTGCCATCCCTGGCGCCTCTAGAGTACGCCCACCACGCGTTCGATTTAGATTCAACGATCGGTGTGTATTATTCCACCTTCACTTTCGGAGTATGATCGAATGCCGCTTCCTTCATAATCAAGGTCTCATTGGCTGGTCTCTGGCGAATCCTCCTGGACGACTCGCCATTCACTCTCTAGTCCTACATCAGCCTTACGTGTATGACCTCCCAGCAAGTTTCAAGTCGCAGTGGTTAGACGCCATTGCTCTGGCTCTATCGCTTCACGAATGCTATCGTCAAGCAGCGTTCTTTCCAGCTCTGTCACAACTGCTGACCATCACCACGTGGACACTCCTGCTCGGTTGAGTCCTATCACGGGCCGCAGCCACAGGTAAACCAGATGCAGCTCAGACTGCGAGTATTGCCACTCAGTTGACAGGTTGGCAGTATTTGCATCCTTGCTTCTTCCATGAGTGACCCCTTTTAATAGATCATGGACTCTCTGTTCTTACAATGTTTCAATCTTATCGTTGCAGTCCCCTTGATGGCAAGAATGAAACAACAACATTCTGCTTTTACATCTTGTGTAATATATATTTGCATTGGGAAATCGCACTGTTCTGTTTTTGCTCATCTACATCACGTTGTACCACCCTCCTCATTCTACGTAAACCATAATGCGCTTTGCTGTCGCCTTTCTATCGGCGCTGGTCGCCTTGGCTGTTCCGTTATGCTCTGCTACACAATCCCCCAGCCTTGTAGGCCACACGCATCATCCGAAGCGCCAGTCTCCCATTCCCTCACAAGTATCGGCGAAGCAACTACAGGTACTCAAGGGGTACATCGATATTTACAAATTCTGGACATCCTCATGGATGCAAGAGCAGTCCGTTGGGGCTGACTCAATCACGCAATTTAAGCAATTCTTCGTCCAATATGAAGGCTTGATCGAAGGCTGGCTGTCACAAGCTACAGGTGGAACAAACACGTCAAATGCGAATGTAGCCTCACCAAGCAGAAGTCAGAATCTAGGCGCAGAGTCATCACCGACAGCCGCTGCTGACGATGCAGGGACGTACTCAATAGCTTCAAAGGAGGTTCTATCGAATTAGTATGCGACCAAAATTACTGCGTCTTTCCGCAAGTTTAAAAAGCCACAGCTGACTATAATAGCGTACCCAGTAGTACGAATAGCAGTTTCAATCCTCAGGCTACAAATAATGTTGCTGTGTACTGGGGTGCCGCCGAGGAAGCCGAAGATGTCGACCTGATGCAGATTTGCCACAATCCATGGATCAACATCGTCAACCTCGCATTCATCACAGCCTACAGAGGGACAAAGGGCTTACCCACAATCAATTTAGGGGCAGCATGCAGCATGAACATTACCCGAAATGGAACGGTTGACCCTGGCATTGATCCTGGCAAGGCAAAGACAGCATGCCGTAAGACTGCCTCAGCCATTCAGACTTGCCAAGCAAACAACAAGAAAGTTATGCTCAGCGTTGGTGGGGAAATTGGCAAAGCGAAGATTGACTTCAACAGCACGAAAGATGCAACTGATGCTGCCGATTACCTCTGGGATCTGTTCGGCGGCGGCACAGGTCTTGGCTTCAATGCGAGACCTTTTGGCAATATCACGGTTGACGGCTTTGATGTAGACACCGAAAACAAGCTGCCACAGCATTACACGGAGTTCGTACAAGCCCTCCGTAGCAAAATGGACGCTCAAAGGATCAAAAAGTATTTCATCTCAGCAGCACCGCAGTGCCCCATACCTGATCAGTCAATCCCTCTTGACGCTATGCACCTAATGGACTTTGTCTGGGTACAATTTTACAACAACCCAGAATGCCTCCTTGGCTCTGGTGCGAACTTCACCGTAAGCTTCCACAAATGGTCTGCCGATCTGTCGAAGAACGGTACCATTAAAGGGCCGCAACTCTATATCGGCGCTCCTGCGTGTCCAGTCCCAAAATGCTCGGGCAGCGGCTACGTTGAGCCAGCGAAGCTGACGACGACGGTACAGGCGGTCAAGCATGCGAAGAACTTTGGGGGTATCATGTTGTGGGAGGGAAGTAGATCAGTGCTGGATGATCAGTACGCAAAGGTCGCGAAGGTCGCTATTGGAGCTTAGTGTTGGGTCTGTCGACAACTGTGTCCGAGGTGCTAAACCGTTTCTTTTTCTTTCTTTCTCACATCGTTGAGCGATGTCTTCACTTTGCTGATTACAATTTTATTTGACAAGACATACCTACCAAGTGCCCAATCTCTTCGCATTGTGCCTTTTACTGGCTGCTACGTAGCACAAGTAGAAGAGAAGTCGCTGTGAAGTTGAGTCAACGCATAGGACGAGCCAATGATGGCGGTGGAGATCCGTGCACTCTGCGCAGGTACATGACGCAAACGGTGTGGTTTCATATGGGCATTCATCTTCTTATGACGAGTTTTTCACTTGGTTTATACACTGCCTCTGGCAAAACCCCAGACTTGTCGGCTAAGGTTGTCCAAGGAGACTATTCACGGTACTTCGAGCTTGGTTCACTTAATCTCACGGCTATCTAGTGCAACGCGACCCTTTTCTGAATTCCTCAAGATCTTGCAGTCGATCAGCTGAGGAGTCTCCTCATACTAATAGGACGTTTTGAACGTCATGAAGGGTTGGGCCACCGGCGCCATTATTGTCGGACAAGTGGAGCGAGAGTGGGTTTGTATACAATATATACTCCACATCCGCCCGTTCACTGTAGGAAGTCAAGAAAAGCTGAAAAGGAACAGAATACAGCCACCGGTGTCCACAGGCGTATGAGAGGAGGAGAAGTGAAAGAGGAACAAATGTCAGTCACACATGCCTCCAAAGCTACCAACGTCGGAGAAGTGGAGGGGCGGGTGATATTATATATTATACTCCACGTTCCCACGTTCAACCTGATTGCTCGATTCGGCAAGATTCCCAAGTCTTAATTACGGTTCCTTCTTATGCTTATGCAAATTGTCCTGGTGTATCTTCCGTACCGGCAACAAGGAGGAGTTTATTTTAAATCTGGCACCTCCAAATTGACTTCGCTGTAGCTAACCAGTGTGAGACGACCTATTGGTGGCACCTCTCCACTGTCCAAACGTTCTTCCTCTTTCAGCATTTCTTGAGCTCTCACATTGAATGGAGGATCGGGGACTATATAACACATTAACACCCACCATCCCTCGTCTTTCCAGGGCAACCACCAATGTCTTTGGCCAGGCCAACGACGCTATTCCCAAAGCCTCCATTTCCGATGTCCAGCGTCGAGTCAGGAGCCTGTTCTTTTCTTTTAGTTCCCGCTTTCGTCACTCTAACCGAGTTCGTCAATTTCCCGATTTCTCCATCGAAACAGGTTGCACATCTGTGGACATGCCAAGATATTGGAGATCGCTACCTCTTTCAGCTTTTCGCATTCTACCATCGTATGCGGGGCACATCAGTAAAGCCACGGAGATCGAGATTGCTCGACAGTGCTGACGTCTAGCCATTCCTGGAAATATGAAGCCTCTCATCGAATGCGGGCTTTTTGATGCCAAAGCTCCCCGGATGCCACCAGATCGTTGCTGTTGATACGCCTCTATCGAAAAGCTTTGGCATGGTACATATTCAGATTTTCTGAGCAAATTCATTGCTTGATAGACAGGCTCTTAAGGGCTTATGGGGGTTGAAATTGTTCTTATTGTACTCAACCCGAGGGTGATAGGGGCCTCTTGTCGTGCTCGACATCAAATGACCTTGCGGACTGATCCGTATATTTTAGAACTGCGTCCCGGGATTCTAGCCACAAAGGCAGGCTACGTCAGCCGTGCACAATAAGTCCGCACTTGTCCTTACACAGAAGCAAAGTCTGGCATCGTATGCGGGTCGTGCTGCAAGTCTAACATCGCGCATTTTCTCATTCGCTGGTGGACGATAGCTAGTTCTTAAGTGGTAAAACTAAGTCTAGCATCAGAAGCCGGAGGTTGAATGTTTCGGCTACGTATTGAGACAAGCCCGTGATTAGGTCATGGGCTATGCCTATCTCGTAATTTTCTCTGTTACTCGTCGGTCTGGGTACATCATGATATTCCATGGCCAGTTATGGCACAAACTACAATGGCGTTTTTGAAGTTATCTCGTTGGTTTGGGCGTGGTAAAGACAGCTCCCCTGATACCTAGACTTGATTGGACTGCACTATAGCTTCCGAATAAGGGGGGTCTATCCTCCATGGGTGTTTTCTCTACCATTGGAAGGGCACTCTATGTGGCTCGTGAAAACAGTCGAGAAGTGAAAATGGCAATTTGCTGGACGCGAAAACCGTACGCTAGGACACGTGTTAATCTCGATCTAGACGTAGTATCAATATATGCTCGTGTGAGCAATTCATATTTCTGACGCATCACCAAGATTCGCTCCACAAGCAATTTTTCATATCAGTCCGGGCACAACAGCTTTCTTTCCCTCACATTTCTTCTCACCGAAACGACTGACGTACCACCGCTTCCCCTGCAATGCCCTCGGCAGCATCGTAGCAATCTCATTTACCAAGAATATCCTCGCAGGCGGACACGCAACTCCGCCCACGATCCACCAGCCCGCCCATTCCACCCACTCGGTGAAGTAGTGCGGGAAGAACACATATTCAAACAGACCGCCCGTGGGAATCTCATACACTTTCTCTCCACTACCTTTCTCCACCACGCCCCGTCTGCGCCGTATTGAACGCAGAATGTCGTCGTGCCATACATTCAGCCCTAGACCCAACGCCCATATCGCTGTTCCCAAATAAACACTCAGGTCGTGCTTTGCCCAGTTTGAGGATGTTGTAGGGCCGTAGGAGCCTAGCCAGCCGCCGATTGCAATGCCATTTGTTATCTGGAAGGAGAGCGCGAAGATGGCCACGCCAATGTGGGCGGGGGACATGCTTGGCTGGAGATAGGGGAAGAGGTAGGAGCGGTAGATGTAGTGAATAGTCTTTTTGTTGCAATGAAAGGTCAGAAGGGGTATACTTTCGACCTCGCAAACAGATGATGTTTTGACGATGGGGCAAAAGGACTAGAAAGGTGAAGAAAAGGCCAGGGGAGGAGAGGAGTGAAAATGTGATCGTACGTATAGCCACGCCATCAGATAGTTCTGCCATGGCAATGGAGTAGGAAGATTATTTTGTGCCGGAAGGGTGAGTATCAAGTACCACATGATAAACATAGCCCATTGTTCGGCAAAGGCCCAGCCGATTTTGGTATTCATGTTCAAGCGAGATGAGGTGGAGGTCTTGCCAGCAGGGTAGACGTCTGAGACCCATTGGTAGGCCGTGAGCTAAATGAGGGTTTGTCAGTACCTACTGGATACTTATCGCCACAGGAGTGTCGCACGATGGGAAAGAGCTGCCAATAGAATATGAGCGTCTCGTAGCCTTCGCGTGTGAGAGACGGCAGTGAGGGAACAGACTCCATTTTTATTCGAGGCTGTTCATGGAATACAGAAAAGAAGAACGACTTAGGTATAATCTGGAGGTTTTCCAAGGACTCCCCCGACTGACGAATGTGTCGCCGACGGAGAGTCAACGCATGATCTCGGTCTTGCTCGGTTTCGACTTCGCCAGCTCTAGCTCGAAACTTCGTTCGGCCACATCTGCCTTTCGATGTGGCAGAAGCCAATGGCATTAAATGCCGAGGTGCCAGCCTCCGCTAGACGCATTCCTCAATCCTGACTAGATTAGCGAGGTTGTGCCTCCAACGATTCGAACATTTTCAGTGGCCTTGCGACGCGAGAGAAGGCAATCTCTAGCAGCGGGGTTGCATACTCCCGACGTGAGGTGGCGTACATAGGCAATTTATATTGGCAAGAAAGGTGGTCAAGTAGTTCTCTGCGGGCATTTACTTTGCTTTAATGGTTGGGTCAATCACCCCATTGACACTTAATTGCCTTGCTTCCCCACATTTTGATCGTACCAATGACTTTCGCGAGAACAAGAGGGGTGAGACGAGTATTGCACATCGTATCTGCTTCCGATGCAAAGTGGTAGTAAGGCTCGACAACTCCACTTCAAGAGCCCTCACCGAGCATGTTGAGCATCCAATTGCTGACTTGATACTGAACTCACACCCTAGGAAATCTGCATGACGTGATGCAAAGCGTTGTACATCTACCAATTTCCTGCAAAGGAGAATGCAGTGCATTCAAATCCGAGTTGATGTACAGCGCTGTCTCCACCATCCTGAATTCTCTTCACACCAACGCGCAGGGTGTCATTGTTGACAGCTGCAGGGATCGACCATTGCTACTGTCATAAGATATACTACCCCTTCCACTAGGCGATTTAAGAGCTTTGACGTGCCTTGCGTGCGAGCGTGGAAGCACGTGAAGTGCTTGATGTTTGTGATTCATAACAAGTCCGTTCAGAGACTAGCGTTAGGGCATTGATGACGCTGTCTCAAGACACTCACAGAAAGCGGTTTCCTTCATGTGCAAGTGTCCTTCAACTTCAAATCGAGTCGTGAAAGCTACCATATCGCCTGAGAGCTACCATCTCCTCCTCTGACAGGCTTTCGGTCTTCAATGAAGCTTGCTTTGAAGCTCGAGACAATGGCACGGAGACGGCGGCTTGGCCCCCCACATTTAATCCGTGATCCGGCCCTTCTGTTGAAATCTTCCTGCCACATCGCTATGTCATGACTCCTTTTGCTTCGTTGTTCAAGAAACGTGTATAATGGTGCTGGTTCCAGTATCCTCTCTCTCATTTAATGGCATCAATACTTCAGCGCTTCCCTTTTCGGCGAAGCAATGAGTCTTCGCCACCGATATTTCTCAAATTCCGCTCGTCAGAGACCTTCATTCTCTCTACAGTATGCATAGCTATATTCACAGACATCTTTCTCTATGCTGTCATCGTACCTGTCATTCCCTTTGCCCTTCGCGCCCGGATTGGCGTGCCTGAGGAAGACGTGCAGCATTGGGTGTCCGTACTGATTTCTGTATATGGTGCAGCGCTTCTTGTTGGAAGCCCAGTATGTGGTTTCCTGGCAGATCGAATGACGAATCGAAAGCTTCCCCTCATTTTGGGTTTGCTTGCGCTTGCAGGAGCGACTCTGCTTTTGTGTTTGGGTAAGACGATTGGTATCTTGCTGGCCGGGCGTGTGCTACAAGGAATTAGTGCGGCAGTGGTTTGGACTGTGGGGCTCGCCCTCCTTGCCGATACAGTCCCCCCTGAGAGTGTTGGGCAAGCTTTGGGTTATGTCGGGATCAGCATGAGCTTGGGTATCTTAGTGGCACCATTGCTTGGTGGAATTGTCTATGCCAACGTCGGTTACTATCCGGTGTATTTTCTGGCTTTTGGGATGATCTTTCTGGACATCATATTGAGATTCATGCTCCTAGAGAAAAAACCGGCAAGAACGTGGCTTCGTGAGCAGACTGCAGCAATAAGAGAGGAACAGCAAGAGGAGAAGCCAGATTCCACTAACCCTGCGGCCACCAATGAAGAATCAATACCTACGATAGAGCCATCTCTATCGAACTCGTCGTCTCAACAGCATGTAAACCCTTTCAAAGCGCTGGGCATTTTACTTTCCTCACGTCGCCTGCTCGCGGCTTTGGTCTGCACCTTGTTCCAGTCCGTTTTATTGACATCTTGGGATGCCACTATTCCAATCTATGTCAACCGAATCTTTGGCTGGTCCTCTCTTGGTGCTGGACTAGTCTTCCTTCCACTCATTCTTCCAACATTCATGGCACCACTGGTTGGTCGTTGGGCAGACAAGAAAGGGCCACGTTGGCCGACCGTGACTGGCTTCCTCTTCGCAGTCCCATTTTTGGTACTGCTTCGCCTCGTCGATCATAACAGCATCCGCCAAAAAGTACTTCTGTGCGCACTATTGGCTTTGACAGGTCTTGCGATCACGAACGCTTTGACACCTTTGGAAGCAGAGATCGTGTATATTGTAAGACATAAGGAGCTTACGCATCCCAGAGCTTTCGGTGGAAGAGGGGCTTATGCCACTGCTTACGGACTCTGGAATATGGCTTTTGCCGGAGGGATGCTCATTGGCCCGCTTTGGGGAGGGTTTATTACTCAAGGCGCCGGGTGGGGGACTATGAGTTGGTCCTTGGCCATTCTCAGTGCAGCTGGTGCAGGCATAGCTTGGCTATTTATTGGTGGTGAGGTTTGGAAGAAAACGCCTCCGGAAAGCGGCCACGAACAAAATGAGCAAAGTATAACAGAACAAGGGGTCTAGGTCTTCGCACCTGACATAGAGACATCTGGGTCTCAATCTGGACCCATGGATGACAACCCCTCATTCCGGTGATGTTTTGTTCCGCCGGCTTCGAAAGGAGATCAAGAGGGTTTGACCGTTCAGTATTGATTGCCAGTGATCACTTTTCCGCTCAATTGTGATCTATTCGTCGAACTTTCAAAGGTGTTGACTTCGAAGAGCCGTGATAACGGTATTTCCTTCGTTACCGGAAACGAAGAGCTCTCATAGCTTCTGCCATCTTTCATCTCAATCCTCATACCATAGTTCCTCAACTTCTGTATCCGATCGAGAATCATCCGAATTCGACCTCGAGGCTTGATGGCTGCCAGAGGTGCAAGCTACAGAGAGAACGAATTGCCTTGGTTTCCATACTTGTTTATCATGCAGAACACTCAGTCTCGAAGCAATTTGAAGTGCATCTAAAATATAAGGATGCGAGGACTGTGAGGGACTGTGCTTCCTGAGCAGGATTCGCGTGTGGTTGCTATTCGCAATAAATTGCTTTCCCCGGAAGCCGATTGGTGTGAGGATCTCGCCCATCATTGAAGGTTTCATTTTGTCTAACTCAAGGTTCAGCCAGACGTACCCGAACTACTGTGAGCTTGATTGCCTGAGTCGTACTTACTGCCTTTGATTGCCGAATGAGGCCATACATTTCCGTTTCTTTTTCCTGCTGTAGATTTTGTCTTTTGTCTCTCAACACTGATGTATTACCATTCACTGACTCTTACTCTTCGTCCATAAATGCTCTTTAGACATGAAGTGCATTTCACTTGTAGTCTTGCCGGCTGTTCCATTGCGATGTTGTGTGCTGTGTGACCATGACTGAAACGGTGGTATGTCTTCCATTGCCTTCTATGCCGGGGAGTATCCAGCGCCAATCCAACCAGAAAGTCGGAATGGAAAGAAGCGGATGTTGAGTTTCAAAACATACATTATTGCTTCCCAGTCATTGTATTCTTGTGACTTTGCATGTCATGCAGCTTTGTATTCTCGTACTAAAGAGGTCTTCGTCACTTCGGAGGACTCCCTTGACGCGTAAGTCTTCCCGTATTATGACCAAACTGTGTTCAAGTTCTTTGCCCAGGTGTCCGACTGACCTTGCCTTGACACAATCTGATGAGATTGTGGACTTCTTCATCAATTCTGATCTAGGAGGTCGCCAACTTGCCAGGCGAGAGGCCAATTTGCGCGAAGAATGTGTCTTCTTCCGTTCTTATGCAGGTAAATACTCCTACAGGTGTTAGAGAGTCCTTCTTTCGAGAAGTTGTCCGATTTTCATAGAGGTGAGGAAGCAAGTCCGTGCTTCAAATAGGCAATGATCTGGCTGTCCATCGAGTAGACAAAGACCCCTGATTCACGTGAAAGATCGTTGTTGATGCTGTTGAGCAGTATACCTCATCTATCGATTGTACAAGTACTCAGCTCTTCAGTCGAGATCAAATCGAGAAGCCATGGTAGTTATTGTTTAGGCTAGACCTGCGAATCTGTGCCGAAGACAGCCAGCCAATAGGATATATATGTTCTTCTGCATGAACCCGAACCTTGTCAGAGTGTCTCCATGCTTTTGCTTGTGACTGCAGTACCTTTAGTTAGGCACAGACTGGAGATCGGCATGCATTACATGTTTGAGGGTCAGGACGTGAGCGGAAGTGATAAGACCCTTGTCTTGAGGCTGAGGGTCACACCGAAAGTCGGGACAGCAGTCATAATCTTCCTTGCTCCTTCCAGGTACTGTTCGAAAGTTGATTCTATGTGGTATATACTGCAGCACAGCTCGACCCCTATCTTCTTGGCGTACCTCTAGATATCCACTAATTCATGCACAAAATCAATTCGTCATCCTTCCGTGCATAATCTGGGCATGAGTAGAAATGCTGAGCTGGATCTATGGCATATCTTGTTACCTACTCAAGTCTTCTGCATAGGACCTCACGGCTTTCTTTCCGGCGAACATGCCCTGAACTCATAGCGTGAAGAAAATGCATGTCTCGGACACGAGGGGAGTGTCCAGTCACCTGGGTTCTCAGATCACTGATGCTTACCAAAACTGAGATACGTCCAAACGTTGTGCCACATTATTTTGGAGGCCAGCACCTCTACAAGTGCTAACGTTCTGGCATATGCACGCGTCTCGTCTGCTGCTCCCTCTTGCGTTTGTGTATTTAGCTACTGGTCTGTGCCTTGCATATGCAAGGAGACAAGACGGAACCGGTAATTCGCACAAGGATAGCCTATTCTGTCTTGGCTGAAGTCACGAGTAGCCTTTCCGAGGATCGTTTAATGAGCAGCATAAAAAGTCGATCAGATCTGATATCGGAAAGAACAACGTAGGGCTAGAATCTTACCATTATCAAACACCTCGAATAAGAAACAAGGGTTGCCTCGGGATTGCCGTTCCGATCCATGACTCGTTGCTGCGTGCCGGCTCTTACATCCATAGCGTCAACCTGCATCTTCAGTGTCTGGTTAGCAATGCTAGATGATAGCGCATTCTATCACATTCCTCTCAACATACCAATAAACTGATCGATCACAATTTAAATTCTAGATAGTACTTTCGCTGATGTGTTAACTATCTGCGTTCTTGATAAATGACCGACATCGAGGATTCTTTCTGTGGATGTCCCGAGCTTTCCGCCTGAGGATGGAAATATTATCCCTTTTAGCATTTAGCTATTTTCGTTTAGATTTTTCTATTTCCCTAACGAAGTAGCTTGAGATAGAATAAGGAAAGGCTTGCGTTGGCGCTATTGCAACTGCACTGGGGAGAACTGAGACATTTGATGATTGTCATAAATTTTGCTTGAGATTGAGTTGAGGCCCTAGCTCTGATTCTGAAAGACGCAATTATCCAATCAACAACGTATTGAATGCAAGCAGTAGAAAGGAAGCCCACTTTTACTCGCCCATGTCCAAGTTCGTCCAAATCCCTTTCGTGAAATGCATTTAGGCCTTCGGCTCTGATGCGTACGAATAACGACTATATGCATAGTCTTGTATTTGTGGTGTCATTGGGTTTCTAACATAGTAGAAGGGAGACATTGCTCCACATGAGTCTTCGCTATAGGGCGTCTCACTGTCTTGACTGTAGTCCGTCAATTCGTCGTAAGCATAGTCTGATCGGTTTGAGCCTATGTCATTCTGGGGGGCAACGATTTGTCCAGATGTCAAAGCTCGTCGCCTGGGCTGCTTTGCTTCACGCTGAGCTTTGCTAATGCGAGTTCTTGTTGCCTTCCTCGCACTGTCCTTCTTGCGTCGGTACCTTGTCGTGGGCTGTATGTCTCCTTCCACGGCGGAGTTATCCAACACCCAGATGTATCCTTTCTTTGTCGAATGCCTGTCAGCAAAAGTATGTGGAACTTTCACAAATGCCTGGTGGATCATTAGCTGAAATTGAGGTGAAGCAATGAGGACCTACCTTGTTCATGGAGAGATTGTGTCTAACGCTATTTTGCCAGCCCTTGTCCATAGGATCCTTTGCTTTGCTTGTGTTTTTTTCTATCCAGTCATAGATATCTTTCAGTACCAAGCGATGGCCAGGCGCGTCCATTAATGCAGCGTGAATGAGTTTAGCATATGGGGTGTCACTGAGGAATGACCCGGTATCAACGTCATCCGTGAAGTCACCCTCTGCATAGTCGTAGCTAATACTCAGTTCTTGGGGTCGCAGATGATTATTGAAGTTGGCGTCATCAACCCTCTGTGATGGCCAGTGACCCCCCAATGCGTATTTTGTCGATGGTATAGGAGGATTTTGCAGAGCTTGATGGTTGAGAGCCAGCTGGGGAGGCTGTAGGTAGGGTTGTATGGGAGGATAAAGGAATGTGTGGGTCCGGTCAACTGGCATGCGCGGATACTCCAAAGGCCGGTAAGTGTTGGCTTGAAAGGCACACTCTGCGTTCGGCGACCGATCCCAGAGACTCAAATTTGAATCCGTCAGATCTTGGACGTGGTCATGACTAGGATAGAGGAGCAAATCGCTGCCTAAAGAAGGCATTCCATCTTCTCTCTTCACGTGCAGAGAATCCATGGTAGGTTCTTCCAAAATGTATCTTGCGTCCAAAGAGATGCGTCTAGGGTATTATTGTTTCGATGGATGTGAATTCTTTGATGCAGCTTGTGAAGATATCTTGCTAATGCATTTAGATTCGGAAGGAAATCGGACTGGTGGGGTTGGGAAGATTATGGAAAGTTGCGAGGAAATCTGAACAGGCATTATAACACTTTCATTGCCACCGTGAAAATTTGTTATATCAAACATCTACCTTCATAGCTCATAAAGCCCCTTTGAGACAGACAAACCTTTCAAAGCTACATGCAGTAGCGCGCATGTAGCCTAAGCAGGGCTCTGCAGAATGAGAAAGATGGCAGCACTAGAGCAGCTAGGTTGGTTGCACGCAACCTTGCGCCCAGCAAATCACATCACGCTGAATATTTTTCCATATCTGATGCACATAGATACGTATGTGCGCTTGCCTCATTTCTTTGAAGGTCTGTGGTAAAATAAAGCAGGCGAGGCGGACCGTGGCATGTTGAGCTCACCTTTTATGCAGAGCACAAGCCACTCCAAATTTGGGCATGCAGATAACCGTTGAAACGTGTGGATCAAGCTCTGCCTTTGGTGAGTAAGAGCGAATGATATTCGAGACCGTTTCTCAAGGCTGCAACAAGCTTCTGGCCGTAATGTTCGCGGATGGAGTTGGCGCAGCTGCCACTTTTAGCGATGAAAGCAGATAATCCAACCTTTCTTATTTCGAGATTACCAGGTGCTCTGACAGCAGCAGGCTCTCCTTGACGACTATCTTGCCTCTTGTTGCAGGATGGTGCGTGGACGACAAGGGCCAGGTGACGAGATATGTGGCGGGCTGAGGCCATCTAGTAGTACAGTCTCAAATGGATTTGTTACTATGCAGTGACCGACATCCTCATGTATTCCGTGAATGCTCACTTACTTGTCAACAGCATCGACCCTTTCACTTGCGATAGTAAACCTTCTTGAATTGGAAATGCAGCTGAAGAATGCCTTTATCGAAGCTACTTCGGAAGCCACGCTCTCGCTTTGCGCTGAAGTCCCACTCTTTGTCAACTATACGAAAACCGATGTCCTCGTATGGTGGACCGCTGAAAAACCTGATCAGACAGGTATCTTCCTCACCGGCCGGTGCAAAAGACTCTCCACGTTTCCGTCCTCCTTCACGCTCAATTCGATACGTTGGCGCCTTAGTTTTGTCGATGAGGTCAGGATAGAAGATGTTGAATTTATAGCCTTGAACTACCTTTGGTGGGGGGTTGTCATGATCATAATGAGTTTGGTTATACTTATTCCATTCGTAACCCATCTGGACACGATTAAAGTAACGCGGCTTCCGTGGTCGATATTTGCCCGCCCATTGCGGTTGAGCTTTGGTCTGGACTTCTTCCTCCCCAGCAAAGATCTCCTCATCCTCCTGTATCCCTCGGGCTACTTCTCGGTCGTATAGAGCATTGGTTGCTGATGAGAAATCCTCTCCCAGGGTAGCTGCAGGCCGGGCGTTTGCATTTGCTACAGCGGTTGAGGACTTAGAAGGTGCAGCTGTCGTTCGTTTGAGAGAAGCAGTGTCTCTGAATGGTACATATCCTAGCTTTGTGATTCGCTGTTTTTCACTGTTGTGTTGATCTAAGAATGCTGCTTCTTCAATCACACCAAGATACTTGTCTTCTTGACGAACTTTTAGCTCAGGCTCTGGGTCTAAGAATACGGCCGACCAATCCGAAGAATGGGTTACAGAGACATTCTCAGTCTTAGTGGTATCATGGCACTCCCTGAGTCTACCCTCATATCCAGGGTCCTGAAGAAGTAAACTCAATTCTTGCTTGAGATTTGAGGCTTCGGTACATTGTTCTCGTCGAAAATTACTCAAACACTTGTCAATTACCGACTTGTAGATTGCTTTGAGCTCTGCCTCTGCTTTGTAGACTTCGACACTAGCCTTCAATTGTTCCCAGTATTCGACATCGATAGGTTCATTTGACTGCAATTTGCTCAAAATCTGTTCTTCAAGGCGGGTAAGCTCTGCTAGGGTTTTCGGCTTTAGGAGACGGTCAATGTCGGCCTGGACAGGGGCAGAGCGTGCTAGTTCGCTACGATTCTTGCAAATCAATCGAAGCGCATTCCAGTATCTGCGATTGTCCCTACTCGTCTCAAGGGCAAGATATGTACTTATATCTTTTTCCAGCTCCGCTAGTTTGGTTGCATCTAATCCATCGAAGACGCTAGATGGGTCTATGGCTTCCACATCTCCATCATCTCCATCATCCTCTAACAGATCTTGAGGGTCGTCCATGGCATTTAATGTCACCGCGAGCAAGTCGATAATTCTAGCGCGGCCTTCTTTGACTCTTATTTTGGCCTTCTTCTTAGATTGCTTCAAGACGAACTCGTCTTCCTTAGCGACCCATTCTCTCATTTGCTCCGCCTCTTGAATTTGGTTGCGACGAGTGAGCTCCTTTGCAAAGTTTTCCTCATTGTTCGCCCGCCTTTGGGGATGTGAGTTACTCCCCTCACGGCTATTCGGTTGAGGGCTACGTTGATGGCGGTCTCTCCGAACATCCTTAGCTGGTCGCTTCCATGGTGGTGTTGAAGAGCGGGGACGTTTTCGATTTTCTGAAAAGGACATATTTGCGAGGGGCGGTGGTGAATCAATACTCACGAATTCCCAGCCGAGTCGAAGTCCTCAAATCAACCATAAAGTGAAGCACAAGCCCTATGCTAGCCTGTGGCGTCATGCCTTATCAAGGTTAGATTGTTTCCCGAAGCCGCTAGGATGCCTTAGTTCTAAGGTGGTACCTTACGGTACGTTACGCCCATAAGATCTTTTGATACGCAAGCTGGACTCCTTGACTGAAGCATGTCATCGAACTTACAGACACACATAGCTTCTTGGATCATCGCATTATGAAAACATGCCGACACATTGGAGGTATGTTGATGGCACCGACGCACCATTGCTAATTCAGCACGACTTTGGTCCGACGAGCTACGCGATATGGCTCACGGATCTTACCTATATATGGACAGAATCTTTGGATAGGAGACGAATCATTCAGAATGCCTTTTCTCTAGACACTAGCATTGACCCTTCTGAAGATCACAGTCAAATGCGATCGTTGCTTTCCTGTGTACAAAAAGCTCTTGACCAAGATGCCGGCACCGATCTTCAAATAGTATTTGAAGATGGAGGAAATTGCATTGCGCTGCGTCTGACGGTTCCTTTGCCTGCGTCTCTACCTGCTTTGCAATGGAATGTGAACCTCCAAAAGTGCCCTCAAGCCGAAGTCACTCGAAAACTTGTTGTACCCTTGCTCGTAGATCGGACACAAGCCATGAGTGAGAGAAGATCACTGATACAGCAAATCAAGGACAAGGACAATATTATCTCAAAATTGGTCAGTCAGATGCAGGCCGATGGCTGTGATCTAAGCAAGGCCTTTCCGGGAGCCTTGACCACGAAGTCAAGTACCAAAGCGAACGTAAGACAATTAGCAAGCAAATCCGTGAAAGGCTTCGCACAATTCGAGGAGAAATCATGGCAAACTCATGTATCTCAAAACAGCGACACAGGCTCGAATTTGCAGGGCCTCGTATCTAATATCTCTCCGTTGAGATCTTTCGGAGGGTTGGAATCATTCAACCGAGCAGGTGAACCTGCTGCAACGAGGGCTGGGGAGCATCCACCCCATATGTTAAATGCACTTCAGAACGCTTCATCGTCTAATGTGACGACAGAAGATAATCGTCTACTTGATGAAGGAGAATTTCAGGTGTGTGTAGATCCCACTTGCGCTCACAAGGGTCCTGTTGATCATTATTCGTCTTAGAGACAAGTGACGCCGCCACCAATATCAAGACAGCTTACTGAGCCTTTGAACTCTTCGAAGCAACCGCAGGATTCGCATCAGGAGAGAACTTTGGACGAAGACTCTACCACAGACGATGAGGATGACGATCTCGCGCCATCTACTAGGGAAGTGCCAACGTCAGCCGTCTCTCCCACAAAGAAGCCCCAGCATCCAGTCCAATCATCCGTGCCCAATTTTGATCAAAGTTCAACTAACGAATCTGGCTCAGCACCTAGCTCACCACTACTGCAAAGATCACTTTCACCACATCCGGAAGCTGCGTTATCAGTTCGCGGTGGATTAGGAGTGGACACGACCTCGCCAAAACCGAAATCAAAGCTGGGGAAGATTGGGGGGAAGAAGAAAGCTGAAACTGCGAACCAATCCCAACCATCTCAGGATGCACTTGCAATGCGCTCCAAGTGCACCGAATCACCTTCAGAGATTCTCGAAAAGCATAGACATGGAGTGGGTAGCGATATCCGTTCATCCCCTCGAAAAGCAGACTCAAGAGGCCGCCAATCTGTACCACCAAGACAGTCTCCAACCCCGCGTGAAAATTCCCAGGAGCGTGCAGACAGGAATCGCGAGCGACTCAAGCGAGAACTAGATACTAAAAGTCATGCAGCGACGAAGAAGAAGCGTAAATTTTGATTGACTTTTGCGACCTTCTAAGATCCCCTATTTTCCCGTACCTCCTGGAAGGGACTGGGAATTGAAAAAACGGATTCTAACAATTGCTTTGCCCAGCTACCTTAACATTCAGACATGTGCGAAATTTGCATGTAATCAGATAGCAGACACCCTGGATAGGAGACGTCAGTACATACTTGATTCAGCAGCAGGATAGGGTGTTCAATGTATTCGATTGCTGAAGCAAAGACTGAGTCTGAGGAACTCTGGGTAAGATGTTCTGCCTTGCTCTGCATATGAGAAGTCCGGAAATGAAGACTGGCAATAATGACTTTAAGCGTCGAAGATGAGGCTGGGTGACGCATGTGAATTTGAGACACACTCACGAAGATCTCGCAATTTACGGTGTTACGGTGTTACGTGTACGGATGAGATGCCTAGATGAATAGAGGAATGATTCAATGTCGAAAGAAGACATAGCAGATGAAACGCTACAACATTCTGTATCTCTCGTACGTCATAATTTTGACCTAAGCATCTCACATCAAAGCCATCCGCCCAAAGGCGCTTCAGACAATCTTACTTCAAATCCGGAAAAGAGCGAACGTAATGAGCTGGACACTCGTATCCACCTGGGTTATTATGCAAGTACAGCTGATGATAATCTTCAGCGTCCCACCCTACATCACAAAAAACATTAGCACATCCCCATCGCCATCGAATTATCAAGCAAGGAAACACTCACACTGCCCCGCCTCCAAAATCTCCGTCGTGACCTTCCCCTTCCACCACTGCTCATCCACCTTCCTTTGCACCTCCTCCGCCTCCTTCTTTTGCGCCTCCCCATGCCAAAATACCGCACTGCGATACTGCGTCCCACTATCCATCCCCTGGCGATTCTTCGTCGTCGGATCATGCATCTTATAAAAGAACTGCAACAGCGTCGCATAGCTCACGACCTCGGGATCAAACACCATCTGCAGCGCCTCGGCATGACCCGTCCGTCCAGAACATACAGCTCGGTACGAAGGGCTGTTGCTGTCGCCGCCGATATAGCCGACTTTGGCGTCCAGGAGGCCTTTGTTGTCGAAGTGTTTGCGGAAGAGGTGCTCGACGCCCCAGAAACAACCGGCTGCTACGGTGCATTTTTGGGCGTTGGGCGGGAAGTCTTTGGGCGCGGCGGCTTGGGAGGGGGGTTGAAGGGACATGCTTGAGGAGGTTGTGAAGGGGCGGAGGAGGCGGGAGAGGAAGCTGGGCATCGTGGATGTCATGATTGATGTGGCGAGGAGGAGGGTCAAGAGAGAGAATGTGGTGAGGAGCGCGGTTCCTTGATGAATATGAATGATTGCGGAGTCTGTAAGAATGATGGCAGTGGTGTGTCGGAGTCTTGCGCAAAGAGGAGGTTGAGGACAAACAAAGAATGGGTACAAATACAATTGATTTCAGAACCGTCGAAGTCCCCGGATGAGATCTTTAGATTGCGTCATTGCGCGGACGGGGATGAGTAAGCCTTGCAGCGAATCAGAGGGCGGCTTCAGCCATGATATGGAATCATTTCATATTGCAGAAAGAACAGCAATTTGGAATACTGAGAGTGCTAGGGTATATTGATTACTCAAACACTCAATTGAGGTCACTAAAGAGACCGAACATTCATAACACGGCCACATAGACTGAATGCTGTTTCCCAATGATGCTTGCAGTAGCCGGTCGAACGCCGCGCTAGATTCAAATGCAAACCCTCGAGGGTTGCCCAAAGCTTCAATGAAGGACGCAATGCAATAGAATGAAGAAGTCTCAGCTCCTCATCGCCACGCACCTTTCCCAGTCGTGACCAGGCTGCCTCTTGAGGGAGGCAGCATAGCGCCACTCAGCCGAACAGCATCTTTCGCTGGACCTGCAGAATCTCTCATTCGGCCCTCACCTGCCATGGTCGTCCTTCGACTACCCGAGTATTTGACCACAGGCGCCGTATGTGGACTGAGTATGTTCGTCTTCCAATCATTTTCCTTGTCGCTCTTCACCATCCTTCGCGCATGAGAAGCAGTAAAGAGGGTATCAGGCGGTGGACTGCCTGAAGCGGATCCTGTGGGAGATCTGCGTCGTTGACGATTTGCACCAACCGAACCTGAAGCAGCCATCGATGCTCGTTTCATAGCGCTCTTGATTTGCATCGCATCTGATTTGTTCGCTCTCCATCGGTCCTCACTTTCCGAGCCGGAGTTGTCAACGTTTGCGCTCGCTGAGATGTCAGCCGCATTCTGTACATGCTGTAGAGAGGAGTGATTTCCAGCTGTCAGGGGTGTGAGTTCTCTAAGCGGTGAAGTGTCCGAATCAGAAGATAATTGTGTCAGTGTTGGCGGTAGAGGAGAGCCGTCTGTTCTCTTCGCTAGAAAACCCGTCTTGAATCGATTATTCTTTGACTTGGGCTCTGATGTAACAACTGGTGGCGCAGGGACAGGAGAATCATCATCCGACATTGTTGCCGACGAATTCGAATCATTTGGCATCGACGCTAGTGAAGGCTCAGATCCAGCTGGCTCTACAGAAGACGTGTCTGGGGTTGAGTCTAACTTTTGAGGAGTCTTTTCAAATTCTGCTAGCGTGCCTTCGTCAGTATCATCACGCCAACGGACACCGCGTTTCGAATTCTTGACTGGAGATTTTTTCTTCGGGGTGAAGGAGATACCCTTCCTCGCTGCCATGGCTTTCCTTCGCCTTGGAGACGCTTTTGAGGGTGATTCGAAGCTAGCGATTTTGGTAACTGCTGGGGGCAGCATTGCTTTCATAGGTGATGGGGCCCCAATCGCATATTGCTTTTTACGCTTTGGGGTTCCTTTTTGACTTGGCGGAAACGCTTCATTCGGCATCAGACTTCCATCTGGCTTAATGACATGCGATATCACAGACGTGCAAGATTTGAGCAATTTGCCCAAAATGCCCTTCGCCGCTTCGACAGCTTCATCCTCACTCATGGCTAAGAGGTCTTGGATAGCCGCCATTGTCTCAAAGTGCGCTTGGAGTAAGACCTGCACAAGGCCGGCTTCACTAGTTTTCTCATCTTCTGCTACTGCAAGTAAGGCTTCTCGTTCTGCCTGTCCCTTGAGCAGTTCAAACTGCTGACCAAGGCAGGATGCATCTATTGCGTCGATCTTTGCATCAACTTCTTTCAGTTGTCGGATCCCATTCTGTAAGGCCGAATCCATCGACCTTTCCCAATTATTCTTTGCTATACGTTGATGATAGTGGTGTCTGCTGTTCTCCAATTCCAAAAGAATTCCTTGAGCTGTCTTCCTCATTGCCGAACAGTTCTGAAGGGCATCTGTCTCCTCGAGGCTGTCGTTGATCTGATCGAAAGCGGCAACCCATCCAGAGATTATTACAATCCTTTTCTCGATTTGCCGCAGTTTCTTCATCTGAGTAGTCTTTTCTGAACGCTCCTTCTCTGAATCGTCGTATGCTTTTCGTATTCTTGCTACAGCTTCTCGTGTAACTACTTCTCGTTTCTCTTGCGATCGAGAGAATTTACTGAAAGATACACCTTCATGGTCTCTAAGCTGCTCCTTCAATTCGTTGATCAGCGCCATCTGCTCATCAATCTTGATCACAAAATCTTTGACATGTCTATTGACGTTGTATACGTTCCGCGTGACCTTTGTCTGGATATTTTTAGCTCGATTTGCATATCGAAGAGTGTTCTGAGTTTCATCGAAATGCACGCTCGATGGGCTGATGCAAACAATCATCACCGTCTTGCAATTTCCACCAAGAGAAAACTTAAGGAGTCGAGTGAGCTTGGAGTTTCGATATGGGATGTGATTTCGTTTTCTTGGATCGCATAGCGCATTTATGCAGCTTCCCAAGGCAAGTAGAGATTTATTAATATTTGCACCCTCCTGTAATCGTTCGCCTCTGTTCTTGGTTGCACTCGCTCTCTCACTCCCTGCTAAGTCGATGATGCTGAGAGTAGCCATAGTATGAGGCTCATTAATGTCGGCGTTCCTATCTTTTTGCGCAATGTTGATTTGCAGTACTGCGTGCGATCTAGAAGAGGTAGCGTTTGCGTCGGTTGGTGACATTGTTCGATATTCGTTACCTCGCACGATTATGTCCATGACTTCTTGTACGTTCTGGGGTCGATGACTTGACAGACCTGCCACTGACACTGCTTGATGAGCGTCTTCTCGAAGCATCAGACCCTGCTTGCTCCCTCCCGGCACCAGCAAGTCTCGAATGGTCTCATTATATATTTCAAGGTACGAAAGCGAGATCTCTGTGACTTTCTCATCAGACCGTTCCCCAATTCTCTCAAATAGCTCTTGCATGGTCAAAAAAATGACACCTGGTGCCTGCACTGTGCCTGTGATTGTGTGCGTCTTCCCACAGCCTGTTGCGCCATAGGCAAAGACGGTGGCATTGTAGCCGTCTAACACGCTATCTAGTAAATTCCTTGTCGTCGCTTCATATACATCTGCCTGTGTCGCATTCTCATCAAAGACTCTATCGAAGCCGAATGTCTGATCTTTTGCTCGTTTGCCGTTACTGGTAAACCTGGCGCTCTTTTGCACTGCATGTTCGTCTGGAGGATCGAAAACTCTGGTCAAAACTATCAGCATTGGTGCTCATATTCCCTCAATGTACCACACACAAGCATTTATCATCCACAACCTTGAGAATTGGCCTTATGCCTTTAGTCTTTAATGATGGTGTTTGAGCGGTAAGCGATCCGTCGCCGAGGAATAGAGGTCCGTCAGGAACTTGCGCAAGCTGCGCTGCCTCTCTGACCTGTCATGAAGTCAGCCTCCTAATTGCAGCAGTAGTGTCCGCTTGCGTACTGTAAATGGTCTAACCCGGATGGCTACGCTGATCGATGATGCCCCATCCGACGCCGCCATGGCTAGCAGCAAAAGGAGCGTATCCTACGACAGAAGAAGAACACCTCAAGTAGATACTATGCGGTTTGGAGTTTGTCGCACGTTTGACGCAGCGGGTTTCGCAAGCGATGGTTTACATAGCGTCATGTTGATTTCGGCGCGCTTGACGCTGCCATTTTGGGGAAAGCGCCGCGTTGCGAGGACAACTGCCGCCGCCGAAATTTCGACCAATAATCCTAGAAAGGCGGAAAGAAGGGCCATATTCTACTTTGTACGATGAGTTTGGAGGATGTTTCAGTCATGCCATGCATTATCTATGCTTCGAGACTAGGCTTGAGGCGAATCGTTCCATCCCTTTCAGCCACGAAGGGTTGAATAATGCATCGAGAATGAATCACAACATTCCACGTTGGCTATGCCTGACCCTTTCAGATATCATACCCTCATTGCTCAGGCCTAGATGCTGCTTCCTCCGAAATACGCGGGGCCACTGTAACGTCTGCGATAGTTGGAGACTCCATTGACTTCCACGCCTGGTTTTTGAGCCATTGTTCGCCAGATTTTCCCGCCTCTGCCTGTACTTTACTTCTCTTCAGGAAGGCTCCCTTTCGAGGAAGTTTGCAAGCAATCTCTGTCCAGGTGCTGTTGTCAACCGAGTATTCGAACCCTAGAAAAACATTAAAAATTAGTCGGGCCTATAGTCTATTTTCTTGACGCTTGGACAGGTATATACTGAGGGTCGGTCAGTCTGAACATGGTGCCAAATTCCAACTGCCTGAGATCTACAGGCAATTGGAGGGATGCAAACCCTGGAACGTGCCTTGTAGGCCATTCTTTGATCAGACTAATCGACGCGCCCAAATTTGAATGAGTCACTCGCGTACGCCTAGGAAGATACTAACCTTCGAGCCAGGCGGACACTTTTGATTTTCGGTCTGCTAAAAAGCCAACCTGCATACGTATTAGCCGCATAAGAAACAGATTGGGATAGCACGAACCAATATGATAGTATCACCGTTGTATTCTGTCCGACTTTCTCGCTGAATGACGAATCTCTTGCCATTGAATGTGCTCGAACTTCCGGTATAGCTGAATGCTTTCAGTGGTTTGAGATCGAAGAACCTGGACGTGGCCTCAAGTGAATAATCCGAAAGAATTGTTGTAATTACATCACTCATTCTTAAAGAACGCATATCTGTATTCTGTGCAACAGATTCAAGGTTGACTGAACGTTGAAAACTAGGCCGGTCCACCCCCCAACCTTCACGAATGAGAAATCCAGGTGTCCTACTTCCGAGTTTGAAGCAGCAACGACACTCTTAGCCTTTTTTGGGAGAGCCAAGTCTTTAGAATGATCAGTATCCGTTGCTCCTGGCTTATTGTCTATTGCACGCTTCCTCTTCTCGACTGACGGGGATTGAGCCAGAGGCGATAACGGCTCGCTATCTGCATGCTGACCAGACTTGTAAGCTTCTATATTTGGCGATTCCTTTGTCGGCGTCGCCGGCAGGCCTGGCTGCACCTCTTTGGGGGAAACTTCTGCCTTTGACAGGAACATCTTGGCCTTCTCCTTCGCTTCATCCGAGGGTTTGAGACATCCTGAACTCACTTGCTGCTCTGCACGTGGTGTTCCTGTTGTTGATTGCACTTGCGCTGGGCGCTTTGCCAGATCAGGTTGCTGCTTCGCTGGACATTTCTGTGTTGGCAGTTGACAGAGGCTTTTACTTTGTCCCTTTATGAAGACTCCAAGGGTATTTGTGCCAGGCCGTTGCTTTGCAAGTGGCGGGTGCGTCGACAATCCTGGGTATCTCGGAGGTGGCATCTCAGGTTGGTGCTCACCCGTGACCTGGGCATTGACAATACTGCGGATAGATTCAGCATCTTCTTTGGCGGCTTGCTCTTTGGATGGATCTGCTGAAGGAAGTGCTGTTAAAGATAGGGGGTCGTGTAGAACTTGAATCTGATTGCTTGGTGCTGCTTTGGAGTATGCCCCATATCGTTGTATGGCGCATTGAGTTGTGACGGCTGAGCTGAGTTTGATGTGTAGTTCTGGGACTTAAACACAACTTGTGCGGTAATTGGGGCACCTGGAGGACCTAGACGCTGCTCAACCGCCTCTTGAACCATCTTGTCGATTTCTGCTTTAACAATCTTGCCTAATGCTCCATTGTTTAGCATCCCAGCAACAGTTGCCTCGTCGGTAATAACGTCTTGATTGGAGGAAGACATAGACTTTTCAACTATCGATAGGATGTGGGATTGGCTCTTTTCGGTCTGAAGTGCGGTATTCACTCCCTCGTTCAACCACTCGTGCATTGTGGCGAGCAGACTGTTGTCTGGACGGTGCTGTGATCCCATCCTCTTGAAGGCTCGATTAGTCCAAGCAGGTAGTAGCCGAGGGTAGAGCTAGCAGTTTGGTGATCTCAAGGTGACTGTTTCAGTCAAGGCAGGCTAAGCAAGACGACGGACGCGTTGGCCAGAAGATATCGAATTGAGGCAGCCTTCTCTTTTTTAAACAGCACAAAAGGAATATATTCAAGATGCAAGAGCGAAACAAGACCTTAATGATATCTTAAGAAGAACAGACTGTATGCATTGGAAAGCTTCTAGCCAACCTTGAGACTGATCATTTCCTTTGGATGCATGAAGAAGTCGTCAAATCAAAATTTAGAGCTAAAAGAGGGTACATGAAAATGGTCAACTGATTTGAAGTGTCGTGATGAGAGTAAAAGATGAGAAGTGTTAGCGTTAAGTGGTAAATTAGACAGAAGAGGCAATTTCAGCTCAGGAGCACGACTCATCGTAGAAGTCCATACGATGAGTCTATTCACTCAGAGACACACTGTCTCTTTCGTTTCAATCGTTATGTTTCTTGTCACCGTTGACTCTGACTTGTAGATTCATCTTCATAGCTAGGCATTATCACATCATAATCCTCACCCAGTTCCATCTCATCCTCCTGCTTGTTTTTGTCTTTGAATCTGAACGCTAGAAGAGCTCCTTCACCTAAGCCAGCTCCAAGCGGATTTTTGTTCAACACACTCCCTTTCTTCACACCACCTTTGCTTTTTACGTCGCCTTCATCGAACTCCGGAATTTCAAGATTTACCCAGCCCTTGTTTAGGTCGTTCTTGTCCATTGGAACACCTAAAATGACATCGTCTGGATCTTCTGGTATGGAGTTCTGGTTTATATTCTTGATGCCGATGGCTTTCATTGTGTTGAGGAGATCCTGTCTGATTGATGTGAACGTTTGCGTCGATTGACATAGTAAGAGTATGGTGGTCTTGTGATGTTTGAACCGAAGGGTGAGATCGGAAGTCTGGTTCTGCTTTTTCGGAGGCTGGAGAAGACATTAGCATTTTGACGCCCGGCTGCTGAAGATGGCATACCATGGTTGTTCCTAATTATGTCGTGAAGTTCGCCCATTGAAGTTTGAGGCGCGTCAAAGTGATTGCGTCGCGTGCCTTATAGAAATAGACAGTACCAAATATGCACGGTTGACGGGCGGTCGGGGATGAAATATACACGGCATTTGACCTGGCGAGATGGTGGGCGCTAGAACCAAGTCCCCTGCCGCAAGATTTGACAAACAAATCTACTTCATCAGACGCATTGCGCATCCGATAGCGGCCAGGAACATACCTCAGCCAATGCAGCAGGTATGATATTGTTACATTCTAGGAGCATGCCACCTGCATGAGACACAATACCTGTTCCTTCATGGATCCTCCACCGGCACAGAAATATGAGAAAGAGAGCGCATCATCTCCACACTCACAGATCGTGAAGGTGTTCGGTGGAGAACGATTGACGTTGCCCTTCCTCTTTCGGCTACCTTTGGGAACATTTGTTGCGTTTGGGGGAGGTGGATCTCTTGGGATTGCCCAAGGAGGCAAAATGGCAGGTATGAGATTTCGAGCGGAGCACGCCCATATCTTTCCTACCACAACTACTGGTTGGTATCTGTACCACAAAAGCAAGAACTACCATGTGATGCTTGGTGGTATCAAAGAGGGGGTAAAAATGGGAGCAAAGATTGGATTCTGGGCCGGAAGCTTCTTAGTCATTGAAGAGGCCGTGGATCGCTTGAGGGGAAGCAGAGACTTCTTCTCTACAACGGTAGCTGGACTGAGTATTGCTGGTGGCTTCAGTGCGTGGTGTAAGTCACACCTGTCCCAATTATGAACCGTCTCTTACAAGATGACAGACCGTTTCCCTGTCCCGACGGCAGCCAGGACGTGCAAAACTGGGCTCTACGGCGGACTTACATATGGATTGGTCCAAGACGCAATAGGCTTGGCTAGAGGGAGAAGGCCTGGCTACCTCAACTTTGTCTTAGGGCATGATCGCGCGGAAATTGAAAGCGAAGCTCCATGAAAAGAACCCGTACTCTAGGTCAGTCGGGCTGATAGAGCAACACGCCTTGAAGGAGCTCAATGCGCTCGACGACTGGAATGAAGAGACTAGCAGACTAGCATAGGCTAGACCAAACAAAGAGAGCGTTTGAGGGGAGCGCATTATCGTGGACTGCTGTCCGCTAATCGCTTGTGAACGACCAGCAGACGCAGCAAGGCATTGGCACGCTGTAGAAGGTTACTGTAAGCCTTACAGGCCTGACCGGGTGCATTGCGTCACGAAGAGTCAATGTTCTAACATGCATATGGCACTGCAATCTGCAAATGAAAAAGCCAGCATCGCACCACTGTCACTAAATAGAACGGGGCTTTCAGCGGAAAAAGATGATCGTGGTAAGAGGACAAAGAGAGGCCGCATGTGATCAGTGACGGCCTGTATAAGTCTTAGAATTGAATGGACTCATCATCTCCTGCTTGGAAACCTGCGCCCCTTAATGCTACAAGTGGCTCCTTATACACGCATTATGCAATGTTTGCACGTGACAACGTGACTAAGGCAAAATGGCTCGGCAAATATTGAATCTCCTTCCGTCTGGTGTCAACATCAGGATTCATTGCGACTTTTGTCTCTACCCAATTGAGCCAAATTGAAGCATGAGTGAGGGCTTCTGAAAGCTGGGAAATATTCTCCGCATCTGGCGCACTCCGCGCCCTGCCAAAATGGCAGCTGCGACCATCACACTTTCCTCGTCGCCGTTCGCTATGGACTTTGTGCCAACTCCCCCAGGTATAACGCGATCTCCTATCTCGTCATCGTCGCCACTTCCTTCTCCTTCACAATTGTTCTCAACCATGCCGTCGCATACTTCAAATGGTAGCAGAATTGCTCCAATTCCTAGGGATGCCGCCACTGGCTTCTCTAATGCTTCGACCGTTTTGCGCGAAGATCGGTCGCTTGCTGAGCCTACTCTTCCTGTGAGCGCTTTCAGATTAGGATTGGCGGAAAGGTACAAAGGGTTTGCCAGTACAACCAATCTCGAAGCCGCTGTTCCCCCTGAACCAGACCAGAAGCAGGGCAGAAAGCTCAAGGAGGTGAGCAAGAATACTAGATCTTCAAACAAGCATGGCCGAAAGACTGAAAGCACAAAAAGCCACCAGGAAGAAAGAAAGTCAAAGTCAGCATCAAAAACGTCCCGTAAGAAGAAGACAGATGGTGACGAGAAGCAAGTCAAGATAAAAGAAGCTAAAATCACGAAGCCGGGTAAAGAGAGATCCAAAAGAGAAGTCAATGATGCCTCTAAGGATGGGAAGCAGAAGAGAGTCAAGAAGTCGTCAACCATGTCTGTTTTATTAGACGATGCTGGAAACAGGTCAATACCTGAGAAGACAGAAGGCATGGCATTAAGTAGAGCTGTCAAGAGACGACGCGACTGGACCCCTACTCGGGACGTGAAGAGGAAATCCATCGTTGTCGAGCACAGCTCGAATGCACGTGAGGACCATTTCCGGAACACAGCTGGTAGCACTGTTTTAGCACAGTCGTTGAAAGATTATGGCTTTACGATGCCAAAGGATTTCAAGCACTTTGATTCGGAGCTTGTCAGACAGACTGAAAACAATCCAGTTGTCAGCAAGAAGAGGATTCAGCTTGTGAATGGCTTGTCCCATCCTCCAGTCATAGCTGAAAAGCCACGAAGGGCCAGGTCTCCAACCAAGAAAGCACAGACAATCACTGAAAAAGCAACTGCTCCTTTCGTAGCCCTACAAGACGAGAAGGAGCCGTCGCTCTTACAACTCTTGGCTCCACCAAAAGTATCAGAAAATGAGGCGCAAGTTTCTACGACGGGACCTAAACGGAGATCGAAATCCACTTCAAATCGATCCAAGGGTAAAGCTCAAGATATTGTACCTGTGCTGCTCTCGCCCAAATCTGCTATGAAGCAGGTAAAGGAACAGGAGCTGATATTTGGGACATCGAGTCAGCTTGCTAGGGATGAGTCGCCGACGTTCTTGAAAGACCTACATCAAGCTATGAAGGAATCTGAGCATATGCCCATCCTGCAGATACCTGAAGCGGCAGAGCAGGAAGATGTAGATCCTCCGACCAACTCACGACAACAGTCAGGGACTTTGGCATCTAAAGTGACGAAGAATTTATGGGCAGCCAGCGCAAGAGATTCTGATAATTCGCTTCTCGAAGTCGAAACTGTAGGTTTTGCGAATCGAGAAAGCCGTTCGATGCAGAGGAGAGTAAATGATCGGCATCAAACAATTCAGATTGCCCCCGAGAATGACAGCTTCCAAGACATTGATGTGATATCAACTTCTCCTCGTTCTAAGCCTGATCCCACGAGTGATATCTCCGAATACACTGAACTTCACAAAAAGGCCAACAATGACATTGATATGAGAGGTACGACGTGGGATGCAAAGGTCCCTTCCACAGAAGGTCACAAGCTGAAGTCAATTTCGGAAAAGAAGAAATCTGATGAGAAATCAACGGCAACAGACGCCATGCCCAATTTTCAGGGTTACACGGAGGGCGAACTAAGGAAGCAGATCTCTTCATATGGCTTCAAGTCACTCAAAAAGCGAGAAGCTATGATCACTCTGTTACGAGATTGTTGGAAAAGCCAAAGGAACATGAAATTGCAAAATCTGCCCAACGGGATTAACCAAGCGCCAAAAGCAATTGTAGAACTCGCTCAAGAGGCGTCTGTTGATACTTTTGATCCTGTCAAAAGAAAAGGTTGGCCTTCGAAGTTCGCTGCCCTGCCTACGACAGCAAATGGAAATCTGTCATCACCGCCGAAAAAGGCCAGAGGCCGGCCAAAGAAGTCTGCTAGCACGACTGCCTCGCCAGCGAAGCCGAAAGGTGGTGTCAGTAAGCGACGAAAAAACAGCCCATCAGTAGAACAAATTCATGCCGAAGATGAAAATGAAGATGAAGAAGATGCTCGTGTAGCGTCTTCAGGCCGCCCACCTTCGCGCCAAAAAGCTGCTCGTAAGGATGCCAAGCGATCTGGTGAGGATGAACAGGAACGTGAACGCCTTTTGGAGACTATCACTAAGGCAGTCAAGACATATCCTCCAACGAATGACCCGACTAAACTCACTTGGTACGAAAAGATCTTGATTTACGATCCTATCATCATCGAGGATCTGAGAATGTGGTTGAATAATGAGGGTCTTGTTAGAGTCGGTGAGGATGATGAGGTCGACGATTTTTTGGTCAAAGCGTGGTGTGAAGGACGAAGTGTGTGCTGCGTGTGGAGGGACACCCATAGGGGTGGCCAACGTGTGAGATATTAAGTCGTCTTGCTTTGCTGTACAGCCTTTGGTTCAGCGCTAGCTTTGGAAGCCTCTATGTTGGCTAGCTCCTGAGATTATCGCAATTCGTCCAGTTCAGAGCATCAATTATCAAGTCGTCTGTCGGACCAAGTAATCATACAGCGCCCCTGAGTGCCATCAATCCCAAGACCTGCATCTCTACTTCCCTCCTTTCCTTCTCAATCTCCCTATACCCTTTCTGCCCCTGCGCTGTACCATCATCGCGAACCCCAGACAAGACCTGTTCACCCTCTAAATTACCATCCTTCCGCCGTCTCCCTTTCCCCTTCCCTTTCCCCTTTCCTTTCCCATCACCACCACTACCGAGTTTGTAGACCCTCCTCACCTTCCCCAAGTCACAACACCTCCTCAAAGCCTCCTCTCCAAATTCTTCCCTCGTCCCCTCAACCACGCTCCCCAGATGATCGCGCACGCTCTCTTCCGTCACCCCCCTACCACCACCACCGTCCTCACCCAACCCCAAAGACGGACAAACAACCTTCACAACCACCAACTCCCTCGTCCCCTCCCCTATCCCGAACTGTCTGAGTGTACTCCCGATATTATTCGTATAGCCCAGACAATACACGATTTCGCTGTAAACGGTTCTGGTGCGCAGGCGATGGTGCTGCAGGTCGTTGATCGCGCGGAATATGGCTGCGGAGAGGTGGAGGGGGGAGAGGAGGGTTGAGGCGTCGATGAAGGCGTAGGAGAGGGGGGTGGAGGAGGAGGGGTTGGGGGAGGGGTTGGGGGAGGTTAGTTGGGAGTGAAGGTGTGGGGCATTGAGGACGGCTGTGTAGAGCGCGATGTGGATGCGGAGGTCGGGGGGGAGGTGGGGGAGGGTGAGGGTGGTGAGGGGCAAAGGCGTGGTCATTACTGGGCGTTAGGATAGTGCATCGAGTCAAGAAGTCGATGGAGTGGGTCTGGTAAGGTAGTTTGATATTGAGATTTCCCAAAACGGTAATGTGGGCAATTGTGGTGCAGGTGGGGTGACGTATGAACCTACACTCACGACTCCCATCTTCCACCACGTTGAAATACAATGCAACTCATCACTAACGATTTCTTGTTGTCATGATATCTATATCTAGACACACCTATTCCATTCCAATCCTATAGGGTTCTCCCAGCAATATCCTCCACCTCACCATCCCCTCCCGCAACCATGCGTCTCATCAAACAATCAATCGACCCCCGCACCACCGCCGGCAGCATAACCCTCTACCCCGAAGACCCCGAAGACATGTGGTTCACCTACAATCTCCTCCGACCCGGCGATCTCCTCCGCGCCAGCGCCCTCCGCCGCGTCACAACCGAATCCACAACCGGCTCCACATCCTCGCAACGCGTCCACATGACCCTCCTGATCCGCGTGACCGCTCTCGACTTTGACATGCAAGCTTCCCAACTCCACGTCAGCGGGCGCATCGCCGAGGAGACTAAACACACAAAGGTGGGACAATTCCACACCCTAGATTTAGAGCTGAACAGGAACTTCACGGTGGAGAAGAAGGAGGGGTGGGATTCTGTGGCTAGGGCGCTGGTGAGTGAGGCGTGCGATCCGGTCAAGTCGGCTGAGGTGTGGGTGGTCGTTATGCAGGAGGGTCTGGCGAATATTGCGCTGCTTACGGGCCAGAGGACGGTGCATAGGCAGAAAGTGGAGGTGGGCGTGCCGAAGAAGCGTGGGGTGGGAAGGCAGGGTGATCATGATAAGGGGTTAGAGCGGTTTTATGCGGTGACGATGGAGACGCTGTTGAGACAGATTGGGGATCTGGGGCCGGAGGGAGGGCAGGTGAAGCCCGTGTTGTTGGCTAGTCCGGGGTTCACGGCGCAGGGGTTCTTGAAGTATGTGATGGAGACGGCGCAGAGGAAGGGGGATAAGGCGTTGCTTGCTAGGAGGGATAGCTTTGTGGTTGCCCATTCGGCGAGTGGGTATATGCATGCGCTGGATGAGGTGTTGAAGAGTCCGGAGGTTTTAGCTAGGTTGAAGGATACGAAGTATGCGAGGGAGACGAAGGTGATGGATGAGTTCAAGACCCTGTTGAGGAAGGATGATGGGAGGGCTTGGTATGGGCCGAGGGAGGTGGAGCAGGCTGTTGAGAAGGGTGCTGTGGGGAGAGGTGGCGGTGTGTTATTGATTATTGATGATTTGTTTAGGGCGCAGGATGTTGCGAAGAGGAAACGGTGGGTCGGGCTTGTGGATAGGGTGAGGGATGATGAAGGGGGTGAGGTGAGGATATTGAGTGGGACGCATGATAGTGGGAAGCAATTGGAGGCATTGGGCGGCATTGCTGCGATACTAACATTTCCACTCGAAGATTTGGATGATGATGCTGAAGATGAAGGTGAGCAGTCGCTGTCTAATGATCAAAGCATACCGCAAATGCCATGACAATGAATTCCTTCTTTTGGATACCGCCTGTAAGTGTTCTACGGTAGGTGTTCCTTGCCACGTCTACGTTGTCTTTAGTCTGTCTTTGCCTTGTAGAAAGTGTGTATGTCCCCCATTCATATTGTGAAAAAAATACATTTATCATATTCATCGTTAATATCCAGTCCTATCAAGAAAACTTCTTGTCCTCATAATTTTACACCCACTTTTCAACTACATTGATAACACAATCCAATCAGTACAGTCTTCGTCCAACCCCTCCGTTCCTCCTCCTATCACTTCCATTACCCAAGCCCTGGTGGGCCCTGCCCAGTCCTACGCCTCGCAAAGTCGTCCATAAATAAATTTACCGCAGTATCCAACTCCCATCCCGAAACCCACATGTAGTAGAGGGACACCGCCCTCGAGATGCTCCCTTTGTAACGCGTGTGGCGAAATCCTTCGCAAAAGTCCCACGCCTTTTCTTCCTCAATTGATGTGAATGGCACCGGCTCGTTCGAGCCGGAATGCACATCGTTATAGCTAGCGGCATGACTCCAACTGTATTGTTGCGCTGTTGTGGAAAGCGCCCTTTCATCGTCGGCTTCGGTGGTGGATGACCAACCCAATGCTTGCGGCGTCGTGTCGGATGGGAAGAAAGGAAAGACGGGGGCGGGGGTGATGCCGTTGCGGAGGAAGTCCTGGGCGGCAGCTCGGGTGCACTGGAAATGCTGGGCGACCAGGGCTAGGTTGATCTCCCTGTCGTTGGCAGTGTAGACAGGTCCTTGGCCCTGGCCTAGTAGGCTGGGTGTGGTGGCGGAGCTTGAAACGGCGGCTTGGACACTCACAGAGTTGATGGTCGATAGTGAGGAGGATCGAGAAGTGCTTTCTCCTCCTGATGGGCCATGGAGAGGGGCTTGAGGTGCCATGACAAGCTTGAACGGTTTGAAGAAGTAAGTATGTTTCTAAAGTTTCTCTTATTGAGATGTTAGTGAATTCAGATGGCAAGACGGGATTGTGAGTTTTCTGAATGAGAAAGAAAGGAAGAGAGGATACACATAGCGAGTCTTTTATAGCACTGCAGCAGACATGCTCCAGGGCGTTGGTGGCTACATTCTATTCAGCAACAAGTTTTTCAATGGCTGATGGCTAAAGTCTTCTCAGCAACAAGGTTTTTCAACGTCTGCCATTCTGCTTAAATGACCATTTGTGGCTTTTATCAGATACCTGTTCCGCCACCCGAAACATTGAAATTACTGACGTTGACATCCCAGCCATTCGAGGCGTTGAATTCATCTGTCCTAGTCGAGCTGGTTAGCTTTCCATAATGGACCTCCTCTGCACACTCCTTTCCTAAGACACATTCGGCGACGCGGTCGCCTGCCTTCTTCCCTTCCATCAAGGCTCCATGGAGGAAGCCATAGTATTCGGCACTTGTATGCTCGCCGGCAAACCACACTCTACCCACATTCGATCTAAGATTTTGATGACTCTCTAGCGTCACATAAGGTGGCCAATTTGAGTAACTCCCATAGCTCCATGGCGTCTCACTCCATCTCTGATAGAAGGAAGCTATCGGTTCAGGGACCGTGGAGGAAGGAAACATAGAGCGGAGTACAGCTATGGCTTGAGATCTTGTTTCCTCGTCGGACTGAGCTTCGATAATGTACGCTTGTGGGGTTGTGACGGTGCAGAAGATGATGCCACTATCAGGAAGGAAGTCCACGTGGTCGAGAGACTGCCAGAGGGGATAGTAGCCGCGGGTGTAGGGGTCAGCATAAAGAAAGAATTGTGTGGAGGTGTTCCAAAAGACGTCTTCGCTGGCGAACTGTAGAAATATTTTGGTGTACGTAGCTATAGCGAAGGTAGAGATGGCATTCTGTTTCCATTCCGGCAATTGGGGGTTGAAGGATATGCCACCTGTTGATGGAAGCCGTTGCAGTACGCCCAGACTGAACGTGCAGATGGCGTAAGACGCTTTGATACAGGTACCATTCTTAGTTTGGATCATGACGCCGGTGTCCTCGTAGGATATGCCTGTGACAATTGTGTTGAATAGTAGACGTGAATCGTGAGGTCTCAGAAAAGTAGCAGCTTCACCTCGAACGATTGTGGAAAAGCCGCGTGAATCAAATACGAAGTTATTGTCGTCAGAATATTGGTAGAAGGTAGCATTCTATACGAGATCAACTCACCATTCACTGTGAGGAGTATATGACGAACATTACTTGCGACAGAGAACAGCTGAGAGCTTTGTTCCTGGCCGGTATCAGTCTTTCTAGTTTACATTTATTTTGATAGGTCATATTACTGGAGGGAAACCATCGTCGAAATCATGCTCCTATTATGGTCCCAAGTCAGTATAATCATGCGAGCAGTCAAATGTCAGCGACATCGTCCAGACAGATCCCCTGGCTGCGTCTCGGACCAACACTTACAAACCACTCGACAGCACTAGCATTAGAATCTAAGGTCGATCTCCAGCCTGCCTCATTCAATGCTGCACGAACACTACGATCTGGCAAATCACGGGTTTGTATGTAGCCAGCATCCTGCTCGGTGATCGTGTACGCATCATCAAAGCTGTCGAGCAGGTCGGTGTAATCAGCAGCACCTGTATCTGTGAAGGTCTTGAGGCTGTCAAAGTCCTGATATCTGCAAGTGGTCAGAGACTTTATCTGCGGACGTAGATAGACTGAACCTACGTATTTGTTAGATTATACTTCTTCGCCTATCCTCTTTGTTAGTAGCTCATCTAAGTCAAGGGCATTGGGAGACCTGCGAGTGTCCAGATTGGGTTTTCGGGCCCGGGTGGAGTGACGGTGCCTTGGACCTGTCAAGCAGAGGGTTAAGCCATGGCTACGTCTCTCGGAAAGTAGGTTATCCAACCCAGTTTGCCCCAAGTTCAATGATGTATGGTGACCCATCGGCTTTCCGTCCAAATGAACTTTCAAGGGCCCTTCCCCCAATCCGATTTGTATATTCTACAATCAGGAATTCGGTAATCGATGAATTAGATAGTGCTTGCTATAAAGGCTTTAGTAACGAATGGAGCGTCACGAACGGGTTCCTGTGCCTACAGCGGCAGTGATGCCAGCAATGCCTGCTCCGCTGACAACGTGAGTCAGTGATTGGATCTTCTCGATGGAATGTTGACACTTACAGTATCACGACTTCTGTTTCTGTCGTAGAGCGACAAGTCTGGTTGTAGCCGTTGCTGACCGGTAGTGCATTTGCGGCGATGCTAAGGAGTAAGCAAGTCAGGATCTTTCGGACGGCCATTGATCCTGGAATGCACGGGGCGGACACCATTGATGAACAGACATTTGCAAAGTTATCGTTCAGCTTGCACAAAGATTTGCTCTCGGGTAGATGGATCTTGCTTTCAGATAACTCGTATCGGACTTGCTCGGCGGATCAGTCCGTCATCAGGGGAATGTCGGCGGAATATCATATTGACTGATATTGTGATTCAAAGGGGACTCCGTGCGATAACAACAAGCAATGTCATTGTACTTTCGGGGCTCCTGCAGAACGCGCAGAGCTAAGTTAATGACCATGCGTCAGGCACTCAATGTCGCATGGCTAGTTCCCGAGCTTGCAGATTCATCAGATGGGGCAGGACTTGGAGAGTCCTCGGGGACAGACTCATTTATCGATGGCAGCTGCAAACACCGTACATAGATGTTTGGATGGTCATTAATTGAAGAGGTCAGTATCTTTGGATCTTGTTTGAGGCTCTGGTGCGTCCGAAGCGTGAAGACAAAAATCAACTTCGTCATCTCATCATTGCGCATTGAGTGGTTTACTGAGTGTTGTGACATTGTCGCGCCTGCCAGTGTCTCTCAGACGTCCAAGGTAGTCGACGGCGACGATAAGCAGATAGGTCGTCAGCCGAGCACTTGATGGCTCAGAGTAGGTAGTCTCAGAGATTCAAAGAATTACCACTTTTGTGCATTTCGACACAGAGAGCAGACCTAAGAGCCTAGCCACTGACACTTGCCTTACGGCGAGGTGCATGGCGAGGAAACCTCTCAGAAAATCACATGAAAGGAAACGCCAATTTAGGGGGACCATCCCAACTTTAAGTGTGCGGAGATTTGCTATTCTAGTGGTGGGGGACTTCAGACATATTCGAGATGTAAATAGAAACACGGAAGTCAACATTAGGAAATTTGGACGACATGCCATTGTCCACCTACACGGCTACCTCTCTGGATTCGCAAAATTCTATCACAGCATTGAAGTGATGGAAATGTGTCTAGTCAATCTCATGTCAATACTCGAAGCCCCTGAGAGATCATTGGGGATGCGCATTGAGATTGGGGGTCTTTTGTCAGCTGAATAGTGGTGAAGGATTATGATCGCAAAGCAATGGATAAGCGCAGTGAGAATTGAACTTCCCTACTCCGAAATGATGAAAATCTGAAGCGGAGAGATAAGCTGATGACTATAGTTGAATGTCTTCGAGTACTGCTCCAGTGTAGACTAATCATGAGGATAATCAAATCACCCAGTCGGGAAGTTACACAGATTTGCTCGCTCCTTCGCGCTGCTTAGTGGAATGATGATGGTCAGAAGCTATGAATAGCAGCGACATTGATGATTTATTATGAGAAACCTGAGGTATCTATCTCAGGCGACCGCGATCTCGTGAGGCTCCACGTAAGGCGTTCACAATATGCGAGATGTAGCGAGCTTACCACTGGCTTAGGTATCGGCTATCTTCCATCTCCGCGTCTGGGAAGCCTTACACCATGCTCCACTTAGGTGCGATGGCAAGGACGACAAATCACAAATGGCCTGATTCGGATGTTAGGAAGTCTATCGATGATGCAGCTTTTGTGCAAATTCGGACAATTAATGGGGTCGCGCAAAAGGTCGTTTTGGGATGTTTAGGAGGCTAAAACAATTTCGAGATTTGCAACCAATGGGTTGGTGCTAAGCCTCTTCCGGCAAATTAGGAGGATTTCCAGGGGTAAAATCCTCCGAAGCGTTAATACTCCCGAGCGATGTGGCTGTGAGACCCTGCAATTTCGAATTCCCATCATCCGTGCTCTATCCTTCTTGCTATATGCTTACTTTCTTCCTGAACGATCATAAAACTCCCGCGCCCATGGTTCAGTACCTAGCTGACTTCTTCCTCATGATGCTGCACGGCTTGATCGCTGAGGCTGTGCCCTTCAGTAGTGACTCGTACCTTCCCTCTCTCTGGCTGGCTCGTCTCCCCGCGTCCGGGTCGCGTTGCGCAATACTCGGTCGCTTGACATCACCCTTTTCTCCTTCGTGTGTCTAAGTGACCTCGATCTAAGGCCGAAGGTTCGTACCACGGGGTCGAGTCTGTCGTTTCTTTCTGCTACTCGCTGCGTCGGCCTCCGCCATGTCTGTCTCTTCCATAGCTCGCGTGTTTCACCTCTTTGCGGTCCATTCCTTTTCTCCTTCGCTGCGCATCCTAGACCACTGGTAACACCAGCGGCGGTAGAAGGATTCGAGGATGCGATGGAGCGCTTAGGTACCACTGACGGCGCCCCGTAAGTTCCCTAAAGCTTGCTTACAGCAGCACACCGTATTCTGATAAGAAGGTTCATGGAGCAAAGCTTGCACTCGTGACCCTTCCCGATCGATCTCATGTCTTGCCTTGTGGGCCGTCCGTGTGATGTATTCCGAATCATCCAACCCCACCTTCTTTCGCCAATCGCCAAGTCGCCAGTTCCGGAATGCCATCCAGGCCTGCTGTGACTAAGTGGTCTGCCTGAAAGAGTAAAACACACGACTCTCGGTGCTCTCACTAGGTCTTCGCTGTCTTGGATCCCGAGCTTGCCTCTTGACTAAGATAATCACTGCTCCACCGGTAAGATGCTTATGGCGCTTAGGCCTTCCGTCAGGATGGCGGTGTGGCGGAGCACACAGGGTACCTGCATTCTGTGCCAGATGGCCTTGATATTGGGGGCCTGTTCCGGTGCAGTAATACGTGGCAAGTAAGACTGAGGGGCGTTGAGTAACTGGAACCAGCAGTCGCGGCTCTGTCTGCCGATGTCATTGTACCTGTTCGTGACCAAGTTCAAACGGTTTTTGTCACCGTGTTCCTGAAGCGATTGGTCTGGGTGTGGGTCTCGAGAAAGACTTGCGGAAGAAGAACGGGCACGTTAGGCGTCTATGTTTTTGATGTCTTTGCATTTCGGTACTCTAAACGTTGACAAAGCGCCTCCCATGCGCAAAATCAAAAAAGTAACGCTATGTGGTATCATGCATACATGTACACAGAAAAAATCCCTCAGAGGGCAGTTCACGTCGCTGTTCTATGTGCAGTCATCGTCCCGTCTGCCAAGCCCTGATAGCAAAGTATGTCCAATTTCAAGCAAGTAAATTCGTAAATAATATGCACATTCATCGAATCAAGTCTTCACCTGTGATGTTCGTATAATCTCATAGTGTTGCCCTTGGGCTCAGGTGTCCGATCGAGTGTGTGGATCCTACGGGGCTGGCTGTAACTGTAGTTTCCCACGGATCTCTGAGGTAGTTGGAGTGTGCGCCGTAAGGTGCCCTGCCAGGATGCATTTCTTCCCACTTCCGAGCACAGTATTTCGCTGGCCATCGCTCCGAAGCACCGAAATCCAGCATCTGAATGATAGTCAGCCACATTGAGTCTCAAAATGGTTTCATAATCCCGCTTCGCCTCAGTTGCCGTTTCTAGGCTAGACCTGAAGAAGGCGCGGCGGTTTGAGGATGGATAAACAGATCGCTAGGGAAACTCGTACCTTTGCTGCAATGATGTCAAATTGGAATTTCTCCCAGTAGTCGTAGGCTTGCTCCAGAGCTTGAACCTAGTAATTCACATTAGTTCCCAACACGAGCACCGAGAAACTGAACATGCTCACATCTGTATCTGTCCATGTCCTCATGCGTTCCCTTAACCTTTTGAATCGCATTTGCAGTGCTGGGACCTGATACGACTTCCCCAAATCTGTTTGGAACCGCACAGCAATGTCTTTCCAAGGCAGGTTTTCCTCCTCCTTCAACCTCAGGAGGAGTTGTTCTTCCTCATTCAGTTCAACGGGACCCTGCGATGCTCCAGAAAGAGCTCGCTTTCGCTTTCTTGGCCCATAGTCTGAGATTTCCTCATCCTCACGAGCCCTTTTCAGTGCGTTCATGGTGCTAAGACCGATTGGATCCGGAGCGATAGGGATTGGACGTGAACGATTGGGTGATTGTGATGGATTTGAAGTGGCGTAATCTGATGTAGGATAATAAGGACTGGTGAGCTTGTTGTGGGGAATTCCATGGGACTGAGGGGAAAGGGTGAAAATTGGAGGTGGGAATTCCTCGTTCTTCATTCTGAAAGGATTTTCTGTGAATAGAAGGTCTTCCACATTGGGGCCAAATGTGGATGGGCTGCTTTTCGGGCGTGAAAGGTGTAAATGACTATTTGTCATGGGGTTGACCTGAAGTGGGGGTGGTCGTCTGTGAGGAGCTGAATACGCTTGAGAAAAGTCCGCCATGCTTGCTGGCATGGTATCCTGAGGTGAAGGTATGAAGTGATGTTGCGGCTTCGAATCATAAGGTGAGCGTACGAGAGGGGAATGAGTGTTCCAGTCTGCGTCTGAGAACTGATGAGGATTCATCATTTGGTTCGGGTACATAATATCTACCCCCGAGCCAGAATAGTCGGAAGGCATAGACACGGTGCTGCAGACAAGCGTCATACGTGATAGCGTGACAGAGAAAGTGGATGGTTGTCAGTCTTTGAACAAGAATGAATGTGGACGGTGGTGAGAAAGAGTGTTGAGTGTATTCGAGTGTGTCCGAATGGGGCAATGGTATGTATATCAAGGCGTCGGGCCACAGTCACGTACTACGCAAGGATTGAATGCAGGTCTGGAACATGGGAAGAAGGAAGGGTTACTTGTAACTTTGTAAGAGAGCAGAACAGATGAGGCTGTGTGGGTCAGAGAGTTTAATGAGCGTCAGAGGCATCAATTTTCCTTTATGGACTGTGCCGGATGCTGCGGTCGCCCAAATCGACATCATCCTGGGCGCGAGAATTTTGGCATTGGGCTTCTGACTTGACTCTGACTATGAACTAGCGTCACACTTGGTCTCTTGCTACTGTTGCTAGTCCTTCCGCCGCGTCGTAGACTTTTCTGGTAGGCTTAGCACCCGTACGCGTTTCAGGACCTTCGAGGCAATTATTAGCGTAAATAGCGTTGAGTCTACTCGAGGGTCTGGTTCCACCAATGCGGCCTGCGTTACTGGCGCCGGGATCGACTATGGGCTCCTAGCGAGGCGAGAACACTGGTCGTCTATTTTCCAGTGCTCGATATGGCAAGCTTGCGAGATGCTGCTGCTAGTCAGCGTGCATAAATGGAGAATGGAGGTTAATTGTGGAAACTAGGTGAGATTTTGGTCCCGGCCCCAAGCGCCGAACCACCAAAAGCTGTGGCTGTCCTGCAGGAAATAGAAGCCTTAAGAAAAGAAACACCATTCGGACAGACTCACGTACTGTTACCAGTCACTCTTGACGCCGTGTAAGATAGTTATCCTGTTATTTTCGGTGCAGGATTCGTGTGTGTGCCTGGTGGCAGGCAGGCAGGCAGGCAGGCAGTCCATGGGAGTGAGAGCGAGCGAGGTGGGCACTTGCTGCCCCAGCACTCCAGGAGATGGCAGGCTGCGCGGAAAGTACCCCAAATGCGTGATCAACTCGGTGATCCTTCTCCATGGGTGTCATATTGCGAGAGGTATAAGTATGAATGAAAAGCCGGAAGGGATGCGTGATCAACGGGCCTCTCATACCAAACACTCCTGAGACGCTGTGGCAGAAATGTTTATGCCAGGGAGTGATCCTAAGGAAGATTACGGCCTCGCAGGTTTCATTGCATTCGATCTCACTGCCAAATGGTACTCCGAAAGCCCCGATTCTCCCTCTCCCTCGTAAGTACCCGAGGCCGTTGCAGAATAAGATGCAGGAATGAGCATGCATGAACACGTGGATCCGGTGCAAGGACCAAGCTGCGACCTTCTGGACACTCCACTTCTGATTCCCGGTTTCCTGGTCAGGATCTGAGGCTCTTGCAGTAGCAGTGTGACGCTGACGGGCAGAGTTGCTTTGCCGCAGACCCCAGAGTCATGACTGCCTCCTAGGAGCCTCCAATCCGTAAGATAGGCCTGTAGTAAGCTTCATACATGAGCTTGCATGTTCAAAGTAGCCGATGAAGTGACCACGGAGTCCACAGTGTGCATCATGTGATTGTCTATATACCGTTCGTTCGCATTTCGCCTATGCATTATGCATCATCTCTAAATGTAAGACTTACACGTGACCAGAAAATAAAGGATCCAATCAACAGCCTTGCTGACTGGCCTAAGCTGAGTCTGGGCTTGCAAAGGCTATTAATATGACTCAATGTAGCTAGTGTAAAAGCCCAGTATTTTGCTCTATATCTCACGTCACTTCATGACTTTGGCTCATGATCAACGACTTTACATCAAGACTGCCCTGAATCTATCCAGGGGTTTCATTAATGTTTGACAGAATTTTCACGTTGCACATCATCTTCAGACTTTGCACCGGGTTACGCAACCCCCGTCCACTTAGACTGCCACGCTGCCCGACGATCAGACCAGCGGTCTACGCCGCACGGCCACAGATGATGGACAAAAAGTAATGCCCAGCTGGTCCTTTTAGCCCCCTTCAAAAATGCCTAGCCACAAACAAGAGACAAGGTCACTCCCTGTCCGCTGCACCTGAGTTGAGAAAGACAGTTTCTTAAAAGGTTTTTTCCGTATGCTATCGCAGGTCCCCTGAGGGTCTGCCTAAACTTTGAATATCAGTTCACGTAAGGCAGCCGGTCTACCGAGCCCAACTCTGGCCAAATGGCGTCTATCAAGTGTTTCACGTTGGGCGCTTGAGGAGGCTATGTCATGGCTTTCGATTTGGTCCCGATCGTATGGACGTAGGAAACTGAATTTTTCTAGGTTGCCCTTCAAGTGCGCCTGGCGTTTGACCTTGATCTGTCATCCAGCGATGACATTCCAAAAACTCACTAGGAGGACCGTTTGTTGACCAAAGCTTTCAGAGTAGCTTTCGGATTTGATTTAGCAAGGTCAAGTTGCGGCGCCATCATCGTATAGGGCCTTCCGCAATTTGCTCATGTTCAAGCATTGACCTCAGTTGTCGACCAAGGTCCACCATTACTCAAAGGCGTGACAGTAAGTGGTGGAGAAAAGCGTGCAAAGAGCGTCAAGTGATCAGCACCCATTGCTATTGCCCATATTGTAACGCAAGGTGGACAAGAGGTCTGCTTGACCCTAGACTAGCATGACAAGATCCAAGTGGGTGTTGGAAGGGGGCGCTAAGATTGCTGTTGACTGAGGGGTAGAGTTGGTGGCATCAAACTGTAGTGTTCTCGATTGGGCAGACTCAGCTTCTCTTGCCAGACTTATCATTTGACAGCCATCACTAGACAGAAATGTGATCCAACAATCAACGAATCTATGAGGGATTTTCCTCTCATAAGCAGGACGTAGATGACCCATGTTTCGTAGTCCGTAAAGTATTGAGAAATGCCTTGCATTAGCAAAGAAATCACGCAGACCGCCGGCTCTGCCCTACAAAGACCAACATGTGACTGGAAAATATTGCATGCGAGATTAGGAAATATGTGATTTTGATGAGCAACTCAATTCGTGTCATGTCAAAGACCTCGAGTGATCTTGCGAAATATCCTATGTTGAAGCCGAGTCGGCCGGCAAGCAATTAAAATTGATGTTTCACTGGCCTCTGACAAGCCCGGTGGTCTGCTGCTGATATTGTGGACGATCATCATCACTTTCATCGTCCATGAATTCCTCAAGATCATCGTCTTGAGCTCTCGAAGTTTTCGTCGTTGATTGTGGAGTCCCATTTCGAACAGTGTCGTCGTCTGCAGAAACAGATATACCTCGCTTCCCCCATTTCCCCCGTTGGTTTTTGGGGCAGCGCCACGGTTCGCTGCACTATTGACCTGCCCACTTTCCTCATCGAGTTCATTATCATTTCGACCTAACATTTTGCCTACTAAGAAACCGCGGCTTAGATCATCAGCATCTACTACACCACCATTCCGTAGCTTGACCCTTTGCCTTGTCCAATACACCCACGCAAAATCGGCATAGAATGCAGTCTGCACGATGCCGAAAATGACCGCCCTCCAGTCTGGATTTGGCTCCTTCTTGTCAGCGTATCGAAGGATCCAGTTCAAGATATACAATGCCCGATACGATCCGAGGAAAATGATATACCCAGAATCGATGACGGTCGGTACGGTAGTCTGTCGCAAAAGCAAGAGCTGAGGGGCTACGCATACAGACTCAAGAACAATAGAGAATGTCCACAGGACCTCGAAGAGAGACGTTGCCTTTCCTCTGGCAAGTGCTGCGAGTACAGGTCCGAGAACAATAGCTCCACCTGCGCAGTAGCCACCGAATTTCCATGCCTTCTCCTGCTCGCGTGTACGTGCATAGACCTTCATCATGATAAAAATGATGTAGAAGGAAGAAGTAATGTAAAAAATCTTCAGAATAAAGTTCCATAGCGATGCGCTCGCTGGCGACGTCCAGAACAAGTCAAGGTATCTAGTGACGAAGACAGCTGCGTAGAGAGCTTGGGTTATGAGAGAGACACCTTTTATCATCAGCAATTGTTCAAGGCTTTGTCATTCGAAGCTCGTACCTTCAGCGCTCTTATTGGAATGTATCGCCCATATCAAAATACATTTTGAGATTGTGTGAGAGATATCCGCCAACACGCGGAAGACGTTCATATGTATCCCCATGTTCAAAGTGTTCCCCTGTCACATGTGGGTATTTTGTAGTGATTTTTGCGGCAGTGGCAGCTTTTTCAAGATGTTGCAAGCTGTTCTCTCCGTCAGGCCGCCATTCGGTGTTACTCGGTGGAGTGACAGGCAAAGCGAGCGGGGCTTGCAGATAACGTGGCGAGCTAATGAAGATTGTTCTTAGGCTTTCCAGACCTGAGTTATTGTCTTGGAAAGGGACTTGAAAGCAGGCAGTGAGAGTAGAGAGCTTGTAATTGGTAGCAGCTCCAGGAAGTGTAAGAGCGTGATCGTGCTGTTCACCCGAAACAGCAGCCTCACCCTAGAGTGATTAATTAGCCGTTCCGCCCCCACTCATGCATAACATGTCTCAGCATAGGGCATCTTCTTGGGGGGCCTCACAATTCTGAATTGGCTTTCTACCTCGTCGTGAAAGACATGGCCGCCCCTCCAGCAGCTATTCGTATTGCGCAGACGGTAGGAATCACAAGCGCTGGTTTCGTTGCTGGTACCTTTCTCCTCAGCGCCAGATGCTGGACTTCACTGATGAAATGAGACAGGCGGTACGTTATGCATATCGTACCTCTACATTCCGTCGTTGCTACTGTCGCCAAACCCACTCATCGTTCGTCAATGGAAGAGGTCACACACCGTGGGCAAGTGGGCTCATCAAATTGTTGCCGCTCTTTCGATCGCTGCATACGGGTATCTAGCCTACGAGATGAAAGGTACTCTCGACCAGCATAAAGCAGAGATCTATGGCATATGTGCTGTGACGAACTTTCTGATATGGCCTTGGACCATACTCGTCATGATGCCGACAAACAATAAATTATTCAAGAAATATGAGGAGGGAGAGGCTGCTGGTTGGAGTGAGAAAGCCACAGAGGCTGGCCTGGCGAAGGAGGAGACAGCGGGAGGTCTGATACAAAGGTGGAGCAATTTGAACATCACAAGGGGTAGCTTTCCCCTGATAGCCGCTGGTCTTGGAGTCTGGACAACAGTTTCTTAATGACTATAGGCAACTGCCTGATCTTCGGGGATAGACTGATAGAAGCACAGCTGGCCAAACACTGTAAAGAAAAGACTTTTCGTGGTGAAATTCTCTTCTTTGACGCGCATTTGCAAATCTCTTATAGTTCGAGAGGCAGAGAGGCTTGCGATATCTTGAAGGGCAAATGAAGAGCCATGAGGGCTGGTGGAGGGTTGTGTTGAAGGACCTTTGTATTCGATGGCTCAAGCTATCGGTCCGTCTCTCGCACGCAATCACCTATCATCTATCCCCTACGCTTCTTCTCTTGATTCTCTTTCAATACCTTTTTCACGATTTTTTGCTCTTCAATTAGGAATGCCCGTGTGATTCTGTCCTTTACGCAATTTGAGCATCTTGAACCCCCATAGGCGCGCTGGACGGTCTTCTTCGGTTTCGATATTGTCGCAAATTCGCGGGGTCGGAGAGCTGGAATCTGTAGTAGATATTAGTACCCTTCCAGAGATTCATTATCATCGGGCTCTGAAGTTGATAAAAGTCACAAGCCTCCGACTAATCGTCAGGTACTCACTCCTGGTAGTTTGACGCCACAATCACCACACTTTGGTGGGCTTGCTCGCTTCTTTACATGCTGATATCGAAGTTTTCCACCTGGGGTCTTGACAATGCGATTCTTGTTCGACCGAGTATTGAATCTGCAGCACGTCCATCAGAACCTAGTGTTGGATTGTTTGACTATTATCTTACGGATTGTTTCGCCGCTGATCTCGAATTAGCAGCCAGTCATCGATCTCCGAGTGAGAGATACTTACATATGTCAGTCTCGCACCCATAATGAAAGCCTATACTTGGTAATTCTCGTCGAGGGGGTTGTCTTAAAATGAGCTGTGGGCATATTCCACTAGGCGATCGCGCTAAAAGCCTTGGCGTAGTGGCGCTCCTGAGAAAATCGATGTACACTCGACTCGCATGAACCTTACTGTTAAGATCAACGACGGTGATCCTGGACCCCAGCGAGGTAAGCGCCCTTTAGTCATCTAAGTGAGTAGCTACTCAGCAGTCAGATCTGGTTCCCGCGAGGGTGGACAGGAAAGTCAGAGGACGAGGGGCTTTAGGAGGGTGTCACAACTGCATGAGCTTCTGGATCGCAGTTCTCCCGTCTTCCCATCATCATGTCGTCCCTTCCACCACCTCCGCCGCCTGGATGGGCTGGTGGTCCTCACTCTATGCCTTCAGCTCCGCCCCCACCAGGGTATCAGCCACCCTCAGACCCTCAAGTCGCGAAATATGCCCAGAAAAAGAAGGAATGGCTGCGGTCACAGCGCAACCGCTTCAGTGAGAAGAGAAAGGGTGGATTTGTGGAAACACAAAAGGCGGATATGCCCCCTGAGCATCTGCGCAAGATTGTCAAAGACATTGGGGATGTTTCGCAGAAGAAGTTTAGCAGTGACAAGAGAAGTTACCTGGGCGCTCTGAAATACATGCCGCATGCTGTATTGAAGCTGTTGGAAAATATGCCTATGCCATGGGAGTCTGCAAGAGAAGTGAAGGTGTTATACCATGTGAATGGGTGTCTTACGATCGTCAACGAAACACCCAGAGTCATCGAGCCAGTATTTCATGCTCAGTGGGCTACTATGTGGGTTGCTATGCGACGAGAGAAAAGTGACAGGAGGCATTTCAAACGAATGAGGTTTCCACCTTTCGATGACGAGGAGCCTCCGCTGTCCTGGTCTGAGAACATCGAGGGTGTTGATCCTCTCGAGCCCATTCAATTGGAACTTGATGATCAGGAAGATGCTGCTGTTCTCGAATGGCTGTACGAGCATCGCCCACTTCTGGACACGCCTCACGTCAACGGACCGAGCTACAAAGATTGGAATTTGTCTCTTCCTCAAATGGCTACTCTTTACCGTCTTAGCCATCAGCTTTTGAGTGACCTTGTCGATAAAAATTATTTCCACATGTTCGATCTGAAAAGTTTCCAGACAGCAAAGGCGCTGAATGTCGCCATGCCTGGTGGTCCTCGATTCGAACCTTTGTACAAAGACATCGATCCCAACGACGAAGACTTCGGTGAATTCAACGCTATTGATAGGATCATCTTCCGCGCGCCAATACGTACAGAATATCGCGTGGCTTTTCCATATCTCTATAATTCTCTTCCTCGAAGCGTCAAGCTGTCCTGGTATTCGTATCCCCAAGTAGTATACGTTCGGGCGGAAGATCCCAGTCTTCCTGCATTTTATTTTGACCCCGTGATCAACCCTATATCTTCGCGATCAGTCGCACCGAAGAACTTAAGCGTCAGCCACGAGGATGAAATATTCGGCGAAGGAAATATGGAAGACGAGGAATTTGAGCTGCCCGGTAATGCACAGCCATTCCTTGCTGATGAGGAGCTGTATACTAGCGAGACTGCATCTGCTATCGCGCTGTGGTGGGCGCCATACCCTTTTGATAGACGGTCTGGCAAGATGACCAAAGCACAAGACGTACCACTTGTCAAGCAGTGGTATCTTGAGCATTGTCCGCAAGGACAGCATGTCAAAGTGCGAGTGTCATACCAGAAGCTGCTGAAAACTTACGTGTTAAATGAGCTTCATAAAAAGAAGCCTAAAGCTCAGAAGAAGCAAAATCTTATGAAGTCGCTCAAATCTACGAAATTTTTCCAACAGACCACGATTGACTGGGTTGAGGCTGGTCTACAGGTTTGCAGGCAAGGGTTCAACATGCTCAACCTCTTGATCCATAGAAAGAATTTGACTTATCTTCACTTGGACTACAATTTCAATTTGAAGCCTGTAAAGACCCTGACGACAAAAGAACGAAAGAAATCTCGATTTGGAAACGCATTCCATTTGATGCGAGAGATTCTTCGTCTTACGAAATTGATCGTTGATGCTCAAGTCCAGTATCGTTTGGGCAACATTGATGCTTTTCAACTCGCCGATGGGATACTTTACGCATTCAATCATGTTGGCCAATTAACCGGCATGTACCGCTATAAGTATAAGCTCATGCATCAGATCCGGTCCTGCAAAGATTTGAAGCATTTGATATACCACCGCTTCAACTCTGGTCCGGTAGGAAAAGGCCCAGGATGCGGTTTCTGGGCTCCCGCTTGGAGGGTATGGCTCTTCTTCATGCGTGGAATCATTCCTCTATTGGAACGTTGGCTTGGTAATCTCTTGTCTCGACAATTTGAAGGTCGTCACAGCAAGGGCGTGGCGAAGACTGTCACAAAACAGCGAGTTGAATCACATTTTGATCTTGAACTTCGTGCCTCGGTAATGGCTGATTTGATGGATATGATGCCCGAAGGCATCAAACAAAACAAAGTCAATACCGTGCTGCAGCATTTGTCAGAGGCGTGGCGATGCTGGAAGAGTAATATTCCATGGAAGGTGCCTGGCTTGCCTGCACCAATCGAAAATATCATTCTTCGATACGTCAAAAGCAAAGCTGACTGGTGGATATCCGTCGCACACTACAATCGAGAACGTATAAGGCGTGGTGCGACTGTAGATAAGACTGTTGCAAAAAAGAACCTGGGACGTCTGACGCGTTTATGGCTCAAAGCAGAACAAGAGCGCCAACACAATTATATGAAAGACGGGCCATACGTCTCATCTGAGGAAGCTGTTGCTATCTATACGACCACAGTGCATTGGCTTGAATCAAGGAAATTCTCTCCTATTCCCTTCCCTGCCGTATCGTACAAGCATGACACAAAGATCTTGATTCTCGCTCTGGAGCGCTTACGGGAGGCATACTCTGTCAAGGGCCGCCTTAATCAGAATCAACGGGAGGAGCTTGCATTGATTGAGCAAGCATATGATTCGCCTGGTACAACCCTTTCCCGAATCAAGCGCTTCCTTTTGACTCAGCGCGCCTTCAAAGAAGTTGGCATTGATATGAACGACAACTATAGCCACATCAATCCCGTCTACGATATCGAGCCAATTGAGAAGATTACAGACGCCTATCTAGATCAATATCTGTGGTATCAAGCAGACCAGCGGCATCTTTTCCCAGCTTGGATCAAGCCATCGGACTCAGAAGTGCCGCCTCTGCTGACTTACAAATGGGCTCAAGGTATCAACAACCTCGACAAAGTGTGGCAGACAGAGAACGGTGAATGCAATGTGATGATCGAGACGCAGCTTTCCAAAGTTTACGAGAAGATCGACTTAACACTTCTCAACCGGCTGCTGAGACTCATCATGGATCACAATCTCGCGGACTACATCACATCTAAGAACAATGTGCAATTGAGTTATAAGGACATGAATCATACAAATAGCTATGGAATGATTCGTGGCTTACAATTCTCCGGCTTCGTCTTCCAATACTATGGGCTTGTGCTGGATTTGCTACTCCTAGGCCTGCAACGAGCGAGCGAAATTGCTGGCCCTCCGCAAGGTCCTAATGACTTTTTGCAATTCAGGGATCGCAAAGCTGAAACTAAACATCCTATCCGACTCTACACCAGGTATATTGATCATATTTGGGTGTTCCTCCGCTTCTCAGCAGACGAGTCTCGTGACCTCATCCAGCGATTCTTGACCGAGCAACCAGACCCGAACTTTGAAAACGTCATAGGCTACCGAAACAAGAAATGCTGGCCTCGAGACTCACGTATGCGACTCATGAGACACGACGTCAATCTAGGTCGTGCTGTTTTCTGGGACTTGAAGAATCGGTTGCCACGGTCTGTCACTACTGTTGAATGGGATGATACGTTTGCAAGCGTGTACAGCCGCGACAATCCTAATCTTTTATTCTCGATGTCCGGGTTTGAAGTCCGCATTTTACCAAAGATCCGAAATCAAGATGAAGAATTCCCAGTCAAAGACAGCGTCTGGTCTCTGGTCGATAACAAGAGCAAGGAGCGGACTGCGCACGCATTCCTGCAGGTCACTGAAGAGGACATCCAGAAATTCAATAACAGAATCAGACAGATTCTCATGTCTTCCGGGTCCACCACATTCACAAAGATTGCCAATAAGTGGAACACGAGCTTGATAGCACTTTTCACGTACTACCGAGAGGCAGCTGTCTCCACTGTAAATTTGCTTGACACAATTGTGAAGTGCGAGACAAAAATCCAAACAAGGGTCAAGATTGGCTTGAATTCGAAGATGCCTTCCAGGTTCCCGCCTGCTGTATTCTATACTCCCAAGGAACTTGGCGGCCTTGGTATGATCTCAGGATCACACATACTCATCCCCACAAGCGATAAGAGATGGTCAAAACAAACAGACACTGGCGTCACTCATTATCGTGCCGGTATGAGCCACGATGAGGAGACTCTCATACCTAACATCTTTCGATACATCATACCCTGGGAGGCTGAGTTCATCGACTCACAGCGTGTCTGGACTGAATATTCGCAGAAACGACAGGAAGCAAACCAGCAGAACCGTAGGCTGACTCTTGAGGATCTTGAAGACAGCTGGGATCGGGGTTTACCGCGTATCAACACCCTGTTCCAAAAGGATCGCAGCACCTTGAGCTTCGATAAGGGCTTCAGAGCACGAACAGAATTCAAGAGCTACCAGCTCATGAAAAGCAACCCTTTTTGGTGGACGAGTCAAAGGCATGATGGCAAGCTCTGGAATCTAAATTCTTATAGAACCGATGTTATTCAAGCACTGGGTGGTGTCGAGACTATTCTCGAGCATACACTCTTCAAAGCCACAGCGTTTCCATCATGGGAAGGTCTCTTTTGGGAAAAGGCTTGTCTGGCCCTCGGGACACAGCTGCTGCGATATGATGGTAGTAAGGTCGCCGTCGAAGATGTCGAAGAGGGCGATGTACTGCTTGGTCCGGATGGTGGACCTCGTCGCGCATCGAATGTAGTCAAGGGCAAAGACCGCCTCTATCGTATCAAGATGGGTGGTAACAAAGAAGATCTTGTCGTAACACCAAATCATATCCTCGTTCTCTATCGAGAGAAGGTCCGTACAAACAATCACGAAGGACCGTCCATTCAAAGTCATTACGAACGCTACGACACCGTCGAGATGGTAGCCGCGGATTTTGCGGCACTTGACCCAAAGAAGAGAGAAAGACACCGGCTCTTCAAATGTCCAGATCTCTTGCGTAAGCATTCTGTTGGGCGTGCCGTCTCTCAAGCAGACAGCTTCATTGTCAAGGATGTTGCGCTTGAGTCTGAGGCCACGATGTGGGCTGGCTTCCGGGTCGATGAAGACCAGCTTTACTTACGACACGACTATCTCGTACTCCACAACAGTGGTTTCGAAGAATCCATGAAATTTAAGAAGCTGACCAATGCACAACGATCTGGTTTGAACCAAATCCCTAACCGGCGTTTTACACTCTGGTGGTCGCCTACCATCAACAGAGCGAACGTGTACGTCGGTTTCCAGGTTCAGCTTGATTTGACTGGCATCTTCTTACACGGCAAAATCCCAACCTTGAAGATATCATTGATTCAGATATTCCGAGCCCATTTGTGGCAAAAGATCCACGAGTCTGTCGTCATGGATTTGTGCCAGGTGTTCGACCAAGAACTCGATCAATTAGGGATTGAGACGGTTCAAAAAGAGACGATCCATCCTCGTAAGTCCTACAAGATGAATAGCTCATGCGCAGACATCTTGCTTTTCGCCACACACAAATGGAATGTCACTCGACCTTCCCTCCTTTTCGATACTAAAGATATTACGGAGCCTACAACGACCAACAGGTTCTGGCTTGATGTACAGCTTCGCTATGGTGATTATGACTCTCATGACATTGAACGATACGTCCGTGCGAAATACTTGGACTACACTACTGATAGCATGAGTATCTATCCATCAGCTACTGGGCTCATGGTCGGGATCGACCTTGCGTACAATCTATACTCGGCATTTGGCCAATACTTCCCTGGTCTCAAACAACTGATCCAGATGGCGATGGCGAAAATAATGAAGGCAAATCCTGCGCTTTATGTCTTGAGAGAACGTATTCGAAAAGGTCTCCAGTTGTATGCTTCGGAAAGCAACCAAGAATTCTTAAATTCTCAGAACTACTCTGAATTGTTTAGCAACCAAATCCAACTCTTCATTGATGACACAAACGTCTATCGAGTCACGATCCACAAGACGTTCGAAGGTAATTTGACGACGAAGCCAATCAACGGCGCCATCTTCATCTTCAATCCAAGGACAGGTCAGCTTTTCCTCAAAGTCATCCACACGAGCGTTTGGGCAGGTCAAAAACGTCTTGGTCAATTAGCAAAATGGAAGACGGCCGAGGAAGTCGCAGCTTTGATCCGTTCTCTTCCTGTCGAAGAACAGCCGAAGCAGCTGATTGTGACCCGAAAAGGTCTCCTTGATCCACTAGAGGTGCATCTGCTCGACTTCCCTAACATCTCCATCCGTGCTTCTGAGTTACAGTTGCCTTTTCAAGCGGCCATGAAGGTCGAAAAGCTAGGTGATATGATTCTGCGTGCAACAGAGCCAAAGATGATGCTCTATAATTTGTATGATGAGTGGCTTAAGAGTATTTCTTCATATACTGCCTTCTCTCGCTTGATCTTAATTCTCAGAGCCCTGCATGTCAATCAAGACAAAACGAAGCTTCTACTTCGACCAGACAAGACCGTTATTACCAAGGAACATCACATTTGGCCTACCTTGTCAGATGAAGATTGGATCAAGGTAGAGGTGCAGTTGCGCGATCTCATCCTCAACGACTATGGAAAGAAGAACAACGTGAACACCTCATCCCTGACGAGCAGCGAAGTCCGCGACATCATTCTAGGAATGGAAATCAGTGCACCAAGCATGCAACGGCAACAAGCCGCTGAGATCGAAAGGCAACAGCAAGAACAACAACAAATCACAGCCGTAACCACCAAGACCCAGAATGTCCACGGCGAAGACATCATCGTCACCACCACCTCGGCGTTCGAGCAGCAATCCTTCGCCTCAAAAACCGAATGGCGTACCCGCGCCATTGCGACCTCAAATCTCCGCACCCGCGCAAACAACGTTTACATCTCCCCCGAAGGTGTAGCCGAAGACGCTCACCATACCTACATTATGCCCAAAAACATTCTAAAACGTTTCATCACCATCTCGGACTTGCGCGTGCATGTAGCAGGATACCTCTACGGCGCCTCCCCACCCGACAATGACGTTGTCAAGGAAATCAAATCCATCGTCCTGGTCCCTCAAGTCGGCAACACCCGCGAAGTCCAACTTCCACACCAACTCCCGCAGCACCCATCTCTTGCAAAGCTTGAGCCTCTGGGTATAATCCATACAGTTGCTGGGAACGAGCCCCCTTACATGGCCGCCGCAGATGTTACCCAGCACGCGCGCCTCATGTCCCGCCACGCGTCCTGGGACAAGAAGACAGTCACTCTCACCGTCTCCTTCACGCCCGGCTCTGTCTCGCTGAATTCCTGGGCCCTCACGCCCCAAGGCTATAAATGGGGTGTGGAGAATAAAGACCTTTCCTCAGACATGCCCGCCGGCTTTTCCACAACGGGTTACGGGGAGAAAACACAACTGTTGCTGAGTGATCATATCAGAGGTATGTTTCTCGTGCCGGAGGATAAGCGGTGGAATTACAGTTTCATGGGAGCAGGATTTTCGGGCGTGGAGAAGAAGGTCGTTAATGTTATGGTGGATACGCCTGTGGGGTTCTATGATGCGATCCATCGCGCTGTGCATTTCCAGAGTTTTGCTGAGTTGGAGGATATTGGGGTTGATAGGAATGATAATTTTGCGTGAACTTGAAGAGGATCGAAACAGTGTGGGAAGGATTCGGATGTTGTGGGGATGGAAGCATGGTTGAGATTTTGCTCAGGTTGGCAAGGGAGCAAATGTGGAACACAGCATAAAGGGCATGGAGTCGCTATGGATAAACGCTTATTCGATACTGAGCGTCGATGGTGGATCTTGCATGGTATGGATCATAGCGCTATAAGTCCGTTGCAATAGCAACCAAAAATAGAAGGATTCAAACAGCAGATGTCGACGCTCACAAAGAATCACATTGTGTACAGAACAAATCTCGCTAAGTCTAGTAAATCCCCGAATTCCCCACTGGATTTCCAGGAATCTTGAACCCCTCGGGATACCCCATATACTCAGGCCGGACATAATCCGCCAAATGCTTCGGTTTCTTAAACCCATACAACCAATGCGCGTCGTCACCGCCACCATGTCCATGCTCCTCCCCATGCTCCTCCCCATGACCGCCTTCTTTCCCATGCTCCTCCCCATGCCCATGCCCATGCCCCGCATCATCGGGCGGCCCCACATATTCCATCATATACACGCTGCCACACTCATCGCACCGCTCCATCGGCCGCTGGCGCGACATGCACACCCAGACTACCAGGTGCGAGTCTACGGGACTGCCGGTGCAGCCGGCGAGTTGTTCGTCGCCGAAGGATTTCACTACGAGGGGGTCTTGGATTGTCCCTTCATAATGAAGCATTAGCGGAGAGCGAGAATTTGGGCGTGGGTTGATAGGGGTGAAAGGCTGGGTGGGAAAGGCAGGGGGAGAGAAGGGTAGTACCTCTTCGTGAGGAGTCAAGCGGTTTCATGTCAAAGACATCAACGCCCTGCATTTTACCCAGGATCTCGAAACGTTCCAGGCCTGTAGATTGTTCGAGATCGGAGGGAATTGTGCCGGGTTTACCGCCTGGAGGAAGGAGGTCGTGTTCGGTTTTGACGTCTAGGGTAGTGATGTTAGCAGAGGTAATTCTAGGGGAGGAGTAGTGAGAGGTAGAAGGGGCAAGGGGACAAGATGTTGGGTTTCATGATGGGGGCTTTGTTCGGGAAGTCGTGGCAAGGGGCCGGAGGTCTGGTGAAGGGAATTGGGATGAGGGTGACGTTGAAGTTGAAGACGAACCTTCGAAAGCCACCATGGTCTTGCTGGGCTCCGCTGGCTCTGGGTCGTCTTTCGTCGTTGCGTTATCTATGAGATTCCAGAACCGATTAGCGATTGTTCGTCACCGCTACAACAATTGCCTCTTCATCTATATCACAATATACAGCTCCAAGCTTTCCATCGACTATTTCAATGACCATAACTCCTGCTTGACATGTCTCCTTCTCCCTCTGCTCTTTATGTTCGGGAAGGGCAAGACCTACATCTGGCTAAACTCGGGGTGAACATTCGCGTGTTGGCCGCTGGTTTTGCAGCTGCGGCGCCATTCACTCGCCGCGAGAGGGCGAGAGCCGAGCGCCGGATCATGACTGGCAATCAATTGGTGAGGAGGACAGGTTATTCGAGAGATCTTGTACATGGAGTTGAAGATGGGTTACGGAGAGGGAGAGGCTAGCACAGATTCGGTGTTAGCGTGGCTGGCTGCCAAGAATCACTCCCCTTGCCGAGCTTGCTCTGCTTCAGAACAGCGCCCTCGCAAGGTCATATTGGGGGAGAGGACTTGCATGGAAACAGGGGACGATCCATAGATAGCTGATTCGTTCATTGTTGGCTATTTGCTATCTAACACACCCACCTCGTGGTCATTCTGTCCACTGCTCCTCCCTCTATTTCCTCGTCCCCATTCGTATGGCTAGGCAAGTTGCCCAATCCATCTTGACAAAAAACATTGCGTGTATAGTATACCCGTGTTTTCGTTGTCGTCCACCTCGACCTGGCGTACTGCCCCCTTATGTCGTCGGAGGCAGCATCATTCATCGCCGTGACAGGCCAAGGTGGCTCACCCAAGACCAGCCCAGATGAAAAAGTATTATTATTATATCCAACAAAATCAAATTCGTCAATCAGTGTATGTCATCATTTCATTGTTCATCGCCTTCGTCCACCAGAGGAAACCTTGGCAGTGTATTTTGGCTTCATCTCCACGTACCGTGCCTTGCTCGACCCACCCATGGATTTCCTAATTGTGGGTCTCTCGTCTTCGCTTTCGCTTTCGGACTCCGAGCTCGACTCAATGTTGCTGCACGAGGAGCTGTCGTCGCTGTATCCGCATCGTGAGCCGCCGCAATCCATCTTGACACGGTCGCCACGGCGAGTGACGCCATAGCGATTGCAGGAGCATTTGCTGCCTCCGCTTGACGATGAGCTGGGATCACTGAGTGATGATAGAGAGCTAGGCGATCCTCGCGACGAATTCTTGTCGAAGCCGGAGCTGCGGCCTGAAAGGGACGAACCGACGGAAGAGGGCGGTGAGATGTCGCGGACTTGATAGAGTGAAGATTTCTCGAGCTGAGCGGCAAGGTCGTCGTAGACTGGCGAGTGGCTGTAGTCGGCTTCTCGTACGGCACGAGAGGCGTAGGGCTTGCTGGGTTTGGGACAAACGATCTTGCTTGGAGAGACGGAGCGGCCTTTGGGAATCTCAGCCGAGGCGTGCTTGCTGTGTCTGCTAGAGCTATCCTTGGAGGCGAGGACATCGAGGATGTTGAGGAGACGACCCGTGGTGGGCTCCTTGGTGCTATTGGTTGATGGATCGTGAGACACGTGGTAGCCATCGATGATATACTAGATACGCAGTCAGCAGGAGTATCTTGAGGTGATCACAAGGTGAGTACATACGTAGTACCAATAGCGTTTGCCTGGCTTGAGCGTGGAGCTACCGAAGCGGAACGTGCCCTTCCATTTACCAGGCTTGGAGGAATCCTTGGACATGGGAAGCTGCCCTGCGTAGTTGTCCCAGGAGCCAAGAAGGTGGACGGTCTTGATCTTGGTGCTGGTGGAGAGGGTGAAAGCGAGTTGAGTTGACGACATGATTGCTGATTATGTGGGTATATATAAAAGGGGTGTAATATTAAAGTTGGGTATGATTGCCGATTACGGTATGGTTGAGACGCGTTGCTGAGCTACCGGAGCTCTGCTATAGACGCGGTAGGCGTTCGACGGTGTGGATGAAAATAGAAAGTAATAAGAGCCACAGACAATGCAAAGAGATGTGTCTTAGGCGCGAGCGAGCAAAGTAAACAAGTAAGATCAGTGAGCTATGCAGAGTATGTTCGTCGACCAGCGACAAAAGGGTTGACTCTGTTGGATAGTTTTTTGAAAAGTAAAATTGTGTGTAAAGATGCGTTGTTCAAGTTGACAAGAATAGCAGATGAACAATTAGAACAAGAGACCAGCTCTAAGCAGAATAACACACACACAAGAAAGACTATAGATAGCTCAAAGGACAAGAAATTGATGGCTTGCTGCTGGAGAGAAAAAGAGGAAAGGTAGAAGAGAGGATAACCGCTGTACTTATGTGGGCTTGACCAGGCGGCCTCAGCTCCCCTGTGATCAACAGGGTGCATCATTGGCAGATGCCCCGCTTTGATCCGATGAGCTTTTGATGACTTGCATGGGACCAGCCAGCCCAAGCAGAGCTGCAGGAGGAGGCAGCACGAAGTGGGATGGGGGGGAAGCTGGTGGGCGCTTAGAGATCCTGCCATTTTGTTGCATTCGGTGATGCTGCTATTTTCCGCAACACTAAGGGCCCATGTACATCGAGCTACACCAAGCTAGGTCTGCTAAGAGTGCTAAGGAGAGATGGCCCCAATCTAGCGAGCTTCTAAGGCGGTGTGATAGGTCTATCACCGGGGACTATGGGAGACCTAATCCAAACACTGCTCCAATCACCGTCTCCCATATGAGTCCCTGAGGCAAGAGTAATTCATCGAGGGCGCTTCCATGCACCTTGCCCTCTTGATGCCTTCACACCACCATCTCAGCCCGCATATATGATTGCATCGTGCCTCTCAAGTTCTGTTGATCATTGATCCCGGCTCGTGCATGCGTGGCGTCTTGATCCGCTGCCTGCTATGGATGTCTTGGACAAGCTTTCCAATTTGTATGATTCAGGAAATTCTAGTATACATGCTACTTGATCGCGGAGCTTGCATAGCAGTATCATCCTAGCTCCTGATTTCCCCCATGTCTTTTCGCCGATCATGCATATGCCATGCTTCCGGCATGCAGCTTCCTCCGTCTGTCACCAGACCTCTTTCCCGTATTGACGCCTGCGCAATGCAATGACAGTCAAAGCTATCCGAAATGTCTGCCTCGCAATCTTGAACGCCGTCAAATATGTAGAGACACTCGGAAGGGTGTTACTGAGCAGGCACCCGCTCAGCCTGATCATAAACCCTCTCCCTCGGAGTCCACAGGAAACCCTAAGCGCTCCGCAAAGTCCATCCACGTGCTACTCACAAGGCTAGCACTCTAGCCCTGGCGAAGATACAATAAAGTAAGTCACTGGCTAATGTCATCATTACCGTACCGTCACTCCCGAGCGCTTCGTGTACAATCTCGTTGCAATATTCATCGACGCCAGTTCTTGGAACAGTAATTTCGCGGCATACGGGATGTGGATCTGGGATATCTTCGTCTTGTTCCTGCAAGGTCGGCATTCGAACGAGTTCTTCTTCAGGTTCCTGGGGTTATATATTAGTGACTGTCATGGAAATGGACTCCTGGGATAGACTCACGCTACTGGTGTCATGAGCCCACAAATGTCGCAAATGTGAACCCGGAAGGCATCTGACACTTCGAATAACCGCTCTTTTAAGAAGGCACTAGCACCATGCGATATCATGCAATCCCGCTCCATCTCTCCGAAGCGAAGGCCACCATCCCTAGCCCTACCCTCAACTGGCTGCCTGGTTAGTATTTGTACCGGTCCTCTGGCTCGAGCATGTATCTTGTCATCCACCATATGTCTTAAGCGCTGATAGTAGGTCGGTCCAAGGAAGACCTGCGCTACTAGTTTTCGTCCTGTGTGACCGTTGTACATAACCTCAAATCCTCGGGATTGGTACCCGTGGCCACGGAGGAGCTTCGAGACCGAGTCTACCGTAACTTCGGTGAACGGCGTTGCATCGCCCTCGCAACCTTGGAGAGAAGAAACCTTGCTCAATTGACATTCGATCAAATGTGCAATGGTCATTCGGGACGGGATAGCGTGTGGATTGATGATCAGGTCAGGAACGACGCCTTCGCTTGTGAAAGGCATGTCTTCCTGCCGGTAGGTGATGCCTATGGTACCTTTTTGACCGTGCCGCGAGGCAAACTTGTCGCCAATTTGAGGCACTTTAGTGGTTCGCATACGGACTTTGACAAAACGCAGTCCATCAGAGTTTGTAGATAGTAGAACTTGATCGACGATGCCATTCTCTGTACTACGCAACGGCGTGGATGTGTCACGCTTGATATGCAGCTTTGTTCGCTGACCAAGCTCCTCTGCGTCGGGCGCAATTGGTGCTGTCTTGCCAATAATGATATCCTCTCCAGAAACACGGACACCAGGCGCTACGATGCCGTCGTCGTCCAGCTTGTCGTATGTGCCGTGCTTGAGCTTGAGCGTATCGCTGCGCATGGGCTTTTCGAATTGCTCGACCACTGCCATTCCCACTCGCTTCTCCTGGTCAGTGTAAGCACGATAGAACAGACTTCTGAAGAGTCCGCGGTCGATACTACTCTGGTTCATGATGACTGAATCTTCTTGGTTATAACCAGAGTAGCATGCAATGGCGACGATCGCGTTCTGACCTGCCGGCAGATCTCGGAATTTGAGAAATTCCATCGAGCGCGTTGTTGCCAAAGGTTTTTGAGGATAGTAGAGTATGTTGGCCATGGTGTCCATTCTTACATCATAATTCGTGAGGAAGACACCCATAGCTTGTTTACCCATAGCCGATTGATAGGTATTTCGGGGAGATTGATTGTGGTCTGGGAAGGGAATAATGCTTGCGCATATACCAAGTATCATGCTTGGATGGATTTCGCAATGCGTCCACGCATGCTGTGTTGGATTTGTTTGCGCTTTCACCCGAGCATTAGGATTCTCGTCTAGCTCTGGTGAAGGTAGTCTATACCCGGCGTGTAGTTGCCGAGATGTCTCGAGGTCCTCAGGAGTCATGACAATCATTATCGTCTCCTCTTCCTCCGCATCAACATACTCGACCACACCGCGTGAGACCAAACCTTGCCATCCTATTTCTTTGTCGTCCCTTTCCTGTGCGTCCATAAGGGCTCCCTCTTCTTCGTCTTGTTGCAATTTTTGAATGTCATCCTTGGTAAGAACTAGATTGCCGTAATTGCTGCTCTTTGAATCATTTTCAACAACAAAGAGGGGTCGACAGACTCTCCCAGCGTCTGTAAAAATCTTGAACTCTCGGTCTCTGATATCGCGCACCAAGCTGACTTCAGGTGATATGGTGTGCGCCCTTCGGAGATTTCTGATCGTGCTGACTAAATTTGCCGGACTCGAGTGCACACCCACCCATACACCGTTGACAAAGACTTTGGTTGCGTTAGGGTTAGACTGCGATTCGTATTCCTCCAAGACCTCCATATTTCGCTGGATCATGAAATCAATGATCGGCTCACTTGGAGAACCCACTGTGATATAGCACATAAGTGCGAGGTTTTTCACCAACCCACATGCTTGGCCCTCAGGCGTTTCTGCAGGACATACCAAGCCCCAGTGCGTATTATGAAGCTGTCGAGGCTTCGCAATTTTGCCGTCTCGCCCAATTGGGGTGTTGGTCCGTCGAAGATGGGACAAGGTAGATGCGAAGGTGTAGCGATTGAGAACCTGCGAGACCCCAGCTTTGGAAGACATAGCTTTCTTTTGGTCACCCCAATTACCGGTAGCGAGAGAATACTTAAGGCCGTTAGTCAAGGTAGTAGACTTGACAGCTAAAGTCAAATTGAACTCCTTGTTGTTTTCCACACACTTCTGCAGATATTTGTAAACATCCTTAGTGAGCTTATAGAACAGCATTCGAAACAGCCCAGCAAGAAGTGGTCCAGCAAGATCAAGCCGTTTCTTGCCAAAATGATCTCGATCATCTGGTTCTTTGCGACCTAACGCGCACTGAAGTAATCTGTTGACCATGTAGCCTAGGAAAAACGCTTTTCTAGTCTCACTTCCTTCGGTTTGTGAAATATGCGGCAACAGCTCTTTTTGCATGATGTCTCTTGCATACTTGACGCGCTTGTCCTTCGTTAAGCCCTGAGAATTGGCACGCTTCCCAATGAAGTCTAACGCGACATCCCGATCTTGAATGACAAAAGCTTCCTCGAGACAAGGCTTCAGCATCTCCAGCATTTGAGTATCTTTCCGGTCGTAGCAAATATGGTTGAGAATTTCTTCGTCTGACACGACGCCGAGCGCGCGGAACACGATGGCGATTGGTATTTCAGTCTTAATGTAAGGTAGGGTGCATTTGATCGTTTGGCCAAACCCTCCTTTTGAGCCTTCGCCTCTTTCGTAAAGCTTTATTTGCATACTTGAAATGAGTCTCGACCCTTTCTCCACTGAACTCCTGATTTCGGCCAAGAAAGGCGTGTTGCTTTGTGACTTTTTGAAGACTTGTACAATGTTTGCAGCGCTTCGTTCTTGCGCTATGAGCACCTTCTCGCTCCCGTTGATAATGAAATAACCACCTGCGTCGTATGGGCACTCATTGTACATGTAGAGCTCGGATTCAGAAAGCTCCTTAAGCATGCAGTATTTGGATTTCAGCATGATAGGTAATTTACCAACGAAGACTTTGATCGGCTCAGGCTCTTTATCACCTTCTTCATTCTCCCATTCTAAGTAAGATGCGTTGTTCGGATTTTGACTCATCCCTTCTGCCGCTGCGTCGTCTGGATCGATACCTACTCTTTCCCGTGCTAGCGATCGTTTGGTCGTCATCTCTAAGTACATAGGACTTGAGTAGGTGAGATTTCGCAGACGAGCCTCTTGTGGCAACATAGCGTCCGTATTCCCATCGCTCTCTGTCATCGCCGGCCGCGACAGTAAGACGGTGCCAAACTTGATCCCATACCTTCGAATTACGGGTGAATCTGGTTCGTCATCATTCTGAGGTAGATTTTGATCGAGAGTCAGCTGCGAGTTCTCTGCTACTAGCTCCTGCATGGTGGTCGAGACGAACTCATCGAACGAGTCAAGCTGTTGCGACACAAGACCCTTTGTTTCGAAGAAAGAGGAGATGACAGTCCAACAATCCTCGGGCGTGATACCTTCCTCCTCTTCCTCCTCATCGAGATAGTCATCGTTGGCATACTGCTGCTCGTATAGAGCCATGATGAAAGGTGTCAAGGTGAACGAAAGTGGTTTTCAAAATTTGTCAGAGTCGTTAATGCTGGGGAGAAAGAGGGTCACTCGGCGCCAGAGCGCAGTCAGTACTGCCCACAGCGCTCATGAGTAATGCTCAAGCATGATACTATGTTGACCGAGCTTCACGGACGTCCGTAGGACTCGAGAGCAGATTTGGTGAAGGTGGTGGAATGGGGAACCGCATCACGGTCTTGAAAGCGCACTAGAATAAATCCGTACGCGCTAGTTCTTGGGTCAGCCCTACGCTCAGAGTTCAGTGGCCCAGCCAAGGCAAGCCAGCAGCTGGTGCCAGGGCGGCTTCATTTTCCTCGAGTTGAAGGCCCCGAGTATTTCTATCGAGAGGTTCAGAAGCTAAGAGTCGATATATCTAGCTTGCAAATTGCAAGCATGGTTTCCGCTATGCATTATTGCGATATCAGACGGGCGCGCAAGCTGCCTAGAGGAAAGGCGGTGTACGTGGGGCAGACCGTTACGTGTGGTTCTGGCTAGGAAAAAAGCCCACTCAACAACTTGCCACCAAGGTCACCTTAGTATGACTCAAGAGATTTGAAATACGTATGCCACGAATCAGCCAGGCAGGGGATGCTCTTCAACTCGTCCACTACATTGTTCATTCAGTACCAACATGGGGCTCGAAGGAAAGCAGGCGAAGCTGCCAGTGCAACAACTGATCATTCTCTCGATATGTCGAGTTGCCGAACCTATTGCCCTCTCTTCGGTCTTTCCATACCTCCCTGAGATGATCGAAAGCTTTGATATCCCGAAGAAAGACGTCTCAAAATGGGCAGGGATAGCATCGGCTGTATTTTCCCTCAGTCAAGCCGTGACTGGCGTTTTCTGGGGACGTGCTGCGGATAGATTTGGAAGAAAGCCGGTTATCATGTGTGGTATGCTTGGTATTATGATAACAAGTCTATTGTTCGGCTTCTCGAAAACGCTGTCTTGGGCAATCGCATCAAGATCTATAGCTGGTGCTTGTAATGGTAATGTTGGAACAATGAGGACAATGGTAGCAGAGCTAGTCCCTCAGAAAGAACTTCAGCCCCGGGCCTTTTCAGTAATGCCACTTGTATGGACCATTGGAAGTATATTCGGGCCAGCGTTTGGCGGAGCTCTTGCAAAGCCCGCCACCAGGCACCCCGGCCTCTTTGGCAAAAGTCGCTTCTTTCAACAATATCCCTTTGCTCTTCCGAACATGATTGCGAGTCTCTTCTTTCTCGTCGGCCTCAGCGTAGGAATTCTATTTCTACAAGAGACTCTTGAATCTAAGAAGCACCGCCGTGACTATGGAAGAGCATTAGGAAGTCTTCTACTTCGGCCATTTCAACGGAAAAAGGTCAAGAGCTTCTTACAAGAAGAACAGTCGTCTCCGATGATGAAACATTCAAGGGATTCTTCAGCTGCTACACTCACGCAAGATGGAGACCATCAACCTGCACCATTGAGGCTTGCACCTCCAACATACCGCGAAGTCTTCTGGTACCAATCCAACTTGAATCTCCTGACGTATGCTTTGCTAGCTATGCACTCAATCGCTTACGATCAACTCCTGCCTATCTTCATGCACTATCCTCGACGGACAGACCGATCTTCAGATCCAGACCAGCAACTTCCATTCAAATTCACTGGTGGCTTTGGAATAGATTCAGATCGGATAGGGCTAATTTTCATGCTCTATGCAGTCATCGGCTGCTTTATTCAATTCGCCATCTTCCCTGTCTTAGCACGACGGTGGGGCGTGTTGAACTGTTTGAAGCTTGTTGTGATCATGTTCCCGCTTGTCTACGTCGCAACTCCATTTACTGCCCTTTTGCCCACGCAGATCTCGCAGCAAATAGGTCTCTTTGTCATTATGATGTTCAAATGCTGGGCAGCAATTTTCGCCTTTCCCTGCACTACGATCTTACTTACGAACAGTGCAAAGAGCCTACGGATCCTGGGAACTTTAAATGGCTTTGCGGTCAGTCTCAGCGCACTTGGTAGGGCTGCTGGGCCGGCTACAGGGGGCTGGACTTTCACTTTGGGTGTTAAAATCGGGTACGGCATCTTACCCTGGTGGACACTCGCGGCTTGTGCTATTGTTGCCGCCTTTCCTGTATGGTGGTTAGTAGAGATGGACGGCTTTGGTGGGACGGCAAAAGACGACACCCAAGAGATTGAGGATGAAGCCAGATATACTGATGAAGTTGATGTTGAGGACGGAGGGGTGACTTCTGATATCCGACGTGCCCCAAAGTACCACGATGATGTTGACCAAAGGGACGACTCCGCTACAGACCATAAGGTGCTAGGCAACGGTGTGCAGAATCACAAGGTATTATAGTAGCGTACCATCAGGCAAAAGACCTCAACATAACCCAGCTATTTTCATGAATGACTGAACGGCAATCACAAGTCAACAACGGCTAGCGAGTGGCGGATATTCACGCTCGGCGACATAGTCAGGTATATTCAATGACATGAGGGACTTAACGCTTCACTGATCTTATTCAAAGCTTTGACACATTCTCCTGACATTATCTGACATGCTTTGCTAACTCTCATGCAATCTTGTGAAGTATGCTCTTGTGAAATAGTCACAAGATTAATTAATATACGTACCTCACCGAGGCTAGATCCAAGCATATATTGACCTACTTGGCTCGGTTCCTTCTTTTTATTTATATCCCACCCTCTCAAGCAGCTCTTGCAGTATTGCTCATTCGTTGACATAATCTAACATCACGCCATTACTTGATATGCCCACGAAAGCCTTGAGAAATGCCGAGTGAATATATATCCTGATTTGCCGTCACTCACACGCGCTCGGATATGTTGAGTTTCTCCAAATTCACTTATTCAATGGCAAGATACATGACCCTTACATGTCCTTCTAGCTTCATGATGAGGTTCTTGTGTCCCAGAATGTCCTTTTGCACTTATTTTCGTCTCTATCGTTGTACTTGAACGCATAGAAAGGGAGACCCTCAGTGTGTACACTGCTTTGTTCTTGAGATCTTTGGTAGATGAAGTGTTAAACTCATTTTTCTTCCTAGTTCGGGCGATACCGCAATTACACTACTATTACCTGGTTGAAAAAGTAGGCACCGCAATGGCATAGAGCATTTCGGTTGTGTCGACGCGTTGTTCAAGGCTCGATACCAAGTCCCATTCGCGTGCTTTAGATATATCTTTCACCTCTGCCAACTGATTGAACCACAAAACAAGGTTCTGAAACATTAAAGGTGCCTAAAAAGGGGACAAGAGAATTAAAAAAGAAGGAACTTGCGAACTTTACCAATAGAGCTTCATCCACAAAGCACAGATCACAAGCTTTCGAGAAGGCAGACTTCCTGGTTCTGCATCCAGTCTGTGACGGCACTGACGGTTAGTGCCCTTCGGAGATGGCTGGCTCTAGTCTGGCAAGGTTCTCAGAGAAAAAATATACAAATCCTGTGGCATGCAGAGAACTTCTACCGCTGCCTCCACTCATAATACAGGCAAATGAGAACCTTGGACAGCCAATCAAGAGGAGCTGGTCTGGCGGTGTGTACACAAAGACCTATGCCTGTCGCCGAACAACGAGATAAGCTTGGTTGAGCGTCAGTCAGAAGATACTCCGATGGAATAAGACGAGGAGACATCTACTTGTGAAAGCAGTATTAATGAAAAAAAGGAATGCATATTCAGGATTTCGCCTCAAAACCGTTTACCTTTTCAAATTCCAAGTTATCGGATTCACTCAACGTGCATCTCCTGGCTTCTGTTGTAGGTGTACTACGAATTAGTCCTTGTCATTCATTAAAGGCTTATGTTAGGCTAGAATCTAGGAGAGAGGAACCTGCATGAACCATGAATAGGTCAAGAAGAGGTATCTTACGTCTCTGACACGGCACACAATTGGCGACTATCTAGATCAAGAACTCAAGGGACCTCCGGCAAATGCTACGAAGATAGCAGTCACAACTAGATTGTGGAGCGGTGCTCACAATATACCTGTTCCATCAGCAGGCCTTCAGCAGAGATAGCCAGGTTCAATCTATAAATCAGTGTACCTTCTGGCTTCAAATCATCTATTCATGATAGATCATAAGACAATTGTCAGAGCAATTGCACCGTCCTGATTGCAATGGCCTTCCAGAGTGCCTTGGCGCTGTCAAAATTCATATCTGACGAAGGTAATCTCGCACTTCACCAACTCATTCCAACAATCGTCTTCTGTCGGTTGGTACAAGGGTTCCTCTGAACCCTCCCTCAGTCATATAATTTATCGAACCTTATTGCTGTTCGAATTTGGTACTGGTCAGAGTTACAGAACCCTTTTTTGGCCATTAGCCGGGCGGTCGATAGTATCCGGCATATCTTTGACGACGCGTTTCAATCGAATGCAGAAATAATTTGCAAAGCTCGCAGCCAGATGTGCCGGATGACTGTAGGGTGGCAAGGGAAGATCTATTGTGCATTGCTTGTTGCGATCAACGGAAAAAAGGCCGAGTGGGACTGAAGAGCAAAAATTGCATAGATTCATTATGAAATGTCTTGAGAGTATTGAGAAAGTAAAGACATGAGGCCGTTTTGATCAGTTTTCTCGACAGGCCAGAAGACTATTGCAGGTGAAAGGGGGCTTCTCTAATCATAGATTCCTGTACGTCGGCACGGTCGATTAGTTTGCGCGTTGGATCGATTGGAGCTGCGAAGGACACAATAGGAACATTGGATTGCAGTACTTTCCGTGATGAGATTATCTGGCCCTTAGGAGACCTGATATTTAGAGGCTAGTTCTACACAATCTGAGAACTGTTCATCTATGAGGTGTATTGCGTAACCTAGCGGCCATGTTTGACCCAAGGCATAAGTTGACAAGAGAGTAAATCACGCAAACGTGATCATGCACACGCTTGCTTCTTGTGTCACCCAAGATCAAGTAATTTCGAGGCAAAGACGAGGAAATGGGACACTTGAAATCAAGGCAAGGGGGCCTCCTTCACTGGTATGACAAAGTCCGCGATGTTCCTGCACGCACAAGAGTTTTGCCACTTAGAGCTCTGGGTCCGCATGCCGTACCATATCTGATCCTGTTAATTGCAAAAGCTTCTTGGGGTATGAACCGCAATGGTATTGGCTTAGGCGGTCGATCGAGGCCTACATGCGTGACGGCTGACGGCTGGCAAGCCAGGACCTCATATGTGAGTACGGAATGCCTGACATTCAAATGGTCAAGACTGATGTACGTATGTGAGCAATCAATGTTGTTTTGAGCTGGGTAAGCAACTCTTGTATAGTCAATTATGTACAGCATATGTGTTATAGGGTAGTCGTATGTAAGTTATAGGTCATTTCATATTCATACCGATAGCAGTTTTGTAGCTTCATTGATGCAATCTTCAATGATGCCACTCCAACGCTACGAAAATTTCATTAGTATCACAACTGGTAGAACTAACGGAGGGTGACTCACGTCAACATCATCTTTATCTCCAAAATCGACAGCCTCTATCAATCCAGGGAACGTTGCACCGGCGTAACCCGTCCATAATCCTGGTGCGAAAACCACATGTTTGAAAAGCGGCCGGCTATCGAGTCCTTTCTCATACAAGAACTTCCGCTCAAAGTACTGATATTGCGTGTTTACTTCTTTTATTTCTCGGCGCAGCCGTGCTTTTCTCCACACCCTCCACCACGGCAGACCTGCTGCTGCTCGGGTCGATAAACCATGGGCCTCGGTATCAAATGCTGAAGCTGCTTCATGTAGATGCTCGATTGCTTCTTCAATCGCTGGGAATGCGGTAGAGCGAATGCTTGGGTCTACTGAAGCGCTTGCATTAGTTCTTACGAGCTCCAGGTATGTTTGCAGGCTTTCAGCGTAATTTGTAACGTTGAAGCCAATGATAGGATTCTGCACCAAAGATGCAGTAAGGACTCCCCATATTTTCGCCATAGTAGCATGATAATGCCATCCGCTGTCTCCAAAGTTTTCCATCCAGTAGAAACTATCATAGTTGCTATGATAATGATATATAGCGCTCCCAAGGATAGGAGTGAATGCCATGTCCAATGCCGGGATGCCCGCAAAATCCTGAAAAGCGGTGAAATCACTCCCTGAACCCATTGGAGAGATATGGCCATTCCATACATCACGAACTGTCTGTCCTTGAATAGTTTGATTTGGAGACTGCACAATGGACGTCGCCTCATACAAAGCCTTGTGCAATAGTGGAGAAGCCTGTGTTCGAAAACCAGGGCCAGTGCAGGCCACATCAACGTTGATGTAAGCAACAGCAGCTTTCTTCAGCCACGGCATATGTTCTTCGACCCATTCAGTGGATCCTATCAGCGAGTATTCTTCGCCATCCCAGCTGGCAAAGACGATGGTCCGAAGCGGCTTCCATCCATGCTCCAGAGCAACACTAAAGCTGCGTATCACTTCATTTAACACCGCAGAGCCACTGTTAGGATCACCAGCGCCTCCTGCGATCCAAGCATCTCGGTGATTACCGATGATAACAACCTCATCTTGCAGTGTACCATTAATGACGCCAATCACATCCCAGAGAGGAGTTGTGACAAACTCATTTTGAACTGCTAGATTGAGTTGCAAACCGGGTAGAGAGGGACCAATGTTGTATTCTACACCTTTATAGCCAAGCTTCCCTCCATCCCAATCTTGGTTGATTTCGGACGCTTTGGGGCCATGACCATTCAAGGATTTTAATATTGGAATCGCTTCCTGATAGGAGATAGGCTGAGAAGGGATGGTGGGAGTACCATAGTGAGGATCTTGCCGAGGCACACCAGGCTTCGAAGGATAGCCTGGAGTAGTCGGATCTCCGCTGACGATGTCTACCTCTGTCAATCATGGTACCTTAACATCAATAGATGTAGGGAGCACCTACTGATATACTGTACACTACCGCGCTGAACGCTGCTTGGCTGCCTTGCTGGTCCTGCTGGGTACGGATCGAACCCGTTTTGTTCGAGGACATCGCCATCATCTCCGGGATCGGAATATATGATGACACCAATCATTCCAAGCTCTTGCGCACGCTTCACTTTTAAGCCCCTGAATATCTTCCCATACTTGACGACTGCAATTAGCCCGTCAAGATTGACATTTAGTTTGAGGAGATCATCGTAGTCTTTAATTGTGCCGTAATTAGCAAATACATAGCGGCCAGTCACGTTGCCGTTTGCGCCATAGCCATGAAAGGTCGGTACGCTTGTGTCGAGTCGGCTGGTTGGATCTTCTTCCAATTGATCCTCTTCGAGACTGAATTGATACTTGACGCTCAGACTCCCAGGCTTGTCGTTGGTTGAGCCCTCTATGGACTCTAACAATGCCAACGAGTGCGTTAAAGGATAGTTCAAATATACGTCGTAATCCACGATAGTGCTCTCAAGACCATAGCTTTGCCATAGCTCGCTAGTCCACAAAGCAAGGCTGTAGTTTCTCCCTGCTAGATGTGGCCCCGACGAGTAGTGTTTACTCGAGGCTCTTATATTCTCCCTGTTCGGCGTCTCAAGCATTATCTTTTGCAACCCATTGTAGCTCAGACCATACTTGGTCGGCCACACCCCGCTGTGCCGCCACGGAAACCACTCACTCTCCGATGGATTACCCGGTAGCCAGCGACCAGGAACGAGAAATAGAATGATAATAACGACAAGTGTAAGACTCAGTGCAGCGGTGCAGAAGCGACGAACATAGCTATGCGAATAACGTGGGCGGGGAGGAGTGACGATGACAGTTGTAATCAGGGGAGTCTGCTCAGTCGGTGGCATCGTCTGTGCTAGAGAGTCTCAGTCACCTACCCAGTCTCCCGAAGTACTCCGCAACCACCAAATCGTAAATCAAACTCGAGCCTCACACTCATGCCTTTACAGAAACCCCGCCAGCCAATGACATGAGGTCATATAGAGCTAGAGCTAGTTGAGATTAGCCTCGAGCTTGATCCATTCTATACATTCTTCCATCCGCTGCTCCACCTTCTCACTCTTTCTACAGCGATTCTCATCCGCCAGCATCACTTGAGAGAAATTCAAGACCAACAGACATCATGGCCTTCGTGGTCCGACGCCCTTTCGCTCTTACCCTGACCCTCAAACAGCTCCCAAAGACCACCAAAGCACCCCTCCGAGCTTTCCATCAAGCTTCCCGCCAGAGCACCACTTCTACATCCACTTTCAACAAACCCTCGCCCCTCCTCTCACAAGCTCGCCATGCCTTCTCGAAACGCAGCTACAACACGCCCTCAGCCAACTACGCCAACCCTGCCGCCTCCGGCAACTTAACGCAACGGCTCCTCTATGGCGCCACTCTCGTCGGCGGCGGCATCCTCGCCACTAACCTGGTCTTCAACCGCGAGACGCGCGAAGATGGAGGCATGCCACCCTTTGAGCGGCAGTACCTCAACGACACATTCATGCACACGGGACTAGGGCTAGGTATGATCGGTGTGGCGGCGACAGCGCTGCACAGGAGCGGGTGGTCCTACCGGTTGATGAGCATGAGTCCGTGGGTCGTTGTTGGTGGAGGCTTAGTGTTGAGTATTGGGAGTATGTTAGGGACGAGGATGGTGGCGCCTGAAAAGTGAGTATATTCCGCGCCCTCGATTTCTGGCTACTCTGGTGCTGACGTACACCACAGCTACGTACCGAAATACGCCCTCTGGTCCGTCTTCAACGTATCTCAAGCCTTAGTCCTCTCACCCCTTCTGTTCCTTCAGCCTGCCCTCCTCGCCCGAGCAGGCCTCTACACCGTTGCCATGATGGGCAGTATCTCCTTCGTCGGCGCGACAGCCAAGCAGGAGAAATATCTTTGGCTCGGCGGACCCCTTTTAGCGGGTTGCGCGCTTGTCGCAGTTTCCGGCTTTGCTCCCCTCTTACTGCCTGCAACAGCAACACGGACGTTGATGTGGACGGAGAATATCTGGCTGTATGGTGGACTCGCTGTATTCGGAGGCTTCACGTTGTGGGATACGCAAAAGATATTACATCATGCGAGATTGGCCGAGCGAGGATTCATGAAAAAGGATCCCGTCAACGAGAGCATTTCGCTTGAGCTGGACTTTTTGAACATATTTATCAGGATGGTGCAGATACTGGGACTGCAGAATCGGAAGAGGTAGTCTGACGGTTGGATGAGGCGTAAGATTGCGGTCTCGTGATTAGCATCGGCTGATGGGGAAGTTCATATCAAAATGCTCAATTCTTGGTAGTAAAATCAATTCTATTCCATCCTCTCTCTCTATGCAGTACGCTGTGGGACGGTCACAGGATCGTCTCAGGATCTCAAGTGCTCCCCTTTCTTCACGATGATAATGCTTCCATAACCTCCCACATCCCATAAATCGTACAAGATTCGTACACTCACCTTTCCTCAGAATCGTGGCACTCCCTTGGCCTCATGGGGGTCCTACCATAGAGGATTTGAAATCAACGCCCAGCTTTCTCAGTCACCTTTAAATATCTTTAAAGGAAATATTTCTGTCTTTCAGGTAGGAGCTTTTGATAGAATGCAGGTTTTATCCGTTACCTGCATTGTATTCCGAGACAACCCAAGGCCACAGTGCGGTATCCCCAGACGTGTTGCCTTGTGGCATGTTCATGTCCGAGGTTCCACTGCTACCCATTTGCATTAGCGCCGACGCAGAAGACATGAAGTCTGAGGGGGCATTTTCGAAGTTGGGCAAGACGTTGCCAGTAAATTGACGCCATGAACTTGGACTTCCTGGGATCTGATATGGGTCCGAGTTTTGTGAAGGATAATTATTCGGAAAAGTATTTGGCGGGTAAGTAGACATGTAAGCGTTGGCTGCAGTAGCGGTGGTAGCTAACGGATTCGATTGCTGTAGGCTCGGAGCAAAATTGTTGCGACTACTCTCGTATGGCGCTTGGTAGGCGTATTGCTGTGGATTTGGATAAGCTTGCACCAGGTCCGAGCTTGTTTGGACGTAGCGATTTTCAGGCGTAGAAGCTTTGGCTTGGCCGTTACTGTTCATTCGCGAGTAATGCGGGTAAGATTGATAGCTGTTGTTTATAGGAATTTGGTCTAGTTGTATAGATGATTGCGTAGACGCTTTACTTGCTTGCGGAACATGTGGTGGAGGTGCAGCTCTGGCGATCATATGTTGGGAAAGCTCAGTGAGCGTTTCGCTGACAAGCTGATTCACACGATTTGCGAGACGATTTCCAGCTCCTTTCATATGGTTAGCAGCTGATTGACAAGGGTATGACAAGACGTTTACCGAGAAGACTGTCGAGTTCGAAAATTATGCAAAGCCAGTCCCTCATGTCCTGCTTGAGAATTTCGAGATCCCGCAAGCTTATCTGAGCCTTTCGTTCGCAATGACCATATAACGTTGTAGCTATTGCAAGTACGAACAGAGCAAACGTCTGCCACGTGATGTCCATACCTTTCCATTTTTGCAAAATCTTGACGTGTTCGAGAATTTCTTTGGAGACTTCTAGACATACCGTAAGATTCTCCGCGTTTAATTGCTTGGACGATGCCAAAGACAACGATGGATGTCGCAACAATAGACGGATGTGTAGTTGCCAGAGATAGAGATATTGCACATGAATACGACCAAGTTCATTTTCAGCAGCAGACTCGTCAACGAGCTCGCGAGGCCATCCTTTCTTGAACTCTTCAATTCTCTTCTCCAAGTCTCGCACCATTGCCTCATAATCCTGAGGGGTTCGTGTGACCGCATAGATGTTATTGTAGAGATCTATGTAGATAGGCATCACCTTGAAATTTTCCATCCCAACAGTAAAGTTGCATTTGCCGGGTGCGCTTGTGTCCATACTGTTCTCACTGAGAAGGTCATCATCGATCGGCTCAGGCATCTCAACATCCCAGTCTCCGGATTTTAGAGCCATCGGTCTTCCAAGACTGCCACCAACGAGTACGTGTATCCAGTTGATAGTCCAGAAGACGCGCTTCCTAATTTCAATCTCGAGCAAATTTCGCTTCACTGTCGCAGGCCAGTTTTTCGCTGATCGATGAAGGCCAAGCTCAATGGCCAGATTTAAAGTGATCGAGGTCAGCATCCATGAAGCACCAGGTTTTGGAAAGTTTCTCAGGTGAATACATAGCAATGCCAGTGCTTGGACATCAGCCAGCTTATGGCTTGCCATTAGCTGGGGAAAAAAGCCAAGTGCATAATGGTAATGAAGATTAGAAGAGGCATTAAGTTCTTTTTGATGTTCTGCGTCACGGGCATTGCGGGACGCAAATTGCCAGTAGCATGTAGCGAACATCGCATGTACCAAGGCCGTCTCCGCATCTAAAGGCTTGAATGTCGGGTCGTCATACATGCGGTTGAGCTTCAACACTAAGTCAGCATCTGATTTCACGATTTCTTTGTGATACTTACTAATTTCATGAAGGTTGGTTTGTGAGCCACTGGGCAGAAAGGATGGGTTATGCGAAAGAAAATTTCAGCAAAATGAAAGCCCTCACTCTTCGGCGGCAGCTTGACCTCGAGCACTTTGGGACCCCAGCCAAAGGCCGTCTGCACGAAAGCATGATACGACTTGTTGTAGAGTCGTAGACCGGCATGTGACGGATCAGGTTCATCAATGTCAGGAGAAAGATAGTCTGTGAGATCGATCTCCATACCTAGGACATTCATAGACGTGCCACGCACAGTACTGAGCAGGCTGTTTCCACTCGATATACCGAAATAAGTATTGCCACCAGGAGCGTTCCTGGAGTCATCAAGGCGACCGCGATCACCGAGTATGCCGTTCACATTTTCTGAACGCTGTGTGGTCTCTACGCGGTTTTGCGAAGACCCTCTGAGTGGGAGACCTGAAGCGGTAAGGCTGCTAAATGAGCTTTGCGGGCGCAATGTGGGCGTGCCGTTCGCAGTACGAGGTAATCGATCAGACAACGACGTTGCGCTCCTTGAGAGTGGCTTGACGTGTCCACCCAGCAACCGGACCTGTGCTTGCAACTCTTGATTCTGATTCTCCAATTCTACCAGCCGAGACTCTAGGCTTTCTACATATCCCCTCACTGTTGCTTTGCCAGTTATTCTATCGGTGGTCTTACATTCGGCTTGGGCTTGGCGACACGACGCGCACCCATCCGGATTGTCATCGCAGCGCATTTTGCGAATCTACAGTCCATCGATCAGTATCTGGGTACCGTACCGCAGGGGAGCTCACTCTGCATCGATCGCATGCTGTCCCAGTCCGGCTGGCAGTACCCAGCTTCTTCTTGACATCTTGAGAAAAGTCGATGGATTGGTCTTCTTGCTTGACTTTGATCGGTGTCTCGCTGGGAGAAGGATGGTCGCGTTCTGAAAGTTTTCTTTTCATGTTCACGCGGCATGGCAAGTTCCGTCAACAAGGCTGGCAAGGGGTTTGGGCGAGCATTCAGGGTTACGGGCGTCGCGCGTGGCTTTTTTCTAGGTGCTGTCCTTCGTATGAACAGCTTGCAGTGATTCAGTGGGCATCAGCTGCCTATTATGATCAATCTGACGGACCCGTGAAGACTGGGCTTCTAGAACTCGAGCCGGCTGGAACGGCCCAAACCAGCTGGAGCTTTGTCAGAACTACGTCAATAATGTCCGAGACGAGTGGTGAAGCTTATGGAAAAGGGTCACTTTAGTGCTGCGATGATGCTATTTTGGACTTCGGTCTGACAAGATTCGTCAATTGCTTGCCTTAGATGCCCTCTGATGGGAGTGATGGACTGCCCCTCTACCTCGGATATATCGATAGACAGGGGCGTCTGCAGACAAGCAAGACAGAATGCGTTCATTGGCCAAGAGATAGCTCTGCCTCCGGATGCGGTTAATGTGGCTTACGTCATTGCCAAGCCCAGCAATGTTGTCTAAGCGGATAAGATAGAAGAACACAACCTCAGACTCAGAGACTGTCGAATCTAGCGGTATATCATGACTCCGAGCTGATCGGACGGATACGAGAGGCACATTCGACTATCGTGCCCGGGAGAGAGCACGGCCAATTAGTTGTAGCTGTACGAGTGGACGTAGGGCAGCCATTAGCGTATTGTCAATGCACTAGGCTGAAGCTGCATTGCCCCGCAGAAATACATGTCCAGCTGCTGCGAGATCAAAGGGACATGAGCCAAAATCTGTACCCATCTTGGTGAGAGGCGATAGCTCCAACATCGTCGAATATTTCTGCCCTACTAGCAGAACGTCATATCTGCCGCGTCTTCGAGAAGGTCACTAGAAGCCCACTAGAAGCTTAGGCTGTCGCATATACAGAACCTGACACACTTGTTTCCGAGCCTCTGTCTTTGAGCGCCTATCAGCTTTCATTCCTGAGAACCGGCATCTGAACAGACCACAAGCATCAAGCTTCAGGAAGCGCGCACGGCGCATTCTGCACGCCCTGCACCATCCTAGAGGAGGATCAGAAACAGGCACGCGCTCTGCCAATCATTACAGAGATCAAAAGTGGATCGCGTGGGTCTGGGAGAGGGGTCAACAGAAAAAAGAGGAAGAGGCTAAGGAGCACCCCAGTGTATGAAGCAGTGGGCTGTAGCAGGCTGCAGATCTATTTTTATTCCCCAAACTCTGGGGACATAATTCGAGGAGTCCATCAGAAAGCTTTGGAAACCCGAGCACTGGGGGAAAAAGACAATCTACAAATGCGGACAGTCATTCTCCCTCCGTGAGGTGGCAACTTCCTCCTCATTGCTCGTACCCTTTAATCTTGCCCCGCCTGACCTTTCCGACAATGCTCTGGGCGCCAAAGAGGGATGCTGCTGAGTTCTGAAGACTCCCATCTCCGGTTGGGAGTATTGCAAGACATAGGACATCGAGGAGAAAAGCAGGACCAATGCCTAGTATGCGGCGTCACAGGCCTGGGGGCTCCGCCTTTGCAGCCAAAGCGGGTGCAGCCTCCTCAACACCCGACAGCCTGTCGACGTTCAGATCATTCAATTCAGATACAAATCCTACGAGACCGATAAGACCTTCTCCCCTCACCGCATCTACCATACATGGTATACCGCTGGACATGTATGACCGCATACGATCTTTCCCGCTGTTTCTCTCCGCTCCTGAAGCATTTCTAGCAGCCATTGGCAAGCATTTACGGCCGCAATCGCATGCACCTCATGATTACATTTTGACCGAAGGGGATGATGCCAAAGCAATGTACTGGCTGGTCCGGGGAGTGGTGGCAGTCACATCAAGAGATGGTGAAAGCACATATGCTGAGCTCAAGCCTGGTGCTTTCTTTGGGGAGATTGGTATTCTCATGGAGATACCTCGTACGGCGACTATCGTGTCAAGAACAAAGTGCTTACTCGTCACACTCAAAAAGGAGGATTTAGTCAAAGAGTTGCCGGCGTTTCCGACAGTGGAGCGAGCAATCAGAGATGAAGCTTCGGAGAGGTTGTCGATTCTCAAGAGGAAGAAGAAAGAAAGTCAGTCAGCTACAAGCGTCGATAAACCAAAGACATTGGTAAGCCGCGGAGGAAAACGCGCCAGAGAAGTAGAAGATGGCGACGTGGAGATGATTGATGTGATCGTAAACGGTGTCAAGGGCAACAAAAAGCGTAAATCGCCATCTCCAAGCCTTGTGGAAGCAGCGAGTTCCAGTGCCTTAGGCGATGGTTTGGTCAACGTCAGGCAGTTGCTCAAGGAGCTTCCTCTGTTTTCCGATCTACCTCCCGAAATGCTGCACTTTTTGGGTCTCAACGCGCAGCCTTGTACCTATCCACCATTCACAGACATTATCCAGCAAGACTCTAAAGGACGAGAAGTCTTCTTTATCGTGAGGGGTGAAGTGGAGGTGATTGATGAGAAAGCTCCTGGTCAGAATTTGAGGACTTTGACCAACGGCGCTGGACAAAGTCTGCGAAGGGGGGCGCAAGTCAAAGCTCGCTTGAAACAAGGACAATATTTTGGGGAAGTAGTCAGCCTGTCATTGGCCCCACGGCGGACGGCGACTGTCCGTTCTGTCACTTCTGTTGAATGCCTCATGATCACTGGAGACGTCTTGCTAAATTTCTGGGCTAAATGTCCCCCAGCAGTGAGACAGCAGGTCGAGAAGACGGCGAGGCAAAGACTACAAACTGCATCGGACGGCGACGTGATCATGTCGGATGCTAGTGACTCGACACCTCCTATTCAGAAGTTGAGGATTGCGGATCGAAATTCAAAGACCTCAAAGAAAAAGCAGTCTTTACCCACTGTGACTTTCTCAGACCAAAAGCCTGCTACACCACATAAGCCGACTAGGATTGAGGATGTCCCTGTCACTGAAGCTGTAGACCCAGATCCTTTCATGAGCATTGACAGCAGCAAGTCGTTCGATAGATCGAGGCGAAGCTCGCTAGCCCCTCCAATAACCGAAGAGGAAGAGACTGAACGCAGAGATCGAGTGACAAGTGCTTCGCCGCCTGGAAGTCGACCTACGACGCCGTCACGGCGGCATCGACTGGGAGAGCTGTCGCCTGAGCAAGGAAAGCCGAAAGCCAGCGGCATCAAACGCTCACCAAGTGCACATAGTCAAGGCATATTTCCCGACAACGTATTGATAAATGTCTTCAAACAATTCGAATTACCAGAGCTTATGCGATTACGGCTAGTCTCACTTCACTGGTCCAAGCTCTTGAAAGAATCGCCCGAGCTGCTGCGAACACTGAACCTTGCTCTGTACAACCGCATCATCACAGACCAAGTCCTCATAAACCATATCTGCCCTTTCGTTGGCACCCGACCGCGAACCGTCGACATCAGTAACTGCTTCCACATCAGTGACGAAGGATTTGCTGCCCTTACATCAGCCTGCGGCGCTAACGTGACAACATGGCGAATGCGCAGCGTCTGGGACATCACCGCCCAGGCGGTCCTCGAAATGGCAAACCGAGCTAAAGGCCTGGAAGAAGTCGACCTCAGCAACTGCCGCAAAGTCTCCGACAACCTCTTACAGCGAGTTGTCGGCTGGGTCGTGCAAGGCACACCGGGCCAGAACGACATGCACGGGCACCAGCGACACGCTGCAGCGCGGTCCGTCGGCGCTCCTGTACCTAACCATCACCCACCTCCGGGCACGGTGTTCGGCTGTCCCAGACTGAAGATCCTTACGCTCAGCTACTGCAAGCATGTTACCGATCGCTCAATGGCGCATATGGCATATCATGCTTCTTCGCGCCTCGAACAGATCGATCTGACGCGATGCACGACCATCACAGACAACGGCTTCCAACACTGGGGCCAATTCCAATTCTCACGACTCACGAAATTATGTTTGGCCGATTGTACGTATTTGACGGATAATGCGATCGTTTACCTCACCAATGCAGCGAAAGGACTGCGAGATCTAGACCTGGTAATGACCACCCCTCCCACATGCTCTGTCTCCTGTCACAACGCTAATGATATACTTCACAGTCTTTCTGCTGCGCCCTCTCAGACACCGCAACCGAAGTCCTCGCCCTCGGCTGCCCCCATCTCCGCAAACTCAACCTCTCCTTCTGCGGCAGCGCCGTCTCCGACCCTTCTCTCCGCTCCATCGGCCTCCATCTGCTCGAGTTGAAGGAACTCTCCGTCCGCGGCTGCGTGCGCGTCACCGGGCAAGGGGTCGAGTCGATAGCGGATGGGTGCCACAAGCTGGAGTATTTCGATGTCAGCCAGTGTAAGAACCTGACGCCGTGGCTGGAGCGACAGTTGTGGAGACGGTATGCGCCACGGATCAAGTTTGAGACTGTGGCGAGGGGAAGCAATCGGATGGGCTCCCGATGATGGGGTGGGGAGCGAGGGGGAAAGGGCTGTAGTGGAGGTAGGGGAGGGCGGCGTCGGGGCGGGGGATGTTGATACGACAATAGCGGGGCGTTGGTGACTTGCTTTCGAGCGATGGTGTGCATGTGGATTGGCTAAAGGAATGTCAAGATGATTGATATCAAAGATTTTCTGATTCGAGACTTGGATTTGATGGGCAAGACGTACGCACTTACAGCCCAATGCAGGCATTTATTGCGACTACATGCGCTCGAGCGATCGCTTGTGGGTGTCTTCCTAAATCTCAGACGATGTGTGCCTCATAGATTCTCATGGATATCTTACTACTCTGTAATGTCTCTGCCCTGGCCATTCACTCAACCATTGCTACATGCACATAGAGACCACCACAGATGATCTTTCCGAGAACTAAGCAACATGACCGCATCTTCCCCACCCCCTCCACCCCTCCGAAATCAGAGTCCCTACCCTACCCTACCCTACTCCACCAGCCCAATTAAGACATCCGTGGCCTGTGTGTCAACCCTCCTCTCCAGAGTGGCGCTGCCAGACACGGCCCGCCCGCGTGACAGCCGCAGAGCATGAAACAACCTAAGACTCAACCTCGTACCCGTCTATATCTGGAATCACGGATTTCATTCCATGTCAGGCGTAAGGATGTTGTGTGGGCGAGGTCGTGGTCGCATGTTAATGGTGTTTTGCATCACCGTTTGGATTCTCCGGCTGCAATCCGTGTTTCTGGCCTAAGTGTAGACTTGTGCATGGTGGGCTTAATGATTGCGGAGTGGCCGTTTTATCATCAATTTGACGGTAGTTGAAGCTGTGACGGGAAAGCGACATCGCGTGGATATCTCTGGAGGTTTGTCTATGGCAAAGTATCCTGATTACGAGCCTTCGTGTCGTTCGAGTGACGAGCGGCGATCGGCGTGCATGACATGTTGTCCTGATATCGCTATCGATTGTGAAAGTGAGGTTGCACCTTGAGGCCATGGAATATCTGCGTGGGCTTTGCATCTTGGGCCCTGGTGATGGGTCGTCATTTCGGTTCCCTATTCAGTCTCCCGTACTCTGCTTAGGTTAGCGATGCAGGACCTGCAACAGCGGTCGGATCTTGTACAGCTTTGACGCAATATCCATAGGTTCTGATGCTATCGGACAAGACTGAACTAGATCCAAATGTCCAGGGGCAATCGTTAGCATCTGGATGTTATCTTCATGGTGTCATCGCGCTCCAGGCAGTCGCGGATGAAGGCCATCAGGTCTCTGTGGTAGTATTGTAATTCTAGAAATCTAAATGGGATGTATGTTCATTGGGGTATCCTATCGTTCAGCGCCATGCAAAAGTCGCTTGTACCTGATGATGTTATGTGGTAGTACTGTCATCGACCTCCACACGCAGTAGGCATATCATAGTCTGTCTTGATCAAATCCAAATCGATCGCTGTACATCAACACGTAAACGTCATCACTGTTCGTGTCATATTCTTCCCCCAAAATGCTCCTTCGCATACTGCTCGCAGGCCTTTCTAAGGTCAGTATCTAATGCTACCGTACTGAAGCGTCAGGGAAGACATACCTTCGCAGGCTTTCCCACCTTCTGCCCGATGAATTTCCATTTATTCTGCTCATACTCTTTGATGGCATTGAGTAGAGCCTGGCTCTGGCAGCGACATTAGCTAGCACTGCAACTAAAACCCGTAGAACGCAACATTACCTCGTCCTCGGCAAACTCGGCATAGTGCATATCCTGGGGGACTGTCAGTCTTCGTGTTGCTTTTCGTGGTTCCTGTAGCGTTCGCATACCTTGTACCAGTGCTTCTTTACACTTCCCTCCGTACGCGATGGGAAGGACTACGCATTATCAGCATCTTCAGCGAAACAAGAGACATCCAACGAGCATCGATCCACCTTTGCAATCTCACTCCAGCTTTTCCCCGCGTCGCGCATGCGCCGAAGCAATGCTTCTTCGGCTGGCGACCATGGGGTGTTTGTCCTATTCTTCTTCGGCGGTGGGGGTGCTGCGATCTCCTCCTCGCCTTCTTCGACCTTTGTCTGTGCCTGTGGATCAGCACTCATCTGTTGAGGTGGCCCTCTCATCTGAGGAGGAAGTGAAGAAACAAGATTCGGTGATGGTGATGGCACACCCCCGGGCGCTTTCCTCTTCCGAGAGACCGGTGATGACGCCTGGTTTTGGGAGGGAAGCTGCGGTGCGATCACGTGAGGTTGTTGTATCTGATTCTGAGGTATATGGGGCGGTAGCGCTGGTTGTGGAGCATAGGGTGACGTTGGATGCGATATTGACTGAGCCGTCTGTATCTGCTGGTGTTGATGAATTTGGGGAGGCTGCTGGAAGCTCGGAAAAGGTTGGGGGCTCTGAAATTGGTATGCGGCTTGAGGACTCAAGGACAATGGCGAGTAGTACTGTTGTTGAGGTAGGAGTGGCGGCCCAGTTGAGACAGTGGTTTGCTTGGAGGCTCTGCGAGAGGCCGAGTTGGAACTGTCGATGATCGCATCATCATCAGCTGCCGTGTCCACATCCTCCCATATCATTCACTTCCTCAGTCTTCACTCACGACATGACAGCGCCGGGTAGTAGTCTCCCACGGCAAAGCGATCTGATGTTTGGCCACTTTGATCTGGCGTCATCAATGTAACCTCACCTATACATGAGGCCCCGATCAGATGCTGAATAATGCAAGATCGCACCCATTTCGTTCGCTGACGCAAAAATTGGAGATGACCATGGCCCAAAACTTAGGTGACGACGTTGCGAGGGTACCGATCAGATTTGAAAAAACATCAATCACATTAGAAGCATTAGACGTGAACAAAAATCGAAAATTGACCTGCTTGATTTTTTGCGACCTATCTGAAGGGGACTGCACGAGAATCACATGAACTACGCATGGGGGAGCTGCAGAGCTATCGACAGAGCCAGTCAAATCACAGCCAGCAGACTCGAGCTCTACCTCCCCATTCGGGCAGATGTTCGCTAGACAGTGTTCAACCCCGCATGACGAGACCTTCGGAGTGAGGGGCGAGAAGATCGAATAGTGGAACGAGTTGGCGAGTAGCTTGTCGATCTTGGACCATTAAGGGCCGGCGCGCAGAAAATGGGACGAGTGGACACCACAGCATACTGTTTTGGGAAGGAGATAACCCAATAGCTACCCAAATGCAGAGCCGTAGGAACCGGACCGGCTGTTCCTCCTTCCCCAATCCTTCTTGGGCTTCTGGATCGTTCTGCAGGAAGGAAAAACAGAAAAGTTTAGGTACGCGGCCAGATCTGACAGACCGTGGTGTGATGGGGTCTTTCTAGGGCCGCAGATGGGCTCTGCACCGCTTGATTGCCCGCAGATTGCGACCTGCAACTTGGGGCCGGAACCGAACGAATGCGGCTCACCGGATTTATGGTTTGGGGATAGCCATAAGCCATGAGCTTTGGCTTAATGTCAAGGAAATAGGCGTACAAAGGCTACAAGGGGAGGGTTGGACCTGGAGCCCCTTCTACTGGTGCTCTGGCTGTTGTGGTCTTCAACGATGATGGGTATTCCGGTCAGGTTCTATGGAGGTACGGGTATCTTCACACCTCCATTTCAGAAGTACCTCCTCGAACCCCAAGGCTGACAATATAGGGGTGGGTCTACGGTTGGCTGCTCCTCTGTGCGTCTACGCGTGCCATTGTGACAGATATATAACAAGCCGTGTCGCTCACTTGTTTCGAATTAGGCGGCGCGTGTACCACAAGGCTCCCAAGTCTCCGACGACTCCTTTGACTCCTTGGCCTCCTTGTGAGCGTGCCTCATGTTCAGGACTGAAACCTAGCTCACGTCCTGGCACCGGCAATTGGGTCTCAGTTGATTACGAGAGGCGGCCGCTTGACTTCTGCTGCCGCGTATCGAATCGTTTCAATTGCTCCCGGCTAGTTTCACTCGCGAGTGGCCCGCGCATTTGTGACCGCTTACAAGGGTCGGGAAAACATGTTTATGGAATCTGAACTCTACTGAAACAACGCCTGGTGGCAGCACGATGCTCTGCTGCTGCTGCCGTCCTTCTCCATCGCGTGCAGAAGAATGTCGAGCAGCAATTCGAAAGATCCATGATAACTCGCAAGATAGGGATGCATTAGCTTCATGAGCAGAGGGAAAGCCACTAGCCTCATACCGTTGCGGCGTGGTCTCGAGGACGCGTAGGACTGACGAGGAGGAGGAACGAAGCTTCAGGGCCTTTTATGCTTCAGGCTTCTCAGACCTCGGACTACAGACTTCATACTTCAGACCTCAGACTCCAGACAGTCGGAACTACTGAATACTGGGCTGCCTAGCATGTTTCGCCCGTGCGGGCCAATCGCAACTAAAGTCTCTTGTCCCTTAGCGCGGCTGCTAAGAATGATCCAGGGCGTTTTTTAACGGTCTTCACCCTGCCGCAACAGGGTTTGAAAGCTCGTGGGCTTGGGGAACAAAAGGCTGCTGCTTCTGCACTTGATCCTCACCATCATTGCGGCGTCTGACATGTCCTCGGTCTTTGCGGTCCTTTCCAAGCTATCTGCAAGTCACTAGTCGTATCAAGCACAACTGTGCCTCTCAATCTTCACTACACCATGACGTCCTAACCAGCCCGGGTACTCGTTGCGCCTTCACTCTCACCAGGAAGCGGTCGTTCCAGTCTGGAAACGTAAAGCGTCTGTCAGAGTCGACGATTTGAAACCGCCCCGAGTCGTTTTATCCTTGAGTATACATAGAGGTCTGGAACCCTGCTCAACATTATATTCACCTTTTTACGGCCAGCATTGAGCATTCATCGCCTCAAGCAATCCTGTACCCATAATATTCGATTTTTACGAGTCCCACCGGATGGGTCAATCGAACCGTATTTTCAATACCTGACCCTTTCTAATTCAATCTGCCACCTGAGAAGCCCCAGCGTTTGTGGCGATTATTCCAACACTTCTCCCAACATACCTTGGTGTTTAGCGACCATTTTCGGCTAGCCTTGGCAGATTCACACCTCTCAAGCTTTCTTTCACCATTAAAGCTCAGCCTCTTTCAATCATCTGTATATTCCATTGTCCACCACCCAAGCAGTCTCGGCTCTATCAACTTCTCTCCATCTCAACATGTCTTACGCCCCAACACAAAGGCCTGTAACTGCACGGGCTTCTACATCTTCAGATATGTCCAACCTCCATGTTCCCCCACAGTTGCACCGACATCGGAAGACTGTTTCTACTGGTGGAGGCCGAGCTTGGTCAGAAGCAGAGGTAATATGCTTTTTCCAATCCATCACCCAATCTGTGACTGACAATCTCAAAGGAAGCATACCTAATCGAAACGCGAGAGCGGAAGATGCCCTACAAGCATATTGCTGCTCAGCTCAAGAAGACTGAGCTAGCTTGCCGATTGCATTATCACCAGCTTTCCTTTGGTAACAAAAGCCGAAGGACAGCCTACTCCGCCTCAGTGCACTCTATGGATCGATCGTCTATGACACCACCGACTATGAGACAACCTACTCCCCAAAGGCCGTTACCATCATTCTCTCCACCAGCAAGCCCCGAGAACCGAGACTACACTCTGCATAACCCAATTGACAACAGCCTTCATAAGCCCATTCTTCCAAAGCCGATAGTTTCTCCAGAACGCGCAGGTCAAGACAGTCGAGCTCTCCGCCTAGTCACTGACGACATCAAAGACCGGCACTATGTGGATATTCCCCGCCTTGACAAAGTCTACGACAGCCACCGACTCCATTTTTGGTCTCGCATTGCCAGCGAATACGGTGGAAATCTCTCACCAGCAACCCTTGAAGAGGCCTGGCGCCGCGCTCATGGCATCTCTGGATCAAACTTCCCCCCAACTCCTCGAGGAAGTCCGCAAAGCTCGCAAGCTCAGCCGTCCATCTTGACTACGCCGTTCAGCGCTGTGACAGACCCAGGCAACGGCTTCAGGGCGGTCAATCAGCGTCGCGAGAGCTCGCAGCCACCGCCACGATCCAGCTATCCGCCTCCTTCTGCAGTGTCAAAGCAGAGTTCCTTTGCAATCTCCAGCCTTCTGACAGACAACAAAGAAGTCAGAAGCCCAAGTCGAGAGAGAAAGCTCGAGGAATTGCAGCCTGTAGAGCCGAACGTCCATTCAGCATCAAGCGCGAGTCCCCTGACCGAAATTCCTGCTACTGCGTGAACCTGGCAAAGCGTGGGCGTTGGAGGCGTTTCCCTCAAATTTCAACTACAGTTGCGCGAGAACGGGAATCTAGAGCTGGCTACTCTGGCAGAACGATATACGATTTCATTCACTTGTGACGAACGCGATGAGCGACATTTGGAATTTTGGTTTTATGGTACATGATAAAGGTCTACGAGTTCTACTGTCCTCACAAAGACATAGTGTTTAATATTTTGAGAATCTATGCGATAGCCGAAGGAAGCTGCAAACGCTGTTTTTGAGTGATGCACGTACTGAACGAATAAAGGGGAGTGGATATTTTGATAGGGCTGTCCTTATAGATACCCAATGAGAAGCTGTCTACCAATACTCAAGTCCTCCTTCACACAATCTTCGCAATTCTCATTAATTCTCTCGAGCAGTGTCTCCTGAACACCGTGTCCCTCCCCTTCCCAGCCCCCTCAAGATTTCGCCCCCATCAGCCCTCCTCACCAAAAATTCTCGCAAACTGCATCTACATTAGCTAGGTAGACAAACGCCCCTCCCTCTCCGCCAAACACTCCCCACCAAAACAAAAAATTCCCACCCTGGGTAATCGACCCGAGCAGGCCAAGAAACCGGTGTGCGGCACAGTCCTCATTTCCCAGCGACGGTGCCCTCGCTAGCTTCCCTCGTCCCTCCCAGAGGTTTTCTTAGTGCGGTCCTTGCGAGGTCGCCAAGGGGTTCGGTGGATGGATGAACATCGTGCTGACTGGCGCTGCGGGAGCTAAAATCTTGCGTTATTCCTTCGTTCGTTCGTGCACAGGGGAGGGGAAGGGGCGAACGAGCTACGGCATGCTTTACTTGAGTCGATTGGGTAAGATAAGCTACGGTGGTGTCCATGGATGGGTGATGGTGCTGGGGGGGCTGGGCTGGGCCAGCTGTAGGCCTAATCAACCTGCAGGATATGCAATGCAGGAACGTGGTGTGGGCAGTGAAATGTGAATAAGGGGTGGTGCGTGCGTGCGTGGCCTGGGCCTGGAGACCCCATAGGCGGTGGGTGGCTAGTGGGTTTGAGGCTCCCTGGCTTTCTTTTAGGGCGGGGCCTTACTAGGTGAAAAAGTCTGTTGTATGGTGGGTTTCTGGTGAGTTTGAGGTCGAGGTGAAGGTGGCGTGGTTGGTGAGGTGAGATGAGATGAGCTTTGGGCTGGCTGGGGCTTTCCGTAGAGTTTTCGTAGACGCCGGATATCTTGCGTGCTTGCGAGCTTGGGGCAATTGTGATTGACATGGGCTTGTGGAATGCCTGAAGATCGTGACGAGCAGATTGACGTCAACTAGGTATTGAATAGGTTCACCTGTTCGATTTAGCGTACGAATTCTGTGATATGGACATGTTTCATGTTGCGCAGGGCAAGAGCCTGTTTTTGCGAATCGTAGATTGTGATAGGGCAAATCTGGATGGCCTATACAGAGGCCACATATTTTAGACCGTCACGCAATCGAAGAAAGAATTTTTGTATCTTGCGAGACTGGCGCGAGAGGCGCTCCAGGATGCCACTTTCTCAAGTATTCCCCAACTGTTGGCACTGGCAGTCAGGCCAAGTGTTCAAAGCGATATGTGTGAGCCTGAGATTGTGAAACCACAGACAGGATGTTGTGTACGTCCCATGTTCTTGGTAAGTTAGGAGAGCTGTTAGCATGGGAAACAGCGCAGGTCAGGCAGTTTTCGTGATCATCGACGCGGGGGTGGGGGGAGCATGTAGGGATGATCGTGCAGGAAACCCCCTTGACTGTGTAGATCTTTCTTCCCTCTGCTGCGACGTGCCCTCGTCAATTGGCCCTATCCTCCGAAACCCTCTTCCCTAGAGGGCTTTAAGGGTATGGCAAAGTTGAATATTTCTTTCAAGACACATCAGACAACGCTGCGTATCGCAATAATACTAGAGCCAGGTATGGCTTGCGTAGCTCAAGTGCGCAGGCCGCTAAATTTCCGCTCCAGATGACTCTGCTGTTCTCGTAGACGTGTCAGTAAGCGCTGGCAAACCTGCTAATCATAGTGCGTATCATGTAGGATATTGATGAAGGCGCAGTTTTGAGGTGCCTGCGAGTATTCCATGAGCACCCAGCAGCTGCTGGAGCCCTTAGTCTAAAAGACGATATATCGCTCACGAGACCAGTGGGCGGTGACCTAACCCACAATCACCATCAGCTTGTTCCATAGCTTGCTTGTTATCGAGCTAGAATGTCTTTCCGGTTTTTCTTTGTGATTCAACGTATTCGTCTCGCCTTGCATGCGTAATCATTGTCGTAAGCCTGACTTCTCGTTCTCCGAGTCGCAGGAGTATATAGGCGAGCCTGGCAGTCCTGAGCTCGGCCTCCACGTCATCCAAAGAGAGAGCCTTCGCATTCCACCAATAAAGCTGCATCTTTTGTTCTTAGCATTGGTTCCACTCTTATCACTAGGTCATGAGGAAGCCATGATGAACTTTCTGCTCAGCGCGGACTGCTCTTATCGGCACTCAGCTTTCTGTCATTGGAAATGCCTGCGTCTTTTCAAGTTGGAAAGCAACGTACTCGTGATGAAAACCCTGGCCAACACTCAGAGGGCATGGTGTGAACTGGGAATATAGTGCTCGTAGTGATTGGAAGACGCAAGTGTCAGGACAGCTACAGCGATGGAGAAAAGGCAGATATTACTAGGGAGATATCTTTGGAAAGGGGCAAACATGGAGGATGTAGCTTTCTGTAGAGACTGGCGTTTTCAGCTCATCATGATCATTGATAGAAGGATGTATCTCAGACAATCCACGTGATTTTTCCAAGTTAAAAAAAAAAAAATTCCACATTATGCTGTGGTGCTAAACGGGGACTTCGTAAGCCGAGAGATCGCATGAATTGAGATACTTGCTCCTGCACTTCTTACCTACGGGTTTCTTGCTTATCGCAGACACACGTTTCAAGTTTTGTGCAAGGAGCCTAAGAGGCGTTCTAAGTGCGTTTCTAGGATTTCCGTACGTATCGTCTCCACCTTGAAAAACGGGAACAGACCCTCCACACTTGTCTCGGCCACAGTCTTTCGCACGTCTCATGACCATGATACCTGCTCTATTGGATTGTCGCTGCCGTCAAGGATGTCATGCGATGAGTTAGCCCCCACGGTTTATATGCCACAAGCCTTCGCTGGAGCGGAAGTCGCAACGTCGCACCATTGTTTTCAACCCGAGAACGCCTTATCGCAAGCAGAAATGGGAGCAGACAATCCATTAAAACAGCTAGCGGTATTGATATGCGCTTCTGGTTGATGGTCTAATGCGGATTTCACATATTGGCCTGATGGGGAGTAGGGGTCGGTAAGTGCATAGCAGCGGTAATATCATGTTGATCTCCGTTTCAGAAGCTTAGTGGTGACAGCAATGTGTCAAAGATGATTGAATAGCCTGAGGAAAGCCGAGGCTGGGGTCTGTTTGTGTTTTGCTTGCTGCCGGCTTGAGTCGGAAGTTGAGAGGCCCAAATTGATGAATGTCGATCCTCGAGATGTAGCAAAGATCACGAGTGTGAAGTTGAATCACAGTCTCCAAAGTTGACTAGATCAAAGTGAGCCACAGTATTCAAAGTTGGCTTGATCAAAGTGTTGATACGTTGCACCAGCCAGTACTGTGCCCATGTGGTTTACTTCTCGGCCAATGCAGCTGGCACAGGCACCATAACGTTGTCACGTACGAGTTTGAGCCACACTCTTGCCCTCCAAAGCGAGGGTAAAAGGCTATTTGGAAGCTCCGAATCGCGATCTTTCGACTCTTCATTGAGAATTTGGATGCATCTTTGAACCGCGTCCACGTGCAATTCCGATCTTGTGGGAAGAAAGAATCGTGACTGGACTTTCACCTCTGACGTCTCACCAAGCAGGACTGCGTGTATTGCATTCTCACTGGAGTATGCGATGCAGAGAGGTCCAGCTGGGCATGTTGCGCATGCATAGTGCACATTCAGCTTCGAAGCACCAATGGCATAGTCAGAAGGGGTGACACCACCCAGGGCTTTCTTGGCGGTACGAACACTCCAGCGGGAATAATTCTTCATGATTTCATTGACATCCATACCATCGACCACCTGCAAACTTGGAAGGACATGTCTGTCAGATGAAGTTTGTCTTGCCAGTGCATCCTGTAATGCTAGAGACTGACAGGCAGTAGCGAATTCTCCGGGCGTGATCTGTGTTGTGGCCTTGAATACGCGTTGGAAATGAAATGGACTCAAACAAGCTGCCTTTGCAAGGTCCTCCAATTTGAGCGGCTTTCCGCGACAATCGTTTGCCTCGAACGCATCGGTAACGATCATCTGCAGGGCCTTGACTACGCCGTTGACGCCCTTATCGGCGACCGCCAAGCTTTCTGGTACACACCTCTTGCATGGTCGGTACCCAGCTTTTTTAGCATCCTCGATAGCATTGGGAAAAGAAAAAAAAGTTATGTGTTTGCGAGAAGCTCGTCTGGATGCGCAGGATGGACGACAAAAGATTTTGGTTGTCTGTACGCCGTAGAGAAAGTGACGGTCTGCGGCGCGGGAGCGGGACAATGTTGCTTGCCAACGTTCGTCGTCAGTCATAAATGATGTCGAAGTCCCTAATGAAGGCCCCGAAGCAGGCACAACTGAAGCAAGATCGTCTGCACTCGGTACGAGAGTTGTTGCATCACTTGCTGCATCATCATTCATGTTGCAGCTGGTAGTAGCGTCGAATGCCAAAGCATTTCCCCAACACAAACCCAAAGAGCCGGAGACCTCATGATCAGTAGGGCTCCATCCGAAATCGAAAGGGGTGTTCCAGAAAGACGTGAGGTCGCCTTGCGGCAATTGAGCGTAGTTCTCTTCTAGAAAGGAAGGATCCGCTGGAAAATTCTCACTTGCCGATGGCAGACTTACAAGCTCCATGTCAACAGGAGCAATGCCACTGATATTACCAAACGAACTAGCTTCAGCAGCGTCGACTGGAAACCAATTCTGTGACGAAAGTATGTCGTGATGGGTTGAAGAATCTGCCAAGACCTGGGATGACTGTTCGAGATCAAGGGAGGACCACTGGCCTAGCTCATTTTCCCGAACGACCTCGGAGCTTTGACCTGAGTCATACTCAGAAGCAGCAGCATATTGGAAGTCATGTTGCTTTGTCTCCTCTGTGATTTGCTGTGAAGAATCTGGGGTCCAACCTTGCTGATACATGGTCGAGTTGCTCAACTTAAATGTCTGTCAGAGATTTCCAGATTGCCGCCAATATTGTGCTATCTGAAGTCGGAAGATCAATGGCCGAATGTGTATATAGAGAGAGCCTCAATCCTCCAGGCTTCATCTTTACTCAAACTGCATTTGTCAGAGCTGAGCTTTGGAAGCAAGGCCTTGTCAGACTAGCAGCTAGCCTAGACCGACGGGTAGAATCATGAATCGAAGCCTGTGGAACATCGTCATTGCTGCCTTGCGCTTGAGGTGAATATCCCATTGAAATTGAGAGACATGCCCGCTTACCATCGGACAACCCAATGGCGGTGTGACAGGAGAAGTCTTCTTAGTCATATTCAGGGGAAACCCTCCTCGCCGTAATCGGCATGACAAAGGAGGTGAAAGTACTCTATGACTCTTTAATATGTCGCCGGAAGTAGGTATGTACAATGAAGAGAATGGGATTTGATGTCATGTGGGTGTTCAACGGCTTCATGTCACGCATATCCGTCCGTATGCTGGTTGAATGGCCTAGAATCGGCGGAATAGGAGGTGGAATTGGTTCCGCTTCGCACGGGTTGGGGAATACGAGAGTGAAACAAGGCTGAATAGCCACTAGAACTAGCCATTCTTTTCCTGCAATCCTCTCTCCTCTGTGGCGACGACGAGCATAATCTATACTAACCTAGGTGTCGAGTCCGCAGCGTGTGTGGCCGTGTCCTTTTTGTTCTTGCACATTCGTTGATCCCTTGACAACCTTTTCTTTCAGCACGCTCGCTTTCATTTCGATCGGCAGGCGCAACCGCTCAAGCCCCTGGACCTGGTTCTGCATCAGCCCGCACGCATCGACAAGCCCCTTGACCTCATCGTGCATTGCTCGAGAACACATACTATATTGTCGAGAACATATTAAGAACATAATTTAAGACGTTGGGAATGGGCCGCGCATTGGTAACGGCCGCAGCGGCCATTCTCTGTGCCTCCGCAGTGCTCGCTCAGACTGGCACTGGCACCAAATGTGGAGCTGGAAGTAGTTGTCCGGAAAGCTTGCCATGCTGTTCTCGTACTTCTCTCGAGTCCTTTGCGCATGAGAACCGAAGACTGACTGTCTTCTAGAGTATGGCGAGTGCGGTGTGGGAGCATACTGCCTGGGCGGCTGCGACCCGAGATCCTCACACTCCCTCAACTCCTGCGTCCCTGCGCCAGTATGCAAATCACAAAAATATCAGATGACCTCACTGGATAATATACAAGCAAATACGAAATACTTGGGAGACCCGTCGAAGGCAGACTGGGTATCTAGTGGCACACCGTTGCAATCGCCAGATAAAGACTCTGTCATCCTTACCCTTTCTGAGGATGGTGAAAGCTCTTCAGGCACATTACTCGCCAGTACTACATATGTATGGTACGGAAAGATCACAGCGCAGCTAAAGACCAGCCGAGGGCAAGGCGTTGTATCAGCTTTCATTCTGCTGGGCGACAACAAGGACGAAATTGATTTTGAATTCGTTGGTACGGATCTTCAGACTGCTCAATCGAATTTTTACTTCCAGGGCATCACGGATTGTGAGCACAACTCCCTTAAGAAGCTGTATAAAACTCTGACAAATCTCAGACATGAATTCTAAAAATCTCTCGGTCAGCGGAGACGACACATTCTCCGATTACCATACGTACGAAATCGATTGGAAGCCTGATCAGATCACCTGGGCAGTAGATGGTACTACACAACGAACTCTCAAGAAGTCTGACACCATGAACAAAACCGACAACCAATACCACTACCCACAAACACCCTCCCGTGTGCAACTCTCGCTCTGGCCCGCTGGTTCGTCAAAGAATGGAAAGGGCACAGTCGACTGGTCTGGTGGCCTGATAAATTGGTCGCAGCAAGACCCGCAGCAGAACGGCTATTACTACGCTATGTTCAAGGAGGTTGATATCGAGTGCTACGATCCTCCAAGTGAGGCCAAGAAAAGCGGCGACAAGTCCTACGTTTGGACGAATACAAATGCCATGGAGAGCGATGTTTCTATCACCGATAACGATACCGTCTTGAAGTCTTTGCTGGGTTCGGGCGAAGATATGGACAAAGACTATCCCAATCCCTCGGGCACCAAATCTGGTTCTCCACAGCAAACAAGTGAAGTTGCTACTATTCCCGGTCTTACTGGTGCTGGACCTGGAACTGATGGATCACGAGGTGGAGATAGTGGATCAGGCGGCTCAGGCGGCGACAGCGGCGGAAGTCAGACTAGTGGTGGATCTGGCGCTACCTCTACCGGAATCGGCGGCTTCTCGCAAGGCGACAGTGGAAGTGGTAGCAGCGGCACTAAAAGTGATGCTGTCAAGGTGGAGCGCGTGGTTGCTGGGTCAATGTTCGCTGCGCTGATGGCTTTCATTGGAATGATGATATTATAAAAAAAGGGTAATGTCTAGTCTTGGTCTTTTTGCGCTCATATGCATTGGGAAGGTTGGGGGAGTCACTCATTTGGCATTCTTGGATGCAGTGATGACTGGTGAACTGTGATTTTTGGATCAAATCATGGGTTGCATCAGGGCGTTGATGGGTAACTGGGCGGTACCTCAGATTGACTACTAAATGTTCGCTGTCATGCCTGGACAATGTGATATCTCTATCTTCTAAAGAATGTCATATATCTGCAATCTACCCAATCTCTTCTAGCCCGCGGGCGTATAGGAGCACTGTGGCCTTCTTTTTATGAAGGACGCATTCCTACTGCCCTATATAGCAATTCGAGGAATGTGCGCTGGATGTCAAAGTCATCTTCGTCTGTGAGTGAAGCCTTTCCCTAACGTAGTCCTTCTCCACTTGCGTCTTTCTTTAAGAAGATGTATCGTCTTTCTACATCTTCTCGAGCATCATTCTGTCCAACGGCCCTAGCTGGCCCTGGGTGTAATGCATGGGACTCTGGAATTTTGATGCGTGCCACAGACTCGACGATGCTGCCTCGTTTGGCTTGCTTTTGAACATGTCGGCCATACCTGCTGGAGACTGGCACGGCTGATAGGAGCTTCTCTTCCAACATGATCTTTTGGCTGGTCGACTCAGCCTGCTTCAATTATAGAGGCACCACCTCAAAGCAGGCGAGACCAAAGTGCCACTGCCCTTGTTGACTGCTTCATTGCGCAATGCGCTGGCAGGAGGGTATTTATCTCGCAGGGGGTTGGCTTCCAATGTAAGTTTCTGGATGTGTACGCGAGGATAGGACCACACCGATGGAGAGAGCTCTGTGGAGAGCAGCGATGATCAGCGAGTGACTGGACGATACTCAAGATTCACATGACGATGGTAAGACGTGAGTTCTTACCACAAAATGATCAGGTTTAGGATATACAGCCCCTTAGGTCCATGATGTTACATGGTGGTAGGGACAATTGCGAGCACATTGCGAGGCACACCAAACAGATACATTTCTCCACTGCCATATTTTCCCTGTGCTAAAAGTCTCAGCTACTTGTCCGGCTACTACATGCTCTTGCTCCTCCAAGCCTTGCATGTTCTGCCGCAGCACAATAGGATAGTACACCCGGTGAGCGCCCAAGGATCACGAGGTTGCATAATCGCGGATACAGTGAATTTACATGACCTCGCCACCGCTTGGAGCCGGACTCGGCTGCCATATCATTGGCCCAAAGAAGACTAGGCACACGTTTCGCCGGTTAGCCTCAACACGCCGAATAAGGGTTGTACTTCTCCCTTCTACCATCTTCTTGCTTCATCATCTTCATTTTGCAGATGGCGGTTCTTCTGCTTTGGATGCATTTGCTCCTGTGAACTACATTGATATGCTTGTTTGCACTTTTTGCTAGCATATTCTTTGTCGAGAGGTGCTTTGCCATCATCGTGACAAATCGGACAAACAGAACAGATCAACCTTCAGCAACCGCTTACCCTATTACACTTGCTCTACCTGCAAATTTTGCTACTATTTGACGTGAGGGGGCTTTGCCATCATCGTGACAGACTGGACAAACAGAACAACCAGGAATTTAGCAACCACTTACCTTACTACACTTGCTCGACCTGCAGATTCCGCTGCTACTTAGGTCTTTCTGGGTAGAAGATTCAGGATACTCGACGATTTCACAGTAATTTGCATATCTGGCCTCACGATCATACCTTCCGTAACTTCCAATTTGACACACAGTTCAACACAAGCTTTCAGGTAATGTGAAATTCCTTGTTTACTTGACAAGGGTTTGACTAACGCAGCCATTACCCCCCCGGGCGTCCCCCCGCCCCACAAAAAAAATATAAAACCCCCGCCACCTTTTTTTGGGAAAAAAAAAAAAAAAAAAAAAAAAAAAAGTACAACCACCTAGCCATATTGTTGATGCTGTTACTAACACCAAGGTAGTCTTGTGTGACATCCAGAGCTTGCTTCTCGTACGAAGGACGTACAATCCACCGGGAATACCACACAGGATGTAAGTCTGACTACTCAGGATCATGAATGCCCTGATCACTGATATTCAAATAGCAGCAAAGAAGATTCAGCCATCCTACAGCGATTCTTGAAAGACTACTGCTGCCAGCACAAGAGACACTTTCTGTTCACCAGCATCATTACTCTTGTGACGAAAGCAGTTCTGATCCGCCAACTTCAATACAATAGCATCAGCAATTCGAACATCAGCAAGAGAAATCCACCCTTTCCATAGCGACGCTCAAAGGACTACTGCTGTCAGCATACGAGACACTTTTTCTTCACCAGCATCATTACTTGTGTGCCGGAAGCATTCTTGATCCGCCGACAGCAATACCATAGCGTCAGAGATCCAATACCAGCAAGGCAAATTCAGTTTTCCTCTAGCTACGCTCGTTTGACGACTGCTACCCGCGTATAAAGCGAATGCTCAACAGTATCGTTACCTCTGCAGAAAGTACTTCCAATCCAACAAACCTAACCAGAGCAAGTAAACTCAGCAGCACAGTAGTCACCCTGCAAGGATAATTGTGGCTAGTGTCCAAGGCAACATTTCTTTAGCATCACCATCAGCTGTGTGCCAAAAGAATTGAGGATCTGAGAAGTAAAACACGAAGTCCAGTTTGTGTAAACACAGATCAACATGTGCATCTACCATTTCTTCGCTTACCAGGCCTGTGGGCATCTTGTCAAGAACCTTCCCTTATCTATTCACTCACATTGTCTTCCGTTGGAACTAGCCATGAGGTACTATCACGATCAGCCTGCTTACCTTCCCACGGACAGCCAATTGAAAATTACCTATGGAATTGCAGTGACTGAGCAGATAACCTGTCCTAAAGCCTGCATACCAGTATGGCCCGATCGTGAGGCTGCGGACGACGGGGGCGTCGCTGATAAACTCTACAACGCTTGGGCAGAGAAGACGATCAATGAGATGATCTTCCATCAGAATGCAGCACGTGAAACCGGCCAGACATACTCGGCTGTTGCCCAAACAAAGCTCGAATTTGACTCAAAGAAGCGTCGGACGCATGCGAAAGGGCTCTACAATGTCATGCCTGGCTTTCAACCTCAGACCAAGCGTGGATCAGACGCCGTTGACTTCACCAATGCACCCTATCCCGACAACCAACTCGCTCATTTGGTACATTTTCCGCAATTCCAGGCAAACGGTCAGCAACCTCGATGGAACGTCATCATCCACCCCATCCCCTGGGGATGTGGTCGTCACAATGAGGCAAAGTGCATGCTAGGCCACACCGGCGTCAACGCCCCCCAATGCCCCTACCTGCTCGCTAAACGTCTTCCCCGCGACCTGGAGGATGATAGAGCGTCTCAATTACTCCGCGATTTCTCGCCAATTGCCCGCGGCGGAGCAGTCAACATCCCGCAACAGGGATACGAGATGCAATGCACTCGTACAGCAGTCGCTAAGCAGGACCGTGCTGGAAATTTGGGGCTACTCAAGCTGTCGGTGCCCTACCTCAATGATGTTTTTAGTGAACATGTCTTCCCGCCAAACCCTGTGCCTAGACAGATCTGGAGCGGAAGTGGCACGGCCACGGTGGAGGCTTTCTTGCCGTGGACCTATCACTCGAACCACGACCCTCTGGCGCCCCCTCCCCCACCCCCACCCCCTATGATGGCACCCGTTTATGGGCCGATGCCGGGGGCCTTCCAGCCCATTGGGGTGTGGTATGGGCCGGGGGTAGCCCCTCCCATGTGGTAGGAGGGAGGATAGGAGGCGGAGCGGAGGTGAGGGGGGGTGGGGAGGAGGTTTTATGAAGCTACGGCTTCACTTCTAAGAGCCAGAGAAGTGAACAAGGCAAGGAAAGGGGGTTTTTGCGCCTTATAGAGGCTAGTTTGCGTGGTATGCATTTGTCTTTTTTTTTCCTTTGTAGTTTTTTAAAACGGATAGAGGGTTACTCAATATACGTGCATTTGTTTTTATATTTCCTAATTGGGTATGCACAGCGGATCTTCCTAGCTTTCAAGGCTGCAGCTAATTGTTTTATTGTACAAATTACCTCTTGCAGCTTGAAGAGCTTGTAATAAAGGTTCTTTCCATTCTACCAATTGCTATTTGTAGCTTTTGCAGCTTTGAAAAGCTTGATTTCAAACTCCTTTAAGCTTGATAAATAGTATCTGCATCCGCTTTGGGCAGAGTCTCTAATTATTTAAGAATATAGCCAATTATGCCATAGGCGGATTCGCCTTCAGCAGCTTAGAAGAGCATTGATAGTAAGCTCCTTACGTCTTGCCAATTGCTATTTGCGTTAGCTTCAACTAGATCTTTAGATACTTAAGACTGCAAATTTAATGTAGACCTCCAGAGAAACCTCATTGAAAGACGATTTATAGCATCAGATTTATCTTTACTAATACACCTAGCAAAATCGGTTTGTCTTTGACCTCCTGCAAACCGCTGACGCCATTCATAAAGCCATAAGTCAGTGAGCCTCCCCACAAGAACACGCACCCCTCTTCCTCCGCTTCTTGAATTCCCCATGATAATGATCCAGACCCTCATTACTATCCTCATCACTAACTAACGCTCCCTTCCAACTCTCTTCCTTGGGCGCCTTCGCCTGCAACTCCTCGGTAATCTTCCCCAAATCTAGATCCAGATAGCTAGCCATGAACTCCCCAATCTCCGTATTCTCATGATTTCCAATCAAGGGTTTCGCAGCATCAGGGCTGCTGGCGTAGATATTCACGTCCACGGCGGAGTGTCCGTGAGAGCTCCATCCGATTTGTGCACGGCGACTTATCATGTCGGCTAGAAGGTATCCAGTCTGTTGCTTTGGGTCGGGGTGTACACTATCCCATATCTCATCGATCTCTCCGTCCGTGACGTCTTTGACTCCAAGGCCGGCCTCGACGATTTGCGAGCGGATGAAGGTCTTCATGGCACTCTCGGAGCTGCCCATCGGTGAGCCCATATGCCCCTTCAGCTCATGAGCTAGGAAGGAAGCGCTGTGGGTGCCGTTTACAAGCATGTCTGGGTACCAAGCGTATTGCGGGTACTTGTCTTCTGAGAGCTGACGGGCGGCAGCTAAGCCGCCGGTTTCATGGTCAGAGGTGCTGACTATGACGCCCTCAGTGGCATCTTTGTCGAGGAAGTCCAGAGCGGTCGAAAAGGCTTTGTCGTATTCAAGGACCTCGTGGACTTGGGCTAACGGATCGTTGGCGTGGCCGGCGTGGTCGATACGCGAGCCTTCGATCATGAGGAAGAAGCCCTTGTCGGAGTTCTGGGTGGCTTTTGAGAGGGCGGTGAGGGCCACTGAGGCCATTTCGGAGAGGGAAGGGTATTTGTCTGTTTGAAGCTTGCGGTCGATTTCGTAGGGAATGTCGGTAGAAGCGAAGAGGCCAAGGAGAGGTAGTTTGACGGCAGAGCCCTTGTCAAGGTTGTCGAAGTCGTTGCGATTGAAAATATACTCCCAGCCGCTATCTTTGGCTATCTGAATGACATCTGTATTGTCTTGACGGCAAGAATCTTGTGTGGAATTTGACATGAAGTGGCATCTGCCTCCGCCCAAAATGAGGTCAACTACTCGGCCCATTGGATGGCTGTGACCAATCTCTTGCTCTGCAATCTCGTCTTCTGACTCTCGTCTGTTTACATGCGCCGCAAAGCATGCTGGAGTGGCATCTGTGATTCTCGTTGTGACTACCAGGCCCGTCATGTAGCCTGCCTCCTTTGCAGCTTCCAATACTGTTCCGCAGGCTGAATGATCGGGTAGAACTGAGATAGCAGAGTTGTATGATTTCTTTCCGCACGAAAACGCAGTAGCACCAGCTGCAGAATCTGTGATGAGGGAATCTGTGCTACGAGTTCGGGATGAACCAATTAAATGCGAGTCCAGAACCAATTCATGGTCAAATGGAAAGTCTGAAGATGTCTGGAGGAAAGACCTGGTCATAGATAACGATGTAGGACCCATGCCATCAGAGACCATGAATATCATGTTCCGTTTGCCTTTCGGTTTCGCGCTATCTTTCCCTCCATCGTCCGAAGGTGCTGGCTGCGTTGTCTGTCCATGCTGGTATAGAACGCCAAGTATGATAACGAGCGCTGTGGCAATGACAGCCCATGCGAATAGACCAATCTCTCGCCACGCCTCCCGTCCTCGCTTCCTCGGCGGTGCCTCCTTGCCTGAGATATAGGCGTCTTCCTCTTCAAGATGTCGCTCAGAGGACTGTTCTGAAGACGGTCGTGAATCCCGAAGAAGAGGCTCTGCTTGATCTCGAGCCATCTTGAGTCCAGTGCCTTGATGAAAATACTTTACGGAGTTCTCCAGGAGACAAAAGCAGCGATGTCACTTCTCATGACCTTGTCAGCTGAAGTCACAAACTGGCGCCAACAATACGGTCTCGAATGCGGCCTCCAAGCCCCTGACTCACGGCCGGATCAATGATTTGCCGCACAGTAGCTCTACTCCACAAAGAGGCCTGAAGACACCACCTTTCTCTCTAGGGGAGGTTCTTATGGCTAAAGCAGCATTATATCATAGCCGAGCACACTAGATCCAAGTTAGACTTGTCCGAATCATGTTACGGCAGAGGGTTTCTATTTTCTCGGCCAGCCTATGTACTAAAGCTATCTAATTTCTTTGACCACAGTATGCAACACGAGGCTTGCACGTTCTCAAATCGGCTTGACAATAAGGCCCAACGATACCCTGGGCCTCAACTTAATGGGCCTGCTAACAAAATATCACATCGCTGTGATAATTGAGGACAAGTAACTCACTTGGCTAGTGCCCTCAGATGGGCTCGTTATAGTTGGATATGGTCTTCATTGCCTTCGCATAACGTCAATGAATGAACCTCACCTGAGCGACCTATCTCATGTGATTTCAGATTGTTCTTGTAGAGGACTTTTGCGTCGTTGGAATGAACACAGCACACCAAGGACCAACGCACACATGAAAGCCGGCCTCGGGATTTGACTTCATTGCGGATACGTTGCTAAGGATAGCAGTTTATGATCATTCACCAAATCGTCAATTCTAGAAATTCTTTATTAGGACCCGAGTCGCTACTATGAAAGAGGCTTCTGAGGAGTCCCAACTTCCGTCCTAAATGGTAGCACTGATCCAACTGAGCGTACAGCATTGATTTGCGGAACTAGATCTGCACTGACATGAGAAGATTGCACTCTGTTGAGGTGATTGCTGCGGCATTTTCACCGAAAGTCATAGTGACATTCGATGAAGTTGTAACGGACTTCTGCTTCATCTGAAAGGAAAAAGTATGATATGATTGCAGCCAATTGTGAAAGTTTGTCAATGAGGTGAGGTGCACGCATGCGATTTCGAGATCTCAGCTAGTCTGGATCAAATGATCTGTCGCTGAGTAGTAGCGCCTGAAAGATAGAAATGTGGGACGATACGGGCAAAAAGTTGGGGCAGAATAGATAGGAGAGAGATGAAGTCCTTAATTCAGCAGGTAGATTCATTCGTACTCGCATTTCAACGGACCAAGTAATCGTTTCCGAAGCTGCAACGTAGGAAATGTCATAAGCCTTGCTTGTTGCCTGGCTGTTTACTTTTTGACAATTGCCGGCGCTAATCCCTCGTTTGATCAGCCTCGCAACTTATGCGGTTCCGAATGAGTAATGACATCTTCCCTTCCCAACACACCATACGATGAAGGCTCGTGATAGTCGAGTATGCCTGGTACAAAACGTTCAGGACCATCTGGACGCCCCGAGACGCTCAGGGAAGCTAAGGCAAAGTATCGAAAGTCCTCAGGAAGGCCGAAGCTTTCTGCTCAAGAATTAGCATATATGGAGCGCGAGTCCATCTTGCAAGAACGTGCGGACAAGATCAAGAACAAGGAAACTAAGAGGAAGGAAGCAAAGAAAAAGCGTGAAGAAAAGTTGGAGAAAGATCGAGAGGCGGCGAGGAAATTAGGCAGGGCGTTGCCTAGAGAGGGCGGATTCAAAGTCGGTTCGAGCCAACTGGACCTCGCACGATTCCTACCAGCCGTGGTCAAAGAGATTCGCAAGATTCCTCAACTAGAGAGGTGTGATCAGGCCTTGGAAGAGGAGAAAAAGAACAGGGAAGGGGCCGGTGACTCGGTGAAAGAAGAACAGCGTCCGCAAGTGCGAACTTCGTTCAGTATGGCTCCTCCACCGCGACCTCCACTCAAATCTATATCATCAAATACAGTAAAGAAAATGGATGCTCCAATAAGTCAGTCGAAACGGCCTCACTCTTACAATGATTACTCGGAGTTCTTTGTGAGCAATACGCAGATCGAGCGTGAGCTATCCCCTCCAACAGCACCTCTACCATCTATCCCAAAGCCTTCCTCTTGGAACCGACCGTTCACTCCCAAGATGGCGCCCGCCTTTACCAAGGTCTCTTCAATGATGGAGGAGAGAGATGATGCAGCAGCCTTCCTCGCCCAGATTTCGACTCAGGATCTGAATTTCTGTCCGCTAACTCAAGTCGAGAAGCCACTGTTCGCGGAGATTACAGGCCCCCCTTCAAAGCTTCACCAGACTGCAAGTCTTCACACAGTTCCCTCACAAATTCTACCAACATTAAGCAACGCCAACTTGCTCCTCGACATCTCCACTCAAGATCTTGACTTTGGCGATCTAACGCAACCAGAGCCGACTCTCTCGCCACTGGGTCCTGTCGAAGAAGACGAAATGATCAAAACAGATATCTCAGTGTCTTTTGGCCTCGAAGATGACATTTCAGACGGCGACCTCGAAGCGCTCGCAGAAGAAGTTGAATTACAATCCTCCACCAGCTCCTTGGCGCATCAAACGCCTACGCACGCTCCGCTCAAGACCCCTGCAAGACCTCATTCCATGAACGCAGATACTCCGCTGAACAGACCAAAAGAAACACCGCTTAGTGAATTGAAACTCTCAAGGATGGACATTGCTATGATGGCTATGCAGGGAGCTTTTAGCGAAGCCGATGATGAGCCGTGGGATGATTCTATACCGACCGATGAGGATGCGGATGGAAGCTTCGGATGAAGAATCGCCGGTTCAGGCGAAATGACTTGATATTACAAAAATTTGATGAAAACGCATGCGATCAAATTTGCAACAACAATTTAGTGAGGCCTACAACTAGATTAAAGCAGCCCGAAGTATTGGATTCGATACAGAAAAAGGTCAAATGCGAGATCAGAGAACGCTCCCCAGGAAGCCAGTCTGCGCTCTAGCCAAGAATCTCATGCCTTTCACGGTCGGACGACTACATGAATCAAGCCTGGCGAATAACTTGAAGGGCAGCTTGAGAATGAAGAGCCGCAGTATATACACCTTGGACAGGAGATAGACGCATAAGGCGACTGGGTCAATTGTTTAATCTACAGCGAGCTTTTCAAAATGATTGCAAAACGATACAGGCCTACCCAATTGCGTCTAGGATGTTAGGCTAAGGACCCACGGGTCTCTGTTTGAATGATAGCCACTGGATTGATGGAAGCCTCAAGGACGAGGAGAGTAGGATCAGAATAGTCTTGAATGATTGATGATGATGAAATGAATATCATGGGTATCTTAAACGTTTTCAAAACTCAAATACTATGCAAACATATCCTCACTCTCCTTCCATGTATGGCTGATATGCACGCTCTTGCTGATATTCGCCTGTCACCCACCACATTCAGAATTCAATTAGAGATCTCAAAGTGTACCAGATCTTTTCAGGCCAACACAATACCTAACCCACAGCTCATCCAAGAAGTGCTCATGCCTGATACCTGGGGGTCTCCTCTCGGCGAACTCATCCACGGCCGCTCGTACCGTGTAGCCCATTTTCTCAATCAGATACGCGCAGATAAAGAAGCCAGTGCGATTGAAGCCGTAGTGGCAGTGGACGGCAGTCATCTTCTTCTCCCCCGTTTCCACATTATCGTTCGTCTCTTTACCGTCACCACCCTCGCGCTCGATCCTGTCCACCATTCCGATGAATTCACGCACCTCGTCCCTCGTAGGCGGCATCTTCGACACGGTAGGAAACTTATGATACCGCACCCCTTTGTCCTCCAACCCCTTCGGATCGTACACTGGACTGTCATGCGAAATATCAATGATTGTCTTGACCGTACCGGCGTATTCACGCGCGAATCTGCTGGGATTGTGCTCGTCATCGACTTCCCTCAATGTCTTCATTGCTCGGAAGATGCCGGCGATGGGGGCAGAGATGGGGGCAATGCTCTGCCATTTTGCGAGATTCTTGACGTCCCATTTTCCGTCTGCGCTTAGGTGTTGGAGCTGCCAGCCGAGGCTTAGGCGTGGGGAGATGTGCGTAGACAGGAAGGTGTGAATGAGGCCACAGAGTGTGCGGGAGGTGGCTGGGTCATAGAGGAGGGCGTGGGAGGCGGGAGCAGGGAGGATAGTGGTTTTCAGGATGGGGTGGGTTTGGTGAGAGTCGGGAAATTGAGTACCTGTGAAGTTCACCGATTGGTGGTCTGGTGCTAAATTGATTTCGGCATTAGGTTGCCCTGATCCGTTCTTGAGAGGCGATAGTTGACTCTTCCTCAGAGCTCGCGTGATATTCTGGATGTTGCTGATCTTTGTCACAGCGTCCCCTTCCCCTGCTACGAGCAGTATTGGTATTCTCAGCTTTGCCCATGTAGCAAGTCCGGCCATTCCCGTCGACTTCGAGCCATGAGGAAACAGGCCCCATGCCATTCTACGATAGACTGGCGTCTGGCTCTGGGCATTGAATCTTTCTTGCAATTTCTTGACTTCAATGTCTGCTTCGAGACCGACAAAGCGAGCGACGCTTGCGCTGTACGGTCCACCTCTTCGATCCCACGCCCTCCATAGGTTGAAGATTGGCGTTGGTATACAAAGTAGCGCTTGGAGAATTGTAGCTTGCCGACCTCGGGGTGCCTCAGCCGGTGGACAGATCCCTATCAGACCCAGAATCTCCGAGGAATTGCTTTCGCCACCAACCGAGGCTGACGAAGCTATCAGTGCTGAGACGGAGCAGCCGAGGCTATGGGCGACGAGCACATATCCTTGATTGGGTTTGATGTGCCTCTCTATGGCAGCACGAAGCAATTCAGTTAGCGCGTCTGGCGTGTATGCTGACCATGTTGTGGGAGAGAATTCTGAACGGCCACATCCTGGAAAATCAATCCCAAGACATGGAGCGACATCCCCAAGGCCGGTCAGCACGGCTTTGAATTGTGCTAGAGAGCCACCTAATCCATGCACGAAGACGAGGAGGGGTAGAGGCGCAGGCTTCGAAGGGAACTTGTCCTCTTGAGGATGACGTCGATAGAAAGTCCGGACCGACGCGTATGTAGCGTAGCTAGTAGTGTATGATTGAAAAGTGGAATGCTTCTTCAAAAGACCTGGGTCTGATCCATCAGGATCTGTAAATCACATTAGCTACACTGATCACATCACGTCAGGGTATACGTGAGTTGATCATACCAAAGTTATGAGTAGACGTTGCGTGTTTGCTTTTGCGCTCAATACAATTATTGTGCTGTTGCTTGCCAGGCTTTTTCATCGCCAAGTCATCTCGAAAGATCAGCCAGACATAAGCAATGGTAGCACAAGCAACGAGCACGCCAGTCGCCTGCCATGCCAGGTGTGAGTTTAGATCTGGAAAGATCATTCGCGAAAGGGTGGCCGCGTTCAATAGATGTCTTGCAATCCGCGACTTAATCTTTCTTTTTTGGCGAGGAGTCAACAGTAGGGCGCCTTGTTGAAGGATGAGGTCACGGTGAGCATTTCAGGCACGGGAAAGGGAAGCCACTGCCTTTGCTGTATGTGTACCACATCTTTCTGGCCACATTTCTGGAGGATCTCAGTATCGTGAGATTTGTAGGACCAATAAAGAGGAGGCTCGGAATCAGCTGCTGAAATCGTTGGCTCTGGGCGGGAGCTTTCTTGACTCTTCAGCCCAGCGCCCGTTGCCTGCAGAAGGCAGTCTGAGAAGACTTCCTGACACACAAGCCATGTTTGGATCTTGACCTCCCATATCATCATGTATCTTGGCTTTTCAATGGAAGACATTGCCCCCTTGTCTCGAGTCCCTACGCACGCGCTGCAATTGGAAGAAGGAACTACCGATCTGCCGGTACGCCCTAAGAGCAATCGCCTGGTTCCAAACTTCCAGCGCAGGAGGCCGTCTCCAGACTTCCCGCCCGAAAGCTCCAGTAGGGCATTAAGGGCATCTAGCCATCCACGGCTTACTCACAGCTAATCAATTCGGAATGGTTGCCGGGACGGTGCATGCTTTATGCAGGGTCAGCATGGGAGAAAAGTAAGGATTTGCTTGTCGTTTTCCCCTTCTGGCAGGCCACAGATAACGTCGAAAGATATCTGATATCGCCATTTGTTGCGTCATTGGAAAACAAGACTGGCCTTTCTGCGGGTCTACAAGCAAGGTAACATACGCTATTTGGCGGCGTAACCAGTAAGCAGAATTGGCGGGGTCTGGTCCTCGTTAGTCAAGGAAGCCAATCTTGCCACTGCCTTAAGACTGGAATGGAAAAGGCAGCAGGGAGAAAATTTTCCTTTCAGGTCACAGGACGCACAACGGAGAATATCAGCCTCTCTGATCTCTGGAGGTAGCAGGCTTTGTTTTACCATCTTTAGATCTCCATGCTCGCTGCCGAAATCGGCTCCCACCGCTCCACCAAAATGCTCAGTTGTCATTCCCATGTGTCAATTACAGTAGGACGAATGTGCCTACGGCCTCCATCCTTTCCGTAAACTATCCTTTCATAGAAGTCTGCTTGAAAGCTGTTATTCTCTCACCGAATGTGCAAGACTTTGTCACGATCAGTTCCGCCATCCATGATTGGTTTTTGGCTGATTGACAGTAACGGGTTCCTTCTCTTCAGAAAGCCGAGCTCGATCACTAACCCTGAGCAACACGATGGATCCATCAAACCCGGCGAAACAGGTATCGACTGAAGAGCCGAGACTCCTTGATTTTCCACACTTGCCAGATGGTGCATGTACGGCGGACGGCAAACCAAGACTGAACAAATATTCCTCTACGATCACAAAGGATCATGACTTTCCCGGCGCTCAGGCATGGTTCATCCCATCAGCAAAGTATCTGTTGCTGACAACCAGAGAAGGCAATGCTTTATGCAGCAGGGGTACCAGACCGGGACACAATGCGGACCAGCCCACAGGTTGGTGTGGCGTCCGTCTGGTGGGAAGGAAACCCTTGCAAGTAAGTACCACGAGCTCGTCGACGCGAGGACTTTGCTGACTCCCTAAAGTATGCACTGTGAGTGTTCAGCTTGATGTTGAGCTAAGCGTAAGTGCTTTTGAAATCATACCGAAGTCTAATTCAAATCGAATCTTGAACAGTGCTGGACCTTGGGAAAACCGTAAAAGACTCTCTACTCAAAAAGGGTATGCTAGGATGGCAGTACAACACGATCGGAGTGTCGGACGCTATCACCATGGGAGGAGAAGGTAGGTCAGCTAGGATTTCCATGGGTCTTTTTTGACATCCCTAGGCATGCGCTTTTCCTTACAAAGTCGGGAGCTTATTGCAGACAGCATTGAGACAGTGACCTGCGCTCAACATCACGATGCTTGTATCACTCTGCCTGGATGCGATAAGAACATGCCCGGTTGTGTCATGGCAATGGCGAGGCACAATCGGCCTTCGATCATGATTTATGGGGGAACCATTGAGGTCGGGTACAGTGGTTTGCTGAGGAAGCCGATCAACATCTCTACATGCTATGAAGCATCCGGGGCCTATGTCTATAATTCGCTCAAACAGCCAGAAGACGGTGGCGACACCTCAAAGACGAAGGACGAGATCATGGAAGACATCGAACAGCATGCTTGTCCTGGTGCTGGAGCTTGCGGGGGGATGTACACCGCCAACACAATGGCCACAGCTATCGAATCCATGGGACTTACATTGCCTGGTTCATCGTCCAATCCGGCGACCTCTCCTGCAAAGATGCGTGAATGTGTAAAAGCGGCTGACGCAATCAAAGTCTGCATGGAGAAAAACATTAAGCCGCGAGACCTCTTGACTAATCGTTCCTTTGAAAATGCTCTTGCCATAACGATGGCACTTGGCGGCTCCACGAATGGTGTAGTCCATTTTCTCGCTATGGCAGCTACCGCCGGTTTAAACTTGACCCTTGATGATGTTCAGCGTGTGTCGGACAAGATACCCTTCCTTGCAGACCTTGCCCCCTCCGGTAAACATTACATGGCAGACTTGTACTCCGTTGGTGGAGTGCCTGCAGTTCAAAAATTACTCATTGCAGCTGGCCTCCTCGATGGGGGTATTCCTACAGTCACAGGCAAGACCCTCGCCGAGAACGTCGCTTCCTTCCCTTCCCTCAAGCAGGATCAGATCATCTTACGACCATTATCCAACCCTATCAAGGCCACCGGTCACTTGCAGATCCTCCGAGGCAATCTCGCTCCTGGTGGAGCAGTCGCGAAAATTACAGGAAAGGAAGGCAATAGATTTACCGGCGTTGCTCGCGTGTTCAACAAGGAGAACGCTCTGGACGCTGCACTTAGCAAGAATGAGATCCGCCGCTCACCCAACATTGTGGCTATCGTCCGTTATGAGGGTCCAAAAGGTGGACCAGGTATGCCAGAGCAACTGAAGGCGTCTGCGACTCTGATGGGTGCAAAGTTGACGAATGTGGCACTTGTGACGGACGGGAGATACTCAGGGGCTAGTCACGGCTTCATTGTCGGGCACGTTGTACCAGAAGCTGCGGTTGGAGGCCCAATAGCAGTAGTAAGGGATGGGGATATGGTCACCATTGATGCGGAGAATAAACGGATCGATATTGAAGGGATAAGCGAGGATGAGATCAAGGAGAGGCTGAAAAGCTGGAAGAGACCAAAGCGAATAGTCACTAGGGGAGTGCTTGCTAAGTACGAAGCTCTAGTTGGGGATGCCAGCCACGGGTGTTTGACAGATCAATTCTGAACGATTATGAATAGAAGTAACTTGCTAGACGCTGAGGACGGAAAAGTTCTTTGAGGTGATATGATCTACCAAAGGCTTGCTGCGACGCAAAGTATCTAGAGCAAAAAGGAAGAGGCATACGACCCGATCTAGAGAAATGAACAATCTCATGATTGATTTGCCAGTCCAAGTGTCCTGTTATTCAAGTGCTTCAAGCACGAGGCCACAATCCAGCTGATATTGAGCTAACTCATAACAGGTTAGCGTATATCACAGGCACGCCGAGTTCACAATGATGTTTACCTTGTCATCTGGCGAGGTTGACACGGTCTCGCAGTACCGCACCCTCTTTGCACACATCCCCGGCTCGTCGGTCGATCGAGTTTTGTGCTGTTGCATTAGGGTGGCCCTTCTTGATCTCGTCGCGCTCCCTCCAAGCCCCTTCACGAAGGCCGACAATCGACTCGTATTAATATTACAATCTCAACGTGATGGATCCTGTCAACAACAGCTACACCTTTGCAACTTGGGACTGTCTATCTCTCACTATCGGGGCCGAAGTTTTGCTAAGTACTCCGGGTTTGGGGTTGCTCTAACCCACCTACTTCGGTTTCCTACCGTACAGAGGCCTGCATCTTCGATCATTTGATCAAAATCCAGGAGATCGTCACTCTGTATTACATTGACTTCCCAAAGAGCGCGCGTTTCAAACAGGTAGTGAGGCTCTGTTATTGCAGAACTGAAATCAACCAGCAAGCCAGCTCGATAATTTCGTGCTGCCATGTCGCACTGGTATACGCCTAGTCGACGGATTTTTTTCAGGTCGCGCAGCATCTTCGCCACATGTTTCGCAGCGAATGAAATATCGTCCCGTATCAAGTCTTTAACAACAGCATTCAAAGGCTGTCTTTTAGAGAGCGGCTTGTTCGTATCCTGATCGGGGCGGTCCCAGTCTAGATGACCAAATTGTTCATCAAGTCGCTGCTCTATACGTGCAGAAAGGGTCAAGTAGCCATGACAGCGGACTGCAACGTTGCCGTTCAAGTTCGCTTCGATGAGCTTCCCATATGCGCGGCATTCATTATAGAATGGATCCATATGTGCCTGCACTAGGCTTTTGGGAATTACCCTCTGCTCTCTCTCCGTCATGTTGCCTACATCGACAGATGCATCATAGAACTTGAACTGTGACGAATTGAAGAATCAGCACGGGTTGAACCTCAGGCGCACAGCGCTCACCACTTTCAAGGCATACGTTCGACCACCTATGGACACCTCAAACACATGTGCGTGACCGCCGGTACCTGAGGTCTCCCCGCCGAGGAGATTCTGGAACTTAATGCCGACTTTGCGGCTTGTAAAGGGCCTCAATTGAGGGCCGTCGCAGTCTGGGAGAGCGTTGTTTGCAATGGAAACTTTGGGCATGGTGCGAGGGCCACAAGACTCCTGAAATCAATCGCAAAGACGTGACCAACATTCACAAGGTAGCAAGCCTTTCGCGGAAATTGATTGCCAGGTAGTACGGCCGAACATCGCACGATTAACGCCGTACTCCCTCAGCATTCACCGGCGCCGCTTTCCATCGAAAGTGGATGGCCCAAGCTCCTGCATCGACTTACCTGCATATCTGCAGGTAAGCTTTCCCGCGATTGGATGACGCGATGATCGGAAAAGGCAAAGCAATCTCACGTTTCATTGCAATGTGACAGACTAATCTCAGACGCCACGAAGGCGCCAGCGAATTAATGGACTGCTTGAAGACGAGGGAGCGCTAAACGAATTCCCGGCCCCAACGAAAGGAGTCGCTCCATTCCCGTCCAAAGCCTTCTGTCTATTTCAACGCTACTGCAAAGACATCCACTATGGCAAGTGGCGTTCCGACAGCGCTTAGGTGCTTGACTGCATTTGATTTGTCTAACCTTTTCGTCCAGTATTTCTTAATGAAAACGAAGTCCCTCAGCCTGCTTCGAAAATGTAGTGTTATGAGGTGCAGTTGCATACCGCCGCACCTGTGCCAAACACTACCACCTGTAGATTCGGCTGCTCCAGCCTTCGGTATGGCTCTGGCCATTCCCGGAGGTCTCTACTACACCATCACAAGGATGCGTGAGGGGACGAAAAGCGTAGTAGTTGTTTCACAAACGAGTATCTTCTGACGGTCATGCAACAGCTTGCTGGCAAGGGCTTCTACCCTCTAGCCCTTAAATACGACTGAAGGACTGGTCAGCCGTTCGTGCCATTCCCTGAGCAGTTCCTTTTTCCGAGTCTTGATTCCTTTGAATTTGTCTTCATCGTGCCACTTGATTTGATTTCCTACCAAGGCTTTCCTTATGCCTCTTCCAGAACGGTCTCTTCTTGAATACTTACAGTTTCCTGATCCTCTTGTGACTTGGAACACATTTCCGAAGCCCGGCAAATCAACTAAGACAAGCTCGTGGGCTAGACCTCGGCAAGTACGCAAATGGGATGGATTCGATTTTGATACACTGAGTCACTTCTGCAGCAGCCGACTGCGAAAAGTGTTAGAAAAAAAGTTCAGCTTAAGAGAAATTTCATCTGGCTTTGATGAATCCTGCGGATGTTCTGACGAGGATTCTCTTGAACACAATGTCATTAGTAAATGGAATTACTGCGTTCTCGATGAAGCGCTGAAGAAATGCCAAGGATACCTGAAGCCGGTTCATGGATCGACTCGTATGGTCAGAGGTGGCGAAGTGAGATCCCCTGATCCAAACCTGAGATACAGGCCCGATTGGGGATGCATCAGGAGCATACCGCCTAATCACGAGATTAAGTGTAAGAATCTACTGCCGGGAGACACAAAGGTAAGCGGACACTGGTCGAGTCATCAAATCAAAGATGGCTTGGTCGAAGATACCAAGGTAAATCGAGGTTGGCTGCGCCCATTGAGGCAGATATACACCTACTGTTTGCGAAATGGCACACGTTATGGGTATTTGATCACTGATGCCGAGCTCGTTGCTGTACGCATCGGTTTGAGTAAAGAAGTCAGTACAGAATGCTCGCCGAGTGAAACTAAGCGGCCTAAGCGTACTCGCTCAACTTTGGTGCCCGAGGAGATTTCCGCTCAGCCGGATGACAGCGCTCGTGACTATGGCATCCTGGAATACGTCTCATTTCCGTGGGCAGTGGCCGATGACCCGGCATCAAAGAGCAACAAGCGGGTGAGCATCAATCTCGTCCTATTCTTCCTACTTCAAATCGCGACCGGCAAGACGGATATTGGGTACGACTATGGTCACCTACGGGATGCTCTGTGGGACCAATCCCCTGACGATAGCGAGTTGCAGGCTTTAGGACAACTGCCTGAAGGCGAAGAAAACATCACCACTGACGAGATGGAAGGGGTTGAGACTGAAGGCGCGAATCTTGAGGAGCATCAACATAATAAGAGCGATACGAATACTGATGTTGATGACCCTATGCTTGAACTACCAAAAGCGGCCTCGAAACAAGTGAGTATCCCCTCATCCTCCGAGAAGCCATCTGCGGCTTATATCTATTTGGGGCTGATCCCCGATTATCGTAGCAGCGGCAGTCAATGTCAATAGCGAACTCTTTCGATAGTCTGGCCAGCAGAAGGCGCTCGCAAACTCGCAGCGTGAATCGCAGCTTCGGCAGTGGCACCAACGCAGGCGTCATAAAACGCACGACCCCTAAAAAAGGTAGAGGTCGGCGAAAGTAAAAGCGAGGCAGACTCTTTTGTCATCCATGATGACTCTTAGGGGGGTTAAGTGCACAATTGATGATGATGATGATGATGATGATGATGGCTTAATGAATCAGAAGAAAGCAACACCATGGCTGTAATGATTGACGGAGGAATTGAAGCAAGGTCTACGACTGAGATTGCATTAATATTTCTTAGCTGTTTCCCTTGTTCTACTGCAATTCACACTCAATCTTTTCATGTAGAGTATTTCTCAATCCGAATCTCGTACTACTAAATCTTCCATAATATGACTCACAGTTTCCACTCTATTTGGTGGCATGCCTCGTTAACAACAACGCCGAGGAAATCTGGGGCCTCAGAGAAGTTCAGCTCTGGCGTTGAGCAACGCAGTGCTTTTAGCAGGAACAACTATGTCAACGATCGGTGCTGGGTGCAAATGTTTCAAAGGATTCTCATAGCCGTGGGCACAACGGCGGAAGACGATGAGGTTAAAAGCTTGAATGCGAATTGATACTGCTGGGCCATATTTATTTATTTGAAAAAATGCATTTGAGGCTTATCATCAAGAACTCCAAAGATCAAGTCTCTACTTGGATAGTCTACCCCTTCTCGAACTCCGATAATTATCACTCCCTTCCAATCCCCTCTCTTTCACGCTCCTCTGAGTCGTCCCCGCCCCATCGCAACTCAAGTCAAACAAGGGCTTCGTATCCCCATCCGCATTCGTAACCGCAAATTGCGGCCTCACCTGTGGCGGAGTGGCCTTCGGATCGTACGGTGGATCATGCAGCGTATACCACCACGTATTAAAATGTCCAAACAACTGCTGACAGCCCACCCCATCCCAATAAGTCTTCGCATTTGCCGTCCCCACCGTCGCTTTCCCGCGATCAAGCCCCGTGACCGGCCATCCTGACTCCGTGACCCACACGGGCGGATTGCCGCCCTGGCGAGAGGCTCCCTGCGCTTCCCCTACCGCGCCAGTGAAGGCCGCGAAATCCGTCACGGTTAGGTTCTCCCAGTACGTGAAGTCGTTGAGGCCGACCCAGTCGAGATCGCTCGCCAGCTTGTACCCCGTGGACTCGTTCTTCCAGACTACCCAGGTGTCTGCGTGCCCGACTGGTATAACGCCGCGCAGGGCGTAGGAGTCGAGGAGTACGCGCGTCTGCTCGACGAAATCTATTATCTTCTCCACTGTGTTGCCGTAGTCGTCTTGACGCGGGGTTCCCCACACGGATGACCGGTATAGATCTTCGCTGCCCACAGAGATGCCTATGACCATGTTTTTGAAGTCCTCGGGCTTGTTGTTTGGGGGCTTGCCAACCCATTGGTCTAATGCGGCTTCGAGCGCGGCTTTTTCGGCGGCGAAGGCCGTGTCGCCGAGAGGGTCGGAAACGGGGTCGCCGGATGACCACAGTGTGAGGAGAAGGGTGGTGCCGGTTGCATTGGCGGCGTCGAAGGCTTCGGTGAATTTGTTGCCTTTGGCGGATTTCATCGCGAAGAGGCGCGCGGAGGTGAAGCCGCTGGTGCCTTCAAGGTTTTGAGCGGTCTTGAACTTGGTCGCGAAGTCGTCTTCTGGTGCGTAGTTGAAGCCTTTGATCTGGTTCGTGTTGGCAGCGGAGACGGTGGAGGGGATCCAAGCGGTGGAGAGAGTGGTGAAGGTGAGGAGGGTGAGGAGGACAGGGAACATCCTGGGAGAGGCGATTGATGGCATTGAACGAGAGCTTCGAGCGAAGGATGAAGTGGAATGACTGGAAAAGAGAAGACGTCAAAGAGTGCGAAATGCTTTGAAAAGAACGAGCATGAATGAGAGCTTTCTATAGGGAGTGCGAGTTCGCCTAAAAATTCACGACAACAGAAAATTCGAGGCCAAAAACAGCAACGTTGCAAAGGAGAGCATTGAGTAGGACAAGGCAGAGTCTGGAGTAAGAAAATCTCTAGGAGTTGGTAAAGAGCCACGAGGGAATGTTGTATGCGGCATGGTCGTTTCAGAATTTGGTTGTACGGGAGAGCACCGCGTTCAAGGGGAGAGCTGGTTAACATGCTTCACTCAAAGCCAGTATAAGCCTGCGTTGCTGGTATAGACCGGGAACAGGCAGAGTTCCAACATTGATGTGGTCTGCGTAGGTTGTTGGCAATGTGCATATGCATCTGCCAGAGCTGGGACGACAGGACAATCGATAAGGTTGGCTGCAAGGGCGCTAGGCCTCAAGGAGCTCTAGCGTATTCATGTCCTTTGGGTGCTCGAGTCTAGCCATTAATAATTACGCGTATGATACGCAACAGCAACAAAGATCCTGCAACCTGCACACGAAGTCTCGGCCAATCTCGTCTCTACTACAATAGTATGACATGAGAGCTGTCTCTCGATTGGGTGCAATAGCTAGACACTTGAATAACTTCGCTTCCCCCAACATGAACATCAATACGATGCTCAAAATGCCATCGGGGCATTCCATACCGGCTCTAGGCTACGGCGTCTACCAGACACCTGCTGGTGAGGCAGAGGACGTGGTTCTCCACGCTTTCAAGTCTGGCTACCGCCATGTTGATTCGGCGCGAGTATACCGCAATGAGCAGCCATGCGCCGACGCGATCCGCAAGTCTGGTATCCCGCGTGGCGAGATATTCTTAACCTCCAAAGTACCTCCGAGATCAATGGGCTATGATGCCACCAAAGCTGCCATTCAGTCCAGCTTCTCACAGACCGGTCTAGATTACATTGACCTATACCTCGTCCATGCACCCTATGGCGGCCCTCAAAATCGAAGGGGAACGTGGCGAGCCCTTGTTGAGGCACAGCAGGCGGGAAAGATCAGATCGATAGGTGTGAGTAACTACGGCGTGCATCATTTGAATGAGCTGGAGGGCTACATCAAAGAACTCGAGACACAGAATGGTGCGGGAAAAGGCGGCGAAATCAGCGTCGGACAGTGGGAGCTGCACCCTTGGCTGGCAAGACCCGATATTGTCGTTTGGTGCAAAGAGAGAGGCATCGTTATTGAAGCATATTGCCCTATTGTTAGAGGTCAGCGGTTTGGTGAACCTTCGTTGCAGAAATTGGTCAAGGCTCATGGGAAGACACCTGCCCAAGTACTACTCAGGTGGAGTCTTCAAAAAGGGTTTGTTCCATTGCCAAAGTCAGTCACGCATTCTCGGATCGTCGAGAATGCAGACGTCTATGACTTTGAGTTATCGCAAAGTGATATGCAAGCCCTGGAAACCACGGAATACTCTCCTGTGTCGTGGGACCCAACGGTTGATCGGGACTGAACGTTTCCTTATGTACAACTAGTGGATGACAAAGAGTAGCGTCTTTTGCCTTTTCTGTTGAGATAGAACTCATCGTACAATCAACGGTGCGTTTGATACGATCTACATTTGAATCAGCGACATGATGGCGGTGCTGCTCAGCATTCACCCGGAGAGCCTCTCGAGAACAGAGGCGTTAGGGTACATGCAAGGAAAGCCTCGAGCTGAATGGGAACGTATCGAAGCCTTACGCCTGCGATTCCATCTGGTAGGTCTTCGTTGTTTTCTTTCCTACAAATGGTCACGTAGCGTTCCAAGGAGGCTGTACGATCCTGAGAATATTCGAGTTTGGATCGTCTTGTAAAGAAAAGCTTTCGAGGTCTTGGTGCAATTGATTGGTTGGGGCAAAAAGTTCCTGAAACGGCTGCGTATCAGCAGCTGGCGAATTGTTGCGACACGACGCCAGGAGGCATACAAATACGCCTGTGTTCTTTTACATGCTTCTTTCTACTCAAGCAACTCTCCTTTGTTATCTGCGACTTCTGGAAAGTTCGCTATCATTCTTTTATCCGTCGCTCATTTTTTGGCTTGCGTACATCGAAATCCCGTTCAATTCGCAAAAACTCCGTCGTCAAACCCTGACTGTTGATTCACACTGTCATTCATTGCTCTTCGAACTACCAAATCATCGAGCAGTCTTGAGTTCGCTGCAGCTCTTCAAAAACATCCAAATGAATCCCTTTTTTCTCTTCACTTTGATGCTGGCATCTACCACTCTCGCGAAAGATCCCTGGTTTCGACAAGCAAACGACGCAACGTGCACCTATCACCAAACGGACGACGACAATTACGACCCATATATCTTAGGTACTGTGCCCGACCGATGCATAAATTTCAAGGATCTGAATGAAACTATGACTCGAATGCCCAACACGTACGCGAGAGTTTTCTGGGGGGATGGCTCATACGGACAAACAAATGTTCTGAAAATCTATACGGTTGAGGACTGTGATCACAAAAAGCACCCCGATGGCTTGGTACAGACGCTTAAGAGGCCAGATCCCAGTGAAGACTTTGCCTGCTTTATGGATACGAAGGATGACACGAGGGAATGGCAGTCGATAAGGATGTCTTAAAAGGACTCTTGGGAAGAATAGTGATCCAAATAATCTGCGGGTTTCCTTTGTGAGGCTATGTGCGCTCTTCTTTGCCTGAACTGGCTGCTTCGAGATTTGATTCCGCTGGTCGGATCATGTGAATTAGCGTGCGCAGAACCATAGCTGTTCATATGTTTCCAGTCGCACTTCTGGAGATACCAGCTCTCAAAGTTTCCGTACATATTTTAGTACTGGTTCTGGCCGTTGAGACAGCGGCTAGGGGTCCTATATGGTTCAATAGAGGGAACAAGAGAGCGCAATAGGTAGAGTAGGATCGAGCGTTATGACAAGGCTGCAGTTGGAGGGCTGCACGCGTCTCTCTTCTGTTCCCGCACGTGTGAATGACAAGGGCTGTTCAACTCATGAAAATCCGCATCTAGTAATTGTGGCTCATTGGAAGTCAAGTTCGTCCCACCACGCACAAAGGCGCACTATGCATGCCAACGTCTGAGACAGTTCGCTTCAACAGTTCAGAATCTTGTTACTAATTTAGTAATTCGGGAATACTTCTATCTAGATGCAAACAGACCACACTCAAGAGCTAAACAAAATCGGAAAAGGTTTCTGTGGAACAGTTTGGTGCGCTCCAGCGGAGACTCTTACCATCAAACGAGAGGATAGTGGTTCCGAGAAATCAGACTACAATGACTTCATCATACATCACAATATTCTCCCTGCTTTACCTTTATCAAGTCGATTTTGTGTCACACAGTGCTACAAATACGTGCAAAACAATGATCATACTTGGTGGGATAAAGAGATCTTTAAGTTTCCTGAGCAATTTCAGATCCGCTGTAATGCGCTGGTCACTGAGCGCATTCTACCATTTCCTGAAGCCATAAGACACAAGATTATCTCATGCGATAGTCTACTGGGTAACCAAATATCACATAGCCTCTGTTTTCAAGATGCTGACATCATTTCGATATGTAGGTAACGGAGCGTACGAAGCGAATCAGTTGACCATCTAGGGCCACAAGGAATATGACCCTCGTCAGGACGACGATATTGCGTTGAATATGACGAAGCCAGAGGGCGACAGGGATTTCTCGTACTTCAAGCACGCAGAGGAGGATGGGAAGCCGTGGGCTTTTGCTATGATGTTGAAGGCTCAGCCGTTTCAGGGGGCTGGGGTATTGAGACTTGTGATGGCTGGAGAAGGAATATACAAGGAACTGAGGCGCAGGCGCTTTTCAGGGTTTTGAAGAAGTAGGGATTTCTCGGCATGCTCGAAATGAGGCTTGAAGGTGGATCGAATTTGTATTTGCTGCGTGCCGGATATGGTCTGTGAGTCAGAGCCTTACAAGCGAATATTTGCTGTGTATCAATTTCTCTTAGGCTTCAAAGGCTCTCTTGCCTGACATCTTTGATTAAGTCCAGGGACTCAGTCAAAAAAGCTCATATGGCTTGATTGACTGGCCCATATTGACCCCCTCACGTGCTTTCGGGAATTGCTTGACAGAAACCTTTCTGATTGTGACTGGTGAGTCAAGAAGGATCGTCTTTTAATTAACCGCTGCGCTGAAGCGATGAACTATTGCAGATGTATGTTGGTCTTGTTGGCCTTTGTTCCATATCCGACTAATCAATGGGGATGTTTCCCTTTGTTTTCAGCGTCGCCAACGGCTTGCTGGATCGCCCGCGGTTTGAGCAAAGCAAATAGCTGCTTATGCAAATAGATTTTCTGGTTTGATGGTCAAAGCAGCTACTTACCAACCGGGGTGCCTAACAGGCAAGTGGTTTGACAGGTTCAGGAAAGTCACGCAATTTGAAATCGAAATCTCTTGGTTTTTCGTTCGGTCCGGGCGTCGAATCAACTGTAGAACTATGTTTGGTGCCAATATATACACACATCTATATTGGGCCTCAAATTGAGAATTGATATAACAAAGACATGCACTAAGCGAGCTGGCCACTGAATGCGAAATCAAGAGTCTGCGATGCTATCTATTCAGCATTCACAAAGAGCCTGATTTTACCTGTGACACTCGGAAGCCTAGACCAGCCCGCTCTGGTAAAGTATTGCGTATCCTAACACATCACGACTGGCAAATCACGTGGGCAGTGACACTGGTTTGCGTGAGAACACAAGGAACTTCCACTCCCTGTGAATTCTACTCTGCCAACATGTCTAGCTAATCATCCTCTACACCTCCAATCTTTCATTTCTCCAAAGGTCTTGCCTAGGGCCAGAAACAGGAAGTCAAAACTATGAGCGAGACGTGGGATGCTGTCAAACGTGACAGTCTGGTGACGGCAATGCCAAAGTGATTGAATTTCAGCTCATAGTCTTGTCTCACAACTAATTCATTTGGTAGAATCTGGGAGGACAGGAGACAGTCAGGCGATCTTTCCGTGATATGCGGGTCGGAGGAGTTGGCTTTGAAGACTCATAAGTTGATCCTCTGCGCGCGATCCGACTTCTTTAAGGCCGCCTGTGAAGGTGCATTCAAGGTGATTTGCACCTGACGTATATTGTTGCGGAATGCTAATGCAAAACAAGGAGTTCAGTACAGGCACAATAAAAATGCCAGATGATGAAATATCCTACGTTTGGCGAATGGCCTGCTTTTGCTACGGCTTAAGCTACTCACCCCAGAAGGCTGCAGTGGACAACGTATGGATATCAGCAGCACATACCCACGCGATGGTGTACAGCCTAGGAGACAAATATGCCGTTAATGGACTCCAAGAATATGCTAGCCTCAGGTTTGAGACAGAGTTGAAAAAGGCATTATCTTCCGCCTTCTGGGCTGCACGTCGAGACGGCTCTAATTTGCAAGACGCCGTTGGCAAAGCCCTAGAGGGTTTCGATGAGACTGTAAAAGCTGTGTATACTACAACGCCCGATAGTGATCGAGCTCTAAGGGATATTATTGTGGCATTCATCAACGAGAAGTGGAAGATGGTGAGAAGCTTACCAATCATTGCGGAGTGTTTTGTGACGTTTCCGGAGTTTGCGATTGATTTGATGGATGCACAGAAGAAGGAGAAGGAAGGGGAAGCGGAGGAGGTGGAGAAGATGGGAAAGGGGCGTAAACGACCAAGAGGTTCTGGCTGATACTGACATGCAATGAGAGTTGAAGGCGGAGACTGCGTGTTTTCAGCGGATAGAGGTGTTTGGTGTTCAGACCGGCGATGTGGTGGGCTAAGGATAGCTCACTGGTCGAAGCATTTGCTGAACATGAGAATTTGTGATAGTGAGAGAGGTCACAACTTACAAAACATACAATCGAGCTCGAATAATAAAGTGACTATGCTTCTATAAAGATGATCTTCAAATTGATATGATACTCCTTATGGTACCTTGAAACTTCTTCGATAAAAACGTGATTGTTTAATTATCAGAATCTGTCATTCACTATTGTGACTCGAAGTGAACAGTCGATCACTCAAAGTCTAATATTTCAGATTTTGAATACTCTTTTCGTCGCCAACCTCATCTAAAAGTGATTGTTCATGCTTCAATACGGACTTGGGTTCAAGTATCAAAGATTTTGCTGATGCGAGGAGAGCAGCATGCGTTCGAAACGTCGCCGTGAGTCGGCGCTCTCACTTGATCCTGAAGATTCAAATGAGTCGAGCCGTCTCTATGAAGCCTTTAAAGTGCGTGGCCTTGATAGTAGCCCAATCTCAAATACTGACGACCAAGTCAGCCTGACGACTACTGCCCGGGGGTCTACTCTTTGGGGCCGCAGCAAGAGCTTTTTGATGCGCTCGGCCAATTGCTCAGGACTGGGTACAACTCAGATATCACAATTGTTTGCCAAGGGTACTCCGTGGATGTGCACGAAATACTGATTACTTGTCGTTCGACGTACTTCCAAAACATGCTTGCAAACGACCTTCGGGTAAGAATCTTACATAGCTGGAATCGTGCTCTGAATGCCAGCAATAGGCTGAGAAGCTGCTAATTGATGAACAAATGAATCTAGAACTAGGCGAATTGAGCTTTCGGAAGAAGACCCAGAAATGATCGAGAAGGTTGTTTCGTACCTGTACCATCTCGACTACAAACCGCAAGTTTCTTGTTGGCTTACACAAGAGCATCTTAAAGATAGCGACCTCGAGATCCATGCTGAGATGTTCTATCTTGGGCATTATCTAGGTATTGACGGTTTGATGTGCCTTGCATTTTGGAGGATGAAGGCTTGGCTCGAGAAGAAGTCCAATGCGAAAAGACAGAAAAGCTTTCGACCCTCAGCCCTTAACGCCTTCATCAAGGCCACACACATCATTTGGGAGAAAATTTCTACAAACTGCAAGAACGTACGAGACTTGATGCTTGATTTCGTTCCAGAAAATTATGCAGCACTGAAAGAGATGAAAGCATTCGCAGAACTCATTACTGAAGTCAACGGCTTTGCTGCTGATTGGATCTTTTTCGACATGAAGACCTGCGATACTCCGGTGTATCAGCGATTGAAAAGTTGTGAAGTATAGTCTGAGGAGAGTTTGGTCATTGTCGGTTAGGAGGCTTTGTGTGGTGCGCCGCTTATTCAAGGCGATCGAAGGTGGAAACAGACTGACAGGAGACCAAGCATCAATGAGAGGCAGGATTGCCATACTGACATATAAGGCTCAATGATGTGCTTACAATAATACAACATGCAGGTAAGCGTGCGCGATGCTCTAAGAGAGACCACTTCACAAGCCCAGTCAGGGGCAGACACTCGAATCCCATTTGATAAAATATTAGTAGAGGGATAACCTCAACATATGGATTAATAATTCAATGGAAGTTTAGAAAAAAAGGTCAGTTTGAGATAAGTTTCAACGCATTGAAAGACAGTGCCTGCAAAAAGACAGGACGATGACCATCAGATCATTTACTTGCACAAGACTTCTAATGTGTCAATCACGAACAGCATGAGAGTTTTTGGTGTCATCTCCCCCTACAACACTTTCTCGCTTTCCGTCGAATCTCATAACTTTCACTCGACCTTCATCATCCATCTGCATACGCTACCCTCATTTTGTATCCTGTAACAATGGCAGCCACGAATCTCGTGGGATCGATGAAAGGGTAAGTACTCAATTATGCAGATAATCTTGAATGCTAATACGGAAGTATTCAGACTCTGGTCAAGTGGGAAGGATTCTGATCTCGTGATCTTGTGCAAAAATGAGGAGATCCATGTTCACAGCCTAATACTATCCGCTCAATCCAAATATTTCAAGGCTGCATGTACGGGCAACTTTGCGGTAAGGAAATTTAAAAAATAAACCTACGTCTTGATCCCCGCAAGGTAAGCTAATCACTTTCAAGGAATCGATCACACACAGGATTGAACTCTTTGAGGATGACCTGGACCTGGTACGCAAAATGCTGGCTTTTTGCTATGGCCACGACTACGAAGATTCGGAGCTTCTCACCAAAGGACAATGGATCCTTGCAGCACACACAAATGCACTAATGTATAGCCTTGGAGATAAATATGACGTGAGCGGTCTTCGCCAGGTCTCGTCAGCAGGTCTCGAACGAAACCTCCAATGTGCTACGGCTAGGATTGTTAGAGACTATCCTAGTCCACTGTCCTGGATCGATGGCTTCCAGGATTTGGCAGATGCGGTGTATAGCGGGACTCCGGACAGTGATGACAGCCTCCGTGAGCCTCTGATCGAATTCGTCTATAAACAATGGGCGAATATTGGTAAATTGCTGCCCATAACGGAGAGCTTCGCGGCCATCCCTCAATTCGTCATTGATGTGATCGAACGTCATCGAAAGATCTTGAATATAGCGAGGATAGAGTGCTCTGAAGAAACCAGGTGCAGGCACACACATTGCAGTACGTTGGAAGAATTGAAGCAGGAGGTGGCAGACGTTTTCCCATATAGTTGGATACCAACCGACCATTGAAGGCTCAGGTAAGGAAGAGTGTATGTAGTCGCAAGATGAAGCCTGGATCGCAGGGAACAGGTCATGATCATTGACCAAATTCAAGGGAAGGCTGTTATCACAAGTTGCTGGGCGCCCTCTTTCCAGTCAGGTCGTTCAGGGGCTGTGCCAAGAGAGTGGTGAGATTGCACTGTTGCCCCGCGTGAAAGTCAATTATCGGGGAATAGAATTAGAACTACGCTCCAAGAGCCTGAGACATTGTCCAAACCAACATCCTCTCCATTCTCCCTTACCAACGTCTTCAGCGAGACTGTGAATATGCATGTCAGACCATGAGAGCCACGAGAAGAAGATAAGAGGATCCTACGAGCCGACATGATTGCATCGTAGTAAACAAATAGACGAGGAATGGACCTCGCGAGAGGATGGAGCATTCCTCGCATGCTCACCCCCCACCAGATCCACAGCCGAAAGACACGCGTGAGGCTTCGTCGGTCGACGCGCCGTCAATAAATGCATCTCTCTCGCCTCGAGACTCGACAAACGCTCGCCGCCTCTACCTCCGCAATGTAGGTTTCTCCGTTTCGGCACAGCCAATAAGAAGGATGAGTCCATTCTTTTCAGCCGTGCCTATCAGACCTCAAGTGCTCAGTCCAACGGTAAACAATGAGAACAGTCCCAGCGTAAGAGAGCGTCAGGACGTCTTTCGAGGGAGCATATCTGGCGGTGCTGGCAACATCCTGCAAGAAATACGAAACCCACCTCGAAGACCAATCGAAATGCGCAGGGTACATCTAGGAGACATGTCTGATACAAATGCGCCACGCACTACTCGGAGCAGTCTAAGAGAAACCTCATGGTACAGCGCAACTAGTAACGATTGCTCGCCATGTAGCATGAGCCCAAGCCCAGGTATGCGAGGGCTACGTGAGATTTCTAGGAACGAACAGACGACCCCTTCTAGATCTATTTCAGGAAGCGCACGAAGAGCTCACTTGGGCAGTCGGATCAGGATTGGGTCTGAAAGCTACAATGCATCACAGTACATCGATTATCTTGAACGGCAACTGGTTCTTGCACAGGCGAAACATGAGGCTTCCGTCTCAACTGAAGCCAAGAAAGCACGCTCTACGAAGATCAAGAGCCTTTCAATAGAGAACAAGAATCTACGTGCCGAGGTAGAAGAAGTACAACGCAAGTATGACGTGAGGGTACAAAGCGAGGCCGAGAAAAGATTGGAGTTTCATACAAGGGTACAAGCAGAGGTCGAGAAGAGGTTAGAGTCTGAAGCAGAAATGAAGGACCGCCTAGACTCACTTGAGTCAGAGGCTGACTTGAAAGATGCGCGAAATAGAGAGCTCGAGTGGGAATTAGAGTGCACCAAGGCCAAAGCGAGAGACTCCGAAGGCCTACAAGACATCAATCAAGACTTGGAGAGAAGAATTGAGATGCTGACACACCTACTCGTCCAGACACCAACAAAGACTTCCACTACTTCTGCTAGCTCCTCACCCTCAAAACGTGCTCCTCGTCCTCGCTCAATCCTCCTTCCAAAACTGCCCCCCTCCCCTGGGGGTGCCCGCTTGTCACTCACGACGGTGTCGGAGACAGCTCCTTGGCAACTAGAGGAATACAGTTTAAGCTCTCGAGCATCGACTTCTATTAACCTTTCTTCATCTACGGTGGTGTCCCCTCAAGGCCTTGGTCTTAGTACCTTTGACACATTGCGGTCGCCGAATAGCACTGCACAAAGACCATGTCTGAGTCCTCAGCAACTTCGACGCTCTTCCACTATGAATTCTGCGCCTTCTCCGTCTCGGCCAGTTTCATTTCTCTCAACTTCCTCTTATGACACTGCACTAGGCGGCTCAGTGGATGAAGGTCAAGATGATACTCAATGTATCAACAGGAAGAGGCAGATGCGGCGCTTCACATCTGGATCGAAATCATTGAAGCCTTTAGTATTGCCTTCAACTAATGGGGTTCAGCTACACCTAAATTCTGCACCAGCTGCTTCAATACCTGAGGACAAAACTAGCCAATTCTTACCCAAAACACCTAAACATAGATCTGAGCATTTCTTGCCCAGATGGAAAACTAGCCCGCCGGGTGCAATGATCCTTCAATCACCATATCAAGCTCCTACAGCAGAACAAGCGCACGATCAGGCACTCGAAGCACTCGAGGGCAAGACCAAGTCTTCTTCAGCATGTACAGACCCCTCACCATCCTCTATGGACTCTGCAACTGAAACAAAGCGCAACACTGCTTCAAATTTTAGACCGTGGGGGCACAAGAAAAGCCGAAAGTCGGAACGTAGGAGCCTTCATACCGAGCTGGAGGAAGCGGCAATTAGACTGGTTACAGAGTACAATTCAGCCAGTACAGATGATCATTCCAACCCTCATCCCTCTAACAACCACACCACTCCTGAACCAACACGAATAGCGATCGGTTTGGAGCCACCTTCATCACTGGATTCGGCTTCAGATATAATTCAGGGTAAGCAACATCCAACACAGGCATCTGAGACGGAGCCAAAACTACAGGGAACTCCTACCGCTTCCGAAACAGAACGTGCGCCACGACACTCGGCCACAACAAAATCGAGACCCTCTCAAGAAGCGTTTGACCAATCTATACGGCTTCCGCATTTGCTTGTCCTAACAAGCCAGTTCCCTTGGTTGTTAGCGCGACGCGCTCTGACCAACGCATGGTCTGCGGGGAAGAACAGTCTTCCAGGGAGAGTAAGTCGGTGGTTCCTTCGCTTGGTCTGCCGCTCGTGCAAACGGGACTCGATTGCTCGCGATGCTGAGAACAACATCCCCTCAGAGTTCTTTCACCCCCAGTCGCGTCACGTACGTGTCCATTCAAGGAAGATGGAGGCCTCTGATAAGTATTCTCGGCCCCTGCCATCTTCACGGTATGCTGGCGGGAACCTCGTGACAACGCAACAAAGAAGCGTTGACTATGGGGCTACATGGTATTCAAGACCTCATCCGGGAAATACGGGAAAGGAGTTACCGCCCTTTCTTCCAATGCATCGCCGGCAGGAGACTCAATATTTCCCCTGCGTTGAATGCGTTGAGCCGTCCTCTCGTCGTGATCTTCGACTATGGTTTCAATTCTCTATCGCAATTCTGTTGGTCATCGGAGTAGCCATCAAAAATGGGCCAGGAGTGCTGGTGAACCAAACGCCTCCTGATGTACCTCACCAGGGGTCTTCAACTAGTGTTTTCCGTGAGGAGGCAGGAGACGCAATGGATGACCGTAGCCAAGGCAGTGGTAACAACCGGACTCGCGACTTCTCTGGCCGTACATCGAAAACGGATAATAGCTTCGCAGATTCTGGGTATGGCAGCATTATGTTTGCAGAGGCGCTTGGCCCCGAGGATTTTCAACGACATGACCAATGATACTGGTCCGCATGAACCTTTGAACACGCTTGTGTAACATTTGATGTATCATCCTTCAATTTCGTCCTGCGGATTGCAGTACACTTCACTTTTCTTTCGGAAGGAGTCTTCTTTGACTCTTTAGGCATTTTGAGCGTTGCGTGTTTTCCACATTATTGATACCCTTTCAGCATACGACAAATGGGGTTGGGAAATTGTACGATTACGACGAGATGTATGATTCATGTAGTATAAATAGGGCAATGAATACGATGCACGATTCTGAATGATAGCACGCTGCTCACACCAATATTGTTTCCCTTTCACGTTCGAAAGGGGCAATGCCAAGACTTTTCTTCTAGGGCTGAATGGAAGTCCGCAAAGCTAAGCGAATATCGCACATGCCCATCTACGTCAACCCCCAAAGGTCACTCCCTCCACCGACACCTTCATTTCACCCGGCGAGAGCTCAGACCCACTGCAATCATGGCAGGCGGTGTCAGTGTCCGCGACGTAGAAGTGAGTCGCGTCCTCCCTGCCCTTGTGTCGGCCCAGCTTTGCGAAAGCTCCAAGGCCCAGACTCACAGCATTGCTACGTTATGGAGACTGATGTTTTGGTGAGATACACAGGCGCGCAAATTCATAGAAGCCTACTCCGCATTCTTGAAACGACAGGGTAAATTGCAAATACCAGGTCAGTGCCCGTCCTGCTCTACGGATTCCATGAGGAAAATAAATATGAAAGCGCAAGAGCTGATGCATCCATTGATTGTTAGGCTGGGTCGACACCGTGAAAACATCACCCTCGAAAGAATTACCACCACAATCAATTGACTGGTACGTCCTCCTCGCCCTTAACCTCCGCCAACCTCTCCATGGGGCCTTATAAACACTCTCCTCTTAAAGCCCCCCTTTGCTGCGGATGCAGGATTTCGTTCCACTTACACTCTACCCATAGGTTCTACACCCGTGCCGCAGCCGTAGCACGCCACATCTACCTCCGCAAAACTGTCGGTGTCGGCCGCCTTCGAAAAGTCCACGGCAGCACCAAAAACCGCGGTTCGGCGCCCTCCCATCATGTCGATGCGTCCGGGTCTGTGGATAGGAAAGTGATGCAGGCACTGGAGAAGATTGGCGTGCTTGAGCAGGATGAGGAGAAGGGCGGACGGAGAATCAGTCAGAGCGGCCAGAGAGATCTGGATCGTATTGCGCAGACGACGCTGCAGGAAGAAGAGGGGAGTGATGACGAGTAGAGGGGAGGTAGGACAGAAGGGGAAGGGGTGAGGGGAGAGCATGTTGGAAGGCTTTTGTGGGATATGAGGATGAGGTCAAGGGATTGCATGCGGAGCATCGATAGAGGCATAAAGGAATAAAAGATCTACCTCACGACATGCCAATTCGTGCTCATGAAACGCCATCAATTTGTCGGTGATGCAAAGCTGTATCCTGTTCATAAGACCTCCCCCGGAAATAAATACTTGGCGAAGAGGATGCCTTGAGGCTCCTATAAGAAAAGAGACACCACTAACAACAGCCCAAGGACGATGCATATCTTTGGCATTCATACTATCGTAAAGCATCCGGGTGAGGGTTCTGGCATAAATTTGCGTGACTCGAATGCAATTTTATGAATCTGGTCTCCCCATGCAGCATGTCGTAGATCATCACCAAACTGTACTTTAGGATATCCTGATACGAAAGCTTTAGGGGCAAGACTAGTTCCAGAGATGGAGACTCCGGGCAGCCGCTAAATGCAGCTCGAATCTAGCATGCCACTTTCTCTTCCTCGTAGACTATTTGAGTTGTGCCCGCAGAATGTGATGTTAAGATGTTATTGGAAGTTAATTGTGAGGAGGAAAATTGAAAGAATATCGACTGCCATACTCAAGACGATCGCCCGAGGGCCCCAAATTACAGTCTCCTCGCCACCCCGACCCGCTGTCTGCAAAAAAATGTCGATATTTCTATGACTCGAACCCTCGCGCGTATATTTGAACAGAAAAAGCACATGATCATGCTTTCAAAAGAGCAAAAAAAGGATGCAACATTCGAAGATTTGTAGCAACACCTGGTTTCGATCCAGGGTCCTCCGGGTTATGAGCCCGGCGCGCTTCCGCTGCGCCATGTTGCTTGAATGTCTCAATTCGACGAAATGAAGCTCTGCTATCTGTAACTATATCCCGTTTTTACAATTATGTTTGCAAAATGACCGTCGTTCTTTCCTTATGTCACTGGCCTTCCTTGCCCTTCCAAGACTTGAGGATTTGCTGCTCATGATGCTCCGTGAATTCCACCGAGGCGGAATATAGCGCATTGCCGTGCATGAGTATCAATGAATAATATGACCACGCTTGCATTCATGGTCCAAACTGGGTGAGGTAGGTCTCCAGCGACAACGTCCCAGTGAAGACGGAAGGGATCTTGAATATTCTCTGACAGGGAACACTCCTTTGCTGAAAGTGAAAATTTTATGACATTAATGGACCTGTTCCGTATATACACGAAGCTTACACGGCTCTGCCTCTTAACGCAGGCGAGCGCTTTCCAAACACAATATGCAATGCACCTTCCACCATCATCTCTATCCCCTCCACGCACATTCACCTGCTTTCCTCTTTATACACCCTTTTCATCTCCGTTCCTTTCAGCCCCCTTCCCATCCCACTTCCTCTTCTCCCCTCCCCTTCCCCATCACGTATATTCCATCCACCCTACAGCACAAACACAGCCAACGCACCCACACCCGCCAACAATCCCGCCGACATCCCCACCCTTCCAACACCCGAATCCAGCGTCCCCGTTGGCGTCGTCGTCGGCGCTCCCACCGTAGCCGTCGCTTCCCCACCGCCTGACGCACCACCACCCACAACCTGCACACTCGTCTCCTGCCCTTGACTCGCGCTCTGCACGACACTGCTGCTCGGGAGGTAGGTGCTCGTCTTCGCTTCGGCCGTTTTGGTCTTGTTGTGCGCTTTGCTGGAGACGGCGGTGCCTGAGTGCGAGGGTTTGGATTTGTGGGTGCCTGTTGGGAGGGGGTGGGTGCCATTGCCTGCTGGGTACGACGGGGTAGGTTTGTGGGGTTTGGATTCTTTGGGGGTTTTGGTGTGGGAAGGGGTAGGGGTTGTGGAGGAAGAGGACTTTTTGGCGGTGTTGGAGATGCCGAAGAGGTCTGAGTATTGGTAGTCGCCTGTGCTGTCGTCGATGATCTTGAGGCCGTAGTTGGAGGTGTCGGCGTCGAGGCTGGAAGGGACGACCCAGGTGTAGCTCCCAGAATTGTCGATGCTGTTGGCGATGCATTGGTATTCTTCGGCGTGGTCGGCGGGGCCACGGAGGAGGGCTATTGAGATTTTGTCTGTGGAGCTAGGCTGGATTGTGTCGGTCACATTGAGAGACAGGTAAGGAGGGGAGTAGAAAGGCTTACTGTCCAGGTGATCTCGAAATTCTTGCCCGCCGGCACTGGGAAACCCTTTGGAGGCTGGTGGATGGGATTTCCACTAGGTGTGGGACTCGCGTTTGCATGGTGCTGGCACACATCGGCAGCTAAGGACAGGCCTGTGAGGGCGGCAACGACCAGCGTTTGGATTGTATATTGCATTGTTTCTCTGTACAGATGACTTGGCGGATATGTTTTGGTGGAGCCAAGAGCGAAGACCGAAACAGATGTTTGAGAAAAGAAAGTCGAGCGCAAAAAACGGCGAATGGAAAAGAGTGACTGTCGCGAATATAAAAGAGCGGTTGAAGGAGAGGATGGTAGGTAGGCGGAGTAATGAAGGGATAAAGCAGCAGAGAAAGAATCTGGAGGGGGCGGTTTGGTTAGGTCAGCCCATCTCTTCACTGTCTTCAGGGGTTATTGCAGGGGTCTCTCAATTTCCAGTGCTGAAACGGAGTCCTGGAGCCAACGCGCATCCTGCCGTTTACAGCTGCAATTGTATTGGTGGGTGATGTATAGGAAGCCTGGGGCAGAACATTTAGACCGCGGGCTGAACCAGCGACTTATGCTGCTTGCGGCTAGGATAGGGGCACGGTGGAGCGTTATGCGCCGAGGGCTGAATCTGCATCAAACTGCTTCACCCTGCCAGGAATAGATCGCTAATCGATTATGCGGAGTTTGACATGTCGTGCTGCATTCGAAGGCTCCACGTGTGCTTTGAGATGTACTATTGAGCCAGAGGAGATGTGAGGTTTGGATTCTTCGAGAGCAATCGCACCACCATGTTTACCTGCTCGAGCTTTTGCGATGTACCTCGATGGTAATTTTGTACAGCCTGCTGCCATGCGGCGGTGCAGATGCTAAAACTCATCGCGGAGGTCTCTCGAGAACTTGAGGCCCCAATGCTATAAGTCTCAAGGATCAACAGAGCAGCTTTGGAGGATTGCGGACCCGCACGTCAGTCGGCCCCCGTGTTGGTCTGTTGTGGACGTATCATGCATTCAGAAGGTTACTCATCGGAGCATCATTTCTTATTTTCTATTGCTTTCATGGACTGGCTCTTGTCTGCCCGCTGTTGGTGGGACATAAGGCTGGCCCCAATACCGGTTGCTCCGCCATCTCAGGTACAGAGCGTGAAGAACACGGTGGTCATGCTCGGTAAGCCTATGATAGCACGATCGCCCTTGAATGGAAATGAGGTCATTTAGACATCTCCGCCGAAGCAGTCCGCTGCTAGATATGTTGGGATGGTAACAGAATCGCTGGCTGCATCCACACTTGGGTGTCTGTTGTCATAAATACCGTCCTCATTTCTTGTCTCCTCACATAGTGATCTTCTTCATCCCTCTAATCTCGCCGTCCAAGAGGCACCAGAGCACAGGCCACATTTCCAACTCCCCGTTCCGTAGCAAGTAAATTGAACTGTGCTGCCGCATTTCTCGTATCCTGCACATCGACCCGTATACCCAGCTCATGTATTTTCTTCCTCGTCGCCGGCGAAAGCGGCCGCATCCGTTTCCCCAGTCCGAGAATCAACATTTCTGGTTTCGGCCACACAGTCTCAAGGAGACCCCATGCGCTGCTGCCTCCTCCTACCCCCTGATCCGAGGTACGCTCTGAACCTTGCTCCGTATCCCATTGCCCTTTGAGATTCACCATACTCCTTCTCTTTCTACCATCTTTACCGCCGGCCCCTCGATCTGAGACTTCCCACGGCCGCCAAGCGAAAGCTTCACCCTGTACAAGAATCAACCCATCTCCATCCGAAATCCTGACACCGTTGTCCAGATGGAAGCCATCTGACAGACAGGCATCGATTGAAGCCGTAGGCGCTGGGCTATTGGAGAAAATATCCTGCATCCCAAAGTCTGTCATTGTGGTCTCGGTCGAGGCAGGCCCGCGATCTAGAGACCGAGGCGCGGGCGAGTAAGAAGGAGGGTGTGAGCAGAAAGTGCGGTGCTGGGAAATTGAGGATAGTCTAGACGCTGGAGTCTGACCATGATGGTTGTGGCTTGTGAGAGACGGCTGTGTAGAAGGACAGCGAGGGCGGAGAGAGTTGATAGTCCGGAGGGAGCGGAGGAGCGATGGGGAAGGTGGAGTGAAAGGAGGCATTGTAAGATCTCAGTCGCCAAAGATGTAAATGCTAGCGATCAACGTTATTCTTCAGTAATTTCATTGTTGTCAGCAACAATATGAGATGAAAGATCATGAATTAGGTATGCAAGCAAAGTTTGCCGTAGAAAACGGAACGGTGCGTCATCGAAGATATTTGGATTTGGTCTCGGAGTCTCGCTTGTGAATCGAAGAAATTTACACAGGATAACACTTGGTCATCTACTTGCATGAAGTCTTGACCCTCGTTTATCTCAGGAGTTTCCTTCATATCCCGTCATGTCCTCGTAGGTTCAATATAGAACGAGTGTGAAATCGAATGTTTCCCTATATTTGCAGTATGCTATTGTAGGACAAAGCCGAAGAGCAATAGGTCAGTCGACCGTTTACTTTGCACAGTGAGTATTCTCTCGTGTCGCCTACTTTCGACTATCAGAAGCTGGTGGAAGTATGTGCTCAAGAACCTGAACTTCAGCGGAAGACTGATATCCAAAACAGCATCTTTTCTGGTCAAGGAGTATCTTTTACCTGAACAGGTAGATCATCCCTGCAAGATGTCGAGTAACTGTGAAGAAGTATCCAGCTGTCAAGGTAACGTGTGCAGCAAAGCATGAAACCGGTGTTCGATTGGACCCTTCCGCAAGGTGCTCTGTCTGGCGCAATGTCTCCGAGGGTATGCTCGGTCATTGAGTCATGACAAGCACTTGTGTAACGGCTCTGTCGTTCTGAGATTATACGGTTGAACTTGATCTGGACAATTCCAGCGAAAGCATCTCATGCTGCCTTGCCCAGCTCAATTAGGAGAGCGACTGACTGAAAGCAGAATACAATGCCTTCTACAGCATTCGAGAAAGACGTGGAAGCTGGATCTGCCAAAGATACCATCAAAGCCAGCTCCCCAATGGTTGACGACTCCGATAATCAACATGCCCAGCCTGAGTTGGCGAACATCACAGAAAGGCCCCAGACACCCGTTGGAAAACTAGGCCTTTATATTCAAAACCTTGAGAGCTACCTTGCCAAATACAAATTCGAAGCCCGTGGCATCGACCGTGTCCTCGTAGAAGACACCCATCCCACAAACTGGCGCTCTTACATTCAAGCCTTTTTCTTCTGGTTCTCCGTCAACCTCGCCGCCCAAAACATAACACTGGGCATGCTAGGGCCCTATATCTTCTACCTCAGCTTCCGCGACGCAACTCTTTGCGCTGCTTTCGGTGCCATGATTGGCTCCCTTCCAGTCGCCCACATTAGCACTTTCGCGCCCATCTCTGGCCTCCGTACCCTTGTCTTTGCGCGCTTCACGTTCGGCTGGTGGCCCACTAAACTCCTTGTGATCCTCAACATGATCGTCCTGGCAGGCTACTCCCTGATCGACCTCGTCATAGGGGGACAGATTCTCTCCGCTATATCTCCTTCCGGCAATCTCTCAATCGTCGTCGGCATCATCATAGTCGGTCTGATCTGCTGGATCATCTCCACCTTCGGTCTCACCGTCTTCCACCTATATCAGCGTTACGCATGGATCCCACAACTCATCGCCATCTGCATCCTCTTCGGCGTTTCCTCCTCCAAATACGACCTCAAGACCCCTTCACAAGGCGACCCCAAAACCGTCATCGCCTCCCGCATCTCATTTTTCTCCCTCTGTTTCTCAGCGGCAATAACATACACCGGCAGCGCCGCGGATTTCTTCGTCTACTATTCCCCTTCGACCTCTCGGCCTCTACTCTTCCTCGCGGCGTGGTTCGGCCTAACCACCTCCTTCGTCCTTGCATTCACCGCGGGGACGGGTCTCGCTTCAGGAATTCCCATCCACAAGAATTACGAATCTGCATACAAGACATCGCAAGGCGCCCTAATCGTCGAGGGGTTCTCCCCCTTACATGGTTTCGGCAAATTCCTCTCCGTGGTCGTCTTCTTCAGCCTTGTCTCCAATACCGTACTGCCATCCTACAGCATCGGCATTGACTTCCAGCTCTTAGCACGTTTTGCGCAGCGGGTGCCGAGGTTTGTGTGGAACACGGCTGGCGTGATCATCTACACTGTCTGCGCCCTCGCGGGACGGAACTCTTTGTCCGAGATCTTTACGAACTTCTTGGCGTTGATGGGATACTGGGTTGCCATCTGGGTGGCGGTGAGCTTGGAGGAGCAGATACTTTTCAGAGGAGGGAGTTGGTCGGGTAGTGGGTGGTGGACCGTTCCTATAGGTGATCAGCATGGGTATGGGGTTGAGAGGAGTGGAAGTTTTAGAGGTGGGAGTAAGGGCCGCTGGAAGGGGTATGAGTGGACGGTGTGGAATCAGCAGGAGAAGTTACCGTTGGGATTAGCTGCACTTGTTGCCTTTCTCGTGGGCTGGGCGGGGGCGATACTGTCTATGGCGCAGGTGTGGTACACGGGACCCATTGCAGGCAAGGTTGGGGAACATGGGGCTGATGTGAGTTCAATTTGTTTGCTTGCGATTCTGCTACCTGTTCGTGACGGGACCATGCTAATTTGTGTTTTACAGATAGGCAATTATGTGGCATTTTCATGGGCTGCAATCATCTATCCGCCTTTACGATATTTTGAGCTCCAAAAGTGGGGAAGGTAGCCGTTCACCTGAGGCAAGTAGTATATGTCCGTCGTATCAACGAGGAGTTAGCCGTTCACCTAAGGTAAGTCATATATGTGCGTATCAGCCGTGACAGCCTAGTGATCGAGGTCGATTATATTTGTTGATACCTCTGCTGTAGTGGGCTCATGCGCATACGTATTCCACTCTGCTCTCATGCTTCGTCCATTGCGCGACGGTGCCGAGGATTCTTCTCTCCTGAGCCCTTCGAACTTTACGTAGCCACCCAAATTGAATGTCCCTTTGATGACACCGTCACCTAGAAACTGGATCCACCCATCGCCACTTTGCCTATCTCTGGTTGCCCCATTGATTTCATTTCCACGCCAGACGAATCCCAGAGCTTCTTCAGATGCTTTAGATGGGCGACGCGGCAGGTATAGAATACCAATGGTTGAATTGAACATGAACGATCCCCAAGCAGCAGGGCTATCGAGCGCAAGATGTAGATTAGTTCCTTGTGTAGCTGATTCTTGTTCAGCAGAGGCGTAAGTGACGTCATAGATACCGTTGACGAGGCCTAGTGTCGCAGTGGCGGCAGCATCATCTGCGAGGGACATTGCTGAGTCTTTCGGACCCTTCGTATCTGCGCTGGCCGCCGCCGTCGATCTCTTCTTGGCAATGGCTTTGGCTTTGTATTGCAGGCCAATATTTAGTCTCGGGCGTCCTGTTTTAGGTCGCCCTTTCTTTACTCCTGCATTCGTGTTTTCCAACCAAGGCAAGACACGTTTGTTGCTTGGGTTAGAGGACTTGCGAGGGGAAGTGTGCTCGTCTTTGGCAGGTGCCATTCTTATCTATCAGTAGAGTTGGTCAACGGACCGATAGGCTTGTGGAGAAGGACAAACCTCGATAATGGCAGGAGTCGGTATGTAAGACCTGGTGAGCTAGAAGGCTATCACTCGAGTCGCTATGTCAGATTTGATGCACGACAAGCTTGTTGTTAGTGTCGGAATCAATGGCTGCCGTCGATCCCCGAGAGAAGACAGTGTTTGAATGACCGTTTGGAGTGACTTTAATTTTGGCCGGACAATGTGCTTCTTGATACTAGAGTTCAATACTGGAGATGAAGAGACAATCTGAAGGTAACCACGCTGCAAGCCTATGGATTGTGCTGCGAGAGGTTTGTTGGAAGTGTCAGGATGTATGAAAGCTGTCGGGACAAATGAAACCTTTAAGTAGTAATGTATCAAGTGGAAAGCTCCTTCCACTTGCAAGACAATCACCCGAGTGAAGAAATGAATTTACCATGCATAACCATGCACAAACTTTCGACTTTAAGAAGAGAAAAGTTGAGACTGATAATGAATCTAACGATCAATACCGCGAAAGTGAAGTCAAGAAGTGGAACTTATTTGAGGCCTGGCTTGATTATGCTGTTGACTACATCACAGCATTTGACAAGACTTTAGGAAGCGGACACTGGCAACAGCAAAAGGCGGTCTACACCGCAGTGACGGCGCCGTTACGGCAGCCAGAGTTGATCTCAACGTTTCGATGAGTACTGGAAGAAGAATGAAGTGGTGAAGTGATGCGGTGATGAATTGATCGAATGCATAAAGCCACGGTAGACTTACGCAGTACCCGCGCGGCCAATTCGGTCACCCGGAGGAATTCCTATTGGCCTGATGTGTGAGGCCAAAACCTCACCCCTAAAGCTACAAGCAGTCATAGTGTTCGAGTGACATCTGACTGAGGTTGTGCAAAGCTGAGCTTTTGGTAGTCACGCTGTTGATCCGACCTGATTGCCAGGGGGTGGCAGCATGCCATTTTTCTGATCCGATGAAGCCCCGCACCCTCCGTCAGAAGCTGATGACCGCTTACGGCTGCCACCGGCGGGGAAGTATTGAGCGGCAGCAAGATTAGCACAGGACAGTGATGGCTTGCAGTCAAATGCGATGGGTGTCGTGCGTGCAGACGCAAGTTTGCCCACCAAATCATCAATTCTGCTTATATCGAACGTTGAAAGGATGAGTAGGGCCACACAGTCCCGTGGAGCACTCGAATTTATCGTGCATCTGCTGGAAAGGTCCAAGAGAATATATGGAAGAGTGACGGCTAGTCCAAGATGAAGATAGCTTGCCATATGGAAAGAGAAGGCAGGATACTAGGAAGATCCAGGGACAGCGGGGGGACCTGGGCTTTCGAAGCGCGGCAAGATCATAAGCCACCAAGGACCAAAGCGAGCTGAATCGTTCCTCTTGCGCAGCGACTTGCAAGATTGTTTACCTCCACAATGGTCCGCGTTCGAGTACTTTGTGTGGTTTCAAGATCCTTGCGGAATTCTGTCCTCAATAAGTCCATCCTTAAGCTTTTCTACCGTGGGCGATGTTGGCTTATGCCTGAAACAATTTCTCCCTGCGGTGGCTTGAGACCCTGCTTTGGCAAGACAGCTACCAGTTTCCGCCATTGCAATACTTCATATCATTGTATTGATTAGAGAAGGACTCGGTCGGACTTGGGTTGTAAAGACCAAGACCATCATTAGAGCACAAAATTGTCGTCCTTTCTGTCACTTTAGCATGATCCTTGCCTCGAAAGCGGATTTCTTCTTCAGCGATCCAGTTGAGCGCGTGGGAAGCCGGATCCAACACCTTCCGTCTTCGAGGGTCAATTTTTGGCAGCGTATTGGTTTATCGCGAGGTCAAATGCACATCCAGCCTCTTATTCACTGAGGCGTCTTTGTTGGATATGGAAATCGTCTGGGCTAGTATTCAATCCTTCTCGACTATCTCTCGATTTTCCCCTCTCTTGTCAAGGCTTAAGCGCAATTTGATAGGGGAGCTGAGGATTCGAGATCACCCATTGCAAGACACGTTGGAGTAAGGGCGAGCATTTGTGCCAATTGTAATCCACCGTTCGTGTGACATAGCTCCAATTGTCAAATGGCATGTCCGAACCTAGTCCGATGCAAGCTAGGGGGCGTCTATGGCCACAGCTTTCGTTGGATTCGATGATCTCCATTTCTGCTGGATGCTGCTCACGTGATGACATCTTTCAACACGATTTTGACTATTCTCAAAGCAAAGACAATATGATTATCAATCAGGGTAACCAAAGATTATAGCCAGTCATCTGACTGAAAGCAGGTTTGCAGTGTTGGGCGGTTTTTGAGCCAACGTGGCGCGGGAGAGCAACATTTATGGCGGCATATCAATTCTTATTGGCGCCAGCAGAAGGTTCGAGACAGCTGGCAAGGTCTGCAGATCGGCTGGGAAGACCAATTGCCATGGAGAGATTTTGGACACGGTCGATATATGCACATCCCGCGCTGTCTTCCGATGCAGAGTCTACAGCCTGGATGCTTGCCATATCCCAAGGGACCAACCTTCTTGTTCCTTGCCCTCAATCGGTGTCAAGACGTGCCAAAACTCCTAGAATTGATCTCCATGCTGTCACTGCAAGCACGCTACGGGTCCCAAACTGCGGCCCTGAGTCCCCGGCTGCAGGCCGACGTCTCCATTCACCTCCTGAGCGACAGTCTCCTCGTTATGCGACTCCCGAACTCAATGCTCAATGCAAGCCATGTTCAGGCAAAATTCTGATCCCCACGACCTAGATCGTTCGAAGGATCGGTTAAGACAAATTCAAGCAAAACCATTGCATGTACAAGTTTGAATCGCGAGAGGTTGGACACAGAAGGACGCACCAAACTTAAGGATTTTGTGAAAAAGGCGGAACACCGAATGCCGCGGAGCATTGCCGTGTGAGATTGGATTCGCCAGAACTTTCTGCTATAGTAAAGTCTGCCTTGATTCAGAGTGTGATGAAGAGTGATCAGTCGGAGCCGGTCCGTGCCTAAGCTCGACTAGGGTGGCAATGGCGAAACACCTGGAACAGACCCAAGCCTCTAAGGGTAGGATCACCGCCGCTTCAGGTTCGTTAGCAGACTCTAAGGGCTTTATGCACGTCGTCGATCAGACGTTCAAGCTTCCTCCTCGACGCTGGATGCGTCCTTCAGTTCTTAGAATCATACGATCCGAATTCCCCGAGCGCATGATCACTTACTAGAAGATCCACTTAGCGGCCAATTGGCCCGGAAATTTGAATCGGCCCCCATCGGCCATGCCTAGGCGCCTGTCAGCGGGAAGCGTTGGCCTGAAGGTGATGTCGATGAGTCAATAGTCCTACTGATTGATTTTGAGACCGCTTTCTTCACAGCCATATATAGCCAAGCTTATCTCAGGGACCTTCGGCCCGATAGCCTACAGCCCTTCCAGCACACCAGCTTTCATCCACCATGCAAGGGACTGCCTTTGGCACCTTCCTGTCGAACAGTGGAGGCTAATTGGAAGGAGTAAGGGATTCTGCGCTGCGCTACTGCCAGCTTAAATGGATACGCTCTTCCAGTGCAGGTTCGGAAGTGCGACATGTCAACTTCACGTGTTCATGCATGGAGAACACTCCGGGATGTCCACGGGGGTGAGGGATGTCTTGGGCCCTGGGCTGAGAGTCTCATGCCCTCTTGGACCTCGTCCTTCCATGCCTCTCATCCTCGTTGTGCTAGCACCCACCAGATACAATCTTTCCTTTGATTAAAGACCATTATGCACGATGCCTCCACTATCGTATATCATTCAAATCCAGCCACCAGACAAGACCGAACCCGCACTCTTTGGCTCGTTATTGGAGGCCATCAAAGAGCGAATCAGCAGCATTCTGACCGATCCGACGTGGGAGGGGTGTCGGGGACTCCGTGTTAGGTATCGTCCGTCGGATCTACTCCTCAGATCTCTTTCTTACCTGTAGTGGTATCTTAGGTATCGGCAGCTAGACCTCTCGACCCCAAATGATTGGAACGAGGGATGGTGGGTACATGAGGAGCAACAGCAGGACGTTGCAATCGCTCCTGGGGATGGCATCCCGCAAGCCTTGGAGAGCCCCACCCATGGGTAAGAGGTCGAGCCTTCGGTGGTAGCGCACAAGACTTGCTTACACTGCAGCTCAGTCACAACCTGGATCTAAGGTCTTGGGATGCTTCTGGATACCAAGAGGCGCCGTCTAATACACACTCGGAGCAGCATGCGACGCTCCAGTCGCTTCAGGAAGAGTCAATACATTCAAGTAGACCTGAGAACAGTCATTTGTCAGGCGCTGGTGTTGTTGAAGACTGGCTTCTGAACCTCCCGGTCCGGCCTGCTGATGATCTTGGTGATGAAAAATCAGCTGCAAGTGACGTAACTACGGAATCAACATCAGATCAATCGGATGACAACTTGCGAAGACAGTGTCAACTTAGACAGTCCCGTTACACGACTGCCAATACCGCCGTCACCTGCTCATTGCCATACTCTACTCAAGCTGCCGCACCTACGCTGATCGCTCAAGATGACATGTCTGTATGGGACTGCGAGTCGTGGTCCGCATCCAGAGACTTGAATCACTCCGACTATCGACCAACATACACTTCACGGGGGTGAATGTGCTATCGCACAAGTGTTTTATATCCTCGCAGCAAGAAGTACAGAGCATCGTCATGCCATCGTGGGCATTGCTTTGATGTTCTCCCCACCCGATTCCCTATGTGCTTTGTCACTGGGTGTTTGACTGCGGGTGATCTTCCGCTTGCATACGATCAAGAATGCACAATGATTTGAGACGTCTCTGCCAACTTCACTTCGAATCTTGAAGATCCTCCAGAATGTACATGTGCGATCACTCATTCAGGCATGCGCAATCATATAGGACAAGACCATAACGGCATTTGCAGAGTATAAATTTTAATGAATACAGACAGATCTACCAGACCCCTAGCTCGATGAGAAAGCAACTGCGTTCTTTATTTCCGCTCTTCAGCATTGCTCTTACTTCACTGAAGCCGAGTCTCCTACCTCGCCAACAGTTTCATGTCCAATTGGCTCGCCATAGCAGATGAATGTTTGCCCTCTGGCGATACATTGATCCTATCCTCCTGCTGCCCACTCTTTCTTTACATCGGTTGACGTTCTTTGTTGTGAGGTCCCGTAGACAATGGGCTATGGTGAGGGTTCTTAGGCCGCCTTGTCATATATCGGCTTGAGCTGAGCTTGGCGCTCAAAAATATGAATCTTGCCATCAGTCTTCGGCGAAGGGCACTCTCAGCGTGGAGAGAAGTGAGATCCTAGGTTCCCTACAATCAAGAATACTCTCCGAACGTTCCTAGGGGTTTGGCGTCCCGAAGTATTTGCCGACAGCGGTGCTGACAGGAGACTTTATAATACTAGCAACGAAACGTCGAAGGTAGAGGTTTATGAGCTTGATGACCTTCACGGATCTTTACTAAATGCCGCTCTGAAGGCATCTGATATACGTAGCAACCCGCCCGATGCACTGATTCGTTTGCAACGGTCTCGAGTGCTAGCTCACGAACTGGTGTAGCCTCCGAGGTTGCGCATTGCTGCATTCCATCAAGGTTATACCGCTCCTGTCACGTAAGACGACACTACATCTGTCAGCTCGTGTGTGGCCTTGAAATCTCTGTTGCACTCACTACTATCGGAAATGCTCCAATTTCGCTCCTCTCTGCTGTCCTCCACTGAAAAGTGATTTGAGTCCATCCTATGGGCAGCAAAGCGTCTGGGCTCTCTTCAACCTGAGCAAGTCGTTGAAAAATCCCTAGTCACCTGCTCCCTGCTTAAGTACGAACATGACAGGGATGAAGGCAATTTGAAATAAAAACTTCGAGCGTTTGGAGCAAAGCTGAGCGGTCGCTTGGGCGACAGAGCATGCCGTCAGCTGCCGCTTCGAGTGATCGGTTAATCAACAATGCTTTGGTTGAAGAAGCCTCGCAATTCTGCCTGAACCCTTGATGATTTGCTCGTAGGCGCCCAGGGGGCTTAGTAAAAATCGCTTTTCTCGAGGGGATGTCTCAGAGCTGTTTTGCGACGTCAAGCGACCTTCCACATACCCTACTTCTAAAGAGATCACAGCAAATCATCTTGCTTCTAATCTTTTTTCTCTGATACGAGCTGATGCGCACTTCTTAGGACCCCTAGCAGGGATTGCTACGGCGGAGTTCGATGGGGAAGGTGTACAGAGCGATCGCAGCGCAGAAGTCACTGGCAGATATATTCAGCGTGGGCTGCTTACAACTTTGCGAATCTATGCCAGCGCGCTGACAAAAGATACAAAAAGCTCTTGAACAGGCCTTGAAAATGGGCCAGCAGGACTGCAAAATGTCTTCATTGCCCATTGAGAAACACCACACCGGCAAGTTATGACCGCGCTTTTTTTAAATGATCGACCGATGCAAAAACAGAAAAAGCCAACTCAGCCTCCCAAATCTATTATTGTTAGCTGCGGCCCTCTCTTACTTCGGTCTCTCAGTAGCCAGATCAGCTTAGAACACACAACCTCAACACTTGCTAGCAATATGATCCTCGGAAGTAATTTTGAGAGCTCGCCTCAATCTGCGCAAAGCCTTACTAACCTAGCTTGATGATCGATAGATCTGCCAAAATCTCAAGCGCTCTTTTCGTTGACGAAACACAGGTTATGAATGCCTGGAGATCGTGACGAAAGATTGGCTCCTGGAGGATATTGAAAGATCAACACCCAAGAGGACAGAGGAGCCGGGCATTGAGCGTGTTAACCCCTGCATGACGGTCCTGCCTCACCCTAATGCAGGATGCCACACCACTAGGAAGTCTTCCGCCAAATGCACTCCGTTCATTCGTTTCCCATGAACAGGCTTTTACGGTCAAGAAGAACATAGGGACAGAATTGGCTAAAAGCCGTCGTCAACAAGTCTCAATCCCCGTGTAGCCGATGCAAACACTTCCGAGTTGACCTGAGATGGAATTGAAATCACACGAAACGTTTGTGGCTGACATCCTTTTTGGTACGACAATTGATTACATTTGACTCATCTAGACTACTAGATCGGCAACTGAGGTATCCCTCTGATACTGTCGCGCTGCCTCATGCCCGACTACTGGTTGATGTCCTTGGGGGCGCGTCAGCCTTAGGGTCGGGGCCAATGTTTTTACACAAGCTGTATGCTTCTTGGACATTTTTCGCAGCCGACCGAGTTAAGATCGTCCATTGTTATCATGGTCTATACCACAAGACAGACTGGAGCTCAGTGTTCCTCCATAGAGCAGCTACTTGTGCGATTGAAGCACGACAACACAGTGCCCGAGACAAATAGCATGACTCATGTATGATCGAGCAATCTACGCACCAAGTGGCTTTCTGTGAGGTATCCTCGGTGCAGGGTGTCAAAATTGGCTCGCGCTATAGGCAAGCCTAAATGGTTGGGCGTCAGGCAGAGATAGCCTGGTCGGCTACTGTCTGGCAGCCTTCACCTTCTGCGTCAAATTGGCGCTAATCCCATGTACTTGAGCGCCCCCTGTTGCTGAAAATGGCTATGCACGACCTGCGAGTCGATAAAATTGAGAGATCACGAGTCTGCGTAGGAAAGGAGACCTACATGAATCACAGCCTCTCTGCCGAGAACGAATTTGGTGGTGTAGAATAGTGGATCGATGCAAGTGCGGAACGATCTTCGCAGTCTTGACCATGACAAGACTATTTTTCACTCCAGAAAGAGTCCTACTGAAACGCTTCGCTTAGCCATAGAATCGGTCAGAGAAGAGTGATGTGGATAACAAGTAGCCAGAAGCGACAATTTGCGATCGTGTTGCGGGCATCCTCTGGGACATCTGAAGCAGCACTGAACTCAACTCCCAGGCTTTCAAAGTACTCACGGTCCACTGCCGCCACTCCTCATATCAAGCGTTTCCGCAAGCGAGCGGAACAGCAGACTTCCAAAACGAAGTCACAAACAGTTGACAGGAAAAAGATGGGTCTCCGGTGGCACAACCTGCATACAAGGGAATCTCCTATTTGATCAGCAGTGAGTTTATCTAATGGCCACCTGGTGCTTCAAAGCCTCTCATCAGCTCTGCCATAGTCTTGATGCCTCTAGCCAATTGCAAACTAGGGGGAGGCATAGATAATTTATTTTGACTTTCATCAATGTTCAGTACTCTGTCGGCTTCAACAGAATTGCAAAACCAGACAGTACCTACCCGTGCATTCGGTCCGGAAACACGTCGCTCGTTCCCCGGACAGGAAGCCTTTCCCATTGGTCACTTCCGGATGTCTTGCTGTCACAACATTGGAAGAAGGCATGCAAAGAATGCCGATCTTCCTTAGACTCACCGATACTTTTGTCCAGTGGCTGTAGTCACTCCATCCTTTTCGACTGGCTTCCATACTAGTTGAAAACGACCAAGATGCCGGTATGTCCATACAGAACTTGAGTCCTGCAAGGGATCACGAGAGCCGCATCCTGAGCGTGGTACCTCCACTTGGTTGGCTGTGGAGAGAAAGTCTCTATCGATTGACGCTAGATTATTTTGATCTCCTGCCAACGCAGCATGCCACAATACACACGCCGCAACTGTACAGAGGTTGACATCTACGCCCTCTCTTTATATCTGGTATTGGAGTCCCCTTCGGAAGTCCCCTTCGATGACCAGTATTCTACTCTCCTTTTCCATCACATTCATAAATCTCATCATTTTGTAGTAGCATATTCTGTTGAAAATCTCCATTACCTGCTCTTCCAAGTATGCCCGACCGCAAACTGAAGCCTGAATATGCCGGTCTTGAACCATTTAAAGGACAATTTATTCAATGGTCATATATCGAGCGCAAGCAACCGAAAGAAATCAGAAAATTGTTCAAACCCATTTTCAATGAAGAGCTTGAAGAAACGGGCCATCAACACCACCTTACGTGCGTATCTTCAAAAGCGTCCCAGTACAAGAGAAAACACAGAGCTAACACGAACTCTCTGTGTAGTACTAAGCAGTGGGCAACGCGCAAGACGAAGTGGTATAAAGAGTTTGGCATCGAAAAGAAAGGTCAAGGCCCATCGGAAGACCAGCTGCAAAAACTCGACAGCCTACGCCTGTGGTTCGTGGATGGACAACCGTACGAACAGCCTCAGACGTTTTCGGAAGATCCTAAATCACAATTGTAAGTCTCCCTGACCAATCTACACGAAAACCTTGGACTAATGTAGCTAGAACTCTCAGCAAACGATTTGAGCTCCGCAGACAGCAGCCAGACAAGATTTTGCCGGAACTAGAGAATGAAGGAGAGTCTCGTGTGGGAGGGGCTTATCAGAGGTCAAAGCAGCTCTCTCGACCATCGTGAGCACTGTTGACATTTGGCTGTAGTAGATCGGGTATTCGTGGCTTCGCCCCGGGCCCTAAAACCACAGGCAGCACAGCCGATGTGAATTCGACGTTGGCTTTTGGGCCATCCCCTACGGTGCCAGACCTTCACTATCCTTGCAAGCCCCAGGCACAGGCTGCGTGCTCATATGAAGGGGAAGATCAATCCATAATCGATGGCAATCCATTTTCTGATGCCTACAGTCAACCAGTTGACATCGACAATCTGTGGACACCGATGCCTACAGAGCAGGACCTGAGGCGTCAATCAGCCTCATTTGCTGATTCAAGCACTGTTCAGCATACATTCATCATGCCGAATGACCCTCATAGTATGGAAGAAACGAACATGGTTCTAGCACCAGAGCGCAATAACTTTGCGTCGGACGACTTCTACATACCTACTCATACAAATGATCGTGATGGCAGGGCTCGAACGGCTTGTCGTCTTGCCTACACCCAAAGGACAATGAAATTTTGAGGCCGAGTGGGGTCGGGCACACTTGATAGAGCCCTTTCACACGCGCAATGACAATTCTGGACCTGTACTCGACCTTCACCCTTCCGACGTGTGAGCTAGACTCAGCTGGCCAGGCATATATTTTATTTCTATGTGGCATTCGGTACAGCAGAACATTGGCATCTCGGATATTACCTTGATACAAATTTCTCGCTCTTCTCATTAGGCCCCTTCCCGTCTTAGGTTTCACTTCATCTAAGATTCCGATTGGTCACTGGCGCTACTAGCGCGATGTTACCAGTAAACTTGTCGCTGTCGCCAGAGGAGCAGCATACCGCGGGATATTCGCAATCTTCCTTTGCTACAAACGGCTACTCGGAACAGCCATACTTCAGCGCTTACCCAGACTATGGGCAAGATGAGCCTCAGTATAGCTGTGAGGCACCGCTAGACGCTCCTCCACCGTCGATGATTCTCAGGAGTACGGGAAACCCCGCGACTCCGGCGGCACGAGACAATCGGGAGAAACGCCATGCACAGGACAGTCGGGAGACACGCGATTCACGGGATAATCGGCAGAGACGCCATGCGCGAGGCCACCAAGGTTGAAGAGGGCAAAGGTTCGTTGCGGACGAGCCGAGGCATCACGTCACAAGGGTTGGGGCCTATTAAAGAGCTTGATGTTCGGACCCAAGTTGGACTCGCTGCTTAGCGTTATGACAATATAGATAAAATCAAAGTCTTTTGGAAGATGGTCTGTATGTGCCTATTGCTCCACTATGTTGAAAACTGGCAGTCTTTGCGCATGCCTTTGTAGAGCTTAGAAGTGTTGACCAAGAGTGACGACCGGACGCTAACACCAGCTACTAAGAACTAGGGAGTCTTTAAACTATTTATCAGAGCCTGAATGAAGGACGAGAGCTGCGCACTCAGGGCCATCAGCGCCACGCACTACCGTCGACTCAAGCCTGAAACTGTCCGGTCGCTTCATAACCACTGCTAGCTTTGTATGCAAACCGAAGATAAATCTCCGAACCCAGAACGGACGACTTGAACACTGCGTAGGATTTAATATTTTTCTCACGAATTCCCAGAGTACCCCACACCCAACAACTCAGGATGGACAAGTCAGAATCTGCTTGCCCTAGACTTTTGGTCTCGGAGTTTTGGGAGGTTCATCTAGAAGGCATTCCGTCTTGGATACTATAAGCCAATCGCCTGGTAGGGAGCCCCTCATGCATGAGATGGCCAAGTCCCGACCCTCAAGCTCCCAGCCAAACAGATTCAAAGCCACAATGAATGTTGCATTCTCAACAGGACACGTTGCGTGGAAAAGTGTTCGTCCAATACACAACGTATCTTGTCAGGGCATTCCATCATTCACGTTCGAGTGAGCATGAACAATGATCCTTCAAACGTTGGCAGTCATGGCAAACTTTCGTAAAGGGTGAATTAGGCTATCGCTTCGGGGAGATATTCCGGGGCCGTTCGACGAGCTCGCGGGAGCGCCCGGGGAGCCCTAACTCAATTCCAGGTCAACAACCCTAGGGCACGACCGAAAGTGACTCCTGCGCAACAAGTCTGCATGCGCGCGTGAACGGAATTAAGCGTCTTGCTGTCGAGAACAATCCAATACGGGGATAGGGTGCCTTGAATGAGCAAAGTTGCCAAAGATGTTGGCAGCAGCACTTTTGATGCGGAGGCTGCTGGGAAGCGGACAACGGTTGAGAGCAACGGCGGTTGCAATATGAGTTGCTATGATATTTCATAGGAAGTTCAAGTTTTGTCCCGACAAGGAACTCGGCTGCTTGCGTCGCAAACACCTGTACGCTCACGCTGCCGAATTTGATACGCAGTGGCATATTGTTTCCTTATCATAATGATGGCATGTAGTATGCTATAAAGCACAATTTGAGCGCCTCACGCCAAGACTAATTATTCTCGCAAGTGTTCTAACTCGATTATACAGATGTAAGGCGGGCATAGTGTCAGACACTTCCCACGGAGGAGCACTTGGCGATGTTTACGATCATTTTGTCGGGCAACTGGCAGCGAGTCATGATAGATTTCCTTGTACAGTGACGGACCGTATTCATATGGTTTCGGATTTAAGACTGCGTCTCCAGACGCAAAAGATCGTTCAGCGTGTCTAGCGGTTACTGCATTGGTTTCCGACCTCTATGCCGGCCTTTTGTTGGTATTAGAGGCGGTTGACGAGCACACTCGTATCTTTCTGTTGAGGCCTCGAAGCCATTTCCGTGTGAAGACATCATGGAAGAGCTGCTGGACAAGTCGAGCTCGGTATGGTCGGAGTCTAGCCAGTTGATGCTGGGTTAGTGTCCTGAGGTCTGATACAACACAAGATAGCAAGTCTTGGCAAGATCAGGTAACCATTACATAAGTGACTTAATCACTACATGCGCCATGTCAATTCCATTCGCGCACATGCACGAAGCGACCATAGCTCAATTTGACACAAACTGTGATGCAGAGGATAGGGAAGCCGTCGAGTAGAAGCTAACATCGTCAATCATTAGCGCATCAAAGATGAACAGCTGGAGACTAAAAGGGCGAAAGAATTGTGCTCGAGGAAGAAAGATCTCCGAATGATGATCAAGCCGTGCATTTTGGGCGTCCAGTCATGATGTCGATAACAATTTTCAATTAGCTCTTTCAATGTCGAGTACGTCCATTCGGAGGACTGAGTCACATCGAATGGCTTCAAAACGATCATCCAATCCTGAGGAAACAGGGCCGGATTCTGTAGATAATGAAAGCCCATGAGAAAGCCTCCAGGGGCTCGGCATTCATGTGCCGTGCGGCAACCATAGTATGAGGCTTGGGTGTTGATGGTTTCTTCGAAGGGCGTTGGGAGATGGACTTGTCGTCGCAAAGGATTCAAGCGATGTAACCCAGGAAGTGCCGAACCTTTTCGAAGATATACTTGCTGTGCCATTGTCTTGTTGAGACGGGATGGAGATGCCGTTGGATTTGGGATTGTGGCGTCTAGGCTGTCTGACAGCATCGGGGATCACTTGGCGACAGGGCGCTGAAGATTCGTCAAAGCGGGTTAACGGACCTTGCGATTCCATGCAGCTGTGATCATGCCTTCGCCGAGTATTCACTGATTATTCAGATGCATGCCATAGACCCTTAGGCGGCCAGCGTCCTTTGGTTTCATCCTCTGCCCAGTTCATCAGGATTGGTTGAAGGTGATCTTTCCCGTTTCGGCCATTCCTCCGACGTCTTCTGCATGACGATGTTGAATGTTGACTTCTGTACCCAAAAAATGCCTATTCCTGGCATAGCCTGGTTGTGGCGATGTGAGGTGCTCGACCTTGAGTCCGATCGTCGTGTGACGACAAATCAGAGAGGATGAATTTGTAACGAAACAATCAAGAGGATTTGAGACGATTTGAAATGATGTGCATGACAAAAATCCAGGAGGATGGCCTTTCTTGATTACGGTGCCGGCCTCGTATTTTCAGCCTCTTGTCTGCAGCTTGTAGGGCAATATTTCAGCGCCTAGGCCTTTCCGGAGAATCGAAGAATAAAGGTGCATATTCTGAACATCTTCCATGAAGTCCTTGTCTTACGGTGAATACCCTTGATCGAGGCTAGAAATGTTCTAGAAAATGTTGTTAGCATTGACTTCGGCGACCAGCATCCTTCGTCTCGTGGCGCAGACAGTCGAGACGACAAGCGCGTCGGGCTAGGGTTGCCTGTTCGTATCTTGCAACGTTTCAAACGGATAAAGGAGGCGAATAAGGCTCTGAACATCAAATCAATTCCTTAGTGCTTAGTGAAGAGGCCAAAATGATTCAGGGGTGTGATTCATTCTCGAATTGAAAAGCATGGCCACCTTGCAAGGCAGGTGCGGCAAGCAAAACGGATAAGCGTCCAGTTGGGAGGGAGGCGAAACTAGACCCCGAGCCAATTTTCTGACGTCTTACTGTCTTCAAAGCCGGCAAAAGCAAGATCGCTCCTCATACTTTACAATCGAGCACTAGATGGGACGACTTTCAAGCCTGGTAGTGCAAGGATCATAATCGTGAGCCAGGGCTGATTAGCTCTTCTACGGTACTTGGCATTACCAGCGCGTAGATGTGTTGCAGCTTGAGAACGTGGCCATATGCAGGTACAATGTTCGCTGACACTGTGTTCGTACAGACGCTCGCAGATTGATGCGCGTAATGCGCCTGAGGGTTGACAAACGTCGAGTGTTGTGCTGTCGTCAAACGCTAAGCTGCAACTAAATCAGTAGCCTTCTCATTCTATTCTTCACCAGGTGTTACCGGCTATCACGTTACATTAGCATAAGCACTCTCCCAGCCGTTTCAAGTCTCCCGTAAGGCTGCGTTCACCGGGGGACAACGTGAAAGGAGTCTTAACCTTGCGAGCCAAGGGCAGTGGAAACCCTGGGTGCCCACATGCATGCATGCAAGGACTTCGGGTAGTCAGCCTGTACAGCTCTAGCTGGGTGGTTTTCCGGCGCCGGTGCTGCGGCGCCTTCGCACTAACCGGACGCACTCATCCCAATGAAAATAGTATTTCCGTCAGCTGCAGTCATTGGTGGATGTTGGACACGGTGATAGTACCAGAGCCTCAAATTAGACCCCAAGCCGTCATCGAGATCCCATACTTTCGACTGCAGGTACCGAATAAGCCCTGAAGGACGCCTGCCATACAGAATCGCTGGGTGCGTACCTGAGCAGGTCACAAGGGGGCTTGACTGACCCTCCGTTCCGCCGCAAAAGAATTTCCATTTGCAATTCCTTGCCCCCGCCAATTGGGGATCGGAAAGCATTGCCGTTTGACAACCCAAAATTGGTTGTACGTTAATGCTTACGAGCTAATTCCATCATGATACGCCATAAGGCTGTAAGCTGCACGTCATGTATTACAGACGTGTAACGTTCTCGACCATGTCTCCACAAAATCTTTCTTTTCTGCTTCTTTCCTTGGGGTTGTTGCTTGCGGTCGAGGGCTAAAAGAAGCGTGCCTGACGAGTTGCCTGCCGATCATTTCACCTTCGACAGCTTTCTAGCTCAGTTCAAGCCTGGTTTCTGCAGGATTTCACACATCCCATCGCGTGCATGTGGTGAAGGAGCTGGTCAAGGCTCGTTATCGCCATAGCCGATTATAGCAGACTCAATGTCATATGTTTTTTTCACCCCTGCATGCATCCTATTTGTGCGGTTCTGTGAATGGAAACATGTCCATGAGAAGTACATACTTCTTCCGCCCTTCATGAGCGCATGCTCGTGGCACTGTTTCTGAGGACTTGCATTTAAGTCGCATCGACTGCCACCCAAAAAACTCCATTTGGAGATTCACCTTCGCTGCATTTTCATTCGATCCTTGGTTGATTATAATAAGTCAATTTCCAGTCAAGAAGATGGCCCGTACCACGTATCAAATTGTCATCAAAACTTCTCGAGACTTAAAGCCCAAAGAGATCAAGCAATTGCGCACTCACATAAAAGACATCTTGGAACGTCCCCTCCAAAAAGACCTCTCCCAGGAACTCTATCGAGGCCTCATCATCAAGTACGTAAACGCAAAATCGAGTCTGAAAGGCTGCTGACCAGCGTCTCCACAGTCATCAGGCCTCCAATGAAGCTGCAGATTCCCTTTATGTCGCATCGGCGACTGTGACGGACAGTGCTTCGCTCCATCCTGACGCCGACACCGAGACACTTCCAAACTCGTCAGTAATCCGTCTATTGATTCTTATCGAGAGGTCTCGTGTCTGACTCCAGCAGTAGTCCACCAGCATCCCAGCTCGGTATGTCGTCGGACAACTATTCAACACCTGGAAGTTGGGGCTTTGAAGGAGTGGGTTCGCAATTCACGAACTCAAATACGTAAGTCATCCTGGTGCAGATACAATAAAGCGCTAATTTGACAAATGTTGAATCCAGAGCAGCTTTTCCTACACCACATGAGCTAGAAGACCCGCACGATCCTGCCGCACAGCCCGGGCGTCGTAGAAACCATGGCCACCCTCGTTGATGTGACCTATTTAAGGCAGGGGGCAAAGGGGTTAAAGCATTCGCACGGAACAGTTGGTCTGATGATCTCCATAAGCCCTGATGGTAGCTGTCCAATCTCGAGAAGCCTCAAAGTGTTTACCAGATATCGAGGGAGAAGGAGTCACTCGCGTGCGTATAAGATTCTTGCGGTTTTGGTGACCTGTCGAGTATTACATTCCTTTGTTAAGGGCGTTCTATTATGCACAACATTAGACGAGTCGAGAGCCCGATGTTGTAATTACTATGATTTAGAACGTAATAGAACGACATTCTTTTCGAATCAAGAATTCGTCGTTCTCACACTCACGCCCATCACTGGGGTGAAACGCCCAGCCATTTGAAAGGTCGATAAAGCGCTTCGAGATGCCTCCAGCAAAGAGCAAATCTGAAAACCTCCTGTGTAAGACCGCTGCTCATCCAGGGTTAGCTTCATGCCGTGTTAGTTAGACGACCGCGTCTCGCACGCATTAAGGCTGCCTTGAGAGACCTGGCGCTATTTAGGGCGCACCGAAGCCTCGCTGAACTCTGGGCATTTTGCCCAGTCTCCCACGTGGTATGGCGCAAGCGGGATGATCACAGGTCCACAGTAGTCAGTCCCATTCCATTTGGAAGAGAGATAGTATTCAGTCGCTTGCTTGCTTGAGGTTTAGAGTCACTGGGGCGGGAGATTGTAGATAGCTGCCACGTGGTCGCCAGGGATATGGACAAGGATATTGGATCGAGATCTACCATTGAAGGCATGACACATCAGCAAGCCACACCAGGCCCGGAGGTCGCTAGTGGAGGCTGCGATGCGAGCGCGTATAGGTAAGCAGCCAGAAGCGCATATGTTAGGTGATGCTATGAATAATGGTGAGGAAGTGGCCGGTCACCCTATCTTGTAGTCTGAGATAATGGAATACGGGGCGAGAGATTACCGAGGAAGGCTAGTTTTGGCCAAGTAGATGGGGACTTGGGGCGCATGACCACCAACATGCCGATCTTTTCGCAGCGCGCAAATGAGAGCCACATGTGAGTGTGACATCGAGATCAATAATGCAGGAGAGCTGCAGCAAGGCTCCGTGGCTAATTTACCCACCTAAGAGACCAATCAAAGGCCCCAAATATGGCTCAATGGTACATTGCACGACAGGGCGGTTAGAGTTCGTGGCCCAGGGCATTTTCTCCCGGGTGATCGACAACGGGCGTGGTTTTGTTGTTGGCCGCAACCGCAATAATCTTCTCATCAAATGGAAGCCATGGGCTCAAACAGACTATGATTGTAGATGAAAGCCACGTGCTTTTCGAAGCTTCTGTTCACGCTCTTCCCCCTTTCCCCGGTGATAGAGCCCGATGGCGCCCGGGAGCGATGCCTATTTCGACATGAGCTGCGCCTTAGTGATGTTAGTGCCGGTTTTGGTGGGTGATGGGGGCGGTTGGGGGTGTCAGGGTTCGAGAAAGCCACGTGTGTCGCACGTGGCATCAAGGATATTCAGACTCTAGGAGCGGGCGGCAGTGATTTATAGTTTGGCTTCCTTGACATCGAGATCCAGAAAAGGGCCAGGCTCGGTCCAGAACCCTTGGGGACAACGTGGAGGAGGAATGCCGTCATGGTCAGCGTGCTCGATTGTGCCAAGGTCCATTCTTGCGCAACAATTGTGATCCATAGATGTTCTTGCGCCAGAGGTTGTGTGGGTCTTGCTCGGTTTGCCGCAGGATGCTGAAGGTTACATGTCCCTTATCAGCTTACTGCGCGGTGGTCCATGCGTGGTTGGGCCATGTTTTGGCGGCTCATCACTAGAGAGGTTCCATTTCGTCGGGTCTTTCTATTGGCGTTGAAGCTCCGTGGTTCTGAAACGAGGAGGCGTTCGATGGCTGATGATCAAGTGTTTTGGAAAGCAGGACTGGCGTTGGCCGGGGCGAAAGTTCCAGGGGCTGAATCCTTCAGACTAGCCCTTATCTAGTATAGTATTCAGGTCCACCAGATCATAGACGGCATATCGATGGTCGACTGCCAAAAGGCAAGTAAATGTATCTCTGTTTGTATGTGCTTAACTTTGTAAATATGCTCACGGCCTGCTGAAGTTATTGGTTCTCGACTTGCTTATCAAATGGGTCCAGAAGGCCCTGAAGATCGCCGTTTGATTGCAGAAGCCAAGTGGTCCGTCAGAGTCCCTTTGCCTTCATTTATATCGTCGTTGCCACCTCAGCTTGTCTGACTTTCAACCTGATGTATTGACGATGTTGTAATGCAATTAGAGGATCGAAGTCTTTCATTTAGTCGATTTACCTTCTGGTGATCAGCTTTCACTCGTAACAAGTACGCATTCACCCATACACCAGCATCTCAGACCACCAGCATGACCACAGTGCGTCCGAAGTATGTGGTAGTGCTGGAAGCCTCAGAAACGACGTCTTCTTCCGCAGTCGGACTGATACTGAATATGATCGAGAGCGACATGAACAAGTTCGCTGAGAGAGTAGCTATGCTCACCGACAGCCAGATCTCATTGAAGTTTGTGATCTCTGCCATTCTGTTGGAGCAGGACTTGCTGACTTCTGCCCAAGGCCATACTATATGGAGTACCACTCAACAAGCCGCCAGTACACTGATGGTTGGTGCGCGTCCGCCGCTATGCAACGCACGCAGCACTCTCCTTCAGGCTCGAGGGAGCAAGCAGCGAATTCGCCGATAGAGCTCGCTTACGTTGGGACTCATCTACCGCGGAGCGAGAGGTCTGTGTCTTTCGTCTTGTTGAAATGCGGAAGCTAATGCTTGAGTAGTATTCAAGACAAAGGACCTGGCCAAGAAAGCCCTTCTGCCCATTACCAATCGTTCTTGGATATTTCTGACGACGGAAGCGAACAACTGGGATATAACGTTGGAGCTGTCACAAGTGCGCCATATCTGGACAATGCGCCAGCTTTCGGGTCTGGTGATGCAGCAGAGAGATCTTTGGCTGCATTTTCCGGGCAGCCTCTGGTAAATGGTGAGCCTAACATCTCTGGTGAGGCCCAAGCTATGCCACAGTCACTCATGAGTGGACGCACTGGGAACGATCAATTGTTGTGAAGGCAGCAGTGCGGGTGACACGACGTCCGGAAATTGTAACGAGTATCGGATTCTTGTACGAGTATGAAAGAACGATTCTAAATGTCACATATAGATTAATCAAAAGTGCTTTGTTCTCTGTTGTATACTCTCCGGACTACGTCGTAAGGAGTCGGCTTTTTTCTTCGGTCGCCTGTAGTGATCTACTAAGTATTATCAAGAGCGAGGATGGAGGTGGAGATCTTTTGGGTGAATATGTGAAGTCAGTCCTTGTGTCCCGAGAGAAAGTCTAGTTGGAGGAAGGCTCAGGCTAGGCCTTTTTGATGTTTGCGTCGCACCTTCGCGTCCATCAAGGATGGCTGCAGGAAAGGCCGAGGCGCATCGTCCGAAGCAAATACCCGACCTAGATCAATTCAATGTGGTTTCGAGAGCGTGTGCTTTCAAGTACTCGTACTCTGGATGGCTTTCTGTGCAGAAAACCCGCATAATAGAAGTCCAGAACCTTGATCATGCGTTGTGTAAGACGTTCCATGTCGTATGTTACCTCCAGCGTGGTTCAAATATCCTTTGAAGAGGACTCTACTAGGTTCTTTATCCGTCATTGAGGCTTTCATAGCAGTTTGCGAGGTGGATGTAAATGTCTTCGTAGCAAAATGGGAGATTCGTCGATGACATCATCTGAGATGAGAGCTGCGCGTAGTCACGCATGAAGGAGCACGCATCGATTGAAGCCTGGACTGAGATGCGTCATTGCCGCGAGTCATACTGACCGTGACAACGTACGTACAGAACAGACCTCATTCCAACTACCCGACCAATAAATGTCAAGCTGAGCTGGCGGCTCAACTCGACTGTAGCTTCTCATCCGTGCTGTCCATGATTCCTCATCCCCTGAGTGTTTGACTTGTCACCTTTCGCTGAAATTTGATGTAGTAAAAACACTAGAGGATTCATCATGCTCTCCCAACCTTCGCCCTTCCTTTTCTCCCAATACATCATCCTGCTCACTGTCACCCTTGCCTCTACCACTGCCATTCCTCTCGTCCCTGACTCTGCCATCTCGTCCCTATTACAGCCCACCATGTCCCTCTACAACTTCACCCTCAACAACGACCCCCGCATCACCTCCATCCTCGAGTTCTGGTTCAACCCAGAATGGATGCACTATCCCTACCTCAAATGGTTCACTCCGGACCCCAAATTCGACGCCGAGATCGCCCACAACTTCGCCACTCTTGTCTCCCTCGCTCGCACAACCACAAGTCTCGACTCCTGGGCCAATGACTCCCCCGAAGGCTCCCTCGCTCTAATCATTCTCCTTGATAAATTCCCGCGAAACTTGTACAGTAGGAGCAGTGCCAAAGCATTCAGCAGTGACGGGAAGGCTCTGGGTGTTGCCCAACGCGCGGTCAAGCAAGGGTTGGAGGGAGAGGTGGGGTTCGTAGAGCAAGTGTTCTTCTACCTGCCGTACATGCATGCGGAGGATCTGGAGGTCCAGAATCAGAGCGTGGAGTTGTATCAAGCATTAGCGGATCGAGGAGCCGGTGGCGATGTGGAAAAGTGGTTGGTGGAATGTGTGGATTTTGCTAAGAGGCATCAAAGGGTCATTCAATTGTTTGGGCGATTTCCAGCGAGGAATGAGGTGCTGGGGAGGAAGAGCACGGAGGCGGAAGTGGAGTTTCTGAAGACGCATCCGTCGGGGTATTGATCTGTCGACGGAGGGGTGATGGCTTCGGGACGATATCACGAGACATGACAAGTGCATGATGCTTGAACTATTGCTCGCTCGCAATTTGCGGTGCTCGTCCTTTGTAGGTCATCTGTGAATACTTTGTCTTCCTCATCGCGAGCCCTTCCATGGTCGGCAATTCATTTAGCACGCCTCCTCTTGATATCCTGTAAAGTACTATCTTCCAGCCCTTCTCCATATGCCAAACCATGTCTCGAGACGGTCATGTCCGTTTCCACCAGATGGGACTGCTGCCACAGGGGGGAACATGGAGAAGGCCAAGGCCAGTTCCGACGCATGCGAAGACGGAGAGAAATGGTCATGGCCTCGTAGCGGAGTCGAGGCGTGTGCTTGAGATAAGTTATTGTCAAAACCAAAAATGACCGACCGCAACCTTGCAGGTACCGCGGGCCAACGCCTGTCCTTTTGGAGGTCTTGTCTACCTAGGAAGCGTCTTTGTGTAGTTCACTATTCATCAAGCTCGAGGACTGTCAAGTCGTGCAAAGCTCTGGGCTGAATAAAATGTACACCAGATAGTACCAAGAATCTCTGCGTCTACAAGGGAAAATCGTCTCAGGCACATCTCATCCTGTAATAGATTGAATTGGTACATTTGAGACTGCTTAATGACTAATATATTACATAATCACCCGCCTGCACCAAAGATTCTTGAGGCTTCAATTTGGTGCAGCTTTCCGCTTCATGCATCGTCGGCTTGTAAAGGTTTAGCAATGAAGATGTTGATGGCTCACTCGGGTAAAGTGTCAGATTGTGAGCATCAGCTGCGTGTCATGTATAAACGCATACCTTACACTCTGTGTGGAATAGATTGAGCTGCGAGCTGAGCCCGTTTCTACAAACTGCCCAAAAACTCAATCTGAACCCCAATATTCTTCTCAAACCACTCTCCAAAATAACAACTAACATGATCGGTCTCCAACGTCACAAACCGTTTCGGCTCCCCTGCGCGCTCAAAACACTCCCTCTGCTTCCCAATCGGCCCACTCAACGGATCCTCCCTCGCAGCCAAATACAGCAACTTCCTCGGCGCAATCTTACCGATATGATCCCTCGGCTCCACCCTACTGATCTTGTACAGACTCTCTAGCGTCAATTTATTCTCCCAAGGGGTCCCCTCCGCTCTTGACCTACGCTCTGCTTCTTTGATGAAGCTGAAGGCTTGGGGGCCGTGGATCAGGATCTCGTTGCGTGGACCTTCGCACTCTTCGGAGCTGCGGTCCCAGGGCTGGATATATGTCGTCTCCTCCGTTTTTGTGCCTGCGGATTGGGCAGCACGTTCTAACCATGTCTTCTCGATTAGGCCAGGCGGGTAGAGCGTGCTGTCGAGTTTGCCAGAGTTGAAAGGCATGCATAGAATCACAGCATGGATATTGGGGTCATCGCCTGCAGCTATCATGGATGCGCCGCCAGAGTGGCCGATGCCCCAGATGATCACTTTATTCTTGTCGACGTTGGGAAGTGTCTGGGCGAAGAGGACCGCATCATGGTAGTCCTCGGCTTGCTGGTAGGGATCGACTTCGTTGCGAGGGGTGCCGTCGCTGGAGCCCCAACCGCGGTGATCGTAGGTGAGTGCGGCAAAGTTGGCGGCTTGGAAGCGGGCTGCCCAGTCGCAGATATAGTGCTCTTTCAGGAGTGTAAGCTGTGTGATTATTAGGTGTGAGGAAGAGAGAGGGGTAGTGCGGTCACAAACCCCTTGTGTCATTACGACAATAGGTCGCTTCGAACCTCTGGCGGGAAAGAAATCGCCTCGGAGGGTCACACTGTCGAAAGTGTGAAATTCTACTCTTTGTTTGTCCATGTTGCAGGCGAAAAGTCGGATGTGGCTGGTGAGCTTCTTCTGCTACTTGGATTTGTTGTTTCGTAAACTGATTTCTCTGCTTGACCGTGAGGCGAAAGAGATGGGTGTATGATCCCACTTAAAGCCCGACCAACCATTACGCTCTTGGAGGGGATCCGTGAGGTCTTTCCCAGCAAGGTAATTACTCTCTGACGTTGACAGCCTCGAAAGAAAACGCCATCTTTCTTGTCCGGCAGGTGACTAAGCTTAGATGGCAATCCATGCCATTTTAGGCAACATGTTACCTCCTGATTGAATCAAACTTGTATGGGTGCTCAAAGCAGTCGCAAGCGTCAATTCGCAAGTCAATTTGTGGAGTAGAAGTCGAATAGCCCTGTGGATCATGCGTCCTTGTGACACGGCTTTCAGGTTTAGTTGAAGCGAGACTTGATGGCTTGATCCAAGAACAAGGCGTTCCACGAGATTCATAGTTCGTTGACTAAGTACTGCTTGCTTCAGCTTGCATCAGCTTGCATTACATTGTCATTGACGTGATATACGTTTCATCATTCTAGAAGTCTCTGCATTGAAAAAGAGATAGAGACGAGCCTAAAATACTCATCAAATCCTCATGAGGATATCGGGTTCTCTCATGTCTCAATCCTCAGTCACCATTGACGAGCCATTGAACTCCCGCTGACAAATGACCTCCTGCACCAGCCGTGGTAGGCAGACCAGGGAATTGTACAAACATATTCGGCAAGCCACGGTAGTAATCAGTGCGCGTGTTGACCCCTGCTCTCCGTAGTAATTTCTCGTACAAAAATCCTTGGTCTCTTGTAGGATCACACTCGTCCATGGCTAGGTAAGCGCGAGGTAAGTCATGCAGTGGGCCCCACATGGGAAAGTTCTCCCCCACTCGCTTCTGTTCTGCTGGCACATTCAGTGCATCGACCAGCTGCTCATACAATGCCTCATTCAATATAGGGGCATCAGCTTGCTCGACATGAGACATGAGACCGTCTTCCCATTCTTTCGGGATCTCTGGGTCAGGCCATGCAATCAGCGTAGGTACGATCAAGCATTGGCCACTGATGGCAATGTTTGGGTATTTGTTCCTTGCGCGAATGGTGCAGATAGCGGCTAGATGAGCGCCGGCTTCTGCGCCGCCGACCAGAAAGCCCTTGTTGACGTCTGCACCTAGAGTGCTTGCATTTGACCAGAGCCATTTCATTGCATGTTCTGCGTCCGAGAAGAGTTCGTGCCATGGCGCTTGACCGATGAGGCGGTAGCTGAAGGAGTAGATGATAATGTGGCATCCTCGTGCGATGATTGCTCGACAGCCCAGGTCTTCGGAATAGTAGTCGCCGGCGCTCCAGTAGCCGCCATGAAAGTACAGCATTACAGGGAATTTTTCGGCAGTGGTCATAGGAGGGCGGTAGATTCGCACAGGAAATCTATGATTGGGGGTTTCTGGGTAGTCGACTTCGCTGTCCTCGACGTGGACTTTTTCGACTAGAGGCGCAAAAGCCTCTTGACGCAGAAATTCTTGAGCATCTTGCCCTCGTTGTGCCTTGACTTCTTTGTACTTCTTAACACTTTCTGGAGTCAATGGAGTCGACAAGTGCTGCGCTAGCTGACCCTCTATATTAGTTCCAGGTGTTAAAGGCGACGAACATGAAAGAAGGGCTTGTTTACCTTCTCCCATTCCTCATTCTAGCCCAGTCCGCTCAGCGTCATATTCCTGGCCCAGAATTCTCTTCGATTGTTGATCAGGAAATATCTGCCACTGACAAGGAGCGGCTTCAAAGGGGATGATAAGGATGGGCAATGGCGGAGGTCTAGGCTCAATGTGGAAACAAGTCACTGCCCAATGTCATTGAACCTGGGTGCCTTGGCAAAGGGCCCAGAAATTCTCAAAGCGAGTGCCGAAACTTCGGGTCGACCATATGAAGTCATTCAAGTGCTGGATTACTTGGTCTTTGTCTTGTGTACCCTCAAGTTCTTGAACTAGCTGGGATAATAAGAATGCATAAGCCATCTGCACATGACCAGGCCCTGCAAAAGTTCCGCCCACACAGAGCACCCATAGCAAGAGATAATGCTTATCAGCCCACACCGATTTGATATCATCAGTACGGATCATTTCCAAAACCTTTGTGGCTAGGTATGACGGAATGGTAATTGATTCCCATACTGGTGTGAACAGCATATAGGTGCAAATGTAGGCGATCTCAATACAGCAACGAATGCTGATGTCGTGAGAGTCCCGATGCGCTACGCGTAATGTATACAGCCGAGACTCAATCGCAGCCTGCTGATTATCAAGACAGATTACCGAGCTCTGCTCGCGGCCAGTGTGTGTCGAATCCGCGTCGTTTTGAAATGCACGAACTTGTTGCAAGACCTGGGTGAATTCGACCGTCCACTCAAAGCAGAAGGGCATGAATCCCGGCGGTAGAGGGCAAGTTGCGGCTTTTAAGGGGCTCTGAGTGTGGCCAAGTTCTGGAAACACCTCATCGCCGAGGACCCTATCAAACCCTGAAAGCGCGGCTACGTAAAGATCTTGCCTAGACGGATCGATCAGACTCGAAGCCTTTATGGCAAGTGCTTTTCAAAGGCTAAAATGGAGAATAGAACACTTCACCTACCAATAGATGGCTCTTCTGATGCCCTCATGCAGTATGACACTACGGCGCTCGCATATGCGCAGGATCTGCTTGATACCATTCATGTGAATCTTGACGACAAGCCATGATCCCATCCTAGCCTTGCAAAAGCTGGTCAGCCGCCATAGTGAGATTGTTTGAGTCCACAAGATACCTCTACACCAACAAGAAGCAGAATGGCGCCAATTGTGGCCGCAGTCATCACGTCTTCGTTGGATTCAATGCGTTGATTGACTAATTGCATAGCCTGACCTCTGTGCGAGAGAACTTCAGGGGCCATTGGATTGCCCCTTTTAGCATACTGAAGAGTGTATAACAATGCATTCAGCAACGCAGGATCTTTGAGTGACGTCCTAAAAACAGTGTGCATATCCTGAAAGCCGATCTTGCTATCGATGTTGAATATCGGCTCAGCTGCCTGCTTAGCTGTTTCAATTGCAATTAGCTGACGCTCTCATGTGCGTAGATCTTACATGCGGGAAACCAGTCCCTGCCCTTTTGGAGCTTCTGTCATGGTGATTACTACTTACGGAGATGCATGAGCTGGAGAAGATCACGATCCTCAGCAGCAAGATTCGGAGTCAGGTCAATGAGAGATTTCCCTGATCTAGGTGTTGGCGGTGCTGATGAGGACACATCGGATGACGACACATTTGTTCCCATATGCCTCGACGTTACGTTCACGAAATGATTGTTCTCTTGGGTCCGCTTCTTTCTTTTTCGCATTAAAGCCTCTTTGATCACCTTTGATCTCGCTGCTCGTGTGCATTTTGCCCCTTTCGCATTCTTGACACTATGAATATGGACGAAATTCAACTCCATATTGAGTAGCCTTTCACCCTAAAAGCTTTCGACTTCGACGATCAGATGTAAGGACGCGGTTGTTTGAATGCTCGCCAGGACTTTCGTCATAATCGATAGAAAGATTTCAGGGCCGAGGATTGCAGATGTAAAGAAGAGGGAGTCATCTTCAGCAACATGAAGTCAACAACATTTGGGGCGGCATTGAGTGCGAGGAATTCGATGCATATGCATTTGTCAGCCAGGGTCTTGTGTGTCACCCTTACACAAAGTTCTGACCGACGTTAAGCCATATGGAGGAACGACTAAAGGGGCTTCTTTGGCTCAACCCTAATCGTGCATAAAGGACCTTGATGGCTGATGATCAGTAATTCGAAAGACCTGGTGGGCCATCGAGTTCTAGCCCGAAAATATGCTGAGTAAGCTCCTGGAAACGATCCCCCACCCTCGCCACCCTAGCGTGCTCTAAATTCAGTCCCTATAAGCCCCCTATGAGCCACCCTTATAAGATCGCTCTAGGGGATCCCTTTAGGGGAGTCCTCCCCCGCAATAGGGGAGCGGCATTAGCTTTCACGCCAAGCATTTTAGTCTGATCGGGTCAGAACTTCTGACGGCATCTTCCGTAGATAGCCTTCTCTTCCCCTTTGGGGGCGGAGGGTTGCAACACCATGAACAAACAAGGTTTCCTGACCGCAATGAACGGTGGTTTCATGTTAAGACACCGCGATACGATGGTAGACTGGGTATAATGCTTCAAGAGGTCTAGTCGCCAATGCTGTTGAAACGCACCAGCTTTCATGATTAGCTTTGCCATCCGGTCGGGTTGGGATGCTCTGAGAGGTCGCTAGTTAGGATTTGCGCACTTGGAGGAAATATTGGCGGGGATGTAAGAAGATTTTGACTGGGCTTGAAGGAGGAAGTGTAAGTTTGAAGCGAATCGGATTGATGAACGTGGACTATCTCGTTTGATTTCATTCGCGTATTTCAAGCATGAACAACCTTTGCCACTGCTTCGCAGAGTCGTGAGGAGGAAGGTGGCCCTTTACAGCGTCTCAAATCTTTGTACCAAAGCCCTCTATCTGATCTTTATGAAAATACTATCTAAGATCAGAGAATCTCTCATCAAGGCCGTGTAACATCCAAATTACCTCCCAGCAAGACCGCCTCCAACTGCCCAAGGGAATCCTCCCGGTGATGGTGCCAACGAAGGCTCAGGGGCTCCACATTTCGGACTTGGCGGCGGCGGATCCACAGTCACAGTAAGGAACCATGAATTGCCCTGAGGAGAAGTCAAGCCTAGGGTCACATTACTCCTCCGCTTTGCTCCCGCGTTGTCCCAAGCATATTTGCCCAGACAGTATATAACATCAAGTTCGCTGTTCAAATTCGAACATGTCTCTGGTGCGTCAGTCTTATATGCATTGTCTTCGAGCTGCTGAGATATTGTGGGTGCACCCGCTTGACCTGCGGCAGGGACGGGATCGACATCGCCGCCATCGGGCATTCCTACGATGAAGGTTGGCTGGGGATCAGGCTTGGCGAGGGCACTTGAAGCTATATCCTTGCTTTGGCCTGAGAAGATCAGTCCTTGGTAGCCGGCGTAGATGAGCACGTTCCCGGAGATGGGTCCCATGAGTGAGATGACTAAAGGGTGATTTAGACATTTCCACGCGATGGTGGCAGGCGAGCAAACCCGACCGACCCATTTCGTGATGAAATCCCAGTTCTCATCAAGGCTGATGTAATCCGCGGCCTGAGCCATACCAACGCAAACAAGGCTCTTTTTGCAAGTGTCTCTGATATCTCGGGACACAAGACCTCGCTCCTCCAAACTGGTGGTTGGTCCGTCGGAAAGATCCAGTTCAATGTCACGTTTGAGGTGAATGTTGTCATCCCATTCGCCAGGTTCGACGGCATGCCAGACGTTGGCGTACTTTTGATGAAATCGCCACTCTTTGCCTTCAATGATGAGTTGCTGACCGTGATCAACAGACCATGGCAGAGTCCGCGAAGGTGTCGCGGCAGCCCATGAGGATGACAACATGGTCGAAAACAGCGATATTGTAGATAAGAGCCGCTTCATGACTGATCAGTTTGTAAATGTTGATCTCAAGATACAACGGAGTCCGAATGAGTTGTGTCGAAGTGCTCAAGTGAGTCTTGATGGCCGAAGGCGGTCTTTGATCCTAAAAAACCGATCGTACAAACAAGGTGTCCCTTATGGAGATTTTTGCGGGTCATCAAATAGACTTGAGCAAAGAGATTTCGGTATTATTGTCCTTATATAGACCGTTGTTCGCGTCAAAGATGCTTCCTAGCTTGGGTGTCATGGTAATCCGTTGTTTCTTCTTCGTCGTCAATGATTGGATCACCAGCCGCAACAATGAGAGTGCTCTATTACGCTAGGTGATCAGAAAGAGATCATGTGGTCTTGTGAACATGGAGAATCGTTGACTCGGGATCGCTTTCGAATAGACGTCCCGTCCAGTTGTTGGCTTGATGAAAATACTCAGGACCCAAAGCATAGTCTGTGTCTATTTAGGGGACGTGTGAGAAAAGAATCTGGGGTCGTGACAAATCCACAATACTTCAAACAGTGGTCCCGACTCAATAGATCTGCCTTCATCGGCCAGAAATACTAGTCGAGGAGGCGGGAAGCCTAGGATGCAGATAGAATTGAAACAAAGGGGACTGACATTCCTAGAGCCGAAGGTCAGTTTCATTGCATTGTTGGCCGATATCCGGCTTTGTGCGCGGGATAAGTGTCAATATTGAGGCTTAGCAAAAAGACGACCCATGTTCATCTTCGTCATGGATGGGTCATTCTGCGGTAAGGGGTTGGAGATGACTCACTGAACTTTCTGCGGTCTATCCTAGGCTTGGGTTGAAATGGGGTTCTATGTCATTGATGAATTATGTATAGCCTTTCTCGTGCCTCAACATGGCGGTTTTCGATCATCAAACTAGACCTCAGGCATCGACTTAATGGTTGACAAGTGCCAGAGTAAGACATTTCGCTTGAGCCATAAAAGAAGATGTTCCTCTCAAACCCCTTTATACGTGTCTTCAAATGGAATGGCTGGAGCTACCAAAGTGAGATGCATGATCCGTCTCTCGAAGGGAAGCCCCCACTCTAATCGTCAAGAAAAGGCCCAAAATCGGCTCGAGAGAGGTGCTGGTTGGTGCACCGGTAGAGCCGACCACAAACGACCACAGCTTGAGAACATCTTTACAGACTCAGTCAAGCCGATGGAGATATTCCTACGTATCTTGCGCCAAAAAGCTAAGAAGGGGAGTGGGAAGCCGCATGTACAACAGGTGACACACTTCCGCGGCGGCCCGCCTCACCGCATACTCTGTCTGATTCGCATATGCGCCTGTTGTGAAGCGACTTGCGGCTGAGCTAGTTAAAGCTGTGAATGCCAAATGCTTTGAAGAAGGCTCGCTAGTGCTTGTTGTTGTGCGTTTCGTAAGTAGCCGACCCGTAAATCTTTAAGGATATCGCAATCTTGTGCGTCCTTTCTATTGAGATTTCTGCCTCGTACAGCCGGAGGCTGAGTCGAAGTTGTGGAAAGACTTTGCCTTACCATGGTTCAAGTATTCCTCAATGTGGCGAGGTCGTGCCGTCTCCAAATCCGTCACACTGATGATAAAACCGCGAGAGGCGGGATGCTTATGGCATAGCAGCCAAATCCATTCTCTCATCCGCTGATTTTGCGTTCAACGGGCAACAGTATCTTGAAATCCGTAAGCTAGGCGAGTTGGAGATTCCATCACCAACATTGCGTACATTTGTGTAGCCTATCATTCTTGCAGGTATTCATGGTGCGACTTCTTGAGCGGGGAGATCAATGGGGCTGCGTGTTGGTGACCAGAGACAATAATTCTTGCTTGCTGCTGCTGATACGATGAACGCATTCTGTCAGGACTTTTTGTTGACGAATTCACGGGATCCTCAAGGCATCCCTTCAAGACAACGGTTCATCTAGTTGACCGGTCGGAAATTGGACGAGTCATATAAATTGACCTCCTTTGACCACTCAAAATTGAAGAAAGTCCACCGCGAAGACCAAAACTTACAAAGACTCAGAAGATTCCTTATTAGACTTTTCGATCTTTCATCAAATCATCAGAGATAATCCTTTATTTGAGTTTTCCAGTCCTTGATACAACTGTTCAAGATGTTGTTCATCAGTGCTCTGTTCATCTCAGCAGCATTTCTTGGTCTTACAAAAGCACTTCAAGTAGACCCCACCACAGCTGACGGCATCTATGCCGCACAAGAAGATGGCACAATCGTACGACTTGGTAATCTTCCTGCTAACACCACGACCAAGCGAGATCTCGTCAAAAGCGCCAAATTTAGTGCACGTGACATTGATGGTACTCCTCCGGGCTACGTAAGGTGTGAAGGAGCAGTCCTCAATGACCTCGAGTGGTCGGATGCGGCAAATGCAATGGCGGGGTACTGTGGGGACAGCCAAACGTTCCACAGCGCCATTTACTCCTACTCCAAGGGGGCGACAGGAAATGATGGAGTGGTGGCGTACGTATGCGCCTACAGCGGAAAGGGGCCAGGCGACAACAAGTGCGATAAGAATAGTGCAGAAGGATGGTATGGTGCTGTCAACAAGGTTTGCGGTGCCACCAGAGCAGGGTACTATATGATCGAAGACTGGGGAATTTCCTACGGCTATACAAGCGTCGGTGAATGTTTCTGTCACGATTGCTAGTCAGCCGAAAATGGCAAGGGTGACACATAGCACAAATGGTACATAATGGGGAGAGGTGGTGAATTCAAGTTCCACGTAATAGTGAGAGACTAGGTGCGAGAAGCTTCGCCTTCGGTTGTCGTGGAAGTTGATTCCTTTTCTTTCGTCAAGCGTGAGAGCCCACAGTGTCACACCTTTTTCATCAATCGGTCGAATTCATGAATTACCTATCTTATTTCTCAGGAGGCCAGCTTGATGAACAATCCAGCTAAATATTGATATCCTATTCGTCAATCTAAGCATTGTATTTCTGAGAGCAATCAGCGGAGATAGCGGTAATAAGGCCAATGGTCCACTCTCAAATATACGCTGGTGTGATGTGTGATGCTTACTTGCTAAGGGGCCTACGGAATCGGGCCTGCTATTTCCCCGCCTACGCTGCCTAAAGTGGCATTTAACGGCGGGTCCCGTGAAGCTTCCGTCACGGGAGGGCAGTACCGTTGAACTTCAAGTTTCTGGTGGTTGCTCAGCGCAGTCTAGATCGAACTCCAATCCTCCATCGTTATCCAAACCCACCGAGTGAATGCTCCTTTGCGCCAATGTCATTCCTTTATATCTATCACTGTAGCTCCAAGACCCGATGAATGGCCTGCCCTCCGCTCCCCTAGCCCGCCCACGTAGCAGTGGTGGCAGCATTGGAGATGCTAGCTTTGCGCCCTTGAGCAGTCCTATCTCTACCAATGGCAAAATCAAGATTTCCAAACGGCGTCATGACCAGACCGACCCTGGCAGTAGCTCAGCCGAGAGTCTGGACGAGGCGGGTGCTGGTAAGAGAGATAGACGGCGGCTACCCGGCGTGAAACGAGCTTGCAATGAGTGCCGCCAACAGAAGGTGAGTCATATCAAATCTGGAATGTCAATGGAGTGAATGCAGCTGACTATGGTCAAGCTGAAATGCGATGTCATCACTGAGCCTACGTATCAACCGTGTGAAAGATGTCGACGATTGAAGCTGGTATGCAGGATTGACACAAACTTCAAGAGAGTGGGAAAGCGCAGCCGGCATGCCGAAATGGAAAGAGAGATTGAGGACCTCAAGCATCAACTAGAGATGCATCAATCCGCAACTTCTGTGCCCAAGATCAAAGCAGAGCCTACAAGCCCCACCTCATCTCCCACACAAGCAATGGATGCCTTCATGGGTCACGAAGACGCGGCAGCTTCACTCATGGATCTGGCTTCCGGTCAAGAGGCAGGGTCGTTCGCTAGAAGCCCCGGTGCACGAATCATGATGTCTCGGAGGCTTGGTGATATTTCACTGAGCATGGAAACAGCAGATCAATTGTTCCAGATGTATTGCACCTGCCTTTCTGGCGCAATGTCGCAAGCTGACTCTACCCAGATATTTTTCTTGCTATCATCCATTTCTACCAATACTTAACAATCTACACTCGCCTGATGATTTCTATGATTCGTCGAAACTTCTGTACTGGACAATCATCGCTGTTGCCGCACGCCGCTATCAGGAAAATCCTTCGCTCCTGACTACACTCACTTTACCTTTGAACAAGCTACTCTGGGAACAGATCGGAGAGGTCCCACAAAACTATCTCTTTTGCAAAGCCGTCTGCCTGCTTTGCACATGGCCATTGCCTATCAGTAGCACATCCTCTGACCCTACCTTCATCCTCTCTGGCCTGAACGTGCATGTCGCAATGCAGATGGGCTTACACCGCCCTTCTCACGTCCAAGACTTCTCCAAATTTAACAAGGCGGAACTAATGGAGGAAGATCTGAGAGACCGCGTCAGAACTTGGGCAGCTTGCAACGCAATTGCATCCAGGTATGTCTATACTTGAAGTCCGATAGACTTAGAGGCCTGACCAACTACAGGGTGTCCACGGCGTACGGTCAACCACCCGCAACCTGTTATGACTGGACGCTGGCGCCCTCAGGAGAATTTAACCCGGGTTTTATTCTGCCAAAGGATGCCCAGAATCGCTTATTGATCGAAAGATTCAGTGGCAAGATCACCGAAGTCTTCTATCGCAACCCAACAGATCCTGAAGGTATTGTCAAAGATGAGGTCCGTGTTGTCATCATCAAAATGTTCGTTCAAGATTACATCGAGGTCGAGAGGTGCCTAGTGAATCCTGATCAGTGTATGTGTTCTAGACCCAGCCAGGATTAACTCGTTGTCTCCAATATCGCCTCAGGCCCTTAAGGCTCTTGCTAATTAATGGTACAGTCTCCTATCTCTACCTTCGAGCCGCCGGTCTTCACCTACGTCTCTCTATCTTTTTCGCCTCCCCACAATCCAAAGACTACAAAGAAGGCCTGAACGCCCTTTGGGAAGCCACAATCCTCTTCCTCGAAACGGCCCTCCATATTGACACCGACCTAGTCACCGAGCTGCTCGCTTACGCAACCAATTATGTCCTCCAGATGATCATAGCATCCGCATTTACGCTCCTCAAGCTCCTGAACAGCTCCTTCGCTAACTTTGTGAACGTCGAGTATGGCCGCGGCCTCTTCACAGAAGCTGTCCGTGCAATAAGAACCATCAGTGTAGCATCTAACGATCTTCCGAGCCGACTGGCTGAGGTGCTTGCCCAGCTGTGGAAAAGTAGTGGGGCGGGCAAGAAGCAGATACAGCCTACTTCTAACTCTATGGAATCTTCGCTGCAGCTGAAGGTCAAGTGCCGTATGAGTATGAGCCTGGTCTTCGATTCTGTCTGGCGGTGGAGAGATGAATTTCAGGCTAAGGGTCGCGGAAACCTTGAAGGTATATTATCCCCCTATTCTGGGGTTGTGAGGAAGCTTACGCTGTTTCATCCAGCCGCACTCAAAAACCCAACGAACCCCGACTCAAATGCCGAATCTTCAGCCAATTCTGTCGTTGACGGAAACCTAAGCCTCGCACCCTCCGTTGCGCCCCTGGACCCTCCAACCAGTGGTCTCCCTCCCACCGACGGCTTTGGGCTCGGGGAGGGCTACAACGAGGTGTTTGATCCGCTGAACTGGATGTTCGATGGCTTGGTCGAGTTCCCGAGCTTGAATGGACTGGGAGGGATGGGTGGAATGGATGATTTAGGAGGATGATATGAATGACGCTGTTATGCGGGATGGTGCGAGAGTAAATGGGATGTATGAGAGATTCTGGCGCTATGGTAAAGCTGAGACATGAGTGACGTGAGCTTATTGACATGGTATGATTTAGCGAGGAGTGTGGTACGATGGCACGGTCTTGGGATGTACTTTATTTTTGTTGCTAGCCTGGCGCCAGGCTCTTCTTTTCTAGCCAATACAATAAGTGTGTATCATATTGCATTGACTTGGCCTATCCCTACTGTGATACAAAACATCTGTTCCACCAGCCCCGAACCTCTTCATTCCCATTTCTTCGTATCCTCGCCTCTCAAAGCCCTGCGTGATCCCCTCGTCTCCCCTTGGCCATTCTTCCCTCACCCCCTTCCCCCTCCTCCGTCTTCACCACAGCGCCATCCCTTTCCCCTTTCCCCAACCCATCCCACCCTCTCTCCTCAGCCTTAATCCTCGCCTCCCTATCAACCGGTACCCCTCCAAACCGCCCGTTCGTCCCCTCAGCCTGCCGTCGCGCCCACACCTGCCTCATTGTCTCGGAGCGCTTGGCATCTTTCTCTTTCTCCCCTCGCTTCCCCGTCTTGGGTTTGTCACCTTGCTTTGCATTGGAGAAACCGCGTAATGGTTTTGAGGGGCGGCGTTTGGAGGGTTTGGGGTTGGGGTTGGGGCGTGCTGAGGGGGTGTGGGATGTGTTGGATGTTGCGGGTGGGGCGTGAGGGGTGGTGGCGGGGAAGAGGGAGGTCGCGGTCACCTTGTGTGATTGATGTTTGTTTAAAGCTTTTGCTGCGGGCTTGTTGGTGAGGTTGCTAGCGGCTTCATCTTCCCCGTCGCTTGGTGCCTCTACTTTCACGCGCTTCACTCTCTTTTGCCCGGTTGAGGTGCTTTCGGGGTGCGAGCTGGCAAGGCGGCGTTTACTTGTGCTGCTGTCGAGGCTGGGGAATATCGGTTTTGGTCCTGAGAGCTTGAGGAGTTGGCGTTTGCGTGCTGGTGGTTCGGAGACCGGGATTGGTGAGTGAGGGGTTGTGGCGCGGGGGGAGATGATGCGGACGCGCTTGGGGCGGGTTGAGGAGCGGAGTGGTGGAGGAACGCCACTGGAAGAGGGGTCATTAGTGGGCAGGGGCGCTGGTTGAGTAGAAATGGGATGCGAGGGGATGGTTGAGGCTGGCGGGCTGCTTGACCGGGCAGGTTTGATGGGGCTGGGGGTTGGTGACGGTTGGTGGAGGGTGGTGATGGAAGTAGTAGTATCGGCGAGGGCAGGACTCGGAGTGGATTGGTCTATATGAGAGCTTAGAGGGTGGGTTTGGGGGAGTCCGGGAGCCTTTGGAGCTACCGAGGTGGCTGGCGAGGTGGCTGGAAGCTGAGCCTTTGCCTGTCTGGTCTTTAGACTGACGGTGGAAGAGGCCTGATGTGTAGCTTCCGCTACAGTTGAGGTGATAGTACGTGTAGACTTCTGTGTCGTTGCCCGCTTTTCCTTTACAGGTGGCGATACAAGTTGGGAGTCTGCTTTCTCCTGTGTGACATCAGTCGTGGGAGCTTGTTTACGAGAGCTGGACACGGCAGATGGAGGAGTAGGTGAAGGGTCTAGAGATCCGCTGGACTGGTTCTTGCGGTAGTACTGTGGCGGCTTTCGACTTCGTTTGCCTGAGACTTCGCGGAGATTGTCAAATGCGCCTTCGATTTCGAGCTCGTCCTGACGTTTTCGCTTGGGTACTTGAGAAGGCTCGCTAGACTGAGTGGCAAGTTGAATAGACGGTGGTGCAGATTCGGTCTTTGAATTCGTTGCTTGTGTAGGTTGCTTCGTAGGTTTAGTGGACAATGAGAAAGGTCCTGCCTGGCTCGCTTGTGTTTGGGATCTCAGTGATGGTGATGTCTGACGAAGGAGTTTAGCCGATACTACTGCCTCCGCTTTCACGGGGGTAGAATCAGTGACGTCTTTATCCTTGTGTACGGCCCTAGGAGAGGGCTTCTGCGCACGTGTGATGCGTGTCTCGACTGCTTCCTCTACCTTTTGGGCCTTGTCTGCTTCCTTCTGGCTATGTTCGAATTCCAGAGTCTCAATATGGGCAGAAAGACTTTCAATTTGCCTTCTAATTTCCTTTGCTGAGCCTTGCGCTGTATCTATCAAGCGATCGAGAGCGTCATCCGTAAGATTTTCAGGAGATAGAAGTGCCGCAACGATGGCAGCTTCTGTCATCATGATGGCTATCTTAAGTCCAGAAAGAAAGGCCAGTAAGTCGAACTTTCGAGGCAATTAAAGCTTAAAGGTCAAAGAGGGGTATGAAAGTGAATGGATGCGTGGGATGGAGACTGAAGGAATATCCTGACTTTTTTTGCTGCGTGTTGCAGATAAGAAAACGAGAATGGGATGGCTGGAAACACTGCGAAGCTAGATCAGAAATAGAGACAATAGGAAATGGTCAACAGCGATTGTATAACACTCTCAACCATGACACAAGTCGTGCCGATCTACAATAGGCAGGAAAGCATGCGACCCTGAGCCAATCCAAATGATCGACTGTATATGACTGCTTCAGGATCGTATATATCGTCACGTAAGCTCACGTCAAGCCTTGTCGCAACCATTGATTGCCTCAGGGCAGACAACTCTCAATCGAGTTCCCCAAGATATTGCCAAGCTTTGGGGCTTTGCGCTAAGGGCTAAGCTAGCCTCGAGGCGATCGCGCAGCTATGATTGGCTCTCTCCATCTCCTTCCCCCATGTAAATAGCGTATTGCAGATTCAAGCAGAATGTGTATTTACGGAAGCACAACGTCATAGCAAGAGCTCAATCATGTCGAAAAAAGACGTACCTGCAGGAGAGGATCTTCTGGCAGACCTAGCAGAACTCGGACGCCTAGATCAAGAGGGCGCTGGAGAAGGCAGCAACAAACCGCCAGTGGAGGGAAAGGAAGCAGATGAAGCTGCACTAGAGGAATTTGGTATTCCAGAAAGGCCTAAATCACTGGGAAGGTACACACCAAAGCCAGTATCTACTTCAGCTACACCAACTTCAAGAGACTCCCCGAAACCTGCTGGCAAGGACACTAGCGATGGGGCTCGCTCAAGCGAGGAGAAGATGCGTATGAGGAAGTCGGGAGATAGTACTAGATCGTTTCATAACAGCTTCACGCCTGCAAGCTCAGAAGAAGCGCAACCAGAGGCCGAAAAGGTGGCATCCTCACCACCAAAACAAAGCTCAGGCGGGTGGTGGAGCACCCTCACATCCGCTGCCACTGGCGCTGTCAAGCAGGCTGAGGCACTGGCCAAAGAGATACAGCAGAACGAGGAAGCGCAAAGATGGGCGGAGCAGGTCAAAGGCAATGTCACACATCTTCGTGGCATAGGTATGCAAGCTTTAATTCCCCAATTCTTGGGGAGAAACTGAGATGCCCCAATAGGAGGTGAGCTTAGGTCACGAGCACTTCCAACGTTCACAAACATCCTCCACACCCTAGCACCACCAATCTCCTCGCATGAGCGGCTTCAGATACATATTACGCACGACTTCGTGGGCTATCCTTCCCTCGATCGGCTCATCTATTCCACATTCTCCCGCGTGATGGCGCAAGTAGAGGGCGGAGATCTAATGGTCATCCAGCGCGGGCAAGAGTCGAGTCAGCGACGCGGCTCAGACGCAGGCTACAGAGGCTCAAGCACCAGTGGGTGGAACGACGGACCGTGGTGGAGGCAGACAACGAAGGCGCGCAATCTTGGAGCAGTTAAAGGACTGGTAGAGGGCACAAAACTTAGCCGAGTCGGTGCTGAAAGCTATGCCACGGAGTATTTTGCTGCCAAAGGTGGACTCGAGGCAGTTGCGAAACAGGCGACTGAAGAGTTAAGTGAAAGCAATCCTGTTCGCAGCAGTGATATCTTTCTCGCCATACAAGCAATCAGCCAAGCGCCAACAAAGGATTTATTCAGTAGTCCGGCTACAGAGCTCAAGAACAGCGAGGACGGAGTTGCCGTACCAGAGGATGAGACTGAGACGATTTGCTTTGCTCTTTATCTGCATGATCCCGTACATGGCATCACCTTCTCGACCATCTCGCAATCTTTGCCTGAGAAGTGGATCGGCTGGCTTGATGCATCTGCCTCACCCGACACAGCCGAATCGATACTACCCGAGGAAATTGCAGACATAGTGAACAATGGAGGAGTCGATCCCAGAGAATGGGTGGCCGAATGGGTTGAAGAGACTCTAATTCTGGGTGTTGGCATGGTGGCACAGAGCTACGTTGCTAGGAGGATGGGCGTTGGTCAGGGTGGGATTGGTAAAGGCAAGGCCAGGCAAGAGGCTCTGGATTCCAACGGCGGAGAAGCAGCTAGGGCAATCTGATTTGGACCGGTAACTTCGTGGCGTTTGTTTTGGTTGATAGCATTATATCCAGATCTTGAACGCGGCAACCTCGAGCTACCATTGATAGCAGTAGATGACGCAGATGCAGCAATCACCCGCTGCTTGCCTTCCTTCTTCCTCCTATATCCTCGTACTGGGTCCGGAAGTAGCAAGCCGCATTACGCAGCGTTGTTCCCGATAGCATGATGTCCTGCAGTCAGAAGCGTGGAATCGTTTACCAATCCGCGAGCTCCTCAGCTCCAATGAGCATCTCAGGACCCCTTTTGGTGTCTTTGATCGAGACAGAAGCTCTTCCTGCTAGACATTCTTGTGTGTCTTGCCCTCTTTCGCACTCTTCTTTTTGCCCCCGATCATTTCAAGATGGCCAGCCTTCTCAGCCAAGGATCGTTCGGTCTTCCCAACCATAGCAGCGTTGAATTTCTGTTGCGCGTAAGCTCAAGTCGTGGATCCTGAGTTCAATCATACTTTAGTCAGTTTGTGCTGGTTAGCTAGCGCTTTCTTCTTGGGTGCTATTGTCCGCTGGCCTTTTTTGACGCCCGAAGAGGTCGATCTAGAGCGGGTTCATTAGGTGTAGATCGGGGTGATTGCTAGGGCGTGTCACACCTTTTGGTACCAGTAGACGCTGGCTTCGCTTTCTTGAGGGCACCTTGTGGCATTCTGCCTGTGTATGTGAGATCTACGTTGAATTACTCATGGTATGATGTTGGGAAGACATGGACTAGAATCGTTGTGCCGCTAGCGGCGATAACTTTTACTATTCGTGAAATTTTGTCTCACACACATAGCTCCTTCCTCCCCGTAGAAGTGTTATGAAAATCTCTTTTCACGCAATCATGTCTGCCCAAGTATGTTCAACACTGAGTGTAGTTTTCTTGGTTCAAATTTTAGACTACATTATCTATGATTCCATCAATCGATGGAGTACTCTCTGGTGCTGATCAGAATACATATGAAGATCACTTGCTAACAATGCCATCGTTCGCGATTGAAGTGGCTGGTGAAGTTAACCCTCTCGTAAGAGAAACCTTGTACAAGGCCCTGGTGGCCTCCACATCGAATGATCAACAACAGCTGCAGACGGGGACCAGGCAACTAGAACATTGGGCACGTACCCCTGGCTTCTACAGCTCTTTACAATCACTTTTTATCGACTATGACATACCATCGGAAATCAGGCATTTGGCAATCATACACCTGAAGAATGGTGTCGACAAGCAATGGAGGAAAGCAAGCCGGAATGCAATCAGTAAACACGAGAAGGACCTCATTAGATCAAGGAGTCTCGGAAGCGTCTTGAACGAGCCTCATAGCAACCTTGCCCTGAGCTCTGCGATTTTTGTGGCAAGAGTCATTAGGATAGAGTACCCGCGTGAATGGTAAGTAATCGAGACTATAATTGCCTCGAGATATCTAACAAGGGTTAATTATTTCAGGCCAGACGCAATACCAAGTATTCTTACAAGCCTTCAAAAGACTTGTGAAAAGAACCTGGATGAAGACCTTATCGTTCGACATCTCTTGATCCTTCTCATGGTGATCAAAGAATACACTAATGCAAGGATACGTTCAACCCAGCAAATCTTGCATGGGGCGGCTCCCGCCATCACACAAACGGTTTTCACTATCTACAGTAGTTTACAAGAGCGATGGCTATCTTATTTCCGAGGAAATGGTGGTGATGAAGCTAGCGTCTATGAGGCTCTCCCGCCCAGTCTACTCGCTATTCGGACACTCAGGCGTATCATTGTTATTGGCTTCGAAGCCCCCCATCGGGACCCATATGTTGTCCACGTGTCCTCGTCGCTAGCTTCGATGCTTGAAGCTGTGTTAGACCGCCTCACCCAAGGCAGTATGCAACAATCCTTGGGAATTCAATCTAAAATGATGTGGTTTTTGGAGAAACACATAATACAAGTTGCGAAATTCCACCTGAACATGGCAAAAGAGCGACCATCTTCATTTGTACTGTTACCGCAGTCCATTGGGCTAGCACGTGCGTATTGGGCGTTTGCTCGACAATTTAGCGAAACATACGGCAAAGGTAAGAAATCGGACCTTGTCATCGGCACTGATGGGGATGCCGAAGATGAAGACCAGATTTGCTTCAGTGAACGCTTTGCGTTGAAGAGCCTCTTGTTGTTGAGGGCATGTGTGAAGATGGTTTTCAATCCGGCTATGACGTTCAAATTACAGACCGAAGAAAACAAAAAAGACAAGAAAGATGCCGTGAAAATCATGAGCGATGAAATGCTCACACTGGATTTCGCAAAGGAAGTTATTGACGTGATGGTTTCTAAATTTTTCATATTCACACCAAGAGATCTCAAGCAATGGGAAACAGAACCAGATGAGTGGGAGAAGTCTCAAGAAGGAGCTGGAGAAGACTGGGAATTTTCAATTCGGACTTGCGCGGAAAAATTGTTCCTGGAAATGGTCATAAACTACAAGGCAGAACTCGTACCTGTCCTCACGGCTTTCATACACAATGCGGCAATATCGAGCTACAGTCATGGAGACATATTCTATAAGGACTCTGTATACGCAGCTCTTGGTCTCGCGGCCCCCGTCTTACACGACAATTTTGACTTCTCTGGTTTTCTCAGCTCGAGGCTTGCTCCCGAAGTACAGTCCGAGGGACCTGATTGCAACATCCTGCGAAGGCGTATAGCCATTGTGCTTGGACAATGGCTACCAGCAAAGGAAGGCCTCGATCGACCTCTGGTGTACAAGATCATCCAGCATTTATTAAATGCCAACGATAAGAACAACGACCAAGTCGTACGAGTTACTGCCGGCAGACAGCTTGGTAATATTGTGGACCCTTTTGACTTTAATGCAAGTGATTTCGTCCCTTTTGCACCTGTGATAATTGAGAGATTACTGGACTTAGCCAAGGAAGTAGACCTAGCGGAGACGAGGCAAGCTTTACTCAACTCTTTACACATTCTAGTTGTGAAACTGGAAGCCTCTGTCGTTCTCTTTGGCGATCAAATTCTCACCGGTCTTTCAACTTTCTGGGCTGGCAGCGAGGGTGATATAAGCCTCCGCGAGATGATCCTTTCTGTATTGGTTGCGCTTCTTGGATCCATGGGAGAGCATGCAAGGACACACCATATATCCTTGATACCTCTCATACAAGCGTCCACCAATCCCGAGACTCCAGAAGGGGAAATACTTGCCGAGGAAGCCCTCAACCTTTGGTCTGCTATCTTGGACCAAACACCATCGCCTGCTCCTCACGAGGTCATCGAGCTATTCAGGTATCTGATGCCTTCGCTTGAGGTCGGTTCCGAGATGCTTGCCCGGGGTTTGACTATCCTTGCAACGTATATCCACTTAATCCCCATGGAAATTATCGGCCATTCGTCTGAACTCTTTGCAAAATGCGATAAGATTCTCAAGGGACCTCTTCAAGACCCCGTTGGGCTCGTCGCTCACGCTATCGAGCTATTATTTTGTTTTGCTGAAAAACTTGGCGACAGGAGCACTGTGGAACAGGTTACACTCTCAATGGTCGCAACACCGTTCCTCACGACTGTGCTGGACGATTTACATGACGCGTACCAAGCGCATCAGACCACCGGGCCAAACAAGAAGTATCCAACTGTATCCAGCATCATCGAGACCGACTATTTCGCCATGCTCTCCCGAATCGCTATTCTGAGCCCAACGATCCTGACCAGCGCAGTCCGAAGCGTTCGACCAGATGAAAGCTACGAGTGGCTGATCGAAGAATGGTTTAGCCATTTAGATAGTATCAGTCACCCTCTCCGCAAGAAGCTCTCATGTCTTGCATTGACCTCTTTTCTCAATATCGATGCCCCGGAGATTTCTGGTAGGCTACAGCTCTATATGGCGATGTGGACGAGTGTTCTTATTGAACTTGAAGAGGAGTACGAGGGCAAAGACGGTACCGTTGTGAAACGAGATTGTCTTGTTCATACAGAGGATGATACATTCAAGCCAGACCAATTTGATTCGCCAAGTGTGATTCGTTCGAAAGAGCTATCTCAACACGACCCCATCCACACCGTTGAGACGAGAACATTCATCCGCACGGCACTAGAACATGCAATCCAAAGTTCTGGAGGAATGGATATATTCAGGACGAAATACATTGATAATGTGGATGCGGACATCGTGAAAGCATTTGCAGAGCTAGGGGTTATTTGAGCATCATGCAGGCGATTGGGAGGCACAACTATTGATACCCATGATACAACGAAGCGAAGATACCACACACTGGCGACTGACTATAGTCATATAGCATGCATTACGAGCGAAATTCATTGAGAAATCGTAGTCTATAGGACTCTTCACTACAATATCATATCATTCATTCTTTCCATGTGACAGTCTTGGTTACAAGAAACTCCTCGATCCCCTTGTCGGTATTGAATCTTCCCCAGCCACTCTTCTTCACACCACCGTGTGGAAGATTTGGCTCATCATGTACGCTCATCGAGTTGATGTGTACAGCACCTGCCTCAATCTGCCCTGCTAACCTTATCGCCTTTGCAAGATCTCGTGTGAAGACAGCAGAGTTCAGCCCGTATTCGCTATCATTCGCGATCTTGACAGCCTCAACCTCATCTTGATACGTCAAGATTGACAACGTCGGCCCAAAACTTTCCGTTCGATAGATCTCCATTTCCTCTCCGACTCCATCCAGAATAATTGGCTTCATCCTCGTGACTTCACCTTTTTCCTCTTCCAGTGCGCCGATCACGTATCTCGCCCCTTTCCCAAGCGCATCCTTTACCAAGCTCCGATTTTTCTCTACCCCCTTACTCCCCACCAACACCATTCCCTCGACTCCCCCAAACATCTGCTCCACCTTCTCCCTCACCACCTTCTTAAACTCCTCCACCACCCCCTCCTGCACAAGCACCCTCTCCGTACTCATACAGATCTGCCCACTATGCAACAACGCCCCCAGAACCACCTCCCGCCCCGCAACCTCCAAATCCGCATCCGCGCACACAATCGCTGGCGCCTTTCCCCCCAGCTCCAGCAAACAAGGCTTCAGTTCCCTCCCGCACTGCTCAGCTATCACCCTCCCTATCGCCGTCGACCCCGTAAACGACACTTTCCTCACTGCCGCATGCGCAATCAGCGCGTTCGTCACCGCAGCTGCCTCTTCGGGCCGCGTGTATATCACACTCAGCACCCCGTCCGGAAGGCCAGCTTCGCGGAAAATGGAGCCGATCGCCCAGAAACAGCGAGGGGAGAGTTCGGAGCCTTTGAGCACTACGGTGTTGCCCCCCGCGAGCGCGGACAACGCGGCGCGGATGCCGAGGATGTAGGGCGCGTTCCAGGGCGCTATGCCGAGGGTTACGCCGAAGGGTTCTTTGAGGATCAGGGCGCGGCGCGTGGGGTCTTGGCAGATGGGCGAGGTGGTGGTGAGGATGGAGAGGAGGCGGCCGGCTACGTCTTCGAGGAAGGCGATGGAGGTTGTTGTATTGAAGGCTGCAAAGGAGGGTTCGGCGCCTGTTTCTTCGATCATGTAGGATTCGAGTTCTGAGGAGCGGGTTTGCATTATGTGCGCGGCTTTGAGGAAGATGGAGCGCCGGGTTTGAGGAGAGGAGGCCCGCCATGAGGGGAAGGCGGTGGATGCTGAGGAGATGGCTGCATTGGCGTGGGGGACGGAGGCTGAGGCGGAGTGCCATATTGTGGTGGAGGTCTTTGGGGAGATCACGGGAAATGTTGTTGGTCCTGGCGTGGAGTGACTGCCAGGGAGGTGAAGAGGGACTATGTACGAGGGATCAGTATTTTGATCTTTGGAGGGATTTGCTCCATGTGCTTTATGGGTGCCGTTGCCATTGACGGTGCCGTTGGACTCTGCCATTGAAGCGATCAGATTGGAAAGGAAGCAGGAGGGAGCTAGGATGTTAGCAATATTCAAAAAGGTTAGCGAAGAGGATGAAGCAAGAGAATCAACAAGATCCGTGGCGTATGAACTGTATCATATGCTAATGAGATATTGGTCGTTATGTACACTTGGATGTTGTGAAAGGGAGACGTCTACGCCCAAGCGCAGCCTTGTCGTCGATGCCCCACCACCGGACCGCGCTCCGCTGCGCCCAGCTCCCTTCTGCTAACTACTTGAGGGCGACAAGGTCGGTCGGCATCAGGGGTAGGAGCTGATGCCGAGCGGAAGGGCTTCCGCTATCACTTACCTTCGTCGAGTCCTGTCGTCGGCTCTGCTCCTTTTCTCGCCCTTTGTTTCTAATGCTGAACTCCAGCGGCAAGTCACTTTTCGGAGGAATTTTACTTCTGCCAGCAGTCGAGGTCATAGCTTACTTTTTATGTCTATCTTCAAAGAAGTTTTGCCTGGTTGAGCACCGCTAAAGCCTTTCATTGTTGATATCGACTCTTCCGGCCGCTCGTAGTCCGGAGGTGCGCCACAGTATTTATGTTTGAGGCGAAAGACTCATCATGTGGCTCTTTCCACTCATTCTCTACTTGAACTGGTCCCTGGAAATAGGTCCTCCGAAGACGATCACCTGAACTCCGCAGTACTTCGGACACGAGCAACCCAGCTGGCCACCCCTACTTACCGCCAATTCTCACGCCCTGGGTTTCAGCAACAGCGCTGATGACCACATTGGTCATGTTCTGTACTCATGTACTTTGTGAGACAAAAGTTCCAGTTCCGTGTCACCTTCTTCTGGCAAACCTTGGAGGTTACTCAACTCGGAAGCCGACAACATCATAGTGACGTCGCTATACAGCTGGTGACCGTTGCTTTTGGTGAGGGCAGGCATCATGCGTGGTATCAATGGTGGGAATAAGGACCCAGCATCACAAGGTGACAATGCGGCTCAACTCAGATGTGGTCACATGCGCATTTCTCCACGGACCCTTTAGCACAACAAAGAATATGAAGGTGACCTCCCGCGCATTGCGCTGAATGCCTCCTCTTCCAACATGACGACATGCCGCACATGTCGTCGGAGGGTTGCTCCTTACAGGCAGAAATGACTTCGCGAGGCTCCGAGCGATGCTACTGCCGGGTCAAACGCTCGACCACAGGGAGGTGCTTAAGAACAGATGCGCGTGTGGCTTCGGCACTCCCCTAATCCTCGGACGCATCTCTGACAGTCTTTGGCTCGCATGGGCCCGCAGATGGCTGCGCAGGTCACTTGCATTGTCGATCTTTGTGGGCACCAATGCGTGAACGACGAAGGTAGTATGCGGATTAGGATACTGCATCTCTCGAGATTGCACGATCCACCGCTACGAGGACGAATTGCGGGCGCGCATATCACAGCATGCTTTGACCATGAATCTCATTCGCACTTGTTCTGCACTTGTTTGCTTCTCCTCACTATTATTGAGACATCCATCTCATATGAAAGATCTAGGGAATCGGTTCCGCCGCCACATCCGCATGTTTATCTGACAATGACATTTCTCCTCATCGCCGAATACGGCTTAGCTGTTTGCGGGGTACAGATGCCGAAGCTCTCCCGAGGATGCCAAGACTGTTTATTTCCCCAATCACTGCCACTTGCCTACCCAAGCCCTTACATCCCTTCCTGACCTGTACTTCACCCATGACCGCACATCTCCACGACTCCAGTCTCCCATGAGGCTCTCCATTTGACCAGCGCCACCCGTATACCCGCTCCCTTGACGCCTTTTCCGAATCTTATGTGCGTCATTACGCGCCCTTTTGTTCTCCTTCTACAAAATGTCATTGGATGTTAGTTTCATTGGCCTCCTGACTCAGGCGTCATCTCCAGATTACAGGGTACACATCAACAAATGCTCCCGGCTAGCTTCGGTGACATCGTACCACTTCACTCTCTCACATGCTTGCAGTGACGGTGAGGGGCCACGGCATCGTTAGTCAGATGCGCTCAAGGGGCCTCTTTGTCGCACATATAAAACATGGTACGTCGCGCCCCTATTACTGTGCTATATGCGACAAAACAATCCTCGACACTTTGTTTTCATACTAAGACACTCGTCCCATTTGAATGGAACATCTTCCTCCGCTACATTGTTCGATCGATCTTCTGCATATCTTCGAAACAAACAGGCTGCAGGTCGGAATCTATAATTGACCAATATGTTACAATACAGTCTAAAAAATCTCGCAACTGTTGCGATTGCCTTACTAGGCATCGCTCACTCGGCGCCGGCGCCGCTCTCAGTGTAAGTTCTGTTGGCATTCGACAATATTCACAGTCAACTGATATCGGGACAGTCTGCTCAACAAACGAGGCATCGCCTTCGACTATAATAACAACAAAGTCCGCGGCGTCAATCTCGGCGGCTGGTTCGTCCTTGAGCCCTGGATCACGCCTTCCTTGTTCAACCTTGGTGACGATGTCGTCGACGAGTACACTTTCAGCGCCAAGCTCGGCAAAGACCAAGCGTACAGCAAACTCTCTGACCATTGGAACACGTGGATCACTCAGGCCGACTTCAACGCCATCGCTTCTGCCGGCCTCAACCATGTCCGCATTCCGATCGGCTACTGGGCTGTCGCGCCAATAAACGGTGATCCCTACGTGCAAGGCCAACTCAACGTCCTCGACCAAGCTATCAACTGGGCTCGCGGCGCCGGCCTCAAAGTACTCATCGACCTGCACGGCGCTCCCGGCTCTCAGAACGGCTTCGACAACTCAGGCAAATACGGCACCATCGGCTGGCAACAAGGCGATACCGTACAAAAAACCCTCGACGCAATCAACGGCCTCGCCTCCCGTTACAAAGGTGCCACCGACACCGTGACCTCGATCCAACTCCTCAACGAGCCCCTCGGCTCCTCTCTCAGCCTCGACGGCATCAAGACCTTCTACGACTCGGGCTACAAAACCGTTACACAAAACAGCCAAGACTTCGCCACCACCATCCACGACGCCTTCCAGGACTTCCAACAATACTGGAACGGCCAGTTCACCCCCTCCGCCGGCTACCAGAACGTCATCCTCGACACCCACCAATACCAGATCTTCTCCCCCTCCGAAGTCTCCCGCTCGCCCTCCGATCACGTCAAAGCGGCCTGCGATCTCGGCCCCAAACTCGCTTCCACAGACAAATGGACGATAGTCGGCGAATGGACGGGCGCGCAGACCGATTGCGCGAAGTGGCTCAATGGCTACGGCAAGGGCGCGCGGTACGATGGGACGTTCCAGGGGAGCAGCAAGGTGGGGAGTTGTGATGGGAAGTATACAGGCACTGTGGATGCGCTGAGTAGTGATGATAAAAACAATATTAGGAGTTTTGTGGAGGCCCAGCTGGATGCGTATGAGAAGCATACGGGCTGGTTCTTTTGGACGTGGAAGACGGAGAGCGCGCCTGAGTGGGATATGCAGGCTTTGTTGAAGGGGGGCTGTTTCCGCAGCCGTTGAGTCAGAGGCAGCATGCCGGTCAGTGCGGTTAGGACCTCTTTACGCTCGTTTCATCCGGTCTTTGTGTGACATGGATGGCGACGGCCAGCTTCCTGCGCTTCGACTGTTTTACTTGTACGATACATTTTGCATCAATTAACCCCCGGCTGGCACCTACGATATGCCTGGACAGGCTATGAAGACATTTACGAACATCACTCACTGGACGACTTCATCAAACGATTTGCATTGCAGACATTTGTTTGCATACGACATCACGATTCTTGAGCAGGACTCACTCGCTATCCTATGATACCCCGCCGTCTATGATCGATGGCTTGTTTCGGTCGCTTAGTTTGGGAGAAGGGAGCTTGAGCTGTGTTTAGCTAAGGATTTTGTATGGATAGGAATTTGGGATGTGCGCTGGGGTAACGATTTTGGGGAGGTAAGGCTGGAAGAGGGAAAAGGGGGAAGTGGTCGGATTGTATATATGATGTGAATGAAGATTTTGGTATATGACTCTTTTTCGAGCCCTTTCCTATGATATATGCCAGGAGTACATGTCTAAGAAATTCTTTCGAACGACCATGAGTCTAAATGATCCCAATTATGATATTCCTTGTTGCTGCAAAGGTTTCTGGCCCCTTTGATAGCTGACAAAGAGGAAATTACTGAACATCGAGTATGTAGGTAGGTGTGGAAGTTTCACTTATGCGTACCAGTAGAATGTGCGGGGTTAAATATTGAGCATGGCTTCGAGATCCTGACGATCTCGTGTTGAGAAGTTGAAGTGAAGTGCGCTGCCCTGGTATATAGTCTTGTGGGAGAATTTCGTGGTTAAATGGGAGAAACTATATGCACGATGCAACGTGAAGGCTTCAGTTGTTCGCAAAGGGTCTTCTATGTGGGTGGCAAAATAGTCAGCCCTATCTCCTTTGCTGGAGAGGAATGAAATGGCGTCCTTTTGGCGCCTGATGCCATTGCTAAACAGGTATCCTAAGATTGCATCAGGTGATCTTTATTTGTGGACGGAGTTTGAGGCTGCTTGGTATCACGGGATGAGGGGATCAACTGGTCAAATAGAAGGGATACGGTCATGATTCATCGCGTCTGAACAGGAGAGCACTGCGTTCGGATACTATGGGGACATAATTGAGTCTTGCATGAATACCGTGGGTGGTGGTTTTGGCCTTCAAACTTGCCTAATGACAAAAGAAGCATACATTATGAGAGGCTCGAATGGTACTTTTAACGCGGTGAATGGGACTCTTCTACGTCCTTTTGGGCAAGTGATGAAGGTATCTGTATATTCTACAACACGGGTGAATTAGAAGTGTTCGTTGGCAAGCTTGAAAAATGGCGTGAATGATTTTGGGGAGAGGTTCTATCCTAATGAGTCTTTGTCAAAAGAATAAGCAAAGGCTGGGCAAAGAGTAACCCAATGCGTGGAGTACCTTCGCCTTATACTCGCGAGGAAGATGTAGGTGTAAATAACATGCATGAATCTCTTGAAAGGTTTCCGGTGTGGCAACTAGGGAATGGGTCGAAGCAGCAAGGGGTGGATAACAAAGGATTCCATGCTTGTGTGGCGTCGTGCAGGAGACTCCAAGACTACAGAAAGTAGGCAGAGGAGTAGCAAGGGAGAATATTCGACTGTAAGGCATTCTGTCTTCTTTTCTTATTCAATGTCTTCTCAACATATAGACGATAGAAACATTTGATCTCGCAATCGTCTCCTGGAAGTAGCGAACCCTTCTTTGTACGTCAACCCAGATTTTGTTTGCATTCCCATCATTTCGAAGGTCACCACGTGTACAGAACCGAAATGTCATACCAGCATAGGTAATCAAATTATTGTAGGTATCCCAGCTGGTTGTAGGTTTCAGAAGCCGCCCGTTGTATTCCCCATTCCCATTGATCTCCGTCATTGTAATTGAGCATAGGGTCTTTGTGGTATTCGTGCTGATCTGCATCTTCGTTCCAGCTGAATTGCCTTTGGCCGATTTGAGTCGGCCATCCTTGTCCCATCTCTTGTCTCATCTCATGTACCTCCATAAGGGCTGGAGAGTCACCTATCAGGGGCAATGTAGAATATGAATCAGTGGTGAAGCTCAAGTTGTCATCCGTGGCAGTATATTCGTGCTGTCGACGATTCTGAGAAGCAGCGCAATCGATGCTGCAGGATCGGTGGCACGGCGCGATGCAGTCACGTTGAGGAGTCGACGGGTAGCGAGGTCTGTCCAAACGAGCTATGTCAGATTTGAGGTGTCTAAATGCTTTTTTAACACAAGCCTGATTACCTTTCGTTCAATGACCGCCAAAACTCGTAGGACGTACGTTGGCTCTGGAGTGAGGATGGCTCTGTAGCTAAGTGGTCGTGGGCCTGTGCTTCACTAGGACTCCTGGATGCGGCCTGAGTAGGTTTTAAGGCAGTGTAGGGAATTTTAAACCTTCGTTGTGAATTGATCGTCTGGAAGCTTGTCGAACATTTGTTTTCAAGGGGCTTCGAACCGATCTTAGCCACGGTCTGGTGTATCCACCATCCATCAGACCATTCGTTTGATGAAAGATCTAACGTCCTCCATCTATGATGCGTTGTTAGTAGGCTACTAAAGATTAGAGCCGACTTGGTGTACCTGATGCGAACACCTTCACAGATACTCCAGTCCTGCTTGGTCAAGACTTCATGAACAGTCTGCTTCAAAGTCTCAAGGAGAGGCCCTAAAGCATCCATTTCCATGCCCACTGGAGGCTGGAGCTGGATAATGTATGACAAAGGCGGCATTGTGTCCTACATTGACTGCTAGAAGACGATGAATGACCCTCATGTGGGATAAGTCTTGTACAAGGCATATGGACTGAGCCCCTATTCTATGAAGTTAGGGCCAAGCCTCCCCGGGAAGTTCTTCCCCGTAGCATGACAGAAGTCAGGGATCCCTGCTTAAGCCTTGTTGCTACGTAGCTAATGCTGAGGTGTCATATTGGGGAGAAGAGAAATGTGACACAGGTCACAAAAGCTGTCCGGAAGAGAGTCCGTTAGCGGTAGTTATGTCAACTCTGCGCACACACATGTCTACAGACGTCTAGCCTGATAGCAGACAGCGGGATGGTAGCAAATGACGCTCGGCATTCGAGGACCGCCAATGGCTCTGGGACATCCAGGGTAAGCAAGCCATGCACAGCATATCCTTCGCCGCTTTACTGTAGACAAAGCAATGCTAACTTCTTTGAGCATCAGACAACCGGGGTTACGTGATTTGGACGAGTAGCGCTATGCACGACTCGCACGCCAACACACGTGAGCGGCTAAAAGATAGATTGCCACCGCCGGTGGTAGCGAATATCAGGCAACAACAGGCTAAGAGTGGTGACTTCATCCAATCACCAATACTCATGCGGCTAGATCAGCTGGTAGGTCGAGCGCTAGCAATAAGCGGTACCACTCATCTGTCAGAACACACCACCATCACTCGAGTGAAGGCGGAAAATAGGTGTATGAAGAGCTCTGTGAGATCGGAATGACACTATTCCAAGTTTGAAGTTATGTGGGGATTTGTTGCAGGTTAGGGACAGCCCCTAGAATGCTGAACCAAAAACAAAGACTTTGTACCCTCTGAGATTGTGACTTAGATGCCGGGTACATCTCCGCAAATGAAAGATCTCAAACATCGACCAAATCATTTCTCACCTTCAGCCTCGGATGCTCTCGTTGGAAGTCATGCCCGGCAACGTAGGACAATGTAAAGATTGCACGGCGGGGCCTGGTCAGGAAGACCTGTGCAATGGCATGTCGTAGGCTGTGACTTCTGAAGGCAATCATTCAGCGTCTCCGAGCACAGGACCGATATTCTCGAGAAGATCGACCAATCAGGAGGGTAGATAGCTGTATCATAGGGCGGCGAGCAAAAATACTGTGGGTTCGGCTGATGAACAAGGCTATGCCGTAGAGATGTAGATAGAGGTACTCCGTGTCAACTTCGAAGTTCCTGAATCGAATGTTGCCACCTCGCGTTTGCCGTCATCTGCGCAGAAGATGAATTCAAGTCGTCCATAATATCGTTCCTTGTACTCGTGGTGATGAGATCGCAACGCAAAATCGTTTGATCCTGCTCCCTAAAAGCCCGTATCAGCACAGAGGTGCATATGCAATTTCAACAAGCACAAAGGTGACCTGCCTTTTTCCCAAAGGCTGTGAGGAATTGAAGCGCTAGGGCAATTCCCTTCTGCAGGGCCCTCAAAAGATTCGTGGGCCCAATGAGAGCAATGAGAGGTGATCAGCTGAAGAAGACTCAGGAGACAATGCTATCTCTGTTGGAAGGGTCCATCTAGGTCGCCTCAAATCTGCTTGCACTCTGTATGAAGAGTATGTCATACCTATACAATATCAGCCAAGAGGAGGAAAAGATACAAGGAGGGGAAAAATAGGTCATTGAGGAACATTCCTTAAGCGTGCAAATACAAGCCTTGGCCTAAGCTCTGGATTACCAGCCGCTCATAAGTCAGTGACAATCTACCAGAAGGCCTTACTGCGATGGAGCCTCATATCGATTGGGTGTGTACCTCCGCTTGCATGCCTCTTAGGAGATGATTGCCGGCAGAATTTCTTGGTGTAGGAAGTAATCAGGACCTGGACGTATCCAGCGCTCACCCCCTAGACCATGTTGTGTAAGCTCTAGACAACGATATCAACTTTAATGAAGACTGACGGGGTGTCTATAGCGTACCTGCACCAGTGCCACAGCATCTCCTTCTGACGTTGCCTCCGTCTCCTCTGCAGCTCTTATCCACAATGCACGAGCCCACTTTTAAGTCTGCATCCGCAGTCTTTTCCATACCCCCCTCGCCGCGAAGATGCTGATCGCTAGACTGATTTTGCATATATTGAAAAGAACTTCGGGTCTGAAATAAATACTGGGAACTTGCGGGATAAGGCTATTGCTGGGTCACACCAGAAGCCCGCAAAGAGCGAGAAGGATTTGGAAACATGACAATGGAAAATGAAGAGAAGCATAAACCATATAAAGTACGGGCTGCCCGCATGAATGAAAGAGCGTGGAACATCGTGAAAGATCTTGGAGCCACTGTTTAGCAGCATGTCCCAGCCATTTCATTCACTACCGAACTACTTCGGCGACTTGTACAAGATGATCACGATAAGGACATATTGCATAGGGCAGGCATTGGCCACTTCTCGGCGATGAAAGGTTCGAAATCCACTTTGTAAGCTCATCGCTCGATGCCAGCGGCCATCGCAAAAATTTGCACGACGACGCCTAGTGACACCGTGATTGACGGTCTACAACAGAGGCTGTCCATTTTCTAAAGGAGTTCTTGCTCTGTCAGCCCCTCTCGCTGGGTTGAAGTACTTTTGATGGATTGATGTAATCCTCGTGGAAGATAGCAGTATCGAGACCCGTTCTATCGGCTTACCGTGCAGAGCTTTTGTCCTTTCCTTTCCTTTCCTTTCTTTTCTTTTCTGTATTATATGTTTGTTGTTTGACAGTCATGGAGCTGATCAAGCTGTGTATTCCGACCACGCATCTAGTGGTCAGAGTTTATATCTAGCAAATTCAAGAGCACACCCTATACATGGCTCTAAAGTCTACATTTGAGCCCCAAGGTGTCGTGGCGCAATTGGAACCACATGCATCGAACTCGACCAGCTAGGTATGATGACGTGGGAGGTATGAGCACCAGGGGGTGCTGATCTCGTCCCGCCAAAGACTGATACTTCTAGAGCCATGGAATGTTTGATCAGATCATTGTCAACGATCACGGCCTTTTAACGGGGCTCCGTTGAATGATAGCGAGCTTGCCGTGCCATCGACCGTCAAAAGGCCGGCCACATTTGGAAACCCGATGCTATTTCACCCGTGCCGGCGCAAGGGATGGCATCTGGAGGCCTTTGCAAGTCGGGCCCGGCTTCTGTACCTCCCGAAGGTGCATGTCGTCGCATTGTGCAATAAAAGTGGTGACGACACGCCATGTCGTTGACCTCACTAAAAATGTCGAGCGGCTGCCGGCTCGGCTACCCAAGCGCGACTGCTTGAGATTATATTGTAGCTTCAACATGTTACCACGGCAAAACAGGCTCTTACATACGCAGAGAGTGCTCGCGTTGAGAAGATCGTCATTCAAAATCCAATTGCAGGCTCGCGTTGCCTCGAGTTGCTGATTACCAGGAGTCTTGCTCGAGGTGGACGGGTGACAACAGTAGCTGATCCCTCGTGCTGCACGTCGGACTTGGCCTCGTACACGACACGCGCTTGCCTGCTTGTAATGCGGGTCTCGTTTTCATGCTCTTGGCTTACATTGGCCAATGCTTGACCATACCACCTGCTGGCCGCAGTCACCGTCCTTCCTCTCCTTTTACGGGTTGGGACGAAGTACCTAAGTAGACCCCTGTACAGCGGACTCGACGGAGGATCAATGGCCCAGAAGATGCTAATCTAATCATTTGATCGTCTAGTTCGAGCATGTTTCGACGCGCCCAATGATGCTCAGATTACAGCGACCTGTCAAGCTTTACAAATGCCACAATATACTTTGACCTTTGGCACTCGCACGAATTTGCGGCCCCTACTGGACCCTCAAGTGTTCTCGTGCAGCGCTTGTTCTTTTCTCGAGAGCCACATGCAGCAATGATTCAATACTAGCTCGACCGATCCGATTGACCCATCAACACCACTCCCGGGATATCCCTACCAATCATCAAGACCTCCCCATCCTGTGCCTCTGAAACCTCTCCTGTCAAGCGACTTCTAGAAAACAGAGTTAGGACACATATTGATGGGAAAGAGTCTACAGTCGTCACATTCAAAGCTGCGAAGAATGTGCGCTTACCTTTGAAATTGAGGGGTCAAGAGCCTGCAATCTGTCTATTGAAGATGTTCGCGGCGCAGAAAGCCACCGCACAAAGATCAGGAGCCAGGGATGCTACCTGGAGTTTACGCTCTTGACTGTTGATATGGAAGCCTCTAAAGCCATATATGGTCAAGAAATGAAGAACAGAGCACATGTAGAACAGGACGGGTACAGAGCGGCCGCGGTGTGTCTTACGGTTCATGGCCTCATCCACTGAATAGATATGGAAATAGACCGCCTGAGGCACTTGCAACAACCTGGTTGAGGATCAATATTTATTCCAAATTTCTATATGAAGACGCCCTGCTAAAAGTTCACGAGATGGTCTACTTTTAGAGTTTCCCGTATCAGATACGAAAGCCTGTCTGGATACCGTGCACATTCCACTATAAGAAATCTGATTCAAGCGCAGAGATCCCTTCATGGCCAAGCCGCGCTGAAGTTCCCCTTGCGTCCATGTTTCTGCAGTATTAGGCAACCAGAAGCCATGACTGACGAGACGGGACTCTTATACTGCTTGAGCCAAGCTAAGGACATCATGGAAAGTCCCTGACAGCTCAACATATCCGCAAAGCGATTGCGAAAGAGCAGAGGGCTGGTTTCGTCTTGGATCTAGGGCTTAGGGCTGCACTAGCCTAATCAATTCAATCCTAGGGTGAGTGACAAGTCACACAAAGCATAGCTGGAGCGTTTATGGTATCAAGGGATGTCCAAGTCTTGGACATGATGTTGCAAAACGCCTCATTAGGGTGATGTGATTTAAAGTACGATTGTGCAAAGGGGTTACGTTATGGTCATGTGGAAAGCATGTGATTCGAGCCAGCCAAGCAGGACTGTGTTAGGCGCAAGTGGTTAGGACCGTCAACGCGTGTTTTGTTGGATATAGGATGTTAGCGCGTGGTGGACGTATGTATATGCTTGACGGGTATAATATTTACATGACGGACGAAAGGGAGCGGCCACTGACCTCACATGATACTCCGGACCTTCAATGTTTATGATGCGAGAGACAAGATCAAGCGATGTGTTTCAATGCTAGATATTGAAGAGAATGAAGTCTAGCTAGATGCCGAAACCCTTTTATGAGTGCTTGCTGCAATACCAATATAGTGATCTAAGTTTACCGAGAGGTGACGGTGGCTGTCGTCCCCATTGTTCTTGTTCCCTTCTCGAGAGTCCTTCTTTGCTCACTTGGTGGTCACGTCACGTGTGATAATCGAACGTCCAAGGCTCACAGCGCTGCCGAAACGGTCCGTTCCCCGGCTGTTGAGCGACGAGGTTTGGGTCATGGGCGGGCCAGGGTCGATAATTCTCGACAGGTGCATGCAGCCATTGTGTAGTCGGTATTTTGCTTGGGTAAAGGAGGGATTCGTAATTGTTTGCAGGGCTAACCCAGCCCCGATTTGCCGCCCCGAAAGTATTTGGCACATTGGCGACCGGAGAATAATTCGTCGAAGTTGATGTGGAGGGATAGCCGAGAATGGCGCTCTGGTCGCACCATTCGTAGTAATTGTCCTCCTGGTTGATCAAATTGGGATTATCAACGTCCGGTATCTGTTCGTTTGGACTGTCATTGTCATCGGGTCTCTCAGAGTAGGCTAGGCAGGGAAAGTTGCTATATGAATGCTCCAATTAGTACGGCTGAGCATCGCTTGCGTAGGGACCTACCTTCCAAAAGTGTTAACGTGGCTCAAAGAAGGAGCCCGCCTGCGTTGAGGAGACCCATTCGATTTTGGCCCGACCTCAGAATAATGATTCTTGCCAGAAGAAGTCCTCGATATTTCGTAAGCAAGTATATCGATGCTCAAGCAGTGGCTTGTACCTAATTGGGGAATTGAGCTCTCCAGTGCTCATGGGCTTGGAGGGCTGCAGCTTGTATAATTTCGTTGCGCAGCCAACTTCATGCAACCACCAGTCGTCGGTCCACTCGTTCGTTTGTTCATTCCATGTACCATATCTTTGAGGGCAAGTTAGAAGGATACAAATCACAGAAGCGGCAGACCAATGCTACTTGCCGGAATCGGAACCCTTCACCGCTCAGCTTCGCTAGAGGCTTTAGAGCCTGGTCTACTCTCTTCTTGAAAATCTCAAGAAGTGGCCCCAGAGTGTTCACTTGTATGCCATCTATGTTTTCAATCTTCAATACGAAGCACACGGGAGACATGGCGGCGATAGAATGTTGAATTGATAATTTTAAGCAGTAATGTGCTTTTCAAACGCTCTTCTGATTTCCAAATTTTGCAGAGTTGTGTGAAATTCATATTTAAAATCAAGGGCACGGATGGTAGTGGCTATAAGAGCAAGAGAAATCACTTCGAGGCATGCAAGGGCAGATACAATATACCGCATTTGAGCTCCAGCATTTAAGCTGCGTTGGCGGAGGGTCTAGATCAAACCCTTGCGCTCTCCAAATATTGTTTCACTTTTGGAAAAGAGTCTCCACATTAGGCAAAATGAGAAATGGCAGCGGACAAGTCAGCCAAAAATCATTGCATGGACGTATCGAAAGGACTACAAGATGAAGATTCGTAGTCCGCCACAAATTTCCAATGGGCTAGAGGGGTCCTCCGGTGGAAACTTCAGGGATTCTAAGAGAGGGACCTCGAAGACCAGCCACTGCATATGACCACCTATTCCTGTACCACCACTGCCACCATGATCCCAGAGCAAGGTGATCTACGTGAGGCCGCTAAACCAAAAAAAACTGCTGGCGTTTCGACTGTTTCACTCAGGATCTGCAGGAGCACCTGTGTAAAGTCCGAGCAGTAAGATGGAGTCACCCCTCGAAAGGACTCCTGGGTTCATCATTGGCCGAGGAGGGCGCTGGGCGATAAAAGCGTTTCCGTAAGCAGACTAGCATGAAATCTCGGAAGCCAACATCAAATTGCATAGCATCTTCCTCCCCCTGGTGAGCAAGGTCGCGGTGCGACAGCACATCAGAACTCTTCTGCTTGTGATTCGAATGCGAGCAAGCGCTAGGAGTTCCTGCACAGCAGCACAGCAGTTATGCACTCATCTCCCGCAAGGCCGCGGCTCGAGTCATGCCGACCACAAGCCGTCATCGGAGGACCCAGCCTGAAGCCCAAGAGTCCAAGGTGTACTAGGGTGCATTGACGTCGGTTCAAACTGCTCGCAAATTCCTTGAGCCGTCAATCTGGATTTCAGTCATGAGGAGCAGCGACTTGTCCTCGTGATCGCCGAATATCATACCCTCCTCCCTCAAAGACGAGACGCGTCATGACAAATGGCAAGCTTGTCAAGAGAATTTTACATCGATCGCAGTCGTCGAACAAGAGTTCCGCTCCGCTTGAGATCGGAGAGCCTCAACCTTGCATGGCTCCGCCGGCTCATCTCGTAATAGCTGTCACGCGCTGCAAGAGCCGAGATTCTCAGTGAATCTCCTGGAGGCTGGGCCATACACTATACCTCTTATTACACGGACGATGAGTTTTGGGGTCGTCTGAGGCAACATTGGGTGAATCGCTGTCGCGAATCCGTCTTTTGCGTCAGCTCGGGTTCTTCCAGCCGAATCTTCCAGCGTCCTTTCAGAAGGTAACGCATTGGATGCTGTGCTTCGCGGATCACAGGCAAGATGAACAAAAGAACCCCCTACATACATTCGGCGCTGCTTCTTGTGTTTAGCTAAGAGATCCTCGCCGCCTGCACCAATCAAGGATTTTCGTCTCGGATGGCGAGCTACTCGGCGGCGTCGAGTCTTTCGAGCCGTTTGCGGACGGCCCCTTCACCGTATCATCCATTTCAATTCTTGTGGCTAGAAGGTCCTTGAAATTTCACAGAGGCAAGACCATGGTCGGCAGAGACCTTCTACAATCAATAAGTCGTGCGGAAATTCTTGAAAGCTTGCAAACCAGCGGGACCTTACCCCGGCCTGTGTCAAGACTTCTTGCTATGATTCTCGGGGCCCTCCGATCGTTGCTTAATTCTGCTTGCATTGTTGAAGGATAAATGGCATATTGAGTCTGCCCTTGATCTTCATTACCAACATGGGCCCCGCGAACAAGACAGGTGGTGACTTGGAGATGGGCACGGTCCTGGAAAAGCGAGAGGACTGTAACAAGGAAGGCTCTCAAGGAACAGAGCGCGGTGACAGCGTGAGGTAATACATCCTACGAGGTCAAAGGAGCAATGAGTACAAAGTAGTCATTTGAGAACAGGTGACGCCTATCATAAGGAGTGTAGGACATTGCTCTGAAAGATCGAACTACACCATGAGTGCGTACCTGAATCGTTGAGCCTGGCTATACCCTGTTTAGGTTGACCCAAGATGGACGGAGGTGCCGCAACTCCGCGGACTTGATAAGAAGCGTGCTATGTGAAGGCTTATCATAACTTGGGACATGAAGCGACTCCACGTCACTCCTGGAAAAGCCTGCAGCCTTCGATTTCTTCCAATGGAAAGGTTCATTTTCATGCCACGATGATTGAGGTGCGGCTCCTGCCCGCTGCAGTGTGTGAATCCTACTGCGCAGTCCGCTCTTCGATTATATCCCATAACTCTACGTTATTTCGTGGTCATATTATCATCGTCTCTTTCCGCTTTGGTTGAACCAACGAGGTGCGCAGTGATATGTGCACCGACCTGCTTTTTACTCCGACGGCGCTCTGTCATTACAATGAGCAGCCGGTACTGCATTGTCTACCGTCCTTTTGAAGCTGTTGACACCCCGAGTCCTATTGCTTCAAGAAAGCTCTCACTCGTTGCCGAGATGCGTATGAAATGGTCAAAATTCAACGGCACATCACGTTGAATGTGTTCGAGACTTCGCCTGATGAAAGGAGACTGCAAGAGCAGATGGTGATATTCGCGATCCAATTCATGTAGGATTTTGAATCGTGTGCTGATCAAATCCGCAGGTCAAGTGCGCCTGAAGCGCCCGAAATCTCCCGCGAATGACACAGTGCGCCTACAACTTTCCTATGCCACAAATGACAGTCAGCAAGAGATAACCATATTGTAGCATCTAGACTCGAGATGGAGATCACGTCATCAAGCTGCAGAATTCGAGGAGATGTCGCAAACAGCGCAGCAGTTGATGATCAGCTGACAGCAACTAGCTGAGGATTGACTTTATGGGCCGTTAGACCGGTGAAACGACAGGTGAAGCTTCATGCATACTAAATATTGGGGCTTCAGTCATTGTGGACTAGCGAGCTGCTACTATCGAGTCCAATTCCTTCGGAGTCTTCGAGTATTCCTGCCCAACGCCTCAACCAATCACAGTTGTCTTCGCCCTCCGGAGGCTCATAACGAGGCCAACGTTCTGTTGGAAAATAAACATCACTGCCACCAGAGGATACTGCCTGCAGATTCAATTCCTACAGCTTCTTCCTGTTTCTCTATAGGGGATGTCGTCAGTATCTGCCCGTGGAAACGCGCGGCTACCACGTCCGTTATCCTGACATGGATGACCGTCGAGGTTGCCTCAAGGGGGTCCATGCAGCCGGGACATCGCCTTAACAAATCAAGGTATGTGGACAAAGTCAATCGCAGAAATGCACCTCAAGCGAAGTCTCTCCGAGACCATGTCTAGGTGCAGCTCACCATCCCTAATACGACTCTGCGTATACCCTCTCATCGTTACCTTTCACAGCTTGAATCAGCGCGCCACGTCTGAGTCTGCACGACTTGCAGGGCGCGAGGCCGCTCGAGAAGTTACTGCATGACATGTATGTACATTCGCCCAGTACCCAGGATCACCGTAGCTCTCCACGTTCATATGAGAGCTGCAACAATCATTCGCTAACCTAGCATAGCATGTTCAGCATCCTCCGTTGCCGTCAGGTTCCGCCAACATGAGTACGCGGCGCCAGCATAATTCTTCCTACTCGATCTCTCGTCACTCCTTAATTGTTCAACGTTTTTCGCAATTGTCAATCCAAGATTGAAGTACCCAAATCGAGTCTCTTCAAAAGACGACTCGCAGTACCACTGAAAGAAGTCTCGCCGCTTTGGGTCGTCCGTGCAAGAGCCTGATACAAGCAGAGGGAACATGATCCGATGTCTCAGCCTCGGGTCGTCCACAAGATCACGCGCCAGATCGAACACCTGACCCGCGTGGTAGTCAAAGGTTGCTCTACCTACACGATATGGTGGGTATGCTGTCACGCCATACGTCGCAAGAGCATGGTACCACAAGCTATCCACCTTACTATCGAAAGAGGCACGCTGGTGTGCGATTACATTACTTTTGGAAGTCACCGGTGGCTTCCCGATCTCTGGCGCGTCTCCATGGGCTACTTCTACTAGCCTAAGGAACATCGCTTTTGAACACGGCAATAGTTGCTCGTGTTGACAATCCTCATAGCGGCTTCCTTTTGGCTTCCCCTGGTCCAATAGAGCCTCAAGCGCCTTGGGTGGCAATACCGGTTTTTGCATCGAAAGCAAAGCGCCTATGGTGTCCCACCAGTAAAACTGAAGATAAAGGTCTATCTCAATGGAGTTCCAAGGCTTTTTCAACGACTTCATCGAGTGTTGCGCTTCCATTATCCCCCTTACCGCAAGTAAGTGTATTCGCCATGGTCCTATGCCACTGTCGACCGCCTCGGCGAATAATAGAATGAGAATCACTCCCAGCTTGACAACATCATCTGCCCTGCTTAGATCTTTACGGAACGCGGTAAGCGCACGACCTTTGAAATTTAGGCGCTTTTCGCGCGGATACTGGCGGTGTTGTGCCACCAAGAACATAATGGCATACTGCAGAGGCACTGATCCAGACACTAGGGGTCGAATTTGCCGCAGTGGTCTTCCGAGGCCATTCTCGCCACCGCCCAGGTTGATCAGACAGTCGCAATAGTATTGAAATGATAGGCCAGCTTCTGACAGCTCGATGCCGGATGATGGCACCCAAGAATTCGAGTTCACTGCTGTCCCCATGTTCGGTCTTACCCAGCGGAGCTTCAAAGTATAGCTACACTCTTGATTGCTTTGAAGACCTGATCACATGTTATAAATCGCTTCTGCTGCAAAGTGTGAGCCGACCTACATCTACCACACTTCGGTCGCTGGCGATCGCAGACGAAATCTCGCTTGGGACAGCGGCTGCATGGGGTCGGCGAGACGCCTAAGCTGTTACTTTTCTTTCTGACGGGAATGAGATTATCATTCTGAAGGCTCAGGACCATCTCCATGATAGCTCAATATTTGCGCGTAATGTTGAGCGTGATAAAGTCCAAAATCCGAGAGCGCATTCAAGGATCAGCGCGCTCAACACATGCCATGTGGAGAACCAGTGCGATCAGCTTATGACTTGAATCTCCACTTCTGATCCTGGGGCATCTGCGACGCTGCATGAAAGAGGAGCGAGATCTTACACAAGACTGGTCAGTTCAGTGCAGCTTGGCACTATTCCCGAACAGTGAAATCTCGGTTTCCTAAAGAAAGTCTAGTACGTTATTCGTGATGACAAAGCTGTACTATGGTGTGGTAACGGTCTGTGGCTTCGCAAGAAAGCTGGAATTTACGGCCTTTGAGGACGACTTGTATGCGCCTCAAGTCCATCATAAAAGACGCTCGATCTCTCTCACCTGTCCGTTTGTCTCCCAGTCCAGTTGAGGTCCCATCATTCAGCCTGATATCAACTCTCATTAAGTATAAGTAATCTGTCAACGTACTTCTTCTCTCGTAAACAGAGACAACATGTCTGTCAAACAGACTATCTGTTTGATCTCTGGAGCAAATCAAGGCATTGGCTATGAAACGGCCAAGAACCTAGCCAGCTCGCAGCAGCATTGGCACATCCTCATCGGCACTCGCGACTTGGCCAAAGGGGAGCAAGCTGCCTCAATGATCCTCTCGGCCCTCTCTCTCCACGAGGGCAAGACCGTCAATGAAGTTTCCGCCGTACAGCTAGACGTCACCTCCGACGAATCTATCGCAAATTGCGTGGCCTACATCAAGGGAACTTTTGGTCGCCTTGACGTGCTGATCAACAACGCAGGCATCAGCGGCGCTCAAATACCGCATGCCGTCATGCCGCGTGAAAAATTTGGGCTCACTGCCGACACGAACGCCTTCGGTGCCGCAGCTTTGACGGAGGCGTGCGAACCGCTACTTTCTGCCTCTACGAATAGTCCAGCCAGGATCGTTTTTGTAAGCAGCGAAATGGGCTCCATCGACAATGCTTTGAACCCGTCTTTCAAATTTTATGACTTATCGCCAAGAATCATGCAATATAAGGCGTCTAAGGCAGCAATGAACATGGTGGCGGCATGCTTTGCGGTCAAGTACAAGGATCGGGGTTGGAAGGTCAATATAACATGCCCTGGGCTCAGGGCCACGAACTTCACCTCGGGTCCCAATGCGGCGTCCAAGGCTTTCAACGGAGGCACTGCGGATGAGGGGGCTCTGAATGCTGTCAGGCTCGCCACTCTGGGTGAAGACGGGGAGACTGGAACATTTTCGAACATCGAGGGTCCAATGCCTTGGTGAGCATCTGGTCAGTCAAGCATTCTTTTGGAAGATCACGTTACCGGACAAACATTGGGTGATGCTGTGGTGTTGATGTCTTGTTGTCACACTCATGTGCATATGCAATCAACGAAAATAGACCAGGGTCCTCGTTTCTTATCAGATCAAGTCCTTTGCATGTCAAGTGTATCAAGATAAGCGGTCCGCACAATACTAAGGAATGCGCAACAAGGGTGAGCTTGATTCGGTATTCTGCAAGCCCATCTTTTCTGGATGAATGAAATCCCCAATCCTTCTAGCTCGATTGGACGGCTTGAAAACTGACACAATTGCCTAGACATGCAAATCGGGCACTACACGGGCGCTACTAAGTGTAGCCTTCTAACATGCAACCCCCTATCTCTCTCGTTGTGTTTGGCCATCGCTTGTGAAACACCATTCGCGCACCCAGGCGGCATATCAAGTTTCATATTCTCGTACATGAATACCATCAGGCAGCTATCATGGAAATACCTGCAATGAAATGTACTGCGGGACAGTGGTTTGGGTCATGGTCTCTTTTTTTGGTCAATCGAAAGCCAAGTCATTGCCTTGCGATTCGCACCCAAAGATTTAAATTTGTTAGCAGTCTTGACACTTAAAGACAATAGGAGAAGCCGTTAAGAAGACTGCGTGACTCTCGCATTCGAGCAATCCGTCGCCGCACCAGATGCATGAGTGCCAATTCGTTCATATAGCTTTTCAAAAGGCACGAACTGTGTCCAGCATTCGTCCAGTACCAAGTGTTCACTTTCATGTTAGAGTTGGAAACAATACTTAGAAATGAAGTGTTTGGTCCCGCGATTCGGCGCTCTATTCGCCATCTGTGCGGCACTGCTTTTCGGAAACGTCGCTGGCTATCGATATGTTGATCGACTCAAACCCCGTCAAAACGAAGACGTCGTGCCAACCGCGCAGCAATATCTTCGGAGACGTCTGCATTCAGGTAAACCCTCTTAAGAAAGTTGTATGGCTTGGATTACTGAAAATCAGATCTAGCTATTGTTGCCGGTAAATACTTGTATATAGACGGTGGCTCAATTTCATTCAACGAAAGCAATGGGGAGCCAGCCGTGGTCGCTCAGCGTAAGTAGCCTCACCAAGCGCCAATCTTCGTAGTTACTCATTACCAATCCATCAGAGAATTCCACACTGTCAATCGATCTTTCGAAAGACTGGGACAACTCCACAGTCGACTTAATCAAAACAAGCAAGCCTTCAGACATGCCCGTCTTCAATCTAGGGGCACTCTGGTACCATAAGACTGAAGACCTGATCTACGCAGGTTTAGTCGGTGGGACGAGTGGTCCGACACCACTCCCATCCTTGTGGACATTCAAACCAGATCAAAAGGGGAGTGGAACATGGAGTCAGGCAGAGCGTGGTGGTTCTTCTGCCTTACAAGCTGTTGAAGGACTCTCGAGAGGTCCTACAGCGCAAGGACCTGACTCAGCGTGGGCGCTTAATCCCCAGGACTCATCAAATAACTTACTGCCTGGCATGATTCAACTGGATATGGGCACAGAAAGGATCCAGAAATTGAATACCGCTGCTGCGTTTTCTGTGCTGGGAGACGAGGCTTCGCTGCAGTATGTACCCATGTGGGGGAGAAAAGGCCTTCTGGTTGCTTTTGGCGGCAGTGTCACCAACGATGACAAGTATCCTGACAATAGTATTGTGCCTGTCTTTGATGTTGATACGCAGCAGTGGTACAGCCAGACCACCAGTGGGGATATACCCGCCTGGCGTAACTGGGTATGCACAGCGGGAGTCAAATCGACACGTGACACGTTCGAGATCTTCTACTACGGAGGCTTCGTCAAGGATGGCGAAGCTGCTGTTCAGAATGATGACATCCACATTCTTAGTTTGCCGGCTTTCAATTGGATTAAGGTCCCTTACGAGGCGCAGCATCCTCGTGGTGGTCACACATGTACACCTGTCGGCGGCAGTCAGATCCTTGTAGTCGGCGGTGATGATCCAAGTGTTCCCCCGGTCGGTCGTCAACCGGATGACGCCACTAACAAGATGTTGACGAAGGACATCTGGAGGCAGGGGATTGCTGTGTTTGACATGTCAGCCCTGGCGTGGAAAGCCAACTACACATCCGGTCTCAATGATACTTATATGCAATCGAACAACGTCACTCAGTACTATGTGACCAATGGACGGTATGTCTGATGTGACTCTATCTCGAAGCGTAGAGAGCTGATCTACTTGGGATTGTATAGGTCTCCGAAAAATGCTCCTGATCCGCACATCGCAGACCTCCTAAATAGTGGCAACTCAGTCAATGTATCTTCGAGTAAGTACAAGTCCCCGGTTTTGATCATTTCGAGTTACTGACGACATACCTCAGCGGCGACAAATTCTACTTCCCCACGCGCCAGCGCTCCATCAAAGCCCTCTCGCACCATCTCCGTCGGTACAATAGTAGGAGTCATCGTAGGCGGCGTCGCAGGAATCGTGCTGATCGCAGCCCTCATCCTCTTCCTCTACAGAAGCCATCTCCGCACAATCGCACAAACGAAAGTCGCAAGCAATGCCAAATGGTTTAAAGATGTTTCGGAATACGGTAGTGGCAGTGGCGGTAGTCCGGCCACTGATCGACGCTGGTTTGCCCAAAGCCCGATCAATTCGGAACCGATTGAGATGAGCGATCGTGAGACTCCGGCGTTGAGTGTGAGGGGGTGCATGAGGTGCCTTCTAGTCCATCTCGGGGGTCACGGTGACAAGAGTGTTTTGTTGCATGTGATTTATACATCGGGGATCTTTTTAATGATAGTCACCACCTCGCAGTCGTAATTACACTTACAAGCTGACGTATCCGTTCTTTACTCAACTATTGCATCTGTTTATCTTTCCCATGTTTCATGGCCATTCTGGCAGAAGCCGACAGCCGCTCCTCAGCTTCTCAAAAAGTCCAGAACTACGAGTCTTCGGACAGGAAATAGCTCAGTCCTAGCCGGCTGTCGTGATGGTGCACATGATCTATTCAGCTCCGGATGACGCGGCCTGGGACATCTGCCATCTCTGCCACTTCTCGTCTTCTTCCATCACAAGTCTCCGGTGCTTTACCTCTACAATCCTGTCAATCTCCTCTTGCAATTCAGCTGCTTCATCATGCCTGTCCCATCTTCGTAGCCAAGACTGCAATCTTGACATATACCCTATGACATCACTTTTTCCCAATCCCCATGCGTCACTTCCGATAGATATCGCTCGTCGAAGATTCTGCTCAGCCAAATTTCTCTCCGAGGATCCGAAGTGCGCTATGGAAAGCACTTTAAGTGCTTCCGTCATATCAAAAGGAACCTGTGTCTTTGCTGCACAAGAGATCAGTTCCTCAGCAACTTTGACAGCCTTCTTGTACTCTCTTGCCTCGATGTAATACCCGACTAGAGCTTGACGTATGTATAGCGTCCGGTTGTCCACTGTGCCGATTGTATTCTCGGCAGCTTTTAGATACTCCTCGATAGTCTGTATGATATTGTCCTTCTTTATCCATTCCCATTGTGCGATCAGTAAATCTAAAGTGACCATATTGAAGCGGTCCGCTCGTTGAGTCAGACAATCTGTCTGGCATGATTGAGAGATACGAAGGGTCTGCATAACTTGAGAAGCCTGCATTCGACCGAGACGCGTGAAGCAGAAAGTGATTGGATGATTCGAGCCTAGCTTCTTATCGCTCATAGCGGAGATGAAATACAAGATAGAATAAGCAATCTTGCTCGTTGTCTCATCTTCTACGTACTGGAGTAAAACGGAAGTGATCAAACCGAGCATCTGTGGGATTTCAACTTCGAACATACGCTCCACTCGAGCCATTGCCATGTTCAGAAATTGCCACGTACGGCTGCTGTCATTGTCTTCTAGAAACCTGAGGGCTTCTATGCACTCAGAGTAGAAGTCGTAGTGCTCTGAGGTGCCTTCTTTGCCAGTACACTCTCCATCTTCTGTGGTTACCCACGTTCTTGCGTCGAAAGAGCCATGGATGTAAGTTTCAATGGCTTTCAAAATGCGCTCTGGTGTTTCGATTATGGCAGGCGTAGACAACGGCGAAATTACTGGTGTCGTGCAAGTTAGTCCTGGCGGTGTGGACAATTTTGAATTAGAAAACCCCTCTGCGGACAGATTTCCAAATGCTTTCCGAGCGCGAGCGATTTTTCCTTCCGGCACTTTCGTATTGCGAAGGTAGAAGACCGATCTTTTCCCCACTGCTGCACGTGCTGTCTGCTTGCGGATGATACACTCCATTTCGTGCTTCTTGATGTTCTTGTCCATGGCCCACTTGCGGCGTCTGTCTTTGTACATTTTGACACTGATGAACAGTATCAGTGGATGCATCGAGCGGAAAGAATTCAGTTTAGGTTTTACCTTGCTCTCAAACCGTACGTATCCCTCATAATATCTCTGACTTCATCTAAAGTATGTTTTGAGTAAAGCTCAATGATCAGAGATTTGAGCCGATCCCAGTCAGCTTCGGTTGGCGTGGAGGAAAAGGATCCTCGCTCTGGTAAGATGATCGAAGTATTGGGAGCTTGCCCGTTGTTGAATGAAGTAGGCGCGATATAAAGCGGCGTTTGCCCGAACGCAAGATCATCTGAGAAGGCATTCTGTGCCCGGTGATCAGACCACAGTCCTGGTCTCTCAATAATCATCGGATCATCAGCAGAGCAATGAACGACTGCCTGACTTTGGGGTACAAACGAGTTGTACATTTGAAAAGACATGGTGATTCCCTGTCCTTTGGTAGACCTGGGAGGGAATTGAAGTTTGACGCCCAGAAGTAACAAAGATTAACAAGAATTGCTGTAAGGCAATGAGTGCACGCAATGTATAACGTAAAAAGTCTCTAGTCTGATGCCTTCTACTTATAAGCGGGCTTCTCGGCCCTTTGACCTACAAGGCTGACGACCAGCCTCTCACGCAGTGGGTTAGATTACCACGCCAATGAGGGAACAGGCTTAGCGTCTATGTGAGAAAGTACCTTGCATGACACTAAGTTTTCTCGTTGGCTGCCTCGACGCCTATGTCGTCGTCAGCCAATATTCTTCATCATACCAAAATACCCATGTCGCTATCCTAGGTTATTCTGAGAGCTGTCAACGAATCGTAGGGTTATCACTCTTTGATCTGTACGAAAAGCCCCTTGCATCAAACGCAGCCTTTCTCGACCGGATTGCGCCAATTTATTGTCAACAAGAGAATGAATTGATCAAGGCAGAACTTTTAGACACTTCCGAGGAATGATCAGCGCCACCAAATTCGAACGAGTCTGTCCTCTCTCGAGAGGATGTGTAATATTCTTCGCGAAACAAGGCAAATACTTGGTATCTACCTCAGTCTGCGGGGCTGGGTGACAAAAAGCACGCTGCATACTGATTGCAGTCGCAACCACTCGGCCCAAAATGTAAGTCTGCAGATGTCACGAGTGCTTTCAAATCATTCTTTTAGCGACGTAGAAGGCGACCAAAAACCACTTTACTTCTCTCGTCATGACTCACTTAACGATTTGAAATTCAGACGTACGAAAAGCACCTCAGCAAGCCTCGTGTTACCAGATCAATCGACCGCCTCTTCAACATTCTTACCTACCGTCACCTTGATCCTACCCTTGTCTCCCACGATCATGGTGCCTCCTGTATCTTCCCTGGACCCCTTTCCTTGAGCACAAGATTTCATTAGACCACCAATTGCGAGTCGGATCGCGATCCAGGAGCTTTGATCATCCACTCCTTCATCTATATCAACCGTCACAGCACACTTCTCATACGGCTTCCTCACAGGCAATGAGAAGTCGTCCAAGGTACCGGATTGGTGGAAAGTGCCAGCATTGAGGTTTGTTGGGAGAAGCACAACTGCACAGAGGCAGTCGGATGTTGGTGCGCGCCGAGTTGGACGGTACCATGGGCCGGACTTGAAGCAGTTGAAGTCATCGGTAAGTCTTGGAAATGTAGTGTTCGTGCTGGTTAGATTGAGGTTCGCGTCGAGTGGACACACTTGCCACGGTAGTGTTGTCAAGCCAATCACTACTTGCGCGATACACAGTGCCAGTATTCCAGTAGAATGGGAAACCTTGTGGTGGATATACATTTCTGAATTTCGAATGCTTCTTTGAGATCCAATCTGACAAATTAAAGGAGCCTGATGGTAAAGAAAGATGACAGGACTTTGAATGGCATTCTATTGTCACTCCAAAGGTGGAACTTCGCAATGCATCAGTGCCTACATGTCTCTTGTGAGGCATCTTGCGCAGCGCTTGCAAGCTAGTATCCACTTTCTGGCTTGTGATCATACGACAGATTTTAGACCGCAAGTCTGCAGTGAAACAAGATCTGTGCGCAAAATTGAAGCGGAGTGACATTGCGTGCTGGCCACATGCCGGTCTCACGTCTGGTACATAATTGCAGCAAGTTAAGAGGAAGGAGAGAACGTTCGAGCTGTGAGATATTGCATACGCAGTCGAAGGATTCACATTTCTCACCCCGCATGGGACATTTGAAGCCGCTGCTCTCTGGTGGCTCAGACCCTCGCTACTTTCTAAATCCTGACCTTTAGTATTCATGTCCATAGTCGCCCTCACCGAATTAGAGCCTGCCTTGAGCGAGCCTTGGGACAATCATCATAATTCATGGGACGGATGCGCTAGTCCTACATTGGCCAGAGCAGCATCGGAGCGGAAGATCTTACCCCCGAGATGCCTCAGCCGTGCTGGTGGTGCTCTACTTCTTCTACGAGCATCAGCACTAAGTCATGCGCCGCGTTCTTTGGCCCCGAGGCGATGATGAGATCGTTTCAATGTGCTTGGGCATAATCGCCATGCAGCGATGCAGTGAGATGCGAAAAGGCGTAGTCCGCTAGATAAGGCTAGCCATTCAATGCCCGCCAACAGCTGCATGGCGCTTTGCTAACGATCTTGGCGGTAAAGCAAGATGACTCCTGAAAGAAGATCTGGAGAGCATTCAGACACAGTAGGCCAGGCTGTGTTGTTGTTTGCATTCTCCAAAATATCCTTATATATGGAGCTTCGCCCTCATCATACGCGCTCGAGAATCAACAGCGCTTGTTTATTCAGCGGCTTTATTCTAAACTCTTGGAACCATGGCACCCACGACCACAGGCACTCCATCTCCAGCGCCCACCAAGACAGCAGCGACGACTGACTGGTCTGAGTATATCGGTACTATTGCGACATCTCTGACGCCACTCCTCACCCTATTTGGCGAGCTGGCCACAAAGCAATTCCTTTCCGTATCCATGGGATGGGCCGACAACATCTTGCTTGCTATGGGGCCTATTGGCATTATTACTATCGTTGTAAGTGCCATTCGTATTGGTGGGTCTCGGGCGTTCAAAGCGATAATTGGAAGGTACGTCGCCATATTGCGTTGCCATCATCTATCTCTTATGCGGAATTAGAAGCCGTGAGGCGCGAGTAACTGCAGAGCAAGAGTTCTTGTCATCAACCTCCGATGAGGTTTGCGAACTCTGGAGTGGCCGTGGAGTTGTTCGCGTGACAGATAAGCCGACCGATATGAAAGATCTGGTGATATTGCGCTCTACGGAATTGAGTCCCCGCGAAAGGCTGCATTCAGGGATTATTGATATCAATGAAGCATGGAAGAAGAAACTTTTCGAGGTTAATTCTCAACCGGCATCGAAAGTGAATGATCTGGATGTTGCAAAGATCGCCCTGCAAGCCCCATGCATTGCGTTGAATGTGGGAGGCACTATCATTGACCCCAAAGAATTATGGTTCTGGGCGCTCATAGGTGTTCTTCTTCAGTCTCTGGTTTTAATATTCCCAGCTCTCGCTACTTACGACTGGAAGTTGCCCCGGAAAGGCGTCCCGGTACCGAAATTTGCCTATGCTTGTTTTGTGGCCGGAACTGTGTCAGTAGTGATCGGATTGCTTGGTTGTGGTCATGTCGTCGAAGCTTCAACTACAGACCATACGTTTAAGCCATCCGAGGACGGCAAAAAGAAGATTCAGCGAATCCTTCGCGTGCAGAAGGAATGCACGGTCGGCGGCCAGCATTTCCCAGCGTTCGCGATCGTGAATCACTCAGAAAACAAGCTCATTCGAACCTCCCGTCTGAATGCTAGAATTCAACAGTAGGTGTTCTGAGCTCACCAATATGCGTGGTCTTCCACTTTCCGTTGCTAACTGAGACCAGCCCTTGGTTAGCCGTTTCTACCCTTGCTGCTCTTGCCGGGTATATCGTGCAATTTGTAGGCATCGGCTCTCTGCATTGGTCTGCAACCATTGCCGTACTTGGATGCAGTGTTTTCATGACGGTAATCAGAGCGTGGGTGCGCCGAGGCCTTGCAAGAGACCCTATATGCCTTCCAGTTCCGACGGAAGAAAAAGAATTAGTATGGCTCGGCCTGCATATCGGTCTAGATGACTGGGAACAACTTTGGGAAAGACGCAACGAGGTCTCGGTATCCTCGCGAGATTGTGAGTGGGGACTATTGACTGGCTTCATCGAGCCTAGACTGGAAAATGGCTCACCTGTATGTGACTCATTTATTAAGGATACGAAGAGCACAAAGCGTTGGGGAAATCCTACTGATGATGCGACCAAATACGTACGTCAACTGAACGGCCTGTCTGGCCAACTACTCGTTCTAGGGTTTGCTTCTCCAGCTGCCTTAATGGCATCAAAGAAATCTGCTGAGGCAAAAGCGATCGTGGATCTAATTGCAGGACCAACAAATCTTTCTCTGGGCCAATACGCCGTTGTAGCCTCCAAAGTAGCTGCCGCGATGGATGGGATCATGAAAACTTTGATAGAAGATCGTGGCGTCGAATGGAAAGGAAACGGACCCCCTTGGAGCCTTGAAAAATGGCAGATCGAGGTACAAAAGAGCTCTGGTGTGAAGACAGATTGGTTCGTAAGTACCGGCACTGAGAACGCCAAAATGACCGACGACCTTATTGCAGGTCTTTCCCTTTGGATGTATTCTCTCATGTGTGGTCAGGACACTCTGGGTCGTATAAAAGACGACCAAGAGCTAAAGCTATCTGATATGGCGGCACGGGCTCATGTGAAAGATGAAAATGAGTTTGAATTGACTGATTCCGCAGCATTGGGATCTAGAAAAGATGACAATAATCTGGAACTCTCTGACCTCGCGCCATTGCAAAATTTGACGCCCGGAGTTAAAGACAACTTCATACGAATTGTAGGTAATACCGAAAACAGCACGATAGCGGAACTTGAAAGCTGGATAAAACACGGCTGGGTTGCCTCATTCAAGACTGTCCCTTGCTACGGCAACGGCGATTTTGACCGCGGCAACACGTGGACTGGGCGGAAATGGCCTGTGTTTGGCCTTTACTATTCGGCTTCATTTACGTGAGATATCATTGCAGCCATTTTCGGAATGAAGGCTGACAATAATCCGTAGAATGCAACCACATCCTAGCGAAGAGACTCAGCAAAACTTTACGTTCCGAGCAGCAGACGTCAAGCCGCATACGCAGGACATAATCTGCCCTGCTGAAGACCCGCTACACTCTGTCGAAATCGAGTGCGCTTTAGAAATACTATCCTTGTTCATGCTATCAATCTCTATGTGCGTGAAAGAGGTCAAAGGCAACACAAGATCGACCCCTCACAGGATAACGAACTCCCTTTTTGAAGCTCTAGCCGATCAGATCGTCAAGTCACAACTCGTCGAAGATATTCCGCAGGCTCTGGTGTACGTCATTCCTGCATTTGCCAAGTTTGGATTACTTCCCAAAGTTCAGACTTCTTCAACCCAAGCTCCGAACGGAACCGCGACTGTGGACAGCAATGCTCCGGCTTAAGGCACAAAAGTAGATGACTGCGGCAGCAACGTTAACAAGCAAGCCGATAAACTTCAATTGACACTGTCCACACCATAGCTTGCACCCATGACCGCAAGGGGCATGAAAAGTCATGGAAGGAACACATCCCGCAGCTCAATCCTTAAAGGACTACCTACAGATATGACCCTCCGGGTGATCACTTGCCCTTCCTCCCACGTCCTCGCAGAAGAGCACACAACAAGACACTCCATTCACACCATTCTCCGCCACCATAGCCACGCCACCAGAGCTACGTAGTCCCCATCACCCGCCCCCAGATTATAAGATCTGAATGACTGAAATCCTCTCCGAGCGATAGAAGCGACATCTCTTGAATATATGTACGGAGACTCATCCTTTCAGTTACTTTAGAGAATCAAAAGCAATCGCAATAGAGAAGGAATGCCTGAGGAATAGCTGAGGAAGGTATAGAGCGTCTGATCACGCCCTTTCAAGGATAGCAGACGCTTTCAAGATTCGGGAGTTGCTAGAAATATAGATGGCAAGCATACGCAGAATATACGTCGTCTTGGAATGAGCGATGTACCCTCTCCCTCCCCTTTCATATCCCAAGAGATGAGACCTGTCTTTCTTACCACATTCGAATATCACTCTTCCTCCAAATTCTAGTTCAAACGCCATCCGTCTATCCTAAATCTGCAATGCACAAGGCAGTCCACCCACGAATGCTCGTACATAGCACAGCATCAAAAGTTTCAAACAACTTTTTTGTAAGGCCTTGCCATACAGGGAACCAATTTGATTCACAGTACCCTAGAGATCGCATGAATGCGTGCGTGTTGCCATTTGAATTGCTTCCTGTATACCGCTCCTGAAACTAAACGAGCCTTTTCATCCGCATCATGATATACCTGAGCAAGTACTTGCAGCAGTAGCAGCACCCTCAACCCTCATTCCTAAAATCCAGCAAATCATGATCCTCCTATCGATGATTTGCTTTCAACGCAGCAAACGAATATCGAAAACTACCACCCCCTCCCCCTCCCTCCCACCCACTCTGCCACACCAAATGACAACTCAATCTCGCCACCCACCAACTTCGTCACTGCACAACTTCCTCCCTCAATTTACTCTGATCCCCCTTCCCCCTCCGACCAAGCAACGTCGCATTATCCAAGCTCAGCTCAAACGGCCCGGCATTCTTCTTCCTAACCTGCTGTTTGGCCGCCGCTGCCACAGCAGGTGAATGTTGCCCATACCCCTGCTGCTTAGGGGCAGCCGCCTGTCTCGCCTGCGCAGCTGCAGACGGCGCGCCCCCGATGTTCGTATTCCGCATCTTCTGCTCCACGCCACTGACGTCGGCTGGGCCGCCTTGAGGTTTTGGCACCTTAGAGGGCAGGTCGTCGCTGAGGTCGTCGTATTCCTCGTCGTCGACGTCTTCGTTGAGGGCGGAGAGACCGCCGGCGCCGCCACGGTAGCCTTGCGGGAAGTTCTTGCGTCGTTTGCCTTCCTCTTCGGCGCGGTGGACGGCGTAGCTGACGTCGAAGACTTCGCGGAGGTTGATGGCCCCGGGGGAGCGGAAGTCCATGGGGCGTTGGGAACCGCCTGGTGTGACGAGGTATTGAGCGGCGTCTGGTGGTGTGAGGGTGTTGGTTTTTTGTTGGCCGAAGCCGTACTCTTTTTGCCGTACGTGCAGTGGGGTTGCGAGTGGAGGTGCGTCAGCGGCTGCGTAAGTCATTTCTGTTGATTGACGAATCCACGGATGGGCAAGGAATTGTTTGATGGTGTAGCGTTTGTTGGGGTCGACGGTCAGGAGGTGCGAGACTAAGTCCTGTGCGGACTTTGAAATGTCATCCCACCAAGGAGAGAGGAAGGTATATTGGCCTCGTGCGACTTTTTCTGTGAGGACCTGGATGGACTCGTCATAGAATGGTGGGAAGCCGCAGAGCAGAGTGTATAGTACGCAGCCAAGCGCCCACATGTCGACACTCTTTGAGTAGCGCTCATCCTTTACGATTTCTGGAGCCGTGTAGCCTACGGTCCCGCAAGGTGTCATGGTTTGGCTATCCCATATTATCTTTGAGAGCCCGAAATCGGCGATTTTTATCTTCCCAATGCCTCCCGATCCACGACCGGGGATAAATTCGCCTTCATCCGCTTTGTCTTCGTCTTCGGGGCCCCTCGGTCTTGGATGCCTGGTGGGGATAAACGTTGTAGGGTAGAATAGGAGATTTTCTGGCTTAATATCTCTAGGGTCTTCGTCAGTTACAAGTCAGCATGAGGACTGTAATGGAATCGCACCTGTGTACAACCCCTGCGGTTTCATGTAGATACTCTAATGCTTCTGCAACTTGGACGATAACATGACGACTTAGGTCCTCGCTGAAGTAAGTCAACCGCACGATCTGGTGGAAGAGCTCGCCACCAGGGCAGAGCTCGAGCACGATGTAGTAGTATTGGGGTGATTCCGAGAAGTCGAGGAGCTGAACAATGGAGGGATGTTCAATTTGCCGCATTATTTGAACTTCCTTAAGGATATTTGCTCTCTGGAAAACGACGAGTAGTCAGCATCTGCCTCGTCACTGGCGGCAAGTGACGGGAAATTGGAAAAGGAGATTGTGGAAGTTCTTGCGCACCTCCACGACTTTGGGTGCCTTCTTGACGTCTGGATGGAGATGTTCGTCGCCCTAAGTGCACCATTGCTGTTGGCGAGGTCCAATTGATGAAAATAGACCTCGGCGCGCGTCGGGATGGGAAGGAGAGCAACAAGAGCGTAATACAAGGAAACCGATTGTAGGGAGAAGCCTTCACATACCTGGGTTGCATTCATCTCAAACTTCCTGACCACCTTGATGGCAGCTTCTCCGTATTTGCCGGTGTTGTCTTTCGCCCTGTAGACATTGCTAAAGGCACCATCGCCCATCTTTTCCAGGAGTGTCCATCTGTCCAAGCCGGGATACTTGGGCAGCTTTCCTTGGCTTTCCCTCTCTTCGGCAACAATACGCTCAATGACTGTAGGGTCGACTTCCTTGTTCTTGTCTCTGCCTGCGCCGTGGTGTATTTTCTGGTGATGACCCGCAGCCTGTGCGGCGGCTGCGTCGGCCTGGGCAACGCGATTGCGGTTGTCGATATTCGCTGCTGAGTAGTCGGCAGCAGGGACGTGACCTTGTTGCAAAGGCTTGTGATTCAGAACATTAGGATCGCTTGCGGCGGCGTACATGGCATTTGGAGGCGGAGCCGGAGGCGCATGGCGTGGTTGTGCGTTCACGGGTGAGACGTCTGTGGTTGGGTCTCCGTGGGCATTTTGGCGCGCTTGTTTCCCATGCCTTATAAAATTCTTGAGATTTTGTATAGTCGACATCTTGAATGATGATTGAGAAGGGGAGAAATGGTGATGGAGGTGATGGCTGTCGAAGATCTAAGCCGTACTAGCGGGGCTCAGGACTTTTCAGAGAAGAGAGCTCGCTGATGCCGCTGAGAAAATGACGATCCCACCGTAGCTGTAGTGGTAGAGACGAAGTTGACGGTGATCAAAAGAAGGATAAGGTAAGCTGGGGCCCAGAAGTCGATAGCTACAGTGTGTCGGTTGTATAAGCAAAGTGGCGCAACAGTGTGCAAGCACAAGATGGGGCCAAGCTCCAAAAGTGTTCAGACTTGGCCACGCCTGGAATATGTCATCCGCTCGTTCTTCACGTGTTCAGGATGGGAAAGAAAGACAGTGTGTGTGTGAAGCGGAAGAAGGGGCCTCACTTCTGCCAATGCACAGACTAGAGCAGCTAATGGCAGATGGGATTCCTTGACAGGATATGACGACGCTCGAGGAGATGTGCGTTAGGATGTCCGACTTGTGCTGCAGGATGATGTCAAATGGCCAATGCAATGCGCGGCGCGCCCGGATTCTATTCTCTACACCAATTTCAATCGTCGGGATCGTCGGGCAGGAAATGCCGCGATCCCCGCTTAAACTTGCAGCTTGACTCATCCCTATTCCTCCAATACACACCCCTACGGAGGTGCTCTTCTTCCACGCCTTTCCGTTGAGGTAACGACTCACTGCCTGTGCGAAGGTTGCATCACTGCATGGGCGTCTATTCACTTTAGGCGGTGATTCTACCCATTTGAGGTCTTCGAGGCTACGCGAAGGATCATGACAGCTTGCATCTTCAACGTTGCCAATCTGATGGACTGTCGCTGCTTTCGTCCGGGCTTTCATTACTACTACCTTCTCTACATTGCAGCATGAGCACTTCAATCTCGAATGAGATATATTGACCGACTTCCATTTCACTGCTGATGCTACCTCCAGGACTCAATTGAAACGATGGCTTGCGGAGAAGGATTCTCATCCTCAGGTACTATGATGCCACCTTTATCGAACACGTTGCTTCTTCAACATTTGGACTCATTTTGACCCGAGCGTTGTCATGATTTCCGCTTTTATTATCTGACTTGCGGCCTGTTGCCATCTCTTGCGTTCACACCACCATGCCTCGACCGGATCGAGGCCGTGTCTATCTTGCAATCTTCGTCGCAATTTTCCTCTACCTTGTTTTGCCTCAAAGTCTTGGTCGGTTTCGTATTCCATTGAAATCTTTACATTGGAAACAGAAGTCACACCTCGCCAGATTCAAGTCACCCCCACCCAATTGCACCGAATGGCTGCAATCCAGCCCATCGAACATAATCTACTCCCAGGCCCCAGAAAATGATGCTACACCGTCACAGGCTTCGTGGTTAATCGACTGCCTGAACACTGCTCAAGCACAGAAGACTAGAGAAAGCATAAGTCACATACAACTTGACCTAGAGTCTCCCACTCTGGATGAGTCCGATATAGATCCATTACTCGAGCTCTGCAGTATTTTACCAAACCTCGAAACAGTCAGGTAGGTCACCTAATCACAAGACCCCCACTGGGAGCTAACACAAGACTAAGCTGGCCTCATGATCATTGTGAGGACCAGGGTGTATACGACCTCATGCGCCTCGCAAGAGAGGCAGGCGCGGCTTGGACAGTGACCATGAACTACGACCCCGTGGATCCAGCGAGGCTAGAATGCAAATCCGACGATATCACCGCATCCATCAGCCACGGTACTGGTCCCGGCCCTAGCGTCGTTGATATCTACAAAAAGCTGAAGACTTGTCCCAATATCAAATCACTCGATCTTTCCATAGAGCAAGGTGGCTGCGTACTCAGTAACGAAGATTTACGTGCCTTCCCCCTTCATCCCGGCGACAAATTCATCAACCTCACTCACCTCACAATCCTCGGCTACGATTGGGCCAACTCAGAACCCCAATCCTGGTTCTCGCCCAAATCCCTGCAGACCAGCGCCGAAAACTGGAAATCAGCCATGGACTGGACCCAGCTGCATCATCTCTCGATCGATCTACCTCCCAAGCACTTCCTCGATATATTCACCAACCACATCCGCAACCTGACCACCCTCTCCCTACTCCCCCAGCGCGGCTTCTGGGGAGACGAGGAAACCCTCTGCGGCAACGCCCAATCCACCCTTGATATCCGAGACGCCTACACCGAGTTCATAACCACTCAGCCACCCCTCGAATCCCTCAGCATCCACGGAACAGGCGCCCATCTCGACCTCCATACAATCCTCGCCCAGCACGGCAGCACCCTGCAGTCCCTCACCCTCCACGAATTCGAAAACGACTGCCCAGACGCCCCCACCCATCCCAACGATACTTTCCCAACCGGCCGGCCCACGCTCACGCCCGCCCAGATCTCCACCCTGTCCGATCTAGCACCGCAACTTAGGTCCCTCACGCTCGATCTCCCCCTCCTCCCCCTTCCCCATCACCCTCTCCCCTTACACTCCTCCACCGGCTGGCCCACAGCGCACTTCACCCCCCCTCGCCCAATTTCCCCATCTCACCTCCCTCACCCTTCACTTCCCCCTCACATCCCCCGACCCCTCGCTCTCCCATATCGCAAGACACTGCCTTGTCATTCCTTCCGCGCGCGAAAAACACTGCCGCGTCCCCGCCCTCGCTACCCCTGCTCTAAACACAACATCCGCACATCATATCTTCCATAGTCTGCGCGAGATGAGGGCAAAGAAGGGCGGGGAGCCGTTGACATATCTGAGGCTAGAAGCGGGAGACTACGACAGAACAGAGGGGGAGGACTGAGGATGGAAAGCCATTTTGAGACGCCGAGGGCGAGGAGATTTGATTGTATGTTCGAAGGCGCGGAGGCTGTGGAAGAGGTGGCGGGGGAGGTCTGTTTCGAGGCAGGTTGGTGGGTGGGGGAGGAGGACTGGTAGAAGATTGGACGAATGGAGAGAGGGGAGAGGGGGGGAATAGATGACGGGGGGGTGGATACGTGTGAGGCGTGCCTGGGGGACCTGGCGCGAGGTATCAGCTGTGTGTATACTAAGAGAGAAAGGGGAGCGGAGAGGAAAGGAGGGGATGCTACGTTAAAGGTGGATGTGACAGTAGCAGTGGTAGATTATGCCTGCGACGAAGAGTCTGATATGTGCCTAGATGGGCGGGGAGGGAGAGGAAAGTAACTCCTGCCCATGATCACAGCACAACAGTGCTGCAATTACCCAGAGCAGCACAGAAACTGATATCGACCAAGCACGAATACTAAGGGAACATCACGCCCGCCCCACTCTCCACTTTATCGATGCTAGCACCAAATTTCTTCGGCATGAGCGCCAATAGCATGGTTCCGAAGACGCTATGCGGCATTCACAGGACCAATGATGACACCTGCGGATGCACAAGTACAAGATTTATCGATGATCGCTATATGACTGTACTTTATCACAAGCATGGCTGGTTGGCGTCGAGGTCATTTTTAGTGGATTTCAATTCTTAAACGAACTACACACCTCAACAAAAAAAGGTCCTGCAGCCACTCCTAACGCCCAATCTTATGTTCTCGCGCAGTCAAGGGCATTCCCATCGTCACCCAGAAGCATCAATGACCATGATGGTTGGTGGAGACATTTTAAGCTCCTGATCGTCATTCTCCATGAGGGTTAGTGGAGACAATTATGTCAAGATCTTGATCTTCCTTCTCCACCGGCTCGTCTGGAGCACTTCCTATGACAACGGGCTTGTTACATCGTTCGTGCCAATATTCGCCTGCTCATCCACGATTTAGCCTGTGAACGTCTTGCTCCGACGATGATGACCAAATCCAACCAAAATACTGGGCAGGATTGAAATCATTGGATAGAATTCTTGACTCACCCGCGATCACAAATGCAAGGCTGTCTGCATTCTCAAAGGATAGGTTCGGATTACAATGACCAACGGGGCCATTTGGATTGTCCCTATCTGGCCCGCATTTGACGGAGTCATGAAAATTCAATACCAGATTTCTACACCCACTGTAGCCGTATGCATAGTCGTCGGCTCTAACTCAATAAGCTCAGTCAGAAACTTGTATCCAATCTATACGACAAAGATGCGTACCTCGGAGGCTGAGCCGTTCCTCGTGTGGGGTATCGCGTATGCATCAATTCATGAACGAGGGTGAAGGCTGTTGGGTCGACATTAGATCCAGCGTCAACGAGGCGAAGGATACATACACTTGGTCTCCTTGAATTTGCCGATGTTGAACCACTCGTCAGTGTTCGGATGATCTGGTTGACACTCTGTCCCAGCTACAGAAGACTTTTGTTTGATGTTATTATCCCACCACGGGGCGCACAGGTTCAGGATGTTCCATCCCGCGTAAACGTAAGCGACCGTGTCTCCCCCACACGGTAAGTCTTCGCTGCAACTGATATGCAGTGGTTCAGATTCATCAAAATAGACAGCAAAGGCGTTTGAGTACTTGTCTTGCACCAGAAGCTCGAAACCTGGCTGATTTTTCAGGCTCGGCGGGAAAAATGATTGATAGTATGGGCTGGCCCCCTTGATTTTTGTGCCCTTCAAAATGATTTGGATTGCGACTACGAGCTCCTCGGTGATGAGCGCTATGTCTGCGTCGCTACGTTGACATCTCCTTTGAAATCCCTTTAGAGACACACCACCAGGCCAGGGAGTGGTTGGTATTGCCAAGATGGCCTCCGGGCTGCCAGGGGCAGGTTTGTTGCCTCCGATAGGTGTAACAGGTGTAATAGGTGTATCACCTGCGCCTGTGTCGCCGCCGGTGCTAGGTTGAGGTTTGGGTTGCGTTATGCCGCAATTCTGAGATGCAATGCAGGGTGTCTCACGTTTTTCCAATCCATTCTCCTCATGCCGTTCTATGGGCGTTGCTTGCGCGAGTACGATGACCATGGAGACGGAAAGCAGCGATAGGTTGAGATGCATGATGAAGTATGGTGTTTGTTGACTTACACAAGTTTTTGTCCCAGAGCATCGCTTTTCGAATGGGTCTTATACTGCTCGAGAGACCCTCAGGCCGTGCCGCTTGAATGGGGCAGCGCAGCATCATCGTCTTCCTTCCACGTGTGAATGTTGGATCACAGGGAACATAGGCTACTCACGTGTTGTCAGCACAACCCCTGGTCTTGTTTGACAACTTGAGCCTTCACACATCGATCCCGGATATAGATAGATTCTCGGCCTGACTATTGCCTACCTGCCATTGCAACGACCGATACGATTAGCCAGGGTATGGGCATCCAAAGGGTCATTGTCTTGTTGGACTCTGTGTCTTACATTCGTCGTTGGCCCCAATCAGGAGGCTAGAAATTGGAGAAGCATAGTTCATATCCTAGGCCATCATCACACTTCATATCCAGGATTGCTTCTACTTCATCGTCTCCTGCGCCGAATGGATCATCATCCGCGAACACAATGACCGGTTCATTGACCCCACCAATAAGAATATTTGGCAACAGATCCGAGGTATGCTTAGAATTGGCAGATATGACAAAAGCAGACAACTCCAGCGGCCAGAATAAAGACTGGTGATCACATCCCAATGATGGAATGGGATTTAATCCACAGGAGCAGCGATTCACTGTGCCCGTTAGAAGTGGAGAAAAGTACCGAATGCCTTGCTACCTTGGAGATCTTGGAGTGCTGAAATCACTTTCATCAATCATCAGGTGATACGCTACATGTGACTCTCCAAAACAACGGCTGCGAAGAGCGAAAGGTTGGTTGCCGACCCTTGAACCTTGTGCGAAGCTCCTCCAGAGCAACTTTTCGACCTACGTGAAGGAGATCTGAGACTGTGAAACTAAAGTTGTCATCCTACAGGATTGTTAGTGCTTCGATGAAACATCAAGTCAGCAAACGCAAGCCTGATGAATATTTTCAGCTGGCATATCAATGATCGATCGTGTTTCACACTCAAGCTAATCATGTTATTTTCCGAGGGAACGCACTATCTACAGGTCATGCAAGATATAGACTACGAACGTTCCACCTGACGGCTCACGGTAGCACATATTAGTACATAGCTAACGGCCACAGGTCGAGCACGCCTCCAGCTCAAAACGACTCGTTGCTTTGAGCCTTGCTGAAGCTAGATAAGATTGACAAAGACTGGATAATTCTCTATCATATGTGGCGACAGACCTGAGGGCAAATATCTCTTTCAAACCAGCTACAAATCTACACCCCTCGTCATATTCAATATACTGAAAGTTCCAATTTCATCTCATTTCTTCCGCTTCTGCCACGATCCCTCCCCTCTTCCCCTCCCACTCCCTGCCAAGGAATATCTTTCCGATGAATCCTGACCCTCACATAATCCTTCGAAGCTTACAAGTAATAAGCTAACACAACAGTCTCCACGGCCCGCAATCCTTCAAACCCAGGGCAACTAAAGACAGCCAACTTATCGTGAGGTAAGGGGTTTGTTTCATCCTTCGACCGTCGAGGTCCAGGATATGCAGATACAAAGCAACATTCTACAGCGCAAGAAATAGATCTTGCGAATCTCCCGTTTCCATTTGAAGAATTGTCGTCTTTGCTCGGGAAGGGGACCCCGTTAGACATGCGGCGCGAATGTTATGGGTAGTCACACGATGAACGAAGCGAGAGTGGCGGTGACATGAGTTATCTTGAAGAGAAGGGAGGGAGGAGGGGGGGGGGTGGTAGAGATGCACATGGATGGAGGGTCCACGAGAGGAGAGGCGTAGAGAGAGGCGAGGGGAGAAGAGGCCATGGAAAGGCCGAAGGGGTTTGCAGAGATCAGGTCGTGGCTTGAGCATGTCGAAGTCAGGTCAAAGAGGTAGGGAATGGGAGGTGGAGGTGGTAGATCTAGCGAGGGACAGGCTTGACGACGAATATTCGCCTAGAAAATGCAGGACAGGAGGATTTGATTGGCACTGCCTGCCCCCTCGATGAATGATAAAGGGTTCCCGACATTGCTTTTGCCCAGAGAAGCAAAGAAACAAAATATATGCTAGATCGCAAAAGTCAAGAAAACATCGCGCAATCACCCCAAGCAATTAGGAACACCCAGCACAAGCATCCATGAGAAAAGCACATTCAATTCATTAGATCTACCAGCGACCTAGCTAGGTAATCTCACCGTGACTCATTACCATCAGCGTGGCATCAGCATCAATAATCTCTTTCATCACATCTCTTTTATCGATTCATAAAGGCCAGCCGTCTCATGTAGCCATACTATTTCGCTTCGTAAATAATGCTGTGTCTGCCATCTCAATCATCTGGCTACGTACAATAAGCCAAGCTTAGCCATCTCAGTTCATCTCATGTAAAAAGCCGTTTCCGCCATCCATTTGATCATGTAAAAAAAGCCATGCAAGCTATGCAAATTATTGTATTTTCATCTCATCTTCCGTCTTTCGTTCATAGAACAATCAAATCAAATCAAATCATTTTCAATCACGACACAAACCTCTTAACGACGAGGTCCGTACCTCTTCAAACTCGCGGTCCTAAGTGGAGTAGTGATCCTGTTAGCTAGCGATGCCGACCTGCCAAGCCCTCCGCGCTGAGTGATTGTAGTCTTGACCGTCACCACCTTCTCATATTCCTCTTGGTTGCCATTGCCCCATGTCGAGGAGCGGGGACGCCAGAATGGATGCAGGCGGGTAGAGCGCTCAGTGGTGGAATGGCGGCGAGCGAGGGGAGCTGCCTGCTTGCTCAACACGTGGTGGAAGGGAAGGGTGATAGAGCGGTGGAGAGAGGACAAGCGTGCAAGCTTCTTGCCGGTCTTTGACGGAGTAGCGGCTGAAGGGTCAGGCGATTGGGTGTGAGAAGGCGTGGGCGGGATGACATTGATAATGTCGGGGGGTGGAGGAGCGGAGCGAGGGTTTTGGAGCGGGGATTCGATGTATTCGGAGCTATGTCCGGCAGGTCTGAGCGGCGAAAGGAGGCCAACCGCGCTGGGGATGTGGAGGCTTGCGTTGTTAACCACTATGGAAGACTTCTCGGCAGGCTTGTTTGTGTCTTGATTCGCGACTTCCTGGATTACAAGGATCGAGCTGTTGGTGTGTGGGTAGATGTTTAAGGCAGTTGCTTCACCGATTTCGAAGACGCCAGGGGAGGCTGAGAGGGTCGATCGGAGGGAGAAAGGCGATAGAAGGGAGGAGTGGCTACGCGTGTCCTTATTCACGCTGGAGAGCCTGGAAGACGGGCCTTGCTCCTCTTGAACTTCAGCGTCTAGTGTAAGACCTGATTCAATGGTAGGTAGCATAGGGGGCTTGCTGTGTGTCTTCAGATCTGTAGATGTTACTGAAATAGCCTTAGTCTTCAGTGAGAGCTGGCTGGTCTGTACAGATGGCGACGAGGCCTCGGGCATGTCTGGAGGCATGATTGCGCGCATTGACCTATCACCACTCTCTTGCGGCTTTGCTTGTTGAATTATCACGGATTGAGCTCGACCACGAAAAGCAAGCGTCTCTTCATTCACATTTTCTCTACTCTCTGGAGCTGTCGTTGGTCTTGATGACTTGGTGCGTGATGCAGACGAGAAAGAGCCTGAATGGCGCTTGCTACTTGAGCCAGATGACCAAACGGACGATCGACGATCAGGAAGCACTCTAAGATTGACATTCGTCGACCATGTCTTTGTAGCTGGCTGCTGCCCTCCTGATGAAAAGCTTCTTCGCAGATCTGTGTGAGGCTTATTCGCAGTACGTCTTAGAGACTTTTGGGGGCTTGGTGGATGCTCCCACTCGCTCGTATCGATTATCTTGCCGGTGTGACGGAGCGTTATACGACGTCTTGGACTGTTGTCTATTATCTTGGCTGCAATGACAGTAGAGTTTGAAGAAGCGTTCGAGCCTCGCTTCGCCTCAATGCCTTCAGTAGTTGCTAGTGCGTTCATTAACTCTTCACCAAGCGAATCATTAATGCGTTCTTCCAACAGCAAAGCAGCAGTCGTCTTCGTGTTATACCTCTTTAGCGTTTGGGCAGCTTGAGTTGTGGGAGATACCTGCTCTCCCCAGGCTTGAGTCTCATCTTCATCCATTCTGTACTCTTGCCAGACGTCACTCTCTTGAACGAGAGGAGTTTCCGTTGCGCCAACCTTCGGAAGACGATCTTGTAGCTGCTCGTGGATACGAGCTGGCGTATCTCCACCCCAGGCCCCATCAAATGAAACAAACTCGGGACTGTCCAATGCTTGTGTAGATATGACCTGCGTTGGCGTAGGTTGGTCGTCGTCTAGCTCAATGCCAAGCCCGAGACCCACCGTCTTTTGTTTCTGCTGCTTTGCATCGTGCGCCCATTTCTGCTGGTATCTGAGCTGTGAAATTGGGCTTGGTTCAATGGTGTCGATCCCCGGATCAAAGTCTTCCTCCGCTGTTTTGAAGGAATCCGTACGGTTATCTGCGTTGTCAAGTGAAGCTGAATCATTTGCAGTCATCGATACAACTGATTTCCTTTTAGGTGGAGTCGTCTCAGGTGTAGGAGGGCTTTGTTGTCGTAAAGATGTATTGCTCAATTGCCCGTTCACAAAGACCGGAAATGTGTGATCTTTGAGGACTGAGTCATCCATCCAGCTCTTGAATGCATCGCTACCATTTAGAGGAGGAGTCAGAGGAGCACTGATAGCGGGACTGATCTCCTTGTTGGGAGGTATCCAAGAGTTGATGCGCTCTTGAGTTGTATACACGGTGCCGCTGGCAGCGCTTTCTGTTTTTTTTCCAGTAGAAGGAATCTTCACATCTATTGACCCATATGGATTCGAAGCTTCTCCATCTTGAATAGTAGGTCGAGGTAGGGATTTGTGGGCCTGGAGTGACCCGAGGCCACGCGGCTCTATATTGGGTGGATCGACAAGGCGTGTTGAAGCTGGCATTGCTACAGGCTGACTAGCTATACAATATGACTTGCCATGAGCTAGCTGACAAAGCGATAGATGTCGTCGACAGCGTTATAGATTTGAAGTGTCATACATAGTATGATCAAACCTCACCTGCAGGTCATGTACAAGTGGCAGGCGCGGAGCTGATCGGTCGAGTTGCGTATGCCGGAGATTGTACGATGTGCAGGACAGCTATCAACAACGACGTAGCTAAGCAAATATCAAAGTATCTGCAGTGCAGGTCAATTCTGCAGTGTGGTTGGTGTTGTAAAGGTGGGTGATGTAAAGCGTTGAAATGACGATTTGAGTGAATGAGCTATCAAGGACTCGGGAAGCGAGATTCACGACGACGGAGCAATGGGCCAGGACATATTCCAAGGACGCGGTCAACTAAGGGAGGTCAAGCCAGAAGCGAACAGCAAAGATAGAGAAGTTGAGGACTGGTCGAAGGGTGTGAGACGGTGTGATAGCAGATGGTGGAGCTAGTGGCTGCGACGACTCCGAGCAGGCGCCAAGCACGAAATTACAAGGGTCTGGGTCATTAGGTAAACGTCCGTTCGTTGGGAGTCTTAAAGAGCCCTAAGGTAAGTCACTCACGGGTCGCTTGCCCTACCAGAGTTACCAGGAAATCTTCCTAGCGTTGCTATCTCTACGTGCATTGATTTGCTTGACCAGCACTCAGACCAATACTCGATCTATGTGTTCCAATTGTATGCTCTTTGGGTCTTCTTCTGAAGATAATACATATCTCTATGCTAGGGAAGCTGATGCTGAATGATGAATGCCTCCAATGCTCGCTATGCTACATGGACTTTCCCCCAACGGCATGTCCCCTTTCTTGACCCGCTGACCATATCCTGCAATCTAGAGCAGAATTGCAGCTATGCCTACCGCAAGAGCTCCTACCATCCCCACCGTCAATTCAGCTTCAAGACGCATACCGCCTCCTGTTTTCGATGCACTTGCTGCAGCCGATGTACCTGTAGCGGTTGCAGCGCCTGCTGTAGTCCCACTTGCCCCTGATGATCCTCCTGATTGAGATGAAGATGAAGAAGCTGAAGAGGAGGATGAGCCAGAAGATTTGAGCTTCTCGGCTCCGGCAGTGATGACGACAGCTATCGGAGCACCAAGATCTGTACCAGCAAGAGTTGCAGTCTGCACGGCTGGATTGCTGGCATCGGTGGTTACACCAGTCCCGCTGATGGTACCTGAGCAGATAGCTTGAGTGGTGGCTTCAAGTTTACAGTCCACGACTCTGGTTCTGCAGTTTTGTCAGGATAGCCCCAGCAATAGGCAGATATACACAACATACACATCTTCGAGCCCCAAGGAGAAGCTCAATGTGGATGGGCCTTCAATGACCGTCACAGGAGACGGGATACCACACAGCGAGTCGTCATTTTCGTCTGAGTTGTCGTTGTTACTGCCACTGCTTGAAGCTGCCGTCGATGTGGCAGTCACTGTTGCGACCTGTCTCTTTTGCTTCTGTTCAGGGCACTGGATCACATACGTGGTGGCAGATGCATCCTGTCCGCGTTAGTGGACAAGAAACCCTTCGAGAATCGGAGAAACATACAGCTCCAACAATAGAGCCAAGGAGACTTTGCGAATCCGCAAAAGGTAGCAACAGGGACACAGTGGTATTCTGAGCTTTCAGCAAGCCCGCTAGAGTCAGGAGTAGCAGCGTCGAATACATGGTGCTAGGTTATGGAATGGAGAAAAGTAGATTAATTTGTTCCGTATTAGAATGTATGAAGCTCAAAGTGTCTACCTATGCTTTAGCCGCACCAAGTACTACCATCCGTGGGCAAGCGGTCCTATATATATGCGCGTGCATCCCAATCTCCCGCATACTATCCCTAACTCGGTACTATTGTTTCAGGCGTGAATCCTGTTGCCCCTGAATCCAAGCTTACTCGCATGAACACGGTCAAGCAGGAGTGGCCTTCCTCAACAGCATGAGCAGACACGAATGATTACTGATGTCGTGCACAGCCACTTCAAATCGGTAGCTTGCATGCAAAGAATTCGTGTGATTGGATCTGGGACTCAATCTCAAGGCCTTAGCGTTGCCTTAATGCAGTCATCCGAAAAGCAGCTTCGGAGTTTGACCCCCGACGAGTGACTCGAGTCAAGGAGGGCACTGGCGCAATTGATGTCGTAGACAACTGAGAAGGCAGAAAATGAGATTGCAGAATCCTCTCGAACTTCTATTCGTGTCGCTGTCCGCATGCCGCTGACCTGTGATTCGCTACAATAGCTATGGGCTCTTGCAAACTCACATCCATCGTTCCTACAATCCTTCCGGTGGCTACACCTTTGGTCCTCTACCAATTACATGTCCTTTGCCATGCCTCGGATGGTACCGCTTGGAAAGAAAGAGGAAGCGTCGTCAGGAAGTCGGATCAGTAATCACGGCCGTCTGACTACAAAATACATCCGAACTTGTACAGGGTGAATGAGGACGGTACCCCAAGAAGCGAGGCTACACGCTTGAATATGAGAGAGAAAATGCGTGGAAAGAGTAAGTACACATGATCTAAAGACTCTGTGCCTCTTGCCCGGGCCAATTCTGCGCCTGTCTTGCAGTAATGTGCCTGGAAGCAACTCAGACAAGCCCTGATCATCAAGAATGATATATACTTTGGATGAGCTTTGAGGCAGACAAGAGATACAAGGGAAGCAGTTATGTGCTTTATCAATGGAGCTGAATGGGAACAAGTCGTTTCAAAGCAGAGTACGCGACTGTCCAGCCTCTACGAACCACCGCGACTGCACGATCCCGGCTTCCCTTTCACCTTGACCCAGCGTCTATGCCCTTCACACGTATCTTTGCTGATTGATCTGACTCCCACGCTAGAAGATTATACCTACTTTGCAGTCTTGCCCAGTGGAGGCTGGCATCCTCATTGGCATGCGGGCTTACGAAACACCTGCAGGTGCTGCATGGCATGACTCCGAACTATTGACCACTCAAAGCAAGACCAGGGCTCTATCCTCTTGCTAGCAAAGATCCGTATGAAACAGCAAGGTGTTCCATTTGAAGCCATGGAGGAAATTGCTGCTGAGCATAAGAAAGTGAGGTGGTCCACCACATTCGCCTTGCCTGTTACACTTTTTCAGTGCGCTGAGTCGTGAGCAATGCCTACAAGCTCCGCAACCAGATCAATGCAACCGGGGGAAGAGCACCCTGAGCATTCATATGCTGCTGCGTGCCCGACCAACCTGATACTGTACGTGCGTCTCTAGATTATCGTGACTGTGCTGACGCCGGCAAAAGCTTGATGGGTGCTACTGGTTCCGGAAAAAGGTCGGTATTTTGCCTTTCTCCCTTGTCAAACATTGGACGATCTGACTTTGCAACTCAGCTTATCAATATGATTTGCAACGAGGAAGTGGCAGAGGTGGGAGATGGTCAGGAATCAATGACCCAAGATGTCACGCATTATGTCAAGGTTGTGAACGGGTAAACCATTACTCTCATCGATACTCCAGGATTCGATGATACCCACTTGACTGCTAGACAAGTACTTGAAAAGATCTCTGCCTGCCTTTTCCGAGAGTACGCTTTATCGAAGATCCTGTCGCCATGTTGCTGGCAAACTAACGATGCAAAGCCATCAGAACGGACGCAAAGTCAATGGCTTGCTCTACCTTAGAGACATCAGCAAATCCGAGATGACTGGCACAGCAATGAAAGACATGGAACTGTTTCAGAGACTCTGTGGAGATGATGCTCTCAACAATGTGATCCTCCTTACTACAATGTGGGTTAAAAGTGAGCCTGGCGTTGGACAAGAGCGTGAACAAGAAGTCGTTAGCAAGTTCTGGAATAGAATGATCGAGCCTGGTGCATCACTCTCGAAACGACTGAGCGTCGTCAGCAGCCATATATTGGGCACAGTCGAGCCTATTTCCGATTTTATTGCTACTATGCTCAAGTTTCAGCTTACATTGCTACAAATCCAAAGGGAGCTAGGAAATGGAATCAACCTGATCGACACGGCAGCCGGGCAGGTCATCGATCACGATCTGTCTGCTGCCATAGCAGAAAATGAAGAGACATTGCAGTCAATCAAAGAAGCCTTGAATGTTAGTAGGAAAATATCAAAGTCGACGCTAGAAGAACAAGCTATTGCATACCAAGTGCTGCTTGGAGTGGCGAGGAACGATCGAAACGCGCTCAACGAAGACTTTGAAAAAGTTATGTACGCCGAAGAAGAACGTCGATCCCATCTTTTTGGATTTCGCCTTCCAGATCGCTTTGACGCTCTGGGTGAAGAACTCGATCCCGAAGAACAGACACTCGAAGCCTCTGTAGTAGAGATGCCGTCAATCAGGCTTTCTCAGCCATGCGAACATGTCTGAAAACAATAAGACCCTACTATAGATCTATTTGAATCCGTGAGTGGGCTACTAGGCATTTTACTCGATTAAGTCTCGTCTGACCTGCGGTCTGAGACTGGCCATTTCCTCCTAAAGTGTTGCTTTCAGCTGGCGTTGAAGGGCTGAGTTACTTCATGCATGGCATTTGCAATCCCAAATTGTGGAACCAACATGTACCTAATGTTTCAAAAGCAACCTATCGAGTCCTTGGACGCGGAAGGCGATTCAGGTATGCTTTGCTCATTCATCTCATTCAACTCCGTCTGCTCTTCATGCCAAGTCTGGGATTCAACCAAAGACATTCCTGAAAGACAATCTGCTATGCAAAATTCCGCAACGGCATACATATCCCTTTACGGAGGATATCTTGAGCTCTACTTTATCGGAAAATAATGACGAGGTCGAGTCATATGCGCGTCAAGAGACCTTGTTCCGACATCAGGCCACAACGTGAGACCATCTATGCAAGTTGATATTTCGAGCCACAATGTCTACGACTAATATCCCGCATCGCATGGAAATCACAATTTTTATCCCAGCCATCACCCAGACATGCGAGCTCGGAAACATTACCGTCAACGCCCGCATAGCTCCCTGAAGCTTCCCCCACACCTCCTCCACCTTCACAGCAAAACATCTCCCACCCCTGACCAACTCCAATGCCACTCCCTCCCTCCTCACCTCCCTCACCCTCCTTCTTCTTGCTCCTCCTCACCCTCCTCCTCACCATCCTCCCCTCCGTCACCCCCTCCCCCGTCAACTGCACCTCCGCCGGCGCCCTGGTCCCCACCCTCGCCGAATGCAGCACTCTCCTCGACGTCCTCAACGCCCGCGCCCTCGCCCCAGGCGGCGCCATCAACATAATCTGGGGGCGATATTTTCCCTACCCACACCCTCCATATCCGCCGCCCAATTATGTCAAACTGCCCTTCGGCTTCTACTTAATGCGCACGAATCCCTACATGGAACCCAATCACTGTGAGCTTCTTGTGGATAATTTCGTGGATAGGAGGGAGGAGACGGATATTTTTGGTTGGGGCGACTTGGTTATTGCGGGGCGGAGAGTTGTGGCGGGCTGTGTGGCTACGGGACAGGTGGGACGGGTGGATCCGACGGGGAGGGGGTTGGTGAGTGTGGGGGTTAAGTGGAGGAGGGGGGTTGGGGATGGAGAGGAGGAGGCGGAAGGGGGAGGAGATGGGGTTATGGGAAATGTGACGATGGTGGGCTTGGATGCGGGTGAGGTTCAAGAGGTTCAAGGGCGTGTTGTTGTTGATTGAACGAGTTTGATGGGCGTGAGAGACCGGATTGTATGAATGACGTTGGGCCTGATTATGTGAGATACACAGTCGAGCATTGGGACAGAGTATTGGAGCTTGCGTCAGAGGCTGGTGCGATAGGCTTTGAGGGCAGCTTCGAGGCCAGGCCATGTAAGGCGTTGACAGAGTCTGCTCCCAAGTACCAACCTAAGTCAAGACCATGAGTACCTTATTGAAAGCGGAGTGACGATTCCTCATCCTACATAGTCGGCGGAGTCCGCGCCAAATACATGCTCGAGTATGTCCGCTCGTACTGCACATCGACTAGAATCACCTCCGACAGATATTTCACCAATACTGGAATGCAGATGTCCATGATATGCGCGAAATCCGACTAACAAAGCTGCATTAGCCTCAGCTCGATCTCCGTGCCACAAACCCACTGGTGCCCAGGCGGAAACGCCGCACGCAACCACCACGCCACCGAAACGCAGCGTTTGAAACATTCGATCGGCCTTATCGATTGCCTGTTGCAGTATCACGTAAGGCGTGCGATTATGCAGTCTACATGTCAGCAGTATCTTTAAGCGGATCCTTCGTGGTAGGTGGACTTTGTCGTGACTGGCGAGGTCCGTGTGGAAAAGTATTGGTGAGGACCGGTGAGGATGCTGTGCCTGAATGGAAAATCATCATTGCATTTTTAGGCTTGAGCTATTGATGTACTCTGAGTGCTTTAGCATTTTGCGCTTCTGCTGCTTGTTCGGTGCGGTGACGTGGCGTGGCGATTGTACTTTGTTGCTGACTGCAAGATGGGGGAGTGACTTCGAAATCTTCTGAGTTTTTGCCGCGAGCGAGCGATGGTAAAGTGTGCGGATCTGCTCTTTGGGAGATGCATTTAACTGCGCCGTGGAGTAGTGAGTGCGATCTTGGACGCCTGAGTAAGTATAAGCGTTGGAGATATGGTTATTATGACCTTCTTGGAGCCTCATATCTTCCCTCTCGTCCTGCCATCTTGATTCAGCCTCTTTTCCTACTTGATTTGATCCTTTCTTTGCGAGCAAGACTGGACCAATATCTATGATGGCTGCAATGATCTCTGGAAATGAAGAAGTGTCGAAACATGTGGTGTCTCCAGCCAAGGTGTCAGTCACAACATTCATTGTAGGTCCACCACGCCAGTATCACAAAAACTACTAACAGGGATCAAGACTGTGATTTGGGTCTGTGCCGTCTTCGCCATCACCTTCTCCATCGCTCGCATCGCCGTGCGCTTCCAAGCATTCAGACGCCTCTATGCCGATGACTGGCTCGTTCTCTTCGCTTTGGTCGCCCTGCTGGCCAACACGACCTTATGGCAAGTCGGCAGGCACATCATGTACGAAACCATCAACATTTTCTCCGGCCAGGTCCTACAGCCTCGGCCTGGCTTCGAGCAGCGCATCGAGAAGTGGATGCACATCAATGTTGCTGCTATCTTGCTCTTCTACAGTGGTCTCTGGGCTGTGAAGCTGTCTTTCCTGGCTTTCTTTCGAAGAATGGGGAGTAAGGTGCGGAACCAGAAGGCAGTCTGGAATGCCGTTACGGGCATCACTGTGGCGGCGTACATTGTTTGTGTGGCAATCTATCCGTATAAGTGCCAAACGAGTAATTTGACTTATGTGATCGGTGAGATGTACCGTGAGCATGAATATGTGGGTTCCATTACTGACAGAAAATAGCAAACTGCGGAGGACCAAGCGCAATAGCATACTACAAGAACGTCCTCAAAGTGAGCCTGGCCATGGATGTCGTGACTGATGCTTTGAGTATGTCTCGACATAGCTTGGAGCTCACCGAGACTGATGCGTGTGTAATAGTCATGGCCGTGCCCATCAACATTTTCTGGATGGTGCAGATAAACCTGAGGCAAAAGGTTGCCATCGCGAGTGTCTTCCTGATCACGATCATCATCGTTATTTTCGCCATCATTCGTGTGACCCTAATCAATAGCGCAAGCTACCAGATCGACATGTCATGGCTGCACTTATGGACGTCAATCGAGCAGACGATCTGTAAGTGCTCCCCTTGTACATCGAGCCCCTTGTACATCGAGCAGCAGTATCTAGTCGGCACAGTCATCTGATGGAAAAACTCGTGCTGAAATTTGTATAGCAATCATAGTAGCCTGCCTAGTCTCATTCCGGGCCCTGTTCACGAAAAGCGGTCATCGTCTGCGCGCCATGAAGCACAGCGGGGAAAGATCGTACTCTTGGCCTTTCAGTCGAATGACTTCATTCTTCAGCCGCACATCCACAAGAGGATCCAGCTCTTCCGAAGCATCGCAGGAAATCCTACAGCGAACAGAACACAGTCTATTGAAAAGACATGGGAGTACGATACACGCTTACGCATCGAAAGAACCACCTTGGTACCCAAGATCACCGGCCTTTGAGACTCCTGATTTTGCTGAGAAGCTCATACTGCCACCAAATGCCGTGCATGTCCGTCGCGACGTCAGCGTTGTGTGAGATAATGACTGTAGTTTTGAGCGTAGTGACGACAAATTGTGGCGACATTCTACATGAGCACTACTAGAGAATCAAATAAAATTCATTTCAATCAGAAACATTATCTTCACTGACACAAAACATCCATAGCTAATTCCCCCAATCCAGAAGTGAAAGCATTTCTCTCCCAAAATTAGTAATCCAACCTCATTACAATTAACCACACCAAATCCACATTTCGCCAAGTGACATCCCACAAAATCTGCATATCACAACGTAGAAACCAGAGCCTCAACCCCATCCAAATGCCTCCAAACTACTCCTCGGTCTCTCAACAACAACTCACTCACCCAGCCATCTCACCAGTCGGCCTCTCCTCACCCTTCTTCACCGAACCCCCAGCCATCTCCGCAGCCCCACCTCCAACCCCTCTACTCCATCCCTTGAGCTCATCCCACGACCCCGACCCCAACCCAGATCCAGGATAAGCCTTATATCTCGGCAGCACCTCCCCCACCTCTTCTTCCCCACCCTTCCCTTTACGTTCGGACTCAGGCTCATGATTGATTTCTTGGCTCGGTGTAGGATTCTTGGTAGTAGCGGGGAAGGTGTCTGTGGTAGGGGCAGGGTTAGGGGCGGGGAAAGGGGAGAGGGAGAGGGAGGGGAAGGTGCGCTTCTTGTGACGACGGCGGAGGAGGAAGACGCCGCCTGCGAGGAGGGCGGCGACGCCGAGGACTGAGCCTATGGATGCGCCGACGGCTGTGCCGGTGTTTGATTGGGGGGTTGAATTGGTTGATTGGAGGGCTGCAGCCGCAGAGCTGGTGGAAGGCGTGGGATTCGTTGGGCTAGTGAAGTTTGCTGTTGGGGCTGCTGAAGTCATCGCCATCTGTGAGCTAGATGAGCTCGAGGTAGTGACTGTAGATTCTGGGCCTTCGGTGCTCGGTCCCTGTTGTTCAACGCTTGTTTCGCTAGCTATATCGAAGGCGGAAACTTCAAGTGTTGTGGAGTAGGAGGCGTCCCAGCATGTCCAGAAGGTGGTGGACTCGGATGGATCGGTCAGGGCAAGGGGCATTGGATTGAGGTCACCGCTGTTCTTCCTCAGTCATCTTACAACGAAAGGCATGCTTAAGGGGATCGTACCAGCAGAATGGACTGTCATGGTCGCAATCGTTGTCTCCGTACACATATTGTGTGGTGACTGGAGAGACGTTGTTGTCGTAATCACAGTATACAAAAGTTGCGGTGGAGAAGTCTGCTTGCATGCAACTGAAGCCTTCGTCACACTCCAAAGGAACAACTGTATGTGTCAATCAGGTATTCGTGCCTGTTGATTTGACTCACTGCTGTGAATGTCGGGATCCGTATAGGACCCGCACGTTGATGTATCATCATTTATTTGTAATGAAGGCGAAGACATATCAGGGGAGGAAGTGTCAGTAGGAGAAGGCGTGTCGGTAGGCTGTACCGTCTCTTCCCTTTTATACTTCATGGTCTGATTTGTCGACGCTGGCGACGTCAGTTCAGTCATGGTCCGTTAGAACAATTCAGTTGATAGTGAGATAATGCCCATGGCGTGTGATAATATGAGAAAGTCCAGCAAAAGTCAAAAGACAAGTTTTGAAAGCAGGCTGATTTTGCGAATTTGAAAGAGGGTATCTAAAGAAACATTTAAAAAGAACTCAAGTTCACAACATCTTGGAGAAAATATGCAGAGCAGGCACGAGAATGGAGATAAGAAGACGGTCGCCTCTATTACAGGTTGAACTCAGGAAAAGATGCTTCAAATGAGTGGTGGCAAGCATCCGAAATTGTGGTTCCACCTGCATCGGTAGAGCAGAAAGCGATATGTCAATCTGCCAACGTTTCTGTACACATAACGATCATATCCACCATTTATTCGATCATGATTTCTTTCAGATGAACTTCGTATTTAAAAAGTGTGTGTGAACTGAACTCCACTCCTGGACACTCGTAACCACTTTAAGGAGATGTCTCGGATCATGTCGTTAGTATGTTGGCCCTATCACCCATTTCGGCCAACGTGGCTGAACATCACCACATCTCATGAAATGAACTGAACTTGGTCGTGCCAGGTAGGAACGCGAGAAAAGCTAGAAATAGAACGGTGTATCAAGAGCTGCTTTATTTATACCTTGAAGACGTTCTGATCCGCTAGTCTCAGTCTATCCTTCAGACTACAGCACCACTTCAAGCCCGGCTTCGTAGTCAACCGAGGCTTTCACCGAATGGCTAGGATTGTTGAAAAGCGAGAGTCCGTAGATTCAAGGCTTCTTCTGCCTGGCCAACATGGTTTTGGCTGTGAACCAGATAATTGTCAAAGCGCCTATTTGGTAGCACCTACAGCCGCAGCAACGAGCATATCCGCTGCCGAGACGGTATTACCTTGTGATGAAACGACAACGTGACGGTCAGTAGTCGGAAGTGCTGCAAATTCTATCCTACCGTTCCAGCGGACCAACAGACCCAACTACCCCTACCAGCCCCCTTGAACGGCCAACGACCTCTATCGAAGTGAAGACCCCAATGACAGACTAATGCATTCTCGGTCAATACCCCTTCAACACCTATGCACTGCAATTTTCCAATCTTCTGCATTTCAAGGTATTAGACGTGTGGTGAACTCGCCGCGAGGCAAATTTCCTATCCGAGACAAGCGGTCTGATTCGTCAATTCGAGATGATGAGAAGGGAACTTGCAGCTCCACCCCTGCAGTGACGAGAATTCACTTTGCCACCGGTGAGGGGGGAGGGGGAGGGGACGTCATTGCCTTTCCTGGATAAAGTGGAGGGTGGAGGTTTTTCTTCTTTGCCTCATTTCAGAGTGTTTAGATTTTGAATCCAGCGAGAGAGCAATCAGGATTGTCAGTAATTGCGGGCTATTGATGAACTTGGATCGGCATCAAGACTGCGATGGATTATCTAAATCAGGCTTCGGCTCTTGTGGCTGCGATACATGTCTTTGGTAGGTCGCAGTCAAGCTAGTTTGCTGAGTATCTACTGATCGATGTCAGTACTCGCGCAATTCTGCCTTCTGGGCGAAGCACAAGGCGTAGACGCAACCTCACTCGCAGAATTTTGTGCTGTGTATGCAAATCCAAGCGATGATTATAGTATGTCCCTTTGTCAAGAAGAAATACCATGTGGTTCTTGAGTTGACGCTAGCTACGTCAGATGCGAATATCACCTGCGACGGTGGCAACGGTAGCGGTCAGTGCCTCAAAGCCGTCCTGCCAGGCCGCCAGCAATACGTCTATTGCAACAACGAGCCCGCCCCGGTCACAACACGATATCCGTACGACACTGAAGCTCAGACGTGCTCCCAAGGTGGAAACGAATGCTGGTAGGCATTCCGTCTGTGATAATTGCGCCGACTATGATCACACCCAGCTGATGAGAACATGTAGCTCGAGCCCTTCACCAGTACCATTGAAGCTGACCAGAGACGATACGACCATGTGGACGTGTTGGACTCATAGTTACACGACTACTGAAGAAGCGTCGTATTTCAGCCCCAAATTAACGACTACGTTTGATGTGGCGGACATGCAAAGCTTCTCATCAAGAGCAGCTACGGCCTTCCCTAGCTCAACCACAACAGCACCGACTCCTACTACGACTTCGGCTGGCAGCACGCCCACTGTGGCGCCTGAAATTGGACCCTCGCCTTCCTCAGCTCCCAATACAGGATTGATTGTGGGAGCAGTTGTGGGTTCTGTGGTAGGCACGCTAGCTGTTGTCGTGATAAGTGTATTTGCTACGCGCAGATGTAAGAGGCGCAGAACCAGGATAAGAGAGAAAGATACTCTCCAGCTCCCTCTGGCTGCCAACCAACAGACACCTCCACCCAAGTATCAATTCGATACACCTGAGCAAGTGGGCCAAGAATGGGAGAACACAACGGGATTCAGGCCGACGAGTGAGTTGGCGGCCGAGGGCGAGCCGAAAAAGACGAGTGAGTTGCCTGGTTGAGCAAGACGAAGGCGTCCAGGAGGATGCCATGTGCTGGAGCAGTATAAATTTGTCCAGAGTTGAACCAGTCTCTCACAAGTCGAGGATGCCTGCGAAGGTACTGTATTAGGAACTTTTGGTATCAGGAGGGCTTCAGCCACTCCCAAGATCAACCCCAGAATCGGATTCATGCTGCTTCCACTCTCCTTTTGAAAACCCACGCGCATCATCAGACTCTTCGGTAGCCAGCGTCTCATCTGCATGTATCTGAATAACATTGCGCGGCGAGCTCTCTTCTTCATCTTCTCTCACCTCCAGGACGTCACCGTTCCAAGGCTCACACTCTTTGACCAATTCTCCACACCTCAGACATATCCACCCTTCCCCCTCTTCCGCCTCTAGCTTCGTGGCAATACAAATGTAGCAATAGATGCATCCACAGGGCACGGTCTCGTACGGATTCGTGATATCCGCCCGAGCGCCCCCCACAATACCGCCTTGTCCAACAGCCGCGGCAACAGCTGCGCCCTCGTCTCCTGCGCTGACCATCGGGTTCTGGTCATGATAGCAGATCGCGCACGTCCTCTCCGGAAGAAAAGCCAATTCTCCTTTCTGCTCCATTTCGTCGTCTTTCTCGCCCTTACTGCTCTGTTGCACGAACCGTTTCGTCTTCCGCCATGATCGCGAGATCCATCTTCGCCATCTTGAGATCCCAACAAGCGGCAACAAGAAGAGCAGGAACTCGGTAAAAGCGTGCCAAACGAGTTGGCGGTTGAGATACTCAAAAGAGACATCCCTCCTTAGCTGATACGGAGTGGGCGGTGCTAGACGCATGCGCAGGATGCGATCGAGAAGGGTGCGGTAGCGGCCATTGAGGAGGAAGAACAAAAAGGAGACGAAAGCTGCTACTGAGTACGTGGTTGAAAAGAGTGCGGATAATCTTGAGAGCAGACGTGTAGGTTGGGATGGTCGGTCTTCGCGGTCCAGGAGCCAATCTTCCCATTTCTCCCAGCCGTAGCGACCACCGACCGTGAAGAAGCCGTAGAGAAGCTTTTGAGCTGTTGTTGGAGGTAATGGCAGAAGACCTGAGTTTCGCGCATCCGTGTAGCGGAGACTTTGTAGAGAGGCTCCGTAGGAGGCATTATGGTCCCAGATGGAGAGCTTGAAGAGAATGAGGCGGAGAGCGAGCTGGATCTCGGAGGAGTAGTCGTCTCGAATGTGCGTCTATAGGACCTCAGTCAATATGTTTCGTAGTAAGGGCCCAGGGTGGTCTCATACACCAAAGTATTTCAACCCTTCGCCAACTTGTCCCCTGAGCAACTCAAGGAGCTCTTCATCCAGAAGTTCTGCGTCGACTTGACCGACACGAAAGTAAGGTCTTGTCCCTTCTCGTCCCTTGATCTGGTCCCATGTTTGTAAAGCTTGCTTTCCGATTGAGTCTAAGGGGAAGGGGAGTCGACTAAATGCGCTTGAGGCATGGGAGGCTTGTCGAGAGCTTGCATCGGCTCGGGATTGGGCGAGTCTGCGCTCTTGACGCGCTGCTACACGTTGCTGAGCGGCAGCGAAGTCGATTGTGGTCATTACTCTCACATTTTGGAGTTTCCAGACTGACAAAGGCTTTTGGATTGATCGTTTCGAAGCCGAGGCTCAACTATTTAATACGACGCTAACAATAAATTTCAGAGTCCTATATAGCACTTTGACATTCACGGTCTCTATTTTGCCACTTTCTCGACCCGCTGCTGTATTTATAGTTCTTTTGCGATAGCACAGATACTTCAGTGATCACTTTCGCGGATTACGAGAGAGTAGTGAGATCAAATCCATTCAATGTGTTATGTGTTGTCGGTACACGCAAAGTTTGGATCGAGGGCCCCCTGAGCCTTGAGCATTCCCTCCAGGAAGCTTTTGATTGTGGCTTCCCAAATTTCCTTTGAGATCGTCTTGGAGGTCGTGCATTGTATACGCCCCTACCCCTATCTTCTCAATACATCCTCGCACCTGCCTTCTACGATTGATCAAACCTAATGAGCGATTCCACTTTCCAAGCATTTGGTTTTGGTGGTGGGAAGCCTCGATGTGTGTCTTAGTATCTGAAATTCCAAAGAAGATGACGAATCATCTAGGAGGTTGTCCTTTCCGTCGCTCCGGGATAACGCATCTCCTCTCATGGTTTTTGAATGTTCTGCGCGAGCCTGGAATGGCTTATGTCACCTCAGTGTTCTCCATTCACACTCAAGGCCGAGCCTGTGCCTCATTCTTGTCGAAGTCTGATCATTTAACTTGATGAACTTAGGCCCAAGGTGCAAATTGTGTATCAGTCGTAGCCATAGTCTCATACTACAACTATAGCAGGCCATGCGCGCAAGTCTTCGACGTCCTCGAATGTCCTGGACTCCGAAACTCTACGAAATCTGAGACGAGTCGTCACTAATTTCATTTTGTGTGTGAGGCTCAAACAAGTGTCTGAAATTATCTTCAATTATTTAAGACTGAGGCATGGCCGGCGCCTCATCCTGTGGCGGCGCCTCATCATTTCTTTTTAAAGATTTGATGCTCCTCATCGCGCTCATTTCGTAAACAGGTGGAACATACGACTTATAGTGCTTGTCTGTTTGAGGAGAGACAGCCGTTCTATCTGAGTATGGTGACAGTTGTGACCCCGATTCCATTTCTGATATGGATCTGCGTTGTGATGGAGCCAGCGTCGGCGATTTGAGGTGCGAATTGTCCGCGGTAGGGCGTCCGAGAACTGGCGTACCGCTCAATTCTCCTTTTTGGTAGGATATCATTGGAGTATTTGGCGCTTCGAGAAGGGCGGGGATAGAAGCTGAGTCAGGGAACGTGCGTGATTGAGAGAAGGTTTGGTCCAAGTGCTGCTGGCCCAGGTGCTTTCTTGCTTTCCGCTGACGGTGATAAATCACGCTACCGTAGATCAGTGTACCTATGTAGAGCGCACTGGGAGATAGATATTAGTCATAGAGTCCTAGTCGACGCCTCGCCGATCATATTGCAAGGGGAGACACACAATAGCAAACCTATCAAAGTCAAGGACCAAATAATCATAGTGTTCGCTCCCGAAGTACTTGAAGGATCGATCCCAGCCAAAGAGACATAAACACCATCGAGTATCAAAAGGATGGCACAAAGCGCAGTCTTGGTAACTTGCATGTACAGATAAGCGACCGGCTTCAGTCGAGTATGGTAGAACATATTGATCTCAGTCGATATTAAGAAGGTGTTGATGAACGAAAAGACAGTTATGACGACCGAACCACTGAGGATGGTTAGCTAGCGGATCGAAGTCATTCGCTTGATAACTTACATGACTTCGATGCCGACTGAATGAATGGCATTGTAAATCTGTAAGCCAAGCATCGCGCCCTGCAATGGGAGCTGAAGTATCCAAAATGGTATGAGGACTGTCGCCAGCCAAGGTGCATGCTTGTTCCTTGATCTTGCAGCAGAGAGCGCGTCCTGGTATACCAGGTGCGAGTCCTCCATACTTGCTGATACTCCCGAGAATGAAACTAATTGTGGCCTCGTAGCTATGAATTCGTCCGAGTTCCTTGATTGAGGTATAGGATCTTTGGAGGATCAAGAATTCTTTCGAAAACCGAAGCCAAGAATTATATGGGATATGATAGCACAAGTTGTTGTCTCAAATTGTCGGCAATTGGCGTTTCAAGTTTGCAACAGAATGCGTCTAAAATGGGAATGGTTCTTTGGGGAGCATTAGAGTATGAAGCCTTTTCTTCCAATGTCTAGTATGGGAGGATACAAAATACTGCAAGTGTGTGAAGGATAGTAAGTAGGGACTCGCACAGATTTAGCCAAGAGATGTTGTCGATGCCGTGTGAAGAGATTGTCCTGCGTCTGAAACATCCCGTCCCGTTCATCTGAGGATGTGGAAGCAGTGAGCGTGGCAGTGCTGTCGCAAACCTTGAGGATGCTGATTGCACGTAGACTTAACTCTTCTTATTGGGCCGTGAGAATGGCTAAGCTTGCGGTCCTTACAATCACAGCCTCACCCACGCATCGGAACGACGAACGGGGCAAAAGCTTGATGATTCAAGCTTTGACTGTCCTATACGTTTCAGGAGAAGCTTTTTCGCTTTATTGGCTTCTATGACGATAACATTGCTTGATTCGGACGTCATACGGCCGGTCGGGAGACAGAGGTAGGCTGAAGCGTCAGTGAATGTTCAGTAATCATGTGTTGGGAAGAAGTTTCTTGCAATAAGATGGTCGAAATCGGCCATTCCCTGCTCATACAAGTGTTCTGTAGTGGCCGTCCTGTAATCTTCACATATCTGTCCTTCGATGGCCATCCTCGGCCACTAGACCTCTCTTGACATCCTTTGAGCTGCGAAAGGCAGAATGTCAGCGCGTTATATCGGAACAATGGTGGAATGAGAAACAAGGCAATCTGTTAAAGTCAGCTTGTCAGAGCTGATTGCGAAGGCTCAGGTTCAACATGGACAGATTCCCTGGATCTTAGATGTTTGCTCAATCAGTTCCCGCTGCTGGCTATATTGACTTCCTACGATATTTCTTTTCGAAAATCCGACTAGCTTGCTCCATAGTGATGTACAGTGTTTCTATTACCCCAGAACTCCATCCTTGTTAAGATCGAACTTACTGCCCAAAACCGTCCCCAAAAACCTCCACTTTCTCTGCCAGCTCGCCAGATTTACTGACGAACGGGAAATGGCCTGTGTCAATATCACTGACCTTCCATTCCACCGCAGTCATCTGCATTAAGGAATCCTGGAACTGGAGAGGCATGGCCTGATCATTGATACACCGTATATAGGCTAGCCTGCCTGCGAAGTCAGGCTCGGACCAAGCAGTCTGAGGGTTCGCCGAATCAAAAGCGCGCATCGACTGCATGCCGAGAGTTTTGGCCCATTTTTCTCCTTCTACATCATCAAGATCGTTGAAGAAAACGTCTTTGGCGCCTTTAATCGCTACTTGGTGTTCGGCCGGCTGGATAAATTCGTTAGCTTTAATGTACAGAAAGAAAGGCTCACCAAAAAGACAATCAAACCAGCCGATTATATGATCGATAGGGGCACACTCACCTCATTGATGACCGCATAGTCCGCCAAATTTCCGCCAAAGGCTTGAAGCATGCTCACCCCCGCTGGGATGAGCAAACCAGACACATAGACCAGGCCAACAATTCCAGTCGACTTCCCTTCCTTTGACCGAGCGACTTTGCTTAGGCCATGCGCGGCTGCACCTCCGACAATACCACCAAAGGAGTGGCAGATCATTAGAACATCTTTCTGCTCCTCATCAAGAAGGGTGACGACCTGTTTTCGGACAACTCCTACGTCTTTTGGACAACTTTCGGATTCGGGCGAGGAAGAATTGCAAGATGGTAGAGTGAGGATTTTAGTGGCGTAGCCCCCGCTGCGGAGTTTGGCTGCAAAGTCTTCATAGAAGGCTGGTGGACTCCAAGCACCAGGGACAATGATGACCGCTGGATGTGTAGATGCCATTCTGGAAATTGTTTATCTTAGGAAAGCGACGGGAGGAAAATTAGAAGAGTAGAAGAGGGGTCGAGGAGCACTGGCTAGGCTGCGATTTAAGTGGAACAGTAGGAGGATCTTTCGTTGATTGGGTTTGCTCTAAGGGGTAGCTCGAAGGTTTTGATTGCCTGTGCAAATTGGAATACTCTGGAGCAGCGACTTTATACACATCCTTTGTGGGGCGAATAGATGCATACTTCGGAGTGCTTTCCTACACTTACCAACCATTATGATCTCACAGCGATATTCAGACACCGAAAATGCGTAAACCATGATAAGCACCAATGGAAGCGCTTAGCTGACTAAAGGCCACTCATGGTGTATCGAACAATACCACGGTAGCCTTCACAAGTGCGACTCATTAGGCTGAAGATAGATATCTAGATGTTCAGCCTTATGCTCCAGTATGACTGGGGAATCTTAGTCTGAGGATTGGTGCTGACAGGAACTGCTTTTTCTTAGCCAGGTCTAGATCTCTCATCCTTATTTCCACGTGTATAGGCGAGGTCCGGGCCCTGTGAATTAAGTCTCCCGAGCCCTCTTGCTTAAGGCCTAGTTACTAAGCGTTTCTCTGCTTAGAAACTCGTTGCGCACTTGGATCGGTAACCGTGCCACGTGGAGCAGGCGGCCTTGCAGTAGCGGCAGTGTACAACATTGGGAGGAACTTGAGGGACGACGTCATCAGCACTTCTGAATTGTGCTCCAGTGCTGATTCAATGGCCTGCTTGTTATGAAAGAAAGCGCGCGTATCATGTCTTTCGAGGCGAAAATCCGCACTCGGACTGTTGCGCCTCTAGCGCCGGAAATTACGGACTTAACATCGGCATTCTCACTTGAGTTGCCTCCCTCGAGGATTATATTACCTTTTTTACTCCCAAGTATGTCCTCAATGTTGAGAGAGGCCGTCAAAGATCTTCTGGACGGCTTTGAGCTATTAATGCAACGTTGTGAAGATAATCAAATCCTAGACAGATCACGACACCCTGCGGTAAGCCTGTTCTTCTCCCACCACGCCGCATATCCTTCTGCCCTTCTTTCGATGATGAGATTCTATAGCTCTAGATCTGACGCTGCCTATGTAGCAATGATTGTCCTTATATTCACTCCTGACTGAACAGTTGCCACATCCTGCAATCTACATTTTTCAAGTGTATCAGTCCGCTGACCTCAAAATCTCACTACAGCCTTACAGCCGCGTCGAAGATGATAGTATCAGCTCCTGGACGAAGGATGAACTCGTGAAGGCTACAGGTCAAACTGACGCTGGCGTAATCTTCAAGGCGATCAAGGCAAGAAAAAGCCTACTGGCTACAGGAGATATTTTGGGGGGATTTCAAGCCCTGCGATCAGTCCCAATGATGATTTGAATTGTGACAATTCTCCTCATTTGACAAGAGCAACCCAGCCTCAGCAAATGTCTAAATGCCCTTTCTCACCGGGCTCTGCCGAGCCTGGCGCCCTACCACCGGGTCACCCCACGGCGCAAGTCAATCCATCGACTTCATCACAAAACACGGCTCAAAAAGCCACAGATGCACACTCGCAAGACCCCGTCCCTAAATCGAGGAGTTTGTCGATGAATGATTCGATCGCAAAATGCCCGATTCGATTGCTAGATGAAAGGTCGCCTGAAGAGATAGCGAATTTCTTTGAAACACACAAGCACGAAGTTCCTCGTAGCCATGAGATATGTGTTAGGAGATACCAAAGTAATGAGCAGAGTATTCGCTCATTGGATGCAAAATATGGCGACCTTGTGAACATGGTCAAAGGGTTGGGCTTGAAACATCAGTCGATGCTGCCACCGAAAGATGATGATCAAAGCTCAGCAACCCCGAAGTCGAACCCTGCTGTCGAAGAATGGGCTACCATAATTTCAGCAGGGCCGAAAACCGAGCATAATCTAGAGGAGGTGCAAGAGGAAGGGTCACAAGATGCAAGAGTTGGGCACTTCGATCGACCGCTCAGAGATATCAGGGTTGGTGAATCACCGAGCCGCCCATGGGGCATCCATGTTCCAGATCAGCATCACCCAGTCACCGACGACGCCCCACGCCGTCATAGCCAGACCAACAGCAAGCAACCAACTCCGGCTGAGATGCCACAAATCGATCCTCAATTACGCTCACATAGTAAAGCCAGTACACCACAAATGCTGTTCACTGGCCCAGTCTTCATTGGTTATCCTCCAGAGCAGATAGCGACTATTTTAGCCCAATTCCCAAATGCCAATCATGGAGGACCGACTTGAAATCTAGATTCCACAAGGTATGGACTGTTGTTTCGAACGTGACTAGGACTAAGAGTCCGGTCAAGGCCTTCACAGGCCACAGTCACCGCCATTCCCAGGACCGATCTTCACGTCACTCTTATGCACCCTTTCCAAATACCCTAGCTCAATCAACTTTTCAACGCTTCCAGTCCTACCAATATAAAACTGAGCACCCAGCCCAGGCTGCCCGAACCAAGGTGCAATCGGTCCTCCCTCCACGACAAGCGGTTTTGCAACCATATAGACGTGGTAACTGTTCGGATATATGCCATCAGGCGAGGTGTTCAGGTTATTTGGCGGTAGAGAGCGTTGGTCATATGGCGAATCGGCTGCGGACACATATTTGCCTACCTCTGGTGAGCATTCATGAATTCTGAGGATGATCGGTCTTCACGTACCTGTCTCCTCACCAAATCGATCGACCAACGCCCCCACCTGCAGGGTCATATTACCAACAATGGGGTTCCCATTCAGATCCAGGTAATATCCATCCTTTTCGGGATAGACCCACCAGCCGGTTGTCGCGTTGGTCCACTTAGCAAGGAAATCCCCTGGCTTCTGGCCTCCGAATCGATCGTAGTCGCTCACAAAAGACAGCAGTGGGAGCTTCTTCGGCAGCTCTTTCGGACCCAAGCGGGGATCGTTGCAAATCGAATCCTTGCCTTTTACCCCCGTGTTATTTGTGCCATGGCAGTCACAGTGTCCCCTTGAAAGGAGTGGGGTCTGAATCCTTTGATGGAACGAAAGGGCACTGGCAAGATACGGTATCACCAAGAAGAACAACAGAAGATGCATGGTTGAAATTGAGAGAATTGCACAAGCTTTAGCAGTCCAGAGTGGTATGAAAGAGGGACCCCCTGGGAAGTGGAGAATAAGGTGGATACCCCTCGACTTCACTCACTTCCTTTTCTGGAAACTCGCAGCCATTCTGGGGTAGCTCGGGCATCTAGACCAGCCTGTCTCATCTCTCTGGGGCCTAGTGCAGTCCTGTCAGACGGGACAATCTTGCGCTAGCGAACCTATAATGAATCTCGGAAGATATCAGAGAAGACAACCTAAAGCACTACCAACATGCTGAATTCCTCAATGTCGCCCTGACCTAGCAAGAAATCAAACACACTGAATCCCAACATCACAATCCCCATCTCATTCTTCAAAAAAAAAAAATCTTCCACAATTTAAATGTTCCAGGCCCTACGCATCCATATCTACCCTGCCCCTTTCCCCCCTACCTCCCTCCCCTCTCCGGCCTCCACTTTTACTCCTCCCTCTTCCCCTTGATCCCCCGTCTCTTCCACTCCTTCCTCAACCACAGATTGTGCACGATATCCTCCTTTACATCCCTCGGCAGCACCCTGCTCAAGATACCCGGCAACTTCGGTTGAGGAAGAGGAGTCAGTCGGGGGTTCAGACGCGCGAGCGTGCGGTCGATGGCTTTGGTTGCTTCGTCGTCGGAGTTGAATTCGTCGTCTTGAGGTTGGGGTTGAGGCTGGGTGGGCTCGGGGTCTCGGGGGTTTGCGACTTCCTCTTTATCATTATCATCGTCGTCGTCGTGGTCATGGTCGTCCTCGTCGTCCTCACTCTCGACACCTTCCCCAGCAGACTCGTGCACTCGTCTCGAGGACCTTCGCGATAGACTGCCAAGCGGCTCGTGCGGATGACTGCCCACATCCAGATTTACCCCCCACTCACTACCCTTGCTCTCTGACACCCTTTCCCTCTCCTTGCCCTTCCCCTTCCACCTCCACCCCAGCACCCGCCTTCCACCTTCCTCCTCACCACTCTCCCCCACCACTCCACAACCCTCCTCACCACCATCCTTTTCCTCTATACTTCTTTGCTCTGCAAATATTCCTAAATGGCAAGGACGGCGATGTTGCTGCTCTTCTTCCTCCCCAACCCCACCCCCCCCCCCACCCCCTTTCCCAACCCTACTCGCCCCCCTCCCCCTGTCGTCTAAGAAACGAACTCTTCTTCCCCCTCTCCCTTGATCTTCACCCCTTCGATCACTCATCTCGTTCGTCGTCGTATCGGTGGGGTTGGCGGCACCCCTTCGCACGCAGTCTCTGTCCTTGAAGACAGGCTGGGTGTAGGGGACGAAGCGCCTTCGCGACGCGGGGGTTTGCGCATGGACTGCTATTTGGAAAGGTGGGGTTGGTTAGCTGATGATGCTTGGTGGGATGGAGGGCAAGGGGAAGGGAGGGGGGAAGGCATTCTCACATCTGATAACTCATACGATTCTTTCCCCTCCCCTTTCTCGTCACCTGGCTTTTGCTTTTCACTTCTATTAGGATGGGGATGGGGGTGGTAGGACATCCCTTTCCCGCTAGAAGAGGGAAAGGGAAAGGGAAAGGCGGGGAGGGTGTTGTGCGTGGCTTTAGTGTTGTTGTGATGGTGAGAAGGAGGAGGGAGGGGAGATGAAGTCAGTAGGACGTAATGGCAGGGGAGGTAAGGGGAGGTATATAGGGCATGAGTAGGCGACCAAGGCTTCTTCTTGCCTCGGGGGTGGTCCTATTATGTTTATTATTCTTGCCTGCAATGAAACCATGCTGATGAGAGGGAACCCTCGAGGAAGGGTTGGTAGAAGGGATGGTCCGCGTGAAGAAGGCAGAATGAACGTGTGATGGTGTTTCCGTCAGTGCTGAGCACCTGATGCCAAGTATGTTGTTGTTTGCTATGGATATTCTGCTCAGGCAGCACGAGATTGCCTTTCTTTCTGGGTTTGGCAAATGTAGCGCTCCTCGTCTGGCTTTTCTGCTAGCTTCGGCGGCCTCGTCGTCCCCTCTCCCCCTCTCCCCCTCGCTCCCCCTATCTCTCAACCCTGAATGTCATATCCACACAGTATTTTTCCCCTTTCCACATTCTCGGTACTCTCCCCACTCATCACCATCTTTTCCCTGACCACCATTTCCCTCTACTAATCCATCTTTCTCTTCCCCCCTCCCCCGGCCCCTCCTCCTCCTACTTCCCCCTGCACACCCCACCCCCTCGGCCTCCCCATAAACACCTCTTCGAATCTCCTATATGTCTCCTCAGCTTCTTTCTTGACTTGAGCCTCTGATTTCGCCTTTGCTTCTGGCTTGACATTCTCGTTGCCTGCGGATTTTGCTGTGTTATTGTGACAGGTGGAGGTGGCGAAGTTGTGAGACTGTTGGAGAGGAGGCTGTTAGCTGGTTTCTCTTCTTCTTGGATGTTTGGGGGTCGGGATTGATGTGTGGGGAGAGGTGGGAAGAAAGAGAGGGAGAGGGGATGGTGCAACTAGGATAGGGCAAAATGGGAGCCGGGATGCGGTGAAGGGAGGAGAGAAAAGGTGGGTTAGAGGAGGCGGCGTGCTCATTAGGAAGGGCAGGACGAATAGCTGTGGTTCAATACGAGGAAGTTCCGACATAAGGATACACTGTGATAAACCAGATGACCGCAAAAGCTGGATCCTAGGGAATGAGCTGATGTTCGTATATCTTTCCATGTGAAGCAAGATGCTGGTATCAAGAACAGAGGAGAAACGTACCGTGCTGATTCCAACAGCAGTGTCGGCGCGAGAGGCGGAGTCTGGCATCTTCACTCCCTCCCTCTTTTGTAGTGGGGCGAAGGTGGTTGTTATTTATTTTGGCAGGTAGTTGCGCGGAAGATATGCTGGTGATCAAGATTGGGTGTTAGAGTCAAAGCGAGAGACTGTGTCATCAATACGCGGTGACACGTGGCTGCTGACGTACTCTCCCGTAGGCGTGGCGTGTATGCAGCACGAGAAGTGAAATTATTCATTTTTCCTGCTTGCGGAGACTTCGAGGGCATAAGGGCCTGGAGATGCGAGCTTCGCGGGCACCGATAGCGTTGGGAGTATGATTGCAAAGCAAGTTCACCGGCAGAGAGATCATCTTACCATTATCATTATATCCTCATAGTATCGCCGTACTAGTGAGACAAGCTCAGCCTCCAAGGGTATACGCACATATAGTGAAAAGCCTCTCCTCACATAACGACGCATTTCCCGTCCTTCTCACCCTCTCCATCACCACCTCCACCTTCTTCACTATCGCCCACCCCATCCCCACCCTTCCCTTTCCTCCCCCTCTTCTTCATACCCATGAAACCCCTCCTCTCCCCACCAGCGCCCGCACTCAATCTATCCAACCTCAACGCTGGTCCAAAACTCTGACTTCGTTTCGGCGCACCCGCGCTCCCGGCACTCTGCAGCCCCCTCGAACCCGAACGACTCTTCGACCGACTCTGCTTCGAAGAAATGCTGTCAATGGTGTGGAGACGCTGAGCAGCTGGTCGAAGCAGAGACGGCGATGAGCGGACAGCACCAGGATTAGAGCCGGCCATTAGACCAGGCATGCCCTCTCGTGATGGTCTCCGGGATGGACTGCCAGCAGCACCGAGAGCGCCAGGTGGAGGAGCTGGGATTCGATCCCCGGAGGCGATGAGACTTGGTGGTCGATGACGGCCCTGGTTTGGAGACGGCGCTTGACGGAACCGGTTTTCGAGGTTTGCAAGTTGTTCGGCGCTGGGCATGGATGGGATGGCCGGGAGATCGGGAAGTGGTATTTGTGGAGCACTTGAAGATATTTGAGGCGGTGAGTCAGACCCTTGTCGCGTCATCGGCGAGACGGGGCTTTCGTGCTTAGGACTTGAAGGCATCGATGTGGATGTTTGCATAGGTACCGGTGGGAGGGGGGTACGACTTCTTCTGAGCTGTCTGGTCGGAGCCGAGGATTGCTTCGTCTCCGAATTGAGGTAGCCATTCGACCGACGTACGCTGACATGGGACGTCGTTTCGACATGGTTGTCGATGTGCGACTAATATCAGGATCACTATTGTTGCCAACGGTGTAGTTCGTGCTGACAGGGCTAACAGGCCCGGAAAGTTGATCGAGACTTTCAGTCACAGAGCGAGAGCTGATTGTCATCTGCGGACGAGAGGCGGCGGACCTTCGCTCTGCTAATGAGCTGATGCGGCGCGAAGCTGCGTTCTCATACATCGTATTAGCACGTTGCGGCTTAGGCCGACCGCTGCGTAGCTTTGGTAGAGTTGACTGGCTCTTTGGTAGGGGCTGTAGACTTTTCAGGAGGTGCTCAGGTAAGGGTCGATCCGCGTTAGGCGCATATGGTGGTGGTGGAGGAACCCAATTGTCAGCATCACTTTCATGTGGCAGCTCTCCACGGCCGTTGGCACGTCTATATTCAATCCTTGCTTCGTCGACAATACGAGGTGGGTTGCGTTCGCGTTCTGCAGCTACAGCTGTAGCCGACCGGTAAAGAGAGGTCCGGGACCTGGGGTGGTCAGGGGAATAAGGCCCATCAAAAGCCTCCGAGGCTTCCTCAGGACTCAAGGTAGGCGAATCGTTTTTGGGTGCAGCCATTGTATTGGGGATTGCGAGAGGTCGCACGATGGCTTGTGGTCCTCGGGTTTGAGTACGCATGTTGGCGATTGCGTTGGCAGTTGGAGGAAGTGGTGGTACCTCTGGTGAGGGAGCAAGTGCATCGACAATTGTCATCACTGGCCTTGGGCCTCGTCTAGTTCGACGTCGAGCAATCTCGACTTCCACCTCTAGGTCGATCTCTTCCTCCTCCAGGGTTTCCGGTGTCTCTGTGCCGACTTCAAACGTGAGTTCTTCGACTCCACCATCTCCACTTCTACGATCAAAGTCTAGGATGATGAGTCGTCCACCATCGACAAAAGCAAATACGTCTTGTTCGAGATCGACGTCTCCTCCTACAACACCACCCGGCGCAGCCACGATCAGCCGCTCTTGCAATGACGTAGAATCATGCTGATGATTCTGCTCGACCCAGCTAAGACCTGTAGCCCCCGGAATCTCTACCACTCGCCGACCCTTAGCGAAGACATTCTTGTACTTATCCACTAAGACATCCCAGTTAGGAAGGTCTCTCCGATGGGAAGCTTCTCCTCTGGATGATGACCTGATAGGACTCCGGGGTGCGCTGGCCGGCGTTTGTGGACCAGAGGCACTGTTTGGGTCCTCTCCTTGTGACATCACAGGCACATCCAGCCCTTGGGGTACTCCGTATAGCCAGATATCCTTTCCTAAAAACCCAGTAGCTACTAAATCACCAGTGTGGCTTGCTGTAGGTAACGTGCAGGGAGCTAGATGCTTTCTCGACGGGTTTGAATTCTTACGTCGTGGGCGTTTGGGTCCTGTGAAATACGTAGTGCCATTTCGTAGATCGTCCGTCCTCACAGCTCTGAAGCTCTCAAAGACACGATCAAATGTGAACGTCCAAGTAGCATCACCGTCAGACCGATTTGAGAGCAGTGCCGCATGGCTACAATCGCGGCTGCTGTTGGGAAAGATGATCTGAGACGTCCATATGTGGCTGATTTGTTCTGCGACTGGAAGATCTTGGTTATCCTCTGCATAGTATGGTGCAGTCAATACTACTGTATAGGAATTTCGGTTGTTTCGTGTAGTGCCGAGAAGCACGGTTCCATCATTGTTGAAAGTAAGATTATCCACCCAGTCGCATTTGACAGATCTCCTATCCACCTCGCTAGCACTCGTTGCCAAAGAGTAGAGCTCAACGCCCCCTTCAAAGGCAACTGCAAGGACCTCTCCTTTAGGCGTCAAAGCCAAGGCATGAGGTACGCTTCCAAGTGAAATCGAGCGCACGTGTTTTGTAGTTTGATTTGAGATGCTGTAGAGATTCGCATGACTACTTGATATTACGGCCAAGGTGGATCCATCATCAAGTATGGCAGCTGCAATCGGTCTCCGAAAGACTTTGAGCTCCCTCACCACTGAAATCAATGCCGAGCCTGTATCGAGCAGGTAGATTCTTGACGAAGACAAGGCCAACGTCCACCGTCCGTTAGGCGAAAAAGCAAAGTCGAAAGCTTCACCGCTGGGAAATGCAGCCGAAGAGCTTGTCGTAGTGGTAGACACCAAGCTGATCACAGTCCTCTTTGGGTGTAAAAATACTTCAAACAAATTGCGCTTGACCTCTTGCGCGAATTTATTTTTCAAGTTTGGTAGACTGTCCTCCGTGAATGGCCCAGCGTCCGCGACCAAATTGTTGAATGCATAGGACGGGCATCGTGAAAGCTGATGTGCGTAGAGATGTGGGGTCTGCGATGCTTCGCGCCAGGCATGGTCGACGAGGATAAGAGAGGCAAAGGTTTCGGGATCAACGAGGTAGAGGATACTGTGTCCAGCAATGTCAATGATGCGCTGCTTGGAAGATCGATTGTTGATTTGGGCGGCTGTACCTTTCAAGTATCTCTGCGGGCAATACTCTGTGTCTGTTCTTCACCGCCGCTTTGCCTTTGCCTTTCGTATCGAGGGATGTGGAGTCAAGTTCATGGTGATCTGACTGTACCTCGTCCGTCGACTCAGACTCGGTCGTCGAGGGTGGGTCATCGTCTGTGGCTTCTTTCACTGATGGCTTCTCCGAGAGCTGCGACTCCGGAGACGGCGGTTCCGGGGACGGCCAGTCTCCAGGTGTATGACTTGCCATTGGGTGAGAGGTTGACAAAGGTCATCACGAATCGGATTGAGAAAGCAGAAAAGTGAATGAAGGGGAGACGCGCTTCATCGGCATATGTGAAACGGAGAGGTGTGTGGCAGCATGGAGCTTTGATCATAGAACTAACCGCAGTTTCAGGTACAAGAGTTGCAGGAGTGGCTATGGCACGGCCCCCGGTGCATGCATGACGTACCATTATGGCATGTGTCTACTATGGAAATACACCGTCCCGGATCTTCAGAAGAAAGAACATTTGTGGATTCTATATCCAGAATAAAAGTGCCCTTGACTGGTGCAGTGCCCCCATTCAAGCACCCATCAAATTACTGTACAACAAAATCCCCGTGATGAGTGGATATTGAAGCCGATCAAACACCAGATCCTATACTATGATGACCTTCCTTGCTCTCCCCTGTTGTTCGTAGACTCATCCCTGTTGCTACCAAAGAAAGGGATGAAGCCGGTGAATGAAGATTTCATACTCTTCATGGCCTCATCCTGTTGTTTCTTCTCCTCATCGGCCATCTCCTTCAACCACTTCTCCCCATTCTCCCTGATCTCTTTCTCCAGAATCTCATACTGTTTTTGGCCCCGCTCGCGGACCATGTCCATGTATGTCTTACCTTGCCTTGATGCCTCGGCGTAAGTTGGAAGCTCCGTACCGTCAGGTCCAATCAATTGGCCACCCGCCCCACCAGAAAGAGAGGAAAAGAAAGATTTTCTCGGTTTGGCACCTTGTGCTGTGGGCTGCTGTTTTCGAACCTTTTCCCGAATCGCAGCTTCCCGTCTCGCATATGAAGTCGGGATGTGTTCGCCCTCGAATGATTTCAACACTTCCCGTAGGTCTTTGTAATTCATGGACGCGCAGTACTCGAGGAAGGCAATGTAGGAAACGAGGTCTTTATCGCCAGGTTGCCCGGTCCATGGAGGTAGAATGATGGCATTCTCGGGCTGTGTTTTGACGTGTGAAGGCTTCGTATCAAGCACGATGACCTTACTTGGGTCTCGGTTCAGGTAGGATATGTCCTGTCTCTTCTGTCAGCCATTGCAGTCTACGCTATACCCACTCACTCACCTTGATATATTCCCCGTTTTCATATTTTGTAGCTTCTTTAAACAAAGGCCAAAGGACAACTCGATAAGGGTCCAGTTTCGCATAGACTTGCTGCCCAATGGCTATCGAGCTATCCGTCCATATCACAAGCTCATAGTATGAGCTCAAGTACCGTAAGAAGTAGTCCACCCCAGGTCGTTTCGCCATCCGCCAACCGTGTTCCCTCGACCATTCTGAATGCACAAGTAGATCTTCCATGCTTAACACGAGTGTGTAAGGTCTTGCCCAAACGGGATCTGGATCAGGCAGTAGCTTTGGGAAGGTTGGCTCGGTATAGTAGGCCGATGTTTCACTCATCCGTGCCTTCACACGCTTGTAGAACGACCCAAGAGCCCAGCCAGAGGGTGCTTCGGGGTGTCTCTTCTCATCTTCTTCGGTTTCCCAATTCCGCCCCTCCCATATTATTGTACCCAGAATTGTGGAGAAAAGGACGGTATAGGCTATCTGTGCAAATCGTACCCGTTTCTGCTCGACTGATGAGACGTGTTCGTACTTGGGTATGTCGCCGCCTCTGCCTCCATCAGAACCAGGTTTTTCAGTTATGTTGAGACTCCTTGGATCTGATTGCCTCGACTGTGCCTCCATTTCCGCATCTAAAGTGGACGGTATACCCTGGGTCAAGTCTGGCAACGGCCTGCTTCGCATTTGAGCTGGGTCAACAGCTGAAGGCGATTCCGACTGGGGTGCAGTATTTTGATTCGAGCGGCCAGAGCTTCGAAACTCATCCTGCAATGTAGAGTATTGAGGAGAATTGCTACCTTCCTGAGGGAACGATTGGTCCGTATGTTTTATCTGCTCGTCGATGTTCTTAAATTTCTCCTCCAGGCCAGCGCCATCGATTGGAACTGGTCGCTGCGACTTAGAAACACTAGACGGACTTGGTCGCTGGCCACCTGGACCATGGCGACTCCTATTAGCTGAGCTGGGGGGTTGATAGTGGTGAGGGTTTTGTGGTTTATTCTTGCTCGCAAAATATCTAGGTTGTTGAAGGACGATTGAGGATGTCACGGGTTTGGGGTATATGCATGTTCTCAGAGGTAATCTAGCAGCTCTTCTGAGCATAATGACATACCCAAACGTAGTGATGTATTGATGAATATATTTTGGAGGTTTGAGAAATCTACAGAATTAGATCATAGTTCAGCCCTATGACACCGAAAATGACATTTTCCTCCGCACGACTCCAATTTCTTTCATTGCTTTACCCCGGCTACAGAAATTTGACATGATATCTTCTTCGCCTCTTTGGATATTCTGTTGAAAAAGTGCGGGCAGAATGATGTCGTGCCCCCAAGAACGGCAGCAAGGCTACCAATGATCTTGACCGTCCCGTAGGCACGGTACACCCCAGTTATCTTCCGCTTCGTCCTCCTTCTTTCTTTCGACTTCTTCGCAATGGTCATGTCAGACGAAGGATCTAAAGAGTTCAAGGATGAAGATGTTACAGATTTTCGCTTCTTCGAGCTGCCCTCAGAGCTCCGCCTAAAAATCCTCTCTCTCATAATCGAGTCACATGTGACGATCGACTTGCAGCCGAATATGCACCGCAACGCGCCCGATCGTCTCAATCTCTTCCTTACTTCCAAGCGAATGCATGCGGTGGTAGCTGGCTTCTTCTTCGGCAGTAATACCTTCCGTATCTTTCCCACACATGGCAGATACTTTGGTCCGAAAGTCGCCCCGCTGCTTGCGCGGCTACCTACGAAATATAGGGAGATGATGACTTCTTTGGAACTGAGATTGGGCCCCGGCTGGGGAAATCCACCAGATTGGTGGAAGGTCCACAATACGAATCTCAGGGACTATGGTGACGATTGGTTGGGATTAGGAGACATGAAGGACGTTAATAGATTGATGGTGTTCGTAGAGGTTGACCCCAATCAAGACGTCTTCAAGACCTTTAGAAGGTCGAGGGTATCATTTACAAAGTTTTCAAGGAGCTTGTTGAGGGACATCATGTTTACGCTTCCTGGATTGACACACGTAGCATTTGATGCGTGGCCGTCTGTCAAGCTTGATGGTGTGTTGATGTGTGCGATGATGGAAGAAACGCAGCGAAAGGGAATTGAGGTTCACCTTTCGAGAGAGCTTGAAATGCAGAGAAAATATGCAAGCTATCAATTGCAGAGAGGGCAATTCGATACCACTCTCGCAGTTTAGAGCAGTTCTTGTCTCTTGCTATGTGACTGAAAATTTCTAATTGCAATATTCGAAAACGCCTTCGCTATGCTCGGATTGGTTGTTTCCCTGCGAAATGATCTCACAATTCCTCATCCACATCCATAGATCCGTTTGCATGACCATTGACTCCATTCGGCTTCCCATTTGGCAAAGCCTTCTCCGCGCTACCTTTTGCTACCGAAGCTTCCTTGTCAATCATTTGTCGCGAAACCGAAACGATGTTGTCCTCGATCAGTTGTTGCCCGACGTCCTCCAAATCTGCCATTGGTCAGCGTGAAACATTAATCGTGGTGCTAATACATACGCTTTTTTGGGTCCAATTTGCCGACGTATCTTGTCTTGAGCTGGTCCTTTGTCAACTCCGTCTCCTCCTTCACGCGCTTCTCATAGCCCTCCGCAAACCCTACTAGTCTCTTCAACTTTTCTTGATTATGTGCGCCTTCTTCTCGGAAGTCAGCCATCTGCAGAGCGTCCGTCCATACATGCTTGTGAAGATTCATCAACATATTCTCTTCTAGGCCAGTCTTTCTGTAATTGATTCCTATACTGTAGTAATGTCGATTCAACCCATGTATCAGTGCTTGTATAGATGGTTTGTTTAGATGCCCTAGGTTTGAGGTGGTTTGCCGTGGTTCGTGGCCCAACATCAGTGTTTGAGGGTTGATGAGCCGGAAAGCGTCAATGACGACTTTGCCCTTGACGGACTGTATCGGATCGACGACAACCGCAACAGCTCTTGGTGTCAGCTGTTCGAACGACTGCTGTGTATTGATATCGACGGAGGAAAGCCAGCAGCCGAATCCAGGATGTGAATGATACCATCCAACTACGGTCTCTTGTCTGCCCGTTTGCCGTAACATGTCCATCATCTTCGTCTGGAATACCGGATCCACTGCCTCGACGCTGACTCCTGTACCACTCTGTGGCATGGCAAATACGTCCACTACCTTGACCGTGTAGTCGTCGACGAATTCCCCAAGCATGAGGCCCATGACTTCCATAGGTACACCAGCGCGGCCATGCCGAAGCATTTTCAAGAGGGCGAGAGATGAGATGTAGACGGTTTCGGAGTTGTCAATAAGGTTTGTATCCTGTGCAAGAGAGCATCAGTATACTGAACGTAATCGCAAGAGTAGTCTGTCTGCAATGCGCGCGGCAAGCTGCTCAGTGGTAGATAGAAAGCTTCTTGACTTACTGTTCCTGGCGGCGCGGTGTCTCCGCCCATGCCTCGGCCTTGGCTTAGTAGAGAGGCGAGTCGATTCATAGCGGCTAGAGTTTAGAAGGTATTAAGAGGTGAGGCGATATTTGCGGCGAAGGGGCTGTCTCTATGTGACGAGCTGCGGTTGTCTATTCTGTAGGTCTATGGTCTACGCAACGAAGACATCGGAGCTTTTTGAGTTCGACTCGATCTAGACCAAGACAGGCTAGCGTGAGGATCCGACACATTTACAGCGTAACTTGCGAGATGTGCTCAGCAAGCACGCAACTCACCAACTGCCATTCTCACTCCGTGACCCAGATCACATCGGTGGATAACGTGAAGGCGGCATCTCTGATCTCCTACAAATCATTTCACACCGCCAGACAGCCTTCATCATTGCCAAAAATAGCCTTCAAGTCGAGAATTCGTACATGATGCCCACTCATTTTAAAGACCCCACCTCTCAAGCCAGATATCCATCCAAGCCTCACTGACGGGTTCCAAATTTGATAATGTTTTACTTCTTGCTCTAGCCATGTCCGTAGCAAGCCTAATGGACGGCGGTTGAGCCACCATCCGGAAGAAATCAATGATCTTAAGCGCTGGCAATTCATCAAGCACTTTCTTGTTTTGAACATCGCTCTCCCTCTCTGCCCTTTCAAGTCTGTTGACCCACTCGCTCATCGGCACAGCCTTGACTTCCTCTTGGCCAAGACGAGCAAGAATGGCGGGCACGAACTGGCTCCAGGGTACGGGATGAGGGTTGACTACATTCATGACGTCAAGTTTGGCTCCAACATCTTTCTGCGAGGCTACGATATCCATGACAAATTTTGCAACAGTGTCCACAGGAACCCAATCCACATGCTCTAGATCCGTCGGCAAACAACGCAATGTCTTCGAACTCTTCAGCATCGCATAAATCCACTCATTTTTGCTCCATATACCTGGCCCAGAGACCACACCTGCGATCTGTCCCACTCTGAGAATACTAACGAGAACGTCACACTGCCTCGCCGCTTCGCCGAGGATGCATTCAGCGACGTATTTACTCTCCGCGTAGCCCATGTGCGCCGGGGCGACATGATTGGTGACGAGATGTTCTGGCACAGCGCTCGCAGAACGGTCGACATGGTGGTAATTCGACACTGAAGAAGCAGAGGAGACGAAGATTATGCGCGGATTCTTCTTAGACTGGAGATTGAAGTCGATGAGATTGCGGATGCCGATGAGATGGGGTTCGAATGTTGCGAAGGTATGGGTGAAGTTGACAGGCCATGCGTTGTGAATGATGATGTCTGCTGTTGCAACAAGGGCATCATATGATTCATCTGAGATGCCAAGACGTGTAGAGCTGAGACTGGCGGTGATGAAGGAGACTTCTGATAATTCGTGTTGGAAGTCTAAGGCCATGAATGTTTTTTGCTGCCTCGCTGAGGCGTTGGAAGAGCGATTAAGGCAAGTGATTTGGCCGATTCTTGGAGATGTAATGAGATTGGAAAGGATACGAGTGCCTAGTGAGCCGGTCGAGCCGGTCAGGAGGACGTTCAGCTTCGGGGTAAGGGTTTTGGTATATTTCGCAACTGATGCTGATATCTCGGCAATTCTTGGGGTTTCGATACCATTTGCTTGAGAAGCCGTACTTGATTCCAGATTTAACTTGTGATATACGACTTCTGCCAGCTTTTCAATGCTTGGATGAGCATACAAAGTCTGAACTGAGAGCCACGACTTATCCGACATAGGAAAACCAGCTTTGATTGACCGAGTGATGGCAATGCTCCCAATTGAGTCAAGACCTCGTACGAAGATGTCTTCACGCTCGCCGAGCTCAGGAACTTTAAAGGTCTCATTTACACAAGCACTTACGAAGTGTTTGACTTGTGAGAGCTCCTTCGGACGAGTCAGTACAATACTGGACTTCCCGAGCGGCTGATCAAGGTCCGAATACAATGCCTCAATCTCAGAGGCGAATTTTTCCGTCGTCATCTTTCGCATCACAGTACCTTTGCCAGCTCTCTCAAAAGACTTGTTGACATTCGCGACCACTATCATGGCTCGAACGATACGGCCATAGTCACGAGCTTGCTGATTTGCATATTGAATAGTAGGCCAGATCTCGTCGATCAAAGCACTGATTGCTAGCTCGACTTCGGGCATTGGCTCAAGCAGCAGCGCTGGCTGTAAACGACCAAAACCTACTACCAAAGCTGCGGACACTAAAGGATGGCCTGTGATGATGGCCTCACTAGGCACGGGATTGATTTTAGCGCTGTTAGACAACACTATGATATCGTCTTTCCGACCATGGAATCTCCATAGATGAGGCTTCGTTGGGTGAGGTTTGAACAAGTCTCGGGACTGATACTCTTCAATGTTTGGGTAATTACAGGAGAAGCTCCGGCTTTCTCGGGCTTGTGGGTCATTGTGAAGGATCAATTCAAAAGCATCGTCATCGGATGGTCGCATTTCTACGCCAGCGAACGGGTGGAATTCAAGGTAAGCCCAATCCTCACGTTGAGCGAGAAGTGTTGGGATGCCGTTCGTCTCCGTCGAGCCGTAAAATTGACAGACGTTAGTCATTTTGCTGAGGATACCTCCAGTGTTCTCACTCAATGGCCCTCCAGCATAGAGCAAGAACTCAAGGTCTTTCATAAGCTCGAGGGCTTGAGACTCCAGTATTAGCTGCTCAAATACTGAGGGTGGCGCAAATATTGCCTTCAGCTTGTGATACAGCATAATTTCTCCAGCTAAGTGTCCAACAGGGGGCTTATCGGCTGGACCAAGGACCACAGTTGCCATTGTAGAGTATATGGGAATCACAGTCAAACACATTGTACCTCCAAGCTGCATCAAGTCAACTGGCTTTATCCCAGATCTGAGAATGTTTAAGTTCCTACATGAAATGGAGGGAACGCTGCAAAGTACAAGCCTTCGTTGTCAGAAAAGTTGAAAAGCGACCAATTTTGGTTTCTCCTTCCCTCAACCAGCGGCATGTCACGGTCCCGGTCAGCAACAGCCCATGTTGCGTGGCTGGTCTCAATCGGCTTCGGAGGCCCTACTTATCATGTAAGATCAAGACGTGAGAGTCAACACTTGCAATTTGCTGACCTGTGGAACCTGAAGATTGAAGTACTAGTATTGGATCCCAACACGCGTCTTTATACGTGACTTCGTATGGATAGCGCTTAGAAGCTCCATCGAGCATGTTGTCTAAAGACTCTACGCTGTAGATCGCCATGTTTTGCACTGACTGCTTTAGATCTTGAACTATGAATTCCATCTGGGTCGCGCAGAAAAACTTCCTGCAGTCTGTCGATTGCAACAAATGGATGTTCATCCACACGGCATTACGAGGTGACGGCAAGAGGAGCTATAAACATCAGCACCGTGGGAAGACTCGCAGGCCGGCTCAAAAGTCACCTTGTAGCCACACTTGATGGCGGCAAGAAAGAAGATGGTATAACGAATATCTGATGGTCCCATATAAGCAATCGTCTCGAAAGTTGTGCTACGACCAGTGGTGTCATCGAGCCAGAAGGCAACCTTGTTGACGGCCTGCGCAAGCTCGCCCATTGTGACATGGCGGAAGCCCTTCGAGAGATCTGAGGTGAAAGGATAGATGGCGTAGACCCTCGACGGGTTTGACTCTGCCAGCTCGTCGACAACCTGAGGCAACAATCGAGAGCCATAGTGAGGCTCAGTATGACCGTTGGTAAGGCTTGCATTCGCTTCATGCGCCATTGTGGGGACTGTTCGCTTTATGCAAAGCCGTTCACATTCCACGTCAACGGCAGGACAGGTCTCCACACTCATGCTACAGCGAACGGTTTTTGCTGGACTTCTCAGGCGAATACCCGGGTTGAGCCGGGCTCATGGATGATTCCAAAGCCAGTCAGCAGGGTCTACACATCAGCCACACACTTCCATATGTCATATCCAACGTCAGCGTGCGTTCCCCAGGTTCCAATCGAATATGCAGCATTCGGTACCCCCTTGAAGGGTGGGATGCGGGGTCATGGATGATAGTGGGTCCGACTGGTGATCATACGCATGGGCATCGGTCGCATAAGTTGATTAACATTTGCGCCATTCGCCAACGACTCGCTATTCTTGGATGAAAAGTCAAGCTGCATTTCCGCTTTAAGCATCAATCACATGGGCTTCAAGCAACTTCCGACTAAACAGATGTACATTCCTCCTTCGCAAATCGCGATGTCACGGCCGTAGGAAATGTCGAGGCCGGCAACGACTCTTTACAGTTGCGGCATCCTGTCGTTGAGGCATTCTTGTGCATCTTATGCATTTCGAGCCGTGAAAGATGGACTTCATACATCTACCTTCTGAGTTGGGTCATATTGAATCCTACCTTACCTGACTATGTACATGAACTAAACAGTCCCCTCACCATCTGCATGACACTCCCGGTCCGGCGCGTTCCGGCTGTCGACCCCATCAACGGTCATCTCGCTGTCTCTACGGAGTATCATCCCTTATTACGCCACTTCAGACCCTCTTGGTATCCAGTGGCCACTTATCACTGACTTTGAATACTTCTACTATCACCTGTGTCAAGTTTTTCTTACGAAAGATTGTGCGGGTCTCGCGAAACCTTGCGTGCGCCATGGCCACGTCCTTGGGGATTTCATAGATTGCCCTCCTGCAGGCTCCGAAGACTACCGATTCGCGATTTGAACTCTGGACAACAGGACTGCATCATGCATGCGATTTGGATAAGCTCAGCGCCGTTCATACGGCCTTAAGTTATTTTGGCTCGGCATTTGTCACTGGTTCACCCAAAGATCAACGTTTCTCCACAGTCGGAGAATTTATATAGCCGCCCTCACCCAATACGAGTATGGACTTCTGGTTGCGCGTACCTGCTTTGCATTCTGCTGGAAGTCCAACCATCATGGAGAAGACCCAAAAAGTGAACACTGGATGTGAGACGCGCCAATGCGCTGGAACCAGATTAACTTCTGACAGGACGTATCTATATAGTACGTCTCAGGTACCGGCCAGATTCAGACAAAGCACGTGCATAAGGTTCATGTCGAGCTGCCAAAACTGGATGTTGGTCAAGTGGTCAGACCCAGATGTGATCCACCGTGCATAAGCACCAGCATGAAGTCCAAAAAGTCTGAAACAGATCGTAAGACCGCTGGATCTCATGTACAGAGCTTTGAGGACTCTTTATCTTCGCTGCGACGCGATGCGACAACCTAGTTGTCTAGAAGCGCAGCTCCTCATTCTATATATCATTCAAATGCTGGAAGAGTGCAACCTTCTTCTGGAATGCGTGGTACCCCATCTACAAGCACATCTTACTGAGCCAACATAAAGCAAAATAACCATGGAAGCTCCACTACCAGTTCCACCTGATGGCGACGTCATTACTGGTCCGCGTTACATGGCAGCCATGATCACCATTACCGTAATAGCAGTCTTGATTGCATGGCTGAGGATGTATGTGCGATTCTTTGTGTCCCACAATCCAGGTTGGGATGACTACACCATGTTTGCAGCCTCGGTAAGAAGCATTATTTCCTCAATAGGCGTTAATGGACCTTTCAAGATGACGTCTCTAATCTTCCTCCTAGCTTGTTGCAGTCGTTACCAACGCCTTCCTCATCAACTCATACCATTACGGAGTCGGACGACATCGCCTGTACGTGCCGCCTGAAAATATACCGCCCGCATTTATGTGGCTGTGGGCTGCAGAGCCCACCAATCTTTTCGCCGTATATCTTGTCCGTCTGTCTATCTGTCTGTTCTTCATACGCCTCATTCCACCAAAGAAAGTATATATGTGGATCATCTGGGTCACCATTGCCGCGCTGACGGTGTCTGATGTTTTCACGTCGGTCTATTATTTCTTCGAATGTCGGCCAATACGAAAGGTCTGGTTACCCAAAACTCAGGGACAATGCTTTGGCGAAGGAGTTCAGCAGGCCGCAACGTGGCTATATCAAGGTACGTCTCTCGCTATTACAGTCCAACAAGCGCTGACAACGAGGAACAGCCACGTCCATTCTTGGTGACCTCATTCTGCTCACCATACCGATCTCGCTATTCTGGCGGTTACAGGTGCGATTGCGCACCAAGATTGGGCTTATCATTATCTGCTCACTCGGCATCTTGTAAGAACCTCTCAAGCAGATACTTATATCAATATGACTGACCGCATCCTAGTACCAACGTCTGCGCAATTGTCAAAACCGTCCTCCTACCTGCCCTCTTCAGCCCCGATCCAGACAAGACCTGGATAATCAAAGATCTCTGCCTCTGGGCTCCGTGAGTCTTCTTCTGCACCCCAACATTATTCCCACTGACACTCTGATCCAGAATGGAACTCTGCGTCGGCATGATCTGCGGCACGATCCCCGCGCTCGCGCCCCTCTTCGGCCTCGCGACGGAAAAGACACGTAGTCGCCGACAACGCTACCGCAAATTTGAGGGTGCTGGAAGTTACGAGCTGTCGTCGTCGGGTCGCCACAATACGCCCGGGCATCACCACCCTCGAGATCCCTCGGGGATGAATTCTGCGCTTGGCGCTCCTGACGACACAGCAGCACCGCAAAAGCCTACGCGTTCTGTCACAGTGACTAGGCCGGCGTCGAAGGAGCGCTTTTTCGCGCAGGAGCCGGATGATAGGTGGATCCGGACGACGTATGAGGTTGATATCAGTCGGGAGCCGATTGAATCGTCGTCCGATACGATGGCGGGAGCGCGAACAAATGGAGAGAATGGGGAGCGGAGAGCGGGATGGTGGAATGTGGTTTGATGATGTATATGGATGTTTGCACGATGATACCAATGCTTCTAAGTCGATAATGAAGGAAGAGAACGTGTTGCATGAAAAAGGCCGTTAGATAAAGCAAAATTCTATCGGGTACACTCGATGTAGCTCCAGATCAGACGAGATCATCTCGTTTCATATCAGTATTCATCTCGACATCTACGACTGCCTGGGAGAATCGCGCTCCAGCAACAGATGCGCATTCACAAACACGACGAGGTAGTTATAATCTATATCTCTTTCAGAGTCAAAGCAATCATGCCTTTAAAGGATACTGATAAAGTAATAAAAGGTTAACGTTTTTGGTCTTGGTGGACTTGCTGCTCCATGGGAACGTGGACACAAGGGTAGCTACATCCTCCAAATGTAACCGACAAATCAAGCATCTACGGCCAGCAGATGGGAGCATCGTTGTGCTTGTGCATGTGGCGGGCAGGAATTGGGAACTTTACCAATGTATGTTCTGGTTGTACTTTCTTTATCTATAAGCCTGTCCTCGACATCAAAATCTTGAAAATATCTTTTCGTTCGTTTTCTCTTTCGCACCGCTTGCTTCTCCGGCCAGTCATCATAGCTAAGAAGCTCATTGACCAGCACCTACCGAGTCCCTGACAAGGAAGGCGTGAGTCACAGACCCAGCCTCCTTGAACAAAATACTCTTATCGCTACTTTTTGCACTACACAACGCAACCATTATTTTTTCAACCCTATCACAGTGAACTTCTGAACCTATAACAGACAAAATGTCATCTCTATCTGACAGTAACGACTACTTCGATCTCCCACTCTCCACATCGGGACCCAAGCCATGCAGCATCACCGTACGTCTTCCCTCGCTCCATCCTTCTTTTGAAGTCCTGCCTTCCCCTCCCTATTTTTGCTTCTCCTCCTCCTTCTCTTTCTCCTTTCCTCAAAACAAGTCCATTCACTCAGAAATGTTAGGGAACCACCCTTCTCAACTCTTCCGAGTTCAATAAAGGCAGCGCTTTCTCAATGGAGGAGCGAGAAACTTTCGGACTCATGGGCCGTCTGCCGTCAAATATGCAGACCCTTGAAGAGCAAGTTGAGAGGGCATATGAACAATTCCTAGCACGAGAGGGAGATTTGGGGAAGAACACTTTCATGACGGGGCTCAAGGAGCAGAACGAGGTGCTTTACTATCGGGTGAGTCGTTTTTCTTGTATGCTTCTCCAACTTGTGACTTTCCGCTTCGCGAATGATTTTTCTTCAGATCTTCATTTTCCTCTCTATGAAGTAAGGAATCCATCTCTAGTTCCGATTTGACCGGACTTCCCTGCTCCTCAACCTCAACCTCCTCGCAATGCCAAATTTCTGCCTCATATCATTGACTCGCCCCACCACAGCTTCTCCAAGACCACCTCAAAGAAATGCTCCCCATAATTTACACCCCAACCGAAGGTACCGCCATCCAATCATACTCCCGTATCTTTCGCCGGCCCTCCGGCTGCTTCCTCACTATCACCTCACCCTACGAAATCGAATCCTCCCTCTCGAACTTCGGCAACCCGCAGGACATAGACTACATTGTCGTAACGGACGGCGAGGAAATTCTCGGTATCGGCGACCAAGGCGTCGGCGGCATTTTGATATCCGTGGCCAAGCTCGCCCTGACGACGTTGTGCGCTGGCATCCATCCAGAACGCACGCTTCCCGTCGTGCTGGATTGTGGGACTGATAATAAGAAATTGTTGGGTGATGAGCTGTATCTTGGGATGAAGAGGCTAAGGGTTAGGGGGAAAGAGTATGATGCTTTTGTGGATGCTTTCGTCAAAGCGACCGGGATGCTTTTTCCGAGGGCGTATCTGCATTTTGAGGACTTTGGGGTAGGGAATGCGAGGAGGATACTGGAGAGGTATAAAGGGGAGAGAGCCTGTTTCAATGATGATGTGCAGGGGACGGGATGTATTGCGCTGGCGGGGATTATGGCTGGGCTGCATATTTGTGGGGTCGCGTTGGGGGATGTAAGGATAGTGGTGTTTGGATCTGGGACAGCGGGAATAGGCATCGCGGAGCACATTAGGGATGCGATTGCTGTGGAGAAGGGGAAGGGGAAGGATGAGGCTGCGAAGCAGATATGGTAAGGATCGCATTCATTCCGCTTTCTCGTCAGCGTGGGCTTTTGATTGACAGAGGTTCATTGATTAGGTGCGTCGACAAGCCAGGTCTCCTCCTCAAATCGCAAGGAGAAAATCTCACGACAGGCCAAGTGCAATTCGCGCGGGATGATTCGGAGTGGCAAGACAAAGCTCACAATGACTTGTTGCAGATTGTGAAGGATGTGAAGCCTCACGTACTGATCGGGACTTCGACCAAGCCAAAGGCGTTCACACGAGAGATCGTGCAGGAGATGTCAAGGCACGTAGATAGACCTATCATCTTCCCTTTGAGCAACCCCACGAGACTGCACGAAGCCAATCCACAGGATGTGTATGAATGGTCTGAAGGTAAGGCTTTGATTGCTACTGGCAGCCCCTTCCCTCCTGTCGAGTATCAGGGGCAGAGGTATGAAGTCGGTACGTGATGTCATGAGTTTTGTAGAGAAGATGCAGCTGACAAGAGGCTTTGCATAGCGGAGTGCAACAATTCGACCGCCTTCCCTGGCATTGGTCTCGGCACTGTGCTTTGCCGAGCGAAGCTTCTTTCTGACAAGATGCTCGTGGCAGCCGTCAAGGCCATAGCGGCGCAGTCGCCAGCTTTGAAAGATCCAGATAAGGGTCTTGTCCCGGACGTTGAGAACGTGAGGGAGGTCAGTGTGGCTGTCGCTAAAATGGTAATCAAACAAGCCGTACAGGAAGGCCTGGCGACGCAGGAGGGGATTCCCGAGGACGACAGGCAATTAGAGAAATGGCTGCGGGCACAGATGTGGGAGGCGAAGTATCGCCCTCTGAAACGGATCTAGATAGATCTTCGTGGTCTGATTTGCATTACGTACATATTCTTCTAAAGGTGTAGGACTCTTTGGAGTCACTCCTGTTAATACACATTGAAGTGCGCGTAGGAATGAACTATGATGGTTCTGAATTTGGTTTTGCAACGTGTAGATTTTATGAGCAGACCTGCTCTGAAGCGGGACACATGACGTGAATGCTTCAGAGCACCCTCGCGCGGGGCGAAGACTTTGTGGGTTCTCTCGAGGGGAGAGGCAAAGGGTCGCGGACATGTGTTGCTTTTGTTTGGGAAAAATTAGGTGTGATATTTTTGACGACGGAGGGGTTCTACGTGAAAGATCTTTCTTGAGATTTTAGAAATAAGAACTTGATAAGTGAAAGGGGAGAGCTTCGATGTTGCTGTAATCTTGCTGAAATTCTATGAGATGGGGCGATATGGGCCAAGAAGGGCAAGAGGGAGAAGCTGAATAGAATTTTTCGCGAAGTCTAGACAGAACTCACGAGTTCATGATGTAGCGTGTGTAATTACCATTGTTATGACTGAAGTGGAATGAGATAGCTACGCAATGTGCTCACACGAGCTCAACTTTGTAGCATTGATATATGAGAAAAAGTAGAGTGGCCGCGAGTGTGCAAACCGCTTTTTGCGGGTAATCGCGCTAGTCCCGGATATGTGGCGCTAATTTAGCGTCATCAGATAGAGGCAACCTTAAACTTGCAATTTCTGCCATCGACACGTTCCTACCTTGCCAACTTGCAAGAGACCATTGGCTTCCAACCCTACCTGGACCGCTGCTAATATGGGTAATAAGAATAAGCGAAAACACCCCGAGCTCGATGAGATTCTGGAGCGGCCTTGGTGCTACTACTGCGAGCGAGACTTCGACGATCTGAAGATTCTCATCAATCATCAGAAGGCCAAGCATTACAAATGCGAGCGATGTGGCAGGAGGTTGAATACAGCTGGAGGTGAGTCAAGTCTACAGAACTAAAAGTCCAATAGCTCACCGCCACCTCAGGTCTCTCTGTGCACATGACACAGGTCCATAAAGAATCACTTGCTTCCATTGAAAATGCACTTGGTAATCGCGCTGGGCTAGATGTCGAGATCTTTGGAATGGAAGGTGTTCCAGAAGACGTCAATCAGAGCCACAGGCAACGCGTCATCCAACAGTACGCCCAGGCCGAGGCAGAACGAAGGGCCGCGACTGGCAACCCTGGTCCAGGCGATGGCGCCAATGGCGCTGCAAAGAAACCAAAAATTGAAGAAGTGTCAGATGTCAAGAAACGATTGGCAGAACACAAAGCGAAGAAGGCTGCGGAGGCAGCGGCTGGCGTCAACACCGGCAATAATTCAATGGGTGAACCGAGCGACCGAGTTCAAAGTCCAGCTGGCTACGTACGAACTCCCTTCTGTATATGCCTTCCACTACTAATATTTTGGATAGCCTCAAGCCGGGTCTCCCAATTACCTTCCTCAGCAGCCGAACTTCAATGGCCCCAATAATCCGCCGTATCAGAACCCCGTGCAACCTTATGGGCAGCAACAAGCCCCTCCATTCTCGCAGCATTCGTCGCCACCGCCATTCAGTCAAGCACCACCGTCTTTCAGCCCTGCAGGTATGCCCCAGTTTTCAAACAATCAAGGCTTCCCCCACAGCAATTCCAGCCTCCGTCAGGGCAAGGGCACTCGCCGTTCCAGGGTGGGCCACAATTCCAGAATGGACCGCCACAGTTCCAAGGTGGTCCCCCTCCGCAGTTCCAAAACGGACCTCCACCACACTTTCAGAGCGGGCCTCCACCGCAATTCCAAAATGGTCCTCCACAATTTTTAGGAGGCCCACCTCAATTTCAAAATGGCCCACAATTTGCGCATGGGTTGCCTCAGCAATATGGTTCCGGGTCTCCTGCACCATTCTCACAAAATCAATTTCAACCGCCGAGGCAAAATATCACACCTCCACATTTCAATAGTATCCCGCAGCGTCCTGGTAGTCTGCCTTCTGCTCCCGGATTGCCTCAGCGGCCGACAGGTGGACCTCCGCCTGTTGATGCAGCACAGCTTCAGCAAATGCACTTAGGCCATCTGCCAGCCCAGCAGAACCCTTTATCGAATCAACAATCTGGACTCCCTCGAATACCAATGCCTCCTGCAACGCAAGGGCCTCCAGCTGGGAACGTTAGCTCCGTAGGTGTTCCCGTCCCAGGCGCTTCACAAGATGCAGATAAGACCAATGACCTCATCGATTCCAAGTCAGAGCAGCCAAAGGTCGCGCCTGAAGAGAAGAAAGGCAAGAAAGAAAAGGATCGAGGCATGAGGCTGGTCTACTCAGATAACGATGTTAGTCCGGAAGAGAAGATGGCGAAGTTGCCAAGGTACGCATTTGCTCCAGCCGCATAGGATAACCTCTCAAGGGTCGACTTTGTTCAAACGGTTGCTGGTGCAAAGGAGAGGAATGACTTTACTCCATTATCGACGGACGAGCAAGGTTGGTGCTCCCTTTACGCTAAAGCTGTGGTGTCTGCGGAAGCACGCTGTTTCACGGCAGAAACTGATCGCTGGAATCTATTGGGGGGTTTTCTGCTTGCTTGCGACCATTGAGGAGACGGCTGAGAAGCTCAGCTTAACATCGGGAAAAGACATGAACAGCACGATATTACAGAAGTGAGTGGACTGGCTGATCTCTTGCGAAGCTGAGTCTGACCATTGGGGAGACTGGCAGCTTTCGGCACTACCACTCGTGAGCGAGATATTGAAATTGCGGGTCATCATTACAAGCAATCTGTTCGGCTTGATGGCTTGATTGCTTGCCTGTAAGTCTAATCATGGTTAGTCATTTCCTTTCGGTAATCTTAGCTTTTGCTGTTGTGTGCTCCTCCACGATGACCTCGCTGTTTGGCTCTTCTTCCTACATCAGGGGCAACACCTGTCCTCGTCTCCATAGAGCGCATCCAGAGCACTTGCCAAGTAATTCTTTGCATCCCCTTTGCCCAATACCACAGTTTCACGGCGCCAAAGGTAACGTACAAGCATCACAAGGAGGGTATGAGCGTGAGTACCGTAACTAATACATTCCAAACAAGTGGATTCTTAATCTACCCTGTCATGTATTCGCGACCAAAGATGACGATTATTTTTTGTTATGCAAAATTCTCAATGCCGACTTGTCGTAGTTCGCAGGTGTTCATTAATCTTGGAAGGCGCCAGTATTTGTAGAATAACGAAGTAGCCGTTCACTTAGATATCAACCCCATAACAAAAAGCCTTCTAAGAGTGCTACAATTATCTTTACGTGTTCAATCACTGCTAAACTGAGGCTGCCACGGTCGACCAAAAGATCCTTCCCGCATTAAACTCCAGCGCCCTCTGCCCTGAACTTCAAACCCATTTTCCACCTGCCTCATTCTCCCCTCTTCGCCTCCCTTACGCTGCGACAAAACCTCCACCATGGCGCCCGAAGAATCCATGGACGTAGACGCCCGCTCTCCCTCCCCGCACTCGAAATCCAAACCCGCCAACTCCGGTAACGAATCCCGCACAACGACAGGCGCAGTCGCAGTCCGCAGTATCGAGGGCTGGATCGTCATGGTCACGAACGTGCATGAGGAGGCGAGCGAGGAGGATCTCCAGGAGTTGTTTGGCGAGTATGGCGAGATTAAGAATTTGCATATGAATCTGGATCGGAGGACGGGGTATGTGAAGGTATGGATGCCCACCTTGGGAGATGGAAGATGGAAGGAGAAGTAAACCTTTGCTGATGTGGTTCGCTGGGGGTGGTAGGGCTACGCGCTCGTGGAATTCCCCACGCAGAAGGAAGCAAGAGCTGCGATTGAGGGGGCCAATGGGACTAAGTTGCTCGATCAGACTATTGGAGTTGACTATGCGTTTGTGAGACCGCCGCCTAAAGAGGGGAAGGGTGGGCAGCAGAGAGGTGGTGGGAAGGGTGGGAAGGGGAGAGATGGGGGGAGGGAGAGGAGTAGGAGTCCTAAAGGGGAGCGCGGGGATGAGTGAGAGTTGAGAGGGTTGGGTCTGGTTGAATTTTATAAAAATATGCTGTTGGGTTCGGAGAGGGTATGAAAATACATTTTCGGTTGGTGCAAGGAAATAAATGTGAGCTGTGGAGACACCACGTGGTGAGAGAGATTGATGGATTCGTGAGGGAGAGCTGAGATGTATCTGCCGAGGGGCTGCGTGCCGCCTTCGGTGATTTGAATAAGATCTCATTTGGTATGTGGGTTTCTTGGACATACTTAGTGGTTTTGCTGACAGTTTCTAGTTTGAAATTCATGAACTCTCATTGAAGTTACTGGATCGGCAGAGCTGGATCCGTTAATTTCATCCAGCTACTATTGACCAGACCAGATTCGTCTCGAAGAATTGAGCGAAAGGCATCACAGACTGCTCTCTGGACTTAAAAGAAATTTAGCTCGAATAACGAACGTCGAATTAGAAGAGGATGTGTTCTTGATTAACTTGCACCGCTTATTGAAGGCGATGACGTTTCCTTGCGAAGTATTCCACGTATCCTGGATGTTTGACGACGCTGGAGGAATGTTCACTACCACGACGCTCTTACTCTGACCCGTTGACGCGAACGACCTAATATCTTGCGCGATCTGCGTTTGGAAAGCATCGTCCCTCAAAGCATCAGAGGCTGGGCGAAGTTCTCTTTCGATATTAGCTATCGACCAATCAAAATCGATGCATCCTCTATTATTCAAATCAGGACCAGCATGCTTTGAGGCCTCCAGTCTAGCCAGAGTGTCCTTAAGAAGCAATATGTCGGTTCCTCCGACTTTCCATCGGTCGAAACGGTGTCCGAATGTATGATGACTCCAATACAATTGGCTGCAATCCACTCTAACGCTAAGGTGCAGATCAGCGTAATCTCTAACAACAAACCAGTTACAAAGATCGAGTGCAGCGCGTATTGTTGCCAGAAAGGGGCCACAGTAGATATACGCTTGCCTGATGGCTCTTGACTGCGATGACGACTTTGTCTGTAGCAAGTGATTTGCTATGCTCTCGTCCGACGGTGGTACAATTTGGTCACCGAGGTGGCTCTCCAGGTTGAACCACGGGGTGTCACTCGGCAGGATGGTATTTTGAAACATAAAGATTGCTGGTGCAATGTGCAAACGCGATCCATCGCCTGCAACTCGGTCATTCAAGTGAAGTCAACTTTCCTTCGAGGAGGGGGCAAACTGACCAACTAGAGGTGGGTAGAGGATCCCGGTTTGAGGTTCTAGAAAAGGCTCTACTGTCTTGCCAATCCGTAGCATGAATTGTGTAAGATTCTCGTAATTGTCCTCCTCGACCTTCTTCAAAAGAGAGCGTGGGTCGAAGACGCCATCTGTGTACAGACTGTGCATCTCGATACCAGACCATGGCCCTATTTGATTGCCATGTTGGTCCAAGTATACCCACCTTGAGCGCTGCGGCGGAACTAATTGTGTTTGGCGTGCAGCGAACAGCTGCCCAGAGCTAATTTGGGTCGAGTTCTGCCGTACGTCCCCTGTCTCAATTGGAGGCAACTGAGATGACATAAGATTCGAAGCAAAGCTCTCGCTCCTTTCTAGCCATTGTGCAATTAAGATCCGGCGCTCTGCCGAAATGGAATGTGTCTCTGCTGCATCACTTGCCGCCTCTGACCAGTCAGGATGAGACGCAGAACATGCTTCCTGGATCAGACGGAGATCTTCAGGATCCTTAAGTACACTTATGTCTTCCTGCACCTTCTCTCGTTGTCGTGGCTGCAAATCTGGCGTGATCTCGATAAGCCCATCCACGAGTTGACGAACGTGATCCACAAGCTCTGTAAACTTTCGTTTGTCTTTGACCGCCCATCGAACTTTGTCTACCGTACCTGCCCTCTTTTGCGTTTGAGCGAGCGATAGGCTCAATTTCTGGAATCGCGATTCGAAAGAGTCGTCAAGCCCACGAGGTCTATCTACTTCTAGGCCCTGCTCATTCGCCCCGGTGATTTTCTGGAGTCCGTAATTCGATTTCAATACAGATCCATCGTTTAATAAAAGCTTTAGCTGCTGCAGAATCTCCTCAACGACGCTCTTGATCCAAACCTTGTCAAGTGAATTGTTGTAGCTCTCCTGATCCTGAAAGATACCAGCACTTTCGCCCCAAATCAGTAATCGAGTCTTCTCGACCTTGTATTTGACACATAACAGCGACAGATCCCGAGAGTACCCTTTACCAGTTTCTAACAAGTTGAGGCACTCAAGACAGGAGCTGAAAAGGCCTGCGAGGCCAATAGCTCCCAGCGCGAGGCCCGCTGCTTCAGCCATAGGCGATCTTAATTCGACTGCCTTATATCACCGAGACCTGCCAGATACCGCATCTTATGTCTTGATCGTGTTAGAATGTCAGAAAGGATGGCTTAGAACGTGATCAAGGCACTTTGTAACTCAAGCAAATAGATCTTTTAAAAGAGATGGCAAGCAAGCTAGGTTTCATGTGTATGGTAATGGTTCAAGTTTCACATCAGAGAAGGCTGAGGCTGAAGGCCGACGAGTCTCGAGATCGACGTTTCCTCGGTTGCTAATTCTAAACAATGGTACAGGGGAATTATGCAAGTATCTTGTCGTTTTCATTTGCTTTGGGATTCTCTCGGCATGATACTATGATCCTCGGGCCTTGAACCAAGTAATTTGACTCCAAAAAGCTTTCAATCGACGTTGACTGGATGGACAGTGTTACAAAAAGGATTGTCCCTCCCAGGATCTCGCCCAAAATGGTTAGCGTGCCAGTCTAGCAGCTACGCAAGCGTGATGTTACGTACGGGTAACATGGCTCTTTAGGGCTGTCTTTCAGCCGAATCGTCATGGGTCATTCAACACAAACTCAGCGCTGAGGCTTGGATGATATCTTGACGTTGCAGCCATCAATTCGATGTCATTGAGTTTGTTGTGGAGGTCCCCGAATCTGCCATAGCTATGGACTACATCAATTTACCGCCATGATTCTCACTTACCTCCTCGGCCTCCTCTTCCTTGGCCGCAGCCCCTGCGCTCATGAACCTCCACAAGCCGCATTGGACGCGCAAACCGTCTTGAAAGCAAATCAGCTCAAGAACGATAAATCATATACTGTGCCCTACCAACCGCAACGGCCACCCACCACCTCCCGCAATGCACCCGATCATGCTGTTGAAAATGACTCGACGCTTTTCTCTAATTACTCTGCCCTTGTCGAGGGCTTACATGTCATGCAGGCCCACTTCTTCGAGATTAAAGTAGGAACATGGCCGAACGCAATTGACTGGACCGCAGAGATGATGGCCACCCACATATCCGCCACCTTAGCTACCATATCCGAGTCCAGTCCAGCCTCAGATTCAGCGCCTGGTACCACGGAGGCAGGAGATGTAGAAAATGATATCAATCGGTATTTCACTCAATTGGCATCTTTCTATTTTGGCGAGAATGACTTCAGCTTGAGGACACAAGCTTATGATGACATGCTCTGGGTGGTCCTTGACTGGCTGGAAGCCATAAAGTTCATTGACTTGCACTCGGACCTACACCACGAGCAAGCCTCAGTAAAGAACAAGAATGAAAATATTTCGCAATGGTATGCCCGCCAATTCATCCCCCAATTCGCTCATCGCGCCCGCCTCTTCTACGACATCGCATCTCGAGGCTGGGACACAAACCTGTGTGGTGGTGGGATGGTCTGGAACCCACGACTCACTCCATACAAGAACGCGATTACGAATGAACTTTACATCACCGCGAGTATCAGCATGTATCTCCACTTCCCCGGCGACTCAAATCACTCCCCATTTGTGGTCGATGCGTACGAACCCCAGATGCTACCAGCCGCGAAGGCACATGATAAAAAATACCTCCACAACGCTGTCCAAGGCTACAAGTGGCTCAAAGAGAGCGGGATGCGCAATGAACAAGGCCTTTACGTCGACGGCTTCCATATTGATGGATGGAGGGGTGGCAGGAGTCCGAGCAACGGCAGCGGGGAGTGTGATATGAGAAATGAAATGGTCTATACGTACAATCAAGGTGTCTTGCTCTCAGGATTACGCTATCTTTGGGAAGCGACGGGTGAGCTTGAATATCTAGAAGATGCGCATGAGTTGGCGCGCGACGTCATGATTGCCACGGGGTGGAGTGGAAGGGATCTACCAGGCAAATGGCGCTGGGCAGGGCTGGGCAGAAACGGCGTTATGGAAGACGCTTGCGATTGGAGCGGCGGCTGCAGTCAGAATGGGCAGACATTCAAGGGCATTTTCTTCCACCATTTCAATATCTTTTGCGCAGCGCTACCTGTAATCCCTGACGATAGTGACAGACCGTGGCTACGACGTGGAGAGATTCATACATCGCATCAAGAGCTCTGCGAAGGGTATGGCGAATGGGTGGTGAGAAATGCGGAAGCTGCGATGGCAACCAAAGATGAAAATGGAGAATTTGGGCAATGGTGGGGGAGGCAGGCTAGCACTGAGGCCGATGGCAATCCCGAAGATGACCCCAACAATAGGCTTGAGCAGCCAGCGATCAATGGGACAGACCTCATGAATAATGGTATTCCAATAGGAGAGCTTTGGCGACTCCCTGAAGAGGACCCTGCAGCGTCGAATCCTTTGGTCAGAGGAAACACGTGGCGGGGCATGCAACAGTCTCTCTACATAAGATCTGAAAAGCCTCATAGCCATTGGGATCTTAATGATCGTGGACGAGGCAGAACGGTGGAAACGCAAAGCGGTGGACTTGGAGTGGTGCGAGCGGCATGGAATTTATTGGCGAGCAAGTCGACACGATAACCATAATCTACGAAATATGATGGAATGTACAGCGACAAGAGCACGCAGATGGATTGGATGTAAAATTAAAATACTGTATGGACCTCAACTGATGGCTTCCAATATCTATGCCCTATTTCGTCCGAGCGCATACGGTCTACTGTTGAGTGGCTGCTCTCAGTCATCACAGGTCATCTTCCTCTGCACGACACTGCCTTCACAACAACACACTACGTGCTTTTGCAATTCGAGTCTTCATTTTGATAGTACAAGTACCCTACGTTTTACCTCAGCAAGTTCATCACCACCTACTTGACAGTTGGTTGAAACCATCAGAGCCATGGCAAACAATGTAACACGTGAAAGAGCCTCACAAAGTAAACGAAGGATCTGCAGGCGGGTCAAGTGAGCCTGGATAGAAGCCCACACGGTATCAATCACTAGCAGTGGCGATGGTAGATACGTGGGAATGAGGTAATATTGAGGGGAGGCAGTGCTCAGCAGAGCCTTGTGAGCCTAATCTATTCGCGGTAGAACGCTAGAAGGAACAGCATTCCGCGCTAGAAGGTCTGTTTTCCTTCCACCGGCTCTCATTCGTCACTGCCGTCACGTGGAGCGGAATCTAGGGCAGCGCTAGGACTCGGCGAGGCTGTCACGATTCACTGCGCCCTCCACTCTGACCCAACAACGACGACCACCAACATTATTGTTGGTGTATATATGTATCCTAGAAATCCTCAAGACCTCAAGACCCAAACTTATCTGCCTCACTCTGTCATTTAAGTAATGTGAACTCTTTCTATTTCTACAGCCATCTGCATCTGCATTCATTCACTTACAATGCCTCTCACAAAAGATTCTCCAGTCCCACCAACCCTAGAAAAGAACGGGCTCCCAACGCCACCTGAGGATGAGTCTCCACCTCCAGCTTACCGCCAGACAGCAGAGGAAGCACCTCCTGACATCACCGCCGCCTTCTCCAACCTCAATCTCGCATCCTCCGATTTCCCAACTTCCGACCAATGCCTAGCTCACCTCAAATTCCTCGAGACACTCTACCAATTGCGCGAAGATATCGAGACAAGAGATGGGCTCTTCGGCGTCAAAGACTCCTTTAACCTGGAGCACGAAGGCACAGAAGCTCATGCCCGGGTTGTTTCGACCATTAGGCAGAAACGGTGGGCGGTCTACGTTTCGAAAGCTGCTCAGCGGTTTGAGAAATGGTGGACTCATGCTGTTCAACCAGGAGCCGAGAGATTGAATGGATACAACATGACGACACAGTTATCGAGATTCGTGTACGAAGGAAAGGCCTTGAAATTTGAAGCCCATGACTTGCCTCCCTTAGGTCGGTACTACAACCATCGAGCGTTGAGATCAATCGCTGACTAGCTTCCAGATGTACTCATGGTATGGCATGCATACCTCCTTAATCCACGTGACTGCCTGGAAGATTGTTTACGATATGGTAAATTGGACTTCTGGCGAGCTGGTTTCCCTTGGGAAGCAGTCAATGCTAGCATCGACAACAATACCTTTGAATATACAGCATCGCGCTATGTCAAGACTGCATGGACGCAGAAGACCGGCTGTGTTTGGGAGAGCCTCGAGGATCTTGCTCACGCTGTCGTCAAATGCCCAATGTGCATGAAAGACATGTCCGTCCCCTGGACAGGCTACACGCGACCCGGAGACTTTTGGCGTGACGGTGCAGACGTTCACGAGACGCTTGCCAATGGGTTTGCTGACAAAACGATGCGATATGTCTGTCAATATTGTTCAACCGTCATACGGCATGACGATCTTAAGCTGGAGAAATTCTGGCTTGACTATGGCGCTTTGAAAAATCCGAGCATGAAGTATCCCATGCCTGGCACTGTTCTGACAGTTGATGGTATGTAAAGCAGCTCATATTTGCACAGCATCTATTCTGACCAGTCACTAGGTATACCTGATCCTGTTTCAATGAAATCTAGAGAGATGCAATTTCCAAATCACCTCCTCACAATCAAAGATCCCCTGCTAGAAAGTCGTATCCGTTCAAGAACCTCTCCTGGCCAGGGCTGGAAGTCTATGGATGGCATCCGCATCGAGATCGAGGAGCTGCTCAAGGATAGGAATGTTCGTCATGAACTCGTGGGCACCGTCTCCGGCGGCTACAAAAAGGGCGAGCGCATCGCAATCCGCCGCATGATGTCCCGCTACTGGGACAACTTTTCCCCCTTCGCCCTCGATCTGGTCGGGGCTGTGATCCGCCAAGGCTCCTTTATCGAAAAAATGCACTCCATAGACTGGATTCACTCGCCCGCAGCCACGTCAACTATGAAACGCCTCATCACCAAATACGACCGCTACATGCACATCATTGCGTGGCACCCCTCGCACGTCGCAGTCCCCACCCTTGACGTCGACCTAGCCTGGCACACCCACCAGCTCTCACCAGCCTCCTACTACCACTTTACAACCCTAAAAACCAACAACATCTTCATCGACCACGACGACAAGATCGATGAAACAAAGCTCTCCGACTCCTTCGAATGGACCTCCAAAACCTATCAGAAAAAATACAAAGAGCTCTATTCCGAATGTACATGCTGGTACTGCGAAGCCATCCGCGAATCCCACACTAGCTCCCTCTCGCGCGTTCTCTCGACATCTAACCCTACGATCGACGACCAGCTCGAGAACCTCCACGCCGCCCCCGCCGCAGGCTTCGGCCCGCACATCAGCGCCCACAACGCCATCCGTCCCGCCACCCAGAAAGATCGCTCCATCAAGGAGAAAGCGCTCAAAGCGAAACTCGAGCGCGAGTACCAAAAAGCCGTCAAGCGCGCCACCAAAGCCGGCAGACCATTACCCGATCGTAAAGCCTATACGCCTTACCCCGCCCCTTCCTCTACCAAAGGCGAGAAGAACAAAGACGCCCCGAACGCTGGGCTGGCGTATGGCTACTACCCTCTGATCTTCCCGTTCTACGCTCCCTATATGGGCGACCCGACTGTGTGTGGGGATAATTACGCCGCGAACCCCGCGTGTGCGACTTTCGTGTCGGGCGCGAGTGGGAATTGTGCGGCGGGCAGTTGTGGGGGTGGGGTCGCTGCTGGTGCGTGTGGAGGGGGCGCGGGGGGTGTTCGGGTGGAGGTGTTGGTGGATGTGGTGGAGGCGGTGGCGGAGGAGGAGGGGGTTTTGGAGGGTGTGGAGGCGGTGGTGGTGGTGGGGGCTGTGGAGGCGGAGGCGGAGGGGGGTGTTGAATTCGATGGATGTGGAGAAGGAGAGAGGGAGGGGATTGGAGGGAGGTGGAAGAAGTAGAGGAAGGGGAGGGATGAATGAGTGATGAGTGATGAGCAATAGATGAGCTGTGATACCCCTCTTCATTCGTTATTCGCAATATTTTGATATTCTATTTCTGTATGTATGTATTCAGTGTCGATTTGATCAAGCAACATCCCATCTCATCCCATCGTATCGGCATCGCAATCTGATCACTCCTTCATTCCCCCCTTTTGCATCTGCCTGCCTGTCTATCCGTCTGTCTATCCGTCACTCCCGCCTCCCGCCTCCCGCCTCCTCCCAATTCTCGATTCGCTACTTTCTTTCGCCCCTTTGCGCTCCCGAGTGCCGCTCCTCCATCCCCCTAGTTGGAAGAATTAGATAGGGACTGGATAAGGAAGGGAGAGGAAGGAGGTCTAGTGAGGTGTGTGCTCATGGCATAGGACGGATTGGGATGGAGAGATAGGAGGGGAGGAGAAGAACAGAGGGTGGAGGGTGGGGAAAGGGGTGGAGGAAAAGGGGTGGAGGAAAAGAGGTCATATTTCATGTCCTGTTCTGTGTTTGGTCGTCTACCTGACTGCGTAGGCCTATCGTACATCATTAATTATCTTCAATGTGTGGATCTAGAGATCATTTCTGTGGCGAATTATCCATCCATTCATGCATCCAGCCGACGATTCATTCAACTGTGTCTCTGAGCATGGAGGACCGTCTGGCTTTCTGCTCTGCTCTGGTGTGGTTGTAGCATGTGTCGATCTAGTGTGAGGTTCTGTTGAAGCAAGAGCGTGAAGCGCCCCTGATCATGGTGGCGTGCTTGGTGTGAGGTCTGGTGGGATAGCGAAGTGCGAAATCTTGGGTTGAGATGTGTCGTGAGCGAGAGGGAACGGTGAGGGTCGAGCAGTAGCGATATGAATATATCTGGGGGCTGACATCACTCATGGATGATACGTCGGCTATGCTCCAGCTCCTTAATTGTGTGCGACTCCACGCATCTGGCGGTTGGCTTTGATCGTATGCTCCTAAGGTGTCCGACCTGGTAGCTTTCAGTCCTTTTCCTCCATATCCTTCTCCGTCAGCAGAGAATGCACAGGTGCTCCCAATTTCTCCCGCCCTTTCAAGAATTCCAATTCCAGCAAGAAAATGTAGCCCAGCAAGACCCCACCCAATTTCTCGACAAGATCCCCGCAGGCGGCTGCTGAACCTCCTGTCACACGTATCAGCCACTGTGCCCTCGTCAATTTGTAGGATACTTGCCTGTAGCGATCACATCATCAACAACCAGCACCTTCTTCCCCTTCGATATCCCCTCCGCTTGTATCTCGAACTTGTCCACCCCGTACTCTTTCTGATACTCCGCCGTCTCAATCTTCCCCGGCAGCTTCCCGGGCTTCCGTACAGGCACGAAACCGATATTGAGGAGACGGGCGAGGGAGGGGCCGAAGAGGAAGCCTCGAGCTTCAAGGCCGACGATGAGATCAGGCCGGTTCTCTGGGGAGAAATTGAGCGTGATCAGAAGGTTGAGGGCGTTGAGTAGGGTGGTGTGGGTTTGCGGAGAGTAGAATAGAGGGAGGATGTCGTAAAAGAGGATGCCTTGCTCTGGGAAGTCGGGGTAGCTGGGGATGTGGGACGTGAGGAGGGATTTAGCGGCGGTGATGTATGCGGTTGTTCTTGCTCGATCGGAGGGATCAGGTGGGGAGGCTAGGCTGGTTGAGGATTGAGCTTGGGGTTGGGATTGGGTGTCTAACGTCCGACTGGCGAATTGGGAGGTGGAGGAGGTATGGGGGGAGGGGAGTCTGTCTTTGGCTGGGGCATTGAGAGGTTTTGTGTCTGAGGTTGGTTGTGAGGATGAGTGGGCTGTGGAGGACGTGGCGTCTGGATGAGAGGGGCCAGATGGAGGGTGAGAGGAGGTGGAATCGAGGATGGCAGGTGGGTGTTGAGAAGAGGAGGACATGGCTTGGGCAAATTAAGTAAGTGAGATAGAACGCGTGGTCAGATAGTGTGCATCATTTGGCGCAGGATTAGACCGTAGAAAGGCTAAGGTTGATTACGGACAAAGGAAAGGCTGAGTCGAGTGTGGAAGGTGTTGAGCTGCTGCCTTGTTGGATTAGATCGCGGTTAACGCTTCTGGCTGAGTCGATTGAGGGTGCGTTGAGATGGCGTGTTGACAATATTTTTCCCTAGTGGCTCACAAAACATTGACCTAAAAAGGACGCGATAGCGTGCTCCGATCAGGCCCAAAGCCTAATGCTGCCCCACCACACAAAAGACCAGGGAAAGACGCAGTGATTTGCTCGTTCTGCTGCACGGACATCGGATCGGAAGGTCCGCAACGGCGGTGAATGATGATAGACTACTGTCTTTACTCTTTACTGCTCGTCCCCCTATCCAAACCTTCGTATGATCTACGTATCCTTACGTGATCTATTGTTCCAATATTCCCCGGACGATAGGACAGGCATCTCTGGAGAATCATTTCACTGTAGCATGGAACAGCATGCTGTTTAACTACATCATCAATCTGCCATATCAAACTGCAATCCCCCCCATATCATCCACGGACCCATCGAGAGATGTCGTGGCCATCGTGCAGTACAAGTGCAGCCTAGGCGGAGGCCAGGACAGCGGCCACTTGTGGGGTATCTATTCGCTTATGCAGGCGAACCGGGCGGGGGGCACCGTGCACTTTCTTCTTCCTTCCTTTGTTCGTCCCCTCAGCTTTGATGGTCAACCCAACGTGCTCTGACCAGGACCGTATCTGAGCATTTAAGGTTTGACTCCACGCGGTGCGGTGAGGAAGTTCCTTGTGCATTTGATACGGGGGTGTCCTTTCTTCCATTCAATTCGGTCGATCATGTCACGCAGGCCAAGAGGGCTGAGATACCCCCACTGCAAGCAAATTCCCCTCGCGTGGGGGCTTGGACGAGTGAGAGTAGAAGCCCACGTCTTCGACCTTTCTCCCAAGCTGAGAGATGCTCACGCAATATGTCGTGTTGGGCAATGGGACAAGGGTGTAGCTTGAGTATAGTGATCGTAAGTGCTATCGATTCGAGGAGGAGGGCCTAGAAGCAAGGTTCCCGAAGCTTTCCGCCTGCATCAGCATCAAAGGACCGCCCGGTCGGAAATGATAGTGCCATGATCGACGTCGTGGCGGGTTTTATGCATATTCCAGCCCAGGAAGCTAGAATCTGACTCAATCATCCGAGACAAAGTGACACTTCCGACCGACTCATCCGAGACATTTTCCACATACAGAAACGGGTAGACTTGTCACTATGGCTCCGCATTCGCTCTTTGTGCTCTTCGCTTTAAGACAGACCGATAGATGCCTATCATGCGAATTCTGGACCCGAGGTCGTGGTCCGAGCCGATGATTCGCATGCTTGTGCGTTCTACGAATGCCATCTTCGAAATTTCATGAGAAGCTTTGATCACGTCCTTGCAGGATCCCACGCTGTCAATCACATGCACGGCTACCGCCCAAAATGCAAGCTCCCCGCAAAATAGGAGCATCAGGTCTAGAATCCGACAGTTCGAGTACCTGGAGAACCGGAAAACTAGCAGGCTGAGGTGAACGCACGAAGAATCGGGAGAAAGTGAAGGCTGATCGACGATGATCATTCCCGTGTTGACTTTGACCGCACCTTCAGAAACATGAATAAGCGCTGAGACTCCAGCTCGTATACTCAATCGACGATGACAGATTTAGAGACGAGTGAAGTCCCAGTGACTGCGTCTTGATGATTTAGAGCAGCCCACTTACTCGGTGGATGAAGAAAGAGAATGGCCGTTCCATAGTGCAAGGTTTTAATTGCCTCAAAGGACTCGTTTTGCTGACTTCTATTTGCTGCAGAGCATCTCACTGCCGTTTCTGCGATGAGACATCCATGTCTGCTTCTATATGCGTTCTAGATCTGCACTACTTTGCTGTCCCTCGTCCCTCTGGACAGGCGTGGATTTATTGGTTGCAGACAGAATTTTCGTGCATTTTCCTACGTGCTGCGCCACTTATTCAAAGACCGTCGTCGGGGTATGTGTCTCTGCTCCCGGAGACGATTTTTGAACGAGAGACTTTCCGGCTTAGCAGCGGCTGGCTGGATGTCAGAGGTGCGGCTGACACAATTGACGTGCGTGGTTGGGGCCAACGTTGCTGATTTCCCAGGTTAGCTGGTCCAGAACCAGAGATGACACTCCTTACAACAGAATATGTGTGAAACCGGTGCTGAATATCCAGGCAAACGACTGTTGACGACTGGGACTGCCGGGCATGCGTCATTTCGCTGAGCAAGGGGAAGCATAACTTGGTAATGACTTGTTGTCCGAGTCGTGTTGTAATCTTGGTTTGCGAGAAGCTTTGGTAGATTACTACATCACGGTTCGCGATGTCTCAGTAATGTGAGAGGCTCAAAGAAGCGTGGGGCCGCAGGATCCGGGGAAGTTAAGCCTGTGTTGCTGGCACCTCTGATATTGGATACCACGTGGTAACAGGGACTGAGGGCAGGTGATCGACATTGCTAATCAACGCTTTGGCTTCTCAAGAGTACCTTCTTAGTGGCATGTCTTTCGTACCTCTCATGTCGCGTATCTCAAGTTGATTTCCCCTTTCGCAAGGATTCGTTCAGATTGCCATGGGACTGACTGGTTGCAATTGCCTTCCTATCTCACACGTAGCGATGACAGCATGCTCAACACCCAGCTGCTTCATGTATTCCGAGACGTGCATATTTTCAATGCTATCGATGCTATCGACGATACTTCCCCGCATGAAGAATGATCCTCAAACCCCTGACCGAGCTAGTGCTAACCAAGCGGGAAGGACCTCACTGGTGCCAAAAAATTCGCCGAGATTGACGGCCAGGGGGCGGGAAGGGGAAGAAATGACGAGCTATGTGCAAGTGGCTTGTTTAGTGGCCTCGGTCTGTATGGCTCAGGGCAGCTTAGCGTTGAAGGATCACCTTTCTAGCGATTATAGACCCCATCACTTGTCCTCTTTAGGCGAAAGCTCCTTGTGCTTGGCCTTTTCTGCTGGCTTCGAAAAGGCTCCCTCAGACCGACGACACCATCCCGCTTTATGTGCCCTTGCAGGCTTCCCCAGAGCCGCCGAAGCTCGAATCATATCGTGCCTTTTAAGGTTGATCGGATTGGTGTCGTTCCGCTATCTTTGCTTGTACCGTACTCACCACAGAGAGTCGACTGCCATTCCTATCAACCATGTGTGAGAAGCCATGGAACATACCGTCTTAGATGCGGCTAGAACGCCCCCTGCGTCAGCGGTGCTGTGTGCTTCCAAATGCACGCATGTTCTGCAGTTCTACTTGCATGATCAGAGTGGTGGGATAATAATTTAACGTTCGCAAGGATGCTATTTGCGAAACCAATCGTCAGCCGAGTATGGTGCTTTGATGCTGTACTGTCACGATATTGATTGGGTGAACATGAGGTCATGCTGACTGGTCATGGAAGTCTCCTCTCTTATTACTTCTTGGCAGGTCCACTCTGGTCTTGGTGGTGTGGTCGGTTGTTTGAAGCGATAGGTGAGCCTTGCCACTCCTGTGCTGCATGTGAGGGAGCGGCCTCGAAAACGATTTGAGGGGTTGGATGATCGGGGCTAGATGGAAAGTTCCAAACTTCCATGTGGGAACGTTCCTCGGGGGCTGATAAGCTTGAATCGTAGAGCTATTTTGTTGAAGTAGCGTCGTCGGCCTCCTCTTCCGACATCTTGCATCTGTATCTCCTTTCATCATCCCAAGAAGATATTCGGCACAGCACCTTTACGGGCCATTCGATTCGAACGTAACGTGTATTAAGTGCCCAAATACTCCTTCGAACTTTGCTTAAAGTTTCCTCGTACTGTCTCTGACCCCTCCATCAATGCCACACCACACAAACACAATGGCCGCTGCTTGTCCATGGGATACGCCTGGTGAAGAGAAGCAGCCACAGCAATTTGTGCTCGCAGACGCAAGCACACTCCGTTCCCTTTCGGATGTAGATACGCAGGAGGAGCAAGAAAGGTGGACAAAGATGCAACACCGGCGAGAGAAAGAGTAAGTCATGCCACAGATGGTTATTTTAATCCGTGTGCATTGCTGATTTGGTCAACAGACTCCAGCAGCAGGAGGTCGCTGAAGAGTATAACGCTGTCACACCCGAAAGAGAATACGATGATCGAGACGCGCCATCAGCTTTTTCAATTCTCTGGGGCAGCAAGAAATCCAAGACTGAGAAGCCAAAGATGCCCAAACCGAAGAAATCATTCCTTGGCAAAATCAGGACGACAAAGAGGGATGAGAAGGGCAACGAGTGGAAGAAGATCCCGTGAAGCAGGCATTGGAAAGATAAAATTACATTTGACATAGCGGCGTTTAGCGTGACGATAATATTTGGCATGAATACCCCCGGCAAAGGAAACTTCAACTTTGAGGTGACGATGGACGAGGCGGCATACGGGTGAAATGTGTATTTGTACGAAATGGTGGAAGATGTAAATAGATGAATAAGCGTGTTGGTAAATGCTGGCGCGTAGTGAGAAATCAAATGTCGTCCAGATCCTACTATACCATTTGCAAGACTCAATGAAGCCCATTCCATGCGCCACGCTATGCACGATAACGTCTCCGTACCTTACATCTTTACACCAATCAAATATGGATAGCGTATTGTCATGAATCCTCCTGCCGTTGCACCACTTCTGTGGCCTTCTCGGCCGTCGCAGCTTCGATCTCCCTTTCCTCCCTGCCCTCCTCCTTATCATCATCAACAGCCATATCTCCTTCATCCATCGCATCGTTGCCAGTATCTGTGGCAACATTTCCGGGCAGCGTTGGGTCGGCAGCGATCTGTTCTGGAGAGTCTGGTGGAGTCGCTTCCTGGGCAGCCGTTCCGTTTGCTGCACCGTTGACGTCGTCGTCAGCCATATCGACATCCTCATCTTCATCGTCGGCTGCTTCGCTGTCACCAACGTCACTGTGATCAATGCCGTTCGTTTGGCCTCGGCCACTACGAGCTGACGCAGCACGACTGCCACCAACAATGCTCTCATCATCGGCCACTGCAAGGGGGTTTTGGAAGTCCATCATGTTTCTCCGCCTCTTGACACCATTTCTGTGTCCGCGCCCACCGTTCAGTTCTGCCTCATATTCGTCTTCACTTTCACTGAGCTCGCCGTCTTTCTCAACATATTGATCGAGACGGCGTTTCGTGTGGCGGACGTCAGGGTTTTCGTCCTCATCGGCATCATCTAATTCTGCATCGGCTTCGTCGTTGTACCCCTCTGGGTCGCGTGGTACGTCTTGCTGCTGTACGGAGGGCGCGTGGACTGTTTGCCGAAGATTTTCTATAACTTGTATCTTGATCTTTTGAAGGTAGTCGCCGGAGTTGGCATTATCCATGTTAGAGGGCCGTACATCGAGCTCGTAGTCCGGCGCATAGTACTGGGAGGGTCAGTGGATGATGACAGACACGGTTGCAAGAGGTGCTCACTTCATAATAATCATTGAACGGCAACTCTGGACCCATTTTTTGTCCGACGAGGAGACCAGTCTCATATGCCCACGTCCTGGAGACATTTCGCATTGTGTATCCACCTCCTCCTAGGACCAAGACTGGAAGATTGAAGCTTTTGACAAAGTTGACGCAATTTGCGTGTCCGTTCATGCTGAGGTTGAAGCATCCTAACCGATCGCCTGAGAGGCTGTCTCCACCACATTGTAGTACAATCGCATTTGGCCTGTAGTAGTCCATTACGCTCTGGATGACCGGCTCAAATATTTCTTTGTAGGATTTGTCGTCAATGCCATCTCTTAATGGGAAGTTCACCGCGTAATGCTTGCCCGACCCAACGCCTATATCGCGCAACTCTCCGGTGCCGGGAAAGTACTCGCCATACTTGTGAAATGAGACAGTCATGACTCGGTCAGTAGTGTAAAAGGCTTCTTCTACACCATCACCATGGTGAACATCAATGTCGATGTAGAGGACTCTGTGGTTGTACCGTAAAAGCTCCAATATGCCCAAAACGATGTCTGTACTGGTAGTCAGTGCGCGGCCTTGGAGTAAAGTGTGAACCTACCATTAATGTAGCAAAAACCGCTGGCTTCGCTCTTTTTCGCGTGATGAAGGCCACCCGCCCAATTTATCGCAACGTCACACTTCCCTCTATTCAATCTTGCAGCGCCTTCCATACTGCCACCGGCGCTGATGCCGCAGAACTCGAACAAGCCGTCAAATACTGGACAGTCGTCTCCGACGTTGAATCTTCCCTGCTCTTTCTGATATTGCTCCATGTTATCTGGCGTGACCTTCTTGAGGAATTCTACATATTCGTCGGTGTGGAATTGGGCCATTTCGTAGTTCGTCGCAGGTTTGGCTCGCTAGATTCAGTCAATTCCTGAAGCAAGGGATGACATACTGCGCGCTCGAACGCAGTCGGCTGCTGCACTTTGAGGAGATGTGGAGCATAGCACGTACGTATATTTCCATCTTCTTGTAAAGCTCATAATTCATGATAAGGCTATGAGCCATCCGTATTCTGTGAGGTTTCATAGGATGGCCCGCCACATAGGCGTAATTGCCCACATCAGAGTCGTAGAAGTACGCAACAGTTTTCTTGTCGGATGGGTTGCCCAATGAAGGGGCGTCTACCGGCCCTACTTGAGTTCCCATTGTGAAACAGAGAAGCTAGGGGTTCTGTCGAAGTGAGTACAGACAATGGGACTATCAAGTACCGAGATTTTGAAAGTCGGTGCTAGTAGTAGCGCAGTAAATCAGGACGAGGGCAGCTTCCCATACCGGCGGTCATCACATACGCTACCCGGTGATAGCTGGAGATGCTTGGCATTCCGGCCTCGGTCTAGATTAGGGCTTGCACAATTATCGGCTCCACTTCAATGACGCCCAAACTGAGGATTGCCTCAGATCAGCTTGCTCTTGGAAGTTGTACCTGGGGATCTGAGACTGTTCAGAGTTTGAGATCTGACATCCTGGCTCAGGGATCTCGTATGCGTTTTACGACAAGCACGGACAGTCTGTTTGCAATAATTTTGTGGATGCTTTTTCTCAGACCTCTGGCAACCCTGCATAGCTGCTGGGCTTCTGTATCTGTAATTTGATTCGGAACGTCTTGCTTTCGCCTCAAAAAGGCCAATCATCACCGACTATGTCCACCCCAGACCTTCCAGCCTACAAAGCCGACTTCCTGTCCGCCTGTCTACGCGGCTCCGTCATTCAATTTGGCTCCTACACCCTCAAATCCGGCCGCACGGGCTCCCCCTTCTTCTTTAACGCCGGTCTTTTCCTAACCAATGCATCCCTCTTCCACTCAATCCAGACAGCCTACGCCCAAACTCTTCTCCAATCCACAGTCTCTCACCCAGACTTTGGCTTCGACGTCCTATTCGGGCCCGCCTACAAGGCTATTCCTCTCGCTGCAGCTACATTCTCAGAGCTCGCTAGATTGGATGGGGCAAAATTTGGGCACGTTGGTTGTGCTTTCAATAGGAAAGAGGTGAAGGTTCACGGCGATGGTGGAAGCTTGGTGGGAGCAAAATTGGAGGGCAAAAGGGTAGTGGTGCTAGATGATGTTCTCACGGTGGGTACAGCGGTGAGGGAATCTGTGGATATTATAAAAGCGCAGGGAGGAACCCTCGCGGGAATTGTGATTGCTTTAGATCGAATGGAGAAATTGCCATCTACAAAAGAAGGGGAAGAGGCACCAAATATTAGTGCCATTGCGCAAATGCGAAGAGACTTTCAAGTGCCAGTACTGAGCATCATCTCGGTGCTTGACCTTGTAGAAGTCCTCAGAGCGAGTGGAAGCGAAGGCGATTTGCAGCGGATCATTGAATATAGGAAGTTATGGGGAACTGAGGAATGAGATAATTTGGATAGATGTCGAAGATGGTTAACTGACCTGAGCGCATGGATACGAGAGTATTACGGCGTCGGCTCGCTCTGGATATGCTACCCACGATATTCTTGTCAAAAATGGGCCACAATTCTCGGCCATAAAAGCACCTCGTAGGTACCTCAGAGATAAGAGCATGGCTAGAGGAGGGACTACGGCATATGAAAATCCTGCCAGCCCTGGAGCATCCCCATGCTCAATTTGATGATTCAAGACTCGGGTGGCTGGCGCATGTGTTCGGTATTGCTGCATCTCAAATGCCAGTCGGGGAGAGATTTCGTAATGGCATATCCTGCTACAAAGGGTTTAAATACCATGATGACGCATCACGACGACATTGCATGACCCCAAACAAATCTTCGAGCTTGCTCCGGCAGCATGGCAATCTAAGATCGTGAAAGCTCTGACACCGACTTCAGACAAAGGGAACCCAGACTCAGTTCGAATACGTCAATCTTGAAATGGGCGGAGAGGACTCTCAAATTGTACATGAAGCCGTGGGCCCTAGACAAATTATACGACCTGAAGAGATTGTCTGTTGTCTTTCCTGTTTCCATAGACTACATATGAAGCCTGCGTCTGACGTGGTGTGATGTCGTGCTCGTTGCAGCAGATCTCGAAATATACTATCGAATTTCATCTTGCGCTTACAATTGTACAAAGTAAGAGTCCACTCAGATCACGAAAAATCTTGAAAGTCATGGCGCATTGGTGTCGAAGCTGCCTCTGCAGTCGATCGTTGAAAATCATCTGGTCGATGATATATGTAAGAAGTTATTTATCCAATAAAGGAGGAGCCTTACTCGCAGTATCTGCGGCAACTATGGAAGCCAGGCTTCGCAGTCTGGTGTAAACATGACACCCTCCCAGAACGTTTGCAATTGTCTTCCCTGACGGCCATCATTTCCCGCCATGCTTTAACATCCTTTAGCAGCCTTTCCCTGACGAAACATTGCCCGATTGACCTCTTCATCTTGGAAGGCCACCCCTCGTTGATTTGAAGTATCCGCATCCGCGTATATAAAGGCTCGACATTCCCCAAATTCCTGGATTCTGTCTTGGATAAGGGTTTCAAGCAAGGTTCTTTCAAATGGAGAGTTGCCCTCGTAGGTACTAGCGAATTTCATGAGGGACATGGAGGGGGAGATGGTGATCTCGGTGATGGCATGAGGCTTGTGTCATGCATAGGTGGTGAGGCCACGTCAGGGGCAATTTTGAGGAGGAGCCTACCAAATATGATTTCTGAGCAGCACCGAGAGTCTCTGCAGCATATGATAGTCTTTGCACCAAGTACCTACGTGCCTCTAGATAGCGCTGGATGATAGTGCTGTGTGAAAAAATCTCGTCGTTATAATCGACACTTATTATCAAACTGGTGAGATTTGGGAAGCGTGAGATGTGTGGCTCAAGACCCGGGACAAAACATCGCCCGGGGCAGCCTGCCATCTGCTGCACAGCTTTCTGGGCTGGTCAATTCGAAAGTGTAGGACTTCAACGTTCAGCATTTGACGAGATTGCGAAAGGCTGTCTACTGGTCTGCCTGATTCGTTGCTATTGTCAAAGTAGACGCGTCGCAGAACAGTGGGGCCGACCATCTTGTAGAAAGACAAACGGATTCGACTTCCATAGATCAAAATTATGGTTTAAACAGCCTGAGCTGAAACTTGACAATGGCTGCTCGTCCCTATTTCAACTTTATTGCGAAAGAGGTAAGATCCCGTCTTTCCTTTAAGCTCGCATTTGCAGGCCGAACCAGGAGGATGATGTCTACCGGCAAATCATTAAGCCTGGCACATATTATGAATGGAGACGACTTGGAGAGCTGAAGACGAATGTTTTGTCTGTTCAGTACTGCGTAACGTGAAAATTGAAATTGAATTCGGCTTTCAAAACTAGGTCATGAGTTTTCCACGAAATATTTCAAATATTATTAGAACTACGCAAGTAAGGCTGTCCAACAAATTTGCGTGACTTTGTACTCATAATGTCAGAGAGGTCATGAGGTTAAATAATCACAGAGACTTGGCAGGATGTATCGCCATGCCCGAGCCTCCGGCAGACGTCTGATTACTCGGCACGGCGAGATTTTTTCCCGAGATAAAACGATCTGCCAAGCCTGACGTGTTTACATCAGTGGAATCGCACCAGCTCAGGTTCACCTGGTCTCATCTACACTAAGTAACACTCCCTGCGCTGAAGAATTTATGACGAGAGCAGTTGTGGAGCTCAGGCTATTGGCTCAAGAATTTCATGTAGACCATGGGCTCGAAAAGCTTAGGCATGAGGACCCTAGCTGCATTTGTCTTTGTTCCATGTGACTGGGAGAGATCTAGAGATGCATATTGCTTCAAGACTGAGGAACTGGGATGGGCCAAAGGGGATCAAGGCTGGACGGAAAGCGAGCAAGAGCGACGTGACACTTTTGTAGTTCTAGATGTCACCTCGACTGTACTTCTGTCTCAGTATAATGTTCATTCCGCGAGTCTTGACCTAAAGTGCCATAACAATTCTTCCGCCGAGTGAAAACCGCGCTTTGATTTTTCATGAATGTCTCCTTGTCGTAAAGCCTTCACAGCTACTTCGGCAGCCAACCCCCGAAAATTGCGTACACGTGTACCCGTCGACATTACTCCTCTGCAAACGAGCAGACGCTCTTGAAAAAAAAGAACATCTTGAGGGCTAATACTTTTGGCCAAAGTAGCTGTAGACGCGTCCTGCTTGTGTGTGAGACAGTAGAGCTTTTTAGTTCGTCCTCGGAGGCAGAGGTGGCCGGTAACGGAGAAGAGCAAGGAACGAGATTCATGCTTGCTAAGATGGTAGGACCATGAGTGAGTTGTCGACCTTGAGATCCTGGAGTCTTGTCTCTCACCTTCATGAATCTGCCGATAGCATACTATCTCCGTCTCTTTAAACGTCCCATATTGAATTCTTCGGTTGCCAAAGCAAATGCTCTCCTGGCCGATGGCTTTCATCGTTTCTGATTCGATCAGCCGAAGCCTGTGACGTACTGAAAGGGTTCTTGATTACTCGAGGCTCCCTGGCAACGCCTACGGACTGTCAACCCCGTCCGAACCTGAGTCGCAGGGTGTGGATTACTGATCCCGTGTCGACACCGTTGTAGTAGTGCTCTCTCAAATCTCCCCATTATTACGTTTGTGACGTGATTCTGTGAATGTCGGCGTCTTGGGCGCAATGGTCGATGATACAGGTCTCAGAGACAGAGAATGTAGCGTTGGGCGCCGTAGGATAGGGGTTGTGCCTGATTCCCAAGCTCTTTCAAAGACCATCATTAGAGGGAAGGACAAGGAACGCCTGGCGCATTAGCACACGTCAGATTCATGAAATGGACGCATCCTGGGCTCTCTGCATCCACAGCAGGGATTGCTATGTCAGTGGATTTTTGTGAGACTTTTCCAGAGCAGGTCTTTACTGAGTGCCAGTCACTCTTCCTGCCGCCGGCTGGGATGCTGTCCCTCTACCTGCGTGCATTTGACTCCATGACGCGGCGATCGAGCTGCAAGGGAAAATATAATAGAATCGACGATGCGTAACATCATTGATGTCAAAATCAAATCCTCCGCATATGATCCAGAAGAGATTGCGTTGTCAGCCCAGCCTTGATAATCGCGCACCTCGCGCAGCAAAGTCCACTCTCGACCGCAGGGTGGGTAGCAAGGGGTCAGTACAAAGTCATTGTAGCATGGGAGATCGACAGGCAACGATGGCGTATCGTTGGTGAAATTTCCCCTAGCTGATTATTCATTAGCTCCAGGGGCACTGCGCGTCATCTACCTTATTTTTCCTTTCCAACGTCGCGACGCGTGTGTCAATCCTCTCTGTTGTGAGGCTATCAGTATTCTCGTTTTGTTGCGTTAGAGTACCTCGTGTCAAAGTACAGAGACAAGTGCAGCGTCATGGGACCATGACTTCATTTGCCGTTGTTCGATATGCTCGATCGTCAATCCAGCTGCCACAGCGTAGCCTTATCTTCTGGAACCAGCGGTGAGATAATCTGGCGCTAGGAAGTTGCTCCCTGCTTAACGCAGAGTCACGCTGCATTTCTCCGGCCATGTGACTTGTACGTCGTTCCGGTGGGTCTACGGCAGCACGAGCACTTCTCTGGCAAGTGCTTTGCAGTGCTCTCGTAGATGGAGAAGTCAGTCATATTCAGGGTGGCCGTACCCCGGTGTCGGCTCCGTATTCTACCTAGAAGTAGAGCATCTCAGATTTCTCAGCAGTTAGCAGCATGTGTAGAGATGCACATATGGTGGAGACTCGTCACCTGAGACCCCACCTCTGCTGCTGCTCCCGCAGCGAGGCAAGGCATTATTATGAAACATGCTTTACATCGTAATGACTCTTCTCTTTCGGAGACGAGAAGCGGCATCCTTGTTCAAGACCAGCTGAGCATTGCATTTGGCGCCGCACGTTGGAATCCAATCGCGACCCTTCGATCAGACTAAATGCTTGCTTCGTTGGTGACTTTACTGCAAGGACACACCAGGCTTCCTCATTCAGGTCTAGAAGGCCGATACCAAGGGCTTTGCCGACGATCACCGGCACGAGCTTGTACCCACATGGGGCTCATCATTCGACTCTCGCTATGGCTGGGTGCAGGCAAAAGTATGCCCGAGCGTCAATGACGCAAGTACCTAGAAACTGATGGGCTTGAAGGTATTTCTCAGTCCCAGGACATGCGCACATAAAAGGCTTCAACTTCCGCTTCCTTCCAAGATCGAAGGAGAAGATTCTCGCTATTACCAACACTAGTCCATTTGTGCTTTATCGTTTCCTGGGGCTTTAAAGCATTGACAACAATGCCTCCAAAGGTATTCCTAGTCATTGTTGTCAGCAACACCTGCTCGACAGCCACCTCTTCTTATTCAGATGACTTACAATGAACCAAGAATGACACCAAAGCAAGTGACACGCAGGCGAACGATACTAAGGCGAGCGGTACAGAGCCTAGGAATAGCGAGAATATCGACAACAAACCACCAGCCCAGAATATTTCCAAAGGGGCCAAAGGGCCTTATGGCTTCTCGATGTCTGGAAACCCGCGGCTTTCCAAGAAGGGCAATCGAGAGCGCGGGCTTACCAAGAAGGGCAATTGAGAGTAAGCTATGCTCCTAAGCCAGCAATTTCAAAAATGAAAGACTGACAAAGGGTATCAATGTGGCTAGGTGTTGATCAAGAGGCACAGTGTATGCAGTCATAAAAAAGCGAAAAACCCATGTCGATCTCGTGAGGTAGCCAAGATTAATCTTTCTCTCTTCATAATCTGTTAATTTCTGATTTTGATAGTTCTGATTCTTGCAAAAGGAAAGCGTCTCATTTCATTAATAGGCATTGAACGAATTCAAAGGCAAAAGAAATTTACATAGAAAGTATATTTTTATATTGCGCTCACCATTTTCGGACCATTTGCTGAGAAATCGGTCCACGAACCTTACTGCCACGCTGAAGAATGAGACTCTACGAGCCCCGTGGCCATGAGATCCTCATGGGTCATCTTTCCGTGCCACGTAATACGCCATATTACTTACCACTTACTCTTGAGTTGGTCTGCTCTCAAAGTCTCTGAAGTCTTCTCAACTCACTGAGGCCCGTCCGACGCGTTTGCTTGGAAGATACCTCTCTACTCCTTCTTCAGCGCTTGATGCAGTCATAATAGAGTAATATTGAAGTACAATTGTTCATCCTGAAAGGCTTTCTTTTCCTTTGAGGAGGTGATAGTTCTAGTCACGGCTTTATTTAGCCCAGACGTACAAAAGATAATAGATTGCCAGGCCGAAGACATACCGATTCTGGGTTAGCAGACCACGCAAGAGCTTAGGGTCTAGTACTACAACACCTCTCTATAATGCTTTTGCTGAGATCGGGTGTCTAATCATTGTTGTGAAGTTACCTTTCGTCGTCCGGCAAGACTTCTGTGGATTTAACCACGTCGTTATACTCAACCTTCAAAGCTTGGCAATCGTCGCTGTGATGAACTCAATGATACCTTCTCAACTATTTGTCTACCTTCCAAGTGGGCCTCCAAGCAAGAGGGGTAGTGGTACGCGTTGCTTGATGAACACGCTGCTGGTGTTGGGGGCAGGGAGCTCATGCTCGACCGGATCCAAGTAGGGTCCTCCGACCAAGCATCTGAGACGGTCTGAAGGCAGTAAAAGTGTCGAAAGTCTTGGTAAGCTATCCCCTACGTCCCGGAAGCCCAAGTACCAGCTTATATCGGTGATGATGACCCTTTCGGGCGGCGCTACTAGTCCCGTTCTTGGCCGCAATATATACTAAGGTTCTACGAGGACACCACGACGCCTCGAGGCCGTGAGCCAGCTAAAGGATAATGCATGAAAATATTTCCCTGGGCTACAAGGTGACTTCGAAATTCATTTTGGGTCGCAACTGATCTGAGATGTGAAAGTACTTCACTGGTTACCTTCACAGCACCACAAAGCGTGGGCAGATTGACCATTCCACTCAAAGCCCCTTCCTCTATAGCGAACACAATCTACCTCAGAGAACTGAGGCGTCTCCGACTGTCATAATCTACCACGCTTGGACGCGTTCTAATACGGCCCTGTCCAACCTTCGGGACCATCCCACGAGTATGCAACCGCAACCCAGCCCATCCCGCCGTCACAGCGACAGCCAAAGTCAGAAGAGACAAAGTACAACAAGGGGTTTCATATGCCAAACACATTTGATCTGGGAGCATTGAGTACTTTATACAATTCCTAGAGATTTCAATTGGATTTTCATAGCCTACAAACGTCCGAAAATACCCCATTTGCGCGTACGGTACATTGAGGTCGCTGGAACCACATCGACGACATTACTTGGATGCTCGTAAAGAGGTAGAAGGACATCCATGAATTTCCTTCCATCAATAATCGCCGAACGAGCGAGCTAAACCCCCACAAGAGATTGAGTTTCTCTCCAAAACACCCGCTGATGGTTGCTGTCGCCTGATCGTTCGGAAAAGCCCTTAGCAACATCTCACTTCAATCATTGAATCTCACCGCCATCACCAAGGCTCGACAAATTACGAGGGACACTATCCCTGATGAATGGAGCTATCAAGCACTCCTGTATCGAGACCTGGAACGCGGTACTGAGGCCTTGGCAGGCCCGGGAGTGCTGGACTCATCAAAAATACGACAAAATGCTTAGTTTCGTTCCTGGGTATACTTGGACCTATACGGCAAAACCATGCCACAAGATTGATCGATTGTGAGAACAGACCTTGAGACATATCAGCGGAGCCCGATGGAGGAACCTTCGGTGTACAGATTCGGAACAAATCATTCGATCGTTTACGACTCTAGAGTTCCCCTTGCACTCCTTACAGTGAAAATGTGACCTCGGCTCACTGATTCTCCTGCTGCGAGGGACTTGTTGCTGCTTTAAAGCGGGGTATCAGGCCTCCCTGCATGAGATAAAAGTCCTGCCGCTCCCTCGAACTCAGACAACTTTGCTTCTCCTGATGAGATATCCCCGCCATATAGAGATACCTGTGAGTATGTTGCTTCAAAGCATTTTACGCGGCAAGGGGAACTCGGTGGTAGATCGCGTTGGAATGGCCTTTTCATTAACGCACCATCGGCTTCTGCACTTATTGTCTGCCCTGCACAAAGCGACAAGGAATATTAAGGCAGCGATCTGCGTGTTAGGCGTCATTGTCCCTGCGTCTTTCTCGAGAGGGCGATCACTTTCTTTCAAAAATAATAATACCTGCCTTTTCTTGGCGCTTCAGGACTGGAGGACCTTCCTTTTCTGGATGACTAGTAAACGCTCAACCTTTTGGATGCATAATGACGGATCCCCGAATTTTGCGGCTTCTAACCCTAGTCTGTTCTTCAAGAACCAATCGTTTCTGGCAGTTTTCACTACTATAGTACAGTCAATCGACTCACTATACGACGCTCGAGCGACTCAGGGTCTTAAAGCTTCGCGATTATAGACCTTGTTGGAAAGGGTCGCTTGGTCAAGTACAGTTATCGAGCATCATGTATGTCAGCGCGTTGTACTGAGTGGTCAGACATGAAGTTTAGACTACGACAATCTGTCACAAGAGAAGGGGGTCTCAAACAAGGCTCTCGGCTAACTTCAATGAGCTTTCTCTTCAATCTTGTGTTTGGACTTTGTTCACGAAGTCTCAATACAGGCGAAAAGAACGCCATTTCACTCGCCACGGACCTTGCTCGTTCTTTTGAGATGCACCTCGTATCCTGCATTTTCACGCTTCACTTAAGATCCAAAGACGGAGATGGCACTGAACGTATGGTATGGATCTTTTGGGATGCTGACACTTGAAACTCCCTTTGGGCCTTGATTGAGGAGATCTTGTCGCAGCGCGCGAGACAAGATTAGGGTTTCTATGTGCTGATCGACGCAAACAATACACGTCGATAATGGCATGGAGATATTTGATCGGATCCTCTTACAAAGTTCAATCCCGCAATGTTTCTAGCAGCTGCCGCCATTGTCACGCGCCTTACATTGTCGCGAAAATGGGCTATTTTTTCCACCAGGCTTTGGGCTCTTTGTTTGATTGAAAACAAAGCGCTTGTTGCAATGATAACATGCGACACTTTTTCTACAACTGCTTAGCTAGATATATCTAAATTCTTTATGAAATGTCTCCTGACCTAGAATCCAAAGGTCACCGACGACTCCAAGCAGGTTCACAAGATCTACCGAACAAGAAACAGTGCCTCTGGACCTCCGAGAAGCCATTCGGCATGTCTCGATTCACCGTCTCCATTGAGGAAGCCCACCTCTTCTTAAACGGAAATTACTCGATGGACGACACCAATTGCGACTTCACCAGCGAGGTTGAGTACCTCACCATCTATTTCCCCTACCACTCAACCATGATAGGCCATCATCTAGTCCTGGACCGGGTGGCACTCCTCAAGAATTGCCCCAACTTGAAGGGAGTAATTTTCGACTACGGCCTTATGGAGTGGGACAAGCTGCGCGCCTTGAACCAGCTGAGGCTGTTGCACAAGGATGTCCAACCACTTGTGGAGAGGCTTGGGGCTGGAGTTCAATTCAAGATTGAGTGGTTATTTGATGATTGGCAGTCTTGGGACATTAAGGGAGCGGTGGGAGAACTGGAGAGCGCAATCGACATTTTGAACGACGAAGTTGGATCTAAGGACCTCGAGACTGAAGGGAAAGATACTTCGTTGGATCCAAGACTAAGGAGAATGATTTCTCGTTGGAATCCTCAGCGTGAGTCTTGACTCATCTGGGTTAGTATTGAGATGGATGAAGACGCAACAAGTCTGCAGACAGAAAGCTAGTACAAACGTGAGCCCGTTCTTTCAAATTAAGGGTTTAAAGCCGACAGTAGCAGTGGAAATATTATCTGGAAAATGTCACGCATGTGTTCCAATGCATACGTCACGCACACATAAAGTCACGCTCGTTCTATAAGTGTAATGGGATAGGCTAATACGAATATTCTGGACACACTCTTTCTTGTACGACTGCATCCTTCAAGCAATCGATATAGCACGATCACAACCTCCAAAAGCACCTGAAGCCCACAACGCCTAACAGTCTTCGAGACCATATCGGGAATCAATCCTACTGTTCGACTTGAAAAAGAATCCAATATGTCAACAACATTCATGTCTCTGCCTCCAGAAATCCGCGGAATCATATTCGAATACTCCTCCGCTCTGCCTTTCAAGACATTCGAATACATCTTTTGGCCCGAAGAAGGCGACGAATTCCTCTCAAACCATGAAGGACTCCTTGGCCCCCGAGCTTTGAATCGTCAACTGGCCGCCGAAGCAAGCACAATGTTGTGCAAAAGGTATAATTTCGTGGTGAACTTGCCTCTACCTGGCCCCTTTTCCAACTCGTATGATTCGGAGAAAGTCTCTGCCCTCCGTCCTTTCGTGCAGAATATCAGTGTCGAAATCGCCCAGCATGAGCTACAAGGGGACTATTCGCGACTTAGGGAGGGTGTCCAATCACTGCTGGGATGTCCGAGCCTGCTGTCGGTAGACATCAAATTCTGCCTCGACTTTTGGAATATGAAAGCGACACCGCAGTGCCTGAAGATACTGGATACGGAGCTGAAGCCTCTTGTGGAGAGACTTGGATATAGATGCAAGATTCTTGTATATTGGCATTGTGGACCATTGGAGCACGAAGCATTCTCGGCGAAGAAAGGATTTCATTACTATGGGCCCGCGACACATTATTTCAACGAGGTGGTGCCTATTCTTGAGACGGAGTTATTGAAGAACGGTTTGCTACGTTGTAACTCAGCCTAACGAAGTCTATATTCTCGGCCCACGATCAAGGTTCTTGTCATTCAGCATCATGATCAAGTAATTTAAGGCTAATTTCTCGTTGCAACACTTCGGGTTGGTGTCGACCTCAATAGGGAACTCTGATTCAAGTGTCTACCTCACGCCACTTCTCCAACACGTGATACAAACCGTTCGCGTCACTATGTAGCAGTATAAGCGCCAAAAGTAGAGTCTAACACAGTAGTTTGGTCTATAAAAGCTTGATACATCCCAGCGATCCTTGTTTTCTTCACCATACCGTACGGCTTGGAAGTCATTTTTACTAAGACTGACTACGATCCAGGTCTCAGATACTTACCCAACATGCCTGGAGCCACCTTTCTCGACCTCCCACGGGAGATCCGTGACAAGATTTTCAGTGATGCTTTCGCTGCTGGGGGAGTAGAGATCAGGATCAGCGATCCCTGGGGGCTTTTTAGGAAGGAATGGGGCATCTTCGACGCCAAAGCATCGAGTTCAACCATCGCCACTGAAGCCTACGAGATGTTCATCAAGTATAATAGTATTCGTATACTTGCGAACTGCGTTGGCAACTTTACTAGCTGGCACTGCCCCGAGCGGACTATCTACAATTGGCACAACCCGTGGCGCAACCCTCTCACCAAAGTCACGGTAGAAGTGCTCAACTATGATGAATATGTGGGCCGTAGGGCGCTTCGAGATGCTGTCAAGTACCTACGCGAACTTTCTGCTCTGAAGGAGGTGGTATTTGATTTTACGCGCACGTACAATTATGGAGAGCTGGCTCGTTCAAGTGATTCGGGGTACTCAGGGCGAGATCTCAGGGAAGACCTACAGCCTATGCACAAGAAATTTGGGAGTGACTGTCGTATTACGACTGGGAGTGGTAGGAAGTCGTATGGCTATTCAAGCATACCTGGATATTTTGACAGCCTTTGGAGGGAGGTCGATGATGATTTCTCGAAGTATTACGGGGAGATTTGAGCATCGACATGATCTGAGAAGTCAACACGGAGTGCTGCAAGTGAGGGAAGACCCAAGGTACGGCGGGAACATCCAGTCGTTACGTACGGGCAGGTTTCCTGTACTACAATATCATGGATGTGGAAGGCAGGCTCAATGACCAATGTAGTTTGCACGGTGTGGAGGACTCTTTGACGGACGGCCGAAATTTGTATGCTTAGTAGTGTTGTACAATAGCGATCACTTACTTCACTAACTAATGATACAAAGATTGGTCCACAGGATGTTGATGAAGCCTAATTACAGTCATACACTAATATCATGACCTATCACTATAGTATTGTACAACATCCTGAGACAGTCATGATCATCTGACGTCAGATTAATCATTCAGGCCTAGAGGGTTTCGTCGTACAACGACCCTCACATTAAATTTTCCCTAGGTAGCACAGGGGCTCCATCTGTGCAGGACGATTTGAGCGACCTGGCGGCGTACTACATGCGTGGTTTATCAAGACTGCGCTCTTCCTCCCACTTCTTTCTCCTTCCCTCATCACACCTCACTCATAGTACTACAGGTCTACAATTCTAAAATTCTCCTCACTTGAACAAACCTAATGCATAACAATTCAACTTTACAAAGCCATTTAATTCCAAAAATGACTAACGAGACGCCCCAAATACCTCCAGAAATCGACACAAAGATCCTCGAATACCAAGGACAATCTATCACGATTTCGGAAGCAAAAGAGATTTTAGAAACCTGGGGCATTTTCGACTCTAAGTTCTTCGAACCCCACGTGTCCGCCGCAGCCTACGTAAAATTCGTCAAGACGGTGAACATCTTCATACCCATCGATGAGGTTATGTCTCAACTTTCGACGCCGGCTCCTCAAGAGGACTTCTAAAAAGAGCAAAGTACGTTGCGCCTTTTCCACTACTTGCGCCAGATGAGTGAACGCCTTAGGCTAATACATCCAAATTTGTTGTTCTAGCCTTCGATGTATCCTCATCAGCCACTGAAGCGCCTTTACTATCTCTCAAGACATTGACGAATCTCGAGGAATATCCTTAAGCTCTATACCCTGCTTTGGAACCCTTTTCGCCATTCTTACTCTGTGTATCACGACCGCCGCCACTGGTATATAGCAAAAATACCTATCAAGATCATCAGCTACCATCGCCAGGACCCACCATCTGTTCTCCAAAACATACAAGAAGGTCAGGCACACTCCGAAACCCACCAGGGCCTTCGACAGCCCATTCGAAACTCCATATTTCGAAACCCCATCCACCGCGTGAGTATTATCCTCAGCGAGGTAACCTTGATAGCAAATTCCATAATCCCCGCCCCAGTCGCATTGAAACCATATCCAGGTTATGTTGCACCAGCCGAGATGGAAGATGATGGCGCATACAAGAGCGTAGATGGGATTGAGACGCTTGCGGAGGAGGAAGACCATGTCGACGATGCCATGATTAATGGAGACGAAGGGAAGGAATGGCGCGTAGAAAATGAACCAGCTATTTGGGTGAGTCTTAGTGAAATGGGAATTTTAAGTGAAGGACACTTACGCGATGGACCAGCGCTGGTAGTTGGGGCGGTAGGAGACCTGTTCGAGAGGCGCGTTGTAGAGCTGTGTTGCGTAGGCGGCTGCTAGGCTGAATGTGATGATTGAGAAGAGGATAATGGGGTAGAGGATGATTAAAGTTGAACGAGGGAAGCCTGTCGATGGTGATTTGTTGTTGGGGGTGGACATGGTCTTGCTGAAAGGCTGTATGTTGCTATATTGATTTAGCGTTGGCAAGAGACTTTTCGGATTATTCTTTGAAGTGGAGTAGAGAAACAGCTCAGAAGAACAAGATGGGAAACTCATGAAGGTTACACAACAAATGGACGCGAAGGAGCGGCGGCTTGGGAGGGGCTATGCAGGCGAAGGGTTGGGCTCTATTTATGAACTCCGACAATGTGCTATGCCTTCAGCAACCACCTCTGCTATCATCGTCTCCATGGTGTACATAAGGCGCTCGATCGTGTGAGGTACCTTTCTCCACAAGGTTGTTAGATATGGGCGGGGAAGCATGAGCATATATTGGCGAACGGGCCTGCAAAGATAAGAGGAATTAATGCTCTCGTGTAGGCTATTGGAGTCGAATTACATTGCAGAAGATAGTTACCGCCGGCCTCCTTGTCTCGATAGATGATCAATTGGTGGTATAACACCAATATTTCGCAACTCATGCCAGGCACGCGAATCTCAGGGTAATCTCAACTCTAGGGGGCCCGTCACCTTCCTTGTCCGGCATGTATCCTACAAGTATTGTACAATTTCGTGTAGGAATATCCAAGCCTTGTCTTCGGCACAGAGGCTTGAATTGTAGGTAAACATACGCAGTCTTGAAATTGCCTTGGACGTGAATGCGATCAATGCAATCAAAGTGCAATCTTGTTCCGTCATCTTGCGGGGATAAATTGGCGTCGTCTCCAGAGGGTTCTTCATTCCATGGCATAAGCTTTAGCCGGGATTTTAGCTCTTTGTACGTACGGAATAGCTGGTCTTTATTTGTGCCTAACGCTGTGTTGAAGTTCTTCTCAAGTTGAAAGCATCCCAGTATCCGCTGCTGGTCTTTCGCCCAAGAAGCCACGTTGCGTATGTACTGTTGAAACGGAGAAAGAACGGTTAAATTCCATAGACTAGTGCTGTGAAGCTGCCATTGATGTAATATAGCATCGAGATCAGATCCGACCGGCAACTTCTTTCTCACGCGTATTTCTGAGAGACATGGCAACTTAGCAAAGTTCAACAGGTCTAGCAGGCTCTCCATTTCGTGCTGTACTTCCGTTGCACGCACGGTAAGTTGACTAAGCATACCCAGAGGCAAACTAGCCTTCTTTATCGGATATTCGATGCCTAGCGGGTGTTGCTGAATTAAATGTTCCGACATTTTCGGCTCCACGACTTTACAGCAGAATTTTTGGAAACTCTCAGCGTCACTAATGTGAAAGTATAACTTCTGAAGCCCAGGAAGTAGGCATAGAACAAGCCACTTGAACTCATATGAGTGATCAATGATGCTCTGCTTGTTGGCAAAGTACTCTGTCCAGGACAGAGCATCTGATCTTTCGAAAGTGGGAATAGCCTCCAGAAGGTCCGTCAAGTGAGTCCAGTCATCTTCTTCAAAATTGCTTTTGAACAGAGTTCCGTTTGCATGCACATCAAGGATTTTGGAGCAGGTGACTTTGTCTCGGAGCGAGAAGCCTGATTTGGCCTTTTTCTTGTCTCGAACCTTGATCTCACGTATGGATGGCGCGAGTTCTGGTTCGTGCAGAATGAAGGACATAAGTCTTAGGTTCGCTCGCCCTGTATTTTGACTAACGGAGAGAGACCTGAACATCACCTTGCGCCGATTCCGACTTGTGGATTCGTCGAGTGCCGCGTGTCGCATGATTTTGCTTGTGTACAAAAGTTGAAGGTAGTCACTGAAGCTAAGGCGATCAAGGATGTTGACCAATGTTTCTTGCGGCAGTGACTGAAGAGTTGGCTTTTGTGGCAAGCAAGAGTCTTTCGGTGGTTTTTGCGAACTCTGAGTCGTAGGGGATAATTTGAGATCGCTCTCGCGTGTGGCAGAGACAGGTGCTGTAATTTTGACAATAACAGTCTCGCTGCTTCGACTTGGGTGAAGGTCCGGTTCTTGAATTTGTGTCGAACGGTTCATAGAATTTTCGTTGGGATCATTTGTAGACTCTTCGGTTGAGGATAGTGGAGCAGCGCTTTCAGAAAGCTCCAGTCGAGCTTCCAGAACGACAATCTGATTCATTGCGGCTTCTAATGCCGCCTTGAGGAGGGCCACTTCATCTTGAGCCTGAGTATCGCTGCTGGCGGCTGCCATTTCAGGTAAAGTAGTGTTGGTTCCTTCTGCAATAGAGCCTGTCGTCGGGCTGGAAATAGATGCTGTGTCCGTCGGCTCCATGATATGAGAGGTTGCAGGGAGCAAAGACTTCTGGAGAGAACAAGTAGAAACTTGAGGCGTAGGACAAGAAGCAAACATCAATCATAATCGATAAAGACCCCACATCTCGTGTCGTGCTCAAAATTACGTTTGCCACTGAAGCAAACACAGTTGAGCACGGCCCACCTGGCTTTCGGATTCGCGTTGTACAGACCTTGTTGCACGAGATGATGTGTCAGGAGGCCTTTCCAAATATTATTCCAGAAAATCTGATGATGCTGTCCGTAAGCGTGATATCGCTCCAGCTGCATGACGAATCGCATATATAATATGTATCTTCATCCGTGCTTATGTAGAAATGTATGCCACGCTCATTTCAAATTCGCAACCACACAAGGCCGACTCACCTACAAACCCTGATCCCTCATGTACTACATTGACTTCGTCCCACCAGTTTATATCTGCCAATTACCCCGATGCACCTATCTTGGATAGCGAACATCCTCTCGCACCCACATAATGGGTCCCTTCCTCGAATCGATGTCCTTCTTCCGCCACGGCCTCCCCCTCAGCAACTCATTGACATACCGCACCTCTTCAACCGATCCACGAAGCTCACAGTCCACGTAATTATACCCGCCCGCATATTTCTGCACCGCCAAAAACTCCAGACGAAATTGACAGCTATCTCCCAGTTTCTTCACGAATGGTGCCGTCGTCTGGCACAAATTCTCAAGACGCTTGCAGATCGAAGCCTGTTTCCAAGTTTTGGTAAAGAACTTAGATGGAGGGACGAATTCAGGGCAGAGCGTCAACCGCTTGAGATTCGGGTACTCGTTGAGCAGAGCCATGCGTCGGGTTAGTCGTCGTGTATCCTTCAGCGAGTAGTGGTTGATGTGGAAGACGATGTTCTAGATGTAGGGCCGGATGTCGAAGCGGAGTTTCTTTGACACGCCGTTGACCACTCGACCGGGAAAAGCGCCTATATTTACGCCGGGAACTTTTGCTTTGATGGTGAATTTGAGGGGTGCGAAGTATATCGTGCGGGCTTCGTCTGCTATCATGGCGTTTGTGGCGATTGGGTCGAGGAGGTTGTGGGTCTCGTCGCGGGTGGGCAGCCATATTAGCCACCATTCGTTTTTGTTGACGGGCGTGACTTCGAGAGACTCTTGGGAGAAGGAGTAGGCGTAGATCATACTTCGAATCTCCTGTGGGATGGATAGGAATGTGGTTGGCGCCATGGCTGAGGAGGCTTTACAGGGGGCAGGGAGCAGCTGAGGTGGGATGGCTTGAGCAAAGCTGGGCAAGAGTAATCGTGACAATTCAAGTATAGAAAGACAAGAAAGAGAGGGAACGGCGTGTCAAGGGAGACGTGAACATTGACACGCGCTGTGTGTTTTCGCAATGGTCGTGACGTGTTGAGCTGGTGTTTCTTGGAATTAGCGGGGCTTGAGAGGGGTCGTACACAACGGAGAGGGCAGAACAGAGTGGCGAGAGCGTAATAGAAGACCAAGAAAAAAGTATTGGGAGAAAACCTTCATAATGCTGTTTCTCATAATGATAGCAAGAGCTCTTTGATCTCGTTCTCAGGAAAACCGGATAAGCCACGACTGTTCTCTCTGCACTTCTGCCTACCGCTTCGTGCCATGCCTTGTGTTGTTACAGATATTGTTGATTTTACATGAATGAGTAACCGAAGACATAGGATGCCGTACGAGTCTTCTAGCATATTAAAGGCTGGAGATATCTAACGTTAAGAAAGTCCCGTTTCGCATCCCACTTCTCGCTTCTTCGAGAAATTGCCCAGAGGAATCCTGATGGCGACTAGCGGCCAAAGTTGCACAACACCGTGCCATCAATCTTCAGATAAACATCAACGCACACTCGGTCGCGAGAGACATATTCATCATCAGCTTTAGACGACTTTCCATCACTTGCACCCAAAACTTGATGACCAGGCGCTTTGCCTTCCCTGAGCGTCTCAATGAGTGTCTCTAGATCAGACACGGGTCCGTCCACCTTGAAGTGATCTGCTCGCTTTGAGTTCTTTGGGTTCCAGCAAGTAGCATCCAACTTCCAATGACAAGACTTAATTCCTCGTTCCTTCACGGATACCGTGACGGTATCGAGCAGAGTCGTTAGATCGTGATGCAATCCTTGTTGTGATGGGACCTTTTGTCGAAGGTAGGTTTCAAGACTGAATGATATGCGCTCTAAGCTGGGATAATTATTGAGGAGCTGCAAGCAATATGGCAGTGCCTCCTCTGGTATGGGTGGATGTAGCTTAATCTGTAAGAAGACGTGGCGAATGTATGGTCGCATGTCAATGCGTGTGCCTGTGCTTGCGACGTAAACAAAGTGGATGCTAGAAGGAATATGGTGATCCATAACATGGTCTGACCCAAAGCAACTGGTTCGAGCTTCCGCCGCTATCGTGGAGCTAGATGCAGTAATATCTAACAGGCTGCATTGCTCTGGAGGGAACACCCAGCACTCCGATTCCGTCTCACGAAGTTGAGAGGCAATCATTGGCTTGTCCAGGTTGTCGAAGTAGTAGTCATAGATTCTGTCGTGAATCTCCCTAGGAAGGGAGATAAAAGAGGTTACTGCCATGATGGCAACAACACGTGATGATTTCCGGCTTGGGGTGATGAAGATTGAAGGTTGAATGTCGCTGATGAGTGGAAGTCGAGCGTGGTCAAACGAAATGACGCAATGACACTTCAGGATCAGGAAGGAGTGAATGAGCGCGAGCTGGCGCTAGCGCTCTTTAGGAGAAATACATTCTCCAAATCCAAGCTATCATACCACGAATACCAAAGCTGCCGTGGCCACTCTTAATGGGCTTTTCAGCGCTAAACCTTGTCGTAATAGTCGTTTACATCATCCAAGGAAATCGAGGAGGCCAAGGATTGATTTTCCACACCTTAGAGAGATCATAATAGCACCCCCTTCTCCCACCACCTCTCAAAGCCATCCCGAACCTCCTGATCTGCCAGAATCTCCGTCGTCGACCGCCAATGCCACAAATTCTTCACCAGCCCCTCCAAGTCCCCCAAAGTATCACAAATATCAGGTCCATAGATCCTTCCTCCTTGTTTCGCTTTCACCCTAAAAACCACAGCATACTCCGCCATCTCCAACTTCTCGAGCATCTTCTTCACAATGGACAAACACCGAAGCGCGCTCTTTTTGCTCAAGCTATCTTTCCACGCCTTATCACTCTCCACGTACAACGTCAAATCCTCTAGCCTCGGATATCGCCGTAGCAGTTCCAATCTAGCACGGAAACTCGCCATACCATTATCATCCACCGAGGGTGCTGCGACATGAAAATCCACTTTGCAGACATAGCGACGAGCATCAATATCCGCAATATCAACCACGTCCACGCCTTGCCCGTCTTTTCCGCGAGAGCAGATAGTATAAGGAAACACCCATCGTGAATTTTGTACGATGTATCGGTAAGGGCCGAAATAGGCAGCGCGCGCATCGTCTACGATGGCTTTGGTGGAAGCGCTGTCGTGGAGGATGCCGCCGTAGTCGCCCAGGTCGTGGTTGGAGGTGTCGTCGCTGAGGATGATTGGGATGGTGGGAGAGGGGAAGATGTAAGTGTAGATGAGAGTGCGGAGTTCGAGCGGGAGGGAGATGAAGGAGGTGGCGAGGGAGGTGGCTGCCATGGATGGATGACAAGGCGATAGGGGATTTGGGAGAGAAAGTGGATGGTGGTTGAAGTGCAAGATTTGATTTGATTAGATAAATGAGACAATGGCTTCTCGACGCTTGTGCCACTTGACAAAATGATGTAATGACTCGGCGGGTAGTGTCCGTTGTTTGATGTGGTTAGGGATTTCAAGTGTTGGATATTTGTTGCGCCGGTGATCGTTGACACGTTAGAGCGCGTCCCATCGCATCAATGCTCAAAATTGTCTACGAAGGTCGACTGAAAACTGGTATCAGTCTGAAAATGTGGGAGGGCAACTGTCTAAGTACAAGACCTCCGACCTGAAGGAATTCAGGTCACTTTTTCAAGCTCAAGGTAGTTCGAACCCCTTCTTAGTCTATGATTGGAGACGCATGATATTCTAGTGATTAAAAGAATATCGCCCGGTAATTATGGTAGTAGTCCTTGCTTTGAAGTCCTCTTGTCGTATGCTCATGCCTTCAAACTGACTCTCCCTCGCCCCATAACATGTCAATCAAATAGTCCAAATCATCAATCGATCCAGCGACCTCCAATTTTCCAAAACATCTCAGATGATCGTGCCATAGGAACGAGATACGCGATTCAAGCCATTCCCAGCGGTTTTTGATCATTTGGTTTAGACCGTGCAAGTGCTGACATGCCACCTGTTTAGTCCAAGTAGCTTTCCAGGGTTGATTAGACATCAAGGATAGCTTCAGTGCTCTCAGTTCAGGATATGAACCCAACATACGTACCCGATCAAAGAATGATACTTGGTCCAGGGCGACGACGTCGATTGAAAAATGGAGTGAACGGACATATGGTTTGACATCGATCAAAGAAACGCGGTTTTCCCCGGTGCTGGTGCGATAACGTACACGGCACTCCAACTCTCCTGAGAACGAAGAGTGCACCTTGTATGTGAAGTGCGAGAAATACATCCGCCGAGCTTCCTCCGCGATTCGTGGAGTAGTAGCGCAGTTGAGAAGGATGCTGCCCTTTTCAGAGAGATCTTGACGGTGCCAGTCGGTCACCGATGCCTCATCCAGGACTATAGGCGCGATTGGACGTGGGAAAAGATTCCTGAGAATCATGTGGCGGACATCGAAGGGCAGTCTGAAGAGCATGGGCTGCCCCATACTTCCTGGCAGCATGCCAGGCAAATTAAAGTTCATCGGTTTAGATCGCGTGGAGAGGAGAAAAGAGTTGGTTTAAATATTTGACCATCTATCAGATTTAGCCTGTTACAGCTCAAAAGTATGTGTCAAGAAAGGTGGCAAACCTCTGAGTTCATGTGGTACAACCCGTTGTCACGGGCTACAATGAGTAGCACAGCAACACTTATCGGGTAGCAATCGCAGTCATAGGTATTCGTGGTAGGAAAAGACATATTGCTCCCGCCCTCTAAATTCTGAGCCTATAATTCAGCACCAAATTGTCGCTGCGGTAACGCCTCCGAAATTCATAGAGTCTGACCATACAATTTGTTCTTCATCTAAACAATCAACAAACCCAATCCTTAGCAAGCTGTTTCATACCCTCTTCACCAAGAAAGCCCCCTAGCGCTTGCTTTGTGACTGATACATGCGTCGGTCCAACAGCTGATTGTCGAGGCGCACCCGTGGATTTCACATGCTCCTGGCATCTCTCACATGTCAGACGACCATCCATGGGCTCGGCAGTCCAGTGACTAAGATCTTCGGTCGCTGTCTTGAACTCGTCGTACGAGCGATGTCGCTCGAACATGGGTCCGAGATGAGTGGCATCACAAGTTCTGCAAGTGACGGAGACTTTGAATGAGAAGTCTTTGCCAAGTCGATCCGCCGAGGCTTTGGTGGCATCGCAGAGAGATTTGAGGACACATAGTACCTGACACTGACGCAAGGAGCTGGCGTGGAGGATGCATCTGATCTGAAGTTGCTTCAATGCGGGTATAGCGTCTAGCTGTCGAAACCATGGCATCAGTCTCTCTGGCGTCTGGAACTCGTCTTCGCTTATAGTAACCATCATCTTACCGATGTAGGGTCGTATGTCTATGTGGTGCCCTTCAATTAGCCTGTACCGCCATGTTGTTCTGTCGAGGTTTCTGGCTAGAACGGAGTAGCGAGGGTGCGAGAAATAGAATGAGCGAGCTTCCTCAGCTATCTGCGCATTTGATGACTGCAGAAGGAACAGATTCTGCTCTGGACCTGGTCCGGTGTGTATGCCAGGTATGCCATTTGTGAGAGGAATGAATTGATCTGTGTCAATCAGATAATCGTAGACATTGTTACGGAGCTCTGGCGATAGCGAGAGGAAAGATGCTGCCGGCATAGCTGACATGTGTAGATGTAACCCGGTCATGGGCAGCAGTACATGGGAGTTGTCTGTTCCTGTCGATTTGGATGAACGACCAGAAGTGCGACGGATTGACCAGCTGCAACAGTGTTGTAGCATTATGGGAGTAAAACAGAAGGATGAAAAATTGAGTGTGATAGTTTCACGATGAGTCAACAGTGATTGTGGACAATAGGAAATTTGGCGTCGAGTGTCACACTAGTGAAGGCTGAGGTGTGTTTATTGAAAGACTTTCGAGGCGCGCATAATAGTGAAGCGCACAGTCTTGAAGCTGCACTGGCCTTTGAGAACGTAACAATTGGGTAGCATGCATGTGTTCTTGCGCAATTCAGCAGGTATTTTTACTAGCGGCATTGACTGTAGTCTGCTTTTCAAAAGAAACTCTTTCGAAAGGCAGCAGTTTTGGCAAGGCAGAACGCCAAGACACGGACTTACTATCATCCGCTCCGAGTGCCGCTTGAATGACTAAGCGGACGAAATGCTCTGGTGGCTTCCGAACACGAAGCAAATTACTGATCATACTCGAGGGGCAATTAGCCACGGGCTTCGCCTATCGTGAGCATTACTGATCTCTGAATAGTTTCATGCTCACTGACGTGTAGTTGCGGCCGCTACTCACGTCATTGCGACTTTGCTCTAGCGCTGCTACGGATTGCAACCCAATGGCGGAGAACAGCAAGCCTCTTGCGCCACATCTGAACTCCTCATTGGCCGTCAGCCAATATAAGTCTACACATCTTACAAAGCTGGAATGATTCTGGAGATGCGTAATGACATACCGTCTTCACAAGTCCCTCGCTACCGTCCCGCTGTGAGGGATACCATTTCGTTGTGGCTTGATGACATGCAGCGTGCTAAAGAAATCGAGCCAATTGAAAAGTGCTATAGCCGGACGATGAAGATGCTGTCACTAGCTGCTAGCAAAAGCCTGTTCCAGAACGCTCTACTCGTAATTTGATGACAGGCCTTCGTGACAGCCAGCTTCTTGCCAGCATCGCGTTCGCGAATCAGCTCTCAACTCATCTAGGCTAGTATGCCGTTGACAACATCGCGAACCTCCTCCGATCTCAATATGGACAAGCGCTACACTTGATGTTGTATTTGTGATCCATGGCTTGCACTGTAGAGCTGAGCAGCTTCGCCCGTGACACTGCTATCCCCTGCAAAGCATATAAAAAGCCTGATATCGTTGAAGATTTTTCTTTCAATCAGAAAATCTCAGTCACATCAAGCACACCATCAATTTCGCAGAAAGGTTCATTAAAGACATCCCAGGTCTCCACTTCCTTAGAACAAGCATGCCAATTCCTACAATGTGGGCCATGGCTACGATCGCATGGGCCTTGCTGACATTACCGGCTGCCAATGCATATGTTATTCTCGGTTCGCCCCAACAGGTCTCAGTCGTGGCCGACAAACTACAAAACTGGACTCTCAAAGCGCAGTACACGGTCGACAGCAAGATGTCTGCTTTTCTCGAGGATCCTAGTGACAAAAATTCGAAATGGATTTTTAACAGCTCACCGGACTTCCGTTTGTCGGGCACGACTAACTTATTCAATGACGTTACCGCTCCAGCGGGCGCGAATCGGAGCGAATACCCAGATTGTCTTCCGTATCGCGAAGGGATTAATTATGTGGAGGTGAACAACACTATACCAATTCCTCCAGCCAAAGTCACCGGCGCACGTGATAACGGCACCAACTACGACAAGACCTCGATCTGGATGATGAACATCTTCCGTCTTTCCGAAACATCGCAACCCAATGCCCCAAGCACGCACTTGATTGGCTTCGCCCACAACGAGGACTATTGGGGCGCCGAATGGGCTAGTCCATGCACTTACAAATCAATTGGTGTACGCTATAGCACAGATCTGGGGATGTCATGGACCCGCTCCGTTCCTATTTTGACCAAACTCGTACAGGAACCTTTCGAGGACTGTACTTTCTTGCCTCAAGCAGGGACCGGCGATTTTGCTGCGATGTGGAACTCCTCCACATCGACCTGGGTCATTTTCGCCCAAGAAGAGGATCTCCGACCAAATCAACAAACCAGTCTTGTCATGTCTGTGAGCAACGATACTCTAGCTCGACCTTATACATGGAATCGCCTTGACCCGGCATCTGGAGCGACTGACCCTGGCTTCCTCGGCGGCAACCGGACACTGATGCATCCAGATCTACACCATATTCCAGGCTCAAACCCCAGCATTATTCGTGATGACAAAAACGGTTGCTGGCACATGGTGTACGTAAAATGGGGTGGTGGCCTCGTCTATACCAATAGCACCAATCTGGCGCGGTGGACTTACCCAACCCTTCTTTCACTGAATGATACCGAGCATCCAAGTGCTGGGTATCCTACATTGATAGGGGACAGAGGCGATACGTTAACGACTGATGGGACGGCAACACTGTATTTCAAGGACGCTGCTAAGTGGACGCTTTGGGGACAGCCTACGTGGTCAGTGGGAATTGATTTCAATGCACCGAAGCAGCAAAGTGCTGCAATGGATGGAGTCCATGCGAGCGAAGACAACGGAACTTTGGACTCCAAGTCCCAAATTCAATTCGCCTTGTTCGAAGACCTATGATGAAACACGGTGAGCACGTATCGACGCTCAAGGTCTCCAGTGAGTTCTCGCATACGTTGTTATCATAGGGTCTGCGCGTTTTTTCCTGGTCTTGAGTCCAATATGTCAGTCTCTTTTCATATCTTATCAAAAGCACTCAACATATATGAAGTATCGTGATCTGAATAGCAAGTTTGAAATTCGCAAAAGGAAATAAAAATTCCAATTTCCAGAGTTGAATTTTTTTGTGCTTCCAAACATCCCCATCTAGCACGCTTAGTCTTGAGTTTCTCTATCCTATTCTCCGTGTGACTTTTTCAAGACATGATCATACCTAACAGCCTAGCCCATCTCTTCTTCCCCAACCAATCGGCTAGACTACCCCTGCCAAATCTCATCTCGCTCATACCCCCACCGCCACCGATTCGACGAAGAAGTCTCAAAGCCACACTTCCCACACGGCCGATCTCTTCCAGCCTCCACCTTCGACACACGAGCACCCAACCTCCTAATCACCCCCTCCAGATCCTTCTGCCCGCCACTAACCGGGACCCATAGCACATGCGTCTTCGTACAAGGCGTACAAATAGCACCCAGGTCAAAACGACATTCGATCCGCGACTGCGAAGACTCGCTAACTTCCCCAGTAAGGATACGAATCAGCCTCAACCGCGCCAAAAGCTGGCATTGTGCAAAACCTTTTTGTGACGGGTTACGTGTCGTGACGGATACGAGCTTGAGAATCTTCAGAGACGGCAAATTCTGAAGCCGCGCGAGCTGGTTCGCTAATTCTTCATGTAAATCAACGCGGTCGATACGGATACACATTCCTATTGAGCGGATGTACTGTCCCACCTGAATCTTGTGGTTCAGCACAATGAAGTCCGTGATAAGCGGTTCACGGAAATCTTGGCGGAATTGAAGCGAGGAGAAGAGGTATTGGCGGGCTTCGTTCGCTATGGAGAGGGTGGAGGCTGAGATTAGGAGGAGGGCTTGTGATGGGCGGTTTTGGGGGGAGTTGAGCCAGGGTTGGGGTTCGATTGATCTCGGGATGTTGGGGTTGGGGGTGGGAAGGCTGAAGTAGTGGGTATAGACCATTCGGCGGATTTCGTACGGGAGAGTGAGGAAGGAGGTTGGGGCGTTGGGGGACATTGTGGAGGTTGGTGGTGGGGAGATTGGGAGGCAGGAAATGTTTAAGGGGATGGAGGGGTTATAAAGGATGGAAAAGAGGGGATGGAGGCGATATAGGCGATGGAAAAGAGGGCAAAGGGGGAGATAGGGCGTGAGATGATGGGTTTGTATGCCATTGTTGAGAACAAAGAAATGTGATGGAAACTTTCCACACGACAAACATTTCTTTGTTGAGAAGAGGTGTCGAAAAACTTTTTCAAGAGAAAATGGCATGAATAAGATTGTTCGTAGATAAGCTTGTCAACGAATCCTACGTTTGGCCTGGCCAAATTACTTCACGTCCATGTATAGAGTACTGTGGGTAGAGTACCTAAGATAGGCTGCCTACCTTAGCAAAGATTGTACATCGTGGATCCCCAAACATACCGGTCGGGTAGAGACATGTTGAAGGTGGAGTTCCCACACGGATTGGTACTGGTGGCTGGTTTTGAGTTACGAGTAGTCATCCTCTCGACTGTACTCTTGAATGCCTGGTTTGATCCTTTATCTCCATGTTGAAGCGGGCATATCCATGGGCGTGGAAAGGTTTGATGATTATTGGCGGAAGGCTTTTGCTCAAAAGAAAGACAGGAAACAAGATGAAGAGACGTTTGACAGGGGAGTATGCTGTGCTTGGAAAAATATTGGATGATATACTTTGTATGACTCAACTACCGTTGATGGAAAGGGTGCCGTACATCACGTCTCTAGAGAATATACCACATCTTCAACATTATTGAGGCCAGACCCGAACATCCTAACCCACCCAATTGTTCACCGAGAGTTTTCCATATCGCTTTGATGAAGCTGTCTCAAAAGCGCACTTTCCACAAGGACGTCCTTCAACCATTGCAGGCTGAGGGACACGACTAGCGATTCTCTCAATTACTCGTTCAAGTTCGTCTTTGCCTCCACGAATAGATATCACCAGCACATAGCTGTCTGTACACGGTGTACACAAGGCATTCATCCTGAAATAGCACTCCAGGTCTGATGACTCGCTATGCTTCTGAATAAGGACCTGGATCTTCTTCAGACGGCCTAAGAGTTGACATTGGGGAATGAGTGGATGTGGCGGATAAATAGGGTTCGTCAAAGCAATGCTTACGCTCCCGATCGTAAGCTTCCGAAGCCTACGTAAGGGTTCAAGAATCTCGAGCTGTTGGGTCAATGTCTTCTCCTCACTGATATTGTCGATGGATGAGTACACCACGACCGTCCTGATATATGACTTGATATCCAGTCGACGGTTCAGAACAGAATAGTGCGTATACAATGGATCCTGTAGGTTAAGACCAAATTTGAGGGACGTGAAGAGATATTCCCGGGCTTCCTCAGCTATCAGGCGGGTGGAGGCTTCGACTAGTAAAAGACCTTGCACATCACGATGCTGGAAACTACGGAGCCGACCCTCTCTTTCTGGGAACTGATATAATCTGCTGTCCCCAAAAAAACTATACTTGTATATCATTCGGCGTATTTCCAGCGGCAGAGAGGCAAATGATGTCGGTGTTGTTACGGCGGCCATTATCTGGATGATGATTGACGAGGGCAATGAGAGGAGGATAGCTGTTACGTAGGGGCAGACAAGCGTGCCTGCACTACGAAAGCGGTATGGTATTCATTGTACGACACAAATTCCAGTGTGGGAAAAGGCGTCGGATCACGTGTCTCTAAACCTAGATCGGTCGTGTAAGTTTTTCCAGCCTACACCGATCATCGATACATTAGTCACGCATAATTTGTGAACACCTGAGCAAATTCACAAAGTCGATGTAATCTCTCTGCTGGCTCACACCCCTCGTGGAATCTCAATCTAGCCTCCATCTATCTCACTATTCCCCTATCCGTTTTTGCCCCCGTAAGACTCCCCCATAAGCGCTACCTGGAACCCCCCCCAAAGCCGCCCGAAGAATCTACCCCGAAGAAAGCCTTGGTCCCGGGAGGGCCGCTTAAGCCGCCTATGGGAAATCGGACAACTACTTCTGCAATTAAGAGGACGACCAACTCCCTTCCCTTAATCGTCTCTACTTGCCGATATACTTTGAAGCCCCTACGAAAGCAACAAAGCGACTAGAAGTAGATCAGTCTAAGTTGTAGACTCAAGTGGGTACTTCGAGGCAGCTTGACAACGAGATGGACGCTCAATGCAATGGCAGCCGCTTGTAAAAACTCTCGTATATGTAATGAAATAACAATGAACGCCATATTCTACCGCTGCTGCGTGAAGTAATGGCGTGTAAGTTTAAATTGGTAGGGAGAATCGGAAACAATCCTTTGTTCGTGAAAGCATCGCGCGATAAGAGCGAAGGGGGAGCTGGAAGAGCAGAGATTTATGTAAGGGAATGCATGGGATGGGCTCTGGACGGGACTAAAGTGTCTTCTCCTCCATGAAGAAAGCAATGTGGTATTTCCTTCCAACCCCCGTCTCCACTAACGTATATCAAACCCACATATCACCATCGTGACCACTCAATCACCCCGCATATAAGCCACTCACACTTCCCCTTCCAAACCCTCCTCGACAGCACCCAAGACCCCCTACTCCCTAATCCCCACCTTCTCAAACATCCCGGCCAACTCCCTATTATTCCCCTCCAACCTCCCCCACTCCCCATTAACATTAAAACTAACCGTCCTCTTCGCCGTCATGCCCCCCTGCGCCGTCGTCTCCAGCCTCGACATCAAAAGATAACAAAAAAACGTACACCCGCTCCCCAGCTTCTCCGCAATCCCCTTCGTGGCCACCACCAGGAGCTTGAAGAACTCCAGCGTCTTGTACGGACACCACGGTGACTCCCTCTCCCCAACCACGAGGAACTTGAGCTGCTTAAGCGCCGGCAGCGTGTCAAGATAATTCATCATTTGTGTGAGTTCCCAAGCCTTGGGAAATTTCAGATAGTCGAAACCAAGCCAGATGGTAGTGATGTGGTCTTTAAGATTCATATGCAGCGTGCCAAAACCAAAATTCAACGTCGGCAGCGTCTGCGGTGTAGCCAGCACCCTCAACCTCGAAGCGAATATAGCCCGCGCTTCGTTCGCTATGCTCAGCTTGGACCCCCCGGAGACGAGCAGGTTGTGCGCGCCTTTGTCGAGGTCGTCGACATCTTGGACGTAGGCGGGGAATATGGTGAGGGTGCTATGACGGTCCCATTTTATGGTTTCGAGGTTTGGGAAGCCTCGGCCGGTATGGCGGAGCGCGATGCGGCGTTTTTTTCGAGTCCATGGCGTCGCGGTTTAGAAGGAACTCGGTTTCGGGTTGGAAGATGTGCTTGTAGACTAGGTCTCGGATCTCGCGTGGAAGGGTGAGGAAGTTCTTTGCGTTTGGGTTTGGTGGAGGTGGAGGAGGCTTGTTCAGGATGAGGCGGGCGGGGCGGAAGTAGTAGGCCTTTGAGGACGTGGGGATGTCATTGAGGGTCGTCATTGTTGAGGATGAAGATCGAGATAGCGAAGTTTTTATCTTTTTGGGGGTTGCAGGTCGACGGGCTGTTGCTCTTGATGTGGTGACGAGAGAATGGATTCGCAGTATGTAGCCAAGAAATCCAGGTAGAGAGTAGAGTTGAACCTTGGGTCTTATGTTGTGAAGGGATCACTTATATATCAGAGGAACGTTGTTGTGTGTTACGAAGCGAAGCCGTGTCGTCGGTGGCTTGGGACACCCGTTACTTTCAGAGCGTGTGTATTTCCTACAAGTGTTATGTTAACAGACTTTGTTGTTGCCAGCTCAACACGTGTTCCTTTCAATCCTTAGCGTTGTAAAATAGGATATCAGCAAAGGTGTATACTGGTACAAGCATCTTTCATCTCGGATGTAGACCGAACCATGGTATTTTTTTACTCACATCTGTCTCATCTGCTACCACATTCGAGTATTGACTGGCTGCTTGACACGAAAAGGGTCAGTTGTAGATTCCAACGTCGTTTCTCGACCCTGGTAGTGTGGCCAAGTGTCCTTTGGTGATAAATCTTTATATTTACAGGGTTATCCACGAAATTTGAGAGAGAATAGGTCTTCAAGATTTATCACTCATTGAAGATATTTGAGATATTTAAATTACAAATTGAAGGAATTGTTTGAAGCTCAGACCTGATTTTCAGTCGTTGATTTGGAAAACGGATTGAACTGTTGGCTCAAACGAGAGTTTGTGATGTGATGCCGGATCCACACTTCGAGCCTCGGAGGGTCTAGCGTCACCTTGCCATAGCTGTTGCATGACTAAGAACGTTGAGTATATCCGCTTGTAGGTACTGTTAAGCTATGGTGATGTGTCACAATAGATCTCACTCCTCGTAGTACCACCTTTTCTTGCCTGTTTGAAAACTGGGACTCAGTCTCTCTCAGACTGAGTACTTACACTTAGTCAAACATCGTCTGGGATACATGTAGACCTCAAAGCTTCAGCTACTCGATCCATTTCGAGAATAGAAGGTTTGACTGATCCACATGCGGCGGCAAATGTGCACCAAGTCTCCCATTGAGCACGGTCCACTATCGAGCATTAGCAAGGAAAAGATTAAAAGCTTGACAGGGCACTCACATCCCAGATCTTGAACCTCTTTGATCTTCTGCTCAATTTGAAGTGGGCTGATCTTGCAGCCACAACCTGTGACGACATCGGACCGGAACGCGAGCTTTTGTTGAAGGTCCTCTTCCTTGAACTTTCCCCAGCAATTGACCCAAGATCCTTTCCGTTCGAACATAAACACATTGCCAGCATCCGGACAGCCAAGAATTTCCACTTGAATTTTCACTCTGAGCTGACGAGCGAAGAAAGATTGTCTCAGCACTTGGTCCAACCGCGTCATTGCGTGATACACCCAACATTGCCGCCAAACACCCGGGAAACGGAAGTGCATTTGCACAATCCAAAGATTCACGCAATCTCGAAGCGCATGTATGTTGCGTCTAAATACTGGAAAATGGGTATCCCAGAATCCCTTCCGCCATGATTGGAGCTTGATTCTTCGCACCAGGTGACTGACGTCATATGAAACCTGAGCACGAGGCTGGTCACGCTTGCCGATCAAGAAGTCAGAGATATCCGCCACGTGAAGGATAAAACAGTTTGACCCGAAGAATATGTGACGAGCTTCAGCTGCAAAGAGAGCATTGGATGCCTGAACCTCGAGGAGTGCCCTGCCGACGTGACACTCGAATGAGCTACATTTTGATTTGTCAGACTTTGAGCGGAAGCTGACATAGGGCGTGTTATAAAGTGCGAGCTTGTATATTTTGATTCGAAGTTCTGGCGGTAATGAAGCAAAGCTGGTAGGAGCCATACTGGCGTAGAGAGATGCTAGAGGCAAGGTTCTCAGAGTGTGGGTGTCGTTGAAGCTGGTGATCTTCAGTGAAGTGAATCAATACACTCAACACTTAGAACAACACTTGACCCACTTTAACTGTAACACCGAAGTGTCTTACTTGTCGGCACGCAACTCTGGGAAGACTCTTCAAGGTGCTAGCTCTGCTCATTCAAGACGTTTCCACCTGTCCTGGGGCATTAGTCGCCACATCGGCTGCAGGGGTCGACGCGTTCAACAATCGCTCTCCAGAACCATCAGCCCTCTTCAGTTCCAAGTCACCAAGCCAGAGATCCTTCGTGGCCCCAGTCTGATAATAAGCTGACACAACGACCTCCCTGAAATTACTTGGTTTGAACTCCTGGAATTCATCCACAGCTTTTCGGCCCGCCCATAGCACCATGTCAAGTACGTCCCTATATGTCAACAAAGCTGGTAGCTTAGTCCTCTGTGGGCCTAACCAGATACTTGTCGTTACGCCATTGACTGTCCTAGAGCTATCTGTTGCTACTTTTGTGGCTTTGTCGTGGAAAGCGACATTGAGTGTTAGCGCTGCGGGGCCTTCGAAGTAATTGCCGTAAGGCACTGGGCCTCCCTGGAATCTGTGCTTTACAGAGACTTTTGGCCGGTGGGAACCTGATGCATCGTACGCTTCCGTGGAAGAATTTGTGGCATTGAAAATTGGAATTTCAGTAATGTTTGAGGGATCGGCTGTTGCGTTGTTGGCCCCATGCTGTGGGTCGGAAAGTTCAAGGGAATCAAATCTGAGGAAACCGACAGTGTTGTGCTTGGGATAAGAACACTTGAATGTGCTTCTGACATACTGGCATTTCCGTGCGAAATTCTCGATACTACGATACAAGCTAGGTAAGAGGTTACCCGGTAGGATAGGAGTTCCAGGCTGGTTGCCCCAATATGACAGTATTGTAGGTCTGACGTTTAGGAAGCCCGCCGGTATTAAAGTCTGGAAATCTTTGGGCGCAGTCCGTGTCATGAGTTTAGGGCGCTGAGATAGATGCTGAAAGCGGGCAACAATCTCGTTCCGTATTCATGCTGGCAAGTCAAACTTGGGTCGAGTAAAGCAGAGTCGGTAGGAGTTGGTGACGTTTCGTTAGGCAATTGTTGAGCAGCTACCCAGCTGTAGCTGAGATGGAACACAAAGACAAGAGAGAAGATTCGCGGTAGCCGTGTGAATCTCATCGTCGGAAACGCGCGATTGAAACATTCATGAAGAAATTCTGGCATTAAATCTGAGTATATGGCTTCAGTAGACGTTCGACATGAGACAATACAACTCAGACTAGTTTCGCTTGTTGCGCCTCATGGCGGAGAGGTTAGAAATCATGTTTTGAATGCGCTGTTGGCTGTGCATTATAGGGTGAGACATCTCACTTCATTAAAACCTCCGCAATCGCAGTATCAAGTATACCCATCTCGGGATTTTGTAGCTAGCTGTGGATTTGTCGAGCATGAATGAAAATTGCAATAAGATTCGAATCAGATCAAGGCCGAGGTGAAAGTCATATTCAAGATTTTACAAAGGGAAAGGTCATAGGGCGTGACTTTTGACCAGGGGCATTTCATGGATCGAGACGCGTCCTTCAGCTAGTATCGAACCGAAGCCAGCCTTCTAGCAGAAATTGTCTCAAGGCTCTGTGTATTGTTGCGTGATGTTGGCCACACTCTCGAACATGGTCCAGAACGGTCCAAGTATTTTGCTTTGACGCTCGAAAGGGCTCGAGGAGTCCTTATGGGCTTCTCGATTAGACTATGTGTCCTTGGTCCGATGGGAGCATCGTCATGCTGAGGGTTGCTAAGATGTAGTTGGAATGAATATTTGCGTCTTTTCTTGAGACGGACTCTTTGCATGCTTGACGAGATCATGAGACCCCGGCTATTATAGTCGAAAGCCACGCTTGATAATTTGACATGCGATATGGCTTGCAAGCCTCAATCTAATGAGTCTTCTCCTTCTTCAAATCCAATGTTATTCGCCGCCTCTTTAAATGCATCAATCCAACCACACTCAGAACGCCTATTGTGATCAGATCAATCACATGAACAGCCCACCATATATGCTGTACACCAAGTGGACAAGTCGCATACTCGAATTTCCAACTCTGCGTTTCTTCGTCGAACCATCCACTCAGTAAGCCAGCGTTTCCTTCAAACTCCCCCATCATGCTCCTCACTGTGATCTCTCTTAGCCCAGGTACATTTTCGTGTCTCTTTCCGGACGTCCTATTCCAACGCTCTGCCACCCATCTTCTTTCCTGAGGTGTCTCAGCAGGCGGAAGATGATGGTACACGTCACAACCTTCATGATCATGACCAGTCAAGATCACCCCATTTCTACCCATTCCGCCAGCCGGCGCATCAATATTTCCACTTTTCCCATATATGCTTTCTAGTATGGTCTTTGACGCGTCATAGCTAAGATGATTCTGCTCTTTCACGCCACCACCATTCCCAGGATCATAGTACGAGATCATTGGCGAATCAACGCAGATGCCTTCGTCTTTGTGGAGGGGAGGTGGGTAAGGAGGATGGTAGCGGATGTGGTATCCTCGACTGGTGATGAGGCACCAATGGCGGAGTTGATGAAGCCGTAAGTCTGCGATTGTAGAGAGGGGGAAAGGACGGGCACGTCCATGTTCAGGGTGTTGAGGATGATAAGGCGAAGCTCGGGGTGATCACCTGTGGCAAACTTTGGAGACGAGAGGGTAAATATGGTGTCCCAATTCGCTTTGCCGTACATTTTCTCAAAGCGCGTGATGCGCTCTTCAGTCATGTCGCCGGCGTAGCCGATGTCGTGGTTCCCAACGACATTGATTATGCGGTGCTTCCAAGAGCTCTCTGATTCGAGTGTAGTTCTCCATTGCCCATTTGTAATTTCATCTTCAACACGTTGCCCATGGTTGAACACGCGGTCCCAATACCGATGCCCACGATGTGAGAATTCTTCGTCGGAAATCCATTGGCTGCCGATGAGATCACCTAGGACTACCACGTGGGTAGGTTCTAGGTATGTATGTAAGGTCCGATATATGTGAGCTAGATAATAGTCATTGCCAAACAGGTCTATCTTCTTTCGCAGAAGCCGCAGCAGGAGCGGTACGTCCAGCGCAAAGAAGCTTTTCAGCTCACTTTGTGCTGAATTGGGGCGCTCACGTGCAGACGCATGCTGGAGCTCTGGGTTGCCATAAATCCTCTTGAAGCGAGCGGAGAAGCCATCATGCTGCTCGGGGAGAGAAGAGTCGCCCTCGAGCTGAGGGTCTCCAAGAGCGAGTAGACGAAAGGGGGCGCGTTGGTTGGAGGACGTGGTGGGGAAGCCGCAGCCAAGGATGATTGGATACAGGTAAAGGACTGTGGTGGAAAATAATGCAATAGTACATAAAGTGATTGTGATTACATTGAAAGCACGATGCATAGCATCTCGCCCGCTAGACCCTATGATTGAAAGAATATACGATGAATGACGAAAAAGTCATCTGTATTCTAGGGTAATTTATGAGCACTAGTGCTGTTTTCAATACGCCTCCCACGCGACGCGTCCAACTATTCAGTGATCATATTCAATTCTTCACATAGACACATTCCGAAGTAAATTTTTGTCGCCCTGTCGACTAGGAGGCCAGTTTTCTACGACAGCAGTGAGGCATAGTCTCCGATAAAATCGTCAACGCTGAAGCGAATTTGCCAACGCTGCTGGATTGCATTGGACTGCGAAATGAACTCGCTAGTAGAGTTGTGTACCCCTAGGCGGCGTCGTGCTAAAGATGTAGAGGTAGTCAGAGGCAATTGAGGACATTGGGATGCATCTCTGGCCGAACAATTCATATCGACCACATGGGAAGAAACGGATCAAATGCGAGCCTACTTCTACGCCCCAGACTGCAAAGACAGATTCTCAACGTCGAGCATCAATCCATTTCGCAGAGTCTCCTTACACTTACGGGATTCGCTTCTTTGAATACAGTCACTTGTCGTGTCGTGGCTACCTAGGCGCTCTGGGGATGGAGTTCTGCCATGGCCAGGTCAATCGCCACTTGCATCGTCCATTCGCAAGAAGGCCACGAACTGACTCTGTGATAGATCTTGAAGAAGTCTTGATCAGGTCGGGCCATGTGATATCTCAGTCCAGCAAGATTTTATGCCTTTCAAACTCTGAATGAGGAAGCGAAACCCTCGTCATAGGGATAGGTTCTTGCCCCCTATAAAGGCTTTCTATAGGCTGCATCCTGAAGATTCCCAGCTCAACGAACGGGTTCAAAGTTTTAAGGCTTTTCCATTTGGTTCATATTCGCACTACTCGAAACGAAGGACTGCCGCGCCATGGAAGTTGAGTTCTTGAATTCCGTGCACCTATGGTGGCAAGCCTACAATACGAAAAGAATGGTAAAGTCATTGAATGGATCAACAAAGGTGCTCATTCTTAAAAATCCTGCAAGCCTCCTTGAAATTGTACTTATCCCTCCCTTTCCCGAGCTTGTTCAAGTCGTAGAATGGGGTCTTAGGAAACCCTCTCCACTGGTTCGCCTGCTTTTTCTTCACCTGCTTCCCCACTTCATTCCCAAAACACATCTTGCACGTGAGATCATGCAGATTCATCCCGCCAGCGACCAAACCCGACACAGCCGCTTTGAAATCCCCACACCTTGGATCTTCCCCGATTTCCCAATACCGTTCCTTTCTCTCACCGGCAGGCCAATGATTTCCGAACTGGCAGTGCGTCAAGAACATCGTGACCGGGTTCGTATGATCGTGGTTAAAACTCGTTTGGCAGGCTTCACCGCGCCCCAGACCGGCGTCAGGATGTAAGAACATCAAAGCGCCTTCCTCTGTCCAGCCTTTCCAATCCTGGATGGCGATTGCGTCGAAGAAGGCCAGCGTTTCGTTCCCGACGACATCACCTTCGTTGCCGCAGACACAAGGAAGAACTTTATCGCGGTTTCTTTTCTCGAAGAAGTTGTCCGGTGCCATGGGCGACATGCATATTTCGAGTCCGTTGTGTGTGATCCTGCGGAGCTCGTCAGGAAGCATATCAGCCATGTTGATTGGGCCATCTTCAGAGAAGTGATAGCGTTGCGATTTCCAGGCGTTCCAGGATTGGGTCTGGAAATCTTGCAGGGTGAATCCCAATTGCTCCAGCTTTTCCCAGTCTTGTAACTCGACTTCTGCGGTCTTTCGGTCGTCTTTCCAGCATTGGTTTTGGCAGATCACGCCCACTTCGGGCGAGAAGCGTGATTTCTCGATCCTTTCCCAGCCAGAAGGGTCCAGGGGCTTGTGCGTACAATGGATGTGGCATTGCCCAACATGCCATCCGGAAAGTAGCGTCTGCCATACGAGAGTGTCTCTGAAGATATCATGGACCGAGTTGGGGCAAGTATATTTGAGGAGGGCTTGCTGTGCAGAGGTCAATTCGAAGAACTCTCCAGCTGCTACGATCTGCGCAAATCTTGTCATTCCAGAGTCGTCGAGGCTCCCTTGAGTGTGTCAGTGCTTGCATTGCACCCTAAGATTTGCTCCACGCTTACCGTCATCATGAGTTCCCCAGCCCTCAAAGAGCATGAAAAAAGAATGCTCAAGACGCGTCAATAATGTCTTGATACCATTGTTTAACTTCTCCTGGAGAAACAAGAAGATTTGATGCTTGTCGCTGCCAGCCCGTCCGAAGCTCCGAAAGATCTCACCCTCGAGCCCTGCGCCAAACCCCTTCAAAAGTCATCAGTCGCGGCTTTTGATCAAAACAGTCTAACATACTAAGGCCTCCAACTCCACTACCACAGAACTGATTGGCTGCACTAGTCTTCTAGTCGCGTCCACTGGCCTTCCAGTCATGTCTTGGACATGATTAACGATACCAGGTGTGGCATAGTCAATAGCCCCGCTAGCAGCCGACAGACCCATGTACATGATGTACTTTGTCCAGGCGGAGTATTGCTTGCACGCCAAACCTCCATTTAGGGTAGGCAGCCATTCGAACGAGCTTCTCACTGTTGGCTCTCGGACACTTATGATCTCGGATAGGGCACTTGTGGCATTCTGGCAGGCATGAGTATCTGGATGAAAGTGGGTCTTTCAAAGTACGTGTGTATATATCTTTATAGTGTTTCGACGTTCACTTGTATTCAATGGTCTGGTAAAAGAGGATATCTGATTCATTCTATATTGATTCTATCGTTCATGTGCATTGATTGATCTAAGATCAATGCCCATGAAATGTGAATCATCACCGGTACCATCTTAAAACACATGAGAGAGAGAGCTTGTGAAAGACAGAGATATCGACAAACAGCAGAGATGCTTCGAAAGCAAAAATAATCAAAGGAAGACGGCAAGGAAAGAACTCACGTGCAACGCAGCCACCACATCAAACACATTCCGCATCGTCACGACCACGAACCAGATCTTTCGGGTCAAGTCCTTATTCTCATCATCCCTCCTCTCAAGCCCACCCGACGCTCGAGCAACAACAGCGTTATATGTCTCATCGCAACTCGGCAAGTAGCAACTCCCATTGATCCTGCATTCGATCGGATCGAACCCAACACTAGCGTTATAAGCCAAGCCGATCACGTCCAGGATGACACCCTCAAAATATGACGACGTCCTCTGGTACCGCGAGCTTGCTTTGTCGATGCCAGCCTCTTGTTGATGATACCACTCGCTTATGCCTGATGCCACCCGATTTTCAGCGGTGAGCTCGAAGTATGGGTCACCTTTGCAGGTCTTTGGCACTATCGTTGTGTTCTTGATATGGGGGGTGGCGAGGATGTTGAGTTTGTCGAGTTGAGGGAAGGAGGTAAGGTCGAGTTTGCAGAGGTAGGAAGAGCCGAGGCGGCGAGGAAGGAGATCGTGGAGGCTGTAGAGGAGGGGCGTGTAGTGGTAGGGTGTGAAGAGATTGATGTGTAGATGGACGGGGCGTGGAAGAGGATCGTAATTAGGAGGGCGACGACTAGTGAGAAGTGCATCTTGGCCTTTGCTGAGTTGTCAGTGGAAGAGGGTCTTAATTAGCAACTCGTAGACTGTGGACCGAAAGAGAAAGGCGAAGAGTGAAGAGCGGGGGGCAAGAAAACGATCAGCGGTTGAATAGACTATTGGAAGAATGGAATAGGGAAGAAAGAAAGAAGAGGAGCAGGTTTTTTGCGTTTATATATTTAAGAGTCCAGAAATTCAATCTCATTTTGCGAATGGCTTGTGCGGTGGGTCTTGCTGCCGGCGGGAACCTACACCAAAAGCCTTGATATCTACCACCTCATATCGTCGGCCCTATTGTAACCTGTCAGTTTCCACGAGATTGTAACAACTTCGTAGGCTAGCGAACGACCTGCAGTATCAAAACTTCTATGCCAATGACTCGCAGCTTTGCCAAAATTCTGCCCTGGTAGTGCAAAGATTGTATTCCCCTTCCAAGTCTTTTTGATAGTGAACAATAGTTCTTTCAGGGCTTAGGCCATTGCTTCTTTGGTCAGGTCTTCGTATTATACTACGTATGATGTTTCACTGATTCACCTCTTGTCTGATCATGCTCAAGGCTTGCTCCTCGAATCTCTTCGTTGGTTCTTGAATTTCGTCTTCTGATTCAGATGTTTCACGGCTTAATGTTTCATGATTTCTCCTTGATTTGTCAAACTTCGCTCTTGAACCATCAGACGATATTATCACACTTGCAAAGACTTCACCTTCTTCGCAATTGCAGTCATCGCTTGATAGAGCATTTAATATGTGAATTTTGCAGATTTCATGTATTGCCAGCTTCAATGTAGCTTCATGGCGGGTTCTTCCTCCGGTTGCCGTCCATGAATCTATCAAAGGCCAAAGTGTCTTACATTCCTCTCCATTTGGGAAGATTTTTTCTTCTGCAGGTTCTGATACGCCGCCAGGCTTGGACATGCAATTCAATTCTATTCTTTCCCATCTGTTTTGCCCGGAAGGATCAAAAGCTGCGATAAGTCTCGGAAACTCGGGAATGCCGCGGAAAACTATTTGAAGCTCACACATCGCCTCGGGAAGAACACGAAATGCCACAGTAGGCTCCTGGAACCAATACTCGACACCTTTGCCTTTGTAGCTAGGCTGTGCCCCTTGTCTCAGTAAGAGCTTGGTCATGTCATAAATTTCTTTGAAGGGAATCCTTGCACCGTCTGGCATGACTAATTGCGCGCCTTCTACGATCCCGTCGTCTTCATAGGGGGATTGATGACAAACGTCTTTAATCTCGTTCATAAACAGCATCCATGACTTCCAAAAGCACCATTGGTACTTTTTCACAGATTGACGATCCAGAACATGCCTTAGTTGCATCATTGGGTGGGCCCCTACGTTCAAAAGGAGCCCCACAAGTGTCAGGCGCTCTAGACAATTGCCTCTCGAAGCGAAGAAAGAGTGATGGCTAGGCTCTTCACTCGAAGAACTTATACAATGTAGCAAGTAGGACTCGACGATAGCGTTCATTTGATGTTCGCCATTGACATGGCACAGAGCTTGACTATACGATTTCTGTCGCAACAAGTGATTCATTTGCTGACGATAGTGGAGAGAGTCGATCTTAGTATCTGAAGAAAAGTCCAAGATGAGATTTGGTACGGCTTCTAAATCAGCGTGAAGCGACTGTTCAACCTGTGCGAGATCTACGTTTCGCCATGTAAGATCATCATCCGTTGGAATATCGAGAACGTCGCACACGTATCGAGTCATGCCACTCCGCGCGGCCATGGCGACAATATCGACGAGAGTACCCCCTGGGCCGTCGAGCACATATGCCAAGGGATTATATCTTTCGCAATGAGCGTCAAAATTCTTCGGCAGGGTCACCAGTTTCGGCATAAATTTGTGAGATTGCAATGACTGCATCAGCTGCGATTGAGCGCTATGCCGCAATATTTCCACCCTTGTGATGTGCGATATGGCTGCCTCTAGCAGTTCATAATGGGGCAGTAATCTTTGTTTGCTAGAACAGAGTAGTCTTTGGCTTCCTAAGACAAATGTTCCTGACCTTTGTGAGAGATGGTTCAGCTGCGAGAGTATGCCCCTTGCGATCGATAGCCTCAATTCGGCTTCTTCACCTGCAACTTCTCTTAGTGACTTCGTCAAAGCATTGTGCAGCAAAAAATCCTTGGCGGACTTATGGAAAAGGCGGACTTTCTGCAGTAAAACAGGGTTTTGATCACCCATGTCACCATAGATTCTGTCAACGCCCTGAGCTGGCGCTATGTCTAGAAAGTCTCGCGTATGCGACATCAGCTGTGTTTTCAAACGATGGCAGGAGAGAACAAGACTTCCATCTTCCACCTTGCCTAATTGCAATGGTGTATCACCACATGCGCGTTGTTCTGATATGAAGAACAATCTGTACAGGTCTAACGTTGTTTCATTTGCAAATTCAGCTTCGTGAAATATAAGGAAGAGAAATCTCACGGCATCTCGTTGGTATGCAGGTCCGATCTTGCTAATCGTGTGATGATAGAGTCGTTCAATACCACTGGGAAGCAGCTCAATATCGCGCTTAAGCTCATCTAGATCCACCAGATCCTCTAGACCAGCCTTTAGTTTCCGAACCACGATCACAGCCCAAAGAAAGACACCCTCCGCTCGTTCCACCACCACATGAAGCAAATCGATGGCTCTACGCTTTTCAGGGGTACCCCACGACCATTGCTTCTCGATAATTGGATCAAGCCGAGACTTAGCGTAGTTCTGTATACTTTTGAATGTCAAATCTTGTAACTTGAGGGTTGGGCCCCCCTTGAAAGCGTCTTCAAATGCTTTGAAGGGTCTGCTAGACAGACAAAGCTTTACATTGGCTCGGTCGGAAAGCCGACCTATTAATTCAAGCACGGCAGTGTACGAGCCATCAAATTCATCTAGACCATCGACGAAGATACAGATTGAGGCGGGCATCAAAGCCTGAGACAATAGAGTTTCAAGAAAAGCCAAAAGACGCTTTTCCGTCCACGCGTACAATGGTCCGCTCTGCCATAGCAATCAGCAAGTTGGCTCTCGGACAAATACGCCGGTTTGAACATTTTATCGAGAAATTGGCAATTAAATGTACAAGACAACCAGTATTGTTTGACTTTACTGCCGCGAATGGGAAAGGAAAGTCGCACCCTCCATAATTGAAACAAAACGGAGATAGTGGGATGATAAAGCACCCATCCAAAGAGATTAACCTGCCACTGGGGTCATCATCAAGAGTATTGAAAGAGAGGTACAGAGCTTTGGATAGAGATGCCCAACGCGTTGAAAAGGACAGTGCGGGTGTGACATAGGGGATTCAAGAGGTTTTATATCAACATTCATCGTATCACGCAGTGCAAAAGTGTTTATTTTGTGTTGAAAAAAAGGTATTGAGATTGGCCTACCTTAAGGGAGGTAATAAAGGTTGGACGTTCGGTCAGCATTTGAAGTATGAGCGATCGAAGTAGCCCCTCAATACACTTTTGCAGCTGGACACCAGCATTCCAGAAGAAGAAGCTCGGCGTCAAAAGTTGATTGCCCCCACTCCACTGTTCGAGATGCGCCTTGGTCATGCCACTATCACAGATGAAGTGCATCAACGTTGATTTGCCGGAGCCTGCCTTCCCATTGATCCAGTAGACGTGTTTGCCATGCTTAAGCCAGCCGACCAAACTGTCCCATGTCGGCTGTCGCTGAATCGTCTCAGAAGTGTCAGGAGACGGTCTTGGCAATTGTGACGTGTCGTCAAATATCCATTGATAACTATCCTCAATGCCATCAAACTCTCGTTCAACCTGCTCCTGCCGGGCAAAGATCTCTGGATAGAATAAACTATCTCTGATCTCTTGAAAGTGACGGTCGTCTACTTGATGTTGCTCGAGATGATCAAAACGTAAATCGGAATGTTGACGGGTCTGCTCGTGCTCCACACTTATGAGTGCTGCAAGAGATGTCTCTCCGCGTGCAAGACTTATGATAATGCGCTGGAGATCTGCACTCAATTGGGTGAAGTCTTGCCGGGCCAGCACGGCCTCAGCGTCAAGACGTATGCTGAATGATACGGATATGTCAGCCCGTATCCACGCAGAACTTTATCCAAGGCAGATGTATGCACAGAGCAACAAGATTGAAATTTGACGCCTTCCAGAAAGATGACGGACTGGTTCATGGCCGATCACGGCATCGAAGACTTACTTCAAACGGTTCAGTAAGGAAGACTCTAGCAGGCTTTTCCAACTCTCCAGTTTCTCTTGCATCCTCAAGATTTCCCGACGCTTCCATGAAGCACGAATGAACTTCTTCGCAGTTTTGAGTGACGACTTCCGAGTTTTTGGGCGTAGCTTCGACACCTCCTGACGTAATTTGCCTGAGCAGTCTTCGCATTTGAGAGCGATCTGCCTCATTTCTTTTTCTTCCTTGGACAACGCGGCAACCTCGCCCGCGTCCATGTCTGGCAAAGAACTTTTGAGCGACTCGGTGAGCGTATCTAGGTGGGAGAGCTTGATTTCCACGTCGTCAAAATCGCGTGAGGAGCCATGCTCGTACAAGCCATGGCAGGTTTTTGCAGCTTTAATACCAAAATCTATCAGCTGTACGACTGATGCGGCCAGACTTATGCCAGTGAAAGGATCCATGATGATGAGAGAAGTTCAGAAACATGATTGCAATCGCAAGAGATGGTTATTCGGGGTCCATCAACCCCTCATTTCAGCATTCTCTAGCTACCTGCACGATATCTTGCGACATCCCATTGGTGAGATTGAGACCCTTCAGGCCTATGAGCTTTGATAATTTATGTATGACGGGCACCTTTGATTGAACCCGATTTCGTCTGGAACTCGTCTCGTGCATGAGGCAAGAAATAAGGCAATGTTGCAGGGATGCCCGTTGCGCGGGAATGCCCGGTCGAGTTGTGATCAAAACTCGTGTCCGACTTTTGGTGTCAAGTCGCTGCGGGAGTCAGACACGAGTTTTGCTCACAACCTTCAGGTGATGGGGGTGTATAATTGAAGGAATATGAGGGACGGGGCGGAAAAACGTATTTCCGAATTTCGATTCCCTCGCCAATTTTGGTTAACCTTGACACAATCAACGATGTTGACGGCTGATATCTAGCGTCCTGACCAACAGTCTCAAACCGGCTGAGTTCTCCACCCCGAGGCAGGATTTCGATGAGAGATGCGACTAGCGGAGACAATGGAGATGGAAGGATGCTGCATGTTAGGCTTTTGGCCGGACATGAAGATTTCACGAAGGACACTGAAGTATCTCGTATGCGTTGCTCGCGGACCATCTGACCAGGTGTGAATGCGTCCGAAGTGTGAGAACACTTGGTTCTAGGATTCATCCACCATTGAAACGATGATTCTTGGTTTGTTTCAGCACACAAGTCGATCTGCCCTCCAGCTGTTCAGATCCACCCAACTTTCCACGGTGGGAAAGCTTAATTGAGACTTTCCAGACGCTGGCAGGATTCCGCAGGATTTTGGGGGCGGCAAGGTGAATCCTTCGGCCTTCAGCCCCACTGCCTAGCGCGCCGCCGGCGCAATAAGAGCCAACGCGTTCCTCCTCCGAATATAGCTGGCGACCATCCTACCGCAATTCCTTGATTCCTGACAGAACCTGAGGTACACCGGTGGGATCATGACCGTTGAAACGATGTTCAGGCCTAAGGGTGGTCTAAATTCGGACAACGATGAAATGCTGCTGACCGAACAAGATCGTAGGGGGCATTCAGTCAGTTTAGGGAAGCCTAGGGCTAGTACGCTTTGCTCTTGGAAAGACTATCTCGCTATACTTGGATGTCTTACGGCCTTTACTGTCGCAGCTGTGATTGTTTACATGCCAAGATATGCAGTATATTGGGGCCAGACTAGACAATTCATCTGGGTTGGACTCTGCCTAACATTGATGGCCTGGTGTACCCAACTACCACTGAGACGCTTGTTTCTCGTGACCTCAACAAACACCCAAGCGTCCACTCTGCAATCCATGGATGCGATCCTACGGTCTGATCCGACGGCGGACCGAGCGGATTGGCGCATCCGCATCATTTTGGCCGTCATGCTAGGCTTAAGCCCAGCATTGAGTGCCGCATACAAGAGTCTTGGTGGAGGAGAAAGTCGCTATACTCGACAAGACGTAGCTGCTCAAATTGGCATGACCGGTCCTCCAGGAACTCAGAATCTTGGCTATGGACTCTCCCAATTCATCAATGCTACCCTACCCTGGTACAAAGACCCCGGTTTTCCAGATCGCGTGTACGGCTTCAATTTGCATGTCGTGAACGAAAATACTTCAGCTATGCTCGATGGTCCGATGCCAGCTTATGTTGAGGACATACAAGCCGCATTGAGGATCGAGCAATCTAAGCGAATTACTGCAGATGTAGCTGCTATTGTCTGTGAGAGGACTGATCACTTCGTAGGAGACGATGATTACTATGACGAGCTTTTCAATCCTGATAACACGCTGTCAACGGGCGACATGTGGGTTCGAGAGTCCGATTGGCATGTAGCAATGGTCTTCCCAAATTCAAGTGACAATACGAACATCATCGTCGGTAATTACAACAGTACGATTAATGAAAAATTCAGCTCCCATCTAAAGCAGTACACATTATCAAAGCGAAACTACACAGGATCCTGGCACATCACCAAAAACTCCGTCGAGCTCACGTACGCAGGACCCAAAGCCGGCATACTTGATGAGCGCGGCCTTTTATCCAACAACTTTCGCTCTTTTACTGATCTTTACAAAGTAGTATTCGCAGAGTACGATTGGCGGTACCTCTCCGCTGCTAGATCTCCAGCCACTAATACTGATGACGGCGACAAGTATACAAAATTTATCAAGAGCGACTCGACTTTCCTCGCCGCCATGGTATGGTCGCGCTTAGTTGCTGTCGACGGACCGGAGGTCTGGTCGCCTGGTACCTCCAGCGGGATCTACGGCGACGACGGCTGGCCCGAACTTCGCTACAATACTACAGTCGCGGAAGCAACAATCTCTACAACCATCAAGCCCAGTTGGGGCATTGGCATCGTTCTTGGCATTAACCCGGCCCTACTTCTCTTTGCACTTCTCTGCCGCGTGTTGTTCTGGTCGCGGTCGCCTATTGGAGATAAGTTTGGCTTGGTATCGATCCTGGCGAGCGTGGAGCAGCAGAGTCTTGGTCTACTGCAGGGAGCTGGTCTGTCCGGGAGACTCAAAAGACTAGTATTTGCTGGGTTCCGGCCGGAAACACAAGGCAATCGCGAAGAGTCGTGGGGCAGCGGCAATATTGTTACGGTCCTGGGAACTAAACAGCTACGGAGTGGAGCGATCCAGAAAGGAACGACTTATAGCTAGTCAATCGCACTAGAAGATGGATCAATCAATATATGATCAGATTGAACCAACGATGGGTTCGAGTGCAGAGCAACCAGCCTACATCACATTGATGTTACCTGCCAAAATTTCTGTGCTATCAGAAGCCACATCGTTGGATGACAAGTCCGCAAACAAGCGTTTCAAGTTCCACAACAAACCATTCGGACCAATGAGGTCTGCAATCTGTCGCGAAGCACGACCTTGGCAATTTTCTATCTATTCGATGGCCAATCGTAGAGTCTCTTCCTTTGGATGTAAGCACTGGAAGTATGCGAACAACCCAGCAAGCAACCTGAAAATCCTCTTACATCAACACCTTTTGATGAGAGTTTTCGTCAGAACCACTCACCATCGGAGCACCAGATGGTGTACTAGTCTGCTTGACCGTACCGCGTTTATTGCGACATGCACACACGATTTCTTTCCCCGGTGCAGAACCATAGTGCTTACAGTGCCGCGTTCCCTGGGGCCAACTTGCGAAAATGAGAACTCCATTCCTCGAAGCTTCACAGACGAAATCGGGAATATCGTAACCCAGCTCGCACTTCAGAGCAGGGGTGTCCATGATCAGTGCTTCTTTGACGTCGAAAACCTCGCACCTCCACCGTCATCTCCAGCTGATAGAACGGGGTTCCTTGTAACATAGTTGTTGGCTGCTGACACAGCCACTGGCCATTCCAAAATCATGATGACTTCCCCCCCCCAATATTCATACACGTATTTCTCCGAGATTCATATTGAAGCGCTTGCCCGTCGCCGTAATTATACATTTACAGAAATGAGAGAGATATCCCCCACCCTCAGCCCCATCATGGTGAAAACTTCGCAACCGAGAATTCTCATTTATGGTATTGATGAATGCGGACCTTATGCTACCGATGTCCACACTTACTTTGATGGGGTTGGAAGGGGAGGAGGTGCAAGGCGAGAAGATCTGGACAGGCTAATTGGAGGTACTTCGCCCATGGCTTTTTGTGCGATGGAAGTGTTGTGTAAGAAAGGGAGGGAGGGACACAGGACGGGGGACGGGTTACCCGGGAGGGGGGAATGGAAACGATAGGGCATGGGGGAGATGGGCAAGGGCAAGCTGAGAAAGAAGGGAATGGGCTCGAGTTTGGGGTCGGGTTTGGGGTCGGGGCTGGAGGTGTGTGTATGGAGATTTGAAGACGGCTCCGAAAACGTCAAGCGTTCAACAGTGGTGGTGGATGTGAGATTCTTGAGTCTTGAGTCTTTTAGTGCAGTGTATCTACTACACTTCTACCTGTGCATACCGTGCCGAAGCATGTGTAGCACCTCTATACTTCAGCATGCCACATCTCCTTTCCCCCTTTCATACGTTCCCATTCTCTACTTATGCACAGCTCTTCACATCACCACACCCGAATTACTAGCAATTCTCTGTATCGCGGTCATTAGCTATGTGATTCTTCTACTGCAGATGGAGGGTGGGGGTGGTGCACGTACGGGCCACAGCTCCGCTGCCTCCTTCCCCACGGGCCCCGTAATGGCAGAGCCTTTCATTTCGCCTTTGGGATTCACGATCTGTGTGTCACCGGACATCAGCCGCTCTGTCCGTATTAATACTAATTACCCCCCTGTATACACTATCTCTTTGACCCTCTGCTCATGTCCCTATATCCCTGCTCTTGTTCAAAACCGCAATCTCCCCATTTCGATGCTCTTCCCGCTTCTTTCTCTTCGCGTGGTCTCTTGTCGCAGCCGCCACACCCAAAGCGCCCATAGAAGGTAGAAAGGGAGACATATTGGAGGGTAGCACTCACCACACCAGCATTATCCTCAAAATATAGATACACCCCATCAGCTCTTCTCCACGGCTTGCTCTGCCTGACCACGACACCGGGGTGCACTTTCTTGCGGAGTTCTGGTTTGCCTTTCTTCACTGTGCACATAACTATCACCCAGGGCACGTCAGCATGCTTCTTTCCTCTTGACATGCGGAGCAGGAGTTTTGAGGGTAGACAATGTGTTGATAGTCGGATGTGGATCGGTGGGAGATCTGGTAGGGGAAGATTCTAAAGGAGGAGGATGTACCCATATCACCCACACCTGCAGCTGGGAGACGGTTCAACCGGGCGCCGATGCCCTTCACGCTGATGATGTAGAGATTTCGTGCGCCGGAGTTGTCTGCGCAGTTGATTACCGCTCCGCTAGAAACCCGGGTGTCAGCTTATTCGTTGACCTTGCGGACAGATTGTGGTGAGATGAGAGAGGTAGGCGGGGCGTAAGAGGAGATAGTGGTCATCGTAGAGGAGGAAGAGGAGGAGAAGGAGGAGTGGGGGGAGGAGGAGGAAATCGTACACAGGCAATCCCAGGGTCATTTTCAATTTGTTGCCAGAGGCACCACCGCGTCTGCAATTCAGCACTGTCAGCTTGCTCCATCGGACATGGAGGGAGAAGGAAAGCGCACCCTCGTTTCGACATCTTGCACACTCGTCGATCGCTGTTCTCTAGTCTGAGGAAGAAAAGTTGGGCAAAGGACCTTAGAGGATGGAGATGCTTGGCGCCCGAATGTGGGCTGTTAGCGACCTACGCTAGGTTCCGGAAGAGGTTTAGGCAGGATGCCACGCTAGTCATACAAGGGGAAAGGTGCGAGATGTGACAGTTTTCACCTCACCTCGTAACAATCAAACCCTCAATCTCGCATGTATTTATGGGAAAGGGTCTAAGAGGGCTACAGAAGGTCGCAAATCGATCATTGAGTCATTGTGGGTTACTTTGACCCCGCGTTCGCCAAGATCTTGCTCTGGAGGGTGGAGGGTGCCCTCTGTCTGCCCTACGGGTCAGAGGTTGGACCACAGCGAGATGGCTGTCTACAATGGATCGTTGCAAGACCTTCTTGAGGCTCATATATGCTTATGATGGCATATGCTACTCAGTATGCTATCGTGTACTCATGACATCACCATCATCCACGCTGCATCACGCACCGCTCGTCTGGCGAACGCGCATCCCTCATACACGACAAAATGAAACTGCAGTACAGCCTGCAGGACTTACCACCAGAGCCTGCCACGTAACGCCAGCGCCAACAATGTATGGCGAATAGAAATGGTAAGTAATTGAAGAGAAAAGTCACCGATGCTGTATGGCCTTGTCAGCAATGCTCAAGCCTGCGCCGATAGCGGAACTTACACTGCATAACCACCACAGTTGGCACAACCTTAGACAGCAGACTTGCGCTGCTCGCCGCTCGCTTCAGAACCGCAGCAGTGCCAAAAGACGTCCTCATCGGCGTCCGACACGTCAGGTGAGTCGAGTCGCGGCGGTGCGGGTGCTGGCGGTGGTCTTTCCGCCCATCTCCGCTCTATCGCATCGACCTTATCAGTGTCGTCGTCGACCAGTGGGACTATCCTGAAGCCTCCATGCCTTGGCACTCGCTGCCTGCGGCGTGGTGAATCGGGCGGTGTCTGAGGTAAGCAGGCGTCGGCGGGTTTTTGTTGTCGTTCTTCCCGCCTTTCTGCGTCTGCACTTGATCCCGCCGATAATTTACTGCTGTTCGATCGTTGTCGTTTAGTTGCCGCATTTTCTGGAAAAAGAACGAAGTCGGCGATGGGCGCCGGCGTGGTGGTGGCAGCGGCAGCGGCCTTTTTGCGCGATTTTGCTTTCGCGTCAGCGATGTGCTTGAGGGCTGCTTTGCGCAGTGCCTCGAATTTCTCGTCGGGTTGTTTGTCACGCGCGGTACACGACTTGGATGGTGGCAGTGAGGACATGGTGGTGGGATGGAGAGCAAGCAATGCAAAGGCAGCAGAAATCAAAAAAGACCGAGGATGGACTTTGTTATCACATTGGAGATGAATAGAAGTCTTTACCACCGTGGTTGGGGATGGTGGTGGTAGTGGGTGGTTGGAAGGGAAAGGGTGGGAAGTTGGGGGAAACAGAAGGAGGAGGGAAGAAGAGTTGAGGGCAAAAAAACGGGGGGCCTGCCCGAGTTTTGGTTTTTTTCGCAATCCGGTTTAGCGCTGCGTCATCCGGCCAATCAGCTCGGCAAATCGCCCACTAGCGCCTTTTCAGGGCAGTGTTCGAGTCACGCTATCGGAGTGATCGCCCGCATCCCACCACTCGCCCACCGATCAGTGCCATACATGAGCAAACGAGCGCAGATGTCCTTCAAGAACTGGGCAGTCAGCCATTTCATCGGTTGGGGAAACCTTAGGTGGTTTGGTAACTTTGCCTCTCGATTTAGCGCAGGATCCTTCGGTCCTCCAGCCTTACCGTACTGACCGAGCTTACAGCGTCTTGAACCCGCTGCATTTCAATGTTATTGTTATATGGAGTTTACATGTTCTACAGATATCATGCCAGACTATTTATGGTTATCGCGGTCATCAGGTACTGCTCATCGTCGGCCCAACGTCATGACCACGATAGCCTTGCTCGGACCGCCACCCGTCAAGAGGCGGCGAAGTGTAACGCTTCTTCAGCCACTGCACGCCCACTCACTTCAGCCTCTACAGCATGTCCCACCAAATTCGCATTGTACAACAAAGTATGACATCGTCAGCATCCGCGACAATTCCGTCTGTCAGAAGACCGCCGCAGGACGGGGACCGTTTCATCAATTTCATTGCACAATACTAACTCATCTTCTAAGAGTACTTGAGACCATATCAACATACTTCCATGACCTGTTCTATTAATTTTCGATTGTTGTCGATGAGTAATTGATGGCGTTCACACAATGACAGATGTCATCCAGTGGTCGCCAAGCCAAACCCTGCCTAATTTCTTGGCGTTGCGTGGAAACACTGCTTCCTGGTCAAGCTCGACGAGATCTGTATCAACCATGTCGTGGCTTGTGTGAAATACATGAGCGCCTCTTGCGCTGTCGCTGCTCATCCCCGGTCGACTTTATCGCAAGCCTCTGCAACACTGTGTGATAGGTGCTGCCCCAGTCTGCTTTGCGTCAACATCCCTACATTGATTGCATGTCTTCGCAAGCGAGTGGTCAAGTCTAGACCCGCTTGGATTGCTACTTAGTATTACTGGTGTCTAGCGACCTTGTTGTACCGATACCTCGCAACGCTGATTCACACCCTCCGAATTCCGTGACGATGTGCCCGAGCGTCCATACGGCACTGACTCGATTGAACAGACCACTCCATCCATGCTTTCGGATGCGTAGTCTCCATTTTTTAAGGGAGGGCTATCATGATATGGGCTCTTTTGGAGAAAGCGAGCATGTGCTCGGTGCCCTGGGATGTCATATGCGCGAACGGGGTGAAGGAGGGAGTTGGAAGACGCCACATTTGAGCGGGCATTCGTATGTTGCCCCATCTATGGCGCAATGTGATAGTCACTGTCGGATGTTGCGATTATGAGAAAAAATCATGATGTTCATGAATCGATGTTGCGAAACGAGAAAGAAGTCATGGTGTTCATGAAGTGACATTGCGCTGCGACAAAGAAGTCATGATGTTCATGAAGCAAACTCTTATGTAGGGCGATCAGCGAGCGCCACTGATCGTTGCCGCAAAGAAATTCTGGAAATAATATTATCATTCTTCTGGTCCAGGGCCAGAAGTCGAGTGACGCCCGAAAGAGCCCGCAGTTTGTAATAGTGGAGAAATGTGTGGGAGGTTATGGGTATTACCCCCTGCATCCCCTAATTCGATACCAGAAATTAAAAGATTCCTGATCGAAAATGGATTTCAGCCACCGTCTGCCGCCGAGCTCACAATTGTGTGCGCTGTAGGAAAAGGAAAAGGGGTAAAGGGCTGCGGCCATAGCCCCTGATACTGTGTGTTCCCCTGTCCGATGCGAGAAGTCGGGATTTACTTAAAGGGGAACAGAGTTCAGCCAATGCTGTCAAAGGTGTCACTCAGGAAAGCTACCATATGCCACTGAAGTCAAAACTTGGGTGGTGTTGCAGGGAAGGGGGAAAGGGTCACTACCTCTTCCCTGATTCAATGTGAGAAGGCGAGAGATGGTCAAAGAATGACAGCATGCGACCACGCTCTGCCACTAAAATCACAAGAACAAGACGTGCCGAAGAGAGACTGGGCGTATGCTGGAGAAAGCGTCGAAACGATAGTGTGTGCATTTCCCTTCGTTGAATCAGCAATGATCGTTTAACACCAACGACGACCTGAGTCAGCGCATTGCGCCTACATAGCTCATAGAAAGTACATCAACCGCTACTCAAGGAATCAAGATGTCAACGCGAAAGCGTCTCACGCTACAAAAACATAGATGCTCTTGTGAAGGCGATTAGTCAGCATTTTAATTTGGTGAGCTTACCCAACAATACAATGCTGAAAACCGGGAATCAGTGCATTCGGCTAAGCGCAATGCCGAATTTCTCCACACTGGGGTAAAGGTCAATCGATGGTAGACTTGAGGAATGATTCGGAGGGGCTTAGTAGACAATTATTGTTGCAGAAGACGAAGAGTCGATGGTAGAAGTCTGGCAATGATCGATGGAGTTAGAGCAAGCGGTGAGAATCTAACACAGATACGACGGTGGAAGTCGGAAACGAGTGTATTGGGATTAGCGGCACAGCGGCGGTGGCAGATCGGCCTCCTCCAATGGTAATATTCAATTCGACTCGTCCCGTAGTCGACGGAAGAGGTTCAGAAATGATTGATCGGGCTTAGTCGGGCTGTCGAGATGGACGAATCATGGTGATAGCTGTCTTCTAGTCTGTCCCAGCTCCGACGCAAAACGATTGTCAGTTCCAGTATGTGTCTACTGCAAAGGGCGGAGAAATGACTTTGGCGTTCCGCCGAATCGTTGGCAGACTTAGTAATCTTGGGGCGGTCTCTAGAAGTCTAGAATCTACCACTAAAAGGCGAGGCAATTGATTCTACCCTACAAGGACGTGAGACGATGGTAGCAATCGGAAAATGATGGATTAAGTTTAGTGAAGACTTCATATGTCTTTTCAGGCTGTCAGCGTCTGTTCGGGGGCTGTACGGCTCTGTCCGCAATTCGACGGGAGAAGGACGTCAAATCCAGGATGGGACTAGTGGCTAGCATGGGAGCAGCCCGGGCCATTCACAGGCGACGAAAATAATTCAACTGAACAGGGATATGAGTCGAACTTGAAAATGATCGAAGAGGTCTAGCGGAGAAGTTTACAGACGTCTTTCAGGCCTGTTCAGGTCTGTCAAAAGTTCGACGGAGAAAGATCGTGAATTCCAGGAAAAGCCTAGCGTGCTGGCGCAGAGGAACGATTGGTCGGTCGAAATGGCTTTAATTTCTCTTTCAAATGTTATCCATATATTCTCAGCCCTCCGACTGAGCTCCTCTCGCCTTCAATGCAGGCTCACAAATGACAGCCAAGCAAACTGAACTATCCACATTGACTCTGCGATTGCCAAGTCAACGCTCGGCCACATCAAGTTTCGCGTCTTGTACGTGTATGTTGGATACGCGTCCGTCGCAAGCTCACGGCTAGCTACCTCAGACTGGAAGCATTCCTGTTCTTTCAAATACTATAGTTTAAAGGCCGACTCTTCAATCCGAGTCCACGCAGAATTTTGTGTTCCAGAAATTGGCTGCGCATTGTCTGCTCTGATGACAAGGCTGCGAATGACTTGCTTGACTGGTCCCTGAAGGTTTCGGTGCTCAACATCCGATATCAACGTAGTCTCTTGTCTTCTAGACAGGTCTATGGTCAGTGTTGTGTCTTTGCAACATGGCTGACCCTCTCAGCGTTGTTGCGGCTTTATTTGCCACAATATCAGTCGCTCAGCAGGCATTTCAATTGGTCGCCAGCCAGCGGTTCAGTTCCTTGGAAAGAAGCTACGGATCGTTCGTAGCTTTGTTCGTTTCGACTTTCCTGCGAAACACAGCAGGTCAGTACGAGAGAATTGAAAGAATCGTCATTCGTGGCAGAGACGAAGACGCTTTAGCTTTCAGACAGGCAGTCACAGATGAATGTAATATGACTGCCGTTGCAGTAAGGCATCATTAATTCGTTTGAAACCTGCTCGATTTAGCTAATGGATTCGTTTAGGGGGCTATCATTGCCCAAGTGGCAATCACCGCCCTCTCGTTGCCTGACCTAAGCTCCACACACTGGGTCGCTCGAGCGTTCTTTCTCTTCGCCATCGCTGCTGGTTGCTTGTCGGTATACTTTTGCTGCGTCCTCCAAAGAACTATTGGAAAGCTTTACCGCGCGCAACTGATCAGAACATGGCTTAGCCTTCCACCTAAGGCCACCCAAGGTCCCGCCACTCCACCGAGAGCATCTCTAGCTGCAGTTTTCATCCTCTCAGCACCCTTCACTATGATGAAGGCTTCTATCTTCGCGTTCCTGATCGGACTTGCCATCTACCAGGGTTTCACGTGGACACGAGGGCTAGACACTGACGCGGGCCGATATGATAGCCGCAATGTTTTTATCACCTTCATTGTGGGGACAGGGAGTGCTATCGGCTTCTTTCTCTTCACGTTCTCTTCGAAGATCATTGAGAATCTTCTCCAAATCGGGATCATTGAGACTCTTCTCCCAGATGATATGGCCACACCAGATGACGCTGCTGAGCTTGAGGACTGGGAGCACCGGAGACTGGGCCTGCAAGACAACATGCCAGCTGGTGGATTGGCGGCTGCTCTTGAAGCATCAGCGCGGGCTCATATCCAATGCGCAGAGGCTGATCGAAGACTGGCTTCTGCTTACGCGAGAACTCCGAACGTCTGAGCCTTCTTGTAAGGACGAAGTGTTCATCTGCCTGTGAACCTGTCTCTTTATACACATGCTTCATGATGATGATTCGTTTCTGAAGCCTTATCTATACGAAGAGTTGCAGCTACCCAGTTATCATCCGAACTCGTGGCATCTTATCGCAGATACTGTGGCCAGATCTTACCATAATTTCTACCACCAAGGGCGAGCGAAGCCATATTGACAAGAAAGGCCAGAAGCATCATCCCAGGTATTTCGCCCTCCCTCATAGCGTTACGGGTAGCGTATTGGAAGTGATACTTTTTGAGCACTTAAAAGTTTTCTGCACATTCCATACCAGAGGCATCGAATGAAGAGTCCGCTCCCGATCCGCCAACGAGATCTATAGACTTGTCAACAGGGCATAAACACAAAAGGAGAATTCAGGACTACCACGATCGCCACAATAAGGCTCTCTCTAATCACATTTTCAACGCACGATCCACAAAGTATCTGTCGAGACCAAGACTGATCTTCACGGTGTCATCTGGAGTCATCGCATCGAGTATCTCTGGAAGAGAATCTTGTACCGTTGGGAAATTCCAGTTTCCATAGACACAATCCTGAATGCAGTACTGTGTCCATGGATACAGTACTGCAGCCGATTCGACGCAAAGATCGAACAATTGCCGATGGGGTTTAGTGCTGAATAATCAATCCTTCGCGCGTTTCACATGGAAGTGAATGCCAACTCGCCAATTCTCGACTTCCTCAATCCTCTTCACTAGGAGCCTCAAGTAATATTTGAAGACGTCAAAGACAAGGACGCTGAATCCATCATACGCTCTAGCTTGCGCAATCACATTACAACTTCTAGCAACCCCCTTCGCGTTCCTAACCTCAAAGTCTTCAAATATCCTTGGTCCCTTAGAGATCTCGACATGAGATTTTGTTTGGACATTTCCTCCTGAGTAGCCGACTAATATTAGCGTTCATATTCATCGACCATTAGTATCAACTCCGCGGAAACTTATCACATGCAACGACCGCCCTCTCACACTCCCCAGCACCAGTCCTATCACAAATCAACCTCGCAGACCCGGCCAAACCTCCAGCAACAAATCCGTGGCTCTTCGTACAGGCATCAAGGCTACCCTCAACCCGCCCCCACAGCCCCACCAGCGAATAGCTACCCGCTACCCCATCCTAATCAGTCGCATCAGGAGTACGTATCGTCTCCTTTTCTCCTCCCTCGCTCCTCCTTCCCCCTCCTTTATCTCTTTATCCCGCTTTCTCTCCCCACGCTACATTAAAAGTCAATACCTCAACGTATCTTCTGCATTCCAAGTCAAATCACCACCCTTTTACTCTCACTCTTCCCCCGATTCTCCCATCAGCTCACCCCCCTTTAACAGGCAACGAGCAACCCAGCTCCAAGCATACCACAACAGGAACCACAACAACTTCCATGAACGTAATCGCGGGAGCAAGAAGGCCGGGTTTAAGGGCATGATGAGGCTGATCTGGAAGTGTGGGTGCTTTGGGGGGATGTCGCTGGTGCTGTCGCTTAGAATTTTGTGAGATGGAGGGGTGGAGAGGATGAGGCAGGGAGGGGAAAGGGGGAAAGGAGGGGAAAGGGAGTTGCTCTTCCAGGTTGTGAATCGCGATGAGGGAAGAGAAAGGAGAAAGGATAAAGGAAGGAATTTGTTTTAGAGGAGTTTGTGGTGCGGTAGTTGGGACGTATCTTGCACGTGTACGTGCGTGGTTTTTGTGCAGCTTTCCTCTTGGGAGGTGGATCAAGCTACGTGAGAGAGAAAGGGTTGTGCTGAAGGGGTTGTGCTGTGCGCTTTGTTTTATATAGCCTTTGTGCATAGGTGTCCGGGGGGGCGTTGTCTTGCGAAGGATGAAGAGGGTTGGTCGCCAGGATCAAGGGGTTGACTTTGTGCGATTCAATAGCTTTGACTTTACCATCATTCAATGAGTTGAGTGATTGGTAAAGATCGATATGGCTTGATTATCTTGTGGCCTCACAGCAGAGTATTCCTTGCGAATGCCAATGCTTTAAGAAGGTAGGAAGATTAACATGATCGAATAGTATACTTGGGAGATTGGTTTGCCTCAAGGAGTAATTAAGTATTGTTATAGGCCGAAGATGATGACGTTTTAGGGAAAGGGTACAGGATGGAAATAGTAATGGGGTTGCAGCAGATGATGGATGACGGTGTTGATCGAATACCTGCAAAAATAATATAAAGGCTAAGTACAATACGACAGCAAAACATTTTACCGCGCAAGCCACGTATCTCACCCCGAGAAGTCAGCACGTCTTGATCCAAGCCCACCAATCTAATCTCAACCAGCACACCGGTTCTGCATCCCCACCTCCAAAATATCCTCTAAAGCACCATCCCCACCCCTGCCCCCGCACTCTCAGGCAAATTCACAATCCCCTCCTCCACCCCATGCATCTCCCTCCCAAACCGACACCCCAACATCTTACACTTCATCCCATTAACACACCTATGCCCAAAGAAACACCCCGCATCATCGCACTCCAACCCATTATGACACGGCACCTGCCTCGCCAGGAACCGGAGCGCCGTCCTCTCCTCCCCGGCCAACACATTGCCGTGTTCGTATGTACAGTGCGCCCCTGCGCCGCAGTAGCCGCGCAGGTGGTAGTTGTTGCACATTTTGCGCGGTTTGAGCGCGTTGGCGATGGCGGAGGACGGGTGCAAAGGCGTGTCGATTCGCTGGTTGTGCATGTTGAGCCCGATGAAGGATTCGGGGTAGATGGGGCGCTTTGGGGGGTTGTTGAGGGCGGAGGTGGGGATGGGGGCAGGTGTGTGCGTGGGAGAGGTGGAGCGGCGTTTTGTTGGGATGAGGATGTTGGAGGAGGCTGGGGTGAAGGTTTTGAGGGGTTTGACGGATGAGGGTAGAGAGTGGCCGTTCTGTTGTGATGGGAGAGGCGGAAATGGGTTGTTGAAACCGGGTGGAGTTCTAGTGGAGGACGGTCTGTTGTCATTGGTACCGCTTTGAGTCGCGAGGGGAGAGGTGGAGGGCTGAGTGGAGATGCCGTTCGTACCGAAGCCCATGTGTGCGACTGGCGCTGTTGTTGCGTGTTGTGATACCAGGCGTGGATCGGCTGATCGTGGGCTGATCTTGGTGGCGCGAAAGACTTGGGCGAATCTGGCGAGCTTGAATTTTGGGGCGAGTCGAGCGAGCTCTGGTGCAAATGGGGATCCTTCAAGCATGGTAATGCGGCCTCTGTTGGTATCGTCGCTGTAAGGCCCGAGTAGTCTCGCATACCCGTTGTCGGCTGAGCCGCCGAATATTAGATGTTTACAATGACTATCGCCCATGTGGAGTCGAAACAATTCTGTCTGATGGTCAGTAGGGGGTTTTTAGGTATGACTCGAAATAGTAGACCTTTGATTTTGGAATCGGAACATTCTTTGCCATTGCCGGCATCGATAATGTTGACAAGCGGGTGACCCATATTAAATCCACGGATGAAGCCATCCAAGTCATCTCTTGACTGTAGAATGTGACTAATATCGCAGTAGGCTTTCGTAAGCCCACGTAAATTAATATAAATATAAATCACAATATCGAAGCCATGCTGCAAGCCGATATCATTTCGCATATGCTCGCTAACAGCGGCTCTTAAATTTTGTGCAGCCTTTTGCCCGCCAGCTTCGCCATTTTCAATCAGGTCGTCTAGAAACTTCGCGAAGTCAGTCATGATGTTCCAAGCTCAGATCGGGTTGTGCTTACATTTGTGCTATCACCGTCGATGAGTACGGATACGAAGGCATTAGGACCCTGCATGCATCAGCTGACGATCAAAGGTAGGTGTATTTCAAAGTGTCATACTCCCGTTCGCTCAATCGACCGTAGCTGGCGTTCAAATTCTCTGCTGCGATCATAGTACATATCTGTATTACTGTTCGCTCGCTCGAGCTCACGCTTCGCAGTACTGTACTCCGTTTGGAGCTTTTCGACTACGTTGAGCATCCTCTGAAGTACGCGTTAGAAAGTGAAATAGCCTGCACAAATGATATGAAACATACTTCAATAAGCGCATCTCTTGTAGTGTCCACCTGCTGCAACCGTGTATACTCCTCGCGGAAGTTAGGATCCATGTTCATATAAATGCTCTGAGCGTCCAACAGCCCGCCGGAATGGACAAGACAGATGTGGGAGCCTTGAATATATAATCCTTTTTGTTTAGCAGGCGGATGGAATAGTATAGGGTGAGCAGGATGCCTGTCGCAGAGCTTGAAATGTTTCTTCGGTATAACCGGAAGTATTCAATATAAAAGGTATGGGGCCTCCACACGATAGCAGATATCTTTAAAGCTTTGATACCCTAGCAGGTAAATGCCAGATACCGTCAACGGACAACAGTGCTGGCTAGCAGTGGTCTGCGTTGAAGCCTGAGGCTCTAGACGATGTGTGCAAATTCAAGCGGTGCTTCAAAGTAATTAAATTATATGAAGGTCTCCACCAGCAGGAATCGTCGGGATGCCTACTGCTTAAACACTAAGTATGCGTTATTCTGGACGCTGTTGTCTGAGTCAGAGTTACGTGTTAGAAAGCAATCTTTCGCGTTCTCCGCGATTCCGCGTCTTCCTTGGCGTGGTGGCGCTAGTGGCCAATCTAGCCGAGGGGCAAAGTTAGGTAGGACGAAACCAAAAAGCGATATTTACTAAAAATAAGAAAGAAAAGATTGGATTTTTCCTCATCTTATATAATCTTTTAAAAAACTGTTTTCTAACTTTTAGAGAAAAAAAATTTTAATTTTTAGAAATAAACTTTTTCAACACTAGGAAAAAAACTTTTTTAACTCTTAGAAAAAGCTTTTTAAGTTAACTCTTAGAAAAAAAATTTTAAAGTATAAAAAAAACTTATTAATTTTTAAGAAAAGAAGATTTTTAATTCTTTTAGACTTAAGGGTTTAGGAATTTATCTTATTTTTCAAGCGAGCTCTTATCTTCGAGCTTATTTAATGTCTTGTTAGGAATATTATTACATAATTTACGATTTATTGAAATATCTCCTCATATTCCTCTTCGTGAGTCTACCTGGTGGCTATCACGGCCTTGAATGCATGATTTGAGGTTATCAAGATCCGATGCAGAAGCTCTGAGCACATGGCCCGCCGCACTCTCGACAATAACGATGACTGAGCTTGTCCTGAAGCTACTGCAACCGTTTGGCAAGCGCACGCAAAGTCATCAAATGTACTCGGCATTGAAGGAGACTACAAACGCTGGCTTCCTATCTATCCTGGATCAATTTATACGATTAACGGCTAGATAATAATATTTGGCAGCTCCAGCTTTCGAAATATGTGGTGCCCACAGCCGTACCCCGCACTTCAGCCGTGTTCGCACGCAGATGAACATGCGATTAATCCTTGACCGCTAAACCTCATCAGCAGTCTGCTTCTTGATGCCTTTTACATTGAGAATCGAGTGAGCTGGTTCGATTTCTTGGAGACGAGATGCAGCATCTACCTCTACCACACGGATCCTCGCGGGGTGCCGATGAGCGCGTCCCGTTCATTTGCCAAACGATGTTCAACAGTGATGCGAAGTTCGATGGACATCTCCAATCTACTGTTCAGAACACCGAGACGGGAGCTCCATGCTCCTGCCATACTACATTCAGGGAAGATCCTTATGACCATGGGCCTTTCATGGAGTTTCCTGAAAGGATAGGTTTCTCTAGCCTTGTTACTGCTGTCGTAGGGGGCGATGAGGTGGTCTGGACCAGCAATTCAGTCTTGAAGCGAGATTGGGGCTTTTTCCAGGCCTGGCTCTTCTTCGGTCTGCTTCATCAAGTTTTGCAAGAGTCCTACTGTGCTAGAGACTTCATTCTCGGACACCCTCATCTCGACTTGGAAATATCCACTACTCGCTTGCCAATACTGATTGAGAAGTGGAGAGACAAGGCTCTGATCGTTCAAACCCCTGACGAAGACGCCATTCAATACCTGGTGACCTGCTTGAATATCGCAAGCCAATGTTTAAACCACCTCGAGAAGCACTTCGATTCTCAAATAAGGGCCTCGACAGCCTCAATCGTTCATGGCTTGGGTATTGCAATTTATCACTCTAGTCATATCTCGGCGTCTCGGAGTGCGCGTCCGTTCTTGATAACCTTCGACACTCCCCCGAGTACTAGAGAAGTGGAGCGCATGACCTGTCTAGGTTGGTGCCCACAAGAAATTGCGAACCTGACAACTCAATGGGATACGATTTATGCGCAGTACTTCATAAGTCACTTGAATAAGAGAGCTCCCCATCGAGACCACAGCAAATGCTCACGAACTCATTGTGTAGCATATACAAGCAGACCACCAACTTACGCTACACATACCGATGATTGCGATGGATGTTCTTCTATCGTCATTGATGGCCGATCTTTGACAACAATTCTTCGACAAGGCCATCTTCCACTACTACCTGTACCCAAGTTTTCTACCTCGGACCAATTCATCATTTCTCCAGTTCCGTGGCAAAAGGGTATGTCGTATACTGCTATTTCTCATGTCTGGATAGATGGGCTAGGCAACCCATATCAAAATGCGCTCCCGCGCTGTCAAGTTTCAAGGATCTCGGACTTTGTCAGGGCAATGCAAACAAGTCCTTCTGAGTCTGGGAAAGACTTATACTTCTGGCTTGATACGCTTTGTTGTCCATGTGAACGCTATGATGAGTACCAAGATGGCAAAGTACTTGCATTAAACCGCATGCGGGAAACTTACGAGGAAGCGGAGGCGGTGCTAGTGCTGGATGCTAGCCTTGTCATTAGAGATTGTCATGAGATAAGCAGCCTTGAAATTCTCGTTCGAGTCCTGAGTTCAGGGTGGTCTTTGCGCCTTTGGGCACTCCAAGAGGCTGCTCTTGCCAAGGTTTTGTATGCCCAGTTCAGGGATCGGATTGTCAACCTAGATGAACTTTTTCGGAACTTGCTCAATTTCAGCGCCCGATAGTCTTCACCTACAGCGCAACATTCATTTTGCTAGTCATCGCGGCGTATTCCCATATTCGCGGCGTGAAGCTTCCAAAGGTCCGTTCGACGGATGACCATTCCCTTTCAGATGTTATTGAAGCTGTTAAATATCGTGCGGTCACCGTGAAATCCGACGAGCCGCTATGTCTAGCTACATTAATGAGGCTACCAGTTTCGCTTGCAGCTGTACCCGAAAATCCCGAGGACCTACGTATGCAAGCATTCTGGGACTCTGTTGCAGAAAGCACGACTGGGATCCCCAATTTCGTTGCGTTCCTACCGTACCCAAGACTAGGAAAGGGGGGCTATCGCTGGGCGCCGAGAAGCTTTCTGGATCCGGATCCGAATATTAGCTTGCGATACCCAATAAATGCCAATCCAACGCACAAGTTTGGCTCTCTATCTGCACGAGGACTAACAATAAGGTGTCCTGGCGCCACATATCGCCCTTCGCTGGTACCAGAGAACAACGCTATACAAATGGCAAAGGATGAACAACTTCCAAGTTGGTTTCATAAAACCGTTTACCTCCGAATGGCTCCCAACAAATGGTATGAGATCCACGGATCACCAGACGATGATGACTCGCTCCTCTCACTCGTGCAAAATGATGGCGTACCGCAAGCCTTCATCTGGCTTGTGTCACTCGAAACCCACAACAATCACCATCAGGCGACGGCTGCGCTGGCTGTTGAACTCCTGCATCACGAGAATGCAGAGATGCCTGTCGCACGGATTCAGCGCCATGTAGATTTCGAATACCGCACGGGTCTCATCCAAAACGTGCTTGAGTCCGTACACGAGGCCGCATGCGCGCTACGCGAACGTATCAACGCTGAGGGTGGTGATGCACTCAGTAATCGCCGTCTCAATCGGAAGCTAGAGATGATGATCACTGAAGCAGGCTTACCAGTGCTGGCGAGTCAAACGGATGCCACGATTACGCCTGGACAGTTGAATGCCATGGCATCTGACCTCGTCAAACTCTTCGCTTTCGGTTATTATCTACTATGCGACCAATCTTTTTCAGTAGATCATGAATGGTGTTTGGAATGAGTCGATCATCAGACAGCGAAACGACTACCGTCCAGTAATAACATGAACATTCCTATTCGAGTGCTAGTGAGCAGAGTACATGAGATCGGTGTTGAGACAGCTACTCTTCTGCATCAAATTGCCGTTTACCAAAACACAGAACTTGCGGGATACGCACGGTCTCAAGATTGCTTAATTGGACATTGGAGGTATCTTAGCTACAGATTCACAGCCCCTCGTCAGCGCCCATTCAGCCCAGCTCGTTGAACTACAATACGAGCAATCCCAAGCGAGGCTACGGCGACGTCAGTACGTGATCTCAACATCGCAGCAATCCTGCTGTACCGTAAACGACCGTTCGGCTTTCCAAAACCTTGTCACAGATTTCCTTGACTCGACTGAGAATCTCCACAAACCCATCCCTATCACACCGTTTTTTCGAGCAACTACTTGTCAAGATCGGTCTCGATGATGTGCAAGATATCAAACTGTTTCAACTTGTTGAAGAGGCTTGATCCCAGGATGATGTATTTCAGCATCCCAAACGCATCGACCAGCGTCGCTAATGAATGCATTAAGACCAGCTCCACCGCTAAGTCTGCGCAGCTGTCGTCCACCAGCTCACTAGTTACAATTTGGACCTCAGATATAAAGCGAACACAACTGTTGACTGTGTCAAGCCTCCAAAGTCAGAGCGGGAAACAACGACCGATGCAGTGGATAAGATTCTGAAGTCAGCCACCCTGAAATATGGCAGGAACGCAGACACTTCCATGAGGGTCTAGTAAATAAGCTTGCTTCCGAAAACCACTCGAGATAATACAAGCTCTTCGCAATCAGCATCATTTTGACATAATTGGTCACTGGCCAAGAAAATCTCCCTCCCTACCCCAGGGTATAACATCAGCTACCTTGAAGTTAAAGATCCAAGTATAATCATCGAGATATCGGAACATTGACAAGGCGGCAACTAGCCATGTCTGCGTTACACTGGAAGGCTTTTGCTGGTCGCGTGCGTACATGGGGTTTTTAATATGAGAAGGAAAATGAGGGGGGGGGGGATGAGGACTTTGAACATGCAGGTAAGAGATGAGGGGGTCCAGGGTCGAACCATAAGGAGCTGGAAGGCGAAGCGTATTCTTTCACGAGATGATCAACGATGACATTTACGTACTTGGGAGTGGTAGTAGCAGTAGCATCACTACAACGGGTCGAGGCTGCGGATCTGCCAATACAGAAATGGATCTATGGACTTTGCTTGGGTATCACTCAACGCAATTTTGTCATGCTAATCTCATCATTTACCTCATCGGCTATATATAGCCTGCCGGCCATCTATATAACCCTCATAATCACATCCACCGCAGCCAGACACGCCACCAGCACACCCAGAGCCCCATACAATCCCACACTCCTTCCAGCCGAAGCCGCGCTCGAAGACGCACCACTCGGCGAGGTCGATTGTGTAGGCTGCGGCGCCATCGGACTCCCCGTTCCCCCACCCCCTCCCCCACCACTCGTAGCACCATTTCCTCCCTCCTTCTTCTTCAACCCCCCATTAACACACAGCCCCTTCCCCCCATTCTTCAACCCCTCTCGCAACCCTCGCCCACGTATTCTCCACCCCAACAATGTCCGCGGGCATATACCACATGCGACAATCGGCCTGCTTGCTCCTCCGAAACTGCAATGGGACACCCCCTCCCTCCCCGTCCCCGTCCCCCCCTCCTCCGCAGCAATATTATCCAACAAATTCACCGTCGGCCCCACTCCGTCCGCATAATACCGAATCGGCGGCGGCTGCAAGATCGGATACAGAATCGCTGCGTTCTTCGCCTTCTGCGCGGTCGATAGCGTGGTGAGGTTGCTTTGGTACAAAAGCGCCGCTGCGACCAGCCCGCGGATTTGCGTCTCGTATTGCCCGACTTCGCCGCCTTGCGTGCCGCCGATTACGGAGATTGTGGAGTTGTTGGGACGACCCCCGGCGGTCACGGTTGTTACGTTGCCTTGGTTGATGAGGAGGTTGGCGAAGAGGCCGCAGGTGGAGGAGCAGGCGCCGTCGGTCAGCTGTGTGGATGGGTCGGTTAGAATGAGTTCGTCGCGAGAAAGGAGGGAGGAAGGGTTGCACACTTACCAAGGTGACTGCATCGGATGGAAATGGTTGAGGGGGAGTTTGGAGCGATTGCCATATCCGCTCATGGTCACGTTCATGCTGAAGAAAGGGTTCAGTGTCCAATTGGAGAACAGCCATGAAGCTGTTTTGGTGAAGTTGTCGCCTTTTTGCGTGGGTCCGCCTTGGTATTCGTGCCAGTCCTTGTAGAATTGTCCGTCGGGGGTTTTTAGGAATGAGGCCGTGTCGTAGATGAGGCCGCCTACCAAGCTGGACACTTCGGTTGGCAATAAGGATGTGATTTCGCCCAATGCATTGCCCGCGGCTGAAAAGCGAGTTCGTAGGCCGGAGTAGGGTAATTCTCCTGGAAACAGCTGTTTGAATGTGTCGTATGCTAGCATTGCAACACCACCGCCATTGTCTCTGATGTCGATGATCAGTCGCTTCTTGTTCTGGGATCTGCACAAGGCTAGGAATTTCTCGACGGCCTGTTGAAATTTGGCAGGGGCCCCTGCTCCTTCCGCATCGAAACTCGAGATGACTAGCACAGCTACATCTTTTGTGTCGCTCCCGTTGAGGAGGTAACCAGAAACGTAACTCTCACTGGCAACTATCGGCGATGGATAGGTACTATAAATTGGTTTGAGGGAGCCTGAATTACTGTTCGTGCCGGTCGCAGAAGCCGTTGCTGAAACACCGGCTTGGGTAGCTGTCGGGGAAGAATTGAAAGCGCTCTGTATCAGATCCACTGGACTGGGAGGTGGACCAGAATCCAAATACTTTTGGTACAGCTCATGGCCACTTGCTACCTCAAATGTCGCTCCTGACGCAATTGACACTTGCGCTGATATTGTCAAGTTTGTTCCGTTGCTAAAACCAATTTTGTAGGAGTCCTTCTGACCCACAAATGAGTGTTGCGCTTCGAACAGTGGGTGTGTTAAACTGGCTGAATTGAGCAGCAGCTTGTTGAATCGAGCGTCAAGATCTTGTAGTGGAGTCGAGTCACTTATAGACTTAGCATTTCTAAGGTACTGTATGACATCTTGGCCATCAATGGTCGTGACCGGGAAAAAGTCCACTTTCCCAGTGGTGTTACTATTCGCGTAGGCTAGGATGTCCCCTAGATTGACAATCAGCATAGTTCTCTATTGTATCTAGCCATCGACGGCTGTTGAAGCCATTGAGTTGGAAGACTTACCGCTGGCATAGATCTTCGGTAATGATGTCCCGTCTAGAGAGACTGATGTTAGGGATATACTACGATTGAAAACGAACGAATTGGTTAGGAGTGGCCTATAGGTGAAATGACCATCCCCTGCCCCTTGGATCAAATTAGAAAGGGCAAGCTCGAAAACAAATTCGTTTCCATATCTTCCATTGTTAATGGACTGCTTGATGTCGTGAAAGCGAGCAAAGATGTCCACTGATGGTAGCTGATACTCCGGTGTGGGCTCTTTGAGGTATGCCAATGTTGATTGCAATTGTGTATAGTTCTGGAGCCAATCGACTTGCGCGAGGGCGGCAGTCTTATTCAAAGGAACAGTCTGTAAACAAGCTAGGACGTGGGAGGGTTTGAAAGTGGGTACTTCGGATAGCATGTTAGACTTCTGGGGCATTCCACTTGACGGTTACGTACCTTGACTTGGTGAACGTCCGGAGGCGCCCAGAATGCTACAGGGATTCGTTGTACTATTGATGGTAGATGGACTTGACAGCTGCGATTGCGCCGCCGAGAGGCCGCTGGCTATGGCTAATATTAATGCACTTTTCATGATTGCGACGAGAGGGATAAGGAGTTACAGATTGAACGACTTACCAACGTGGGCTTTGTGCTTTAAACATGTCTTAAGGAAGAAGGAAGCAGAAAGCAATTGGTACCGCGAAGGATTCAATCAGCCTCAGCCACCTTGAATTTAGCACAGCAGGATTTTGCGAGTCGCAGCACGTCGTTGTCGGAGAGCTGGGACAGCCGCACATCCTCATGACCTTGTTTCAGCTTTCCACAGCTACCAATCTGCATCAAGCTTGAAGCGTGTTGATGTTTACGGCTGTCTTTGCTGGCTAGCAAACATGTTGAATGACGCTCGTAAATCCCTGACCACTCACTACTCAAGAGCATCTCAATGTTCAGTGAGAAATTGTCTGGATCGTTAACAAATTCAATGCAAAAGGCTTATACTCTGCAATGCTGAAAGCATGTTTATGTTCGGGTCCTCATTAACTGATTTCCCAGTCTCGCGCATGTGCCCGAAGGATCTGAACACGAGGAGGTGAGCACTTGGCGGAAGAAGTGCAAGCCCTCTGAACATGGCTTTGCTGTCGTCGGCGAGTATTCCTAAAGTCCCACTACTTCATTGGCGTTGTAACTGTGTTTTGTTCTTTTGCTCCTGGGGGTCGCAGGGGGCCTATCCCTACGGTGTTGAACGACAGGTCGCCTTCAGGGCTTTACAGACGTTCTGCTTAATATAGGAACCCATGTTCACAAGTAGAAGACCGTATTCTCTTTGGTCTCGATATGCCAGAGGGGTGAATCACTGATTCATGCCAGACTATGGATCGTGAGATCATTTGCGCGTACGGTGGCATTTGGGCCAGAGTTTCGATGGAGCAGTCAGCCTCCACCAACAGATCGATCGTCGCACGTGTAAAACAACAGCACACAGTACGAGACGAGCCGTGCCGTGTTTCGAGATCTGCAGGTACATGGATGCATGAAGGGAAACAGACCAGTGAAGATGTTGGAAGAAATTTCCACGCCGGACGCTGCGCCTGGTGAGGCTGAGGCTTACCTAAGCCGCAATACGGCCAAGAACCTGTAAGTTCAGGGATATGCACCTGGATATAAGATCATTGCGTCGCGATGGCATTTGAAGACTTACAGTGCCATAGAGGCACTCCTATGGAATTTATGGAAAGACCTTCTCGGCTATGCAAACGTGCTGCCGCTGTGCGGTCAAATGGTGGAAAACGTGAAAGGTCACATAAAGATAGTGTGGTCATAGAGACGCGTTTTCCATAATAATTTCATAAATGAATTTAAATTAAAATGGACTCCTTTCATGCTTTCATATCTTCAAAAAATCATCAAAATGTCTCCACGCCCGTCAGATTGGCAACTCCAGCACCAACCCCCGTGAGCTCCGTTAAATTCGTCCCTCCTCCCCCCATCTGCCCCGTTAAGCCCTGAAACCACATATCCTCACTTCCATCCACCCCAGTAAATGGCACATAATGCACCGTGTGATCGTCATCCCCCACGAACGCAACGCCCCTCTCCCCTGGCTCCAATTCACTTCTCAAGAACTTGAATCCATAATACACCTGCTCGTATGGTGGTTTCCCTTGTTCTGGAACCTCCCTCCTGATGACAAAAATCTCTTCATAAGGTCCCATGAGCCAGGGCGCCGTGTATCCCGCACTCTTCACCAACTGATCCGCCGCTTCCAGGCTCAGCTCGACGTGCTCCCAGTCGATGTCGGGGAGTTGCGACCAATGAGATCGAGAGTGTTCGACGTGCGGGTTCCAGTGCTCCCAGTCAGAGCAGCGCACAAGGTATTTGAGCGTGTGTACGTTGTCATCGGCGTACATGAAAAGGGAAAGCTGTTGGAAGTCGGCGGGATTTGCGGAAGGGTTGTGCGGGGCTCGCGTGACGCCTGATATTTGGATTAAACGGGCGGTTTCGGGAGAGTAGTCGCGCCCGATTTTGAGGCCGGCAGCTATGGAGCGTTGAAAGGCGGAGAGGGGCGTTGCGACATTAGTGATGGTGGTGGTGTTTGGGAGCGGGAGGACTGTGGAGGAGTAGGTCGCCGGGATGAGAAGAGGGTTGGCCGTGGAATGGTCGAGGAGAAGGAGGACGATGGGCAAGCGATAAAATTGTAACATGGTAGGCCTAGTGATGAGGTTCGCAAGGTAGGTACCGTGAGTAAAGAAGGCATTGAAACTTGTATATAGACTTCAGGAACTTTCAGCCAAGGTTGACGAAGCTATGCGCGAGTCGCGACAGGCGACCATAGCCACGGAATGTGTTCGTTTGGCGTATGGGGTTGAGATGTTTGAGACAGTCGCACGTGAGAGTTGCATAAGCGCAGTCCCAATCCTCGATGGGGAGAACACCTTCAAGATCGTTTTATCTCCGTCATTAGATATTGTAAGAACGAACAAAGAGTGTGGGCCTGAGGCATGTGGGCTTGGTACAATCAGAGGTGTCCATCGAGACGGCAGGATTGCGACTCACTCAAGCCTTTATTGTTGAAGTCTAACATCATAACATTATGGCATCAGAATGTCTTTGAGTGGCAGCTTGGACTGCCAGATGTGTGTCGACTACAATATCACCAAATTCCTGATAGGCACACCCTGGGCCCTTATCTCATACTTTCGCTTCAAGCCTAGACCCTTCGCGCGCTTCAGCATCTCGTATGTCTGTTCTCCGCCAGTGACAAGCACCATGGGTATAGGATTCCTACGTGGCAGTCCTTTACTCGTGATTTGTTCATCATCAAGCGCAGGGCGGGTGAGGAAGTGTAATCCTGCTCCGTCTTGTCGGTCGCTTTCGCTACCGAATTCGCCTTCATCATATGACACAACGACAACAAGTTGTAGTGACTCCTTAGCAGGTGCGAAAGTAGCGATATTTGCAAGTTTCTTCCTGAAGCTGCATGTTCCCCGTTTGATCACTATCACTTGGTTTTCCACAGGCGCATGCGCGGCAAGCGGCGTGCAAGCATCATCCGCCATGTAAATGGTGTTAAAGATGATATCCTCATCTGGGTTGCGGGTAGAGTCTGGACTCTGGTACTGAGCTTCGGCAAAGTCGGGGAGCGGCGCTGCTCCAGGGCCAATGGGAAGGATAGCCGCGATATGTGAGCGATGTATTGTGGGTGTAGGCGTAGAGGGGGTCGAATGAGTTGGTAGCGGAGCATCTATGTTGGGCTGGAGGATGAGGCCGATCTGGGAAAGGATGATGGAAAAGGCCTGGCGGACGGACGAGGCTGCTTCGTTGGAAGGGTTGGCAACATCGAAGACCAGCGAAGGGCCAGACGTTATAGCCGTGGACAAGGATTTGGACGGGTTTGCAGAAGAAGTGGAGGTAGTGGTGAAGTTTTTCCGCTGATCTCCTGTAGCGGGAGGTAGGTCAATGACAAGGTCTAGCAGCATTGAATCCCGGATAGTGGTGAAGTTTGGATCTGTAGGACTGACAGCTTGCGAAATGGTCGACTTGGGGAGGAAGACTTGTTCGTCACGTCCGAGCATGATATTATTTACTGACTGAATGCGATAATGCTCGATCTGAACGTCACTGTCTGGTGGCGCTTGAACATCTTGAATCATGCCAAGGCGCAAGCCGCTCAGTGAACTCACAAGAAGCCCGTTGACTACGCGTTGAATGGTACCTGGTCCGACAATGGTGTTAGGAAGAGCAGGAAAGGTAATGTCAAAGGTGTTGCGAAGGTTGATCTTGGAAGATATGCCATTATGTGGAACGTAATCTAGAGGAAGAGTCCACGGAAAATAGCTGAAATTTGATGGAGAACGAACGTCGGAAACCGTAATACTTGGGTGATCGCTTGAATACTCGACCAAAGGAGAGTCTACTGTGTCACGTGTTGGCATCAGATGCAAGCGTGCGAGCTTTGCGGCATGGAAAACGTCGTTACGAGCGGCTGTCGCTGAGATGCTGAATGGTACTAGCGATGGAGCCTTAGGACATGATTTCTCCTCTATCACAAAAGGTTCCTGTCCAGCTGTATTAGGCTCCCGAGAATTTGAAGCTGCCGCGACGACCTGCGAAGAACGTGGGACGATCAGGGGATGTCCTTCAGTGGTGAAGACGAATGGAGCGTCGAGCTTGTTGAGCGGATGATCAGGGGTGTAGAGCAGGTACAAGTATTTCGTCGTTTCCCCAAGAAAGAAGCTTTCCATTCTATCGCTTCTGTCCCCATTCAAGACATTTTGGATGCCAGAGAAGCCGCACTTCGTCCAGCAGCGTCGCTTAATATCGCGTAGTGCCATCTCGCCAACGTGGAGATACCAAGGATCTTTTGTGGCTTGATAGATATGATATGTGGACTCTATGAACTCAGGTCTCCCACCCCACCAGCTGAGACCACTTTCAACCCCTCCGTTGGCGAGCGACCAACGCTCTGGAAAGGCAGAGAAGCGAGTCCAAACCGCAGTATACAGCAGATGTGCTTCAACCGCCTCTTCGACTTCACCAAACATTGCCAGGAGTCCAGGATAGAACGCGCTCAAGCTGTCGACCCAATATGCTCTTGCTGCGCCTGTAAAGAGGTCCCCTTGTATGTAGTGAGGATGAGTATACTCTTCTCCTCGGTACAAATGCCGCTTGATCGCTGCATGAGACTTCTCCCAAGCTTCGCCGAACGCGGCAGCTGTGTGTTGATATCCATCTACCAGCTGCGTGCGGTTCGATGGTGCTGTTTCATTAGATGATGAGTGTCGCAGCCCTTCAAAATCGTGTAGATTGGATAGAAGAACACTTGCTTTCGCAGCGTATTCGTAGAAGCTGTCGATGCCTGCTCCAATGCCAGTATAGGGCGACGTCCAATGACCACTCTCGGCGTCGATTCCAGACCCAACTAGGCCAATTGAGCTCCTGCGCTCCCACACCGACCAAAATGCTCGCTTTGCTACCTGCTCGAAAATAGGGTCTCCGGTGAGTCGACTTAGCACAGTGAACTCGAGGACAATGCTGCCCGCTCCTGCACTGCATGTCTCTGTGATCTCGGTCGGGGAGCTTGGTTTTACTGGGCATTCGCCTCCCTCGGGGTCCTCGTTGAGAGGAGAATTGAGATAGAATGGAACTCCATGGCGCAGGTTCACTCGAGGGTATGGGATTCCGGTCGATGTTACGAATGCTGGTAACAGCCGGCGCCCGAGATTTTCGGCGAGCCGTAGGAGCTGGCCATTGTATTTGAACCCTTTCGACCACTTGATAGTGTAACCAGCATCATCCCTCTTTGTTAACCTCTTAGACTCATAGCCCACAATCGGCAGCTCCCCTACTGCAAACAGATGAGCGCTCAAAAGTCCACCGACACCTCTTATAACTGTTTCAAAGACCTGGACTTTGCTATCGATATCGAAGCCCTTTGCTCGCTCACCCACTCCCTTAGTGCCTGATGTGCCGTCACCGTAGAGCTCGACGATAGCTCTCACTCCGTCTTGAAATTCCTCCCATGCTTTGTTCTTCTTTCTCTTGCTTGATTTATCTTGTGAGGACATGATGGCGAGGGTCGACAAACTATCGATCAAGGTCAAGGAGTAGTTCCCGAGCGCATCATTGAGTTCGATGTGACTGGGGTTGTTGCGATCTCGCGTCAAAGGCGCGCAAGAGAGAGGACGTAGCTCATCTTCAGGAAATGCATGCTTCATATAATTATCGTAACCATGATAGAACATTTGTTCAGCTTCCACTCTGGAGAGTATTCAGTCCTTATCTTTGCTAAGCTTCAAGTCTCATGCTCACCTCAATTCGCCGATCTGTAGAGGACTCATACCATTCGCGTCGCCGATCCAAAGGCATAATCCGACAATGATGTGCAGCAAGACGAGCCTGCGAAGAAAGCAAGTACATTCCATCAACAGTCTCCCGCATGATGAAAGCATTCCCTAATATGGAGTCCTCTCGTTGTGACATTGGAGCGGCGAATATGTCGCTAAGATGATATAGAAGGCATCAAATGTCACCAGTTGGTATCACATAGGACCGAAAGCAACAACGTGGCTCGAGTGTGAGCGAGGAAAACTGGCCTCAGATTGATGTCAGAATATCAATTACGGGGGCCACTTTTGATCATTATCCTGAAAATTCAGTGCGGCTTTCGCCTGCCGTATTTCCGCCGATATCTTTTTGCTCTTAAGAGAATACTGATTCAACAGCACAACACAGTGTGGGATGAATAAATATTGGGTCAACACAATACCCCGGTGACAGTGATATAGTCAGACATGGCGGGCGATCTCTCACCCAACCAGGTGCTGAAGGCTCTCGCGCAGAGCAATGGCCCAATACTCACCGCCGAGGCCTTTCCATCCATGTCCTTCGTCAAAGTCAAGAGCGCGCTCGACACCTTGAAATCACGCGACATGATCATTTATTCGCAAATAGAAAGAGAGGAGGTGGTTCTCTCACCTGAAGGGGAAGGTATAGCGGAGAACGGAAGCCATGAGGCCAAAGTATTTGAGGCAGTTCGTGCTTCCATCGATGGGCTGAAGCTAGATGATTTGCCAGTATGTTGGCTCGGTATGCCAGCGAGTCTGGATGTGAGAGACCCTGGTTGCTAATCGAGTATTAGGACATAGTGGGACCAGTCAGCGCCGGTGTGGGAAAGAACACAGCGATGAAAGCAAGATGGATAAAAATGGATGGTGGAAGACTCAAAGCTTCTGTGAGTGCGCATGATACATTTAATCCACGACTCTCTGACCTATAAGTAGACGGATACAATCACAGACATCACACGCGAGCAATTACAAGCCATACAAAAAACCAAGTCAAACCCGGATGCAAGGCTTGTATCTGGTCTCAAGAAGAGAAAGCTGGTCACTACGCAAAGAGTCATTAGCTTCAAGGTTGACAAAGGTACAAATTTCGCCACCGAATTGGTCAAAGAGGAGACGGATTTGACAGCCGACATGATCCAAAGGTGAGCACCTCTTGTTCGTGTCCATACGAGCTTGCTAAGACTTGTAGCGGAGCATGGAAGACAGCGAAATTGAAGCCATACAATTTCAAAGCTATGGGGGCACCAAACACAAGCGGCGCATTGCATCCTCGTGAGTCGCAATCCGTCGATCATCAATGCAATTGCTGATCGCCCCTCAGTCAACAAAGTACGACATGAATTTCGGCAGATCTTTTTCGAGATGGGCTTTGAGGAGATGCCAACGAATCGGTATTCTTGATTTTCTTCAGATCTTCGACAACGCTGACCTCCCATTAGATACGTTGAAACCGGTTTCTGGAACTTTGATGCTCTCTTTATCCCCCAACAACATCCTGCCCGCGATATTCAAGATACCTTCTACATTTCCGACCCTCCGTCCGCCGGCCGACCTCGTGCAGACCCTTCACCTCAATCCTCACATTCCACCAACTCACCCCCCGAAGAAGCGCAACAACAGAAAAGGCTTGATTACGAAGCCTATTGGCGCAATGTAGTTGAGGTGCATCAAAAAGGCAAATATGACTCTATCGGCTACCGCTACCCCTTCAACGAATCCGAGTCCCTACGTCTCGTCCTCAGAACACACACTACCGCCGTTTCCACATACATGCTGCACAAACTTGCCCTCGATGCGCGTCCAGCGCGCTATTTCTCCATCGATCGCGTCTTCCGCAACGAGTCAGTCGACGCGACCCACCTCGCAGAATTCCACCAGATCGAGGGCGTGACTGCCGACTACGGCCTTACGTTAGGCGGCCTCATGGGGTTCATGGAGGTTTTCTTTGGAAAGATGGGAATACACAGACTGCGCTTCAAGCCGGCGTACAACCCGTATACAGAGCCGAGTCTCGAGATCTTTGGGTATCACGAGGGGCTGGGAAAGTGGGTGGAGATAGGTAACAGTGGCATGTTCAGGCCGGAGATGCTAGAACCTATGGGCCTTCCGAAAGATATGAGAGTATATGGATGGGGATTGTCGCTTGAGAGACCGACGATGATAAAATACGCGGTACAAAATATCAGGGAGCTGTTGGGGCACAAGGTTGATCTAGGATTTGTGGAGAGTAACGCTGCCGTGAGGCTCGAGAAAGATTGACAGTGGGATACCATGGATCTAGAATCATATATATATGCTGGCCATTCAAAGACCTGTGCATGTGGACACTGTCCTGACATTCAAGAAGAAACCAGCTTATGGTCTGCTGCGTAGGTTGCTAATGCCGAATTCGTGGTACATGAACGCGATTTACATCTTTCTGACCGCGTTGTCCTATGCTGCTGCAGGCCAAATACTTCTAGTACGGGAGAGGAATAGATCATTATCTGACCACGCTCAAGTAGCTAGGGTATCTGTCAGTCTGCCCTCTATCACAATCATGTCATTTGCCCTTGCTGGCCAAGCAGCAATGTTCACGTGGTCGATGAGTACGATGAAGCGGCAGATCCTTTTGCGTGGAGCAGCAACTCTTTGAACAACAGCCTCGTCTGTTTTCACCAGGGACTTGATCGTGAGCAACGTAAGTCTATGATTCCCTTTAGGAAACCTACAAAGACATCACCCAAGGATTCGACGTTGCCCTTGAGAAAGCAAGGAAGCTTGGGAGCCGTCAGACCTGCTGCGAAATGGATCACGACCCTTCTGTGGATAACTGCTTTTGGGACGTTCATCTGGGGAGGAATCGTCGACGCAATTAAGGACCGCGTCGACGGAGTATGGGCGGACAATGCTTTGCACAGAGGGTCTTGGATCGACTTTGGTTTCGATACTTATGCGCTCCACGAAGCTTCCTATGTGGTGTACTTCAACTCGATTGCGATCTCACTCGCAATTCAGCTAATCTCCACTTTCTCCCTGCACTGTACCGAACTGTTAGTCAACGCAACCCGTGACGAGAAGACCAGGCGGCGCGCTGCAAATCTCAAGGGCAAGGGGGCAATGATCAGTCGTGGTGCAATCAAAGAGGCGTGCACGAGTTGGGAGACGATCTCGCTCTTCATCATCAAGACTGCCGTCCATTGGGCGTTCGGTGAATCGCCCAGTGTATCTTTCTCAGCCCAAGGCACGTCAGAGTTTCTCATGTGGCCAAATGCGTTGTTTGTGCTAGGCGCCATGATGATCGTCGCTGCAGTCTTCTCAACATTCTTATGCTATAGACGGTACTCAGGGCCCCAACCTGCAGCTTATGGACACCTTCAAACAATAGTAAATTTCATAGATGAGTGGGGACCTGATGGGCGGCCTCTCTATTGGGGAGATAAAGGTCCTGTGGCTTGGGGAGCTGGATGGGAGGTCCGACATGCTGGGACAGCTGGCGAGGCTTCTGCGGTGGCACCTATTCGGATGGACGCCAGATACACGTAAAAGCTAGCGTAGTTTGCGCACAAAATCACCAGGACAAAGTATTTCATACCCCTGCAAGACGTGCTCGCATTTATAGGATGAGCTTCTTAGCTACACTGGCTCTGATTGGGGGCGATTTTCGAGAGAATACCGAAAGTTTCACGATTATAGCTGGCGACTCGCGAAGCGACACCTCGTTTCCAATTTCCTCAGTCATGTACCCCAAGGTGATTCCTCCGGCACCGCTCGCACGTCAAAACGCGACACTGTGTGCATTCTCTGATAGAACGAGGACACCAATGCAAGCACTCCTGGCATTGATACGATCCGGTCCTACACTGCCAGGTCATATGAGTACAGTCATATCGACCTCGAAGATTGGCAACGGCATTTTGAATCACCGGCTCCCCAATCTGCTGTTCCCTGGAAAGTCTTCGTACAACGGCCTGGTCGGCATGATTAAGGAGACGAGGCTCGTGCCATCTATCACAATGACAAGTTCTCCAACGCTGTCCACAGACATAGCTGTCAAACCACATCAGTCAAATCTTGGACACGGAAGTAGGATTTATAGATACCAAAATTGCGCGCCACACCGGCAGCTGAAATATTGTCAGCACTCACGAAGATGACATTTCTCGATGATTTAGCACTTACTATATATGATTGCAACCATGATGTAGCTCCACAAGCCTCAGACACTTATAACATTTTCGCCAACCCTGCTGCTCTGCCAATGCTTGGACTTGTTGAGTTGCCGTGTCTTGTGGGCAATCGCCATTGTGCGAGAGCGATTTGCAGATTGTACAAGTCTGCGTGCCACACGTGGTACACTCAGCTTTATCGCTGACAATGCTCGCAGGCCTGATGAATGCCTGACAAGTGGGATCAGAACAGTACGTCCTCCCAGAGGTTTTGAACTCGGTGCTTTTCAATTCAAATTCTCGAACAAGCGATGAGTCCAGATAGATCCGAGCAGTCTCCATTGGTATTCTCTGACCGCAACAATGCGGAGGAAAACGACTTTCATCAGTTGTCGACACTTCGAAATGTTTTGCCAAGCAACTTTTGCAGTAGTAATGGCCACAGGGAGCTTGATAGATATCGAAGATAGGCTTCTCCGAGACACACGCCATACATTCACGGTGTATCGCATGTTTCTTGCGGGGCCTCAAAGCTGCCCCCACTGATGACTCTGCCTCTTCTTCATCGCAGCTATTGGACGACGTGGATTCATCTTTCTGGGGGGGCACGTACAGATGTGCCAACCTTTCCAGCGCACCTTCATTGAGCGCAACTCCCGTCGGTGCGAGATATGGGGGAGCCAGAGTCGCAGCTGTCCCTTCAATAGACTGCGCCAGAGCTCGATCACAGATTATGACCCTTTCCACCTCGACCAATCCGCCTATTAATTCAGCATCGCTCATGACCGCTTGTGTGTGGCTTTGCGCCATACATCGGTCGGTATGAACGACCGACCTGGCTTTCAACTCCTCTTGATACGTCTGCAGAGCTAGCTGGTGGTCTGGAAGCTGACCATCGACATACTTGCCTTTTTCAAGTCGGAGTACTTCCTCTAGATCATCGGCTTGTAATTGGAGGACTAGAGCTGCTGTGGCATCATCGATGCCATCGACTTCGTATGAGTGGGACCGTTTACTTGCCATGCTTTCTGGAGAACACGGCGCGTGGAAGAAGGAGGGAGGCTGTTCAGCATTTCACCTTCTTGGACTGTTTGTGCTCCTTGCTTGGTGCGTCGATGTGTCACATTTGTGTAACCGAGGGCACGAGAACCTGCATGCATGCACACTGCATGTCGGCCAATGCTACCAACATGATCAACCTCCATGCAGAAACTTCTCATGCCAACTCAACGGGCCGCGACACCCATGGTAATCTCCAGCAACCCCCGGCATGCAGTCTTTCTGTGGAAGCAAACAATAGTGTTTGCCACCCATCTTGGTCACATCACCCTTTGCAATTATCTGGGGGTCAAGGGGCAAAATGATGGCCATGATTTTCACACTGCATCATCGATACTCGCAGTCGCCCATTCAGATCAGATTCATAGATGACAATAGAAATGACCAAACACGCGGCCAAAGCTTGGTTGAAAAAGGGCCACTGGAATGTAAGACAATGCAAACTTGTACAATAATTCCAGATAGAACGGTCCAATTTTAACCCTCCTCAATTGAGGCGATATTGCTCGAGAGTCCCACTCAGCTCACGTAAGGAACGAGATCAGAGGACTGCCAAGACTTTGCTGCCAAGTCATATGGACAGGACGGGTATCTTCGTCCTCCGTCCAGGATCACTCACAGCTTCCGAGGGTCGGTGTGTCTGAACATGGCGCCGCCAAATCAACGTCGCGGGTGAAAGGCCCTATAACATAGCCTAGAAGATCACTATGTTAACCACATTTTTAAGGTATCCCCTTGGAAGCAGCCCCTAGAGCTAGGCCCTAGAATTTAGCGGCGCCATGTTCAGACCTACCGACCCTCGTTCAACTAATTTGTGTCCCTTTGGCAGCCCTTCAACCAATTCAGTGAGTAGGAAAACCTTCCGATGTTTACAGGCTTCTCCCTCATCATTATGTCCAATCAACAATGAAAGCTCTTTTTGGACCTGCAGCAAGCCTACGTACGGGGGGCCGGCTCGATCGGGTTGGCTCTAGGATTTAGATCACGCAATGGAATTGTCTAGACCTTGATGGCACGATGCCCGCACCAATCAACTGTCCGCGCCGCAATCTGAGCCGAGATGGCACCACCACCGACTCCACTCACCAGACTGTCAGCACAAGGCTGAAAGATGCCATCTCGGGCACTACAATGATCTCTCCGCCGCCCGCGTTTCTCGTTTCTTCAACCTTCAATCCATCGCAAGCCATTGCCGTCTGGTGTCCCGTCGCTGGGTGGGCTTTGCGATAGCCAGTATCGCGAGACTGAGCCATGGCAGCGTACTATCAGCCCGCCTACCAGCCATTGAGTACCGGCTATGATCCTGCAAGCTATCAATACTCCGCCAACCCTCAATACACTGCTAGTCCTTCATCTTTCTCCAGCCATTCATACTTCCCCAGTCAGCAACAGACTCCCAACCAGAACTCCGACTCGGTCCCCTTAGTCGACAAGAAGAGCCCTAATGTCTCCATCAACTCCGTCTTCAACCGCTCGTCGCGATCACTCCAAAAGAATTATACCACCAAAAGTCGGCCTAAGTCATGGTGGTGGCACATCCTGTCGCATATCGTCAGTTTCTTGTGGGTGGTGCCGATTATCTCTATGTTGGTCCTCAATTGGACACACCACATCATTGGCTCAAGCGTCTGGTGCCCAATGGGCCATTGCAGCTCCAATTCCTGGGAGGAAGACGCCGTCACGAGAGCCGCTAAACTAGATCGCGACGACCACAATACCCTCGGCGCCCTCCAATTCGTCTCCAAAATGCTCGAAGTCTGGTTCATGCTGATCGCGACCGCCTTGGTCTACGACCTGGCAATGATCATGGCACGCATGGAAGGAGGTCTGCCCATTGGCTTCATACTAACCCATCTGGAGTTCATGGATGTCCGCAATCTGCTGAATCGCCATCTTTGGACCTCTCCAATCCCTCACAGGGGTGCTTCGCGAACGCAGAAGAAGAGCATCCTACGACTCTTCCTCTTCTCCGTCTTCGTTGCATTCTTGACAATCATAGCCAACCTCATGGGCCCAGCGGCAGCTGTCCTCGTGCTGCCCACCCTCCAATGGATAGACACACCTCATCTAGCCTCTCAAGTCTACCATAATGCCTTCTTCCAGCAGCCTCCCCAGGGCGACTCAGCATTAGACGGCTGCAACGCTACCGACCTCGCTGCCGGTAACTTCTCCTGCACTTACGTCAACTACGGACCAAGTCTCGAGCAATTCGCTGCGTCGGCGTTACTGACTGTGGATCAAAGTACCAAAGACTTCGCGCTTGACTTGGCTAGCACCTCGCAGGAGTCAGCTGTCGTCTTTCTTGTAAATGCGACAATGGAGAGTAATCTTGCCTGGGCCCCCAATCGCCAGGTACTCCAGGAGATATCCAAGGACCTATTCAAATATGCGATGCCGGAGAAGTGGGGCAAGCCACCGACGCCTCTGAATGACTCGCTCAGTATTGTCATCAATCGAGAAGGCCCCAGTGTAGGGTTCAACGCGTATTGTAGCGCAGGCAATGTTTCCGTGACGAACGTGGCGGATGATAAGCAGATTGCATGTTTTGATGGCTGGAGCATTGACGGCATCAACAACTACACCAAGGTACTAACCCCGCATGAGTCCCACTCGCTATCGCTAACCATCAATGCAGTGCTATCGTGTAGGCCAAGGTTTCGGCGCCACAAATAAAGCCTCCCGATTCCACATCGACAATTACGCCGTGGACTCCAATGTCAACAACACGGCTGTCGACGTCTTCTTCTCCGACAAAGCCACCTACTACAACCCCACAACCGACTTCAACTCCGGCATCAAAGCCTGCCTCTCTGCCTCCGCCGCCCCATCCTGCGATTGGGACCGCATCTTCTCCACCCCCGTCCCCTCCGATCTGCGCAACATGTCCACGAATGTAGCCGTAACATCCTACTCCATGATCCCAGCCTTCGACCCCTCCGAGATGGGCGCCGGCGGCCCCTCCGCCCGCCTCTTCTGCGACCACGTATCCTACATAAACTTCCCAACCTACACCTTTGACGCCTCAACCTCCACGAACCCGCTCCAACTCGTGCGCATGACAAACCTGGAGCTCAAGAACCCCGACCCCATCGTCATGGACCCAGACTGGTTCCTCGCCACCTGGTCTGTCGACCGCAACGGCAGTGCAAGCAGCTACCACAAGATGTCGCAGGAAATAATGCGCACGGTGCCCCTCGCCTGGGCGGACGGTATGAGCAATACCAGCTATTTCGCCCAGGAGATGAATATGCTACAGCTCTACTCGCTTACGCAGATGATGTCCATGGTGCGCTGGCGAAACACCACTCTTCCCTCCCCATCATCGTCCTCCACCCCTTCACTCGCCCCCACCGATACCGTCCTCAAAACATGGGCAACCCGCCACGTATGGGCCTACTCCCTCAATTCCCGCACATCCAAACTCGGCGCCGCCGTCGTCCTGACGGGCTGTGCCTGCGTCCTCTTCCGCCTCTTCCTCGGTGCCTTTTTCGGGAAACGCGAACATAGTCCTATTGACTTGTTCGTGGCGGCGCTGCAGCATCAGCCGCAGGGGGAATTCGACGGGATGCATGAGAAAGACGGGAGTGTGGGGAGCGGGGCGAAGGTTAGGTACGTGATGGAGGAGGATGAGAATGGTAAGCCGCGGTTTGTGCCGGAGCGGAGCTATATGGGGGATTTTGGGCGGGAGGCGACGAGGGGGTGGAGCTGGGGGCGACGGAGTACCTGGAGGAGTTTGGGTAGTAGTGGTGGTGGCGGTGGTGGTGGGGCAGGAAATACGCCATGAGGGGGGGGGAGGTGCGAAAAAGGTGGTAAGAGGTGGTTTATATGTAATGAAAAGATGGAGATGTAGCAGGTGATTTGTATGACATACTGGTAGTGGTGATGATGTTAGAACTATCCAATATATAATGGAGGCAGCTATTGGATTCTCGCTCCCACATCTTACTTAGGAAGGAAGGAAGGGGGTTCATCTATGCCATCACCATCCAGCCACACCTCACATTATTCCCTATCACCACCACCACCACCCCTCTGTTTCCACAGTCTAGCATGGAAGTCTTGCCTCCAGAATCGAGCTCATCTTCGACCCCCCCCTTGCAAATAACGGAATAGGCTTGGCGCCATCCATCCTTCCCTTCTCTTCCCTTCCTCGCAGTAGTCCGTGGGGACACCCCTCTCCACCTCTTACCTAACTGACTCCTCCCCTCGCCCGTCAACCATCCCACCATCTTCCGTCCAGCTATCTCAGGATCTCATTGGAGAGGGGCACTGTAACGGCCAGCTCCCGAGAGTACGATGGAATGCTGGGTGCTGGGTGCTTGATCCGCAATGTGAAACGCCCGCAGCCTTGCCAGTGGTACGGCGGTTCCGCGAGGTGGGCTAATTTTGGGAAGGGGGGAAGAGGGGAGGGGGGAAAGGGGGGGATCTAGTGGCCATGAGGCTGTACATATGGTAGATCTACTGGGTTGGGGGGGTTAAGGGATGAGAGTGGTGCTGTGGGGTGTTTTGAGCGACCGAGGGGGAGGGGGAGTGGCTGCGAAAATATATGAGATGGTATAGGGGCTTTACCTGTGGACCCGGTCGAAGATGATTGATTGATTGAGAGTGGATGGAGCGGAGGAACGTTCTTCGTCTTTGGTATCCTGAATGTTGTCGTCTATGTGGAAGGGACGGCGTTTAGGGGTGGCAGTGGACTCCAAGCTGTGGCTGGAGCCTCGGCGATATTTGTACCGAAGTGGGATTGCCATGGTGACATGACCGTGCGTTGTATTTGCAGCAGCGATGATGTTCTTGGGATGAGAATCTTCTCCAGGCGACGGCACACACGCGTTGCGACCGACGGTGCGGTGGGGATGGATGGATGGATCGTTCCCCCATTGCAAAAATTCGGAGGTAGCTTAGTAAGCTCTTCCCAAGAGCGACACACATGCATTATTCAATCTGAGCATTTACTTTTTTCGGCAATTATCACGCAATAATGCCCCTCGAGCGCCGGATCCGGAGGATTAATGTTACCATGTCCGCTTGGGCTCCTGGCGCATCGACTATCGCGGGGCGGTAGAAACCATGATTTGGCGGTTCGGAGACATGTGAGACAGCCCGCTGCAGATTGCGCGATTTTTTTTAAGGCCGCCGTGGGGAAATGCTGCGGAAACATCCTTCTTGGGGAAGGGGGGGGAGGGGCGGTTTGTGGGGTATTGAGGCGTCGGGATTCGATTGACGACCTGTGGGCTTGATGGAGGGTGGGTCAAAAGGAGTATATAAGGATAAAGGCTCTGTTGGTTCTGCGTCGATTGTGGTGTCGATTTGCTGTGTTCCTCGGCGTTGTTGCACTGTGATGAGGAGATGGTAACGAGGAGATGAATATTCTGCTGGATGCAAGGAAGTGGTGAGTCTTGTCCTGAGAAATGACTTCGTTGCTTTCACTTGGCCAGGTAGGAACGGCCGATCAGTCTTTGTACCACAAGTCGCAAAGCGCAATTCTCGAGTCATGTTGAATCCTAGCCACGGATTTCAGCATCGCAGACTCCGTCTTACTGCGTGTTGGTCGATTTGACTTGCTCATCTGTAGATCATATCATGAGAGATCCGTCGTCAAGCGCTGAATGGGTTGGTCGTTTATGTGTGGCTTTCCATTGACCACGTTAATGGCTGCACCGCTCGAAGGATCTTAGACGTTTCTCTTTCCCCTGAGTCACGTCTGTGCTCTTGCTCTGGCTACCACCACTCATTGCGTGCTGCTGAGGATCATGATCGTTTGCCATTCGGTCGGGAAGTTCTAATATGCGCAGTTCAAGCCTTCCGCAAGCCTTCCGCTTGTTTTAGCCGCCGAATGGCAGCCTTGTTTGCACTTGAGTATGGCTTGCCGATAATGAATATAAAAGAGAAGACAAAAGTCATGTCTGCTTGCTTGTTAATGACTTCCCTCAATTGAAGCAAGCAATTAAACCGATGTCAAACCATTTCTCCCAAATCCTTGATCATCGTATCTTAACATGTATTGTTTAGTCCTGACGCATCTTCTGGCCCATCTCATTACCTCCGGCTTCACTTCACCAATCAACGCGGCTATACCTGCAGCCCCAGATTGTGCGACGCGTCCACCTGGTACAACTCCAGAGAGTGACTGCTATCCACCACTATCCATCACCGATACCGACACCGCCCATGTCTGGGGTATAGCCGTGGACAAGGTCGCTGATGCACAAGACATACAGCTCTCATGGTACGAACAAGGCAACAGTGGCCAGGATTTCCATTACTTGAACGGGTGGACACGTGCGGAAAACAACTCATGGTGGATGACGACATGCGAGCCCGCGGTCGAAAGAATCTGCAAGATCACCGACCTTGCTCGAGCCTCCTTCCCCACGTCGGGTTACGAAGGCAAATGGTGGTGGGGCTATGAAGTCGCCAAAGACCAAGGCTCAGAAGGTTGTCTGATCAGCGTGTATGTACCGGGTCTCGGCGCAGTCACACCGCCTTCGGCTCAGGACTGCAAGGCCACCATCCTGGAACCCATGATCTCCTTGCTGAACGAATCTTACGATATGCGGGCCAGTGTCAATCTGGCACAAGCTCCTGGTGTACCTAATTTCGCGAAACCCGGTACTCAGATCAGCGGCCCGCCGCAAAAACTGCTTAACCCCGATGGTTCGACTGTGGATATTGATGGTTTGGATCAGAGCATTGATAACCTGGGTGAAGCACTGAATGCGTCATTGACTTCGTGGCTTGTCCAACCGTAGGTACCTCTTTTATTGAAATCAAATGAAAGGTTTGCTGACATCAGCCCGGCTCGTAGGTTCAAGAGATCGGACAGGTAATAATACGGCAGAAAACTCAGACCGGCAGATTCCCAAATTGAGGTTGCCGGTGTACAAAGATATTCAAATTCATCATAAGTTCTTAAAGATTCATACCAGCGAAGATATTTGCGTCGACAATGACTGCGTCTGTGCTCGTTGCGTTATTGTGACCAGCCACATCGTTCTAGGTCATTTGTTCCGTATGTCTCGGTCGTATTCAAAACAAGATACCTTCCCTTCTACGAACACTTCAAGACCGGTATGCATGTATATCTTAGATGGATAGCATCGATATTTCATCACAGGATGTTGTGAAAAAGGAAGTCGAGATTTTGTGGAATTTCATTTCTCCCCGGAGTTTAGCCAAGACCATCGGATTTAAGCCATCTTGGCGCAAAGCCCAATTTCTGCCCGCATCACTACATGCTTTCCTCTGACGCATATAATTTGAAAAGTCTCTCCTTTATGACCTTTCACTCGCATTGTCTACTGCAAAACAACGTGATCTGACGTAAACACCCGCCAGCGCTTTGAAGAACATGAAATTCATATCCAAAGCCAATCTTCCACCATTCCCAACATGTCCTTATCTCCCGGAGTCTTGCTGCTTTCAAAGACCCTCACAGAGACCCCCACCCATAACTAATGAAGCTACCGCACACTCAACGTGAAGACATGATCGTGCACTAAAGCATCATGGATGATTCGATACCTCAAAGCACTGTTCTTAATCGAGCCAATCAGGGTTCAGCCGCTCAATTCGACTTACTCCCAAATAGGCAGCCAAGACACAAGACTGGTCCTTAGCCTCGCAATCGGAATTGATGTTGGGGATTTCAAATGTGTACTTGGAAGATGGTCGCTATCGTCATTGTGCTTTGCTGACATATAGACCTAACAGCAAGGGTTGGGGTAAAAGGTAATGTAGTATCTGCAGTGGACATAAACGTTGTTGTGGACTCGATGTTTCTTCCCCAATCCTTACTCCCTGTTGAGTACGACCACAGATGCTCTTTGTTGTCTTCTCGCGCAAGGCTCCTCTTCCTTGATATCTCCAGATCTTGACTTCCCGACCATCGTCTCCTCGCCTGCAATTGGTGAACAAGAAGCAAAAAGCATGCCCCGCACTCTATCCCCAATTCTAAGCAACACCACTACATCCCCTCCCCCAAAAATCCACAGCCGCAACACCTCAAACCAAAACAACCAGGCCATCACCACCATCGCCCACACCCCCTCACCACCCACAGAAGAACCCCTCCAATCCCACATCACCCACCTCGGCCGCTCTCGCCCCCCCACCTTCCCCACCCGCCTCAGCGAAATCTCCTTCATCTTCAGCATAACAATGTCACAATTCCTAACCGAATACTTCGTATCGGGCTTCACCGTCTTACTCCCTACACTCATCTCCTCCCTCTCGATCCCACCCGCCTCCAGCGTCTGGCCCGCCACAGCCTTCTCCCTCGCCATCGCCAGCACCTTGCTCGTCTTCGGCCGACTCGGCGACATCTGCGGCCCCTACCCCGTCTTCATCTACGGCCTGCTCTGGCATCTCATCTGGTGCGTCGTTGCGGGATTCAGTGTCACGCCGCTAATGCTGGATTTCTGCCGCGCGTGCCAGGGGTTGGGCGCGGCGGCGTTTTTGCCCACGGCCGTCGCGCTGATGGGGTCGGTGTATAGGCCTGGGCCGAGGAAGAATCTGGTTTTTGCGATCTATGGGACTTCGGCGGTATTTGGGTTCTTTGGCGGGATTTTTGTCGCCGGGGTTGTCGGGCAGTTTTTGCGCTGGGGCTGGTATTTCTGGATTGGCGGCATTCTTACTGCTGTCACGCTTGTATGTTCGGTCTTTTCGATCCCGCATCAGCCGTCGCAGCAGGGAAATGGGAATGGGACTGGGACGAGGATGGACTATCCCGGTGCTGTGAGCATCGTTGTCGCCCTGACTCTCACCGTTTTTGCCATTACGGAATCTGCGCATGCCCCGCGCGGCTGGTCGACGCCGTATATTCCCCTCACCTTCTCACTCGGTCTCCTCTCTCTCCTCGCCTTCATATATATCGAGTACCGCTCCCCCAATCCTCTCCTACCAGCCTCAATTTTCACCACTCATCAATCCATGACGCCTCTCCTCATTGCCTTGTTCCTCCTGTATGGCACATGGGGCATCTTCTCCGTCTACGGCACGCTCTATTTCCAGAACTTTCTCGGCGCTTCCCCTCTCCAAGTAGTCGCTTGGTACACGCCCCTCGGTGTAGCAGGCCTGCTCCTCAGCATCCTCGAAGGGTTGATCTTGCACCTCGTGCCAGGACGGGTGCTCCTCGTGATTTCTGGCGCGGGGGCGCTGGGCGCGCAACTCCTACTCGCTCTGCTTCCTCCCCACGGAAACCACACTTATTGGAAGTTCATTTTCCCGGCGACAATTCTGAGTACGATCGGTATTGATCTATCTACGATCTTGATGACGGTGTTCATCACGACGACGTTTCCTGCCAAGCAGCAGGGCTTGGCGGGCGGAGTCATCAACTCGGTGCTGCAATTGGGCGTCGCGGTTGTTTTGGGACTCGCGGACATCGTCCAGTCGGCAACTGTTGAGGAAGTCGGGCTGGGGAGAAGTTATAAGAATACGTTCTGGTTTGGCGTTGGCGCGGGAGCGGCCGCTTTGCTGCTTCTGGGCATTTGGGGAAGGGTGCCGAAGGCGACGAGTGAGTTGACTGCTGAGGAGAGAGAGGAGCTGATGAGAGAGGCAGAGACGGAAGCGGGGCGGTATGATAGAAGGTCGGACGAGGACGCCGGCCTGTAAGATAGTCGGTCAGATGTAGAAGTTCTGGGGTGAAGTCTATATCGTAGCGGCGCGGTGGATTGAAGCTGATGAGTTTCAAATGATGAGCCAGTCAACACCCGTAACCCTCAATTCAGCGATCCAATCCCCACCACTCCTCTCATTATTCACTATATCACCTTCAAGATCCAACACAGGCTTTCGACTCTTGCTCCTCTCCCAAATCTCCTCCAACACCTTCAATGCTCCTCTTATCACTCCCCATGGTTGGACTTCCCACAAATCGTGAAATTTGCCCTTCACCCACTCCCGTCTTTTAGGATCCCTCGTCTCTGCTCCCGCGACAAATGCTGGCCAGGCTATTGCTTTGAACATTTCGGTATCTGAGAGGATGAATGAGAGAGGCATCATGATGTCCTCAACCAAAGATTCGAGATCATGGGAGAGTTGCACATGTGGGTAGAGGGAGAGCAACATCCGAGAGAGATAGATGCATACGGCGGCACGGTGGGCAGAGGCAATGTGTGTGCGGTTAATGATGTCGTCGGGGGCGGGCGAACGAGGCTGGAGATCGATGGCCCAAGAGAGGGGATTGAACGATTTTGCGGTGGAGAGGAGATGGAGCAGAATTTGCTTGTTTTGGGATTCCGTTGAGAAGTGTGTGGGCGAGAGGCTGGGTTGAGATAATTGAGAGGCTGTTTGCATTAGATGGAGGAGGATCTTGGGGAATGAAGAGCAGTGGTTTCCTTCTGTGTCCTGAAGCAGGGATAGGGTGTCTTTCGGGAAAATGTTGTCGTATATAAGATGTCTCTGGCTCGTGAGTGTTGAACCGAGAATGTCGAAGCTGGTGTGAAATTGGTCAGTATGTATGAATAATAGTGGCTTAGGATCGATATATATACACCAAGCAATTTGATATCAAATATTGACGTAATGGACTACTGAAAGCCTGCGTCAATACGTTTGGCGATAAAAGTGTTCTAATAATCGTTCTCGCACCATCGATGTGGTGCCTCCAGCTGTCCCGTCCGGAGTCGATAAGCTCGAATTCGATGAACAACAGTACTGCTGCTAGAGTGACCTCGGTATTTGCTGAGGGTATACTTGTGAGAGAATATTTGAGTAAAGAAAGAGCCCGCTGTTTAGCCACAAGCGCATCACTTTCATGGTCTGCTTGTGGGATTGCGGACAAATCAGATGATGAAGAGTCTTGTGAGTTTGTGCGATTGCGAAGGGAATGAGCCAATTTGTCAATGGCCGAGTATTTCGAGCGTCGGTTTGACATATGCAGCGCTGAATTCGCGATGATAATTTGAAGGAGAACTGGATGCTGATGCGTCATGGGAACAAGCTCGCGAAACGGATTGTGTCCAGGTGTATCGTAGAGGACGAGATCTCTGCAGACATCACCAGCAACTATGTGGTACAAAGTCCATAAGTGTCAGTGCCAACGTTATGATGCGAATGGAGCTCACAGTAAAGCAAGTAATGTCGCGCTCCCTGATCCAAGTCTTGAACCAAAGGATCCATTAGAAAATCAAGTGGCAATGTTTCAGTACTCCCAGAAGAGGTTGATTGACTGCAGGAAATGGCAGGAGACGATGAATTAAGTCTTAGATGTCTGCGGCTTACTTGGTCCTTAGTCACCTGTCCAAAGGTCTTACCGGCCAAGTTCCCACGACTAGCGACGCCTTTTTCCCAGCGAAACAAACGCTGGTATCCAAGGCATTCTTGACCTGTCTTGTTACATTTCAGACATTGTGGAAGAGATCCGTCGCATTTCAAGCGCCGACGTCGGCAATTGTGGCATGCTTGAGGACGTGACTCTGAGGGGCCCATGACGCTGGTCTTTAGGTCAATCCCAAGATGATATGAGCCTTTGTACCATTTCAACTATTCAGTCTGTCGCTAGGTGGACTTAGAGCCTCGCGGCGAATGTTCACTTATTCCATTGGCTGAACAATGTCGAGTCGAGCATAGAAGACGTAGGAAAACCTAATGACCTCGTGATGGATGGTCAAAGCTGGATGCCTTTCGGCGCGGCAAGACCTATGAACCTCGATTGGCTTCACTACCCCGCAAATTTCTGCAGCTTTCCCAATGTACAAAATGCTCGCAACGTATGAATATCAGTTGTAAGAGTGGGGAGGCGATAGCTGGAGATAGCAATGCTCCGGACTCAAGCGCTCAACATGGCCGGAAATAAATGGTCTTGGCGTCCGAATTCCTCTCCTCAATTCTTCGGACCCGAGTAGTCAATTGTTCATACACTCATCTTACAACCAGGACAACGTTGTTCATTATGCCATCTGACACGGATAAGCTCATTGAGATCGCAAGATACGCCACACAGGCTATTGGCGCCGCGGCAATTGGCCTGATTGCAATCAACCAGCTGAGAAAATTGCTTCCCTCTCGCCGTGAAGATGTGACATGCATCCCATCGCCCCTTAAGACACAACTCCCTCACCTCACTAAGAACGAAATAAGTGCTTTGCCATACCCACCCGGTTTACTACCAGGTGCTAGAGATGTAGAGACTCCTCACGGAAGCTTTCGGGTATATGAATGGGGACCTGTGGATGGCAGAAAAGTGATGTTTCTACATGGAGATTGGACGCCTTCTCCCATATTCAGCTCTATCGCGCAGGAATTAGTTGCTCGTGGATGCAGGGTACTATTACTCGGTACGTAAATCATCACCTCGACATTCTGCGCGCTAATCGCGTTCTACTGCACCAATATCAAAACCCTAGAATCATGTAATCAGGAAAATACAGGGAACATCCCTTAGCTAACCAAACATGTAGATCTCTGGGGACGAGGCTACTCGTCCAGCCCTCTCCACGCCACCCACAACGCCCATCTGTTTCACCTACAAATCCTCTACGCAATCACCTCATCCTCCATCCCCTGGACCGGCAAATCGCTCGGAGGCTTCGCTCTACTCGGTTTCTCGCTTGGTGGCGGCATAGCCATGTCCTTCACTGCCGCCTTCCCCGAACTCATCGACTCTATGATCCTGCTTGGCCCAGCAGGCATTCTCAGAATTCTGCCTGGCGATTATTTGGCCCCGATATTCAAATATCACGCGTTTGCGCCAGCATGGTATGTACGGCGGCGGGCAGGTCTGACATTAGGCGTGAACGTGAATGGTACAGCGCAAGAAAGTGATTTGAAGGGCGAAATGGGTGTGGACGTGCCGTCGACGAAGGAGGAGACTTCCGTGGGAAAGCTCGATTTTCCGGCTATGGCACAGTGGCAATTTGATAATCATCACGGCTGCGTTCACAGCTGGTTGGATACGCTTAATAATGCGCCGGTTATGCATCAGCATGCTGAGTGGGAGAAAGTCATCGCGCGGCTCGGGGCGTCGGAGTCTGGCATATCGAAGCTTCTCGTGATCTTTGGGGAGGACGACCAAGTGGTGAACCGGTCGGAGGTTGGAGTTGAGATGGCAGAGATGTTTACCCGGCAAGGGAAGCGTGAGAAACTGGATATTAGGACCGTACCAGGCGATCACGGTTTTCCTGTGACGCAGGCTGACGCAGTGGTCGAGCACATCGCGGACTTCTGGCAGATGTAACTCCACGGCAACAACATTCGCCTAATCTCACACTTCACATGGCGATTCATCTTCATCGCGGCAAAACGTCTCCTCTACTCACTCCGCAATGCGGCTCGTTCTCATCACGCCGGACGCCTTTTCCGCTCCACCTACACACCGCTCACATCCCCCTCCTTAACCGGATGGATCAACACGCCCGGTAAACACAACCTCCCCCTCCCCTCCTTCCTACCCTTCTCTCCTAATGTCCCCACCTCACTCCCATGGATCCACCACCGATAAATCCCCGTCCCGAACTGCTCCCACCTACTTATCACCCACGCATACGTCAATCTTGCAAATACGGCGTTCCACCGATCTCCCCTCCCCCACCGCCACGGCGTGTTCCTTACGCCCTGCGCATTAAAACCCCTCTCTATCTCCTCCAACGTCCTTGGCTGACCCTCACCCACAGGATCATAGAACGTCGGCAATGGAAAACTCACGGCCTTCAGCCCATGCAGATACGCGAATGTGGCCGGCCCTATCTCAGGCAGGATATCCACCCCATAGTCGCGCGTAGTGGCGTGCATAATCCCCAGCATTTCGCGGGAAAAACGCACGGCGGGCGTAGCATCGAGGTAGTAAGTCCTCGGAGCAGAATCATTAGAATTTGGGGTAGCGAACCCCTTCTGAATCCCCCAATCCGGATTCGTGGGATCTTTAGGCCCCGGCAAAATAGGCGCGAAGGAGATGAAACCCGCATCTTCGTCTACGCCCCATTCATAATCCGTATCATTATCAGGATGGGGATAAGGCGGCGTCGGGCCTTCTGGATCCAAGCTCGAGGTAGTGGAAGCAGGCGCGCCCCACACCCCTCCATCGACCGTCTGATTCGCGACAAGCTCGCCAAACTCCTTGTACGAGCGGTGCAAATGCGGCATATAAAACCTCGCATTGCGCTCCCACAGCAACCTCCTCGCCTGCTTCCGCGCCCACGCGTCCGCGTTCGCGAACAAATCGTACCAATGCCCCGTATACCGCACATCGAGCTCCATCATCCAGAAATGGTCGAATTGCGGATGCAGGTGCGCGAAGAGCTGCAAGGGCTGGTCCATATGCAGCATTTGATTCAAAGCTTGGTTTGTGCCCGGGTACCAGGGGAGCGTGAAGGAGGGGACGCTCCACAGCAGCGTTATGTTGTGGAACTCCCGCGGCACGAAGGCGTGTAGCGCGAATTTGTATATTGTCGGCGAGGTGAGGAGTTTGGGCGCGTGCCGGATCTCGATGAGCAGGAAGACGGTGTATTCGCCGCCCGAGTGCAGGGAGAGCTCGGAGATGAGGGCGCGGAGTTGCATGCTGAGGTCTTTGGTGTAGGTCATTTCTTGGTAGGCGCGCAGGACGACGGCGGTGCGCTTCTTGCACTTTTTGTCTTTCTGGGCGGCTGCGGGGTGTTGTTGGTGCTTGTTGTGGGCTTGGTGGGCGCCGAGCTCGTTGGCGGATTGCGGCGCGCGAAGGCGCGTCAAGGTGGCATCTGGACTGGGGATGTGGCAGAAGCGGTCTTCGTTGCGAAGCAAACATTTATGCTGAAGACTCCCCCAGTCGACTTTCGACCAATCCACACTCATTGACGCGTTCGTTCTCTTTTTCTTTCCGTGGAAGCCGTAGCTCTCGAGGCGGCTGTATCGGTCAAAGCAGTGGTCAGCGTCAAGCCCGCTTTCATGGTACGACCCGAAGACTGGCTCCGGGAGAGTCACTGCTGAAGATTAGCCTAGTACGCGTGATGATATCCCAGCGCTTACGAGGTTCCTGTATGCGGTATGCTTTGGGCATATCAGCAGGATTCTCATTAACTTCCACACCTCTCGGTCCAACGCAAGCGCGATGAGAGCCTTGCCACCTCTTGCGCCATTCAGCACTGTTGTAGGCTGGATAAGGCTTATAAGGCCTGGACTCCAATCTACTTTCATTGAAGTTCTTAAGGTCAGGAAATTCGTTTGATGGCTCCTTCCCCACGGTTTCTGCGGAGTCGTTATGGTGGTAGTGCTCATGGTAATGCGATTTTGCAGTCGTATGGAAGGAGGAATCAGGTCTTGTGTGGTGCGCATAAAGATTTGGTGAGCCCTGAAGATATACCAGGAGTGTAATCACTATGAAGGCTGCAGATACAGTATACTTTGAGAGGTGGCGCATGTCCATGGAGCGACTTGGGATAATCATGGTGCACCCGCTAGTAGCATGCAATCGCAGACCGCGAGGCTACGGTGTCTTTCAGCTTTTGAAGCTATATGAAGCCCTGACGTATTGACGGTGCAACTCGGGATTGGAGCGTTCAGTCATCTTGACGTTTTTCTCGCCTTCGGAGATCTATTTTCCTCACTTAAAACCAGTTTGGAGACAAATACAAGCACCTTCTCCATTTTGCGTAAAACACAAATCAGGATGTCGAAAAGAAGGATTATCAAATGGATGAAATAGTGCTGGTCTCCTCTAAATGAAGATATGTGGCTTGCTATTGAAGTCAAAGTCTTCGTATACCTTGAAACCCTGCGCCGTGTGGCACAGCCACCACAACCCAGAATGACGGACGCGTCCGATCAAACCCTCGCAAGAATTCGTCATGTCGTCTCAATAATGAGGTGGTAGTCAACCCTTGGACTCTGGTGTGTGTGCTTGCAGTGCTGTGTATCATGTCCGTTCGGGAGTTGACAGGTTTTCGCTTCCATGGCGAAATTCCTACCTAGCGCCTGAGCGCGTCGTTCTGTACTCTGCCCTCGCATCGGTGGAAGAACGGAAAGATCAAATGAATGAGTGTGAGAGTACTGCGGTGGCATGTCTCAGCTCCTGCGCAAGGCGCGCGTGGTAGGACAAGTCCGACAACGGCATGGACCGCGAAGGAAAGACCAGAATAGCCAACGACTAGGGAAGAAATGTTTATACATCATACCTAAAGCTTCACCAACAATATCAAGGTGTACTCGGCGCGTGTTAGCGCTCGTGACATGGAAGGTCGAACCATCTTCGTCGCCAGGGAAGCCCGAATTTGCTTGCATCAACGGGGGTTGTGCACGTTCGGGCTGGGAGATGACGGCGGCGATGAGGGAAGCGTCGGTGGTAGAGAGGCGTTCCTGGGGAATAGTCCTAGATTTGTAGTCCATAGGTACGTCAGCCTGGCTGGACTGCATAGGTAGCTAATTACCCTGTTAAGGCCCAGATGCGGGAGCTTCACTGTCCCAGCCTCTCCCACGGTCGGCTTTGTTGGAGTCGAACCAACGCCATACATGCAGCCATATGCTGGGCACCACCGGCTTGACCAGTTGGGGAGAATTACTGTAACAAGACGAATTCGAACCTACCTGATTGAGATTACATGCTTTGACATTGATAATGATGGAGGAAAATGGTTTGTCGAAGAGACTCGCCGGTCGAAGAGAAGATACCTAGATGATATCCGTAGGGATGTCAGCCTGGCTGTGCTGCATAGGGAGCTTAATTACCCCGAAGGCCCTCAAAAGGGAAAGCAATCACTCTCCCAGTCCCCCTCCGGTCGGCTTCGTCGGAATCGAACCGACATCAGACACACGCAGCCGGGGGAAAACTGCACAAGACAAGTTCAAACCTACATAATTGAATTTCTTTCTTTCGCTGCTGATCGGGAGCTTGACTGAGAGCTGGATCGGGGCATTGATGCGGGATACCTAGATGACACCTTGTAGGATTAGCCTGGCTGGGCTATGTAGGTAGCTTCCAAATGGACACTTCACTCTCCCAGTGTCCCTTGCGTCGGCTTTGACGGAGTCGAACCGCCGCCATACATGCAGCCACATGTTGGACACACCGGTTTGACCTGCTGAGGAGGGGATTACTGATAAAGCAAATTCGAACCTACCTATCAAGTTGCTGATGTTGATCGGGAGATCATGGCGAGAGTGATCGGAAGGTGGTTTGGAGACTTAGGATACCTAAATCGCAACACCGTAGGAGAATTAGCCTGGCTGGGCTAAGTAGGCAGCTAAACGCTTCACTCTCAGGGGACCCCCTATCGTCGGCTTTGATGGAGTTGAACCACCGCCATACATGCAGCCACATGCTGGGCACACCGGCTTGACCAGTCGCAGGAGGAATTCAGCACAAGAGAATTCAAACCTACCTAGAATCCAGTTGCTTCTCTCCCTTCAATACCGATCTGGATGTGATTCGCTTGTGATGCCTAAATGAGAAGCCCGTAGGGTTGTCAGCCTGGCTGGACCACGTAGGTAGCGAAACGCTTCACTCTCAGGGGACCCCCCATCGTCGGCTTTGATAGAGTTGAACCACCGCCATACATGCAGCCACATGCTGGGCACACCGGCTTGACCAGTCGCAGGGGGAATTCAACACACGAGAATTCGGACCTACCTGAATTGTATGCCTGTATCCACCTCTCATGTGCTGGGCTGCAGCTGACATGGTATTGTGTTGTGATGCGATAGGGTGGGATTGGTAGGATGGAGATGGCAGATGAGATGAGATGAGAAGACGAAGAAGAGAAATGAGCGTGGGCAATGCCAAATGATGAAAGTTGCTCCAGGAAGTGAGATGAAAGAAAGAAAGAACCAAAAGCACCGAGAAGTCTTCTTATACCTCCGCCGAGAATCGTGGCTTTGACTATTCTCCGTGCCAACAACCGGACAACAACCGCGAAGCGAGGACACCCTTGGGATGTGCCACCGCCATCTTGAGAGCGCAAGCCTCAGCTCCACTTCTTGTCCTGTGATACAATGAAAAGCCGAACCAGACGCCAAAACCCGGCGGTGGAGAATGTCGATCAAACGCCACAGCTGAACATGTGGAGACGTGAGGCTTGAAGTATCCAAATTAGGAAACACATATCTATCGCTGATATCTTGGCACTCCCTCTACCAGGCTATTCTCCCCTCATCTAACATGCGTGCGTACTTACCAAAACTTACTTAGACTATTCCGTCCCCATCACCTGCACATCGCCAACGTTTGCACGCCGTCGCAAAAATCTCCACCCCACTCCTGCCGAACGCCAAACGCCAATCGCCACATGAACCTTTACGTTCTCTACATACACCTGTGAAAATCCACCCCCATCCCTTCGAGATTTTCCACGTACACAACCGTGAAAAATCGAGAAAACCATTATTCCCCACCGGCGTAATTCTCCACTCAATAGAATTGGTTGATAGCCGAGAAGAGCCATTCGCCCCGCCCGCCCGCCACCCGCCATACCATGTAATCAAAGGCTGAAGATGAAGATGCGGTTTAGCGGAGGCAGGCAGGCAGCCATGAACCCAAAATGTCGTTGCCACGGGGATGGGGATTCCAAAGATTTCCTTCGGGGTGGGGTGTTTAGGCTGCAAGAAAGGATTGCGGCTTTGGCGTGATTCTCATGCGTTGGGCGCAAAGATCGCTCCTCCAACACGGGAATCCATCGCTGCAGCCAAAAGATGCTGACATCACTGACTGGGTTCCCAATGCTCATCCTCCCCAGTCGCCCGTCCTTCTCAGGTGCCTAATCACGCAGTACCCAATCAACCGCACGACCAATATTGATAAAGCACACTCCTTTACTCCGGCACGCCCTTAAACTCCTCCTCCCGTATCCAAAACAGCTCAACCACACTATCCAATTCCCCCTCCAGCCCAAAATGATGATAGAACTGCCTCACCCCCCTCCCTCCGCCTCCCACGCGTCCAAAAACCTCCACTGCACCTTCTCCACCTCCAACTCCAGCATCGGCCTCGTAATCCCCAAATAATGCTCCCAACCACTATTCAAACTCCCCTCCACCGTACCCGGATGTCCCCACGTCTCCTCCAACTTCTCCAACCCCCTATACGGTTCAAAATTCTCCAAAGCGCCCGTCGGATATGTCGAGATCGAATACCCATTCCCCAGCACGGTCTCATTCCCCACCCGCCACCTCTGCAAAAAGCACGTTCCACACACATCATAGACCAAATGCATCGCATCCATCGGAAACCAAGTCTCCCTACCCAACCGATCATTCCCCAAATTGCCCTCATCCCACCACCCCTGCTTCCAATGGTGCAAACTCAACGCCTGCCTGCCCCCCTCAAAAAACCCGCTCCTATCCCCATTGAAATCGAACTGATACAACCCGGGAACGTGCGTCAGTCGCGTGTGCGCGGGATCATACCACTTAATACATTCGAAAATCCTGAGATCGCCGGCGCTGGCGCCCGACTCGTCCTGGCACCGCTGGTAGAGCGGCTGCAGCGCCGCCAGCAGGGGGATGGAGAGGAAAATCCCCGCGCCCCCCATGGCCATGAACGAGTAGCGGCCGACCGTCCACCACTCCTCGCTCATGGCGCCGAGGTAGTAGCTCAAATTATGATCGTACGTGTCCAGCGTGCGGAGCAAGTCCGGCATCGACGGGAAAAACGTGTCGTCGTCCATGACGACGACCCAGCGCGTCTGCGGCGAGCGCCGCTCATACAGCACTTTCACCAACGACAAATAGCGCCGATCCATGCCGTGGTCTTTGCGCAATGGCGGGACGACGTCCGCTGCGATGCCCGCGGCGCGCAATTGGGCTTCTGCGGCCCGCATGTCGCGTTTTGGCGCCGCGTGGTCGTCGGGACCGACGATCATCACGACCAGTCGCGCCCGCGTGAACGAGAGCCAGCGCGCCCAGTACGGTATGCTGGTCTGCAGCCTGGACAAGGAGGTCACGACGCCGAAGAGGAGGATTGACGCGTCGGCGTGGGTGGTGGGCCAAGCGGGGACGTCGAGGCGCAGCGGCGAAAGGCAGTTTGCGAGTTTGAAGTGCGTGTTGTCCTGCTCGATGGGCTCGAAGTCGGGGTGCAGAGGGCCCGGGATTTGAGTTGAGGATGAGCGCTTCAGGCCCGGTTGGGCGCGGACGACGATGTCGCGCCGGGCGTAGTTGTAGGGGTGGGGGATCTTGAGGCGCGAGAGCCAGGGGGCTTCGGTCGGGCATTGGGAGTCGGTGTAGCCGGTGAAGGGGGCTTGTTTGGGGGCGGAGGGGGTTGTTGCGACGGGGATTTGGCGAGGTTGGAGGAGTCTGTGCAGTCCGAAGCCTGAAAGAATGGAGAATGCTACGAATATGGTGAAGTAGAGGAGGAGGCGGCGCCGATTGACCATGATTGGGGGTCGTTATATGCACGCCTCATGGAGTTTGCGGGCAGCTGCATCATGCGTGACACGTATCATAGCGTTTTTGTGTCGAAGACGCTGCGCCTCCGCAAGGCTATGAGAGTCATTGAGTTCAAGGCCATGAGGGCGCGAATATCCAACACTCTTCATCAGTGAGTGAAAAGTAGGGAGCGGAGAGTTGTTCATAGAGGAATTTGGGAGGATCATGACGGTGGCGGAATCCCACCTCCCGACGGCGCGGTCTTGGCGTCTTGGCGGGATAATCGATAGCGATATTTGACCAATGGGAATGCTCCGTACTGGGGAATAATTTCCCATTCAAATTTGCTCAACACCATCATTTCCCATGTCTTCATGTACACTATACTGGTGATCTCTTCGCTACCATCTCATAGCAAGTTAAACCAAGGCTTTGCGGGTGGCCATGATCATACCCTCACATCAGCTGGGCGAGGGCGTGCTTCTCGTAAATTTCTACTCGCAAACATCACACGAGCACATCCAGACCTCAGCACAACTCTCAAAAGCCGTCAAAACGCATTCGCTCCCTACCCAGCGTGAAAACTGCTTCCTATCTATTCATTGTTGCATCAACAGCGTCCACATCCCCGCAAGATCTTTGCTTGCGGAGTCGGTAGACATTGAGTGAAATCCCAACATGTCACTCTCAGCCTGACAACGGACATGCGAACGTCCACGCACCCAATAGAAGCGCGCAAAGTCACCGCCATCCAACAGTTTTCCCCAGAAAATCGCGCCAAGTCGTCTACCCGACCAGTGCACGCGCCTACTGAATGTCTCACACACACACGAAGCCAGCCATGCGCTCGTTGGGACTTGCATCGAGCAAGCGATGAAAATCCCCAGACATATGACCAGATGACACATGCAGGTACCACAATTCGTGCTGTCATACATACCATCTGCTCTTACCCCCACACTGAACCATGTTCGCCTGCACATTCTTCCTCTTCATCCTCAGCCTAGCCCCCCACCCCACCACCTCCTTAGCCCTCTCCCTCCCCCTCAACTCCTCCCTCCTCGTCGACTCAAGCGGCATCTGCACCGACCCGGCCTACGCTTGGGACCGGCCTTCCCAGGTGATAGGCGAATGCACCGCTTACCTCGAGAAATGGTTCCATCAACAACCGGGGGGTATATCCACTGGACCACCACCACCACCACCCCCAACCCCAACCCTAACCCCAACCTTACCTCCCCCGACGCCTTTCCCAACCCCAACCCCAAGCCCAAACCTTCAATCCCCACACAAACCCTCCCCCTCTCCCACCTCCGCAAATCAGGCAAAGCTTTCTGCTGGCTCGACCTCGAACCCCTCGATTCCAGCGCCGACGACTATTTCGCCGCCGCCGTGGTCGTGCAAAAGGCGCTCGAGATTATTCGGAATTGCTTCGTGAAGGATATGGGTGGGCGCGTCGTGCTGGGGCCGAAGGGGGTGGTGGCTTTGCGATTTTTGGGGTGGGTGGGTCCGTCGGTGGAGGTGGAGGGAGAGGGGGGAAATGGGACGGATGTGCAGGAGGGTGGTAGCGGGACGGGGACGGGGACGGGGACGGGGACGGGGACCGGGGTGGAGACGTATCGAGGATGAAAGGAATGAGAGAGAAGGTGGGGCGGGGGTTGATGAGGAGGTAGTGGGATTTTCTAGTATTCTGTCATAAGTGGGTGGATTTCCAATTCAATAAGCCGTTTTGGAAAATTTCCTGCGCTATGAAGGAATGATAGACAGACTTTGACATCAAAGGCTATGGATAGGATGTCAGCTTGCAGGATTTCCTTGCCTCCCAGTCTCCACTCGAAGGTCGCCGAAGGTCGCCATCACTCGATTGATCCAGGGTCGACGAAGGCAAAGTGAAACTGCGACGAGATTGGTGATCACATATGCCGCCCAATGGTGTTAAACTTGAGCTGTATGTCTCATTGATGCAGCTGGCAACATGTAGGAATCGAAAGTGTCACCATCCTTCCAAGGCATCGTCAATTGGAGCCCAATTCGGACGATCGACATTGCGAGCATACTCTCTTTGCTGGGCATCGTACGGTGGAAGGTCGTCCTGTACGAAATCAAAGACTCCACCATGTTCATCTGTCATGTGATCGTATGTTTCGTCCGAGGTATTAAACACGGCCATGCATTTCCAACAGATGTGTGTCTTGCAAGCTTCACAATGCATATGATTGCACCCGTCGATCCTCTCGATTGCCAATCCGCATTTGGGGCAATCTTTGACATTATTCTTTGTTTTCCATATCGCAAACTCGTCCTCGCCGTCATGAACTGCGCTCTCATACTGCGCGCAGGTGAGTCCTTCATGCGTTACTGATCCGCAGCCTGCACAAATCACATTAACGCAGGTTGGGCATGTGAAAGCCTTGCTATTATCGGACTTCTCGTAAATGTTATCGCAGCCTGCGGTAGGGCAGTACTGGTATTGGGCTGGTCGGGCTCTCACATGTTGGAGGAATGATCGCTCGAACAGGTCGTCCAGTTGATCTCGAGTCAGTATCGACTCGAGGGCTTCTATGGACAGAATGTGGTTGCATTGACCATCGTTGCCAAGACACTTGAGTGGAATGTCCTTATGCTCGATGAGGGCACATTGGCTCACGAGACATTCGGGATCATATTGGTGGCCGCATGGCATAGCGAATGGTTCACTCATTTCGCAGTAGCAGATGGAGCATAACGACTCTTCAGTTCCCTCTGTTACTGGTCTGATAGGCGCTAGGGATGCCTCCTTCAACGTAGCTTGTGCCCATTCAAATGCTTGCTTCGAGCCTTGAATAGTGATTGTCCTGGGTGTTTTCGTCATGTTAAGTCTTGCGGCCAACTTTCCGAATTTGGCAACAATACGCCGATAACCAACCTGGGAGACAGAGAATGGCAGATCCGAATCTAGCTCGAGCTCATGTGTAGCAGCAGCCAAGTCCTCCAGTGTCTGAATCAGCTTCGACTCGGCAAGGGCCTTTTGTTCTTCTGCTCCAAATAGACTCAGGACGCGCTTCTTTGCATTTCGGAATATGTAGACATCGTATTTTTTGCTAAGCGTATTCAGGTACGCAAGCCCTTCCGATTTCAAGAAAAAATCATGCCAGATTATCTCTTTTGCACTTCTTGCTGTATGACCACGAAGTATCATTTCGACCCTGGCTTTGGCTTTGCTGATATCCTGAGTAGAATTGGATTGAATGTGGAGCGTAGTAAAGCGATCTCTCTGGTTTGGCGAGTAATACACTTTGATCCTTAAGGGGCTTTCTGGCTGGAAGCCAAGTGTTATGTTGGGCAGTTCTTTCGACACCGCGAAGAACATTGGCGTCAATATTGAAAGCTTGGCTTTTACCCTATAGGACATCTGGACCGTCGATCCGCCTAAATGGGGCAGCATATACCCATCAAAATCTTTTACAGCCTTGGAGGCGTGCTCTGGCTTCGCAAAGATTGCTGTGCCCGTGGCGTATACGCTGTCCATGCGTGGCGTCAAAGTCCAGGCCTCTACTGGGTAGCAAGATGCTAGCAACTTCCGTATCGCCTCACCGATCTCCTCAGGAGTTGATGAGTATGATGGTGGTCCGAATGTCACGTTCTTTGGCCAGTGTTCCCCACAAGCATTCTTCACGTCACCATAAGTCGTTGAAGTATCCACACTACGTACTCTGATCAGGCATTTCCACGTTCTTTCTGTCCTGTCGATTTCCGTTCTGCAGTCAAGACGTCTGTTGAGGATATTTGGGCTTGTTAGAGCTTCTTTGGCTCCATTCATTGCGGTGACAGATGTAAACTCTAGCATTGCCGATTTAGAGGGTCGAAACCATGTGCAGTTGACATTGCTCATTTGCAGACGAGCTTGCGTCGCTGCAGCAATCTTGATGTTGACCACTGCAGCTCCGTCACCAAATTCCACAGCGGCTCCTCCTAACTCTTTGATGATAGACTTCACCTTCTCATTTAGCTCAAGGACGGGCAGAATGCCAGAGTTTGGCTCCTGTTGTTGATCTTGCGCCGTTCTCCATTGAATGAGGGCTTCGCTAGGCTTTGATTCATTCGCATCTGCGTGGTGAAATCGGCACTGACTCCCTTTTTGGCATCTCCCTAAAGCGAAGAAGCGACAATTGACACTGGCTAGGCTTGTGGATATATCCCCATTTTGCGAATTAGAAGAGTCGCCGTGGCTATGAGATACTAGATGAGGATTCAAGGGTTGTGCAATTCGGCCTCTTGTCCGGCCATCGTCCATCACGTGCTGAAAACGACAACGGTCACCATTTCTACATCCACTTGCTGTCACAAAGAACCTGCAGATAGGCATCGGCATTTTGTGGCGACAAGAGGAAGCCTGTCAATGACGAAGGTTGCAGCAAGGATCGTAAGGACTGAGACTCAAGAGTAAAGTGTCATTTTGATCATCCCGCTGTGTGACTACTCGTCACGGTAGAATCTCGGGTATCACAGGTGTTGGTGACCCAAAAAAGGCGAGAAGACTTTTGTAAGCGCGGGATTAAGAGTGAATCCGCTTCCACCTCAAGGATTCTCTTCTCGCCTTGTGTAAGGTCAAAGACTGCCAATTGGAAGATGCTGAATGGTGTTTAATGCTACCTCAATACGTCTTGTGAGTAGCTGGAACGCTCCTTTGAGCTGGTCAGCAGTGCCATGAGCGAGGACATCCTCAAAGCTCTGCACAAGCTGTACGACGCGTCTTGTACTTGCTGATCTTCTATAGAACTCTCTAGTGGAACGTCACATATTGTAAACAACACTTCGATCCTATGAGTTGCAGTGTTCAGACTTATCATTCTCCTCTCTGCTCGTTGCGTCACTTCCTGTTGAAGAGACCACGGCGGAACACCTAGCCCCCTCACTCCTCATCGATGTGAGGAAATTGTATACACGTTTGCACGAGCAGTGAGCTTTCTTGATGCCTTCCTGATCATGTGGACGGGGATGAGGAAGAGGGCTACCTCAGAGGATCGACACTTCGGAAAGTCAGCCCTGGCGCTAAGCTCAATGAAGCGATTGCGGGGTCCCCGCGTGTTCCCAAACTCAATCCTTCCTGTACTTTGAATCTCCTTGCGGCTTCTCTTTCACACGTAGCCTCTTTCATAATTCCGTCAAAATGAGTGCAATAGACGATACGACTGACGCTCCAGCCGATGTGATCCAAGTCCTGTTCGTCCTCTACCCGGGCTTTGGAGCACAAGAACTCTGCGGACCTCTCGAAGTCCTTAGCAGTGCCCTCCAGAAGCTGAAAGACCCTGGTAGGCCTTCATCAAGCACCGCAACTCTGCTCCTTGCTTGGAGCATTATGGCTGACGCTGCTCCTACTCCTGTGCAGACAGCAAAGCCTTCGAAGCCACCATCGCCGCCCCCACCCCAGCCGTGACCTCCTCCTCCGGCCTCACCGTCAAAGCAGACGTCAACTTCAAGACCGCCCACGATGACCTACACTACTACGACATCCTGATCCTCCCGGGCGGCAAAGGCGTCGAAAAGATCCTCTCCACCCCTCCCTCCTCCCCCTCCGAACCCATTCCCCTCCTCCAAGCCTACGCCAAGCTGCAAGCCTCCGACCCTAGCAAAGAGCGTACCCTCCTCACAATCGGGACCGGCTCGCTTGTGCTGGCGCACGCAGGCCTACTGCAAGGGTTGGCAGCGACTACACATCCAGACTATTACACGAAATTGGAGATCGCGTGCAAAGATGCTGCGCGCAGGGGCGAGAACCCGCTCGAGCAGACGGACGTGATGGAGGAGAATTACGTGGTGAACAATGCGCGCTTCGATCTTGGCGAAGATCTTGACGAGAATCCGTTCGTGCTGGCCAAGAAGCCTGATTCACGTAGAAAGAGCTCGGCTAGAAAAGGCAGTGTGAGTCTCAGGCAGAGCTTGACAAGGGTGGATAGTAACGCGAGACGTGCGGCGCTGAAGCTAGGAGGATTGAGGCTTATTACCAGTGGGGGGGTCACGAGCGGTATTGATGCTAGTTTGTATCTTGTCGCTGCTCTGGCTAGCCATGAGAGCGCGGAGGAGGTGGCGAGGCTGTTGCAGTATTCATGGAATAAAGGTGTCACGGTTGAGGGGATTGATGTCTAGTTGGCATATGGGATATGCCACTGTCATGATAGGGAAGCTATTGACTATTGGCTATGAAAAGACGCTAGGTTCAGAAGTAAAAGACTATCCTATGATATACTACATCAATGCGTGTAGACAAAGAACGGGTTATGACGGTCCGTCTGATCTGCGAACGCCATCTTCTCCCTCAGCGCTTCTCTCTCCGTCTCGTTCATGTCACCCAGGATTTTATGATTCTTCCGATTCAGATGATCGTTGTACAGCCTCATCACCACCACAACCACACACAGCACCGACAACGTAGCAACAATACTAACCTTCCCACTCTTATACCCTGGCGCCTCCTTATCCTGAAAAGTCTGCGTCCCCAGAATATTCCCCACGCAGAACGCAACCAGAGTCAACGCATTAGCGGTGACCTTCTTCGAATGGCCGGCGATATTTGACGCATTCCAAGCCAACAACAGCATGAACGCTGCTCCAAACGTACCTGTCAAGAAGCTCGCCGCCAAAAGCCCTGCCTTGTTCTTCGGCACGCCCCCAGGATCCAACCCAATCATCAACGCCGCCCCAAGAATCGTCGGTAGTATCGCCACCATCATGACCACGCTCCTATCCCCCCACCGATCCGACAGCCACCCCACCAGAAGCACACAAACAGCGCCCACAGCCCCACTGGGCGTATTCAGTATCAGCGCCTGCTGGCTCGAATACCCAAACGTCGTCAACAGAATGTTATTAAAATTACTAATCCCCCCATTCGGAATCGAGCTCAGCATCGTCGCCAACATAACTAACCAAACCCTCACATCCTTGAAACTCTCCATCACCTGATCCTTCTTCACCCTCGCATTCTGCGTCCCGGACTGATTCCCCTTCACCCTCAACAACGCGGCCACTTTCTCCGCATCACTAAACCGGCGCGCCTTCACTGGCGAATCCGGCAGAAGCACCGCCACAAGCACACCCACACACATCGTCAACGCGCCGATCGCGATATAAAAGATCCGCCAGCTCGCGAACTTGTTGTGCGTGAAACTCACCCCATACGCCACGGCGCCCCCAAATATCATCGTCAGCGAATTACACACATAAAACCAGCTCACCCGTCTTCCCTGCTCGTTCTTTTTATACCACATCGCAATAATCAGCACCAATATCGGCGCGACGCAGCTCTCAAACACGCCCAACAGCGTCCTACAGATACTCAAGCCGGCAAAACTCGTACAAGCGGCATGACAGCCCAAGATAAAGCCCCAAATTACAATGTTGACGCCCAGGTAGCGCCCGAGGTGCGAGATGCGTTGCGCGAGGTACTGCGTGGGGAACTCGGCGGCGAGGAAGCCGATGTAGAAGAGCATGCTGAGGTCGGAGTATTCTTGGCCGACGAGGTGGGTGTCTTTGCGGATGCCCATCACGGCGGTGTAGGAGAGTGTGGTCTTGTCGAGGAATTGGAGGAAGTAGACGGCGGCGAGGAGGGGGGCGATTGTGAGGTCGATTTTGCGCACGAGTTTCTTCAATGATGTCGGGTCTGAGAGGATTGCTTGCGCTTCGGCTGCGAGCTGTAGGGTTGGGGTTGGGGTCAGTGGTTCGCGTTGAGGAAAAGTTTGTGTGAAGAAGGCCACTTGCCTCGACTTTACGTGGATGATTCTCCAGGAATTCGAGGGCTTCGTCGGCATCGCGGAGGGAGGAGGCGGTTTCTGTGACGGTGGTGGTGGCTTTGCGGCCATCGAGGGCGGCAAAAGGGTCGCTCTTTTCTGCCATTCTGCTGTCGACAAAGCTGAAGTACGTCGGATGTTTTGAGAGAGACGGCGAGCTCGGTCTTGGGCCTACATTTTGTCGCGTCTCGGAGCAAATATCGATGAGTTCATAGTGATTAGCACCCGCTATCTGCACATCATTTTCACCTGCCTATTTCGGAAAGAAATCAGGAGATCGATGTCGGTTGGGAGCTGCCCCTCAGATTGCCGCGTCGCATGGTTGAGGCTCTGCTTGCGGTAATTTCTGATACGTATAGGAGCGTGCGATGAGGTCTTCTGCATCTTTCAAGTGTTTTTGTTCACCCTTGGAAGTGATGGGGTTGACACTGGATAAAGGATAGCATGAAAGCGGGGGGTTTTCAACCGATCTTGTCCGGAGAGAAGAGGAGATTTTGCAGAAGGGCATGACAGAGAAGTTCGCAATTAGTAATTCCATTCATGGCTTGAATTGAGGATGCAGGCGGATGCAAGTATCTATGCAAATGCCCTCCGCTTCTTATGCAGCGTATGGACGTTTGGCAGGAGATGTTTGCTTAGAGGGAGACGCCTACCACAGGAGCCTTTGGGGGACAAACAAAACCCTCGGTACGAACGCGGTCATATGAGAGCACATGAGATGCATTGCTCTACTGCGATACTCACTGAACAATGGAAAGAAACTGGGAAAGAATTCGTGCTCCAGACAAAGAATGCCAAGACTATATTGAATTTTACGGCTGTCGAGAGAGCTATTTATGCTTTAAATCTGTCCCTCTGTGCGAGTTTTCCGCCTGAACTCAACATATTTCTCCATCTTCAGAGTACTTACGTGTGGCAAAAGTCCTAAATGATGCACTACTCTCTCCTGAGTCTCGAAACATCCTACCAGCATTCTCAACCTTACTGATGATCCTGCCTTGATCAGCCAGTACCACAAGCCGCTTCGACGCAAGTACCTTGATTCACAGGACAGGTCGCGTTGACAGGTCTTACCTCGCACGCGGAGTGTGTTTATGAAAATTGGTCGAGTGACCTGGGACCTTCGTCGAGTCTTACAATAATACTGGAACCTTCAGACGCTTTGAATCACAGTCATGTCAGCATGATCCTTGCCACGTCTTGCGCTTGAGTTGTCGACAAAAAGGAGTGGAATACTAATACATGATTCGGGAAGATTTACTGAACTTATCATCTTCAATCTGATATTAAATTTCCTGACTATCAGGTGCGCTTACGCTGAATTAAATGGTATAGGTCTTGGCTGTTGATCCGCTTATGTAGGTCCCATTCAAAGCACTCGTGCATCACACTATTCAATTCAGACGAGTAGAACTTCCGATCAAGTCTTTGCGGATCCCTCGAATCAGGCACCATTCCCCATGCACGCATGTCTTTGTAGCCTCTGGGTTTCGGCTTGAGAGGATAGCATCCAGTCGCTAGCCGGTGAATGATGGTGCCGAGACACCACACATCATTCTTTGCTGTACACATTCTGTTTTCCTCTGGACAGCCTACTTCCGGCGCCGCGCACTGAGCCAGAGCACATTCTTTGGTATTCCATTCTGTTGTTGAGAGGCCGAAATCCCCGAGCACAATTTGGCCAAACACATAACGTCCATTCTTATCCCTTCGGTTCGCGTCCCGCAGGAAGATGTTGTCTACTTTGATGTCTTGATGTACGACTCGCTTCCAGCCTGAATGTGGATGCACACTTGTCGATCGCTTGTCGTACCCATAATGGAGGTACGCTAGGCCTTCAGCAACGCCGCTGAAAATACTGCTTTTGGTCAGCCTTGGTCACATCGCTTGGTGAAATGGTACTCACTGCCACATGAATGCTTCTGAAGCAGTCGGATGACCCGGCTGTGGTATCCAAGGCTCTAAATCGCCACCGCCGTATCGGGGGTAGATGCTCCTGTAGTGTTTTGGTCCGTAGTCGTAGTCTAGGAGTTCCAGGATATGTGGGTGTGGCTTGAGTATATCCTTCAACACATGCACCTCCATCGGCTTATCACCTCTATACCTTTGATATATATCGGTCTTTTTGATCACCAACTTCCTCCCAGTCTTGACGCATTCGGCGAAATCACAATAGCCTTGTCCGCCGGCGCCGCATTTCTTGGTGAACTTGTAAACTAGTCGAGGGTTGTCAATCTTCTTCTCTTTATCATCCTTCTTCTCTCTGTTGTTTTTCCTTGGCCACTCCATTTTCGGGACTTACACTTCCTCGCGATCCTGACGTATCCGCCCAAACGGTGGTCCTCCCAACAATCGTCTTCTTCTAGCCACAAATTTCGGCTAATACTCCGTCAGCAGGTGAGTGCTAAAATATGGGTCCTAGGTTGACTTGTATGGATACTTTGAATCGTAAAGAGGAGTTGTGCAAGCTGGGAGTGCTTGAGAATACGTACAGTGCCCAAATTCCTTGGACCCGCCATTCAGGTCTTCCTCCTTTATTTATCCTTCTCTGATTTTCATTAACGGTATTGATCAATTCCCAATTGTCTTTGTCTTCCATTGTTGTCAAAGGGCAGAATTCGCCGTACAAAGCGATTGATGCGCATTCAACAAAAGGATGTTGAATTTGTAGTTGCGAGGAATGTTACCGAAAGAAAACAATAAGAACAATGCAAAAGCACGACGTTACATTGTACAACGATCTCAAGATCATGTGCTCAGACGGGGCCTGATCCGATCAAGGTTCACAACGACTCTCACGGAACTTGTGATTGTCTGTACGACCTACCAGACCCTATTCAACACTTTATCACGTGCGATAGATCGGCAACATGGAACATTTCATGCGACTAAAGTATCAAAAACAATGGAAGCCGAACAAGGAAGACATGATATGGGAAAAAAAGAACGGCAACAACAAGGCTACCCCAAGATTCCCGAAATGGCCCTTCATCCGAGTTTGTTGCGTTCGTCAACAAGCTTGTACGCATGACAAGATGCAGAACCGGTTGAGAAGAAGCGCACCGAATGACATACAGCTACATCAACCTAGAAGAAAATCTACATCAACAAGGTGTCGAAATATAAAGCACGGTACACTGCACTCGGTAGCTTTATCTTGCGACCTTGCAGCTGATAGGTAGTATAACTCCCATCATGCCTCACGATTACAGTAAGTATGCGAAAATGATCTCATCATACCATGCAGCGTTCGCTTCGAATATCTTGGGTAGACAGTACCCGATTAGTACGACCCCAACAAGCAGCCTATGAAAATCTTTGAGGACGCCGGATTTCGCGTCGAGAATAGTATTCCGACTGATGTCGTACTCAGGGCTTTCGGTTCGCTGCTAGAAGCCTCCAGATCAATGCTTCTTTCCCCGTGATGCTGGGTTTCGGAACCATGACAGGAATACACAGCGATACAAATAACGACGCATTTGGTAATTTGATGATGGACTGCTTGTTACAATTGTAGCTCTACGATATTCTGAAGATTAGTGTGCCTTGCGCTCGAGAAATCTGATGCTGATGTCTAATGTGTGACGTAAAATAATAGTCGCCTCAAGACAACAACAAGTGCCTTGCGGAGTTAAAAGCTCCCGTGTATCAAGCAAGAGTAGATACACAAATTGTACGCGCAGGACAAAATTCGCCACATGATAATGTTATGCAAGAATGGGATAAAAATTTACGCTTTCGTCGTTTATTACAACGTCATATCTAGGAGCAATTGCACATTGAATCATGTATGATTCCAGAATGTCTCTATCAAGCTAGACTTTGTATAGCCATTCACCGCAGCATCCAATACACCCCTCATCCGCCAATTATCTAAGGCCCCTCAATCACCTCAGGTTGGTTTCTACCACCTCCCCTTCCCAACATCAATCTCCAAAATCTGCCCTCCCACAATCTCATTCCCCCCCACATTAACAGGCGGAACATACCTCCCCGCCGTACTAACATACAACTTCCCCTCCCCCTCCCCACACCTCCCCAGCCCTGCCGCAGTCGGCTGCGCAATCTCATTACTATCCACACCCCCCGCAGTAATATCCTGCCGTCCACTCCTCACCTCAACTCTCAACACCTCATTCGCCTGCGCCCCAGTCAAATACGCCACCTCCCCCTCTCATCCAACGCAAAGTCATCATAAGCCGCGAGCTGCGGATCCGTCGGCTCAGAGGGAAACTTCGCGATGATGGAAGCAGCGCCTGTGGCCTTTCCGGTTTCAATATCGATAGGGATACGACCGAAGATTTTTTGCTGGGAGTTGGTGAAGAACAAGGTACAGGTGGCGGAGTGGACTTTGATGCCGTTGACGCCGATTTGGAAAGTAGATGTTGTGGGCGCGAATAAGGGGTCGGAGATGGCGAGGGTGGAGACGCCGGTCGTGGTGTCGATGGCGAGGACTTGGCCTTTGATGGAGTCGGCGACGAGGATGGTGTGCGTGTTTAGGGTTGCGAGACCGTTAGGGAGACCGATGGAGGGGAGGCGCGTTGTGAGAGTTATGGAGGCCTTGGAGCTGTAGGGGTGGGTGTCGGGGTGCGGAGGGGGGAAGTAGACGCGGTAGATCGCTGAGCTGCCGGGAGTGGTTGTGGATGTGGAGGAGGAGTAGTTGGTTGCGACGACTTGGTAGTCGTACGGTGCGAGCTCGGTGATGCCGAGGAGGGCGTTGTGGGAGGCGAAGTGGTGGATTAGGCGTGGGTCTGGGGATGATGAGGAGGGTTGTACGAGATAGAGGTCTGGGGAGGTGAGGACGGTTGTGAGGATGGAGTTGTCGGGGCGGACGGCTAGGTTCTCTAGCCAGGTACCGTTGGGGAATTGGTAGATCAGCTTTGTCGGTATTGTGGATGCCGTTGGGGCTGACTGGGTGATGAAGATCGAGCAGGAAAGGAGGAGGAATGCACTTAAGAGCTGTAGGTTGCCCATGATATCGATTTTTGAGCACTTTGGGGTACTGAATAGATTCTCCGATGGGGCTGGATGGTTAGGATGTTGGTGCGAACCATGGCGACTTTATGTAATGCCATAACCGGTTTTGTCACAGTCCTCACCGTCTAAAGTCCGACTTGCCCATTTCGCAGCCCCACTACCTAGAAGGATCCCGCGTATAGCTTGAATGAAATAAGCAGCCTTCAGCCTGAACCATTCCTCAATTGGGTTTCAATTGGTCAGATTTACTCGTGGTGCCCATAAGCTTACATGCAGCCTCTTGCAGGGGTGAAATCCATCGTAGTTTCTGTGATTACCAATTGATCTTGGCGCAGTCACACGTTTGTCAGCTGCTTCTCTATCAAAGTCGGTGACGAAGTTTGGTTCTAAGAATGTCCAATTACATTGTTTCCATCAATATTGATAGCTCCTCCATCAACGAGGCAAGGAAGAAAGGAGCAAACTTCATCATCTCAATTGTTGACGGGGTTGATTTTGTCACGCTATAGAGTAGAAATATGAAGTAGAGAGGCACTTCGCACACTCAACTGACCAAGAGAATGAAGACAACAATTAATACCAAAGTAGGGCAAAGTGGCAGCGGAACCTACCTTGGGTGGTGTGTGTGTACGCGGGAGCCTTGCATCACACGTTCAACTGAAGCTCAAGAGCTGGAAATAGACTGATTTAAAATTTCGAAATCTCCCAATCTTGTTCCCTCAAAGGACTTAATGAGGGTCTAAATTTCCTTCCAACTCCTAACGCCTTGAGGGATGAATACCACGGGTTTTACGGCTCGGAGCGCCTGGACATAAGGCCGGCTTCAGTGTTGCTGCACAGCCACCGTCTTGATGTGACCCCTACGTCGCTTGCAGAGCCCCATCATACTACCTGAAATCTCAAGCTAGACATTGCAAGTCTTTATAAGCTATCGCTGTGCAACTCGATAGGAACAAGATGTGAAGCTGGAATCGGCACGCGTCAAAGACAGGCGTACATTTGGAGGGGTCGACACCAGCTGGGTAGATTTCGGAGTGGACGTTCAGGCAGATGCGTCGCCCGGCAGGTGAGGATGAAGCGACAGATTTGTTATTGATATTGAAAGAGAGAAGGAAGGCTCTTACGCACGAATTCACAGGTAGATTGCCAAGCCGGAAGCGGCAAATCTTTTCGCCGCTAATCTGTTGATCAAGGAAAAATCTGCAAACATCTTTTACACATCAACGATGTGAAGACACTTACCTTGATATGCAGCTCCTTGAACATGTTGAGTTTCATTATGCGACAACTAAGCCCCCAAGAACGATACTAACCTAATGACATTGCACTGAGACTCTGCCCTACGTAATCATCGCAAACCAGGTGAACTCCCTCATAATTTCTTTTCATCCCCAACCTCCTCATCCCTCACCTTCCCCTTCTGAATTCGATCCCACTCCTCCCTATCATCCTGCTCATCCGCCATATTCGCCGTAATACTCTGCGCCTCATCCTCAATTTCCTCCGGCAGCACCAAATTCAAAAACATAGCCAAAAACCCCGTGATGGCAAACCCGGTCTCCAGTACCAATTGAATGGCATTGAAGAACCCTTGTTTCGTCTGATTATCCCCCTTGTACGTGAACACGTACGTGAACCATTTTGGGACCAGTATCGCGCCAAAGCCGAGCGCCAGCGCAGCAGTCAAGATGAATCTGTTGCGTCGCGTGAAGGGAACGGTAGAGATGATGCGAATACCGGACACAGCGACGGCGCTGAAGAGGAAAGTTGTCAGGCCGCCGAGAACGGACGCGGGGATCGCCACGAGCGCAGCGGCGAACTTTGAGAAGATGCCCATTATGATGAGGAAGAAGCAGGCGCAGTAGCCCGCTTTGCGATTCGCGCAGCGGGTGAGGGCGATGACGCCGTTGTTTTGCGCGAACACAGACATGGGCGAGATTGTGCAGAGGCCAGCGATCAGGCCGTTGCAGCCATCAGCTAGAATGCCACCTTGGATGCGCGAATCAAAGAGCCTGCCCTCTACTTCGAGGCGGGACACATCGCAAGTGGCGGAGATATCGCCGATGGCTTCCATCATGAGGACGATGTAGACGGCCAGGAGGGGGAGGATCATGGGCGCGTAGATACGTAGGCCGTAGGTTTTCACCCAGATGAAGGACGCCGCAGGCGCGGCGTTGATGTTCGTTGCGGAGAAATAGCCCGTTGCGGCCGCGATGATGCAGCCGACCAGGAGTCCGATGACTACGGCGCAGGATTTCATGATTGGGGAGCCGAAGCGCTCGCACAGGATTATGGTCACGAAGACGGAGAAGCCGAGGCCGATATACTCGGCGCTGCCCCATGGGAGGGCGTGAGGAGCGCCTTCCATGGGGCAGACGCTGAACATGCCGCTGGATGGACGGTCGATGCAACCTGGTGAGCCTGAGCCACCAGCCCAGTTCTGGAATCCGCTTTCAATGAGCGCAACACCAATGAGAGCCACCTGCTCGACCGTCAGTCAAAAGTAAAACTCACAGCTATTATCACGCAATCTTACGGTAGGTCCAGTGACAAGCGGCGGAAACACTTTCTTCAGAACCGAAGGTTTCGTAAACGACAGCCCTATCTCTAGCAGCGCGCACAAACACGCCGTCCCAAGCAACGCCCCATACCCCTTGGGACAAGGCAATTTCTCGCCACCTGGCCCACTGGGACAATACCCCGTGGCATACATCTGCGCAAACGCGCCGGTCGCGACCGGAATAATCGAGAAACTCGTGCCCACGACCGAAATGAGGCCCGTGCCGAAATAGTACGGGCTGCCGAACAGATGGAACCGCGTGATCTGCAGAGAGGAGAGGATGCCGCACACGATCAGCGCCGTGGATACTAGATACTGCGTGTCGCCAGCCCCGAGCGCAACGCCGCCTTGGCCGGCGATGATGATGGGCGGCGTGATGATCCCCGCTAGCATGGCGAGCGCGTGCTGGAATCCGAGCAGGAGCGCGAGCATCACGGGCATGGGCTCGTTGAGGCCGAAGAAGGGCGCTGCCCGTCGGGATTTGCGCATGAAGGGGAGGTTGGGCTTGAAGAGGAAGGCGTAGTCGTAGTCGCCGATGAGGCCGTCTCTGGGTTCTTGTGTCAGGGAATTTGCATTGCAGCAGGGTCAGGCTGGGGAGCGCACTTGGTGGTCAGAGCATGTTTGATGCTTTGCATTTTGCCTTTGGACCTCGTCGCCAGCCCTTCCTTTGGTGGTGGTGGCGAGTCGCCGTTCGTTGAGTCTGCCATGTTGTAGGGTGGGGTTCCAAGAGACGCAGGGCAAGGCAGGTATTATTGGCTGGAGTGTCTGCGAACAGTATGCAGTGGGTGACAGGAGCACGCGACGTCTTTTAAGATCCTGCACTCACGGTCCAGGTTCTTATCCGACCTTTCAAGCTACGAGTCCCATGTCATGCGAGATCTGGGCGATCTCCGGACAGATAAGAAATCTTCCGTTTCCGATACTGCGGGGATGGCCACCATGCCAATCAGGATGTTCTAGAAGCAGGCGATAGCGAGATCGGCGGGCGGGGGCGGCCTAGTTGCAGCTAGTGTGGGGAATGACAGAAGTGCCGGGAATGGCACAGTGTGGGCTTGCTGGGCCAGGCTCCTTTGGTGGGTTAGAGTCGATGGTGATTCCCGGGCCGATGCAGCCACATATATGCGGGTCCATCTCGAGCTGGAACCGATAGCACGAGGGGAGTGCCATCGGAAGTGGCCAGTGCCTGGCCCTACTTACTCTATCAGGTCTCCTGCTTTCGCTACGTTCGTCCTAGTCCCGAGCACTTGTGCCTGACTACAATCTGCTTCGCATCTGCGTGCCAAATGGCCAGTTCTAGCTTCAGTCCAGACGGATACGGCCGTAGCTCGCTTGAGGTCTCGCAGAAACCGTGTCGGTATAGTCCAAGTCAAGGGAACGGATTCGTTTGACGCAATACGATGTTCGATAGCAATTCACCGGTCAAAACACTTCTTTGCTCATTATTGCTGGTAATGCACTTTCGACTACGAATAGAAGGTCGGAGGTCTTATGGAGTGAACTGAGGGAATGCTTCAGATCTCGGTGTTAACCCGTTCGCAAAGCAAGACGTGCGCCCCAGCACCTAATTTTCCATGTGTCAGAGTTTGGGTCGTCATGGTAGCAGTGCTTGGGGAGCCCATATATCAGCAATGCCTTAACGAGACGGGGCTTGGCTTTCTGACTCCGCCTGGATATGAGTGCTTGAGCAGCACATGTATGAAATCTGGTCCTTCACTGATTCGACTCGGTTCCAGCCGATTGTTACAATTGAGGTTGCGAACTACTGACGCAAGACGTGAAGCTGGGAAGCGCATTGAGGTTCACAAGAGTGGAGCTTGTTCAGGATCAGGCCATAAAGACTCAGGCATATCATTATCACCATTGTACGGTCAAAACATCAGGCCCGCCGTACTTCCTCGAGGAATCTCGACTATGGACCATTACTTGCGAGTGGAGCACCTTTTTTCTATTGAGTGGACTTGGTGTCTTGAGTATGAGATCATGCTTCGCATTGAAAGCAAAATAAGAACCACGGAACATCGCGGGTGTAGCAAGTCATAAAACGCTCATGTCGCACTAATCCCTTTACGCACATGCTTGAGTGTTGCAGACCAATGCAGGTCTTCCAGCTTCGGTAGCATTGAGTGGCACTCAAAGCTTTGCACTACGTTGACTACCGAGAGTCAAGCAATGTCCCAGATCGCACTTTTAAGTCCCCAAACTCTGGCATCTTCAAGCTGGTATTCTTCAACGCTCAATCCTTGATAGAGGAAGTATGAGCAGATCATCAGCGCAAGCTCAACTCTTTCGTTTCCAGCTGTGTGACGTTAGGACCTTGCCACTCTGGTTGAACGACTGCTGGCAAGCAAACACGCATATTCACACGAGTTCACATTTCTCACAGACAAACAAAGTCATCATTTCTGGGCCACGGCATGTGCCTTAGTAATCTGCCTGATATGACAGTGTCGACGGACAACGGGTCTTGGCAGTAGCTCCTGACGAAGCGAGCGTTGCTCTTCAGCTTTCCGTCACCCGGGAAAGAAGTCGCTCATGAAACTCAAGGAAGGAGCACTCCAGCTGAGTAAACAAAAACAAAAATGGATCTCAAGATCATTTCTTCTTCTTCAACCACGCATTCACGTACTTGGAATCTTACGCATCACATCCCATCGCAGCATCACGCATTCAGCTAGTCTCGTCTCAACATCTTGCATTGATCAACACCAAAGTCCGATAGCTCACCGAATTTCCCCAACCATGCCGAGAAAACTCCTCGTTGTCTTTGGTGCCACTGGCAATCAAGGAGGCTCCATCATCAACTTCGTCATGAACGATCCGTTTCTCTGCAACCAATACCAGATCCGCGCAGTCACCCGCGATGTCAATAAGCCCAAGGCTATAGAGCTTCGAATGAGAGGCTTCGAAGTCTGCTACGGTGATTACGACAATTATAGCTCCCTCCTATACGTCCTGCAGGGTGTAGACACCGTCTTCATCGTCACACTCCCCATCTACGACGAGCACATGTACGAGCGCGAAGTCCGACAAGGCAAGGCTGCTGCTAATGCCGCTAACGCTCAATCCGCGAACTTGATAATCTTCTCGACGCTCCCAAACGCGAGGGTGGTGTCCGGCGGCGGTCTGGACTTTACGGAGCCTTTCGACACCAAAGCCGACATCGAAGATTACATCCGTACGTTGCCTTCCGTGAACAAAGCCTTCTTCATCCCGGGATTCTACATGCAAAACTTTAGGAGCCATATGGGACCGAAACGCATTGCTGACGGTAGCTACGTACTCAATGGATGTGTGAGCCCACAAACGCAGTTGCCCCTTATCGACATCACGGAGACGGGGAAATTCATCGGGGCAATCTTGCATAGACCTGGGAATTTTGCACAAGCCAGTCCGCCGCTTTGCGCGGCCACTAGACTGTACTCGTACACTGAGATTGCGGCGATCATGACGAGGGTAACTGGGAGGACTGTGAGATATCGCCAGCTGCCCTCACAGGTGTGGACGCAGACCGTGGGGGCGGATAGAATCAAGGGGCACGCTCTGGCTACCTTTTTGTGGATTGAATTATTTGGCTATTTTGGGGCAGACACGGCGGGCCAGATGGTTTATGCAAGGAATAATGCGAGGGGAGAATTAACCGAATTTGAGGATTGGTTGCGTAACAATCCGTTGCAGTTGCAGTGATAGGTGGGAAGGTAAAGCTGTGTAGGCGGTGGAATACAGCTGGGTGTATCCTGGGGCAGGAGTGGGATTATATTTTGAGGGGAAGTGCCCTCTGTCAACAGCATTCATTAATGAAGAAGAACACGAAGCGTGGCAACCAACAGCATTCACTAATTAAAAAGAACACGGAGCATGGCAATCAAGAGGGTGGAGAATATGTGTATCTTAGCCTTTAGCATCGACTACAGCGCAAGAAATGAAGTTATTACTATTGCCGAAGAGGTACCAGCACCAGGCCACATCCTTAGAATGCCTATTCCTATCAGTCGTATATTCCCTCTTGTCTCTATCCTATTCCACCAAACCACTCCATGCATGCATGCGCATCAAAAATCTCCTCCCTATTTCCTGCACCTTCCGGTATTCAATCGATATTTGCACTTCATGAAGAGGATCACTAATGCTTACGCGAGAGCGCGGAGTAGCCGTCGAAGTCACTGGTCTCGAAGTGCTCAAGCTGCAGTTTGTTGACCATGTCGAGGCAGAAGAACCCTAGTCTTATGTTCCAGAGATTTTGTAGCTGAGAAGTAGAGGTTGTTGGTTGTTTTGATGGTGTTTGAGGGGAGGGTGGGGAGGGTGGGGAGGGTGAGGACGGTGGGGGCGGTGAGGACGGTAACGAGATTAATTCTGGTGGTGCAGCTGAGATGGTCAGGGCCACAGAACGAACTTCGTCTTTATTTCTTCTAGATGGGCAAACCGGAATGTGATATCGAGGGTTGTCGTCGTCGTTCAGGAAGGTGTCGACGCAGAGAGTGGTCTTTTGAGGGTGCCAGTATCCAAGGACTTTGAGGCCGCACCAGAACGAGATTGGTGTGGAGCCTGAGGCCCCGGCACTGCAGCTCTCGAATTTTGCCAGACTGGTGTTGGCACTCATAGTGTGGAGCTGTTGGTGGAGGAGATATTTGCTGGACTATGTACAGTGGTTCTATTCGTGCCTGGAGTGTCTGCGCTTGACAAACTAGGGTTTCGGCCGATGAACCAGGCATCATGCACAAAATAACCGTTGACATGGCCGATATAACTGGCGATGAAACCTGTAAAGATTTCTAACTCTGATTCGAACCAGATATCAATATCGAGATTATAGAGACCATAGGTCACAGGCGTCACATAATGACGTCCATTATTGTACGAGAACGCAGCCCTGAGGAATTGTTTCATTATCACACCTCTAATGTCACGGATGTCGATACAAATTACAGAACGCAATGGGTCCCAAAAGCCGGTCAGCTATACCCAAAGTCAGCATTGATAGTCACGTGAGCCTGGCCAATGAAGACTGACTGAGAGAAGACCGCCTAAGCGTACTTCATTTATTATCGTAGCGGTTGCCAAACCATGGCCACAAGTATTTCTTGCCGAAGGATTGGGAGCGCTGACTGATGATTCTCTCTTCGAGACTGCGATAGATCCATTGGCTGCTGCTACTTCTTGATTCACCAATGCCGGAGACGATGAGATGATCCACGCGTCTTCTACAAAAAACCCGGAAATTGTACCAATAAAGGCGGCTACGAACTCTGTAGATGACGATGCCGCAGATTCGAACCGAAACGTGAAATCAATGTTGTAAAATCCGCATGCCATAGGGGTCACATAATGATGTCCGCCAGCGTAGACGAATTGAGTGCTCAAGAATTGCGCCATTGGCCTTCCCCAGCGATCACGTATATCGAGACAGATTTCTGTGTTCTGTGGAAACCAATAGCCCGTTATCTGCAGAATGCAACATGTCAGACCTTTCTTTTGCTGCAGCTGGAAGTGGGTAATGATTCTTACTCTGAGAGCATTGCCAGCCCGTCTCTCGTATATAGGAGTAGAACCAGTTGGGTCATTGGGACAAGCATGGTATGAGAGGTTAGGACAATCTAACGAAATTCCCCTTTTGGCAGTAGGCGTGGATGCATTCGATTTGGGACTTCCCTCGACGAGTGCCCCAGACCGCTCAATGTACCACAAGTCATGGTGGAAGAATCCCCCAATAGTCCCGATGTAGCTGGCAATGAAATGACTTTGGACGTCTATCTGCTTTTCGAACCACAGGACCACATCAATGTTGTAGCCGCCATACATCACCGCTGTCACATAATGGTGTCCGTCATCGTAGGTAAAATCAGTGCTCGTAAATTGCTCCATAAACCTACCAGTAATATCGCGGATATCAATGCAGATCTCGGAAGTGCGGGGGCTCCAGAATTCTGTCATCTATATAAAGAGCGTTCGTCAAAAGAGCTCTGCTAGTGAAAAGGATCAAGTACAAACCTTCACCAGGCGGCCCCCGCGACTTAAATTTATGATAGTGGAGTCGGCTGGTCCGGTGTTACAGGGATAGCGATTAGCACTGCTGGTCGTATTATCTCTCTTCGAGATGCGATAAGAAGAACGAATTTTACGTAAGTCGCTGATGCGGCTGTTATTGATTGCTGTGGTGTGTGCTGGGATCTGGTCACATGGATCGATATTCACACTAATTGAGTCAAAAGCTTTGATATTCGCCAAGGAACGCTTCATTGTTGAGATTCCTGGATCCAACATCGGAATATTTGTGCTTGATGCCTCTGAATCCAATGACGATGCATTGGTGCTTAGCGCCTTGAGATTGGACAGCGATCCATCTCGTGGAAGTCTGGGGGCCTGCTTGATGAACCAAATCTCTCGGCGGGTATAAGAATCAATAGTCCCAAAGTATCTACCAGCAAATTGTCTGAATCTGTCCGATGCCGACTCGAACCAGAGGGTGAAGTCAAGATTATACCCCCCGCATTCCACGTGCGTTACATATTCGTGCCCCGAGTCGTGTATAAATGAAATGCTGCTAGCTTGGCCTATAACATTGCCACTGCGATCGTGGATGTCAATGCAGACTAGATAGCTGAGCGGGGCCCAGTAACCGGTCAGCTGTGCCCGACATTTGTTCATTAGTCGTCGGGATGATTGCTAAGATAGCGTCATGGGTTTACGAACCCGCAGAGCACCGTCAGCGTGGATTTCATCTATGATCGTCGATGAGCTTGGGACACGCCCACAGGGGATGATTGGCATAGCATTGTTGGAACAGAGAGATGAGGTGGTGCCGTTGGGATTCGTTGATGCATCCCTATTTTGAAATTGATCTGGTAGTCGCGTAGAAAGAGGCGATCCAAGAACGTGAGAGTAGGGCAGCGCTATGCAAAGAAAGCAAAGATAGATTTGATAGGGAAACATCGTGTTGTCTCTGTGCCCGGCTTTCGATGCGAAGATGCCGAGAGACCGCAGTCTGCAGGAAACTTTCAGGGACAGGATCGAGGAATGTAAAATCCAGCTTCCTCTAGGCTAGCTACAATTCATTTTACAACAAGTAGTCGTTATTCACAGTTCACAGTGGCACTTGTGGGAGCGTCATTGGTTGTTAAGTCAGACACTGCGCTTGTTGTGCGTGGAATTCCTCTCATTTTGTTAGAATCGGTAACAAACAAAAGGCAGCCAGCATACATCTAGCGCATCATCCTTTCTCTGACGCAATTTTTTTCACGGATGCCAATTGAAGGTTTGGGATATTTACAGATCGAAGTTGAAGTACTTCGTCGTTCGTTTACAGCCAGAGGTGGGTGGGTTTCTCCCAACACGAGCGCTAAAGACTGCTAAGACATTTTCCCACCGTACATGTTGGAAATTTGAGCTGATCACTCATTTTGAAACAATGACATATCTCTGCAAGTTGTCCACCTCTTTTAAACCCCCAAGCCTTATACTAAGTTGTTGCTCTCGTGTCTGCCAAAATTCGTCGTCCTTTGTATATCACGGCTTCGGCATAGTCTATTGACCCAAGTCCCATCAACGAGACCAGGTGCACATATGGCTCCGTTTTCAAGAAATAAGATTGCATTGTGCGACTATCTAAAGTCAGTTTCTCGCATAACCTTGTTCCCTATTTAGAGCCAGCAAGATGATGAGCATTAGACCGAGTGAGACTTATGAAAACGCTGTCTAGATGGTACAGGAATTCCTGTCCGGTCAAATCAAGTAGCGTATCATGCTTAGTGTTTTCTATCCCCGTTGTCGTCTGAAGGATAAAGTAGTATGGTAAATTATTACAGTCCGTCGTCGCGTGAAATTTACCACAATTATCCCATCGATTTCGACTTTAACCGGACCACGGGCTGCATCCACGTTCAACCAACAACAGCCGGGAAAAGAAATGTGGATGACTTCTCAGGATGTTGCTACAGTACCATTTGCCAGTGTATCTGACACAGCTTGATCAGGGTTGCTTTCATCAATCATCAGAGCCCCAACGTCGACTCGCTCGTCTCCCTTGTAAGTAATGTCGCCGTAAAGCGGGAAACCTCTTCCACGATTCTGGTAGAAACCTTCAATCGCGACCATCAAATCGGCCAAGTCTTGATAATTGAATTGCGGAAATGGATCGACAGGAGATTTCGAGATGTCGACATCTACGGAGATTCCCATCAAACTATGGTCCACAAATGTAGGGTCATGAACCACGGCTGGAGGGTGGCCGTGTTCAGTCATCCGATCAAATTCATATTTCAAGTCTTGCAATATAGCTTTGACAGCAGACTGCTGAAGATCCCTTCCAGGAAATGAAATGCCATAGAACTCAAGCTTGCCTTCAGTACTAATATGGGTGTCGTAGCCACTTACCTTCTCGACGACACAGCGGATCTTTCGAATTGTCGCGACTGATACCGTGACATCAATAGGGTGACCGTTGATATGTGCGTTTTCGTTCAAATAAGCCATCAGAATTTCAATTGCTTTTCTGCATTCTCCATAAGTGAGGATGTAACCACGATCTATCTCCCATTGGAAAGTAACTTTGACATTGCCCAGACGACTATAGACAAAGACAGTCTTCGTAGGGTCCGGTTTAAGAAAAGAAATTTTGTGTAGCAGTTTGAGTTCGTATAACCACTCGATTGAGCCGGCCGTCGTGACTCCCTGCGGAAGTGCAATCGCCGTGTCAACCTCCCCTTCGTATTGAAAATCTTCGCGAGTGAAATCAATGATTGAATTGGACGCCCTCGTAGTGTTTGACAATCTAGGTGTTAGGGTTAATGACAAATTCAACGGCGACATCTGGTTGCCTACTGGAGACCGGCTGAGCCTGTATTCATGGGAATAGCCAAAGCTAGCAATGCACATGCCATCGCCAAGAAAGCATTCCATTGGAAGGGTCTTCCCATCGCTGCCGGCAAGACAAACCAGACTGATCTACGAATGATATATCCGTGACACGTGTAGCAGTAGAATCTACAGATGCTTCATGGGCAGAATTAGTAAGGGGATGAGATCATTTGATGGGATGCGAGTTTTCTTGTGAGCGCGAGAAAGACCCAGGCTTTCTTTTCGCAGCGCAAATGTCGAAATGTTGGTAGATCTCAAATCTAAGACACTTCTACCTTATTTCTAAGATCTTCGGTCAACGATCAAGTATCACGAAAGTCGACCTTGCTCAAAACAACAGACTCCATTATTCGGTATGGAGAGGGTCGAAGTCGCTCAAAAGGCGAAAATACAGTAAAGTGAGAGAGTCTTACCTTGGACACTTGCCGACTATCCTTCTAGATAATTATAAAAATACATACTCATAGCGATTAAGATCTTCTCTTGAGCATCGAAAATCATTTGGCCGCCAGAAAGAATAGCGAAATTGGCAAAATCTGGATCACATTCTTCAGCGTGAAGCGTGAACGTCACGGACCATGCGCACCCGAAGCTTCAACAATCATCAGAACAAGAGGAAATGAATTACAGTTTCTCCTAGAAAATCATACATAGATAAAGAACCGAATCACGAGAAGGTCTCTCCCGCCTGACAGCAGTGGCCCGCCACATCTGCATGAGTTCACAATCCACCCCAATCCACCCAATTCAAACCCTCCAAACTTCGCCAGCATCAACAACAGCTTCCTCCCCAGAGTCCATGTAAGCTATGCCTCTCCCTTCATCCCCCAAAGGACCTCCTCGCGACAAGCGCCGCCCCCACCACCTCCGCCGCCTCCAGCGCCTCAGCAGTCCACCCTGTCGCCGCTGCCGCTCCCCCGCAGCAGCAGCCGTGCCAGCGTTAGCTGCAGCTTCCCCTGCCCCCGCAGCGGCGGCCATGCCTCCGTTCAGATAAGCAGATAAATCGCCCCCATCCGCAAGCAAACTCTCCGCCTGCTCCTGCGTCAGACCGCTGGCATCCAGATCCCCGGCCTGCTCGGGCGTCAGCTTCGGAACGCCCCCGTTCGCCGCTGGTTCGGGGTTCGCGGCCGCATCAGCGAAGGGGTTTGGGCCTGAGGAGGGGTCATCCCAGGGGCTTTGGGCCGTCTGGGTGTTGGGATTCTCGACGGATTGCGGCTGCTGTCCTTGCCCGTCGATTTGGGCTTGTTGGTCGTAGTTGTCTGGGTCGTAGCCTTGCGAGTTGTCGGGGAGGGGGAGAGGGAAGGGGAGGGGGGATGCGAACATGGTTGGGGTGATGATGAGGATCAAGGCCAGGGTTGGGAGAGGGTATGAAAGATGCATGCTGCTTGCTTTCTGGGTATACGATTAGGATCGCGGATATGAATGTAGCTTGGGTACACCTATCTAGGTATGGAATTCGAGGGAGCTTTATATGTGGCGTTAGCCACTTCTTCTCCGACGTTCTGTGATGTGATCGATGTGAATTCTGATGAAATCAGGGGAACGGCTGGCTTTGGGGCCGTAAAGGGTCCGCAATTGCAGGAGGCCCTCTTGGCGATATGGGATGCGTTTTACGACCTCGACATGTCGAATGAAGCTGCTAGAGTCTGTTCATCACCATTGATCTCTCCAGTACGAGCAAGGTTCGCTTCTGGCTCTGCTAGTTTGCGGGGTCCAACTTTGCCGTGCTCGAAAGTTTAAAGTGTAGGATTGCCCTTACAGAGCACAATGGCAATGACGAGTATGAGGACCATCTGAAAGGGATTATAGCATGTCAAGTGTGAAGATCAACATTCTGACCGTTTCTAGTGCCCATTGTTCACGCTCCAAGTCTTAGGTACCTCGCCCACCTGATCTATCTCTTCGAACATTAGAGCTAGGCGGAGTAGGAGCATTCTGTTCTTTCACCTGGTCCCATCTGAGCAGCAAACACACGTTGCCAAGAACGACGACCATGGCTCAAACGACAATGTCTCTCTCCAAAACTGTTTGATCATCTCGGCAAAGATCCTGTACGTTTGCACGACGACCCTTAAATATTCCCCCGAAATGTGTCGACGTGAAACAAAACGAATCATTGAGCAGCATCCATGTTGGATTGCGGGATGTTGCTATTTTCAGCCTCGCACGCCAAGTGCAGGAAGACGGGCTAGAGATGCGGCATAAATCGCCGCACGGGATGAAACTCAATCTTGCTTGAAGAAAACATGAAATGTAGAGGCTATCTGATCTGAAACGGTGATGAGTGATCATATCCCGTCAGTCTTGCTCTTTCCCAGCTTATCATCTACATCAAATGAAAAGATCACTTCGCCTGCGAAAATTACCAAGCTGTCCAGACTGTTGACGCATGATGAGACGAGTTGATGAGACTGACCAGAGACAATTGCTCGATGCGGATACTCGTGGTGAACATGAAACTCATCCTCCTCCCTGCACTTCTTTAGCAGCGCCTTGACTACTTCTGCTGCGAGTCTCCGCGGGGAAGGAATCCCGGAAAAATTCGAGTACCTGCGTGCCATCGAACTGCGTGTGTATCCCCTCGATCAAATTAATTTTACAGCGAATCTTAAGGTCGTTATCGGAAGAGATGGAAGCTTGTATATTGTGGCTGTCCAGATTGACCCGTGCTTGCAGATGGTCGATCAGGGGCTTGATTGCATCTGTACATTATTGTCCGAAGGTCAGAGGCCCGCCATCTTGCATGACTGTTGCCTCTCCATGCCCGCCCAGGTAGTTGAGCGCGCTTCTCCCGGGCGCTCGGAGGATACTTGCGGATTCGTGTCGTAATACTAGGTTTGAGCTCTAGACCAAGAAAAGGGAGGATGAACGGGGTATTTCCGTTGGCACCGAGTCGTCGATGCGTTCGCTGTAGGTATAGCTACTGATTTAGAAGGATTGGAATGGCAGCCGAGACGTGGGTTCAAAAAAGTCAGTTTTGCAGTTCGTGAGGCGAGATTGTAGGTGTCGAAAGTGCGGTGGTGACTCCTGTAGATACGACGGTAAGAGAAATCGCCGCTGTTGCAAATTCACGCATTGCATCAATGACCTCGCCTGCATCGCATTGTCTATAGAACCTTGTCAAAGTACTCGGCTAGCTGAGTGAACAGGCTAGATCGGATATTGAAGTAAAAGCGCACGACAGAATGCCATGGGACGCGCTTAAGCGGTAGGACATTCAACTCATCCAAGACAGACACATACTGCTCCTGCTCAGCCACGCGCTTCCAATGCAATACACCTAGTTAAACACCACAAATGCTTGCTGTTTGATCCGCAGGGTATATTCTCCCTCAAGATCGTAAGCTTCTTTCCATCCTGCAGCGTTGTCACATTATTTGCACACTTCTTTCCTTTGTGACTGTGAATGTAGCAATCCCTACACCGGCATCGTCGCTGATCAGAACCTGCGAGGCATAGCTATCCAGACGTCCGCATTCCTGCAAAATCCTCAGGCGATCTCCGTAGGCCGTCAGACAAAAGATGAAGTTCTCATAAGTGAAGAAGCGGCCATCTTGGCGCATAAATTCCCTGTCATAGTCTGTCAGGATAATTTCTTCCTTTCTGCTTTGGGTGCCCGGTATGGAAACCTGGGCAAGCTTTTCGGGGATGCCTTCGTTTGGGAGCACTTCCTGTGGGCCTGTCGAGCGTGCGGCTTTAATCGCGACGTTGATAAGTTGCAAGGCGTAGGGAATTGGTATGATGATCTTGTCCTGCGCTGGCGTACTTGGACGTGTTTGCCGGAGGTACGTGACTTCCAAGTGGAAGTTTGTGCCGGTCACTGGTTAGTCAGCATCCGAATGATTGAGTAAGGTGGTATTCTGATCGAGAATGCTGTCATGGAAGATTATCAGCTCAAATTTCCTGCGAGTGGCGTGGGCGCTTTCATCATGCTATGTATGTAGAAAATTAAACCACAATGAACACCTTTCATACCTGCATTTCTGACTATTTTGTGTCTGTGGGAAAGCCAACACACCCCCTGAACTTAGTACCATACAGGTGAGCAGAAACACTTTGTTAATTACCCTCATTTGTCGAAACAATGAGGGAACGGTGAGTAGCCTTCACCGAGGTAGGAGATCTTCAATGACTATCTGATTTCATGTCATACCAAGAGTCTTGCACGAGGATGAGTTGATTTATTGTCTAAGTCAAACATGCGCCGCGTCTTACCCACCAATCCCTGACTTGCTTTTCATCGAGACATCAAGCGCCACATCCCCGCGAATGTCTCAAGGCGTTCATGCTGAGCTCACATTCGAGATTCGAGAAAGCACCCACGCCTGAGGGCATAGGATGTCGCATGGTTGATAAATGCACCAAGTCAATACTCACGCAAGTCTTCACATCATTTAGACTCCAAAGGCTTCGTCCGTTCCTTCAGACGATCGAGGAATCTAGAGCAGAGTCAGTCCATCATTGCAGCCCCTATCTATCAGGAAACACGTACGTATGACCCTTGATACTATACCCCTCCACCAACTCCTCCCCAACATCCCGCACATAATTATCATAAGTCGTCTCCGGCTTACTCCTACAAAACCCCTCATGCACCCTGACCACCTCATCCACAAACCCCGTTCTCGGAAACGCCTCAACAACAGCCTCATACTCCCCCCTCTCCACCCCCTCACTCCCATCCTCGACCCTCTCCCCGGGCCCCCCAAAATCCGCCGTAACACCCCTCGCAACAGCCGCAACCTCGACCTCCTTAAACAACGCAATCGAATTCGTCGAATGCAGCGCAACAGCGTCCCAGACGAGCTGCACCCTCCGCGGCACCCAATGCGGCGCCTCACGCAAGAGGAACGCACGAGCAGCATCAGCGCCGTCGACCTCGAAGCGCTTGTCCGCGGAGATGAGGCTGGGAGTGGAGGACCAGCCGAGATCATGCAGGATGCACGCCACGGCGACGACTTCGTCATCCATAGTCTTCGAGTCGAGGCGGTTTTTGGCGATGGCGAAGGCGAGGCCGAGGGAGCGCATTACGTGGTTGAAGGTGGGGGGCGAGAGGTGCGTTTTGGCGAAGTCGGCGGCTGCGAGGATGAGGGGGGTGGTGGGGGCGCCGGCGCGGTTGAGGATGCGCTGTTGAGAGGGAGATGCCATGGTCGACTTGTGAATTGGGATTCTTGACGATGGATGGAGCTTAATGGTTGGTGACTGGTTTCTTCTGGACGGTTCAATAACGGAAGTGAATCAATGTTGAGGGGTTTGAGCGCTTGTTATTAGCTGAAGACTGAGGACAGCAAAGGTGATGCGCGAAGCTTGACATGTATGTCAGATTGACGTATGATTACAAATCGACGGTCAGGTCTGGCTGCCGGCTTTGATGGACGTCGAGCAATTTAGTGTGAAGAGTATTGATATGAGTACTCTCATGTAGATACGATCTCTACAAGAGATCTACGCCAAAGAATGGGACAGTTATAGTCCTACATATCGAGGGAAATGATGCCATGATCTTGATAGATGTGTTATGCCCACGCACCCGCCTTTCTAGGGTGTCTCCACACCAATGATCACAAGACACGCTCAGGTTAGCAGCTAGCTCCAATGGTCTAGCGACCGCTGACAAATGGTCGCAACATCTTCCCCGACTCAGAGTCTCAAACCCTTAATTCCTTCACTACATTATCATCCGATTTTTGATTTCGTAGTACCGTACGAGCGGGCAAGACCGTCCAGAGATCCCGATCTGAGTGCTTGGGGCATCACTACATCTTTACGTGGGAGGATCTTGGTGCGCATGCATGGAGTGGTGAAGCTAGGGTTCTCTCTGTTTCGAGGCTGTCGACGTAGGACGGTCTACATGAGACTGCCAACTAGCTAGTCCAAGATTAAAGGAGCCGAGACAGTACTAGACTCTACGATTAACCTTCTGCGCTTTCGGCCCGTATCGGACTGTTTCCTTGGATCATTGATAGGATCTCAAGAGCTTCCTTTCGCACATAAAAGGATATGATTAATAAGAAAGCAGAGCTCTTTGCATTTCGAATTGCGTCGTCAAGAGTACGCTGGACTTCATGAACAGTATCCTACATGTTTGTGGCTACCCGAGCGCACAGATACTTGAGTCTGTGAAGTTTTCTACTCTGATCATGTGATTCAATGCTTACAACTCCCTTATACCCCGGAATCAGCCTCCCATGTGATATTCGTGAATCCCAGGCTCTACGTGTAGCCCAATAGCTTCCCACCTTGCGCGATAGTCATCTTCCTCGAGCCAGTCAGGTCTGATAGTGTTACTCTCCAGCCAATGCAAGCAGTCTGCTTCCAGACTTTTGGTATCGTCAGCAGTAATGACCTCGGACTTCCCGAACCAAGCAGCGAGCCCACCCATCCAATCCCAGGAAGCAGAGTTGTGCACCTTCAGGGTAGACTCCGCAGCCCCGATAGCATCGAGCACTTCCCTCTCGATTTCCTCGAAAGAACGAGCAGAGTTACAGCCCGTCCACCCATTCGTAATAACATCTTTGAGAATTTCCGCCCCAGTAGCGACAGGAAAACGACCCTCTTTGCGTAGCAGCTCAAAACTCCGTAGGCTATGGTCGCGCCAGAAGGCTTGTTCTGCCGAGTCCTCCTCAGTTGCATCGGCGCTGATGGGGACGTGAAACTGGAATGGAACTTTCGCAACGATCGTGGAGGAAATGGCAAAGGCGTAACCCTGGACTGGAGCTCCATGATCACAAAGATTTTGGTCCTCATCGTTCTCGTAAGGTGGGTACGGGCATGGTATGGTCAGCATTTTTGCTCGCGAATGGAGTAAAGATGCAAAATATTCAAAGGGAGGCCTCGGGCCAAAAGTTGATTCACTGCGAGAATTCATCCGGATAGGACGAGCTTATTCGGTGTCCAAAGCTGGAGGTTTCTGATGAGAGAGCAATGTGTGGTGAGTCCACCATTGGAAGGTCAACGTTGGCTTGAGAAAAAGGCAAGTCTTGTCCAGAAACATCTTGGTTGGGCTCGTAATGGCAATCACTCACCACCATTGTATGAGCGGATTCCTTTGAGGACACTCCAAGCCATTCATCAACGACTTTCCTCTTCTTTCTTCCCTTCCTCAAGCCAAGAGCATAGCGAATGCCACGCACGACAACCAGAGCTTCAAGCAGCACATGAGGTCAAATTAAAGCTTATGTCGTTACGCCACACAAAAGAGTCACCGTATCATTCACAACACGAATCTACTATAACGAGGCTTCTCTATCCTATCCCCCATAAGACAAAACCATATCACGAAGCACTTACCGCCCGAGATGCCACACTCAATTATCCAAACCCCCTTTTCAACCTACTCACTCAACCTTCCCCCTCCCCCCTCCGCCCCCAGCCCCTCTCCCCCTCCCCCTCCCCCAACCACACCCACGCCCAGCACCTCAAATCCCACCTCGCCCACCAACCCCTTCACGCCCTCAATCAGCTTCCGCAAATCATCGCCCACCAACGAACTCGCGATCTGCATGACGGCAAACGCCGCATAGCCGGGCTCCTCGAGATGTGTGATACTCAAGATATCCGGATCCAGCTCCTCCAGTTTCCTGGAGAGCTTGTATGGCGGAGGAGCAGAGAGGTAGGGAGGCAAAGGGGTGCCGTTCGTTATGGAGGCGGATAGCAGGGTTAGGGTGGAGGTGATGGAGTGCGCGGTTGGTTCGATGGAGGCGATGAGGTGGGCGAAGTCGGATGTCCAGGCGGCGCGGGAGGGAGAGGTGGAGGGGGCGGTAGGGGAAGGGGAGGGGGCCGAGAAGGTCGTGGAGGCGAAGTAGATCAGGGAGAGGTAGTTCAGGATACTAGACGTGACAGATCAGTCATATGGGAGTACCCAGCCGGCTCAAGATCGATGTGGAAAAAAAAGAGAAAACTCACTTCTGCGACTGCTCAACAATAGCATCGTACCTCTCCCTAGGAAACCTGCCCCCGACGGTGGGCTCCCACACCGTATCGGCCGAATGCTGGCGTATAGCCGCCAGCAGCGTCAAGGTCTTGACATAAGTATCCCGCCTTGCTTTATCGAGTTTTCTGCTCGGACTGTCCTTTGCTTCCCCCCTCCCCCCCCCTCCCCTCCCTTCCCTTCCTCACCCCCTTCTCCACCCTTCCCACCCTCTCCACCCCCACCCCCCACGTGGATATGCAACCGACTGCTCGCGTGCACGATGCAGTAGAAGCTCGCGAGCAAATGGAGCGCGCTGCCGAGGTCTTTGCGCAGTTGGCTACGCGCCAGCAATGGGTAGGGGAAGAATGTCCAGAAGAAGGCGACGAACATGCCGCCGGAGACGCAGGCGAGGCGGTAGGGGGCTAGTAGGTAGGTCGCGTAGGCGGGTTGGCCGTTGCTGGTTGCTTTCTGGGATGATGGTGAGTGGGGGGTTTGTGAAAAGGGGGGGAAGGGTAAGGGAGGGGGAGGGGGCAACGGACCTGGACGCCAAGCTGTTGGACTTCGAGCTCGTAGCCGATAATTAGGACTGTGGTATGTTAGAGATGGTGTTGTAATGTGGGGGGGTAAGGGGGGGGATGGGTACCCTGCGTGACGATTGACAGGATGGCGATGATGACGAATTTGGGGTACATCAACACGAAGTACGTCTCCACGAAGATGAAGAGCCAGAGGATCACGATGACGCCTGTCGTATGTCCGTTGGGAATATACCAGATCGCCAAGCTAGTAAGCATTGCGACGACTGTGCAGCGATAAGCCTGTCATCATTCCAGATAGGAAATTTGTAGACTCACAAGTCCCAGCAATTCGACCCATGAAGCCGAAAACCCCACTCCCCGCCGTCACCGTCATGCTAATCGCCACCATGATCAAAGCCCACACTAACCTCTGCTCTAGAAAGAACGTCCGCGTGTTCTCGAGGTACGCAACGATAGCGACACTCATAGTAGCACAAGCAACGCGAAAGCCGAATTGCGACGCAGTACTACCCAACGTGTCCGCGATGAGGCGAAAGCCATTACTGCCCCTTTGCCACGCCGTGGTCGGTTCCAGATGCTCTGGATCCTTCCGTTCGCTGAAGCCCGCAAAAGGTTTCAAGTTCACTGTGGCACCACTTTCCGCGGAGTCGGGCGTGTGGTCGGAGGTGGAATTGTCGTGCTGGAGCAGGCTGGTCGCCCATTTCTTGAGCCGCTTTGCGCTGGGGTGAATGAGGCGGTTCTTGGCGAGGACTTTGGAGTCGACTTTGCTGTCGGCGAACTCCACGAGGGAGAGGACGGATTTACCCATCCAGTAGACTAGGTGGTCGATCTGGGGGGTTTCAGCTTTCGTGAGGGGAGTGAGGGGGTGTTGGAGTGCAGTACAGATAACTTACATAGAGAATGAGAAACAGCTGGCCTTTCAGGCTCATGTTCATTGCGCTTTCCTTCGACTCGGGAGGATGTTGCATGTTGACTTCGCTTGGAAGACGGATGGAGTCTATGCCACTTGTGGATTTTGTCTCGATTCCTTGCCGTTCGAAGAGGGCTTGTATAGCTGAGCGTCTGAGATCGTGGATGCCTTCGACTATTTTGGCAAAATGTGCGCCAAAGCCTGGGTCTCCAGGTCTTATGACTTCAGCATTGGCTTCGACATCTTCTGAGGTCTTTTCAATGTTTTGACCTTTCTTTGCCTTGCTTTTCTTGGGTGGCTTTACCAGCTGAAGGGTCAGGAGCGCATGCTGCAAGCCATCGTTGATGTCCCGGCTAGCTGTCTCTACTGGCGCATGAAGGGACGACATGACTGCATTCCATTGGGCCTTGATCTTGTCGGCGACATCACTATCCGGGGCGTTAACTTCGTCGGCATTCTGTTCCCATCCCCATTTCTTCGCTAGTCGCTGAAAGATGTCGCCAAAGCTAGCCAAACCCATCAAGGGAATCAGAATCCTCGGTAAGAGTTTGAAAAGTTCGTCGATCTCCGATGCATTGAGCTTGCCCCAAGCCATCTCACGCTTTGCAAATGTCAAGTCACCTTTCAACTTCCCCAGACTCTGTCCAATGCCGGAGAAGATTCGCTTGATATTTTGCATCTCAACCGCTGCTGGACTATGCTTAGTCTCGGCCTTATGATGCGAGTTCCATGATTTCGTGGCTTTATCACTGTCGAGTTCGGGGTCTTCAAACATATCTTCCCTCTCCAAGACCTGGAAACATCGGACTTGCGCTTCCAACGCAGTTTGTATCGATTTGATGAAAGCACCAGCCTGACCGAACCACGACACACGCATACTGATCGGGACGACAAAAAGGGATACCGCTGTCCCTATGCCCAGGCCCGTTAAAAAGCACTCAAACAAACGAAGGGCAAAGGTGATGCCAGCATCCATGGTCGGGAACCCCGGGGCGTAGATGCTCGCTATGTTCGCGAAGATCGAATAGATTATGACCGGTATCTGCAACTGGGGTCTTGAAGCTCGAAGCATGTTCGAGACATAGATGTTGAAGAAGAGCCAGATGGCGCTTACCGCGCTGGCGGATGAGTTGTAAGGGAGGCTGGTAGCAGCTGGCTTAGACCCCCTTGGGAGGATGCGCTCGGCGGTGGTGTGGTATGCTTGCGCGCTTGCACGCTGCAATAGATCTGAAGAAGCGCCACGGACATGCCAATGCAGGTCCCAATGAGGTTGAGGAACATGGTCTGGATGAATTTGCTTCGTGGTAAGATGCAGAAGCTCAGCACGGATATGATTGCGGGCAGGTAGCCGAGTGTTTGGTAGATTGCTGAAGCACCTGGATCTTGGTATATTGCCAAGGCGATAGTGGGTGGCAGAGAGAATTTGAACATCATGATCAAGAAGCCGACGTTGAGCCCTGACTTGGTCCATGCTCGCTTGAGCGGACTCTCCTTCTTGGTGTTCATTTTCCCATTATTTTGATCAATTGGCATTGGTCCACTCGTTTCCGCATTGTTGATGATTCCATCGGCCAGCTTCTCCTCCCCAATCTCAACCCTCGCGCCATTCCCCGCCATCTTCCGCGTGAATCAGCATGCAAGCATACAGGCCTCTTTCAGCCGGGATGCAACTATTGTATCACTCCCAGCGACAGTCGAGAACGCGTAGCTCAACCCAATGCTCCAATGGTCGCAACGCTGTGTTGTTTCCCATGGTTGTGCGCGACTTGTTATAGAATCCGACAGCGATGCATAAAAAACATCGGGGCCTCGAAGGGCCGGCCGCCGGGTCTTATTCAGGAACGTGGCGTCGGCTAAAAGACGGGCGATCGAGAAGTCTAAACCAGATTGAGTCTTAGCCCCTCGATAGGCTTGTTGATAGGCGATAACGGCTCGGAAGTTGTCGGCTCCGAGGGCTACGAGTCCAAATAGAGGTAGCCGAGATGGCTCATCTCGCGGAACACATCCTTCGCGAGATTAATGCTTGTACGACCGTGTACGATTGACCCGTTGCGGCTGAGATGGCAGCTTTATCACAAGAGCAATATCATTCTGTGCGACAATGCTGTGGACTGATGGTAAGGAAGTTGGATGTGTGCTGCTGCTGCTCAAATGAGTTGATCGTCCAATACATGATGGTGTCTATAAATGAGCAAGCAGGCAGGTCCGATCGATACGACTGCTGCCGTTGAAATAGCGCAATGCTGCAGCAATCATCGTTACAGAGCTATCCGAATACTGACCACTTCCGTAGATGTCCTCTGCCAGCCTGGCTAGGATGAAAAAGATCTTGAGGTGCATCTGAGTATCTTGCCCATCAAAAAAACAAATAAGCTCAGAGATGACGCTCTTTCATATGCATGGGGCTCAGCTGTGGGCACAAGGATAATCACTATACATGCCGGGACGAATGAACAAATATGTTTATGAACCATCCATTGGGGCTCAAGTAGCGTGGCACTTTAACGGGCAAACGTTCCTCGTCAAGACGCGCATCATTCACAGGACCCAAATTGAAGGTCAAGCGTAGTCACAATCCTAATCTTGATTCCATGTGAGCTGACTAGGATCTCGCTGGATTCAGTCATGGCAATGTTTTTTTTTGAACACGTTCCAAAGATCCGAAAAATGGCGAGTGGTCTGGGACCAAATCCGAACTCTGTGCATGTCAATGCCATGGTATGCCAGACTCTGACGCGAAAAGCGCTCCAACAAGTCCCGTCTTTGGAAGCATCAGTCTAGCGGAAGTAGAATCACTCTCGAAAGGACAAATCGACCTCCTCGAGCGATGATTGGGATATATGAGAAAGCTTGATGGAATTAGCAATCGTGCATTGATTAGCGCTTATACAGTCGACAGCGACTTCAGCATAGACTATCTGTGGGGTTAGATCTTTGCTCTCGAGATTCATGGGACAAGATCAGTATTCCTAGCCCTGCGTTGACCACCAGAGACTGGGATTTGTACTTTCAGCCGAAATAAAAACGCAATCGCATCACGAGCACGGAGGGTGATGGTCATTATTTTAAAGCAAATACAGGAGATGTTGTTGCAATTATGTACATCTGCCAAAAACCCTCTCAACTGAGATCGGACATGGGTGGGCATCATCTGATCCAGGGAATGCGATGTTGACCGCTTCATGTTTGGTGAGGGGATCTGAGATGACCTAAGCATTGAAACAGAAAAATGAAGCACACCCGTGAGTCGCACCTGCCGAGACGAAATCGCTTCCAAGAGCTTACTTAGGCAATGTCACAAGTCAACAAGCTCCAATCACGAGGTAGAGAAGTCTGTGCGCAATTGCGGGACCTGACTTTCTCAAGACTGTAAGCAGGGTCATTGACTGGAAACATGTATCGCACACTGGACGCCCGGCTTCCTGCAGTACCAATGATTACTTTACGTTTCCCTGTTCCTCTAACGACCTGCATGCGACACGATGACGACGCCTATATCGTCACAAAGATCGAGATGGAAAGGAAAGACCAGGCGTCTCTCAGATAGCGCCTGCAGGATTGACATCAGAGGCTGTTGCTTGGACCGCGCATTTCACCCCACGAAATTGCAGCTGCGAGTGGGGTTTGCATTCCAGCTCTGAGCTATACCCAGGTTTCCACGTGCTCTAGCGATGTTCCATGCATGCGGCATTTTTATTATCCTACCAAAACATCAACACATTGCGAATGTCTGCCGGTTGACCCACGGGATTCTACTTAGCGCACTGTACACAGCCACACTGAAGTCGCCGAGAAGGGGAAAGCTGCCCCACCACACTCCCTGGAGTCCACAGTAAGAGAGATGGACCTCGAAATTGGAGATGAGAGAGTCCATTTGAGAACGCACGACGAAGGTGGGAAACATCAGGCTTGCGCGCCTGCAGCGAAGCTGCAAACAAGATAAAAGAAGGGTGCCCACCTCTCTGTCTTTCTCCCGTCCATCTCACATGATGGGGCGATAGGGTAATAGGGTAATAGGGCAATAGTGGGGCATTGTCATCTCCCTCAACGCCTGTTGCCCTCCTGCAGACGCCCTTGATTTCTTTGTTCGAAAAGCCCAACAGCATAACGCAATCATTTTACCAAGTAGAAGTCTCTGATTGCCATCGTGTACGCTGCTACACCTAGAATGACCCCGGTACCAGACGAGACCAGAGCGACCAAATATGACCACGTCACGAACGAAGGGCGCGATCGTATCACGTTCGCTCCAGAAACCACAATTCCACCTCCTGGTCCCAAACGGACGAGAACTGGGGAGACAATCGCATCGATATCGATGCTGCAAGAAAAGCACCCATCGAGCCTGACGAAGCAGACTTCTATCGCAGAGGAGAAGATGGAGCTCGACGACATTGATGGCAATGGCAGTGACGAGAGAGATTTCAAGAAGAGGCAGGAGTTTAGGGGTCGAAATCTCTTCTGGTATGAGGCTTACATTTCCCATCCCTTGACAGTGTCCAGCCAAATTCATTCCCTAGTCCACGTGCTGAAGAGTGACCAACTAGGTTGTCATATCAATCTATAGGTATCATCTACGGCGACATTGGCACCTCACCTCTCTACGTTTTCAGCTCAACTTTCACATCGGGAGAACCATCGTACGACGACCTACTCGGCTCACTATCCCTGATCCTATGGTCACTGACATTAATCGTGACTTTGAAGTATGCCCTGATTGTGCTGGAAGCTGATGACGAGGGAGAGGGTGGCACGTTCGCAGTTTATAGTCTGCTCTCGCGCTTTGTAAGTGATGCGTCACGCTCCCGTCTCATTCTAGAATGCGCAGTCGTTGATGCGCGAACAGGCGAAGATCGTGGATCGTGACCCAAGGGAGGCGTCGAGGATAAAGATGGAGCGCATCGACTCGAACGTATTGAAGCCGTCGAACAAAGCGACGAGAAAGTTCCTGGAGAACAGTACCACTCTCAAGATCTTTCTGAAAGTCCTTGGTGTCTTCGGCGTCTCGCTCGTTATGTCAGGTATGGATTCCTGGGTTCCACCCCCACGCCAACACATTCGCAGGCCGACAAGGATGTGCATCATAACTGACGATGAGCAGATGGCGTCTTGACACCTGCCCAATCCGTGCTGGGAGCGATTCAAGGCCTTCAAGTCGTCGACGAGAACATCTCTTCAAGCACCATCATCGGCGTGTCTTGCACAATCCTGATCCTCCTGTTCCTGCTTCAACCGCTCGGCACATCAAAGGTCGCCAGCCTGTTCGCGCCCATCGTCATCATCTGGCTCCTCTTCAACTTCTGCTTCGGCATCTACAACCTCGCCATGTTCGACCACTCGGTTCTGAAAGCCTTCTCGCCCTACTTCGCCGGCGCATTCTTCGTGCGCAACAAGACTGAAGGCTGGAAAATGCTTGGCGGCATCTTGCTCGCGTTCACTGGTGTCGAGGCTCTGTTCGCCGATCTTGGAGCCCTCTCGAAGCGCAGTATCAGGATCAGCTGGATCGCGTTCGGCTGGCCGTGCTTGATGATGGCATACGTTGGGCAGGCCGCGTACATTTCCCGCAATAAAGGGGCTTACTCGCTGCCGTTCTTCAACACGGTTCCTCCAGGGATGTTTTATCCAAGCTTGGTGATTGCGATATTGGCTGCGATTGTCGCTAGCCAGACGATGATTACGGCGACCTTCCAAGTAAGTGAAAAGCCTTTGGTGGGTGATGCGGCCAAGTGCTGACGAAGCCCTAGTTGATGAGCCAGATCGTGAAGCTTTCATACTTTCCACAGATCAAGGTCGTTCACACCAGTAAGATATTTCATCAGCAGATATATGTACCTTCCGTCAATTGGTTGCTGATGGTTGGAACTATCTGCGTAACCGCGGCGTACAGTAACGTGAGTGCATCTGCTGCGACTATCCGTAAGAGTGAGTAGCTAAGCTTATTAATCTCAGACAACGAAACTTGGTGAAGCTTATGGGGTTTGTGTAATTCTTGTCTCTTTCATCACAACATGTATGGTCACGCTCGTCGCCTTGATAGTGTGGGGCTTACCGGTGTGGCTCATCGTTGCCGCATCTCTCATTTTCCTCACCCTCGACGGCTTGTACCTTTCTTCCGCGCTCACCAAGGTTCCGCATGGCGCATGGTTCACCCTCTGTCTTGCTGCTCTGCTCAGCAGCATTTTTGTTCTCTGGCGCTTCGGCAAGGAGATCCAATGGAAAGCAGAAACCTCGGACAAAGTCTCCACCAAAGACCTGGTGACGGCAACGACGGATGGCAACACTGGCCTGGGCCTCAGGCTGTGGGGCGGAAGTCGAGAGAATGTAGGGCTCAAGGGCGTGGTGCCTGTTGAGCGCTTACGGGGCATCGGCATTTTTTTCGACAAGACCGGAGATCCTGCGAGCGCACCTGCAGTCTTCGTGCATTTCCTGTCGAAGTTCCGCGCTATGCCAGCCGTGACGGTCTTCCTCCATATACGTCCGCTTTCGCTTCCAACAGTGGCACCAGAAGACCGATTCAGCGTCAGCAGAGTCAAAGTCCACTCTGCGTGGAATGACCAGAGTACGGTGGTGAACGGGTCATCAGGCCAGGAAGACATCTTCTACGTCATACTGCGACATGGGTACACAGACGAAGTCATCGGGCGTAACTTGGGCTTGATCATCTACGAAGAGCTGCGCAAGTATGTTATTCGCAAAGCTGCATCCGTTCCTCCAGGCGGAGAAACCCAGATTGAGTCTCCGAGTGGATCAGCTACCCCCGTAAACCAACTCTCAGAAAACGTCCCAGTCCCTCTGTCACCAAGAGCTAAGCTTTATCGTCAGACATCGGTCCGCCATCTTCTCGCAGCATTGCAGGAGACGTATGAGGAACAGGTCATCTACATGATCGGGAAGGAACAGATGCGCTTGTTGCCAACGTCTGGCTGTACGCTCATGGGATGGGTCAGGCGCTTTGCATTGGCAGCGTTCCTTTGGATCAGAAGCAACACCGGTAGAAAGGTCGCAAATTGGGACCTAGATGCCGGTAGGGGGATTGAGGTTGGATTTGTGAAGGAATTATGACTGAGTGAGAAGGCTGGGGAGATGACGTCATCAGTCTAAATTTGATGTTCTTGTAAAGTCTTCTGTAGATGTTCATAGACCATTCCAACAGCATGCAAACGATTGCACTCACCAAGTATAACACTCGAAGCGCCCCCACTGCCTTGTTACAATTCATTATACGACCTTTTGCGTCCCTATTGACAGGGCCGGGCAAGCCGCTGCCAGCGGGCTCACCAAGACTGACACCCCCATCATCGACGACCAAGTCCTGCAATGTGCAAGAGCGTAACATTGACGATGTCTGGGTCTACGATATCACTGCCAAACCGTCCCACACCTCCCTCCCAAACAAACCGACTACAGCATCTCCAACACGCCGCAGAATCTTTTACATCGCAGGCGGCAGCCAACACGACCCTCCATCCCCGGATCACTGGCGCTTCGTCACAGCCCTCGCCCACAAACTCTCAAATACCACCATCAGCCTCTTGAGCCCCCCGCTGTCCCCTCACTCGCCAGCGCCCACGACGTTCCCGCACCTGACGAGACTTTTTCGAACGCTCCTCACCACAGCGCATGAGGCGAGCGAGACGGTCATATTTGTCGGCGACTCTTCTGGTGCCAATCTCGTGTTTACCGTGATGTTGGAGGTGCTTCAATCATCGCCCGCGACGCCCGCGCCAGAGAGCATCATGATGATCTCGCCCGTCGTGGACCTCAGATTCACTAACCCAGACATCGCGAAAATCCAAGCGAAGGATCCTGTGCTGCGGCTGCAAAACTCAAAGAAGACTGCTGCTATGTGGGCGAGTGCCTGGAGTCTAGATGACACGCGGTTGTCGCCTGTTTTGGCGGACGTGGCGGTGCTCAGGGAGCGCGATGTTAAGGTGCATGGCGTTACGGGCGGGTATGATATCTTGACGCCTGATGCGCTGCGTTTTAGGGGAAGATTGGAGGACGAGGGAGTAAAGGGGAGTAAAGGGGAGGTGGCTGCAGTGGGAGAGGCAAATGCATTGCTTTCCGCTCGCTTTCACGTATCGACTCCCCGAGAGTGTGCGGGGTCTGGAATGGATTGTTGATACCTTGAATTCGTAGACCCTTCAGAGGCCAATGTAATTCCAATTTGGAATTATGAGACTCTAGATAGCTTCAAATGATCTTGTCTAACCAGGTGTGGCCTTGATGGCGGGGTTCGCATATACGGAGGGTGGAGAAAAAGCGGGGTACGCAGACCTAAATAGGCAGTGACTTTCTTTCCAGATAAATGGCATGGAGAAACGAGCATACTCATCATCGTCAAGAACAACGGATTACATCGACGGAGAAGCAATTGAGGTCCTCTATCTTGAACAACACACTGAACAGTGACTACGACATGCTGCAAGTCTACCTCGATCCCTGCACCGTCAACTGCAGGAAGGTCTTGGCTGGACTAAACTTGCTGGATGCGAAATTCAATGTGAAAAACATCAATTACTTTACGGGCGAGCACAAGTCAGAGGAATACCTAAAGGTCAATCCAAAGGCAACTATACCAGCTGCTGTTGACGGCGACCTGACTATTACCGAATCAAACGCTATCTTGCAGTATGTTGGGGACGTGAACGGTTCCTCAGCGTACGCAAAGGACCCAAAGACACGTGCAAAGATCAATAGTTGGCTGCTGTGGGACCAGGCAAATTGGTTCCCAAGCAACTACGTCTATCTTGTCGAATATGTTGTGAAGCCTCTTTTGAAAGCAGAGCCAGATGAGAACACTATCAAGACCGAAGCCGAAAAATGGCATAAGCTTGCTGGCATATTAGATGCAACTCTTGCTAAGACAAAATGGCTTGCAGGTCATGAAGTGTCGATTGCCGACATTGCTATTGCGGCACCCATGCATCTGCATGAAGCCCAACGGCTCCCACTGGACGACCATCCCAACCTCAAACGCTGGCTAATTGAAGATATTGAGAAGTTACCATGCTGGAAGAAGACTCAAGAGGCGGACGACACGGCGCTGTTGCCATCTGCAAAGAGTGAGGCAACGACGAACGGCGATTCCAACTCTCAATCGGAAGTTCGCGCAACCTTTAACTACACTAAGGAAGTCGACAAACTCACTGAGCTCTATTTCTACGACACCGAAGCAGCCAAAGACATTCACGAGCCTGGCGACGATCCACATGAGATGGCAGTGACTGACGGCTGGCACCGCGCCGACTCCTTCTCCGTAGACAAAGAAGGCTTCTCCCTCAACGACTTCAAGACATCATTCAGCAACTGGGAGGACGAAGAGGCCGTCAAAGCCAACTTCTACCCCGAAGTAGTGGAGTTTCTCAAAACAACCGTGGGAGCAAAGCGCGTCCTCGTCTTCGACCACACCATCCGCACCAAAGCCAACGTCGCCAAGAAAATCACCCAAGAGACCAACACCTCGCAGCGCGCCCCTGTGATGCTCGTGCACTGCGACTACACCAGCGAGTCAGGCCCACTGCGCGTGCGCCAACTCTTACCTGACGAAGCAGACGACCTGCTGTCCCGCCGCGTGGCGTTCCTCAATGTCTGGAAACCCATCCACAACGTGGTCGAAGAGCGACCGCTGGCGATGTGCGACGTCACGACCTCCCCGCCCGAAGACTTCTTCAAGCTGCATCTGAGGTACCGCGATCGTAATGGCGAGAACTATGTCATGAAACACTCGCCGAAGCATAAGTGGTGGTACTTTCCGAAGGTCACGCCCGAGCAGGTTATCCTGTTGAAGACTTATGAGTCGGAGCGAGATGGTAGGGCTAGGTTTGTGAGTCATAGTGCGTTTGAGGATCCGACTAGCCCGGAGGATGCGAAGACGAGGGAGAGCGTGGAGATTAGGACTATTGCGTTCTTTTAGTGGGGTTTGCATGCAATGTCAACTTGAGGCCATCGTCTATGGTTTGTGAGAGTCCTTTGTGTACATTGTGTGAAGTCTGAAATCTTAATATCGCAGGGTGAAGGTGACTACTTACGATCGTGTTAGGTAGCCACGCGATTCTTTGGCGCTTTTTAATTTCCTTTTGAATTAAGGCATCCTCGTAATACTGCCATGGTAAAAATTCCGTCTCTATTTGTCTACCTGAGTGATGTCCCCACACAATATTGAATCCATAACCGACAACATCATCCCGTTCCATTCTGCTGCCCACCCCCACCCCCAACACTGCCAAACACCAACATAGGCGCTGCAAAATTCCCCACAAAAGCGCCCCCTTTACTATCATCATCCAAAAAGCCCTCATCTTGCGGCGTATGAAACAGCCACCTGATATAAGGCACGGCGAACTCGCCTTTCCTCGTCACATTCACCTCCATCCTCGCATACCCGTACTGATTGAACACTCGCAGCGTTTCGTTCGCAGCCGTCACAAGGTAGCCCCACTCGTCGGGCGGTAGGTTGTACACATCCTCCTCAAACTTCATGTCGAACACAGACGCGCTTTCGTCGTTCAGCCAGGTCCATGACGTTGGTAGCCCTGTCTCCGTCGCGTTGTCGGGCCGCCCAGGGCCGTTCTGGAAGAAGGCCTGCGCGGCACAGAGCGCGGCGTTGGTGTCGGAGCTGGAGAGATTGCGCGCCGCGTCGTATGTGCCTGTCATTTGCATGTCCGGGGTGGTGTATGATACGTTGTTTAGAAACTCGGACCCGGTGGATATTTGTATGAGTGGGGTGCCGGTGCCGTTTTGTCCGTAGCTGGTGCTGGTGTTGGATATGAGGCCGATTTCGACAGTGACGGGAAGGCTGTCTAGCCATTGGTTCGAGGTGGATGAGAATATTGAGTTCAGTTGGTCAAGTAGTTTGACGCTGTCGGCCCATGTGATGGAGGAGGTTGAGGAAGAGGTTGATGAACCGCTGGCATTGAAGTTATTAGGAGACGATGATGTGTCATTAGCATTATAGTTATCGAAAGACGTTGATGTGTCATTTGCATTAAAATTATCAAAGGAGGATGATGTGTCATTGGCATTGTAGTTATCGGAGGACGATGATGTATCGTTGGCTTCGAAATTGATGTCGAGCCTCACGTCTCCGTTATAGCTCGTATAGTATTGGTAGGCGTACGGATAGCCTCGATAGACACCGTTGGCTGCTGCCCAGCGTGCTTGGGAGATTGCTCTCTTATTTGATCCCCATTGGAAGCTCTGGTCTTTCGATGTGTATGCGTCAATATAATAAGGAACGCCATCGATGGTGAAGTTTGTCAACCAATGGGAGAACGAACTGGTAGACAAATTAGCGCCCATTTAGATTGCAAAGTCGATGAGTTTCGTACTCAAGCTCATCCGTAGAAGTGTCATTGGTGGTGGCAAAGCTCTTTACTTTTGGAAGAACTACACTACCCTTCGAGTCCCCTTTCCCGGTACCATTCACAGACGGTATAGTAGCATTGGCAGGTCTTGAGGCAAAGCTTTTCCGAATTGACCTGACTTCCTCAAGGGACAGCGAACTGACGATGCGAGTTAAAGCGACCACGATTGCAATCTGGTACATAAGCATGATTCCGTAGTATTTTACGTCTTGAAGGAATCTAAAGTAGTAATACCTGAGGGCGTAGCATTGGTTTAGTAAATCATCACACATATATAAGTTTATGATAGATCACGGAAAGAACATTACCTGGATGTCTCAGCTGCGGCGAGCTCTTGCGCTTAGGAAAATGACGAAAATTGTCAACCAACAGAGACACAAACATGTAGACGCTCCATGCACAACGCAAAAGCCAGACACAATTTCTGCATTGCGTTGGAAGCAAGTAGCCACTGACAAATCTTGCTTAGATTTGACATAATGCCTAGTCTTCGTCATGTTCTAAACACTTCACAGTGACTCTTTGAAACATCTTGGGGCAATTGCTCTTATATCTCAGGTAACTTGTTGCCCCCCAGAGTCAGACGGAAAATCATAGGTCCGTCAGCCTTTGCATTGTTGCATTGTGCCTTTGCTTGCCAATTAGCTCACTTTCCGATGCAAGTTCAAACGCAGTGTTGGCAACGGTTATAACTGTCAGTTTTCAAGCTGAAACCGACTGATAAGAGGAGCTTCCTATACAAACTGTCAATTGGTGGAGTAAAAACTGAACCGACTGGTAAAACTGTCAGTTAACTGATAGTTGTGGCGATTTTGAGACTAAGCTTTATGCGGAATGCACTAAGCTCCATTGGGAAGACGCTAGGCAATAAAGAGATTAGCTCTATTTCTCCCCCTTGTTAACCGCTTTCTAAGTTTCAAAAAAAAAGGTTTTTTTAAAGTAACCAATCAAAATATTGCTTACTAAGCCTACTAAGCTCGCTAAGAAACTGACAGTTAACTGACAGTTCTAGCATCTAAAACCGAACCGACTGATAAAAGCCTAGAGTCCAGACCGACTGGTAAGGAAATCCAAACTGTCAGTTATAACTATCAGTTCCTTAATAGTCGGTTAACTGTTGCCAACGCTGTTCAAACGAGTGCTCTTAAGTTGGCCAGACTGCGAAACCTTAGTGTTGGGGTATGAGACAATCCTGTCCCCATCCCGCGTGTGTTGACTGTGAAACGCAACAAGGCGCCGTTCCCCGGCGGCTCTCATGACTAGCGAATTGACTAGACACGTCTGTGAGGACATTGTTGGCCGAACCCGCAAGGCTTGTCTGGCTACTATGCTTAGCCAAGAAGCTCAATATTCGCGCCTACAACGAAGAAAGGTAGAAGTCTAACCGAATATCGACTATTCGATATGTCGTTTCTACTATCGCGTTCTCGTGAAGGAGATCATCAACTTATCCATTTACATTGAAGCCATGGCTATCTGCTGAGACGATGCATGCCCTCCAGACGAGGGGATCGATTTTACAGAGTTTGATGTGGCATTGAAAGACCGCGATCGCTTGTCAGGTGAAGGCAGGTTGGTCCTCGTCAACTGCAGATCAGTAACGAACCATTGTACTGGTACCAAGAGTGCAGTCAAAAAGAAACGGTCTAAAGCGTGCGAGTGATTGTGCCATGGTTCTGGAGGTAATATATGCTACTCCCCAAGTGAGGATACATGAGCGCTTCAATTCAAGTCCTGAAACTTTTCAGTTCGAGAATATTTAAGCTTCACCTGTAAATTGCACTCGGAGAGAAAGTCCCGTCGCTGGTCTCTTCATATTGCGGGGAGCTTAATGCAAATTGGAAAACTTCTTGCATGGCTTTTTACAATTCGTTGGGCTTAGAACGGGCCATCGTGAGGATGCTATCTTCACAAAAGATCCGAGCTTATGATCCTAACCCAACAGTTTCATACTCAACTTCATCCAAGTCTACCTCCTTGATTTCAAGTATGCAAGTAGTGCGCAGACGTGTCTTCCAGTTTCGACTCGAGAGCTATTGTTGCCGTAGTACTAATGCAAGTCTAGCTTCAAGGCCGCACACTTGCGTCCGTCGCCTTCTTCGAAAGTGATGTTTGATCTGATACTTATGCTTTAACCATCAATTGTAAATGCTAACTTTCTACAATCAAAACCTATAAATTCTCGCGCCTTGAAGAAACGTATAAACGTTTTATCCCATGTCCAACTTCTAGCTGTGGTGTCATATAATGTAGAAGCCTACACCGCAGATATCAACCTGCAAGAAGACCACGAGTCAAGTCTGATGACGTGCGGTCGTAAAAGTTCGCACGACTTGCGTCAACTGAGAATACAATCCGAGGTAGCAATTGCGCCCTTGATCGACGACTGGGCTGCAAAGTCTTGCTATGTGGGTTTCTTGTTCTTGAGGAACACCTAGAGTGATGAGACACGTGAGCTCCGAGAGGATAGATAACCAATCTACTACCTTAATGACTGCCCGTTCTACCCTCTCAAGTTGTACAGCAGTAACTCTTCTAGTGGACTTGACGTGACACAAGGTCCATACTCTTTACACAAGATTCGCGAATATTATCTGAACAAAGCTTCATCAATGCACTACACTATGTTTGTACAACACGAGCGTGTACCATTCAACACAACATCATTATTGTACCACCACACTTAGGCCGTACGACACCAGCGAGTGCTACTTCAACACACCATCATCAATGCACCACATGGTCTTTCTTTGCACAACACCACAGAGTACTACTTCAACACAAGTCTGTGTCATTAGGCTCCTATAAATGCTGTTGATGCGTCCTCTTTCTTTCTCTTTCCTAGAAATCAACCTTCATAATACTTTGCTATCTCTACAAGTACAATAACAAAGACGCCATCACTCGAGCTTCCTTAGCTTTTCGACACCACAACAGCCTTCACCCTAAACGCTCAAGACTTTGAAAGCAATCACTTCATACCTCCTAGGCTTTCAGAAGGTAGGTGCACCTCCAAAACTCGTCCTTAAGGCACCAACGCCCTCAACTTACAATTACACCAGAACTCAAGACACCATGTGTGAACCTGCCTGGTACATCTACATCTGCGGGTGCGAAATTTTCAGGTCAAATCGCTGTGGAGATCGGCGTTGTGACTATAGTCGATGCGTACATCGCGAGTAAGTCTCTGAGCAGCGTTTGGTACCATGTCTAACTTTTTCCAAGTGTGAGGGTAAACTACGTCTGCGGACGGCGTGAATGCCGTAGGCTTCACGGCATTGGCGCTGGAGGATAGCTTGAGGGAGACCACGATCTTTTCATACAATCATGGACACGATGACACGAAGTGCACTTTGTGATGGAAAGAATGGATGGTGGGTGGAATATTGGTGACGTGGGGAGGTGCTGCTTAGGAAGAAGCCTGTACGACTAGATTAAATCTGACTCTACTCTTAGTCACCTCATAGAAGTGGCTCAGCTTTCCTGACTTCTTATGTTCTCAGTCTGATAGTATGCGTCCACTTTCATGACGTCGCTATTTGCCCAAATGGAGCGTTTATTATATTCATGGACGAAGCAACATCGAATTTCCTAGACTTCAAGTGGCGTTGGTGAGCTTTGAATGCCCATGAGGTGGAAAAACATTGAACCTTATCAAAGTGACTTCTCATTCGAACCTGTCGCTCTCGACAGGATAGTGCACTTGAGACATTTTACTTAAAGGCGCTTTCTAGCTGTGACGATTTTCTAAGAGGGTTGTCTGCACCGCCTCCGGTAATACAACAACCTCGCCCCATGAAAAACCCCGAGTCTTCTCTGTTGAAGAATGCCATCCTGGGTACCTTTAGAAAAATGTGACACGTCGTTCGTAAAATGCTGCACGCCATTGCTACCAAACGTTCTATCTTCCAGTCTTAGGGTTGTTTTCATGCATATGGGCGTTAGTTGAGGCACCACAAGCTTTGCAGCTTTGCTGCCGTAGCTTGGATTTGAAACGATAGCACGCACGACGGGCCGTGCTATGCATGAAGCGCAGAACGAATTATGCTTCATAGGCAGCAGAAAGTGAGGTGGACATGTTACAAATGTAGATAATCCTACAACAGAACGGCTCATTTTTGAGAATGACAAGATTCCGAGAACGAATTGTACACACTGGGTGATCGAAGGGCGTCAGATGTCTAATTACATTACCTAAGACAACATACATGACACCCGATGCCGAGCTTGACACTGCCCCTCAAGAATGCAGCCTAACATATGGGAATATTGCAATTTCTGCAAAGAGTCTTCGCAAAGGGTTACGCACAGATCTCTGCATTAGGATCGAGTCTATTGACTAATTTCTCTCAAACTATCAAGGAAAGTAGTGTGTCTATCTAAACAAGGCATGCCGCTTGATCTCTAGAGATAAGAGAATGAAAGACACTTGTGTATGTTGAATACGTCAAGCCTTTGTCGACTCAAGTGAGGGTTGTTGTTTTCATACCCACATCAACTTTCGATTTTGGTAGAAGAACCGGCAAACGAGCATGCGTCCCTGTTTTTCTCTTCTTCAAAGCGAATGTATTTGCTGTCTCCCATAAGTACTCTTATTCTGTGCCCTCCCATTCAGACGGTTATTCGTGATATCCCCAGGTATGAATCCGCAGATACTCTTACAATGTGGTAAGACGTAGGTCTGAAGGTTGTTTAACTTGTACCCCTTTAGCTTGGTAGATCCTCTAGGTCAGGGGGTTTATAGTTGAAAGGCTGTGTGAAAAATCTGTTGAAAATTCGCTTCTCAAGGTCCGGATCATTCTCATCGTCGGTGCTAAAGTTCAATCCAATGGAGTGAATCGCGATTTGTATATCCGGTATACTCTTTTTCGAAAAGCAGCTTCCATCTGTGGTATTAAATCCATACGATGGTTCATAATCTTCGCAGCAGCTTTGGCAGCCTCAAGACCCATCTTGAGTAAAGAAAAGTGTTTTATTTCAACATCCCGCAATTCTTGGTCGGGCAAGCCTCCTTTGTAGGGATCCTTTTCTATCTATTGGGTATTTTCGTCGATTGCTTTTTTGAGGCTATTAGCCTCCGGGCTGAAGACCATATCTGCAAGGCCTTGACTTGTGGTTTTTGAGCTCACCAAAGAGCAGCAAGGTAGTCCGAAATGTGCTGAGAATTTGGCTTATTGCGTCTAAAGGGTGTAGATGTGCGGTTGTGAGGAGGAAACTTAGATGAATTATGATGGAACTGACGAGGAATCCTGCATTATTTATAAGGCAACGGGTCATAGACCCTTCTTTCTTGAAAGTTTGGCCTGCAAGACAAGGCATTGAATGTTCACTAAGACTGCTCATCAGTGAAAAAGTGTGAAGCACTTCAAACCTCCTACGAGAACTTGAATCATTACTGACTAGTAAAGTGGTCGCCACGATCTCCGCATGAAACCTCAACACTCATCGAATCGCAGGCAACATCGTTTCTCTCGTGACTGGATTCGCTACAGTGGCAACTGAAACTTACATTCCGCGGCTCGATTCAGACTGTCGAATATGAGATTAAAGCGTGCGCTGCTCGAAAACTTTCGAGACATGCTATGCATTTTCGATCTAGATAGATTCAGATTGTCGTTGCCTCCCACGAACATATGAACGCAAATGATGAGAACCTACAAGCCGCTGCCTTCCTATTAATAAAGCCAAGAAGACCATGTAAAAGCCTTCTAGTAACCCTTAGCGTAGTATAAACACTATACTAGATGTTCGGCCCTATGGCTCAATAAGTCTAAGTAAAATCATTCTTACTTCTATGTGATAAGGGATAATATATATGTACTACCTAGTTTCTATCGTCCTTGATAAAATCTAAAAACAAGATAACGACTGGACTAGATATATTTTAATTGCATTGTTCCCTTCTAGTAAAGCTTTCATTGCCCTTTAGCCCTAGAAATAATAGTATCGAGTAATATATAGGCAAAAAGAGGAACTTTGCAAGAAAAGGACACATTTTGGCAAGCACACAAAGAAGATTTCAAGCTCGGATTCACAATAATTAGAATTCTTGAAGATGAGACCCTCGCTATACCATCTTCCACGCAAGCATGTACGTAAAGAAAGTTGCGAGCTCCCCTAATCCTATATATTCTAATACATAGGAATTTGACTAAATAAACCCCTCCTTACTTCCCTCTCGCAGCCCTCACCCAAAGCACTAACATCCAACGACAGTCTCGGCGCCTCCGTATACCACCCCTCCAACTCATCCACCAACATTTCCGGCCTCTTCCCCGTCACCGCCTCTTCACCCCACCCAAAAGCCTTATACTGACACCAAGTCTTCGCCGCCTTCACGCCCGCATCGTCGCCTAGCAGCGGCGCTTTCCACCTCTTCCTCACATCTTCATACGGCGTCGCAGACTTCGGCTCCGGCTGCCAATTCTTCTGCGCGTCCTGATTGCACGGGAAATCGGCGAGGCCGGCGACTTTTCCCATAGCGACTTGCACGTCGAATTCGGAGATGATGTCGGGACTGATGCGGGGTGTGGGCGCGCGGACAGAGACGCCAGTTAGGAGTTTGGCCGTGCCGCCTTTTGTGCCGTCGAGGAGGTTGGAGATGTTGTTGTTGCCGGAGGAGGGGTCGTCGTTTGGGTTGTCTGTGGGTGGGGGCCAAGTTAGTTGCAGTTTTGTGGAGGCGAGGGGGTGGGAGATTTACGTACATGCGCCCCAAAGGGCTGTGGGGACCGCGGTCAGAATGGCAAGGTTGTTGTTCCATTCAGGATTCAGCGGCTCTGGATCTTCGGTCAGTTTTTCTATGACTGGCACATCCTTTGCTATTGTGATTCTGAGTTGGGACCGGTAGAATTCTGAATCTAGCCACATCGGTCTCGCATACATCTTGTCGGCGACGGTGTATGGGACGGTGTGCGTGGCATCGTTGCCGTCTTCCTCAAGCGCTTTGGTGATGACTTCGGCTCCCGTGAGTGCGAATTTGCAACTGATGTCGAAAGCAAAGACTGCTGCGCGGACATCCCATGTCATGTCGCTGGGGGATGATTTAGTAGTTTGTGATGGTATTAAGCCACTAGTGCACGAGTAAATGTGCGGTGAAAGCTGTGCATCTGGATCGTCCTCGGCTCTCAGGCTGTCTTCGAGAGCACGACCTGACTTGAGCAATAATGATCGACTAGTTGTCGGTTTGTTGTCAGCTTGCAGAGCAAGGCGGTAGAAATCCTCTAATTGTAGCTTGGACGGCGAGGTGTTTTGATGCTCCCCAAAATTGACGTCGAAACCAAATACGTAGAAGTCGACGTGCACAGTGCCGTTGACTGGTGGGCCCTGCAGGTATAGCCGTGCGGCGAGATCAATATTGATATGGATTGTGACGAGCCAGAGATCAAGGCTGAAATGCACTCCCACTGATATACCACCTTCAGCCTGGAAGTGGAAGGGCTTATAGTTGATGAGGAAATCTGCATACGCGTCAAAATATGCGTATAGCGGACCGGCGCTCATCACGATATGTAGACGTCCACCGCCCATACAAACTTTGGAATTGATGGCAAAGTATGCCTCGCCAGTGATATTGATACTGTTGTCAAAGCTCCAAGTGATGCCGAGACGTGGTGGTACAGGGTATTGTGTTGGCACCTTGAACGACTTGTGATAGCCGCCGACAGTGAACACCCAATCACCATCGAGGGTGGAATCGCGACTGTCGAACCAACTATACATTGCAAAGCCACCCGTCAGATGACAGCTGGGATCTAGGACGAAAGACGAGGGGGTTAGCTGGCCGTCAATCTTCAGCAGGCCCGCATCAAAGTCGACAGTAGCTGCAAGGCCGAGCTGGACCCTAACAAATTTCCTCTCGACCTTCTTCGGCATTTCGGCCGTTGCCAGTCCAAAGAGACCAAACTTGAGGCCCGTGCCGAACTCAACAGTGAGGACTGTTTCCACCTCGAGCATCTCAAAGGCCAGCACTTTGAAGCCCGCCGCGATCCAGTACGAGTCACGCTTGGGCGTAAACCAGCCACCTTTAAAGAATTGAGAAAGCGCTTTCGAAGGATCAGTCTCATCCGGCGGGGCGATGAATGGGAACGTCAGAAGATTCTGGGTGTTGGGGAAGGCAATCGTAGAATTGTAACCGAAACCACCAGATAAGCCTGAGATCTCGGCAAAGCCGAAGATACTCATGATCGGTCCGTCAAGTCTACAGTAGGTGAAAAACGTATTGAAAACTTCGTCATCGGTTATCACGATTTGTTTGGCGGGCTTCGGATCACGCGCTTTGCCATAGTAGCCCACAGCTTGGAACAAATACGGCGTGAATCCGACGGTTGCTGCGCCTTGGAAGTATGGATCGCCGTCAGGAGTGACGCCCCTTTCAAACATGCCTTGAAGTAGCACTGGGTCTTGCTGGAAAGAGGCACTGAGGCCACGCAGATCGAACGATGGTTTAATGGAAGAAAGATTCCTTAGATCGCTACCCTCAAAGCTGAAATTGATGGCAAATCCAAGTAATGTCATTGCTAGGGGACCCACATTAAGGGTTCCATCAATGACGATTGAGAGGGTGTTCGTGCTGAGATCGAAGCCTAGGCCTAAGCCGAATATCTTGACGGGCCCAAACGTCTTATCGATGGGCGACGTAGTGACTTCTCTTATACCTAGCTGCGACTCTTCCGCAATGTTCTGACTCTTGTCGTCTTTCTTCTGTCCAAAGACATAATCCATAGCAATTTTCTTGTTTGCTACGACGATGAAATGGTAGCCAGATGCCAGCAATACATCATCATCCTTCTGTTGGTCCTCTTTCACATTATCTTTGTATCTCAACTCCGGATCGTCTTCAAGACGGTTTTTATCAATAACGTTCATGTCTGCACGTGTGAAGCCGCCCGACTCATCATCACTGCCAGAAACCCATGCAAAGCTGAACTCATCAAATGGCTGTGGAAGACTGCCTATTAGTGGAATGTTCTCAACAGTGGGTAGTCTGTCTACTGTGAGTATTAGTGCAGTCTTTGTAGTGGGTGGCTTGTCGTCGATAGGAGCGTCGTCCGTTCTCTTCTTCTTTGGTGAGAGGCGGTAACAGGCGATTGAGGCGCCATCTGCCAGCTGGACACGCAGAACAAACAAGATGGAGGTGCCAACGTCGAAAATTCTTAGAGATGTGAGCTTGGTATCTTGCGACGTCTTCACACCAACATTTTTGAGCCACGAGGGGAGCAGCTGGCTCGTGTCAGTGCCACAGATTGCGCCGATGACATCAACGAGAGTTCCATTTCCCTCGTTCACAGACAGATTGGCAGTCAACCTCCAGATTGGCTCATTCACCGCGGCAGTCTTTCCTTTGTATTCGTATGAGTAATCGAGTGTCACGGGGCCAAGGTAAAGATCACCTGAAATGACGAAGTCGGAACCTTTTCCAGTACTGTCATAGTTGTACACGATGGCGACATCGAGCGAGATGTCCTTGAGCAGCTCTACCATCTCCTCATCACAATCACTGTCAAAAAGGGAGTATAGAAGAGCTCCAGATAGCCTACCTGCCGAACCTGTCAAAGTCCACTTGCTTGACGTATATTCCAGAGAAGCACTCAGAGTAGAGTACTCGTCCAACTTCGGAGACGCAAGGACGAAATTAGAGTATAGAGCTACTTTCTGCAGTTGCGGTTTTTTAGAGTCAAATTTGAACTGTACGTCGAGTGAGGCAGTGTCCAGGCGAATCTGTGGCGTAGATTCTTCGTCAGGCTTTGGGCTGATCACAATGGCGTTGAATTGAAGATTCTGAGAGCTGACATAGAAGCTAAGCGCTAAGAGTTGGAGTGAGATTGGTGGATTGTTGAGCTTCTTTTCCTGGCCTTCTGCCTTTGTCAAGGTGCTGTATATATCTCCGAGGTCACCGATTTGCCTCCCATCACTGCCACCTTTAGATTTTGGAATTACAGCCAACGCAGTCCAGGTTTCGTAGTCTGGCATATACGGAACGAAGGAGAATTGTGGCCCCAATTGAGTTTGGGGATCATTCAGGAACAGATTACCACCAAATTCGCCGCCACCTCCTCTACCAAAAGTGTATTTGAGGGTACACTGTAGTACTATGGACGACCATGCAGCCTGCAGATCCAATGACACGACCTTTTCGCCTTTAGTAGGCACAATGTACGTAATGCGTCGCAGCAGAATGTTCTCTATCCCTGGTAGGTAATCCGCAAAGGACGGGAGCTGGGGACTGCCAGGTATTAGGCTGACAAAAAGTTCAAGAATGTCGGTCACGGAGGTTCCGCCTTTGGACGCATCGAAAGTCAGAGTGAATCTGGTCTTCTCTGGAAGAATCTCCAGTGCTGTGTCGACTGTAAAGCTTTCGAGCTTCGGCACAAGATTACCCGTTGGGTTGTCCTGGCGATGAAAGGTCATAGGAGCGAAGATGACAAGGACTGATTCAACATCTGCCGAAGCGGCTTTTGCCGGATCCTGACTTCGTCGCCAAGTCTTCTTTGCCACAATACGAGGGTCACCAATGTCTATGTTCGCAACAGATGTTATTTCCTGAACTGTGCCTTTAAGCTTCGATGCGAAGGAGGTCGTGGGATCCCCATCAGCACCCTTGAAATGTAAACGGAGAGTCGTGGTGTAAAGCGCGTCAGGGAAGAACCACAGTCCACATTTGGTACCAGCGCTCGTGTCTACCTTCAAACTCAAGAGCGGTGTAAGAAAATTAATTATCGTGGGGAGCTTGACCTCAAAAAGGTTGACAACCTCCTCGCCTGTGATTACCGCTTGCTCAATGCCACTGTTGGTGTTGAGACTCATCAGTAGCATGAACGCTGGACCAATTATATCAATGTCCACATCTGCTGTACCACTCGCGGGAGGGCCAAGCCACGTCGGAGGAGGAGTGGAGGCTCCGTTGAAGGCCACAGAGTTGTTGTCTGTACTGAAAGTGATCATCGTAGAGCTAAGCATTCTGTCCGTGAAGCTGATACCTTTTGTAAGCGCTTTGTCTAGCCTTGTAGTATAGCTGAAGCTTGAGATATTGCTCGTGCTTGCTTTAACCTGCAAGACGAATTTTGGGTCCTCAAAATCTCCAAATATCGTCAACAGCCATTGAAACAGCTCATCAGAACCGTCAAGTTGAAGCTCGCTTGCCTGAGCATTCAGCTTGTCTGGCAGCACAATTGCACCAGTGTTGAGACCAGACAAGAAAAGGTCTAAGTTCGAGTTGAGCTTCGCCCTAAAATCCTTCACCGTACCGTTGGTCTCGATTGCATCGGTAGCCATGAAATAGCACAAAGCTGGATCAAAAGACATTTTCCCTTTCCTGATATGTTGCTCCCTCTTGACCAAGGCTGTACCTCCACGGCCTACGTCATGACCTGGACTGTCATCAGCGAATTGCCGACTGGAAAGCGTCTGTGCATTTTCTGAAGCCGATATCAAAATTTGAGCTGTCGCCGAGTCCATCAGGTTGCCAGTCACCTGTTTTTTCGCTAGCCTGTTTGTCTCAATACTCCTTATCGTTTTGTCATTGACTGGCGCCTTGAAGGTTTTGGGGTGGCCCGGTCTATCTTCGATTGGTGCAACGAAGTTTTTGTAATTGATGTCAGCTAACCACGAAATCTCAAATTCTAAGAATGAGGTCCCAATTGCATATTCTGCTACAAAATATCTGTCTGGTGCCTGCTTGATTACGTGAAAACGAATCCTCTGCGCGGCAGCTTTGAACATGCCATTTTGAAAACCACCCCAGCCACCAAACCACTGCCAGGGGATAAATGAACAGATATTCCACCACTCATCAAGATACTTGGCAATGAACGTCTTGGCTTCTTTCTCGTTTCCGAGAATTTGAAGCCCGACAAGATTGACGGGAAGTGTAGGTCGCGGCTGCACTTGGTCGGCCACTGTATTCACTACTTTCCACATCCTGTTGATTATTGTCCTCCACTCAAGGCCCATACTTTCAGTAAGGGAGCCTATGGCACCAGTGTTGACGTACCCAACCTGGTCAAGCAAAAGATATTTGGTAAGGAAGACTGGGTAATTCGTCGTCATCAGTGGTCGATAGAATCCGCTGTTGTGTGTAATTGCATTGCACCAATAAGTGTAGGTCAGGCAAAGATACAATGTGTCCCAGGCTAAGAAATACTGGTTCAGTTTTGGTGGAATGTGAACACTCGACGCTCACTTACAAATATGGTTAAATTGAGCTCTCATTCCGTTCGAGCAAGCAATTACACGGGGCCTCCATGCCAGCAACATTATTGCAGGCGTTGAGAATTTGGATCCTGTATTAACGCAAGGAATAGCGTGTCAGCATAAAACAGATGTCTCAAGAGCTGCTTGAGATTCCTACCATGGTGGGATAGTTTGACAATATCCACAAGAGGTGGAGTTCGGACGTTGGCATCAGTAGGTGAAGGAGTCGCAGACCACCTCAGTACGTGTTCTTCCATTTCATCCCCAAGATCCCCGCCGGTGTAGAGAGAAATTTCACAATCGGTATTGGCCCAAATGATCATGCACGCAATCGAAGACTGGTTATTACCGGTGGTATAACCCTTCACAGATGCAATCGAGATATCGTCATCTGATGAAGAAACGTTTTCGAACAAACGACGGCTCCGTTCATTAGAATCCACGTCATTGGTTTTCACTCGGCCTAGGTAGACATCTGTCAGGTCGCTTGCGTCCCCCGCGCCAGTCTTCCATTCCCAGTTCTTTGAGCGATCATCCATACCATCTGGATCGCAAACCCACGAATCGCTCGCCACACACATCATAACCGGTTTGTCATAGTCGTTGGCCATCATGTGTTGAGATACCAATGCAGGGTACTTGGCATCGACGGCGCTCATCACCACTTGGCCACTGAAAAAATCTAACCCTAGTAGAGGTCCTCCTGAGCTCGTCTCCCCCAATGGCCATAGGGCAACCGGAATAGCTCCCTTGACTATGTTGCCGCTCAAAGAAGTGACCTCCACGTTCACACATACAAAGAGGCGACCATCAAGAGCCTTGACAAGGCTCCACTCACTAGGTCGCTCTTTCTCTGTCTTATTGAATTTTGAGCGCGTACGCGAATCCGTAAGTCGCCAATACGGTGCGTACAAGACAGTGGATGGTTCTCCATGAGCGCCATCGTACTTGGTGAGGGTGGACTTGATTTTTAGGTCGTTCACTATGACATTGAATCCAGCTTGATCTTTGATTTGGTAATCTAGGATAGCCTGTTGCGCTCCAGTCTTGACATCTGTCTGTAAGACTTGGACAATACCCTCTCGGTGATCGCTGTCCCAATGTGATATCACTATGGCATCGAAAGTCCTAAAGTAGTCGTTCGTTCCTTGCGAGTAGTCGCTATCGATGCGACTCATTATAGTCCTGAAATCCAGAATACAGGCCGCGCCGTACGCTTTACCGCCATCGATGAGCACCGCTTTGTCGATATTCTTTGGACTTTGTTTCTCGTCAACAAGGAGATGGACAGCACAGTCACCCTCATCGATATTCAATTGAAACGAATGAACCTCCCAGTGTGGCATGGTGGTCGATGGTCATTGGATGCTCTCTGTCTACTGTGATCCCCAGAGGCCTACCAGTGTGAACCTAGAGGGCATAAGTATGAAGGGATCGCGCAGGGCCTTCACGAAGCCGTCGAGTAAGATGCAAGTGGCACTGGAGCTTTCTCTCCTAGGCCGCTCATTGACACATCCTGATATACACAACGCAATCTAAGACGGCTACGGACCGACTACTTGAGCGATCCTAGACAATGACAGAGATTCCTAAGCGAAAGGCGACCACCCAGTAGCCAAACATGCAACAGACAGACCACCCAAAGGCCCTTTGAAAAGTCTTCACTGCTGATACTAAGGGCAAGCACAGCGAACCCTCGAAATGACGGCTCGGAAGAGTGACACCAGCCATCACCCATCTTCTTTTGGCAGGGCTAGGAGGCGACCCCACGAAAGTGACAGCAAATTAGGCATAGTGGATGTGATCCAACGATACCGGTAATATTTCCGTATTACAAGTGCATGAACTTCCCAGGCATAAGTGTAGCCACTGAAGCTTGTTTGACCCGCTGGATCATCCGCTGTTTAACCTTTACTATTCAGCCAGCCACAGACCTTGATGTTCAGCCAGCCACGGCCCAGAGCTTGACAGGCCGGATCGTTGATTGGCGGGCCGCGGCGGGGATTCTCTAGGCTCTGGTTGAGCACGTACGCTAGCTATAGTATGCGTCTTAGCATGCGGAGTCGTCCTAAAACGGCACTGTTAGGCCTGCACGGCGCCAACGTGTGATAAGGCTAAAGCCACGAGCCAGGCCTAGACTTCCGGCTCGATAGTGCATTGCCTCATTGAGTATTTGACATCTTTTCTCTTCAGCTTCTCAGCGCCACGGTGGTCGAAGCCCAGCTGAAACTTGCAGCTGGCACGGTTGTGTATCTATCATGTGCCACTGCCATGGTCCTCATTGGTCGGGGCTATAATTGGTTGTCAATGATAGAAAGGTGAGCTACTTTTGTCATGCGTAGTTAGCTGAATGAATTTTGCGACTAAGCTACAGATTGACGTGCCGGATGATCCTTGCCTCCCTCATACCGTAAGGCCAACCTCCTGTTCGTCAAGCGCCTGCTTCTACTCGTACGGTGGTTTCTCATGGGTTATTGGGCTTTTCATCTGCAAGTAGCCTTCCGTAGCCAGATAAGGCCCTTGTTGGAATCCTGGCTTGACCTCCGCTCTCCCTACCGCAAGCGGCATGATGCCTTCCTCGTACGGCTGCAGCCACGTCCAGTCGGCTGCGGCGAGCGCGGGCATCTCAACCGCCGACCCAGGCACAATCTTCTCCAGAATGTACTCGTCCACGAGCTTGTAATCATTGTTGAAGGGCGGCACATTTGCTGGAACTAGCAAGGGGCCCGCGTGGAAGAAATTGGTGATTTTTTGCAATGCGGTCTCCCACATGTAAGTGGGCAGCTTGAGCGATCGGATTGGCAGGATACTGCTGTAGCCGGTGACAGGGAGAAATGGATCCATGATCGCTCCAAAGACCTGCATTTTGGATTGCCGCTGCTCGTCGTACTTCGCCGAACCCGCCTCAATACTGTCGAGGTACTTGGCGCCGGAGTCATTTGGATCCAACCAGAAAGCCGTCATCTTTGGGTATGTGTCCTGATCAAGAGGCACTAACGGAGGGCTTGGACTTCGCGCATTGGGCTGTTCAGTGCGTCGAGGATAGGTGTAGATCTTGGTTAAATCTAGCTCGTTTGAGGGGGTAGGAGAGTCCGATGAAGCAAAGTAGCCCACAAGCCCATCCGTAAGCATGTCCACATCGCCAAGCTTGAGAGGCCACTGGTAGTATTTGCTCGATCCTCCGGGAAGCAGCGACCGATCGGGTAGTGAATGTCGCTGGCTCTCGAGGGTGGATTGTATAGTCTTTGGCTTCGTTGAAAGTTCCAGTGACCACCCCATGTTGACTAAGGCTAAGGGTCTGCCAATTAGGGAACTGGCGAATTGAGCGTAGGCGCTTGTCGGAGTCGGTAGCGATTCCATTGCTCTGCTGACCATATCCATGAAGGCCAAAAGATATTTCTGATCGGGTTCGAGCAGTTTGTTGAGCAGACTGTCAAGTTGCGTAGGGGTCGTCGGTTTCTTGGGAGGCTTGAACGGCAGCCAAGCCGTGCCTCCAGAAGAGCCTTCACTGACGCGGACTTCGCGATAGAATGTCCCGTCAGGGAGGAAAAGTTGAAGTCCCATGTCGACGTAGTTGACGATGATCCATCCCCAAATTGGGCGATCCCAATCATTCGCTGGGACCCAGTACGGACTGCTAGAGTTGGGATTTCGAACCACAAACTCCGCATTCAGCCTCGCAGGCTGATTAATGTACGGCGGCAATTGAATGAATTCAGACATCTTGCCCTCGAACGTGCGTGAAGGATCGGCTACGTTTGGTGTACTGTCTTTGTCAGAAATTGGACGTGGCTGGTAGTATTCACCAACGGTCGGGTACAGAGGGGGGATTGTAGGACCGTAGCGAGGATCAATAGCGTGGATGACTTGTCCAAATTTGTCAATAATGTTGACTTTTGTAAAGCGCATCTGCCCATGCGTGACAGGTTTGAATGCGGTGTAAGCATTGTCCAGAAGGCTAGAATTAGGGCCATATGGTGTTGGATCTGATTCTTTGTCGATCATTGATAGACGCTGTTGTATTAGGCCTATGTTTGCAGCTGCCTGCTCCGCTTCTTTGAGGGCCACTGGGTGTCTTCCAGGGATTCGGACAAGTGGCTTGACATGATTCCCGCGGAAGAGCGTCAGAAGATGCTCCGTGAACCCTGCAAGTGGAGACGACAGGAATGCAAGCTGGTCGAGATGATCATAGAGATATGTACGGTCAGTCTCCGGAAGCAGTGCATCTAGGCGATCCTTGGACACTGAAGAGAAGAGAACGTCCAGCTGGGCTTTGAGGGAGAAATTTGGTTGCGGTAGAATTAGACTCCGGCCAGAAACAATCCTTGTGTCCTCTTGATGGAAACCTTTATTGGTAATATCATTGCTCAGCGCGAACGCTACCTTGCTCTGCGTTGTTGCCGGTGAGCTGTCCAGCGCGATCATATTCCAATTCTCGAAGGGTATGTGGATATATTCCGCCTCCCATTCCATATAAAGGGGAAACCACGACTGTGTGGCATTCCATCGATCCCTCCATGGATTCGGCTCGTCTCGGTCAGGCATCTCTCGCTCGCCATCATGGTAAAGGGGAAAAAAGGCGTTGTCTGGTGGCGTTTCAGGTGTTGTGTGCGTTGCGAGGTTCAAAAATTCAGCGGTAAGAGCTTTGGCACTTTCGATGAGGTCCTTCGGGAGGCATTGCAGTCCATATTCGTCGCCAATGTCGAAAACTTTGCCTTGAACAGTTTGGCTATCAAGCCGAACCTTTAACGAGTCCTGATAATCACGCGGCCATCCTGGCTTGACGCCTGCGATCAATAAAGTTGGATCTTTCTGCTGATGAAATTCCTCGGCTGCGCCAGCTTTTACATTGAGTCCGGGATTGTTCTTGGGATATTGATCGATCCACCCCTTCCATCCACTAGTGGCATTATCAAGCGTATTCAACTGTGAAACAATAGTAGTCACAGCTGCAGCATACTCGCTATTACGGCCGCCCCCACGATTGTCGGTATCAGAGATGTACTTCCACCAAACAGCGAAAAGATCCCATCGCAATTGGGTTGCTCTTCTCAAGATGCTATCGTACAGCGTCTGCACGGCATTGAGCTTGAGAATTTGCAGATTGAAATCAGTATCCATAAGTTCGACTGGCGTATCGTCATCTTTTGAGAGATGAAAACGCACCCCGCCCTCGAAGTGGCCAAAGTTGTAGCTTTGAATCTCTCCCGTAGCAGCAATATGCCCACCCAGACCTTCATCCTGGGCTCGTAACAGTGTCTGTAGTCGTAAGATGTCATCTGCTACACTGTTCTCTGGGTGATCATGGGCTCGAGCGTAGGTAAGCATCGAATCAAGTGGGGTCGTCCCAACTGAAACAGACATTTTGTTGTTCAGCATATCTGAAGCTTTATCGGCAGGCACAGTATCTGGCTTGTTGTCGCGAGTCCACCGCACATCATACATAGCCCCATGACAGAGGACTCGTGTATCATTAGGGGACTTGAGCCATTCTTCAACCTCTGTGGGATACGGCTGCTTGTTGAACAGCACCACATTTCGATCTTTCATGCGGTCGGCCCGGGATCCATGAAGACCCCCGCTGAAAGGATCCTGAGCCTCGTCGTCATGCCATCCCAGCACGAAATAGCTGGCATTTGCTGATGACAGCTTTTCGATCTTGCCAGCCTGAGTGTACTGAAATGTATCACGCATGGAAAAGACATTGCTACAGTGATGCTGAAAATCTGGAAATAGCTGATTGGAGCTACTGGTGACGGTCAACCCGGCACGGTCGACCTGCTTTCCTCGCTCTTGCCAGCCCTGGGCATCTTGACAGATACCAATGAAGATCTCAGCCTGTGCGTCGAGGGATAGATTCGGCGCATCCTCAAGCTTCTGCAGCGAGGATGTAACAAAAGGTGACACGTCAACCTGTAGATCAACCTTGTCTGCCCCATCGTTAGTGGCGAATTGGCTCAATTCGTCAACTTTGCGCACACGATCGCTCTCCACGATCCAGGCCTTGACAGACTCGATGGGAGCTCCCTTTGGTTTGGTGGTGTCCGCATTGGGATCTAGACGTCTGATGATGAGCCACCTGTTCGGCGTAGGTGGAAATGTCGGTGCAGAAGCCTCGGGCTGGGGCTCCTTGCCTGGCATTGGATCATCAACCCGAAACCTTCCGGCCGAGGTCTTGCTCTGGGATCCCTTGAAAGAAGAAGTCGCTGCGCTTCCTCCACGATACGGTCGGGGTACGATCCAATGCAAGTAGACGCCGATACGTTCCTCGCGCACCTTGCCAGTGCCGAGATCCATCAGACGAGCATTTAGTTCTGGAGGGGTCGCGTTGTGAAGGTCGACATGCTCGAAGATATCATTCTGAGCGAGAAAGTCTGATATGCGAAGGAAGGTGTAATTGGGCTGTGCTATTGGGGCAATCTTGGCCTGTGTCTGATTCCCATTGCAGACTTGCTCGTTGAAAACGAAGGCATCGAGCTTCAGCGGGATAAGGAGGTTTGTCGGCACCGCCGCCGGGGCCATAGTCGGATCTGCCGTGAATGTTGACGCTGCTTTTAAAGCCAGTACGTTCGCGGTCTGATGGTAATACGATAACTTCTTAGGCTAAAGTAATAAAATCAGTATCAAGCTTAGCCAGCGTTCTACGCATAGAGTAGGGTGTTCAGCTGTCCGGTAGAGTAGGTGTCAAGACGTGTGAACCAGACACCTCGCAAAGTATTACTACGCGGCCCCTCATCGGACCGTGCAACGTGTATAGCGGGGTGTCTAGACTTCTTCCAGAGATCACGTCTAGAAGCTCAGGGGGCGCGGCTAGAGCCATGGCCGAGATTCTGCTCATGGTACCGTTTCCTTGGTAGAGGCCACTCACCTCACGCTAGGGTTACAGATACGCATTGATACCTGGCCAAGATAACAAAGAATGCGGGGGTTTGTTGAAAGATAAGGCAAGATGTGTGAGTCGCAGGTCTAGGCGATATTCTCCGGGGCTATAGCCCTCAATCTAGCCCGAATAGGCCAGCCACGTTAGGGTCACCAGGGGTGATAATTTCCGACCCGTCGCGTGCGTCCGCATTCGTCACCTCAGCTCTCAGCTTCCAGCGCCCCCCGCAGAGCAATCCATCATTCTTAATCACACTTTCAGTCTCAGGCCCCCGTAAATCTCCCTGTTCCGTAAAGCGGTGTCATCCCATGAGATGTTCTAGACCGCGTTCACTAAGGTCTCCTAACAGGACGATGACCTCACAGAGCCAATTGAACGTGCTCGAGAAAAGAGACAAATCAGACTTGCTTAGAAACATCCTAGCTTGGGATGGACTGATTTCATAGCATTATATGGAGGTCAATTTGCTGACTACTCAAGCTGGGCAGTATGGCACTAAGAGTCAAGTTCAACGAGCGTGAAAACTACGACTGCCCAAACGCATCAGGTCCTCGGGTCCCGATGGATATTGTAGTCTTTCGCACCACTCTCAACGTAAAACACCATGTTCTCTTTCGCAGATACGGTAGCGCAAAGCTGCGAATCGGCGCTGACGAGCTTCAACTTGTCACGTGTCGCCGGGGTAGACCAAACTATCGAGTCAAGATTGCTGACGTTCGCGGTGGCTCGCATGATCTTCTTTTGACCGCTCACGAAGTAGAGGTACACACTGGGAACGCCGCCTTCGGTGTAAACAATAGCTGTGAGAGGGGTGCTCGGAGCGGCACTACCAGTATCATGTATGGTATGCGCTAGACGTCGCGATTAATCTTGCGTATTGTCTTCCAAGGGGAATGTAGCAGGACGACTCACCATCCGGATTGGTTTCAGAGCTATTGATGAACTGAATATCATTGTTGGACTTCTGGAAGAAAATCAGACGAGTGCCATCTCCCACATGCACGGCAGCGATCCTTGATGTGGAAGCCGGAGTCGGGTTGTCGAAAGGATTAAACTCGGGCTCGTTGTTACCGAGCGAACATTGCTGGATCGCCGCACTCGTGCCAGGGCCACTAGGATGGTAATCTGTCAGTCTTGATATCGGACCGCAGGAGTAAGCTATGCTTCATCTCGCGGGGGACTTACGAATTCTTGAGATAGTAGACGTAGACGTTCTCATTACCGTCGCCAGTGGCAGCAAGACCAGAGAACGAGGTGGTGAGCTCGTCTCCGGTAGTGAGGAGCTGCGTCACTGGACTGAGCTGGGCGATAATCATGGGGTCCTCATTCTTGGCGCCAGGTGCTTTGATGAAGCCATATACGTTTGACTGCGGTAATACCATTCAGCCTAAGGCATGGTGTACTCGTCCGGTACGGAGCAGCGAAGCTGAGGTTGGCTACGTACCAGTCCCCTCTGAACAAACGATGCTAGTGCACTAGGAAGAACGATAGGGCCCTGCCAAAGGCCGTTTTCGTGGAAATCAGTCGTCTGCACACTGGGCTGGAAAGACCAGCGTTGAAGTGCAAGCTGGCGGTTCTGTGTTGCGTAGAATAGCAAGCTTTCATTATCTCGTAGAGCGGGATTGACCAAGGCAGTCACCGGAAAGGACATGGTGAAAGCGGTTTCGTATGGGGTCTCTGATTGATGCAAATTAGAATCAATGTAAAATGCGATCGAGAATGAGGAATTGAGCACGATACCCTCAAGCAGACGAAGAAGCTGGGCGCGACTATATACCCTCTCTGCTCGCTAGACAAGTCGGACCCTTGTAATCGACAATGGCAATGGATTGGGAGTCCCAGAACACCTGTTCGACTTGAGACCCGGCCAGAACTTCAAGCTTGCGTCGATGCCAGCCGCCACAGGATCATAGATGGACAACATCAGCTTGATATCGGAGCGGGGAAAAGCCACCGAGGTAGAACGTGTGTCTATCCTGGAACAGAGCATGGTGTATGCATGCATGAGTGGGGGGACGCAAGTAGCAGAGGTAGGTCTCCCATCATAGCGGGTCTACAGTCATTTTAGTCCCTAGCTAAAGCTTCACCGGCCTGAACTCAATTTCCGCAATTGGACGTTCAGCTACGAAATGGAGCGCCACTCGAGCCCGTTTATTACGATACACAAATGGTAGTGCCCGTTACTGCAGTCACTATCACATACTTACCAGGCTTCTGCACGATCGACTGCAACCTTTATTCTTTTACGCCATTCGGGCCTGAGACTCGAGTATTGGCCCGGAGGCATACCTGGATTTGTGCTCGTTTCTCGGGAGTGTCTGGTCGTCCTCCCACTTCAAGTCAATAGTCCATTAGTCCCAGAGGCATCGATAATACTACCAGGCGAGCGTTTACTCAAAAGAGGCTGTGAAGCAGTGAATGCTTTACGAAGGTAGACGTTCCCTTCAATCAGTGCACACGTCTGCCAAAGCCGACTTTTAAGCAGTCGGGGCTTGTGGGCTCTGCTTCACCACGGCGTCTCATTGAACAACTTTTACAGTCGTCATTGTCGTTGTTCCAAGATCGGAGAAATTTGTGCCAATAAATAAAATCTTTTCACCGTGATTCCCCATCAACGCAAACAGTGCAAGATGCCGCGGCCACGAAAGAGGCACTGCAAGAGGCCTTCTACACGTCGCTATCTTGTTTTACGCCACGGTCGTCGATTGATCAAGGCTGAACAAGATTTTCAGTTTGCAGCGCTCGCAGACGATCAATTGGCTCCAGGTCACGAGCAGCTCTTTTCCTCCAACGTCCCTGGCTTGCGAGCTGGCTCTTACACGATTTCGGTCGTCCAGGAGATTGTGCCAGACAAAGATAGCCCTGACGTGAACAAGAGCGTGCCTAGTCAGCAAAAGTTCACGGTTTTCTCGCCCAAGTTCACCATAGCATCCGATGCCTTGTACTCGGTCTATCCACCGGAGAGCCATAGTGTCAGACCAGAAGTACTACCCCATGTGGTCTTCAACGACGCCACCGTTCCGTGGGAACGCTACGGAAGCTACATCGCCGAGAGGACTCCACCAGCGGACTACGTGTACAACCGAGTGCCCTGGGTTGCATGCTTGCCTTTTACGACTGATGAGCTGAAGCTGCCACCGGAAGCCTTGCAAGGCAGCAAGAGCCTGTTTCGCGACACAGATTCGCTTAAAGGTGGTGCGGAGCAGACCTCCAGTATGGCAGTAAGTATGGCAGTTGCGGACGTGTTCAAGTTGGACAGCTCTCAAGTCGCCACGCCGTTTGTCAGCGCTCAAGATACGCGCGATGATGTTGCAAACTTGGTTTTTATCAAGTCAATGCAATTCAACAGCCTTTTCGCCAAGCTCGATAAGCAGGGCGCTATTCTATCGAGCTCAAGTCCAGATGTTGGCCGCTTCCGTTTCTTATCGCACGTGCGCAAGGTCAACACAAAGGGCATGGCGGATGCTGACGAACACGATGACGAGACCCAGACAGAGCGGGAGTTCGGTGTCACTGTCTCACATCGGACCGGCCCCTTGAAAATCGAGGAGCCTGTCAGTCTTGCGGCGCACCTGCTGTCGATTGAAGGTGTCGAGCAGATGCAAGGCTTTCCCATACAGCAGGAGTACGTAGCTCTGGCATCACTTCATAGCTGGAATTATATGTGTCTACCACCGAACTCTTTCAATCTAGCGGCAACATTTGAGGCTCTAGCGCGGACGAGTGGCCCTCTAAGGCCCTCGGTGCCAGAGTTGAAACCTTCTATCTTCGGAGAGCCTCCAGACCCTATCCAGACTCGGGTGATGACTCGCATTGCCGACGGATATTCAATGGTCAATTATCGTGCTATCACCGGTGAAACAAGTGCCGCGCTTTTGAGAGGTCCCTTTACCCCCACAAAGGTCCAGTATCCACAGTGGGATCTCCTCTCCAATTCCGGCGCTGGTCTTCAGATTCTTGACCAGCAACTTGGGATCATGGACATTACCTATTCTTCAGCATGGCAGCTCGGTCGTACTCTAGCCATGGCTGATCAACCGTACTCTACGGCTTTGTCCAGAGTCCGAAAGGCAATCACGGATCCCGCCCTCTACAAATCGCAGCAGCAAGCGCTTGAGAAGCGGGGTTCCAAACTCAGAGATCGGGAACAGCTAATTGCGTCGTTGCACGCGACAACTCGAGACCTAGTGCTGACGTCCAATCCAGCAGAATGCGAAGGCACTTCTACGGTACCAGCCTTGCGTTGGAGGGTGCCGCGCCGGACCACGCCTGTACTGTCATACCACAGCGACGAAGTCGGCGAGTTTCTCGAGGATAACCTCGTTGAGCAAGCGTTGAAGATTGCAAGCAGTCCTGATAAGAAAGATCCAGCACAGCCTTACGGGCCTCCGTACGACGAATACAACACTCCGTACTCAGCAGACTGGGTGGTGGTCTTGCGATTTGTACTTGATCTTTCGTACTTGGTCAACATCCCCGCACAATACCTTATCACCGACCCGTCACATGTTCCGATAGAATCCTTCCGTTTCTTTCACATTGACCAAAACTGGGTTGACGCTCTTGTGGACGGAGCACTCAGTATTGGCAACCATATTGATCCCACGGATGACAGGGCCCGTCGCGCCATCAAACAGGCTATCAATCGGTACTTTTCCACGCCTAATTCAACCCTAAATTACCCTCCACCAGTGCCACGGTACGGATTCTACATGCGCTCAGCAGTAGTGACCAAGTTTCCCGATCTTGTCCTCTCAACCAATCCAGTCGCCGATACCGCAGGAACACCGATATTGGGCCGCCACGATATCATCGATACCAATCTCATGCTTGGGCTTCTAAACCATGAGCCAGTGCCGAAAGAGACCTTCTCATTGACCTTCACGCAGCCTGCACATCAGCAATCGTTCACTGCTGCAGCAACGCTGTCTGATCAGGATATCAAAACTTCGTACTCGCGCATCTACACCGTTCCAAATCCTGCGGATCCAGATCGCAACAAACCTATTGACGATCACCTCTGGAAGCGTGGAGAAACGTCAGATCGAGGAAGTGTCTTTTGCTGGGGTACCGACAACGATAGTGACGATATTCGAGCATTACATGTCGAGAACATGGCTTTGGACTTATACACCGTTTTGCAGACACAGCTCAACAAGCTTGATCCGAACTTTTTCAAGGAGAAGATCCAAACGGCGGCAATGATGGGAATACAGCTCAATGACCCATGTTGGCAGCTCCAATTCGAAGCCCCAAAGACTGAATGCCCGTCGGGTGAAGTGGCGATGCAACTTACATATCGAACGGCTAAAACACTGTCCCTTGAGTGCTCACGGTCTATTGCTGACCTTCAGCCAACAAGTCACCGTATTCCTACCTTCCAAGAACGGGCCTTGGCACCCATATTCAAGCCAAAGTTCAATCCGCCGCATTTTCAAGCCGTGCTTGACGCTTCGATCCTGCTTCCGAATGATGGCACAGCAAGAGACGATGGGGTAAGCCCTCTTTCTAATCTCCAAAACACCGGAGGAGGGCTTGATTCAGGCGGATCCTCACCAGTTGTCGTAACACCATCCTCAAGCCCCTCGTCTTCACCTGATACATCACCCACCCACCGATGTAAGACCCACGAGCTCAACGATCTCGCATCCATCTCGCTGTCGAATAGCTGGCACTTCACCAAGTTCCGATCAACACTGAGTAACGATGCAATGGACGGCGAAGGCGGCGCAGCGCCACCAGTCTTCAAATGGAAAGTTGCACCCGCCTCTAATCCCGCAACCTCCAACATCTCCATGCTCAACTATTTACAAGACCTCATTATCTCAATCGTCTACCAAGACAATGCTGCAGACTACCTCCTCACCTCCATGGTCATAAGCGTGCCAGTCGGTAAACCAATAGACACGCCTACCTTGGCATCCTCCTACCGAGGCCCCGGGTGTGTCATGCTGTCGAACTTGCTATTTAACGTGCGGACAACGTACAGCGATAGTACCAAGATGCTGCAGATGGTTCTCCTTCCGAGAACGACACTTGGCTATGTTCCAGTAAGTCATATTAGGGAGCTGAGCTTCTTGCTGCGTGGGGTGCAGACGTACAATTACCCTAATGGTGAAAAGACGATATTGTTCACTGGGCAGCCTTTCTACAAGAGCGTCGCGAAGGGGGAGGCTGCTAAGTTTTCTGCAGTTCTTCAACCTTCTCCAAGCCTTGGGCTATCTCTGCCTAGTCCATCTATTGGCGACGACTCTTTTTCAACGGACGCGTAAAAAGTTTTACTAGGTAAAGCTAATTAGTCAATGGTTTCAACTCTAGTTAGTATTATCTAATATATACTATTGTTAATCCCTTCTCCCCACCTCTATAATACTCCTATTTAGTTTTAAATAACTTAATACTCCTTGATTTTTAACCTTTAATATTTTTACTCTACTATTAATATTATTTATATTATCCTAGAATTTTTACAGATTATTAATTATAAGTAATTTAAATAATATCTTTCTAATTTAACTAGAAAATAGAAGTATTTTTTCAAGAGAATAATTTAAAGTATAAGGCATCTTTGCTCTTAGTACACTATTCGCTTTATTTACTTTCTAGGAAGATTATTCGAAAACTTTATCTAAAGGAGAATGTCAGTATCCTATAAATGACTCTAGGATATCAACTATCGCTCCCCAATGTAGTCTTACAGTAAATACCACCACCGCAGCTACCATAGCATTTCAACGCCAACTTCCGCGAAAAGCCTGATGATATTCATATCATATCTAAACCAACCCTTACAAGTACCATCATCCCCACCCTTCCCACCACTTTGATCTGGTCGATTCGACGGCTGCGGCATGCAGACCCTTCAAAAGGCACGACCGAGCTCTGTTGGGGATTGAAGGCACTCATGACCCACCCTCCAATACCCACAGATCCAGTTACGTCGCCACCTCCGGCCCCACTCACATTCAAAATATTTACTGGCACCGAGAGCGGCGTCCCGGAAATCGTGACTATCTGGCCTTTGCTCACGGTCTGTCCGTCTACCACGAACTTCCCACCTGGTATGGCCGTCAAGACATGTCCTCCGACGGTAATTTCAGACAGCTTTGGTGTTAGGGTGGGTCTCTTTGTGGGCAAGAGACGTTGCGTACTTGAGCCTATGACGGCCAACTGACCGTTCGAGGCTAGGGATATCTGGGTACTGGAAATCATGATGGCGCTGCCGGGTACGAGGGTTCGGCCATCGATGGTGAATTTGAGGGCTGTGTCTGCTGTGTAGACTGATCTGGAGAGGGTTAGAAGAAGTGCTAAGGAGGTTGGGGGTGGGGCAAGAGAAAGGGGGCTTTGTGGGGTTGGTTGGGGTGGTGCGGGCAGGAGGACGGATGTTGGTAAGAGAATCTGGCTGCTTGAGCCCATCGACGCGGCTGTACCGTCGAGTGAGAGAGCAATTGATGTGCCAGGGATGGTGATAGTGCCGCCTGGCGTGAGCGTTTGACCCTTTATTGTGAATGCGGAATTTTTGTCGGCGGTATATGTCGAACCGCCAAAGGTCAGCAAGGGTGCGAGAAGGGGCGTAGGTGGGTTTGTTGTTTGTAGCGAGTTAGGCAAGAGAGTCTGCGTACTTGAACCTATAATCGCCGCTGTGCCGTCCGTTGAAAGAAGAATTGGCGTTCCTGAGATGGTGATGGTACCCCCGGGCGTGAGTTTCTGATCATTAGTCGTGAATGCAGAGCTGGTATCGGCTTTGTAAGTCGATCCCCCAAACGTCAAGATTGGTGTGGTTTGGGATCCGAGAGCTATCGCTGCAATAGTGGGAATTGGAAAGGGTTTGCCATCTTTGATCATGGCTATTGCTGACGCCGCAAGAGAGTAGATGACGCCATTGGTGGTGATTGGAGATCCATTGGGGACCAGGATTCCGATGTCTGGGATGCTGTAGTGAGATGATTGGTCTGGTTGAATTACCTGGTCGTTTGCTATGATATTTGGTGTGGGTCCTGGTCCTAGACGTGATAAGGCGAGAGTCGCGCTGTTGCTAGCTTTTGGATTTATGGCTTCTGTCAATTTGGTGTGAAATTGCGTCGTCGTTCGATGATTTGGGGACCTGCGTAGACGGATTTAGACCTTTTTGAGATCGATCCTGCCCATTCATGAGAGAATTGTCGGCCTTCGCTACTCCTGCGGGGTTGTTGATAGACACATCTGGCTGATTGTTTCCCGGCTTTGGGTCGGCAGAATTGTCCGCATGGTCCTGTGCCGGCAATTGCAGATCTGACCCCTCAGTATCAGAAGGGTCACGTTGAGGATCCATATACTCCACCGGATCAACATAGCTCGGTGTATGCTGGCTAGCTTCAGTAGGAGTGGATGTGTCTGGCACCTTAGTCGCCGGAGCCAAAGGAGGCAAAAGACTGGCAGCTGGCGTGGCGGAGGCAAACAGCCGTGGATCGGAATTTGTAGGAACTTCGGTGGCTATCGCAGCCGCTGGTTCCAAAGTTCGAGGCGGGTCAAATATAGGGTTCCAAGCGTAGGTCGTACATGATTTCCAAGCAGGATCAAATTCACCAAACTTCGAAAAAGGGTATATGAGCGTTGGAGTACAGTGTTCTACTCCTGGCCAATTGGCTTGGCGAGAGAAATACTCTCTAGAGCAATAAGAATTGGAATTCTGGTTTTCATCCCAACCACATATTGAGCCCCTATGGGCTTCTTTGTAGCTCGAGACCTCACTACAATTTGACCAAATGTCCTCATAATTGAGGGATTCTTGGTTGAGCCAATGGGGCGCAGTGCTGAGTTCGCCTGGTCCGAAAGAGAGTGTCAAGGAGGCATAAGAATTGCCCACTCTGCTACATTCATTGGTTGCCTCGACATCCTTCAAAACCACATAGGCTGAAGGTGAAATGCTTGAGACTCTTTGAGCGATGATTTCTAGGTGATGAATTGTTTTGCAATGTTTGTACTCACAATGTAAAGTCATTCTCCTCGATCGTCGTTACGCCTTCATAAGCCGCAGGCGTTGGCCAATATAACAAGGCAGCTTCTCTGACTGATATATAGCAGAATTGCGTGTCACAACATGGCGGAGCGGTGTCTGGTTTCCACGAAAACGCTAGATCCGTCGTTGCTGTTACATTGGCTGTTTTCGAATATCGGCTGAAATCTGACGACAGCCGGGAATGACAAAAGCTGGAAATGTTTGCGTCAACGCCCCACAACCAAGGCTTCGAACCCTCGTAGATATTCAATGGTGCTGGCCACTGGTCTATTTGGCACCAGACTTCGTCGAAGACCGTGGGCGAAGTTACATCATAGCAGACTCCATGATTGGCTGTTGGACTTTAGTGATGGAATGGTGCAACGGTGATCATACCTACAATTACACCTCACAAAACAGTCGTCGCAACAATCATCGTCGCCTATGGCCATAGTGCTCGACGTTGTGTGATTTCCAATAATCGTTGTCGAGTTCCTTATGGTCGCATTGAACTTGTTAGTTTGGTTCAAAGCTGATGTAGCAACGCTGAGTAAAGGAAAGAGCAAACTTAAGAATGCCATGATAGACTGAGAAATGTGTCATGTGAAAGCGTTGCTTATCTTTTCGGTCAAATACAAAACCTAAGATGAAGTTTGACTTAAGACGAACTGACGCCTCCCTTTTAAAAAACCCATGATCATTACCGCGGCGTAATTCCTAGACATGCGTGAAGAGTCTACTAGCATGTTAGGTACAAACATGCAAGTCTTGTCGCTAAGCCTCATGCGCCCTGCACGTATATCTGTTTCCAACCAATTATGTACTGTCACCGTTCGCGTTCATGCAGGTCAAGCTCGTATATGCAACACGTTTCTTGGCCACGAAAAGGAACCCCTGCATGGTGCGATCGTCTCTCAAAGAGGTTCGAGCTCCAGTACTCAGCCTTCTGCCCTTGCTCCACGCTCCTGCGCGAAACCGCACGGATCGCCCTTTCGATTGGTCATGATTTGCGCCACACCGATGTGACACGCTTTTAGAAGCTGAGAGTCCGCAATGAGCCCCTTCCCAGGAGGCAGTCATGCAAAGAGTTCCAGATAGAAAGGTTGATCTCCTGCGGTAATTGACCGCACCCCTCATTAGTATTGATGGACCAACGGTCCAGGATACAGCTGTAAATGTCGAGAGCTCTCATAGCCACCTTCAGCCTTTTTCGCTGATGGATTCCAATTCCAGGCTGTGCTGCAGCAGTAAGTCTTCCATTTATTTTCACGAGACTTTTCCATGTCAAGTCATCACTCATGTTTCCGTATATCTCAAGAAGTTCTTTCTCAATTGCCGGCGGGAGTGTCTCACTCCCTTGCATTGCCTGCGTCTGGAGACTTGCCATACTCCCGTCCCACCCCTACGCACCACTCACTCCGTCGCCGGCGCCGGCGCCGTCAAATTTAACCCACCCCCACCCCCTGCCCCATCAACTCCAGCACCCTCCCCTCCCTCCGACTCTCCCACATGCGCCTTCCCCTCCAGAAAAAACCCATCCAGAATATCCACATCCACGCCATAGCTCGACTGGCTCTTCGTATAGTACTCCCTAACAGCAGCCACACAAGCCACAGTATCTCCCCACGTCAACCCCTCACCCTCCTTTCCCCCCGGCGACACCTTGATGCCAAAGTACGACCCGGTTTCGAAAGAGAACTCGCCATAGGGTAGGACCTGGTCGGCGGGATAGCGTTGCGCAAACCCGGAGACGGTGTCGAGGAAGAAGATGGTGCGGATGTAGGGGTAGACGGAGAGGCGGTTTGGGTAGTATTCGTAGCGGAAGGGGCGGCCGGGGAGGCTAGGAGGAGGGAGGGAATGAGTATGATGTGGAAATGGGGGAAGGGGATGGGGAAGCGGGAGAGATATAGAGGGGTGCTTACTGTGGTGGGCGGGTGGGTGTCGCTGTTGGTGGTGCTTGTACTGCTGTGAATTGTGGGTTGCAAGCGATGGGGCTGATGTGATAGAAGAATGCGAAGGCGAGGAAAATGAGAGTCTTCATTCTGCAGATGAGAGAGAAAAGGAGATCCAGCAAGATGAAAGAGTGAATGAGAGCTATGAATGGACTTCTGATTGGCGCTTTGATATGCTACCAAGCTCTGTCCTATATTTCAGCTCCACGAAGTAGACAGCGGGCATAACGCTTTTTGATGACGAGTATCTGGAGATCACGAAAGGATATTATGGAGATGTCTTGTTTTAGATCAAAATGAGATCGATATGCGCTTGAGTCGCTTCGGGAGATCATGTCTTGAACGCGTGCCGGAGCGGCGTATTATCGTACAACTATTGGTACGAGTGAACAGGTCTCGGAAATTAATGACACACAAATGAGAGCCTCGTCATAAAAGTGCCATGTGCCGCGTCTTGTCTTGAAGAATTGATTTGAAAGAACAAGGCAGAATGGACGAGGCAGAGTCTCCGACGACGGCCCCTAAGACAATTTTTTTACCCGAGAATAGCACCACCTAATGTCTAATTGCGGGTCGAAGAGGCCCGAATAGTAATAATAAAGACGTTGAATATATATCAGCGTAGCAGCCTCCTCACACTGTATAAATCGGCCCTCTATCTTAAGCTTCTCGATGGCGGCTAACGGACACACTAGGTCAAGTACGAGAGATAGTCGAACACAGAGAAGCATGTGCCGGTCCTGATACGGCTCCTTTTTAGTCTTATCATCGCAAAACTCCTAGGATGAGTTAGTCCCAGTCGCTATGAACAACTCGCTGACTATTTTTTATAATATATTCTGCTTTTCTATATTTTTAGTAGCGCTTTTCCTTATTTAAATATTAAATTATAAATTAGAAACAATATATATTTATATTTAAAGTTATATTAGACTTTAAAGTATTAGTACCTTTAGATATAAGGTGAAATAAGCTCTTTTTACTAGACTTATTATTTAGATTATTATTAAATTAATATATTTTAATATTATAGCGCCTATACTATTCTATATACTTATAATAGTTATTAGTTATTATACTATTTATTAGCTTATAGTAAAGCCTCTTTATAATAATTTATTTTAAGTTTTAAACTTTAGAGGAATAATAATAATAATAAAATAAATATAAAATTTATTAAAAGTTTTATTTTTATTTCTATTTAAGCTTATAAGAAACTTAGAATTATATAATAAAGTATTAGCTTTAATTACTTTATTAGTCTTTTTAAATATATTATCTAAGTCTTATTATACTTTATTAATAGTAAAATAAAAGCTTATTATACTAGCAAGTATATAAAACTTAATAATATTAAATACTAGTTCCTTATAATAATTATAAATAAAGTTAATTTTATAGTATTTAAAAAAATATAATATTATATTATAAAAGAGTTTAAAAAGGTATTATAACTACTAGGCTTTATATTATTTATAATTATTTATTTTTTTAAACTTACTTAAATTAAAATAATATTTATTACTACCTAAGGTAAATATACCTTTAGTATTTAAATATATATTTACTCTATAGGTTACTTATTAAAGTATAAGGTTATCTTCTTTATTAAGCTTTAAATTATAATTTTTATTAAATATAAATATAATTTTCTTTATATTAGCTTAGAAGTGTTGCACCTTTTTTCCTAGGGCTTTAACTTAGTATAATATATTATATATATTATTATAATATAGCTTATAGGTAGCTTAAACCCTAGTAAGGTTTTAAAAAGCTATTTTTAGCTATTAATTAACTTCTTTCTTTTAAGTATTAATTATAATTATAACTTTTTTATTATTATAAAGTGTTTTATTTACTTAGAATATTAAAGCTTCTAGTTTCTAGCTTTTTTCTTTTTCTTATATTAAAACTAACTTTATATCTAACTTATTAGTTATTAATAGTTAGTTTCTATACTTAAAATTATATATTATAGAAATTATATTAGTAGTAGTATTATACTATATTACTAGCTTATTTTTAATATTTCTTATTAACTCCGCTATATTATATATATAAATTATTGTATTTCTACCTATTTTACTTAAATAGATAGTATTATCTTATTTAAAGTTAAAAGTAAAGTAAGTTCTCTTTATAATTTCATACTTTAATAGTATTACTAACATACTTTTAATTTAATTAGTAATTTTTTAAGTTTTATTATAATCTTCTTTGTTTTCTATAATATCTACTTTTTATATTTTAAAATAATATATAGCTAAAGTTAGCTTTTATAAAGCTTTATTTTTTATAATAATATAGTTAAGATTATATTTAATCTTTATATTAGAATTATTTTTAAAAAATTATTTAGGGGTTCTACTAGTATTAAATAGAATATAAAGAGGGTAACTACTTAAAAGTAAAATATTATTAAAACTATAGATTATAGGGTATATAATATCTATAGTCTTCCTAATAGTTTCCTATATATCTTCCTCTTCTTCTAGTTTATAAGTTATTATACTTAGGCGTTTTAAGCATATAGATATTAATAGTTTTATTAAGTTATATAATATTTAGAAAATATTATAATATTGTTTTTATATATTTTTATTGCGTTTAAATAGCATCTCTATTACTATTATTATAAATAGGGGTATTAAGTCCCTTATACTAGTAATAATTAGAATTATATTAAGGTCTTAAAATAATAGTTTAGAAGATTAATAGAATTCTAACTATAAGTAGAAGTCTATTTAAGAATTAGATAAAAGTATAGATAAGTATATATACTAAGCTTAATTAGGCTTAGCGCCCGCTCTAAACAAATACCTATACTAAGCTAGGCCTAAAGTTATTATAAACTAGAATACTTTATTATTAAGTTAGCTATATACTAGTTGCTAGTAGTTACTTCTTTAGGTAGAAGAAGTATTTCTAGTAAATTTAGATTAATAAAGATATTTATTTATAAAATATTTAAATATATTTTTAAAGTAATTATCTATTTACTT